GTAAGGAGAGCAACGACCTCAGGCGACAGGTCCTCGAGGAGTCCGGGGGCCTGACGCTTCTTGACGTCCTGGCCAAGTGTAGTGACGATGCCTCCAACAGGAGCTGAAAGGCCGCTCAAACCAAGGCGATTGAGAAGATCAACAACCTCTGGGGAAAGGTCCTGGAGAAGACTCTGGCGCTTCTTGACATCGACTCCAAGGGTGCTGACGATGCCACCGACAGGAGGTGCAAGGCCACCGAGACCGAGAGCCGTGAGAAGCGCAACCACTTCAGGCGAGAGATCTTGGAGAAGTCCAGGAGCGGCGACTGCAGAATCCTGAGGAACAGGGGCAGCCATGGCGGTGAAGGCCACAGTGGACAAGGCGAAGGCAGTGGAGAATCTCATTGTGAGAGTGTTGCTGGGAGTTTGAGAAGCTAGGAAGGATTGTAAAAGCTGTTGTGCTTGTTTGAGAAGCTGTTGTAATGATGAGAAGAGAAATGAGCTGGAATCAGGCCCATACTTATACCTGGTCGGCGGCCATTCTCCAAGCTCAAGCACAGCAGTCCGAAGACATCATGAATCTTTGCAAGTCACATTTTCCCACTCACTTGCTGGGTTCGCAAGAGGATCATCATGGTCGTATCCAGTGATGTTCAGTATACTCTACAAGAAATCTGTGGCGTTATCTTTGTCTGGTCAAGATCGTCTGCGGAAGCATCCTTCTCCGGGCTCCTGAGCTCTGCACGTGCGATTCGGAAGCGACCGAAGTGCTTTGCATCTGGTGTATCCCCAATTGGGAGCTTGCATTGTGGGCCTAAGGATGAGCACAAGTCTCGACCATGACTTTGGTCCTGCCATTGATCTTCATCACCCTGTAGATCCGGCCCTGAGATAAGATCGTCAAAAGATACAAGGGATTCGCCGAAGTCGTACCAGAAGCACAGTCAAGCCGGAACGTGGACAAATCAGCTGCTCGACTCGAGCTCAAGTCGTGGCTTGCCAAAATCGAGTCAAGCGCGACCTTCATTAGGAAGGCCAACCGATTAGGATGGTGCACAAATTGTTCAAGCATGAACACATGCAAAAAGCAAACATCATCGTCGCGACACTCTTGACGCCAAACTCAACGAACAGAGACAAGGAGGTGTTTGGTGCTCACTCACTGCATACACGACGTCCGCGACAATCACCACTGCATAATTGACTGCATTTGCTCGCTGCATGTAAGCAAGCAAGGAGTCGTCGCCAATCATTTTCAATTCGAAGCTGCATCGTCCTCCAGCGCATACTTGTCGTACAACAGTTCTTCTGGCATGAGTGATTTTGGTGTTGCTGATCAGTCAACATGGGATCCGGAGCATGGTCCACGCAGAGCTCGGCTCACTCCGCACACGCGCTCGGCTGTTTCGGTGCGGGCGACGATCTCTTAAGCCACAGCAGTCATCGGGACCCTGTGTGAGCGGTTTTCCTGCGCTGCTTTGGCCGGCCTCTGCACAAAGTTCTATCTTCCTTTCGAGGCGTGGACTTCTCAAAATATAGGATTACAAGGTACTCCTGATCTGGACGCGCACTCTCATATACGTACATTGCGCTTCATTCTTCTTTTCGATGATAGAACTAAACAAGGCATGCTCAGAAACGCACGTACTCTAAGTAGCGGTCCATCGCCTCGGCTTCCAATCAGATGTGTCTCTCCGGATATCTGCGGGGCTCAAAGACCATCTTGCCAGATTAGGAACACGCTCCTGTCTCTCAGATGTCCAAGACAGACAAACAAGTGCAAGATCCACAGCATGCCAAGATTCAGGTGACAAGAATACGGACAAGGCTGTGCAACTTCGACACGGACCCTGAATCCTAGCGGCTAAGATTGGGTTTGACTCGAAGTTGACGATCTCTCGAGTCCAACCAGTCCATGGGGTGCTATGTCGATGCTTGTCAAACGCTTCTGCATACAGTATCGTACGCCTTACTTCTTCACGCAAACGTACAGGGACTTGACTGCGACGAGTCATGTCTTGCTTGTCCCAGTGAAAAGCAAAGACCCTCCTCCACTGTTGATGCTTCATGACGATGATCTTGAGCTCGCAATGGTCCCTCTACAACACATACGGAAGGATCGTCGTACAAATCCTGTATCTCAACCTCGACCATCTTCCGTGCGTTTACACCGGCAACTCAAGCTGGCTGCTGCATCAAACCATCTGAGTCCTGCAAGGTCGCCGTTGTCCGTACAGAGACACACGGCTTGATCCGATCACAGTTACTGCGAATAACTCGGTCCTCGGACGCTGTCACAGCTCGTAACACAGTGGCAGCTGAGATGACAACATCGCGCCCTATGATTGAATGCGTGGTGGGCAAGCTCACAATAATCAAAGTCGCATAGTCATTAGCAGGCTGTCGGCAATCACGCCGCGCAAGATCGTGCTCGATCGGACGATCAACATCGTTCATTGAAATTCTGCGTTGTTGCAAATCACGAAGCAGCCGCACTGGTGAAAGTGCCCACAGCGTTGCGATAGTACCATACCAATTGCTCGCATCTTGTCCACTGTACTTGAAATAGCTCTCTCCAGCGAAATATGCCGTGTTCCGATACAATTCTTTGCAGCGTCGGGAATCGCTCGCGGTAACTTGGAACATGGTCGCTCTGTCACCCATCATGAGGACCACCGATCTCGGGGCCAGTGTTTCGAGTGTCTTGCCAAGCGCGATGTTGGCAACATAGGGCTCCCAGTCCTTCTATCTAGACGACTGGCATTAACAGCGGCACAATAGCCTGTCGTGCGCCGCTTCCTTGAGCCTTCATGAGACAAAACCGAACGCCCCTATGCAAGAATCTGCTCCAGGTTTGTGAATCACTGACCCGTCCGCCTGGAGGCTGTAACGAGGTAGCAACACACGCTATTCACTGCAGTATAGAATTATTACAGGAAAGCAGGGGTCTGGCCAAGCTTACAAAACGCTCCATCATTTGTTGAGGTTGACTGGAAAATTCACCCAAGGATTTCCATCAACGACGGTCACATCCACGATACCTTCATCGACTCAGCCATTGATGAAACGCATGCCCGTCCGACCATCGAACGAACCTCCTCTACGTGCTGTCCCCCATATTGAAGCTTGAGCGGTTGAATTCTAGCACGTCAGGAGGTGGTGATTCGATTACTTAGTCTTCAGTACATCTTTACGTAGCTACGGTTGTGAAGAAGCGGGGCCGTCACTGCAACACAGCTCCAAGAGCGAGCCCCTGGATATGGTATCGACTTCAGATCTCGACTCCAAATGCTAGAGGTCCATCATCAATCACCGTAGAGCGTCTGACGTCTCTGGCTGACATGCTCTCGGTGTATGGGTTAGAGCGATGCATAGACTGCCTGGAATCTCTTTTCAGTCGGAACACTTTTGAACTGCCTGGGAAGCGTACCTATTATCCCACCAAACCATGTCGCCTCCCGATAGCCACTCCATACTAAAGACGTACTAGGATCAATTAACATGGTTGATCTATTGTAATGCAGCAGAACGACTCACTTTCGGCTGAGTGCAGTGATCGATCAATTGCCAAATCAGCTTTTGGCTGTTTTCGAATGAGCGTCCGACAATGCGCTTGGCATGTGCAGCAAGGTACAAAGTCTTCCTACCATCCGGTGCCACCTGGACAAGTCGATGATATGCTGGAGGTTTCAACGCTTTCTCGCGCTCCGTCGGGTTGCTGTAAATGATGGGACTTGCGAGTTTACGCGAATGCCAGAGACTAACGATGATCAGTGGTAACGGGAAAAGCTGAGAGAATGCTCGTACTCGTGTTCGATTATGAGATCCTCAAGTTCGTCCTTCATATCTTGACGCAGATCAGCGTAAGCTTGGCGTGTGTCTGCAAAGTGCGTGTAGCACCCACCAGTCACGGCATCGCCGTGACTGAGGAGTAGCGAGTATTTTGATCTTTGTTGGTGATAGGTCGAGTCCTGAAGATATCAGAGCTGTAGCGACGTTGTGTTTTCCAAGCGTACCGTATGCCACAAAGCATTGCCCATACTGTGATGCCATCTGCGACTCTGCGACTTCACAAGAGATCCATCAAGCTCGATGCTGCGTTCATCAGTCGAGTTACTTATTAGCATGCGTTGGAATGAAACATACTTGCCAACGTCGAACAGTAGAGGTTCACCAACTCGATCGTTCTCACGACCGTAGAAGAATGGGTTGATCTCGAGCTTCTCGCCGAGCTGTCTGGAGAAAGCAATGTGTCGTGCATTGTCGAGCCCGGTTTGTCGGAAGATAAGCACTGCATATTTGTCTTGCAGCTTGATGAGCTGCAGATTACCCGCCTTAGTCTCGAGCCTGTTGATGCGATTGGAAAATTTACCTGCTTGACAACTCCCTCAGGGATAGGGTCGTTCCAGTCAACACCGAAAACCTCGGCGCCGAAGGCAGAACGTCCTGAGACCAGAACAGGCAAGACCACAAGATCTCCAACACGCTTGACATTCTCGGCTCGAAGCTTCAAGATGCCAGTGGAGGCTTTTTTGTCGTAGACTCGAGTAACTGTCTCCAGCATTGTGTGTGATGGTCAGGCGCTTTGGCTCCTGACATACAGCGATCGCTGAAGTCTCGTTATATGGACTGATCAATCGCATGTCAACGGATCGGCTCTTTCGGGCACCTTTGCCTGCGAGCTCAATCGCGGGAGACGATAGAGTGCGGGCAGAGCGGAGTCGAGCCGACATCGCCCTATCAGCCGCGTCGCCTCACCCGCCGACAAAGCCGACGGACACTTATGGCCGGCCGTTCCACAAGCTGGTTTGTCTATTGATCACTGAACATCAGACGACCTATCGCCACGACATCACAACCCCGAGATTATGACCACCAACAACACAATTCTGATCACGGCGGGACCTTATCAGTTTCTCGCCATTTTCGAGAATGACGCCCCCGACACAGCCGCAGTGTTCCGAGCCCTGCTACCTTACCGTCAGAAGATCATCCATGTTCGATGGAGTGGTGAAGCAGTCTGGATACCACTTGGCGATGCAGACTTCAAGCTCGGATTTGAAAATCATACCGCGCACCCTGCCGCAGGCCAGATATTGTTTTATCCGGGTGGATTCTCCGAAACCGAGCTCCTGTTCTGCTATGGGAATGTCGCATTTGCAAGCAAGATGGGCGCTCTCGCAGCTAATCACTTCTTGACCGTCACGGACGGGGCGGAAGACTTGAAAGCATTGGGAAAGCTGGTTCTATGGGAGGGAGCTCAAGATGTTGTTTTTGAGCTAGCGGATCAAGCGAGGTATTTATGTGTGTCATCTCAGCTTTCAAGGGATACTAATCTCATGCGCGTAGGGTAGAAGAGTTCCGGAAAACTCGGAAAGCGGCGTTGACAAGATCGAAATTGTGATGGCCATGGGTGCGGCGGCTCAATTGAGGCATTGCACTATGTGAGGGTCCCAGCAGACTGTGTATCATTTTACATATTCCAATCAACGTTCGCAGTATTCGTGAAGTCGAATAAGCCGCCTGGCCACTCGAACCCGGACTCGTGAATCAAACCGAGCATCGACTGCATGTCCGCTTGCGGCCCCGCCGTCTCTGTCCTGTTGTCTGGGCTCGTGACACCCAGCATAGACGCAGCGTTGATGATTATCTTGCGGAAGTCATGACATAGGCAATAACTGGAGAAAGACTCCATCGCGTGGCAGACCTCAAGCGACAAGCACAGCAGTCGTTGTGTGATTGACTCGGGTCGTACTTTTGGTGACCTCTGAGCGGTTTCCGACCAGTCTTCCTGCATGCAGCGCAGCTGGAGGTTTTCTAACCAACAAAATCATCAGCCGAGCGATACTTGTGTTGAGGGTTTGCGATACGTGCCATCTATGAATCCTCTAACAAAACAGAGGACTATGAAAGTGACCGCGAAAGTGTAGGAAATCCACGAGGAGTCTACTGCATATTGCAATCGACCGAGCGCTTCGGGATCGGGCTCAAACGGTCCCTCCGGGAAGGAGGAAGCAAGCTGAGATTCTATGCTCCAAATCCAGCCCCCAGCGTTCTTGGAGTGAGAGATGATGATCTGGCTGGCGGATGTGAGGCAGACCTCGAGTGATTGGAGCAGTAGAAGTTGTGACTGCTGAGAATCGAGCGCTTTGCGCGGAGAAAACAATTGTGCAAGCGAAGCACTGTTGAGGGCAAGTCGATACCACCTTACTGATGTAAATGGCAGCTGGTTGTGCTGCGAGCTTGTGTTAGCTAACTTGGAGATCCATGCTTTTTCCCATCGATCCATCTCAGCATTCAAAGACTTCAGTGCTCTAAGATCCAACTTGCGACCGGTATAGTCACTACACCTGACGAGTGTCAGGTAAGTGAGACTGACGAGCTCGGTCAATGCCACAATCCGCAGATCACCCGGCAGTTGTGACTCGGCATTGCCGACTAGCTCTTGCATGCTCTTCTGTGTGGATGTCGGATCTATCGAGACAGGCAGTCCAGAGCTTAGCATCAGGTTGAAGTCGCAGGAAATTAAGTTGTAGTAGGTCCTCAAACGTGGAAACATATCGTGACTGTGATCACTCTGACTGGTGAGCGAGACCTCTTGATTCATACGCAGCAGCTTGGCATAGCGAGCTGCAAGACCAAGGATAGTCCACGCACTAGTGTCGTTGTATCTACTCTTAGCAAGTTCCAGCGGTGTCGCGGCGAGAGATGTTCGATCGCGAGTCGTGCGATCACAGGGCATCCACTGAGCGTACAGAAGTAGGGCTTGAACCGTGTCTAGAGAGATATCAGAAGACGCTGGACGGAGGAGTAGTCGCGAGATACAGTCGTCGAACAGGGCAACAATCTCCTGTATCTGGGGATGTGCAACCCACACTGGCTGTGCCCTGCAGATAGACTGATAAGGAACGGGCTTGAGGGATAGACATTGCCAGTACCTACTGTTGCGTGAGATCCTGCCCCCAAAAGCGTGCTCCAATTGAACAGATTCCTAGGAACACCGCGGGGATCGCGAATCTCATGCTGGAAGGGTCGTTGCGAAAGGCTTCGCTTATGAAGGGTGCATGGAGGTGGGAGCAGCTAAAGTACCTGGGAACAAAATTCTCAGTATGTGGCTGTTTGGGAAGATGGTTTGAGCAAAACCTACACTTCTACTGCTTTCTCGGCTTCCGGCAACGTCAGGACACCGCGAGCGATCACATCGTCAGTCTGACGCTGGGTCAGCAATGCCCGGTGTTCTGTTCGATGACTGCGATTCTCGTAGGTAGGTGCATCGACCCCTGCGCGCATCGATCTCAAGGTCGCGAAAGGTGATTCAAGGGAAACATGATCCATATCAAACCTGTGCTCATGCATTGCCACCTGCACAATAGCTGATGAGGAAGGTTGCGCCGCCGACTCCAATTGGTAGCTGAACTCACGTCAGTGAAGACGTCGAAACGATTACAGTAGTAGTGCAAATACGTCTCATCATACGATATCGGTGTAACATCTGGTCGGAGGACCTGTGAACTAGTATCACCCCCCTCAAGCGTTATGAGTCTTTGTTCATGGCTGTCCAGTCTACATCAGAAGTTCGTTCGTCAGTCTAGTACCGAACACTTTGGAGATTTGTATAGTGACCGTCGCTGCAAGTCAAGAATGTATTCCACGACCTTCGAGGGACTTGCATTGGTCGTGATGTCCCGAGCTGTCTCAATCTCGAATGAACACCGTAGGGAAAGTTGCTGACAGCGACTGCATGGGGCTTGTTGCCCGAATCCCGCACTTGGGGCTGGACATTTCTGCTTCCGAGATCGACACTGCGACCGATCAGTCTCGGTTTGGATTGTGCGGTGTAGCGGATCCCTGACATTCAGACAAGCTCTGTTCGTGCGACGCGATTTCTCCGGCGGCTCGTGAGCTTGTGAGCTGGAAATCGGGATGTGAGTCAATGTATCGTTGGATTGAGATCTCAAGCCATTTACCCCAAAGACGCTTGTCGTTTGTTCATGCAGACTAGTCACACAAAGTTGTGCGATCTATACTGGGCAAGCATTTGTATGTGGAGATGATGATAAGCATCGCTGCACATTACGTAAGCCACACCAGGCAGCGACTAACTCGCGAAAATTCGCCCAGAAGCTATTTCGCATGCACATATTCCACAGCAGTTTCCACGACCGTCACGAGATGTCCAAAGAGCATTCTGATCCCTATCAAGTGTGGTCGAGACAACCGTGATGTCTCGACCCGTCATACGGTGTTGCGCGAGCGTCTTCGAGTCACGAAGAGATTTTGTACGGCGCGCAACAAAACACCCGGAGCATCGCGCAAGCATGGTCACATCTCACTCTGGTTCGATTTTGGATGCTTCAAGGAAATTTGTAAATTATGAACAGAGAACTGTGTTCCCGTATCTCTTCTCCATATCCGACAGTGGATTGAGCAACCCCACCACCAGGTCTCTATTTTCCTTGTCAAGGGACAATAACGGCTTTCGTGGGTTCTTCCCGTAACCGTACAGATATGCTAGTGCAAATTCTGAGAAACAGTCAGCAACGAACTGAGCTGTTGTGACATGCACTTACTGAGTCCTCGAACTCCCAATGGCATTATCACGGCATCGACTCTACTGAGCACAGACAGCACTTCCTCAAGCTCTTTGTCCTCCTTCTCGGATCGAATTTCCAGGCAACAGAGCGTCCAAAGCCTAACTGTCGACATTGGCGCTATGTTAGAGATGCCGCTCACAGTACCATGCCCACCAGATGTTCTCCATGTCGATAAATCGCTCATCACGCCATCCAGTATGAGGAAGTTTTTCTCGCCCGATGTTTCGACCAAAGCTGAGATATGCGTCAATTTCTCCATGCGACCTTGACATCTGTCATACGTTAGCGGTTGCTCTGCCTGTTCCTGATCATAAGATCCATACGTGAGTTTGACACCACATAGCTTTGGTGATCGTTCAATGATGGCCTGTATCGTGGATGCGGAAAGATCTTGACCGGCTGAGTTGGCTGGAAAATTGTACAGCAGCAGTGGCATCTACCATGGTAAGCCCCATCCGACACGTCTTAGTGACCATACTTACTGGCGATCCTTTGCAAATGTCCACATAGTACTGCTCAATCTGTGCTGAGTCTTGTTGCAAAATGGCGGCATAGTAAGCTGGAGGAATCACCATACCAACTGTTCTGTGACACACTTAGTCAATTGCAGTGTGACCGCTGGACGTGACACTTACGCCCCTGCCTCGAAGGCATCCTTCGCGAGCTGAATGGTCTCTCGAGTACTCAGGCCCCCAACACCTGCAACGATTGGTACGCTTTCGAATCCCTGCTCATCCAATGTTTCTCTTGTGCATCGGATCAAAATCGATCTCTCCTCGCGGCTCAGGTGTACTGCCTCCCCTAGTGATCCAGCACATACAGGTACTGCAAGAGTCAGTGGTTTTAAGATTATGAGGTTAGCGCGATCACGCACGTGCTCCTTTTCCGACAACATCTAGGGGCGTCAGCATGAGAACATGCGTGGTTCGACCTTGACGAGAGACATACGAAGCAGATGCTTGCGATACTCCACCAGATTCAACTCCTCGTCCTCGTAAAAGAATGTGGGCAACGGTGTATACACTCCGGGCCTCAGTGTAGCAGTAGCTTCGCTTCTTTGTGAGACCGACATTCTTAAGTGTCCTCAACGATGGCTTTACTTGCAGGAAGGACTCTTGTCGCTTGTTTTGTGTCATGGAAGCAATGCGGGGGAACTGATAGGTGCGCGCGGCAAGTTCGCCGACAAAGCCGCTCGCTATCAGCAAGCCAGGGGCTTCTTATCGCGAGGCGCTCAAACTTTTGAGTCTGAAGATAGGCCTCCACGCCGCCCTGATACGCACACCCGATATGTACAATGGCGAACAAGATATGTAATCATGTCATATAATGGCCTTGACACAAATTGAGATGATCTCTAGATCTCACAGAATTCAACATCAGCACAACAACGAGCCGCAGGTCGATCATGAGTTCGAGCACACCAACCGACGTAAGGTGTTTGCATATACTAATCATCACGAGATATACTTACGAGGGCATAGTACAAACACCAAGCAGAGGCGACGAGCGCATCTTTGTCACTTGACCATGGGTCTGGAACAGTTAGCGACACCGACGCTTGCCTCGTGTTAAGAGACGGACTTCAACGAAAACTCAAGCCCCGTCATCTGTACGATACCACCCACTGACGTAGTGGAACACTTTGCTGATTTCAACAGTCAGATGATCGCCATTGGAGGAGTCATTGTAAGGGATCCTTAGCTGGACGTGAATAGAACCACGGCTGACAAGCGAAGGGCACTGGACTGTTCCTCGGGACTGGATCAGATCTGGCCCACGGCGGACCTGCAGGTCTTCTAATTGGCTACTGTGTCATGGCGTCACTGCTTTACTCGGTTATGGTAGCGCTTGGTGAAATGGTTTCACACTTGCCCATTCCTGGTGGTCAATTCGCGCTGGCCGGTCGCTTCGTTTCGCCAGCAGTCGGCTTTGGAATGGGGTGGCTTTACTGGTACAATTACATCGTCGTTCTCCCAGCAGAGCTGTCAGCATCTGCTGTTCTTGTGTCTTACTGGACGCCAGCAGGTAAGGGGGACTCGACTTGTACCACCGGTATCTGCAACAACAGCCTCTGGATCGCAATTTTCCTGGTGGTTGTGTTGGCCATCAACTTCGGGGGTACCAGAGTTTTTGGAGAGATTGAATTCTGGTTCTGCTCTATCAAAGTCCTCACTATCATTGGCCTGATCATCACTGGTATCATAATCACCTCAGGTGGAGGACCTGATGGGACGTCCATCGGCTTCCGTTACTGGAACCAGACTCGAGGGTTTGTTCAATACCAAGATATACCAGGGGCCAAAGGCCGTTTCCTGGGCTTCTTCAGCGTGCTCATCAATGCTGCATTTGCCTTCATTGGTACTGAGATCACCGCCATCACAGCAGCGGAATGTGCGAACCCGAAGCGCGCGGTGCCCAAAGCTATCAAGAGTGTCTGGATCCGTCTTGTGCTATTCTACCTCTGCAGTGCTTTCATTATAGGTCTTCTGGTGTCACCTTCTGATCCGGATCTCAATCTGGGTACTGGCGCAGCGAAAAGTCCTTTCGTCCTTGCCATGAAGAACGCTGGAATTTCTGTCCTTCCATCAATCATCAATGTTGCGCTTCTCACAAGCGCATGGTCGGCAGGTTGTGCTGATCTGTTTGTTTCATCCAGAGCATTGTATGGTCTTGCATCAAGGGGTCAAGCTCCAGCTATCTTCCGCAAAGTCCGTGAGGATGGTCTGCCATGGGTCTGTGTCCTGTGTGGGAGCTTCTTCGCCCTCATATCGTTCATGGCTGGAGCGAAGGGAAAAGCTGGTACTGTGTTTGGCTACTGTAAGTGAAGAGAAAGCTCGTCTATGCAGTACACTTACTGACATGTGAACAGTCTCGAACATGACCGCCATCTGCGGCATGCTTTCTTGGGCCTGTATCCTTTGGACGAGCATTCGTTGGCAGAAGGGCTTGAAAGCACAAGGGATCGATCGCAATACTCTACCCTACAAGGCCCCATTCCAGCCGTATCTCTCGTATTGTGAGTGTTGAAGGACGTAGCCTCCACTGTTATTCTTACTAACAGTTTGCAGACGGTCTTTGTGTCAGCATCTTGGTGACGATATTTGGCGGTTTCACAGCCTTCAGTATGTTGCAAACACTCGTTGGGAGGACCCGAGACACACTGACAACTCCGTGACAGTGCCTCACTTTAACGCTTCATCGTTCGTCACAACGTATTTCCCAATCCCATTCTTCCTTATCCTTACGATCGGATACAAATTCTGGGAGAAGTCGAAGTTCATCAAGTATGAGGAGATGGATTTCACGACCGGCTCTTCGGCAGATAACCCGAACGAAGCGGCGGCTCCTGGTTTCTGGGGCAAGGTCGAGGAGTATATTTAGACGCAAAGTACAGGACAATCAGCTTTTCGCCAGGCATGAATATCGCTGTGGGTTTTATAACTGTCGCCGATATCCAGGCACAGATGGTATCTCGCCTTCCGTAATGACATGCTAGTCTCGCAGCAACCGCGAGCGACATGGCTACCATTCCACAGCTAGCCCGACCTTGATGTCTTGTACTTACTAAGCAAGAGCCACCGTCACCAGTCTACAAAGGCCGCTCCACTACAGCCTCGGCCACTAGCTTCCGCCAACATGTCCCATCCTTAGCCTTCGACAAGAAAAACAGACGCGCCTAGTCAAAGTCAAGCAAGTGTAGAGCGATGATTCAAGGATATCCGATCTAAGAGATGGAAATAATATATCGCGACCAGTCGACTCGACACTGACCGTCTCCTGGACAGATCCTTAGCTTGCCTCCACGGTATTACTCGATCTCACGACTCTTTGTCACCAGCAGCGGCATATAGATCCGCATTCATAACGCGGCACAATATTCATGTTTACAGTCTGCCACGTGAGGAAGGTCTCATCGAGCATCTCTTGGTCTGAAGCCTATGTCTGCAATTCTAACCACACCGACTTGCTACGATAGCGGTTACGCACGCCCCGTAGAAGACGTGATACCGCCATCAACAACGATCTTCTGTCCAGTGATATATTTTGACTCATGCGAGACCAGGAACAAGACCGCATTAGCCACATCCCAAGCGTCTCCCATTCTGCCCGTGGGTACCTGCGCATGCCGCATCTGCTTGTAGCTCTCGTAGTCGCCATCTTTGCCAAATCGCGAGAGTAAGCCTTGCGTGTAGGGAGTCTCCATCAATCCAGGCACAACAGTGTTCAACCGTACGCCCTTTGCAGCGTATATTACTGCCGTGGCCTTCATGAACTGCATGATCGCGGCTTTTGTGGCCGAATAGCCGATCTGAGGTTTGCCGATGTAACGCATGCCAGCGATACTCGAGATGCTTACGATCGCGCCACTGCCCTGCTTTTCCATGATAGGCAACACGTAGTGGCATAGCAGATAGACACTCTTGAGGTTGATGTCCACCTGTGCGTCCCACGTCCCAGGCGACATGGTCGCAGGGCAGCCCGGCTCTGATCTTCCTACATTGTTCACCAGGATATCGATTCTTCCGTGCTTTGCCACGCATGCGTCCACCAGTGCTTTCACCGAATCCGCGTCCGTAACGTCAGACTCAACAATATCGCAAACGCCCCCGGCTGCGTTGATGGCGTCTTGTGTCGTAGTCGTCGAAGCCAGAGTGCGATTTCCACCGAAGATTTTGGCTCCTTGCTGAGCCATCAGAATTGCTGTTGCTGCTCCAATGCCCCATCCCTGGCCTGGACTTTGTCCGAGTCCGGTGAAGAGTGCGACTTTGCCTGTGAGGTCATGCATCGTGCGAGATTTTGAGCTGGCAGGTCGAAGCGAAGAAGTAGATAAGAATGAAGACGCGAAGTATCTGAAGAACAGAAGCGTTTGAGTACACAATAGAACGCGGCATGCCGTTCATCTATATAAATAAATGGTGACGTTGAGCGGAAATTCCGCGCGCTGGAGCGCCGTGACGCTGGAGACACATAGCAGCGGTCCAAGACCATGAATCAGATAGTCATGGTGGGTTGCACTGACTCCTCCCGTACGCATCCACGTTGCCAATAAGCAGAAAGAAAGCAAGCTGAAAATGTCGTGGCCGGAGAATCCGTCGAAATACACACGGTGAGGAGAATACGGCAAGCGGAAATGCCGATGTTCGTCCCGAGCTAAAAGGCCTTGGAAGTCGCCCACATTACCTCCAGCAACCACCATGACCGACCTCAATCAGCAAGATTGTGCCAAAGCGGATTACGACTTGAACCGTCCAATTGATACTGCGCGCGGTCTGCGCCAAGGATTGACTTCTTACGGAGATGCACACTTTTCTTTATTCCTTCGCAAGGTCTTCATTAAGGCAGCGGGTTATAGTGATGACGCTCTATCACGGCCAGTCATTGGAATCATCAACACTCACTCTGGATTCAATCCATGTCATTCTCAGGTACCTCAACTCATCGAGGCGGCCAAGAGAGGGGTCATGCTGAGTGGTGGACTGCCTATCGACTTCCCTACCATCAGCTTGCACGAATCCTTCTCATCTCCGACGAGTATGTACCTGAGGAATCTTATGAGCATGGATACCGAGGAAATGATAAAGGCGCAACCACTAGACGCTTGTATCATGATCGGGGGCTGCGACAAGACTGTGCCTGCGCAACTCATGGGTGGCATATCGTCCAACAAGCCTGTACTCTCTCTTGTTGTCGGTCCTATGATGCCCGGCTCGAACAAGGGTGTTCGAATTGGTGCCTGTACCGACTGTCGAAATAATTGGGCCGCATATCGAGCCGGCACAATCGACATCGAGGAGATATCTGCTGTCAACGAAGAGTTGGCGCCTACTGTGCGTACACGGCCTTGAGAAGACTTTGGCATCATTACTAACATTTTTCAGGGCGGGACATGTGGTGTCATGGGGACTGCTAGTACTATGGCTTGTATTGTTGCTGGCATGGGAATGATGCCTTTGAGAGGCGCCTCTGCGCCCGCTGTATCATCTGCTCGTCTTCGCGTAGCAGAAGAGACTGGCAAAAATGCGGTCACAGCGGCTCTGGCCAAAGAGACATGTCGACCCCAAACCATGCTGACCAAGGAATCTTTCCTCAATGCAATTACCGTTCTCCAAGCCATTGGAGGTAGTACTAACGCAATCGTCCATCTCATGGCGATCATCAACCGCCACCCAGACGTCGCAGGCAAGATTACGTTGGACACTTTCGACGAAATTGGACGCAAAACTCCTCTACTGGTAGATCTGAAACCAAGTGGAGACAATTATATGAATGATTTTCATAATGCCGGTGGGATGGTGGCGCTTCTAAATACCTTGAGGCCTCTCTTATATCTGGAGGCAAAGACTATCACCGGAAAGACACTTGGGGAGGAGCTTGGCACTTTCAAGAGCTTCCCCTACTCTGCGACAATCATCCGACCACTTGACGACCCAATCTACCCTCGTTCAGCTCTGGCCGTTCTCCATGGAAATCTTGCTCCGAATGGCGCAATCATCAAAGCCTCAGCTTCGAAGGATCGGAAACTTCTGTCACATCGAGGCCCGGCTGTGGTGTTTGAAAACACCGCAGATCTTGCACAAAGAATCGACGACGTTGACCTCGATGTCACAAAGGACTCCGTACTCGTGCTTCAGGGCGTGGGCCCCATTGGAAACCCTGGGATGCCTGAAGCAGGCGTCATCCCTATCCCACGCAAGCTTGCAGCGCAAGGTGTTCAGGACATGCTTCGTATCTCTGACGGTCGTATGTCAGGAACTGCTGGAGGAACCATTGTTTTACACGTGTCGCCCGAATCTGCTATTACAGACTCCGTTTTTGGGATCGTCGAGAATGGCGATATAATCGAGTTCGACTTGGAAAGAAGGTCGATTGAACTTATGGTCCCTGACAAGGTGATAAGTCAGCGAATGGCCGCGAAAGTAGCAAGCCCTAGACAACAAAGTGTTAAGAAAGCTCGGAAAATTGCAAGAGGATACAGGGGCCTGTATGAGCGTTGCGTAAACCAGGCAGACCACGGTTGTGATTTCGACTTCTTAACTACGAGCGGGTCGTTAGAGTCGTAATGTTTTTCAGGATTTATTGTCATCTGCCACTGAAATTAACCCGCTTTCTAACTATGACGACTACAAACAGACATTGTTGTCTTGATTTACACTAATAATAAGCAATGAATTGCACCTCTTAGGGTAGGGTTTTCTGTAGGGGGCCGTTTTAGAGGACCGTGCAGATGACAACGTCCTTCTGCAGGTCGGTGTCTATGCTGCAAAGCCTACTCACTCGGCCGACAGTCCTGCTGAGGGACTGGAAGTGCAGTTCTCTGACCTTGTAATTGTGTGGAACAAGGAAGCAATTCTTCATGGAGAACTGGTCTTGAACCGATCCAGTATGCCATCCCGAAAGCAATCAAGCGTGCGTAGAAACTACTCAGGCTCGTTATAATTTCGCGGCGCTCTTTTGTATCGCTATCAACAAGCAGGAAGCATATGGTCAATCATAGGCATTTCCAGATTTTCAAATTCGATCGCTACTTGCCATTGATGTCCAGCGGAATTTTGACATATTTCCGCTTTCGAGGAAAAGCACAGTCGAAGCATTGACTCCTCTTCTATAAGCTAGCCACCCCATAAGCTGCGCACCCCTATTAGCTACGCAGCTACGCAGCTGCGAGGCCTCTTCAAATTTAACTATACATACATCAAAAGTTATCTATCTGCCACTCAAATTAGAGCGATTCGAAGCTCTGCTACTCGAGCTCACGTGCAGCTGCTGTCGCATCGTATCTAACTTGTTTCTCTGCCTCTTAAGCCTCTAATACAGCCTATGCTTATTTAGCCATAATAATATTATTTATATTCGCGAATTAAGTGTTTAGATCGATAGGTACCTTCCTACGCCTCTTACTAGTTAATTAATTAAGTTAAGACTAAAGTTAAGTATTACGATGCTTAAGGGCGACGTAGCTCGCGTTAAGTGAATCTATCGTATAGCCGGCCTTATATAGAGCTTAATATAGTGCTTATTTCTCGCCACTCTTTTTGCGAATTAATTTAGTAGTTTAATCTATAAACCGAGAGCTCTTAGAGGTAATGAAAATTAGGTTAGTTTCTTATTATAGTAATGGTGTAGATAGACGTAGTTTCGAAGCCTAAACCTATAAGGAATTAAGACCTTTGCGTTGCTTCTTAATAGGTAAGGCATTATCTAGAGAGCTTAGCTTTAAGATTTCTAAGCGATAACGCGACTTTAAGGGCGTAAAAACACCTAGATCTAGAGGTTATAATACATAAGATATATAAGTAGGTAGAAATAAGAGGTGTATCTTATTTTGCTTATAAATCTAGAGGAAATTAATAGCTGTATAGCTGCTATAGCCATCTATAATAAGGAGACGCTACTAGCCATTTTAAGGCTTCGTTTTAGGTATAAAGATGTTTTTAAGCTATAAAATACCTTTAGAATTAGTAGTCCAGCTATTTTTAGAGCTTATATATAGCTAGTTAGGTGTATTATGTAGAAAATAACTTGTTTATAGTGCTACACCCTTAAAAATTATAAGGGGACGCGTAAATCGACTAAGGGGGGAGACTACTTCGATAATTAAGACCTATTCGCGAGATTCTAGCGATTTAACGTATAAGCGGCTCTTCTTAGATAATGTAAGGACCCTTATATTTGTATATACGCTAACTGTAATGCCGAGTTTATCTATATTCTATATATTATAAGGCTAGATGCGATACTAGCGTATAATATCTTCGTAGAGCGTATAGAACTCTTTTATTACCTCGGGGTTAGTTCTATTAATCCTAGTAGCTTTAATAGGCCTTCTAATAACTAATCTAATACGTAAATTGTCTCGAATAAATTTAGTAACGAATTTATTCCTAAGCTCTTAATTATCGCTATTTATACGAAGAATTCGAGTCGCCATTTCGCGAGTTCGAGCGTACGTAGAGGGGAAGCCCTAAGCGTCTTATTCGAGGATCCACTTAACTAGGAACTCCTCTTATCGAATAGAGAGCCTCTTACGGTATTAGTGAGTTATACGTCGATTCGTTATACTATTAAGACGCGCGCGGAGCGTAGATTCGGGGATGTTATACGCGCGTTACGCGGCTCGTATCGAACTAACCTCTCCTATTCGAATAGCCGTAAGAGCGAGCTCGATCTAAGCCTCGCGTTAAGCTATAAAGACGTTATAGTTGTTAAATAAGTTGAATTAGAAGTGGTTGTGTTAACGAAGCGCGCGAGACGCGAGATGCGCAGCTAATAGGGGTGCGCAGCTAATGGGGTAGCTAGCTTAGCTCAAACGATGAAAACTCGAAAGATCATCGAAGTCTGTAAGACCCTTTGCTGGTCACAGACCGTGACTTTTGACACACGCGCGACTTGCCCGTATTGGCCAGGCGGGCAAGATAGCGACGCGAAAGCTTATCGGGCGTGTCGGCATTTAGCCGAAGGCACCTTACCCTTTCGGCTGATCCGCTTTCTGTTATCGGTACCTCCGATTACGCGCAGCGACTCAGAACGACCAATCTCGTCGATATCTTGTCCTTCCATCCTGTTCACAGTTGACAATCAATGACTTCCAAGACAATGGCTTCCAAATTCGACCTGATCGTGATCAACGGGGTTATCGTCACCGCAACAGATGTGATGTGAGCTATGAACGCTGTGTAAGTGGTTCAGACGCTGACGGCGTGCTCGTAGTCCGTGTTGCATAGGTATCAAAGACGGCAAGATCCATACTCTGGCCCCCGCATTCACCAGCGAAGAGGTTGGAGATGCCCGAATCATTGATGCAGAGTAAATGACTCAAACTCTCTGAGGCAAACGACCTGCTCACGGAATCCTCCAGGGGAGCATACGTTATGCCAGGAGGCGTCGATGCACATGTTCACTTGTGCCAGGATCTTAAGACAGGTCGAACAGGTCTGTACCCTGAGGTCAAAATATTTCGCTGACGAAGACCAGGACCTCACGGCCTTGGTGGCGAATGTGCCGATAACTTCGAGACGGGATCTAGGAGTGCCGCTGCTGGAGGAACCACCACCATGATCACATTCGCGACGCAAACTCGTGACGAAAGTGACCGGAGTCTGATCAAAGTCGTCGAAGCCTACAATGCCAGGGCAGAAGCGACAGGTAGCTACATTGACTATGGCTTCCACATTATCATCGTTCGCAACGATGAAGATGTCCTGAAGGTTGAATTGCCGGCCTTGGTCAAAGACTGGGGCATAACGTCTTGCAAGCTGTTTATGACTTACGAGTCGCAGCGTTTGACCGATTCGCAGCTCCTGGATGTGATGCTGGCGTCGCAGAAGAATGATATCACCACAGTGTGTTCCGCTAGCATAATGACTGGCTGTAGCAGCTGACAAGGAGCTAGATGATTCACGCAGAGAATGGCGACATGATTCAGTGGTTGACAGAGAAGCTCGAAGACAAAGGCATGGTCGCGCCATATTACCATGCCTTATCTCGCCCTCCAATTGTCGAGATGGAAGCTACGAATCGAGCAATTGCACTTGCAGGTCTGATTCAGAATCCTGTCCTGTTTGTTCACATTGGGTCTGCCGTAAGTGGTGCCTCTCCAGGTCTTGCTGTCATAATGTTTGCTGACGATGCAGATCGCTGCAACGAACGTGCGAAATGCTCAGACTCAGGGCATGCCCATCTATGCCGAAACATGTCCGCAGTACCTGAACTTGACATACGATGACTTGGTGAGCGATGCGACCCGGCTGACATTACGATTTCTGACTCGCCACAGCAAAGGTTTCACTCACCAACATGTTTCGAGAACAGCAAGCATGTGTGCTCGCCTCCCCCACCACCCGGGACTTCCGATCAAGACGAATTATATCTGTGAGTCGGACTCGTCTCCGCATCCGCTCCGATCCTGCAGCGTTGCCCATATACCGTAAACTTACTAAATGGTCACAGTGGTCTTCTCAACGGCACCTTCACTATTTTCTCCTCAGATCACTGTCCCTTTCGCTACGACTCCCCTCACGGTAAACTCACTGGTGTACTTGAAGACCCTAGCAGCATGAAGGACGAAGCTCCTTGTGAAGGTGAAGCTCTGCAAGATCTGGTCAAACGTAAACCTGGTAGTTTCCGTTTCATTCCCAACGGCATTCCTGGTGTGGAGACGAGACTGCCTTTGTTGTTCAGCGGAGGGCTTGCGACCGGAAGGATCACCGCGCAAAAGTTTGTTGAGTTGACTTCTACCAATCCTGCGAAACTGGTAAGTGTATCGAGAAACAATCAGGTTGGATGAATCGTGCAGCTGACGATTCGCAGTATGGTCTGTATCCCAAGAAGGGAGCACTGATGGTGAGGTTCCCGGGAAATCTTTGCATCTGTCTCACTGACGCGTATCTCTTTAGCCTGGATCAGATGCCGATTTGGTCATCGTAAGTGTCAAATCTCTGAAGCTTTCATATTCATGCCCACGCAACCTGCGAGCTGACTTCCTCTGACAGTGGCATCCTCAAAAGACCTTCAAATCGTTCAGATTGATCAACAGCATGCTTCACCATAATGTAGACTGTAAGAACAATTTCCTTGCTCAAATTTCCCAGATCGTGGCTGACAAAACAAGACACTCCTTACGAAGGAAAAGAGTTCGTCAACTGGCCTCGCTACACAATACTTAGAGGTAAGGTGATCTGGGCCGAAGGCGAGCTCACGGGGAAGGCTTATGATGGTGAGTACCTCAAGCGAGGACCAAGCTATTTCGGAAAAGGTGCCTCAAAGCGACCTATAGATTCGAGGAAGACTGCAACTTGGCTTCACTAGGGCATGGGCGTGACAGCTCTGCGAAAACACATTCCAAGATCCTTTCATGCTATCCATTGTTCTCGAAGATCTATGAAGAAGTCTGAAAAGAAGCGCAGCAGCGACTGAAGCGATTACGATGTAGAGGCTGATTCAAATTATCGCTCATCCCACACGACTTGACGCAAACTACTCGCTGTATCGTGAGGATTCATCTGTAACTGTCGTCCCAGTACCTCGACGTCCTCATGTTCTGCCGTCCTTACACTCCATGATCCTTGGTCTTTATCATCCCCAGATCGCACTATCATATCTTATGATTCCAAGATGTCCTTGTCACTATGCAGGGTGAGGGTTTTGCTTCGGTTTCGCATTCGTTCCGCTCTAAGTCGACCCCCCAAATCGGTAAATCCGGCGTTTCCGGGCCTTGGCTTGAATTATATACGGAAGGGGCGCGATAGATCCCAATAACAACGGTGCTTATTCAGGTCGTGAATATCCTCTTGTGGTGATGCATTTCCAGTCATCTTTCCTTCCACTTTCCATTGTGTCACACAACTTTTGTCTACTACCATCATGTCTTTGAAGGTCAGCCTCCTCGAGACAGGAAAAGTACGTGTCAGATCTGCGCAACAATCAAGCTCATGGAGCTTTTCGTCGAAAGCTAGATATGATCCGAGATCCTCAGCTTGTCTCCGTTCCAATCTACAGTTCCTCGATCGCGACGAAGGAACGCGATTTCCTGGTAGATACTGGAGACACCTGACGGAACACTCTGGCTGGTTATCTACCGAAATGGTACCCGATGCATGAAAAGCACATATCCGTACGCGTAGCACCTGATGAAGAAACTGACAGTCAACTATGGCGTCTGCATGGCTTGCGCACGTCGGACATCGACACTGTACTCATGGCGCATTTACACCACGATCATGCCGGTGGATTGCATCATTTTCCAAGAACGCTTATCTAGGCCTCTCGTGAGAATTACCATGCATCACGGGAAGTAAAGGGCACTATCACGTTCCTTGCCAAAGCAATGGCCAGTGTGTTTTAAGCCAAAGGTCGTCGATCTGTCTGGGCCTGCCCTCGGTCCGTTCGAAAGATCCCTGCCGGTCACGAACGATGGAGCCATCACCCTAGTGCCAACACCTGGACATGTCGAAGGGCATCCCTCGGTTGTTGCCCGTAACGCTGAGACAGATACTACTTACTTCATTGCTGGTGATACTTCATACAACGAGAAGAAAATCGTCAATGAAGAGACGGACGGGGTAACGATGAAACCGAAGCTTAGCTTGAATACCCTCAGACGTATCAAGACATTCGCGCAAGGACGTCGAACGATCGTGCTATGACAGCTATGACAGCGGCAACAGCGAACGGCTCGAGAAAGAAACGCTCTTCCCGACGAACAAAGGAGCCATCATTTAGCTCGAGAGATCCTCCAAGCTCTTTGGCGAAAGTATCAAACAAGCTACTTTGCAGAAAGCCCAGCAGGGAGACGCAATGAGTTGAGAAAAGACTGCATCCTGGCTTGACTGAGGGACTAAGGAATGAATGCGAAAGTTCATATCAGCAACGCGAAACAGATATCAATAATTTGCACCACAAGTTCCAACACTGTCCGATCTCGCAAACCCGTAGCTGGATGAAAATGTGACCACTTCTCCCGACGCAGTAAGCTGAGATTTGGCTGTCGCCCTGCTCGACTTGAATGCTTGGCTATACATGTTGCACATCTGACCGAATGATTTACTTCCTTTGCTTAAGATGAAGGTGTTAAATGAATTGCACAAGACTGGGTTCGTGGTTCCTGCGAGAGTAGCATTACGCCTGGCATCGGCGGAGTATGCATCGCACGCTGCGGCACATCTTGAGGCGGAGAATGGTGCGCCATCATTGTAGAATTGCCAAGCCACGGTCGGATTTGAGGAAGAGCAGTCGGCTGTAGGGGCTACCATGATACTGTTGCCATAGAAGCTTGCCGCCTTGTAATTGGCGATTGGAGCTATCGCGTTGTTCACGTATCCTGATAACATGTCAACCTTCGTTGAAAGTTCGCATAGTTGGAACCTACCATTTGAGCCTGCAATGACGATCTGGAAGTTTTTACGCCATTGTCCCGTGTTGACGGCATTTTCTTTGGTGACCGGACCACCCCAGAAACTGCACTTGATAGAGGTCGTACTCGGAGGATTGCTGCAATAATCTCCACTCCCGGGTTCGACCTTGGGGTCGCGCTCATAATAGATGTTGAAGGCCTGGCATCCGACAATGGCGTTACATTTCTTGGAGCAGCCTGCGACATCATAGGACGACATTGTCGTGTATCCAAGGTAACCATTGGCATTGTTCGCCGCTTTGAGATTGCTGAACACGTTCTGGTAGCCCGTAGGTGTTCCTGCTCCATTTGCGGCATCTGAGAAGTCTTGCAAAGCAAGGAAGTTGGCAGGATTGTCAGGAGAAGGGACCGGCCCAGAACCAGCAGGGAGCGGCTTGCATATCTGCCCTGGGCATTTGCCGGTCTTAAAAACATTGAGATTGATGTTGGTGTATGTCCCTGGATCGTAATCGTAATTCCCGGAGTAATACGTCGTGATACAGTGCATGGGATTCTCGATCAGAAAGTCAGCAACGCCTTTCGAGTTTGGATCCGAGTCAGGCCCATTGTTGGTGAGCTTGAGAGTGTTTTGAGGGGATATAGTCATGGCTCGAAGATTGTAGAACCAAGGTAGGGTGGAGTCACTTGGAACAAACAGAAGACAGCTATCGGGCGCGAAAATTTCGGCAGCTGTGTAATTCATGGTTGCAAGATCGGCGGAGTAAAGGTTGCCATTAGGATCCCGGAAGAAGGTTGCTGCATTCGCCTTGGCAACTGGTTGAAGTATACCACCAACCTGATTAGAATTCGAGTCCGCCAGACCAACCCATTTTGTATCCCAAGTCGAGTTTCCACTGCCAGAGTATTGGATGCTGAAAGCCGTGGAAGCGTCGCAGATTGTGGTTGGTCTGGGTACCGAAATATCCGCGCCCATTCTTTAATTGGCGATGTCGTCGGTCTCTTGGGAAACGACAAAAGTATTGGCTACTGTGGCCGCGTCGGTGATATCAGCAGCAGCAGCGGAGGCAGCGGAAGCAGTGTCGAACGCTACAATGACTGAAGTTACAGCCAAGTCGAGATTAGGAGTCGGTGGAGGTGGACCGAGAGCTTCGATTGCAGCAAGATCCAAGACGTCAGGAACGGGGAGTGGCTCGGCCAATGCGATATGTGAGAAAGCAAGGCAAACCACCGGGACAAAGAAGTGCATAAGGTCTATGTCCGTGAATGACGGAGAGATAGAGTAGAGGCTATGGATGAGAGGCTTTCTAGTCAGGCTGAGGCATCTGGGTGGGCATGATGCAGACTTTTATGCTTGGGTGTGGTTGCAATGGACATTCGCGATATGTGATCCCCGTATCCACATTTGGCACATCTGAGGCACACCCATTGGTTGCTTTATGAGATCGCAAGCCCCGCGAAAGCTGTGAGGGACTACTGGGCAGACGTTGAAAGCAACACTAAGGAAGATGCTCAGGTGAAAGCTGAGGGAAGAGCTAGACAGTGGTGGACGAGATGCCACGGGGTCTCCGTAGGCTTGGCATCTGATTTGAACCGTGGCTTGCAACCACAGAAGAGGGAACCACGTGGTTTGACCATCAGTAGCTGGATCGTGCCCCTGAGTTTGAGCAGCTGAGTCGAAATTCTAACTCGTGGTTTGGGCTGGCTGCCGTTCGCTTGACCATTTGCCTGGTGCTCCAGCTGAACGTCAAAGTTTAATGGACCGAGGAACAACGACCCCGCATGCACTATAATCCCTACCCGTAACAAGGATGCTCTGACCCCTGTGGACCACGCGAGATCCTCCACACAGGCGTCCATCTTCCACACGCAATGCCAAAGATTGACGCAGAATTATACTCCTTCTACAGCAGCCCAATGCTACCTTAGGCAAATGGTCGGTTGATGAGAAATCCTTACCACCAGATGATGCTCCGCGCCAGACGCAAGCCTCTTCATGAGTATGCTGCACCTGATTTATCTCGCTTTACTACAAGCTTTCCCCATCCATGGCCTAGCTGTGCTTTGATCAGCTTTGGCGAGCTCACATCCGTTTCTTGCTCGTAGGCTCGAGCATCTCAAACCTACACTCAAATATGCCAGATGGCGATACTCTGCGTTCCTGAGCCTTGATCATATACACCAACAGAGCGCGACATGGCAGCTGATCTCACGTCGTGTGGCTGTATCGACTTGCTGTCTCTGAAGTCTCCTACCTGTGTCTTTTGATCTACGCACGCCGCAATATTGGTGCCAAGGTGAGTAGTCCATGAGGTTCTATCACGTTCCCTAATTGGTGCAGGTTTCAACAATTTGCAAAGCAGTATCATAAGTCATTCATAACCATCATGTATCCTTCAGGTTTCGAAGAAAATCGATCTGCTGGACGGTAAATGCGAGCTTGCGATTAACTTCGGGGTCTACCACACAGCGATTATGGCAAGATGTTGTTCTCAAATCAACGTGACGTCCATGTCACACAGCTGTACGTTGTGGGCTCAGAGCCCAAACTCCTTCCTGATTGCGACTCCAAAACGTCTCACAGCTTCCTCAATCTGATCTTCAGGTGCAGCAGCAAATGTCATCCTGAAGTACACACCATAATCCACCGCTCCACCTTTATGCAAAGCAGTCTTGAAAAGGCTTCCTTTGGCGACCAGCACCTGTTCCTCGGTAGCAGATTCGAAGATTGCATGCTCGATATCCAGCAGATTCTGTTGACGCCCAGCATCGCTCTGGTCGTTTTGGTTGACCTTGGGATGACTAGCAACATTGACACGGATCCACTGAAACATACCCGCAGAAGGAGTTGTGAAACTCGTGACTTCAGCAGGCAGATGATCGTAACAGGCTTTGACCATGACGTCTCGACGATGAGTGTATGAAGCTCGCAGATAGGCCAACCAGTTGAAGAAGCCCTCATGACCCCATTCCTTTTCCAATATGTTGTAGAGAGCGAGAAGACTGAATCCGCTGGGAGCTTGAGTGCCAAACTCTGCTTGGCGTTGATACCGCTCGATGAGTTGAGCGGGACCTGTGACCCAGCCTACGCGAGCACCTGGTGCGATGATCTTGGAGAACGTGTCGATGCGGAGGACCCTACCAGAAGTGTCCAGAGATAGGAAGCTGGGGACTAGACCAGCTTTGTATTCTTGAAACGTGGGAGGGTGTTGAGGCGGGTTGTACTCTGTGTTACCGTTGTAGGGATCCATCTGCAAGTAATAATAGGCATCGTCTTCCAGTAAGAAGAGGTCATGCTTCTCTGCTACTGCATAGATAGCTTTGCGGCGTTCGAGAGGTTGAGTTGATGCTGTAGGATTTTGGCCAGATGGGATAGTGTACACAAGGAATGGTTTAGGCGCTCCACCGTAGTACGCAGGATCCCACTCATTTAGGATATGGTCCAGCGACTCTGGGACCATACCTTCATCATCCACTTCCACGCCGAGCAATTTGGCCCCCAAAGCTTCTGCCAGCTGGACCGTTGAGCTGAAGGTGAACTTTTCGGCCAACACGTAGGTCCCTCGCTCACAGAACATTCGGAATGCGATGTCAAGCGCTGATGTGGACCCGATCGACAACGTGACTGCCCAATCCGCGTACAGAGGTTCGTGCAAGAGTTCTACATGCTCAGTCACGAACCGCAAAACTTGAGCAGCGCCCAATGTCGGACCATAGTTGAGAGCGATATTCAGATCATATTCCGATGTTCCGTCTGCCACATCGTGCTTTGTAAGAGTCTGTAAAGATGGCTGCAATTTTGACGATGGCAGGATATCTGAAGCCTTTGGCGATGCTGTACTGATGGAGCTGAAGGGGAAGTATTCGCTGCGCATGATCAATCATGTGTCCTCAAATCGAGCAAACTACGCGTCTCACCTTGAAGGAACGCCTCCGCACAGGTTCAAGACTCCTGGCTTCATGTACCTCGCAGTTCCCTTGAGATTCGAAGGTTTGCGACCCTTGCTCTCCAAACTCAAGATGTGGTCCCATCTTCGAGCTGGCTTTTTGCCAGCCGCAGGGCGAGTCTTGAAATTCTCGCTTGGTGCTCCAACCGCGACACCCAGAGGTAGGGGCGGACATGTCCGGCGGTTGAAAAGAGGAGTGCTTTGAGTGTTGGTCACCCCATCGAGCGCGGTAGAAATGATAGTGGGTTGGGTCTCAGTGGTAGACATCTTAAAGCAGTAAATTGGAGCAAGATCAGAGGGCAAGATGGAAGCGGTCGACGAGTATTTATGGAGTCCGCTCTTCGATATTATACGAGGCGCAGGTACAAGTTCCACTTGTCGCAAATGCTGCAGGGTCTGGCGCCATAGGCGCAGGAACAATCCTTATCACGCAATTCGGAGTGATGATGATGTTGCGGATCGCGGAGAAGTCGATAGGCCAGCACCACTGGCCGCAAAGTCGGATCCGATAACAACCTTCAACGCCTCTATGCCTCAACTCTGCATGTCATTCAGGAAATGGGGGGAGATATAACGTCCATCTTGTCAGGCAACGCAAGTAAGCCTCATCTTTAGTTATGACTGTCTTGGATGCAGGTCGCATAATTGGACGACGCGACATATTTTCAGCTCATCGGCATGTTGGATTACCATGTCATTGCAGCATGATGTGCAGCACACGTCGTGCTCCTGGCAAAGTGTTGCGATAGTGGTGTTGAGCAATCGCAAAGTGCGACGCGCTTGCAGGAAGGAAAGTAACAGTGTTTGCAACAGCGAGCGGCCACGATCTTTGTGTATTCAACGGCTGTAAGCCGGATGGCAACGACCAGGCCACAGCAAACGTGAGCCGAAGCCGGCATTGCCCTGCCTGCTGCTTTTTTGACGACAGCTCCCAAGACTTCACGCTTGTAATCATGAACCTCGAACGACAACACATCAAAAGTCTCAAGCGAAGTCGTGGGACGATGGATTATATGATGTGCAGACTTGGTAGATTTGCTGAGGCCTCAAGTGGGCGGTAGGCAGAGTGCTGGGTACATCCGAGACGACGAGTCAAGGACAAAATGAACACTCAACTCTGAGTTATCTTCTCCGAAGACCAGCTGAAAAGGCCAGGACAACGATGAAAAAAGTATGAGTTCGACTCGCAAAAGAGAGAGTCAAACGAGAAAAGTTCCAAAAATTTACATCGACGTCCACCGTGAAGAGAAGTCACAAACTCTTAACCCGGCCCACAAATTTCGAAGCGACAAGCAATGCAAGCATCACTCATCGCCCCGGTCGACATATGGTGCCCTGCGCCTTATGAAAAGGAACAGACGGACAATTGACAAGACTACCATGGCGTTGCGCGGGTGTTCCCCCCTCCAGAGCCCTTGCCATGACAGCATTTCCTTCAGAGTTCACGTTGCGTCTTGTCTTCAAATCTCCCCACTGTGCTTCGACTTCCAGATTCGCGAGAAGATCTGGACGGCTTGACTGGTCTGAAATGAACAAGCTTATCGTGCATCGAAGTGAGAGAGGAATCGGATAAATCGACCGTAGGTCGTGCACCGCTAAGGAGCGAGTGCCCGGCTTCCTGGACTGCAACATCCACTGGTGAACGAAGTAACGAAAAATAAAGGGGTGCGCGGCGCCGTGACCTACTGCTCACCGGGGGTGAAGTGGAGCGACACAGGGCGAATGAAGGTGGAGAAAGATGGAAAACTGCGAAGACGAGGCGCAAACGAGGGTAGAAGATGACAAAGGGTTGCAGACGTAACCTGAGCAAGGTGGCTTGATGTGGAAGTGAAGGAAGGACGCCGGCGCTGGATAAAAACGAGAAAGAAGAACATGGGTAACGCCAAACGAGGGTGGGTGCGAACTGGGACAACAGTTCTAGAAGTGGGATTGAGAAACAGACGGCCCAGGTCGGCGACGATGGTGGTTGGTAGGAAGAGAAAGATGGGTGGAGGAGGATGAGGAAGGAAGGAGGAAGTTGGTGTTGTGATTTGGGAATCATAGCAAGAATGCGCCGGCGCCAGCGCGCAAGCAACGCCAAGACTGTTGGTCGCGCTCACATTTCGTGTTTTCACTGCCTAATTTCACTTCTCTAGACTCTCGCATGTGAAAGCTGCATTTGGAGAGCCAGTTCTGACTGCGGTATGTTGGCGTATTACAGGTTGTCGGCCTGAGCTATTGCTGCAAGGGCGTGGAGACGGAAGCAACAAAGTCGACCGTATCGATTTTATTCTACACTACACTATTACTACATCTCTACAGCTTGACAGGAAATCTATTCCTGATCCTCTCACCGTAGTAGAAGAAAGCGACAGGTATCGGCAACAAAGCAAGAGCAACAAAAGCAATCAAGCTGTTCCCCCACCCCAGGCCCAAAGCGTCGTACATGTCCAATCCAGCAAGTGGAAGCAGACCACCCAAGATAGAGCGAAAGAGAGTGTTCGCCGCCATCGCAGACGCTGCATGTCTCGTGAAAGCATCAATCTGGTAGGTCTGGATACAGATGAGGCAAGAGATGACACCGATGCCGAAGAAGAGCGTGCCCAGCATGGGCACGATGTATTGAACATGTTTTTGCGCTGTCCAGCCGTAAATGAAGAGACCGACGGGCATGGTGATTCCGAGGAAGATTAGAGGTGGTAGACGGAACTCCGGTTTCATCTCGCCTTTGTTCTGAGCGGCGAGACGCTTGAGAATGCGATCGGAACTGGCGCCAGTCAAGACAAGACCAACAAACATTCCAATACCACTAGCGATGTAACTCAAGCCGACGTTCGAGCTGGAGAAGTGATAATGCTCCTCAAAGACAAACGTGAAGGTAGTGAAGAGAAGATAGAGGATGCCGTATACCACCTGAAAATGTTTGTCAGCAAGTGTAGGAGGTGCTTTTGGATATTCAAGTTGCTTACAGCGACGTAAAGAGAAGTCAGGAACACAATGGGCGAGAAGAAGAGCATCTTGAAAGGTCGTACAAGTGCACGAGACATACGCTCCTTGGCGGGAAGTCCGTCGTCAAGCTTTGAGCGAAGCTCGCTGTTGTTTGTCTCCTTCTGCAATCTCTTGGTCTTTCTCTGAAGTAGCGTCGGGGCGTATGTTTCTTTGCAGACAAGGGCGTGGAGGATGGCTGCAGCACCGTAAGCGATAGTGATAAGCCAGAAGACCCAGCGCCAGCCTTCGGCAGTAGCAAGGTAGGCACCAGCGACGGGTCCGATGACGGGACCAAGTAGAGGACCTACCATTGGTCAGTATGGAAGTCATCAACGTCAGTTGTTCACATACCTAAAGCATAAAGAGCCATAGCAGCGCCTCTTTTCTCCTGCGGAACCATGTCCGCAATAGAAGCGCCACCCAGGGTGACGGGACTCACCCCGAAACATCCAGCAAAAAAACGGAAGACGATCAGTTGAGGCATGGATTGCGCGACCGCACAAGCCACGGTGAAAACGAGGAAGCCAACATTACACACAATGTACACGGGACGACGACCGTATATCTCGCTCAGCGGTGAGATGAGCAGAGGGCCAACTGCAAATCCGAGCAGGTAGACAGAAACGACGAATGCGGCCAACGTGACGTTGGTCTCCTTGAATTCACGCAAGACGTCAGGAACACCAGGTGCGAACATGGATGATGCGAGCGGTGTCAAGAACGTGAGGAAGATGATGGCACCGCAGTTGATGATCTTGGCCTTTGCAGTCCAGTTCATGGGGTTCTGAGTATCGTCTTCGCCATCCCACGAGACGATGCTGGGATCTGTCGTGTTGACGCAATCCTGAGCGATGGTAGCTTGCTTCTCCACATCAGCTTCATGGTGTCCTGTCATGTTCCTGTCGAGATCCGAGGAGGCCTTGGACCTCGTGTACATCACTGGGTCCTTCTGCTCAGACATGATGTCGACAATGGCGAGAATGTGGCGATGACTGCTGTCAAGTGAGAGATGAGGAATCACGTTGGTCCCAGAAAACATAGAGGCTATGAGCCTTTCCTATATATCCACAGCATTTTGCGTCCAAAACAACGGATCTACCTTCTCCGTGCATAAACTCATACCATCTGCGTTGTTGATGTGGTAGACAAAGAGGGTGCGGGGAAAGGGTCACTCTGCACGGAAGTGTTTCTTTCCTTGCTCGATTTATGCAAGCTGTGTGGATTTATGCATGGTTTCGGAATGTTCTTCTGCCGTTATGCAAGCCTTCGAAGCAATGCTCTGTCTTGACTGAACGATTGAAACGCCATGCGATTGAGTAGCCAATTGCCGGTGTACTTGTGAAACAAGCCGGCTGCGCTGATGAGGGAATCGTCGCGGTATCGGTAGCAAAAGTTGAGATGAATATTACATCGTTCCTACATACAAAATGTACAGCAGCTATTTTCCGCAACATTGGCAAATACTCTACAACAGAGACTCGTTTGACACTGACAATGGTGCCGGGTATTCAATTACATCGGTAGAGGCGCCCTTCAACACAAAGATCAAACTCACTTCAACTCATCCATGCCATCCATGGACTGGCTTTGGTTAAAAGCGTGTCCGTGACCATGGTGTTTTGTCTTCTCACGCATTTCCTGGTATTTGAAAGCGAAGTTCAAGATGAGAGCGACAAACAGACCAACACAGACGACAACAGGACCAGTAAGAGCATCAAAGTCTTTACCACTTCTTTGCTGGATAAGGCGACTTCTCCATTGATAAACACCCCAGCCCCAGACGCCGGTGAAGACTGCTACAATGGTGTAGACAAGAGCCAGTGCACGAGCGACATTATTCTCCTCACCAGCGGCGTTGAAGAGACCAAGACTCAGAGAGGCGAGAAGGACGGTGATGTGCTGCCATTTGATGAAGGTACGCTGGTTAGCAAGCCAGACCTTAGCCTCGACCTTGACGGGACCTTGATCCTTGATCCAGTACTCGGGCTTTTGAACACCAGGAGGAAGAGGCTGATCGCGGTCGCGGCGGTTGCGGGCGTACTTGGAGGTCGAGAATGCTGGGAAGAGTGTTTGCAGACCAGACTGGGTGGCAGCCTGTGGGATCTCGGTGTTGTGAGCCTGGCGACCATCATCATCAGAATCAGGCTCATCGGCAACGGCTGCCATGCCGGTAGGCTGAGAGCGAGCAACGCTTCCAAGGGATTGGGCGCCGGCATATGTCTGGCTTTGGCGAGACGCGCGACGATCAAGATAGCTGCCCTTGTCTGTTGGGGAGCCCACAGGCGACATCTTGCCAGGTTTGTATGACGAGAGGCTCTTGCTCTTGATCAAACTGCCAACAGCCATTTCGTCTTCTTGCTTCTTCTGCTTCTTGGCTTGCTCCTTCTCAAAGGCTACCTCGGGATCTAGGCGGATATCCTCTTCGAGTGTAGATAACCAGAAGGGGAAAGTGTTGACATTGTCTTCGAAGAGGGAAGCAACACCGTGAACGAACTTTGAGAATTTGGCGGCGTCCTTGACAAGATGGGAGTTCATCAGGTCGTCGATCCATTCGTAGTTCTTGTCATTCTTGACTTTGATCTCGAGGACGGCATGGGGGAAGGTGGCAAGCTCTCCCTTGCGAACTGACTTGAAAGGCCACTCCATCTCGGCGTCATCAATGTCTCTGCGGTGCCAGTCTTCGGGATCACGGCATGGGCGGTCAGGGTCAATGGCGTCTTCTCTGATGAATGCGAGGTTGGTGTCGATGGAGATCCTGACCTTGTCGTCACCGGGAATCTGGAAGGCGGTGCGAGTGTAGTTTGCGCGGAGGACGGGCTGCAGGTCGTTGGCCTTGATGAAGGACTGAATGTCGTCGATGCCCTGCTTGAAAGACTCGAGGGCGTCTGCAGAAACTTGACGGGACGAACGCTTTTCAATGGCCTTCTCCATGTGGTAGTCGCCCTTGATAAAGGGCTGGATGTACTTGTCCTTGATGGGGAATCTTTCGTCGGCGCTGGAGTTCTCGGTCTTGACCGTCTTCTTCTCGAACATGATCTCAGGCTTCTGCGACAGCTTGCCGTACCATCTCAAGCGGAGGTTCGAGGCGTCGGTCTTGTGCTCGACCTTGTTGGAGTAGAGGTTGAAGTCGGGGTTGTCAAAGTAGATGGAGGTGATGGAAGGGTCTTGCTGGGTGCCCTCGGCGACCTTCTCGGTCTGAGGGTTGTAGACAAGGACAGGCAGACGACGGAGGATGATGGTCTTGACTTCGAGCAGGTTGTCCATGTGGACCCAGAACTTGTGGGTGACGTAGCTGTCCTCGCCGGCAATCGAGTCGACGAGCGAGACGGGGCGGTCCTTGCCCTCGAGGTTCTGGCGGGCGAACGAGTACATGGCCGACAGGCGGTAGAGAAGCGGCGAGTAGTCTTCGGTGTTGAAGGGCACGTCGGCCATCCTGGACTTGACCAGTGGGCGGATGCTCGAGACGCGGCCTCCTCTCTTGCGGTCGTGCTTCTTTGCAATCTTGAGGAAGCCCGTGTAGTTGATGCGGCTGTACTTTTCTAGTTCGTTGATGTCCTTTGTGATGCGGTCCAGCTCCTCCAGCACTTCCTTCAGGATGCGCTTCCTCTCTCCGTCCGACGGGCCTGGCTTCTTGGTCGAGGCATCGTTGTCCTGGACAGCTTTGGCGACGGGGTCCAGCTTGGACTCGCATTTGGCGGTGCGGTCGCGCAGCTTCTGGTAGGTCGACTTGTGGAAGTTTGTGACCTTTTCCAATTGGTGGTTGACCAGCTCGGCGTAGAAGGCTTGCGCATCTTCGTCGGTCCAGGCGTCGTCTTTCCTGCTCGAGTCGTCCTCCCTCAACAGCTTCTTGAGCTTGGTGTAGTCAATGTACGACTCCCTCCACGGCTCGTACACGGCATTGCGCAGCGTCGTTCCGAACTTCATCTTATGATCCTCTCGGTGTGCTGCAAGTCACAAAAGACAGGCCTGCTGGAGGAAGAGTTTTTGAGTCGCAATCAATTCACCATGTTCAAGCCTCCGTCACTGCTGCCAAGGAGCCAATCAGCGTCGCCCGCGTTGGCACGCCGCATGTCTGCTGTGACAGCCCGTCCACCTTTTTGGATTCTTGACCAACCATTTTCTCCAATCCTGATCATCATGGCCAGTCCGCCTGCAAATCTGTCTGAACCATCTCGTAATGACTCGATAAATCATCTGCATCAGACTCTGGCATATTTGCACAATAATCCATATCCCCATGTCGCTGGCCCGGAAACAATAAAGAAGCGTGCATCAGTCGCCTTGATAGTGCGCATACAGCCGTCTTATGCACATCAACCTGACATGACTATCGAGCCCGCTCGCGATATTGACTCTTTCTTTGCTCAGCATTGGGTCAAGCACGGAGAAGCAGAAGTGCTTTTCATCAAGCGTGCCGCTCGCAAGGGTGATCGATGGACTTCACATGTCGCACTACCTGGTGGCAGACGCGATCCTGAAGACGAAAGTGACCAGAAGACTGCCGTCCGTGAAGCTGTTGAAGAAGTTGGTATTGAACTATCAGACCGGACTTCTATCGCTGTCGGCAATCTGCCACAACGAGTTGTCACGACTAGTTGGGGTAGAGTCCCCTTGATGGTCTTATGTCCATATGTCTTTCTTGTCACTCGGCATGACCTGCAACCGCTTCGTCTACAGCCTACTGAAGTTGCCTCTACTCATTGGGTACCCATTCGATCCTTACTCGATCCAGGACAACGGACTGTACATCTAGAAGACGTCAGCAACAGGTTAGCGAAACAGGAGACGGGCCTGAAGAGATGGGCGTTCGCGGGGATGCTTGGTCAGATGGAGTTCAGTGCCATAGAGTTGCTCCCTGCAGAAAGCGTTTATTGCCAGGAACCACCTACTGACGACTCAAAGAAATCTGAATCTTCCACACTAGGAATGGCGATGCAGAGACTTTGGAATTTCGTTGACCCGCCGGAGCTACAACCTCCGCCACAACAGCAACCACTTATCCTCTGGGGACTCACTCTGGGAGTAGTGGCTGACCTGCTCGACTTGCTACCGCCTCACAATGCGCTGGAATTATGGTCTTATCCTACTTTTACCATGCCCGACGTTCGACTCATCATCTGGCTCTCAACTTACAAGTTCAGGAAGAGCAAGAGATTGCAGCTTGAGGCCGGCAATCTGTCAATGCCGCCTCTCGTCAAAGAAGGATTGGACGCCATCTCCCCTCCAGAAGGCGAGCGTAACGACGATGTTGGCATGGGCGGACTCGGATCTGGGCGAAGCTTAAAAGGGCGGTCTTTTGAGAGTGCTGTTGGGACTATGCTTGAAGGCTACTACGCTTGCATGAGGAAAGGTGTGACGTATGCTTTGATCGTGCGAGCAATTGGACTTGCTGCGACTGTTAATTGGCTATGGTCTTTGACACGGACGCCCAGGCATTCGCACAGTCCTTCTCGATGATAGCTATTGTCGCTGTAGACTGCCATGTATCTTAATGTACTGTATATTATTGCTGACCAATTAGACACTCGAGATTTGATCCCCCACGAAAGCGGGAGATTGATTCCGTGTGGATCAAGCCCTCGGGCCTAAACAACCCGAGTACCCCAACATGGATGATATCGGCTATTGACCATCTTCAATCGCCGGCAACCCAAATGTTCAAGGATGGCTGTCGCCCGCTTTTTACCCACTCTTCCTCACATTAGACGTATCTTGCTAGCAGTCATATCTTCCTTCACACCAGACGATTGACACAAGCCAAAATGGGCAAGACATACACTTACGACGAAGGTAGCACGCAACCAACTCCTCATGCTACCACAAAAAGCTAATGTTCCCCGCCACAACCACAGTCTCCCAACACAGGAGTGCAGACAGCTGCTGGGTGATCCTCTACGGCAACGTTTACGACGTGACAAAATTCGTTCCCGAGCACCCCGGTGGTGCAAAGATCATCCTGCAACTAGCCGGACAAGACGCAACCGAAGAATACGATCCCATCCACCCACCGGGAATCCTCGAGGAGTCTCTGGCGCCAGAATGTAAATTAGGGCCTTTGGACGCCAGCACTTTGCCTGCAGTGGAGAAACCCAAGGGTGAGGAAAAGAAGGAGGATGAGGATGCTATCATGCCACTTGATCATTGCTTGAATATGGACGATATTGAAGCTGTGGCTACAAAGAAGATGAGCAAAAAGGCGTGGGCGTACTATTTCTCGGCTGCCGATGATTTGAGATCAAAGGCTTTGAACAATACGGTATACAGCGATATTCTGCTGCGACCGAGGGTATTCGTGGACATTACAAAGTGCGACACCAGTTCCACTATCCTCGGCAACAAGGTCAACATCCCGCTTTTCGTTTCTCCGGCCGCTATGGCCAGGCTCGGTCATCCTGACGGTGAGCACGGTATCGCGAGAGCCTGTTCCACTTTCGGCGCTTGTCAGATCATTTCCAACAATGCTTCTCAAACGCCAGAGCAGATATTGGAGGGCTCACCCCCGGATCAAGTGTTTGGCTGGCAACTTTACGTTCAGAGAGACCGCAAGAAGAGTGAGGAAATGCTGGTGCGCATCAACAGACTCACAAAGATCAAGTTCATCGTCCTCACTCTCGATGCACCTGTCCCTGGAAAGCGCGAGCATGATGAAAGAGAAGGCAAGAATGTGGGCTCAAACCTTCCCATTCGCAGTTCACACCAAGAAGGCAGTTCCAGCACAACATCACCAGACCCAAAAGCAGCAAGTGGAAGCGTAGCATCAGCAATGTTTGCAGGCACAGCAGGAGACTTGACTTGGAAGACCACATTACCCTGGTTGGCCAAGCACACCAAACTGCCTATCGTGCTCAAGGGATTGCAGACACATGAAGATGCTTACCTGGCTTCTTTGTATGCTCCCCAGGTGCAAGGGATTATCCTGTCCAACCATGGTGGTAGAGCCGCTGATACTGCGCCACCTGCTATTCACACACTGATTGAGATCCGCAAGTACTGCCCCGAAGTGTTGGACAAAATCGAGGTGTGGGTGGATGGTGGAATCAAGCGTGGTACAGATGTCGTCAAGGCTCTGTGTCTAGGAGCAAAAGCCGTAGGTATGGGCCGCAATGCTCTCTACGGTCTCGGAGCGGGAGGCATAGCCGGTGTCGAACGCGTGTACGAGATCTTGAAAGCAGAGATTGAGACTACGATGCGCTTGCTCGCTGTTGAGAAAATTGAGGATCTGGGACCTCAGCATGTAAGTCTTTTCCAGTGCGAATCCGACGTGCTTAGTGGAATACTAATACTGCTGGTAGATCAACGCAAGAGCTGTGGAGAGAGATATCTACGACGGCCCTGCTGGTCTCGAGAAGCTGAGCATGTGGATCAAGGCCAAGCTGTAGATAGTGAATGGTAGAAGTCCCACGTGTCACCATTCGAATACCATGAGGGAACGCCATCCTCCCATATCGGTGATCCCATATCGGTGACCAACGGGAGAATACCTGTACACAGCAAAAAAGTTTCACTTGCACTATGGATGATACCACGAGACTTGACAAAAACAAACGACTCTCCATCAGGGAATCGAACCCTGGTCTCCCGCGCTTGTTTGGATGTGAAACCCATGACAAGCGGAAATCATGACCACTAGACCAATGAAGATGAGTGCCAGACTGTGCTGGTATTGGTTTCTCGTGTGAGAAACGAAGCAGATCACAGACTATATCATGCTGCTGACTTGCGGCATACATCTTGCGACAATTCGTGGATACGAACCCGTGGCTCGAGATGTGTCGTGGTGATGGGTATCGCAGTAGCAGAAGTCTAGTGATGGAAATTGAGAAGCAGTGCACGGGACGTGAGATGGGCGACTGTGATGATAGAGGTAGCAAGAGGCAATGTGTCTGGTGTGCCCAAATGAGCGATGGCGGCAGTCGGTAGTGGTCGGAAGGCGGAGGAAGGAGAGCGGGCTTGGCAGGTTACGTCGTGGGGGAGGTGCGAGGCAGCATCGCGTACCCTCGATCAAGCTGATCATACATAGACAACAAAGACGACAAAGATGGACGAAGATTCGCCATGGGGTGGTGAGTATCCTTGTGGTCAATTCTGTCAGGCAGGATATTGACCAAGACTCGGACAGACGTGCCGTCACGATCGCAATCCAACAGCAACCTGGCCGCCCAAGCTACCGACGGCGAGCCAACAAAGCCGACGACTACGGCATCAACGACAGAGGACGACACTCCCGCTGCTCCCATCGAGAGTGCTCCAGCCAAAGTCAAGAACGCGCCGTCCAAGACACGACCTTCGCGCCGATTTGGAGGGCAGTCCACCACACTCGAAGCACTCGACGACTCTCTGGGTCCCCTTGGTCCATTGGGAGATGCCACGGCCGAAGCTGCTCCTGTCGAGGAACGTCCTGCACCGCCGCGAAAGGAACAGAAGGTCCGCAACGCTCCGCCGACCGCCTTGATGGAGAGCACCACTCTTGACGACGATGGCATGTCGACCATGTCCGGACGCGCGCCTCCACCCGTGCAGCCCGCACCCGTCGCAGACGCTCCCAGACGTCAGATGCAGCCCAGTGTCAGCATCGAACAAGCTGCCAAACCCTCGTTCGACATCAGCGTTGGCGACCCGCACAAGGTCGGGGACTTGACCAGCTCGCACACCGTCTACCAGGTCCGCACAAAGACTTCCAGCAAAGCCTACCGCACTCCCGAGTTCACCGTCTCGCGCCGCTACCGCGATTTTCTATGGCTGTACAACCAATTGCACAACAACAATCCTGGAGTCGTTGTCCCTCCACCACCGGAGAAGCAGGCCATGAACAGATTCGACCAGAACTTTGTCGAGAGCCGACGCGCTGCCTTGGAACGCATGCTGAACAAGTCTGCTGCTCATCCCGTCCTGCAACACGATGGCGACCTCAAGCTGTTCCTCGAGAGTGAAGCCTTCAACGTCGACATCAAGCATAAGGAGCGCAAGGACGTCGGCCTGCCCGAGACAAAGTCCGGCGGCGGCATGTTGGGCGCCATTGGCCTGTCGGTCGGGTCCAGCACTAAGTTTGTCGAACACGACGACGTAAGTGCCGCTTATTCTTCTTATATCGATGCCCTCCCCCCTAGTCCCGCCCTGCCCGAACCCGTCGTGCCTAATTACTACACTTACACCATCATGTCGCAGTGGTTCCACGACCGTAAAATCTACCTTGACGCTCTCGAAACGCAGCTCAAGGCCCTCCTCAAATCTACCGATACCGTTGTCGCTCAGCGCAAGTCACTGGCCGAGAGCTGTCAGGACTTTTCCGCCTCGCTGCATCAACTTGCTTCTGTTGAGCTTTCGCCTGATCTTTCCGCTCCTCTTGATGCCCTTTCCGATATACAAATGCGCATCCGAGACCTGAACGACCGCCAAGCACAGCAGGATGTCTTGACTTTGGGTATTGTACTAGACGAATACATCCGTCTCATCGGCAGCATCAAAACAGCCTTCCAACAACGTCAAAAAGCCTACCACAACTGGCACACGGCCGAAGCCGCCCTCCAAAAGCTCAAAAACACCCACGACAAGCTGCTTCGAGCCGGCCGCACCCAACAAGATCGACTCTCACAGATGCAAGCCGATGTCGCAGATGCAGAGAGACGTGTTCATCAAGCACGTCTACTCTTTGAAGACATGGGTCGTTTGATGCGCAGTGAACTCGACCGCTTCGAGCGCGAAAAAGTAGATGACTTTAAGAGTGGTGTGGAGACTTTTCTCGAGTCGGCTATTGAAGCGCAAAAAGAGCTTATTGAGCTTTGGGAGACTTATCTTTTGCAGTTGGATGCCGATGATGAGGATGGTTCTGCTCCGTACTTTGCTGCTGGTGTTGATGGGAGGGAAGGTTCTGGTGAGCAGGATGGTGCGGGCAATGGGGAGAATGACGCCGAGGTGGCTGGAGTGGGGGATGCAGAGGAAAGTGGTGACACAGAGGAACAGCAATCCGGTCTTGCGCCTGCTGCTGCTGCCGCTGCTGCTGCCGAGGAAGTCGAGAGTGAAGCATAGATTTGTTCTTTGTAGTTGGTTATTTGCACCACTGGTAGCGATAGCGATAAAAGGATGTTCAAAGTAATACATACACAGCTCTCCTTTTTGTCTCCCATGGATAAAAAAAATCCGATACTTGTTCTCTCGCGCGGGTAGAGGATACATCTCAGCGGTCGATACAGAAGTCAGCAAGGGTCATCTTTTCACCCGACGCAAATGTCATTTTCCAACGTATATCAACTCGCACAGTAGACAGAAATTGCGCGACAATTCGTTTACCAGACTTTTTGGTCTACTTTTTGCGGCTTGGTGCAAGTTAGCGCAATAACAAGCAAAAGTCGAAGTCGCTAAGAGTACCACCCTGACCTACAATTTTTCCATTAGATCTTTCCACACTAGCCAAGAACTATAGGTCCCTTTATACCACTACTAAAATTAGCTATAAAAAAAAAAAAGGTATACCATACAAAAATCAAAAACGATATTATATTAGTTCCCCTCCCTCTTCTTACTATAACAGCCGCGTACACCTTCTCTCTTTAAAGCATTAATAAAAATCCCGCTTCTATAAAAGTTCGAAGAGTGCTTACAAGACTAAAAGCGACACTATAACCTAGTTTTACCTGACTTTTCTAAATTTATTTCAAAAGGTATCGTGTATATCGCGATTGGAAAGAACCAAGAATTAAACACTAAACACATCAGTGCCATGATCTCCACGTCTCAAGAATACCCTGATGTCACAAAAAAATGTGCGAACAGAAAAGGTGGAAAAGAAAAACCATTTTTCGATGCATTCTTCTCATCAACCACGAAAAATAAACTTGGCCAATAATTAAGCCATATTGATTCTTTCGCCTTTTTCGCCATTTCGCCATCAAGAACCCGCGCCCTCTCCCGTTTGGAAGATCGAAAGAAAGAAGCAACAAAAACGCCGATATGCTCTGCGCCCCTCCCTATGAAAATATGCCATTTGTTTTAACCCCCCAGCCCATCCGGCCCCCTGAAAGTTCGAATGGTAAAATGAAACCTCGTTGCTGTTGTTCGCCAATGACCGGTGCCTCTCCCCCATTTTCTTTTTCTCCCTCTCAAAGAAAAAAGTTCATTCAGATCGTTAATGTGTGATAGACAGTAAAGAAAGGAAAAAAAGAGAAAGATGAAGAAAAGAAAACTGTAACAAGACAGCAGCCTCGAAGAACGGAGGGGGATGAAGAAGAAAAGGTGCAAAAGTTCCTCCACGGATCCTCTGTGGATCAAGGCAAGTGTGAAAAGAAAAAGTCCAACTCATCGAATGACATTCCACTCCTTGACAAGACTGCCCTTGCCAGTAACGCTATTCTCATTCCTGTTGGCTTTACCAACACTGCCAAATGCGTCCCAGAAACGAAGAGTCTCATCACCGGCTCCAGTGACAATCACACTGCCATCGGGACTCATGCTGAGGTAGAGAACACGATAGGTGTGACCAGTCAGACTGACGACCTGCGACATGGAAGGATATTTCCAAATGTTGATGGCGTGCTGCGAGAAACCATGCGTAGAAACGAGTTCAGAGGTGAGAGTTGAAAAGAGAAGATTACAGACTTGCGAGCCGGTGTCGTGAGTGCGCAAGAGATGAGGATTTTGAGGTGTGGAGGTCATGGGGTCGGGAGAAGCGTGATGCGGCAATGCTGATAAAGAAGCAGATGTAAGATCCAGATGTGCGTGTGTAGAATTCGCGCTCGTCAAGGCGGCGTTTGCAGAGTGTTGAGCGGTGGAGATGGTGTTCCAGAATTTGATGCAGCGATCGGCTGTACCGCCGCCACTTGCCAGTAATCCACGTTGATGCGGTGACCATGCAATGGCTTTTACTGCAGCTTTGTGACCGCCTTCCTGTTCACCCCAACGATGCAACCAGCGATCGCCCATACCATCCCAGATAAAAATCTTGTTGTCGTTACCACCAGACGCCAGCTGATTCGTGTCACTGTTCCAGCGCAAGCCGCAGACTTCCTGCTTGTGTCCGACGAGCTTCGTCAAGTATTGCTGTGGTGATCGGACATCGCGATGTAGAATAGTACGATCACGACTGCCTGTCGAGAGGATGTGAGCATTCCAGGCGAGCGAAGAAACACGAGCCGAATGGCCTATCATTGTTCTCAGCCTCCGTTGCGTGACTGTGTCGAAGATGAGGACATGGCCTCGGCCTGTGCCGACTGCAAGATGCGAGCCCTGGAGATGTTAGTCCTGGTTTATGTAAGATGTATCTGAGCAATACAAACCCGTTGTATCCAGCCGACGCTGGTGACGGTGTCGGCCGTCAGTTTGCATAACTGTTCAACCTTTCCAGACTCGCTGTTCCACAAGTATACGCTCTCTCCCAGACCTACAGCCAAGACGCCACTTGAGCCCCAGTCAACCAGGTTGAGATAGAAGTCGTCGGCAAGCTCAGGAGCATCCAGTACCTTGTACGGCACTTTGCTGACAGCTCTTGGTGTCTTGCGTGGCGAGAGAAGCATGGATTGCGACGAGTATTTGACCGGTGACAAGCTGTAAATGTCGGATCGGGCGTTGATGTTTGGGCCTCTTTCTGTTCGTGAATGCGAGCGGGGTGTCAACGACGGTGTTGGATGGTTGGATTTGTATGAGAAGAGATTCTTGTGCGGTGTAGAAGGGGTCAGGTTGAAGTTTCCTGGAGGCGTGAGAGACTTGTCGTTCTGAGGTATTGATTGCGGTATTTCGTCGCTAAACATTTCTGAGCGGAGGATGGAAGAATATGTTCGATTGGCCTCCTCGGTCTTCTGGATGTGGAGCTCATTGGCGGCTGGCTTCTTGATCGAGCGATGGGGAGTAGCAGGAGAGCCTGATTCGTGTAGCAAGTTGTAACTGGCATGGAGGTCTTGGCCAGCCCTGTTGGGTATGAAGCGGTCGGTATAGACGCGCTGCCTCTTGCGTTTTGGACTCTCTCCTGGAGTGTGTTCCCTGTTTCTGCCAGCCTCCTCAAATTGCTGAAGTGCTTTGCTCAAGGCGTCCGGATCCACAGCTTCGACTGTCGTGTGCGAGGATATCGAGGGAGCATCGTTTGTGTTGATGTTGTTGTTGTTATCCTTTGCGCGACTTTGCGGTGCTGTGGGAGGAGTCTTTGTGCCGGGAGGTGATGGGAGCTTTGGCGTGTGCACATCGTCGGTCTTTGCGCCAAACTTTGCTTCCAAACGAGCGGAGCGCATTGTTGTCGTGGGTTGTCGAGAGTTGGAGGCGGCGCCTCGGTCGATGATGACGGTAGAAGCCCACTGGCGACACTAGATGGTCCAAGAAGACGATGTAGCAGCGTTCGGAGTAGCGATAGTGGCAGCGATGCAATGCGACAGAGGAATACGGATAGTGCGATAATGCGACAAGCGATGGCGGCGGTATGTGTTTGTTGGCTGTTGGCTGTTGGAACGGGGACAGGGTGCTAGACAATTGCCAAAAGCCGATCGCTCCTTCCTGCTATTAACTGCGTCTGTGCGTTCGTGCCTCCTTTCGATTGTTGTCGCGCTATTGTTGTTGGACAGCTGCTTTTGACAATCGCAAAGTTGAGCGAGTGAAGATTGGAGCAACAGTGAACAATCGCTACCTCATGGTCGGAAGTGAGAACAATGTCTTGCGAGAGTCAATGACTTCTGCTTCGGCAAAAAAGCAAAAGCCCTATCAACCTTAGCAGGCTGGTTGTCCGGTGGATGAATCGTCAAGGGTCTCGCACGTACCTTTCTCCCCTCCATCTCCACACATTGATGGCGGATTCAAGCCTTGTGCTCTGACCGAGTCAGCCTCATTAATGCATATAGTCCTCAGCTGTTCTTGTGACTTTGATTGATGCTCATTCTGCTTGGTTCTATGTACTCTGTTCATGCAATCATCTAGCTGTGCGTCCAATCCATCATCTACTTCTTCTTTCCCTTCGTCTTGTCAAGGAATTCCACCCATGCAGGTCTGACACCTCGCTTCTCCAACGCCTTCATTACAGCATCCTTTTGTGGACCTTGAATCATAATCTCCATAACAGGTGCCTTTGGACTACTTCCATGCAACTGTTCTACACTGCTACTGCCAGCACACATCTTCCTCAGCTCATCCGCCAATGGTTGGGGAGGAATGAAATAAGCTTCCACACCCGAGACTTTCGTGACCGTCTTATTTCCTGATCGTGTTTCAAGTGTGACTTTGATCTTTGGTGCTGCACCTGATTTTGGTTTTGTGCTTGGTGAAGAATTGCGAACGATCGCGTAGTGTGGTGTGCAAGCTTGAAGAATGCGCTCGGTCAAGGCATCTCTTGGGACGGAGCCTTTTGCCAGGACTTCCTTGTCGAGGGGAGTGCTGCCGTCAAAGACCGCATTCGCGAGTGTCGGATTGAGTGTAATCAGACGCTTGTTTCTTTGGTTCGCCAAATTCTCAGACTCGATGTAAGCTGTTATGATAGGTTTGATCTCTGCGGCTGTGAACAGGGACTGAGATGATGCTTCCGCAGATGCGAATAGAGGAAGAAGCCTATCCTTCAACTTGTAGTATTGTTGCTTGTCCAGCTTCTGACCGATCGATTCGTCACCTGTGTCGACTTCTGCTGTTGCCTTCCCGCCGCGACCCTGGCTTGTTCCGGCAGCAGCCTCCTTCTTGGGTAGACGGTAGGGCTTGAAGCCAACAATGGCAGCATCGCTAAAGTCTATGTCAAGAATGATAGTCTCGTGCTGATCCCTCTCTTTCGTCCTGACAATCTTGGCCTTGTCTAATGACTTGATGAACTTCTTGATGTTCTTGTAGCTCGACTTCTTGATTTGTAGTGAATTTGCTTGTGCTGGTGTGTGGGCAGGGAGGAAAGGTTGGACGAGGTTCGACATGACGAAGGACTGAGTCAGAGGGTATTCGAGACCAAAGTTCGGCTGATTGCTGTTGGTTTCCTTGTAGTGGTAAGCACCGTAGAGGAAAGCTTTGCGGAAGGCATCGTCGATTTCTGTTGGCAGTCAGCATTTGATGAAATGGATGTTAGTCAGACAAAGTGCTTACCCTTGGTGGTCAGCTCTTTGATATCAACTTCTTCCACGAGACCGTTGCTTGTAGGAGTATCCTCACCCAGGCCCTCGGTCGGGTCCGATCGATCAGAAGAAGGTTTGTCCGTACCCAGATCTACGCCACCTTGCTCCTCCTCCTCCTCGTCCATGTTCAAGTCGGCAGCTTGTTCGGCAAGCGTTTCCTCATCGTCCTTGTTTGCAAGCCAACCATCGAGCGATTCCGGAGTGGCGAGACCAGGCTTGTTGGAATTGCTGTAGGCCCAGATCTCGTCACCTGCCCAATGCATGGTCTGCACAGCGTGTCCGCGAGAGCCCTGGACCGCACCCAGTGCGCTGACATCGATCAGACAAGCGCCGACTGCGACAGGTACCGAAGGCTGTTCCAGACTGGCGATCGCAACGACAGCACCCTTGATAGCCCTGGAGTTGAACGGAGGGCCGTTGGCCAGACCAGGAGTCATGAGATCTGCACCGCCTTGTAATTTCTGGACGACAAAGCCGGGTGTGTGTAGAAGAGGCACAATGCCAGGCTGCTTCCATAGCGTGTATACTGTGGGATACATACGATCCTCAATCTTGAACCAAAGCACTCGGGCGTCATCTCCGGGGTATGCTCCAACGTACACGGTGCCAGAGACTTGCTTCAAGTCAGGTCCATGGGTGGTCGTAAATCTTGCTGTTTGTACGCCATCGGGCAGCAGAGCGTTTCTCAGAGCAGTCGTGTCTGCAGTGGCGGCAGCTTTATCCTCGACCTTGGTGTCGTCCTGGGCTTTCGGCTGCAGACCGTACTCGGCGATTATGCTGTCTGCTGTCTTGCGGCGGTCTGAGGAGCGTAAAGGCGCCAAAGGCTTTACCGTCGGTTTCTTCTTGAACATGTTGGCGCGTGCGTGTTTATTCCTAGGTTTGGGAAAGTGTTTCGCTCAACTTGTCATGACGGCTTTTCGTCATAGCATCACAAGCCTTATCGATAAGGCAGGAAGTTGTCTTCGCGTATCCGCCATCCAACGTCTATCTCAACTCATCACTCGTCTTTGAACACGATCGAAAATGGCATAGTTGACTAAAGTAAGCTTCCAACCCGAGAAGAAAGGTTGGAAGTAAGAATGTATTCGTGAAATGATCGTATCCGCTCCACCAAAAGACCAGCCCCAACTCCCGCTCGCAGTACTAAGCGCCCAGAAAGCAGCATGCCAATGTGTCGAAAAGCACAACTATCTCAAAACTATTCACGCGGCATCTTTGACAGGTTTCTCGACTCGGACAAACTCTCTGCTGAGTAATGCTCTGAGCTCAGGACTGACGATCCTCTCCTTTTGTGCCGCAGTAGTGGTACCTGTCTGTGCATCGCTCGAGCTAGAAGCGGCAGTTTTCCCATCATGTCCCTGCGGTCCAGAGTCCAATGACCCTCCAGCAGGCACAGCAGCTTTCCTCTGCCTCAACGTCGGTGTAGGGAAATGATCTTTTCGATCGATCGCCTCCACAGTCCTCTGGAAACGCTTAAACAGTGCTTCTGCTCTGATGAGTGTAGAAGGCAAATCAATCGTTCCGCTCAGCTCATTCACATACTTCAACACCTCATCAAACCCCTTGAGGTGCTCCATAATAACATTGCGATGTTTCTCCAATATGGCAACAGCGATGAAGAGGTGGAAGTTTGCTGATAGGTAGTCTGTCCAAAGTCCTTCCCAGAGGCGGAGAACGTCTGGGTATTCGAATTCACGCTTGTACCATACAAGCAGCATGCGGAAGAAGAAGAAGAAATTTGTGCTATCCACGGATTGGAGATGCAGATAAAGTTTTGGGTCGAGGAGTTGGACCAGATGATCGAGGGTCGAAAGCTGGAGACGCATGCCGCTTTGATCGCGGAGAAAGTTTCGTTCCTAGAGAGACATTTGATGTTAGATGAAGTTCTCAAAGGAGGGTACGAGGAATGGAGAAGAAACATACCATGCGATCCATAAAGTTTACAAAGCCCCAGAAAGCGACTGCATCATCTTGCGTGACTGCATAGATAGGAGCGAGCAAATCACTCATGCCCTGGACATAGCCCAAATCCTTGTTGTACTCATTGTAAGTCAGTAGCATATCTTTCATCTGCTCGAGATGCACGTTTGTGCCGACTTCGGCAAAAGGCGAAGACGGATCTGGATGTGGAATGTCCTCTCCGGCGAAGAGGGGAATATTGCGATCAGTTCGGTGAACATCCTTTTCTACAGCACGGACCCCACGAACAGTGGGTAGATGTCAGTTACTTGATGCTGAAGGGGAAGACTGCGAAGTCAGGATAGCTTACCTATGCGCATTTTCTGCTCCTTCCACCATTCTCGTTCTTCCAGCGTGCCATCTTCATCCATCATGCGATCCCACCAAGCACCCTTGAGGCGAATGTACTCATCGTTCAGACTATTCATCTTAGCCTTGCGTTCGTCCTTGGTACTGTTCCAGTCATGAACACCTAGCAAGAAGAGCCAGGCATCTTTCCTGACGCCGTCATCGGGGTGGAGGCCTCCGTGAAAGACACGCTCCTTGACTTCGTCTGGAGTAACGTGAAGCCTACCATGAGAATCGAAGAAGGCGTTCCACTCTTTCTTGGTGACAGGATCTCTCTTCTCATTCAGTTCGAGATTTCTCATGTCAACGTCCAGAATCTCAAACTCGCCCAGTTCAGTATCCTCGTTTTCGAGCAAGTCCTTTGCAGTGTAGATACGCTGGCTCCTATCGCGCTCACTCTGTTCGGCAATGGTCATGGCCCATCTTGCGAGATACAAACGAGCACTATCAAACTCTTCTTGGACCGTCTGGACTTGAGGGTTTTGCATGATGCGACGCAGCTGAGGAGGCAGTTTGGGGTTATCAGCAGCAGCCTGAGCAGTACGGCGGGTGAATGTGGTGACCTGACTGAGCTTTTCCAGCACAGCCCAACGAGAGTCCTTGAAGAACTTTGCGACGGGATCCTCCTTTTTCTTCTGTGGTTGTGCATTGGGACCCTCCAGGGCTTGTTGCACCTTGTCCGGTGTGGGCTTGCCAGACTTGTCTGTGCCGAAGCCAGTTCGGTCGGCATCTGAGGGCTCGATAAGGAAAATGTTTGGCTCAGGAGAGCGCTCGACGTTGAGGTGTCTCTTCAGCCATCCCAAGACTTGATCTCCACCCCAAAACAGGTTACCGCTCTCACCGAAAGGATCGAAGTTCTCACGGGCAAGCTTCTTGCGATGATTGATTGTGGATTGACATTCACTGTCGTGGAAGAAGAGGGCAGGGAAGCTGTCACCAGAGCGAGTGTTGATGACGAGACTGCCGAACCACCATCCAGCACTGGGTGGGCGGATCTGGATGGAGTAAATTTCGCTGGCTTGAACAGCAAATGGGTATGGTCCCGGAGTGGTCGAGTGGGCCGAAGTGATTGGTGGAGGAGGGACGAGGTTTCGTGTAGGAGCGTCCTTGTCGTCAAGGTCGACCTTGTTGTAAGTCTCGAGCTGACCCTGACTCTGGAGGGAGGCGACAGGTGACCAGCCGAGGACGAGTGATGAGGACGAGATCTGGGCTGACGAGGAGGAAGGCGCGGATGACGAGGATGGAGACTTTTGCTCATACAAGGCCATGAAGCCATCGATATTGTCCTTGGAGGAGGCGGATGGGTGGACAAAGACCTTGCTCTTTGCGTAGAGGAGCTTGACGCCGCGCGAGGCCGACGATCGCCGACGCACGCTGTTGTAGTCGCGTTCCTCGTCGTCGCTCATGTCGTATACTGATGCAGGAGGACTGCTGCTTTGCGATGGGGCCATTGTGTCTTGCAGGATGCAGGAAACATGTGATTATCTACTCTACTCACTATCTTGCTGCCTTGATGCTTGTGACCGATGAGCAGTGACGTGTGTGGGGTAATGTCCTTGGGTGGACCCCTCTTTCCAACCCTCCATCGATTTCCTCTCCAGTCGAGAAAAGGTCAATTGATCTGGGTGAATAGACAGTCTTCGAGGACGAAATAGGAAACAATACATATTCGACCGAGTCTGTCTTGTACATGTTCGTGCTCATGAACGATACCGAAACTATGCAATACGGGTATCCAGCAAAAAGACTCCGAAACGCCTTGCTACTACAACCAAATCATCCTCTGGCAAAGCGACCAGACCCTGCTGGTGATGGTGCCCCTGGTCCCGATCCTGCTGACCCTGCACTCAGGTTGCTTGCTGCACTACCTGCTCTCGCCGCTCCCCACAGTCTTGCTTTGAGTCTCTCCTGTGCTGTACCTCCACTGCTCGGTGTCGGCGAGGCATCGTTGCCTTGCTGCTGGGCTATAGTACTTTGGTAGCTTCCCGCTCTCTGACTTGGCAGTGGTCGGGGTGCTGCCAAATTGTCTCCTCCCTGAGCGCGTCCCTGGTATGATCCGTTTCGTTCTTGGGGTCGGACTCGGAGCGATTGTGGTTGTGGTGATGGCTGTCTCTGTCCCGGCGTATCCCATAGATCGCTCAGACCACCTCTTCCTCCTCCTTGAGGCGCATTGATTGTGGGCATTTGCTGTGACGATTGTTGTCTCAGACTCGATGTGAAGGATGATGCTGTCTGCGCTGATGCTGATCGCTTGGGATCATTCGGTAGCCATGGTGGAAAGGCTTTGCCTTGCTCCACGTAGTATGCGCGAAGAGCACGACACAGGTGAGAGTCGTCCTCGGTGTCGCCGTCGACCTCGTCGGACAGGAGGTTGCGCCGGAGCGTGTTGTATTTGGATGTGGTATTTGTGAGTATGTTGGACAAGTACGACGACATGATGGGTGGTGGTGGGTGATTAGGTATTGAACTGCCAGCAGTTGTTGTTGACTTGCGTCAAGTCGTTCGTTCGGGTTGATGTTGTGCGAGTGGTGATGCAGCCTTAGGAAGGTCAGCCGGCGGGAGGCAGCTTTCCCGAGCCTTGGCTCTCCCTTTCGGGTCATCCGAGCACTTTTCTGACCATCTACCTCTTCCACTCCGTCGCCAGTCTTTCCTGTTGCAAATAAGCGTACAACTGACATGCTACCCCGCTGTTATACTTGCCGTGACTCTTACGTATATATGTATCATGTAGGTTCCTTTTGACACTCTTCTCCGTCCTTTCAATCTCCCTCCCTTGCTACACTCAAGATTCCGCCATCGTCATCAACATGCTTGTTACACCTCTTCAACCCCACAATGTGTCCTTACCGCACTTTCCAAAGCCAGCTGTCACGACAACTGCTTCATCAAAATGCTCTCCTCGAACAATTGCCCAAGCATGGCTCGAACGCTTCTCGGCTGTCCTGAGCTCTGGCGACGTTTCACATCTATCCACCGTCATGCACCAAGACAGCTGGTGGCGTGATCATGTGGCTCTATCCTGGGATCTTCGTACTCTTCATGGCCTAGAAGCTATCACCTCTTTCCTATCTTCCGTGCTTCCGACTATCAAGTTGCACCCACTATCTCTGGCAGAGGATGGTGAATCTTATGCCCCGTCAATTGTCAGCCCTCTCCCGGAACTCGAATGGGTACAGTCTATGTTCACTTTTGAAACAAGCACAGGCAGAGGTCGAGGTTTCCTTCGTCTAGCTCAAGCCGTAGACGGTGACTGGAAAGCTCACATGCTGTACACAGCCCTTGACGAGATCAAAGGCTATGAGGAAACCACAGGTGCCCGTCGAGCCCACGGGGGTCAGAACTCCTCTCTTGGTGGTAATTGGCTCGAGCGAAGACAGCAAACTTACGATTTCACCGAATCTGAACCTACTGCCTTGATCATTGGAGCCGGTCAAGCCGGCTTGAATCTCGCTGCTCGACTTCAAGCGCTGGGGATTCCCACCTTGATCGTGGACAGACAGAAACGTGTGGGTGACAACTGGCGAACCCGATACCGCACCTTGGTGACCCATGACCCTGTGACTTATGCTCACATGTCATATCTTCCTTTCCCGTCAAATTGGCCTCTCTACACGCCCAAGGACAAACTTGGAGACTGGTTTGAGGCGTATGCCAGTTTGATGGAACTCAACATCTGGCTCTCCACTTCTGTCACTTCAGCCTCGTATTCAGAATCCTCAAAATCATGGACCGTCGACATCACAAAACCAGATGGAAGCAAGAGGACACTTCACCCTTCTCAACTCATCCTTGCTACAGGCCACAGCGGTGAGCCACGTATACCAACTTTTCCGGGTCAAGACTCCTTCAAAGGCACAGTTTACCACGGCAGTATGCACAAAGATGCAACTCCTTCCACAGCCTCTGGCAAGAAGATTCTCGTCGTGGGAACCGGTAACAGCGGCCACGACATCGCTCAGAACTACCATGAAGCCGGTGCCGAGAGCGTGACATTGCTCCAACGCTCAGGAACCTATGTCCTGCAAGCCGAGAAAGGAGGACACATGCTTCACGCAGGGACTTATGATGAAACTGGCCCTCCAACCGAAGACGCAGACATCTATTCACAATCTCTCCCTCTACCCGTCCAGTTCGCTCTCGGCAGAAATCTGACTGCCGCCATCAAAGAAGCCGAAGCCGAAAACCTCGAAGGTCTGGAAAAAGCAGGCTTTAAAGTCGACTTTGGTCTCGATGGCTCAGGCCTATTTAGGAAATACATGACCAAAGGTGGAGGCTACTACATCGACGTCGGATGTAGCGAGCTCATTCGTGCCGGTAAGGTAAAAGTCGTGCGTTGCGAACAGGGAATTGCTGGCTTTGAACCTTCTGGCGTGCGTCTAGCGGATGGCAATTTTGTTGAAGCAGATGTTGTTGTGCTGGCAACGGGGTATGATAACATGCGCACTTCTGCTCGTAAGATTCTTGGGGACGAGATTGCGGATAAGGCGAGTGATGTGTGGGATCTTGATGATGAGGGCGAATTGAACGGCGTAAGTCCAACATCTATATCGTCCACGCTCTCAGTCGACAATGCTAATGCGATATGAAATAGATGTGGCGACCTTCTGGCCATAAAGGCTTCTGGTACATGGGTGGTAATCTGGCACTGTGCAGGATATACAGTAAGTTTCTGGCATTGCAGATCAAAGCTGCAGAAGTCGGATTGCAGTGAGATTGGAAGTAAAAGTACAATGTGTAGCTCTGATCTTATACAATGGTCACTCGCAGTGCTGGTAGTGGGAATATCATCGTCAAAATATGTTACTGTGTAAGGGCGTTATTCACGTCGCCAATTCACAGGATATGCTCGGCCGAGAAATTGAAGAGGCAATGCCGTATCGCGCCGTATCCCAAGCGTACCACTTTGATCACATCTGGCAATTGTGCCCGAGATCTTCATGCATGCGGGCCCCGTGGGATTCAAAAGCCGCCAAAGTGGAGCACTGTGGGATACACTGTCATCAGGACTTCAGTGTGCTCGCAGGAATGTTTGAGCAGCGTCAACAAGGCTCACGAGTCTTGCAATGACCATCGGGTCGAACTTGGCAAGAACAGTCGACTAATATGCTTCTTTGCTTCTGTTAATTTTCGGTGGGAGTTAAGGCTCGGCGAGCACCGCGAATTTTCTGGAAGCAAGGGTCTGCGATTATCACTGGGCGTACATATGTTTGCGTATGCAGTCGGAAACCATTCTCAGCCCCATGCTCAGCACGAGTCAAGACGACAAGATACCTTGTAAATTACCAGCATCCTCTCTAAAGTGTATAATGCCCACAGCTCTGTATCATTAGCTCGCACAGTGGGCTTAGCATCCCGAGGGACGCACATAACCACATACGCCAGTCGTGTAAGCAGCATCGTTACGATATGATCTTAGCAATCTTTGTGGTTATGTCACGTCTCGAGGTCCTCGCCGTTTCGTGGTCAGGCAGATATGCAGGTGAGATCGCAGAGGTATAGAGAGACTACACTCCTGAGATACTGGCAGTGTGGGAATTGGATAGAGTCATGGAGTTGCCAAGAACTCCAGCAACTCCATGGAGGCCGCGGAGTTGGAGTCCAGTAGGTTTGGATCGGAGTTGGAATGGGAGGTCAACTCCATGAAGTACATCCATGTGTTTCGAAAAGCGCCTCTCTGTTATTCCGATGGGCTGGGTCGGCGGCTGACCATCTGGAAGCGCGTATAGCATATTTGAATACACAAGTGCCGAACTCCCAGTGCGTATTCCACTCTACCGCATTTGCAAACACGACAGACATGTCTGATATCGCTTGATCCTCTACTCGTTCGAGATCGGGATGCGAACGAGCAAGCATACGGGTCAAGTCAAGTGTTGGCAGTATTGAGATAGGTTGTACTGTTCATGTCAGGCAGTAAAACAGCATGAGACAAAGTGCCAAGACAAGTTTCAGCCGTGCATGTGCCTTTGATCAAGGTGACCATTCACTTAGCCCTTCGCACAAAACAAATCACTTCTCTTCCACGATTACCGTTCGTCTGAACAAGACGCCATGGATCTCCTACAGACAGTGCGCAAAGAAGGCTCTCGCGGAGGCCGCAACGAATTCTCCTGGCAAGATGTGCAAAACGACCCCCACCGCCAGAACTATCTCGGCCACTCTCTCATGGCACCCGTCGGCCGCTGGCAAAAAGGCAAAGACCTGAACTGGTATGCGCGCGGCGAGAACGGTGAAGAACTGGACGAAGCGGCGCAACGGAGCGAAGAGATGAGAAAGATCAAGCAACAAGAGGAGGACGAGATGCTCAGAGCCATGGGTCTCCCAGTGCCGGACAGGGAGAATGCGAACCTCGAACCTGTTGCATTACGACCTGGTATGGCCGAACGAACCGAAGTAGAGGCTGAAAACGTACCGGGCAAACGTGAGCGCACACGCGAACGCAGTAGGAGCAGAAGCAGGGAAAGAAAGCACAAGAGGCGTCGCGATGGCAGCAGGAGTCGCGAGAGAAGACACAAACGACGATCGCGGTCAAGAGATGGTCGCGACGACAGGGACAGAGAAAGACGACACCATCCCAGACGCGACGACGATCAGCACAGACATGGGCCGGCGGACGATGGGCGCGAACGAAGACATCATCACAGCCGGCGAGAGCGCACCAGGTCAAAGTCTGTTGAGCGCAGAAGATCAAGATCTGTTGAGCGAAGAAGGCACAGATCTCGTTCGCCGCACAGGAAAAGAGATAGGGACCAGGACAGGCGTAGACGGCACGACTGAAGGCCATGGATATACGGACTGGCGCGATCAAAGGGTAGCAGATTGTGAAGCCCGTCACCGCAGTCTGCGAAGCAATCATGGCAGTCAGAATCTACGACTTCCCTTCCACGTCCGAGCCTGCTTATTCACGGCGCAGTCTACCCAGCAGCCGCGTATCCACAAACCGAACATGATCAATTGTTTTGCAAGACTCGGTCATACCATGAGTGAAGACGGAAAGGCAAGGAATACAAGGAAAAGAGGCTCCGCGACCCACGACGCAGATCAAAGCTTGGGGAAGCTTGATGGAGCTTGGAAGTTGGAAGGCCGAGGTTGGTGGGGTCATGACATGTTTCAGGGACGGACGCGCAACCCAAACGCCATTGATGCAATTGAAAATGCCCTTCTCCTGATCTCCCTTCGATACTCCGTTTCCTATCTATTCTTACCGCCTCGCTGTCCCCAGAACCCTCCACATCCTACACAAAACCCTGTCAATTGCGCTATCATGACGGAAAAGCTCAGCGACGCCCACTTCGAGGCCACGGCAACAGCTCTAGACAACATCACCGACCAAGCTGCCAAACACCCCGAGGACCCCAAGGAAACCCTCCACGTCCCATCCAACCACGAGAAATCGCACAAATTGCTCAAGCGCATCTTCCCCTATGATAGTCTCGAGGCAATGGAGTCTGCCTGGCACATGGGAAACTATGTCATGGATCGCAAGACTGGCGCAAAGACCTTTGAACCCATGAGTATCTATGTACGCGTGGGAATGCATGCTCTGTACTATGGGTCGGAGCAAGAAAAGGCTCTTCACTGGAAGCGCACTGTCAAGCTGTTGGAAGAGCAGAGCAGGAAGATGGGAAAGCAGTATGATGATCCTGCCAGTGTTGATCATATTGTTCCTTTCATCGAGAGCTTCGACTTGCAGGAGAGCATGTCGGAGATGGTGGAGCCGAATCCCTCCAAGTACAAGACCTTCAACGAATTCTTCTCTAGAGAGATCCGCGAGGATGCCAGACCGATCGATGAACCTGGCAATGTGAGCGACATCTTCTTCACCAATCCTCTCCAACCATCACACTGACCTTTTTCCAACAGGATCTCGTCGTATCATCACCCGCAGACTGCCGCCTCACAGCCTTCCCCACCGTCGACCTAGCAACAAAATACTGGATCAAAGGCTTCGGCTTCACAATCTCCGCCCTCCTCGACTCCTCCTCTCTCGCCTCCCACTTCAACAACGGCGCCATCGTAATCGCCCGTCTCGCTCCCCAAGACTACCACCGCTGGCACTCCCCCGTCTCCGGCACCATCGAGTCCATCACTGAAATCCCCGGCGCATACTACACCGTCAACCCCCAAGCCATCAACGAAGCAGGCACTCTAGACGTCTTTTGCGAAAACAGACGTAGTGTGATGATTGTGCGTCGCACAGGCACAGATGCAAAAGTGGCCATCATAGCCGTAGGCGCCATGCTAGTCGGCAGCATCAAATACAATCCCGGCATCGCAATCGGCAAAACCATCAGGCGTGGTGAATGTCTAGGAGCTTTCCAATACGGCGGCAGTACAGTCATAAACCTTTACCAAGAGGGTGATGTAGTGCTAGACGAGGATCTGGTCAATAACTCTACAAAAGAGGTTTGCGAGACTCTGGTCAGGGTCGGTTGGAGGGTTGGTGGAAACCCTTGCGTTAACTAGAAGGTTGGCGAGGTTGTGCACATGCGACGGCATTCTAGTAAGCCTGCGAAGAGGGATAAAGGGATTGGTGCTTTGCCTGGTGGACATCATGTACGACGCTTTGTTGACAAGTCAGAGTCTGCTCCTACGCCTGCTTCTGCTTCTGACAAGTCGGTCAAGCAGAGTCTAAGGAAACGAGTTTTCAAGAGGGGAAATCGGTGTGTTATCTTATGAGTAATTCTCTATTGATTGAGGTCGCTCTGAAAAGAGATTCCTGGGTAATTGTTATACATTGAAGCCTCTCTCTTTTCTCCACAAAATGCATCGTGAAAAAGATTAAGACCAAGCATTACAAAGTCACAGAGGCATAGAAAATTGTCATTCACCCATAACCCCCCCATAGCACTCCACCCTGGAGAAGTTTGGCTATCCTCGCAATGTAAAAGAATGCAGAGGGAGGTGCTCAGTAATTCTGCCCGTCATCTCATGAAAGTGTCGCAGAGTTCGTTGCCGAAACAGTAAGGGTAACGATTTCCGTTCTGATGGTTATAATTTCCCTAATCATAGTTGTTGCTTCCAAAGGCTTGGGACAAAGTCTTCCACGGCGGCCAAGGTGGGAGTCCCGATATCATCATGTAGGCGAACCAGAGGATCATGCAGCCGAGGCAGGTGAACAGATAGCACTCTACCCAAAAGACGTTCTTGGGTCTTTCGAGATTTAGTTGGCGCTGTCTTTGTGAAGTTTGTTGTGAGTCTTGCACTGATGGCAGAGACAGGTATTCGTCTTTCGTGATGGCAGCGCTGTCATTTCCTGAGGTACGCATGTTTGTGATCGGTGTGTGTGTGTGATGTAAATCTGTAGAAGGCAGGGAGCGATTGGGGAAGTATAAATTACAATCTGCTGCGAAGAACTGCTCAATTGGATCTGCGGTCATGCGGCATTTAGAATTTTATGCTATTCGAGGGGCAATCCTCCGGTCGGTCGGGAGCGAGCATAAGTACCTTGCAATTGGAGTGGTCTCAGATTTTCATTTCTCAGGATCACGCAGCCAGATTTCCGCATCGCCTCGATACAAAAGTACTGAGCGGCCGTTACCTGTGCCTAATATCTTGACGCCAGTCGGTGTGGTGGTATCCTCAGAACTTGTTCGATGAGCTGGATCATCCCGCCAGATCTCAATTCCAGTCCAAATTGCCTGCTTGTGTGCCATTGCTGCCACTCGACTTGCTTGCTCAAGGTCTGCAACTTCGAAAAGCACGACTTTGGCTTCAACTTGCTTCGCAATGTCCAGGAGGCGAGGGTAGAAGACATCTCCAATCTCATTGTCCGCGTGCGTCTTTGCGTCCAAGCTATTTGGCACCAGCGCTAGCTTTGGCTCATATCTCTTGACAGATCGAGTTGTGGTGTGCTTGAAAGCTTGTGGAGAGATGTAGGGCGGATTCGAAATCAAGATATCCCATTGACTACCGGGATTGTGATGACCCGAAGCGCCTTCATGACGATGCAATGCAGTCGTCAGCGGTGGTATATCTCCCTTATGATCGTCTGCGGCAAGGACATCTCCCTGAAGAAAATGCAGACACGTCCGAGGAGGTATGAAGTGTAGTTCTCCATCTTGACATAGTCGTTGCAAGTTGCGATTGGCCAAATCCAACGCAAGTGGGGATACGTCGACTCCGAGTACTTGCAGCCCAGTCTTTCTGCTATACTTTTGCATGAATTCGTAGCTTGCCAGTAATGGTATACATCCAGTTCCTGTGCATAGGTCCAGTATTTTCAGATGATCAGGCAGTGCTCCGCTGTTGTGAAGTCGTTTCACGAGATGTGTCACAGAAGCGGCCGTTTCTTGCCTACCTTTTGCGTAAATGAACCGGTGATGCAAAAATAAAACACTTACGACTACCTACCTTGGTATCAGAACACCTGGCTCACAGGCAATCTCCAGGTCGCCAAAATATTCAGTGCCTATTATGTATTGTAGAGGCTTTCCGCGGGCCCTTTTGAGACAAAGTCGTCGAAGATTCTGTTGCGAGGCCCAGGATTGAATGCTCTGGAATTTTTTCTGCTGCTCAGTGACAAACTCTTTCAACCATCGCAACTCGTTCTCTGCTGATGCGAGATCACGTGTACCCCGCAGCACAAGCGGCAGCAATGGATCCTGTCTACGAGCTCTATGCAAGAGACGGGGATGAAGTCGTGGCATGGAGCAGTGAAGAGCCGATTCTTGCTCGGTCTTGCATCAGATGTATTGAAAAGATGACGATGTTTGGTCGGAAGTGTACGGATCCGATTGTCTGTGCTTTGTTGTCCGAGATTCCGCGATGGTTAAGCATTCACACAAGCAATGCCGAGTTCGCGGTCAACGAACACAGTGTTCGTACATCTAAGCCACATCTCCAACGTGTGCTGCAAGATGACTGGAATGACAGCTGTCGATTGACACGGCGGTTCTTCGTCGAAGTCATTACGCGGGATGATGCTAGTGTCAGACGGAGAAGTTTCGGATCTTACGAGATTTTGCCGTCTTCCGACGCGTCGAAGCTGCAGTCTTCGAGAAGCTCGCTCCATGACATGTCCGCCATAACATCACACAATCTGTCGCAAAGTTGCACCTTTCGTTACGAATCTGATCAAGCCCTACTTCGATACACGCGATTCCTACGTAGTTGGGTGGCCTGATTTATTAATACTGCTGCACGGCAAGGCCCGGCCCGAGCGAGGTCATCAATCGTATCACAGACGAAACGCACCAGAACAAAGAAGCACCACGACGAATGCTTCTTTACTTTCGCAAACCAGCCACGGCATCACAGAGCGTCTCGTCCTGATAGGATCATAAAACTCGTACTGGAATGGGTCGACTGGACTTTACGAGTTTGTCTTGTCTGCCCTTTGTGCCTGACAGGCATCGTGCGTAAGGTGATGATCATAGATGACTGATACTGTGGCGATCCTCGGTAACTCTGAAGCAGCAAAGATTGTTGTTGATAAGTACTCCACACATCGGCACGCCTGTCCCGACGTCACCGCTAAATATGCTCGCATCAGACGCGAGCCAGTTGTGATGCCGTACACTACAGGTCTGAATCAAAGCTTTTGTGTTGAGATGATAGACACCGACCTCCGTTGATGTCAAGTCCCTCAGATTGTGGTTTGCCGCACCGTCCGACGGCCGAAAGATGCCCACCCTGTATTCTCTCATCCAGCATGCAGATGCACGCATGTCAACAACCACTTCATGTAGATGTTAGGGCTCGGTATCTCGGAGCCTTGATGCCGCAATCGGCAAAGGTTTGATACATAAACAATTGTATTTCTCCTGACAGCAACATCCACATCTCAATCAGACTTTTGCTTTGCATCAAGAATACACATCGCAACAGCTCTGCTATTATTAACGCTAAATCACACTTCGATCTCGGGTCAACCAACATTCTTCCACGCTCATCATGACTTCAACTTACGACAATCTTCCTCTTCGTGTTGTCCCACACCTTGTCGACGAAATCGCAGAGACTGCTCCTGACACTAAATGGGTCGAGGTACCACGAAATGACAACAACCTTCAAGAAGGTTACAAGACTCTGACCTTCGGGCAACTATCACAAGCCGTCAGCAAAATGGCTCGCTGGATCGAGGACACTGTTGGCACAAGCACTTCAAGGGAGACCATCACGTATATGGATCGTCAGAACGACATCAGATACATCTTTGCGATTATCGCTAGCATGAAGACTGGTTACAAAGTTCTCCTGGCCTCAACACGCAACAGCGAGGAGGGTCAGCGTGCAATCCTCCAGCGTACACAAAGCAAGAAGTTCCTGCATGGACAAGGCATGAGAGAAGAGATTCTAGCCCTTCAGGATGAGAAGACGCCTATCGAAGCCTATGAAGTCCCACCTGTGGACTACTTCTTCAACAATGAAAAGGTGGAGCATTACGAAGGCATCGTGAGCACTGATCCTAACGAAATCGTCGCCATCATCCATACTTCTGGTTCGACCGGTATCCCTAAGCCGGTCTACCTCCGCAATGGTTATCTCGCCTGTCTCGATCGCATTCGTCAACTTCCTGTTGAGGGCGGTCGTCAATCGAGAGCACAAAAGTTTGTCGGCACCGACAGAGCTTTCTGCAGTCTGCCATGGTTTCATGCTATGGGCTTCTTCATGGCACTGAGATCGATCTACGCGCAAGGTCCTCTGATTCTACCTCCTGCAGGGCGCTCGCCTAACGCTGATCTTACTCTTGAGATCTTGCAAGTGGCCAAGCCAGAGACAGGCTTCTTCCCTCCCGCGATTCTTGAGGATATTGTGGACGCACCTGGTGGTATGGAAACTCTTTCCGAGCTTTCGTTCATATTCTTTGCTGGAGCACCACTTGCTCAGGAGGTTGGTGATCGTATTGCCGAGACCACTCAGATCCAGACCATCATCGGTTCTACCGAGGGCACTTTCTGGGATAGCTACATTACCGAAGACCGTGCCGACTGGGGTTGGTTCGAGTGGTGTGAGCACACCGGTGCTGTCATGGAGCCGTCTGGAGATCTCTTCGAGATGGTTATCAAGCGTGTGCCTGGAAATTCTGTCCAAGGCGCTTTCTGGAGTTTTCCCGAGCTCGATGTGTACCGTACCAAGGACTTATACGAGGAACACCCGACCAAAAAGGGGCTGTGGAAGTACAAGGGCCGTAACGATGATGTGATCGTCTTGAGCAATGGTGAGAAGTTCAATCCTGTCATGTTTGAGAAAGATGTAGAAGGCCACCCTGCTGTCAAAGGTGCACTTGTTGTCGGCCAAGGTCGCTTCCAAGCTGGTCTGATTCTGGAGACCAACACCAAGACCGACCCTGAGGCATTCCTTGAACAGATCTGGCCCACCGTTGAGAAAGCCAACGAGAAAATGGCTGCTCATGGTAGAGTTTGGAAGTCTAAGATTGCCATTGCCAATCCTCAGAAGCCATTTCAAAGAGCTCCAAAGGGCAGCATCATGCGTCGTAAGACTAATGAGCTCTATCAAGCTGAAATCGAGGCGCTGTACTCCAACGAAGGCTCTGCCGAGCATCTGGGACAACTTGACGTCAACTCTGACGACGCTGCCATTCTTGACTTCGTCAAGCAAGCTATTCGTCTTGCTTTGCCCAAAGTCTCAGAGAGTCTTGAGAACGAAAGCAATGACATTGACTTGTTCTCTTTTGGCATCGATTCACTACAAGTTCTCGCATTGGCAAACACCATCGGCTCCTCCTTGCCCAAAAAAGAATGCTCGCGTGACGCAACCTTCAAGCCTCGTATGGTCTACAGCAACCCAACCATTAACGCTCTGACCAATGCTATCAACAATCTTCTTCGTGGAGGAAGTGCCAACGGAGCTCCGACCAAGTCTCGTGAGCAAAACATGGATGAAGTCATCAAGAAGTATACACAGAACTTGCCTCCACCTGTGGGGTACGATCCACGTCAACAGAAGCATGCTGTGGTTCTTACTGGTAGTACTGGCTCTCTCGGCAACTACCTGCTCGAGGAGCTGATTACAAATCCTGCAATTGCCAAAGTGTACTGTCTCAACCGTTCTGATGCCCAGAGTCGCCAGAAGCGCAGCTTTGAGGAGCGTGGTGCCACTCCAGACTTCTCAAAGGTCGTCTTCCTCCAAGCCTCCTTTGGCAAGGAGCAATTTGGTCTCTCCAACGAGGTCTACCAACAGCTCCAGCGCGACGTCGACATTTTCATCCACAACGCTTGGGCTGTGGACTTCAACATGGGCCTCGAGTCCTTTGAAGAGACCCATTTGATGGGCACCCGTCGCGTGATTGACTTTAGCGCTTCAGCTCAATACCATCCTCACATAATATTCATCTCCTCGATCGCTAGTACTGGTAATTGGTTGGGAAGTGGACACTCCGGTTTCGTTCCCGAAGTATTCATGCAAGACAACAGTCTTCCCTTCCCCCAAGGCTATGGCGAAAGCAAACACGTCGGAGGCGCCATGCTCGCCCTCGCAGCCGAGAAGTCTAACATTCCTTGCACAATCGTACGTGTAGGTCAACTCGCCGGCCCTACAGCCGAGAAGGGACTTTGGAACCGTCAAGAATGGCTACCTTCTATCGTTGCCTCTTCCAAGGCGATCGGTAGAATCCCTCGTACGTTGGGCAATGAAGACATTGTGGATTGGGTGCCTACAGATGCTGCGGCCAAGATTCTTATCGATCTTACACGTACACGTTTGCGTACTCAAGCTGTTAAGAAACTCGACACTTTCCACCTTGTCAACCCTTCCATTACACAATGGCAGGATCTCGTCCCAGGCGTTGTGGACTTTTACGCTTCTCAGGGTACTGAGATTGAGATTGTAGAGTTCAGGGATTGGCTTGATGGGTTGAGCAAGTTGGAGATGACGGAGGAAGTTGTGGGTAAAGTGCCGGGATTGAAGTTGATGGACTTTTACGAGGGACTGGCTGTCGAGGAGGGAAGTCTGCCTAGGATGTCTACTGAACATACAGCGGAGGCTAGCGTTACGTTGAGAGACTTGGGACCGGTGGATCGCGATTTGATGGTCAATTGGTGCAAGCAGTGGCATTTTTAGACAGATCGGAAAGGGTTATAGAGTTCTCATAGATTAGCGAGCGTGTAGCTGTATTGCAACATCTTCCAGCGACACCTTCCCAATTTGTGGTCCTCAGTCGAAACATGGTCATGACAGAAGCTTGTCGAATCGAAGCATTGCATTCGTTGTAGATATCTCAGACTACCATACAGAAAATCCAGGGATCATCAAATCTTATTGTCATCATCTCTCTATCGTTGAGGAATACCAGCACCGGTATTGTGTCCATGGCTTGAAGAGGTGGTATCATGATGTTCTTGGCCAGCAGCCTCCTTGTCAGCCAAGCCCTGCAGGTGGTCGGTCATCTGGTTGCTAGTAGCAATGAGGAGGTTGAAGAGAGCCTCCTGGATGGAGTGGATACCGGGGCCTCCGGCGAGGAGGGTGCGGTGGGAGGAGCCGTCGACGATGACGGCTTCGTAGGTCTGTTTGCCCTCGAGTTTCTTTGCACGGAGGACGATGCGGAAGGTGTCGGGAAAGAGGACGGCGGCGTTGGCTGTGAAGTAATACGGTCAGTTGTTCGCTTGGGTGGTGTCTGTTGCCCGTGAGATGTACATACAGAGGATCTGGTCACGGTAGAAGGTTTCGTCGGCCATTGTTGCGGTTGTGTGTGGTGGGTTGGCTGTTGGTCTCGTGTCAACACTTGCCGAGGTCGGGATGCTGCAGTGGAACTCACCTTTGGTGTCTGGTTGGTGTTAAAAGACAGGTAGATCAGAGGAGAAAGAGGAGAGATGGTGGGGGATTTTCTGGGGGACAATCTATCGTCGTTGATCCTCACATGACGTGACAACTCCTCTCAGCCTCCTCCTCCTTCCTTCTTCTTCTTGTTCCCGTCGACTCGCATGGCGTGGTGGTTGGCCGTTACTTCCGGCGCCAAACACGCATACGTCATCGAAGGATGCGATAAGCTCGATAAGCAATCCCTCGGGTTGGAGAGCTCAGGACGCGTACTCGGTTACTCCTACAATGATGTGTTTGAGGGATGATCATGGTTAAGTCGTGGATTGAGGTCATGTTCGATCAATACTCCAACGCCTATCTCGAAGCGGAATCGAAAAACCAGAAAAAGACAAACCAGGCAACATAAACATCTCCTCCCGCAAAGCGTCCCCCGTCGCGCCCTCAGCCTCTTGTGCTGATGCAGAAGATTTCTCCTTTCCATGTGCCTGGTCCTGAAATTGTCATTTTTGAGCCCTTGCCATCTTCTGAGCTTCGTCTCTCAAGCCAGTCAACGCCGATAAGACATTGTGAGCCGGAGGCCCGGAAAGATGCCCTTGAAAGTCTGCTCCACTTCTCTTCTCCTTCCAATGCACTTTTGTAACGACTGAAGGATCACCTGGCTTCGCTCTGATATCCTCGGCATGGATGGAGAAGCTTCTGCCCTGGGGGATCGCGGCCGGCATGTCCTCTGTTACTACTCATCAATTTGTGTCGCTTCAAGTGACTTGCTCCGACTCACTTAGAATCTTCTTCTGCATCAGCTTACACGACTTCTTCTCATTGCGAAGAAAGGCAGAGACTATTATGCCAGGCGAGTGAGGGTTATTGGACAGCATGTTGTATGAGGGTTGTTGAGTGCTAGCTAGAGAGCGAGCTGGGGGAGGGAATCGTATGATATCTAGCACAGCATGGTAAGCACCACGTATTTCCTGCTTGAGTTGGAGAGCATACGATGCTGCATCATGGTCTCATGACTTGGCTGTGCAACACTCGATAGGTCGCCCTTTGTTACCATATGTCGGGAAGCTGCATCACACCTCCGCTTCCCAGCAGGCATTCACATCGTCGCACCTCTTCGAAACAAAGAACATTGAGGGATAGGCCAAAACCCATTAAATCAAGTCGCAACAGAAGTTCTGTCTTAACATGTTCCTTTCTACTAAAGCGTTTTACGAAGTGTCACAGCCATGAGATGACATCTGGAACCCAATCGGCACCACAGCGTCCTTCAGCACCAAGCCTTTCATGACCAGTCCGAGACCTCCTTCAGCAAGCCCTGAGGAGATTTGCGCGACTTCTCGCCGCCGAGTCGAACACAAGTTGCGCCCCACTGCGATCTGGCAAGCTGATCCATTTCCCAAGGATTCTTCTCATCATCTTCCTGAACGCACAATCTCTCCCACTGCAGATTGGCAAGCTTTGCCCTTGTAGCGGGATCCTCGCACACCATGATCATGAGGCGAAGATTGGATAGAGCATCAACAGGAGTAGAGCAGAACTTTGTGTGAAGCAGAGGCTCAAGATCGCCGAGAACAGTCAGAGTTGCGGTGTAAAGGTTGAGCTTCTTGAAAGGGGATTGGACGTGGACTTGATAGTCGTTGCCATACTCGGGAAGGTAGCGACGTGCGGTCGCTGGGTAACACACAACAGTCAGGAGTTGGTCGTGGCCGAAGAGGTGAGTCAGGACTTACGGTGGAGGCTGCGACTGACTAACCAGCCGAGATCGCTTTCGGCCATGTCACCCTTCTTGACAAAGGCCTTGCGCGTAACAATGGCGAAGGCGTGACCAAGACGTCTTTTAATGACGGTTCTGTTTGGGCCGGTCATGTTTGCTGTTGATGAGTTGACTAAGCCGACTTGACAATCCTTGTTGTTGCTGGCCGGTTGGAGAAAGACGCGCAGAGGAATTCGCGTTTATGGTTGGCGAAAGTTGATGGCGACGCTGATCGATTCTCTGCTTTGCAGATTCGATCACTCTCACTTCGAACGGATGCGACAAGACAGCCGATTGGGAAGTTTGAGGTGTTCAATCGCCCAACTTTCACTTCCGTACCTTGGTGACGATCGCCATCCTGAGTATACGGGTGGCACACATGCTCGAAAGACACATTTCACATTCCTGGAAGGTATATTTCAGTCTTCGGATAGGACACAGAGCCTGGACTTTGTTTCGCTCTTTGTTTCTGCTTAGCACATAACGCTGATCATCCTCCGAGAACCACAACATTCTCGACCGTTGTCCAGCCCATTATCTGCTTCTTCCACAATCTCATATCTTTTCTCCATTCAAGTCGGCATTGCAGGCTCAAGAATGAGATCTCTGTAGCTTGTACTCCTGGTGATGTTGCACCCAATAGTACAGTTTCTCCAACGCTTCTTCTTCGGTATTCTCACAGCCACCCTTGATGACACATCTGCCTCCAGCCATGAGTCTGGCTTGGAACTGTCGATGTCCACGCATGCGGCAGGAGTGACAGATGGTACGGATGATGTTACATTCCATTCTCGGCCAGATGATCGAGCAATGGTCTGATGGAGAAGGTTAGAATAAATTTTGGGTGAGTAAGGTCAAAGAGGAAGTCCTTACTGAGGATGTTGTCGCGGCTTATATCGCAGTCGAGCTCATCGCTCACAGTGGCTCGATTATATGGCATGATTGCTGGATGTGTAGTTTGCTCGTGTTTCCGGTAACAGATGAAAGAGGTTTTGATTAATTGCTGCTTGTTGACTAATTCGAGCACAGAAGGTCAACAATCTATAGCAATTGCTACTGCGCTGTTGTTCCACAAGTGTATTGCCAGGGTGACTGATGTGTCGTTACTGCTTGGTTTTGTCGCCTCCATGACTATGTCTCTCGTACCTTGGTTTGCAAGATCCCATTGTCAAAGACGGGACCCTAGTACGCAAAGGCCTGATTCAGCAGCACCACCCAAACAGAGCCCAGAAATTTCATACGATACTGAACACAGTCCTGTGCCTCGCATTTGGACAATATCACTCTTTGAAAATGGTCGTTGCAGAACTGATTGTGTGCTACCGGGAACCATCAAGATGTAAATAGGGCGACCCTGCTCTTCACATCCTTCTTGAGGTGGATCAGAGATTGTGTATGGCGCTATAGCAATCTGACAATGGCTTCTGTGCACACTTAATCCCGCTTTGGAACATCTGTGTTTGTGTCGCACATGTGGTTGACAGATGGATTGCTCGAAGCAGTTCACAATGGTCCAGAATGCTTGGCCATGACGTAAGCTCTGACATGCACCTCCTCTTTCCGCATGAGCTCGAACAGCTAGTCCACTCTTCTTTGAACTTACATCAAACACGATCATCGCCAGACACCTCAATAAGCTCCATTCTCAAGCTTGTGTTCAGTCGTGATATTCGTGTCAGAAAGCATCAATCTCCGTCGCCGGACTTACTCGTTGACACAAACTCCGGAGCTCGAACTATATACTTGTTCTGCCCACAGTCTCAATTTCTTGACTCGTATACGTGCGCAATTGTCTGTCTGCCTTGTTCCACACCATAGCACTTCTTTCAAATACCACAATCATGGCTGCCGCAATCTCTTCCTTCTTCAGACAGTCAACCTGGATCCCTACACCTGAACTGACCGAGAAGAATCTGCCGAACCAAGCCGGACGCGTCTTCATCGTCACTGGTGGCTACGCAGGTATCGGCTACGAGCTCAGCAAGATCTTGTACCAGCATGATGGCACTGTTTACGTTGCTGGACGCTCGGAGGAGAAGGGAAACAAGGCAATCGCCTCGCTTCGTGAAGCTGTGCCTAACTCTAAGGGCAAGCTCGAATTCATGAAAGTTGACTTGGCCGACTTGACTACCATCAAGCCTGGAGTTGAAAAATTCCTGGCCCAAGAATCGCGTCTTGACGTCCTCACGAACAATGCTGGTGTATGTAGCAGAACCTGGAATTCGTGGATCAAACTTGCTGACGAAGAGCATAGGTCATGACACCACCCAAGGGCTCCAAGACAGCTCAAGAGTATGAGCTTCAGATGGGAACGAACGTTCTTGGCTCATTCCTGCTCACTAAGCTTCTGCTTCCGATCATTGAGAAGACGGCTGCCTCGTCGCCCGCTGGATCAGTACGTGTGACCTGGGCTGGCTCTCTTGCCGTCGACCTCATGTCTCCCACTGGTGGCGTGGCATGGACGGATGGTGAGCCCACTGTTCATGGCACCCAGGAAGCCAACTATGGCCAATCAAAGGCTGGCAATGCGCTCCTTGCCAGCGCCTTGCGTCGCCGTGTCGAGAAGTCCGGTGTGGTCTCGAATGCATGGAATCCCGGCAACTTGAAGTCAGAGCTACAAAGACACATGCCGAGCGTGCAGGCTATGTTTGTCAACATGATCGTCTATCCCGTCGTGAATGGTGCTTACACCGAGCTCTTCGCTGGTTGGGGTGAGGAAGCTGGACAAGCCGAGAATGCTGGCAAGTTCATCATTCCATGGGGCCGATTTGGACCCGTACGCTCAGATGTTGCAGAAGCTATGCAGAACGGGGGTGACGAGAAGCTTTGGGAGTGGTGTGAGAAGGCTTCTGCAAAGTATTCTTGATCTCGATGTTGAGTGGACGTGGGTTTCATGCCTGTCGAGAGGCACAATCGTTCTTGGGGCCGGTGTTCAGGTGGGTGGAGAGTAGTCTCCTTAATTTGTTTCCTCGAGCGATACCGAAATGATAACAAGCATTTTGCTTTACAGCAGCTCTCTCCACATGGCCTAATGAGGATAATAGACGTCAACACGGATGTTCAGAAGTCTGTCGCATCAAACTTATAATGCTGTCATGATGGGATGTATCGCAGGTTGGTCGCTCTTGACTATCGAAGTCTGGTCGTCTCCACAAGCGGGAGCAAGACAAAGAGTCAGTGTCAAGGCATCGAATTTCTGATTCCTCCCGAGCAAGCTTGTCCTGATCCAAACGGTACTGACGCAACACAATACCACTTTTCTAGGCTCAACGCTGCTTGCGAAGAAAACGAATTTCAACCCGCGGGAGCCTCTAGTCCACGTCGTAGCAAATTGATCACTGTGACTCTAGCAAACTGAATCCCCTGGGAGTTTTTCTTCGTGAAACACGATCACTTCTCTTTCTCCTGTCCCGACCCATCAAACAAAATCCCGGGTTGATGTCAAGTGCATCACTTCGTGACTGATTCTGGACTTCACCACTGAGCAACGAGTTTGACCATCACGCAGAATTCACTACCCACTCCCTGTCAAGGTCTGCGAAAGAATCCACTTTTGTATGTTGAGCAACCGCGCCATCATCGAGCTCAACGACCTACTCTCAATCCAGAGAAAGTGTTCCGTATCCTCTACTCCTCCGACGCGCGAGCGCTCCTTTCTTCCTCCTCTCCTACTCTCCGCGAGGAGTTTTAGCTGTGATACGCCGATTTCCTGGACCAACGTTGAATCCAATAGTCTGCTCTCACTCAAGGGATTACATCACCTTTCCAACCGCAATTCACCGCACAAAGTACTCTTCCGATTGAACCAAAGCTTTTCTGCACGGTCATTCAATTGCTTCCGAGCATGACCCGCCCAACACACTCGACTCCACACTCCTTATACACCACTTCTCGCGGAGCTCCGCAGTCCGACAAAGAGTCTGGAGACGCCATGCAGGGCAATTCTACCCATGCCGAGCCCGGGGCCGATTTGAAAAGCGACCCGAACGACAGCTGGTGGAATAGCTCAACTCCCGACACTCGAGCTGCTGATCTTGCTGTTGAGAACGTCGCCTCTCCAGCAACCAGAGATGGATCAAGCCACGTAAATGAAACCACTCAAAATACAGACATCTCTAGATCGGTATTTGGTGTGATTGCTAGCTCAGACGAGAGTACCAAAAATACCATCGAACAACGAGTTTTTCCGGGAAATCATCGAGAGGGGCGCGAACAGGAGAGCGGATCTTCCTATTCTCCATCTCAAGGGCAGAGCGACTCATCTGAGAACGCACCAAAGACCAAGCTTCTCAACAATGGACCTGAATCCAAGCAAGAGGAAGATGACAACAACTTTGCACGCCCTTCAACCACTCCCTACAAAGACGTCAAGGACGCGATAGATTACGAGGATGCGAGCACCCCTCCCCTTGAGGAAAAGTCTGCTTTTTTGGACAAAAGATTCCAGGCTCTACGGCAAAGACAGAATGAGACACAGCACAGCGAAAAGGTGGCTCCAGCTTCTGACGAACTCGGTGCCAGACAAACGTCGAGCTCAAAGCTTACACAAAGATCTGAGCCGAGAAACGCACATTCAACTTCTGTATCCCCACTTGTCCAGGATCGTCCTACGCGCTTTTCGAAGGAAGTAACACAGCTTCTAGTTGCCTCACAGTACAGCCGGAGTCCTGAAACTGCGAGCACCCCAGTCCCAACGTCGATGATGTCTCTGACCGACACTTGGCCACGTCACGCCCAAGCGTCTCCCACAGACGAAGGATATCATGAGATATCCAGACGCCACGCTGCCAGCTCTGAAGCTCAATTTGTATGCGATAAATGCGGAGAAATACAGCCCGCTGGACAGGGTCGACTTGCGAGCGTCGACCATCCTACCTGCCTGACATGCCATTCTGCAACAGTCCAGAAGCAGAATCTCACGAAATCGAGAAAGGCGTCGTCCACATCAACCAAGCGCAAAGAGCCGCAATTTATCAAACACAAGAGTATCCTGAAAAGCATGCGCAATTCGCCCAGTATCCCAACGCCTGTGTCGAAGAATGGGACAACTCAGCCTGTTGTGAGGTTCGCAGGAGAGGAGATGCAAGAGATAATTAACCCACGTGCCATCAAGTCCATCGAAGTTGTTGAAGCTCTACCAGTCGCATCCGAAGACCTGCCTGGAGATGGATCAAGTGACTTCATCAAACTTGGGGTCAAGACGATGCCTGGTCAGTCTCCAATATGGATTGGAGTATCTCGTGATGCGCCATTAGGCGAGCTGTTCGTCGCTGCTCTCCAAAGCGATGACGCCTTGAGAGGTTATGTCTTTATGCTTCCAGGTCAATTTGTGCGCTGGGATGATACAGCTGAAGAGGTATGTTTAGATGTCTATATGGAGCAGAAGCGTCGCTGACTCTATTCCTAGCTTGACTTGAAAGACGGTACAAGCTTTGAGATGCATGAGCTTCCGGAAACTTGGCTGCCAGGTGCTGGATCCGTAGCTGACGCTACTACTGTGTCTATCATACTCGAAGCTAATCACTCGCCGGCAAAAAGAGAAATGCTCGATAACAACAAGCGACTTGTTCCCAACCACACACCAACTGTCAGACCAGCGACAAGTACAAGAAAAGTATCTCACACTAGCCAAGATTCTCCCACCGTGGTCGTCCCCAAAGCCACACGAGCAACCCTCACCGCAAAGGTCGCCGTTGAGGAAAGAAAACCTCGCAACAAAACTCCGACCAAGCCCCAGAAAGCAGCATCTGAAGATATCGTTACGCACAACAATGCAAAAGAGCCAGAAGCAAGTGTCGAACATACTCCTGCACCTCAGCGGTCCAGTGCATCCATCGAGCAAAGATCAGAAGACACAATAGCAGCATCAGCATCAGCATCAGCATCAATCAAGCAGCTTTCCACCCTCGGACAATCTGTCATGGAGAGTATGAAGCGTGGGATCAAGAGAGTGCTTACCGAGGAACATGCTCAAGAAGCAGGAGAGAAGAAGCGACGGAGACGAGGATAGATAGACACTCATAGTATCAAAGCTCGGCCATGAAAGTGACAAAATTCCTGGTTGAGAGTAGAGATCTTTTTTCTTATTGATGCGAGGAACAGTGGGGGACATGAGAGACTTTCTAGGAAGAGGAAATGGTAAATAGTGGGAGGAGTTTTCAGATGCGAAAGATTTGAATATGAATAGATTTGATGACTTTTTCATCGGTCTGCTCTGCTTAGTTTCAAAACAGCTCTATATATAAAACGAAATGCTGCTCGATGATTCGTAATCACTCTCATTCCAGTCTCTTGCCACATGTGTTTCCATCCACACAATAAAGCATATTTAATCAGACACACAAAAGACACTTTTTCCCCGAGGACGAAAAAAGGCAGAGCTAGGTTCCTATCTTGGGGTCCTGTCCTTCACCATGTCTCGAAAAGAAAGAAATTGTCTCTCCTAAGTTGCCGCAAAGAGCCCGAACAAAAGATACGAGCGCTTGTAATAATCCCCAGAGCTTCTTCTCAATCGCTCAATCGCATTATCCTCCAATTTGACTCTCTTCAAAACGTCTTTGATCGTGCCATCAAAAGTGGCTGCAGTGTCGTGACTTGTAGACGTCATGAACATCTTGTCGAGATACAACAAGTCGAACAGCGCTTGTATCAACTTGTTCTCCAGAGTATTGCTCGCAGATGGATTGTCAGGGCTCTCGGTACCATTTCCTGCTGCTTCCCCTTTTTCAGATGTGCTAGATTCTCCGGATTGTTTAGCATGCTGCTGTTCTTGTCCTGAGCCATTGATCGAGCTCTTATCCAGGAGAGCCTTGTTGAGAGACACGACAACACTCTCACGCAATCTACTCTTGAGGATATTCACGGCAGAAGGCGACCAGAGATCGCTCCCAACATCCTTCATTATCCTGCACGTGTCATGCAAATATCTGAAACATGCCGGTGACGGCTGAACAGGAAGTGGTGAGGAGCCCTCCCACAGAGTAGTAGGCGGAGATCGCACAAATAGCTTCGGAGGCTTCGATGCGACTTTCTGCTCTTCCAAAGACTTTGTCAAAATCTGTTCAGCGAGGATCTCGTGGAGGGTTCGGAATAGCGATGCTGGCGGTTTACTCGTAGGAGCTTGACTTTCGCCCATCGACGCTTGATGTCCAATTTCTCTGAGCAGTCGCAACAAGCGGACAGCGGATCCCTTGTCCTCGGCCGACGACTGCACTTTCTCGTAGACCATCTTCAGTGACTTTTCCTTTTGCGTCACGAGAAGCTTTTGTAGCTCGTCAGGATCTTCCCTGGCGAGTAGATCTTGTGGAGAGTCAATCTCAAAGTCGTCTTCGATGTCGAGGTCAAGGTCGTCATTCCATCTGTCCTCACACATTGACTTTATGGTACTAGACCAAGTCGCCAATCTGGATGACCAGAGGGTGAGTGATTGTGCGAGACTCTGCAACGACGCGTCTTTTCCTCGCGATGCGTTGTGAATCAGGTTTCTGAGATTGATTGAGCCCTTTCCTGGCTCAGTATCAAGATTTTCAGGACCCCACAGATCGGTGACAGATCCAGGCTTGACCACAGACTGGATGTTTCCGCCGTTCAAGTATTCTTCGACAATATGACCTATGCCGACAGTGGAGGAGACAATGAAGTCTTGTAGACGACGGTTGAAGCAAGCGCGCAGCTCTTCGAAGAAGCTGATTGGATCAAGGCCTGGAAGCTTTCTATCGCCAGAAAGAGACTTGGACACAAACTCTTTGCGCAACATGATGATGGCTGTAACATCGTGGGTCTTGTCGAGTAGCGCATTCAAGCCTTTTAGAAGAGTGGACCTTGTCTGAGCGACCCATTTCTTTAGTATTGCAGTGGCAGCAGATCCTTGCAACTGATCATGCCTGAGCCAAGGTGTGAACCTCAGTACATCATCAGCAATCCATCGCTCGTAGATGTCGAGGTTCAGCTCTGGCATATCTCGAATCGCCGAGTCTTGAAGGAGAGGCTCATCCTGCAACCTGCTAAGCAGAGCAGAGAGCTGTTTGGGGAAGACGGCCTGGACTTCTTTGATGGTCGTAATGAGTAAAACCAATGCGTCGTGAAGATCCGTTTGAGTAGGAGATTCAACAAGATCGCCGAGGGTCGAGCCTCGCACGTGTAGAAAGTGGTTCAGAACGTCTTTCGGAGTTGACGTAGTAGCAAGAGAGAAGGCTGCCAAAGTGTCGATCAAAGCTGACTTTTCGATGTTAGTAGAAGCCAAACGCTTATCAATATGGCTTAGTAATTTCCGACGAAGAGAAGTCAGTTTCGACTTTAAATTGTCCAGCAATCCCGGTGGGTCAGGAGATTTTGAAGCACTGGTAAACAGCAATCTGGCAATGACGAGAAGTTTTGCCGCACGCAGTGGAAGATTGCCGCGCTTGATGACTTGAAGAGCTTGGGTCATGCAGCGTTGGAGCAGAGCGATATTCGAAGCAAGAGCATTGCGGCCATAGTTGCGATCCTTCTGAGCCTTGGCAGTCCTCCTCTGATTTGCAGCAATCCTCTCGATAGCACGAGCATTGCATTTTTGACCAATGTCCCCCAAGCGAAACTCGACCGAGTGTATCTGATGATCCATTTCGACTATGCGTTCGGCGGTGCCTAGCAAGTCTCGATAGCTATTGCCGACCAGAGAGCGCAACTTGTCGCCGTTCTCGTTGATATTGGATCGAAGCTGTTGTTCGAGCCGGCGCACGACCGGTACTGGATATTGAAAAGCATCTTCCCATGATTTGAAGTCCCTCGGGTTGGGGGCTTGGTTCGTGGTCATCTCTAGACTTGTCGTACACAGTGCATGTTATGCCAAGCATGGAAGTGGTTGTTGTCCAGTAGTGACAGAAGGAAGCCCGAAGTTCATCCGTTGCTCGAACATCAAGGTCGGCAGCACAACTCCCTTTTGTCACTACCATGATACTGCTGCTACAGACCGTGTTCCGCTCCAACAACTAGTCAGCGTATATCATTCCCTGACCTAGCTTTAGCATCACACGCTGTGCATCTCGATACACGACTGGCCATTTATCTGGCACCACACACGCGAACGCCCACACCACGTCCGACCCCCCGCGCTTCTAGAACGACTCATACTGAACAAGTCATCTCCTTAGTATCAGATCTGTAGAGCCCTTCATTTGCACAAGGTACATCAAAAGTCAGACACACAGACTAAATAGCGTTACCCGACAGCACGCTCTACCCAAAGGCGCAAGTCAATCAGGCAAGCAACAGACTTACTTTACGCGACCTCTGAGGGAAGGGCCTCTAAACATTTTGTGCCCCGCATTTCCAAACTCAAGAATACTCGCTCGTTGATCATATCACTCTTTATCAGCGAGAAGACAGTCAATGCATAAGTCAGCTCGAGGGCTGCGTGTATTGTTTCGGAGAAAAAATATAAAAATGAGCTCTTCTTCTCGCCGTGCTTCCGATCTAAATCTCTATATGACCGATAAGAAGACCAGGTCCTAAAGCCTCTGAATTCACCGAAGACAAACAGACAAAAGAAAGTAAAAAGTGAAGAGAAGAAAAAATCGACAAAGGAAAAAATTTCAAAGAGAAACCACGATCATTCTCATGCTCTCTCTCGTTGTTGGTCCTCGAAGAACCAAAGCACAAGAAGATTTCAATCATAGACCCCTGAGAACTTGTGAGAATAGAGAAAGAGAGAGAGAGAGAGAGAGAACATCCTACATGCTCTGCCTTTTTTCTTCTCTTACCCCAAAGAAACAAACGCAGGATTATCACCCTGTCGTACCAAAATCTCTCCTTGACCTAGCTCTTCCCTAGCCCGGTCATTCATGGTGCCATTGTTGAGGAAGTCGTTGTTTCCAGCACCACCAATATTACCATTGTTTCCGCCAAAGGGATTGTTGTTGCCGCCAAAGGGAGAGTTATTATTGTTGCTAGCAGCAACAACAGCAGCTCTTTTCTTTTCCTCTTCCGCCCACATGGCCGCCGTACTCGCAAACTTGATAGATGCCAAGATCATGAGCACACAAGTCAACAGTGCCACTCCAGCACGTTTCGTAATAATCCACCTCACACCCTCGACATCTGATCTGCTGTCAGAATTCAACAAGACAGTAATTCTATAATTCAATTCTTGAATTTTACGCTCGATATCGCGTTGTTCATTCTGGACCCCCATTTTACGATCGTCAAACATTCCCTTGAGTTCGTCTTTCATGTTTCCCGAATCTTGGGTCATGCGTTGGGATAATATATCGACCTCATGTTCGAGACGTGTGCGTTCTGTACGTGCTCTTTCAGCTTCAGCGCGGCGTTTCGTCATGATTTCCGTGTGTAGCTCTGAACAAGCGGCGCGGAAGAGATAGGCTTCATTTTCCACATTGCTTTTGCTGACAAGCGCGTTTCTGGCGAGATCAATGTTTTCCGAGAGAGTTGTGCGGGTGGCTTTCATGATTGTTATTGCTTGGGCTTGGGACCATCCGCCGTCTTCGAGGCGTTTCACGAGGCCGTAAGTGTCGAAGTGGTGGACGTAGTCTGGGGCGTCGATGTGGGGGGGTCGGGGTCGATTTGCTGCTTCTTCTTCGATTTGTTTGCGGATCTTTTGGAGGTCTGTGAGGGGTTCCGTGTCTTTCTGTGGTGGTGATGATGAGGTGGAAGGGCGTGAGGAATCGCTGGATGGCATGTTGAGTACTGTGTCCAAGGGTTTGGAATGCGGTAGGCGTGGCGCAGGTGTGGGCGGCCCGGGCGGTTGCGACTCTGCAGCATCCAAGACAGGTGACTCCGGCAGCCTCGTCGCACGCAAAGGCTTTTCTCCCGGTGCAAGTCCGTTGGACTTATCATTCGGTGTCGCGGTGTCGATGTCCTTCTTGGTGGGCTGAGGCAAAGCTTTCGCGTCTGTAGGCGCTACATCTCCAGGTAGTGTTGCAGCGATGCCCTTGGCTCCAGCGAGATACGGCGGCGGTTCGTTAGCCTTGCCATAGCGTATGGGTTTCGCAGCCGTCTGACTCCTCCTCGACGCCGTACGAAACACTTGTCGTCCTGTCCTTGACACTTCGCGGGAAAAGGGTGCCTTGGTGACCGGGGCAAACAAGAACGGGTAAAGGAATGTGAGGCGCGGTGTCGACATGTTTGGAACTGAGTGTGGTGGTCGTGTTGCTGTGTACGATGCAGGACAAGCCAGCAACAAGGGCACAAGGACAACAGCCCAATGTTTTGGCGGGGCTGAGCCTCGACTGCCCGCCTTGCGCTGATTACCCTTCATAAACTTTCACAAAAAAGCACGCCTTCCGGAAAGACCCTGCGCTAGCCATGCTTGTTCACGAGTTTCATCTTATCCCGTTGAACCTGTCAAGGCCCCTTGTGACATATTTGCGACATCTGTCAAAGAACATTTCTCTCTTTATGATTAATTATCGCCACTTTCCATCTCTACTGTACACTGTTACGCTCCTTCTAATCCACTCCTCCTGCCATCCACCTTGCCAGATTCCAATCAAGCTTGTCAATTTTCTAGCTCGACAAACGATCGATAGCCTGTTTGGTTCTCAATTAGCCATTGTTCATCTCTCGCACATTTGTCACGCAGATAAACATACCCTATCAATATCATAATCACACTTTTCCAATGCATCGAGTGCCTTTTCTCTTTGGTATCCCATACCCGTGAGTCTCTTTAAAATAGGATCGTCGTGTTCAGTTCCAGTGCTGATGGCACGGCCCAGGGCGGGCATCGAAGTCTTTGTGCTTGAAGTTGGAGCCTTGGGCGTTGCTTCTCCATCGCCCAATCGGCTACCTCCGAAATCAGGCTGCACTTGAGGTGCTGGTGTGTCGAGGCCGGAGAAGATGGCATCCCAGTCATGGGGTTGCTGGGCTTGAGGTGCATGTGTCGAGCCAAAGGGTGTGCTAATGGTGGGAACTGTCTGCGACGGACTGCTGCTTGACCCAAAGTCCGAGAAACCATTGGGTGCTGTCTTTGTGATCGGTGTCTCTTGGGGTGAAGAGATAGTGTGAATAGTCGACTGTGCGGGTGAGTCAAAGTTTGCATCAAACTCGTCCGTGTTTTGATGATGAGGGAACCCAAAGTCGAAGCCTTCACCACTGGCTTCCTTGGCCTCTGCGAGATCGTCAAAGTTGTCAAAGTCATCGTCGAATGCATCCTTGGTGGTTTCTTGAACTGCAACAGGAGTGGCACCATGTTGTGTGACTTCTCCAACGTTGGCAAAGGAGGTGGCTCCCATGTCAGTAATGTTGCTCATAGGTCGAGAGTGAGCATCGTGGAAGTGGTCTGAACCAGCGGTACTAGTCATGGGAGTCTGAGGTTGCTGTTCAGGAACAGAATGAGGCACGGGAGACTGTGTTGGGTCCTCACGCGACGGCAGTAGACCAGCGAACTCGGGTGGGAAGCTGTTTGAACCGCTGCGATGCTGTCCCTCCTGAGCTGCTTCGTAAGAAGGCGGCGACGTCTGTGCTGTGATGGGTGGAAGCTCAGAGATAGATCTTGCTGATTGTGCACCAACAACACTGGGACGACGTGCATCAGATGCAGCGACCTCATGATGTTCGGCAGAGGGCACCTCCGTAGTAGTACCGTTGGCATGAGGCTGGGAAGAACCAAAGTCATCACCGAAGCCACGCTCGCTATCACTGTCATCATCGCTGCTAGAGTCTTCTCGCTCCAAAGTCTGGATAGGAGGGAACTCCGAGTTTCCATAGGCTGGAGGTGCAGCGCCGACTTCTCTAGAGACGGGTGCGGCTGCAAAAGCATCGTGAGCGGTAGAGCCAACTTCTCTTGAAACAGGCTCGGCTGCGAAAGGGTCATGACCAGCAGTTTCACCACCGTTGTGCTGTTGATCCTCTCCAAAACCGGCAAAGGCAGAATCGAAGTCTTGAGCAGGAGCTTGTGCAGAGTGGCCAGTGGGCTGTTCTTCTTCCATAGGAGTGGCAGGGAAAGCGCCGGGAATGTCTTCCTCCAATTGCTCAGGAAGATCTCTGGTCACACTATCATGGTTTCCGTCATGGTTCTGAGACTGAATGGCAGGGCCAGACATCTGAGCAGGGGGAGTGGCAACATCCTCTCCACTCCATGGGTTGGAGGCGAAGTTGTTGGTCGGTGCAGCATCCCAAGGAGATGCGACATTGCCAGAATCTTGTTCGCCCATTCTGCTGCCAGGAGGTGCTGCACGGTTGGATGAGGCAACCGACTGATCTCTAGTCAAAGGTTGACGCATGGGCAAAATGTTGGGCGTGAACTGTCTGGACTCTGGTGGTGGCGGAGGAGGTTCGTCATGAGTCGTGGCAGACAAAGTTGGGGAAGCGGGCGTCAGACGACCGTCGGAGGAGACAGAAGGTCCAGATGGCTCTGATCTGAAGGATGTCACGGGCGGTGTGTGAGGTCCGGCTTGTTGTTGAGAAGCCGAGGGACCGAATAACGCGTCAAATGCGCTGGGATTAGGAGTGCTTGACTGGAAACCTCCAGGTGACAGAGCACCTTCTTCTCTAGGAGCAGTTGCCTTTCTGAAGAAGGGGTTGGTGTTCGAAGGGGCAGGGCTGACGACAGTCGAAGGAGGTTGAGGTGAGGCAACAGATCGGGAGCGCTCTTCCTGAGTTGAACGCTCCTGCTGAGCTGCATGCTCTCTCATCTGCTGCTCGTGCTCTTCGGCAGTCTTCTTCAAGTCACCCATTTCGGTTTGGATCTTCTCGTGTTCGCCCTCATTGGTCGCGAGCTGCTTCTTGTTGATAGCGACCATACCCTTCTGTTGACGGGCATCAGATCTCATCTTGTCGAGCTGGGGCTTGAGCTGAGCAATCTCGGCGTTCATTTGCGAGATACGTTGCTTCAGAGTGGCGTTCTCCTGCTGATCAGCCGTGAGAGCCTGAGATATCTGTTGGTTTTGGGTTTGCAAATCCTGGTAAGTACCCTCCATCATAGCAAACTCTTGTTGCAGCTTCTTGGTCTCGTTGCGCGAGTTTGCAAGCTGTTCTTCTAGCGACTTGACAGATCGCACTTCCTGCTCATACTGAGCTCGGAACTGAGCCAACCGCTGCTCAAGCTCACGCTTCTGAGCGCTGGAGGCAGCCAGGTCACGCTCGTTGGTGGTTTTCTTGGTCTGAACATCCTGCATCTGGTTTCTCAGATTGCCAAGCTGATTGGACATGTTGGCGAGTTCAGTGGTATCCTCGGTGATGTTTTTGGATTCTTCATCATTCGCATCGCCCAAGAGATCGTCCATGGCTGAAGGAGGTTGGGGACTTCTAGCGAGATTGCTGGGAGCATTGCTAGGGGCATTGCTGCTTCCAGTATTATGCGTTGCCAGTGTTGCTCCGAATGCCGAGGTGGGAATGAATGGCTTAAACATGGATGAAGGGCCGCCAGTCTGCTGGGGTGTAAAGTTCCTTGGAGGAGAATTGGGAGGTGGAGAAGATGGCTTGCTAGCACTTGCGAAGGGATCAGCACCAAACACACTGCCAGTATTTTGTGTCGAGACAGGAGCAAGAGTAGGTGGCTGAGCAGGGATTGATGGCATAGGCTCGTCCAAACCAAAGAGGTCCTCAGTGGCAGATTTGGGTAGTTGCGATGAGTTGTTCGCATTGTCAAAAGCAGGCGCAGTGGTCTGGGGAGTGGGATGAGATTGATTGCGCATGCCTGGAGGGATCAGAGCTGGGGGGAGGAAGGCAGGCAGAGGAGCACCGCTGCGTTGCTGGCGTATCAAGTACATAGCCACAGCGAATTCATCGCGGTTGAGCTGGCCTTCGGAATTGATGTCTGCCAAGTCCCAGATAGAAGCGAGAGTCTCTTCAGGCAGTCCAGAGTCGCTGAAGAACTTGACAGCCTGCTCACCGCTAAGGTGACCGTTGTTTGCCGTGTCAATACTTGAGAAGAATTGGTCGTATTTGGCTTTTTCTGAGGGTGCGATCAACCAAGCAGGGCCAGTGGTTTGTGGTGCCATGGTGGGCGGTGCGCCGAAGGCAGCTCTTGCAAGAGGACTCTGAGCGCGAGCCTGAGGACCAGTAAATTGACGGGGGATGGCGGAGGGGCCAGCCGGAGGCACCGGGGAACGGCCTGCAGGGGCTGGGCGGCGAGCAGCAGCTTCGAAAAGTGCTGGAGGTAGGACGTTCGGGAAGCCAGCTAGTGCGCGACTCTTGTAACATGTTATCAAGTGCATGGCGATGCAGAACTCGGTCCTGTCGAGAGAGCCCTTTCCTTCGCGGTCGGCCAATTGCCAGATACGTCCGAGGGTCTCGTTGGGTAAACCAGCTCTTTCGAAAATGGCCTTTGCTTGTTCACCTAGAAAGAGTTAGCGAGGTCGGAGTCGTGGTGTATGATGGTATGCGACTCACCTGACAGGTAGCCACCACCGGCAGACTGATCATAGAGATTGGCATATTGAGTCAACTTCTCAGGGTTCAAGGGAGGAATTCTGATGCCGGTGCCTTGGGCTTGGATAGGAGCAGGAGGGGGGACGGCTGCGACGGGAGCGGGAGCCGCAGTGGGAGGAGGAGGCATGCCATCGAACTTGGGCAGAGGACCGGCTGGAGCGAGATTTAGTCGTGACAAGCGAGCATCGGAGATACAAAGACATACGTCGGAAAGCCAGCTCGGCATTAGGATCGCGACCAGCCTGGTAGTGGCCGATCAGACGAAGAGCTACGCTGAAGCCGGGCTTTGTGAGAAGGCCACGGTTCTCATGGTCGGCAATCTGCCAGATCTAGTAGAGCAGCGTCAGAGAGCGGTAGGTCGGATATGGATCAGAAAGTCGACGTACTTCACCCAGAACATTGGGAGCGACTTTTGTCTTCTCAAAGAAGCGCACAGCGATCTCGCCGGTAACGACACCCAAGCGATCGGTATCAGCTTGCTGGAACAGCTGGCCGTAGTAGCGCTTCTCGTCGGCCGAGAGGTTCAGGTTGTTTTGATCTGGCTACGGGTCAGTCGCAGTGTCCTCGCTGATCAGAGGTAGACGGCCGACTCACTAAAGTGGTCAGCCATTATGCCGTAGAAGGTGTCGGATCCTTCATGCGGTTGTGCTAGGGGCTATGACGTGGCTCTTGCTGCAATCGAAGGGCTGATCAGGTATATGCGATTCTAGTACGAATGCGACTGGCGACAGACAGCAAATCTATGGCGGGGGATCCGGGCACAAGAAGATGGTTGCTAGACAGACGACGAGTACGGATTACGGCGGAGTAGACAGCATGCCCATCTCCCACCCCCAGGCCCCAGCTGCATGGCGCAAAGCTCCGACCAATGCCATCATCCTAGCAGCACTACATTCTCATTTCGTCCACTCCGCGCCACACTCTATTCGAAGCCTTCTAGAAATACACAATCTGAACACACTATCGATTTTACGTGAGCCACAAAAGTAGCTACATGTTTGCATGAGAGAACAATTCATCGAGTTGAGAGATGCGACCAAAGCAGTCCAAAATGCCGGCCCAGCCACCCAAACGCCGTTGCCTGTTCGCCCAGATACCGGCAACCAAAAATGCTCCCCATCCCAAGTTCACTCTCTCTTGCGACGTCTTAGTTGACTATTCCTGCACCATGCCAGGCTGGGCACTTGCTCCTCAGGTTTTAGTTTGCCGAGTAGCCAGTCCGTCACGCTGACCACCCTGTTGGTGCGTTCCGATCCAGAGCCTTCGTCGGCATGCTCGATTGTATGCTTGACGATACGTCCCTGGTCGTCAAACTCAAAAATGAAGAGACCGCAAAACTCCTCGTCCTCTTTTGACTTGCCAAGTACATTTGTGATTCTTTCCACCTGCTCGTTGGCGCCTATGCCGCGGTACACGGCAGGTGAGTCCTTGTTCCTGGCTTTTCCACAAGTCTTCCATTTGACTATAAGCTTCTCGTCGCGGAGAGAAGAGCTTGAATTGTTTCCACCATGTCGGATCATGCGTTCAGATACGACTGTCAGCTTGACATTGCCTACAACAGGCACACGCCCCCAAGCCACGGGTGCCGTCCATAATGCGGCAAGGTAGGCAATGCGTCCAGAGACAGTTGGAAGATGCGGGTGGGTCGAGGGAAACAGGTGGAGTGAGATTTGAGGTGAAAGTATATCTTGTGGTAACGGAGATGCGAGTAATGTTGGGAGGCGTTCGTGTAATATACGGACCGCTGTGAGAGCATTTACGTCAGCGTTTATTCAAGAGAAGTGGCAGACAAGGGATGTTTACTTTTGCCTAGCTTCAGAGTGCGCTCATCCGGCGGCTTGTGGTCACTGTTAGGGCCGGTATTTGACAGAAGACTGGGAGCCGAGCTGCTGAACCAGACATCGCTCAGAACAGACTTGGTAGTTGTCGGAATTGCGGCTTCTGGTCGGTAGGCATCGAGTTTGATGTGACTGGGAGCAGCTGCTATCGGCGTCACTGTCGCAGCGGCGGCGGCAGCAGCATTGCGAACAGGCGTACGCACAAGTCGAGTTACTAGCGATGGGCGCATTGGCCGGACTGTCATGTATCTTCGAGAAGCTGCAACATGAGATGATGACAGTAGTTCGTCGAGAGATGGGAATGCTAAATTCGAGAAGTGGATGGCAGAGCGCCGCACGCCGATCATCTTGACCTCAGTCTCCCCACCATCCACATGCATCCGTGTGCCATGTGCCACCTCCAGAAAAAGAAGCTTCGGTCAGAGCACGGCCTTCGTCCCGTCGGTGACGTATGTTCCCCCAACCTTCACCTTTGCATCCACCCGTGTGGAGTGTGGACATGTCCTGCATTCAGGCTATTACAATGTAGGTGTATGAGATAGCGGCAAGAGCTGTGGCTATATAAGTCGTGACCAATACCCCGTCCCCACGCCTGTACACATCCTCAGACCACAATCACCATGACTTCTGGAAAGCGCATCGTATTCACTGGCGGCTCTGGCAAGGCTGGCAGACATGCTATCCCGGAGCTCATCAAAGCTGGCCATCAAGTAAGACCCATGGAAACAATTCTTCCAGCACTACATAGTAAACCCACCACAGGTCCTAAACCTCGATCTCACCGACTTCCCCGGAACCGACCACAACATCTTCACCCTCAAAACTGACCTGACGGACAGTGGTCAAGTCTTCAATGCTCTAACGACCCACTTCGACTTTGCCGGCTACGACTCCAACCAAGTGCCCCAACCCCCAGATGTAGTAATCCACTTTGCAGCCTACGCCCGCAACATGCTGGTTCCAGACAATGAATGCTTCAAAGGCAATGTCACCGCAACCTACAACGTCATCGAAGCAGCCTGCAAGCTGGGCGTCAAGAAAATCATCATCGCAAGTTCCGAAACCACATATGGAGTTTGCTTTGCTCAGGGTGATGTGGACTATCACTCTTTCCCACTAGAAGAGGATTACGATGTCGATCCCATGGACACCTATGCCTTGTCAAAGATTTGTGGTGAGGAAACGGCAAGATCGTTTTCACGACGCTTTGACCGTGATATTTACGTCCTTCGCATCGGAAACGTAATTGAACCCCACGAGTACGAAAAGGACTTCCCAAACATTGTGGGAAACCCACAAGGCAGAAAACGCAATGCGTGGTCTTACATTGATGCTCGCGATCTTGGTCAGATCTGCAATCTGTGCATCAAGAAGGATGGTTTGGGCTTTGAGATTTTCAATGCGACGAATGACACAATCACTACGACTACTCCGACGGAAGAATACCTGAAGAAGGTAGCTCCCAACACACCTATCACTCGCAAAATGGGGGAGTTTGAAGCACCGTTGAGCAACAGGAAGATAAAGGAGGTCTTGGGCTTCAAGGAAGAGCACAATTGGCGCAAGTACTACAAGCCTGAGTAGAGCGGGATTATATCAAGTATGAAACGTCTTCTATGAGCCTAGCTCTGTTGTTACATTTGATTGTGCTCCGTCACCACAATACTCCGCTCCCATAGGTGACGTGCTGACTGGAAGTGCCTGTAGGAACGGACAGTAAGATCCAGTTTCATGATCTGTCCATTGAGAGCGCAAGTTTAGGGCAGAGGATACGGCGGAGGATTACTCAATAGAGCATCCCACGACTCTCAAGAATCAAGTCCTCCTTGCCTTTCAAGATCTCTACCCAGATCCTCTAGCCATTGCTCTTCCTCCAGCCTCTCAGCACGGCGTATGTCCGCTTGAAGTCCATGTTCCTCTGCTTGGAGCACGGAGTGAAGAGAATCATACTCAACACTTCCACTCGCTTCTGCGCGTGCGTTAAATGTCTCGGCGTCCCCGAGCAGTACTCGTTCTTCCAGAACCTCGTTTGCTATATCTTCGCATGCATACGCTCGATCGATCTCGGCGTCCCAGTCAGATGGGGACTCGGGTCGATCAGCCTCGTCCCCGACTGGGCCTGCGCCTCCAAGTCGATGTTCAGGCATGACTTCAGGCTATGGAAATATGTAAGTAATCTGAGCATCCTCATTCTCCGCCCTCTGCAATCTCACCTACAACATCGCCGTCCTCATTCTCATCCTCCCAATCGTCATCGTCAAGAGAGGGCGCATAAGGCAGTCTAGACATCACAGCTTCGTCATCGTCATCAGACCTCACCATTTCCATCGCTTCATCCTCATCATCAAGGCCCATCATCCTCGCCAGTTGCATCCTATCTTCCATTTCCTGGTCGCGCTCCATGGCGAGGCTTTCCTCCATCTCTCGCAATTCATCCTCGTCTAGTTCAAGCTCCAAACGTTCGCGTGTTATGTCATCAATATCGGATTCCTCATCCTCGGTTGTTCCTTCCTCATCGTTGCCTGTAAGGAGTGCCATCAATTGCAGTAGTCCTGCTTGCATGGCTGGTCCTCTTGGTGTAATCGTGCTGCGAGATGCTTGAATGCTGTTACGGGGTTTCTCATCGTGTACCTCCATACCCTCGAGGTAGTCTAGTTCTTTTCCAGGGCGTGAGAGGTTGGGAGCGAGTGACATGATGCGAATGGCCTTTGTAGGGAATGCGCGGGTGCGTTCGGCTGCTGGACGTTCGTCGTTGGAGCCACGTCTAGGGCGTGGGCTGCGGAAGCCAAGAGTGGTATAGGTATGCATAATGCAGTCGTCGTAGATGCCCATAAAGCTGACGGGCACCGCCAATTGAGGTGCCGAGCTGATTGGTGTGGCCCATATAGGTCGCTGTGAAGGTCCTGTCTCTGGTAGTTGTCCAAAGTCTGGCAGAGTGAAGACATAGATGTTGTCGACTATCTCGAAGAGAGCACGGCCGTTTTTGACGCTCAGCCAGCCACCAAGCTCAAAGGTGGAACCATCGCCTTCTGTATGAAGAATAGCTGTTGTTTCTTTGAAACGTGCAGGATCGGACAGAGCACCAGGGAAGTCTGTGCAGATGAAAACACGACCTCCCCGAGATACACCAGCCATGAAGTTGCCTGATATCAGACCGGAACCCCATTCGTCGTTCTCAATCGCCAGTGGACTTCGTGGTACTGGATGTGGGCCATTGTACAGTTTGAGAGGTGTAAGGCGGTCTTTGCGAGGATGCTCAGGAGGGAACACTCGTGCTGTGGGACCGTGATTCGTGGCTCCCATGGTGAGATTGGGTTGAGGCGGAGGATGGGCGATGTGGAAGATGTTCACGCAGTCCTTCGGCTCGAGTCTGCCCATGACCTCTCCTGTTGTCTTTGAGCAAACATGAAAGCCGCGCTGACCCATACTGTACATAACGGTGTTTTCGCCTTGATCAAGATGACCCACAGCTTCATCCTCAATCTCCAGGACTTTGCGTTGTACAGGCGGATGGACAGACAGATCCCAGACGAAGCCTTTGCCTTCAGAAGAGACAATGCAGAGCGTCTCTTTGTCATTGAAGCGCGACAGTTGGAAGCCCCTGGTCTCGACATCATGTTCGAGGATGCTGACACGATGAAATGTGCCACGCTCTACCTCATCAGCCTTCCACACCTCGACGGCATTACCGAAGCGGTCCCAACATGCAGTCCCACTCTCCTGGTCATACTCCAAGTGCGCGCACATACGTACATCTTCTCTCCTCAGCCTCCAGAGCATGCGTCCATCATCCATGTCGGTGACGCAAACACCCCCAGATTGTGAGGTCGAGACAATAAAGCGGCGCTTAAAGTCGGGCTTGAAGCGCCATACCGGGTCATATCCAACTTGTACCACACTCTCTCTCACTACCGGACGACGACTATTCCAGTTCCTGTCCAGTAAGACCAACCGCTTGCAAAAGTCCTTCCAGCTTTCCACACCCTGAAAGTATCTGACAAAACTCCTGTCCAGTTTAGGTCCCCCGAAAGCCTTGAAGTCACGTTCTAGTTTTGAGACTTCTCGATCGCTTCTCGGATTTTTGTTATAAAGTTGATGAGCTTGTGCCGAGTAAATAGCATCCTGATGTGTGGTATCCAAGAAACTGTGCCAGGCTTTGCTGGTCGAGTTTAACGCCGCGATTCCAGAAATCGATGTGAATTCAATACAGCGCAAAATAATTTCCGCGGGGAGGATTTGCAATGGATCTTGCATCTTTGTTTTCGATGTGTGATTTTGTGATTTGTGAGAAAAAGGTTGTTGTTGATCTTTTGCGACAAGTGTTTCCACTGTTTCGTGAAACTGGGACGTCATATGTGGGGTAGAGATGCACATACTTTGATCGACGCCCGGACCATTATCAAGTCAAGCATCACCATCTCTTGGAGGTGCAATTGGTGTGACCGGAGAGGAGCTGTACGTGTATAAATAGGCTTATCCAAGAACCGTTGACCTACCTTCCAAATTTCTCCGCAGGCATCTTGTTGCACTTTCTACGCAGCCGTTATGATCAACGAGGTGAACATCAGAAGGTTCCCCAGTCTAACATCTGATGGTCACCGTGAAATCTGTGTGCAGGAGTTCAGATATATATCCTTGTGGTTTTAGTATATCACGCCGTGCCTTGCAGAATGTCCACTTCCCTGATGGTGAAGGTGACATTGCTCGTCCGAATTGCGGTCGAGCTCGAGCCTATTCCCGGACCTCACTGTCGATGCCGTCGCCCGATGCGGATGTTTGTGCTATTTGTTCAATGATTATGTAAGCAAGCGGCTCCGCCAGCTGCTGCAACGCTGGCAGCTCCCTCTATGCCCTCCTCTTCCCAAGCAGTACCAGATGGCCGCCCGGATCAATGCGCCTCCACAGCAAGCGACTTATGATCCAACCATATAGATGTAAACCATTTGCAGGGAGAGTTTGTTTTATACATCTCCAGGTTTCAAAAAATGCATGTCCTGTGGAAAGTAATGAAGACAATCGGATGTGCGTGCCCAACCTCCCATTCTCTCGCGGTTTCTGTCCTCGTACCATCGTATCTTCTGTAAACACTTTCTGCTTTCTCGCGACTACGTATACGAAAAGGCAAGGCTTCAGGAAGAAGAGTGATGGATGAGATTCAAGAGTCAGGGTGATACCGTAAGCATATTTGACATGCCATTTCTTCGAATGTTTGGAAATGCTATCATCAGTTAAAGGGAAAAAAAGACGGATGGTACTGTAGTAATGCGTACTTACGTGTGGCCTGCTTTCTTTTCACATTGGATAATTCGTGCAAGCAGTTTTTTCGCTGTTGCTGTGTCGTAAGATTTTGAGAATGAAGTTTACCTATCAGGGGGAGGATGTGGAATGGAGTCTCGCAAACTTGAGATTGATCTACGATGCTCAAAGACCTGCGACTCAAGAAAGATCCATAAAAGTTTTGCACCCTCCTTGTATCTTGCAAGCAATGTATATTCGTGATTCGTAATCTGTGGTTTTTTTTGCCATCCTCCGCTCTTATGCTGCAACAGCAACAGCAAACCCATTCCCATTGCTGTTACTACCGTTAACATGTCCATTCATCACCACATCCCCATCTTCCTGGTCACCATTTCCTCGCATCCCGTCCCCGTCAGCCATCACCCTCCCACTAGTGCACCCTGGACAATTATGCACAACCTCATGGCAAAAAACATCACAATCGACGCAGAAATGCCTCTCACAGGAGGGACACTCGTACCTCGAACTCTCACTCGCACCTTCAGCTCTTTTACCCTGCCCCGCTCCTGCTACTCCATCTCCACCCCTAGCAACATGCGGAAAAGGTGACAAACAGCCATAACACCTGGTAGACTTCTTCTGCACTGCTCTGGACCAGGAAACTTCATTCCAGAGAAGGAGAGGGAATAGGTGGTGGTAACTGCGTGCGAGATGGGTGGAGAGAATGAGTGTAAGATCGCAGGCTGGACATGTTTGAGGCAGACTGCAGACTTTTGCTGCACAACGACTGCAGTTGTAACCTCCTTGAGTGAGAACTCCATGACAGGCACATAGAGTTGCTTTTTCCTCTGTATAGCGTGATGGGAAGCCCATTTGTAGTAGCGCGGATTTTGATGCTTCGGTGGTGTTGGGGGAGGATTTTGTTGTGCGCATGACGGGCGGAGTAGTGATTTGAAGGAGTAGTTCGCGGTAGTGTTGTTCGTCGAGGGCGACGTTGTAGCTTGATGTATCGCCGGAATTTGTGCGTGCGCAGAGGTCGGCGCAGATGTGCATCTGAGCCGCAAGACCAATGACCGTGACGCGTAATTTGTCCCTCACACAGGCATTGATAGTTGCGTGGATATCTCCAGGATCCGACGATGACAGTGCGCCCAAAATGATAACGACCTCCCTGGTGCCGTGGGATGGTGTATGGTATAATGCCGCTCTTGCCATATCCAATGCATTCTGCAGACTCGCAGCTCCCTTTGGCTCTGTATTCCTCAACTCTTTCAACGCAGTAATATGATCATTAGGATTCCCACTGAGCTCAGAAATCCTCACCGCAAGTCCATCTCTCATGCCCAGTATCCCCAACTGAGAAATAGGATTCTGCTCGAAAAACTCCCTCACAAAACTCATCGTATTGGAAATCGTAAGCAGGAACCTCGTCGGCCGTAAATCCTTCTCCAACATAGCAAGAGATAGATCCAAAACCAGCAAACAATGTCGTATAATACCTCGTTGCAAAGGTGTTGTATCCTTTTGCAGACGTAGTCTTTTGGTCGCTTCTTCCATACCACCGAGGACATTGCTGAGGTTTCCATCATCGCCTTCGTGGAGATCCCAATTCTTTTGCGCGCCGGCTTCCCAGCGTGCTCGACTGCCTTCTGCATTCTTCGAGCCGGCTTTTGTCTTTCCGAGGTCTTGGGTGCGCGAGGCGCCGTTTGAGTGCGAGTTGCGAGTGTTGAGGTCTTCGTTTGCGTCGTCGGACATGTCCATGTCGTAGTCGTTGTCGTGGTGCGCCATTCTTGGAGAGTGGTGCTTGTAATGTGGTATGCGAGTTCAGTTGCAATGGTGTTGACAGTTGCGACACGTAGAAGTGAGTGTGATGCGATGAGCGCTGAGAAAATAGCAGAATGCGGCTGGGTCGTGTGGTTGATGCGGTTTGGTCACTGCATTCCTTCACTCAAAGATGTTTACGATGATGGTGAAGCTTCTCCAGATTTCAGTTGATGCACGTCATCGCATTCACAATTCAGCATGTTTTCACTATAGTTTATGTTAACTCACTTCCACAGCCACTGTTGTCAAAACTCGAGTCCATTCGATCACAAGGCCGGTCACCAGAATAGATAGACTTTCGCAAGATACGACAAGACATTGGCACACTCAAGATATTCGAGAAAAAGTCTCAGTTTAGAGGAGACATTCGAAAGTACTATCTCATCCATCCTCCTCTTCCTCCCTCTTGCCTGGGTATTGAGGGAAGGGAGGCAATTCCAAAAAAAACATTAACAGCGAAAAGGAAAACAAAACAAGTCATTAGGGTAAGGAAGAGAAAAGGTGTTTCCCGCCATCAATCAATCCAACGCCGTGCTGCTGCTTCATGATATGATAGAAAGAGATAAAACATGAGATGAAGAAATGGTGATCGGTTAGTAGTTCGTGCTCGCGGGTATTATATCAACAAGTGTGCTGTTTGGTTTTGTCGGCGTTTTGTATTTGTTCTCAAGGGTAAGTCGAGGTCTCGGTCGAGGGGAGAGGCCAGTCGTCTTCGGTGATGCTGGACCAGAAGACCCAGATCATGATGATTGAAAACAGTGTAAAGAGCGACTCGAAGAGCCCGCCGTTGATGGCTCCGTTGGTTGCGTTGCAGAGATGCACGCTGATGACGTATTGGAAGATTTGTCCAATGGCGAAGAGAAGCATTGCGGAGACGAGGTAGACTATGGACGCAGGTCAGTAATCTTATCGTGCACAAAAGTCCAAGCCAAACTTACACATGGGTCTGATCTCGCCGAGAACTCTGACGACAATGACAGCCTCCAAGATGAAGAAGATGGTTAGGAAGACCAGCGGTACGAGCTGATACAGAGTATAGAGCGAGTATGAGCGGTTGGGGGCCACAAGAGTATCATCCCAGTATCCAGTCCAGCTGAAAGCAGTGTCGAGGGCAATATAGCCAGTACCGATAAAGAGAATGATGGCGGATCCAAAGATGAGAGCGAGAGAGGCAAAGGTTCCGTCGTCCAGGAATTGATAGCCAACGGCACCATTCATGAGGAGGATCCACGTAGTTGCAACGATTGCGGCGATATGTACAGCAGAGAAAGCCTAGTGTTGTTAGTCTAGGAAGGCAGCTTCAAAGATGGTAGAGACTCACGCGTCGCACAGCACCATCGAGAGGGAACCAGCCAATGGTGAAAATTTCACAGATCGAAATGATGATGTATCCAATGAGGAACAGCTGCATCTCCCTGATGAAGTGGTTAGCATGCAAATATGGCATGTATGTAGGCACTCGACATACCTTCTTCCGACGGCGGCACGCTTCTTATTTGACTTCCAAATCAAGAACAAGGCGGTGAGGATAGCGAGACCATCAACCAGTATAGAACCCAAGTTTGCGAGATATTCTCCTCCTCCTAGCGAGATACCCTGTAGGTCGCATCCGCCAAAGCCATTACCTCCTCGTGACGGGGACTCGGAGAAAAGCTGTCGCAACAGGTCAATTGGTGGTCGTAAAGGTCGGGAAGAGGTAGAAACGTACATTGCAGACTGGCAGGGTTGATCGCAAGCTACCGGTGTCGCGACAAAAGTCCTGTAGACGACGTGTTAATGCGCGACGTCGTTGCAGTGTGAGGATGAGGTGAGCGTACGTGAAAATTGCCGTATTGCGTCGGCATGTCTGCTGGTGTGAGTTGTTGGGCGCCTCGTCGTCGGTCGTGTTTATTATGGGCTGAGTGGTGAGCGAAGGTTGTCGTCGTACAGAAGAAGCGAGCGAAGAGTAGAGCGAAGCGAAGGGGTCGTCGCCGACGGAGAGGAGACTGTGCGAGTCGTCTGTGATGCGCGAAGAGACGGTCGACTTTGTCAAGGACTTCTTCACGCTACAGGGCTGGAACTGACACTCCTCACTCCTGTGCAGATAGGCCTAAAGTTGGTACCTTCTGCCAAGCCACTTAAGGTTCTGGCGTCGGTCGCGCAAACAGGCTTTGATCAAAAGGGAGCCTCGAAGCAAGTCATGCAGAGGAACTGGTTTCGCCATCTTTTAGCTGCCCATATCATCCCGCTCTTAGCCTCCCTTCTAGTAGTCGCTCTCCCGCAAGTCTCCTTTGACCAAGCCTCCCTCTCTGTTCTTTGCATTCACATCTTGACCCATCTTCAAATCTTCGGTATAAAGCCGTTTCCTGTTTCAATCAGGGAGCATACCCCGAGCAACCATCTCACATCTACGTCACAACGACGGGATCTCTCGAACGTCTTTTGTCGCGCTGCTCTTGTGCTTGTCAAGCGGGCAGCTTAGTCTTGGGTGGCCGGTCAACAAGGAGTGAAGCTTGTCCCGCGCTCCCGTATTATGCAGCTCCACCCAATCGTAAGTCTTGGCCTGCTTGCTCCTTTTAGCGCTCTTGCTTTCCCCGAGACGACTTGATGCTCTTCTGGTCAACACCCTTGCGACTCGTCTTGTTGTCTCGCTGCATCCTTGCAGACATGATCAACCGCTTGTAGAGCTGTATTCTATCATCAAAGCTGCCTGAGGTTTAGATACCGCGATGAATGGACGACTCCATCACACCTCCGAGGCTCTGCATCAGGGGCACAGACGTATAATCAATAATCTTCTTCGTCATGCTTTCCCAACCACCTGCTCTTGCTTCTATCCTCTGACGTGTCATGGTCCAGCAACTCAACCCCCTCCGTGTAACCATTTCTACACTTGCTGCATCTTATTTGCATTCGTTCCTGCATATATTGAGGCTGTCCTTCCCGCCATCCCAGAAGCGCTACAGCACTTCTTGCATTAACGTAATCTCCCCTGTCATGTGTTAGACGAACCAACCATCTTTCACTTTCGGCACCTCAGCTTGAAACTCTATCCCCAGAATGGACAGTGCAAGGTTTGGTTCTGATCTGTAGCTGTTTCCAGTTGCGACTCTTCTGATTGACCGAAGAGGACGGTTGGCTTGCGTGCGTTGTGTGCATTGCTCCAACATGAAGGCCTTCAGACTGTATACAGTTCTTAAGTCTATATATACCGCCAGAAGATGATCCAGGACGAAGTTTTGAGTAATTAAAGACGTTCATGGCTCAACCAGTCTTACGCAACCCTTCCAAGACTTCCGCTACCATGATTGCTTTTTCCTCACCGTAATGTCCTGTGACGAGTTGCACGCCCACTGGCATCCCCTCCACCAGCTCCAGATCGTATTGCCCATGATTAAACTCATCGCTCTTGTTCTTCGGCGTGTGGTCTTTCCAGCCAGGGCAGGCTTCGACACTGTCAAGATGCTTATCTGCAAACACTCCAGTAGGAACAGTCAATGCTGAGTAATCGAGCAGATTCCAGTGAGCACTGTAACCAACATATTGATTGCTGATGACCCATTGCTTAGGCTTGTAGCCAACCCAAGGCAGTACTGGTGCGATGATGGCGTCAACACCCGACTCTAGCAATCTTTGAGCATACTCCTGCTTGTAGTCTAGAATCTTACGAGCCAAAGCTTGACGCTGTGGTAGATCAAGCTTGTGCTCTGGTTTACCGACCAGCATGCCTTCGATGAGTGGCTGAGGAGGATCTGATAGCTTGCAGGCCGCTTTGCAGCCTTCACCACCATCGGCGAGAATGGCTGGTTCCCAGAGCTCGTAGTAGGATGTAGGTTGTGAGGTGGAGTCCCAGTCGACGCACTCGTGACCAGCATCGGCGAATAGCTTGCGGACATGGTTCATAGCTCGCTGAATAGGTGGCTGTGGAAGTACATATCCATCATTGTGGATGAAACCAAGTTTGAGCTTCTTGCCAGCAGGAAGTTTGGTCATCTCTTTTCTCCAGGGGATGGGAGGGATACTGGGATCAACCTGCCAAGGGCTACTAGAGCAGTACGCCTCCATATAGGTCTTGAGTGAGTCAAGAGACCAGGTCAAGGGTCCAGCAACCGAAGGGATCAAATAGTCTTGATGGTTGGCCGCTCTCCGCCATGAAACTCGGAAAGCGGAAGGACAAAGACCATAAATCCCTTGCAGAGCAGCTGGAATACGGATTGAGCCGCCAATATCGGTGCCGATACCAATGACTGATCCGCGCCCACCGACTAGTGCTCCCTCTCCGCCAGAAGATCCGCCAGATACAAGTCCGCGATGTAGAGAGTTGACGCTTTGCCCAAAGACATGGTTGTAACTATCCGACATCATCATGCTCTGAGGTACATTCGTCTTGACATACAGCACAGCTCCAAGCTGTACGGTCTGGGCGATAGTAGAGATACTGTGCTGCTCGAGTGGCTGGAAACATAGACCCGCCCAACCAACACAAGCATCGTAGCCCTCGACTTCACAACAATCTTTCAAGGAGATAGGAAGACCATGAAGAGGGCCAGACGGCTTTCCAGTCTTGGCAAAATCCTCGTCCAGACGCTCAGCAGTTTCTAGGGCATCGCCAAACATGAGCTCAGTACAGCATTTGGTCAATTGCTGTAATACGGCAGCTCTTTTGCAAAAAGCTGTGACGACCTTGACTGCTGTAAGCTCCCCGGCTTGTAGCTTCGGGACCAAAATCGATGCATTGGTGTTAGTGATTTCCAGCTCCTCGCTTGTCAAGATACCACAGCTCTCGACTATTGGTATGGATGATTTGTAGTCATCAGGGATTGCTTTGAGGCGCCAGTCGAATGGGATGTTTCCAGCTTGAAGCTCACGCTTGAAGTGGCAGATGTCTTGCCAACTAGACATGTCTTTCTTCCTTGAATGGCTTAGATAGCTCGGGACTAAAAAGATAGAAGATAGAAAGAGTGGACGCGTTGAGGTTTATAGAAGATCATCTTATCAATCTAAACAAGAGGTCGAACGATGATCCACTTTAACCGGTATCGGATTTCTGGCGAAGAGGCACATAATTTTATGTTGTGACTCGAGTCCATGCATAAATGACGACGCACGCCAAGGCAACATTCCATGCTCGTGACCCTCGATGGGTTACCTTTTCTTCTCTTTGCTCCATCCACCAAGAGCTGACATGGTCGAGAGACACCCTCGCCTTTGTGATTCGATGGCATTTCTCCATTCAGACTGACTTCAGCGGACGTGGGTAAAATGAATCGACGACATGACCAAACAACAGATCGTCAGGCCAAGGACCCATTTCGACGGAGAGCTCTCCGCCAAGATCCTGGGTCAGCAGGACACAAGGCTTCGTCAATCGTCTGTCTCAGTTTGACAATCGTGATAGAGTGCCTTACTGTCAGAGAGACTGATCGTGAAGTCGAGATAAGCACCTTTGGAGGTGATGAAGTGTTGATACAAATGCAGTCATGTGTCGCGCGTCTCGGAGTTTCGATTGCTCTGGAACCTTTCCCAACAAATCATGAAGCGACGGCAACCACCACAACCATATCCTCAGCTTGTTGCGACGGACGAAATTTTGAGCTTGACTAAGCATCATATTGAGACACTGCGGAAGGCTCGCAATGATATCGTGAGAGACGTGACGCCTCAAAATGCGACCTTCGAGAATGTGGTTCGCCCACTCATCAACGCACAGCATACCATTGAGGATTCTTCAGGAATGATTACAGTGCTTCGATATGCTTCACCTGATACAGCTACGAGGAAAGCCGCAGAGGTGGCTCGTGATTTATGGAATGAGGCATTCAGTGAGTTTAGCGATCGACAAGACATCTATATCTTGATACAGGCCGTAAAGTATCGCGCCGAGCCACTGGATCCAGAATCTACAAGATATCCAGAAGAGCTGTTGGCGGACTTTGTGCGTTGCGGTCATGGAGTCCCGACTCGTGAGGGCATCTCTGAGTATGTTAAAAGGCGAGCGGCTATCGATGAACTGCGTGGTGAATTTACGAAGAACGTGAGAAATGCTTCTGGAGGCATCTAATTTTCCGAGTATGAGCTTGATGGTGTACTGGACCAGGATCCCCTTCGATTGCGCGCTGCAGGGAAGACTCAGGTGGACAACAACATTACCGATAGTGGGACCTGCTTCGTTTCCCTGAACAAACACGATATCAACACGGTGGTGCACTGTGCAAAGAGCGCTGATATCAGGAGGCGTGCATACATCGCGAACAGCTCGAAGCTTCCTGTGAATCTACCAATATTCAAGGAAGTGATCTCACTCCGGGATAAGAGCGCTCGTCAGCTGGGATACACAAGACATGCAGCCTACCGTCTTGAGAAGAGGCTTGCGAAGAACACCGACTGGGTGTACCACTTTATGGATGATCTTGAAGAGACTCTCTTACCACAAGGAGCCAAGGAAATAGCCGAATTGATGGCATTGAGAGCGACACATACCTCCCAAGCCAAGCATGAAAATGGCAATGCTCATGCGCTTTCGGCTTGGGACTATCCTTACTTTAAATGTCTCTCGCTCGAAGCTGTATCTGTTGACCAAGATAAGATTGCGGAATACTTTCCGATCGAGAGTACAATACTGCGTATGCTTGATCTGTTCTCGCATTGCCTCCAAATGAGATTCATCAAGGTCGCCTCACCTCCAGTCTGGACTACGAAAGTAGAAGTGTGGGAAGCCTGGGACGGAAGAATAGGTAGAGAACAAGAATTTATCGGTGACTGATATCTGGATCTTGAGTTCCGAGAGAACAAGCATCGTGGCTGTCAGAACGCCAATCTTCAGCCGGTAAGCACAAAGCAGATTCGTACCGTCGCCATTGCTGACAAGTTGGCAAAGTCTTAAATCCACAGTAACGGGAAGCGCAAGTATCCATCGACTGTGCTCATGTGCAACTTCGCGACCCACACGCCCGCAGGTTCTAGCTCTTGTACCGTGCTGAAGCATTTTCGGGTCGTCTCCTTGTTTCATGGTGAGTAGGTAATGGTCTTTAACCAGATCTCAGGAAGAGTGTGTCGCTAAACACTGATCACAGAGCTTGGACATGGTATACATGATCTTGTTTCACGTACTCAATACTCTCCCTTTCACGGTTGGTGCTCGCCACCTGACTACGCAGAGGCTCTGGGTATCATGCTCGAAAACTGGTGCTGGTTACCCGAGGAGCTGAAACAGTTGAGCTGCCACTACACCACTCTGTGCCCCGGACTACTGCAAGAATGGCAACTACAACATCCAAACGAGCCGACCCCGCCAATGTCTATCCCTGACAGTCTGGTTGACCCTCTGATCCAGCATCGACACGCATTTCGTGCTCTGTGCATGCTCGGCCAACTGTAAGTAACCAACATTGCACGGAGAAGCATTACTAACATGGACATAGTGCAGATGCACGCCTCGATATGGCCGTCCATGACCCTCCGTCTCAAGCAGCCTGCGCAGTCCTAGATCCCACAACCCTATACACATCCTTGCACGAGCAACTCACCTTCGAGTCCACTTCTCCCGGCGAACGTGGTCATCCACACGCAGACTTTACACATCTTCTCTCCGGCTACGACGCAGGATGCTGCAGCTACCTGAGCGCACAAGTGTTCGCGGCAGATCTGTTCGCAGAGTTCAAAGATGATCCGAGGACCCAAGAGACCTGGGAGAGATATCGGACTACAGTACTGGAACGAGGTGCTAGTATGGATGAGTTGCAGAATCTGTGTGATTTCTTGGGGAGACCGCCGGATGCCAAGGCACTTTTGTTGTCATCCTAGGCTAGCATATACAATCTTCTCACCACAAATATGAACGCATATCACGGTATGTGGATAGCAGCAATGGAAGTAGAGTGAAAACGATACGAGACTTTATACTCAACCAGTGAGAAATGACAGTTGGCGGAACAACATTCATAGACATACTTTGCGCGTAACCAATGCCCAGATACCTCAAAGTGACTGTAGAGGCTATTTACCTCCTTGATTGACTGGCAAGCCACCTTTATATTACACACTCCGGAGCTGCCGAGGACCCGTTTAGGACGACTGGCGCCGGTGGCTTGCGATAGGAAGTTTGTGAGAGAACCTCTTGAGTGGCCGGGGACCCGATTAGGACGACCGGTGCCTATGAGCATTTCGAACCCTCTTTTTGCTCTTCTGTGTAGAGAAGACTTCACTAATAGGTTATGCTGTGTCTATTCTGCTGTATAAGGGGAAGGAAAGGCAAGGAAGCGAGAGTTTTTGGATGTTTTGTGCAGGGCCGCTTTTTTCACTTTGGAGCTTCAACGATGTTTGAGACATGTTACGATCACTGGTTACCCTCATCGATTCTTGATTCGGAATAGACCAATCGAACTCCAGTGAATCAAGTCTTATCATCTCAGAAAGCCCTCCTTCCAGTCTTGACAGCACTCAATATCCCCTTGTCAGCCATCATCTCCACAAAACTCATCAATACTGCATCACAACCCCTTCTGGCCACGATATTGATAGTCACAGGCATCCTCTCCTCTTGGAACGTCACATTACTGAAGTAAACCACTTGTCCAATTGGGAGTGTGAAATCTACACAGCCAAAGAAAGGACAAATGGCGCCAGAGTCAAACCTTCCGGGTGGATTGGGGAATGTCGAACCAGACTGTGTATTCAGACTGTATTCGCGGAAGGAGGGAATACCGCCTGTACCGATATCGTGGAGGAGGATGGACTCAGAGCACGAGGTATCGGTAGGAGGAAGGATCTTGTTGTGGAAAGCGGCGGATGCAGTACGGCGGAGTGATCGTGCTGCTTGATGTTCTGCTGCCGTGGGACCTGATGCTGCAGCTCGCATGATTGATCTATTCGGTTCATCGAGGGGGGGAAAGCCACCGTAGCGAGTTTCCCACTTTCTGAGGAGTGGCTTTGCGATGTGTTCGTTTTGATCGTACTTCCAGAGGATGGTGAGTGCTTCGGTCAGATCTGTCATATTAACGACCGAGGTATCCACGACGTGTGTTACATTGAGCTTATGTACCGTCATATTGAACACAGATGTAAGTTTGCCAATAAACACCTGTAGAATCGCTCCTGCTACTGGATTGGTCAGAGGAAGAAGATCGACTGGATAGATGATTTTGGTGGGAAAACCATCATGATTCGGAACTTCGAGAGCTGGTAATCCAGTCATGGACTCATTCTGCATCAAAAGCTCGCTGTAAAAGTGTTTTGTAAACTTAGCCCACTTCCACGGATCTCGAGTAAAGACACCACAGGCATCAGTAGAGTAACTGATAGGCATCACATCATCCAAGGCCATAAGACCTTGCGAAGGACGATTTGCGTATACGCCAGCACTAGCAGCTGGTCTTCGCATGGAAGTACCAGTATCTGAGCCTAGAGCATAGTCTAGCCAGTCATACGCAGCGATCGAACATGCACCGCCAGAAGATGAAGCAGAACATGTCAACCAACCATCTCCACGCGGATTGAATGGATATTGAAAGTCTTGGAACTGCCATGGATCGCCAGCTGATGCGAATTGTGCAGTCTTTTGTTTGCCGACGATTACAGCTCCAAGATCGAGCTACGGGTAAATTAGGGAAATGACGTTCAGAGCGTATTTGGTCCCTGACTTACAAGATGTGAGAGCGCAGGACCGGTAGAAGAGGACGGCTCGGCGAGTTTCCAGTGAGCCAGGCTTCCCCAAGTCGCTTTCAAGCCTGCGACTTCGTAAATGTCTTTTACGCCCACTCGCTCTCCGGCTAGAGGTCTAGGGTCATACAAGCTATAGAGTCTTGATGGTATACTATTGATTCGTATCAGTAGAGGCTTAGTGGGGAAATGCTTGCTGCTCATGATTGAACACATACGGGACCAACACAAAGCCTGTCTCTGGCTCGACCATCCCGAGTTCAACATGCTTGCCCGAGTTATAACGATATACTCCGTTCATAAAGGTTCGGTAAACATCTGGGTAGATTCTGTAAACGCTAGCGATCGACAAGTCGGTCTTGTCAACGGTAGCCAAATACGGCCCTGGAGGCAAGTTTCGTCCAATCGATAACTTTTCGGGCATGATGGGATCATTGGGATCAAAAGTGCAATATCCATCAACGAACACTCGACTCACTCCAATCAAATAAAGATGCAGAAACACCGACGCCTCAACTACAGGACACTCAACAGTAGTAGTCAAGACGACAGCTTCGAGGAACTCGGAGTTGAAGACATCATCCCGGGAGGTGTAATTGGCGAGTATCTCCAGTAGATACTCACCAGTCACAACATCTCGGTCTGTCCATATGACCGTCAAAGGAAAAGACGTGCCGATACCTTCTTCCGCACGATAAGAAGTCCGGTTAACAATGAGTTTTGGGTACCGAGTGACGGCCAGATAAGAAACATTGCCAAGCTGGAAAACCTGATCTCCAGCTAGAGTTTGCTTCACGACTTGGTACACAGAGGGTGTAGTGTCGGTCTTGGAATGGTTGTAAAACCACCATGACAGTAGTGGGAAGCCAACAAACGAGATGATGGCGAATAAGAATATATTTCGAAACCGAATTTCAGTGGCCGGCGACTTTGGTTCACACTCTTTCGATTGCTGCCCAGAAGCCTTGTCATGTGAACGCATGATTGCAGTGTCCAGATAGTGACGTGTGGTACCGGTGATGACCAGAGAGTGTTCTAGTTGTGGAGAGGGAAAATCATCATCTGTACTGGCTACTAAAATCTATGATCCGATAAGCACGATAAGATATCCAGGAGTCATTATGTAATGTGGTCGAGAAGGCGCAAACAACCATGAAGAGTCTCGATGCTAGAATCCTGCTTGACACGGTTGATACTTCGGGGTCATGGCTCGTGTGGGTCAGCAAATTCGCAGACAGGAGAAAAGGAAGATCTGATGGGAGAGAAAGAAGAAAGATGAGATATCATAATACAACAAGACCGTCCATATCTTCATTCGTTCTGTCTTGACAAACATCTAACATTACAAAAGGCGAACCTGCTTTCATCCATATCAAGGCTTAGCCATAACATCAACATATCTGCCACCTCTCTTCTTGGCCTTGGCAGTACCTCCTTTTCTCGGCCCAGGTGCACCAAGTAAATCATCAATACTACTTGCGTTACTCATACTCGTGGCGGGACGACTCGGTGGTGCTGAGGATGGTGGCCCTCCTGCTAGTCCACCCAATGGTGGGGGTGCAGAGGCAGACGCGAAGCCATTTTGTGGTGCAGCGGGTGACGTGACCATAGAAGGAGGGCCAGACGGTGGACCGCTTGGTGTCATAGCTCGTGAAGGTGGGCCAGACATGGGAGGTCCAGCAGGTGGCACAGCAGCAGCACTGACACTTCTACTCGGAGGACCCTTTGGCGGTGGTGGTGTGGCAGCAGTAGGTGTAGCCGCTTCAGCACCTCCCTTCTTGTTGACCCACTTCTTGAGATCGGGATCGTAGTAGAAGGAGCTCTGTTCACCGAGCTTGGCTCTAATAGGCCCTTGTTGTTGAGCGTTCGGGTCTTTCTTGCCGAACCAGCCACCGAACCAACCTTTCTTATCACCACCTGCACCTGACTTGTCGTCGCGTTTGGCGTCTTCTTCAGCGGCTTTGCGGAAAGCTTCGTCTGCTGCTTTGTCATCGGCTGATTTCTTGAGAGCAGCGGCACGACGGATGATCTCGTCGTCATCGTCGTCATCCATAAAGCTCTTCTTCTTTGGCTGCTCTTGTGACTGTTCATCGCCTTCCTCCGGATCTTGTTCTGGCTCGTAAGGTTGGTAGCTGGAAGTTGGAGGCTCGTAACCAGATGCACCAGTCGGTGGCTCGTAGGATGTTGGTGGTGCATACGAGGATGGTGCATCATACGACGGGGGAGCGTAGGACGAAGTCTGGGGTTCGTCCGAGATTTGAGGCTCGTCTGAAGGCGGTTCATATGAAGATGGCGGCTCATAGGACGATGAGGGATCATATGATGATGGTTCATAAGACGGAGAGAGTTCGTAAGATGTAGGAGGCTCGTACGGAGAAGCTGAAGGCTCGTATTGAGAGGCTGGAGGTTCATACGAAGAAGTTGTGGGCACATATCCAGGGTACTGAGACTCTTGCACAGGCGTAGGCTCAGAGGGTTGGTAAGGCGACTGAGTGTGCGACTCATACAGCGATGGCTGTTCGATTTCACCTGTCTCATTGCCATTGTCTCCATAGATTGGCGACAAAGGCGTGTAAGAGCTAGGCTGGTAAGGAGAGTGTCTAGAGCTCTCAGGCTGATATCCATGTATCGGTCTGCCCTGGTCGAGACTCGAGCGAGGCTCAGAGTTAACACCAGATTGAACAGACTCCCGCCTTGAAGGTGGCTGGCTGTATTGGACACGGTGATCAGATACGGCACGAGACGCCTCTGGCCGTGGGACACTGAGCGACGGCTGTACTTGCTGGTTGTCTCCAGCCACTTGCGGCAAATACGCTCCGAACGGTGTGCTACTAGCACGTTGTACTGGCGCAGGTGCGGCAGTGGTGGGAGATACAAGACTACTGTAGCCAGTTCCAGGTCTCTCTTGCTCATAAGAGCGCGATGACTCCATGGAACCCCTGCTTGGAGCATATGCGCTGGATGCGTAACGTGCAGCCGAAGCACCACCAGGCTGAGTAGGTGGTGCATATCGATTCGGTGCGGAGCCGCTGGGCGCCGACGTGTTGCCAACTAGTGACATTGCACCGTACAGATCAGTCGTTGAAGCTGTTCTGCTGACCGTCGGAGTCTCACCAGTGATACCTCCAAACGGTCCTGCGGGGGCACCTTCACCACCAGTTGAGCCGTTTGACTTGGCTTCATCGTCATCGCCAGCAACAAAAGTGTTGAAGCGCTTCCACATGCTCCCTGAAACCTTATCCATGGAGGGCTTGGGGATCCAACCTCCCGAACCACTGGCCTGAGGCGCTTGTGACAAACATCTGTGCAAGTCGTCTACGCTGCTCAACAATGCAGGAGAATAGTATGGTGAAAGGCGGGTAGACGTCTTGAAAGAGGCCATAATTGCGTCACAGTACGCTTGAGCCTCGGTGCGCAATCCATGTTCGGTGAGGATTTGAGCATGTTGGTACTTGAATGCTTGCAGGTGATGAAGGGTAGGAGAAGTTCCAGGAGCAGGCGCAAGAGACACGCAGAGCTCATAGACCTCGGTCAAGAGGATCGCGTCCAGGTCAGACAGCTCCTGGGATTGATTCCTGTGGTCTGCTCCAAGGAGGACAAAGTCAGACTTTTCATCGTCCGCACCACCAAGATGGGCCGAGGCTTTGGCGAAGAGATAACAGGTATGAGCTGCCTCGCTACGACCGTAGCTGGAGAGAAGTTTGCCTAGTGCCGAGATAGCCTGGACATCGTTATTGCTTCTGTTGCTAATAATAAGGCACAGTGTTTCACGCCATTGGTCAAGACCGTCCAAGGGGTTCTTTGCACTCGGTCCTGCTTTGCTGATCATCTGGAAGCCAGCACGAGCGGATGGTGGGACGAGCTCATCAATGCTCTCTTCCCAGTTTCCAGCGAAGATTTCGTACAAAGCTGCAAGTGATTGCGAGTTTTCTCCGGCATCCTTGACTTGGGAGCGAACATATTCCTGCACAACCTGTTTCCAGATTTCAGGCCCGGCGACCGATGCAATGAGCAAAGCATGGGACCAGAGCTTTTTTTCGGCAGCATACCAAACGGCCTTTTCACGATCACCTTCGAGAAGATGTCTGCGGATCTGCGCCATTGCTTTGGCACTGACGGGCTCGGCGGGGAGTCCAGAGGATATATTATCGGTCAAGTCGTCGCCCGAAGCATCTACATGTGCGAGATTTGGAAGCAAGATCTTGCGCGCAGCGTCCTCTGCAGTAGCATTACCTTCAATCTTATTGTCATGTTCCAGCAAAAGCCTGACCATCTTCCAAAGGATAACCTTCTCTTCGATACGTTTCTTTGCATGCACAGGCACAGTGAAGTCATGGAGAGTGCTCTCATTCACCTTCTCAATATCTTCAATTTTGCCAGTGATCCACGCAAGTGTATCCTTCTTCTTGGACTTGCCTTTATTCAGAGGTCCAGGGAATTTTGCGTCTCGCTCATCCAGAGGAAAAGTCATCTTGGTGTCATGGATGGTGATATGTCCAGGGGTACACTTGATAGTGGGTATGGCATGACCAGCTGCATAGAATGGAGCTTGCTTAGGGAATGTACTAACCACCGAGCCACTTGGCCCCCATTTGAAGACAGGACAACCCTTGTATCGTTCCAATGGGTCTTGAGCCCGTTCGTCCTGAGGAACCGTGAAGTTAAGATCAGAAGATAATTGTTGTCGAGCTGGCGGCAGAGCCGATCTAACGTCTTGTCGCTGAAGCAACGTGGGCGAAGTAACAGTACCGGCAGCAGAAATAGGCCTCTCAATCCGTGTGATAGCCTTCAGAGGTCCTTTCATTACAGTCCCTGGCGATTGAGTCTTGGACCTCCTAGGAGGCGAGAAGGTGTCGCTAGGCGCTGGTGGTTCAGCCGCATTGTACTGCTGGGAGACGCGAGAATCGGGTGACACGGGCGCGTAAGGGTTAGCCTTAGGAGGTGATGCAAAGGACTGGATAATGGTCTGGTCCAAAATATTGCTGTCTCTCCTAGGAGGGGTTTCAAAACCTTCAGCAAGTCCTGACATCTGGCGGTTGGGAGGTGGACGCTGGTATGACACTGAGCGCACGGACGGAGGAGGCATGTCACCAGCAGCTGGTCTCTCGTGGTATGCTAGCGGACTTGAGGTTCTGGGGGCGAATGTTTGAGCAGGGCGTGCGCCAGGGCTTGAGGCAGGCAGCGCAGCATACTTGTTCTGTGCCTGGTTTTGAGCTTGAGCTTGCGGGGCAGGTGAATAGCGCGAACTTGCCGCAGGAACTGGTGGAGGCATCGGTGAGAAGCGTCCAGTCGCTGGCAGAGGTACTGCTGCTAATTCTTGGGTAGGAGCTGATGGCGAATACCTGGATGTTGCTGGAGGTGCAACGGGTTGAGGTGGCTCAAGTTGCTGAGGGAGTCCTTGCGTGTCTGGCAGTAGAGGCAGCTTCTCAGGCTGTCTGAGACCTTCGACATTATAGCTTGATGATGCAGCTGAGGGAGGCATTGCAGGACGGGATGGCGGGCGAATCGGAGGGCCTTGCGGCGGAGTCTGTTGGAAACCTTGAGCGGGAGAAGGTGAGGTGACAGCTGGGGTGTATGGTCTTGCTCGGGGCTTTGGCACCATTGGCAGCTCTTCGAAGAAACCAGAGGCAGATCTCGAGCCAGAAACAGCGGCAGGTTTGGGAGGCAAAGTTGGCATGCTCGGAGACTGATTCATGGGAGGTGATGCAATGACTGCTGAGGGAGCTGCGGTCACAGAACGTGACAGGGGAGGAGCAGCGTTTAGAGGTACGCTAGTAGATTGCATACTACTACTCCTCGGCGGCGGAGGAGGAGCAGAAGACTGAGCAGGAGGAGCGGCAGCGGCGGCACGTCTACGGGGCTGAACAATGTCTTCGGGCAGATCGTAGGGCGATGAATAGCCGCCCTTGGACTTATCAGCAAAGCTTTGGGCATTGCTGAGAGCTGGTCGGACAGACGGTTGTTGCTGATTGTATAAGGGTACAGAAGGAAGAGCTGGGGCGAGGTAAGGGTTGGGCTGTTGAGCTGTTGGAGAGTAGGGGTTCGCTGGAGCATTTATCTGTGCTTGTGGACCGCCGAGCTTGCTGAAGCCAACGGTATTGCCTGAGGAATCAAGAACAGGAGCAATGCCAGGGCTAAGGGCTTGTTCTGGACTGAGGATCTGCTGATCTTGTGCCGGGATCGTGTCAAAGTCGTCCAAGAAGCCTTCGCCGTCGTCTTCAAAGAAGCCGCTGGGATCGACAGCATTGTCGTCGAGGAAGTCGTCATCATCCAAGGCAGCTGACCACATGGCAGCCAGATCCTCCTCGCTCTTTTCGCCTGCTGGCGGATTGTTGTCCAGTGCTTTCTGCTCTTGCAATGCTTGGGCCAGAGCAGTCGCTTGAGAAGCGACCAAGCCACTGCCTGCTGCAAGATTTTCTGCATCGACGTTATTCTCCTCGGTCGAGACAATACCAACAACTGCTCCAAAGTCGTCTGTCTGATCGTCGTCTCCCCACTCGAAAGTGGCTGATGACTGAGACTGGATCTGCACAGGCTCTTCGATTGGCTCTTCGGCCACCTGTCGCAGTGTTTCTTGTGCTTCTTCTAATGCTCCTGAATGGTCCGGAACAGCCGGGAATTCCCGATCTTGCTCCTCCGAGCTTGACCTCTCTACAATAGGCTTCTCTGTGGTCTCTTGTGCTGCAGATGATGGATCTTGAGTGGACATATTGAATACATGCTCAGTGGCCGCCGCGACTGCTGATGGATCATGGTGGAAGGAGTCGATATGAACATCGCGAGTGTTTGTGGCGGGCGCATCCGTGGCAAAGCCAGGGGTTGGCAGAGTCTCCTCATCCTGAATCAGAGGTGCGTCGTCACTCTCGTCAATGGCATCATCGGCAGCGGTACTGTGGCCCTGGTACTCGTACTGCTCACGAAAGTATTCCGGCTCTTCTTTGTTCAGCCTGCCAAAGGCTTCTTCGATTGAGGAGAGTCCCGGCTCTTGCGGCGCGTCTTGGTCGGCTTCTGTGGTGAACGGAGGATCGGCATGTTGGACTTCTGCAACTGGCACATGTTTCGTGTTGCTGAGTAAGTCATGGGTCGGCTCAGGGATCAGACTCGGCGATTCCGCATGGGCGAGCTCAGAATCTTGGTGGCTATCTTCCGCGACAGGTGCTGAGGCTTCAACGTGCTCAGGCACAAGATCGGACACGGAGGGTTCAGGCGGTGCTGGCTCGCGTTTTGAATCTTCTAAAGCGTTCTCGGAGTCTCCGAGTATAGTGTCCTCGGCAATCGATTTGTGCTGCCCTGCTGGTATGCGGTCGAAGAGGTCGGCATCGTCTGCGGCGTCAGGAGCAGGAGATTGTTGTGGAGCAGCTCGGGGGACGTCCTGGGTGCTGTTATGAGTGCGCAATGCAGGGTGCCATGAAGAATGGTGACTGTCGTCGGCCATGACGAAGTATTATGTATAAGCGTCGCTATGAGGCTGTCTCAGTGTACGTGCAGCAACAATTCAGGCGACGTGACCTGAGTTGCCGAGGCTGCTTTTATATCAAGGCTTCGCGACTTACCAAAAACAAAATAACAAGAATCAAAGACAGGCTTCTCAAGACATCGAATGAGTAATTGGTACAGTCACTGAAGCAGCATACAAATTTGATCGATGACTCTGTAGTTGAAAGGAGGTGGATTGCGATATTCACGACATCAGCCAAGCTGCTCTACCAATCGCGTCGAAGCTCCCCGGACTTTCTGGCTCCCGCACGACTCGCGGCTGAGTCCAGATTAGGGTGTGCCGAGTCAAGCTTCGAATGCCTGGCAACAACGTAATCGCCTAATTATAGGTAGGTAGGCAGCCGGCTCACAAGGGAAGTCATCCAACCCTTCCACTCGCTCTTTCCTTTCCTGCAAGACAGATGAGGCATGTCACATCGACACGGCGACTCGACCGCGTCGGCCTCTCTGATCCCTGATGCCGACTCGGACCTGGATCTAGATCTGGACGAACTCGACCCCCGGACGGCCAACACCAACAACCAAAACTCCCGATCCGCTAGCAATGACTTTGGCAAGAACATACCGCTCAAGAATCTGCGATTTGGAGGGAGGCGAGCCTTCAGAAGGCCAGATCGCTATATCGACGACGCAGATGCAGACGACTTGGAAGCCTTGGTCCAAAGAGATAGTCAAACTCTTGAAAGAGAGTCGCATACTATCTCTCCCACTCCACCAAAATCTTCGCGCCTGCGACGTCTATCCGACAGGTCCCAATCCGTTCTGGCCAGATTTAGAGCGCGACTGAACCCATTTTCACGTTCAACTCCTCTCGGAGCCGACGATTCTGAGCCCGAAGACGAACATGATCCCGCCTCTAATCGTACCATCGTTGTGGGCGATCGCCAGGACGCCAAATACCCTCCAAATGCTGTTTCCAACGCCAAATATACTCCAATCTCTTTCCTACCTCGTACCCTCTACAACGAGTTTTCTTTCTTCTTCAACATGTACTTCCTCCTGGTCGCTCTGTCGCAAATTATACCCCAACTTCGAATAGGCTATCTGAGCACCTACATATTCCCCTTACTTTTCGTTTTGACCATCACGCTCGGGAAAGAGGCCATGGATGATATCCATCGACGAAGGAGGGATAAGGAGGCCAACTCTGAGAGATATACTGTTCTTCAATTTGGCAACAACGACACTTCATCCAGAAGGATACAGTCAGCCGCCGGTCCCGATGCTGATGGGCTTCTTGATTTAGACGTGCGCGAGGTCTCCAAGCCTTCGCGTCTACTGAAAGTAGGCGATGTTCTGGTCATGACCAAAGATCAGCGCTTCCCAGCAGACGTCGTCATTCTCAAGAGTTTCTCGCAGGAGCCATCTGCCCAGCCGGTACCTCTGCCTGAGAGCGAAGAGGCGAACCTGTTCGAGTCCACGGTGGCTGATGTGCCAGGACCGCCTTTACCCAACCAGACCACTTCTGACGATCCTAGTGCTGGTGGAGAAGCCTTCATTCGCACAGATCAACTTGATGGTGAAACAGATTGGAAGCTCAGACTGGCTTCTCCCCTGACACAAGAGTTGCCATCTCGTGAATTCACGAGACTTCGTCTAACAGCCGGAAAGCCTGACAAGCGTGTGAACGACTTCCTTGGTACTCTGGATCTATTACCAGATGGTCGTCAAGCATATGATCCTTATGAATCCGATGCGCCCACTGCCGAGGTTCCTGGCACGAAATCCTTCCCCCTATCGATTGACAACACCGCTTGGGCGAATACCGTACTTGCCTCCAGCACTACCGTCTATGCTGTGGTGGTTTACACTGGTCCCGAAACACGTGCTGCTCTTTCTACCTCTGCGTCCCGCTCAAAAACAGGTCTTCTCGAGAACGAGATCAACTCGTTGACCAAAATTCTATGTTTCTTGACTCTCGCTCTGTCTTTCATCCTTGTTGCGCTCAAAGGCTTCAATGTTGAGAAAGGTCGGGAATGGTACGTCTCAGTGATGCGGTTCCTCATCTTGTTTTCGACCATCGTGCCCATTAGTTTGCGTGTCAATCTCGACATGGGGAAGTCCATGTATGCTTGGTTTATTGAACGTGATCAGGGAATACCTGGGACCGTTGTCCGCACCAGCACTATCCCAGAAGATCTTGGACGTATTGAGTATTTACTCAGTGATAAGACCGGTACTCTTACGCAAAATGAAATGGAGCTGAAGAAAATCCACGTGGGAACTGTCTCGTATGCCAACGAGGCCATGGATGAAGTCTCTGCCTACGTAGAATCGGCTTTTGCTGATCTGCCCGGATTTTTCTCGCCTTCGTCTAACGTGACTGGTGGATTGGCTTCTGGTACACGTTCTCGTAGAGAGATTGGTCTTAGAGTCCGAGATTTGGTTCTAGCATTGGCACTCTGCCATAACGTCACGCCTACGACTGAAGAAGTCGACGGATCCACTGTCACCTCGTATCAAGCTTCCTCGCCAGACGAGATCGCAATTGTGGCTTGGACAGAACACGTTGGCCTACGTCTGTTGCATCGCGATCGCAAATCGATTACTTTGCAATTCGTCGACAACGCCAAGATCGTGGTTCGCGTGCAAATCCTCAACATCTTTCCGTTCACTTCTGACAGCAAACGCATGGGTGTGATTGTCAAGTTTGTGCAAGAAGGCAGCCCAGAAGGTGACTCGAGCGAGCTGTACTTCTTCCAGAAAGGTGCCGATACTGTCATGACTTCAATCGTCGCTGCTAATGACTGGCTTGACGAAGAGACGGCAAACATGGCTCGTGAGGGTTTGCGCACTCTGGTCATCGGCAGGAAGGCTCTATCTGCACAACAATATGCCACTTTTTCAAACGCTCACGCAGAAGCATCGTTGAGCCTCCACGATCGCGATAGCAGCATGGCCCGAGTCATCAAACAGCATCTTGAGCACAACCTCGAGCTTCTTGGCGTGACGGGTGTGGAAGACAAACTTCAAGCCCACATCAAGCCATCTCTGGAGCTCCTTCGTAACGCGGGAATCAAGATTTGGATGTTGACAGGTGATAAAGTGGAGACAGCACGTTGTGTAGCTGTGTCTTCGAAACTCGTCTCCAGAGGCCAATACATCCACACCATCGCAGGGCTCAAACGCAAGGACTTAGCCTTGGACGCGCTTTCTTTATTACACTCGCGGCCAAACGCTGCATTGCTAATCGATGGCGAGTCTCTGTCGCTATACCTCAACTACCATCGTGACGCGTTCATCACTCTAGCTGTACGGCTGCCAGCAGTGATAGCGTGCCGTTGCTCTCCAACACAAAAAGCAGATGTCGCCAAATTGATCCGTAGCCACACTCGCAAACGCATTGCTTGTATTGGCGATGGCGGCAACGATGTCAGCATGATCCAGGCCGCCGATGTGGGTGTAGGTATCGTTGGAAAAGAAGGTCGTCAAGCTTCCCTCGCGGCAGACTTCAGCATTACTCAGTTCAGCCACCTCACTAAGCTCTTAGTATGGCATGGACGAAACTCATACAAGCGCTCTGCCAAACTTGCGCAGTTTGTCATTCACCGTGGTTTAATCATCTCGGTTTGTCAGACGGTGTTCTCGGTAGCTTCGGCATATCAACCTATCGCTTTGTATCGAGATTGGTTATTGGTCGGTTATGCAACGCTCTATACCATGGCACCGGTCTTCTCTCTCACACTCGACCGCGATGTCGATGAGAATCTCGCGAATTTGTATCCAGAACTGTACAAAGAACTTACTTCTGGCAGATCTCTGAGCTACCGCACCTTCTTCATCTGGGTCGCCATCTCGGTGTACCAGGGCATCATAATTCAAGGAGGCAGTCAACTTTTGGTTCCGAAGTTCGCAGACCACAGCACAGGGAATGCCGATACGGCAGCCTCATTCGCGCGTATGGTCTCCGTCTCATTCACTGTTCTGGTCATCAACGAGTTGATCATGGTAGCTGCCGAGATCACAACGTGGCACCCTGCAAACATCATCTCGATTCTTGCGACTGGTTGTTTGTACTTTGGTAGCATACCTTTTCTTTCAGGTTACTTTGATCTTAGGTTCGTGGCGAGCGTTGGGTTTGTCTGGAGGGTCGCTGCTATCTCTGCCGTATCCCTAGTGCCAGTATATGCTGGCAAGTTGATTAGGCGAGCGGTCAAGCCACCCAGTTATCGAAAGGTTCAGGGGGTCTAAAAACTGATCAGGGGATGGAGTCAGGACCCTGTTCGTTCTAGAGCGCGTATTTTATACCTGGGTCTTGCACAGCGAACGGAGTAGAATTTGATCCACGAAGGATCAGGTGTTCATCACTATCTCGGTTTCTTGAATAGAAAGAGTTGTTTGCTTCCAATATTCTCCACTGTTCCATATCAAATGATCTGATCCAGGTCCGGCTCGTCAAGCTTTGCCATCGCCAAAGTTGGCCACGGCGTCGAAGCACGACGACTCACAGGCGAAAGTCACAAATATCTGGCAGGTGCAAATCTCACGAACCTACCCTCACTTCACCAACGTCGTGACACACGATTTGCTCACAACTTGGTGGTCACTTTCTGCGCTCCCGATCAAGCCCACAGTATTTCTTCACTTCCAGAACATCCTGTCCATCGCGTTTTCTTCGCACGTCAACAACACACCTCTCCTCTTCTTCCAATTCCTTGTTGTCACAACCCTTTCGAGCACTCCTCTTCTATGTCACGCAACTCTGACTCTCCCCAAGACCTCTCGTCGGCTGCCTCGTCCGATGAAGAAAGTGTTTCAGACGATGGCACCATCAGCGGACCTCCCAGCACGGTGCCCACTGCCAACAACTCCCCTTTCATTCCCCCCACCAATCCTCTGGGTATACCAGCTCAGTATCATCCTGCTGCTGCGTTCCCTGCTCTCAGTCAAGCTCTCCAGCTTGTTCTACCTCAAGCCAGACAAGACGCCTTCGCCTCGCAGATCGATGAGGTTGAGGTACAGTTAGGACTCCTCGGGACTAGCAACTACGTCAGCCCATGGGGTATCCCAACCCCAAACCGGTATGTTGTGGACTCACTACTTTCTCGATGCCCGTTCCTGATGAAAGTTCAGTGCCGTCTTCTACTATCCACCTCGTACCGATGGTATTGACATGGCCGAGCTCCATGCCATAGAAGCCGACGTCATGTTTGCCAGATACTACCACGACTACGACCCAGAGGATGGTTACTTTCCCGCCAGCGACAGAAGATCCCATATCGCTGGCATGCGCAGACGCAGGCGCAATCTCGTTCCCGACCCTCCTGCTTTCCAGTATGGCGGCGAGCCAAACGATGAAGGTAGCGACGACGAAGAAGAGTATCTCTACCTTCGAGACTCCACAGCTCCCAGTAGCGGCCGCGAGAGCCATGCTAGCCCATACATCTCTTTCGCCGACATGGCTGACGACCCCGGTCGTCCTGGTACTAGTCATGCAGGCACGGCCATCTCCAACACCAGACTGTCCAGATCAACTCCAAGCATCCATCGTGCAGACACTGGCACCTCCATTACCGACGACGACGCCCATGCTGGAGTCCACACGGATGCTGTCCCTGAGAGGACCGACACAGCCCTGAGAAGATCTGCATCCGCGTCTCCAACTCCCACTATCACGCCTGAGCAGTACAACGCCGACGTTGTGGCTATGGACCATTCTGTGCAGGCGACATCTACCTCTGGTTCCGCACTCATCTCGTCTGAGGACGTCACGACTGTCCCTACGTCTACAGTCGCTTTGTATCAGGAGTTCAGAGCTCTGTCTGTGGCCACCGAGACCACAGAGGAGTCGCCCATCCTCCCACGCAATTGGGTCACTCGCACCAGTAACTTCGACCATCCCTCCTACTTTCGCCTTGCTCATGGCATAATCTGGGACCTGGAGAATGACAACTACACCAGCAGACCTTACACTGCGCCTTACCACGAGGAAGACGATGATGATGACGACGGAAACGGTGGTCTTTGATCATCTTGAACCAGTGAATGTTGCAGTATGCTTTCATGCATACATTGGCTTTTGATGAGAATAGCTTGGTGACCTGCATTGTTAGATGGCATAAACTTTGGTAGCTGATTGAAGTTTTGCTGTCTCCCGCTGGGGAAAGCCGATGTTGTTCTCGGATTGGCCCCTTGATCTGGCTCTTGTTGCTCATTGTTTCGAGCATTTTGCACTTCTACCCATTGAGGATTGGTAGGTGCTACTTTTCTTTTTCAGATATGCTCGGCGGTATGGAAGAAAGAAGATTGATCATATGGGACGATGAAGGGAACGACGCAGACAGAGATGTAGAAATAGAACTCGAAGCATATGAGATTGATCTCGCTCTTCGAACAGACGGCCACACTGCACATCTACTGCTTACTGCTTACTGCGAGTGCTTTGGCCTATACTGCAACAGCAGGACACGCTGTCTTCTGAGAAGCAACGGCATGGGTGAGATTTGAGGAGCTGAAGTTCACGTCCGGCCGGCTGTTCCGGCAAACTCAAACGTCATTGCCGAACTACGGAACACGGGCCCGCTTTCCACTCTCATCAAGGTGTCACTGTGGAGAGAGCCCTCTGTTTGCATTCCAAGTTATGTGCAACCAGAGCAAGAAAGACACGCATGCATCATGCTTCAATTTATTCCTAGTTGTTATATCTACACGTAATTGCTGATGCTCGTGTTGCATAGGTCTCGTCTTCCGCATCATCGAGCCTGATCCGGAGAAAAGGAGACCTGGACTCCGAGACTCGACCGACGACGCAGTATTTGGCAGAGATAGCGCTCCGAGATGAGGGGATTCAAGGGCGAGACTCGGCAGATATGAGTGAGGAGTAACAAAGCAGGTCACGAGAGACAACCCATATTCCATATTGCGCTGGACCTTCTACATTTGGCTCTTCCATGAGCCTAGCTGGCTGGGGAAAGCATGATGACTGGAAAAGGCAATCAAGTCCTTCGACCGAAGTTCGCTGCTCCCTGTAGCCCCAGAGCTGGGCCCAGAATTAGCAGGAAGGGGCGTTTGGAAGGCGGGCTTCTCTCCTTGCCCTCTGCTTTCCTCCTCTCACGGCAATCGAGAGCAGAAGCAGCGGACGAGACTCGGCGATTCTTATGATTTGTGGAGAGAGCTCGAGCATTGACCTTGCCGCACCGAACGGTTTGCATGAACCCCCGCATTTGCGTTTCTCGAACGGACAGCTCCTCCACGCCGAGAACATTGGCAATGCATGGGGAAGGAGAGTGCATACTATTCACAGCTATTGTTAATCTTCGTGAGATGAAGCTAGGTATGAACGTTTATGACTTGTGAAGTGAGGTGAAGAAATAGATTGAGGTGGCTGGTCAATTGCGTTGTTTTGACGAAACGGCAGGCCCGCGGCAAATGTGGGGGAGCCAACGTCACCAGCACTGGCGGCTCGCGTGCAAGGCGGGCAGCAGGAGGGGGAGTGAAACAGCTCTCCTACATCGCGATGGTGGCTTCCGGGATGATAATTGGTGGGTTCTGAAGCCCTCGAGTCTTTTTGCAAGAGATCTCGGGGCACCATGCAAACGGGAGGGGTGAATCCCAGTGGTGAGACTTCTTCTTTGTGCGAGAAATGGTTGTATACAAGAAAGCTTGGGTGCTTCTCCATGATCGTGACCTTAGTACTCATTCATTGTAAAGTTGACTTTGCTCTACACATGACACAGATTGATGGAATTGACTCGATGTTTAACCCCTCTTCTTCTCGACCATCACCAGCATCGAGATGATTCCAAATGCCGAAAGAGGGCATACGGGAGGATGGACAGGGCAACGTGCACCGAAGTTCGGACGAAGTTGCATACTGCGCGTACACTTTCTCCGCAATCAGCCAAACCAGTGATGCAAGCTTAAAGTAGCTCCCCTCCTCCACTCTGTTTATAACCCGTCGCACATCCCCCTACCTGCAAGATTTCTTTTCTCCCTTCATTCCTATCCCATCACACTCAATTCAAAATGGTATTCTTCCGCTCTGCTACTCGCGCTGTTCGCCCTGCTGCCGCTTCGCTGCGTGCCTCCCCTCTTGCAGGTGCTTCTCTTTCCTCCCCTCTCAGATCTGCTGGTGCCATCAGAACGCTATCGGCAACTGCCCAACAGAATGGCAAGGTGCTGATGGTTCTGTACGACGGCTTTGAGCACGCAAAGGACGAGCCTCAATTGCTCGGTACCACTGAGAACGAACTTGGTCTGCGCAAGTGGATCGAGGACCAGGGCCATGAGCTTGTCACCACCTCAGACAAGGAGGGTGCAAACTCGACCTTCGACAAGCACCTCGTTGATGCTGAGGTCATCATTACCACTCCTTTCCACCCTGGTTACCTCACCGCAGAGCGTCTGGCCAAGGCAAAGAACTTGAAGATTGCCGTCACTGCTGGTATTGGTTCCGATCACGTTGACTTGAACGCTGCCAACAAGACCAATGGTGGTATTACTGTTGCCGAGGTCACTGGCTCCAACGTCGTCTCAGTTGCTGAGCACGTCGTCATGACCATGCTTGTCCTGGTCCGCAACTACACTCCCGCTCACGAGATGATCGCCAAGGGTGACTGGAACGTTGCTGCCGTTGCAAAGAACGAGTACGATCTTGAGAACAAGGTTGTCGGTACCGTCGCTGTTGGCCGTATCGGTGAGCGTGTCCTCCGCCGTCTGAAGGCATTCGACTGCAAGGAGCTCCTCTACTACGACTACCAGCCTCTGTCTCCCGAGAAGGAGGCTGAGATTGGCTGCCGTCGTGTCGACAAGCTCGAGGACATGCTGGCACAGTGTGACATTGTCACCATCAACTGCCCTCTCCACGAGAAGACCAAGGGTCTCTTCAACAAGGAGCTCATCTCCAAGATGAAGAAGGGTATGATACCTCTCGACTTTGCTTCATTCTTACCTTCGATTGCTAACATCACATCTCAGGTTCATGGCTCGTCAACACCGCTCGTGGTGCCATCGTCGTTAAGGAAGATGTCGCCGAAGCCCTCAAGTCAGGCCAGCTCCGCGGTTACGGTGGTGATGTCTGGGACGTCCAGCCCGCACCCAAGGACCACCCTCTCCGTACCGCCTCATACTCTACCTGGGGTGGCGGCAACGCAACCGTTCCTCACATGTCCGGTACCTCCATCGACGCCCAGAAGCGCTACGCCGCCGGTACCAAGGCCATCCTGGAGCAATACTTCTCTGGACAGCACAACTACAACCCCCAGGACCTCATCGTCAAGGGCGGTGACTACGCCACCAAGGCCTACGGTGAGCGTAAGGCTGCTAGACAGTCATCTTAGAGTGTTGTCGAGTCTGCTAAAAATGGGCCTGGAGGTGGTATGGCCCCTCAGGAAAGTCATGTCGTCGCTGAAGCCGTGCCTGGTACTGGCATTTTGTTGAGATTAATTCCTCTTGGATGTTGGTGATCGGACATGATGTGCTCGCACGACAGAAAATCCTTATTTTATGATGGATGAATACCCTATTTCCTTTCTATTAGCTTTGTGTGTATAGGCTTAATTATCTATGAACCTATCTTTCTTTTCCAAGTCTTGTTATCTTCTTTCATTAAGTGCTGCGATAAACGCCTGAGATGCAAATCGTGGCATGTTGCGCTGGCAAAATTGAGGTAGTGCTCCCTCGAGCGGGCTATTCTCGCTGTGTGTACAACATCGAGCTTGGCTTCCACCAACTTGGTTTTCTTTTCACCATCAGAACCATACGTACCCTCGAGGTAGCTAGTTGAGAGCAGAGTAACGGACAGCACATTTGAGTTCTGAATCACATGGAACCATGGAGACTCCAGGATGAATTAGTCGCCCGCTGTCGTGCACATTCGCCATAATTGAAGACTCGAAAGATTAACTGCGTCCACCCGCGCTACAGTCTCTAAATGGATCAGTCATACGTATCCAGGAGTCCACTTAAATCATGAGTATTAAGTATATATACTGATTATCCCTCTTTAGGCCATGTAATCGTTGTCTGAATAGAAATCTAACATCGACCAGGGTGACCCGGGAAACTTTGTATCCTTGGCATGATTGCCTCTCTGTTTGCAAGCAACGCGTCCTTCTTTCTGCTTCGTTTCCAACAAGCAACAACCGAGACTAACAATCACCAACACGATAGCAACACTCGCGTCATCAACTCAAAGAGACACAAATCGATAAACACAGACATCACAGTTACATCTTTCTCTGGAGGTGTACCTGAAAATCAACTCGGAGCTGAAATAGGAACCAACAGCATCTTGCTTTGAAGCCTCTACGCGTCGCTCGTACATTCTTGGGAACTTCATAGCGACAACACGATTGGCTATAAACCTACATTTGATCAATATATTCAACTCACTTGACTGGGACGCTCGAAAGAAAAAAGGTCGTCAAGCAAGAACCACTGTCAGAGAGATATCTGACCTCTCCCTCCTCACTCCCTCACCCACTAAAACTCAATTACCATCGAGAGAAAAAAAAGGCACTAGTTTCCTTACACGCAACAAATCCAGAAAAGATGCCGCCTACAGCATCCCGAGTCTCGAATCAATTCGAACCCACCCCCGCCGCCGGAATCGGAGAAATGGTAATTTGCATCCATTGCCAATCCCAAAAACTACCCAAAAACAGCCTGCAGCGAAAAGAAGAACATTTACGCATCTGTCCCTCATTTTCCCTTTCTCCCATTGCAAACGAGAGAGATGCCAATGGACGCACAATGCTGGAAGACAGTATTGCGAGACGAGCAGAACGCACGAAACCGGGGAATTTGAGGGCTGTGAGGGGAACGGGTGGGGTGGATGGGAGGGAGCTTTTGAGATTGCAGAGGTTGGGTGCTGCGTTGGCTTATGGGAGTGCAGGGGATGTGCAAGAAGGGATTCAAGAGCGTGTGGAGAGGATCTTGAGGGGAGAGGGTAGGAGAAATGATGAAGTCAGTGATGGGGCTTCTTATCAACAACAGCAGCAACAGCAAGACTCTCCCGATCTGGACGATTTCCAAACTTTCGACACACCGGCACCTTTTGCAGATAGAGGAGGAGCCCGGGAAAATGAGACAATGGCCGCTTTGCTGGAATCTGCCACGAGAAACACAACAGCAGTGCCATCGAGCAATAACGCAAGGAAACGAACACTTCCCACCGATCTTCATGACAGTCCTTCAATCTCCCAGCGTTTGAGCAATCTGACCAACAACAGCAACAGCAATAACAACAACAACACACCGCACTCGGTGACCGTGGGACAAAACAAGAAGTTGAAACACGCAGAACTATATCTCGATGAAGATGACTTTGATTTTGTATCTTCGGCCCAAACGGCCAGAGAAGAAAGATTTGCTGCATTGGTGGAGAGATTGGCTCGGCTTGTGAGGTTGAGGGATATGCGATGAATGGAAGATGTTTCCTGGCAATGCACGAAACGGAAGGGGGCCAACGTTACTTGTACTCTCGCATAACGTATACCCTATCCCGTTGAAAGAAATGAGGCCCGGGTCCGCGCAGTGTAGGCATGATTTATAAGACTTCCAGCCTCCATACATATTCAGCGCTAAGACACCGTAGAAAATGCAAGTAACACATCCAAAAATCGCAAAACACCCTTTTATTGGAGAGCACAAAGATCAAGATTGGATCTCCGTAGACATTCCCTCTGCATCAAGCTCGAAAGCATTATGCCCTTCCTCCAGCTTTCCTTCAATATGCCAAAAAGGCCTTTCGTCCGCAGCTAGAACCATCAAAAAGCATTTTCCAGACTAAAACAATGTTTTTTCCTCTCGATCAAAAACTAATAGGACACAATCATACAGCAAAAAGGAACTTATACATGCACAAGGAAACACACCTAGACCCCATTTGGTAAATTTTCACCCGGTAACAAGGCGCTCGGCCGACAGCTTTTTCCCATTTTCTTGATAACTGTCTTTGAAACACCAGAACAAACCTGTGGTCACTTGCAGAGTCAATCATCTCGTTTCTCACTGACTCTTGCAAAGTTTTCCTGCCTCACTAAAATGGTGAGATGTGAGCGTCCTCCGAATACCTCACGGTGTAACTAAAGGGAAGTTTTGTGAAAGTGCATCTTTTTCAAATCTTTTCTGCTTATACTGAAGGAAATAATCCAGGAAAGGCTGGCGTACAATATTTCAAACCGCTCCTGCCAACTACTGATATGATTCAGAGTGTTGAAATTTTTTGTCGGTATTGGGGAAGAAAGGGCGCATATCATGTTTGAAAAAGTTTAGCAGTTGCGATCAAAAAAGAGTTGTATAAACCCCTCGTGACTTTTAGAGATTTTCTTCTGTAGAACTGCGAAGGAAGCGAGTACCCTGCTGGAGATGTGAGTGAGGAGGAGCACAATCGTGGAGCTGGTCCAAGTCCACATTGATGTCTATACAACTTTTCTGAACATTGATTGTGCATTGCAGCAGCCTCTGACCGACTCGAAGCCTGTGCTGGAGCTTTGTGGATCGCTATAATGTTCAATCTCGATTGATGCTTTACATAATCTCTGCATTAGAGAGTTTGATCCCAATGTCATGCGTATCTCCAAATCCGTCCAGATTTTCTTGTCGAGGAAGAACAATGTCAACACGTCTAATCTACAAAAATCTTGCTCTCCAATTCGCCGTAATGCTCAAAGAAACTCTCAAACAAGTTGATAGAGTACTCGACATCATAAGCACCACCGGTCTCGCGGATACTGTGCATGGATAGCTGTGCATTGCCCAAGTCAAGAGTTCTCACGCCAGTGTTGGCAGAGAGCATAGGTCCAATAGTGCTACCACAGGGCATGTCGTTACGAACGACAAACATCTGCAATGGGACACCTTGACCGCTTGTGCGCATGTCGCCGCTGCTCTTCTTTGCTCTCTTGGCCAGCTCTTGGAGGAGCACGATGCCGGGAGAGTTTGTGGCGTAGCGGACGTTGGCGTTGATCTTGATGACGGTACCTTTGTTCATTTGGGGCTTATGTTCGCTCTCGTATTTGGCAGCGTAGTTGGGGTTCACAGAGTGAGCCATATCTGCGGAGATGAGGAAAGAGCTTGAGAGGGACTGCTCGAAGGCGGTGCTCGTGTCGACGTCCTTGTGGGTAGGCTGATCGGCGCGGTCGTAGGAGCTGTCACTTTCTGTTTCCTGAGAAGAAGGAAGTACTGATAGACGGCGAAGGACTGATGGCAGAATGTTGGAGTCAGCACCTTGAGCCGAGGTGCTGCCAATCTCCTCGTGGTCGAAACAAGCGATCAGACGGATTGTGTTTTCATCCTTCAGAGACTTGCCCTGAGGCGATGTGGAGTTGATCAGACCCTGAACGGCGCAGTAGGTCATCATGAGGTTGTCCAGACGGGCAGAGAAGATGAGTTCATTGTTGAGGCCTCCAAGGCAGGACTTCTGAGTGTCGTACAGGACAATCTCAAAGTCCAGAATATCCTCTGGCTTGACACCGGCTTCTTCTGCAAGGATCTCGACGACGTAAGGGTGGTGACGCTCAGTGGGATTCTTCAGAGGATTGAAATCGGCCTTGTCTGACTCTTCCGTCTTGACATCTTCGGACGTCTTGCCTTGTCTGTTGAGCTCGGCTTCAACCAGACCTGCAATAGGGAACAACTGGTTCTCCTTGTTGAACTCGAAGGGCGTAGAACCACCGAAGTGAACGGCCAAGTTGGGGATGCGGCAGATGGGGCGGTCGACCTTGACCAACTTCTGTTCCATTCCACCATCCGCGCGCTTCACCATAACACGTCCAGCGAATGAGAGGTCGCGATCGAACCAGGTCGCCCAATGCCCACCGCCGTATGCCTCTACACCCACCTGAATGAAACCCTCAGACTGACGCTTCGAGACTGGCTTGAGTCTGAGACAGCAGGAGTCGGTGTGTGCGCCAACCATGGCGATGGGGTTTCCAGACTTCCATTTGTTACCCACAGCAAAGGCAATGATGGTAGAGGCATTGCGAGTGAGGTAGTACTTTCCACCGGGCACGAGCGTGCTGGCCCAGCTGTCGCGCTCCTTGATCTTTGTGTATCCGGCTGCTTCGAGTTGTTGCGAGGCCGTGTGTACGGCGTGGAAGGCTGTATAAACACGTCAGTGTCTGCGCTTCATATCTTTCTTTCTACAGAGGGTGGCATACGAGTGGGAGAGGCATTGACAAAGTCAAGGAAGTCCTCGGCCGGCTTGAGTGCTGCCTTGTTGACCATTGTTGCTACGCTCCTGGCGTGATGTTGTTTGATTGAAATGGAGAGCGTGGGATATGTGAGTTTGGTGAATGTTGCAATTGCAAAGAGTCGACAGCGCGCGAAGGACATGGATAGACTCTTCGATTGCAATCTATCGCTGTGAGCTCCTTCCTCGAATGGATAGAAGCTTGGACCATCTGCCCGTCATCAGGGTCCTGCTCCAAGTATCACAAGAAGGAGCAATTTTGTAGATCGTGAATTATCAACCATCTAAATTATCATAAGCCTTAATGCAAGCTCTCCACTTCGTGAGAATATCGTGATTGTCTCTCCCAAATGCCGCCGCCGTGCTATACGCTTCTGAATGCTTTTGTTCCATGAAATGACAGACTCCCAAACCTCCTCATAACAATGCTCGTCCTCATTATATTTACATGACAAGACACTCTTTCTCCTTTTCCTTTTCCTTACCACCACTGAGTTCTTTTGTCTTGGCCTTGCCCTTGGCCATAGGGATGCCAGAATCACCAGAAGCTGCTGCTCTAATAATATCGAGCCGCTGTTTGGCGGTCTCATTCCCCTTGTCGGCTGCTCTGACATACCACACATTGGCCTCCAGAGGATCGCGTCGACAACCAATACCCATCTCCGTAAAGTAGCCAACTGCGTACTCGGCTTTTGCGAATCCTGCTCACGTTAGCATTGATCCCGAAAGACTATCAGCAGAGTACATACCTAGTTCCGCGGCCCTCTTCGACCACTCGTAGGCCTCGACTTCGTCCTTTTCCAGCACCGGCTCTGCTCCAACCATGTACCAAGCACACAACGCCATCATAGCCTCGGGAAGGCCCTTGGACGCTGCGCCATTGTAGAAGTGAACACTCAAAGCCGCATCTTTAGGACATCCAAATGTCCCATTCTCGTACGCTTGACCCATGCGGTAGTTCGCCTCGGGATGGCCCAACTCAGCCGATTTGGTCATGAGCTGAGCGGCATATATTTCATCCTTGAAGATGTCCTCACCAAATCCAGCGATGTGTAGAAGACCAAGCTCGTAAGGTCCGCTATTGTACTGTTGATCCGCAGAGTCTGTGGCACGCTTCAGCCATTTCACGCCCTCTCGGTATCGATTCACCAGACCCATGTCCCCAGTGAGACAAGCTTTGCCGAGTCGAATTGCGGCTCCAGGATGGCCCTTGGACGCGGCAGCACGGAAAAATTGTACAGCTTTCGGGTAGTTCTTCGCGCAACCCCATCCGAACTCATAGCACAATGCGGCTCGGTAACCTGATTCTGCATGCCCGTGCTTACTAGCCGCGACGAACAGTGGTAAAGCCTTGTCGTAATCCGGCTTGTCTCTATTGAAAAGTCCTGAGAAATAGCCATCCGCAAGGTAGTATTGCGCAAAAGGATATGCACGGTCCGCGAGACGTTGCAGAATTCCGCGGGCTTCCTTGATCAACTCTGCAGCTTCAATGTCTCTGCTATCTCTAGCAGCATTGATCATGAAGATAGCAAATTCGTATTGAATACTGGGATCGTTGGTCTTCTTGACATTCGCACGGTACATTTCAAGTGTCTTCTTGTTGTCCAGCAAAGAAGCATTGTTTCCGATGGCAGACTGAAGACTTGTGTTGTTCATCGTCGGAGCTGGAGCTACCTGTTGCGAGTAGGGCAAGTCATTTAGCAGGTCAATGTAGGACATTGGTCTGGTGTCTGGCGAACGCCGATTACCAGCTTGATTGCGCGCGTATGTCCTGGGAGAGCCAGTAACTGATAGATTGTCGTCTGCAGACATGGGCGAATATGTGCTTGCGCGAAGGTCGGCCCCCAATGAATATTGCGAAACAACACGAGGTCCCGATGTCCTCGGCGGCCTCAGACCACCACCACTAGAAGAGGAGCCAATGCTGTTCACGGTCGCCTGCGAGACGCGGTTCGGATTGTTTCGTTTGACAGGAGACTCATCAGGACCTTGGTGATGGTACTGCAGCCCGGGTGTCGATTCTACGTCTGCTTCCTCAGCGCCAGTGGTCGGCAGATCTGACAGAGAAAGCTCTCCTATGGAACCGATGTGTCTGATGGACTTGAGATGTCTGATGGATGATTGCTGAGAGGCGGATCTAGTGTGGGCGTTCGACTGATTATACGCCTGACCAGAAGAAGGCCTGGAAATTGCTGGTCGTGGGGATTCTGAGCTATCTGGGCTTGTGGGAGCCTCTTCCATCCTAATGGTTGGCTGGGCCAGGCTACTCTTTCTAGGCGAGAACGAGGCTCGGCGCTGATCCTGTGCACCATTGTAGTTCCTGGGAGAGGTTGGTGTCTGATTCCTTTGTACCTCGGCCATGTTCTCTTCAGATGCTATCTTTTCGCCTTGAGAGGCGGTGCCTTTCTTTCTCGTCCGTGGTTGACGACGTGGATGACTCCGGCCTATGACAGTGAAAGAAGCAAGGGGTGGGTTCTCGTAAAAATATTCGGATCGACTAGTGACGCGGATATATTCGTAATAATGGGGACAGTCTGAACGATGTGAGCAGCGGCGATCTCGGACAAGGGCAAATTGCACAGTTTCGTACCTGATTAATAATTGTACAGGTGAAACAAAGATCGCGAGACCTATAGAAGAGAAGAAGTGTATGGATGTGGAAGAGCAGAATTGAAACAACAGAGGGGCTGACGAGGGTGACAACCTAATCTGCACCTTCCGGTCCGGGCTCCTTCCTTTCCGCTGCTCGTGCGCGTGCGTAAGTTTATTGGCCAGCGGAGACGCCGTTGCTACTGCAAGAGACTCCCGTAGGTGTGGAGGTCACTACTCCAACAGTCAATGCTTTCAGCCTATTGCTCAGACACAGGCAATGCTCAGCTATCCCATGTGCTTTAGTCCAATAGCATGAACATAGAAGCAGATCTTGAGATGCTGTAAGAGTTGAGCCTCTGACCAGGGTCCAAAGGCAAAGTTTGCATCACAGAGATCCTTCCACATGCAGACGCGGGAACCTTAACTTTGCAGCTGCTAAATTATTCTTAGAAACAACTTCTTGCAAAGAGGATGGCGTCAAATGGTGCCTTTCGACATAGGCACACCATCTTTCCTCCTGTGTTATTGTAGTGTCGCATAGCGGTGTGTGATTGTCATACGACTTCACGTAAACCTCGGTCAACAAAGCGCCGGCTCTTTGAATGTCAAAATTTGTCATCTAGGGCTGTGGAAAAGAAAACAGCCCCATCTTCAGACCATACTTTTGGTTCACTATTTTGTCAAAAAGTCTGATCTATGATGCACAGTTCTCTGATTATACCTGTACAGCTTACTGAAATCCGCGGCATACGGCATACGATCGTAGACTAGATAGACGGTTCATTCAGTGACCAGTCTTCAGCTCGAGCTAGAGTTCCGAGTCGTGTTCCTGAACCAGACTTACTGGCACATGATCAGCCGGATATAGTAGCAGCGATGTTTAGTCGATGGACAAGAGGCGAAAGTTCGAGTACGAGCTCGGCAACTGTTGATCACTGTTGTTGACTCAACGGCGGCTGCTCCGGCTACCATCGTGTATGTGTATGACGAGCATTCGAGAGCGGAAGTGGAAAGGTTTGTCCACGGTAAACCGACATCTGAGCAGACAAGAGATGATGAGGGTGCGTGCTGGAGCAAAATGCTTGGTTGGACGCATCTACGCGGGGATGGGTGTGGCTTCGCGATGAAACGAAATACTTGCTACCCTGGTCTATCCCTGGATGAGGGTTTGGAAAGAGTGGTAGATGCAGGTGCAGGAGTGACCCATGTCTGCCTGCCGTACCAAAGAGAAACACAGTTGATGATCGAGTACTCATGGACTGAGGCAGACAAAGCTGAATAGAGGACAAACACGAGGCGAGTGTTATTTTGGGCATGCGTGGACACGAACGGCTAGATCTGCACTGAAGTTTGTGAGTCGCTCCACAAATTTCTTTCTCGGAAGCGGCAGCACTTCAGGGGCCGGGCGCTGACGATTCACTGGTGGCATCCCACATGACAACACTGACCGTCTGAAGTTGTTTCGACTCCCGAGGGTTGACTTTTTGCCTCTCTGGCAACGACATTGCTTCCCATGTTCCCGACGCTCCCTTGATTATCTGTTCTGTCCTCTCTGTCAGACAGCAGACTCTCGCTTCTTTAACAAACTTAATTGTTTGTTCCAAAACACTCGCTACGCCACCACTATTCTTCCGCTTCTGTGTTGTACAGTCTAAACGGATTCTGAGACTCGATACGCTCTGCATCGAGCAGCAGCACCACTTTTACCAACCTCTTCACACATCAATCTGAGCAATCGATATCATGTCCTCTAATTATCCCACGTCGGACCGGCGTCGAGAGTCGCGATCAAGAGCGCATCGCGAGCCTTCTTCTCACAGGCGCCATCCCTCTGATCTCGAGTCCCCGCGACCAATGCACCACCGGAGAACCAGCAGTCATACCAAACAGGAATCAGAGCCTTACGTGTCCAGAGTCACATCTCCGGTTCCAAGAATTACATCACCCACAGACTATGAGCCCATGATGGGCGCCTCCGACTTGGGCCGTAAGAAGAGTCTGATTCGCCCCGAACGTACAAAGGTCGACCGAGATCACCCGCAATATCACTACCGCAAGCACGCCCAGAACATGGCCGTAATGCCCTCAACTACTGGTAACGACCCAATGCTGGAAGAGGCCGAGGCCGAAGCTGAGGCTGCCACTCTCAGCTCAGATGACATTGAGCTGAAGCAGCTTGGTCAAAAAGGCCAGCCCATCGACAGAAGTGGAAGTCGCAAGTTGCATCGCAAGGCCACCGAGACTGCAGAAGAGAAGAAGATGAGACAAAAGGCGGCCGGCGCGACACCACCCACACTCTGGAGCACATACTGTCATTTGATCACCTTCTGGTGTCCGAATCCTGTTCTCAAGTGTTTTGGTATGCCCGAAAAGGCTCAACAGCAGGCCTGGAGAGAGAAGATGGGCTTGATCAGTATCATCCTCATGATTGCTGCATTCGTTGGTTTCATTACCTTCGGTTTCACTGCTACAGTCTGCCCCACTGGCTCTTCTTCACGTTTCCGTGTCAATAAGGTTGATTCTGGCTACATGATCTTCCACGGCAAAGCCTATGATTTGACCAGATCGCAACATCCACAAGCTAGAGGCATTTTGAGAAACCAAAATGTTCTCTGGGACCTTAACGTGCCCTATGGTGGCAAAGATGGCAGTTTCATGTTCCAGAATGTCAATGGTGCATGCAAGGGCCTCATCACCGCTGCAGAGAACTCCGATGTCAAGACCGACAGTGATGGCAACCTCGCTTGGTATTTCCCCTGTAACGCTTTCAACCAGGACGGATCGAGCGAACCCAACACGACCATCCAATACTACCTTGGATACGCCTGCCACACTTCGAAGCTTGCGCGCACCAATTTCTACGACCTCAAGTCTGGAGGAGATGTCTACTTCACTTGGGACGATATCAGAAACTCGAGCCGCAACCTCATGGTCTACGGTGGTGATGTTCTCGATCTCAATCTCCTACAATGGTTCAACAAGACTCAAGTCTCGTATCCCTCCAGATTCGATGAGATTCGTGAAAACGCCAACATCAGAGGTACCGATATGAGTCTTGCCTGGTCCTCTGGCTTGGACAAGAAGACCGCCAAGTGCTTCCAGGAAATCATCAAGGTCGGATCAATCGATACCGAGACTGTTGGATGTATTGCTTCCAAGATTGTGCTCTACGTTGCGCTCGCCTTCATTTTGTCGATCGTTGTCGCCAAATTCGTTCTTGCACTTGCCTTCCAGTGGTTCATCTGTCGCAAGTATGCTGCCGACAAGACTGCCTTCAGCGGTGATGAGAAGAAAAGAAAGCAGCAGATTGAGGAGTGGTCCGAGGACATCTACCGTCCCGCTCCTAAGATGGCTGATCCGATCAACACCAGTGCTGCTAACAAGCGAGGTAGCTTCCTCCCTACCACCTCAAGATTTACCAGCCCTTATGCCATTGAACGTTCTATGGCGCGTGCCCGTCCAGCATACACCACAATGGCTAGTCAGAGCTCGACAGCGCGCTTGATCCCAGGCGCTGGTGTCTATGGTCAAGGCAATCGCAGCGAAAACACTTTACGGGAAAGCCGCGCAAGTCTTATGCCTCCTAACAGCAGCGAAAGGTACTCAAGCGTCATGGAGTCAGATGGTCCCGGTCCTCACGGTTTTATCCACGAAGCCGTCGTGCCACAGCCGCCTCCAGAATGGCAGCCATTTGGCTTCCCTCTTGCACATGCTATCTGTCTGGTCACTGCGTATTCTGAAGGTCCCGAGGGAATGCGTACCACCCTAGACTCTGTCGCTACGACCGAATACCCCAACAGCCACAAGCTCATCCTAGTCATTTGCGATGGTATCATCAAGGGTCACGGTGAAACCATGACTACCCCTGAAGTCGCCTTGAACATGATGAAGGAGCACACCATCCTTCCTGACGAAGTTAAGCCGTACTCTTATGTCGCTGTTGCTAGTGGCTCCAAGCGACACAACATGGCCAAGATCTATTCTGGTTTCTACGACTATGGCGAGGATTCCATCATTCCCATCGAAAAGCAGGAACGCGTACCTATGGTGATCATTGTCAAATGTGGTACGCCGGAGGAAGCAAGTCTGTCCAAGCCTGGTAACCGTGGTAAACGTGACAGTCAGATCATTCTCATGTCATTCTTGCAAAAGGTCATGTTCGACGAGCGCATGACTGAGCTCGAGTATGAGTTCTTCAATGGTGTTTGGAAGATTACTGGCATTTCACCCGACTTTTACGAGATCGTACTCATGGTAGATGCCGACACAAAGGTCTTCCCTGACAGTCTGACCCATATGATCAGCGCCATGGTCAAGGATCCTGAAATCATGGGCTTGTGTGGTGAAACCAAGATCGCCAACAAGAGAGCCAGTTGGGTTTCTATGATCCAAGTCTTTGAGTAAGTTGGAACGAATGATTGCAAATTTCGAGCCTTACTGACAAATATTCCCAGATACTTCATCTCACATCATATGTCCAAATCCTTCGAGTCCGTTTTTGGTGGTGTCACCTGTCTTCCTGGATGTTTCTGCATGTACAGAATCAAGGCACCCAAGGGCGACCAAAACTATTGGGTACCAATCCTGGCCAATCCCGACATCGTGGAGCATTATTCCGAAAATGTCGTCGACACATTACACAAGAAAAACTTGCTCCTTCTCGGTGAAGATCGTTATCTATCTACTCTGATGCTTAAGACCTTCCCGAAGCGGAAGCAAGTTTTCATTCCGCAAGCTGTCTGCAAAACTACTGTACCTGAAGAGTTCAAGGTTCTTCTTTCTCAAAGAAGAAGATGGATCAACAGTACAGTCCATAACCTCATGGAGCTTGTCCTGGTTCGCGATCTCTGCGGTACCTTCTGCTTCAGCATGCAGTTCGTCGTCTTCGTCGAGCTTGTCGGTACCCTTGTGCTTCCTGCTGCCATTGCTTTCACTTTCTACGTTGTCGCTATTGCCATCAAGGCCGCTATCGAGCACACGCCCATTCCGGTCATGTCGCTGGTACTTTTGGCACTTATCCTTGGTCTTCCCGGTGTTCTCATCATCCTGACTGCTTCTCGCGTTTCTTACGTCGCATGGATGTTCATCTACCTCCTCTCTCTCCCAGTGTGGAACTTCATTCTTCCAACTTACGCGTACTGGAAGTTTGACGACTTCTCCTGGGGTGACACTCGTAAGACCGCCGGAGAACAAACCAAGGGTGGCCATGATGATGCCGAGGGAGAATTTGACAGCAGCAAAATCACCATGAAGAGATGGGCTGATTTTGAGCATGAACGTCGCATGAAGACTGGGAGCACCAATTACAACTCCTCGTCAGCACAGGGATCGTATCCATACGATTCCAGTTATGACTACTAATTTAGAAAAAGCGGTCAATATTTTTGAAGATGTAAGAGGGGTCAAGATTGTCCCAACTTGGAGTTCGTGTTGGTTTACGAAGGAGGGAAAAGGGAAGAATGTTCAAGAATGGACTGCTTGAATTTGCATGATAGTAATTGGCGCCGGAGCATGATGATAAGCAGGGAGACTTCTAATCCCTGAAGCAATTTAATGAATTATGTGCGGTACCACGGCATAGCTTGTTTCGTGATTGGTCTGGCTGGGTCGGGGGGCGCAGGTGACAGATGCATTTCAATGCAACATTTGACAGAAAGAGGATAATGCGAGCCTGTTGGGCTTGGGTTGGCTCGGGATATACATCTTCAAGGCCCAAGCGACGTTGCACCGCAGGGCAGGACGATGAGACGACGTGACAACCACGCGAAGGAAAGGGCCTTGACCTCCTGTCAATTTCAGTTCTTAACCTGTCGCACGAGGACTTCGCTCGCTTCCGGAGCTGTCAGTTTTGAAGATTGGCCAACGGCCCGGCGTGCGCCTGTTTCTGTTCCGTCAACGTGCCCTTCCTTTCCACTTTGTCGCGATAACCGTTTTGCTTTTCGGTCCCTGGAAAGTGGGTTGCTGTACGCTTTCGTGGGATCGTGGTGATTGCGCGGGTGGTCTTGTCGCCACCATTATTCTTTCCCCTCCCATCCGATCACATTGTTACCATTCGCGCTACGTACTTCTACTTGTCTCCTGCGAGACGCGTGGGAGGGCCAATAGCGTAGTCGCCGGGGGATCTTTCTTGTCACAACTTGCCGTCACATTTTCCGAAAAACAAGAGCAAGATCACTGGCTGCTTTTCCCACTGCCGAGCTTGGCGTCCGTGACCACTTTTGTTTGAAATACCGATTGGTCCTGCCCGCCTGCTCGTTGCAGCATGTCGGATCTTGACACTCGCAACCACAATCATCCTTCTTCTTCATATTCGGGGCATTCGCTGCGGCGTGGGTCAACGGTGCAAGGTCTTCGTTTTGACAGCAGAATGATCAGGTCAAGACGGGGATCTGCTATATCGTCCTTGAGTCAGACACCACATCCTTGTGATGGTGTTGGTCACCTACCAGGCCATCTTGAAGATGCGGATCATGGCGGGGCTCCTCTGACATGGCCTGCTGTCGACACCTTTCCGGATCAAGGCCGACATCATCGCCAATCTGTTTCATCGCGTGAGACGACAGAGCCTCCATGGAATGCGACAAACAGTGGAGTTGGTATCGCGAGTCATGCCGACATCTACGAAGGTCGATCCGGTCAACGATATACCACTTACGACAGACCACCAGGACATGTTCTCAATAATGACTACATGACTGCACGACATCAACAGACACCTACCGCATTTCAGACACCATATGTCTTTGGGTCAACTGGACTCCCTGGACGATTGGCTGTTGAGACCCATCCTGCTCACTACTTGAACACACAAAGTGTGTTTCCACCATCACCTATTGACTATGCAAGTGCACGTTGGCCAACAAACGATGTGTCAAATAACAGTACCTTGACACAGCCTGCCCACGAACTCCATCATGACGCTTCAGCCTGGGTAGACTATGATGTTGCCGAATTCCTCGATCACTGGGACATACAATACCACATGGGAGAAGCTGGACTCATCCATATGAACAATGAACGAAAAGCATACTGGCAGTCACAAGGCCGACTCCCATATGCGACCTACGACCTTCAAGGCCTGAACTGGGCTGCCCTGCAAACGAGCAGAGCTCAAGCTAGACTAGCCAGGAAAATGCTTTATCCTCTTCGCTATACCTGGACTCCGCCTGCCACCATCTATGATGAGAATTCAGTGTGTCGACAACAGCGCATGTATGCACCCAAGGACTTTTACCCTCATCACAAGGCCAGTCACTCGCATGGTCAACTTCGGAATGTGCTCGCCGCGAGAAGTAGGAATGACATTTTCTATGCGTCCAAAAGCAAAGTCATGCATATATCACTGAGCTGCCCCGCTTATACAAACATCGTCATGAACTTCAGCGGCGCATCTACAAACCCAAACCAGGCCGGCGATACACACATAACTACCATTGCCGTCTCTCCCGCCACAGACTTTGACGGATACATCTCTGATGCCGTATTGGTAACTGGAGGCTTGGAGGGCGAATACGCTCTCCTAAACCTAAACTCATACCTTGGAGATCGTCCCACCGAGGGTTTTGTCACCGTCGCCAAGCAAAAAGAAACCACACACGTCCATGTCCTCAGTCATCGTCGCACCGGCGCTCTAGGTGCAGCTTTCTGCTCGAACGACAGTAAAGTGCGCATCCTCGACATCTCCACAAACCGCTGGGCCGCAGAATTTTCCTACGAGAATCAGATCAATTGTGCTGCTACATCACCAGATGGACGTCTTCGCATGATTGTAGGCGATACCTGCGACTCCCTCATCACGGATGCGGAAAAGGGCAATGTACTCTTCCGCACACGTCAACATACGGGTTATGGCTTTGCTTGCGCCTGGGCAGACGATGGCTGGCACGTTGCAACCGGCAGTGAAGACGGAAAAGTCGTCGTCTACGATGCCCGTCGTTGGGATATGCCATTGGCAGCTCTAGCCTGCGAAATGAGTTGTGCACGTTCTCTGCATTTTACCACTTCCAACAAACCTGGAGCTGGGGGGACGGCATTGGTGGTTGCAGAATCTGATGATATTGTCAGTGTGTATGATGCAGCAGACTGGCATGACAAGCAAACCATTGATTTCTTTGGCTCGGTGGTTGGAGCGGCTAGCGTGGGTGATGGACAGGAATTGATTGTTGCGAATGGGGATGAGACGGTGGGTGGATTGATGGTGTTTGAGAGGAGGCAAGGTATACCCGAAAACGACTCTGATGATGATGATGACGGACATGAAGAGTTGTATGATTTTGACATGCAAGGGACATCAACAAGTAAGAGGAGGATTGGGAATTAGGTTTTGACGGTCTTTTATGGTTTTTTGTTTTGTAAGAATTTTTGAATCCCCGGAGGAGGGAAATGACTTTAGTCTACGAAGAAATGTATTATGCCAATGACAAGACCACAGTTTTGATTTTTCGGACATCAAAGACAGCAAATCATGACGACTGCTCTTCCATGCTGCCTATGTTGTACTACCTCTTATCCATACTCCCTCTCCCTTCCTCTGTCCTTTTCCCAAACCCACCAAACCCACTACTAGCATCCCTCTTAAAGAACTTACCAATATTCTTCAAGTTCTCATTAATACTGGCATGAGCACTCTCAGCACCTAGACCCAATGCACCCATCGGCGGCGGACTAATAGCCCTACTAGCCACAACACCCGATGCCGGTGATCCTCCACCTACACCTGCACCTCCACCACCTCCAAGCGCAGGAGACCCAAATCTATCCACACCATCTCTCGCCGCATTCATAAGCGCCGAGCCAAAAGTCGAAGGGTCAAAACGAGTCGTAGATGCCAAAACAGGAGTAGAATGTGAAGCCGCCGAATCCTTGAGCGCTGCAATACCCAAAGTATTCGCTGCAGAAGCTTGGAGAGAAATATTCGCAATCAGCGGATTAGAAGCTTGAAGGCTTTCGTTCGACGGAGAAGCTTTATGCGCATTGAACAATTCCACCAAATGTGCTTGTTCTTGTTTCCGAGAGATGCCCTTGAGTTCTAGCAGTTTTCGGAAGTTTTGCTCGTTTCGATCTTGGATGTGTATGAGATAAGCCTGTACAAGTCCTTCGGGGGGAGAAGAGCGGACTTGTAAAGTCTTGAGCAGAGGATCCATTTTCGCCATACTTTGATTGACTCTTTTGATGAAATTTGGATTTGGCTGTGTGTCTGGCTCGGCATTGACGGTGCTGAGATCTGTAAATGACTTTTTGAGAACATACGAGTCGAGAAGCATTTGTTCAGCGCCTGTTTCCGAGATGGGACGACAGACCACCAAGTTTGTGAGCAGAGAGCTGGCGAGAGCATCCACCAAGTTATCGCAAAAGGCGCGACCGTATTGTGGTTTTTCGAGGTAATTGAGGACTTCGGAGGTTTTTTGCTTGACTTGCTTGACCAGTGGAGCGACGTAGGTGCTTTGATCACCTACGTTGTCCATTTTGCTCCAGGGGACATTACGCATTTCTCTCCAGGGTGCGTCGCAGTCGAGTTCTACTCTTCTGACCAGAGACTTGACGGATGCTGATGCGATGCCCATGAATGAGTCGGCTTGAGATTGCAGATCCACTTGAGGGCGAAGATCGGCGTCTATTCGTGACTTTATACGCTCCTCTAGCTGGTTTGTGGTTTGATAGCAGTAGTCTGCAGTATTCAGGACGGTGACTATATCCTCAACTGATGGTGACCGCTCAGACAGGGCATGTAACAAGACTTGCTGGCAATATACATCGAGATATTTGGCAAAAGTCTTTGACAGGTCGAGAAGCCGTGATCCAGTGGAAAGTTTTGCACACTGAGCAAAAGTGATCCGATATGAGTGGAAGAGCTCAGTCGACGATGGCATGACGGTATGCGCATGGAACTCATCTTCCTCATTGCGGATAGGTTGCAAGCGGTATTTTGGAATAAGAAGAGCCAGCTGCTTGTCCTGAGACTCGACCCACAAGCTGAGATATGGTTCGAAAGCCTCCGAGATGGCTTGACTGAAAGCACGAGGCTTCTCGTCTAATGTATCCATGGATGAACGTGACTCGGCAGCAGAGAAGCGACGCTCGAGGGAGTGCTCAAAGTCCAACGTTTCTTGCAAGCATGATAGTAGTAGATTGACATCTGGCGGCTGACCATCTGCACGGCGCATGGAACGTTGTAGGATCTGCTTGTAGTCTTCCCTCGTCGTCTCGCAAAAGGCATTGGCCAACATCTCATCCACACGCCATGTAGGTGGAAAGAGTGAAGCATGGTCAGAGTCATGTGTTTTGAGCATTCTGTTGAACCACGAGTAGCGGCGAGAGATGTTGTCGAGCGAGGCAGCTTCATCTGAAGATCTGAAGACCTGACGATACTCTCGCAACATGGTGTTACAATACCAGGTGGTCAGACGAGCGCGAGCATGATCACCCAAAGCATCCATGACATGACAAGCATCAGCCAGCATATTGCGGCTCGAAGCGACGGATTCTCTTGCAAAGGCGAGTTCAAAGTCCTCACAGATCTGGTCAAGCAATAGCCGCTGTAGATCAGCGACATTCTTGCTGAGTTGAGCAATCTGGTCAATACTGCGATATGCTTTGAAGTGTGCCATGAGCTGCACGACAGCAGACACCAGATGAGCACAATCACGGTATTGACGAGTCGAGGCAAGCACACGCAACTGCTCATAAGCTGTCGTCAACATTTGCAAGCGCTTGAGAGCCGTCATGGACAGAGTCAAATTCCGCTTTGTTTGATCGAGACGCTTGATGTCTGCCGTCATGTCTGTAATGTCTCTTTCTGTATCCATTGCTCTTGCGCGAACTCTGTCGATGCGGCCGAACAGTTCCCCTAGCTCTTCCTTTGCTTGTGTGATGCGTCGCACACTGTCGGCATCGCTTTCGGCCTGTCGCGCGACCATGCGGCGCATGTGTTGGTCGAGTTCATTTTGATGTCGGTGGACCTGTTGTGATACGGCGGCTGCTTGATCGAGGGTTGACGGGTGGCCGAAGAGGGCATTGAGGTGTGTGATTGGATCGTACTCGACTTGATACCTTGTCAGTATAGAATCTCCCAACTACCCTCGTCGTCGTCACATACCGGCGTCCATGTTGGAAGCTTGTTGTCTCGCAGTCACATGCGTCTAGGATAAACACAAGCACAGTTCGTGGAGGAAGTGGTTGGTTGGGTATGAAGACAGATTTGATTATGTCGGGAAGACCCCAGGTATCAACTGCTTGAACCTAACACCTCGCCCTTTGCGACTTCTCGTACGCTCTCAAAAGTTGATTGATCGTGACCAGACAGGTACGAGTAGACTCTCTCCTTGACTGGCTTCTTCCCCACCTACCTTTGTGGAGACGGCTCAATCATCAGCTCCCCCCCACGGCCTTGGCCGCGTTTGGCCGGCATCGCCGTCAACTCCGGTAGCTACCTATACCACAGCTGGCTAGTTGAGCTTTCTTCTCTTTCTTCTTTCTCTTCTCACATCTGTCACTCGATAAAACCAACCATCATGGCGTCCCCTGCTCTTCGTAATGTTGCATCCAACTGCCGCAAAGTACGTCTTGACACTTTTAACAATATAAGAACCCTTATCTCACCCTAATGACTCAAACAAATATGAACGAAGATGCTGACAATTGTGAACAGATCATGTGCATTGGCAGAAATTACATGGTAAGAAACATGACCTTCCTCACCTTCTGCCAAATTCGCATCAATCTCGATCATTTCGCAAACTCACCAACAATCAACGACCCCCCAACTAACCAAGAAAAACAGGACCACATCACCGAACTAGGCAACAAAAAACCCGCAAACCCCTTCTTCTTCCTCAAACCCCCATCCTCCATCCTCCTCAAAGGCGACGGCCCAATCCTCCGCCCCCGCGGCGTAAACGTCCACTACGAAGTCGAACTCGGCCTAGTAATGGGTCGTAAAGTGCGCGACCTCGATCCAAACGACTCCAAAACAGCTTTGGATTGCATAGAAAGCTATCTCCTCACCATCGACATGACTGGTCGTAATGTGCAAGAGGAAGCCAAGAAAAAGGGTTTACCTTGGAGTATTGCAAAGGGGTTTGATACTTTTTTGCCCATTGCCGGGCCGATTTCGAAAGATCAGGTCAAGGATCCTCATAATATTGAGTTGTTTTTGAGTGTTAATGGGGAGATGAAGCAGAATGATAATACCAATCTCATGCTGTTCCAGATTCCTAGGCAGTTGGCTGATATCAGTAGAGTCATGACTCTGGAGAAGGGAGACATCATTTTGACTGGAACTCCCAAGGGCGTGGGTGCTGTCAAGACTGGAGACGTCATTAGAGCTGGTATGCGTGTGGATGGAAAGGAAATTGAGGAAGCTAGCATTGAGGTCGAGGTCAAGGATCGCGACGGTCCTTATGAGTTTGCTGAGACATGAGAAAGCTAGGTAGAACCATCCTTGCTTTTGTACATATCCCCTCTACAGCAAAGAGCGAACATCTGTTCATATTACCACAAAAGCCAGAGCTTTATGTCTGTATTGTACTTCCTCTTCCATTCTGTCTTCAGAGATGTCACATGCCCAAATCCGAAGGTGTTGGTCTGAAAGGCATGTTGAGCCCTCCGATGCGTCTCTTCTGCTTGACTGGCTTCCTGGGCAACTCCACTGGCATCTGTTCTTCGATTGCCTTGGCTCCAGACTCGACATCATGCGCACCTTGTGTTCCGAACTGCTCCTCTGCAACCACTTCCGGCATGCTGTTGTCCACTTCTGCGTGCGCGGCACTTATTTGCTCGTCACCAGTCTCAAGATCGATGAATCGTTCATCCACAGTGGCCGACCTCTTGAGCATGCCCTCCATAGCCTTGCCCAAAGCATCAATCCTCAATCTCAACTGCTCCACATCCCCATCCTCCACCCTCCCCAACCTCTCCTCAAGCCCATCAACCCTCTGCTCCAAACCCACCCACTGACTCCCCCCTCCTCCCCCAACAACAGCCTGACTCTCCTCCCTCTTCAACCTCTCAATCTCCTCCTCCAACCTCCCCACCCGTTTCAAAATCTCCTTTTCCCGTTCGAATTCCTCTCTTCTGCGTTCAGTGGTTGCAGCTGCTTTGTCTTCGATAGAAGAGACCAGGTTTTGGATTTGAAGGCCTTCTTGTGCGATAGACGCGGATGCAGTGGTGAGTTTCTCGATATCGAGAGCTTGTTTTTTGATGAGGGAGAGGAGGTGGCGGTTTTCGCGTTGGATTTGGTGGTACCAGAGGAGTTCGCGGGGGCTGTTTGCGGTGGAAGACATCGTGGCCGTGGAGATGGGAAGATGGGTGTGCTCTTGTGGATGCTTTGGAGGTGGTGTGGGTATGCGTGGCTAGGCTCTGATGTGCGTGGAAGGTAAGACTGGCCAAACGCACGGCGAGGGTAGAAGAGTGCAGTCGTTCAATAAGGGGAGGCAGACGAGATAGGAACGCGATGGTTTGTGTGATGTCCTTGAACAAAGATACAAGGCAAGTGCGACTGACATGCAGTTGTACCTTCTTCTAGACTCTCAACGATACCCTCAAGGCAGGCACGACAGCAAGCACCATCACATGCAGACAGAAGAACTACAACGAAACATTTAGTCTTGAAAAAAAGGATAACATTCTTTTAGGAGAATAAAAGAGGAGACAAGAAAACTCGCCCCAAACCTAGCATCTAGAGTAAAGGGCATTGCAGTTCCGCGATTTTGGAGGAAAAAAAGAGCTTCAACCATAAAGACAAACGCCCAAATGCATGAGAAGTGGGATCCGTCGCCCGGGCCATGGTATCACATTCTAGAGCGTAAAGACCAGTCGTAGATCCCTCGTGAAAACATTGGTCACTGCCGCAGACATGCACTGCTGCAGTCCCGTTTTTGTTTTTGTTTGGCTTGAAATTCGTTTAGATGAGGTCTGGACGAGAGAATGTTAGCTTTTTGTGTTCAGTCAGGTTGGATCAAGTACAGTCAACATACCAGCAACGTTCATGGGCATCTCCTCGATTTGAGTGCTGTAGAACTGCTCAATCTCTCTCATCATGCGCACATCATCAGCAGTGACGAAGTTGATGGCAACACCCTTACGACCGAAACGACCACCACGACCGATACGGTGGATGTAGTTCTCGCGGTTGGCGGGGAGATCGTAGTTGATGACCAGCGAAACCTGCTGAACATCGATACCACGGGCCAAAAGGTCAGTGGCGATCAAGACACGAGAAGAACCGGAACGGAACTCCTTCATGATGACATCACGCTGGGCCTGGTCCATGTCACCGTGCATGGCAGAGACGGTGAAGTCACGGGCAGTGAGCTTGTCGGTGAGCCAGTCGACCTTTCTGCGGGTGTTGCAGAAGATGACGGCTTGGGTAATGGTGACGGTCTCGTACAGATCGGAGAGGGTGTCGAGCTTCCACTCCTCCTTCTCAACGGCAATGTAGAACTGCTTGATACCTTCGAGGGTAAGCTCGTCCTTCTTGACGAGAATACGGACGGGGTCGCGCATGAACTTGGTGGTAACCTCAAGGACGTCCTGGGGCATGGTGGCGGAAAGGAGGACAACCTGGGTGGACTGGGGAAGGAGCTGGAAGATGTCGTAGATCTGCTCGGTGAAACCGCGAGACAGCATCTCATCAGCCTCGTCGAGGACGAACATCTTCATGGAGTCGGTCTTAAGGACGCGACGCTGGATCATGTCGTGGACACGGCCGGGGGTACCGACAACGACCTGAGGGCCGTCCTGGAGGGCCTTCATGTCGTCACGGACGGAGGTACCACCGATACAGGCGTGGCACTCAACGTTCATGAAGTCACCGATGGCGACAACGACCTTCTGGATCTGCTGGGCAAGCTCACGGGTGGGGGCGAGAATAAGGGCCTGGCAAGCCTTGACGTTGGGGTCAAGCTTCTGGAGGACCGAGATGGAGAAAGTGGCGGTCTTGCCAGTACCGGACTGGGCCTGGGCAATGACATCGTGGCCTGGAGGGCTTGTGTGAGTATTGTGAAGGAGCAAACAAGAAGTGCTCAGGTAAGCTTACCCTTGATGACGGGCATGATGGCGCGCTGCTGGATAGCAGAAGGGCGCTCGAAACCGTAGGCGTAGACACCACGGAGGAGCTCAGCCTTGAGGTTCATGGCGTCGAAGGAGTCGGTGGTCTCATCGTAGTTGGACTCGATCTGTCCTGCAGGCGAAGCTAGTCAGCGCAGTTCATCGCAAGGTGTGTGGAGCGCAGGTCGGCGCAGATGCAGTGGCTGAAGCACAAGGGCAAGCAGCAGCAGCTATCGCCGTCGAAGGCGCTCAGTTCTGCAGTAGGGGCGTGTGCGCGACGGCGAACGAGATGGACGTACCCTCGGGGACCTCTTCAAGACCGGAAGCCATGATTGCGGTGTGTGTTGGTTTGTGAGTTGGGGTTTTTCGTAAAACTGTCGGTGGGCGATAGGGCGCCGCTGTGTACTTGAAGACTAGAAATCAAAAACTCTCGTGTGTGAGAGTCTGCGAGATTATCTAGTTTGTTGGGAGTGATGAAAATGGCTGGAGGAAAAGAGGGGCGCGGTCGAATAATATGAGAATTTTCGTGGAAAGTTGCAAGTCCGTGCGCACGGTGCATCCGCTCCCGCCTCTCCAACCATCCGTCATTCGGTTTGCCAGCAAAGTGACTGTCGAATAATTTTCTATGACTGTCGTCACTTCCTGGCCACAGACGTTTTGGTGTTGTCCAATAGCCACCTGAAGGAATTTACTCATAACGCCAAATCTCCAATACGATTGGATACTGGATTCACCCTTGAAGAATGACTCCTCCAGCGGCTCTGGTAGACCAGGACTTTGAACATAGACCAATTAAAAGACAGAAACTCGATGTTGACACAGACACAACGACCAATCCAGAGGAATCTGCCAACACCATCTGGAGTCATCCTCTTGGAATACGTCCGTCAGGAAATGCATTCACTGCTGTTGTGAATGCGAAAGCAGCAATTGGATCATTCGCTCTGCTGCCTGATGAACTTTTGGCTCAATTTTTGGAATACCTTGATGTAAAAGATCTACTTCGATTGGGTGGTACTTGCCGTGCTCTACATGGATTCACAAGATCCGAGGAGCTGTGGAAAGCACTTTTCATAGAGTATGTGTTTATACTTCCCTCGTGTCATACCAATCTAACATTACACAAGGTCACAACCAGAAAATTTCAAGTGGCGTGGCACATGGCGCTCGACTGTTCTATCTCAACCGCGCTCCCAGGAGCCTGATGTGGATTGCAGTAATCTCTTCTCTGATGCACTCCATCGACCATATTTCTGTGCTCACGTGCCCCTGGAGCCCTTCGTGACCAATATCCCTGCTCGCAATCAGATCCATCGTCTTACATCTCTGACCTTTGAGGAGTTCACAGAGTCGTACACGAACAAGCCATTTATCATCTCAGAACCTACAAAACGTTGGCCAGTTTTCGGATCCTGGTCTGTCAAGTCACTGCTCAAACAATACTCCAATGTCAAGTTTAGAGCGGAGGCCGTGGACTGGCCTTTCGACGTCTATGTCGACTACATGAAGGACAATCATGACGAAAGCCCTTTGTATCTCTTCGACCGCTCGTTTGCCGAAAAGATGAACATCCAAGTAGCTGACAGCTCTACCGCACATTTGTACGTTGGCACTGCGTCTGATTTATCAAGTCCACAAGACGAGCGTAAAGTGGCATACTGGGCCCCTTCGTTCTTTGGTCCTGATCTCTTCAGCGTTCTGGGAGACCAAAGACCCGATCATCGTTGGTTGATCATCGGTCCCTCTCGCAGTGGCTCAACCTTCCACAAAGACCCCAACGCAACCTGCGCCTGGAACGCCGTCTTGACAGGAAAGAAATACTGGATCATGTTCCCTTCTTCTTCTTCTCTTCCACCACCACCTGGTGTCTTTGTCTCCGCCGACCAAAGCGAAGTAACGTCACCCCTGAGCATCGCAGAGTGGTTCCTCGGTTTCCACGCCGAAGCCCGCCGCACAGAAGGTTGTATCGAAGGCATCTGCGAAGCCGGCGAACTGCTCTACGTACCAGCCGGCTGGTATCATTTAGTCATCAACCTCGAGGATTCGGTCGCACTGACACAAAACTTTGTGCCTCGTCAGAGACTGGCGTCGGTGTTGCATTTCCTGCGAGACAAGTCGGATCAAGTCAGTGGATTTGCAAAGGACGTGACGAATCCATATCAACTCTTTGTCGCGAAGCTGAAGGAGCTGGAACCAGATGCTCTAGAAGAGGCTTTGCCAAAACTGGAAAAGATGAGTAAGGGCCCTAAAGGCAAGTGGGCGGAGTTGACAAAGACAACCGAGGATACCAGCGAAGAAGGCGGATTCTCTTTCGGCTTTGGAGGGGACGATGATGAAGATATACCATAGTAAATTTTGTATCGAAAATCTCGGCACACATGTCGTTGTTTGACAGAGATGGAAGGTGTGATGTGTAAAAATGGATTTGTATATTGATATGGTTTCAAGCTGTATGCACCCTTCCTTTTTGTTTTGCCTCCTAGACTGCAATCTTGAAAAAAACAAGAGAGTCGATGAGACAAAGAAGCGAACCACCCAGTTCATTAATTTAGAACGCCAGCCGCTATGCAAAACAGTAAATGGTATTTTCTGGTCATCAAAAAAGGGAAAAGTGGCGCAAAGACGCGGACTTGCTCAAGCAGCTGCTGCATCGCGGACGTCGGGTAAGAAGTCACGCAGTAAAGCGACAAGATCATCTTGACGAGCGAGCTGGGTCAAAAGCTTCTCTTCAAATTCACGCCATGTACGAAGGACTGACTTGTCGCCTGCAGTCAAATATTCATCTTCATGACCGACGACATCAAGACGTTCTGCCTTCTGGATGACTTCGCTGACAACGTCCTTTTCATGCTGCATGCGTTGGATCAAGCGAGCTTGTGCTTTGTATGTACGTTGAAGAAGCAATTGACGACAGCGATCCGGATCAAAGTACCACAAGAACAAAGTCCTGCTTGGTTGGCGTGAGTTGTCCTTGGGCACTTCTTGGGCCTCCACAAATCCATGCTCGTGCATGTCGGTCATGATACTGCGAATATCCTTCTGCCTCATAAGCGAGAAGTTGGCGACCTGCTTTTCATCGAGCTTTCCTTTTGAGTGCAGCATGCGAACGATACGTGTGGCAATACTGCCATGGCCAGCGTTGATGACTTGTTCCACTTCGTTGCGTTGCATCCAGCGGATGAGTGCTGGGAAATTAACCCTCCACTCTCCTTTACCGCGAGTGCTGACCTTTTGAGCAAAGCCACGTGGATGTTCTGCCAAGAGTGCCATGTGTTGTTCGACCAGTGTCAGACGTTGGTTGCGGTCTGCGAAAACAGAGGCGCCGCCCTTGAATCTATCATTGCCGTTTTCTCGTTTCGGCACATCGCCATCGTCCAGGTCGAAATCATCGTCGTCTCCGTTGGAAAGTGTAGATGCTAAGTCGATCGTAGGATCAAGAATATCTGTAATGTCGAGGGTGGTAGATGTGGGTTGTGCAGCTTCTTCGTCGGCCTCATCTGTGTAGATGGTAAGCTCGTCGTAGCATCTTGGACATTTCCTCTCCAGTAGTTCCAACAACGCGCCGTACACTGTTGCTGTGACGTCTCCAATGGACTTTGCGGCCAGATTTTGAAGAGCTTGACTGCGCAACGCGACATTGCATTTCTCCCAGTTGACCTTCAGCACCATGTCCTTGTCCATCACGACGTCATCCTCATCTTCAGCGCCGTATGTGCCGACACCATTTGCCGTGCCACCATTGGTCTTTATTCTCTTTGCAGATGGACCGTAGCCATTGGATCTCTTGGGCACCTTCCTCACACCAGTGACAGCGTCGTCGGTAGCGTCCCTCCATTTCCTCTTCAAGTCTCTCAGAGCCTGCTCGTACACAACCTTCGCCTTTGGACCAGTGACCTTGCCATCGGGGAACTGTTCTCGTTTGACGACAACATCGGCTTCGTTGTGTGAATCGGCGGTGGAAAGGAACGTGCTCGGCCGGACTCTTGTAAGGAAGCCGGACTCCAACAGCTTGCACAGCATCGAATGGAGTTGCTCGGGAGTGGTGATCTTCTTGAGGCCCCTTTGTGTAGGCATGCCCTCGCCATTGATGTGCTCGGCTTCGGTGTCGATTGCGTGTCCAGGGTTCTTTGAGAACTTGTAGGCATCCTCCAAGTCTCCTACACGCGCGTGACCCAATTGCAACAGATTCGAGACGAGCTGAGCGGCAGCTTCTCCGAAACGTAATTGAACAATGTTGATAATCTTTCCAGATCGCATCAAGTTGTATGCGCCATTCCAGTCGACTTCGTAGAAGGTCTGCGGATCACTACCGGCGGCGGAAGAGTGGAGGACCAGATGCTGCTGAATGAGGACGGTCAAGGCGTACTTGACATGACGAGGAGAGAGCTGTGCGTTTGAGATGAGGGTTTGGAGGTTGACACGACCCCAAAGGGCAAGGGTGCGAAAGACGTGAGCCGAGAGTTGACCATACGACTCATCAACCAGGAGAGCGCAAAGCTGCGAATAATGCTGTAAAGAAGACTCAGAATACTGATTTTGTATATGGGAGAAGTCCTATCGAATTACCTCGGCCATGATTGAGCGCAGCAGTGACGTCTTCCTCCGTCTGGTTATACAGGCTTTCCTATGCTATCGCGACATGAGTGGGCGCAATGTAAAGCAGAAGCAGAAATATCTCGATGCTAGGAAAGAGCGACCGGGTCTGAACTAAAGCCGGCCTTGGCATCTCCCGACCTTCGACGAATCAGAAGCGGCTTATTCCGAGCAAGGGCAGCAGCAGGAAGGAACCTCGAGCGTCGACAGCGATCGAGAAAGACATCCGTGTATCCACCAGCTCCCCTCCCCTCCGCCAATTGCTCTCCGCCGGCACAATCACAATGCTGTCCAGTTCGGCTTTCAGACGGCCAGCCCAGCGCGCTGCCCGCAACCTCTCCGCCCCGTCGACTCGCGGTCTCGCTGCACCCGCCTCGGGTTCCTTCGCCTTTGAGACCGGCTCCGCCAATGGCGTCAAGTTCGCCAGCAGAGACATGGCCGGTCCTATGACCAAGCTCGCCATTGTCGCAAAGGCCGGTACCCGCTACGAGCCCCTGCCCGGCCTCACCCTCGGTCTGCAGAGCTTCGCCTTCAAGGTCTGCGCCAACCACCAACGCCCTATACATTACACATGAAACTCATTCGTACATACAGGGCACCCACCAGCGCTCCACCCTCCGCATCCAGCGCGAGGCCGAGCTGATGGGCTCTCAGACCTACTCCTCGCACTCCCGCGAGAACCTCGTTGTCGGCGCAAAGTTCCTCAGAGACGACCTGCCTTACTTTGTTGAGCTCCTCGCAGAGGTCGCTACCCAGACAAAGTACGCCCCTCACGTCTACCACGAGGAGGTCTACCCCCACATCCAGCTCGCCCAGAAGCGCTTCCTCGGCGATGTCCTCGAGATGGCCGTCAACTCCGCCCACGGCCTTGCCTACCACCGCGGTCTCGGTGTCCCCACCTCGCCTTCTTCCTCCGTCCCTCTGAGCAAGTACCTCGACGCCGATTCTATCGCCGACTTTGCCGACTCTGCCTACGCTGCCCCCAACTTCGCCATTGTCGCCAACGGTGTTGAGTCTGCCGAGCTTTCCAAGTGGGTTGGCCAGTTCTTCAACAACATTCCTTCCACCCCCAGAGCCAACATCACCACACCCAAGTCTCAGTACTACGGTGGTGAGGAGCGTATTGCTCACGCTTCCGGTAACGCCATGGTCCTTGCTTTCCCCGGCTCAACCACTCCTACTGGTGAATCCTACAAGCCCGAGATTGCCGTTCTTGCCGCCCTCCTCGGTGGTCAGTCAGCCATCAAGTGGTCATCTGGTTTCTCTCTTCTCTCCAAGGCCGCTTCCAAGTACCAGGGTGCTACCGTCGCCACCAAGAGCGCCATCTACTCTGACTCTGGTCTTCTCTCCGTCTCCATCAAGGGATCCGCAAAGGATGTCAAGGGTGCTGCTCAGGAGGTTGTCAGCGCCCTCAAGCAGGTTGCTCAGGGTGTCAGCAAGGAGGACTTCACCAAGGCCAAGGCCGCCGCCAAGTTCAAGGAGCTCGAGTTCGGCCAGAACATTGATGCCGGTATTGAGCTTACTGGTGCCGGTCTCATCCAGGGCAACAAGGCCTACCAAATAGATGAGGTTGCCAAGGGTATCGATGCTGTCACTGAGGAGCAGCTTAAGGAGGTGAGTTTTTTTTTGATGCAATCGAGACTGTGACAAATGCTAACTACGATATCAGGCTGCCAAGGCCATCTTCGAGAGCAAGGCTTCAGTGTCATCGGTCGGTGACCTTCACGTGCTCCCTTACGCTGAGGAGCTGGGCCTCAAGGTGTAAATATGAACTGGAATGCAGAGGCAGAAAAAATGTACCATTAAACCTGTACTCGCGATTCTGCGTAGACTTGCAATTTTTTCGTTTGTTTATAAAAGAGCCTTTTTCTTCTTTCATTTCTTTGCTACGAGTGTGGATAAGCTGTTAATTGAGTTTGATGACGGAGAAAGTTGAAGAAGAGAAAGGTGCGACCCATGAGTTCCCGATACGCAGCGAGACCAAAGAGATTCATCTATGATGAGAGTGATGCCGGGCTCCTTCGACTTGACGGCGAATCGTGTCTCGTCTACGCTGCTCATCAATCAAAAGACACCATGAACAACATTAGGGTGATTGGTTTTGTTCAGTACACGTGACGTGCGGGCGGAGAAGTCGCGCCAAGAGCGGAGAGAGACGGTGCAAGTCGAGGGCAAGCGCATTCAATCAAGCAGTGCCAGCCAAACCCGCAGCTCTCTACCGTATTCACCCTCTCGCAACTACCACTCACCCCTCTTTCAATACCGTCACAATGGTCGCCGCCTGGAAAGCCGCCGGTCTCACGTAAGGATCTCTCTCCGCCCACTCCGCGACAACCCCGAGCTCGGAAAGGACATGGGACAGACGCAAGAGAGAAAGCACAGAATGCTGATTCGAGGTCTTGATTCACAGCTACAACCGTTACCTGGCCGTCGCCGCCCGTGTTGTCCGCCGCTCGCTCAAGGAGGACAAGAGATTGGCTGCCGAGCGCAGAGGAGAGATGGACTTGAGATTCGCCAAGTGGGAGGTGCGTTGAACCTGATCATATTCCGACACCTACGACGCCATTGAGATACGATCTACCACGCCACATACATTACGCGTTGCACTGCAGATATCAGAACGGCATGACTGACAAGATACGAACAGAACGGCAAGCAGGGCGAGAGCAAGAACCTCGCCGCCGCTCTCGCAGAGTCCACCCCCGCCGCCTCCTCGTAAATTCAACCAGATACCATGCGCCGAGGAAGGATAGGACAGGGAGGAAGAAGGGCCTCTTGAGGAGGTGATTGTACCAACACAATTTGCGAAAGTCAAAATGCTTGAAATGCAATCCTCAGTCGCCAACATTTTGTACATGCACTTCCTTACCCTCTCGTGAATGTTTCCCGTCTGCCGTGTTCGGAGTGACCTATTATTGTAGCAACCCAGACCGTGAGGCATGCGTGATTATCATCGTAAATTGAGATTGATCAATGATTCCCCTTTGAAGCAGACGCTCCCAATATGATCATTCACGAATCATCAAAGTCCTGCTGTTTCAACTTCCACCCATCTCGTCCGCGAAGCCCGCCCGATTAGGCCTCCGTGACCAAGAAATCCAACAAATTATCCCATACCCGCCCCCGCTTGCCGATACAATTGAAGACACATCATGCAGCCAGATATAACGCGCTTGAGCCTGGGTATTGGTGATGCTCAGCCTGCCATGTCCTCAACGTACGATAATGGTTTTCCTTCACGCTCACCGTACAAGGCTCGGCAGATGAGCGTCAAGGATATCACGAGGGAGTTCTTGGATGCTTCTGCAGGTATGTCTAGACGCCATGAGACTATGATGTTTCCAACAGAGGCTGCTTTGCGAGGATTGCAGTCCGAAGTCTAATATCGTGCGAATGCGATATGCTGATCAGATCTCAGAATTGCGGCAGGGACAGTTGGTCAAGGATGACTTCTTTACGCTTTTTGAAGCCGTTGGAGCGCTTGAGGTGTGTATCAGTACTTGTTACTGCTTTCAAATGCTGACTTTTGATCAGATAATGGACCCTAAAATGGACAGCGGATTCGTGATACCAGAAAAGGACGCTGCGGTGGACAATTTCGACCCGCTGCAAAAGATGTTACCCGAGGAAATCATCGGTATAATGGATCAATTGCTGTCTTTCGAGGTATGTCTTTCTGATCCTCTCTATACGGAATGGATGATCTGACGTGATTACAGATATCCTGGCATCAAGGATATGCTCTTTCACAGACATTGTTCACATCTCTGCACATGTACTCTCTGCTAACACCCTACTACCGCCCTCTCAGCGCCATTGTCTTTTCTCCCAAAAGAAGTAGCCCGGAGACTTCAGATCCACTCATCAGCAGTGTACTTCGTGCTTTCTGTCTTGGCATCATGAAGTCTTGCGATGCTGTGATCCAAGAGATAACTTCTGAGCATTACTACGAGGAGGAAGATTTCATCACCCAGAATTTCGCGCAGTATCTGTTGAATGATGTTGACCATTCTGAAGTCGTTGCCGAGATTCAGAGGGCACTGGAGATTCTAGATGCACAGGATTTGGCAGATGATGTCAAGGACGCAATCAGACATCGTTTAGAGTTGCGTGTTCGACTGCTCCGCGCACAGGAGCCTTTGAGCTTGGTCGAGATGACTGACAAAACCGAGATGTGGACGGCAGTACTCGACACTGTCAGCAAAGTCAATGAGACAGTCAAGCTGGGAAAGGCAAGGCCTGATCTCTTCTCCGAGAGAGTGCAGAGACATCTGGCCAGTAACACACCTCCCATCCCAATGATTAAGACGAACTGGGAAGAAGCATATCCTCGTTTCCAAAGACTAGCCGAGGACAATATCGAAGCCCATCGACTCGCCAGTATCGAGGACCTGAGTCCTTTGAACATAACTGTAAGTTTGTCTCTGCCTAATCATGTTGACTTCCGAACTAACATCCGTATCAGCGCTTCGCATGGGACTTCTCCAGTCGAACACCCCAGCCCTCTACCTACTCACGAGCAATAATGCAAGGTCTTCTCTTCAAAGGCCAGAAAGTCCTCGCTCAAACATCTCACCTCTCCCTTATCCTCGAGGATATTCGCAGTCTCTCCATGTCCGGTGATCCACTCCTCAGCCCTTCAAATTGGGAAGTAGAGCTTCCAACTGATCCTCGCTATCGTTCTTCCCGCATCATTGACGAATTCATGGCAAAAGCTCTGGATGAATACATCAATATCCCTCGCATGATACTTCAAAATCGGTGTCGTATGAGAAGGACATTCTGCCAAAGCATCTCCATCCTCGATGGCCTACAAGCAGAAGCCGAAAATGCAGATGCTGAACTCCACTCTCTATTCCCTTCTTCAACTTCTTCTTTCCCGCCCGAGAAATTCTACCCCTTGGCTGCTTGGGTATATTTCCACAAACTACGCATCATGGAATGGAGTATTCAACTAGGCTTTGAATTGGACGTCTATCAAGACGCAGAATTCGCACATCTATACCGCTTTCTGGCTTTTGTGGCAGCAACACGAGCAGAACATCTTCAACACATTGATCTATTCCTTCATCTTCGCCAACGCTCGTACAGAAAACAAGGAAATGTGGTCATGGCAGATCAAGTCGCAACTTCTCAAGCCAGCATAACGTTCCTAACTACTCAAGCTACGATGACGGCTGAATTTGCTTCTGCATCAAGTTCCCTCTACTCTTTGCTTTACTCTCATCATCTCATCAAGTCTCTGGATGAAAAGGAGATCTACAGCACGAATGGCAGAAGACATGAGTTACGCATGAAACCCTACCTTCCCATTGGAACACCCACTCTACCCTCCAGCGAGGAAATGGACATTGCAACACTTCTCCCACCACAAACCTCCATCTCTGCAATCTTCAGCACCATTTCTTCTCGTCTTGCAGCTGCCAAAACTGCACTGGTAGCTTTGAAAACAATATCTTCCAACACGGGCAATTACCGCGGTTGTGAAGCAGGGTTTAAAGCAGAAATCCAGGGTGTTTTGGGGAGTATCGTAGCGACTGGTATTTCCACCTCTTTACTCAAAAAGGTCATCGAGGAGATTGGGATAAAAACGGTGGGAGATGTGCAAGGTAAAGAAGAAGTTGTGAAGCAAGAAATCAAAGTGGAAAGGTTGGGGGAAAAGAGGTTTTCGACTTTTTGGGCTGTTCCTAAGTTGAGTGGTGTGTAGATGGGTATAGCCAAAATACAAAAAATGGGGTGGGGAAAGATTTTCTGATTTGAGGGTTGAGGTTGGTGAGGTGGGAGGGGGTTTATGAGCGGTTCCTTTCTATTGACCTTTTGGGATGAAAGATGGATGGTTGGTATAGAATTGTGTTAGAGGGAGTGCTTGAACTCATTAGACTCTTGTACAAAAGTGTTGCTACCGACCTTCGTCACGCGAATTTTAGACATGAGTATTTCCCTTCTCCTGACTTGTTAAAAGTCATGATGCAAGCCAAGCAATAAACAAATATCTATCAACTGTAAGAATGGAATCAATGGTAGAGGTTACGTTTTGTCGTCAAGTCTTCAGAATCCAAAGCCTGGAAATCGTTATCCCACTATGTCTCAACGACGACACCTCTTACAGATTTGAAACATCTATTCTAAGCAGAATCAGTACTCCAGCCCGTAATAAGCCATCCGATAACAGGAGAAAATGTTGGGTAAGGGAGAGTTATCGCTACATTTTACTGCTTTTAGGTGTGGAAAGGGGGAACACCCTGTCCTCCTATCCTTCGACCAGCCATGACGTCATCTTCTTTTTTCTAGCAACGCTTAATTCATAATGGTTCAAATCAAGCATCTAAAGTCATGTTTACGCTCAGGGTATTGTTAGACTTGCGCAGGTTTTAATAAGATCCAAATCTCACACACAATAGTACACCTGGAGAGGAATCTCGATGTATTGCAGAAAACAGGGATGAATTTATCCATCGGCTAGGATCTTGACACAATGTCCGAAGTGTGTACTGCATGCAAAGCAAAAAAGCAAACCGCTATCGAGAAATGTGAAATGGAAAAGTGGAAAGATACGAGTATAAACGCCAAATGTATGCAGTAGAGAGGAAAAAAAGGAGACCGTGCCTAGAAGCACTCTTTTTTTTATGTACAACAATAGCAATGAAAGAATATAAAGCAAAAGGTCATGACCTTCGTTAAACAGTTTCAACACCCGCTATATCCAATGCTTACAAGGCGAAAAGGGCAGCGGCACCAACAGCGGCAAGAGCACCGAGACCCTTAGGTGCAGCAGTCATGATAGCACCCATAGCACTGCTGGTAATAGTACCAGTAGGGAGGCCACCAAGACGACCACCACCAGTCTGTTGGGCCACGGAAGAGACGGCGGAAGCGACACCAGTAGCGTCAGGAATGCTACTGTTGGTAATCTCCAAGATGTTGTTGGTGGTGCTGTTGAAGTTTGTCTGGGCGAGAGAAATCTCGTTGTTGGTGATGTCATAGACAACGTAGGCACTGCGGAGGAAGGTATCACCGAGAACGGGGGTGGTTCCGTCGGCAGGTGCAATGCCTAGGATGCAGACAGGGGTGCGACCTTGGTAAGCCATAACAAGAACCAGCTCCGACATGCTAACGCGGATGGTGGGAGACGAGAAGGTGAAGTCGATGGTGGTCTCGTTGTAGCGCTGGTTGCAGTCGATAAAGGCAGCACCATAGTCGGAGCTGTACTTTGCACCAGTCATGCGGTAGATAGATTCTGTAATGTCGTTGGGAAGGTACATCAAACTTGAGCCCGAGTCAAGGAGAGCAGCTACGTTGACGTTCGAGGCGATAGAGTTTTCTTTGCCATTGTAGCCAACGCCAGTGAGGGCAATGATGAACTCAGCATAGATGCCCTGCTCAGTAAGAATGGGCAATGTCTGCAGAGAACCAGTGTACTTTTCAGTGTTTACACCACCAAAGAGGACAGAACCGGTAGACGCGTCGAGGTCGTTCAACCACAGACTGTATGCATTTGTGTTGATAAGTCCATCCTGCATCATCTTTTGGGGAACGTTGACGTAGGTTTGTCTCGAGTACTGAAGAATGGCTTCATTGGTAGGGTAGCCAATTCCAAGAATGCCCTCTTCGGAGCTCGAAACGTAACCAATACCGAACTGTTGATTTTCGAGGGTGGCACCTCCGATGCGGAAGACGTCGGTGGCATAGTCGCCTGATGAGCCGGAGCCATCAACGTAGGAGATGTTGAAAAGACTGTTGACATATTCATATGTCGAGGAAGAGTTGGGGGCATATGTGCCAGAGGTGGCGCAGTCGTACTGTTGAGTGTTCTCACACTGCGTGGAAGTGGCGACATTGACCCAGAGATCACTACTTCCGGTATCGATGTGTAGCCTAAAGTCCTGCGCCGGTGTTCCTAACGAAGCATTGGCAAAGTACAGTGTTTGCTCATTGTCCAATGTTGCCGAGATAGTGTTTTGACGTCTCCTCAGGCGGTCTCTCTTCAGGGGATCTTTGACCGTTTTTCTTTGGATCTCGTACTCGACGACCTTGGGAGCCTCGTTGGTGCGCTTTTGCAGAGTGATGGCTTCGGCGCCAATGATGGTGGAGGCAGCGAGTGCCAAGGTGGAAATGTGTTTCATAATTGCGTCCAGAAATCCGGTAGGCTTGCGACTGAGTAGTGAAGGGGACTCGGCGTCGATGCTATATACAAGGCCGTGGCGAGAAGATGTATGCGACAGAGATGGCGATGCTGGGCAAGACAAAGAAAAGCAGCAGCAGCAAACAACAGTAAGAGCGAAGGCAACAGGTATTTCAGAAAAGATGACAAGAGAGGCTTTGTATGACGCGGCCACAGTTGAGCCCAGCCACGAACGTCGTCGAAGCCGCGATCCGCCCTTCCCGAAAGGATGACGCCGGCTTTCTGGGGCACTCTTCTTTGGAAATAAAGACGATCCGCGGACACGCTGGGCTGATCAGATCTGATTTGAGATCTAGAGACCTCTTTTGCTTGCCAGACTCTTGACTTGAATCACTTTTCACACCGTGTGATCACTTGCTGCGTACGCGGTCCGGTTTTAGTCTCAGGCAAGATTGCGTCGTCTGGCGAATCAAGCTTTTGCTCCTGTCGCTTCCAGAACCAAGGCAAAAGGAGTGTACTTGACTGATGTCAGAAAAGGGGACTTTGGCGTACGTGGGATCTATCAAAGGAGGGAGACACAGCCTGTTGCAAAATAGGCGAAGCGTGCACTTCTTTTAAATCAAGTCGTGCCTTGCTTACCGTGAGCTTTTCCATCCTCACAACATTCTGCCGAAAAGACTGTCCATACTTTGCGCCTTTTCTTTGGTCCGCGCATCCAACATGTGCAACGTTTGGATAACCCGCTGCATGAGAAGCGGCTGATCGGCCACCCGCCTCCTTGAACGTGCGCCTCCGCGCCTCAAGGGCTAGAAACTAGACAGAAGGCGAGAGCTCTCCAAGCTCGCTCATCATCTCCACAAGCTCGATAATTTCATTACACTGAAGCTCGTATTCACGCCCCAGAGTGGCAGTGTTGACTCCACGTGAAATTGTTCACAGCTCTCGGATAACAAAGGATTGTTTACAACAAATCTGGACATTCCATTGTCTCGTGCAGCGGACACGGGTTATCATGCATGACACTTGAAGGTACGAAGAAAGGTACAGTCCGTTGGTTGGCTGGATACATCCTGTACCCCTGTTAGGCACATGGCCTGAGTAAGTTTTCGGGTGCTGTCTCTCTGGTGAGATGCACGAACTGGGATCTTTGTCGAGTCACTCTCAACCTTTCATAATGTGGCTGTCCGTCTGTCTGTCCACACAGCGCCACACTTGAAAGGAACCAAATTCGCAATTCGTGTAATCAGTCTCATTACTGCTTAGCATATCCTCTATCTCGTTTATTTGGGGATTCTGAAGGGGTGTGCTTCTGTGTTGAAGGTAAAGTCGTCCAAACTGATCAAATCAGGCTCGCTGAAGATCAGATAGAAGTACTTCAGAGTTTCGGCCAGCCAGAAACTCTCCATGCTGTCCGTGACAGTAACCTTGCCATCCTCTCTGGACACGTCCGCTAGTGCACCATTGGCTAATGATGTCTTGGTGTTTTCTTGAATGGCGTTGAACATCTGCCACGCGCTCTCCTGGAGGTCCTTGCGTCCTGTGATACGATAGAGAATGAACACACTCTCGATTGCTTCGGGTCTCAGGATGTATCTGCGGTCATCGAGACTTGTGAATCCTGGTTGTAGACGTTCTTCGGCAATGATCTTTTGCACTTCCGAGGCATCGCTATTACCACCCTTCCGTCTCACCACTTCCTTGTGCCATGCCTCTTCATTCCATTCGCAAGGCTCGTTCGTAGGACATTCAATCATATGCATCACTTCTGGCATGATACCCAAAGGCATGGCTTTGTATGTCCAGACACATCCATCTGTCAACTTCTTGCCCACGTCGAGGTGAGTCTGCTCGTTGAATAGCTTACCACCTAGGGCAAACATACCTCCAGCGAAGCAGACAAGATGTTGACCCTGGAAGTCGAGCCCGCCTTTGTGCTCGGCGTCAACGTGCGCCATTCCTGCGATCAGGATGTCGGCGTTGTCAGGGGTCATGGGTCGCCAAAGCGTATAACGAATAGCAGCGTCCATGGCAGCACGGTACATCTTCTCATACATGGGTTCCAGACCACCGAGAAGGGCATGCATCTTTGGAAGATACTCGTAGGCAGAATCTGACATTGCTCCGAGAGTGAATGTGTCGTGCCAGGTCAAATCCATGTCTCTGGCATTGACAAGAATAGGCCACATACCGGGCACGTGTGTTTTGGACTGTTGCTCTTCGAAGAGCTTCATGACACGATGGGTCGCATCGAACCAGCGTGGGTCACCGGTAATTTGAGACAGTCGAGTGAACTCCATGACAAGCGATCCGATTTCCGCTACCAGTGTGACAGGATCGGCGGTCTGAGGAGCTCCTCGTCGAGCATCCATGACTCTCCAGCGTGTGATGGGCATGTGGTTTGGAGTATCGAAGGCGTGAAGCAACATCTCACCAAGTTCCTTAGCTTTGACTAGGAGGCGCTCATCGGCACTCAGATCGTACGCTGACAGGAAGCCACCCATGTATCGGATGGTTGTCTCGAAGACGTTGATCTCTTCTTGTGATGTGGATGCAAAGTCGATGGAGACCGTTGCTGCCACTGCTTCGTTGAATTCGTCTTTCAGACCCATGATCCAAAGAGTGTCGAGGGCATCGACCAAAGTGGCGGCCCATCCTGCAAAGGTGTTTCTCTTCTGACCAGAGATTGGAGTCAATTCGTCGGCCATCCATGCATGCTCTTTGTAGGAGCCGTATGCTCGCTTGAAGGCATCCAGAACAGCAGAGCGTCTCTCTTCACGAAATTTCTTCTCAGACGAATCTTCTGTCGGGAACTGATACTGAACCTTCGGCAGCTTCTTCGGTTTACCGGTCGGCAGAGCGTGCATAGAGGTGACTGTATGTTGCTTGGGGACCTGGCTCCAGTCGACATGGCCGCCGAACATGGCGTTTGAGGAAGCACTCCATGTCTTGAAACCAGCATATGCGACACGATCGCGATGGACGAACAATATAGCAGCGAAGATAGCAAAGACGAGCAAGAGCCGATAGCTCTTCATTCTCGGGCTGATGGCCATGATGAACTTGGTGAACTAGATAACGGTTTGAAAGACCATTGCCCGATTTTGGGTTGCAACGAGCTTCGCAGTAATTGAGCGAGAGACAGAATTTAAGTGACAGGCAGGCGCGTGCCACCAAGAAGACAAGAATGCAGAGTCGCGAAAGCTGCGATGATCCTTTATTGATTGGCCAAGCCTTGCTCCTTACTCCTTTGGGGTTATGCTGATAGCCGCCTAACTCAATCTATAGAGAAGACATCGATGTTGTGATGAGCTGCACGATATATAGCGAGAGACCAAGTGGTCGCTCATTCGACGCGACAAAGTCAAGGTTGATGCTTGTAGGATCTCAGCGAGACGAATTGCGTGAGCTTGTTTCGCTCAAGCAAGCGCAGCCGCGACCCACTTTTCTTGACCGACCACTTTACGCGTCGTGTCTCGATCAACGCGTGCCTGCCTCAATTACACATTTTGGCTGCGAGTTCGACACTGGAAGGTCGACATCATCACAACTATCTCAAAATGGTGACTGCTGGACCCTCATCTGCTCAGAGCGGTGCGCAGGCCCGCGCAACATCTTCTGCCGCTCCTGGCTACGAACTTCCCTGGTACATCTCATCGTCTGTCATGCTATGCGCTGAGCTAACACCGCCCACAGGGTAGAGAAATACCGGCCAGTCTTCCTGGACGATGTTGTCGGCAACACAGAAACGATTGAACGACTTAAGATCATTGCAAAGGATGGCAATATGCCTCACGTAATCATCTCCGGCATGCCTGGTATCGGAAAGACTACTTCCATCTTGTGTTTGGCTAGACAGATGCTCGGCGACGCCTACAAGGAAGCCGTTCTCGAGTTGAACGCCTCAGATGAACGTGGTATTGATGTCGTCCGCAATCGCATCAAGGGCTTCGCCCAGAAAAAGGTCACTCTGCCTGCCGGTCGCCAAAAGTTGGTCATTCTCGATGAAGCCGACAGCATGACTTCCGGTGCACAGCAAGCTCTGAGAAGAACAATGGAGATCTACTCCAGCACAACTCGGTTCGCCTTTGCTTGCAATCAGTCCAACAAGATCATTGAACCTCTGCAATCACGTTGCGCCATTCTCAGATACTCTCGCCTGACAGACGCCCAGATTGTCAAGCGTCTGACTCAGATCTGCGAGGCCGAGAAGGTGGAATCCTCCGAGGACGGTCTTGCTGCATTGGTCTTCAGTGCTGAAGGAGATATGAGACAAGCCATCAACAACTTGCAGAGTACTCATGCTGGTTTCGGGTTTGTCAATGGTACCAACGTCTTCAGAGTTGTTGACCAGCCTCACCCATTCAAGGTCGAGACCATGATCAAGAACTGCCATTTGTGTAACATTGATGCTGCTCTTTCAATGCTCAAAGAGCTCTGGTATGTCGTCGCAAGATATTTACTACGAGATCTCAATATGCTAATTGCCATTCACAGGGACTCTGGTTACTCATGCCACGACATTATCAGCACCATGTTCAAGGTCACGAAGACCATTCCTATCCTATCAGAGCACGCCAAACTCGAGTTCATCAGAGAGATTGGCTTCACACATATGAGAATTCTCGAAGGTGTGCAAACATACCTCCAGCTCTCTGGCTGTGTAGCAAAGCTCTGCAGGATCAATATGAAGCCTGGATTGTTTGTCCTTCCCAAGTAGAAGGATATCATTAGTGTTGCGAGTCGACTTCTTATCTTTAGCGTGGCGTTTGGGGGGCACAGAAACAAGAGGCTATTTAAATTCATGAGTCGGATTGTGGACGCCTCGACCTGAGTTGCTACAGTACAGTGAGAGCTTTCAATAGCTTCCGGCTGACCGGCTTGTATGTATTTCTCAAATTCCTTTCGGGACCATCCTACTCCCGACCCATTTCTTCTTTCCTCGACACACGGCGCAACAATTCATCCATGCCGCGCATTGTTTTTGTGCCGGCTATTCATCTTGTCGATCGTAGTTCATGTTTGGCCAGCAGTTCATCAATCGCGACTCGGGCGCGGCTGACTCGGTCAAACGCCAGAAAGGACAGGCCCGGCACCGGCCCTGTCGCAAGCGAGATCTGCCCGAGGCCAAAAGCTCCAAACAGAGCAGGTGGGGCAGACAGCACTACGCAACCATCGCCCTCCAGAGCTCCGAGACGGGATAAATAATTTGTAAGGCAGGCAAAACGGACCCTCAATCTACGGAGATAGAGACATATAAGTTAATTGCCGTGCCCCTCTGACTTCAATTGACTCTTTTATCTCTCTTTCCTATACTCAACACCCATACTCACATCACAACCGCAATCATGTCTAGCTGCTGCAAGGAAGGCTTCAAGTGGAACGGCACCTCTGTCGGCAAGGAGACCAAGCTCGGCAAGAACGACGTCTACGTCACCGGCGACAACAAGGATGCCGCCGTCCTCATCATCTGCGACGTCTTTGGCTGGAAGCTGCCCAATGTCCGTCTGCTCGCCGACCACTACGCAAAGGAGGCCGATGTGACCGTCTACGTCCCCGACTAGTAAGTTGCCTCCAACACATTCACTTTCATAAAATACCCCGCTGCGAGCTTCCTCAGCTTTCGACGGCGGAAGACTTTATGCACGCGTTGTCATTGCTACTAACACATCATCCTCACAGCTTCGATGGCGAAGTCGTCGACGAAGACGCCCTGTCCAACCCCGAGAAGCGCGAAAAGTTCGACGTCATGGCCTTCATCGGTCGCAACAGCAAGGAAATCCGCTGGCCCGAAATCGTCGCAAACGCAAAGGAGCTCAAGTCAAACTACAAGAAGGTCGGCGCCATCGGTTTCTGCTACGGCGCCTGGGCCGTCCTGCGTCTGGGTTCCAAGGACGAGCCTCTGATTGATTCCGCATCCGTCGCTCATCCTTCCCTGCTCGAGGAAAAGGAGATTGCAAACATTGGCGTTCCTGCTCAGTTCTTGAGTCCTGAGACTGATCCTATGTTTACTCCTGAGTTGAAGGAGTTTACGCTCAAGACTTTGCCTACTCTGGGTGTTCCGTTCAACTATGACTACTACCCTGGTCTAGTTCACGGTTTCGCTACTCGTGGTGATCAGAGTGACCCCAAGCAGAAGGAGGGTCTGGAGAGAGCCAAGAACTCTGCTGTTTACTGGTTCAAGCAGTACTTGCACTAGATTGTGCACCTTGGCTGAGTTCTAGAGTTTAGTGTATATACCCCTGCATGCTCAGAAGCTGTCGCTTGAGATGCAAATGAATGAGATGAAGTCACCCTACGTCTCTCGCCTACCCCACCTCCGCCGGTGTATTTTCCAATCGTGTTCATCAACGTCTTGATCACATTGAGCCGCCTATTGTACTACAAGAGATAGTCCTCCCCTCCCGATTCGTGCCTTCGGTATCAAGCTTCTTGCGAAGCACTTGCTCAGGGGAACCGCGATGCCTTTCTTGTGGAGTTTGAATTGCTCAACCAGGCTCTCAGGAAGCATTGGGTAGTTTTCCTTGTCCCTACGGATCGCATTCTCCATATCTGTGAGTGGAGCTTCGAGAAGTGTGTTCACGTACGTTCTCTGGCCTTCGGCAAAATTGATCAACCCCTCGGTTTCCGTAGTCATGCTACGCTTGACAATGAAGGCAAGGTCTTTGTTGCAATCGGTGGCGCGGAATTTCTTTGTGCACTTCTTGACACCGTTCTCTTTGGCGAGCGACCAGTATTGTGTCGTGTCATATTTTTCCTCCCACGCATCGCAACTAGTAGAGGCTCGCTCAATCCAGTGTTGCTCTTTCTTCTTCATGCTGTCCAGAAATTGCTGAACTTGTCCATCGGAAATCTCGCGGAAAGAGACGATGTGCTGTTTGAGTGTCTGTAGAGGGTCAGTATCAATGCAATGAACTTCACTCTAGCCATTTACTCACTGCTGCAGGTCCCTGAATGTGTCACTCAAGGGTCGACTTCTGCGCGAAGTGCCTCTTGTCACGCTACAATTAGATCATATTGAAGGCTTGCGGTAAGTGGACTTCATAGAGATAGACGGCATCGTTGAAACGTCTCTCCACTGTGGTCTGTATGAGGTAATTCTGAAGCGCAGGGACACCGCTTTGTTCCTCGGTAAGTTCGAGATCTCGAACGTAACCACGTTGATGCTGCTCAGACGTTTTGCTCGACACCGCGAACACATCTAGAGGGCGCTCGTCTCCAGTAAGAGTTTTATAACTCTCGCGCAGATCTCGCGTCACTGTAACGTTCCGATCCATGATTGCAGACGCCTTGGATCCTTTGGCCTCGACTGTTCGCAGTTGTTCCTCTACTTCCTCTTCTTGCAGAACGAGAGCCGCCTTTTGTTTGGCTCTATTTTCTCTTTCCGCACGAAGGCGTCGTTCTTTGAGATCGAGGAGTTCTGCAATCAGTTCAACCTGCCTGGGGGAAGGACTCACATCGACATCATCGCTCTTGGTCAGAATGGCCACAACTTGCTTCCTTCTGGAGCCTTCATCGAGGTAATCATTGAGAGTGTCATCGCTCAGGGCTCTGCTAATGGTCGCAGCTGTCACGTAGTAATTGCATTCTCTGAGTGCTCTTCTTGATGCAAGCTCCTGTATGGGATTGATGTCGTGCGAGCCCGGCATGTCTACCAGAACAACACCATCGTCAAGCAGTGCGCAGCCAGTAAGACCAAATGCGACTTTCTTTACCAGGGGCCAGAAGATATGCTCGTCTTCGTCTTGAACCACCGGACCGTGCGTATATTTGCGTAATTGCTGAAGTAAATCTGACGGCGTCGTGGACTCAAAAGTCTGTTCCGCCTGACTAATGAGCTCTGCGGCCCACGATGTCATTCTTCTGACGATACTCCTGTCTGTCTCACTGCCGGTCTGAGAGGCGAATGCTTTTGTTGAGTCTTCTGAGGAAAACTCAGGTTTGTCGTGGAATAGAGCCCGAAAAGTAGGAATGTGCGCATATCCACGTTGTGTGACCTGCTCAGCATCGTCATCTTCCTGCTGTTCTCTGTTGGTACTCCTAGCCGAGATGATTTCATTTTGAAGCTCATGTACCATGAGTGAGAATAGTTTCTCCAGCTCTAGCTCATCGTAGAACTCGATCTCAGCTCGAAAAGGGGCTTTCTGCTCAGGAAAGCATCTTCTGAATTCCTGGATCATCCAGGTGCAGCTGTGACCTGACCGACTGTCCTGTGTACTTGGTTAACCAATATCGACGAGCAGATCGGGAGTAATTACCTTGCGAGCGATGTCGAAGATGCCTAGCAATGCGTTGATCAAAGAAGATTTACCACAGCCCATATGACCGATGAATGCGAAACGAACTTCATTCGAGGGACGAGCATCTATAATGCTGTTGACATGTCGAACGAGGGTCTCAACGTGAGAATCAACGTAGCTGCTTTCCTGGAAGACTAGCTTGAGATCTGTAGAGATCTGTCCAGCAAGATCTAGGGCGCTGTTATAGCAGTAGCGACACGCGGAGCTTGGTTTAGACGTGTCGTCGAAGGTATTTTTGTCTGTGATAGAGGACATACTCGCGGTCTTGATCTCCATGGCAGTGAGGATGACTGCTGAAGTTCAAGTGGTGAGAGAACAATGGAATTGAATAGGTGAAAGGTTCATGAGATCGGCGGAGTGAAGAGCAAATGACCAGTGCGGTATGATAATAGAAAGAGAAGAGAAGAGAAGAGAAGAGGACAGAAAGGATGGTGCACGAACCCTGTTTCAGTGAAGGCTCGAGCTGATGATACGTAAAGTCAGTGGAGTCGTATTGGAGGTAAGTAGGGAGAAGGTGAAGCTAGGCCTAGAAGCCTTGAGGATACGATGATCAAGATTGGTGGGATGAGATGTGATCAACTCATGTATGGATGAAGTAGCTGAAGAAGCAAGACGGGCTTGACACTTCGAGGATGAGATAGGTAATGGGGCAGAAGAAGTGTTGGAGGCGGGAATTATGAAAGGGAGTCGGGTATGAATACTCGTTGAAAGTCAGCGGAGGCCAAGACGTCGAGACGAGAGTGTCGAGTGACTGAACGGGAGTGATAAGTGTTCGCGAGTCGGCGTACTCGTGTATAGTCGGAGCTGTCACCAGATGTCATCGACTGCGATGCCAATAAAAAGCGAAACGGAGGGCTATCCTCAGGGATGATCAGAAAGAAGAGAAAGATGAAGCAGCCGAGTCGAAAGAGTAACGAGTTCGATATCTGTTTACTTTGGTGATGCGACCAGCGACGCAGCCAGGAACTATCCATTCGTGGCTTCCTCTCGGATGCGTTCTTGTGGGCTCCGAAAAGTCATGGTGGGAGGTAGGAATCTACTAAAGAACCTTCCAAGGACAACTCCGCCTTGCTGAAACAACTAAAGTTGTGGTACAGAGATCTTATGATCGTCCTTACGTTTGTGAGAGGACAAGCTGGATTCTCAAACTCTCTACCTAGTCAACTTTTCCCCAACCGCTGATTTTGTCAAACAGTCTGGACAGAAGGTTCCCTCAGCTTGGTACCCAAAAGCGTTTCCAACTTCTTCCTTCTCCAGTATGGCTAACCAGGAGAATGGTTTGGTGATCAGCATGTGTCTGGTCTTCACCTATGAGCATTTCGGTACACTCATCTCAAGGAATTTTTTTGATCGTCTCATAGGCTCCGTGCATCTTACAGCTTGATGATAACTTTGTTGTGTCGCAGAAAAGTGTGAGACTTGAGATACCAGTAAGAGATACACACGACCTGTTGATAAGATTTCCGATCATGTCCCTGGCATCTCTCATTTCTCCTGCTCGTTGAATACTCTTATCTGCACATTTCAATTGTGCATAGATATCTCAGAATCGTGCAGCTTTTCCACGAAGACTTGGTATTCATATGCTATCTTGACAATCATGGGTCAACATCTCGAAATATCCATGCATTACCACAACTTTAAAATGATGCTGTTGTATCGCTAGAGTGTGTGACAAACCGAAATGTTGATCTGAGTCTCGATCAGCCAAACTGCTGAGGTGCCCGACATAAGGCAACGGCTTCCGTCTCTCGACCTGAATAGTCGATCAGAGCAACGCGCCGTAAAAATGCACAACAGTTTTACAGTCGAGATATTCGTCCATTGAGAGCCGAGTTTCTATCTCCCAAACCATGTCGCAATGGATATGGAATAGTATGCGGGACCATCATAGCCAATCTGTCCTCGAGTCCAATGATTATAGACTGGTTAGGATGATGGACCGTCGAGACCAATGAACAACAGATCTCGATCACTGTGAGCCATGACAAATATGTAACCAATGGTTGATGCCGTAGAAATTCGAGAACAACAGGTCCTTTGTCGTAGCCACTTCCGGGCCTTTGAGAGTAGTGACGTCTGGATGCCTCACAATAACGTCAAGCGGCCATAAAGCGATGAGTCGGACTTACTGTGTGAACAGTGACGAAGTGACGAAGAGGAAGACCAAAGTAGTGCTAGGCAAACAATGACGGCGAAGTTGCCCCGCTGAAGCAATTTGTCTTGGGGTGTCGCAAAGTCAATGAGGACCCGACTGAGACATTGAGCAGAGTCGTCAACAAGTGACAGAAGAGTTGGGAGTGAGCTGGAATTTAGCCAGCATCATTAGCGCGTTAATGGAATGATAAATAGTCATCCAGCATTCTTTTGGCCATGTCCCAAACGCCCGCTATGCTCCAGTAATCCCTATCCAAAACGCTCGAACAATATTGCAGTAAAATGATATCAACAGCATCCGCCTTGCTTGCCGCGTTTCTGTACAGAAGCAGCGTCGTTCATGCCAAGGTTGATAGTTCTTGCAGTGTTGCCGCCGCCAGCTCCATGACCCTTGACACCAGACCGTCTGTCGTTGAGGTCGTACTTGCCGGCCTCGATATTCTGGTATATTCTCTCGGCAACCTCGCGGAAAGCTCTTTCAACATTATCACCACTCTTTGCCGAAGTCTCGACATATTGCATGACTTTGTTTTCTTTGCACCACGCCTCGGCCTCTTCCTGTGTGACCTGTCGCTTGTTCTCAGAGCCGGCACCTTCCTCGACGGCGGTCGAAGTGGCAAGATCGACCTTGTTGCCGACGAGCACAACGATAATGTTCTCTTCTGCTATTTGTCGGAGATCGTTCAGCCACGCTGTCACGGCTTCGAAGGTAGCACGGCGTGTGATGTCGAAGACCAGTAGAGCACCGCTAGCACCTCTGAAATATGATCGAGTAATGGACTTGTATGTCTCTTGACCAGCAGTATCCCACAACGATAGCTTCATGTGCTTTTGATTCTCTGGGTTGGCGTTGACGGGTGTTTCGGCAGGAGCGTCGGCGGAAGGGTTGTTGACCTTGAGAGCTAATGAGGCAGGAGGGCCAACAGGTACTATACGGCTACCGAATTCGACACCAATGGTTACATCGTGGTGAGGGGAGAATCGTCCTTCGCACAGTCTTATCGTGAGCTGTAAATCGTTCAGATCAGCCGGTGCTGGATGAGTAGATGGAGCAAGGCAAAACGTACACTGGACTTTCCACACCCAGAGTCGCCTAGAGACACGATTTTGGCAATATAGTCCCAACTTTGCGCCATGTTTGTAATGTGTTTAGTGTGAAGAATCGAGACAGATGCAGATCGAATCAAGAAGGAGCACCCTACGAACATCTGGGTCGTTCCTGCGGCGGCCAACTCCGCAAATCCGGAGAAGGATGCTGCCGTGCGTCAGCCGTGTCGTCATCATCAACGAGAGGCTCACTCGATCAACCCTCTTGTTTACTCTGCATCAGGTGGCTCAGTCAATCTCTATATAGTCTTGTACTTATTGCTGTGGTCCCCTCTTCAACCTCCATCTTCAGCTCTCAGATGATAGCGATACATGGGGACACGGAAATAAGAATGGTCACCACGTTCTTTGGGTCTCGACGGTTGAGAGCCGGGGCCGAATGACTTCCTCACATGCACCGCCAATGACCGAAGTCGATCGTAAACATGTGCTACATTCGATAGTTTGTTTCCACTCTCAGCATCAACTTGTCATCTCCTCTTCCACTCTCTTCTCTTCAACCACACTCTGTCCTTTCCCAACACGCCTGAACATTGCAATCAACGCATTTACGCATACACACACACCTTCTCTCCACGTAGCAACATGGCAATCAACGCCAAGATGGAATTAAAGGCAGGAGACGCAGTAGCCCCCTCGCCCGCCACTGCAAACAAGCCAGTAGTCTGTGTCTTGTAGGTGCAGTGTTTCTGCAGAGTACGAGATAATGCGTCTAACACTTTCTTCCCAGCTGCGGTGCCTCCGGAGGCAACTCACCCGCTCATCTCGCCGCCGCCCGCGAACTGGCCAAGGCCCTTCACGACAACAACATGAAACTGGTCTACGGCGGCGGCACCGTCGGAATCATGGGTGAAGTCGCCAAGACCCTCGTCTCTCTCGCCGGCCCAGACTCTGTCCACGGCATCATCCCCGAAGCGCTTGTTAAGTACGAGCGCGACTACAAGGAAGGTGCCCCTCTGGACTCTGTTATCGACGAGTCTACCTTTGGTCGCACAACTGTCGTCAAGGATATGCACACACGCAAGCAAGCCATGGCCCGTGAGGTCATTGACGGCGGCGAGGGTGGTGGCTTTGTCGCTCTGAGCGGTGGCTACGGAACCATGGAAGAGCTTATGGAAGTCACAACTTGGAACCAGCTGGGTATCCACGCGCGCGGTGTGGTCGTCTTCAATGTCGAAGGCTACTACGACGGGCTTTTGCAGTGGGTGCACACTGCTGTCAAGAGCGGCTTCATCGCCAACAACAATTCGAGCATCATGATCGAGGCCAAGACAGGCGACCAATGTGTGCAGGAGTTGAAAAACTACCAAAATACCGAGGGCAGAATGAAACTGAACTGGGACCAGAAATGAGTCTAGGCTCGGCCTTCTGTTTTCTTACCATTGGACGAAGGTGTCAGACCTACTCGAATACGCCGTCAAGGCTAGGCCGCACGACAGCCCTCGTCGCCACCACCGTCGAGTTTCATGCAGCGTGCCGCAACATCTTCATCACGAAGTTGCATCCGTACCACCCACCACTAAACAGCACTGGGTGTTAGCCCGGTATATTCTGGTGGAAATCTAGGGCTTGCAGAGTCGAGATCATGTCATGAACCGCTATATAGACACAATGACAGTCGCATATAGACGCCACGAATGATACAGCGTCTGAGAACTACCATTGCAATAGTCCTACGCGATCATGCTTGCAATTATTGGAAGCGAGAATTTTACCATCAGAAGCGACTTAGGGCAGAACACGCCCTATACGAACATCCCGCCCTCTGATGCTTGCTTCAGTGTAACCCAAGTGTGGCAACTGCAACGCGTGACACTTGCAAGAGACAACCTCTGCCACTCGCTGGCCATTTCATCCAGCACTCCTGCCGCTCGCTTGACATCTGAGCAAGGAACGATTTGTGCATCAGAGTCCCCACCCGCATCACGAGCACTTGCTCACAACCGGTGAGTAAGAACGGCATGAATATCAAGTCGGCAGTTCATGCTGATCAAACGGCCCAAGCACAAGACTGTCGTCCTCATACATGAACTATCGTCGATGACCTTTTTCCTACCATTAATTCCCGTCGGAAACGGTCACTTCTCCGAAGATGTATGCCGATGGAGAGGGCGTGGAATGTGCCGTCTTTTACCATCTGATCGATGATTCCAGATCTCGTTGTATCCTCTAGCCGTCGGACACGGAAATCTTACCGGAGATGTAACAATGCTCTTGGTCATTTTCGGATCTGAGTAGCAAATTTTGGGCACATATCCTGCTTGTTAACAATCTACTGCAAGGTGATGAACTGCCGAGATGGCAAATGGCCAACATAGGGCTTTTGCAAGCTATGCCACCTTTTTGATGGTTTTAGATATGATATCAAGGTGTTTTTTGTTATCAACTCCAGCACATCACTTTTGAACCTTTCTCCTCGGACTTGCCAAGGTTGCTGACCTGAATGATGCAGGTATCAGCGGATAGGACAACGCATCTATGTCTATGCAGTTACGCGCAATTGAGCATCGAGATATGCACATTTTTGCATTGTTGTTGCCGCAAAACTTCTTTTTCTTCCACAGAGCAGACTCGGAATGCACAGATAAACCTCTTTCTCCACCGAGCTGCATGTGACCGTCTCGATACCTTGCATGTGTTTTAGTCCTGGTAGCTCGCAGTATCGTAATGGATGCATATTGAAACATGTTTGCGCTTTGCCCCTTGCTTCAACGTATTGTAGAATAGGGTTCTTCCGAGAAAGCGATGAGGGGCAGTGAGGGGTCCGCATGGTAGATCAATTGGCATGGATGCGGGTCTAGACTTTCCCATGCTTGAGTCTTGCAGTATATGCGCTTTCTCTTTGCTTTCATGCAATGCACATGCCCTAGGTGCTCTGCTTGCTTGCCAACAATGCAAAGGGTAAAGTGGAGGTGACTCCGGAGCATCACGTTGGCTGGATGTTGCAGTTTCGTTGAGTGAATCCCACATGGACATGGGTAGTATGTAATGATAAGATTACGTTATAGGCTAGGATGCTATTTGTGCAAAGCAGATCATATCACCAAGTACTTTTGACTCCACGACTTCAATCACCCATGTCCCAAGCAAAGCGACTCTTGCAAACATCAGCAGATACTATGTCCTTCTCGAGTAATGAGTGCCCTGGCTCGTACGACTAGTTTCCACCATTTCTTGGTGTGGTTCTGATCAATCTCATTCAGTCGGCGGCCCCAGGCCCGGAAACGATATCCAATCAATATCTCAAGTTTTAGCTCTTATTAGCAGATTAACATGGCTGCAGCTTTCTCCATATTCGCGATTGAATACGAAAAGCACACGACCACATTGTCATAACCACTCATATTCGTCGGTGCCGCAGCCGAAGGACTAATGTAAAAATAAGACAATGGTATTTGTGAATTGCCATGAAGATCGTGCGCTATCTCTGACACATCGGCCGCGACTTTGATTTGAGAGGACATGTTGGTAGCGGCTTTGGTGTCGATCATCAAAGTTGGGTCGCAATTGACAACGATGATGGCTCCTGCTTTTCGTATCCATGCGGCATGAAGGTCCGTCAGACCGACTTTTGCGACGAATGGCACATGTCTTACTCGAGCGTGCCGCTTGCTGAGAGCTCGACCCAAGCATTCGAAAGGGTCTTCGTTGCCATCGGTCGAGGGAATTGCTGGTGTGAGCAAAATGACTAGCTGGTCTGTTGGAAGACCGCTAAGAGTCTTGAGGCTGGAGGAAGAAGATTGCAAGAAGCGAACACTGGATGATTGTACTTGTGTAGTTGTACACGCCAGCTTTGTTTTGATGTCAGCCATAGTAGTGACTTGAAGATCGACAGGGCGATATTGCCAAGTCAGGGGCATTGGGCTTGAAGAGGGTTCAACGTGAGCTTGTCAAAGCAAGATAGAGTTTGGATGTCTGGATGGCAGAATTGAGAAAAGAACAAAGAGACTGATGAGTGGAACCGTGGGGACTTATAAGTCAAGTCACTGAGAGAGCCTCAAGTCTTTTGAACAATATAGCTAGGCACTCGACAGATACCATAGGGAACTACTCGAGTGCTAGACAGGTCGTAGGCCCTTGCTCGGGCAATCGTTCATGCATCGAACGGTTTGTCGTTCTTCACCTTGATTCGTGCTTGACATATGAACCTTGAGACATTGTGGCTGATCTTGACAGGAAGGCCGGCCGGCCGCGGGCCACCAAACGAGAGGGATGCAGGGTCTCTGGTCGCGCAAAGAAAGTGGAGCATCTTGATTATGCCTATCGAATGTCAAAGTGGAAGGTGGTTTTTGGAGCCGACAAACCTGAAACAACCTTCAACTTGTCATCGAGCAAGATGGCTGCCACGCTCGACGAGCATCTCTAATTGGTAAAATACCTTCTGTCAATGTATCTTCCGACATGTCACAAAGTGGCAAGCGGAATCAACACGAGCCGCCAACGACAAGAGTTGTCCCGGCTTCCCGTGGGTTAGACAAGCATCCCATGACTCTGTGAGTAATCACACATCATGTATGATGGGAATTTGTGCCTTTGGCAGCGATCGAGTCCCGGCCAGCCCATACGAGGGTATGGACTGCAGCATTCCACACTGCACCTTGATTGAGGTGAAGCGGGCCTCACTCCGGCGGAGGGAATATAGCGTGTGTGCTGCCGGAGCCCATCGCCGTCGGAAGCGCGCTACACCTGCACCCTTTCGTGGCACAGCATCTCCAGTCTGTCGTGCTAATTCCATTTCTTCGAAACCAAAAAGGTCTTATGTGGTGTTCGATTATTTGATGGTTGGTGGAATTCGAACTCAGAGCACATCATGCCAAGAACGAGCCAGACTGTACTGCTCTGTCATGGTCATTGCTGACAAGAAATCGCAGTTTCTTGATCCCAACAAATCTGTGGATCCAGACGGGATCCTGCGAGCAGCCATATTGATGACTTGCATACGATTGGATCTTTGTGGCTTGAATCGCGCGCTGATGCTCCGGAACCCCATCTATTGGCCAAATTGACATAACAGGTTTCTGCGACAGACCAGAAGAACAGCTCATGCAGTAGTCGACGCCAATAAAGCCCACTCACGTGTGGTGATGCATAAAAGCTGCAGAGTGATGTTGATGATTTGCGGACAGAAGTGCGAACCAGATTGTAGACAATGTAACCGCGCTTGGCGTCAGCAACACGCGTTTACGGTTGACAACGAGACGTGGGTGGCTCAAGGGTCCATTTTTCAACATCTAACATCAGAAGGCAACAGCGACTGACCAAAGCTTACGCAAGTGTAAGTCCAGAAACATCAAATCGAATTCCAACTCAACCTAAGAAGGCTCGCTGGCTCGTCGCTCTTCTTCCTTACCAGCATCGGGACATTTCAGCTACACGTCACACACGCCAAATTGATTTGCCGGCTCGGCGCTTAAAACCCATCCCATTTCTTGGTCCATCCGTCAGCATGTTAATTAACTGAACCAAAGGATGTTGCCAGGTCGTCGACCGTTCAAAGAGGTCAGCCTCAACGTCACTGGCGCGCAGTCAGTCAAAGACCGCTTCCCGAACAGAAAACGAGATCATCGAGAGGACACAAGGACATCAAACGTTCCTTGCAACGTGGTGCGTACAATGACTGGAAACACAATGTAAACCTCACCGCTCATGGATTGGCCAGACCGGGCTATCTCATGTCTATAATCTTTACTTTGTCGCCTATCTTGGCAATATCTTCGTCTACGAGCCACAGTTTCCATCACAAAATATCGAGCAAGAGCCAGTCTTAGTTATAGAAACAGACAAGAGGCCTTTTTCACCCAAAGATCATGAAATTTATGGAGTCTACGCAAATCAAGGTACCCGAACAATCAACAGACTTCTGGTACAGCGACTTGGCACAGAGGAGGTAGTCGCAGTTGTCAGAAATGATGGCGATGTGGAAGCTTACTACACACGGCATATCCACCAGGCTATTGAGAAGCGAGCTCATGATAAAAATACCCTCGGAGTGTCCGCAACCGACGTCAGACCATTCTTCCATAGGACAGTTGGAGATAGCGCATGGGGATTGGCTATACATAGCACGGCTCGCATGATTGCTGTGAGCGCCAACACTCATTGGACGACAGTATTTACCTTTGCCCTCACCGATGGCGAACCAGATGACCAAGAGGATCCTCCAGATGGAGATGATGTGCATTATTTTGCGATGCGCGGAACGCCACCACCGAACGACAGACGGAAGAACGATGTACGTATCCTGGCTCACTCGGGGGGAAAGCAGAATCTACCGGATATTGCATTCTGCAACACTAGTAACGATCCTGCCGGCAGATGGCTGTTGACTGCCGACATTCTCGGAACTGTGGCCGCGTGGGATGTGCACAATCTGCAGCTGATGCAACTCGTCAACACGGCCATGAACCCCCCTCTCTTTCCAATTCCATCAGGATACATGGACACGCGGAACGGAGTCTGGGGTCTTATGTTCCTGGACCCTTTGTCTTTCCGGGCGGCAGATACAGTCAAAGAGGCCTTTGGCATTTCTCCTCGTCAAGTCGGTTTCGATCTGCGAAAAGAAAAGGACAGTGCCATTTGGGACTTGAGCAGAACGATGGAGCAGATCGATCATGTGCGAAGACCGTTCAAGGATGTTGGAAAGCCAGTCAAGGTACGGAACGGTAACTATGCAGATCCGCTAGAAACATCAAGGCAAGCGCCTAATGGATCCCCAATCCCGGTAAATGGATCGTCTCGACGAGTCCACGTGGAGCGGGAGGATAACAGCAGCGAGGAAGACAGTGAGGGTGATGATGAAGACGATCTCGAAGATGAAGATGATAGCGACGTCGACTATGCCTACGACTCAGCCGAAGAAACACATGTGGCGGTGCAGCGACGAGACGGAACCATCTATCAGGTCGAAAAGCCAAGGTAGGAATACGAGAATCTCCGCTCTCCATGATCTCACTGACCTCCAGTGACAGACCTGGAGCACGCTTCCGACGCGGTGAGGGCTTGTGTGGCGATCTGCCCTGTCCCATCATGCAACTCTCCTTCCAAGACGTCTACCTCTACCAACCCTCCCTCAACAACAAAGCCTGGGACCACTTCCCCATGCCTTCCATCAGACGCCTTTTCCGACAAGAAGTCCCCGCCATCTTCGAATCCCCTAAATTCGGTCGCATAAGCATGTACACGCAGATCCCTAGCTTGGGTGTCGTAATCATAGCAACACAAAAGGGCCGTGTAGCCATCTTATCACTAACCTCTACCACAACAAAAGTGCTCGATTACGCCCGCTTTGACCCCTCACAACTTCCAACCGAGAGACCACGGATAGAGAAACGTGTGTATGGCTTTAGAGTCGATCATATGTTACCACTACCCAGTCAAGAAGAAGCCGGTCATCGACCGAAAGCAGGGATTCATGGTATAGCAGTCGGACCTGTACAAGGCACCGAGCATCTCGAGGATGGACTCAAGAGATGGCGGTTGATGGTCCATTATCAAAACTTCGCAATGTTGGCTTATGAGATTGGTAAGCCGAGGAAGGATACACTGGATTTGAGTTTGACGGCTCTGTGATGGATGGATGTGTGTTTTTGCGAATTGCTAGATCTTTGTGACGACTAGGGGGATATACATGAGACTTGATTTTCCAGGAGGTACAAGGCCCGTACGTCTATACCTGCAAACCTGTATATCTGTCTTGTTTAATCATCTCCCGGGAAAAAGACTCGATAAGCATCTTCTTGCCTTGTCGACTTTTCTACTGGAGAAGTTGCACAAGTGAGGATGTGATCGTATCGCTAGGGAGGGGGGGGGGGGGGGGATTATGCTGCGCTCGTATATATCCTTCCACCAATGTGAATCTACATGAGAACAAGCACTTTGCCTTGATATCCAATCGTTTATCATTTTCAAAGCCTGTATTCGAGTCATCCACAATTCCTGATGATACTCTGAATGTTCTAGTGATTTTGTGTAATGATACGACATATCAACAAAAAAACGGGCTGTGTCTGACATGTCCACCATCACTTAAGCTCCACCTGGCTCCTCATGAAAGGCACTTCGAAGACTGTCACCACAAAGAGAAGTAGTGCGTAATTGCAAAAAACAAAGGGCGTGAGCCATCTGTCTGATTCGAAGATATAGCCAGTCTTGAGAGTTTATATCAAGAGAACCCAAACGCCAAAGAAATCCCCAAAAAAGATGCTCATTTTCTATTCCCATGATATTAAAAGGTGTTGTATTTGGTGAGAAAGTCGTCCTAGCGCTCCTCTTTTCCATCTTTCTCGTCTTTGGCGTTCTTAGTATGGTTCTTTTTTCCTTGCTTCTTCTCTTGCTCCTGAATAAGTCAAAGCCGAGTGAAGAACACTGACCGCGGGGAGTATGCGATCAAGCACTTCCCGCAACCTCAGCAACAGCAGTAGGCGTCAAAAACCCAGCTCCGGTCGTATCCAACACTCCACTCGTTGTGCCGTTCTTGAGTAGATCGCCAGAGACATAGTAGTATGCTCTATGCGCGATAATCTTGACGTGTCTGGGGAGGTACAGCGCCACTGCGATGGACACCATGGAGAGGAAGAGGAAGAGGATTGAGTCTGTTGTCACAAAATCAGCATTGTTCATAGTCGCGCAGAGTTCTGAGCTGCAAGGATTGATAGGCCAGAAGGCAGGATATGGAAAGAAAGCAAAGGCCAACTTACTGAAAATAAACTTCTCAGTCGGACTCAACATGTACAAGGAAAACGTCACCTCATACTGATAGCGTTTACGTTTAAACCACTGCAGCAGAGAAGAAGGGTATAATGCGAGAGCGAAGAGGAAGATTACAGCCGCGCCGGCGATGACCGTGGGAAGCGTAATGTAAGGTGCTGATAACATTGTTGTTGTGCTTGTCTTTGAAGTCGCTGGATCGTCGAAGAAGTCGTGAAAGGTGTCGGCGCAGACTCAAGATGTCTTGTGTTGTGCTCCGGAAGGATTTGTTTGTGACGCAGCGAGAGAGAGAGAGAGAGAGGGTGTTTGAGTACGAGAGCGGCGGATGTAGGCGGAGTTGGTGTCGGAGCCTAGGTGAGGTTGTCGCGACTGAGAAACGGCAGGGTCGAAAGAAGTTGGAAGAAGTGAAGAGGATGACCAAAGGTATCCGAGGTGAGAGATCAATAGATTTGGACCCTTTGACCAAGGTGGAGAGAATCAGGAGAAGCGCCGCTCCGGCTCGAAGCAGCCGGTCGCGCTCCCGGCACCTGCGTGACTTTTTATGTTTATCCATGACGTCTGTCCTCGTTCCTTCCTCGAAGTCTGATTCAAAGAATATACACACATTCACTCTTTACAGGCTTCAATGCTGTCTCTACGTCGTCTACTCGTGTTCACAAGGTCATTGTCTGGATTCTCCCCTCTCAGCCTCCGCATCTTTACCACAACACCCACCCTCCCTCAAAAGCCCCTCCCACCACGACCCACAATCCTCGAAAGCGACATAACAGAAGCCTTCCTCAAAGGCACCGGTCCCGGCGGCCAAAAAATCAACAAGACCTCCTCGGCAGTACAATTAAAACATCTCCCCACCGGTATAGTGATCAAATGTCAAGAAACCCGTTCGCGCTCGCAGAATCGCAAGATCGCCCGCCGTATCCTGGCAGAAAGGATAGAAGTTTTGGTCATGGGACATGACAGTCGTGCTGCAATAAAAGCTGAGAGGGAAAAGAAGAAAAAGGCGAGTAAGAATAAGAAAGCCAGGAGAAAGTATCGCAAGCTGGAAGATGGCAAGGAAGTGGAAGTCGATGATGAAGGTGAAGAGGAGGGTGAAGAGGAAGGCGACGACAGCACTCCCGAGACACGCGACATCAAGGTGCGACAAGAAGGCGTGGGAGAGCCATCACCTGCTCCATCTCCGCATGCTGCTCAGTCGCACCAAGACCAGCCCTCTCACGACAAACCCTGACGACACGACATGCTCTCGTGTCGTACAAACTCCCTCATCAATGCTGTTCAATACCCATGTCAATGTCTCGCTCAATCTCTGTCGATCCTTGAGCAGCAAAGCACGACTTCACTGCAAGGCATTGCAATCTCCAGGAACCACCGCCTATATACTTCAACCAGGATCAAGCATTACCCCCTGCGTTTTGCATGACAGCCAAAGCACCGCATGGATAGGAACAAGGATCTTTGAATCCCTCCACGACGCACACCATCACACATCCTTGTGCACATTCCCTCAGCTCCTACATGCCATCAATACTGCTCCAAGCACTCCAAAAGCGTCGACATGCAGCTGGTGACATGTTGCTTTTGCATACACCTTCCGAAACATGGTCTCGGGCTCGACCTTCGACCATGCAATGGAAATCAATGCCATGATAAACTTGGCATTCCTCTTTCGTCACACTTGATGCCTTTGAACTTTCCATTCTTATAACCCTTTCCAATCTATCTGTACGACCTCTTTGAGCAACAATGTCTCAAGGCAAGAATATTGGAAGGGTGACAATGATCAAAAGATAGAGAATGACGACGCTTAAATGATGAAACAATAATGGTGGTTAAGTGATAGAGCATTACGATTAGACGGTAAGGATGTCGAATAGATCTGACTTCTCGCCGCCTGGATTCGGCTCATGATAAAGACAAAAGATGGAAAGAGTAAAAAGGCATTCAAAATTTGAAATGCAAGAAAGAGAAAAAGGGGATATAGTGAGAGGAACAAAACAACAAGAGACCCTTCCCAGATCGGGGTCGTCGTTCAAAAATCATACCTTTGGCAAACAGAAACAAATCGAGGAAGCGCGACCACTCCAAATTCCATGTCCTCCCAAATCGACAGTGTAAAAACAAGGGCGTGTATACTTCCGTCTTTTTCCGCCTGCAACTCCTCTTTCCCTCCATAGAAAACTCCAAAGGCGTGTAAAAATATATGATTCAGCCGTCAAAAGATGATGATGTGAATGGCGTGCACAGATGTTGGTGATATGCAAACAAGAACTTCGAAATGTCTTCACCCTCGTCGGTTTCATGCATCACACTCATGAATGGAACAAGTCCCAGGCGCGCGAGCACAAGCGCAAAAACTCGTCCCTCTTCTCCTGGTTGCTCATGCCCGAACGCCAGTCGGCGCCGTTGTCGGCTTGGTACGTAGGTCGTTTGGCTTCCTGCTGGCCTAGCGGGCTGCCGTGTTCACGCTCGTATTCGTCGCGAGGACGTCTTCTTCCAGCCATCTGGGATTGACTGTGCTCAGACCTCAGCGCATCCACACGTGCGGCTCCGGACGCATGGGGCGACTGACGCTGAGGAGGGTGGGGATATGATTGCGGGTGTCCAGGGTGTTGGGATTGCTGACTTGAAGGCATGGGCGAAGGAGGGGTAGGAGGTTGTGCGCCGCCGTAATGGACGATCTTGGGCAACAACTCTTCACGTCCGCGGGACATTTCTTGCACCGCCTCTTCCGCGCTCTTGAACTCTCTACCGCGGCCTGTGAGTGGTCCTTGGCTAAACTGATGTTGGTGCTGCTGCTCTCTGTGCTGTTGATGTTGTTGCTGCATCATTCCGGGACTCTGAAGAGGAGGTGGACCAATGCTGGGCGAGTGGCCTGTCGCGAACATTGCCGTGGGTGGGCGAGCTTGTAGGCTGTCGTGTGCGAAGACGTCGGAGATGGGAGGAAGGCGGTTAGCTGTCTGTGTGGCAGGAACATGATGAATATGGCTAGTCTGACTGAGACCACTGGGTTGATGGGCGTGCGGGCGCAAGCCTGTGAATGAATGATGCAGAGGAGCAGATTGAATGACACGCTCGTTGGAGAAGGTGGCAGCCGAAGGGGCTGTAATCGACAATCCTGGGGGAGGACCCTTTCTACGCGACGTCGAGGGTGTCCTCTGGGGCACACCAAACTGTGCTGACTCGGCGCCGGGTCCAGTTCCAGGAGCGTCCATCGGAGGCTTCACGCCCTTCTGTCGCGCTTCAATTATCTGGCGTTGCTGTTCTCTGACATCCAGACTGCGCTGCAGCTGCGAGCGCATCGTCGGGTCTTGAGTCTGGAAGCCGGGTGATAAGCATGCGACCCCGAGGTCGTGAATGGCGAGCCCGGCAGAGTCTCTTGCTGTCAATGGGGCTGGGCGGGCAGTTTGAGGACCACGGCCGGTGGCACCGTGAACAGACAAGTCGAGACGCCTCGGTCGAGGCTTTGCTGACGGGTTGGGTGATGCTGGCGGTTCCTTCTTGATCTTTGTGACTGATCGCAGGCCGGCAGCGCGAGCACTATCGATTATGATGAGTACAAAGGTCAAGTCAATGGGGATTGAGACACATACCCTTTGGGAGAAACGTTGTCTTCAACACTGTGCCTTGGCGCAGATCTAGGAGAGTGCTCGGCCGAAGCAGGCGCGTTATTGCCTGGAGGGGTGGTTCTGGTCGCCATTGGGGGAGCAGAAGCAGCGAGATGGGCAAGGCTAGAAAGGCCTTGGTCTCGAGGGACGGTGTGAGCAGCAGGAGCGGCAACAATGGTCGTCATAGCGCCGGAAGGAGAGAGCGGCGGCGACGGTGATGTTGATAATGGATAATTGACGGGCAGCTGCAGGGTCAGAAGGGGATTTACAACCAGTGGACTCGAAGGCACACACTATTGACGGAAGAGATGCGGCGATCGGCAGTCAGCCTTTCCCTTGCAAGCGCTGCGTATCGGACAGGCGGCTAGGATACGAGTATTGGCACAATTGCTGGGAAGGTGTGTCGAGCTTCTGGGACGAGGAGCCCTGTGGTAATAGAGTGGCAGGCGCGATGCTTAGGCAGTTGCGGCAAAGAGACAAAAAGGCAGGGAAAAATCGGTCTGTCTGGGTCAATTCAAAAGGGTTGACGACCACGCGCGAGGGGCACAGCGGACGTCTACTAAATCTACGTTGAAGAAGGCAAGCGAGACGGCCGCTGTACATGGAACGACCACTGCTTTAACCTGTGACAAAAACAGAATTAGCCTCTCCCCCAAACCCAGCTGTCCCCCCATATCTTTCCTTAAAGGGACGCGCCTGGCCTGTGCGAGCTCCCCTGTGAACCAAAGAGCATCGCTTCCCATCACCACCTTCCCAGAAGCAGCATGACGATAGCAATGTCTTGAGGCCTTGGCACCGTTTCAACTTTTGTCCGCGGCCAGCCATCGAGCAAGAGACCTCGAATGGTAACTTTGGAAGTCTGTCCTCTCGATTCCGTCCACGTCCGTCTTTACCAATCGCCAACAGGCAACAGACCAGTCACCACGGCCACGCCGTCTCACCACCGCGCAATATCGTAGCTAGCAAAGCGCGTTTCAACCAATTGCAATCTTGCAACATGCGCTGCTGCATGCGCACGCCCCCCTGCAAGGTGAGGTGAAACAATCCGGCTAGCGGGAGATCCCATCGTCGTGCGCGCCCGGAAGTCTGGATCCATTTGTGAACTCTGTTCTGTTGACTCTCCTTTTCCTCCTTGGGTCTGCTTTGGCTCCTGTTGACTCGAGCATAAAATTGATTTATATGGGGCGTGGACAGCGCTCCTCGTTCTCATCAGAAAGCCATCGTTAAACAGCACTGCTGTGGTTTGTTAGTCCTGCGGCTTGCATGCTTCGCCGCCCTAAGATAACAGCGATGCAATTCGGGCAGCCTGCACCCTTGTTCTGCTAAACGCATTTGTTGAAACGTCTTGAATATGATTCCGGTCCAGTTTCCGTGCATCCTGTTTCGCTCGCTCATCCATACAGCAACATAGCGCGGATCGAGATTTTGCGCTTGCCTTAGAAGCTGTATGGCTATTCCTCCTGGAATCGGGCCGCCAGCCCTGATTCAGAGTTGCTGGTTCTCAAATTCTGTTTGCCCATCCGCATCAACCATCTCAGAAATGATTCACACCCCAACCTCCCAAACGTTCTCCAAACGTTCTTCGTTGTGAGTTATACATCGACGCGCTCAAACCGGTTCCCCGTCATATGCAGCCTCTGAGCCTCCCACCGTCCAGACAAGACTGCGCCGCCGCGCGTCTCACTGGCAGCTACATTATGCGTCCCTCTGCATGTCTTAGCAGAAACTATATGTGTGGGCCTGTATCCATGATTTGATCTCTCTATTGAGCCGTGGCTCTGGTTTCTAGGGCACGATTTGCATGTACATAGCCCCTCGTGAATTCGAAGCAAGCTCAACAACCCGCGTAGCTGTCACGAGTGTGCCACTTGCCGAGGTGCGCTGTCAGAAGTTGCAGAGTCGTCCCCACCATCACTTTGCAAAAGTCGTTCATCTAGCAGCAGCTGTCTCGACGTCCTTTGAGTAGCGCATCCTACTCGCGCCAAGAGTCTGTATGTAGCAGGTGATGGACAGTCGCCTGCATCTCAATCAACTTGTATCCCGTCAACAGCAACTTGCGTTGATGAATTGTCAATATAATGGTTCCCGCGCGCCTCCTCTCGGTCGGGTCCAACAACTAAAACATGAGAAATGATACTTGCTCATCCAATCTGGTCACACCTTGGCGGCGCCTGGCGCTTCTTGCGCACACAGATTTGCTACACATCGCGCAAATATCGCTTGCGGCAATCTTGACCATCCTGGTCGCCTCACCCGCACTACCCGGCTTGCCGACAGTCGTGCGGCTCAATGTAAAATGTTGGTGTGATCGACAACAGGCTGCAATCGTTTCAGTATCGTTTGACTGCTTGTATATTGCGGGGTATCTTGAACGGTATCGATCCACAACATCACACTCTACAAGAAACGGATCGTATACGCAGTACGGAGGCCATGTGACGAACGATACTAAGAGGTGTGTAGCTGATGACTTGAAGCAATGCTAGACATTCCCGCAACCTCAGGCAAAACGATAGCCTGTCAGAAGGCCAATGACGAAGGAGCGCCTCACTTGAAGTGCGGTGTGTCAGAACAGGAAAGTAGGACAACGCGCGAGTCTTGTATCACCCTTGACTGTCGTCACTCTGGAGGAACCGATTCCCGAAATCAAAATTGAGATGTTCGTGGGTTCCAATTTGCTGGAATCCATTCGCAATTTTTCATATTGCATTTCAACATCTGATCTTCATTTCCGCCAAATTACGATTTCGTTACACAGCAACAGAACTCTACCCCGGCCGTTCGTCTCGCATTAAATGCACCGGTGAGATTGGGAGAACATGAGATGAAGTAATCAGGATGGCAACCGCCGGTATGTTATGTTCTTACGACTAGCAATAATTTATCGAGGACTGTGGCTTTCCACCCAGCCTGAAATTGCATTTGACCAACACGACCTGCTTGTCCTCGACTCCACACCACTGCAGAAGATGGCCACCTTGATTCTGATCGCTGGACCGTCGTGTCGCCCGCCCTCAACGCTACCCTGGCTTATGGAGGAAGCTTGGTAGTAGGGTTTAGGTAGACCCCAGTGTACTTGTGTGCATCTGCCCAATCCATCAGAGCATACCAATCACCACAAACATGCGTATTGTTGGCAGAGAAAGGCCCGAGGATACCTTTGAATCTCCTCTCAATCGTGTTATCAGCATGACACATGACGGACTGTCGCAGAAACTCGGCACAGTGATACAAGTGGTCGGCTTCAATCTCGTCGGGAACAACTCCGGTAAGAGCTTTGTCGATGGTCTGTTGTAACAACCACTATGTGGAGCTCGTCAGCTTTGTCCTCGGTAGCATGGGTCTGGTACCTACAACGCAATGCAGCTCATGATATCCACCGATTCCGAAAAACTCATCAGGTCGACTGTCAAATGCTACACGCCCGTGTCTGGAACGATGTAATATCTCATGCCAAGCTGGGTATGCTTTCGCCTTCATCCCCATGAAGCTCTCGTTTCGATGGAAGACTTCCGTATGTTTCTGGACTACCAATCTGTCAGTCTTGCACTATTCTGATGGTAGACGTACTCACACTCGGGACCAAGCAAGGGTGGAGCCACATCGGGTGTGTATATGATCTCGCTCGAGTAGGGAGGGACGTGTGCGAAGATATCGTAGTTCCTGCTCTGGAGCATGAAGATCCAGACCAGCAGACCGAATACCAGGAGAGTCAAAAGACCATTGAAGACGATAGGGAGGTAAAAGAGCCATTGCTTCTGGTAAGCGGCTGGTGCTCTACTGTCCCTTGTCGAGCCATCGCTGCTGCAATCGCGACTGTAGTCATGATATTTCTCCATGCTATCACGGCTTGTCATAAGCGGTGAGCTGTTCTCGGGATCGAAGTGATCACTCTCAGATCCGAAAGACACATGTCTGGGCATATTGAGACTCGTTTATTGCAAGAGAGGTGAAGGAATATAGAGGAAACAGAAGAAAAGCGATCGAGGGAAGTGAGCGGTATAAGTAAGTTTTCATCCCATTAGTCGGTGAACTACATGTGCAGTAATGCTTACTATCGCTCCCCGTCCCTACGATTTTTGAACAAACTGACACAAAACCATCCTCTAATGGGTCTGATATTTGGACGTCACTCGATACACCTTTTTCAGGGTTTCATGTTTTCCATTCAAAGGTTTATAGTCACTGCTATGTCTGCGGTATGGGCGAAGTTCAAGCACATGTCTCAAAAAATCGGCTCTGATATTTGTTCGAGATCTTGAAAATTTATGTTCTCATCAATTCGATAATATGCTAATTACTGCATCTGCCTAAATTCCTCCACTAATATCCATCAGAGCCTCCTTCTCACAAGATCTTCGCTCGTAACAAGCTCTTCACATGACGGAATCAGCATCGCGTTTCTTCTTGTCGGTGGAATGATAAATATCAGTCTCGCGTCTTTTGGCGGTCGAATGGTAGGTGTCGCTTTCACGCTTCTTAGCTGTAGAGTGATAGATGTCATTCTCAGGGGCCGCTCCACGCTTCTTATCGGTTGCGTGATAGATGTCGGTCTCACGCTTCTTGACGGTAGGGTGGTACACATCCTCCTCGCGCTTCGTGGCGGTCGAGTGGTAAATGTCACTCTCGGGGGCCGCTTCACGCTTCTTGTCGGTTGCATGATAGATGTCAGTCTCACGCTTTTTGGCAGTCGAATGATAGACATCGCCCTCGGGGGCCGCTTCGCGCTTCTTGTCGGTGGAATGATAAATGTCGACCTCTCTCTTCTTGGAGGTTGAGTGGTAAGTGTCGTTCTCAGGAGCAGCAGTCCGTTTGAGAACAGCCAAGCGCGCCTCTAGAGTTTCTATCAGTATGTTACCTCAGAGACTTCGCCGAGGTCACTTACTCAGTGCGTCAGCAGCAGTAGGCATGGCAGCGGTGCCAGCGGCGAGAAGCCCCACGAACGAGACGACAGAAAGGAACTTCATCGTGATGGTTGTGTGCAGAGTTTGTCGTGATAGAAATAATGGAAATTGTGATGATACAACGACTTGACGAGGGTCACTTATCTTATATCTTTAAGGGCCTCATAGAGATCATGTCTAGCTCATTGACCGGTCGACCTGACCGCTCCTGTTACCCTGTTGTTCACCCTTGCTCTGACGCCCATACAGTCATCTCCGGTGAATCGAAAGGAGAGTAAGCGAGAGTATGCTCTGATGTGCTCGTCGTATAACAAAGCAAGGTCAAATTTGTCGCGTGCATGCAGTAAACAGCGTTTTTGTCGTCAGCTTCATTGACAACATGGAAGTGACCAGTGACATCTGCCAGGATTATATCTCGCCCTGAACGAGCTTATTTCATACAAAACAAGCATACCAAGCTTATTGTGCAAGGTCTTGGCTCGATCAATGTACTCGTCTCGAGATCGTGATACCTGACTTGTGAGCATCCCCTCTTTTGCTGTGACACGGTTAGCCTTTCGGAACGCGACTTGCACTCTACCTGTCACTCTTGCTCACCGCTATGAGAACGATGCCAGGGCTGGTCTAACGCAGCGGTGTCGTGCATCGACTGCAGGATCAGCACTAAGAAATGGTATGGTATCGTTCACTCACTGACATGTGCTAGATGTCACAATGCTGAAAGCCTGTCAGAATCGCGTCCGCTCTGCGTCAATGACACCGACCATAAACCGCAAGTGATTTGGCGACCACTTTCCGCATTGAGTTGCATGGTCGAGTTCCCTCTCGACGTTAGGTTCCCAACACATCCAAGACTTTTGCTGGTCACCGTAGGAGACGTGGAGACAGTCTCTCATAACGACACAGTCCACAAGGCTACTATCCGACTCACGAGCCCTATCCGTTCACCTGTCATCTGAAGATGTGTCGAGCGGTTTGGGTGGTCACCACATTGCTATGGCGAAGTTGTGCAGCTCTGGCTTTGAAAGTCCCGAAGAGCTCTTCTTATTGTACTCTGGATTACACACAGATCAAGCCACGAGCACTTCAAGGCTCGATAGCAGAATACGGAGAGTTCGTACGTGAGCTGGGGCGTGGCTCGTCAGGCACCGTATCTGCTTATCGTCGGAAAGCAGACAATAAGACAGTGGCCATCAAGGACTACACTTTACACTCATGTGCCGAGGTCGATATCCACGAGATAAAGCTAGAATACTTTCTTGGGACTCTGGTGTCGACGATACCTGTAGTCACATCCACCCTGGACTTACTTCACCAGCCTTCAACATGCCGATGGTATCTCGTAACAGAATTCGCAACGCATAGCCTGGCAAATTGTCGCACCATACTGAGCAAGCAGAAGCTCGCAGAAATTCTACTTGGGCTTGAGGAAGGCATCTACATTATGCACGGCTTGGGTGTCTCCCACGGCGACATCAAGCTCGAGAACGTGCTCCTGACAATGAACTACGAACCTGTATTGATCGACTTCGGAAGTGCGACCTTCCATGACTGCCAGGTTGATTCTATCGAGGCGAACACCAATGTCGCACCTGGTGATTATGGCACAGCAGCATACCTGCCGCCTGAAGTGTTCCTGAGTCTGGACTATGATAGGAAGAAGGCAGACTTCTGGGCTTTGGGCGTGTTGGCATATGTTCTTTTCACAGGAACCATGCCCTGGGGACTTGCGAGTCTAAGAGATGCTAGGTGGCGGAACTATCTCGGTGTTGAGATTCCAGGCGACGATACTTGTGTGGCTCTTGAGTCAAAGCCAGTACTGCGTTTCTGTTCATCCAGCATGGCACACATGGTACACGAGATCCCTGTGAACATACAGGAAGCGGTCGCAGCCTGGCTCAGCAACGATCCGACATTTCCCTCTTATAGTCAACAACTTGATGCCGAAGATCGAAGGTCGACGTCGTCAACGTTGCGGCTTGATGACGCCGCGCGATGTCGATACGAGGATTACCGGTGTCATCGGCCGAAAATATAAGCTCAGTAGGCAGACGCCAAGCAGTGGTATGTGTATATTTTGTACTTCGCTCTCATGATGTTCATCGGCTTTTGGGTCATTACTCTTTTACATCGCATCTCTCGCTGTGGATAGATGGTTCTCAATGCGGCGGATCGCCACTCTGGAATACTGCGGTAGGGTTTCTATTGCAAACACCCGGACTATGGAGTCCACGATTCTGTGCCTCTCCTCCAGATACGTACCAATCGTCAAAGCCCTGATGGGGAAGGAGATTTCGGTTGACATCGTGAGGCAGATTATGATGCCAGAACAATGTAAGTACACGAGTCCAAATTGACATGCTGATTCGCGAGTCCATCCTTTGAAGGAACAGAAGAAGCAACGTGAAGGTAGGGGAGTAGTTGCTCGCTATTCAGGGACTTGCCGGCAAAAGCAACCTCCTTGAATACCCGGCTGTGTGGTAGGCCGACGCCAGGGTTACATTCGACAAAATTCTGGGAAAAGGATCTTCGAGCACGACTGCATCAGGAGCGAGTACGGTGATGGGGGTCTCGATATTGCCCGTCTTATCTCTGTCGAGTTGCTTTGACAGCAGGAATCGATGACTCTCAGGGCCTGGCAGTCGTCGGAGGCTGATCCCCGCGCGCGCGGAGACAGCACGCTTGGGCCCTCTCAAATCCCTTGCGCGATAGGTGAACCTGGCGCGCGTCCTCATACGCATACGTGCGCGTCTCAAAGGTATATGCGTGAACATCCATGCAGCAGAACTCGAGCGAGAGATGTGGTGTTTAGGCCAAGTTCTTGTCAAGAAGCGTAAACACCCTTGGCTTCTCTTGTTCACGGACAAGGCGAGGCAAGAAGAGCCAAAAGGCGTATCTAGTCGCCGCTTCTATCTCCTTGGCGATACTCCGTTCCGGATATTGCTGCTCTTGGAGCCAAGATGAGCCGGGATCCCTTATCATGACTTGGCGGCTCTTACGCCCGGAATCACTGGATCTCACCTGTCTCTCAGGGTGGCTACCTTCAACGGACGCGTCAGGGCTCCGTTATACCTCGCTGTGTGAAGAGAAAGCTATACAACTCTCCAACGCACAAATTTGGCACGACCGGGAGAATTTCTAGACACTCACGTGCCTCTGAAGTTATCCGACTACAACTCGAGGAATAATGCAAAGTACCTGAATGGTCGCTCAGGCTGAATAGATTCCGACACATTGGCTTGGAACATGCATATCTGTGGGTCGTGTGGACGTGGGATGATTGCAGGCATCCGACTGCCGACTACAATCCCCGTGTCGAACGTTCTCGCTCAGCAGATCTTTTTTGTCAATATGAGAATGCGAGCTCTGTAGCGAATCGCAATCGAATATGCTATCAAAACACGACGTTGACATACTATAGTACAGACTGAGATAGGGTACTTCGGGCTGCCCTGCAAGCCCTAGTGTGCAACCGCGGATGCAACCTGGCGAGAACGGTACCGATCATATACGTCAAGCTATTTTTTCGCCTCATCGGTTACTCTACCACAAGCCTCCGATGCTTCTTTTCACATCATTTGGCTTATCACTATAGCCAAGAGAAGCCAATGATGGCCTTGCTAAATCCTTCCGTGGGAGTTGGATAGTGTCAGTCAATTGACCTTCCAATTATGGTTATCTCGCTTGTGGGCTATCCTAGATAGAGGTGTGGTGCTTTGGCATTGTGTCTTCAAACGCATATAAGTATGTGCTTGTTGTAGCCGCTTGATGATTGTACTTTTGGTCACCACCTCTTTGCTACCATATTCGACAAAATGGCCGGCCTTCTCAAGAAGTTTGGCATTGGGTCCTCCCCTCAGGTCAGCGAAGGTGTCGCTGTCGACGAGATCCAGAGCTCCGGTGCTTCTAGTCCAAAGATGGGCGAGAAGAACGAAAAGGACGTTGGTGTCTCGTCGTCCCACGAATTGCCAGAAGCAGAAGCTGCCAGACGCCTCAAAGGTGTGTTTCGTGTACTCACTATCGACTTCACGAGACTAACTGAATTCACAAGCGTTCAAGCGCAATGCCGACGCACTCTGGGACCCCAACCTTGAGAGCGAGGTTATGCATGATGTTGAAGAGGCTGTTGGACACCACGATAAGGATGCCGAGAACAATCTCGTCCATGAGATGATGGACAACTCTCCATACCCAGAAGTCAGAGCTGCTGTCAGAAATTATGACGTTGATCTGTATGTCTCCTATTTGTCCCTTCTTTACCACCTCCACTCACATACATCACAGGCCTTGTAACACCATCAGGATGTGGGTCATCTCGATGCTGATGACCACCATTGGTTCCGGCTTGAACATGCTCTTCTCGCTTCGTTCGCCCTCAATCACTATTACCTCTTACGTTGCTCAACTCATCGTCTATCCTGTCGGTCTTGGATGGGACAAAGTTATGCCCAACCGCGAATTCAACACTTTTGGTGTTAGGTGGAACCTCAATCCTGGTCCATTCAACTTCAAGGAACACGCCATGATCGTCATCATGGCTAACGCCTCATTTGGAACTGGTGTCGGATACTTCACAGATATCCTCCAGGCTCAGCGTGGTTTCTACAAGTTCAACTGGGGTTGGGGCTTTGGTGTGCTAGTGGCTCTGAGTACTCAGTGTGTTGGATTCGGTCTCGCTGGTCTGTTCTCCAGATGGCTCGTTGAGCCTGCGGGTATGATCTGGCCTCAAGACTTAGTCAACTGCGCATTCATGTACACCCTCCACGACAACTCCAAGACTGACCCTGCAAAGACAAATGGCTGGAGTATCAGCAGATATCGCTGGTTCTTCTACGTTTTCATGGGATCTTTCCTCTACTACTGGTTCCCTGGTTATATCGCTCAGTTCCTGAGTGTCTTTGCATTCCCTACCTGGATCGCCCCCAACAACATCACTGTCAACAAGGTCTTTGGAGGCTACAGTGGTATGGCCCTACTGCCTATCACCTTCGACTGGACTCAGATCACTGGTTACGTGTTCAGTCCCCTGATCCCTCCATGGCACGCTATTGGAAACACCTTGATCGGTCTCGTTCTCTTCTACTGGATCACTGCTTCGGCAGTTCACTTCAGTGGTACCTGGTACGCTGATTACCTGCCCTTCAGTGACTCAAGCTCTTACGACAACACTGCCTCGGTCTACAACGTCTCTAAGATTCTCACCCCTGAGATCACCCTTGACCTTACCAAGTACAAGGAGTACTCTCCTCTCTTCTTGTCAACTACTTTCGCGCTCTGTTACGGTCTCTCTTTTGCTGCCATCTCTGCCGTCGTCGTTCACACCATTCTCTTCCACGGAAAGTTCATCATGGACAGATGGCGACGCTCTCGCGATGATATGCGCGATGTCCACCAGGAAATGATGGATAAGTACCCCAAGGTACCTGCTTGGTGGTTCTTGTCCCTGTTGGCTGTCTGTATCGGTCTTTCGTTTGCCACGATCTACGCATATCCGACAGAGATGAGCTGGTGGGCACTTATCCTTGCCTTTATCATCTCCTTCGTTTGGTTTGTGCCGATTGGTAATCATCGATCACACCTGACTAGATTTTACTATGCTAACACCTTACAGGCATGGTGCAAGCTATCACCAACGTTCAGCTTGGTCTGAACGTATTCACCGAGTTCTTGATCGGTTACATGCAACCTGGCAAGCCCAATGCTATGATGCTGTTCAAGACTTACGGTTACATCACCATGACCCAAGGTCTTGCCTTCACCCAGGATATGAAGCTTGGTAAGCTCACATGAAGTCGGTGTCCAATGTGTTATCATTTGACGCTAACATGATGCTCAACAGGTCACTACCTCAAGGTACCTCCACGCACCATGTTCCTTGGTCAGCTGATCGCCACCATCTGGTCTTGCATTGTTCAGCTTGCAGTCTTCGAGTGGGCTTTCGGTGGCGGTATCAAGGACCTTTGCGCTCTGCACCAGACCAATCACTTCACCTGCCCTGGAGGTAGAGTCTTCTACAACGCCAGTGTCATTTGGGGTGTCATCGGCCCCGCACGCATGTTCAGCGGTGACTCCACCTACAAGAACCTCCAATACTTCTGGCTCGCCGGTGCCGCTGCACCTATCATCTTCTACTTCGCAGCCAAGCAGTGGCCTAAGTCACCTGTTCGCTTCCTCAGCGCTCCTCTGATCTTCGGTGGTACTGGACAGATCCCTCCTGCCACTCCTTTGAACTACCTGTCTTGGGGTATTGTTGGCTTCATCTTCAACAAGTTCATCAGAAACAGATACAGAGGATGGTGGATGCGTTTCAACTACATCACCTCTGCTGCGCTTGACTCAGGTCTTGCTATATCGACCATTTTGATTGTGTTGACCATCAGTTTGACCAACACCGATGCTCCCAACTGGTGGGGCAATGTCGGCGTCTACAACACGATGGACTACCTGGGTACCGCTGTCGCAAAGGTCTTGCCTGAGGGCGCTACCTTCGGTCCATCCACGTGGTAGAGAGAGAGGGGGGGGGAAGAGATTTTTGTGTTGAGTGATGAGTTTGACGGAATGTCTCTCGCTTCAGGATAAATCTTGTTAAGCAGCAATTTTGAATAATTAATATATGATGTTGCATACCTTGGTGTCTATTCTGATTGTCTTTGGTCTCTATTACACACAACACTAGTATTTGCTTCTTGTCGAGAGTCTACGCGACGGTGTGCGACCAGGCTTCAATTTCCTCGTTCAAGGTTAAACTTGACATTCTTACCCAATTGACACCAACCTCGCCCGTATGCTCAGAACTAAATGTATGGAGGTGCTAGGTCATGTTTGTCTTGTAGTGCTATGTAATCTGCTTCTTTGAGCCTGGTGCTAGCCCCTTTTCCACGTCCAATCTCCAAGGAGGATTTATACCATCATTAAACATCGCATCAGTAATCTCTTGACACCAGTCCTTCTGCGCTTTCATCCCACGCGCCTCGAAGTACTTCAAGATAAACACAAGAGGCATGAAGGTTGCAAAGCGACCCATAGAGGATGCATCCGGCTCGCAGAAATATGGCATCATCTGGGCCATGAAGATTGCGACTTGTAAAATCCGCTTGTTGATCTCATCCATCGGCAAAGAACACTTGGCATTGCGATACTTCATCAGAATATCTTGCAATGAACGTAGAATTGTAAAGAGGTAGAGCCAGTATATCGATTGTAGGTATCCGGTGAGAAAGTCGGGGAAGTCAATCGCCAATGGAAAAGTCTTGTTCTGACATAGTCGAGTAAACCTCTTGAACTTGGAGACATCGACATTGAAGAAGGCTGGCTCTTTGAGTTCAGCATGGTATTCGTCTTCCCATTCTTGGAGTTGCTCGACGGCTGTGACCAGATCCGCAATGATTCCGTTCAGGTAAGTGGACTCGCCGCTTGCGATAAGATTGTCAGCACGTTCGAACAAACCTGGTATGTGTACCAAGACATCGAATAGACGAGGGGATGAATCTGTGTATGGTGTTTCTTTGGTCATGGCCAGCCATTTGGGCTGTGCAAAAACGATGGCTTTGCGCTTAAGAACGCCTTGGAGAATCTTGATCTTGTCAGTGTAGGTCATATCTAAGTCAACTTTTGTATGGACTTACGGAAGAATGTCTAGCGTGGAAAAATAGCATATTATCGAGTTCTGTCACAAGTGGGACTGGTCCCCGCTGGATCAAGAAGTTCTCTACTCCGTTTACATGGCTGATCCAGCTTCCCTGCTGTGCTACGGGACGGAAGAGCTAGTAAGTCAGTCAAGGGTAATCTCATCAATAAGCAGTATAGCATACCTCGCAAAATTCTAGCAATTTCATAGCACCCAGAACATCATTATTGCCGAGAACGTCTGGTTTGTTCAGAGCAACAACTAATGCCGTCAAAGCCTGTCCATATCTGCGTCTAGCGTGCTCGAAAAAGGCCTTGTCCTGATATGAAACACCAAGTTGAAGTAAACTGATCGTATCCACAGCAGCAAGCAATGCTGGTGATGATTTTGAAGTGATTGTTTTTTGCAGACATGAGAAGTCGGAAATGTGGGCACGTAACGGCTGTTCATCCAGTGTCGTAGGTCGGTACAATCTCATGCTGACATCAAACATCTGCGAGCGATTCGTAGCAGCACTGAAAATAGCCTGAGGAATAATCGTATATTCCGTCGAAACAGGCTTCTCAACCAGACTTAGTGCCCTGACTCTCTCGGTGGGTATAGCGCCGCTGTCAGAATCGCTGCTGTGTTCAGGACTGCTGTTCCCAGAAGAACCACTCCCACTTCCACTTCTCCATCCTCTCTCAACTCGCTTCGTTACTGACTGGGTTTCGTCGCGCCATTCCAGTCCATCGGCTTTGATACCCCGGTATCCTGGACAGGGTGTGTTGTGGATTTGGCACTTCTTACATCCTGGGCGTCCCTCGTCGCATCTGATCTTCCGTTTCCGACAGATGGCACAGCCGGTCGACCGTGGTGCCATCACAAAAAGTCCATGCCAGAGGAAGAAAGAGAGAAATGTTTGCAGAGATCCTTTCCTGTGCCTCTTTCTCTTCTGACGCCCCTCTCGCGCGATCGACCCGGCACTATGGGCGGCTAGATCGGTCTCTCGTATCAATGTGCTGACTGGCACGTTCGCCTCTCAATGATGCGCCCAAGAAAATTAAAGGTTCTTATACTCACAAGTCAATGTAGCTTACATCAAACAGGTCGGTTAGCTCAGTTGGTTAGAGCGTGGTGCTAATATCTTCTTATACATGGCACGCCAAGGTCGCGGGTTCGACCCCCGTACTGACCAGGTCAAGTTCTTTTGGTTGATTGACCCTGATCAGACTCATCAGTCTGTCTACCAGACAATCTTTTTGTCAGTCCACGACAACAACATCCATTTTGGGCAGAGTATAGCGACCCTAGCGTGCCATGTATCAGAAGATATTAGCACCACGCTCTAACCAACTGAGCTAACCGACCTGTTTGATGTAAGCTAGATCGAGCGGCCTGCTGACGCAGGCCAGCAACGTTTTCCGAGAGTCTATCGTGCTCGATGAACTGGTATCATTACCTATCAAAAGCCATAGTCTCGGCCGTAAGACGGTGAGTTCTCCATGGGATGGCCGGAGCAATCTCGAACCAGAGTCGTGTCTCTCCGAACGAGTAGCAGGCTCGAATGTTACTGTGCCTCCATATGGGTGCGAAACTAGTCGTCTACACGGTCTTGAAGACGTCTACTACACGATAGTGTCCATAGTGGCCTCAGGTTCGGTCCACACGTCGACCCTGGCACGTATTAGGGCTTCTTCCGAGCCTTCTCCCCATCCGCTTAGCACCCTGTACTGCAGAAGTGGTGGGATGCACGATACTTTTCAACGCAGTGTCTGCTCCAATGGAGGTGCCGTCTTCCACACTCTTCCATGAGCGTCTTAGGCCCCTGGTAAAGTACTGTGCATCTGCACAGCACTTGTGTATCACGAGCATGATGTAGGAGACGGTGGCTTCTATCCATGGAGTAACCGCTACGGCTCCTCATCTTGGGCTGAGATTGCTCACGAGACTCGAGTACGCAACAGGAGATGCTTTGGACTAGATCCATCTCGACCATGCAGTCTTTCACGTATGCTGTGCCACGTCTTGTTGACTCAACATCCTGAGAGATTTGTAGCCCCTGAAACTGCGCCGCTACTGGATGCTCGTCGGATGACTGCACTTTCCTAATGTCTGGTAGACATTGCCATGTCAACTGACTGACTTGATGGATCACTGCCTGACTCACCGACCATAAACTGAACTATTTGCTGACCACACCTAGACAGAGCAGCCTCTCCAGCCTCCCTACTTCGTACACACACCCCATTCGGTATCTTGCAACTTGCACATCACATGGAGGCAAATCAAAGCCATGACCAAGACACAGATGACACTACATCCTCCTATACTCAGCTTCCACGTACGATGCAGAGCGACTCCAATACCTTGTTATCGCCTCCAATAAGATCCGAACCACAGATTACAACGACTCTTTCATTCCTCACATGGACCACTACGACACTGCCGACGAGGATTCGCTCTTTGACTGCGAGAATCACATCATTTCCTTATGGCTGACCGCCTTTGTGGTGACATGCTCGATCCTCATCTATCGTTCACGAGCTTCCTGGTATCCTGCGATATCCTTGAGCTGCATAGCCGATGTGCTCATACCCAAATTTACAGTCGCCAATCAGCTTTCTCGTTTCCCACAATACTCCTCATGGTCAGAACAACCAGTCCCAGACATCTCTTCTTCATTCCGACTCGGAGAATCAGTAAGAGCAAGGTCAAAGGTCGTATGTGGCCACAAGTTCAAGACACACGTGCACAAGACAAGCAAATCTAAGGTTTATGCAAGAATCCCAGGTGCTGAGAAGGGCATAGTAAAGCCCTACAAATGACTCAGCATGGCCTAATCCTCGACTAAGAACATGGTCGGATACGATCATGCAGGTCGGGAGCACGGCTGAAACAAAAGATGAGCCTGGTATGAAGCATCATCATGGACAACTATCGTGATCAGGATGTCGATGAGGCTGATTTCTGACACTACAGCAGGCCCTGATCCTGAAGCTAACGATGGTCAAGCTTGAACATTTCTGACTGACCTAGAGCACTGGATCAATGATCACAGTTCTGTGGTGTTGACCTTAGACTCCTACCAAGGTCACTGACCACACTTGCAGATTGCATTTCCTGTGCCTACGCCCTCTTAGAATACTTTATCAATGCTACCAAGAGGCTAGAGCCAAGAGACCGCCGCATCAATTGCGGAACTTCGACCATGGCTGAGAAGGATGTCTGCTGCGTCTGACAGAGCTGCTGCGTGAGGTTTGACTCCAAATCCACTGACTGGCTTGCCTTGTCAAACTTTATGGCGGCTGATCAGCAATAGTCTACAGCTTTTGTAAACCGCAATGGCCAGACGTGGCACGGCAGCGATAGGTCAACTGTCATATAGAAGCGCTAGGTAGCTCTATTACAGCAAAAGTATATCCTTGAACTTCTCTGTTGTGTTAAAGAGGTGTAATCACCTTTTGTATAAGTCTAAATGCATGTCTATATCTATAGTGGCCAGCCCAGCTAAGCCAAAATTCTATCCTCTATATTCCCAAGATTCCCACCGAAGAAAAAAACGCCAAGTATGATAATGATGCCTTTATCCAGACATGTCAGTCCAAGAGTAGAGAGAGAAGAACATACAATCGTCATAGCCACACGTCTCAAAAGTCTCCTTCAAATGCTATAAGGAGACTTCGGGTTCGCATCCAACAATGGCTTCAATGTCGTCTCAGCCTTCTCAAAAGCCTTTTGGTATGCAGGTCTCTCTCCAATCTCTTTTAGATATCTCAAGATATTCGGGTATTCGGTTAGATCAATGGGGACGAAAGCTCTTTGTGTGGTGAGAGGGAAGATGATCATAATGTCCGCGGCAGTGAGCTCATCGCCAACGAGGAATTTGGATTCGCCGAGACGCTTGTTGATTAGGGAGAGGTAGTGGGAGAGGCGTGAGTTGGCGATTTTGAGACCGGGGTGATCGGAGGGGAGGGAGGAGGCGAGGAGGAGCATTTGGCAGACTGGTTGGAAGGAGCCGTGGGTAAAGTGCCACCTGCAACTATGTCAGAACATCACCATCCAATCATCACACCGTTGTCATTCACTTACCAAAACAGCCATTCCTTCCAGTTCGCATCCCAAGGTTTATTCAACAAACGTCCTTGACCATGTTTCCTGCAAATCCACTCTACACATGCTTGCGACTCTGCAAGGCGAATGTGCTCGGGGTTTGGCGTGTAAGTGTCGACATCCTCGATTACTGGTGCTGTTCTGAGGGGGCTGAGCTCTTTGTAGGCGTCGGGAGCCAGCATTGTCGCTTGATCGCGGTCATGGCAGACGAGCTTGTAGTCGATGCCGAGTTCTTCACACAGCCAGACGATGGATTCAGATTGACTGACGCGCAGATGGTGAACGACAAGAGTAGAAGACATTGTTATAGTCGAAGCAAGAAAAAGGCAGTGTGGTAAGTCGGTATAGAAAGAGCAGAAAGGATAGTGGATACTCTCTAGCAGGGCGGTAACAGGGTTATATACGGAGGATAGCTTCGTTACGGACTTACGGGTGATGGGATCAAAGCTCTCTTTCTCAAACCCTAAAAACCGCGATGAAATGGTGACTTGACTCGATCCTCGTGTCAGCCTGTCATGTGGTTGAGCAGGTCGATGCTTTTACCCTGACCATGCAATCACCAACACTCTTCGGACATGGACTTCCTGCCGACAAGAACATTAGTAGAATCAATCGAAACGGCGACCACCGCTCCGCATGGCCAGTCTCTCATTTGACAAGGACGTGTTGAGCTCGGTGTTTGGATGTGATGATCATTCCCAGATGAAACATACAAAAAACAAGGGCCGAAACGAAGGATGAAAACGTCATTGACGGAGCTGTGCACCGACCCAACAACGCACGTGTCGTGAATCCCACTTGTCCGTCTCCACTTCCAACTCGGGAGTGTCAACATCCGGTCTATATCATGGACTGATTTTGGAAAGATTCTGTAAATGTTGAGTAAGCTCTCCAATTCGCAGTTGTACATTTAGTCTCCGCGAAGAACTGTTTACAAAGCTGTTTCTAAGCATCGAAAGACATGTACATCAAGGCGTACGGCCGTTTTTGCATGCTCTAAATAATCATAATGTCGTGAATCCTAACCCCCTTTCCCCTCTTTCAATGCAGATCAAACCCCACAAAGCGCCATTGTTGTGTTGAAACACCAAGTGCTCAAGACGGTCTCTACGGCATTTCCGGGTCAGGGTTCGCAATCATCTCTCTGGCTTCTCTTGCACCGGCAACAGCAAGCTCATCGGCTGCAACGTTGCCTTCATTGGAAGCATGTCCTTTGACCCACACGAATTCGACCTTGTTGACGCTGCGGATTTCTTGGGTCATGTTCTTTCGTTGGTCGATGAGGTTGAGGATTTTCTCGATCAGATCTTTGTTCTCTACTGGCTTCTTCGAGGCATTGAGCCAGCCATTGGCGCGCCATTTGACGTACCACTCGGTCACACACTTGATCGAGTAGTTGCTGTCTGTGTATATGGTGACGGGGCGGTTACGAGGTGTTATCTCGAGTGCTCGTTGGATTGCAGTCAGCTCGGCACGTTGATTTGTTTGGCGAGTGCCCGAGAGTGGCTCAGACACATTGCTGTGGGCTAAGTCAGTGTTGAGCAAGAGCGAAGGCAGAGAGGTAGATCATACCGCTTGTCCTTGGGACCAAAGTAGACGCCGACTCCTGCAACAGCTCCATGGGCTCCATTACCAAGTGAACTTCCATCTGTGTAGATGACGACGGGTTTGTTGTCTTGCAGATTTACAGCCTGCCACTTGGTTGTGTGCTCTTTGTAATCAACCTTGCCAGTCAGAGGATTCAACTGGATCCGCGGATCGAAACCGTCTTCAGCACCTTCAGGCAAAGGGCCTTCTCCAGCGCTGTGCTCAACCAGGTCTTCCAATTCTTCTGTCTCCCTCTTTTGCTTTTTGGCTGGAGGGCTTGTTTGTGACGGTTCTTCTGACGCTCTCTTTGCTGGATGTCCATTCTTGGAAAAGTTCTCTGCCTCCTCATGAGTCTTGAAAGATTTGTAGACGGCACCTTTGAAGTCTGTGATTGTGTTTTGTGCCTCTGTCCAGGTGTTGTAGACGCCCGGCTTGTGACCCCTGTGTACTCCATAGTACTTGGTGGGTTTACTTGAGCCTGACGAGGATTTTGTCGTTTCTGAGCCATCTAGCCATGCTTTGGCCTCGCCGAGTTGTGGGAATGACTTGACTGCGTCATGGTTAGTCGTGTTCGCCTCGTGATGATCGGTATGCACTCACAAGCTGCACCCTTGTATCCTCGGACTTGCGCAAGACATTCATCCCAGCTGTGATAGATACCAGGTTTGCGTCCTGCCTTTACGACGTAGAATTTGGCGGGCATGGCGCGACTAAATATGTCGAATAAGGATCTGAAAGATAAATATCTTGCTTGGATAGCTTGTCGCGCGTTTGCTACGCGCAATGTGGCGACTGTGTTGACTGCAAGTGTTCGGTGAATCTTGGGATACGTGTCTGAGGTTCTGCTTATTGATTGATATGTCCGCGGTGCTGTTGTTGGCAATTGATAGTCGTGTCGCTTGCGGTGTTGATGCATTTCCGAACGCGGAATTGATTGATGCATGCAGCTCCTCACCGCCTTTGCGTCATGGTGCCTTTTGCGAATGGGATCACCCTGATCGGGTATGACAAGTGATATTACTTCGATCTGGATGGAGCTAATATAATTTAGAGCTTAGGAAACAGTCGTTCTAATATACATCTACATATGACTGCTACTTCAGTAACGTTTGGAGTTCTAATTGGTATCGGTGGAAACTTGAAGGTGAATCATATATTGTTTGACAAGATCAATGGGCGGATGGCGCAGATTCTCACTGATAAGTGCAGACGATGCCACAATTCTCGAATGTGAATATGTTTCATACGCGTCGTTTAGCAGACCTTGTGCCACAGTCCTTTGTAATCCTGTGCTTGCAGGCGCATGGGACGAGAGCACAGAAAGTCTGGTGTCAGAACGCCACTGCAATTTTGAGGCATCGGCTTCATGTTTGATGACCATACACTTCAATACTTTCGCAAACCATACTCAGACCAGGCTAGACTGATCGCAAATGGAGCTCTGAGACATTACGCAAGCGAAGAAAGCTGCAAGCTCGCCAGGCTACTTGGAAAACCGCATATATACTCTCAGACATGACCGATAGTCACTTGTGTGAGGCTTCACCAAAATCAATGCACAGAAGTGACGGATGAAGCGGATATTGATACCAGACAATGTCTCATGAGCACTGATCGAGCTATCCGAATACACACAGCCTACTACAGCTGCAAGTTGTAGGTGTAGTCATCTTCCATGTTCTGCGATACCCAAAGCACGACGGAGCTAGTCGTATGGTCAGTTCCAGTTCCCAGCAAGAAAGACAATGATCATACCTGAGAGAGACCAGAGTGTTGGCGATGACGTTTGCGACACCGAACCATAGAGTAGGGAAAGTGTACGAGGGAACAATGTACTTCAGAACCATGACGGTGACACCACCAGCAAGACCACCAGCCATGGCAGCAAAACCCATGAACAAGACGACGCGAGCCTTCCATGCGATACCATCACCACTGTAGCTGAAGTTATCGGCAGAGAGGCGGGTCTTGTCGATCGAGTTGACAATGAGCATGCCGAGGGCGCTGAAGATGGTGGGGATCCAGTCGATGAATGTCATGTGTACGTCGGAGCCATTGAGGGCGGATTTGGAGTAGACGGCGGCATCGATAAAGACGAATAGAGCGATGGCGAACTGTGCGAAGCGTGTTAGCTATGGTCCCTAACAGCAGAGTAGAGGTAGGTAGTTTGTACCAGGGCACCGGCAAAGTAGACGCCAGCGCTACGAGTGGTGGCACTGTTCATCCATTGCGGCTTGCGAAAGGGAAGACGGAACACACGTTCGCTAGACATGGCGACAGGTAGATATCGAGGGCGATGTGTAGAGGTATAGCAGTCGAGATAACGCGAAAGGCGGAGGCCTCACAGTCGCCGAGTGACGCCGTCGCAAGCAGCTAACCGCGCGGAGGTCGGTGCTTGAGCCGGCCTCCGCTCTGCCCGCTGACCGCCCGCCCCCAGTTATCTTGGCAATCTTTTGTTCTGCCAGAAGTCGACATGGAAATTCTCGACTCGTAACGAGCTTTCTCGGCGAACTCGACTCATCACACATACAATGGCACCTACGAAATCAGCAAAGGGAGGTCCTTCCAAGGGTCCAAACAAGGGCGGTAAGTCTGGAGCAAAGTCAGCATCAAAGACTGGCGGCGATCGTGTCAGACCCAAGAAGCCCACAGGTGTCAAGCCCAAGACAGTCGAGCAAAAGACAAAGTCGACTTCCCACGGTCCTCAAAGAAAAAAGAAGCGCGTCTACACCGACAAGGAGCTCAACATCCCCACCCTCAATGGTATCCGTCCTGCTGGAATCCAGAAGCCCAATGGTGTCAAGAAGGGCAAGACTTTCGTCGACGACAAGGAGTCCTTGATGACCATCCTCGCCATGGTACAGGCTGAGAAGGAGGGAAACATTGAGAGCAAGATGATCCGCGCTCGTCAGATGGAGGAGATTCGTGAGGCTAGAAAGGCCGAGGCTGAAAAGAGAGAGGCTGGTCGCAAGGAGAAGCTCGTAAGTTTCTTGGATACCGCAGATGCTAGACCGCAATGCTGACAGTTCATCAGGAGGGAGTCAAGGATGATCTTCGCAGGAAGAAGAACAAGAAGGGCGGCAAGGACGCCGACATGGAGGCCGAGCCTGCTGCTGAAAAGCCCAAGAAGAAGAGAGTCTCGTTCGGTTGATCTTGATCTTGCATCTGCCTGCATTTTGTCCATTTCCGCGCACGATACCCACGTCTATGCATCTATCTCTACATTTTACTCTGGAAGGTACATCTTTCTACGCATCGGCTCAAAGGCGAATGGACTCTTGAACCCGGTGTTGGATGTCGCTGTCTTGGTCATCTCTGACAGGGCGCCAGTTGGTCCATCCTTGCGACCGGTCTCATACTCACGTGCCATCTTCTGGAGGAAATTCACTGCCTATCATGGGATCAGCATTCTGTTCACCGACGCCGCAAACACAAAAACATACCGGCTTGGAGAACCATCTTGTTCCGCCTACTTCAAACCAACTCAAGTGACCACCGGTCGATGTCGAGCACATGACCACGTACGGATTCTGCTCGATCTCCTCGTAAGGAACTGCCTCATCCACAGCGATCTGAAATCGATCTGTCAACATTGGACCAGCAAGCTCAAGGATACTACAACTTACAGGGTCGTCTTCGGCATGGATAGCAAAGGTTGGAATGCGGATGGCAGTAACTGAATCTGCTGAAGATGCATCGCGGTAGTATGCGTATGCTGTCGGGTATCCCCAGGTCGCGCACTGGATCTCTCTGTCAAACTCGTGTAGATATGTACACTTTGCAACCCTCTCCGGGTCAATATTACCCATTGTCACCACCTGCTCTGCGTGTCTGTGAAACCCTTTAGTCTTGCCAGTTCGTTTTGATAGGTCTAAGAAGGACTGACTGTGCGAAAAGCTTCTTCATGCTAGACCCCATTGTCTTTGAGTAGACATTCAGACCAAGCCAGGTACGTTGCAAAGCACGACAGGCGACTTCGAGTTTCCAGGGGTTAGAACAAAGCACAGCAGCTTGCAGCTCACATGCATCACCTTCCTCGCCCAAATACTGTGACACATGAAAAGACATTAGAGATGAAACCTTTAGCATTTGGACATTGACCAAATCTACGTACATTTGTGAGAATGTTGGCACCCAAAGAATAACCAATAGCATACAGAGGACGATTGGGGTACATTTTTCTGCACCACTTGACCGTCTGTCGCAAATCCCAAGTAGCTCTCGCATTGTACAAGATGCCCGTAGTAATCTTGCTCATAGCGCAGCCACGGCTGTTTACGACAATGGCCTCCCAGTCGCCTTGCTCACTCTGATCCACTAATGGCTCCAACACATGTCTGAGATATATCTCGTGGGAACCACCACTGAGTCCGTGTAGTGTGATCAACATGGGCTTCGTGTCATCACTGCCAATGTTTGCAAACTCGTCTTCGGTGAAGTAAGTTGTACGTGGAGGCAGAGTGGGATCTTCTTCTGGTGCCTGCTTGTGGGCCACAAAGTCAACAGAGAAAGTGCCGGCAAACCGAGAGTCGTCGGACTCGAAGATGTGACGCTTGTAGATGATGGGAGGTCCGGCGGCCTTTACTGCAGTCCAGGCAGTATGCAAATGACCATTGAATAGCAGAGGGTTCAATTTACAAGGAGGTGTGACTGCTTTGCAGATGTCGGAGAGCGCTGTCTTTCCAGACTTGGAGGCCAGAGTGATAGTCTCCTTCGAGTGGTGAAAAGAAACCCGGGCATGGCCGAGCAGCCATGAAAGATCCATGTTTGACTATGTTAGAATCACGATTCCTGGAGAATCGCGAGAATGTCAATTGGGTCTTAGACTATAGGTCCTTATTAATGACTGGCAACGAGCGTAGGTAGGACGAGCAAGAAACAGTTCTGAGTCTATGGGACGTTGAATATATTTATACGCAGTTTACGGTACGATAGAACGCTCACGGACCGTCGTCATGCCGCGACGGAGGTCCATACGGGCCCGGCGCCCCCGATCAATCTCGGCTACTCCATCTACATTCAGAAATTCTCGCGAAGCATGTGAATTCACGATCAAACATATAGGGCTGTTTGATGCTTTCGAGACTCAGAAAATAGAATCAGAAAAAGTTGCACAAGTCCTCCCCGTCCGCATTGACGACCCTTTGAGATTGCTGCCTCGGTTGCCAAGACTAAATTTCTCACCACGCGTACTCTTTCTCGGATAGCGCGTTTCTTAATTGATTTCCTGACAGCCTTCATGTGATTGTTCGAGACCGGAGAGCTATAGTTGAGAAAGGGCGGGTATGGATAATACAAATAATAACAATAGTGGATTCGATGCCCGGCGAGGATATGGAGTGCTTCCACAGCAACAACAGGTCATGTACGGCTATCAACAATCGCCTGCAGGAAATGGCTATCAACCGCATCCTATGAATATGATGCTGCAATCTTCTGGACCCGGACAAGGATACAGCATGCAGTCTCAATATCCTATGAATGGGCAACCAGGACGGCCACAAACGCATGCTTATGTGCCGTCTCACGGAGCGTCAGTCATGGGACAAGTCATGCAACAACCACAATATGCCATGCCTCATGCACAGTATCAACCGCAGCCACTTTCATATCAAAGTCATCAGCAAAACCCCCAATCAATGTCTCAGATTCTGGTTAATCAACAACATCAACCCCGACAGCGTCCATCGCAACAATACATGCAACCGCAGCCTGTACAAGCATATCAAATGGACGGTGCTCCGGGATATTCCCCTCCCAGAATGCGTCCGCCGCAAACACATCAAGGCCAGAATGTACCGTCAAGTCAGCAACGACCACGCCAACCATCAAATTCTGACTATGCTCCGGTTGAGAATGCTCCGCAAGTGCGATCGATGTCCAACGCTCCTTCCAGACAGCAACACCAATCGCAGCAACAATCTCGGGAACAACACGCTAGCTCATCTTCACAGTCTCATCCCCTGCCTATGCCATCACCAACGCCGGCGCAAGGCATGACACCTCGCCAGCCTCAACCTCAGCCTCAGGCTAGAGCAACTCCTCAGGCACATAAGCACGCCATGTCTCCACCACAACCACGACCCAGGCAGCCATCTAGTTCTCAATCTCAAATAGTATCGCAACCGCGTCCGGCCTCTCAAATGCGTACTCCGCAAGTGGTGATAGAGCCGAGACGGCCCTCATCACAGAATCCCGCTACCCCGGTGCCGTCGAGGACGCCAGTATTGTCGACACCTATACCTTCAAAGACACCTGTACCCAACCTTAAGGAGTCGGCTATAGACTTGCAGCCCGTACTTCTAGGTTTGGCTGATCAGTACATCAGCAGAGCCCATGGCATGTCTTCATATCTAGCGCGGAATCCCCAAGAAGCCGACGTCGATCAATACTACAGCCTTATATCCGCTGGTCTTGGATGCTTGGAGTCGGTGTTGAAGAACTGGAAGTTCTCTGAACCCAAGATTGAAGCGCGATTGCAACTGCGATACGCAAACCTGCTACTCGAAGAGACGGAGAATGACGGAGAGCTGCAAGATTTGCTCACCAGGGGTATTGCATTGTGCGAGCGAAACCGCCTTGTCGATTTGAAATACAGCATGAAGCATGTACAGGCTCGATCACTGTTTCGCACCCACCCTCGGTCAGCTTTCAAGATGATGGATCAGATGATTGAACTTACCGAGACATATGCTCATTATCCCTGGATGTATGTCTATCGATTCCTGAAGGTCTCTTTCTCGTTGCAGATGTCCCGGCCGGACTTGAACGCGGCTCTGCAGCAGCTACGTCGGATCTCTCAGCTGGCGGAGAAGCAAAGACAACATCCTATACTCGCCACATGTTCAGCTCTAGAGGCGTTGGTTCACCTGAGAAGTGATCAGGCAGATTCGGCGGATAACTTCCAGAGATCGCTTGCGGCAGCTCGTACTCACCAACTTAACCGTGATGTCGCTGATATTTCTCAGATCGCTGCCCTGCTAGACTGCCTGGATCTGTGTAGTGATCTCATGAACGGAAAGCCTGAGCAACTCATGGAGAAGATGAACGTTATGCAGAAAGCCTTGGATGGCGGCAAGAGGAAGACCGCTCATGACGGATCCTTCTACGTACCGACTACAGAGAACGCACCCGAGGACGTGTCACTCGACACATGCGGCATCATGGAGAGGACGACCGAAGGAAAGCGTGCGATTGTGTTTCAGTGGCTGCGCAGGAGTGAAGTGTTTGCACTCGGTTACATCTTCAGCAGTCTGGCCAGCGTTAGTAAGAACATCGTCGACCACAAGGCTGAAAAGTATGTGATTGAGGGCGGCAAACTCACGCAAAGTAAGCATGGACCACATCTCGCTCACCTATGCATACGCTGACCCAGTTTCCACAGACGACTACAACCCAGAGAATGAGCGTAAGGTGCAGTCACTTCAGTGCACATCGGCGCAACTGGACCGACGCATGTTCTATCATAAAGTGTGTCTCCAGTTGCTCGCGTCATTCAGGTGTGAAAGAGCCGACTGGAAAGGAGCACAGGAAGTTCTGGAACAATTGACAGAAGGTTTGAAGCCAGAGAGTGTCGACGACCAGGACTTTGTGCAGGTGTCATCACTCTATATGACAGGCCTCGTGAAACAAGCGACCGGAGATCTGGAAGGTGCTTTACAGTGCTACAAGAGCCCTGCACTAGCGCTACAAGCTGGACAGAAGACAAGCACTAATCAAGATCTACGGATTCTGTCAACACTCAATATGATCCTGATCCTCAGGCCACGAAGGGAACTACGGGAACAAGTCAACCATCTCATGGATATCGTGGAACCGCTATGCTTGAAGCATGCAAACGAAAACTACAAGGTCGCCCTATACATTGTCAGAGCATCGTCGACCAGCGCGTTGCCCATTCTCAAGATGAAGAACTATCTGTCCATGTCAGCCAGTATTGCAAAGAAGCAGCAGAACATACAGATGCTCTGCATGGCAATCAACCTCATGACAACCAATTTCTTCGAGAATATCATGGGAGAAAAGGCGGAAATGTCGGCAGGAGCAGGCAAGAAGCTGGCAGACAGGACGCAGTCGCCACTGTGGCAAGCCGTGTCCAGTCAGATGCTGTCCAATACATACAGCTTTGGCGGCAAGAGGGCAGAGGCTGTTGAAGCTGGGGCAGAGGCACAGAAATGGATGCAGGTGCTGCCCGAGAGTGTACAAGACAAGTTCGAGGTGAAGAGGTGAGACGGCCCGGCTTGAGACGTGCGATGCACAGGTGAAATGAGAATACGACCAAGAGACGGTCTTGCTTGTCAGGGAGTAACAGAGCATTCATAGCGCGGCGTGCTGGCTGAGCGAGGAAACCGACATGGAAGCATTGCTAAGAGGGGAAAGGGAATCTCGCTTCCTGTATCTCAAGATGAACATATTTCAACATTCAACGACAGCTCCAAGAGGTTGGGCATGGTAATGAACGTAGCAATAAGGGAGAAATGATACATGATATTTCAAGATACATGGCTCACGAGTGAGCAGTCGAGGTGGAGGGTATAAAGGACTAGAGATAGGTGACGATGCCTCGCGACTAGAACTCCTCATCTTCACGGAAGGAGAGCGAGAAGCTGATGATGGTCGAGTAGATGAGGAGACCACCAGCTATCGACATGGCGGCAGCAGCGATGTTGATCTGACCAGTGTGGGCAAGGACCACGGGGAGGGCTAGAGAGTTGTGTCAGAACTTGTATATGCCATCCTCTTCTGAAGCAGCATGACATACCAACACCCATGACGACCAAGAAACCGGTAATGAAGCGACCGAGCTCGACGACGGCATTGCTGCCTCCATCCATAAAGTCATCCGAGGATTGGGCGCGTGAGCAGATCCAGTTGGGCAGGGGAGCGATAACGTAAGTCGCGACGACGAGGAGAGGGAGGTAGTTGTGCCATAATGCCGACGAGAGAATGACGAGCAGGAAGCCTATGGCCAGCACCTGTAAGAGGGAGAGTTGTTAGCTCGTATGCATCAAGGTGATGGTAGGATTGGGGAGGGAAGGGGAAATGGCGGGGCGTACAAAGGATAGAGCGATGATTGTTTTGAGACCTGCCATGTTGGGTTTGTCAGAGGCCAGTCGTGGAGTGTGCTCGTGGTCGGTCCTCGGTGTTGATCACTATCGTCGTCGTTGTCGGCGCATGACGGTGCTGGACTTGGTTGCGGAGAGTCGGATCGGCAGGCGCGCGTCGGTATTGCCAAGCAAAAGTCTGGGGAGCTTTGGCCGCCATCTCTCATTCCATCATCAGTGAGTGAGTGAACAAGAACATTGAACACTGACAGATTACACACTCCCATCTGTCGTTTGTATTGCATTTTCCATCTCTCGCTCTCGCCCTTTTTTGTACACTCAGCTCCGCCAACCTTCATAACCTCCACATCACATCGCAGCCATGTTCCGCAACAACTACGACAACGACTCCGTCACCTTGTATGTTGCCTACCCTGGACCCGCCATCTATTAAACAAGCACTAAACTCTCTCTTCTACTTCAGCTCGCCGCAAGGTCGCATCTTCCAGGTTGAATATGCCCAAGAAGCCGTCAAGCAAGGTTCCGTCGTCGTCGGCATCGTCAGCAAGACACACGCCGTCCTCGCCGCAGTAAAGGTATGAGCATCTCATCTGCGCATACCACCTATCCGCACACCAGACTAACCTGCTTTTGCTCAGAGAAACGCCGAAGAACTCTCATCCTACCAAAAGAAGATCATCCCCATCGACTCGCACTACGGCCTCGCCCTCGCCGGCCTCGCCTCCGACGCCCGTGTCCTCAGCAACTTTATGAAATCCCAATCCCTCTCCTCGCGTCTGACCTACGGCCGCCCCATCCTGCTCTCCGAAATCACCTCTCGCGTCGCCGACCGCGCTCAGACAAACACCCAGCAATACGGCCGTCGCCCCTACGGTGTTGGACTTCTCGTTGCGGGTGTCGACGCAAAGGGACCTCATCTCTTTGAATTCCAGCCTTCGGGTATCACTCAGGAGATGGTGGCGTGTGGTATTGGCGCTAGAAGTCAGATGGCGAGGACTTATCTCGAGCGCAACATTGATGAGTTTGAGGGTAGCAGTAGGGAGGAGTTGATCAAGCATGCGCTGCGTGCCTTGAATGAGAGCTTGCCTCAGGATAAGGAGCTTACTGTTGACAACACTTCGCTCGGTGTCAGTGGTTTGGAGGAGAACTTCACCCTGTATGAGGGTCAGCAGGTTGCTCAGTGGTTGGACACGACGTTTGAGAACAAGGGTGATGACGATGAGGCCGCTGCTCCTGCCGCTGCCGCTGATGCACCAGCACAACAGGAGGGTGCAGGCGAGTCTATGGAGGTTGACTCATGATCTGCGATCGTAAAAGTCCGAGACATGAGAGAAATGCATGAAGAAGAGCATGAAGCTGAAGCATAAGCTATCACAAGACACCATAACGTCCTGACATGATGTACTAAACAAACAAATTACCACTTTTACACCACTCTCCTGGTACGCTCTCATGATTGTAAACCTGGCGATGACAGGAATTAAAGACGTCAACGTTATACAGGCCGGACTTAGGAGTGTATGACGTTCGGTCTCGTACCCGTGTCAAGTCCACAGCATAAGACTCTGTACCTTGCTCAAAAAGTTGTATACGAGGATCTTATAGGAGTGTCTATAACAGCCACATCGATCTCATCAACCCCCAATACCTCGAATGACCTTTTTTCTTCCCTTCAAACGAAACGTCCTTCTTATCAGCAAAAAATGACAAAAAGCTGCAATCAAAGTCTTCTACTTCTTCGCATCACTCTTCCCAGCCATCCAACCAGCAAGATCAAAGTTTTGAATCTGCTGTGCCGTGTTTTGTGTCTGGGCTCCTCCGATTCCAGCAATAGGACCTTGTTTTTGCATTTCTGCGAATTCGGCCTTTGTTTCTTCGTCCACTGCAACTTTCATATTAGCATTTTTTTCGTCCCCCCTTGTATCTAACAAAAGCAAAAAGGACAGGGGAAGAAAGAAGGAAAAGCAAACTTACTATTCTCCATCAAATAAGGCATTCCAAACACCAATCCCATACTCAACACTCCCATCAAAATCATTGGATTTTTGAAAAAGCTGAGAAGATCAAAGCCTTGTCTCTGCTCGTAAAAACCTCTTTTCCCCTGTGATGAAACAGAAACTCTGACGATTTCCTCCACAGAAGACAAAGGAGCAGAAGACGACGCAATCTTCGCTCCCAAAGTACTCCATTTATTGCCAGGATGTGTAAGATACACCACCACTGTATCTGGCTTCTCAACCACCGCAGCCTCTCCATCACCAGGTTGGGCGATTGGAAGAGCGGAAACAGCGTCCACAACATCTACACGCAGAGAAGGGAATACATGGTCTCTGGAGTAAATGTCGAGGAGATATTCCCCGGTGCTGAGGGTGGGGAAGAGGAATGTATTGTCGATGCGGAGGGGCACGCGGGAGTGGTGGCCAGAAGGTCCGTAGAGGGTTGCGTGGGTGGAGGCAGGGAGGTCGGAGGGGTCGAGGAGGGCGGAGGAGGGGCTGATGCTGAGGTGGAGGGATGTTGCTGCTGCTGTGGAGCTGAGCAGGGCGAGACTGGGGAGGAGTTTCATTGTTTTTGGCGTTGTGGCCTCGCGGTGAGGAGGTAGAGTGTGGTGGTGTCTTGTGAGGTTTGGACGTGGTTGCCTGGCTTGAGAGTGGTAGGTTTGTGGGTTTGGTATGATGCTTGCTGCTTTCGGGTTCACACATGTGTTGGAGAGAGTCTGGAGTTGCGGGATGGTGTAAGGGGTCCAAGCGTCTTTGAGCTCCGGACAAGCAGCTGGGCTTTGGAACAGCTCTCTTCGACAAAATCTCCCCTCGTTCCCGCAGACTTTCACTTTGTCACGCACGACGACACGCACATTAATAAAACAATGAGGTGCCATGTCGATCGGTCATGCAAAACGGTATCACGTTGAGCTGTGCCCGGGAACAAAATACAATGCCTCCTAACGGAGTCGAACCGGTGACCTCGGCATTACTAGTGCCGCGCTCTACCAACTGAGCTAAAGAGGCTGATTGTGCTCGATCAAATTTTACATAGTACATATCCTCAGCTAACAGCCACCGTCATGCTGATCGAAACGCCCAGACACCTGTGCCGAAGCAAGCACGCTCCTTGTTCAACGCCAACAAGTATCAATCCATCATCGTGTCGAGAGATCAGAAGATTGCCGTACCGTTGACATGTGTGCTTACACCACCTAGAACTACGTGTCAGTACACTGTATAAGGTAGACATGTATAGAACCTCACCTTGGACATTCGCAGGAGCGGCAGTAAAGAAGAAAGTCCATCTGTTCTTCTCTCGGCATGTTTGAGATAGTTTCTCAAGATCCAACATCTCGCCCAGTGGCATACCCCAAAGCGCAAGGATATATTCGTGAAGGTGGTATTCTGTCCGAGCGTTAGCTTTGTGCTCGACATCTCATGTCAGGGCCGTATCTACCCTCATGTGTTGGCCAGGCTTCAAAAGCAGGAGCGTCTCCGGCCACAGCTGAGAAGTAGGAATCGTGAAGCCAGTCCAGTATACGTTCCTCCTGGCTCAATCCTGCGAATCTCTGTCCATCATCTTTGCCCAACGCATGTGGTCTTACAGCCAGTTCATTTCTCTCGGCAGGTGATTTGCTGTGATATGCTTCAACCCAACCAGTACGCACAAACAAGATATCTCCAATCTTGATGTCACCACCTTGAGCAGCTGGACGAATATCGATGCCTTGATCAGCAGCGCAGTGCTTGAGTTCCTCGAAAGAGATGGGATAGTATTCGTAAGGATCATAGTTGATGCCTTTCTTGTGGGCGTAGCCGCGATAGTCCAGAAGAATGCCGCGTCCAGCAATACCATGCACAGCCCAATGGTGAATCGAACACTTGTGATTTGCACTTGGTCCGACGATATCCGAGCCTTTGGTGTTGTTGTAGAATGTACCGGAAGGAATATGTGCGAAATGGCGGAACCCATCGAACTGAGTGCCCGACTGTGTGTTGAGGTGATAGACATCATCATAAGCAACATCTTCAGCAAGGACCTTGATCTCATGCTTGAAGACCTCACGATTGAAGGCCGGGATCTCAGGCGTATTGAGAGGAAGATTGACGGGCACAATTTCTCCACTCTTGATCTCCTTTCCAGCGGCAGCAACTCGAGTTGGAGTCAAGAGGTTGAGGCGACCGATATTGTCATTCTCACCCCAGACCCAAGCAGCTCCTTCAGGTGCACCAGGAATATCAGGCAACTCCTTACGGGTAGGGAATATGGTTGAGTCAGGGTCAAATGGCATGGAGAGACTTGCAGTCTTGTTCATGGTCAGAAAGTCCTTGATCTGAGTCAAGCGAGTGCTTGTTGTGCTTTTAGGTGCGGCCATGATGATAGATTCAGGTAGCGAAAAGTGATAGCAGGACCCACCTTGTGCGAGCAGAGGTGACCTACTTTATGCTACGAAGAATTGCGGCAGAGAGCTTGTCGTGTCCCTCGGTCTGTTGTGCCCCTCCTTCCCTGTGAAGCATACTTGTATTGTGAGCTTCCCCGCATTAGACGTCATTGTCATATATTTGGGATGCACAAGCGTTGCGTACTCCAGCGGCAGTCGAGTCAGCCGCGTAGAGGTGGAATTTTTTTGACAATGCGTGGAGCATGCACCTTGTTACCAATCCTTGTTCGTCCTCAAAGAGCCTTCCTAGTGTTTTCGAACAACTAGAAAGGTTACTTAGATGCACGACAGGAGCTTCTCGTCACAATGCAAGCTGGCAAAAGAGAGCGGGAAAGGGACACTGATCTCGCAGTGGATTGTATCGAGTTTGATTTGCACTGAGGCAATCGTGAGCAAGGTGTTCTGCGACGTGCGGGAGTCAAGCTCTGGCAGGATGCAGCATACCAATACAACGTCGATCTGGTGTATTCTTGTATCCTTGACGCATCTTTACAAGCCATAACCTGACTAGGTACCTAGACAGAAGAAACTCTGGTATCAAGTGTAGGAGCTCAGAAGCACCAAGCTGGTGTCTGCACGTTCCGGTGTTCTCAGAGCATCTCCTGTGTTCTTTTTATGCAACACTCCAGGACACTAGCCCAGTTCAAGCAACATGATCTTCCTGACTCTTGACTGTAGTCTGATGTCCAAGGACGAGGAGGGATTGTGGGTGTCGATCGACGGTGTATAGGGGTCGCGGCATTCCTGCACCTTGGGTTCTATTCATCAGTAGCCTGCCAATATTCTCGCAATGTGCCTTCTCTCGACCTGACCTGATCAGTATGCTCACTTCACATGCCTTAAGTTCAGTGCCCGGGTCCGGCGCTACTGACACCCCATACTCATACATAAGGTCGTGCCACTGGAAACTGGATCGTCCCAATTGGATGAAGTCTTCGAGTATGTTGCAAACTCCTGGAACCCTCAAGCGAAAGGGTCACTTTCATCGATGCAGGTTTTACAAAGCAGAAGTGCTGCGAGGTGCTCGTGCAGCTGCCGTTGCTGCAGAATGCCGACTGTTGTTGAGAAGTCGAGGAGCATGGAAACAGCCACAGGTTGTACAGAAGAACTGGCAAGGAGTTGGGGTGTCTTGCGGCCAGAATGATGCAGGGGCACCGCATGCTCCAACATTCGTGTTGGCTGCGTGTCGCCGTACTCTTGCACGATCCTTTGTTCAAACTCAGACTTCGAAACAATCGTGGCCATTGTCGTCCATTGTCAAACCGTCTAGCTCAATCAAAATTGCAGCCATATCGCCGTTGAAGCGCCAATGCGGACACGTGTTGCAAATAATCTTGAGTCGTTCGATTTACGTAGCTCGTCCATGTTTAGCGGCACCCGAGTGGGCGGAGTAGGGCGGAATTGGCGACGAAATTGTGTTGTCCCCACTAGTGCAGCTCGCCTTTTCTCGTACAACAGCATCACCTTCGAGCTTGAGAAAAGCAGATCAGAGAGGCAAAGGAGAACTTCTCATAACAAAAAAGGACCTTCTACCATGATGTTCTTGTGAGTTCTGTCCTCTGGCAAAACATCGTCGATGGGACAACGCGATCGTTGATGTCCAATCCTGCTGAACTATTTATCGTCCGTGGCAGCTTTGCAGATCGAGATTTGGCGGGGCATGACACCGGAGCTTGCGGGATCGAGTGAAACGTCATCGAAGGCCATGTGCTTCCTGTCCCACCATTGGATCATCTGCACCGCCTGCCACGAAAAAGTTGCATGATATCGGGTTCCACAAACAGCGCAATTCGGCCCTTCAACTGCGGTATATTCAAATTGCAAGTTCGCGGGTGCTAAGCGTGGTTCAATGCTATTTTGTATCTGTTGAGGCTCGTTGACCGGGCCACCTTCAGCCCCACGACCCCGCCTATGAGGTCAGCGTAGAAGGACGATGAAGCTGCAGGACTGGCCTCACCAGAAAATATGACCTCAGCCCACGGAGCGGTAAGGATGCGCTCTTGGAAGCTTCTTTTTTAAATAGCTATCTGTTCCCCTGCACATCTTTTCTCTCTCCATCCTCTCTTCATTCAAACCTATCTTCCCCTCTCTACAAACAACCCCCCAAAACACATCAACATGCCTATCTCTATTCCCAAGGGCGAGAAGCTTCTTGACCTTCTGTCCATGAAGGGCAAGGTCACCATTGTCACTGGTGCCTCCGGTCCCCGCGGTATGGGTATCGAGGCTGCTCGTGGTATCGCCGAGATGGGCGGTAACGTCGCTCTTACCTACGCTGGCCGTAAGGAGGGTGGTGAGAAGAACGCCGCCTCCCTCGAGAAGGAGTACGGCATCAAGGCCAAGGCCTACAAGCTCGACGTCGCCAACTACGAGTCCTGCCAGCAGCTCATCAAGGACGTCATTGCCGACTTCGGTCAGATTGACGCCTTTGTCGCCAACGCTGGCAAGACCGCCGACTCTGGTCTTCTCGATGGCGAGATCTCCGCCTTCGAGGAGGTTATTCAGACCGATCTCCTCGGTGTCGCATACTGCGCCAAGGCCGTCGGTCACCACTTCAAGGAGCGCCAGACCGGTTCTTTCGTCATCACTGCCTCAATGTCTGGTCACATCGCCAACTTCCCTCAGGAGCAGACCTCTTACAACGTCGCTAAGGCTGGCTGCATCCACATGGCCCGCTCCCTCGCCAACGAGTGGCGCGACTTCGCCCGTGTCAACTCCATCTCCCCTGGATACATTGACACCGGTCTCTCGGACTTCGTCGACAAGGAGACCCAGAAGCTCTGGCACTCCATGATCCCCATGGGCCGTGACGGTGACGCCAAGGAGCTCAAGGCTGCCTACGTCTACTTCTGCTCTGACGCCTCTACCTACACCACTGGTTCCGACCTCGTCATTGACGGTGGTTACTGCGCCCGCTAGACAGATCGCTGGCTGATCTGTTGATGTGTGTGTTGCCTCGACATCTACTTTCTATATCAAAATAGTTAATTTATCATGACGGACATGAAATGAAAACAAAATACCCAATCTACTCAATCTTCTGATCCAAACTTCTTCTTCCAACCGTGGATGCTGCCAATCGATTGCCTGGACATAAGTTGTATCCACGAGGCATTGACACTCGTTGTACCTTGCCATTACCCCACACTGCCTATGCGTACAGTACATATGATGATTGGTCTCGACAACAGTCGATAACAATTGGACATCGCATGCCGAAACAGACAGGTACATCACAATTGCAACCTGACACGAAGCTGACAGAATAATCAATCAGAAACGAGACACCATCTCGCACTCGTCATTGATCCAAGCCGCCTACCAGACCCTACCTTTGCACAATCGCGCCGTCACGTCCTACCAAATCGAATACCAACGATGTCGTCCTCATTCCCGAAAGCAATAAAGAGCCATATAATTCGGTCAGTCCCAGACCGGCCAGAAGAGCTTTATGACAGGAGGAAATGACGCACACGCGATCAATGCGAGCAGAGAAAGAGACACAATGAGGGAGACAAAAGAGATCGATACATGAGCACCTGCTCCGTTCGGCAGTTAGGCTATGCACACCACAATAGCTCATGGAGAGTTCTTCCTCGCAGTCCTCAGCTACATACACACTAGGTCTTGAGTGTGGATATCAACATTCATGCTCTTCTTTTACATTCAAGAGGCTGGTTCGTACTTCTTGAAAACCCCTAGATATTCTGGCTATCGAGACTATACAATCACACAGAACACTAGGCCGGTCGATCAGATCTCAGGAGTCTTGTTTCGTGAGTGCATTATCATCAGAATAGATACTCATCAACGCAGAAACACAACCCTGTCCAACAATCGTCCCGACCAAGTGCGGAAAGAACAATGCAACTCCTTATCCACCTGCACTTTCGCAGCCTGTTTGGCAGAAAATATCAGTCTAGCAGGTGCATACCGTGGCACTTCCTTACCCCTCTTACTCCCCTGCACATCGCTCCTGCATGCCAATCCGCTATCTTCGGAGGTCTGGGCCGCTCCATTGCTTTCCATAAAATCCCAATACACCCTCGTCCACCCCTCCCTCTTTTCCAAAAACTCCCTGTCAAACTGCCCAGTATCATTATGAAGACTCCGCAAAAAAGACAAATACACCATCCTCAGTCTCCTTTCATCATTTTCCTCACAATCCTCCCATTGATTCTGCTGCTTCCAGACCTTACTCTGATGGTAAACATGCTGCTTCTCCCTCACATTGCCAAAGTCTCCGAGGAGCCAATGAAGAGGATCTTCCGAGATGAAGATGTTGGCGGGTTTAATATCGTCGTGGCAGAAATTGACGGAGTGCAGGGTTGTGAGTGTGCTGAGAAGGGCGGAGAAGGAGGGTCTGAACATTCTATCCATGGCTGAGGTTGTGGAGTTGCTTTGCAAGGCTAGGAGATGGAGAAATCTGGGGCCTGCATCGAGTAGAGTACCGTGGTGGTAGTACGGGGTTACTAGTTGCCATTTCCGTGATGATCCGTTTTTGAGGATGAAGTAATCAAGGATGTTCACGGTGCCGTTAATCGTGGTGGTGGGTTTGTGTACTTGGTTTGCGTGCAACAGCATGAATTCTAACTCTGTTGGCCATTTGGTTTCTCCGAATAGTGATATTGCTGCTTCTGGAAGAGAATTGCGGAGAGGACTTCTTTGTGTGTAAAAGGACTTTATGGCGACTTCTTGATTCGTGGTGGTGTCATTGTAGATACTGACGGATCCCTCAAAGCCAGAGGATAGTAGTCGTTTGAAAATGTACCGATCCTGTGAAGTGTTCGATCTCAGGTTATAGATGGTCTTCTCTGGATAGAAAGATTGAGGGAGTCGTGAACAGTCATGCAGTAAAGTGTCATTGACAGGAGAGAAGTCTGTAGGTAGGTATTTGGGTGTGCGAGCCAATTGTGACGGACTGCATGGAAGCGAGAAGAAATAGCCACCTAGGATCATGTATAGTAACATCCATAGCGCAAGTCGACAGTAGGGTCTAGGTACTAGCATAATCGTGTGACCGAAGATAGAAATACGTCGAGTCAATACACCCTTATATGTGCCAGGGAAGGAACAGAACCCATCACCAATCCGCCTACCCAATTGGACATCTCGAAGCCTGAACTTGATTGATCAAGTTCATCGAAGGCATTTCCACCAGACATTTCCTGTTACCCGGTATTCCCAGGCCGAGCATACACTTGGCAGTGACATTCTGGCTATGAAGCTGTATATTAGCTATAGCCTTTACCAGTATATCGTGGTTGATGATTCAAAGAGCCTCCAGATCTGTTGAAGAGATGCACTATTGGGCTGTGTCAAAGCAGGCTGAATGTCTGTTCTTATAATAATAGTTATAGGTGAGGGATGTGTGGCAATGTAGTATTGCGTGTCCCGAGGCAGTGCAACTCATACATCTATACAGCACATTGTAACGGCCGGTAAAGGTCCATCAAGTCTTGGTGCACTGCAGACGGCGGTTGACAGTCAAGCTGCATACAAAACTTGATTGTGCATCATCTGTACCTGATCAAGATGGCATTGTATGCAGACCTTGGCAGGATGCATCATTGGATGAGCCATCGCCACATGTTTCAATACTCCTTGGCGCGAAGCACAGCGTTAAAGAAACTGTCGGGCGCAGCAGTCGATCAGATTAGCATCATTCCATACATCTCCATGGAGGTGGAATCGAAAGCAAGTCTTGTTTCCGGGAGCTAAGAGATCATTTGCACATGGACGTTGTGATGAATATTATCATGGCAGTGACATCCTCAATCCGAGATTGACCCCACGTCATTGGTCCCCATGTGCACCTGCCGCAGATCACATATAACACCAAGATAACATGAACAAAATCTTCTCTAGATTGTGACTGAAGGATGTATCTCTATTATTAGGTATCTACGCTATCCTGTCCCACCTATGAACAACTCTAAACGCCATGTATATGCTTCTACCATTCCTGAACTCCCGCTCGATAATCTACATGATCCCGAACAATCAACCTTGAGTGATAGTTTGTGGTGGCTCTGCTGCATATTGTGAGCATTTCCCCATCATCTTGCCAAAGTACTCAGTCACAAAGCTCTCAGTATAGAACTCGTGCTGTTGACTATGCTCCGAAACCAGGTTGTGTGCCAATTCGTGACACAAGGTAACGTACCAGTACACTGCTGCTGCCTGCTTGCCAACTCCTCCAGCAGTGCCATAATTCTGCCAATGCAACTGCAAGAAGTAGCGGAGATTGCAGAAAATGGATCCCTGACGGTTAAAGGCGATGCTGCTACCAGATTCGTTGTAGTAGATGTGTAGGGATTGTGGTCTTAGAAGGAAAACATTTCCAACGTCGAGCAAGAGAGCAGCGAAAGCATTCAACTGCGTAGCATGAGTTTGCAAGAATGTTGCTCTGGACGATGCAGGGACAGCGTTGGCAAGGAAGATCTTGACACCTGCAGATGTGTTCCCGACGAACGTCAGATCGTGCCCAGGACTCGAGTCACAGTAGGATGGCGTCTCCTTGACCGTGTTTTCTGCAGGAGGAGAGAAGAGGGAGGACGAATCGTGTGCACGAGAGGAGTTGACTGCTGAGATCAGATTTTGAGTGATCTGGTGAGGCGGAGTGATCTTTTCAGGTTGTTGGCTGACAGTCGACTTCTTCACAACTTGTCCCGGATTCTCAGAGTATGGGGGCGGAGCATCTGAAGGCCCTGCCTCTGGACGCGATGTGTCTTGCAACTGCTTCTGACGTTGCTGCTCGGCAGGGTGCTCCGTTGAACCCGTCTCGAACCCGAGTTGCCTCTGAAGATTAGAGAAGAAGCCCGTACCTCTCTTGGGACGTTGTGCAAGGGTAGTCTCAGGTGAGGCCTCAAAAGCACCTGGTACAGGCTTGGACTTCTCGGGCGTAGCTTGCAATGAGTGAGGTGCGTCGATGGCCCGAGTTTGCTGTTGCGCATTCCACTCAGCTTCTCGTTCTGTCATTCTTTTCTGCTCCTCCTCCATTTGCTGTTGTCTCTTGTTCTCGGCCATACGATTTTCTGCTGCTTTCTGTCGCAGGATACGGTCTACATTATAGCCTTTGGTCTTCAGTCGGCGCAAATCACTCTCCAAGATCATCTCTAGAGCTAGGAAGTCTTGTTGTTTTGCTCGTTTGAGCAAAAGAGACATGATCGCGCGCGCAACCTCGTAAAAGTCAGGACGAGTGGTCACAAACAATGTGGCATCTTTCTTTGTGTCTCGGTGCAGGGCAGCCGTCCTTTTCTCTTTGTATGTCGCATTGTATCCTCGCAGAGTCTTGGTCAAGGTCAGCGAGCCGACGACATTGACAGCAAGCACACCTTCAAGCCACTTTGAATCGTGACGAATTGCGTCCGCTGTGTGATCGTGTAGGAACAATCGACAACGCTCCACGATGAGATTTTGTAGCCTGGCTGCCGTAGATTGGTCGGGCAAAAGAGCACCCATGCGCTGGTCGTCTTCAATCAGGCTGCTGATCCAAGTGGCTCCGAGCCCAGCATACAAGTTTTCGAGTATCTCCTCTTGAGGACCAGCAAGCAATCTCTCCTTGAAAAGGCGGTAGCTGTAAAAATCGTCGACAAGGATAATGCTCGAGGGTACGGCGAGATGCCATTCCTTGATGGCTGCTTCATTTTCCTCGAAGTAGTCTTGCTCGTCCTCTGTTACCTTGCTAGTGATAGGAGCGATCTCCTTGACAGCGAGCAAACAGGGAGAGCGCTTCAGTGCACCCCAGAGCATCTTGTCGTTCTTCAGACCACTTGCGTTGTCAGCTATACGACGCAAAAGGCTCAGATATTTCTCTTGGCCGAGAGTACCCAACAAACGTGAGGGTTCACGAACGAGCATGCCTCCGAGCTCTGGAGCACTAGGTTCATGCTTAGAGCCGACCTTCAACAGGAACGAATTGGCTTCGGAACCAAAGTCGACAAAGTCAAAGATCTCGCCATAGGTGGCGCTGTCGCCTAGGAAGCAAGCTCTCGGAGCAGTGTAGCGGATGTTGTCACTCTTCTCGCTACCGGAGCCGACCTTGACGATTGGAATCATACGTGATTCGCCAAGTTTCTCGGCAAGATTGCCGGAAGCACCAATCTCGTTGAGTCGACCTGCAAAATAGCTGAAGACGTCCTTAGCATCTGTACGACTCTTGGGAGGGCTCTTCATGAGTCTGTCTGCACAGATAGTGATGGGAGGATTTTGTTCAACGTTGAACAGGGCTGCATGCTTTTGCAAATCCTCTCGAATAATCTGGAAGCCAAGGATAGCAGATCTCTTGTTGGCGAAGCACTGCGTCGGTATGGCAAGTTTCTTCAAATCACCACCCTGAAGTGGTAGGAAGGGCACTGTGACTTTTTCTACCGGGAAAGTGCGATAGCCATTGGCGTAGTGGTTCGTAATGTAATATTGGAGAGTCTTCTCGTACAGCTTAGAGTCGCCTTCAGCAGCTGCCTTTGTCATGATTAGAATCAAGTCTTGAACACCAGGATAGGCCTTGAGTCCAAGGACACTGAGGAACTTGGACTCTGGACTGGCTTTTCGGAATTCACCAGGCCACTGCACAAGTGGCAAGCCAAGCTCTCTCAGTATGGGCAGTGGTTCGTAGAGATCAGAAACCTTGTAAAGCTTACCCTCGGTAGCCTTAGCGTCACCTTGAGATTCTGCGGGACAGATTGGCGTCTTACGTAGCTTGTCGTAGTCTTCATTCGGGATGTCGCCTTGAACACTGACAAGGTATTTGATCAAGTCAACATGGCTCCATTTGCCTTCAGCGGCGCCAGATGATTTCGCCATGAGTCTTTCAAAGACGACGGAGAGCTCAACTGTTTTACGTACTCCAAGAGGCAATAGAAATTTCTCCTTGACACCCTGAAGACCATGTACTGTCGGCAGGTCGTCGAAAAGTTTCACAGATGCGAAGTAAGACTGAGCTGGCTTGCGCATACCAAGCTTGGTGGGTATGACCGTCCTTGGCTCGAGAAGTTGCACCACAGTACCTTTGGATGACTGACTAAGACCATCCCATGATTTCGAGACGACAGAAAGGACTTGGCCAGAGAATTGAGGCGATTTGGTAACACTTTGTTCTGCGGAGAGACCAGCGCCGTCTTTCTCGATAAGGTACCGTAGCCATGGTACAATCTGAAGTTCGGTCCATCCGAATGCTTCAAGCTGATTCTTGGGCACGTTCTTGACGAAGCGGAAGGGAATGGTTGTCGATGATGCGGGTAGCTCGGAAGGTACTTTGCTCGGATTTGGGAATGAGTCAATGCTACCCAGTAGTAACACCGGACTAGGGTAAGTGCTGGTGAATTCTTCAGCGATCGTAGCGACGGTGCCGTCAAAAAGCGAATGAAGAGCAGACACGTCTAGCTCATCTCGACTAAGTTTGCCCGTTGCCCACTTGATCAACTCTGTTAACTGCTTCTCTTCCAGGGCCCGGGCTTCTAGCTCTTTCTTGATATCATGAGTAGTGATGTCAGACAAGAGTCCGTACTCTTTGAGATTCTTCATGAAAGCAGCGGCCTTTTCCATGATCTCATCTGGAACTACAGGTATACCATCAACGAAGCTGAGGTCTTCAGTCGCAACGCGGACCTCGAAGCTGGGCAGCACACCACGAGTGGACAAGAGGTTAATGGACCCTTTCTGATTGCAAGTCCAGAAAGCTTCTTCGATGATGGCACCAACTTGGGAGGAAGGCGTGGACTCGGAAAATGTGTACTGCTTGAAGGTGTGGATAGCCGAAGCCATGACGGCTTCGATATCCTCCTTTTGGACCTTCTTGTTGCCGGAAGTAATCATTTGACGTTCAAGTTTGTTCTTGAGTTCGGCCATATCGCCTGTATAGGCAACGCGGCATGCTATACCAGCGACTCGTAGCATCTCAACATTCCAGTCACGTACCCAGCGCGCGTTCAAATCGATACTTTCACGTTCGACTGTAGGAATGACGGAGGGGGCAGAAATGTGGGCAAGGAGACCAGTCGTCTGAGCAGTTGGGAAACCAATGAAAACACGTCCGTTCTTGCTAGGAAGTACAGAAGCGAAGATCTCAGAAGCTTTGCCCGATGATGAGCCTGAGAAAGTGGCCATAGATACAGAGCTCTCATCGTAAGAGGATGTCAAGATGGCAATCTTTGTGTGCTTTGGCGGAGGTTTCTTTGTGGCACGCTCAAGCTCGGCAGACAAGCTCTTGTTGACATATGTCTGCACATTGACGGTACTTATCCGTAAGAAGACCGAGGCAGTGCTCGAACCTGCAAGATCCTCGGCTATAGCCCTTTGAACGGCTTCCTCCTCTTTGGCGGCACGTTTAGCAGCAGCACTAGGACCAGTAGCGGCTGAAGCAAAACGACTAAAGAAACCTCGTAATGACTGGGTCGGTGCTTCGGAGGAGGATGGCTGTAGCTGTTGTTGAGCACCGGCAACACGTGTCCACCCGATGACATTGCACCATGTCGCGTCAATTTGAGCATTCTGGTACTCTACGCCAACAATCTTCATGAGTCCTGCTTTTGTCTTTGGATTGATGTCGTTGGGGATGGCCACAGCAGCTGACGGAGCCATCTTCTTGTTGAGGGTGATCATATTCCATCCGTCAATCCATAGCTCAACAGACTGCAGACCGACGAATGTGAGACTGGTAGCAAGGAATTGGCAGATGGATAGCAGGTTGGGTACAGGAGAGGTTGTGTTGCGGTAGTCGAGAACAAAAGCCGTCTCGCCTGTAGCTTGTTCCTTCGGTAATCTACCCCTTCTGGTAAACAAGCTGTTCCCTTTCCAGTAGAAGGCCATGGTCTGATCGCCCGAGCTGACGAACGGATTCTCGCAGTCGGCAAAGACACTGTAGAATCCGACACCAAAAGCACCGATCTTTGTCTCATCAGGGTTACCCTCCGCAATTCTCTTCAGCCGTTGCCAGTCTGTTTCAGCAAAGGCTTGTCCATTGTTGGAGACGAGTAATCTCTGGAGTGTGTGATTGGTCAAGACGTGCTTGAGTTGGGCGGACGGGTCGCTGGCTGGTGGTACGGGGACGTTCGGCGAGGGTAGCGTTTCGAACTTGATGGAGACCTTTGTAGCCTGAGCATCGGCTGCATTCTGGATGAGCTCACGTAGCGTCGTCCATTCTCCCGAGTATCTGGCCAAGACTTTATCGATCAAGGCTCGAGTATTGACCGTCACCGCCTCCTCGTCTAGGCCAGAGCCCATGGTCTGTTCACGCAGACGCGCATAGTCGATGGATCCTGCCATCCCTGATATGTTCGGTGTATTTGGTGGCAAGTTACTGTATAAGCAGAGAGACCGGTGTCCAGCAGTGGCGAAGGCTTGGTTTGAGGAGTCGGTGTTGGGCGGTGGGGACGATGGGGCGAGTAGGGGCTAAGGAATTTGGATGTCTAGATTAGTAGGTGCTCGGATATGAGTCTCAAGATCAGGCAGACTCGAGTCCTGCGTGAATTCGAGGCAGACTCCCACATGGCTCCTTCCAGAAGAGCAACAAAGACATACGCCTTCCTCCATCATCCCTCCGGAATTAGCTGAAACAACACCCTAATCCCCGATGACGCTGGCCGCTCGCTCTTGCCAAGGGAGGGAGCCGAAGATTCTCCACCTACAAACTCTTCGAGTCGGCGTCGCTCGGTTCTCTTCTTTCTTTCTTCAACTCATTACCGGTTCTTATTGTAGGAGTATCCTTCGCGGAGTTCGCTTCGTTTCAAAGGTCTCTCCTCTACACATGTACCGCAGACAAATGCCACAGCGCCACAGCTGGAGCAAACAAGGGTTGAAGTCATTTGACCTGATGATGTTAATGTTCCTTACCGGTGGCCGCTACATACCACCACTTGAAGCTCGTCTGATCTGGACTGAGTAGCACCGTGATTTTGACTTACGTTACATGGCCTCTGCCGCCTCAAGCGGAGTGAACTGTTACATCCCGTCCAGGCTCGCTGTCCGGTCAATGGGAGCACCCAAGACAGGGTGCTCCCATTGACAGAGTATCTCGAGACATCAACTTGACTTATGTCCGCGCACGCTGCCCAATCGTGCTCCAAGTTCTACGATTTGCACCAACAACACTACTGATCATCACTCTCGATCTCATGTCTATCAGGTCTAGCCTTAAGTACGGTAAGACGTGTCGTGGACGTATATTCTGTCCAGATCTTGTGATGCACACGAGAAACACACCTGACGAACATGTCGCTGACTCGCTTCGAGACTCGGATCGATGGTTGCTGTCTGATGTTCGAAGGCTTGGTCGAACATGCTGCCGAGGGTCACGTTGTTCGACAATGAACACGAACAAGTATACCGTACGTACTCACTCCTGATATCGAATCGTTGAGCTAGTCGCAAGCCTGGGTACACTGGGCCGCGATGTTACCCAGATGCTTGCTACTTTTGTTGACTTCTGCGGTCTATCCCCGCTTGCAAATATGAACGTCACCTAATCTTACCGTACATTCATATTCAACCACGTGGAGTGCTTGCGTCGAGAGATGGTGGACCAACGTGCGGCCCATGACGTGGGGACCCCACATTCCTGGGGCTCGAGCAGATTTGTCTCCAACTGGTCTTTGTCGATCTTAGAACAACCTCTTCCAACATGACCTCGTGCTCGTATCACCGGTCTATTTCCTTACGTGCGCATAGATCCGTCAGCTGCACGAGCCTTGTGGTTGGCCTCTATTAACTTGTCCGTGGAGCCGAATGTTCGAAATGCCGTCATCATAATTGGATGGCTCTCGACAATTCAGAGCGTTCATCTTGTCGACTTTCGAGAGCAGAGTCGAGTGACTGCGAACAAGGCGGATATTGTTCAGGTTTCTGTTCGCAAGCACTAGATCAGGATAGTCCGTCTCACGCTACATAACAAAGTCGCATCCCAATGGACGAATAAGCAGCAAGATTATACTGTTCTGGTACCACTTGTTGCAAGCCCAACTTCCAAGCCACCGGACTGTTGCTGATCTTCCGCCGGCACCCTGCGCATGCTACCTTACCCTGTCCGATCCGCAACAACCTTAATCATGAGTAATAAATTCCTGCCCTCACCCCTAAATCATGATCGGCAAGGTCTCGGGACTTTCTTCACAGGATGATCGCTGGGTTGATCGACTTTATCCTCTGGCCGCTGCAGACATTCCTCCGGTACGGAGGATACCAACTGCCCAGCGCCTTGGCTCCGTCAGCCATGCTGTTAAGCAACCAGTCAGAGCCTCCTAACTACAGCGCATAGTGACAATCTTATTTCCAAAACGTCGTTGCATCTTGAGGAGACGACCATAGGGTCAACGGGTGTGCCTGCATGCCGCCCGCAAGTACTGCCACCAACTACTTTCAGACGTCATACAACAGAAAAAATTACCTGTCAGGAATGGACAGAAGGATCTTTGCTCATGTTGCACCGCCCCTTACTCGTTGGAGTCGAAGTATACAGATGTAGGAACGCCAAGATGACGATGGAGGCTGCAAAGGAAGTATGTTGTTGGTCAAGTGATTGCACATCGCTACGGCCGTGTGTTGTTATTGCCAGCCTCGGTGGGCGGCAATACGTGATGTGAGTAATGAGAATTGATGTGGTAAGTCTATGATGAGCAGTATGGATGCAGATTAATCTGTATAAAGGTCGCCGTCCTCTACACAGTCTGGTCGGATATATCCATATTACACCTACCTTCCTCAAGACGGCATACTTATCCTTGCACATCTCATTCTTATCTTGTCATACACACATCGCGTAGAGGAATTCCTGTACTTTACTCAACATGTTGAGCACAACCCTTAGTCTCTTGGCCACAGCACTACTAGCATCTGGTGCTCCAGTCGATAAGCGCTCGACCAGCGGTGCTGTCATAACAGTAGACTTTCCCGATCCGGCGCTTGTTACTGCAAACAACCAATGGTACGCCTTTGGTACACAATCAGTCTATGACAACAAGAACATCCATATACAGGTTGCTTCATCTTCAGACTTCAATTCATGGTCTCTACATAACGGACAAGATGCTTTGCCAAACTTGCCGGGCTGGGTTGATCAGAGTAATCCTCTAGTCTGGGCCCCAGACATTATGCACTTGGTGAGTCCCCCAGACCTATAATTGTCGAGAAGAGCTTCTCGCTAACGCAAGAACAGGACGATGGAACCTTTGTGATGTACTTCAGTGCCACGACCAACACTGGTGGCGATGGAAACTACCACTGCATTGGCACAGCCACCAGCTCCACTGTAGAAGGCCCCTACAGCCCATCTCTAGATCCCTGGTACTGCCCCGTCGACCAGGGAGGCGCAATCGACGCCGCTGGTTTCCGAGATGCAGATGGAACTTGGTACATAACCTACAAGATCGATGGCAACGCAAAGGGCAACGGTGGAATCTGCAATAATGGCAACGCTCCCATCGTCAACACACCCATCATGATTCAAAAGGTGGCCTCGGACGGCATCACCAAACAAGGCAGCCCAACCAGCATCATGAACCTCCAAAGCTCTGATGGTCCGGATATCGAGGCTCCTGCTATGATCAGAAAAGGAAACACATATATTCTCATGTTCAGCTCTCACTGCTACAGCACGGACAGCTACAATACCTTGTATGCGACTAGCGAATCACCCACTGGAGGCTTTGTCCGCAGAGGAAGTCTCCTTGGAGGTGGAAGAGGAGGGTTGGATGCTTCTTTGGATGCGACCGATGTTGCTTTCCATGGTCTACAGGGCGATGGCCGCAGATACATGTATACTGGTATCCTCAACATTGACGGCAACTCGGTGACCTTGTAGATGGCGAGAAGAGACTCGACGAGCTACGATTTACGACATGATTTACGATGGAAGGTGCATTTGCTTTGGAAGTCGTGATGGTCTGGACGATCTATGTAAAGTACGAGATTTGTGTTTTGTAGCATTAGCAACATGACTTGAGGTTGCTCACTCTACGCAACTGTTCCCGATGTTCTCGCGAGGTAGTTGACAGAAAGTGAAAGTTGTGGTCTTGGGGGGTAAGACACGGGAAGAACCCTGGAAGTTACTCGAGCCTCGAGGTTGTTTACCCGGAAATTTCCTCCTTGGGAAAACTTTTTTCTTTTCTCACCTTCTCATACCCACAACCTTCACGGCGCGACATCGTGCACTCCACCGCCTGAGATGCCACACACCGTGATCGTTTGTTCAAGCACATGCGTTACTCGACTACGAGGATCGCGAGACCTTACATCCGCAGCGCCAGCCGCGCGCGTTTACCAACAATGCGCCCATCAACTGCGGGCTTCATATACCACAGTTTTCACGCCCCTTCCAACCAAATATATCAAGGCGCTTTGGCGGAGTGGTTAACGCGATGCCCTGCTATTGTCTAACGGCAAAGCCTAGGCATTTCCTTCGGGAGCGTGTGTTCGAATCACACAGGCGTCGTCTCATTTTGCTCTTTTTTAGCACCGTAGAAGATATAGAATGTGTTCCTTCTGCTATCAAAATGATGCTCAAGAGGTAAAGCTCTATATTGGTGGAGTTGTGGTGATTTTTGGTGGTTGGGAGGGTTAGCTGGGGTGGGTGAGCTTTGACCACAAGGATGCTGGGCGGCCGCGGTCTGTGCTTATCCACGGCGGGCTGTCGTCCATGGCAGGTGTGACTCCGCGGTAGAGTTTGGTTCTTGCGATATCGCAATTGATGGACGTGAGTATGGAACAGAGTATGGAATTATTGCAAACGGTAAGCTTCTAGGGACCTCTTTTCACCATGGTAATCCTGTATGCTCGCACAAATTCTAAGCTCCTACTTGACCATTCCAAGGGCGACAAAGAACATGCGATCAATGACTAGAGGAGACAGACTATTGTCAACTGCTCCATCACTAGTTGAAGAGGCATCTTCGGTCAGCCAGTTTAGCAAGACACAGAGTTTCGTGTAGCTATGTGACTAGATGAGATGATGTGGACTACAAGCACTCCACTCATTCGGCCTGAGGGGTATGAGAAATCTCGCTCGACATAAGAGTGACAAACTCCAGCGTGCAGCATGGTCTTTCCAATACTCAAGGAGTGATAGACAACGCCGCGGTATGATCGCCGGAAGAATAGAAGAGTAAGAACCGCAAAGGTATAGAGATATAGTGGAGAAGAAAAACTCGTTTGCATAAGGATGAATCAATCCGTTCAGATCCCCTAAAAGGCACAATCATTTCCCCTAATCGAAATATCCGTGTTTCGCAATGCTCCGTCTAACCTGTTAGAAGCATATGCAACAATAAACGCCTTTGCCCCATTGTTTGATACCCCCATCCCTTTGAAAGATACTCCGGTTTGCCCCCATAAGATAAGAAGAAAATAAGAAATAGTTCGTTGTACAAGGGAAAAGAGGGAGGGCTCCGTCAATTCCCTAAATCATTGCATATCATCCTCAGCCCTCTTGAGCTGGAAGTTTGGTTGCTCATAGAACCATTCTGTCTTCTTGTCCCACTTGTAGGCTTTGAAGTCTACACCGTAGGGCTTGGGCTCGAGACAGTATAGCATGCCGATGGGGACGTCCAAGTCAGCGACTTCTTCTCTTTTCAAGCCGCGGAAGTATGCGAGCAAGACACGTGCGACACTGCGGTGTCCGACAAGCAAGCAGTGGTCTTCCATGCGTTCAAGCTCGACGATGACGGGACGTAGGCGGTTGATAATGTCAAGGTAGCCCTCGCCACCTGGTCCGGGGTAGCGGTAGTGTAGCTTGTCCTTCTTGCGGAGGGCGTATTCTGCAGGATGTGCTTCTGCGATGGAGGAGTATGTGAGACCTTCCATGATACCGGCGTTGAGTTCGTCCAGCATGCGCATCTGCTTCGAGTCGTACTCTTCGTCGTCGAAGAACTGTGCGGTTTGGATACTACGCTTGAGCATGGATGTCCACACACAGAAGGACTTTTGAGGAAGCTCGTTGTTGTCGTTGGGCTGGTAGTGGGGGTTGGGAGGAGTGGTGTCTCCAGGTTGAGGAGGGAAGTGCGAGTGGGTGAGCTTGTGAAGCTGCTTCATGTCCCATTCTCTACGAGCGTGCTCGATGAATTTGGTGAGAGTCTTAGCGTACTGAATGCCCTCGCTACTGAGGTCAGAGTCTCCACCGATCTTGCCAGATACGTTGTCCATAGACAGACCATGTCGCGTGATCCAGATCATGCGTGGCGCAAGGTTGAAGTTGAGTAGGTAGTAGTTGGCTTGGGCAGAGAGGAAGCCACGGATTTGATGTGAGATGACTTTGCGACCGACATCAATCATTTGAATGTATGGCATGTTGTTCTTCTCCTCGTACTCGCCTAGAGGGACATATGCTTTTTCGTAGATGGCGACACGCTTCTTGAAGTCCTCGAGGGCAGCAACAGGATCTTGATCCTTGTAGTCAGGCCCTGAAAGCTTGAGGCGCATGTTGGACTCGAGCAAGTTCTCGTCAACGCAGCGACTCTCAAGGAAGAGAACGTTGAGCTCGGTGCCGGCTCTCTCGCGGATTCTCTTCATGATGACCTTTCTGCGCTCAAGTGTGCTGTTCGTGGCGTCCAGAATACCGACAGAACCGTTGCCCTCGAGAATGTAGTCAAGGAGTTCGTCCAAAGTGTCCATGGCGCATTGTTCACGAATCAAGGCAGCTCTCTTGTTTGAAGGGTCGAAGAAGTTTGCCGACTGGTCCATTGAATCCATGTCGGCGGGCATCTCAGGTGTCGATACCTTGGTCAGTTCAACACCCTCTGTACCGTCGTTGACGCTCTCGGCCACGCCATCCTCGGTCGCGGAAGCGTTGTCGCCTGCAGGCGGGAGCTGAATAGTGGGCATTGTGAGTCTGCGTCGGTCGGCTGAGGAGTCTTGTTTGTCGCTGCTGCTGTGGCCGTCACTGTGCGCTTGGATCTGGCCGGCAAGACCAGAAGATCCAAATTGTGTTTTCGCGTCGACAATACCATTGAGACTGGCCAGACTAGGGCGATGCTCGGTTGGCAGGAAGGACGGACGGTGTGCGTGGCTCTTTGTCTTCTCGAGAGTATTTGGGCCTCCTGCGGCGACACGTCGCCTCTCTCCTACGTTGAAGATGCGTGTGTCGTGTTGTAGCCAGTTCAAGTATCTGGCCAGCTTCTTTGTGATGTAACTCTTTCCTCGAGCGGGCAGGCCGACCATGACAATGACCAGCTTGGCGCCGACATCTCTCTTAGCGATCCTGCCATCGGGAGACACCTTCGATTTGGTGAGGCCGGGAATGTCGAGGGTTGTTGGGCGTACGCGCGGGGTGCTGGAGCCCGAGTTCTGTCTTACGGGCAGCAGTCTCGGACTGTTCGGGGCTGTGCCATCGGGAGTGTCGTTCAAGGCGCCAGTACTGGCAGCACCAACGGCGGATGCTGTGCGGTTTGTGGGTGGAGGGCGGAAGGGTTGGATCTCTGGAGTTTGCGAGCCCTTCTTGTTGGCAGCGTTGCCCAGACTGTGGTTGAGGCTGCTCTTCAGGTCCTTGTGCGTGTTCTCGTCGATGCTGCGGCGCTGTTGTTCTTGCACGTTGCTCATCATAACAGACTTTGCAATGTCGCTCTGTTGGCTCTGGCGACGAATGTGGAAGGGGAGGGTGGACGAGGTGGAAGAAGCTGCTAGGATTTCGGACGGTTCGCAGATGAGTGGCATGCTGAGAAAAAGAGGGTCCAGCCGAATTTCCCACCACGGAGTCGGACTCGGCCCTATGACGTTCCCACTCGACTATCGTTCTCGCTTTAGCCTGCTATTTCGCTCCGAGAGCGGCCTCGACCCAAGATGCGATAGGCGAAGCGAATCCTTGACTGTCGGGAATGTATAATTGCTAGGTAATCCGTGTCGTCGTGAGTGGTGTAGTGAAGCTGCGTGAGGATTTGCGACGAAGTTGCGCAGGATTGTCTTCGAAGTTGATGAGAAGAGCCTGGATTCGGTGTGACCAAGACAGGATATTATGACTGTGTTGGCGTGTGAATCATGAATAACTTCAAAGGCCGCGTTAGGATTAAGGTTGCCTCGCAGAACGTGTCGCAGTAATCTTCTTTTCTTCCACGGCTCGCCAAAAGAACTTCCGGTACAAAATGTACCAGTTTCTGGCGCTCCCTGGTTGATCACAAGCAAGTCAGAGGCAGGTGCTTTGTGCGGAAGGCGTAAATGGCCTGGCTGTGACTTTTCTGCGTAGGTACTTGAGTTGCGCCGAAGAGGTTGCTGAAGTCAGGAGATGGTGAACATCAATCAAGTTTATCAATCACGGGCAGCAGCTGACTGATGATAACATATGCGACAAGACTGAACAGGGCCGAATAGACCGTTGCCCTCCTTTGCTATCTCAAGGCTGCCAGCGTCAGAATATATCGACAAGGGAGGGCCAATCGAACTGCGGATGCATGCCACGCCGACCGGCTGCGTCTCGCCCACCCTTTTGGAAACTTGTTGAGATGAAAGACAAGAAATTATCATCGTCCCTGTCTCGCGTCGAACCATCTTCCTGCCCAGACACCCGCCCAGCTCCTCACTTCCCATCTCTTTGCTTTGCCCGTGTTTTGATTTCATTCGCAATCCTTGAATCTCCTCTCCACAGCTGTCAATACCGACCCTATCGGCACCCCCGTCCAACTCCGCCTTCGGACCCCGCCAACGCCCGCTTGCGGCTGCATTGCCTCTCGAAGCTCAGCGCCAATTATATCCCCCCCACGTTTATCCACTGAGTGACCGAAGGACCCGGAAAGCGCTTGTGTGCTTCTTGTCTGCTCTGTACTGCGCGGTGCTTGACCAGAGTGCTCTAAAGCATTCTTGCGTTGACACGAATAAGGAAAGCCGACGGTCGAACTTGGTATTCTTCCCGGTTAATGTAGGACCCGATTCGTGCGAGGTTATGGAGAGCGCGTGGCTCGAACCTCATACCAGCTAGCCTTTTGCCTAGAAATGTCACAAGGTACAGTACTTCGGGGGTAGCAATCCGTCAGAAGTTGAAGAGCAAATCTGCAACGGGCCTCCACTGAAGATCCGAACAGGGTGACAAGACTGCGAAGTACAAGTCTTCGATGCTCTTCAACAAACAAGCAAATCCGAACATCATGGTCATGCAGACATAGTTCATACATCATGATGCTGCTCTATCAAAGGGTCTCTGTCTGTTCGTCCGACATTCTAAGCCTTCTATTATAATCTCAGAGTCAGCACCAGCAAACAAATATAACTAGCAATGCTCAATGCAGTCAAAACCACCACAACATTCCCACTCGTCCTGAACCTCTTCCTCCTCAACCCATCCTCACCAATCTCTGAGAAAAACTGCCTATTGCCTTGCATCCTTCTAAACGCACTCACCCCCAAAACACCTGCCCCATAAATAGCAAACAGCGCTCCAATACTATAAAATTCTGCCGTAAAGATCTTGAGTACCACAAGCGCAAAAGAGAATTGTCCCAATGATGTTCGTATGTACGCGCCTTCGAAAGTGCGTTGTGCAGCGCGTATTTCTACCAATTCGGTGTTTGTGAGGATTACTGAGCGTGCGCGATGGAGGCGGAGATGATAGCGGTCTGCCGCATGTCGTGTCTGTTTTGCAAAACAATTCGTGATGAGTCGTTGGCTTGACACAGCCTTGAATAGACAGCCTGGAAATTTACCTCGAACATGATTTGTCGTTTGACTGCGCCGTTGAGGTGTGGTTGAGCAGGTTGCTTTGTGCTGCTGCAACCCGTGAGACGGTTGTTGCTGATGCAGCCAGTTCTTTTCGAAGGTCGTACGACAAGATTATGGTGAGAATGCGGCTACATGGATGACAAACTTGCAGGTCAAGTGTGCCAATGATATGACAACAGCACGTTGAGGTGGATGCGAAAGATGGCATGGTCAGCCGGATCGAACTTGTGCTAGAGCAAAAGTGGTCCAAGCTTCGAGGTCGCGCTCTCTTCGTGCGACTTGACTTGAATTACGACATCCATCATCAGTGTAGCAGGAACTTGTTCAAAAGACAGAGGGCGTCATGTCGGAAGAAGCTATATAACATACGGCTAAGCTTCAGATTGCAGATCAGACCATTTACTACGTCCTTGTGCAATCTGACAAAAGGTAGGAACAAGTGTATGCACCAAACATTGGACTCTCTTTTCCTGTCTCTCCTCGATATTACACATTAACAAACCCTTCTCGACGTACTCGAGAGTGTCGGCCACGAATATCATATCCTTCTGTAGAAGCGGATTCACCAAACACTTGTTTAGATGCAGCTGGGTTGCTTCTTCGACGACGTCTAAATCATGTTCTAGATGTCCTTCAAATCGACAACAATAATCCTCGACAGGTTGTGAGGGGAACGGCTGTACTTTTTGGACCAGTCCACCCGAGTCGATACCCTTGATAGCGTAGAAGGCTATATAGAAGCCAGTACCCGGTGTCTTCGTAGGAGCACCATCTGCGAACGTTTCACCTATACTAAGATCAGGGAGGTACTCACACTAGCAGACCATGCAGCTTACCTGACCAAGGCTCAGGTTCCTCTGTGATCTCGTAACTCTCCTTTATCTCAAACCAATCTGTGTTTGCGATTTGCAGGTTGACGAGTACGAGACCAGAATCCCCGACCTTAATCCAGAACAGATCTGGTTTGCATTCCAGGTCATCGTCATCTAGAGTGACCATCACGACGCCACTCTTCTTCCAGTCTTCATTTGCGACCACGATGATATATCGAGGGTCAAGGTGTTCGGCTTCACAGACAACGACATGGTGACTGATGATTTCATTGAGCGAACCGCTTTCAAAGGCGGTCCGGGTCCTGCATTGAACATAGTCATCCCTTAGGCATTCGGAGTTGCATGCTTTGATGATCTCGTCAAGGTCGTGTGTGCAGTCAACTAAGAAGTAGAGAGCGAATGGGTCCAATGTCATTGGTCTGGTGTGATGGCGCGCCATCTGCGGCACGCTTTCGGGCAGAGTCAGATCAACTTTTGCCATTATTGTATAGAAACCTTGGTCTTGTCGGATAATCACATCGTCGCAGTGGTCACCTCAATGATTGCTGTCTATGTTCTGATACTGCCAAGCCAAATCCTTCATGACGATTTGAGCAGCTGGCCGCGGAGCTGCGTCGACGTTGCAAACCAGAAAGACGATGGAAACATTTTCTTTGCTGGATGTCTTCATCTTAGCGCTTGCAAGACGCATCGAAACGCCATTCTTTAAACAAGTACTCTGCCCAGTGTGCTCTGAATACAACGCGTGTGAAGCTGCATACACTCGCTTTCTTCGAACATAACCACGATTAACGGAGCTTCCCATGAGAATCGGCTACGAAACAAGTTCCTATCGGAAAGGTCTTCTTGGTAGAATTGCGACATGTTATAGCTCATGAAGCCTCTCCAGATTCTTGTAAGCGATAAGTGTATCAGATTGATTAATTGATGCGCGTTGTTTCTGCCACATACCGCCTTCTGGCCTCACGACGCGATCAACAACATACAGAGGCCGTCGATTTTCTACCCATACGAAGAGACGAGACGAAACGAGACGAGACGAGATGAGACTCCGGAACCATGATTAGCTCTAATCTGACTTTCTGCCTCCGGAGATCCTTGGAATACTTCTTGCCTCCTTCGACCGAGGAACCGAACATGGGGTCTCATCCATCTTGAATCTCCGAAAGACATGCAAGATTCTAGAACATCATTATCTTAGGATGTTCTTTGACCATCTTCGACTCCGGGTGATCAATCCTGAGGACGAGAGACATATGCGTGACATGGAAACGATCTCCCTCTATGAATCGCGTGGTTCCGTGGAGTACGACTACCTTAAGCAGTGCCTGCATTTCATGAATATCACCACTTCCTCCCGGGACGGACTCAGAGACTGTTTCGAGTTGGTCGAATGCATAGACATCTTCATCTGTGCTTGTGGGATCGACATCGATGCGCTGCGGCATTTGCTGAGCGACACGTACGAGAATGGCTACTCACTATGCGGCCTAACGATCGTGAATACAAGAATGTTTTATGGGAGCGCTGTTGATGATGGCTTGCTCGCCAAAGCTGGCCCACGTTCGCTGATCAGCGCTATCAACTCATCTGTACACAAACTTGAGTACATTCGCCTAGCAAACATTGATTATCATGATGAGGACGTGCAGTGGCCTACCCATGAGGAATATGGAGGGCTCGTCTTCAGAAAGAAGGATGAGATGCAAGGTATCCTAAGTGCGCTTCATGATAGCTTACCAGAGGAAGATCAATCCGCATTCCAGGCTCGAGCTCCCACAGTGCAATCTCTCGAAGATGAGGACGAGGATAGCAATTACAGCGATACTGAGGCAAGAAGGTGGAGTGACATCGCCGATCTCTTGCACGAAAATGGAATGCTTTGGACAGATCACGCAGGGACCGGACATCCCAAACTTCAAGTTCGTGAGTTTCTCACTGTGCCATGGACATTACTTCCTCGTTTCAACCAGCGTACACAGAGTCTCGGTTTGCAAAGGGCTAAAGAACAAAGACAACTAGTAATTAGTGTTACTTGCTAGTAATCATTCAAAGCTTCGCTTGTCGCTTCTCACGCAAGACCGTGCTATCCGTCCTCACACCCTCATCATCCTGCTCTTCAACAGTAAGATCCGGAAAGTCTTTCGGCATGATCCTCCTCGGTACAGCGCCAGGCACAAGACTATACTTGCCAAAATCCGCCACACCCTTGAAGTCCCTCAGGAAATCTTCATCCGTAGTCAACAACCCAGTAACATTCCCCGTCTTCTCCTCCAGCATTCCCAAGATAGCATCCGAAAACACCGTCGCCTTTCTCAGATCATTCCTCTTATCCATATCCGCCGCCACAGCTTCCCCAGTAGCCGCACTTTCAATAGCCACAGCAGGCCATATCCCCGTGATACTCATATCTTTCTTTCCTTCTCTTATCCAATCCATAGATAGACCTTTTACCAATACACTCATACCCACTTTACCCACAGCATAGGCTGTCTTGCCTCTGAAGAATCTGCTGTAAATAGGAGGGCAAACAACAATGACCCTACCCTTCCAGGCACCCTTTTCGAAAAGTGGAAAAGAGGCTTGGATGCTGGAGTATAAGCCTTCAATATTGACTTCTTGCATGAGTTTGAACCTCTTTACAGGTGTTTTGGCGACGGAAGACCACCAGATTGCTCCAGAGTTGTAGACCAAAACATCCAGGCGTCCAAATTCTGCTGCAACTTTCTGAAAGAGAGCATTGACAGAGTCTTCAGAGCGTGTGTTTACAGGAACGGGTATTGCTGTGCCGCCTAGGAGGTGGATTTCTTTGGCTACGGTGTTGATAGTGCTGTTGGAAGAGTTTGGATCGGGAGGGAAGGAAATCAGAGTTGAGGGATCTGAGGTTGTTTTCGCGGCGACGATGACTTGTCGCTTGTTAGTATGCCTTATGGATGTATTCTGAGGTGGGATGGTTTGAATTGCCTGTGTATCCTTTTTCGGCCAATGCAATTGCTATCTGCCTTCCCATGCCGCGGGAAGCTCCAACAACCACTGCTACTGATCTTGTGTTTGTACTTGCCATTGCGATGTGTGATAGATTTGAGCTTTGATGAGACGTTCACGAGGTGTCTATGATTGCATTTATCAAGGTAGAGATGGCATGTGTCAGTGCTTATGGTTGTGCAGGACCGAGGCATGACGAATGCGGGGTGGAGTCCGTTGCTCAAAGGCTTCTTCTTTTGTTAGGCGGAGTAATCATGTTGAGTCAACAACTGTATATTGTTGACCGAACACTTGACGGAGACCGAGGAACACTTCTCAGACGCCTTGATGATGGTCATATGTGCTTCAGTCTCAAGACACTCGAGATCATCAGCACATATATTCGAAGGAGAGAGCCAAGGTGAGTATGCCAAAGGTAAGTCATATTAACAAGTTTGATTTGAGCGATTTGCAAGGGCTTTTGAGTATGTTAAAGCCGTCCTCACGATACCAGGTTCAGTGTGAAAGACATTCATCAACCTGAAAGCTGGACCCACTTATCGAATATATGAGCCTTCCATCGAGTATGACGGTCAAAAATCAACAACTCTCCAACCTGGGACGGAATTGATTTCGAACGCCAAACTGGACCTTCTTTTGCAGACAGCCTACAGCCTCTTCCCGGACCATCTCCCTATCCATGTTATCGCATGTCTGGCTCTCACAGCCAAAGACTTGTATCATCGCAATCATCATCTAAACTGGATCTGGAAAAGTCACTTTTCGAATAGAAACGAACTAACAGAGGATGCATATCTCAAGGTCATTCGCCCAGATATCTCTGGTGTCGAGCGACTTGAGATGCTCGAGGCTCTCCTCAAGGAGCGTCCCTATCTAGAAATCTGCGACTATTGTCAGAAATGTATCTCGTCGGGAGCCGTTCAAATTGGACTCGCTACTTTCCTTCTTCTGGGCTTTCTACGAAAACGTGAGGTACTCCTGTCATCCTTTCAAGTTCTCGGATCTACCGCTGGGATTGGAATTTACTCACTGGTCCACACATATAACTTTCGAGCATTTTCGACAAGTCATGTATCGTCGCCGATTTGGTGGAGAGTACGGCGTGGCTTCAAAGACCGTCTCAGTCGACAGGGACTGAAGATTCGGTAAACGTGTCAAGATACATCGTAGGCCATGTCGTACGGGTTGTTTTACAGCTTGTCCCGCAGCGTGTCGCACGGTCTGGCTGGAGAAGCTTGACATCGAGCCTTTGTTCGCAGGTCGCAATCTGATTCTACATGTTACCCAGCGCATCCTGCTCGGTCGCAAGTACATGATCTCTTTGTCGTCCAGAGGATTCAAGAGGTCGAGTGTTATCGGTGCTCTGATTGCCACGCTGCAGGCTTGTCACTGCGGCAACCCATTGAACGATAGACGGCTCCGAACAGACGCAGAGATGCGCATGATGTTGCTTGTTGGTCTTCTATGCTTGGGAAATGTGATTTACAGGTCGTGGTTGCTTTGGGGCAAGTTCCAGCTGCGATCAGAGTCTACGAGTAAAGCAGGATAGACTTGTGACATTTGCGGTGTATATGTTTATCGATAGAAACACTACTACCCTTCAGCGGACTCCTATAGATGGTACGACGGTATGATTGCACCACAATCCTTGGCTTCTTTCTATTGCGATATGCAAACATCGATTGTGTGAGAGGAGCTGTTTGTCAGAGTGATGAAGGTTGGAAGGTCCTCAAATGGCAACTGGTGCATCGGCGTTAAACCCCCTGGACGGAAACAAGGATTCGAAGCTCGCCCCGCCAAAAATGGGGGCAGGCGCGAAGCAGCATGACGATCAGGGACAGGGCGAAACGTGTTGTTTGAGGTTTCTCCTTCTTCCGCTTCCACGACACTTCTAAAGGTCGCAAACATGGCACCTTGGTTCTTATCGGCGGCTGTGACATTGTTGCAGCTCTTGCCTGAGACGGCGACTGCTCAAGATGTTGCTTCGCCATTCACAAAGGCTTCCAATGATTCGCTTCTTTGGGGCCCATACCGACCAAACTTGTATTTTGGCGTGAGGCCGAGATTGCCCAAGAGTGTGCTCACGGGTTTGCTGTGGGCAAAGGTCGAGGACTTTGCCTCTGTTCAGAACAGTATGTATCTTGTCGGACACAATTGACGTTAGATTGTGGCTAATGGTGGTGTGCAGACTTCCGTTACACATGCGAGCAACACGAAGGCATGGCTGGCTACGGCTGGGATGCATACGACCCGAGGACTGGTGGATCGCAGACCATCCACGATGCCGGTAACCAAATCGACATCACGACCGACTTTGTCAAGTTCCCCGAGCATGGCTCTAATGGAGGATCATGGGGTGCAAGAATAAGGGGCGTACCGAGAGAAGACGCTGCAGATGATCTCAAGACAACCATGGTCTTCAACATTGGCCTCGAGGGTCTGGGAAGTCTGGTCGTCGACAACGCCGAGGAGGACGACAACGAGAACGGCTTTGACGGAGACGTCGTAATTGCTGGAGAGACTCCTGAGCTGGGCACCTTTACTTTCACTGTTGTGGATCGCAAGGGAGAGAAACCCAGCCATATCCATCCTTCGTTCCAGGACAAGCCCATCGACAAGACTCTGGTGCACAGCGTACAGATTCCCGATGCTGCTCTGTGGCAGGCCAAGCGTACGTTCGACTTGCATAGTATCAGGCTCAGAAGCTAACTTCCGACAGCCGTGCTATTCACCTCGATGAAGACCACCCTCGACAAGTACATCGAAACGTACACGGCCGAAGCCATGCCTCCCCCGATGCAAGCCTTCACCATTCCCAACCTCCCCGGAGCTGGCAACATGCACTTTGTGCAGAAGGTCTTCGAAGGCGCTTTCGAATTCGACGTCATCTTCTCCTCTGGCTCCGCTTCTGAGCCCATCAAGTCGGCCGATTTGTCCGAGAAGATCGAGACAACCATCAAGTCCTTCTCCGAGCGCTTCATCCAGTCCTTCAAGCCCCAGAAGCCGTTCAGCGACAAGAAATATCTTGGTCTGGCCAAGTCGCTCTTCTCGAACCTGATTGGTGGCATTGGTTACTTCCACGGTGATGCAGTCGTCGATCGTTCATACGCAACCGAGTACGACGAGGAAAACGAAGGCTTTTGGCAGGAGACTGCAGAAGCAAGAGCAAGGAACCAACAAAAGCTGGAAGGTCCCTTTGAACTTTTCACCGGTACTCCTTCAAGGCCATTCTTCCCTCGTGGTTTTCTCTGGGATGAGGGCTTCCACTTGCTGCCCGTCATTGACTGGGATGTCGATCTCACTCTCCAGATCATCAAGAGTTGGTTCAACTTGATGGATGATGACGGTTGGATTGGTCGCGAACAAATCTTGGGTCCCGAAGCACGCAGCAAGGTACCTCAGGAGTTCCAGACTCAATACCCTCACTACGCCAATCCTCCTACTTTGTTCTTCGTCATCCACTCTTTCCTCGACAAGATTGCCGCAGCCAAGGCTGGCCAGCAGGTTCTTGGCTCGGAGAACGCTAACGGTGTTCTCGCCAACCCTGATGCCGCTTTGCAATATCTTCGCGATCTCTACCCTCTTCTCAAGAGACATTACGAGTGGTTCCGCAAGACTCAGGCCGGTGACCTCAAGTCTTATGATCGCCCTGCTTTCTCAAAGAAGGAAGCCTACCGCTGGAGAGGAAGCACAAAGACACACCTGCTCACCTCAGGTCTAGATGACTACCCTCGTCCTCAGCCTCCTCACCCTGGTGAGCTCCACGTCGATCTGATGTCCTGGATGGGCATGATGACTCGCGCCATGAAGCGCATCTCCACCACCATCTCAGAGACCGACGACGCCGCCACCTATGCCAAGATCGAAACTGCCATCATCCGCAATTTAGACGACCTGCACTGGTCCGAGGACGAACAAGCATACTGTGATGCAACTGTTGATGAATACGAGGAAAACGCTCTGGTCTGCCACAAAGGTTACATCTCCCTCTCCCCCTTCTTCGCCGGCCTCATGGCACCCGACCACCCCCATCTAGGCGAAGTCCTCGACCTCATCGCATCACCCGACCATCTCTGGTCTCCCCACGGTATCCGCTCCCTCTCCCCTCAAGACGCCCTCTACGGCACAGAAGAAAACTACTGGCGCTCCCCCATCTGGCTACCCATAAACTACCTCGTCGTCAAGGAACTCTTCAACACTGCCTCTGCCCCTGGCCCTTATCAACAAAAGGCCAGCAAAATGTACACCGAGTTGCGAACAAATCTCGTGGATACGGTATTCAAGAGTTGGGAAAAGACGGGCTTTGCTTGGGAGCAATATAACCCCGGGACTGGCGAGGGACAACGTACGCAGCATTTCACTGGTTGGACTAGTTTGGTGGTCAAGATTATGGCTATGCCGGAGGTTCCGACCGTTTCGAAGAGTGCAGGTGCTGGACATGATGAATTGTAGAAGAAATCTTCCATGTACTGACCAGAAAGATAAGGCAGAGAAGCAAAAGAGGGATTTTGTAGATAGTATGCATTAGACGACGAAACTAGACGATCTTTTCTGTTCATCACTTCACCAATTGTGTCCAAAGAGTCTTTGCAGCCTTTCCACGCGCTCCATTTTATGCATTCGGGCGATAGCCCTCTGCTGGCTAATCATAGAAGTCACACGACGAACTAAATCAAGAGGAATTCGATGGAATAAAAAAAGCATAGCTTAGGGCACTACACTGCAACTAATAAAGAAAGGAAAAAGAAAAAGAAAGAAAAAGCCACTCAGCCCAGAAAGGAAAGATGTAAGAAAAGAAACTCCAAAAAAAAAACTCCAATAAGTCCTTCCCACGAACCCCCGCGTTCCTCATAGCCTCCCAAGTCCCATTTCGATCCCATCTGTGATAATTTCGTGCACCCATTCGGCGTCAAAGACCGCTCTGTAAGAGCCCGTATACTCGATATAAAAGGAAAAGAAAAGGAAGAAAGCAAAAAGAGAAGAAAAAGTGGAATAATGTCATGAATCCTCATTTCCTCCTTGTTGTCATCATCATATGCCTATGATTACCCTTCCATACCCTTCACACCCCTCGCCAGTACTACTTTTGAGATGGTGGTGGATGAGAAGAAGGAGTAGCAAACGGTCCTCCTTGAGTCATAGACTGCAGCGGAGGCAAAGTGTTGTTCAGCGCCATCCCATTCTGCAGTGGTTGCTGTTGATGCTGTGGAGGAGCTCCCCACATCATACCCTGAGTGCGGTAACCCATACCAGGACTAGGTGCCCTCGGTGTCTGAGTATCGCTTAACGGACTAGCCGTCGGGGCTTTGGGGCTCGGGTACGTAGCAGGAATGGAAAAGCCGTTTGGAGCACCGCCGGCTGTGGTAGTCGACATGCTGTAAGGATTAGACAGAGGTGGGAGTGTGGATTGTGCGTTTGCGGCATCTCTTAGCATGCGGTCGTATGCGCCCCAGCGATTAGAGACGTCTGGTTGACGAGCTTGTATGCCGATTTGCTGTTGGAACTCTTGCGGTGTTTGGTACGTAGGCTGTGGGCGATATGCGTTCTGAGGAGGGTATTGGGAGTGAGCGGCACGGTCATATGCGTGGTAGACTTGTGAAGGGGGAGTCCATTGGTTGTTTGGCGGACGAGCGGCGCTTGTTGTGGGTGACTGAGCTGTTGGCTCATTGCCAGCAGAATCGCGTCTGGCTTGTATCGCAGATTGAGCAGCAGGTCCATTCTTGTAAACCGAATCATTCATCTGATTACCATATGATCCCAAGAGAGCACGACCAGCACCTTGCGGCTGTGGGTATCCAGCACTCGTCTGTGGACTACCTGCGCTGGGCTTAGGCAGCTGAGGAGTGGTCCCATAAGGTTGCGTCTGGTAAGATTGCGAAGGGGGAGGTCCGCCCGACGTGCGGCGCACCTGTTGATGGAATTGCGAGTATTCACCAGGAATAGCAGCAGGCAAGGTCCTCGATGAATAGTAGCCTTCTGAGAAAGGACGAAGGGGCGTGGGAGAAGAACGCGTTGGATCGCTGTGCTGTTGACGAAGAGGAGGAATTGGCTGAGAGTATTGTCCTGTAGCAAACGATGCTCGTCTGGGGTCAGCTTGTTGCATGAACTGTTGCTGAGACGCCAATGCGCGTTGATCAATATTGTAGCCCCCTACAGGGTAAGCAGGTGTTTTAGGCTTGTAGATGTATGGCCGCTCACTGTTGTGTGTTTGCACGGGGATAGGTCGTGAGACTTGCGGCATGGTGTAGCCCCCGGTGTAGCCACCAGCGTACGATGGAGCCACAGGTCTGAAAGATCTGGCAGGCTTGACGCGCTCCATGAAGTCACCCTTAAAGACATGATTCTGTCCCTTAGGGTCGTCAGTAAATCTGCCTTTGGCCTCGGTCGACTTCTTCGGCAGATAATAGTAGAGCTGGTCAGCTTTGTTGAGATCAATCTTGACCTGATCAGGATTCTTGATGCTGGCTGTGCTATAGCCTTGGGGAGGGATTTGCAGGTTACGGAACTCTGCCCATTTGTAAGTCGCATCTTCGTGGAACGTACTGTCCGAGATCGGGACACCATCTTGGCGATTCTCGATGGAGACGGATTGCTTGCTCATACCCTCAGGCATGGGTAGGGCCTTGGCGGATGGCTTCGGACGTAGAGAGTCGATGGGATCTAATACCGCAATCCATTTCCACTCAATCTCAATTTGATCTCCAGAAGGCAGAATGTTGATTAGGACTGTTGCTTCACCAGAACGGTTCTCTTCAACTACACCAGCGAAAATATCGCCGCCTAACAATTGAGCCTGGATGGCATCACCTCGCTTGAGAGATCTGGCGAAGTTATTGATGAGCTTGTTGCCTTCCAGACCATCAATATTCAAGTGCTTTGCACGCTTGGGGCGATGGAAACGGCATCGCAGATCAAAGCCTTCTTCGAAATACTCAGTTCCATCCTCGCCAAAGGTTGGCACCGGACCAACGTCGACTTGCACACCAGCAGGAAGTGCGCAAGTTGCGTGGTAAGCTCGTGTACACTTCTTGGCTGAACACTGGAAACAAGCACCACGCTTGGAGCGACAAAAGTTGCACTTGAGATCAAGACGTGCCTTGTCAATACCGGCGACACCGAATATCTTCTCACTGCCGTCCTCGCTGTTGATAAAGGTCTCCGGAGTGTAAAGTGCGCAGCAGCGATGCGCTTGCTGTCCGTTGTCGGTAGGTAACAGTGGTTCGTTGGGAGGATCGTTCGGGCAGAGGACACAGGGCTCTCTATGAGGAACCTTGATGAGGATCCTGATACGCTTCTTCTTCTTTCCGGCATCCTTCTCTTTGGGATCACGCTTACGCTTGCGAGCTTGCGACTGTGGCTTGCCTGCAACGCTGGCAGGAGGGCTAGGGAGGTCGTTCGCAGCATCTAGATCCATGTCGTCTTCATCATCCTCGTCAGTCTCTTCGTAATACTCAGGGGTGGGTTCACCTCTGAGTTTGCGCTCAATTTCTCCAACATCGACCCAGACACTGTCAGCCTCGCATTCGCATTTCTTTGCAATACGACCATAATCGAGCCAGGATTCAGTAGCGAAGTTGACAGACTCGGCGCAATTGTATCCGACATTGTATCCAGAATGGTAACCATAGGGGTATGTGATGACAAATTCGCCTTCGTAATGGACAAGCTTGTTGACCTTGATGCCGAACTGCTTTTGCAAAATCTCTGGAGAGATGAGATATGTCTTGTGGCGCAAGAACTGGTCACAAGCCTTCGAGTCGTTGGGCCAGATGCTCTTCATGGCCTTTTCGAACTTTCTGGCATCCTCCTGTGAGATGCTGTACCATTGTTTGGGCGCACCGAAGTGAATGTAGTTGATGCTGTAAAGATCGACGTCTTCCAGATGCCAGGCGAAGGTTGCTTTCCACATTCCCATGTACAAGTAGGCAGTATTGACACCAGGAACCTTTGTTCCGAGCACGTCAAGCAAGTTGGGCAGCTTTGCGACGTTCCAGATATCGCACTCGTCCTTGAACAGAGAACCAGGCATATCAGCGGCGTACATAGGCTGGGCGAAGGTCAAACTCTTCCAGTAGGCAGTCTCGAGTTCAGCGCATCGTTCAGGCGTAAACTCATCCAAGTCGTCCATGTGGTAGTCGAAGTCCTTGAAAGCAGCCTCATCATAAACTTCATTGGTCTCGGTCGTATTGTTCATTCTGCGTGACGAGACCGACTTCTGTTGTCCACCCTTGGGTTGTCTACCTCTTGGCTTAGGCTTTGGCTTGCTGGGTGTAGTTTGTTCAGAGGGTTCGGTCGACTTCAGTATGGGCGAGGTAGGTGTGGGTGGCACCTGGCTAGCTCGGGCATTGTATTCTTGGTCGTCGTCGGCCTCCTTGGGAAGAGGGTTCTTGCGTGGTCTACCAGGCTTTCTCTTAGTGCCAGCATCTTTTGGAGCCAAAGCCCTGGCCGAAGTACGCGTCTTAGCGGCAGCGCCCCTGGTAGCTTGGCCTTGGTTTCTACGGCGCTCTCCTCGTCTGGCAGGAGGCTGGTACTGGGTCTCTTCGGTGAGAGCCTTCCACTCTGGCAAGTTGTAGGAGCGTTGTTTCTCGATGTTGGCCTGGGTGTAGATTCCGTGGGTGCCCATGAACTCTTGAGAGATGGGGTTCTTGATTTTGATCGTTTTGACGAGTTCATCGAGGGCGGGTTGGTCGTCTCTCCATTCTTGAGGGGGTATGACTTTGACGATGCCTGATTTCATGCCGTACTTGTCGATTTTGTCCATGTACTTTTTGAAGTCGCGGAACTGTGACATTGTCTATCGTGAATGTGTTAGAGATGCAGCTAGTCAAGTAGATGATAGTATGACGTACTGGCTTGAAGACTGGTACCTTGCCGTCGTCCCAGTAGTGGTCGGGCACAACTTCCTCCTCATCTTCCAAGTCGAGGTCCAATTCTGACAACTCCGAAGAGGCATCGTCATCTATCCTGATGTTGTTGTCCTCGGAGGTGGGTGGAGTTAAGGCGTGGGCGGCTTCAGAGTGCTTTGACAAGTTGGAAGCTTCGGGCAGGGCAGCGTCGGAGGTGATGTTCGAAGGGTCGCTCGCAACGGCCAACGAGGGCATCGACGTATCCATTGTGGTACGACAGGCGATGGTATACTGCCACAAAGGGCGTTGCTAATTTTCAAGAGCGACAAAACTCGAAGAAGGAGGCAGTAATGCGGTCGCTTGTGTCGGTGGCTTGCGGGTGGGCTGTACGGCAAGCGACAGCGGATGGCGGCAAGGAGAAGGGCAGTCCGGGTCGACTGCTCACGGGAGTCGCAGCAGAGCGAAATACGATTGTCGCATGCGCAAGGCAGCTGTAGTCGATACTGATAGGAGTCGGAACAATCGTCCAAGTGGTGCGTGGAATGCGATCAGTCTTCAGACTCGTCGCTGCCGTCCGTCACCCCATTCTCAGCTGCTTTCCACTGTAACTTCTTGGCGCACGCTTCCATCCGTAGGGCACGGACGTATTGTTTGAGCCTCACTTTGACTTCGTAGAGCTACGACAATAGATTGTTGTTCAAGGACAATGGTTTTGCACTATCGTTGTTGACAGGGATAAACCAGCCGCATATCAGATCCTTTTGTCACTTCACACAATGCTAGCTAATGTCGCGTTTTACGGTTTGACTAACATGTAAATCTTCTGCACGTCCTATGCCGGAGCCACTTCCTCCAGATAAGATCCGTCGGAGATGAACACACCCCCTGTCCCTGATCACAACCCCAGCTCTCGGGACTCCAGTATCTGACAGGGCTGACCTGTCCAAGCTTTGCGGTTGCCATCATATTCCTGTACAGACCAAGCAGCGATCAGGTACCTGATATAATCCCGACCAAGTCACTAATACAAGGCTTGTCGCTCTGATGTCTGGCTCTTCGCCCTCTGCAGCACCTAAAGACCCAGAGTCCTTGGCGAACCATGGTTCGGCGCAGACCAACGAGCGTCGTGTGTGGCAGACATGTGTATGCAGCCACAGAAAAGGCAGCACTGCTCTCGCGATGCACACTGAGACACTACAGAGATGAGGTGCAACCTCTCTGCAGACGCTCAAAAGACACTGTCGTACAAATCCGATAGAAGGACAAGGAGAAGAGTTCAAAAGTTGCTTTCGCTTCACTCTTGACAACACTCAGCGCATGGCATGCAACATGGTCCTAACTCTTTCTCTGTTTCCAACTGTCAAGAAACCGAAGGTATAAAGTGTGACCGAAAAACTGCCTGAACGACAAACACCCAAGAGCTCCATAGCTATGCAGCAAGGGAGAAAACGAGCAGCACGCCGAAAGGAAAACACAAAAAGGACACAGTCCAGCGCTCAAATGTACATGAGGGGGAAATAGCAGCATTTTCGAAGAACAGAGTGAAGAAGGAGATGTGTGTGTGTGAAAAGGGAAGCGAGTATGCAGAAATAAGAAAACGCCGTCATGATCATATGTCAGTCATTTCTCCATTGATAGCGCCCCCTCCCTGTCCGTGTTTGTTTTGTGTCATTTCGTGTTATCTCTTCTGCAAGACGCTAAGTGATTGCGCTGCTAAGAGTTCTCTGGCGCTGTATCTCAAGGCGACTTCCTATGCCTGGGGCTGGGGAGCTCCGCCACGGCCACCGCGTCCACGGCCCTCACCACGACCTCTGAAGCTGCCGCGGTGTCCACCTCTAGAGCCACCACGACCACCGCGTCCGCGGCCTCCACGGCCTTGTCCACCTCTTCCTCCGCGTCTCTCGACGGACTGGTAACCTTCGGCATCGGTTGATGAAAGACCGTTGGTAATGTTGTTGTTCTCAGCAGCGGCCTCCATGGCAGTGGCGTTTGCAGATGACTGGTCGGCCCAAGAGCTGGTCGACTGGGGCTGAGCGGGTTCGTGAACAGTCTCGGTCTCGTTGGCAGGACGGGGCACAATCTCAAACGAGTCGTCCAACTGCTCGTCGGTACCGGCAGTGGCACCAGCGTTGTCCCACTGTGTCTCGGCTGACTTGTTGGCTGCGTCGTCGCCGGTGGAAGCCTCGGCGATAGACTGTGTGAGGTCCTCGGCGAGCACGATGGGCTTCTCCTCCTCGGCAGACTGGTTCACGCCCAGCTCGGTAAGACCGGCGTGGGCAATGGTAGGATCGCTCGAAGGGACGGTCTCCTCGGGCTGGACGGCAGTAGCATCGGTAGACTCGACAGGTGACCCTTCTTGAGTAGCCTCCTCGCCGGGGAATGCACCGAAACCGACAGCGGCCTGCTTGATCTGCGAATCTGGAGTCAAGTCAGTAATCAGACGACATCACCAGAGCTCAGAGCATCTTACACTTGACGGACAGCAGTTCACCCTCAACGGAGGGGACCTGCTCGTCAGAACCCTCAATCAACTTCAGAGCGGCATCAACGGCCTTGTCGTCACCTCCATAGACGAGCAACAGAGCACCCTCGAAAGCCTTAGATTCGTCGGTGTCGGCCTCCTCTTCAATCACACGCTTGGCAGCGGCAGCTCTGAGGAACTGGCTGAAGGTGAGCAGCTTCTGGCGCAAAGCAGACTTGAGTTCCGTCTCGTGCTCCTCCTTGAGCGAAGCCTTCAACTTCTCAATCTCGGACTGGTGGGTCGAAGTCAGGTGCGAGTGCTGAGCGGACATGCGCGACTGGTAGTCGGCATCGACCTTCTTGTACTGTGAGATCTGTTCTTCGAGCTGTGCGAGTTGGGCTTGGAGGGCGGGCTTCTTGGAGGCCTGGGCCTTCTGGTCGGCGTTGATCTTGCGGGAAGCGAGGAGTTCGTCCAGAGACTTGCCAGGGTTCTCGGCGAGAATGGAATCCAACTTGGTCATTGAGTTCTGTGTCTGTTTAGCATTGTGCAGCTGCGAAGGACAAGCAAACGACTAACGAGCTTCTTGTTCACATTGCGGACGTTCCTGTATGTTGGTTAACATTGACGATCTATGAGAAAACACAAGCGATGAAAATACTTCTGCAGCTCCTTCATGTGAGAGCTCTCGAAAGAATCACCGTTGGTCTCTGCGACGTCGGGAGTCTTCACGCCATCGCTGTCCTGCTGGGCTTGACCGGCGGCTTGAGCAGCAGCCGCGGCTTCGGCCTTTTCCCGCTTCTTACGGGCGCTCTTGGACTCGCCAGCGGATGGAGGGTTACTGATGGTGTCGGCGGACATTGTGTGTGGTAGATGGATGCTTCCGAGCTTAGGATAGAAGAAAGGAACAAGTCGCGTGCTTGTAGATACAGAAATGCGTCTTTGTCACACAAGCTCCCCCAAACACTCAAGAGCTCACATTTAGAGTTGGGCCCGTGCGTCTCCCGCTCGTTCCAGACACTTCCAATCTGTTCTGCATGCTAAACTCCGTCACCTTGTGCTTTCAGAATGACAATTGCTGGCCGGGCACAAATTTATTGAGCTGGGCACCGGTGGATGACTTGATGCTTGAAAAATGTTCTTCGTTTCAGTGCATGGCACTCTAAAAATCTATCTACAAAAAATCGAATCTCGTCGAAGTCTAGTCCATTGAATCATGGCAGGGGTATATCGCAAACTTTTTGACCTTGTCATAGGCGACCAGCGCCTTCTCTATATATCTTTTCTCTTCATCCATCGTGCTCATGCGCTGCACTGACCAGGGTACTTCCTGTCAGTGATCTTGTCTCCAATCAAGCCATACTTGATAGCATTCTGGTAACCCCAAGCGCCAGGGCCCTTGAAGTTCCACATGAAGTATCCACGAGCGTGGGCTTCGAATGTGTCGAGCTCAGCTTCGAGGAATTTGCGGGTTGCTGCGATCAAAGGCTCATTCCAGTCCTCGATGTTGACGTTGGCAGAGCATTGGCAGCCGTCGATCCAGCAGACGTTGCCAGCGACGGTGGAGCCATCGGGGTTGGCGCAGATGTTGGTGGCGGCGCTGAACTCGCCCACGATGACAGGCAGGTTGGATGACGAAGGCAGCAGCTCGGTTGACTGCCAGTTGCATGCCTTTGCGATATGCTCGTCTTGAGTCAGTTTGGAGTCATCTGCAACCATGTTCTGGTACAAATGAGTGTCGATCCAGAACTTGGCGTCGGAAAGAGAAGCGTCTCCGTTGACAGCTGAGCCGACCTCTTGCCACTCAGAAGGGCTTTCGAAGGCATCATGCATAATCACAGCAAGATTTTGGTTGGTCGAGGCTGACTTGACGGCTGTGTAAGCCTTCTTCGCCCACTCCTTGGTCGTATAGATGTTGTTCTGATCCCACGAGATGGGTTCGTTGACGAGCTGGATACCAAAGACGACATCAGCGTACTCTTGAGCACCGTACTTCTTGGCAATGGTCTCGAGAATGCTGATACTCAAGTCCATGTTGTCGTCTTGCTGCCAGGCCACAGTGCCCGAGCGACCAGAGTTATCAAACCCATTCTGAGAGCCGGGGGACCCGTGGCAGTCAACAAGTACTTTGATACCATGGTCACGGCACCAACCAATGGCCTTCTCGAGGTAGGCATCAGCACCTGTAATGTAAGGTGCTGACTCGACGTAAGACCAGAAACCGATGGGAATACGCACAGCGTTTATTCCAGCGGCAGCTAGTCCCTCGACGTCAGACTCTGTGAAGTAGCTTGCCCAATGTTGCTCCAGCTTGTCTTTGGCGCCATCGCAGCTGTCAAAGGAGTACTGGTCCTTTGCATCGGTGTCAGCAAAGACATCCCAGTTCATCCAAGATTCAAGGATGAGCCAGCCGCCGATGTTGACTCCGCGAAGAACATCGGGAAGGGCGACAGATCCAGTAGAAGCAGGGGCAGTGCTTGAGGCAGCAACTGATGTTGACGAGGCGATGAACGAGGCTGAGGTTACAACAGTGGTGCTGTTGACAGAAACTGAGGTGGTGGTGTTGTAAGAAGCTGTCGAGTAGAGAGCTTGAGAAGAAGATTGACGGTAAGATGTCCACCATGAAGAGAAGGCGGTGGCGTTAGTCAGTCCAGTTCCAGTGGGTTGAGGATATCCAGTTACTCCAGATGGGAATCCAGTTCCAGTAGGCCAAGCATATCCAGATGCGGTTGGGTGAAATCCTGAGGCGAGGTATCCAGAGGGGACGATTCCAGAGGGTACAATGTGTTGTGATCCAATAGAGAGTGTCGGGAAGGTCGAAGTCGATTTGTACGTGGCCGAGGGGCTCCAGGCTGCCGGTCCGTGGTAATAAGATTTGAGCGAAAACGATGGTGCAGATGGTGCAGGTGCAGGCAAAGCTTCCGCAACGAAAGAAAGGAACGCGAAACAAGCAAACGCAAAAAAGATTAAGCTGAACATTTCTGCTACAGCGGTATCTTCTCAAAGAGAGTGTGAGAGAGCTGTACTGATATAGTCGTCGGACTGTGTGACGTGGCTTCGGATGTGGCTACTGAAAATCTATTGGCTAGATTGTATCCTGGGAGATGAAAGAGACCGTTGAGTTCGCCGGTAGTGATCGTGAGGAGTGATAGAACTCGAATGAAAGGACGTAAGTAGCGTAAAGGCTTCTCACAGAGAGCGCAAGTAGAGAATGGCAGCACTAGGCTGGGGGGACTGGTGAACTCGAACAGAAAGATGCTGGAAGAAAGAATAGAGAGGCAGGAGACAATGGCTTTATCGTGCCTGTACAGGCAACCCCTGTGTAGTTCTCTCCTGATAGACCTTACCGACTCAGTACGTTGTGGACCAACCTAACCAAAGACGTTTCGAAACCGTGGTTGCCGCCTCCCTGACCAGTGAGGAAAGCCGTTAGCCGCGACTGCACGTCCGGATCACATTGAGGTTCTCCATATGAAACCCACAGGCCGCAGAGAATTGCATACAGGCTTGTCTGACTATGCTTGATAGAGTGGCCTCTGTGGATCAAGTTGCCACAAAGCTGTGTGTTGGACAGCGGGAGGAAGAGCATGAAGTTGTTTCAGAGAGATGGTGCGACGCTTGCATCCGTGCTTCTTTCTCTCCCTGAAGACACCGCCCAGCATTTTCCCGTTCGCCATATACTCGGGCCGTTCGGACTGGTCATGCATTGGATCTTTCTATTGGCCTGTCAGGTCACGGCCTAAAAGAATCGCGTCGCCGATAGGCGCGACGGAGTCAGTCAACGCTGTCGTTGTGGGCGCAGAGCCCCACTAGCCGAAGCTCCTGGATAGTGCAGATACTCTAAACATACACGAACTTTCTGTAAAGAGACAGCTCAGCGTCTACAATCGGTGCTCCTTCCAGTGAGTTGCTTGTGGAAGTCATGGCCGTGGGGCCAAGGCGAAGCATGGAGCAGTCCGATATCCTCGAGCTTGACCCGGCTGATGAATGGCGCGTTCCTCAAGGTCATGGCGCCATGTTCTGTACGACTTGTGGCAGTGAGATGGTCAAGGCGTACATAGGGGCGACTCGTAAGATCTGACAGGCACTACATATCACTGAGTCTCCTCATCCAGCCCACGAACATCACGAATAGTAAATCGATATACAGAATGCACGCGACGGTGTTCAGCAAACCTTGCTATGAAGGAGGCTTCTAGATCCATGATCCGATCTTGTCGCACATTCAGCATGTGAGACAGCTGCGGTCGGCATTTCCTGGTCCTTCAATCTTGTCCGCTGTCAAGGCGAACTTGACGAAGGTGCATCCTCCTCGTGTGCTGAAGATTCGCATGCTTGCAGCTCTGACAAGAGACTACTATCCGACAAGCATGGTAGTATGACCATCAAGTATCTTCGCATCTGCTTGCTTATTTGCTTGCTCTGCTTTGTCGTAGGAGGTTGTAAGAGCGGTAATCCTCAGCATACTGGCAGGACATGCTATGTTGATGATGGATGTTTCAAGTCACCGATCTGTTGATAGGACCTTGCTGTCATAGCTCTTCAAGGATATGGCCAGACATGGCCTCGATGTTGATTTCACGTACTATCTGCATCCGTGTCCAAGACAGGCACATCAACGGGAAGCTGACAGCATAGCTGAGTTCTCAAGCCTTGCTAGTCACATGTTTGCTTCTTCAAGACTTGTGTCACCCAAATTGTCTCGGGGTCTTAGTGGCCATACGATTAGAGCATGATGAATGGAGTATGTTGCCACTGCTGACCTGTGCAATAGAGTGGTCTTCGACCTCGCATTCTGCTCATCTCCTGTTCGGGTCAGAGGTCATGTCGTACGAGAATGCGACGAACCAAGCTTCATGTTTGTGGTTCACACTCATACGTTTGATCGGAGGAACTTAGCAGCACAGAGTAAACTCCGACCAGGACTCTGGGGGAGGTCCTGCCATCATGTAGCCTTGATATCATGAATCCATATGTCAGGTCTTGCAGGCTAGATCCCCTCATTCTGCAGTTCTGAGGGGCTTGCAGAAGCGATCGTCAGCACATGAGTGATATGTTTCATACAGGATGGAGTCCATGTTTGGTTTTAGATATCAATGGGATAGCAGAATATTGAGGCCAGAAGCCAGCACTTTCCTCTTGATAGAGAGCAAACATGAAAGACGAGAGAATCAGACCTTTCTCCAGAGTCGATTGGAGAGATGGTTTCGGTCATGAACTCAAGTCCACATGACCCAGTATGCTGGCTTGACTGCGCATCGAGAACTAACAGGGTGGACGCATAAAAGCAGTCGGGGAGAGCGTCGAACACTTCATCCGCGTTAGCCTATTGTTGGAGTGACCAATGAAATGCAGCAAAGATGCGCGTGTGGCAGCAAGATGATAGATAAGACATTGTTGCAGGTGCCCACGGGACAGCAATATGAATCATTCATCTTTGTAACATCTAGAAAACATTCTCAAGACTGGCAGAATCGACAGCTGGAAAGATAAAAATAAAGAGGTCAAAAAGCGAGCTCGAAATGCAGGTCGACGGGCGTGGAAGGATTCGGTGTGCAAGTGGATTGTCGGCTTTCGGAAGCTGGAGCATTGTCTGCCGGCGCGACTTGGGGTCGTTCTTTCCCCAATCCCATCATCCCATGTGATCTTCTTTCGAATGTGACCTCCTCCCTGTTCTTTACTATCGCGACGATTGATATAACCCGATTTATCCAAGTCCAGCTGTGCTGTGCAAAGCCAGAGGACTCGATTCTCGACATCTTTCTTCTGGTCCCAAAGTTCGCAGTGTTGTCGCGTTCGAGGAAGACTAAAGCGTCCGGCTTGTGAACAAACTCGTGACTTATCGTTCTCTCGTCACGGGATCTCGGTCGTCGTCGACTCTCTGAAATTGGTGAGTGCCTTTCTCGTCGTCATTCCTACACAGGGCAATCCATCTGGACTCGGTCGCCATAATCATGGCCTTCGACCTGTCCCGCTCGCTCGTCATGGCTGCGACGGCGCGTGACTCGCTGCTGCTGAACGCGTCGCCGTTCTGAACTTGACCGTCGACGTGTTCCGTCGAACGATACTCATCATCGCGTCGTCAAGGCTCAGGAGGTCCATCCTCCATGTCAGAGCCATGCCGGTCGTACTGTCTAGCCAATACTTGGAGCAACGTCTTCAGTCCGCGATGCTAGCTCTCTTGGCCAGGCCTACAGCGACCCCTGATAGCTTGCTGATCAACCACCTCAAACTGTGACCACTTTGTGAGATATGCATGACTAACCAAGCCTATCAACAGCCCGTCGTCCCCGACACCTTCGTCGTGACAGCGTTTCCAACCCAACCCCGACACGATCTTATCAGCCGAGTCAAGATCCTTGTCGATCAACGCGCAATCGATACACACACGAACCGACACGCCCATCATGGCATCCCTTGCTCACAAGCGCAAGCGCGACTCTCTCGACCATGACGTTGGTCACGCATCTGCCCAAGGAGACTTCAAAGAGTACAGAGACCCATCAAATGGCGAGTACGAAGCTCCGTTTCTTCACTCAAGCCACGAGAACGATATGCCGCCGCACTTTGCCGATGCTCTAGTCCAACACAATGCCGGCGACCACGGTGTTCATGACCATTCCTTGCACGACCACAACGTCCACAATCAGGGCTCGACCAATGGACAAAGCGCGAGCGAGACGGCCAACGCTGCTCTGCACTACTCGATGGGCGTACCACAGAACCATGACGAGTCTTTCCTGACACACAACGACGGTCATCGCGAGTCCAGCGCCACCTTCTCCCTCGACGCTGGCGCTGGTCAGCCAAATTCAGAGGCATACGGCGAGTTCGCCGGCCTCGAGCAGTTGAAGGATAATGCACAGCCTCAGCAACAGCAGCAACAGCCTCCGCCCCAGAATTCGGTCCTGGGTACCACAGAAGACTCACCTTCAGCAACGCCGTCTGGTAACAAGCCCGCTGTGGGAACCGACGAATGGCACAAGGTCCGTCGTGACAACCACAAAGAAGGTAGATAGCACAACCTCATCACTAGCCTCGACTTGGACCATTTGCTAATCATGAACACAGTCGAACGCCGTCGCCGAGAAACCATCAACGAGGGCATTAACGAGCTCGCCAAGATTGTGCCTGGCTGCGAAAAGAACAAAGGAAGCATTCTTCAACGTGCCGTTCAGTTCATCACACAACTCAAAGAGAACGAATCTCAGAATATTGAGAAGTGGACATTGGAGAAGCTTCTCACCGAACAAGCCATCGCTGAACTCAGCGGTTCTTGCGATAGGCTCAAGGGTGACCTAAATCAAGTCTACAAAGATCTGGAAGCATGGAAAAGATGCGCCCAACGCGCCGGAGTCGAACCTACGGAAGAGGACCGCGCAGCTGCTGCTGGCAACCGTGACGACGATGTTTAGGATGCATACGCTACACCACGAGTTACAGCATAGCACGCTGCAATGTATAGTCGAACCGGCTTCCTTGCAGAAGCGCCGCCTAATCCGTCAGAGAGTATGCTTGCATCATTGCGGCCATCAGAGAACACTGAGGGACAGACGCGCATCGACCACGCACATTAGCCTGGTGATCGTGTCTCTCGACATGGTCTTCGCTCCGCTACTTCTTCCAATCGCAACAATGCTATACAACCTGCACCAACCGGCGACTCGTCGGCTCCCATGCCATGATAGCGCAAGGCTTATCATGGACCATCGCAACAACTTTTTGAATGACAAGCCGTTTTGCCGAAGGTCCGCACTCCTTCCGAAGGCGCAACAGAACGCATCTCCTTTTGTTTTTCCATTCCCTCAAACCCAGACTTTACTCTATTTTTCTCGGACCCTCGCGTACTGCTTGTTTTTTTCTAGGAGCTCGGTCGATGAGAGAGAGGAGGACTAATGGACATGAATGTAAGGGTTTCTGGCGTTGCTTTTACACAGGAGGGGCGTTTTGGGTGGGATATGTGCTTTCTGTTTTTTCTATGATCGATTAACACCACTACTACTACTACTACTACTACTACTACTACTACTACTACTACTACTACTACTACCCCATACTACTTGCCTTTCCATTCTCACTGCTGCTGCTGCTATTACTACTATCCCGTGTTCCTTGATCTCTGCGTACGACTGTTTCGTGTTGAATGATGCTATCGTACACACACGATCTTTCCATTCACATGGACCTCGGGAACCGGTCCATTCTGCTCGTTGCACTACACACTAAGGATAATCGACAGATTGAGACTGGACACCGAAGACATTGACATCATCGTGTAGTAGATATGCATTGAGGTGCCAAGACTGGGTAGTCGAGCGTATCACCCTGCCCGTATCTTAGAACGAGTGCAGACAACCATATCGAAGTGCTACTATTTTACAATGTCTCTTACATCGGTCGGAGATATGTCTGCAGTGTAATGATGGCTTTGTTCGGACGGCCGCCGTTACTGGTCCGCAAACCCTTCCCTGAAATCGACTTCTCTTGGTCGTCTCCACGCTCTCTAAGGACGACACACACAATCTTTGTGCTGCGTAGTCGACGCTGCATTCAGACAATTAACAAGACTTCTGAGCAAGATACTGCTATAGAGATGCATAGACGAGTGTGCCATCAAACTGTAGTCCTCGCATGTAAGACGTCGTGAGAACATCATGTATATCTATCTCATATTCGAGGGTCACGGACATCTCTCGGCTTTGGTAAAGGCGCTTGACGCCCGCTTGGCGCAAATGATTTGTCGGTCGCGACCCACTCACGAAACGCGAGCTTTTTGGCAGCAGAGATGCCATGTTGCAAAACCACATATAATTCGCGCAATAGCATATAGCACCGCATAAAAGGACAGGACGTTCAAGAGGCTCGTCCACGAACAGGTGTTCAAGAGCCCTGCTTTGTCGATCCAATGAGGCTCAAAAAAACTGCATCGCAAAATCGCGAGCAGAAACAATGACGCGTTCTAGGCAATGGATCCGAGCGAGAGCTGTGCCTCCGAAACGGCCCGCTACGGGTTAGTGATTCTCAAGAAGCGAGCTTCAATCTGTCAGCGCGAATAGAGCAGTCCGCCGGCCATTATGTGCGTCGAGGAAAAGCTGGACGAAGGGATGAATATGGAACAAGGTGAGTGACAAAGTGGCCAGCAAAAGGAATGCAACAGAGGACGACATACTCCAGATATAAGAGCTTCGAGTAGACGGTCATATCTCGGAGCAATCGTATCTTGCCACGAGCGGAGAGAAAGGGCCCGGTTGATTAGATTGCGAGAAACAGGCAAAGAGAACCAGAGACGATGACGAGAGAAATCCGAGCGAGACCCGGAGTTGACAGAAGATGGGCAAAAATCTCGAAAAAGGGCGCCTGCTGTGGTATAGACTCATACATTCAGCCAATCGACCTCTTTGCTGTCCGCTCTGTCTCGTTGGTTTCATCTTTGACGTATTGCGTTGTTGATATCCAGGAAGCCCCGAGTCGTGCCTTTGCCCATCAGCCTAGCTCAGCGCAGCGTGAATGCGTATCGCAGTCTGGCCGACGAAGAACCCGTCCGGACGCGCTGGCCGCTTTACCTCTGATACAGTTCGTTCAGGCATGCCCAATAGCCTGAGCGAAACAACGCTTGCTGTGACGCAGCCTCCGTCCGGGGTGATGACCCCAGTCAACCCGTCGGAGTATCCAGATGTTCAATTTGAGGATCTCGAGAAGGGTCTGGGAGACAAGACCGACATTGATCTTCCCAGGCAAGATGATCATGGTTGGCGACGTATTGTCCGTGGATTCACCCCATCGTAAGTTTGAATCTTGTGGTACCTGAGCTTGGTGCAGATCGTTGCTGACTGGTGGGTTGATAGCATGTTCTCCATAACGATGGGTACAGGTGTGGTCGCAATTCTGCTGCACCAGATGCCCTACAACAGTAGTTGGACAAATTACCCATGCTACATCGTATTTGGACTCAACGTCTTAATATTCGTTAGTGCTCTGTTTGTCTCCATCTTACGGTATGCTTTGTGGCCTGAGTTGTGGCCGGCGATGATCAACCATCCGACTCATTCTCTGTTCTTGGGCTGTTTCCCGATGGGCCTTGGAACTATTGTCAACATGATTGTCCTGGTCTGCGTGCCGGCGTGGGGTCCTTGGGCTGCGACAATGGCATGGGCGTTATGGTGGATTGATGCTGCTCTTGCGGTAGTCATTTGCTGTTCAGTCGCTTTCCTGATGTAAGTTTCCGCTCCTGAATATCGCCATAGCAAGGGCTATTTGGTTGACAATTTGCCTTCCAGGATTTCGGTTCATGATGTGTCTCCTGAGAAGTTGACGGCGGCTTGTTTGCTCCCTGCTGTCAGCTGTATCGTGGCCGCATCGACAGGCGGTCAGGTTGCACAGATGGAGTCGCTAGAAGCACATGAAGCGCTCTGGACGTTACTCACCTGCTACTGCTGTTGGGCAATCGGCTTTTTTGTTGGGTTGATGATTTTGTGCATCTACTTCTACAGGCTGTTACTGTTCAAGCTGCCTTCTCAGGAAGTTGTTGTTAGCGTGTTCTTGTCTCTGGGCCCTCTTGGTCAGGGAAGCTTCGGGTGAGTGCTCTTTCCCATGTCCGCGATAGCCTTGACGCTGACCAACTTCCAGAATCTTGCAATGTGGAAAAGCTGCAAAGATGATATTCCCGAAACTTACCATCCTGCCGGAAGGAGCTGGTACTATACTATACATCATGGGCATCATCATGGGACTTATTATCTGGGCGATGGCCATTCCTTGGATGTGTTTTGCAGTTGGCTCCGTGTTGCGCCTGAAGCTGAGGTTCCCCTTCAATATTGGCTGGTGGGCTTTTTTGTATCCAGTTGGTATGTTCACACAATTTCAGCCATACATACACTTTTGCTGACTCCATGCTTCCAGGCGGTGTCGCTTCAGCAACCATCACCTTGAGTTCAGAATTGGACTCTGCGTTCTTCCGGGTGATTGGAGAGACTCTCACTGCCATCATCGTCCTCGTTTGGATCGTATGCTTCGTCAGAACTGTTCGGGGAGCTTTCTCAGGCGAACTATTCCCGAAGCCAGGCGTCTGTGAACTACGTCCAGACTCGGGAGCAAAGGTAAGGCCACACATCGCCTGATCCATTGAGACCAGAAGAAAAAATACTGATGGATGATGGACAGACTCCGTGAAACTTTATGCATCGCAAAACAACGCAACACGACTAATTTACGAACCACGTCAGCCGCTCGAGAAGATCTTCTCTCGTCTTTATGCGACCTGCAACAAGGTGCGGCTCAGTCGGCTGTCATGTTTATATTGCGGAGGTGTTCCGCTGAGCCGACACCCGCTACATCTCCCCTCTTTTCGAAGGTGTTCATGTCTCCACCATTGGCTTTCGACACTAAAACGACAACCAAGCCGAGATATCCGATTATCTTTATCTGCGACGTCGACGTGAGCTTATTGCATCATATTCGGCGTATCAGTCAATGGCATACACCGTAAACGTTTAACCGCTTAGCAGTCGCGGTCACCCTTCCAAGCTTGGCTCATGCACAACCGCCGCTTGTTGTGAACCATTTTGAAGACATCCACGGCTGAGTCTGACAGTCGCATACCACGTTGATGGTCAGCAGGATTGTACGGCTTACGGAGAACATCATATCTTCTGACTGTCTGGGCACGATAGCCGACGAGCATGCAACCACGGTGATGCTCAACTGACATTCAATTCACCACCCCACTCGACTCAGCCACTCTCTTTCAGATGTTCGGAGCTTTCCCGGGACTTGCTCATGATGACGATGATGTCTGTCTCTGCATATCTGTTGTTATTTCGCCACTACCAAGCGACTGCTTTACCGCAAGATACCCCACTCTGCAAATCGTTAGAAGTAAACATAGACATAGGCATGAACTACATAGAAATAGAATAATATATCATCAAGAAGACATGCGCCTTCCCCATCGAGTGTGTCTAAGTAGCGTTTATCCTGAACTGGTCGACACTGTCAGCTTGACAGACGACGGGCAGTCTAGACCACGCAGGTACCTGAGACCCGCGGACATCAAACTTCCGTTCCGTTCGCTCTTCCTCCAAGACCCATGCCCCGAGCTCTTCCGTTGATCGCGAGAGCGAGGGCCACACCCACATCCAAACAAGAGCAGAACGGTTCCTAGCACATCCACAGTCGGACCGTGAACCGTAGCAGGGACAGAAAAGGTGGTGATAGGAGAATCTCAAGGAGATTTCCAAGGAACTAAATTAAAGGTCTAGATCATGTGCACGATATATCGTACATGCAACGAGAACGAGCCGTTGTGTCCGGAAACAGCTTACGCACATGCGCATCAATCTAAATACATCACCGATCAAAAGACCAAGGATTCGGCGCAGCAGAAGTATCGCATTAGGGGGAGAAGAAACAGCAGCTAGAGAGCAATCGATAGAAAGAAAATAGTCTTGCAAACTGCGAGCTAAAACGTCTTTTTCGGAGGTGATTCCGAGAGACTAGCAGACCAAAGACACGAACATGTTGGGCTTATCCACTCTACCCCTCACGCGTTCTTATCCACTGTCATGTCAACTCATGTAAGACTACTGGGTTTGCTGGACAGGAACGGTAGTAGTTCGATAGGCTAAGCGGTCTATATAAACAAAATAAGAACTAGTATAGATGCACAGTCAGTACGCGCTCAACGACATGGGCTCGCTAGATCGATGTGGTCAGATTATTGTTAGAGTCAGGAACAGTTGGCAACACTGGGGCTCTCATCAGGAAAACGGATAGTCCTGTTTAGAGGTGGAGGTGAGCTGGACCGGTCTGATATGGGTGTGGCGCCCAGTGGAGAATTGCGGTCCGTGTCTTTGACCACAGTTTTACCAAGAGGGCGAGGGTTCGAGGGTCCGGAAATATTTCTGTTGCTGGCGTCTTTGGTGGAGGCTAAATTATTTGAGGCGGTGGCTTGCTGGTGTCCTTTGTGCAGGTCCGATACCATGCTCCTGCCCAGACGGTAGAAAGAACGAGGAAGAGACGAGCTGTTGCCGGACGTGTCTGCCTTGTAGCGACGGAAGCGACTGGCCAAAGTAGAGTCCCCAGAGAGCGTGTCCTCGCCGATGGGTGTGGGTTCCTCCGTGGATCTACGAGAAAGTCGTTCGGTCGAGACTGCGGCCGATATTGTTCTTGGGAGATAGAATCCAAGTTTGCCAAGGGGAATACTGATGCCGTGCACGACCTAGATTGATTAGTACTTTGTCTGACGGGAGTGGTCTATAACTTACAATGCTGCAAATTGCTAGGAACCAGATAACAACCAGCATAATCTCAGATAAACGTTCTGCATCCTCTCGAACCACACCTGCCTCGTTGGTGATGCCGCGCAGGAACTCTCGACTGATGTAGAGGTAAAAGACCGCACTGACTCCTATCGGACCAAAAAAGCCTACAACAAGGGCCTGGCGAGGTTCCTCAATCTGTCGTATCTTCTTGTGCATAGCATAGACGATAGGAAGTCGACGTAGGAGCAACACCAGTATTCCTAGGGGAATGAGTCGATAGAGCGGGATCACATTGTTGTGGGCAAACTGATACCAGGGCGTGACTGCACCAAACCAGATGAAGATCGATACGTTAAGTAACATGTCGATAGTAGGCTGCAGAGAGTCATCGAGAGTCTCCAGACGGAACCAGTCGCTATACTCCATCAGAGCAAGGTCATCAACATCGTCAGCCAAAGACTTACTCCCAAGTGAAGACGTTTCCGGCGATGAAACAGGCAAGCACATCGTCAGAGCCAATCATGCCGACCGTTCCGACGATGAACAGCTAATTCGGTAAGCGATGGTCCTATGTTTAGGGGGACTGTGCACTTACAGCGAGTGTGATGGCGAAGACGAGGAAACTTTCTCTGTCCACATATTTTTTCTCTTCTGCCCAGTGAAGCAGTTCTTTTGCGAGATATCCAACGACAGCACCGTACACGACGCTGAGAATAATCGTATAGCCCCATGTCTCGCCAAACCACAGGCCGATTGCTTTCGAAGCACCATGGTGAGCTGATAACTCGGGATGACCAACGTATTTGATCAAGTACAATGGAAGAAACAGGAAAGGATACCCAAGGCCGTCGTTTGCCCCAGACTCGGCGATAATGATTCTTTGGAGGTCTCTGGGAATGTTCTTGTCGGCAAATTTGCCTTTGACAATACTGTTGCTCAAGACGGGATCAGTAGGAGTAACGCAGGCTCCCAAGGCCAACGCGAACAAGAAGTTAATATCAGGCACCAACGCCCAGACCAAGAGACTAGTGACCAGCCACATTACACACATTCCTGGGCCCTGTTGTTTACTTAGCGCAGGGTCTGTCATTTGGTTAGAATGTGAGAGGCTAACATACTAAAAGCAAAGCCAAAGGTCTCCATTCTTGTTTGAGATACTTGCTGGGTAGCTGAACACCGGCCAGAACCAGTTGGACACCCAACACCAGTCTGGTGAAGTAGAGAGTTATCGTCTCGAGATCCTCTGCATTTCCCTGAGCATAATCGAGCGGACGTATGAGGTTGGCCGCGTGAGGCGAGAAGATCAAACCGCCGACCAAAGATATTACTGATCAAATGTCAGTTTCGTGTTATCGTCAAAGACAGTCGTGGTGACGACTTACAAGCCTCGGAAAGATAGTACTTTTCCTTTAGCAGATACGACACCAGTCCGAACAGAGTGATGAAGCCTCCCAGTGTAGCGCAGACGATGTTGAAGTTCACCACGGAGAGCGTAGGCATGCTTTACAGGAGTTGATACGCGTCTACGCAATATCGGGCCGGTAAATAAGAGTCCAAGAACTGGCAAGCATCCATCTGTCAAGGCGAAGGGACTTCGGATGCCGTCATGGCGCCAAGACGGACTCGCGGCTCACAACTCGAGTGTGCTAGCGAGCCCTAAGTATGCACCTAACAAGGTGAATGCTTCGGAGGGCTGTGGTGTGAGTCCAAGATAAACGAAGTACTACAAATGTTGCCAAATCACTCGTGTGCCCTGTAGCCAAGCGTACTAGCTAGGATTAAAAGGTTCATGAAGTGAAGTTATTGAGTTCGGAGTTGACACCGAGGTATGCTCGGATCGAAGCTGAATGTTCACGGCATCTCGGCTATCCACGTCCTCGCGCACGTTGAACGATCATGAGGAACAACCCCCGGAACAAGGTGTGAGTGGCGCTGGGGTTCTGGAGAACGGATACCCTGGTCTATCGTATCTGCACGATTAGTCGACCTCGCATTATCACTATCGGAGACATTAAGGGTATGAAAAGACGACGAGACCCACTTGAAAATGCTAGATAATGGTTGGATATTGAGCAAGATAAACAAGAAATGATGCTCGGTGGTGAGAACCTTACACAGGACGATCACTCATCTGCTCCTAGCTCAACCTAATTGTCGTACAAAACCATGCAATGCATGCCACCACCAGAATGCGCCGAAATGATGCTTGTGTCGTGATGAGATGAAAGGAAGAAGAGAATGTCTGTCATTGGTGTTGAGCAACGCCCCCATGCTCATCTGTGCCGTGAACGTAAATGCAAAATAACACAGGATACAGTTTTCTCCTGTGAAGAAAGTAAGCACCGAGTCAAAAGACTGTTCTCAATTCGTCTCGCTGTCTGACACCTTGTCGGCGAAAGGGCTGACATAGCGTTTCTGCATATGCGGTAGGTTTGGTTCAAGGGTAGATCGTGGTTGAGGAATTACAGAATCGCGTGCACTGTCTGCACGGGTCCGGATGTCTGCACCATTGAGGGAGGTCACACTGTTCCTGCGAGACCTTACACTTCCGGGTGAAAGCGGATGTGATGGGACCATATGAGGGAGAGCGTGGCTGTGAGTCTGTTGGGCGAAAGTATAAGGAAGTTGGTAGTGACTGTGGACAGACGTGGGTGAGCTGTTGGTGCTACGCGGCTCGCAATGCCCCGCGGACACTGAAGTAGAGCTCGATGCGGAGTAATAGTGCTGTGCTCTAGAGGCACTCGTCTGTGATTGAGACTGTGATTGTGAAGCTGAACCAGCGAGGTGGAAGACGGGAACATTGGCACGACTGGCCATCTCGACTTCGCCAATTTGCCAGTGCATCGCTTCGGCAGCTCGCCATGGTAAGGCCATCTCCTTGGCAATCTTCTCCCACATATCTTTCTTGAACCTTCGGGATGCATGTCAGTATATGTTTGCATTGACTTAGATAGACGTCAGCACATACCTCTCGTAAAGACGAGCAAGCTTGTTCTTCTTCTCATCGTCCCACTCTGAGCGACGTTCAAGGTAGTTCTGGAATCGAAGTCTGCAACTGATGGCACTACGACCAGGTAGGTGCTTGGAAATGTCTTCCCATTTCATGCCGTTGCCACGAAGCTCGATGATAGCGGCATCCTCCTCGGGGCTCCACTTCGATTGCTTCTTCTTGGCGGGTGATTCTGATGGATGAGGTCCGGAAGGAGCCAATCGCTTGTTGACAGGACCGTTGGCTGTGTAACCATTGACAGGTGGCGGAGGTAACCTTTGGTCCTGAGTTGTGATAGGAGGTAGCTGACCGAAGCTTTGTTGCTGATGGTATGGCGGCAGCTGTGGATTGAAGCCTTGTGACGAGAATGTAGGCGGCTGGAAGCGACTTGGGAGTTGTTGTTGAACGCTCGGCTGAAGAGGCATCAAGCTAGGTTGTGAGTTGCGAGTGTATCCCGAGTCCATATCCAGCCTGGGCAGAGAGTTGTTGGAAGGGTAAGGCGAAGATGTGGGAGGATCCCTAGCTCCCTCTAGTAGGGAAGAGATATCCATCTTGAAAGCACTTGAAGGCTTCAGGGCCAGCATAGAGGAAGATGTGACAGAGGGTGATTGGAATAATGTGAGGATGCGGTAATGTGATGCTGTAGTGATAGATCGGTATGGTGTTATAGTATGGTGAGTGGAGGTGAGAAGGGTAAAGTGTGATCTTCTGTGATGAAGAGTATTATATGGGAAGTGGACCGAAGTAAATGCTTGCGGTGAGTTGTGCGACCCTGTGTTATATAACTTGGGTAGCCAGTGGTGGTACTAGGAAACGGTTCCGAGAACGAGTTCAGTGCTACCGAATCTTGCGAGTCGCGTGCCCGGCAGATCGGTCCTGAGCTCAGTTCTGATCGGCAAGTGAGGGCGTTTGTGGTGCGAGACAAGAGGAGGTCGGGGCACTGAGGAGTTTATTAGGAACGAGAGACGGGATGGCCTGGAAATGACTCCAACAGATCGCCTAAAGGGCTGTGATAAAGTTGTGGACGTGACTCGGCTGACATCAGAAGCCGTCCTTTGCCTTGAGTGGGGAAGTTCTGAGTAGGGAGCTTCTTAGTGGAATTGAAAAACAACAGAGATTGAATAGAGTTTTTCGTCGTGCGCAGAATCCAACGCCAGAAACGGATGTACCCCGACGGACTGCGCAGCTTGACAAGTTTATGTTGATGATGCGACCTCTACGCGGCTGCCAAAAAGTACATGCGAGTCGAGAACCATCGGGTATCCAGAGCAAGGGATGAAACAACTGTCAACCAATAGCGGAAACCGGTGCACTAAGGTAAGGAAGAACATCAACATGAGCGTGTTGCGAACATGCGGATCCCACTTGGTATGGGCGTACGGACTGACGCTCCCTTGACCACTATTGGATGCACGAGTCGTGACAGGACAGTTGCGCCACAACATGCATTCGAGTGTAAGATTGGGAGCCAGGGCTTAGCGTAGGAGCCACTCGCGAACGGCTGACCGAGCATACACTCTAGCTCATGCGCCCCGAGACGAAAGGTGATTTGCTTTTCCTTTCCTGCGGTCCATGAGGCTCCTCTGAATCGTACATGCGATGCGACGGAACGGTTCTACAAAAGGATCTTCTGTGCAGCTGTTTTAACGTCTGTCCCCTTAGCCCGTCACTTCTCACCGGCAACTGAGCAGTTGATGTGAGGTCTGCATGAACATCAGCGCATCACAACAATCATGAGCGTTGTCCTTGAGACTTACGCAGTCGCCCTCGATCGGTGAGCGCAGTGTGATGAGAGCCGCATGAAGGCACGGCGAATACAGGGGTCAAGATTCGAGACGAACCATGATCTGCGGGGCTTTGTCATTCTGCATGTCGGACCTAAGACAGCTGTAGCCGAGCGATGTCCCAGTCAGGTCTCACCCGGGCATAAGAGCTTGTAGAGAAACCACCTCATGAACGTTTGTATCGGCCGATGGCGGCTCTACACGGTAGTCGCTCGCAGGAAAAAAAAAAGTAAACCTTGCAAGGTCAGTCTGTCGTATGCTGGTCTCCTCAAAATGACAACATACAAGCATCATTGTGTGCAAGATTCGAAGGGCTCCTATGTCTCATCCAAATGCTCTCGCGAACACAAACACGAGTTCGGAGAAAGACATCCATCAAAGTCTTGGTTGTGTATCTGTAGCAGGCGGCCGTGTGGGATAAAGCCGTTTGGCTGCTACTTGATGCAGGCGTTCTAGCGGTGTGAAGCACCTCTGCAGTCTTGTAGACTCCACTGATATAGAAGTGCATCTGTTCGATGCAAGTCAACTGGCATACCTGGATCCGCACGCACGGGGCCGCTGTTCAGTGCACCTGTCTTGGCATGGACTTCCGAGACGTTTCAATTTGGGAGAGACCGAACCCGGCTGGCCAGCTTGGGCTACCTATTTGTCGTATACTTGACTGTTGGGATTTGTATTAGCAACGATTCTCGTATGCACTGGTATTGGGAAGTGTGTGATTAGATATTCACAAAGCCAGTCTATAGTCCGACTTCACACATGCTTCACTAGCGAGATCGATCCAGCTGGAAATGAAATGTTCTAGCTTGTAGTTGGAGCGCAAGGACGAGAGACTTCAGAACACTTGAGCAGTCCCGCCGCGTCTGTTGTCTACAAGCACGTTTCCAGCGGAACTGGCAGAAGCTGGCAGAAACTGGCGCTTTTTCGAAGCCGCCAAGGCTGAACTTGCGCCCCAGCGGTCATAGCTGAAAGATCACAACAGACGCTGCTCCAGCCTCCAGCACTGACTTCTGCTCAGTCCAATCTGCAGCCATTGTCGAGACTTGTCACGGAATTCAACAGCCCAGGGTTTCAACGCTCACCAGATAGTACGCGACTGTCTCCATCCGGTGTTGACGTCCCTAATCACTTGTGGCATCTCGGCACTCTGTCTCGCAGCAACATTGGCATCGAAGTCCAACACGAGTCGCCTTGTAAGCATCGAGCCCAGACCCTGTTCATGACGACTCGAAGCTAAAACGACAATCATACAGTCTGGAGAAGATGGCAGCGGCGGATGTACCTCTTCTGATCATTTCGGACAACGCCCGATCTGAACGACGTGTTTCGCCTGCTTGGACCATAGCTCAACTGAAAGCACGCTTGGAACCTATCACGGGCATTCCGGCTTCTTCGCAAAGATTGACTTTGAAGGTCGCTTCCTGGCCAGACCAAAACCTCCAAACAGTCGACGAGCAAGACACTCAGCTTGAAACGTTCACCCTTCAAAGCTATGCAGAACTCCATGTAAGCAAATCTCTCGTTTTCCCGACGTATGTGCCGAGCAGGGAAGATGCATCCTCTCTTCCGGACGCTCGAGCGTTTGAACAGCCTAGTGGGCCTTCATCATTCTTAGTCTCGCGCCGTCAACTCTGCATCTGGCAAAAAAATACGCCCAAGTATTTGGCGGTCGAGATCGGTTCAGCCAGACAACCACGCAGGCACGAGTCCTGCATACCGGGGTAAATCTCGACCCGCATGCTTATACGTCCAAACGACGCTGAACCGGTTCGACGGATTATGGCTGGCGCCGCTTTGAGCAATGGCATGAGCTCTTACAAAGGGCCTTCTCCACATAATTTCCTCCCGAATCTGATCGCCAGACAAGGGCCGAGCCTGGTGAAGCTGGGAGTTGAACACTAGCCAATAGTTGCGTCGATCATTACTGATGATCTGTTAAGATAGCAGATACCCGCCCAGCAGGACTACGTGCCAATTATACGGATGTGTCTGCAGTCGAGAAGTATGAGATGCCCCCAGATGAGTATGAAAGTCGGACCGACAGCGTTCTACACTGGAAGAAGACGCATCAGCTAGGCAGATTCGACCCCAATGCCCCTAGCATCGAGCAGCAAAAGGTCGCTGGCATTGACAGAGAGATCGACGAAAGAGGTAAAATGAAGCGTCACTGCCGCTTGAACGACCGTGCCTCAACCAATGTATGCTCATTCTATGTCAGGTATCAAGATCGATGCACGCTGTCGTCTGCTGGCTGCGAATCAAGGCGAGAGCTCGCTGGAGCGTCGTGGAACCATCAAATTCATTGGACCTGTTCCCGAGATACCTGGCATCGGCTCTTGGGTTGGCGTCGCTTTGGATGAACCTACTGGCAAGAACGACGGTACTGTTAAAGGTACGCGGTACTTCCAATGTGGCGCCAACTGCGGTGTCTTCCTAAGGCCAGAGAGGATTGAGGTTGGCGACTTTGACATCATCGACGAATTCGGTAGCGATGAAGAATTTTGAGTCTTCACCACCAACGGATATGCAGGCCGGAAAAACAAACCAAGAACTGGCATGCAGGTGATATCAAGATTCTGAATTCTGATGATAGACCTTAGCTCTCCAAGCGACATGACTCTTGCAGAGCGGCAATCGACGGATCTTGGTATGCGAGCCCACGCCCAAGAGTGCTATCACCTTGAGACCCAGTCAGGTAGTGTGATATGCCATAAGCCACAAAGTATCCGGTGTTACAATGTAGCTACTCTAAATAGTGGGTAGATATGGAGAAGGTAGTACCGCTGGATTTTTCATCTAGCGCTGCAGTCGAAGCTTTGCAGTCACTGAGAGAAGAAGTCTGGTAGAATGAAATGAGTGGATAAAAGTCACCCCGCGGGCTGTGGCTGGGATCTGAAAGTGAAAGAGCCTTTCATACAGTGAATGTTTCGCGCTCAAGATTGTTGTGAGTAATGCTTGAGTCACAGAGAGCTGGGTCGACAGTCTAAACAATTCCTCGACAACAAGGTTGGATCCATTTCCATGTCCATCCGCGTTTGTACATGAAATAATCGTGGAAACAGCGTCAAGGAACAGATCAGAAGCAACGGCTCGGGATATTGTAGATGACATAGCTCGACCTTGCGGAATCAAATAAAGGAGGTTCGGAGGATGAATGCCGTGCCGCTGTTACGCTCAAAATCTCGAAACAGGGTAGGAAGAAGACAATGTCGTATTCAGCACTACGAGTCGCGATATAGCTAGGCGTGGCTGGAAATAGGGTTACGCCAATGTGCTCGCACACGTGGTTCTTGACAAGGACTTGTTTGCAACAAATTCTGACTCGTCTGAAACCTTCATAGCGCAAGGTGGCAGGGTTATCACGGCACGTTTTACGACTCATGTGTTATCCCTGACGTCCAGAGCCTCTGAGAGATGAGTGTGCGGATCGGATGGTTGACTGCCTTGCAGTCTCTGCAGCATCTAGTGGAGATTATTCGATTACAGTAGAATCTTGAACGTGACGTCTCTAAGGCAAGCGCCCTACCCGCCGCGAGCGTGCGAGTGCCGGATCTAGGGGGTGGGTTCGCCAAAAATCGTTCTTGCAATCTCTCGACGTTGACTAACAGCTAATCCCGGTGTAGCTTTTGCCAAGGCGCACAGCTCCAGATGTGTGAAGCCTCATCCAATTTCTGCGATGGCGCCATGATGCGTCCGTTCGTTATTTGCAATACTCGTGGGGAGTCGAGACTCGAGCTCTGATCTGATACTTCCATCTGACACGATGGCGAGGACTCATATGATTTTAGCCGCAATAGACTTTGCGATCCTATTCTGTTCCACCCGACACACTGTACTCAGACCCTCTGTTCGTTTGCAACTTGCAACAACCTTCTTGCGTTTAGTCGTCTCTAGGGCCACAGAGCTCAAAGTCTACACGACTTACCATTACGCCATCTCGGCCTGCTCTTCTGGACAACGAGACCCATAGGGCGTGTATTACACACGTGGAAGCCACTCAGTTTCACACCACTCAACCTTAAAGCGACGATTTCTGTGAACATTCGAACTTCGTGCTACAATCGGAACCCGGAAGTGCAATTCCCGTTCAAAAACACAAGCTTTGTTTGATAAGAGAGCGTTAGGTATGTCGAAGTGCTGACCAGATGCAGTCTCGCGAAGTTACCTCCGACGGTGTCCATTTCCACTTCCACGCGATCGTGTGTACGAGGAACTTGAGACTTTTCATGTTACCCTTTTTCTTGGTCTCCATGATTCATTGTATTCCTCTCTCGTCCACTAAAGCAGACAGTATGGAATCATCGTCCGCTCCTGGATTGGACTGGTTGCCATCGACTATCAGCGATCAATCGCTCGAGCCGAAGCAACGAGAGGAACACGTATGGTTCGATGGTACGTCAGTGCTTCTACACACAGTCTGGTCAAAGGAACAGGTTCAGTCGCAGGGGCGTTGGCCTGCCTCTTCGCAGCATCATCTGCTGACGCCGGACTTGGACGCAAACCAGGGCACGTCGCTTAGATGAACAACACGTTGTGAACGGTGAATTAAGGAACTCATCATAGATCCACTCAATCATTCCCGGGGCAAAACTGTTACAAGTCTTCAGTCTTTTCACGCCTACAAACGCGTGGATACGTACGCATCACGGCAAACATTTAAACGTGCAGGCAATGCAAGAATATTTTGGTAACTTGTAACTTTCTCTCTTGCACGGCACGGCGGAGCTCCGGCTGCTCTCGTCTTGATACCTCGGCTAAGCCATCCTCTACCCATACACTTCTCGAGAATCCTTCCAGGGCTTCGCAGCTTCCATCGCTAAACAACACTCATGTATGCTTCTTCATGTAACAGCAATGCGCTCTACCATATTCAATTTATCTTGCATCGAGGGCTTATTAGAGTTACGGACGGAACGTCACAATTGGGTTGAATTTCGGGGCTCTACCCCAGAGGAGATCATTCCGCGCGAACCGCTCGTCACCGTCGATCGTTCATCTTGGCCAATGAACGATCTGGATAGGCTCACGAGTAACCGCACCTAGATTGAGCCTCCGTCACGCGGAATCGAACCGTCGATTGCATCCTTCTTTCAGAGTCTTGGTACAGTAGACGATCTCACTCTGGGTTTCCTGTCGATCTGCACCAGCCACCTCTTTTTTCGTACTGCCCTAAGTCTGGTCCACTTGACTCGTAAGCTTTACGCTTCTCGACTTGTTGTCGCCTGCGATCTACATCCTCATAGGTCACACGAAAGTGTACGAATAGGGTGTATCCACTTTTGTCAAGGCTAAAGGGTCTTTCTTGAAACAGGATTGCCTTTTTGTGCTTTTCTGGTCGTCTACAATTTCCGGCCGCGGACCAACGGCAGAGCTCGGGAAGAAGCTGGAGAAGCGTGTTCACTGCCCTGTGCAGGACACTGAACTAACGTTTGACATTTTAAACTATATGTACGGCGAACGGGAAAAGGAACTGACATCGAAAAGTCGTGTCAGGCTGCCTATCGCTGTGTAATATCTGGCTCAAACCTTAAAGATCACCACACCACCACTCCTCCATACTTCTACAAGGAACACTGGAACGGCCTTATTGCGGTGTATCGTGTCATTTCGTACAGTTAGATGTCGCGACTCACGTTCCGACCTTGGCTCGCAACAAGCAGTTCAGAGTTTAAAGAAGTATAGGAACGCGGGTGGCATGAGATTCACCATCACGGCGAGAAGGGCGATTGAGCACTCCTTCAGTTACCGCCGACGAGTCACGCTGATAGCCAGCGAGCTTCGAGTCAGTGTTTCTTGGTATGGACAACAATCCCACTGACTGGCCAAGCAAGACGCAGAGGCTATGAGATTGGCAATTTCAACATCTCACAGAATGGCCAACTCTGACAAGACCAATTACCATCTGGACATGAGCCACGAGCGCCAGTACCTACGTCTCTCTCTCCTACGCTATAAGTGTACGACCGGAAGACTTACTAGAGTCCCTGGATGAGGCACCATCGTGATACGTGCTCGAGCGTAGTCTCTATTGGGAATCTATTCAGTACCTACATTTCACGACGTGGATGCTCGCTCGGAACATATCCGACTTCATGCTTCTCGATAGGTCTTGATCAAATGGACCAAATCGTTTCTTGTGCCATTTCAACTCTACATACCTGCCTGGATCCAACGCGAAGATCGAAGGACATACGGTGAGGACAGTATACTAATTTAATCTTGTCCTAGTACTTGGATCCAGGACACAGAGACGAAGCATACAGCACCAAACCACATTGCTGACACAAAGGATGATCTCTCTTTGCTGTACGCCAAACTATTTACACTTTGAAGGCAGAGCTCCACTGGCATATAAACACATCCCAACATCAAGTCCGCCCTCGGCTCTTCTACACGTCTTACTCGAGCGTCCATTATACTCTCCACTCTGACTTAAACGTCACCTTACAGATATCTCCTTTCCTCTTCTTACCCAGTCTTGACCTGTCGTTCATCTCTCCATCTCTGTGTTCCCACTCTGAACTCTCACAATCACTCAAATAACTACAATTACTGTCTTCGCTCTCGGTCACCATATCTATCGAGCTACGTGCTGGAAGAATAGTCAAGTGGACGGACAAATGAGTAGAAAATGGAAGATGGTAGAGAAAAAAAAAGAAAAGTCTCATGACGGTTTCGTTAAATCGCAACATCCACAAGAAAAGGAAGTCAAGAAAGAAGAAATAGGAAGGATTGCCTCCCTAAGTCCAGGAGAATGCAAACAAAAAGGCAAAAAGGCCCGCAAGAACGCCCAGACACCTCCAAGGAAGGCATGTATCACCAACTCCAAACCAAACAAGGCGAGCATCAAAAATTCCAATTCAGACCGACCAACGGAGGCAGAAAACTGCACCTCAAGATTGCGACTCCCTCCCCATATCCTCAAACTGCGTCGCCGCAGCTTGTATCTCGCAACCCTGCGCAAAAAAGATCTTGGCCGAGTGGGTAGAACTCTCATTCATAATGGCATAGTTGTTTCCTGTAATCACCCACACACGTCAGCAAGATTATTCTCATTTCTCCATCCTTATAATCGAATGCAAGATATGTTGACACCAACAAAGGTGACACGGAAAAGAAGCAGACACCCATCGAGTCAAGGGAAACCAAATGTAACACGAAATAGCGCCACAGAGGAAGTCCGTGAAGCGGATTTTCAGAGAAATTCCAGAACCATGGTTGGTGTATATTGCTATACCCCAGCTTTTTTTTCTGTCGTGGTACGAAGCAAGTGGTTCACCCCCTGAGACCGTACCACGTCAAAAGACTATTTTGACGTCTTGTGTTGTACGGAACTCCTTGCTCAGGGCAGATATAGTCGAGTGTCACCTTTTGAGTGAGAGCCGGTGCGTCGTTTTGATCGTGCATGAAAGGAAAGCTCTGCTGCGGCGTGCAGTCTTACGGTGTAGACAAGCCATTGACCGCTGTTCCTTGGAGAAACACGAACAACAAACAGAGAACATCACTAGAGGGGGAAAGATAGGAAAAGAGGCAGAGAAGTAAAAGAAAGAACAAAAACTTACCCCTTGGCACTTGCCAGACACCGCCTTTGGTCATACCAAATTGGACGTCTTCAATATCGACTGTTACTTTGCCCTCATGCACAAAGAAGACCATTTGCATCTTTCGAGAGTTCTTCATGCGTTTATAGCCATCTGGTGGAATTTCGACCATGCCAGATCCGAAAAAGGGAAGGGTCATAACCTTCGCATAGCGGAACGACGAGCCGTGTACATCTTGTGTTTTGATGGCTGTGGCGGCGAATGCAATATCTGTGAAGTCAATGTCAGCGTTTCTGTAATCGGGAAAGTATTGCAAGGGGTTCTTACCTTCATTCACGCCATCTGCTTCTGTGCTGCCTGTGCCGACTTTGGTATCCCAAGCTCGAACTGTGCTGTTGATAACACCCAATTCCTGCTCCCAGGCTTCCGGCAAGAGATCCTCATCCTCTTCCTCATCCTCCTTGATTGGGCCGAGTCTTGTCGCCTTCTTTCTTGAAGGAGCAGCGCGTTTCGGTTTTGTTTGCTCGACAGGCTCTGCACGAACGACACCCTCCACCTCACCCTGATTCCAGATGTAGGTCTCATTGCACCAGTATTTCAGCGGCTTGATCGAAGTACGGCCAGATCTTGTAGTTTTGGCACCCTCATCTTCTGCAGGAGTACCGGCGCGCAAGTTCACGATCGACTTGGGACCTGGCTTCCTAAGTCCATCTGGGCCCACAGATTCGCTATCTCTCGATGCTCTAGGGCGTGGTTCAACACCCGCAGATGGTTGTTTCTTCTTGCCCTTTGCTTTCGCAGGCGCCTTTGCGCGACCTCGCTTCTTGGTCGGTTCTGGTTGTGTTTGCGCCTCCTGGTCGGACTCATCCTGTACGTCGTCTTCCGGAGGCGGCATAAAGTCTTGGGCAGCATTCGAGGGGGAGGAAACGTCGAGATCTTGATCGTGATGGTTTGCATGCTCCTCGTGAGGATGCTCACCGGCGACTTTTCGTACTTCGAACGGTCGCTTTTTCTTGGTCGAAAGTGGAGCTGAAGCCTCCATGATGGGCTCGTCATGAAGTTCAGTCGTCTCGGCAATGTCGTCCTCAGCTATGGTGGCATTTCCAATCGTGTGGTCGTACATGTGTGTTCGCTCCGTCTGATCCACGGTTGTCTCATCTGCCGTTGTCTGCTCGATGCCCGTCTCTTCTGCCATGGTCTGGTCGACTGTCGTGTGGTCGAGGACTGTCTGATCAACCCACGTGTACTCGACTCCCGTCTCTTCTGGTGCCTCTATCTGGTCCATCATCTCAGTCTGATCCGCCGCCTCGGTTTGGTCATGCATCTCAGTCTGGTCTGGAAGTTCTGTCTGGTCGGGCAACTCTGTCTGATCCGGCATTTCTGTTTGATCCACAGTGATGTATGTGTACTCGGCGTCGGTTTGATCGAGTAATTCTGTCCGGTCCATGGTGGTCTGATCCACGATGGTGTAATCTGCCACAGTCTGGTCCACTGTTGTTTGATCCGCCATTGTTTGGTCTGCAAGGGTATGGTCCATGACCGTCTGATCTTCCTGGTGCTCAAGACTCGGCCTTGGGCGTTTGTTGGACTTTGGGACGGAGGGCGGTTGCGTTACGATGGGCGACGAGGGATTTGCGAGTTTGCGCTTTTGCGATCTGGTGCTTCGTGCTGAGGAGAGCACATGCTGTGGCACGTCGTCGTCGAACAAATCATTGACAGCATCCTGGACTTGCTGAACCGAAGTGTCAATGTCGTCGTCGTCTTCCTGGTGGTGTTGTAATGTGGTCGGAGAGTTTTGCAAATCAAAGACACTCTTGCGCGACTTTCCGAACCGCGGCTTGAAAGGACTTGGACTGGGCACGACAGCCGGTTGTGCTTTGTTGTTCTGCTGCTTGTTGGCAAAGTCGAGGCGCCTGCTCGTGCGACTCGTTGACGGAGCAGATGAAGCGTGTTGTGGTGATGATTGCGTGTCTACAGGCTTGATGGCAGAATGACGGACGGGTGAGCCTCCAATGTTCGTATGCCGAGGAGTCTGTGTCTTTGGCGGTAGGTGAGGCGTCTTGCGCAGGTTGAGCGTCTCTGCGACTTCTGGTATTGAGCCTGGGAAGTTCGTCAGCACATGTGTCGGAGTCATGTCGCGCACATGGTTCGCTTTGTACTGTCTTGCAGAACCATCTCAGACGATCCCAGGGCCGTGTCGTTACCATTTGCTGGGATGCGCTGTGGTGAGCGCTGTGGTGAAGCTACGGGTGACGAGAAGATGCCGCTGACTGGCTCGAAACCGTGTTCATCGCGAACTCCGCTATCCTTCAAGACCAGACCAGTGCGACGGCCTTGCTTGCCAGGCTCGAAGAAGTTGATGTTTTCCTTGAAGTTGTTGTGTCGTCGCGATTGGCGCTGAGGCGTATTCGACGTCGTCGGTCGGTTGGACATGTTGTCGCGTGTGTTCCTAGGGTAATGCGACAAGTGCAACAAGTGCGCCGAGTCGAAGAATGGGGTGATGAGACAGTTGCTGGGTGGTGGGCGCGGTAGGTTGCTTTGTTTTGGCCTAGTCAAGGTTTCGAAGCTGTAAACAACACGCCAAGCCCATGACTTCCGCTTTGGGCTAGTCACCTCTCTCCGCAATCCACGTCGCGTCTGCTCACATCTCCTCGCGTCTCATCGCGTCGCAGCTCAAACTTTCGTCTTTGCAACAAACACTTTCATCAAGCAACTCATCAACATCATACCTTGACCACCGTATCATGGATGAACCGTTGGAACAGCTAGACTCGCAAGAGATGGAGCAAGACGTTGCCCTGGAGACACCCCCTGACCATGTCTTCATGGCTCCCTCCATCGACAGAACCAACATCGCCAAGGGAGACTCATACTCTTACATTTCGCCTGTACCCAAGATGCTCAAGGACGACATGTCAATCGAGTGCGTTCTGGGCGTAGACGAAGCTGGCCGTGGTCCTGTCCTGGGCCCAATGGTTTATGGTCTTTACTATCTGCCGCTGTCAATGCACCGCACCTTGCTTGCCGACACTCACCACTTCGACGACTCCAAGGTGCTGTCGCCCGCCGTCCGCTCATCCCTGATGCAGGCCATCTGCACTCCTGGCACTGATCTGTACGACTCTTCCGGATGGGCCACTCGTGTCATGTCTGCCAAGGACATCTCCTCTGCCCAGATGAGGCCCACCGCTACATACAACCTCAACGCCCAGGCCATGGACGCCACCATCGACTTGATTCACGCTGTCTTCGCTCTCGGCGTCAACCTGAAAGAGATCTACATCGACACAATTGGTCAGCCAGCCGCATACCAGAAGAAGCTCGAGCGCATCTTCCCTACCGTCAACATCACTGTCGCAAAGAAGGCCGACTCATTGTACCCCTGTGTGTCAGCCGCCAGTGTTTGCGCAAAAGTCACAAGAGATGCTGCCCTCGACGTCTGCTACCAAATCTTCAAGGACGCTGTGTCAAACGAGAAGGACGTACCCGAACAGCCTGCAGAAGGCTGGGGCTCAGGATACCCGAGTGATGCACGCTGCTCCACTTGGTTGAAGAAGAACATGGATCCTCTGTTCGGCTGGGGTCACGAGTGTCGCTTCAGTTGGTCCACTGCAAAAGATTTGTTCGAAATCAAGCCTGCTGCAAAGGTCAATTGGCCTGTTGCTGAGGACGAAGACTCCACAAAGTTGACCAATTTCTTCATGTACTCTGCCGAAGAACATGCTCAGGGTGAAGATCAGCTTTCGACATGGTATGGCCGTCGCGTTACCGAAGATGTCTTCTAGAAAGAGAACATGCACAATCTCAACACTTGTCATAGGTCTTGTCGAGTCAACACTCGTTGCTTGCCTTTGGAGCGCTCGTCGAACTGACATGTGCTTCGATGAGATTGTCGGCTTGTGTCGTTGCCATCAACCGGGAAGACCTGGATTTTGCAATGCCTTTCATACACTCTTCGATGATTCTCGCAGCTATCTGCCAGAGCTTCTTGAAATCTGCAGTGGCTATCATATGCCTTGACCAGCTCCTCGAGGTCTCTCAGGGCCGCCTGGCATGGCCAATGCGTACTCTGACGTGATTCTCGACTAATATCTCACGCCTCACATGACTGCCAGGGGACCATTGAGGCCTGTGATAAATGTCATGTGCTTCGACAAACTTCTCGACGCTTGCAATCGCCGCCTCTCTGGGGGCCTTTGAAGTCTGCAGTAGCTGACTGATGCCTCAACGAGCCCCTCGAAGCGGGTCTCATAGTCCGCGAGCATGTGCCTTGACGAACTTCTCGACACTTTCCATAGCTACATGCTGAGGCATTCTGAAGCCTGTATCAACTATCTTGTGCCTCGACGAATTCTCTACGTTTTCGATCGCTGCCTGTCAGGTGTTTTGGAAGCCTGCGATAATCGATGTGTGCCTCGCCGTATTCCTCGACGCTTCCCTCCCTGCCTGTCAGAAGACTTTGAAGCCTACGATAGTCGATATGTGCCTCGACATTTTCCTCAAAGCTTCCAGTGGCTGTCTGCCCGAGGCATCCGAGACCTACGACAAGCGACATGTGCCTCGATGTATTCCTCGTCGCTGCCTGTCAGAAGTTTATGAAGACTGGGATGACCGACCTATGTCTCGATGTTCCCTCGACGCTTTCGATCGCTGCCTGCTCGGAGGGGTTTGAAGCCTGGGACGGTAATCATGTGCTTGCACGTACGCACCCGCCTGATTTAGTGCACTTGCCTACTCATACGAACTCCCCATCGACATTTCACGATCACATCCATAACAATGGCTGACAATCTTGGAGGCCTGTCCACAATACAAACGATTCTGTTACGTGGAGCTATTATCTCTGCTATCGTCTGCGTCGTTACTACAGCACCCCCGGTTCTGTTCGTCATGCTCATCCTCGTAGCAATAGCACCCGAGACATTCTCGGACTTGATCTTTGGTCATGGCACGACGCATGTCCAAGTCGACGCGAATATCACGTACGATCAACCACGCACTGCAAGTCAACACGCGCGTCGAACAAGTCCGACTCGAGCAAGCGCGCGCGACGGCCATCCTCCAAGCCCACCACGTCCTCAGAGCCCTGAGTACACATGGGTTCGTCGATACAATTCTCCGCGACCAGCTTCCGTAGATGCATCCTTTGCTGCCCAACAACCTTACACATGGCGAACTGGGTCTGGCTATGTTGCTACATACACGAACATCGCGGCCTCCACACCTCCGTATCTCCCACCAGCCACAAGATCAGAGCCGACGCGCCACCATTCTCGCGGCCCAAACTCCCCTATTTTCCGAAACGTGCCATACTCCTCCATGAACCCTTCGCCGCCGAGATACCCGCCTTCACCATCTCCGCCACGCCATCGCCGACGTGAGCGTGTCGACTCGGATGTGTCTTGGGATAACGACGATCGTCTCCCTCCTGCTCGTCCGCGCGAACCTGACAGTCCAAGTCGTCCAGAGCACTCGAGAAGGATCACGGCTGAATCTATGCCAGGTCTGATCGTCATGGTTGACGAAGAGTCTGAGCATGAGCATGAGTCTGAGGATGAGGTGTTGCCGATATATGAGCGGCCGCCTGAGTATGATGATGAGAGACATAGTCGGAGTTCATCGCAATGATTGCAGGATTTGAGCTTGGATATGCTATCTTGCTTGGGGGTTGCTAAGATTGGTCAAAGGAGTCAGTATGGGATGAGTTGAGAATGTTCAAGCAGGGACATTTGTATGTGTTTTTCGAAAATGTATGGGTAGGAAGTAACAAACGAGATAGCAGATGACAAGATCGAATGGTAGCAAACAAGGTCACGATCAGCGTATAAACAATCAGACTTTCTCACAAACCTTTACGCAAATTTGTTTGAACAGAGAAGGTCAAGATAACTTATATTGACAGTATGTAGCTATCAAGGTCATCATTTCGCCCTCGTCTTCCTCCATCTCTCCACCTCCACACTCAAGGATGCATGTCCGATCCCACTCTCACAACCCCTCCCTCTCGTCAAATCCCTGTCCCCAGTACGCGGAACCCCGATATTTTGCTTCACCTTCTCTCCAGCACTCATATAGCTGCTTCTCATCCGAGTATTATCCGGCGCATGCCAAGCTGCCATTTTCCAACCTGAGGAGTGTGGTGTCCTGCAATTACCCAGATTTGTCCAAGACTCCAGGATGATTTCGACAAACCCCTCACGGTCAAGGGTGTGAGCGTGTATGTGAAGAGAAAATTGACAAGTGCAGAATTCGCATTCGTCAAAGTGGCGCCATGAGAAGGTGGTGGCGATGGTGCTCAAGATAAGAGTCTCGATGAGAGCCGTCATTGCACAGCGAAGACGGTCGTGGAAGATGCTTGAGTGCCGTGTAGCATTTGGCAGGGGTTTCGGCGTGTGGATGCAGCCATGGAAGAAGTGTATTGCTGTATGTGTGATGTTGCAATTTCCACTCTTTATAACTTTCAGGTCCTCGTGGCGGAAAAGCACGTGTTGGCAGGACTGGCGCAGTACCATATTTTCCTCGATGTAGGGGTTGATCTCCAATCTTGTCAAGGAGTCGAAGAGGGGGTTTGGTCGTCTAGTCAGCTTCCAGTCTGTGTTTATGGAGATACTGTTTAGAGGTGCGCCGTGAGTGACTCCCCAGCGGTGTCTGTGCATCACGGCTTGTACATCCGCGTATTGTAGGTGGAAGATCCAGTTTTTGAAGTGTAACCATGATCCAACCCCTCTTGAACATGGCCTATACTTTTTCCAGTGGTTGGTAACTTTCGGTGTGAATATCGTACGGTTGGGGTGAAATTTCATGCAAGCTTCGCATAGAGAGTGATTTGGTAGCGATTTTTCCAGTCTGTAGAGTATGTGTTCAGGTTTGTGAATCTCTGTATCGAGGTCTGGATGATTGATTATTATCCAGTGAGACCGAATTCTGCTGAGCAGCTGAGAGTACCAGAGTCGTCTGCAGGTCAGTCGTAGACTTGTAATGTCGTGGTGTGAGATGTGTTCGGTGATTGCTAGCAGAATTTCTGTTGGAAGATCTCCAAGACCAGTTGTGTGTTGGGCCATGATCTTTGAAGCTTGTCGCTGCTATTTCCGGTGGTAAGTAATTCCAGGTGGCTGGTGTATCAAAGCGAATGGATCCATCATAAATCGAGAACTTGTCCACCCACCAGGTTCTAATTGACTCACATGCCACGAGGTATTACTAAACCATCAATGAATCTGCTATTGCCAGAGCATCGCGACGCCGCAAGACGACATTATGTAGAGGTCTGACCAATCGCTCGTGCTTCGTGTTTTGTACCGAGCACTGTAGCATCTTATTGCGAAAATCGCATTTCAAAGTCATCATGACATGACATGAAGAATGAAAGAATACCTCAGTCGAGATGATTGAAGCGAGCTTTGACAGGCCGGTTGATTTGCGGCTGAAATGCGAAAGTCGTCATGTTCAATTTTTGCTCCGCGCCTTCTGTGCCTGTCTTCTTTCCAGTCGCGATCATCTGTTTGTTCAGGGCTGTCGTCCAGACATAGCACAGACTTGCCCTCCATTATGTGCAGGCTGACCGGACAATCGAAACCCCGGCGGTCCCGGCGGTCCCGGCGTGGATGAAGCACACGCCGGACAGTCTCACGGGTGGAAGAGGAACCCGCAATCAGCACGCAGACACACCCCCAACTCGAAAACTCACCTGCTGCAGCAGCAGCAGCATCATCAGCCAATCTCGGTGTTCTACTCTTGTTGTCCCAGTTCATGTAGACTGAGTGCATGAGAACCTTGTCTTTTCGCCGAAGACGATGGCTCTCTGTCAACCCCCACATCTTGTCTGCGGTAGGAAGCCCGAGATCGCAGGATTTCGCGAACACCTTTATCCTCATCGTTGATCGCCCAAAGTTTCTCCAATGGACAGAAAACTATCCCTGGACGTCCGGTCCTGTCGATCACCTTGGCTGGGCTCGTTAAGACAAACATGTCACTTCCACCCCTTGGCGATTCACCGTCCATCGAAGCGACTGCCAATTCATCCTCGATGCAAACAGCGCAAGCCTTGGAAGTCCTTCCAAATCTCAGAATGTACTGGCGGAACCGAGGCTGTATCACTTAGTTCATGAGGCGTCCATCCTCCATGCACCCAAAGCTTGCCATTTGCTGGGCGACGCCGAACCGTGGCTTTTCGGACATGTACACTCGCAACCTTGTATCACGCGACTGCAGGACTGTTTGAAGGGGCAAAACAGATGTCTTCAGAACACCGAGGAGCCTCGGTAGGAGTGCGATATGATACATGTTTCTTAGCATCAAGCAGACGAAGAGTTGGATCGAGAGCACGCCAAGTACCCGTCTACAGTGGAATATCAGGAGACGTCCCAAAGATTCTTTGGTTTCGTGAGGCAAAAGGACATCGCAACCGGCAGGCTGTCATCCGAAGATGCAGCAGTTACCCAATGTCGTAATCCGACTAGAAGACAACTATCATTTCGTGTCGTGATATGCAGCATATCCCATGCACACATCAAAACGACAAACTGACCGAATCTCGTCAGCGTAGCTTTCACTTCTGCATCCAATCTAAACATCAAAAAGTCAAAAACTCGAGCCCACCGCGACCGAGGCAACTATCTTCCCTCTCGTACATTTACGAGTTCGCCAAGTACACTTCTCAGGCCAAGGGTCTTGGTACCAATGGTTTGACCGGCTACAAAGCAAAAAGACAACTCCAGCCGCCCTTACTCAGCCTTTTCTCAGCCATAGATGATAGCGCGCGGCCAAGCACTCCTCCACACCGGGGTACCCCGCTTCTCCACAGCCTCAGCTGCGCTTCAAGCGTGTTTAGGGAAAGACCGTGCTTGTTGGCGAACTCTCCCTATCACATCCTCAACGTTCGATCATGCGTCTTGTCCCACCGAGTTCGGAACCGCCGCGGCGGGGCCTAGGACTGCTCGATCCTACGGATCCTGCGCTCTACAGTTATCACGAATTGAGAACATGAAGGAGATGATTAGAAACCCTGAGTATGGTAGGTTAACCTGTCGACGATGTACTCATCAAGGGTATGGCTAGAAGTCTAGGACGGTCCAATCTCTTTAACTAACGTCGGTGTGCGCGACATGCCACACGTGGCGCTTGTCGCTCTCCCGGTCCTTTTTGAGCGACAAAGTTCAACTACCACCGGCTTGCGGGGTAAAAGATACCAGTCTTGGCCATGGCATAAATAAAGACTAGGTGGTCTCCACTACAATGTTTCCTGCATCTCCTTATCAGTACTCTAATCACATCTTTGGGCCATCAAGTCAGCCCATCATGACTACCCACGCCAATGAAAAAGATCTCAACATCAACTACCTCGAGCAAGTGGACACCAATGGAGATACAGCGTCCGACAAGATCAACGATGCACGTATCGAAGCATTCACTCCTGAGGAACAGAAGAAGATTATCTGGAGAATTGACCGTCGATTGGTCTTGACTCTTGGCTTCCTTTACTGTGTCAGTCTGATGGACCGTACCAACACTGGCATCGCTGTCGTTGCTGGTATGGGTGTCGACCTTCTTCTCATCAAGGACCGTTACTCGATCATTGTCCTCGTCTTCTTCATTCCTTACGTCCTTTTCCAACCTCCAGCCACTGTCCTCCTCCGTAAGGTCGGCCCTCGCGCTTTCTTGCCTACCATCACTCTCGCTTGGGGCATTGTCATGATCGGTATGGCTTTTGTCAAGACTTGGACCACATTGATTCCTCTCCGTATCCTTTTGGGTATTTGTGAGGCCGGTTTCTTCCCTGGATGCGCCTATCTGCTGTCGTGCTGGTATCCCAGGTACATGCTTCAGAAGCGTAACGCTGTCTTCTACCTGATCGGCTCCCTCTCGTCTGCTTTCTCTGGTATCCTTGCCTACGGATTCAGCCAGATGGCCGGTCTTGGTGTTGGTGACGGTCTTGGTGCTCACTACGGCCCTGACAAGCTCCACCCAACTCGCCCAAGAGGTATTGGTCCCGGTCTTGCAGGCTGGCGCTGGATCTTCATCATGCAAGGTCTCATCACCTGCATTCTCGCCATTGGCGCCTACTTCACCATTGTCAACTTCCCCGAGAAGTCCGCACACGTCAGCTTCGGCCCCAAGTTCCTGACACAAAAGGAGGTCGACTTCGTTGTAGCTACCATTGAGAAGGATCGTCATGATGCAATTCCTGAGGAGTTCAAAGTTGGACAATACCTCAAGAGTGCTGGTGACCTCAAGGTCTGGGGTTTCGCTGCTCTCTTCGGTCTCTCTACTACTGTTTCCTACGCCATCGCATACTTCTTGCCCATCATTCTCGAGGTCGGTATGGGCTTCAACAAGCGTGACGCACAATGCTTGATTGCCCCTCCTTACGTGTTTGCCGCCATGGTCACTTTCGGTTTCGCCTGGTTTGCCGACAAGTACCGTTTGAGATCTCCCTTCATTATCGCCAACGCTTGTCTTATGCTCGTCGGCCTTGGCTGTCTTGGATTCACCAAGTCAGTCGGCGCTCGCTACTTTGGTGTTTTCCTCGCCACCGCTGGTTGCAACGCCAACGTCCCTGCCGTCCTCACATGGCAAGCAAACAACATCCGTGGTCAGTGGAAGCGTGCCCTTACCTCTGCCACCCTCGTCGGTGCTGGTGGTATGGGTGGTATCATTGGTAGCACCGTATTCCGCAAGCAGGATCAGCCCGGATACCGCCCTGGTATCTACGCTTGCCTCATTGCCAGTAGTTTGATCATTGTCATCTCTCTGTTGTTGGACTTCAAGTTTTGGCGCGCCAACAAGAGAGCCGCTGCTGGTGGCAAGGTTATTGAGGGTCTTCACGGCTTCAGATACACTCTGTAAATTGGGTCCGTATTGTGTATTTATGAATGAGAGTGGGTGACCCCATGCTATAATTACGAATCTATTTTATCATTTCACAAAACGTCTTTCTCTCCTGAAATTGCTCGTGTGAAGCCTAGGCACATTTTCTCCCAATGCTGTAATCTTGGCCTGCATCTGGAGAGCTGAAAGCCGTTTTGCAGCCTGAGTTGGTGGGACACACACAACCACGACTTTTGACCACTCAACGTTATTTCACTCTTGACCACTTTTAGCTTCTCATCGATCATCCCTCTTATCTGATCCGGGCATCTTATCTGATGGATCGACAACTCTAATAGCGACCACACATGAGAGATCATTGATCTATAACATGCCATCTGCGCTGACATATACATTTCGCTCGCTCAGCGGTTATCTTTTCAAATCTGTCTTGGCACCAACCAGCCGACCTCGGAGAAAACAATTCGAAGCAACATCTCAACTTTGCATATCACTACCAACAACAACAACATCAATTCTCCACCACATCCCCAAGACATCTCGCAAACAATGTCTACAGGTTCTGGAACACCAATCACACTCCCCAGCGCCACACAACACGACCTCACAAACTCCGTCACTGGTCTAAACTACCGCGTCCAAATCTCGTGGCCAATAAACTGGATCCGTACAAAACAACTCCGCGACTCCAAAATCCCTGTCCTCTACATCTTAGATGGAAACGCTTTATTCCTTACCGCCTCAGAAATTCTGTGGAGAAGTGCGAGTAATTCGTTCTATCATGGTGGAGGTATTGTGGTAGGGGTGGGATATCAGGATATCCCGACGCAGACGGGGAGTTTGTTTAGTAGTCAGAGGAATACAGATCTGACGTTGAGGGAGCATGATGTGTATGCAGGATTAGGGGGTGCTGATGCGTTTCTGGAGTTTATCGAAAGGGAGGTTAGGCCGCTGGTGAGGAGACAGTTTGAAGATGTCGAGATTGGCAAGGAAGCTATCTTTGGGCACTCGTTTGGTGGGTTGTGTGTGCTTCATGCGCTGTTTAGCAAGAAAGGTGGCGCTTTTGATGCATATTTCGCTGCGAGTCCCTCGGTGTGGTGGGATGTGAAGATCGTGGACGAGGCGGAGGACTTTTGCAGTGGTGAGGAGAAAAAGCCGAAATGCTCATTGCACATATCCTACGGAGGATTCGAAGCAAAGCCAAAGCGGGTACACTCAGAGTCAGAGATCGAGCTCGAGGAGAGGCAGAAACGCTGTGTAGAGCGCAAGATGGGTGCAAACGCAGTTGCGATGGAGAAGAAATTGCGAGAGAGCGGAAAGCTGAAGGACGTCTCAATCGTCGAATTCGAGCAGGAAGACCATGGCACGGTTGCTACTTCTGCATTACTCAGGGCATTGAGCACTTTTCTGGACCATTAAAGATTGTCAGGATGGTATGTCATCGTCGATTCCTCGATCATTGTTTGGGTGTCTTTGCAGGATCTCTTCCCAAGACATCAAAACACCCACAAGCACAAATCTGATCATGTCCACGCATCAGGTACTGGACGGTACCGGCATCGTCCCGGCGCAAAAAGTGCCAACAGTTCCGAGGGCACGTTATATCTGCTCGCAATGTTTCGAACGTGCAAGCACATCCCTGGTAATTGCCTCCTCGATGCATCCTCATAAGGCCTGCAGTCAGGGCGCAACAAGTACAGATTGTTTGCTCGGTACCGTTCGCATTCCGTGGTATCGTCTTAGATGTAAAGAAGAAGTCTGGTTTACCATGGCTTGTTGACCAGCAATCCTCGCTGATGCCATATGAGTGCCAGGTTTTGTCGACGCTTCTGATAATCCGAGTCCAATAAGCTTGACGGAGTGACTATTCCAGTTGACAGAACTCCCAACTCTGATCTGGTTGGTCTTTCGTTTTCTCAAGCTTTTGATTTATGGCCAGTCTCTCATGAGGCCTTGGGGGCTGAACACTCCTTCTGAGAACAGGTATCAAAGGCCTAGGCCCAAGGCTGAGTGTATTTGAGTGTTGTTGATAGATCATGATTGGCCACGTGCGTGTTCGATATGACTCCAGCGTGAGTTCCGGTGCGCGTCAAAGCTGCTGCAATGCACAGTCACTTTGTGGATTGCTTAGACCATGCTGAGACCCTCAAGATAGCTCGCGATCTAGGCTACCTCCGTGTTCGAGGCTTCCCCTAGAAATAGACTCTGCATTGCGATAGGTGATTCTGTAGTCGAGTACGTGTAGGAGATTACGCTCTAGCTCCGAAGGTCTGATAATCACAAGGTAGAGTAGTATTGAGGACGGTATTTGATACTATCTGTGATCGAAATCTGTCTGAAACTATGCCTTGCGTGATTCTCAAAGCCTTTAGAGCACCCCTCGTCTTCCGATGCGTACGTTTAGCTATGGCTAGTACTACTTTGATCTCAGCCATCCCTCAACCACTGACCAGAAGTTCCATCGCTATTGTCTTCATCGACGTCAAAACATCCGCATGAGCAAATCCTGTCATGTTGCAGCATGAATTGCTGGACAGCATGCGCTAAGAACAGCGTGAATATATGGTACCAGCTTGCGTTGCATCTGCTATTCTCCTCTCGTAGAACTTTGAAGGTACAGTTGCATCCTTTGCTGCGTGACCGATGCATTCGTAAGGTGTCGACGGTGAGCTTGCAATGCTGGCGGATCGCTTGCTCGCTATCTTTTCCACGAGGCGTTGTCTTGCAAGTGAAGAAGATGTCTGGTGTGTTGACAGGTCCCGTCCGAGATGGCTGAATGAAACCATATTGATGCCATATCTGATCGCCACGCTTGATGGCTCGTGTACAGTAAGAACTGGAAGGCGAGCTAGAGTTGTCAAAATGCCAGGCTGAATCCTGCGCCTTCTTTGCCGACCCGAGGCTTTTGTCAGCAGCCAGAGGTTTCTGAGGTCCGAGAAGCTTGGAGACGTCTCTAGAGAATGGAGACGCTGGCTGAGACATACTCCTTGAATCGGCCGTCACCATTGAGAGCGCCCTGCCGCTGTCAGGTCTTCTTAGACTTGACTGTTCGGCGACTCGCGACATCGAGGGTACTGAGTGTGGGATGTGTAGCGACTCATATGTTGGCAGTTGATCGCTGCATTCGCAACAACAAGAACAGGTCATGGCTGGTACTACGATATAGTCAGGACGGCGGTTTGTCGCTTTATGGTGAGCGGCGATGGGAAGTGCGAAGCAAGAGGTCTGACCACTTAAATACGAGCGGAGGAAAAAGGCAGGGGTACTAGTCACAATGATGAGCAAGATCTTGAATCATCAAACCTGGAAGCGATAATTTGATCTTTTTTTTTTCAGGAAATACCGTCGTTGTTCTTGCCTGTGTGGACGCAAAACAAATCTCAGATGTCGCGATTTGTCTCGTGAGATTGAGCAAAAGGTTACGCTGATACTCTCCCAATGTCAGTAATGGCAATCGATAAATAATCGTGAATAAACTCACGCGGCGCCGGATAATAAATGTGTTGGTGAAGGAAAGAAACAGGACGCTTCAGGCGTCGCCGAAGTAAACACTCGGGTCCGGCACAAGGCAGACAAGGCACACAAACGTCATCAGCTCATGGGCACGAGTAACGCTGCTTCCTCTCGACAGAGCCCTCGCTGAAACTACAGTGTCGCAATGCAGAGTGACATTCAAGAACTTAGGAGCCTTCAACCGGGGGCCCTCTTTTCATACAGCAGTTTCGCGCTCTCAGCGGAGGTATACGTGTTTCTACAAATGATTGTGCATCTTCACAAGCAAAGATCAGGGGCAAGCATGAAGCGGAGAGCATGCTATTCTGGTACAATCATTGACTGTACGAGCTGATATAGTATGTAATCACCGATTCCACACCTCCCGGGTCCTCGTTTGTGAGGTAGACGTACAAGATCAGCGCATTCTCATCGCAAAAGCCTGTGAGAGTGTCAGCATCAACACACTGTTGAAGCAGCGGACCAAGACTTACATGCAATGACTCTTCCACCCACTCTACCAATACCCAGGACTTTGCCCCAGTCCTTGCCGTCCAGTCTCACGACAGCCCAGCCTTCATCACTGATACCTTCGGGATCACCTCGACTCCGCATGATCGTACTCGGATGTTGTGCTATGCCATCTTCACCGCCTTCCACGGTCTCAGGGTCCAGCTCTGGGTTACTCAGTCCAGTCCACCTTGAGCTGATATCCATAGCGTCGGTCTTGAGCCTCAGTCTCAAGCAGCCATGCATGTTTGCGCTCAACTCCAGCTTTGGCATCCTCGTTGTGTTGCCTCGGAAGCCTGTTGAGCCATTCGCTGGTTTTGTACTGGAGACGGCGAGTTTGGTAAAGCGGTCGGAGATGGATTTGAGTTGCAGTAAGGGTGGAAGGATAATGTGGACGTCGGGTTCTCGTGACCGTGGCTCAGTGAGACCAGCCACGACAGCTGGAGAGAGAACTTTGATTGGTATATCTTGCGTGATAATAGTCTCTCTGTTCAGGCGATCGTAAGAGGGCTCGTCGACTTCATCTGTGTGAAACTGGTTGCCAAACTCATCACCTGGCGGAAATCCTGGATTGTAGCCGTATTCATCCGGTGGTGCAGACTGCGTTGCTGGCTTTGGCGCACCGGCAAAAACGGCTGTTGTGATGGTTAAGGAAAGAAGTGGGATGTTGTTCTTCTTTGTCAGACGAATTGAGGCATGACTGGCGTTTTGAGCAGACTTCAGCGCTCGATGGAGATTCTGTAATGGTACTTCAAGGTTGATTGTATTGTTTTCGGCGGCAGATTGGATTGTGTACGTCTCGAAAATTTGGTCCTTGTCGAGGTCAGTTTTGCGACTGTCAGAGTGCATGAGGACTGTGACTGACGATGGCAAGCGCTCTATTGCAAAGTCAGTAAGGAAACGACACAATAATCCTTGGGAGTCAACATACGCCCAGACTGACGAGCCCTGGTCGGGTATCACGGTAAAGCGAACATCTTCGTTACTCAATTTGACCCATGCGACCGGTCCCAGGGACGAAAGTGACGCAGTCAATTCTACATGATTGTCAGTATTTGCACTCGATCAACCTCTGCGATTTACTGACTCGTAAAGACATTATTGTTCTGAATATCTGCTCTGAAACGCATGATTGTGATGATCTATTCGAGAATTAAAGAAAGCCACGCCACATTGATGGTCGAGGATCTGGAGCTTCGACCGAGAGACGTGTCGTAGGCAGCGTCATGAAACGCGGAGTCACGTGCCATGGGCTCTCTATCGGGAAGGATCATTAAGGCACACTGTGACGACGACGAGTTGACTCATCCGAACATCGCCCTTATCTTTGGAATCATGTCTAGGACAAGTGCTCTGTCGCTCCTCACCTTTTCCAGTCATGTCTTCTTGGATGAATATGGAGAAGTTCCTCAGAGAATATGTTTACCAGGTCGAGACAGACTTTAGTGTTGATGGCGAATCCGCATCATGGGCGCCTACTCGGGATAGACCAGCCCATCGCTTCTGGGACGACGAGGACGACAAGATCGACTTGAGATTCTCGAACAATGAGTCGTCTAGATTGAGCAGCTTCGCTGTAAGTCATGACGAGAAATATGTTGCCTACTCCGATGGTTCCATCGTTGGTGTGTCCAATATCGAGACCAGAGCACAACGCACGCTGTTTAGAGGACTCACACTCCCCTGTGTCAACCTTATGTTCTCCCCTGCTCTGAACGAGTCTGGTGGCTACACCCTGCTTGTAGAAAGCTCGGACCGCGATGAAGACGAGCAAGCTCTTTTGTTCTTGACACTGGATGGTGACGGCAAACTGAGGCATAACCCCGATGTCGTCGACGTGCAAAAGCTTCTGCAAAGCTCTCTGTATCCCGTGATGTCTGAGATGAACGACTTCCTCAATATTGGGCCAGAGTCTCCACTTCTGGAAATGGTTCGTCAAGGCTATTTGAAGACACTCGAGAAGTTGAGGGCGAGTGTAGAGTCCAGAAACCTGCCTAATATCCCAGGCTGTACCAGCGGCTTTGGCTCCAATCCATCCACCTCGGACGGTCGGTTGTTTCTTTACCTCATACAGAACGAGACTACTCAATCTGGCTCTCGTCCTGCGGCTGAACTACCAAAGGTCATTGTCCATGATGTCGTCAACAATCGCCTGCTTCATACTCTGAGTGGCCACGAAGACGCCATCATGTGGACCGCGTTTAGCCCAAACGACCAGTACATCGCCACCGCAGCCTGGGATGGCACATTCAGAATCTACAATGTGTCCTCGGGTGACTGTAAGCACATCATTGGACCCACAGGAGGACAATGCTGGAGTGGAGCCTGGTCACCTGACTCCAAGCATATCCTGCTCTCCGGCATGACCGACGAAGGCGAAGGTGAAGGCTTTCGTAACAACACTTTCGTGGCCGTCTACTCGGTAGAAACGGCGCAGCAGATCAATCGATTCAAGCACGAACGTCTCCGCAGTTGGGTAAGATGTGTAGCTTGGTCGCCTAAAGGTGACATCGCCATTGTCCACGAGACCAACCTCTGGATCTGGGATCCTTTCGAGAACGAGATCGTCAGCGAGTTCTCGCTAAAGATCGATGATCGTATGATGGGAGGTTTTGCTGGTTTCCGAAAAGTCCAATGGGTAAACAATGGGGATGTGCTCATTGTTCGTGCTGGTGATGGCACGGTTGAGGTGTGGGACCGAGTTGGCAACACTAAATACCGATTGCAGAGACCCAAAGGATCTGGTATAGAGCGAGACATAAGAGCTGTACAGTGGATACAGAAAGACAAGACGTTGAGGACTCTAAGTAGTGACGGCTTCATGAGGATGTACCGATTCGCTTAGTGTGCATCATATGTCATACATTTCCTCTGTACATTACATCAAATCATCGTCCCATCCATCGTTCCCAGAACCTCCAGTTCACTTTCTGTTGCCTCCCCTGCCCACTCCTCCCCTTCATCCTCCACCAATAAAGCGGGAATCCCACCAGAATAAACGCAACCACCAACAACGTCTGCAACGGTTGCGCAAACACAGCTCTACTGAGCAGAAACAAGCTTACACAGCAGAAAATAATCGGTGTGGTAATCCAGCATTTATAAGGTCTTTCAAGATCAGGTTCTTTGACACGAAGGACGATGAGGCCGAGGACTGTAAAGAAGTAGAAGGTGTAGCCAGCGACGCCGTAGAAGGTGGTGAGGGTGCCGAAACTACCGACGGCGACGTAAATCATGGTTAAAGCTGCGTTGAGCATCATGGCGTATGCTGGTGTGTAGAAAAGACCAACTCCATCGTCGGCGATGAGACGAGTGAGGCGAGAGGCTCGAGAAGGACGGTAGGGGAGGCGGACAGCACTGTTCTTGGTGAAGCCTATCTGCCCGAAGAAGGCAGGTAGATATCCCTCTTTTCCTGCGGCATAAACGAGACGACCAGAGGTGAATGTGGTGGCGTTCAAGCTGCCGAAGCACGATCCGGCCACAATCAGAGCAAGAATGAAGGAGCCGACAGGCCCAAGAACGAAACGACCAAAGGCTACCGCGACGGTGTTCGACGAGTTGATGGTAGCTAGGGGCAAGACTAAGAAGTAGGCGACGTTGGCGAGCAAGTATGAAAGAAGCACCATGGAAAGCGAGGTGTGTATCGTTCGTGGTAGATCTTTCTGCGGGTTGATGAATTCTCCAGCAACATAGTTGACCTACAGACATGTTAGCACGATGTAGTCACAAGCGCAACGGTAGAATCGGCGTACATTGTCCCAACCGTCGTAGGCCCAGAGACCAGCATAGATTGCGACAGCCCAATTGCTCGGATCAGATTTTGTACCGTCTACCCAGAACGAAGGTTGCTTCCACTCTTTCGATGCATCTCCAGAAAAGCTCCAGCCAGTAATTGCTACTACGATACCTGCAGTGGTGACTCCAGCCAGGGCAAAGAATTTGAGGAGAACGAAAGCGTCGGTGCTGCGTGTGCCGACTTTGGTGGAGACACAATTTAATGCTGTGACCAGTATGACACCGGCTATCGCGACAGCCTTTTCGATCCAGATGCTCGAGTTCATGGCGTCGACACCGATGAAGGCTCTGACTGTGTATTCACCGAAGATGATTGCGACAATGGCAGCCGATCCAGGCTTCAGTACGACGACAGCGCACCATGTGAAGAGGAAGCCAGCCCACTCGCCGTAGATTTTGCTCAAGTAGATCTGGGCACCGCCATTCAGGGGCATAGCACTACCGAGTTCGGCATAACTTGCAGCACCAGTCCAAGCAAGCAGACCAGCGATAACCCACACTATCAGAGCTGCGACAGGAGATCCCGCATTTGTGTTGACCTGCGCAGGTGACGAGAAGATGCCAGAGCCAATGATGAGACCAACAACCAGCGATAGACCGCCTTTCCATAGTGTCAAGGTCTTGTTTCTCTCCAGACTTCCTTCTCCTCCTGCCGGTAGTCCCTGCTCGTTCGATGCGCCTATGGCAGTATATCCTGCTCCTGAATTCGACAAGGGAAATAGTGCTGGAGCGAAGTCGAAGGCAGACGACACCGAGTAGGATCTGTTCATGCGACCGCCATTTCCTCTGCTGCTAGGACCGGGAGTCCCAAGGTGATCATCGTCGAAAGAAAGCTTGCGCGACGAAGGCACGCCCGAGGCCGAAGAGTCGATACTCTCACGCGAGTTGTGGTCGGAAGAAGCAAGGGAAGCCAGTTCCAGCGAGTCGCGCTCGAATTGGCGAGGTGGTGCGAGTCCGGCCATGCGAACCAAGCTATTCGTGTAAACTGCTGTGTTATTGTATCATCACTCGAGTTCGACCTGGACAAAACAAACGAAACGTAACGACTCGGCCGCAGAAAACCAAAGTTTGTTCAGGAGACGATGCACCCGCGTTTCGCTCATGCCGCTTCTGCTAATTCAAGGGTCTCTGGCTGGCTTTTGCTTTGTATGACGTAGCTGCATTCGACTCTGACCGCCAGCTCCTGCAATCGTCTTCCAATAACATGAACCGACAAGGGGAACAATTCACATCAATGTTCTCATCGTGTAGCCCATCATCGGTCGAGAGCGAGTGAGCGCGAACCATGTCCCAAGCCCTTAGGGTTCTTGAGTGCAGGCGATCAGTACGACTCGCTTTGTGCAGCAACAACAACGCATACCCTCTGCCACGATGCAGCAAATCGTGATGCTGTGGAGACGCGCTCATGAGATGGTATCGCCATCGAAAGACCCCTCCACTGATCCTTAGGGTCCTCGTCACCTATGTCTCTCCAGGTAGGTCTTTTTTTTGGCTAGGACTGTGATGCACGCCACGTCTTAATCTACAACGACGCCGGGCCTCAGGAGAGCAAACGCAAGCTACGTGGCACGCCGACCCGGACCAATCTCGAACGACCGTCCTGCCTGCCCTGGCTCTTATTTACGATTATACGAGGATTGGTCTATCTAAATTGTCCGCGGATCGATTTCCTATATCGCCGTCTCGTTAGCCCACATCTGAGTTGGGCATCAGGGATGTATCGTGTCTCCAACGCTTTCAACAAGCATGCGAGTGCTTGATAGTAATGCCGTTGCTACCGATGGTATCTAGTCACCCTCTCGGCAGAGTCTGAGTCCCTACTCTTCCTCATCTGGCTCTTCGCATTCACATCGACATGGGTGTCTCGTCTTCAAAACCGAGTGCCATCACTATTCGACCAACATCCGACGCTGCTGCTGAGGCCACACCTCCTACCGCTGAAGATGATCATGGAGATGAGAACAATGCATCTGCCATCACACTAGGTCCACGATGGGTTCGTGACAGAAACACAGGACAGCGGTATGTCGAGAAGAATCGCCCGAGGAATGCTATGCTCGAACGCCGTGGCGAAGTAACCCATGCCCTTCGCGAACAAGGAAAGCGGTTCTTCACCAGACATAAAGACGGAACCATGCAGATGGATCCTAAGAGATCTTATATCGGTACAACCGCGTTCTCGGACACGTTCGAAGACCCTGCTAACGGTCAGTAGACGATAGCGTAATGGTCGTTCAGGTAGAAGCACCCGCAGCCACGGTCGTTGCTCCAGTTGCTGTGGCGGCTTAAGAAAGTAATGGTTGTCAATCACGCCCGTTAAAAGCTTCCGTAGAAAATTTATGGGACACGAAGCGATGGTCAATAACCCGCCGTGTCTCGTCAAACGACTTGTATTCACACAGCGGGAGAACTCAGCATTTTGGCACATATATAGGAAGGAGCCACTCAGGAGGCTCATCCTCAATCAGAATCTATTCAAACTGACCTTCTCCCAAACCACATTCATCCTGACATCTACTTCTGTCGCCTCTCTGTGAGCTCCCGACCATTCTTACCACATCGCACCAGATCTGCACACGCTGGATTCCTATCGCTACAAGTCGCCACCTTCTCAGGCTGTCCGAATGAACAGGCCATCACTGGGTATTGAAGAATTATGGAACCTGACATCAGGTACCTCGATCATGTCATCTCATCATGAAATATATTGACCGTCAGTAGCAAACATTCAAGTCCTAGACGACCACCTACTATCCACTCATCCAACATTTGAGACACCTCCCAATACACAACAACCATGGGTTCGCATGGCAGTGGCCAAGGATACAGATGGCACATTCCAAGGCATGCTCCTCGAACGTGGTGTCCTGTTCGCCGAGACCAAGCGATGTTCAAGCCCCTACGATGCCGTACTCGAGATGTTTGAGCATACTTCCAGCATGGTCGCCAAAACGCTATCGGAAGAGATAAAAGCATTGAGGATTGGAGGACAGACAGAAGACGAGACGGTGATGAGGTTGGACTTGTTGAGACGGAAACCTATGGAAAGCTTTGAGAATGCATGCAAGCAGTGGATAGACGAAAAGGGAAGGAGAAGATCCAGCGCGCAGGAGCTTGAGAAGGACGTCCTAAGAGGTGTTTAGTCTGTATTGTCTGCATCATCTGCCCTGCTATGATAGTCTTGTTAGTATGCAACAACAGAAATGTCACATAGTTCTGATTACCTTGATGGTGATGATGGAAAGTCGGAGATGACGGAGGCGGGTCGGCCGAGGAGTGGATTCCATCACGATGCTGACCATGCCATGACGTTTGCTACTTCTTGATCATGTCAAGAATCATGTCGATTTCCATGTTTCTTCCACAACTTCACAGCAATACCACACGATGGACTTAATATTCAGAGGAGCCAAGATCGTGTCACGCATCCCAAGAACATCACTATGGACATCGCAATACCGCAGCGCATCACGAGCAACATACACTGTACCCATCGCTCAACCGCCGCCAACACATGAACACTGGAATATTCCCACGCTAGATGAATGCCCCTCGCCGACATGTCAGTGTGGAGAGACACCAGCAGGACTGGATATCGACCGCGAAACCAAGCTCAATGGCACCATGCCGGCATATGCTGAGCAGGTTCTCATTTCAACAGGACGCACGGATTGGAAGAGCAGAATACAAGAGGACGATGACAGTGTACTTGTGAATCAGTTGGCCAGAATGATTGGCCCCAAGGGCAAGTTCTCAGATGTATGCGGCCATTTCGCCCCCCTCATGAAACGCGTAGCTGACTCGATTGCCCACAGCCATACCACAACGTATCCGTCACCAACTCCTCCATCCTACCGACTCCATTCGAGGTCGCCGAGCCTTCGACTCAACCTGCACGAAATGCCAACACGGTACCGGCCGCCAAAGCTGGCTCGGACCCAGACATTGTCCCTCAGGAGAAGGCTAACGCAGCGCCTGCATCAGCCTTCCTTTTCCCTAGCTTCCAATATGTTCCCAGCATTCCCACCGACGACAGTGGTGTGGAAGCCTTTGTCAAGGCATTCGTTCTTCCTCCTGCGCTACACGCGTCACACGAACGCTTGACGAGAGCACAAAAGAACACCCTTCTCCACGAACCAGAGATGCGCAAACAATTCTCCGGTGCTCGTCCGGTACACGAGATAGTCGTCTTGATCTGCGGCCACGGCGGACGCGATGAAAGATGCGGAAAGATGGGCCCCGTGCTGCAGGCGGAATTTGAGGACAAGTTGGCGAGACAGAACATCCCTATCATCCGCGATGCTCCTCCTCACGACACGGTTCAGCCTGACTACTCGATCGAAGAATACCAACCGGCAGCAAGAGTGGCACAAATTTCACACATTGGAGGACACAAGTGGGCTGGAAATGTGATTGTATACATTCCTCCTAGTTTCAAGACCAACCCTCTTGCAGGCTGTGGGATCTGGTATGGCAGAGTGGAGCCTCAGCATGTCGAGGGTATTGTCGGCAAGACATTGATTGACGGCAAGGTTATCAAAAGTCACTTTAGAGGAGGCATTCGTGAGGGCGGCGAGATCTTGAGACTCGACTAGAGTGGTAGATTCTGTATACCATGTACGATTACGATGTGTTGAAATCTGGATATATATCTCTTGAGATGTTGGCACATTTCGACTTGTCCGACGGCCTGGATACAAGCATGTCATCGTCATTGACATGTGAAGCTTGGCGGCCGACAATCCAGGCTTCGGACTTTTGAGCAATCGACTTTCTGACAAGTCACATACTCGACTCACCATGCGCTGTATCACTCGTCCTGGATTTCAATCCTCAATCAGACCTCGAACCCTGACGTCGAATCAATACCTGATCCTCCGCAGAGACTTTGCAATCAAACAACACACGACGAGCAATGTCCACAATGCACCCATCAAGGCGAAACGCAGCTCAATCCGAGGCTTTGCAACCGGTCTCTTCTTCTTTGGAACTGGCTGGTTCTTGAACTCGCACTTCAATATCTTGTCCTTCTCATCGCCAGAGTCTCTCAACGACTTGACCTTTACGCCATTCGCCTTGACCAACAAAGAGACCGTCTCGTCCACCAGCGCCATCTTTACCCTCTCACAATCGCACATCCCGTTCGGTACGTTCGATCAATGGTGGAAGAAGGGAGTCTGGAGTATCGACATCAAACAGCCACAACTCCAGATTGCAAGAGCATATACTCCTCTACCGCCGCTTGATGCCTCGGACTCGGATGTTCTGCGTCTGTTGGTCCGGAAAGAGAGAAGAGGCGAGGTTTCAGGATACCTACACAGACGACCCCAAGGCGCTGATGTCGAAATAAGAGGTCCGGCCATCGAATACGAGTTGCCAGAAAATGTTGACCAAATCGTCTTCTTGGCTGGAGGTACTGGTGTCGCGCCAGCCATCCAGGTAGCATACGCTCTTGGTGACAAGGTTCGTATCTCAGTACTGTGGGCAAACAGATCAAGAGAAGACTGTGTCGGAGGTCAAAGTGATGATCCATACACACCAGGCTGGTACGCTAGCTTGAAGGACTTCTTCGCCAACACTCCACAACCTCGTGACGCGTCCGGCAGCGACAAGAGCTTGATCGTAAAACAACTGGATTCGCTCAAGCAGGCGAACAAGGCGCTTACCGTTGACTACTTTGTCGACGAGGAAAACACATACATCCAGCCACAGATCGTGCGCAAGGCAGTCGCTCAAACCTCAAACGAACCTGCCAGTGTCAGTAAGGGCAAGAAAATCATCCTCGTTTCTGGACCTGAAGGCTTCATCAATCATTGGGCTGGCCCCAAGCAATGGCTGAATGGACGAGAAGTTCAAGGTCCTCTGGGCGGCGCACTTTCACACATGGATCTCAAGGACTGGCAAGTCGTCAAGCTGTAATTTTCTAAGGACCACTCCAACCATTCCACGTGCATTGGGACGTCTCGCGTACAATCACCAAATTTACGGATAAATCTACCCGATTGAGCACACCTAAAGGGTTGATCTTGCCGCTTTGCCTTGCCGCAGCCCCGCCACCTTTGCTTGCTCTTCCCCACGGGAGTATTCCGCCAACCTTATCAAGCATTTGCAACCGTTTTGCTTAGAGCATCTTGAGCTTTTTTTGGTCCATGACTCTTGCTTCTCTTCTCGATCCATCAATGCATCAATTCAGATTCTTCCACTCATTATCAAATTGAGACGACATGGCAACAGTTGAGATGGCCGCTGCACCGGTAGCGCCTGCTTCTGCTGTGAATAACATGGTCGATGAAAAAGGAGTTGTACCTTGTGCAGTCGAGATTGCGAACCCTGAAGGTCGCCCAGCATGCTTCAAATCGACAATACAGGAAGTGTTGTTTGTTTTGACAGCGACGATGGCCATCGCGATGGGCGCTTTCCTCAGTGGCGCCGTTTCCGTCATTTCAGCTTCTGTTGGAGCAGATCTGGGTATGACTACAGCAGAGATCACCTGGATGAGCTCGGCCAATACGTTGGCTGGTGGTGCATTCTTGCTACTATTCGGCAAATTGGCTGATTGCTTCGGACGCAAGTCAATGTTCGTCGGCTCACTGTTTATCTTCGCTGTCTTCTCGCTCGCTGCTGGATTCTCAAAGACACCTATTGTATTGGACGTGCTGAACGGCATGATGGGACTAACGACGGCCGCTTCTGTGCCTCCCGCTCAGGGTCTTCTTGGAACCATCTATGAAAAGCCATCGAAACGGAAGAATGCGGCATTCGCTTGTTTCTCCGCCGGTAACCCGCTTGGTTTCGTCATTGGCACAATCTTCTCTGGAATCGCTAGCGACCTCTTCAACTGGAGGGCCAGTTTCTTTCTCTTGGCTATCATTTATCTCGTTTTCAGTATTCTGGCTATGTTCACGGTACCAAAGGACACGACACCCAAGGAGCCTTTTACTTGGGAAACCTTCAAGAAGCTTGATCCCATTGGAGTCGTGCTCACCATTGCTGGAGTAGGCATGTTCTGTGCAGCACTTTCATCAGGCGATACAGCACCTCAAGGCTGGAGAACAAGCTACATCATCGCCATGTTGATCGTCGGCGCTCTCCTCATCGTTGCTTTCGTTTTCTGGGAGAACTACTACCCTCACCCCTTGGTCCCCATGTCCATCTGGTTCGACAAGAACTTTTCACTTCTCATGATCGTCTTACTCCTCGGCATGATGTCCTTTAACGTGGCCGAATTCTTCCTCGCCCTATACTTCCAAGAAGTCTGGAAATGGTCACCTCTTACCACTGCGGTGCATTTACTTCCCATGGCCATCATGGGAATCATCGTCAATATCATCGCAGCAGTAATCATGCACAGAATCAGCAATAAAACCCTCATGCTCACTGGCTGTTTCGGCTACTTGCTAGCCTTCTCCCTCATCGCCGTAAACACAGTCCATTCTTCCTACTGGGCCTTTTGCTTCCCATCCTTCCTCCTCGCAGTCGTTGGCGCTGACTTGGAGTTCAACGTCGCGAATCTTTACGTTGCTTCTTCTATGCCTGTGCATCAACAATCCATCGCTGGCTCTATTGTCCAAACTATTACGAAGCTTTGTCAGTCTGTGGGGTTTGGCATTGGCACGGCGGTGTTTAATGCTGTAGGGAGAAGTGCGAAAGAGGGAGGGTATTGGGATGTGGAGACTAAACCTTATTCTGCAGTTTTCTGGTTCGCTACTGCAGCATCGGGGTTGTCTATTGTTTTTGCGGTGTTTTTGACTATTGGGACACAAGGAGGGAAAGAAAAGGAGGTTGATGACGATGGAGATGGGGATGGGAGTGGGGGAAGTCGGAAAATAGATGGTGGATTAGAATGAGTTAAAACAGCACAGATTATAACATCGCACTCGAAGGTATTGGAACAGCTTTTTCTCATACATTCCGTGCTGCTTTCGATCGAAAATGAGGTTGTCGGAAGGCACAGTGTTGTTTTTGATTGCAGATATGAGCTGCCAAGATCTTATAAGATGGTTGTTTTCTCCAGGAACGACTTTATGATGTGGAATATCGTTGTGCCTGCCGACAGTCTGCTGATCACAAGCATTCATGGCTGTGGCGATCTATGAACGAGAAAACAACATGTACTAAGCTCCTCTGTATGGATACTCTCAGTGAGAAATATATGGTGCTATATTTGATCGCGTTGTGGAATGGCAGAAGGGAGACTGATATTTTTATGATTGAAACTGTATGATTCTATCTAGCTCTCCTACACCTCAGAGCGAGGTTGGATAGGCTTCTGCGAAGGGGGAGCGTCAATCCTCGCCGCAAGACCAGTAAGTCTGACATCTGCCGCAGTATTGTTCGTAACGTCCCACTTGTCGTTGAACAAAAAGGTATGCGGGAATCCTGGATCAAAGGGAGCGGCTCCTTCGATCTCCTTGATATCCTCTTGAGTAAGTCTGATACTCAAAGCCTCCACATTAGCCTTGAGATGCTCGACTTTACGCTGGCCGACGATGGGGAAGACATTGGGAGTCTTGTGCATGACATATGCCAGAGCAACACCATGCATAGTAGCCTTGTACTTGTCCGCCACCTTCTCCAGAGCATCCGAAATGGCATGTTCAGTCTCGCTAGACTGAGATGCACGAGCAGAGCCTTCATGCTCTTTACTGCGAGCTTCCTTGGTCTTGAATTTGCCTTGACCTAAAGGACCCCAGGGTGCAAGAGCCATGCCTTGATCTACACACATGGGGATAATTTCTCTCTCCATGTCGCGGTAGGAGGCATTCCATTTTCCTTGGTAGACTGAGAAAGGGCGAAGACCGTGGGCGCGAGCGTAGTCGTTTGCTTTTACGACTACCCAAGCTGGGGTATCGGATACACCGAGATAGAGGACCTTTCCGGCTGTGATGAGGGCGTTTAGGCCATGCATTACTTCCTCGACACTGGTGGTGAAATCCCACCAGTGCACGTAGAGGAGATCGATGTAGTCGGTACGCAACTTCTTCAACGAGCGGTTGACAGAGATGTGCATGCTCTTGAAGGAGTTGCCGACAAAGTTTGACTGAAGGGGTTCGGCATCACGGGCGTGACTGCGGTACCCAGTGGTGTATTTGGTCGCAATGCTGAAGAAAGATCAGTCAGCTGAAGAAGTAAAGTGGAGAAAAACGATGATACATACACCATCTGATCACGATTCTTCTTCTTCTCCATCCACTCGCCAATCCACTCTTCAGACTCTTCGCATTGATACGCGTTGGCCGTGTCGACAAAGTTACCGCCGAGGTCAAAGAAGGCGTCGAGGACAGCGAAACTGGTGTCCTTGTCACACTCTCCCATAATGTCCTTCCTATGAGAGCTGCTGTCAGCCGATGGTATCCGGAATGAGGTCAGTGGAGAGTTCATACCATCCAGCGCCAAAGTTCATGGCTCCAAGACATAGAGGAGAACATTTGATACCTGCAGTAGGTGCGAGGACTCTGTGGTAGCCGAGCAAGCTCTTTGGCTTGGGAGCAGGGTCGAAGAAAGACATTTTGGGGGGGGAAAAAGATTTTCTCAATTGCTTGTTTGATAGAGGAAGAGGATGATTTTGAACTATTCCTCAGACACTGGCAGGCAGCTCTTCCTACTTATACCTTCTTCATGAATGACGTGGATGGAAATGTCGCGGGGCTAAGCTCTATCTCCAGTATGCCGGAGTTATGAAAGAGCTTAAGATCGATCTGCGAACACATCTCCGTGAACCTTCGTAAATTCTAGTTGGGAGAAAGCAATAATTGTGGAGATTGGAGACTAAAACCCAGGTGCGTCGCGTGAAATGATCTCTGTCATACGAAGTCAAACAAATGTCGTCTGGCCATATCTGCCCACGTGGACGTCCGCCAGGGCAGCCATCACCATGAAGAGAGCTCTCTGACTCATACTTTGAACGATTGGAAGAGCTATGTGTATATCCATATCAGAAACCTACTCTCCAGTCGTTACCAGCAGCTTGAGTAGGTTTGAATAGTAAGCGCAAACCTTCTATCCGACATCATCACGATTGCAGAAAAAGAGTCAGCTCCCATCAAGCAACCCTCGTCCTACCAATCTCCTTTAACGGTATCTGCGACTCAAAAGACCCCGCTTCTCTATCCCACCCTCTCTTTTCCCTGCTCTCCACTTCCATTGCTAAAATCACTATCCGAATCTCTCCAACAAAAAAACTTGCACGTCCCTCTGCCTCGAGATCGCCTCGATCTCTTCTCTTTGCAAATCATCGAATTGCAAGTGCGCTATCATAGCAGTAATTCTTGGGTTCAATATGTGTATATCGTCGTTTTCTTGTAGAGTGTGTTGGTGATGAGAGCGTTCTGGGCACGGTTTTAGGAAGGAGGGTTTTGGGCGGACGTCGTTCTCAGAGGTTCCGGCTACTTTTACTATCATGTCTGCCATCTGTGGTTGGAAAGTAGGTTAGTGGTGGGATGGTGAGAGTGGATGGGCGGTTTGTGTACACTCATTTTCGATGTTCAGTCTTACCATGTCTGCCAAAGTGGATTAGCGTCCTCCCTCACAGTGTCGTCGATGAGATATACTTACATCCAACAGGATGGAACTGCACAAACAGAGTATGGTTTCTCAAGGACATGAGTCCGATAAGCATGACCTATGCAGCTATTAGTGAATGAGTCCTCAATACGGCATGACAGGGCAAGCATACATCCATAGCTACCGACACCAGACCCAATCTCGTATAATACCCAACCAATGGCTTATACTTCCTCAAACCATGATACTCGACCAACCTCGCCCTCACAACATACATAAAGTAGCATAATCAACACTTTCGACAGCCTATCCCAATGCCTATTGATATTGACAAAAGTCTGATTGACTGGAGGCATCATATGTGATGGTATAAAGCTGCAAAAGACAGCAATATTGATGCATGAGATTATGACGGCAGTTGCAATCTTTAGCTTTGTGGCTACAGGTCTTCGTTCGGCGATTACGGCGATGCGGTTTATGATGATTTGCATGAGGAGTTGTACTTTGAGGGCGTAGAAGACGAGGATGAAGGAGAGCAAGGTCGGTCTAGGAGTTCGTTAGCGAGAATGTATATCAGATAAAGATGGGTCACAAGAGCTTGTGACGACGTGTCTAGCTGCCATAGATCTTGAAGTCGAAGAAGGAAACAAATCATGGTATCGAACTCACGTAGTCTTGACAACATCTTTGAGATAAAGCCATGTCATGGTTCCAAGTATAAGGTTTGCCAGAATCTCCACCCTCAAAGCATGTAAATATACATACTCCTCGCCGGGGCCCTATTTGCCCTCGTCTGCTTATGAGCTCGTATCACGGTCAACTATCCGAAGCCGAGAGAGAAACCTGCAGCAGCTGCTGCCAGTTGTAGATCTCCAGATGTTGTTGTGCTTGCCATGTACGAATCGAGTGAGTATACAGTGGATAAGAAGAACGAGGGCTAAATGCAAAGGAAAGATAGAACATTCTTGACCTCGGCAAAAACAAGACTGCTAAGGGCCATCATATCGAGAGCGTGCACTGTGCGCATGGGTACTGTGTTTGTAGTGTTATTCCGCATCATCGCCGTCCGCATGGCCCAGGCGCCGCAGGGCGAGATTCTCGATCTTGGAAGCTGATGACCTCAAGGGAGAGCGTAGTGGGTGTGCGACTGAAAGATAGATTCTCGAAGCTATGAGAGCATCATGCGCAGTCTTCTTGCATACCAATTCGGATTTGAGACATGCGTGACGGTCCTCCTACCTATTGACCAAACTTTGCAGTTCAGGAGATCACCACTACCGAGGCTCATGTGTCGGTAATAGCCGGAGGCCTGATGGTGTTATAGTGAGCCTAATATACAAGACACGGCTATGACCAAGAGTTACTGCGTCGAAATCTCGTTTCCGACTTCTCAAAGGTATCACTACGGTGTCAAGATGTGTCGCATGAGTATTTTCTCCCTCAACTCTATGACGCTGTAACATGGTGTTGGTCAGAGCACTCATCTATAATGGCTTAGCATTTGTAAGGTCAAGCGATGGAGAGACATATACCTATGTACGTATGCTTCTACTTTCTCAAACGAGCAAGAGTTGGGCCCATGGGTTCTCCAGCTCGTAGAGCGGCCATGGTTTGCTCATCAATCTTGAATCTCTCTTCGCAGATCTCCAGACACTTTTCGGCATGTTCGGCTGGAAGAACAACTACTCCATCCAGATCGGCCAGAATCAAGTCGCCAGGATTGATGGTCAATGGCCGTGTTTGTGTAGGAGATGTAAACTGGACGGGAACATTGAGGGCGGAAGCTCTGGTGAAAGTGTTGGATCCAAGTGCCGATGTTCCTTGAGCAAAGACCTGCTTGTATCAGTATCGTGACGGACGATCTTCTGGAGACAAGCAAAAGACTGACTGGAAAGTCCATCTCTCGGTGTTCGTTCAAGTCCCTGAAGCTGCCATCAATCACCACACCCTGAGCACCAAGATGCTTAGCTCTCGTAGACATCAGCCCACCCCAACACGCCGAGTAGAAGTTCTTTGGCTGCGAGATAAACACCACCGAATCTTTCGTCACACCGTCAACAAAGTGTTGTGATGGCTTTGGAGATGTTGTGTCGTTGGAGTCTACCATCTGCACGGTATAGGCAGGTCCAAAGATCTTCCTCTCGCCAGCTTGTTGGAGAGGGGAAAACATCTTGATGCCGTGAAGGTAGCCACCATATTTGACATTCAATTTGATAAGAGCATCGCCGACCTGACCGTGGTTAGCTGTATGACAAGGTTGACGTGCAAGCAACGAACATCGCACGAAGTGAACCGCTTCAACGCGTTGAAGACGTGCGAAGGGACTGATGGAGGCATCGTATGAGTTGCCCACTTATATTGTCGGGCAGCTTATGTACGTGTGAGAGAGTAAAGTAAGTCTTGTAGTTGAATGGGCGTGGTGAGCAGTAAAGCAGTACGACCGACAGTTTGAGCCGAGGTCCCGAAGTGTTCAACTCCTAGTACACCGCGGGGGCAACCCTGCCAGCACATGTGAATGCCTCTCTACATGAACATTGATAGAGTTTTGATGCAAGAAGTCATGGGGAAACCTCCCGTTCGTGCACGACCTATGGCCTGTGAGACTTCGCTATCAAGCAGACCTGAACAGACTGTCTTCCCAACATTTCGACGCCGAAGCTCTCTGCGTGCGAAACATGAGTGTCATCAACCCTGTGTTCAACGCATTCAAAGGGTTTCAGGATGGTTTGTATGATTTGAAGAAATTCGTATGGTCAACGCATTGGTCTATTTGAGCTTTTGGCAGGTTTCCTGGAAACACACATCAAGAACTTTATTGCTGCTGGGCAAACTCTTCGAGCCATTTCGCGAGCTTCTCAACCTTTTCAACGCTGACGGCGTTGTAGTTGCTAATTCTGCAACCACCCACGCTGCGGTGACCCTTACATCCGAGCAAGAGTCTCTCGTTCGCACCGGCCAGGAATTTCTTCTCCTTGTCATCTCTGTCGTTCTCGCTGCCAATGCGGAAGCAAATGTTCATCTTGCTGCGAACAGACTTGTCTGGGACGACGTGGAAAACGGGGTATTTGTCCAAGATGCCATAGAGGAGCGCAGCCTTCTTCTCAGACTCGGACTGTTGTGTTGCGATCTTGGGTCCGTCAGTGGAGGCCTTGGAGATCAATAGTTGCATGACCTGGCCGGCTATCCAGACATCAAAGATGGGGAGGGTGTTGTAGAGGGAGTTGTTCTTTACAATGGTGGGCCAGTCCAGGACAACGGGACCAACAGGCAGATTCAACTTGCGCAAGAGGTCGGGCTTTGCGAGCTGTGTGAGGAGAGAGTTCTTGATGATAGCGATGGTGATACCTGTGGTACCGACGTTCTTTTGAGCACCACCGAAGATGGCAGCATGTCTTCTGACATCGACCTTGCGGCTGAGGAAGTTGGAGGACATGTCTGCGATGACTTGGTACTTGTCGGAGTCGATGGCGGGGAAGGCAGGGAACTCGACACCGTCGACCGTCTCGTTGTCGCAGTAGTAGACCATACCGCTGTGGGCGGGGTTCGGAGTCAATGACCATGTCGATTCGTTAGGGATTGTGCCGAATTTGCCATTGTTGTCCTTACGGCTGTCTACAGCTACATTGACGTGGTTTGCGCCAATGAGTCTGGCGGCTTCTTGGCTGGCCTTCAACGACCAGCTTCCAGTGACCAGGTAGTCCAGCTTGAACTCTTGGTCGACGGCTTTTCTCAAAGCATCAAACACCTTTGTCTCGTCTTCTGGACCAAGCTCTTGCACAATCTTTTGTCTTCTCTTCTCGACCCAGAGGGCCGTCATGTGGTATACGGAAGCGCTGAATTCACCCGAGCCACCACCTTGCAGGAAGATGATCTTGTAGCCATCGGGACCTTCTTGTGTGGGGATGTCGAGGAGTGTTGCCAATGCAGATTTGGTGTCCTCGAGGATCTTCTCTGCGTCAGCCGAACGATGCGAGATTTCCGTGATGCCGATTCCAGCGTCGTTGTAATTGAGGATGACTTTCGAAGCCTGCCTTAATACCGCTGTTGGCAAAGGAGCTGGGCCGGCGCCAAAATAGCTAGTCTCTTCACGGGATGGCATGGTGTATGTTGTGAGATATGTCAGGATAGGAGACAGAATATGCTGGGTAGAGAATTGAAAACAATTGAGTCACAGCGGGCAATAAAATGTAATACAATGACGAAACGTCGGGGAAGGCACAGCTCGCCGCACTTGTTGCGCGACAGCACAATTTTGTGCGCGCGATATCGGAGCCGGCACAAAATGCGTACCAATGACTGTTTGGTGATTGGCCGTCTATGCCCAAATTATTGTCCCCGTCGCTGCCGTCTCTTGCACCTGCCGACCCATCTGTGTGAGGGGTGTATCGTTCTTGCTTGATCTGCTGCTGCACAGGCAGTCCATAATTCCACATTCTCGAGAATGCCGATCCTCCGACTGAATGCGGCTTCCGGCGCGAGACTGCGTTTGGTGAGTTGAGTGAAGCTTGAGCCTATACCACCGACTGACGCTATACCAGGCCACTGCCAGACTCAGCACTCGTCGCCCTGCCCTTAGAGCGTCCGTCGCAGCTTCACAACTCACCCTCCGTCCCAGACTCTACACAACATCAACACCCTTACGAAATGCCTCGTCCCCAGATGTCTTCCCTTCGCTCCTCGAACAGCCCGGTATCTCCGACTACCTCAATGCTCCACAGCCCGTCGAAGTGCCTCAGACCTTGACCGAGAAGATTGTTCAGCGTCACAGTCTCGGTCTCGCCGAGGACAAGTTTGTTCAATCCGGCGACTATGTCACCCTTTCACCCCAACAATGCATGACGCACGACAACTCATGGCCCGTCGCGACAAAGTTCATGTCCATTGGCGCCACAAAAATCCACGACCCCAAGCAGATTGTCATGACCCTCGATCACGACGTACAGAACAAGACGGAAAAGAACCTACAGAAGTACCGTCAGATCGAGGACTTTGCAAAGAACCAGGGTGTCGACTTCTACCCTGCTGGTCGTGGTATTGGTCACCAGATCATGGTTGAAGAGGGCTATGCCTGGCCTGGCACTCTCTGTGTTGCTTCCGACTCCCACACAAACATGTACGGAGGCATTGGCTGTCTCGGAACTCCTGTCGTCCGTACCGACGCTGCCTCCATCTGGGCTACTGGTCGTACTTGGTGGCAGATTCCCCCTGTCGCAAAGGTCACGCTGAAGGGTATGCTCCCTGCTGGTGTCACTGGTAAGGATGTGATTGTCGCCCTGGCTGGTCTATTCAACAACGATGAGGTCCTCAACCACGCCATCGAGTTCACCGGCTCTCCCGACACCATGCACTCTCTCCCTATTGACGACCGTCTTGCCATTGCCAACATGACTACCGAATGGGGTGCTCTCTCTGGTCTCTTCCCCATCGATAACGTCCTTCAAGGCTGGCTGCGCTCGAAGGCCACTGAGGCTGCTCTTTACGAAGACGCCGCCCTGACCTCGTCTAAGACTGCTACTCGCTTCAACCACCAAAGACTCGATGCCCTGTTTGAGAAGCCCCTGACTGCTGATAAAAACGCAAAGTACGCAAAGGAACTCTTCCTCGATCTTGAGTCTCTCTGCCCCTACGTCTCTGGCCCCAACAGTGTCAAGGTTGCCACCCCCCTAAACGAGCTCAACGCACAGGACATCAAGGTCAACAAGGCCTACCTCGTCTCTTGCACGAACAGTCGTCGTTCGGATATTGCTGCTGCTGCCAAGGTCTTCAAGGATGCCGCCGAGACTAACGACGGCGTCATCCCCAAGATTCCTTCTCACGTCAACTTCTACATTGCCGCTGCCTCTCTTCCCGAGCAACGCGCTGCTGAGGAGCAGGGTGACTGGCAAGTTCTGCTCGACGCTGGTGCGCAAGCTCTTCCTTCTGGTTGCGGTCCTTGCATCGGTCTCGGCACGGGTCTTCTTGAGCCTGGTGAGGTCGGCATCAGTGCATCCAACCGTAACTTCAAGGGTCGCATGGGTAGCACTGATGCAAAGGCTTACCTTGCCAGTCCCGAGGTAGTCGCTGCTTCTGCCCTCCAAGGTAAGATTGCTGGACCTGGCACCTACCAAAAGCCCGAAGGCTGGAACGGTGTCATCCGTGGCGAAGGTGATGGTGTCCCAGAAGACCAGCGCATGATCAGCATCGAAGACGCACTTGACATGCTTGTCCGCCAAGCTGAAGAGGTCATCCAGTCTAGTGAGAAGGAACTCGGTGCCGCAGATGAGGCTGCTCCTTCCGGTGACGAGAAGCTCACCGACATCCTCCCTGGTTTCCCTGAAAAGGTCACTGGCGAGATTGTCTGGTGCAACGGCGACAACATCAACACCGACGGTATCTACCCTGGAAAGTATACCTACGATGATGCGTTTTCGTCATCTCCTGAGCGCATGGCCACTGTCGTCATGGAGAACTACGATACTGAGTTCGCCAACATCGCCAAGGAAGGAGACATTCTTGTCGCAGGCTTCAACTTTGGCTGTGGTAGTTCCAGAGAGCAGGCCGCAACTGCCATCCTCGCCAAGAAGATTCCCATGGTTGTCGCTGGTAGCTTCGGCAACATCTTCAGCAGAAACTCCATCAACAATGCTTTGATGGGTGTCGAGGTCCCTCGCTTGATCCAACGTCTGCGCGAGACTTTCGATACTCCCGCCGCAGCACAAGATGGTACCAAGCCAGTCACCGAACCTAGCCAGAATGAACAATCTCTCGACTCGCCGCCGCCAGCACCTACCTCAGTACCCAGTCAAGAGAAGAAGCTGACAAGGAGAACGGGCTGGACCTTCACATGGGACGTCAGACGCAGTCAAGTCATTGTGCAGGAGGGACCCGACGGCAAGAGCTGGAACCAGAAAGTCGGGGAACTGCCGCCGAATGTACAAGATATCATTGCTAGAGGTGGTTTGGAGAAGTGGGTTGGCAAGGAGTTGGCTGCCGCTTCCAAGATCTAGAGTTTTTATGATTTTGAGAACTGTACAAAAGGGACTTTGGCGTCTAAATGGATTGGAACAACCTGATGTAGATGATATGATATATTTCGAAACAGAATGCGAAAGCGCATTTTTCAACTTTATCGATGGTCCACGGCCGTATCTTTTTGAGCCTCATTGACTTTGGCGCGAAGGATCAACAAAGACGCCTCGTGATCGCATACTCGTAATCCCAGCGAGCGATAAACCCCCCTCGACTCTGCTTCTTACAAGTACATCAGATCAAGACATCTCGGATGAGACCAAAACAATGGACGACCTACGTCCCATTCTGATATCAAAGATCATCGATTACGCGGCAGAAGATCGTCCAAACTACTCCAAACCACGACTTTCACCTTATGCCACAATCAGCAAGAAATGGCAACAAGTGGTAGAAGCGAATTCGTTCAGCTGTATACGAATTACAAATGATGAAATCACTACTTTTGCGACTTGTTTCGAGAATGAGCCGAGAAGACGAATGCTGCGACAAATTTTTCTGAGAATCTACTCGACGAGTGAGACGAGGAAATGTTGGAGTGAAGTTGCGATTTCTGAAAGAGCAGAGGAGAGTAGGCGTAATGATGAGACATTGACCACAAGTACTCGGGCTTTGTTCCAGAGCTTGGAGGGATGGAGAGCCGAGGAAAGGGTGGATTTGTACATTATTATTCATGCACACGGGGATCATGGTATGTCTCCTCTGCGTACGGAACCGAAATTCCTTGAGCCAGAGACTTTGGCGAGGGTGGAGTGTGTGAAGAAATTCGTCTTCAGAAATCATGCCATCACGCCGACACAGACGGTTATTGGTCTCGCGTCAAGATTACCAGGGCTGCAACATATTGACTGGCTTATCTTTAGCGAAAGAACAGGAGGCAGATCCGATGATGTAGTGAGAGTGCAGAATCGAGTTGGTAAGTAACGAAGCGCCCTGTCGTCCATGCACTTTCTCAGATTCCACTAAACGGTAAATCTAGATCTAGCAGCACAACTCATCATGCTGCAAAAACATAACCCTTTGCTCAAGAAATTGGAGTTGTCGTTTACAGCTTCAAAAACACCGCCTGGTCACGATGATGTTGTCCCGAGCATCCTTCTGCCTTTCGATCAAAGGGATTATCTATCTCAATCGCTTCGCAACTTATCACAGGGCATGCAAGAAGTCAGTCTCGAGAACATGATCATCTCATCACAGCTATTCTGGCCGATGGAGGATGAAACAACAGAGCTACATTGGCCGACACTAGAAAGATACAAAATCGGCATAAATCCCATGGCTGCAGAGGGAGGTTGGTGGTTAGATGGCTTGACCAGATTTCGTGCAAGAGAGAGAGTGAGGAACAACACCCCCAGAAACGATGAGGGAAAGACGAAGCTTGTCGTCATCTATGATAGAGAGGTTGAGGAGGCTGAGAGATATCCTATTTGGCCAACAGAAGAGCTAGATGACTTGTTGCTTGTGATGGTGAAAGCTGTTGCGAAGATGCCGGTGTTGAAGTCATTTTCTGCGTTTGTGGATTTGGATCACTGGGTCGAGGACCAGAGGTTTGGGGTTTGGTATCTTCAGACTGGGGAGAGGATTGGTAGTGTGGAGGCTTTGTTTGACGATGAAGATGATGACAATGATGCTGAGAACAATTTGGGCAAGAAGAGGCTTTACTGGAGTGGGCCGAAGGAATGGTGTATGAGTGGTGAATTGAGTCAGGCGTGGAACAAGATTTTGGGAGAGGACGGGGTGGTGAGATATCACGAGTGGTAGGTTTGTCTGGATTTTGGCTATTTATCGTTACATTCATACATGAGATAGAGCAGCGAAGTCAACTCACATACTGAAATGACTGCTCATCAGATCTTGCAAACTCGATTGACCCAATTTCTGTCCAGTAAGTAGTTACCTAGCAGTTTTAGAGCCATTGGTATCTCTTCTTGATACTACCACAGAAGGGAGGCTCGCAGGCAGGTCCATTCTTGCTTCTGTACTCGCAGCCCTCACAGTTGTAGAACTGCGGAGCATCCACAGTGGTGTATTCAACGCCAACATTGATAGGCGAGCAGTATTTGCCGATGGTCGACAAAATCGAAGTGTAGCCGCCATAGTTGGTGCCCTCAGCAAAGATGGTCTCGGTGCAGAAATTGAAGGAAGTGTCGTTGTTGGGGCCATGAGCCAGGACGAGATCGCCTTCCTTTGCACCGTAGGTTCCCTTGCTGACATCAGGATACTCGATGATGTTGAAGAGATCCTCGAACTTGTCGACCATAGGGACGTTGGCGGACTCGTCGTTGCCTGCCGCCGTGTAACTGATCAACTGGCCGTAGCCTGCACGTTCTTCGAGTGCTCCAGTAGGTTCGTGCATGTAAACTCTTTGACCGCCCTGCTGCAAGATACCCAGCCACAGTTGAGTTGGCTCCTTGCCAAGAACAGGTCCAGAGAAGATGGTGGTATCTTTTCCTGGGCAGTTAGGGTCGTAGGATGGGCAGGTTGCGGTAGTTCTGTTGCCGGGGTAGGCACCGATAAACATGCCGTTCCATGCAACGAGGGGAATGTTGTTGGTGCCAGCCGGAGTAAGGGCTTTCAAGGTGAATGCCTGAGCATTGGCCATGGTAGATAGCATAGCAGCAGCAGCTGCTGCGGTTGCGATTGCGGTTTTCATAATAGTAGATAGAACGACGTAGGAAGGCGATGGAGGAGTAGTGTTGAACAAACACCTCAGCCTTTGGCGCGCAGCACCATCTTATACCTTTTCCTGAGCCCCGCCGACATCATCGACAGCAGCAGATTCCATCGTCAGGCGACAGCTTTTGAGAAATACGGAGTCAAGCAATGCAAAAAGTCATTGTAGCTATTCGTGGACACGGATCGGGAAGAGATTGGTCTTGGCATGCATCTCTAGGCCGATTTTTGGTGGAGAAATCTCAAAAGCCTAGGTGCCACTTGACGCCTCCTGCACGCCCGATCATCTATATCTTCCTTCGCCCTCGTGAATGTTTATTTTGGCCATCGGGTTTGACCCGTTAGCGAGGGCTGGTGGTAAGATACTCTGCACATCAGATGATGGATAGTCAACAGGAATGACAAGACAAGATTCGCGTCGGCAATTGTCACCCTTCGCTCTGGGGGAGGCAGTTGCCCGCAGGGTAAGTCGTACAAAGACTGATCCATATGTGGTTGGGATCTATTGGATTGACACCTATCAGTCGCGCATAGTTTTCTTGTTGAGTCAACTTATCTGCTGACAGGGAGCTCTGATTCTACCAGTCCACCTTCACGGTGTAGCAGAAGCAATGTCTTTCATGCGTCTCAGAGCGGCAATACGTTGTGAGGAGACACAGTGACTCGTCAGATATGATGAGCCCCTCTAGAAAGCCGATGAAGTCTTCAATATCATAAGACATCGCGCTGTGTCTGGCAAGAATTTGCTACACGCATGACAGCTCCTAACCACAAAGCGAGGTTCAAAGCTAGGTATCTGTCTCATTGTACTTGTTCCAGTCGTAAAGAGAAACACGACGTCCAGCAGCTTCCATGTGGATGTTGATCCGACAGCGCTCTCGCATACAAATTATCAAGAGAAATCTCACCTCATTCTGCCTTCTCTCCATCAAAACATTTGTTGCGACTTCCTTGTCAAAAGTCACCTATAGAAAAGAGTCTCTCGCAGCTGTCGGTGATTCACGAAATACATCTATCCATGAAAACAAGATGGACCGTCTTCAGCTCCCAGAGGATGTATGCTACGTGATCGCATCATATGTAAGGTTGGTAATCTCCCTCTGGAAGTTGCATATTGATCTCCTCGTAGCTCTCACGGCCATCGAACCTTCGCAACTGGTTACTCGTATGCCGTAACCTTACCGGAGGGAGATCTCGTTGTTTAGCAAACTTGCGTCTCTAAGTTCTCTCCGACTTGTCAAATGTATCGACACTGAACATATCATCGAAGCGTTGCACAACCCAGACCCCACCGTGGTGATGAATCTGCGTGAGTTGTTCATCTTTGCGATTGACCCCCGCGGTGGCCGCGTTCGTCAACAAAGAGCCAGAGATAGAGGTGACTGCGGACAAGTTCATCTTCAGAAGTTCTTGCAGTCTGTCTCTGGACTTCAGAGCTGTCAGTCTATCTGGATTGTAATGCTGTAGGTCAGCTGCCGATCCAGCCAATTTGGCTCGCTTCCCATGCCTCTACACTGGAGTATCTCGAGCTGCAATGCTGGTAAGAAGACGGAGCCCCGGAGGAATGCGCGCACATTTCAGTCAAGGACCTTGGAGAGCTTTGCACCATCTATCCCAACATTCGTCAACTGGCGGTTCCCCTCTTCTACCATCCAAACCTGGAGTTGTGTCCTATGCTTCTATTTGCCTTCACCCCAAGATGGATGCATGCCATCGCAAAACTCAAACATCTTCGCATCTTCAAGTTCATTGGGATACCAGAGATCAGGACGCTACAAGGAGAAGGCCTGAGTCATATGCAGCACCTGACCACAATCTGCTTCTATCAGCTCCATCTTTACGCCAGACGGCATGGTCATCCTAGTCGTGTTAGTGTGGTCGCTTTCACAGATCCCACTTTCGATTGGCACCACGAGTATAGGAGCATTGGGGAATATGAAGCTTGCACCAGAGTCGATGTTCTCATCTACCTCAAGGAAATTGACTCGACGCTTGACGATGCTTTCGAAGGTATCTCTGCTAGGATCAGCTCGTACAATGACGTTGTCCTTGCCGGCGAGGAAGCGGATATCATCCACTGAAAGAACATTAGGTGGTTACTGGCTAAGTCGAAATCACTAAGACCTAGCATGTTCTAAGTACGGCACTGGCCAGAATAGGTTTTATTACGGTAAGCCTTCCAGGCTTGCCACAAATGTTGCCGCACAACGATTCCGTGATTGACATGGCAATGACGAGCGTGAACTTGGCCGATTCTTCGCGCTTGCTATATATGTAAGAGTTGTTTGATCGACACGTGCTCGTGACCGCGAAGGCAAGAGGAGAAGTGGTAATTTTGGAAAGAAGGATTCAGCCGCGACAGAGCAAGCGCCATGCCAAGAATGAGGTTGGTGCCTTACTTCACGTCATCTGCTGCTTGCTTCTTTCCATCTTCTTCAAACGATCTTTTGTTGATGAATAAAGTGACGCTCCGACTAGCGTGAATTGTTCATTGCTAACGATATGGCATCTTCACTACCATTGGAGGTCATAATGCTGACAGCCGGCCACTCGGGTGGACAGAAGGAGAAACTCACGCCGTTCACGTTGGTCAACAAATCCTGGCAAGCAGCGTTTGAGAAGGAGCTCTATTCTTCGCTCGTCGTGCTTAGTCCGTCGAGAACAAGGAGCATCGAAGTCAGACCCGGAGGAGTCCACGAAAAGCTGGGTCTGCCTCTGGCGAAACTCATTGAGATCACGAGTGGTCCGCAGCACTGGCGACAAAATCGACGTAGATTCGTCCGTCACATACTCTACAGAGTCGCAGTACCTCATTGGCTGAATGAGGCCCGCGAAAAACTTGATGGATATACATACGATAACGTTTTGCGACGCGAGAACAATCTCGCATTCTCAGTAGGTATTCGCCAGCTATTTGAGCATTTATCATCTTGGACAGATCGTAACATCACTCTTGCTATAGCTCTGCAGGCTGAAAGCGTTATCACCGATGAAGATTATGGTGAACCGGAATCAACAGTGATGACCGGCGTGGATGATGAGATTGCTCCGTATTGTGCGGCCTTTCCACCAAACTTCTCTTTGCCCCGAGCCGCGTGCATAACATCGCTGGCATTTCCCGATATCGAAACCTCCGGCATGGTCACTGCTGGATATGGTGAGTCTCCGTGGGAACAAGCTTGCCCTGAGAACAGAATCTCACTCCCCGCCGTCCTCACAATTGCATCAGTGTGTGGTGCAATCGTGAAAATACTACTCCACTGTGAGGACCGGATTCCTCTTGAAGAGCGAATTATGCGTCGGGAACATCGAGATGCGACTATTGAGGGTCTGCTACGATTACCTTCAAGCATTCGTGACCTTGAACTATGCTGGTATTCACAAAACGAATTTGATATCGACAAGCCCAGAACCATGATCGGTCCTGTTCGAACAGACGCTCTATGCGTAGCGCTTCACAAGGTCTCGCTACAATTACAGTATATGTCTATCGGAGAACTGGAAGTGTTTCCCGAGCTATTTTGTCCAGACGGACCCAAAAGCTCAGCGCAAGGAAACTGGCCATACCTCGAACAACTTCAAATTTGGGGGATCTTCGACAATTCGCCTCAGGGAGCTATCTCACGCTATGCGGATGGTGTCAGTCCTGACAAGATACTAGTGCGACGTTACCTGGATGACCTATTCACAAGCGTTGGTCATGCCGCCCAAAGAATGCCCCGAATACAACATCTCGAGATCGAGTTTCCCTCAATACATGATCAGCTCCGTGTCAAGTACCTCAATGGCCGATGGAAACTTAGCATCTGGGCTGCTGATCAATGGGAGCCATCACCTCGTCTTCTTGAGGCCTGGAAAATACCTCCATGTGGTCTACTGCCTGACAAAGGCCTAGGATGGTGGAAATTCGTATACTCATCTTGGCCACCTCTCTAGGCTCTGGGTCATACTGTCATCGCACGCATCTTATCTTATTCAAGATCCATCCGATTTCCTGCTTCCACCATTCGTTCGCCTCTTCGTTTCCGTCCCATCTTCTCAACAAGGCATCGTAGAGATACAACACCTCGAAACAAGTCTTCAGATACCGCTTCAAGCTCTCCCTGACCTTATCTCCCGCCCCTTCGGCCAATGGATCCACAACTCCCGTCGTGCCACCTTCTTCACTCTCCCCATCTCTCTGCTGCTCAAACGCCCAATCTTCTGTAACGCCCATCCCATGCCAAAAAGCACGATGCAAAATATTCTGCGCCGGAAAATCATACTTCGACAACCCTTCTCCAAGAACTCTGATCATTCTCCCACTCTCGAAAATCGAGACATCATCCTTATTCCCCCCTTGTCGCTCTCGGGTAGAGGAAAAGAGGTTCAAGAGGATATACACCTCCAAGGCCAGTGTAGGAAGCAAGCAGACACCGAAACTGTGACCCCAAGACAAATGATCCAAGTCTCGGAGAGGAATCTTTGGGTGATAGGAGAGACGGTACAAAGCCCTTTCAGCTTCGTTTGTAAATTCCTCTTCAGCAGAAGAGATAGGTGTCGTTGCAGCAAGTGTGATGAGAAACTTGACCGCATCGGCTAACTCTGCATTTGCAGTGCTGTAACGCGGTTTTTGATTTTCATACCCCTCTTCTTCTTCATCCTCCAGACGTAACGGCACGGCTTCTTCTATCCAATGGGAAAGACGTTGATGCTCTGGTGCCAGAGGATTATGATGGACAGAGTTCCCTCCTGGTGGAAGCAGATTATATCGTTCTTGTGCCCACCTCACCATTTCATCTGAGAACAACAACTCATCCTCTGATACCTGTTTCTCTTTCCCATCATCTCCAGTCTTTGCAGCGAGGGATGTAGTCTCTCCAAATTCTCGAATCGTAGAAATCAAGACACGGGAAAAGTGATCTTGCACTTTCTTCACTTTTATTCGTTCTACATCCGCAGTTGGTGTTTTACTGTTGTGACAAGTCCAGAAAATGTCGCTTTGGTGTGGTGTGTAGGATTCATTGTTTTTGACCAGGATGAGATGGGTAGAGAGGGTGTTCCAGGGGATTTTGTGATCGAGATGCATGATTGTGTTTTGGAAGCTTGACTCCCTCTCCTCGTTCGGCAGATAGATGGAGTTAAGATGGAGAGGTTGAGGGGAGAAATTGCTGACGACTATATACTTGGTGCGAAAGAGAAAGGAGAATTGTTTCATGAAGAAAGATAGATGTGTATGACTAAACTCTATGCCAAGCCCGTATAAAAACGCGTATACCAGTGCTAGTGTGTCGGACATTATAACCAAGCTCGTAAGTAAGAGTATGTATTCGACAAAGCGTTATGTATACAAAGAAAGTAATACGGTAATCTCAAAAGGGTCCGAATAGTAAACAATAGTAGAATAGTATATGTATATATAGTGTAATAGACAATAAAAAGAATAACAAATATAAAAGGTTCTAACAAGTGAGAAAACCCGAAAATAAGAAGGAAAATAGAAGACGAAAACTGCAAGTCTAGTGTAAAGAAGAAACAGAAACTCCTCAAGATGTATGCAAGAATAGATGCAAGAATAGATGCAGAGAAAGTCGTAACGGGTCATGTCAATGCTTTCCGGGAATTCTAAACGCGCTTTGTAGTTGTGGTGGTGGTTGTAGGTTTCTTCGAGCTTGAAGAAGTGGTGCGTTTTGTTGTGCTGGTTTTGAGTGTAGAGCTGGGCTTCTTGGTCGACGAAGTGGTCTTCTTTGTTGATGATGAGGTCTTCTTGGTCGACGAAGTGATCTTTTTCGAGCTTGTAGAGGTGGTTTTCTTGGTCGATGAAGAGACCTTCTTGGTGGACGATGATGAAGTGACCTTCTTGCTCGAACTGCTTGCCACCTTGGCCTTGGCTACAGTGCTAATCTTGACACTGCTAGTTGAGCTAGGCTTTTTGGACGAAGAAGTGGAGCTAGGTTTCTTGGAAGAGGAAGTCGAGGTGATCTTCTTGCTGCTGCTAGTAGAGCTAAGCTTCTTACTACTGCTTGTTGAAGTCGTCTTCTTCGAGGAGGAACTTGATACAGCAGTGCTTCTGACCGTGATACCGGCGTTTCTGGTAGCCAAAGTCGATGAGAGCTTGGTACTTGAACTGCTTGTGCTGGTCTTGCGGCTGGAGGTTGAAGATGTGGAGCTCTTGATTGAGGAAGTGCTAGAGGGTTTCGTGCTTGTTGACGATGCCTTGCTTGAGCTTGTGGTAGGCTTTACGGTCGAGGAGCTTGAAACAGGCTTCGATGAGCTTAAGCTTGAAACTGGCTTAGTTGATGATGTCGAGGTCGACTTGATGCTGGAAGAGCTGGTGGTTGGCTTGATGCTGGACGAGCTTGTAGTAGGCTTAATGCTAGAAGAGCTCGTAGTGGGCTTGATGCTAGAAGAACTGCTTGATGGCTTGATAGACGAAGACGAAGATGAAGAGCTCGGGCGAACACTGCTTGCTAATGTCGAAGTCGAAGAGGACAAAGGACGAGTGCTGCTAGAGGACAGGGTTGTAGAACTAGGTCGGACACTGCTCGATGAAGTCGACGAGACCGAGCTTGATGTCGAGCGAACGCTGCTTGAAGATGTCGAGCTCGGGATGATGCTGCTTGATGAGCTAGTAGTTGCTCGAGTGCTGCTAGATGTGATCGAAGACGTCGAGACCAACGAGCTCGAAGAGACAGAGCTGGAAGAAGTCGAGCTCATAGATGACGAACTCGACGAGTTAGACTGGATTACTGTCTCCGAAAACACCTTGATGTAGTTGACCTCCCAGTAAGCCTCCTGGAAAGCCTTGGGGTTCTGTGCAACATAGTTTACACATCCATTGTTTCCACTGGAAGCTCCCGGGCAGCTAGTCTGACTGTACACACTACCAGCCCAGTCACCACAGAAAGTCGTGTCGAAAATCATACGGTGGTTGATGAAGTGTGAATCAATGTCACAGCTTCCACCATCGAAATTGCCGACTGGAGTGCCAAAGTCAAGAGCTGGGTTGGGAGTGCCCGAACTAATGGATGCAGGAATGCCGTTGCGAGGGAAGAACCAGACTTTCATGAATTCAGAGGTCCATTGCATAGCGTAGACACCTCCACCGTTCGCATTGAAGCCATCGCCGTAGCCAGTTTGGTCGTTATTGCCTGTCGCGCAACCAGCAGCTCCACCAGTGCTAACAGCGCAGTCCTGGCCGTTGACCCAACCGGACTGGTCCTGAAACTTCATGGTGCAGTTTGGAGCAGTGTGTGCGGCAATCTGGTTGGTGGTGAAAGTGTTGACTCCTTCAATGATGTCTAGCTCGCCGTGGGCTGGCCAGTTGTCGTCACCAAGAGTCCAGAAGGCAGGCCAGACACCACAAATTGAGCCAGGCATATGCTTGATGTCTGCAAGGAAGAGGCCATGGTTGTAATTGACAGCACCCTCAAGACGAACGGACTGACGACCAACAGTAGAGTTTGCGTACAAGACGGTAGTATCATCAACACCCCACTTGGCAGTGCCGTCGCCAAATCCAAGAATACCGCTCTTGATAGCTGTGGCCTTGTCTACATACTGGACGTAACCATGAGTCGGATCCGGGTCCGTGAAGAAGGTGAAGCCGTCATAGAAGGTCTCTCCCGCATAGGTGTCTTTCAAAGTATAGTTGTAAAAAGCAGCAGAAGCCGTGAACGGAAGAAGAGCAACCAAAAGGCTACCAGCCCCTATAAGCCTTGAAGAAGGCATATCTCTTTCTGACAAGTAAAAGAACGACTGGAAAGAGAATGAAGGAATGGAAAACGAAGGACCACAGAAAGGAAAAACTCTCTACCTACATCAAGAAAAATTCAAGGGATACAGAGATGGTTTTATTTGCCATGCTACACACAGAGTGTATTGATCCCACCGGTGGAAACGGGCGGTTGACACTGTGGATTCGGAGGTCTCACACAGCTGACTTTCTGGGCATCCGCGCTGCGATCAGCTCCCGTCGGTCATATGCGCATGAAGTACATTCTAGAACGCCACGACGGACTTGGGCGCATTCAAGCATGACCCATATCTATACCGACCTAGATCGTGAGCAAAAAGTATGGAAAGGGTTGCAACCGCACATGCCACTAGCACGAAAGAAGGTGTGGGTGGTCCATGGAGGGAGAAAAGGGGAAAGAAGTGTAGATTGAGGTTGACCGTTTCGCTCTCCTAGCGGAACGCCGTTATAAGGTTCGGAGATGCCGTTTTTGGCTGAGGCTGGCTGAGAAGAGAGTCCTCGGCGGCGGTGCCTGGCTTCTTGAGGCTTGCCTCTCAGCTTCTATCGATTCATATCGATCTCAGATTGAGTCAAAAGGGTAAGAGTGCGCGTCACTTCAAACGGGATATGGTAGGGATGTATTGATGTATTGGTCTACACGGCTGATATTTTCCATCTCGTTGATTGGCTGGGTGCCCTTTTTTCTCTTCAGCTGGGCAGCTGAATGACTGAGTCGCATGGACTCGGTTAGCTTGATGCGTTGATGCTTGTTCTCCTCGTGCCTGCCGTAGAGCGATACGTCTCGGTTCATGCAGTCGCGTTGTCGATTTGCATAAATAAGAAGGAGAATAATGCGACGACAAAATACATGTCGCTGCAGGTACGGCAAAACCGCCACGCGGTCGATGCAAAGTGGTCACAATTACTGCGTAAGCGAGAATCTTGAGAGATGCCGCGAGTGACATGGTCACACTGAATCAAGTGATCTTGTGAACTTTGAAAGTCTAGAACAAATGTCACAATAGAGCATGCATGTGTTAACGTGGAGGAAGGTTGAGAAGATCTAAAGACTCATCTATTCGAATGTAGGTCTAGTTCTATATCAAATGCTGTCATTACGCGAAAATCAATGCTAGAACGCTCGGAGAAGAACAAAACTCGCTGTCAACCAACTCGATGTGGAATAACGAAATAACAGCTGCTGCAGCACGTTGGGGCTTCATGCGGTGTAGTGTTTTATGCTTTTGCGTAGCGACAGCCGAGGCTGCTGCAAGCTTCATGCCTCTGGTTCAGCCAGTCGTAAACATGTCTGTGATCCCCCTCTTTCTCCCAAGATCCCAGTAGAACAAGCAATGGCTCATCACCCTCATACTGGTATCCAGGTGCCTTGCGTTGTCTTGCGACCTCAAGAGTCTCGTGAATGGTATCCCAAACGAAGCCAGCAGTCAATGGCTTGCCGTCTTGTGACTCGCAGCGGATGAGGTAGCTCCAGTAGTATAGCTCGATACGCGTAGGAGCTGGGTTTGAAAAGTACATGTTGCGCCAACTTGCGTCGGGAGATGTGCGTTCGCCGAGGAGGTAGAAAGGGTCGTTTTCAGAGATCTTGAATGCAAGCATGTGCTTCTTTTCGGTATCCTGAAGATCGCGAAAGACAACTGGGTGGCTGAAGTAGTCGTCGTGTGATTGACCGGTGCTCGAGAGATGTCTGTAGAGTGACTGTTGGTCGATTCGTGCTTGTCTTGCGCTTTCTTGCTTCTGTCGTCGTTGGTCGCAGGAGAAGGAGTTGTGCATGATGTGCTTTTTGAGCGTCGGTGCAATAAAAGGGTTTGTCTCAGCACCGCACCTACGTTCCTCCTCTTGGTGACCACAGAAGCATGGTCGTCTTTGCTCAGAGTCGCGTGCGAGGAACATACGCTTCTGCAGGCGAGCAGATGCATCGATCATACCCTTGAAGCTGCGGCAAGTCCTCGAAGTCGTCATCATAGCGCGGATGCTCTGTCGTTGCTTGTCGACCTCGTCGCCTGACCAAGGCAATTGCATAAGAATGTGCTCGAAAAGATCAAAGTTATTCAATGCCTTGGAGGCAGCTGACTCTGTGCCTTTGTTTGTGTAGATGTTGGCAGTTTCGGTGGGTCGTAACTTGAGTTGTGGTTCGGGAGCAATGACACTGCTTCTTCGTCGTGACAGCTCCTTGCGGATGCTCTGTGAAATTTCGCTTCGTAGGTCTTCGGCATTGCTGTGTCCCAGGCTCATCGACACCTTTGAGATGCGGCGTCTCTTGCCCTTACAGGCAGTCTGGTAGTCATGGTCATTGTGACCCTCGAGAATTGTGCTGATCATGTTGCTAAGGATAAGGCGGTCCGATCGTGTGAATGAGAATAGGGCGGTCGGTATGGGTGAAGGAGGATATGGGAATGATTGTAGGAAACGAACAGCAAAGCAAGGAGAAGAAATAAGTGAGAGAAAGATCAAGACATCCTTTGAACCAACCTTGTAATCGTCTAATCTTACGTCCGGAATATCCTCATCCGCGCCTCACACCCAAGCCAATGACTCTACCCCATACAAAACAGCAGACCGACGGCTTTGCAGGCGACCAGAAGGCGATGGGGAAACTCCAACGGTCGATCATGTTTTGCACGCCGCAGGACCGAGAATCAAGGAGACCTCAAAACGTCCGAGCTCGCAACAGACCACCTTCTGGGGCAAAGATCCCCAGGGAGGCGAAAAGTCAAAAACCCTGATCTTGTGTTAGCCACGCTGTTCTGGAAATAAAACGCTGCCTTTCAATTGGCAATTGCTGCAGATGCTCTCTGCACCAATCTCGCCATGACACCCGTGCTAGGCAGCGATAATTGACATGTCGGACAAGACCTTCTTATCAGAAGTGGTATGTTTGCTGCATACAAAAACGTCACCATTGTACCTCTGTACCATTCCCATCCTTCTGGAAAGAATTGGAAGTGGGAAAAAAAGGCTTTTGGCATGCATGCATCACAGCATGACAAGCACGTGAACATCACATCATCCATCGCACACGTCAAAATAATTTAGCATGTGGCAAAGAAAAGAAAAAAGTAGAAGAACATGCTTTTCGCCTATAACAATCTTCTGTATCTCTTGCCTATTCTTTCAACTCAGGCTCCACAAAATGATGCATAGACAAGAGTCGGTCAGTGGTGTCGGTAAAACCGGCGTTGGGGGCATGCAAGAAGATTCAAGGGTCTAGATAGACTTCTCGACCTTTTGATCAGCAGCTTCATGACGATCAGGGCTCACTCTCCTTTTGCCTATTTTGCTCTGGTATGTGGTGGCTAGTTACTCCTTTTGCTGATCGTTTTGATAACACGAAGTGCATACGACAGTTCGTCATTGGGGTTTTTTTATATGGAGGATTGTGATAAGGAAAAGCTGATGTCATTATTCTTATCTTGAAATCTGAGACATATGTGGAAAGATAGGTGTTGAGATAGGTACGAATGTGCAGATGCAGACTTGTGGAAGCAGATAGTGTGAGAGGCGGAAGAATTCGAAGGGATCTCGTTGGTCGGCATCTTGATGCCTATGGTACTAGGGTCTACTGTCCTGTTTCCAAGTTTCCAGCGTACTATTACGCTGTCCGGCACTCGCAGCTCGCAAGCTTGCTATGCCACTCGTTCGACTTAGACGATAGGGCCTTTCCCCACGGTGCGCTGGTGCGTAGCCATCAGTGCATACCGCTTGGGAATGATCCCAGCTGCCGGCTCAACCGTACGTCCAGTGTGGCCTATCCCATCATCTGGATCAGATCTGCTTTCCAAGCGGTCTGGATGGTCTTCTTCTAGCACTCGGCACAAAGGCTCTCAAGTCGCTAGGGTCGCCTCTGCGTGACCAGCACGCGTGTATATTTCCATGTCTCCAACTCTTCCTCTTCTTCGTCAGCCTCTCTCCCCTCACTCATCCTCGTCAACCAACGGCGGAGGCACACTTCCCCTCCACAACCTCCCCCTATCCTCCTCATAGTTCAACATACCCGACTCTTCATCCTCTTCTCCAGCATCCTCATCCCACTCCTCGGGCTTCCTGAATCTGCCCACTAGTCCTGTGACTCCCCTCGTCACACTATCTTTTACTCGTGTCCCGATCTCAGAGACTGTGTCGATTGGGAGATTGGAGGAGTGAGACCGCCAGAGGGGAATGAGGAGGTGTGTTATGCTGAGGTAGAGGAAGAGGGATATCGAGAAGGGGAGAAGGAGGGTCTGTGGCACAATGGGTGTTAGTTGGTGCGATTAAGTTTCGAATCATCAACGGAACGACTTACGAGGAGTGCTGAAGGTAGCGGTTGTGATTGCGACATTATGTTGCGACTCCTGTATATTCTGGCAATCTAGCCGTGTCTATCCGAGCTCGTAAATCCTCGGGTTTCGTCGTGACGGAAGTCCAGTAAAGTGGTATCCGATGTTCAGGAGTGGCGAGCAGATTATCTGCTGGGGCATATACAACAGCGTCCAGTGTAGGTATAGCCAGGGGTATGAAAGATTACGATAGCAAGAAGAAGATGGCGAACGCGCGGACACCCAAGACCTCTCTCTCTCCCAAGACAAAATGATATAATCCCTTCCAATTGCGTTGTCTGCTTCCGGATAGAAACGGCTATAAAGGAACTGTGGGGAAATATAGATGACGAGTCCTTGGTTGGAAAAAAGCAAACCAAGATGCAAAGATAAAGAGTGTGTATGCAAAGAAGGGAAAGCAAGAAGAGCAGTCTGCCAAAAAGACTGATGGAATCTGGTCAAAGAAGTATAAAGGTCCAGCCTTAGCTGTGCTCAGCTCATCTCAGCATTGTCAGTCGTGACTGACTGCGCCTCGTAATTGTGAGATTGAAAGATGAGGCGCTACGGATGTGCGGGTGCGCCGACGGCGTGCTCGGTGAACCTTCCTTGGCTAGATATGAGACAAAGGGTCTAGGATGATTCTTGGATCTTGGCGGTCGAGGGGATCACCCTGTTCTTTGGCACCAACGACATTAAACAAGTCGATATGTAGTTCTAAGGCGCTCGGTTAATTGTTACTAAATAAACATGTTGCCACTCATCATATCCAATGACATCCAGGAGTGTCCAAGCATCTGGCGTCGTTGCCGCCGTGCTCATGTACTGAAGCCTACTTTTCCACACATCCATCAATTACGAAGCCTAACTACCATGGGAAAGAACAGCAACAATCAGACTTCAACACAATCGCATGAAATTGATACACAATCTACAACTAGCTTTTCCACTCTTAACAGTTCCATCACATCGTAAATCACATCTGTACAACAAAGTATAGATATCCAACTCCACAGATATGCTCATCACCTTGAACCCCTTCCTACTCTAGTCGTCATCCTGTCCGACACGTCTATATTTTCCACTTCCTCCAGCATGACTTGATGCTCCGTCACCCTTACCCTTCTTGACCAGGTTCGAAATCCAACCTCCAAGGCCTTCTGAATCCGTGTCTTTGCTGAACATTGGCTTGCCGTTCTGAACGTCAACGGCAGGAGGGTCGATGTCGAGGTCAGGAATGTTGGAGTCTTGAGGCGCGTTACCATCGCGGTCGAGATGCATAGAAGGTGCGGGACTTCTGCTGAAAAGCGATTCTGCCTCTGCAAGCGTTTGAGGCGAAGGAGCAATAGTTGTAGCATCGCCAAAGATACTGTTCATGTCTTCCAATCGCACGTTTGCTGTCTCCGGAAAAAGGAAGTAGACGACAACGAATGAGACAGCACAGAAGAATGCATGCATCAGGTACAGTCGCCATTGAATAAGCTCTTGGAGGACGGGGGTCATTTCTCCGACCAGCCAGTTGAATGCCCAGTTCGATGCAGTAGACAGAGAAGCTCCCTTGGCACGGATGCTGAGAGGAAGAATCTCTGGTGGGTAGAGCCAGGGAATTGGTCCCCATGAGGCTCCGAATGCTGCGTTGTAAATCATGACGAAGATGACAACCATGCGGGGTGTCAGGTGGATATCAATGAAGATGAAGTAAGAGATGGCGGAGAGCGAGACGATCATGGCAAGGGCGCCTCCCATGAGGATAGGGCGACGTCCGAGGCGGTCCACCAAGTACCAAGGTGGGATCGTTGAAAGCAGGTAGGTAAGACCGTTGATACCAGTCATGAGAATGGCATCACGACCGACCCAACCAGCTTGCTCAAAGACCAGAGGAGCGTAGTATGAGATGACGTTGATGCCGTTGAGCTGAGCGAGAGCTTGGGCAGACATGGCGATAAAGACACGCTTGTAGTAGCGCTTGAACATGTCCTTGTAGCTACGCTCGCCCTCTTGGCGCTGCAGCAAAACGTTCATCTTGATCTCGCGGTACTCGTCGCGAGCCTTTTGGTTGTGGATATCGCCCTTGCCATAGAGGTTGGCAATTACTACGATGCCTTCTTCGTCGTGATCGTTGTCGAGTAGCCATCTGCACGGACATGTCAGTAGTGAATCACTGTGAGGGTGGAGTACAAGACATACCTGGGAGATTCGCAGATCAAGAAGGAACCAAGGATGAGCAAGGAGCCCATGAAACACTGCATGAACAGGGGAAGTCTCCAACTCCAGTCGTTTCCGATAAAAGAGCAGAAGTAGTCGACCCACACACTCGAGGCGTAGCCCACAATGTTACCTGTGAATTCAATACAAGCCAGCTTTCCACGATTGTGCGGTGGTGAGATCTCAGACTGGTACACAGGTACGATTGTCGAGAGTGCACCAACACCCAGACCGGCAATGATACGACCAAGCATCATCATAGACATGCCGGTAGCAAAAGTTTGGAAAGCACCACCAATGACGAAGATGACAGCTCCGTACATGATGGTGCGTCGACGACCAAGGATGTCACCAATACGGCCTACACCAAGAGAGGATATAAAAGCTCCGACCTCGAGAATGGCAACCATTGTGCCAATCTCTGCTCTTGTAGGTTGGTTGAAGTAGCTTTTGAAGTACATGCCGGTAATGATACCGCTCATCACACCTTGGTCGTAACCGAACAGGAAGACACCTAACGAGACAAAGACCGAGGTGAAGTAGATGAGCTTCTTGCCATGGAGGCCATGCATACGGGAGGGACCATCATTGGGAGCCATGATGAAGGCGATGATGCGTTCGGCTTGGGAGATTTGGCGCGGTGGGGGATTGGGGATGGGGATGTCGTTCTTGTTGAGAGCACCCTCTTTGGTACCGCTCTGGTAGCGAACGTGCTTGGTGTTCTTACGACGACTACTCGGACTCTGGTCGTGTCGGTCGAGAGCTCCACGAAGGGGATCGTCTTCGTTGTCGAACTGGTCTACCAGATCACCCGTGTCGCTCCAGAGACTGAAGTCGCTGTGGGCTGATTCGGACGAGCGCCGGTGACCACTACGGTCAGAGTGTCGCTTCTCGTCAAACGAAGAGGAGCTGCTGGTGTTGCGCAAATGCCGTGATGACGATGAAAGAGTGTGCAGAGGAATGTTGGCCGGTTTGTGTCTGTGAATCTTGGCGACGATATCAATTTCCTCCTGCCTGACGGTAGAGGCAGGAAGAAGACTTTTGCAAAAAAGTGGTAAGACGAATTAAGGACACACGTGCGGATAATCACAACACCTGCTCGATAGCTTTGCCCACTCGATAGATAGCCACACCAGACTTTGCCCAACGAGTACGGGGGAATCGGCGCTCCAACAGATAAGGGACCAATGACGTCGCGTGAGATCAACAGTAAAACTTGCTCCACTGCTGGCAAATGCAGGTCACGATGGTTGAATTCGGTATGTCAGAAGCGAGGAAGTGGAAAAAGAGGCTGGAAATGGCGGTAAGAGAAGACGACATGTGTTCGGGAAAAAGAGACTGGAGATTCAGGACTCTCTCCCTAATCATCCTTCGCATGCGTGGCTTGGTGACTCCCCTTGAACCTGACGATTGTCGATCACCGGCTTGCGTCCTCCTTTGATTATCCGAGGGCACAACATCTCTGCATCACCCATTTCTGCATCTCCATTAGAGTGCATAAGAGCATGATTAAGCCTCTGTATCCAATCAATGAATCATTCAGACAGCACCGTCACTCCAGAAAGAGTTCAAGGTCCAAAGACTGACAACCATCAATGTCCACGACCCGGGCATGATAGCCGGGGCCTCCGCACAACTTTCCAAGCAGGAACACACACCACCAAGCTGTCATGCCCGTGCGCCAACGCCATCCCCGTCCCCCCTTTTACCTTTGAGTCTTGGGACATGGGGATGGGGATGAAACTGGGCCACATGCTCAGACTTTTGCGACTGACCGCTTTGCTAGTATGGAACATGACAGCTCCTTGACTAAGAAGTATCGCTGTAGAAGGATAAAAGATCTTGATTCTGTCATCTGCTCAAACTCGTTTTCTACGATGTCCTCTGGTGAATCGCCAAGTTCGTGTGAAGCAAGAGACCGATCTAGAGAACCAAGTTGTTGGCCATCGGCTCTAGACTTGATCGTCTACATATCAGATGCAAGATGGAGACGGAGGAATAAAAAGTGTTAATATGTACAACATTTCCATGACCGCGACTATGCTAAACAAGAAAAGGAAACAAACGAGAAAAATAAGCATATCGAATAAAGTGAAACGCCCTTGTTCGCCGGTCTTTGTCTTTGGGGGCATGTGTGTAAAATAAGAAGACCCCTTCTTGTCTTTCGTTTATGCAGAAAATCCTTTTCAGTGACGTTCCTGCTCTCTCTTCTTCCCTCCGGGTATATCCTCAGCTCCTCGGGTATATCCTTCCAAAGCTTCATCCTCTACCACTCCGGACTCGGCATGTTGTTTTCATAAAAAACTGATCTTGTGTGACTATCATCTACATCCGAACTGGTATTGCTTATGCGCTGGCGACAGCGTTAGGTCCGTAGTGTACTTGAGGGTCGGGATAACCAGGGGCCATGAAGTTGGTCTTTGCGTTGCCCTGAGCCTTCGATGCTGAGCAACGAGCCATGGTTGGTGAGGATCTTGAGATGGCGTTTGTGAAGAAGAAGTCGGCAATGGGCTTAGTGAGGGCTGTGCCAGTGATCTTGGCACCGTGGTTAGCCTCAACAAGCTGGACCTTGGAAAGAGCGGCGGCTTCTTGCGAAGTAGGCTCAGCGACATCGTAGGCGGAAAGAGCAGGTGAGATCTCAATCATGCGGTCGCGGAGCATCTCGATGTCGTCGTAGGGGAGAGTGACGTTGAGAGCCTCGGAGACAGCACGGAGAATCTTCCAATCCTCACGAGCAGCACCGTAGGTACCAGTGGCAGCACGAGCCATCTGGGTACGGCCCTCAGTGTTGACGTAGGTACCGCTCTTCTCGGTGTAGGTGGCACCGGGAAGGATGACATCAGCGAGCTGAGCACCCTTGTCACCGTGAGAGCCCTGGTAGATGACGAAGGCATCCTTGGGGATGTCGGCGGCCTCAATCTCGTCGGCACCAAGAAGCCAGACCATCTTGGGAGTAACCTTAGCAGTCTCAGGGTTGGCGACACCCCAGCCAATCTCGTAGGCACCAGTACGGGCAGCAGCACGCTGGAGAACGTTGTATCCGTTCCACTCCTTTGTGGCGAAGTTGGCCTTGTTGGCCTCTACGAACTTACCGACAGTCTCGAACATAGCCTTAGCGTCGGGGTGCTCAGCAATAGCGCTACCAAGGATAATCATGGGGCGCTCGGCGTTCTTCAGCTTTTCGGCGAAAGGTCCGGAAAGAGCAGACTTGAGGGCGTTAGCGTCGGCACCAAGGTTCTCGTACTCGAAGGTGGACTCGAAGTCCTCACCAACGAGGCCAACCTCGAGGTCAGAGCGGATCCATTGCTTGCGAATACGGGCGTTCAGGACGGCAGCCTCGTGACGGGGGTTAGTTCCAACGAGGAGGATGGCATCGGCCTCTTCGACACCAGTGATCTTGGAGTTGAAAGTGAAGTTGGCGCGAACATCGATACCATGGGCCAGAGGAGAGTCACCCTGAGGTTGGTCAAGAGCGAGGTTCTCGGATCCAAGACGGTTGGCGAGGTCCTTTGCGGCAACAAGTGACTCGGTATCCATAGTGTGACCAGCGATGACCTTGAACTCGTCACCCTTGGGCTGAAGCTGCTTGAACTTCTCGGAGATCTCAACCAGGACGTTCTCCCATGTGGCGGGCTTGAAGGTCGAGCCCTCACGGATCAAAGGGGTGGTAAGGCGCTGAGTGCTGAGACCGTCGCAAGAGAAACGAGATCTGTCGTCGATCCACTCCTCGTTAACATCATCGTTCAAGCGGGGAAGAACGCGCATGACCTGGAGACCTCTGCTGTCAACACGGATGTTGGCACCCAGACCGTCCATGACATCAACAGTCTCGGTGTGCTTGAGTTCCCAAGGACGGGCGCGGAAAGCGTAGGGCTTGGAGGTGAGGGCACCGACGGGGCAGAGATCGATAACGTTTCCGGACATCTCAGTGTCGAGGGCGGTCTCGAGGTAAGTACCGATCTGCATGTCGTTGCCACGACCGGTAGAACCGAGTTCGGGAGCGCCAGCGACATCGTTGGCGAAACGGATGCAGCGAGTGCAGTGAATGCAACGGTTCATGGAAGTCTAGAGGAGAAGCTAGTCAGCCAATGCCAGACAAGAAGTAGGTATGTTCGACCGAGACGCACCTTGACAAGAGGACCAATGTTCTTGTCCTCGACGGCACGCTTGCCACCAAGCTCGTGGAAACGACCACGGTCGGCACCATATCTCATGCTCTGATCCTGGAGATCACACTCGCCACCCTGGTCGCAAATAGGGCAATCCAGAGGGTGGTTGGCCAGCAGGAATTCCATGACACCTTCACGGGCCTTGTGGACGAGGGGAGAGTCGGTCTTGACGACCATACCGGGCTGGACGGGCCATGCGCAAGAGGCGACGGGCTTGGGGGCACGCTCGACTTCGACGAGACACATACGACAGTTACCGGCGATCATGAGCTTCTCGTGGTAGCAGTAGCGGGGGACGGTAGAGCCGGCCTTTTCGCAGGCCTGGATGAGGGCGGAGCCGGCTGTGAGAGTGGTCAGACGTGGTGACAGGGTAGACCGGTGGTGAGTGGAAGCATACCCTCTATTGAGACCTTCTTGCCGTCTGAGTGCGCACGTTAGCTATGTCGGAGTAGAGCATTGGTATGAGGCCAAGAGCGTACCAATTGTGAGCTCGACCTCTGCGGGACGAGGGGCGGAAGAGGTGAAGGCGCGAGTGGCATTGATCGAGGCCAGCCTCTGCGAGCGCGGCAGACTGCGCAAAAGCTGTTGGCGCATCATGTTGTGTGAGGCCGAAGAGGGTGGATGTGGAGGGGAGAGGTGTTGTAGGTCGTGTCTAACCCGTCCATTCGAGGGCGTCAAGAAACCGCGACCCGATTTGAAAGCATGCGACGTGATTGGCTGCGTGAAGCTTCGGGAACAGCCGTATTACCATTTACCATGTCTTTGCCATCATCACTCGACACTTGTGTTTGATGCATCTACAAGTTTGTATGATGAATCATGTAGACGATGAGAATCAGTTTCCTGTGGTTCTGTAAATGTCACAAAGAGAATGTGGCAAGAGTGGTTCGTAGATTTGCTTGTCAGTGTTGCTCGACAAGCCCGGCCGCTGTCCGGCTACACATGAGGTCTTCTATCGATAAGTTATAGCTACTGCCATGTCAACTTTGTTACAATGATCTCTTCTCCAGCATCTACAGTCAGGAAGTATGTAGATTATCAAGGCACAGTAGTTTTGTGAAATAGTAGAGTGACTACGGAGACGAGGTCAAGAAAGCCGACTCCCCATATAAACATTACAGATCTAGAAACAACTATGCCTTCTTACAGCTCTTTCCACGTCTGTCGGTATCTTTGAGAGAGGGCGCAAGTAGTCAGCAATCTGGTTGATAGTACCAGACATCGCACGGTTCTGCAAGATGGTTGATGGAAGTGATTAGATGATGGTATTTGCTTGGCGCGTCAATGGCGGGGAGCTGTGCAGCAAACATCCGTGCATGTGTTTACTCTCGGTCAAAACTTCTTGATCGCCTGCTTGCATTCTACTATTTCTGTGCACCTGATCTTTTCCTTCGGTTCAACGACCATATCCATCATGTCGGCCGATCTATCAGTAATTGCCAATCTGCTACAGGCCAGTCTTGATCCTCGCCAGAACAAGCAAGGTAAATATCTCAACAGAAGCATTCGAAAACCGTCATCGTGTACTGACATGAGCCTATAGCCGAACAGGCCATTCGCGCAGAGGAAGCCAAGCCTCAGTTCTCCCTCGCTCTCCTCCAGATTGTTGCCTCAGACTCATATCCCAACACGACACGATTGGCAGCTGCCCTCTTCTTCAAGAATTTCATCCGCCGCAGCTGGACCGACGAGGACGGCAACCACAAGCTCCCCCAAGATGAGGTGACGGCCATCAAGCGTGAGGTTATTGGCCTCATGATCTCAGTGCCTGCCACCATTCAGGCACAGCTGGGAGAGGCCATCAGTGTCATTGCCGACTCGGACTTCTGGGAGCGCTGGGATACTCTGGTTGACGATCTCGTCTCTCGCTTTACACCCGACAACCCAAAGGTCAACAACGGCGTCTTGCAAGTCGCACACTCCATCTTCCGCCGCTGGCGCCCTCTGTTCCGCACAGACGACCTCTTCACTGAGATCAACCACGTCTTGTCAAAGTTCTGCGAGCCCTACCTCGCTCTGCTGCAGGTAAGAAACACACGTACACACACGCACGAGTGCTGCCACAGCTACTGACACCCGCGAAGAGCACAGATCAGCAAATCGCTGCAAACGCAAACAACAAGGAGCTCCTCGTCCAACACTTCACCACCCTCAACCTCAGCATCAAGCTGTTCAACGATCTTTCCTGCCAAGATCTGCCTCCTGTCTTCGAAGACAACCTCGCCTCTATCAGCGCTCTACTTCTGAAGTACCTGAGCTATGACAACCCTCTCCTTCACACCGACGATGAATCCGAGGCTGGTCTCTTGGAGTACAACAAGGCCGCCATCTTCGAGGCTCTGATTCTGTACGTGCAGAAGTACGAGGATGCTTTCGGTCCTCACTTGGGTCAGTTTGTCAACAGCTCGTGGAACCTGCTTACTGCTATCGGTCCCGAAACAAAGTACGACATCCTGGTCAGTAAGGCTCTCCAATTCTTGACCTCCGTCACAAAGATCGACCAATACGCACAAAGCTTCAACAACCAGGAAATTCTTGGCCAGGTCGTTGAAAAGGTCATTCTGCCCAACTTGTCTCTGCGCGAGTCGGATATCGAGATGTTCGAGGACGAGCCGATTGAGTTTATCCGCCGTGATTTGGAGGGATCTGATAGCGACACTCGTAGAAGAGCAGCCACCGATTTCCTTCGCCAACTGGTTGAAAAGTTCGAAAAGCTCGTCACAGATGTCGTTTCACAGTACCTGCAACATTATCTGGCCGACTACGAAAAGGACAAGAGCTCAAACTGGAAGTCGAAGGACACGGCTGTTTACCTTTTCACCTCCATCGCTGCCAAGGGTGTGCCTACTGCTGCTCGCGGTGTCCAAACCACAAACTCAAATGTCGACGTTATTGACTTCTTCCAAAGAAATGTTGCCGTCGACCTCACAGCTGCCGACACCGAGCCTATCCTCAAGGTTGATGCCATCAAGTATCTTTACCTCTTCCGCAGTCAACTCACCCAGGACCAATGGCAAGCCGCATTCCCTCTGCTGGTCCAATGTCTCGGCAACGACAACTATGTTGTTCACTCTTACGCCGCCATTGCTGTTGAGCGTGTGCTCTACATGACTGATGACAAGCGCCAGCCCATCATTCCTAGAGAGACTCTTCAATCGCTTAGCAAGGACCTCCTTCAGCACCTCTTCCAACTGATGACCAAGGACACTAAGGCCGAGAAGATTCAAGAGAACGAGTTCCTGATCAAGTGCGTCATGCGTGTACTGATTGTAATTCGTGAGGGTGTCCTGCCCATCCTTGACATGGTCCTCACCAACCTGATCAACATTGTCAAGGTCATTCGCCACAACCCCAGCAACCCCCGTTTCTACTACTACCACTTTGAGAGCATTGGGGCTGTCGTCCGCTTCGCCGCTGCCACACAATCCGCCAAGCTCGAGGCTGCTCTCTACGATCCATTTGCTGAGATTCTGGCCAACGATGTTCAGGAATTCCAGCCATATGTCTTCCAGGTCTTCGCTGCACTCCTAGAAGCCAATCCCTCAGGTTCTCTGCCCAGTTACTACCAGAGTTTGCTTGGTCCTATCCTCACCCTGGATATGTACAACTCTCGCGGCAACGTCCCTGCGCTTGTTCGTCTCCTGTCATCCATGATTCCTCGCGCTGCCGAGCAGATCGTCGCCAACAACCAAATCGAGCCTATCCTCGTTATCTTCCAGAAGCTCATCTCTTCAAAGGCCAACGAGTCGCTTGGCTTTGACTTGCTTGAAGCCATCTGTGGTAACCTTCCAGTCGCCGCGCTCCAAAACTACTTTACCACAATTGTGCAATTGCTCATGACCCGTTTATCCACCTCAAAGACGGAAAACTTCACCATCCGCTTTGTGCGCTTCTACCACTTCTTTTCAGCACGAGACGAACAGGGTCTTGGTCCTGATCTTTTCATCAATATTACCGACCAGGTTCAAAACAATGTCTTCACTCAGCTGTACATCCAGATCATCTTGCCTGACACACAAAAGCTGTCGCGTCCATTTGATCGCAAGACTGCAGTCGTATCGCTCACTCACACCTTGGCTAACAGCCAGGCATTTGTGGATCGCTACGGCAAGAAGGGCTGGGGCTTCACATGCGAGGCGCTGCTTAAGCTTCTGATCAACCCTCCGCTCCCACAGTCTGCTGACGATCTCCTGATCGAGGACCGTGATGTCGAGGACGTCGGCTTCGGTGTTGGCTTCACTGCCCTGAACACATGTAAGCCCGTGCCAAAGGACCCCTTCCCTGAGGTGCAGGACGTCAAGCAATGGGTCGGTGTATACCTGCGTGAGGCTGACCAGAAGACTGGCGGCCGCATCAACGCTGCTGTCACTGAGAAGCTCGGCCCTGATGCACAGGCTGCTTTGAGCAGCGTCATGTCAGGTTAGATTGGAGTTTCATGGCATTAAAGGTCATGCATAGCTATATAAGCACTTTTTCGTATTATCAAATTTCTTACTTCCAGCATTGCAATCTCTCGTGTAAATAAGCTGCAGATAGGCACATGCATTTACTGAAGCGTGCCGTTGTCGTGGAGAGCGTGCTGAAGTGTCGATCTTCTGACCTCACTCGTCTTTCTGAAGAGTACTGTGCATTGTTGCAATTACATACGCAGCAGGGTATCGTTGTCGGAGAGAGGGTGACTGTCCTGACTCTCTCTCCTGACCTTGATCACCATTTCATAACACTCCTGTGCATTCATGCAACTCTAAATGTGTCAGAACATCGTTGTTGGAGAGAGTGCTGAATAATTCTTATGTCGTATTCACCCCATCTCGATAAAATCGTGCGATAGCTAGCAGCGACGAAAGCAGAAGGGACTTTACGAAGCAAAACGTTGTTGCTTCTTTCCGATCATAGCTCGTGAGTACCTCATTGCACATTGTCATCGACAAGAGCCTATTGATCATCTGATAGAATTCTCTCCGACCTAGTAGAACATATCCTGGGAAATACAGCTACCAACATGAGTCCTTGCCTGCCACATGAGATCTTGTCACTCATCGCAGACCGGCTTGACGTTCAACTTGAGGACAGACTTACCCCGTATACGTTCGTCAGTAGAAGCTGGCAGTCTCTGTTTGAGGCGAGATTGTACCATTGCTTGACTCTCAGCACAGAAATGGAAACCAGCAGCGATCCGCGAGATGATCTACACCGTCGCCGTTCCAGACTGTCTTAACTCCCAACTAGAGAATAGAGATGGATACCTCCACGCAGCCTGTCTGGAGAATTACCGAGCGTTCTCGGACGGCGTGTATGCGTTGTTCGATTATCTCTCGACCACCTGGCAAAGCGACGACCCACGGCGAGTTGAGCTTACACTTGCTCTCCGGGCCGAAACAATCGATTTCTCGGTAGATAGATGCCATGCTCGCTGAGGCGTTGCGCTATAAGAGACAAGATCTCTTGCGGCAGGTAGGGAGCCATTTCGGAGGTAGACACGGCTAAAACGAACCAGCAATATTGCACGCTGAGATAAAATGGGAGACAAAGCCACCTCTGAATGATTTTCAGGATATGCTGTATTAGTGGATCATGATCGTTCCTCCTCTGGTAGATGATCAAATAACTCAGGTGTGTCTGGAAGCTTGAGAGGCCATTTGAGGGTATATAAGTGGTTCCATTGCTTGAGGTACAAGACATAGTTGAGAGAGAAGTCGGTGATCTGGGAGGAGGTGTCGACCTTGCGGCTGAGACTTTTGACCTGTTTCGAGTTCATCACTTCGCAAGTGCTCTCAAGCCTTTTAGAATGCGCCAGTGTTTGTCACACCTAGCTGGATCAATAAGTGACGTGGTGCTCGCCGAAACCTACAGCCGGGTCCACTGGTCATTTGACCTCCTATCCAAGTTCAGCGGACAAAGAAAGATGATCACACTGATTCCAAGCTCTCATTACATCCATCCCATATCAACAATCTCGTGCTTTCCAGCATCCATGTTCCCGCCCTACGACAACTTCGGGATCATACCCAAATCTGCAAACTCTTCGACAGTCCTGATGATTGACTTGGTCGAATCCACATAGCCAAAGTATCCAAGTTCTTTGGTCTTGGTCATGCTATAATGCAATGGGAAAGACCAACCCAACGCTCCGTCAGTAAATCCAAACACACGGTCGATATCCGTGAACTCCTTCAACTTCAAGTCGTTGGCCTGAGCGATCTCCTGCCAGGCCTGTTGAATCTCAGGCTTTTTAGCCCAGTCAACAAGGGTGAATTTATAACGTAACGATGCAGTGGGGCCCCAGCCTCTTGGTGGAGGTTCGTGAGGCATTTTGATCTCTTGGAATTGGGCCTCAAGATCAGGGCCTGTCCAAGCTATCCCAAAGCGTGCGGCCAAACGAGGCCACAGTTGCGCCCAGGTGAAAGCACTATCGTCACATGCGTTGAAAGACTGGTCCATAGCAGAGGGCGTCAAAACAGCCCACTCGGAGAGATATGCATTCATCTGCGCCGACGAGATTGATACAGTCGTCTCCCAAGCTTTGAGATCAGACGGAAACTCAAGTGGTTGATTGAGATGTTTCTGGACGGTTGCGTAGACGGCCAATGGTAAGACTAGATTCATCGCATTATCGGGTACCGCGCCAGGAATATGCGAAGGTCTTGTGGTGATCCAGTTGGACTTGTTCGCTTTTGCCCACGCTTTGAGGTAGTCTTCTTGTGGATAGTAAAAGTTTGGTTCTAGCTCCACTCTAGACTTTGTTTCCTCGTATGGAGGGGTACCGGGTCCGAGATGTACACCATAGTACTTTGCGCCCAATTGTAACAGGACGGCCTTGGGTATGTTTTTCGAGATTGTCAAGGCTTCAAGGAAGTTCGATAGAAGAGCCTTGTTGATGGAAACCAACTCATCCACGTTTCCCCAAATCCCCTGGCCTTCTTTTGGTGCAGGTTGGATGTATGCAAAGAAGAAAGCATAATCTCCCTTTACGCCCTTGTCTCTTAGAGTTGAAGCAATGTCTTCGGGAGAGCTCAAGAAGTCGCAAGGAATATGCTCGACGTTCTCGGGTAGATCTCCAGAAGGTGGGCGTCGAGACAATGCATAAATCTTCTTCCAGCGTTGCGGTTGTCGACCAAGTACTTTGAGCATGTAGGTTCCAGAAACACCGTTTGCTCCTGTGACAATAGCGGTCAGGCCTTCTTCCTTGAAGGTGGGAAGACCGTGATAGATGTCATAGGATTCGACAATCTGTTGAGTGGACGACATGATTGTGTACAAGAAAAGTCAAACTGAGCCGGGACAAAAATGGAGAAGAGATGTCTCTGCTTATAGTCCCTGGTCAGGCAGTCAGCTGTGTTGTACATGCTTTATACTACAATACCCCTCAAGTGGAGAAATGACGTGGTTTAGTGCATGAGGTCGACAATGGTTAAGTGGCCACGACAGGGATCGCAATCACGTCCATCATCAGTCATGTCGATGTTCTCCAACTTCTACGCCAACGATATGTTGTTCATGTCATGACTTGCAAAGACAACAACGAGGTCTTACTCCAAGAATTGGAGAGTCGAAGCTTGCGGGACATACCCCTCATTCGAGTCAGGGTCACCACTACAAAAAGGGGCCCGATATAGTTTCAATGGATCGATATTCCTGCCGCAGATCCGAAACTAATACAATCTGACTCGGCAGTTCATGTCTAGAATCGATGAAGAGGATGAAGCCAATATATCGAACAGATGGAATTGAAGTCATCAATAATCTAATGTGCAGCTTCAGAGCTGACCTGAATCTCGACGTCTTTGCGGATGATGGGTTCTTCGCTACCACCACTACCATTACTCTTCGTCCTCCTCGGCAAATGCTCTGCAACATCATGCAGACCTGGTCCGTAGATCTGGGCCTTGTAATTCGGTCTGTCTGGACGAAGCGGACTCTTGTCAGAGGTCGATAGCCTTCGTAGTCCAAATACCGCTCCTTCCTCTTCATGTCTCGATGTTTGCATCGTGCTGAGTTGGTATGTCGAGTTTGCGGTACGTGTATTTGTGTTTTTGATGTAGTAGGATGACTCCCAACCCATGGCCTTCTCGTAGGCACGGATGAACGAGCGTAAGGTTGGGATTGTGGCGGCCATGAGTGCGTAGCCGAGTTCGACTTGTTGCCAGAGGAGAGAATAGACGGTTGCAATGCCTGGATCGGAAGAGCTGGACCATTGAGAGACGTAGTATACATGGATGATGGCGAATATGGCGACACTGCATTGAATGTGTCAGTACGTGAAGGTTTCAGAAGGTCGGGCAGAAGTTCGACTTACACCAGGCGGAAAGAAAAGGCAAAGACGACAGAGAGCTTGATCTCTCTGGTCATTTGCAAAGGAACAACAAGGATGATGGAAAGAAAGAAAATGGCCAGCTCAAACAGCGAGTCGAAAGTTGCTACAACGCTCCATCGGGTAATCTGTACGAACTGGTCAGTATGCTGATCCAGTTGCTGTTGGGCATCTCAACTGACCTGTCCGCTACATCGATCTGAGAGAGCAAACTTGGTCGACGGCCCGCAGGCAATATTGAGACCCAAGATAGAAGCCAAAACCCAGACACCAACTGCGCCCAACAAACCATTACACAGAAGTCGTGCAGTTCTGTTGTCCGTAGAGAAGAGGCGCTTCATGAAAAAGATGACCGAACATTTTGTGAGAGCATTGGAAATGAGGAAAAGACAGATACTAGCAATAGCGGACTGTTCAGGGTCAGTTGCTGTTTTCAAGCGTCACCGGAGTTGATCAAAACATACCCGGCCTGCATTGAGTTGATCGCTCTCAGACATAAGAGAGACTGCTTTTCCCAGAGCATAGTTGTCCAGCCCTGCAAAGATAGCTGCATATTGACCTAGTGCAACGACCTACGTGCCGATCAGTACACGAAGCTTGCAGGATCTCCCGAGCAATATGGCGACATACCGTGGCAGCGACGATGATCCAAAAATCGAGTCCAAAGGTTCGCCTTTGAATGTGATACCGTACTATGAGCGTAATGACAGAGAAAATCAGACTCAAGATGGTCGCGACATAAAGTATGCCAGCACGGTCATTGTCGGAGACAGGAGAGAAGACGTAGAATCCATTAATGTAAGCTCCCATATCGTGTAGAAAGGCGCCCTGGCGAGGGCCCAAGAATGCAACTTGAGATCGCGAGAAGTGCTCTAAAACGTCTTTGGTTTTGCGAGAGTGTCCCGGAAAGTAGGGACTCAAAAATCAGCTGGGTAGGCACCTATATTCATGCTCTCGGAGCAGGATTGCGTTTGCAGATCCGCCCAGCGAAAGTTCGCTAGAACGAACCGTTCACAATTCAGCCTCTTCTACAAGCATCACGGTCATTATTCGCGGCCCTAAACCATGGAGCGCTATGGCTGACGCTGCCGACGCCGGCGAGATGCGCCGCGCGCGTTGAACGTGTTTAAGATCCGTCGACTGTTTCATATAACTGGGTGCTTGGGCTCCCCTCATGATTTTACAAGGTCCTTGGGTTTCGGCTGAACACGTCAAAGGGAGCGGCTATGAACGATTGGGGAAGGTTTCTTTTGACAAAGGGTGTGTGAACCTAGCCATGTTTGTTTTGCGCAAGCTGAACGAGCCCTTCCGCCCCAGCCGCAAACTCACGTTTAAAATTTGCGATAGCCGAAAGGTGAATTGTTGAACCGTCAGCCAGCTCTTCCACATCACGCTGTGGCTTGGAAGCGTGCGTATCGCGGAATCGCCAGGGTCCCCAAGACCCGGATCCTTCGCGCTGGCAGTTGTCATGGGCATTCCCGAAATGGGACAAATCTAGACGATTATCCAAGTCATGTCCCAAATCTGATCAGATAACGCACGTAGTGGCTTGTAGAGATTTCACGATTTCGCAGAGATTCCTGTTCTAGGACAAAAGAGACGAATCCTTCGTGAAAAAAAGGATCCCGACCCCACCACGCGCGCGTTCAGGTTCAAGCGAAATTCGAAGAACTTCTTGGCAACTTCGGCAGAATGGACCAGGATCAAGAAGATCAAGCATGATGGTGTGTTTGACCGGGAAGAATCGACGACAGGGCTGAAGAAGGTGGAAATTGTTTCGTGTATACGGTAAAATATATAATTGGTCGGGAGGTTGGGAATTTGAGGGAGAGGGTCAGTCAATCTACTCGAACCTACATCTGTGACATGGCCCCTGTCTGGACTGTGTATACGAGAGCATCTTATTCGAAAAGAATGTGCTCATGCGGTTTGATGACCTACCAGGAGCGCGACGCGGCAGTAATGCTCATGATAATATTTCAGACCGCATCTCATCTCTGCCGTCGTACCGAGCTGCTCACACGGCCAGCATGCCCGCCAGATCACATGGTAGGCATGTAATAGCTTGTTCGGCTTTGTCTGGAAACACTAACTTCCTGGTCCGTCCATAAGGTAGTCGAATGTTCTGTAAGCGGTTCACATGCTCGGAGTTTTCAACAGTAGCCAGAGACGAGAGTTGCAGACAACGTACTCTATGGTAGTTACTTCTACGAATTTGCAGACAAGATGCAAGACTCCGCGCACGAAAAAACGACAGGTCTCTGCAAAAGCTGAAGGTTTATCAAGTTGTATTCGAAGCAGTTATTTTTGTTATATGAACAAGTCGGGTTCGAGGTAAGTGCCAGCCTCGAGTAGCATCATCTCTTTGGCGTTCGAAAGGTGAATTTGGAATTGTGGTATCGTACAGATTGAAAGGGAGTTTAAGTCAGAGTCTTGTGGTGAGCATATGTTTGTCTCTTGCGCTCATGAACTGGGAGCTCGTTTGCCGGGGTTCCGGGAATGGTCTTCTCCAACTTCTACACAGCGATCTAGGTCAAAGGATGTCGAATACGAAGTCTCGGAACGGATGCAACTCACCAGGTTGTCAAAGACACACTTGTTAAGAGGTCTCTCGTATCTTCTGCACTGCCAGAGTTGCTGGTTGTTGTTGTCCAGGCATGACCAGTGTTTTCTAAACTCTTCAAGGCAGTGCTTGTCAATGTCGCTCAAGCTGTCAAGGGTCAGAAGGATGTGCGACTGCGAATGTTGAACGACATACACGCTGGAAGCGCATCTGGTGACCTTGCGGCCCTCCTTCAAGCAGTCAAGCTCGCCCTTTCCATTGGCCTCGGCCTTGCACATCATGTAGTCGTCATTGTATGTCTTGCATCTTGCGCCGATGAAGAACGAGGCCGAGAGCAGAGGAGCGGAACTGGCACCGACTTCTTGGACCTTTGGGATGTCGTCAGGTAGAGGAGTTGTATCGATCAGCGTGTGCTGGTTGAATCTGCGCGCATGTCAGGATAGAGCAGCAGATGGAGGACGGAACGCGGACCTTGGCTGACGGGCCGACATGGTGGATGTTGTGCAATTGACGTGAGGCTGTCTCTGTCACTTGTCGCTGTATGGCGGCACACCCGTGTGAAGCTGGAAGTCGTCGGTCAGCGCTCGGCCGCATCCGATTGGCTGGACCCGGCGCAGCGACAACCCGCGACGCTCGCAGCAACTGAAAGCGCGTCGTTCTTTGCTGAAAGCTCCAAGCTCCTTCTCCCTTGCATCAATTGCGCGCCTTCCCGCAACAAACAGCAATGTCATTATTCGGTAATCTGGGCAACGCTGGCCAACAGCAGTCCTCGGGCTCCTCGCTGTTTGGAAATGCCACCAACAACAACAACACTCAATCCTCGCAACCTTCTCAGTCGACCTCTCTGTTTGGCCAGGCCCAGCCCGCGCAATCAAACTCGACTCCCTCGCTCTTTGGTGGCCAAACACAACAAACCCAACAGACACAGCAACAATCGTCGACTCCATCTCTCTTCGGCGGCGCTGCTCCTCAGCAAAATTCCACTCCCTCTCTTTTCGGCCAGTCTGCTCAGCAGCCTCAGCAACAGCAAACACAGCAGCAGCAGTCTGGGGGCATGTTTGCCTCGACTAACAACAATGCGCAATCTCAGCAGAATACCAGCATGTTCGGAAAGCCGGCGCAGCAGACGAATAGTTTGTTTGCTCAGTCGACCAACGACCAAAACCAGCAGCAGCAGCAGCAACAACAGGCCGGCATGTTTAGCATCAACAACGCAAACTCTCTCGGTGCTTCCCTACTGAGTGCATCCTTGTCCGCTCTACCGTCGGCTCTGGTGAACAAGCCTACAACCATCGGCTTCAACCAACAATCCATGGCTCCCCCACGCGACAAGACCATACCGCAGCAAATCGAGTCCATCGCCCAGAAATGGAATCCCGAGACTGCCGAGTGTCTCATGCAACACTACTTCTACGTGCAGGTACCACCGGAGCAGGCCCCCTTCATCAGCATGCCCCCGAACGCGGACGAGCGTGAATGGGAAAAGGCTCTGCGCAACAAGCCGACGGCAGGATCGGTACCCGTCATTGCAAAAGGATTCGAGGCGCTCGGCACGCGTCTGAAGACACAGGTCGAAGCAGTCAAACAGTTGCAGCTGCGCCTACACGAGATGAACAATAGTCTGGGTGCTATGATGCAGAAGCATGAGTTGGTCTTGAGTGTCAGAGCGGCAGAAGCAAAGAGAAAACACATTGGTCTGAGTCAAAGATGTCTTGCCTTGGCAGTTCGTGCCCAAGTGCTCGCAAACAGAGGATTCGTGCTAGACGGTGCCGAAGAGGAGCTCAAGAAGAAGCTGGCGAGCCTGGAAAAGACAGTGTTCGACCCGGCCTTCTCAGGCAGAGAGGAAGAGATTTGGGCACGCATGGTGGCCATTCGAGAAAGAACTAGGTGGCTACAGGAAGAGAGCGAGAAGCTCGGTCGCCAGGTATCCAATGAGAGCGGCGGACTGGACGAGCAGGTGATTGCAAAGACGAAGAAGGTGAGACATTTAGATAACGGACAAGATGCCTGGCGCACAGCTAACATATGCAACAGATCCTCCACGATTACGACACACAAATCCAGCACTTGCGCAAAGAGTTGGAACAGATCAAGAAGGAATACGAGGAGTGGGAGGCTGCCAGCAAGCCTAGCAAATGATGGGAATGAAAAGTTTACAGATGTTACACAAAGCAATTCTTGACACGGAATCGTATGGCAGGATTGCCACATGTTGATAGCACATGTTGTGCACGAAAGCTTGAAGAAGCGCAACCACACATCGAGATTCCATGGGCAAAAGACGATAGCATCAACTCTTGAGGTGAGAGGATATAGGGTTTGCAGAAGTATCATTTTGTACAGTATGTTGTTACAAGTGTATCGTGACGTGTTTCGAGGGGAGGCTACGGCTTTAGACAAGCTTCTGGATGTACTCGACGGCGAAAGGCGCTGGCAGAGAATTAGGCCGACTTGACATGGCGCGTGGAAGCAGGGAATCGCACAGAGGTAGAGAAGGACGCAAGTGGCAAAGGCCTGCTTGACAGTGAGGGAAGCGGTCTGCTCCTGGGCCTGGACGACAGCATGTCAGTATGCGCTTGGTTGGAAATGCGTGCGGTGATTATGCGATACCTCCATCTCGGCCTTGCTGGGGGGTTGCGGTGCTATGATAGGGTCAGTATGGCGACAAATACATCATGATTGCTTTACTACTCACCGAACATTGTTGTGATTATTTGTGAAGGGATCTGATGTAATGGATGTCTGAAGTTGTTGGTTGGCAAAGTGATTGATTGCGAGAGAGTCTGCGGTAAAATCCGGAGAGGCACGACGTCAATCCAGTGCAACGCGCGACGCAGACTGGAGGTATCAACCACCTCGACCACCACATCAACACTCCACCAACCTCTCTCATCGACATCTATTCCTGCCTCCATTCCCATCAGAATAGGCATATACACTCACACACATAGCGCAAACATGGAAGATCTGCCAGGCGCCGACTCTCCTCCCATCAACTATGTCGGCCACGAACCTGCTGGCAACGACGACCCTCAAGACCCCCTTCGCCCCGAGATTGAAGAAGAAGACTCTGCGCGCACTCCTCCCATCGCCGACCCTCACCAAGACACCGAGCTCGCCGAAGACGACCAGAACCCTGAACTCTCAATCCCCGAAGCCGCCAACAACGATGACAACGACGCCGATTCCGACGACAATCTGAGTGATGTTGACGAAGCTCAATTCCAAGATTTTGATCCAAATGCCATTGCTATTGAAGAGCGACCCAGAGTTGTCGATGCCAGCGGTGTAGCTCTGCTTGGAAAGCATAAGCGCAAGCGTGATGATGCTGATGGAGAGGGCAAGAAGAAGCGCAGAGAGGGTCGTCGTGAGAAGCCAAAGCGCAGCAAGCGTGGCGAGGATGGTGCAGACTTTGATGATGGAGACGACGCTGAAGGTCGTAGGAGAAAGACAAAGGCTCCTGGAGAGAAGCGCAAGAAGAGAACACCCAGCCCCGAGGATGATTCAAACCTGACCCCAGAAGAGAGTGAGTACATGCTGAACGTCATTGCCTAAGTTCAGAATCTAACACGGGCTACAGGGCGCAAGAAGGAGTTCTCTCGCAAGCTGGATGAGGCGCTCAAGAAGCCAAAGACAAACAACAGACGCAAGGCTGGCATCGATCTGGAGCAGATGGCCGATACTGAGCTTGAAGAGATGCGTCGTCGTATGGCCGAGGCCGCCCAGGCCGACACACAAGCGCGCGACGAAGGAAAGCCTGCTATGCACAAGCTTAAACTCCTCCCTGAGGTTGTCGCAATGCTGAACCGCAATACCCTGCAAAACGCCCTCGTCGACCCGGACATCAACCTCCTCGAGTCTGTCCGCTTCTTCCTCGAGCCTCTCAACGACGGCTCCCTCCCTGCCTACAACATTCAACGCGAGCTTTTTGCTTGTTTGGCAAAACTTCCTGTCTCCAAGGACGCACTCGTCGCCTCCGGCATTGGCAAAGTAACCCATTTCTACACTCGCAGCACAAAGGCCGAACCCTCTATCAGACGTCAAGCCGAGAAGCTCGTGGGTGAATGGACCCGACCCATCCTCAAGCGCACCGATGACTTCCGCAAGCGCGAGTTTGTCGAGGCGACTTACGACCCCAGTCAACTTCCCATGCGCAGCACACAAACTGCTGATAAAGCCAACCGCGCTGCTGCTGCCAGAAAGGCTGCGTTGGCTTACCCTACCGTCACCAATCGTGCCAGAGTCGAGGGTGGTCTGGGTACTTACACCATTGTGCCCAAGAGCGATCTCTCCAGAGCCCAACCTGGTGTTCGTCGTTTGGGTGCCGCTGGTGACGATCTTGCTCGTAAGCTGCAGGCACGCTCAAAGAACCAGAGAAGATGAGAGGTTTTGTTTCAGAGGCGGCGACTATGGGAAAGGCATTTGGGGGCAATGATATCAAAAATTGGGCTTGCCAGGCGTTTTCTTTTCATCACTTATCTTTCTTGCCAGTGGCTTTAGGGCCATAATTCGAACTATCACGATCGATGTTCTTTCCTCGTCTTTTGCATGTGCTTGAAAGCACGTGCAGTCATTCATCCATCCTATGCATGTTCTCTATGTTTGTCGTTTGTGAAGGTCCGCTGTTGAATGTTGCGATTCGTGACACCATGGTCAATTTCTTGACCTTGTGGTTCCCCGAAGCTCAGACCTACCTCCTAGGCTCTTAATCGATATGAGGTCGATACCCTTCTCACGACTCTTCTCGATATAGGCCTCACATCGGTTTGTGATATACGCTGAACTTGGTGCGAGTCAGAGCACCCTGTCTGACAAGACTTTTGGCCATCGGGAAAGATCATCTGTCACGGCACCTTTCCGTTGCTCCGCGGGCCGATGACACGACATGCCGAAGAAAAGTAAAATGAGCTTCCCGTTGAAGACGCGTTGTCTACTCGAGAAAAGTCCGAAATTTATGTACCGATGACATCGAATCGCGTAGTCACTAGTTGGGAACGTCATGGAAAGAAATTATGTGCTTCTTTTTAGATGGCTCCGGTAAATCCGAGGAAGAGTGCATCATAATTCGGGCCATCGTCCCATTCTTCCATACATCCGTAGCTTGATACCCGAGAGCTGTACTTGCTAGCTATCTTTGGTGTCACAACATCAGAGCCTCTCTCTCTATCTCTCTCACACTTTCTTCTTATCTTACGTATACTAATTTCCTCTCTCTCTGGCAACATTATGGCTTCCCTCTCTCGCTCGGTCTCTTCTCTGGCAGCCAGTTCGCGCATCAATGTTGTGCTAAGAATTGGCTCCAAGGTACCGCGTACTGCATGCTTTAACAGAGTCAATGGCTCTCTGGCGCCCATTGGACTGCGATTTGGAAGCGGTGCCGCAATCCCAAGAAAGAAGGAACCCATCGCTGGCGATGCTCAACCCCCTGCTAAGATTGTCGGTAACTCAAAAATCTACAAGAGCGCAGAAGATGCGGTAGCAGATATCAAGAGTGGCTCTACAATTCTGAGTTCTGGATTCGGTCTTTGTGGTGTCGCAGGTTGGTCTCTCATGGTCAGACAAATAGAAAGCTCAAATTAACACTTTCGGCCAGAAACCATTATCCAGGCAATTGCGAAAAGAGGAGCTGGCGAAGTCACCAACTTGACTGCTGTTTCCAACAACGCCGGTGTAGGAGATGGCGGTCTTGCTTCTCTCGTCAAGTCGGGCCAAGTTACAAAACTCATCATCTCATATCTCGGTGGTAACAAGGATCTGGAGAGAAAGTATCTCACCGGAGGCATCGGCATTGAGCTGTGCCCTCAGGGTACCCTCGCTGAGAGAATCAGAGCAGGAGGTGCAGGCATCCCAGCTTTCTTTACTCCTACTGGTGTCAACACTGCCATCATGACTGGTGATATTCCTATTAGATTTGGACCTCCCGCCGAGGGCTCGAATGAGGCTTCTGTGGTCGAGGCTGGTACTCCTCGCGAGACTCGTGTCTTCGAGGGTAAGACCTACAACATGGAGCGTGCCATCAAGGGTGACGTCGGAGTCCTGAGAGCATGGAAGGTCGACGAGGCTGGTAACTGTCGCTTCCGGTGAGTCAAAAAAGCAAAAATCTGGTGTAAGCTTAATGGCTGACAATTGTGCCAGATACACCACCCAAGCATTCGGTGTCCTTGTCGCAAAAGCTGCTAAGATGTCCATCGTCGAGGCCGAGGAGATCGTTCCCGTAGGCTCTATTCACCCCGACGATGTCCACCTTCCCGGAATCTACGTCGATCGCATCATTCAAGCCACAGCCGAGAAGGGCATCGAGCAGAGAATGACTCGCCCTTCAGAAGAGACGGAGACCACAAAGGATATCCCTGCCGCAGAGAAGTCGCCTGCCCTGATCAGAAGAGAGAGAATCGCCAAGCGCGCCTCGAAGGAACTTCACAACGGCATGTACGTCAACTTGGGCGTCGGTATGCCCACTCTGGCTCCCTCTTTCCTTGACCCTGAAGTCAAGGTCTGGATTCAGTCCGAGAACGGTCTTCTTGGCCTCGGTCCTTACCCCACTGAGGCAGAGGTTGACGCCGATCTCATCAACGCTGGAAAGGAGACTGTCACTATGGTCCCTGGTGGAGCTACCTTTGATTCTGCCGAGTCCTTCGCCATGATCCGTGGTGGACATGTCGATGTCTCTATTCTTGGAGCTCTCCAAGTCAGCGCCAACGGTGATCTCGCCAACTACATGATCCCTGGCAAGGTCGTCAAGGGCATGGGCGGTGCTATGGATCTCGTGTCCAACCCCGAGCAAACCAAGATTGTTTGCTTGACTGACCACGTCGACAAGTACGGCAAGCCCAAGGTTGTCCAGGAGTGCTCGCTCCCTCTTACCGGAGCTCGTGTAGTCAGCACTATCATCACCGACCTCGTAAGTACATTCTCGTGCGACCTTGAAAAAATGTGAGCTAATATTATCCAGTGTGTCTTCCAGGTCGACCGCAAGGACGGCGGTCTTACTCTCACCGAGCTGGCCGAGGGCGTCACCGTCGAAGACATCAAGGCCAACACCGGTGCATCATTCACAGTCGCAAAGGATATCAAATCGATGGAGTAAACCTTGTTTCCTCAAGACACACGTCCACCGTCCCCAGCCTCCTAGCCACTTCAGTGCATACTACTGATCTACATTACCACCCAATCTGGACGGCTAGTCGGGTGGCAGCTTGATTGAATCGGAAAGTTGGATGTCCTGCAACCTCACCCGAACTCGACCGCTACAAATCAAACGCAGCGAGTAATGTCCAAAAGGAAACGAAAATCTTTATTGCGTATAGATTGGTGGGGATAAAATTATTGGGATAGAAAGGAGTATTAGGTGCATGTATGGCGCAGCAATAGAATAGTGAAAAGTATGGTTATCATGTCACTCGAGGTTTCTCTATATGAATGAGAGGTGTGCAGGGGGTCCCTTCTTTATGGAGCCGATCAGACCAAAGGAGATCGAGACTGGAAGGTGCGTCGATTTCATGTCAAGCATGATTTCGAAGGAGGGAAGGAGCTCTTGATATATACTTCATGTAAATGAAACTCCCCGACAAATGCTGTAACCTGCCGTCTTCTTCCAGGATCATAAAGAGAGACATTTGCTATATTTACTCGAGTGTATAGTACCTGGGACTTTCAGAACGAAGTTGGAATATATCAACAGACGTCACATGGTATAACTTGATTGACCCGTGCTCGACCTAGGGAAAGTGCCATCTCCATGAGACCGAAAGCGATGCTACATCTTTGTGCTCGGCGACCTGACCTCGAGGAGCGACACTCAGAGACGGAGCTTCACTGCTGTATGTCAAAAGCTCTAGCAAGTTCATTTCCTTTCCTTTGAAGCAGTTGCTCGTGATGCTCAAAAGCAGAAGCAACAGGATTACTCAAGGCTGAGCTCTGTCCTCGTCTAACGTTGACCTTGTGTCACTATGCTACTCCGGTATCGTCGATCTTCACGCTATCAAGAAGCACTGGAGGCACACCATGCATGCTCGCACCGCGGGCGGCCAAGGAAGTCAGGTAGATAACGACCTCAGGAGATGTCGATGTGAGTGCATCTGGACAAGAGGAGGTCATCTGTGGTAAGTTGTGATGCGCTCCCTTCTAGCGTTGCAGTGGTGCGACAGCACGACAGAGTGACTATTCGTCCTTGAACCCTTTGGGTCGAGCTACCCCAGAGATCTACAGTAGCCGGAGATGAGTCCCAAAAAGGTTGAGCATCAACTGTCAATCTCGACTTTCAACAGGACGTATATCGACCATTTGACATCTTTAGTTCTGTACAGACTACACAAGATGGTAACATCGACAAGTTCGGCTCATAAGGTGTGGTCTGAAGAGAAAAGGTGCAAGTTAGCAGCGGTCTGTTTGCGGCATCTTCTCTGATGCCGTCCGTGCGGCTCTTGTTCGTCCACGTGGGGCGACACCAAGCTTTTTGATCGACATCAAGCATACACCTTTATTCTAATCAAGATCAGCAGTCAGTCTCACCTCCATATGACACGGCCCTGCTCAAAAAGACCCTGTAGCCAATGAGTAGCTTGAACAACAAGGTAAGTCTCCGCCCACCCTTCAATCAATGACTCGTGAAATGCTCCCCTTGATAGCACTTGACCTCAACTTGCCTCTACCACGGACCAGGCAAGCTGATCTATCGAAATCAACCCAAGTGGCAGATGCTCAAGAGAGCTATGAGTAAAGATCGCCTTGTCGAGATGGAATATATAACATGCAAGGACGCTGGACAACAATAAGTCATTCTCCTCATCATCTCCTCCACTCTTTCACCAACTCATCTCATTCTTCTTCATCAAGACTTCCACTCTTTACAGGTCTGTTTTTCCGAAACGCTCAACATCCATACACTCCGAATCTTTCCTCTCTCTTAAACAACAACAATCTCATATCCACAATCATGCGCTTCACTCAAGCTTTCGCTATTGCCGGTCTTTCGGCCTCGCTGGCTTCTGCCATGCCCATCGGCACTTCTGGAAGCGTTCTCGGAAACGTTGCTTCTGGAGTTCACCCCATTGTCACCTCCGCAGGTGTCACCGTTGATGGTGTTGGCACTGTTGTAGGCGGCGTTGGCGGTGTCGTTGGAGGTGTCGGATCTAGTCTTGGAGGCGTTGGTGCTACTGCCAATGGACTCGGCGAGCATGTCGAGAACTCCAAGCGTGATGGCGTTCTGGGAGGTGTCCACCCTGTCGTTACCTCCGCCGGAACCACAGTCAACGGTGTCGGCACTGTCGTCGACGGCGTTGGCGGCATTGTCGGAGGTGTAGGCACTACTCTCGGCGGTGTCGGTACTACCGTCAACAACGTCGGCCAGCATGCCGCTGGTGAGAATGTCCTCAAGCGCGACGGCGTTTTCGGAGGCGTCCACCCCATCGTCACTTCTGCCGGTACGACCGTCAACGGTGTCGGAACCGTCGTTGACGGTGTCGGTGGTATTGTTGGTGGCGTTGGCAGCACTCTCGGTGGCGCCGGCTCTGTCGTCAACGGCCTCGGTGAGCACGTCGAGAACTCCAAGCGCTCTCCCCTTCTCGATGCTGTCGTCGGTAACCCCATTGTTGGCGGCGTTACCCATACTGTCGGCTCTGTTGTCGGTGAGGTCGCTCAGGGTGGCATTCCCGCGGCTGTGAGCAACCTTGTAGGCGGTGTTGTCAAGCGCTCCCCTATCCTCGACAGCGAGCTTGGCTCCGGCCTTGCTGGTATCAGCGGTACTGTCGATGGCATTACCTCCGGCGGTCTTCTCGGTGGTGTGAGCAAGACTGTCGATGGCCTTGTTGCTCCCATCACTGGCAGCATCGTCTAAATCAACACGCCAGAATCATGAACATTTACAATTTACTTCTTCGTTCCCGGACAGAGAACAGCTACGATCATGAAATGAATTGCGTATTCAGAGCAATTTGTGGTGGTGGGGATATTTTCTTATGTGCCAGATGTTACTATACCAGACCTAGTATCTTTATCTTAATTTCGCAATTATTACTTACAAATCTCACGGTGTTTGTCTACTTTCTTTGCTATCAAAGGCAGATACTTGCGAACGACCAGACAAATGAACATATTTTCCAGATCGGAGTCCGACTCGTTGTGGGTCTTCGTCAATCGCTGATTTACACATCACCATGATGTCATGCAGTTTTCCAGTCCTTTGTTTGTTTCTGTTCACGCAGCTGTCCTCTACTCTGACATCATATCGCGCATCAAGGGCGACACCTATGATATTAGATGAAGTAATGCTCGAGAAGTAATTCAGGACATTGGACAATTTATTGACCTCAGCTTGCATGTTTTGTTGATGCTATCTGTTCCGTGATGAGCACTCGTCCAAGATCGAAATGAGTGGCATGTATAAGATGAGAAGTACTTCTTCAGAGCAACATCACTACCGTCTTTGTATTCTCGCTCAATCGTGTTTAGACTTGACTCTTCAAACAAGTCATTCAAAACAATACAAAGAACGCAAGACAAGACCACCAGTCTCAAAACGCATCTCGCTCATATCTCTACGATCTATGCTACCTCTCGATTACATCAAGAAGAGTCCAAGTCGTGACTAAGATGTAGTCAACAGACTTCAACGTCGTCTCCCTCAATGAGCAAAGCGGAAATCCAACCTCTTATTACCCTGATCGGTGGTGTTCTGAATATAGTCGTCTCTCTGCTCTTGACTCATAGATGTCCACTTCTGTTCTCTCTGCTTGTTCCGGTAAACGTAGTATGCCTTTGCCAGTGCATAAAGTGCAATGGCTAAACAGTTGACGGCAACGATCTGCATGTTACCTCGGTGGTACAACGGTTTGTCGTCCTGACGGTAAATGTTTGCGCCAATGACACCTCCGGCCTGTACCGTCATGTTGTATACAGCAGCAGATATCGTACGGGTGCGGACCGAGCCAGCGTTTCGAGATGTCCATGCGACGAGGATGGCATGGCAATATGGATAGCCAAGCAGAACGACTAGAAGTGCATATGTGCCCCATACATCTGTGCCTGAGCCAGGCCACCATCTTAGAGCGATCAGACAGGGCAACAGCCATATGTTCTGTATAGCGGCGATGAAGGAACGCTCTTTGACCTTCTCACTTAGCCATGTCAGAGAGAGTAGTGTGATAATGGTGACTGCATTGGGCACGATAGTGAGAAGATTGGTGTTGAAGGTGCTGAAGCCTAGTTGTCGAAGTGTCAATGACAGATAGTTGGTGACGGGGGTTTGAGGTATGAAGACAACGAGGCCGAGCGTGTAGATCTGTTCTATAGTCAGTATCGTTCTAGTGATACAAACAAGAAGTACTCACAGGCCACAAGTCGTAATCTGTCAAGGCTGCCCACAGAAGTTTGGGTGTAACTGCTTGTCTGTTGTGCATGTCACCCTTGGTTGGGTCATCTCTGAGAACGCGGTTGACCACAATTTTGACCTCTCGATCTGTGAACCAACCCTTAGGTCGGAACCAAGTCTTCGTCTGTACAGCTGATGCCGGCATGAGGAAGACCGCGGAAACTCCAATCGCAAAGGTCAAGATACCCTAAGACAGCCATTATTAGCAAGCACACTCTTGAAATCCTTGATGTACCTACCTCGATCAAGAACAGCCATCTCCAACCAGCAAGACCATGTGCATTGTCCAGATGGAAGATGCCGAACGCTAATAGCGAAGCGATGATGGTGGTCAAGTTTAATGCAGTCCAGAAGAAACTCAGGCGGATGGGCAATTCGGTACTTGTGTAGAAATACGATAACCAGAGTACTAGATCCGGGATGAAGCCACCTTCGAGAGCACCAATGAGGCATCGGCAGACATAGAAGCTGGCCCTTCCGCTAAGGGCAGCTTGTGCAGCAGCAACAATTGACCAGGACATCATCTGGATCGGGATCCATCTATCTGGCCCTAGCTTCTTCGAGATCAATTGCGAAGGAACCTCGGCTGCCATGAATGACAGGCGAAACAAACTCTGGCCTGTAGAATGTGAGCACAGACGTCACCGCAGTTGAACGTGATCCGGGCTTACCGTAGTTGTACTCATTCGTGGTCAAGCCAAGGTCGTCGAGCATGTTGTCAGACAAGGCTTGCGAGATGTTACCTCGGTCGAGTTGCAATGCGAAGAATGCAACGCACGCAAAGAGACAGACTCTGAGGTCCAAACGTCTCACAAGCCTCTTTTCCTCGGCGGCCGTCCATTCAATCTCAGGATCGAATGCTTCGCGGGATTCGTACTTTGCGTTCTCGTACAAGTTGCGGTAATAGTCGGCAACATTGGGGTCTTTGAAGGGATTTTTGGAGTCGATAGAACTTCTGTCGGAGGCCTCATCTACCTCGGATGGGTTCTTGATGTCGGCCGTGACATCGAAGCCTTCTTTCGGAGACATGGTGGAGAAGTGGACGATAGATTTAACTGGCTGAATTGCAGAAGCATTGACTGACCACCCCAGGCCTTATAACATACACTGGCATGATTTCGTGATTTTGGTTGCCCTATTCGCCATTTTACTGTGGCGTAATTGTATTCGGTAAATTGATAATGTTGAGCAAATCCGCAGCATAATGTCGCCTTCGAAGATGGTGACGGCTCGGGCGCAAACAACAGACAGTAAGAGAAGGTAGAGATAGGAGACGTGAAAGTATGACGGTTGTCCAATAGAGGGTGCAGCTCGAAAGTGGGCAAGCAAGACGCGAAATGGCGTGCTTGCCCCAACTTGACGTTGACCATACCAAGCGCTAGGCTCGTTACTGCGAACCTACCTCTGAGCATGGCCAAGATGACATGCACTCCACAAAACGTAGCAACGTCGGTATACCGAGTGATGACTAGCTCTAGTGACGATGCACCCAGCTTGGCGGGCTTGTCGCTGGTGGTAGGTCGTGACTGCCGGAGCGATCTCACCTTGACGTGATCAGCCCTCTGCACCATTCGAGAAAGCCATGTCACCTTTTGAATCATGAGTGTTGATGGCTCGGAGGTCTCGACTCAGGTGCCAGGTCAAGCATAGTATGAGAAACGACGCATCTATGTCCTGCCCTAGCCCCATCACTTCATGAGGCAGCTTCCTCGTCCATCTCTCTTCAAGCAGTGCGAACACCCATTGCGGATACAGGTGCCAGTCACAGTCTGGATCGAAGCTGCGTGTAGCCTGGCCGACCGATGGTGCCTCGGAATGGGAAGGTTGTCTATAGCGCGTCGCAGTTCGTGCATTTGGAAACAGAGACGAGGGCGCACAACCCTCCTGTGGGGCACCGGATGTGGCGGGTCATGGTCGCGTAGAGCTCACACCTTTGATCGAGGCTGGTCGGCGATGTCGCATCCATGTGTGGTCGCCATATCACAATGTTGCTCGATGGGTGGAACTTTGAAATATTCGGCGAGCATTCCTTCCGACGGTTGCTTGCTCTTCACAGCCAAGATGACGTCCATCACGACACGAGATCTCCCTAGCCCACCACGCGTCGAGTCCTTGTCCATCACCACCTTTGTCTCCAATGGACACTGCCATTGAAATCAATCCAATCCCACAGAGTCGTCTATCTGCTTCGTTCTAAAGCATGAGAAAAACTTGCGTGGCAGCCTGCTCTCGATCTCGCCGTGCTACTTGGCAACTCACCAATGGCGTGGGAAGGATCAAGCCAAACTGAACCATCCACATCCTATGGCTACCCCGCAGCGCTCCGCAGTTCTCGCCGGTCCTTATTGCGACACACTGACCCGTCTGTATACCTTGCTGATCACAAAGGACTGTTGAGATTGTAGAATATATTCCAGTATGAACGGCAACAAGCGTCCCCGGCTCGAACACCGCGAGAGCATCTCTTCAGAGACCGCCTCGAAGGCACAACTCACGCGAGCCTGTAAGCCTCCTTGATGCCTCTTCAACTAGACTTCGGGCTGATCAAATCCTCTAGGTGCAGAGTGCAAAAAGCATAAGATCAAGTGTTTTGTCCAGCAAGGAGGGACAGCTTGTAATAAGTGTATCAAGAGCGGTATCATCTGTGTTCCTCACAACTTTGCTCAAAAGTTCATCGATAAGGATGCGACCTGGAAGTCTGAGGCCGATATCACTCTTGATCGACTGAAGGCTGCTGTTCAGCATTTGCTACAGTTGAACCACTTACCCAGACTTGAGCTCTTCAACGACCCTCAGTCGCTTCCCGTGCCAGTCTGCGAAGTCTTCGTCCAGACGCTCTCTCCTTCAACCACTCACACCAACAGCGTAGTGCCAGGTAACTTCATATCCGAAGGCCCTTCGGCAAACCACCACGAGGATGACTCCGATCTGGTTCCCCTCCCAATGAACAATCTGTACAATCTTACAGAGCCCGGCAATTCTCGTCTCATACGCGTCGATCCTGCTGAGGTCAATGGTCCTGACTTCATCAGTCGCGGTGTTGTCTCCGTTGCTGAGGCCGAGTACCTCTTTTGCCACTTTCGTGATCACATTAATCCGCTATTATGGGACGGCGTCTTGTGCTCACATGGTACTCTTCAAGAAGCCAGACAGTCATCGTCTTTGCTCATCGCCACTGTTCTCACCGTCGCCGCGCTTCATCTCCCCGATCGGGAACAGTCACTGCACGCCACCTATGACGCATTCGTGTCCCTTATGAGAGGCTCGTGTATGCTTCGCAGCCAAAATCTTGACGACATTCGAGGACTATGCATTGGAGCTTTCTACCTTACTAGCCTTAGTTGGGCCTTATGCAGCAGAGCTGTTCGTGTAGCGACCGAGATGAACCTGCACAAGTCATCCTTACAATTCTCTCGAGGATCCATCGAGTCCTACGAGCGTGTGCGACTTTGGTACGTTCTGTACGTATGCGATCACCAGTTTGCTCTTGCCTATGGACGACCACCAATGATGCACGAGGATGCTGCTATCAGAAATGCCGAGAAGTTGCTCACTAGTGGGCTATCTAGCAAAGGTGATTGGAAGTTGGTCGCCCAAGTTGAGCTTTTCCGCATCCTGGCAGGTGCTTATTTCATGTACGGCTGCGACCCTGACCTCGAACTGAACGGATCAGATTTTGAGATGCTGCAATCCTTCAACATATCCGTGGATCAGTGGCGACTACAGTACCAGCCGAAAAATCCAGGAGTCGCTTCTCATTGCGTTAATCCTGCCAAAGGGACTGCACTATACTATCATCTTGCACGCTTCCAACTCAACTCGCTGTCGCTTCGAGGTATTTCTGCTCGTAGCTCAGAATCCGACATGTCTTGGGATCGCAAAGAAGCAGCAAACAATGCCATCGCCGCTGCTACAAACGCATTGCGTCTTATCATCGAGGACGTCGAATTACGAAATGCGCTAATTGGAATGCCGATATTCACACATGCCATGATTGCTGTCTGTGCATCATTCTTGATCAAGATGGCTGTCGTATATGGCGTATCTGACACTAGAAATGTTCGCAAGCTTGTCCTTCCAAAGAATCTGACAAAGTATGGGCTCAACTTTCACACCAAAGACGCACTCTGTAGCGTTGAGAGTCTCGTGCTTGTGCTAAAACCAGTGGCCGACAATGCAAGTCAAAGACATGTCGCCAGACAAGTCATCACTGGCCTGGAAGAATTGCTCCAGCGTTTTGCCAAGAGTCGTGAGGGTGATTTGTTCATATACTCACCATCAGGTGACACCGAGCACCCAGCTGTTGCTGTCGTCAACCACGATATAAGTCACTCTGCCACAGCCGAAGAAAGCTTGTTTGCGCCTGACATCGTCGACGTGACGCACGCCGATTACATTCTACCCGATGGCAGTCATGATCAGGATACGACACAACTTTTTGGCCTGGAGAACGCGCAGCAAGATCCGTTTGATCTGTTGGGTGATCTTGACTGGAGATTTAACGACAGTTTCCTTTGGGGAATTGATTCTGGAGCGCCATACATCTAATTCGTCTTTGCTGTTCTTGCCGCTACTACTGTTTATGATTTATCCGAAATTTTTAGCTCTAAGTAGAGAAGCCATTGCAAGTGCGAAACACATCTCAGAATTTTCATCACCAGCTTTGTACTGGCGCAAAAGGAAGCAGAGTCAGAGGATGCTCGATGCAGTGCTCTTCCGCGTTCCAGACGTTGGAACCAACGGTGCCACGCAATGGAGCGCAGAGGATATCAGCTCTACACTAGGCTTTGGTCTCGATGGTCTGGGCTCTGATATTCGCTTCAAGTCTAAGGCAGATCTCGAGAAAGGGAAAGACATGAATCGCTGGTCAAAAGCATTCATCATACAAAGATATCTGTTACACTCCAGGATCTCTTTCTGCGAGATCCAAGCTATCTCAGCGCAAAACACTCGAAATTGCATCTCCGATTAATTGCATCACCCAGAACCCGTTTCCTCTGTCCAAACATCGAGGACCTCCTGACACAAAGCTAAGCTTTTATTCCCTTCTCTGCAGCTTCTCTCCTCGCTCTCAGCTCTGCGGCCATGACCTCAGCATGATCCATCCTCTCAACAGGATATTTCTTGAAGAGGTACTGGAACACGAACGTCAACACGCACAAAAGTCCCAACCATGAAGTAGTTGTAGCAAAGCCGGGAATGTATCTAGGAGCATCTTTCTTTGGCCAGAGCCAGGTCGAATAGATGGAGGACGCGTTACCGATGGAATTGATTAGGGCGATGGCGATAGCTCTCTTCTCAGCTGGCTGCGGGATCACGTCCGACACCCAGGTCTTGACAAGAGGCGAGCAACCATAAATTGTGCCGAATGCGAAGATGGTCAAGACGTATTGGACCATCCTGCTGGTTGACGTAGTGACTGCAATGAAGAGGACAGTTCCGAGCGCTGAGAGACCGCAGATGAAAGGCCACTTGGTCTTGAACTTGTCTGCAAGCCAACAACAAGCGACAACGTACACCAAGGCAGCCATATATGGTGGGATAGTGTGGTCTGTGAGTTCTGTTAGTATTGATCTGCCGAAATGGAGGGCGAGGGAGCGTGACTCACATTGACCGACGTGGCCAGTCCATCCGAAGCTTTTAACCAAAGTTGGGATGAAGTATTGCATAGTTTGAGATCCGGTGACGAGGATGAAAAGCACGCACTGAGCCCATACTCTCCAGTCCGAGACTGTCATCTTGAACGCAGTCCAGTGGGGAATTGGCACACGACCAGCCCCTTGGGCCATAGCGATACCATCGGCAGCTAGTCTGTTGCAAGCCAGAATGCTTTCTTCCTCGTTCAGGAAACGCTTGGAGGTTGATGGGTAGTCAGGCATCAGGAAGAAGATGATCGTAGCGGCGATCACGGATGCCAAACCCTCAAGGATCTGGTACGCTGTGGTTAGCCTGGGTATTCTTGAAGCCGCAAGGTACGTGTACTTACAAACAGCCATCTCCAACCGGCGAGGCCAGATACGCCATCCATGTAATCAGTGATCAAGCCGGCAAGTAACCCTGACACAGCACCTGCGATCGGGACGGAACTGTACAAGAACGCAAATCGTGTAGCCAGTTCGTATTTACGGTACCACGACGATAGGAAGAAGGCACACCCGGGTGCAAAGCCTGCCTACAAGAAAATCAGCTGCCATCATCACCGAATAGGACAGCTTTGTCTTACCTCAGCGACACCGAGAAGAAAGCGCATGCCAGCCAATTGGGTCCAATTCTGAGTAGCTCCCATGAGCGCAGCAAAAGTACCCCAGACAAGACCCAGACCAGGAAGAAAGATGTGAGGCTTCACTCTGGTAAGGATCATGTTTGCTGGCACTTCGCAGACCAGGTACGAGAGGAAGAAGACCAGTACGATGATCGAGTATTGGTTTGAGGTAAGATTGAAGTCTTCTTCAAGACCACCCGTCTTTGCGTTACTACGAGCAAGCCATACAATCAGCTACTGCGAGCGCAGACTTCGAGAGCGGAACTTACCCAATGTTCGCTCTGTCGAGGAAGCCAAGCAAGTACAATGTCCAGCAGCATGGTAGGATGCGCCAGTCAAGCTTCCTCACCAGCTTTCGCTCGGCTGAACTTCCATTGACCCACTCGGCAGCAAGCTGTTGACCTGCTAGGGCATCGTCGTGCAAGTTCTTCTTGTCCAAACTGTCGAGGGAGTGTATAGATCCCGTAGTGTCGACTCGCTCGACTCGCTCTTCGGCTTCTTTGGCTTGTGAGAAGCCCATGGTGCTAGATCAGTGTCCTTCAGAAAGTTGAATGTGATTTGAGTGAATATATGTCCCGTTGACCATGCAGTCGGGTCCAGCCATTATAACTCTTTCTGGACGTTCAGAGGAGAATGTAGTTAAGCATACTCTACCCCATGGGGTCGGCGAAAGGTGCGAATGAGGGACGGCAGATTTGCAACAGAACCGGCATGCTTGCCGCCAAACATGTGGAGATACAGCGATCTGACCTTTGTGATAGCGGGACATACGGCGCGAATTCACCTGTTCAGCTCTTTCTTGGTCACCCAGCCTAGGATCTGGATAGGAACGGCTGTGCATCACGCGGGGAAGATGTGTCTTGGCCGTGGAGAGTCTGCCGAAAGAGGGGCTGAGGTCGGCGAAACCGCCGCGATCTCAATTGTACCTTAGAGTCCTTGTCACTGGATCTCATTGAGGTTGTCGGTAAGAGCGCCGAAATGCTGTAGGTCAAGTAGACGTTGAAAAGATGACCTCTCGAGCATATAACACTCTATTCTGAGGGACTTGGATTTAGCATCACCAATATCACCCAGATCGTCTTAGCACTTCGAGAATATTCGTTTCTCATCATGGTCGCCACCATCATCGACTCTCAGCTACCCGTTCGAAGACCGCGTATCGCCGTCACTCTTGGTGATCCATCAGGTGTCGGTCCGGAACTTATCGCCAAACTCTTGAGCAACGCTGCCAATCTCCGACGCGCAGATATTGTACTCCTCGCAGACCACACCGAGCTACAATCTGCCATCAAAGATGCTGCAGGTGTGCAAGTAGCCGTCTCAGACAAGTCAGCCGGCCCGCATGGGATCCAAGTATTGGACGATGGGACAGCTTTCCAGTATCACACGACCCGTGCTGAAGTATCCAAATCAAGTGGAGCACGTTGTATCTATCAGTTAAGAAGAGCTCTTGAACTCGTCCGAGCTGGTGAGATCGACGCAATAGTCTTTGGACCCTTGAACAAGAGCTCGCTCAAGAAAGCGGGTATGACCGAAGAGGACGAATTGAGGTGGTTCGCCAAACAGCTGGACTTCAAGGGTACGACCAGCGAGATCAATATTGCAGGAGAGTTGTGGACTGGTAGAGTCACAAGCCATATCGGTATCGAAGATGTTGCTGCTCGCATCACAAAGGAGTCGGTGACTAAAGCCATTGAGCTCCTGCACAGACTCAGGTAAGTCGTCTTGATCCGGTGGTACCTCCATGAACTAACAGTCAACAGATGGGAGTCGGGCATTGAGTCGCCTCGCCTAGCTGTATGCGCCTTGAATCCCCACAACGGAGAGAACGGAGCCTTTGGTCGTCAAGAAATTGATGCCATTCAGCCCGCCGTCACTGCCGCTCAGAAGAAAGGCTTGAATGTTCAAGGACCTTACCCTTGCGATACTGTCTTCCTCAAGCGCCAGCACTTTGACGGCATCGTGACCATGTATCACGATCAAGGTCAAATCGCCATGAAGCTGCTAAGCTTTGAAGGGGGAGTCACGGTGCAGGGTGGCTTACCTGTACCGATTTCTACGCCAGCTCACGGGACAGCATTCGATATTGTCGGTCAGAACAAGGCAGCAATCCTCAGCACGCAAAACGCGTTCGATATTGCGGTGACTATGGCCGAAAGAAGGATCATCAAGGCTGCAAGTCCTATCAGACAGAAGCATTCTGTTGTGTCGGAAAAAACGGCGTTGACAAAAACTACTGTTGTAGAGATGCCTTCATGTTGTTAGTTCAGTAGATTGTCTCGAACAGACTTAAATTCGGATACTTGATACTCGCTATGTTGTGTAAAACTCTCCACTGCTCATACAAAATCCTCCCTACTGGATATAAGTGTCGTTGCTTCGACTACCACAGCTCGCACGTGGGCTCCTTGACAGGGCAGCTAAAAGCCTCCCTGAACTCACGGGAGTTTGCAGTTGTACCCTGCATTTGATTAGCGGCTGGAAAACTCGAGTCGTATGGAAGACTTCATACCTTGATTCTGAACATGTCAGGGCTGTGAGGGTCTGTGTAGATTCTCTGGACGATTTGCTCTTCCCTATCTGAGGTCAGTACTGGCAGTTGAATCAAACGAGTCCACTCTGCATACCTCATCTTTCCGCACCATGTCTGCCCGTATGCGAGGAAGAAGATCTGCTCTTTGGTGAAGTGATCAAGTCCGGGAAGCATGAGGTCCGCCTTCTCATCATCGCGACGCTTCCAAGATTGGTAGGCAGCAGTAAGGCCACCTGCATCAGCAATGTTCTCTCCTAGGGTGAGTTTGCCGTTGATCGGAAGACGTCCGTTCTTTGTGGGTACTGTGTAGTTGTGGTATTGTTCAACGAAGCAATCGGTCTTGGTCTTGAAGGCTTCGATTGTGGCCTCATCCCACCAATCTGTGTAGTTGCCGTTCTGGTCGTAGTTTCTGCCAGAAGAGTCGAAAGCATGAGACAGTTCATGGCCGGCAACAGCTCCAAATGCACCGTAGGATAGGTAGCTAGGAATAGATGGATCGTAGAAAACTGGTGCCTGCATGATTCCAGCTGGGAACACAATCTCGTTCCCAGGAGGATTGTAGTAGGCATTAACAGTCTGTGCAGACATGCCCCATTCATCCTTGTCGACTGGCTTGCCGGCTTGCGACCAGCTTTCGCGGACATCATGTCTCACGACCGAAAGCTTGTTCTCAAAGTACGTTGTGGCCGAGATGCTGATGTTGCTATAATACTCTTGTAGCTCGCCTGCGTTTGTAATATCAGGGCTCTGAGTGGGATAGCCGATCTTCTGGCGAATAAGGTGGACCTTCTCGATGGCAAGTTGACGAACGCTTTCAGTCATCCACTCGGATTCGTTGAGCTTGACGGTAAATTCATCCTTGATGTCGAGGATGATCTGGTCACCTAAGTCTTTGGCCTCCTTAGAAAAAGCACGTTCGACGAAGAAGCGACTCATGATCCATTCTGTTCGATGTCAGTAATTGACATTAGCTACTGGGGTGCCATTCTTTGACTTACCAAGATCGTTGCCTACAGTGCTAACACAAGTTCTCCAACGCTCTTGCTTGACATCTGGCGCCTTGCCTTGTAGCTTGTTCCTGAAGCGTAGAAGTGGCTGCACGGCTGAGTCCTCTACGGCACCCGCCCACGATTGGACCACCTTCCAGACCAAGTAGGCTTTGATTGTTTTGCGGGAGGACGATTTGAGAATCTTGGAAAGCTCTTGCAGATACTCGGGCGAGCTCACGATGATCTTTGATGGCGTGTAGTCGCTCGCGAAAGTGTTCAGAATGTGCTTGACTGAGATCTCTGAGTTGTAGGCTTCAGTCTCCTTCAAGGTGCGTGGATTGTAGTACTTCGTGACATCTGCGGCATCCTCCGGATCTGGAGCGACGTCGGCCATGGATTTCTCGAGAGCCACCAGACTGTCGACAAGGTCTTTGCTAAGCGTGGTCAATTCCTCGTCTTCATCCGACGAGAAGGGAAGAACTCCAGGTCTGGCCTCTTTCAGAAGAGCCTCGAGGACAAGGCCGATGGTCTCCTTGTATGACTCAACAATCTCTGCGCGCTCATAGTACTGCTTGCTCGGCAGTCCAAAGGAGTAGGGAGCACCGACCATGACAATGTTGACATCGGGGTCCTTGTCGTCGGCGCCAACATCAACAGAGATGGGGCTTGCAACACCAATCTCCATTAGATATTCGACTGCCTTTGTTAGAGACTCGTCCTTCTTGGTTGTCTTTGGCTCTTTGGCAGGGTAAATCTTGTCCAGCTCCAGAAGAAGATCAAGTAGAGGCTTTGAGCCTATCGAAGCCAGGAGCGTCTCATTCATGCAGGCATTGTAGCCATCCTGTAGCTTGCCGAAGATCTCCTGGTCTGGGTTCGCTGCGGTCCAGAATATGGACGTGTCCTTCGGTGCAGGAGACTCCAGGATGTGTTTCAAGATGAGCTGGTTGTTCTCGTTCATGATCTGAAGGTTTCCGACACCTGCTTGATCCTCACGAATCTCATGGGAAGCATCGAATCCAGCACACACGTATGTGCGGAAGTCATCACAGGGATCCAATTTCTCGTAACTGATGAGAGATTAGCGCTGTTATCAGGACATCGTAGTTCAGACTTACCTCGGCGCGAGACTATGAAGTATGTTTGCAGAAGCGAGCACGCAAGCGGCTGATGTACAAAGCTCGGTATTGTTGGGGTGTTCAGGGGAGTCGTCATGCGAAGGAGTCTTGTCGTGCGAGTGATGACGGTGTTTAGAGCTACGAACAGTCTGAACAATCAAGGGGATGAGGACAAGAAGAAGCAGCAGTATGATGATGAGGTAGACACCATTGCGCTGCAAAAAGCGCTTGAATCGACTACCAAACGACTCTCTCGGCTCGTTGCGGTCTGATGCAGGTGCATCGCCATTGAGCAACGGCGTGCGTTCAGTTCTGTTGTTTCCTGCCATATTGTCGTTCCAGGCAGGCGGTGGATGTCAACAAAGAGAGCTTGCCAGGCACCAGCCATGAGGATGGAGTTGGGGAAGCGGGGTCGTCATCGATTCGTGAAGCTCGGACTGTGGCTGGAGCTTGGACGATCTCCAGCCACCCAAAAAGATTGTCACTTTGGGCAAAAGCGCATGGTCGTCCTTCCTCCTCGAGTACAAGACTGCCACAAAGCTTGCTCATCAATCATGAGCGTCTCGAGCTGACAGGCGAATCGTGTCGCTCTACGACTTCGCAGCCTTTGGTCGAACTGGTGGCGACAATATGAATGAGGTCTTGGATGCTCGTTACGTAGGCTTTGATTTGTGCCTCATCCTTCGGAGATCTCTAGGATGGGTGTAGCACCGCAGAAGTCTACAATGCCCAAGTTTATGTGGTGGATTCCCATCGGCGTAGCCCTTGGAGACTCGCGGAAAGGGTTTGAGAAGGCGCTGTTGCGTATGTGATCATGGCCGTAGCACGACATCTGCAGAAGACTGGTCTCACACACATAGAAGATTCTCGCAGAATCGTATCGAAGGTCTAGCACGTCTGGAGGCAGCAACATATCCGGATATTTGGTATACGGCCGTTGATTCTCAACACGAAGGATCAAGGATTTCTAGAGCATGGACCTTTCGATAACGCTGAATGTTCAGGCTCCACCTTCAAGCCAAAACTGGTCGCAATCTCTGATATGGCGTCTGGTTGAACGTGCCAAGCGTGTCGAGGACGAGATTCTCATATCTTCTGTCTGCCGCAGGCCTGTTCATGACCCTCCGCTCCTATACTTTGCTGCCTTTGCACCACAACTATGGCAGACAGACTCCTTGACGAGGAGGCTGAAACACTCCTATCAAAAGGTTCCATAATACTCGATACTACACCCTTGCCTGCCGAGCTCGCATCTTTCGGACTCCGAATTCAGTACTTCTTTCTCGTCTGGACAGTCAAAATCACGATCGCTCTGCAATTAGCCTATTTGCGATTCTTCTATCCCACGCCTAGTGTACAGCCGATCTACACCAAGACTTATCCATGCCGGCCAAAGCTTCCAGTACGAGTGTTCGTGCCAGAGTCTCGTAGTGATGACGGTGAAGTTCCTCTGCCGCTCTACATCAATATCCACGGAGGAGCATTTGCTACTTGTGATGCTTCGATTGACGACACTTTCTGCAAGTCATGGTGCGAACGTACTGGGATGATGGTCGTCAGCCTCAACTACCGAAAGTCGCCTATCCACAGGTTCCCAGTCCCTGTACTCGACATTGCTGCGGTGGCTCGCGCTGTGTTTGACGACACAACTCTCAACATTGACAAGTCGCGTGTGGTCATGGGCGGCTTCAGCGCTGGTGGAAAACTGGCATTGACTGCTTGTCAGATGCCAGAGCTTCAGGGTAAGATCAGGGCCATAGTATCGTACTTCCCAATCGTTGATTGGAGTGCTCCACCACACGCCAAATGGGCCGAGCGTCTGTACACGGAGAAAAAATCAGAGTCACTCAATACGGCTGGACCAGCACTCGATTGGGCTTATGTGCCAGCTGGCCAAAATCGAAAGGAAAGGCTACTTAGTCCCTGTTATGCGAGCAGAGAGGAACTCCCCGAATGGATATGTCTGATCGGGGCCCAACACGACATGCTATGTCGTGAATCTCGAGATATGATCTACTCACTTGCCGGCGACGCCGTGCCCGAGTCTGGGTGGGATGAGGATTGGGAGCGAGGCACCTACAAATGGATGTTAGCAATGGGTGTAAGACATGGTTTCACGGACGAGTTTCGTAAAAAGCGAGGTCGAAGCTCGGCGCAACGCAAACAAGTCTGCGAAGACATTTATGCTTCAGTGCACAAGTGGTTACAGACCAAAGTATTGGCTTTGTAAGACAAGTTACGAAGAACACTAGAAATCATTCCCATATCGAAGACATTGTCCACAGAGATCTCGCTACATACAACGAAGTAAACCAATGCAAAAAGCAGGAGAGAAGGCAAGCAGTAGCCGTCTGGCCGGAACCACTTAAGCAGTCAGACTGATGGCTTCATCCCTAAATTCTCCCAAGTCCAGTGGCTTGACACCCTTCTCGAAAAGCCAGTTTCCCACATCTATACGATCGACTGTCCATCCCAAAGCAGGCTTACTCTCGACACCAGCTCTGATTGACTCGGCCCCAACACCCTTTCCATCCATCAGCAGTGTCGGCCGAGCAATCACGAAAGGTCCAATCAACCTCTCAGCATCAGACTTTTCCTTCTGTTCCCAAACAAGGCCCTCCATGGTTCGCTTATCAATGTGAGGAATATGTAAGAACCAGTGATAAAGAGGAACGTAGAGAAGAGGAACATCTCTAGGGCCACGAGTAATGCCGGTGGTTGAAATGACGAGAAGCTTCGGCTTTGTGGTCGCTCTGAGTTCGCCGATTGCGGCGAGCAGTGTTGCCATTGCTGTACCACAAACGTTCGAGTCGTCAAGGGTGATGGGCATGATGTGTAGTCGTAGCTTGGGAGCAGCTCCGACGCCAAAGACTATTGTGTCGACGATACCACCGGCGGGTGTTTGGAGCAACGACTTGACGGAGCTGATGTCTTTGGCATTACCTTCGATGATTTCCAAGCCAGCAAGAGTTGTGTCTGGGACACCTTGAGACTTCAAAGCGGCAGTGAGCTTCGAAGGTGTGCGTGCGAGAGCGCGACAGGTGTGGCCATCTTTGAGCGCGGCAATCAGACAAGCACGAGCGCATCCACCGGTCGCGCCTAGAAAAGCGATGATTTGACTCATTAATACTGTGTGATATATGAAAATGGAAGAGCTCGAGTGTGTAGGTGAGATGGAGTTAATCAAGCTTTGTGATATGAAGGAGTCACAAGGGAGATATCCACACGACACTTTATACTTCTAATCCTTCAGTCACGGTAGTATCAGAGTAAGCAGCTGCCTGGCATAGCCTTGACTGGAAGGCAGAAGTCCAAAGTTTCCATCGGACTTGGGGTGAGCGTACAGCGCAAGGTGATATGGTGATGCCTCGGATTGGCTGGCTCTTACTGTGGCTTGAAGGATCATGGGCAGTGAAATCGCAACGTGTTCTAGCAAAACGTCGTTCTTACCACGGATCAATTACGGCGGGAAGCTTTAGCAGTCGACGACAAGGAAGGGAACCTCGGGAGATTACGGTAAGGGAGACGAGCACGCGATATTTTGTGAAGTCGGTCTCAGAAACACGTGCTTGTTCTGTTGTGCTGCAACATCTATAGGGCCCGACTGGACTAGAAGTCACGATGAGAATGCTCAAGAATGGACTCGGTATCGATGGTGGCATCAAGCTGCCAACAAGCAAATGTATTAATGCTCCAATCAGTAAGCAAGCCAGCTGCGCGAGTCTGGACAAAGAGTCAAGGGCGACATAAGCCCCGCTCCTTCCATTTCAGAACAAGGACAGCTGGGGAAGAGATGTGCCGAGGAGGAACCATATTAACTTATCTGGAGTGAGACAACGAACCCGTGGCCCAGGTCACTCCTTGCATGCCAAAACAGACGGAGCAGGGAGTTGAAGGAAGGCGTGATAAGCCCAGCGGACGGACACATGGCGCGTGTGCAGCATCAGCGGACGCATAGTTCAGCCGGTATAGCGGGTGTTGCTTAGTGCATTCGTGTTTACAAGTGGGTCTCTTGACAGTAAATAGAGGCGGACGGGACGCTTCAACGGCGATAAGAGTAAGCTCGATAAGCATAGATAATCAACCCCGCCGCTGCAGGCACAGGTACTCAGAGCTCTTCCATTTGGTTTCCAACTGTTGTTTAGCACTTCACCTATTACCCGACAGTATATTAATTGGAAGCATGTCTTTCCTAGAGCTTCCGTTAGAGCTTCGTCTCATCATCTACGAACATGCAGCTGTCGAGGGAGCAGCCGTTACAATTGGAGCTTGCGAGCTGACGGGCAAAGGACCCGACCTTGTCCACCGAGTATACGGCAACAAGCGTGCCCCGTATCCCGGCCTTCCACCTCTCCACGAGCCGACCGTGCACTCGGGCTATTCATCGCGCCTTCTCTCGGTCTCCAAGCCTGCACATATCGACGTCTCGAGCGCGCTATGCTCCCCAGACGCACCACCTTACCATTCAACCTTATCCTCGCTCCTTGCCCTCAGCCACCAGATCAATGCCGAGATCAGCACCCACGTCCGCATCAGAAATAAGAGAAAGACGAGTCTGTTCATCCAATTCCCGCTTGGCCTGCATGTTTTCAAAACATCGTGTCCGGACTTTGTACGACAGGCTCGCAGTATACACATAGCTGGCAGCTATCCCAAGTCTGCAAGCCCCAACCAATCACCACATCTCGAGCAGCTAGCTCATCTTGTCTCTACCACCTTGGGCAAATCACCGCCTCACCCGATCGAGAAGCTCGAAGCCCGCATCTACTTTCCTGGGGCCGACTCATATCCTCGCGTCTGGGAAGACAGTAGTCCGGCTTCGGTCATCTTGCGCAATGTCTGCGGAGGCTATATTGATATGGAGGTTGCAAGAGGACGACACGGGACTGGTATCTACGTATCCGTACGACCACATGCAGAAAACAAGAGAGTCATATCCACCGTCTGGAGAAGGCTGATTGAAGGAGACGGTGGCCAGCCTGATTGTGGTGATTGGGTTGTGGATAAGCAGTGGCCCGAGTGGAATACCGAGTTTACTCCTTCCTCGCCCTTACCATAGTTGGAAGACCCTCCGATTCTCCATCGCAGACGCTGGCGTCTACGCCCCGGAGGTGTACAAATATCATCATCACACTATCTAACGACTTTCCAGTCTCGACGCAAACGTCATAACGAGCTGTATAGAGTTTCGCCTAGTCCCTGTGATCTCACTTCCCTCATCAACAACAAGTCCATAGCACAATGTAAGCATTGGACCGATCATGCTCCAACCTCTAGCGTCTGCCATACATTCATGACGACAAGGGTACATGCTGACCAACCGTCCTGCGACTGTCCACAGCTGAAACATGACTCAAGGATCTCGTACTACCGCATTCACAACTAAGTTGTGGTAAAGACCTCAAACTGGCTGCTGAGATTTTTAGCGCCATATAAAAACATCATGATCGCTGCAGGTCACTCTCTCTTGTTCAGTCCAGGTAATTCAATAGAAGACGCAGCAACATGACATCTCTCAATCTTCAGAGACTGATCAGCCCGATGGCCCTTTCCAAAGAAGATGCCTTGATCCCCTCCAGCCCGATCATGCCTGCACCGCTGAAGATGCACTCTGTGCTCGTCGAAACCCGACCACTTCCAGAGGCTGTGGACATCTCTCTGCCTCCATCGCCCATGACCGAGGGTCCTTCACCCATGACCGAGGGTCCTTCACCCATCAACCCTTCGCCGATTGAATCTGACGAGAACGAGCACAAGCCGCTTCGTAAAAGCTCCGCCCTGGAGACTCTGAGGGAGCTCAATGCTGCAGAGCAGAAAAAACAACAAGCTCCTGCCATCCCGCCCAAGAGCGCTCACCGTGGTGCAAAGAAGACTAGCTGGTTGTCCAAGCTGATCGGAAGAGTGTCATGTTCCAGCATCAGCAATGGAAGTAGCGTCGACGGCTATAGCATGCCTAACAAGCCTGTGACTCTACCGAGACTTCGCAAGACCAAGTCCACGGATGCCAAACGCGGTGGAGGTGAGGTTGGAAGAGTGGAAAGACGTGGGAACATCGACACTGGACTGGTCAGCAGGATGGAGGCGTACAGTATGGCAGAGCAAGGAAACGCTTTGTTGCTCAACCACCCTAATCCCGGTGTCAGCCCTGGACACTGCCAACAGTAGTCCAGAAACACGGTGACGCCGGCATCACATGTGGACAATCGGCCAAGTCTCCTTGTCTCCCTGCTGGACACTCAGAACACGATCTCATGACGTGACGGTGTCAAGCCATGACGAAGGCGATGATTTGAGTTATTTCCTATTCAAGGTGCGCGTCATCCAACCGTGATGCTTGGACTCGATTTTCTCGAAGTTTGGAAAGTTCTATATCTACCTCAGCACGTGGCGGGAACAACCTCACGTACCAAACAATCCAGATAGTCGGATAGTCGAGCTCACTTTTACTCTTTCATGTTCTCTGCTTGTACTTTTTTGTTTTCTTTTCCGTTTACCAACTCCAGAAACACTTAGCAACATAGTACAGAATTAAGAGCAACGTTGACGCGGATTGTTTGTTGACCATCACGTCTCAATAGGTCGTCACGAGTAACACTATAACGACATTCATAAGGAGCCTCACAGGATTGTTGCGTTCTCTCCAAGGTGCACGTCACCGGACCATCAATAAAGACCAATCTTGACGCAACACTATACAATACCATGTCCCCACCAACCAAGGGTGACCTGGATGCAAGACATGACAGCCACTCCAATCCCAACGGCAACACTCATTCACCATCTTCCAATGACCTGCAAAACACTCCCCTAGACGCATATCCCTTTCCACAAGTGCCTCCAGACACAACCACAAACCACAACCACCACGACATCAACCCTGCGACCACAATCGCCACAAAACCATACGAAGAACTAGAAGTCCACATCCATCAGGCACCATCTCTTCGTCATAGAAAAGTCCGCACATGGCTCTCCCATCGCTTCGCAATGCTCCACAAATTACCTTGTCTGCGCTCCAAACCGTCTATCCCAGTAACTCCCGAATCTCCCGGACCTACCCCACGTGCAGTAATCCCCTCGCCCCTGATTTCAGCAAAGGCCTCTCCACCAGAGAGTCCACTCAGGGAAAGAGGAAGAGCAAGAGCAAGAGCAAGAGCAAGAGCAAGAAAAAGCAGACCAATAACAATCTATGATGATGGACGTGGTGATTGGAGGGATTATGCCTATCTCTATACTGGTGAGATTTATTTCTCAAAGTCTCAATTGGGGTTGGAGAGTCGTAGGCAATCTGTGGTTGTTGGTGATCTTGAAGATTCTCCTATACATGACAGTGCTCCAGTGGAGCAGGCCGCAGATGAGCTGAGCGCTGGACACGCCAATGTCGAGGAGTCGCACTCGCCAGAAATTGAAGTTGACGGTGAGGATGCCACGGTCGAGCGAGATGTGGGAGAGTAACGAGGTTACGAAGACAGTGGCGACAACGCAACGACGAGGGAAGGACCAGCTGCCATGACAACGACCGCGAAGACGGACGCGGTGGAGAATATTGTTGCCATAAGTATCGCGGTTGTAGTAACGCAGGAGATGCTTGTGGACACGTTTAGCGGCAGCGCATGACCATGGCTGATTGAATAAGCTTGAGTAATCAGAGATTGGAGTATTCGACGCGCATCGAAAAGGTGTTGAAAGCGCGACAGAGCTTGGACACAGCATTCATATCCAGCTTGTTAATCAAACACGATCCACAGCAAGATGGGCTTCCGCGTACTTGACTCTTCTCAATCGCCATCATTGAGGTGTTCCTTTTATTTCTAGGTCTTCGGCTACCGTGTCCTGGTCTACTGTATGTGATTTGATCGTGATTCGTGTCAAGCAAATCCAACCTCTTTCATGTTTCTCCAACGGTGCCTGCATTCTGCACCGTCTTCTTTGACCTGATGCCTTCTTCACAGACCTCGAACTCAACGCCATCCGTCCCGTTGTGATCAAGCGACCAAGCCGAGAAGGCGACTTTGAGATGCCGTGTCCAACCAACTATATCCATACCAGGCCCAAGAAGATAATCCTGAGGCTTGAGTATGGGCTGCTTGAGTAGCACAATACGAGCGGACAACTGATTTGTCCATGTGAGGCCTAGCGAAGGCGTCTTGAGGTCACGCATAAAGCGGTGATCTCCCCAGCCGGTAAAGAAGCGCTGTTGATGGTCCAAAGATAGCGGATCGTTCGTAGAGAGCAGTAGCGGCGGTTGCTGTGATTGCGGAGGCAATGTGGGGTTGTTGTTGTTGTTATTTGAGGGCTGGGTGGCAGCAGAGGATTGCGACAAAGGTGTACCTGTTGCGTCGTACAGCGAGGCGACGGGGCCAAAGCGGTCGAGGACTTGGTTGGCAACGACGATTGCGATGTTGTGGGTACGAGCAAGGTGACGCAGATGAGCGCCTAGTTGAGTCAGCTGCAAGCTACGACGGGCTAGAGCATCTGACGAGTTGCCGCCGGCGCGGTCGAACTCTGCACGGAAGTTTGCTGCAACCGAATCAATGACGATGAGGCCAACATTGGCTCGAGCGATTTGTACAGGTACTTGGTATCGCAGCACATGGTCTTGGGATTCGAGGTCTTGTAACTGCGCACTTTGCACGCGCGACAAAGACGGTTTCTCCAAGTCGGACAAGCTAGAGAGGTATGGGTGCATGGTCAAGATCTGGTTCAGACGGGTGGTTGACAAGGGGGCTTCTGTGGACAGGTATAGTGCATTCTTCCCTAGGCCCCTGGGCGAGGGCAATTGTACGGCAAGAAGTAAGGTCAAGAGCAGTTGTGTCTTGCCGGCCGCGCTCTCTCCTGTGATTTCGCAGACCTGGCCAGCTGGGAAGCCTCCTCCAAGCGCCGCGTCGACATGGTCGTCTAACGTGCTGATGTGCGACCATGCTTTGTCTTCTTCCAGCGACGTTGCCGAAGCCTCTTTCTCTTCTCCATTGGTAGCCTTGTTGTCGTCAAAGCCGAGCTGGGCATGGAGCTGGGCAATCAGGGATGCGCTGAGTTCGCGTACTTGGTCGATGGACACGTCGGCGCGGCGGGCGACATCGACGGCGCCCAGCGTCATCAAGTCATTGCTGCTGATGTTTGCCTGTTCCAGCCGATCCAGCAGCTGTTCAAAGGGCTCCGTGTCGATGTTTGGGAGCACCTGGATGATATCACTCATCCCAGACGTCGTCGCTCTCCGCGCTCTTGCTGCCAAACTTCTTTGCTTGTTCCAGAAGTCGCGACTGGCGACTGGCGACTGGCACGCGTGCTTCCATTTCCCCGGCTTTGCTTGGACCGTGCGCCCTGCATCTTCTCCAGCTTTTGGGTCTGGGCCCGCGTCACCGCTGTCATCCGAGGTGTGGTGAGCCTCTACTCACAAATCACAAATCAAATACTCCGTCTAGAAGCCATCCAAGGCCTCGGAATAGCTAGAGACAGTTGACTGGATCCTGCTGCTGCTGCTGCTGCTGCTCTCATCCAGTCCTACATCAACTTGACGCATATTCTGCCATCCAACAGCTCATCATCTCTTCGATAACTTCTTGCAAAGCATCAATAAAATTACCCCACGTCTCGATCACAGCACAACACAGGAGGCGCATGAACAAGCAGCCATCCGCTCTTCCACTGATCCGCCGTTTCTTGGTCTTCCAGGTCAGTGATAACCGACAATTTGCAAGCCTTCAGATTGCACTCTTCCCATGCCCCTCATTCCTGTGACAAGAGCCGGAGCAGCGGCTGTCAACACGTGCCCCTCGATTTATCCTTCCAGTCCCTGCATGACCTCGTCCGTTGTCACATGCAACAAGTTTCAGTCATCGATATAACCCTATCGACTTCTCCAGCCCGCCCTCTGTGTTGATCTTCTTTCTTCCCTCGAGTCCACTTCAAATGCCAGCCTACTGTCTACAAGACTGCCACTACTTCTTCCGCACCGCTCTTCGTGGCTTGTCCATCTCAACCACCATCTCTCCCTTGTACACCTAAACTGACAAAGCTTCGCCATGACTGCCAGACGACTTACAAATACCTCGACTTCCCTAGATCAGGTCGTCACCTCCTCTAGTCCTCCCCGATCAGTGCCAGCCGAATTCAAGCGCTCGAACTCGAACTCGAACTCCAAGGAAGCGACCAAATCCTTGCCTGTCGCAAACCACAAAGCCGAGAAGGCCGCCATGACTACTCAAGGTGTTACGTTTGCTTCTCAGGACAAGCTACCCAAGCTTCCCATTCCGGACTTGGACAAGTCTTGCACGAAATATCTTGCATCTCTCAGACCTCTACAATCCGCTCGCGAGCATGCAGAAACAGAAGCCGCTGTGCAGGACTTCCTCCGATCCGAGGGTCCTGAACTTCAAGAGAAGCTCAAGAAGTATGCCACGGGCAAGTCAAGTTACATCGAACAATTCTGTAAGCTCATTGTACACCCGCCATGGTTGCCTTCAGGGCTGACACAGCCTAGGGTACGACTCGTATCTCAACTTTGACAATCCTGTTGTCCTCAACCTCAATCCCTTTTTCCTGCTCGAGGATGATCCGACTCCTGCCAGAAACAACCAAGTCACTCGCGCCGCCTCCCTCGTCATTTCCGCCCTATCTTTCGTCAGAGCAGTGAGAAAGGAAGAACTCGAGCCCGATACCTTGAGAGGTCAGCCCCTGGATATGTACCAATACTCACGTCTATTCGGTACCGCTCGTATTCCCACAGAACATGGCTGTCAGATTGGCCAAGATCCCTCATCTAAGCACATTGTCGTTTTGGTGCGCGGCCAGTTCTACTGGTTCGATGTCCTGGACGACAACAATGACCTGATAATGACGGAGAAAGACATCACTGTCAACCTCCAAGTCATTGTCGACGATGCACAGAACATACCCATCCAGGAGTTTGCGCGTAACGCTGTTGGTGTGCTGAGCACTGAGAATCGAAAGATTTGGTCCAGCCTTCGTGATGTTCTCTCAAGAGACGAAGGTTCGAACAACTCTGATAGTCTCAACATTGTCGACTCTGCCCTCTTCATCCTTTGTCTGGATTATACTGAGCCCAAGTCTGGTGCTGACCTCTGCATGAACATGCTTTGTGGTACATCTCAGATCGAGGACGGTCTACAAGTTGGTACATGTACCAACCGCTGGTACGACAAGTTGCAGCTTATTGTCTGCCAGAACGGCAGTGCTGGTATCAACTTTGAGCACACTGGTGTCGACGGTCATACAGTTTTGCGCTTCGCTTCCGACGTGTATACCGACACTATTCTGCGCTTTGCTCGCACCATCAACGGCAAAGCACCCTCCTTGTGGGCATCAGATTCGCCAGATCCCGCCAAGAGAGATCCGAGCAGTTTCGGCGACGTCTCCACCACACCACATAGGCTCGAGTGGGACATGCTGCCTGAGATATCAACAGCTGTACGATTTGCTGAGACACGTCTCGCTGACCTCATCCAGCAGAACGAGTTTGCTACTCTCGAGTTCATGCAGTATGGCAAGAACTTCATGACTAGTATGGGCTTCTCTCCCGATGCCTTTGTGCAGATGGCTTTCCAAGCGGCCTACTATGGACTGTATGGAAGAATGGAATGCGTTTACGAGCCAGCCATGACCAAAGTCTTCTACCATGGTCGAACGGAAGCCATCCGCCCTGTCACTGATGAGTCGACTGAATTTGTGAAACTCTTCTGGGGTGATAATCCACCCGCCAAGAAGGTAGAGGCGTTGCGTAAAGCATGCCAGAAACACACCGAGATTACAAAAGAATGCGCAAAAGCTCAAGGACAGGATAGACATCTTTATGCCTTATTCTGCGTCTGGCAGCGCATGATCGACGGTGACGAGGAGATTCTGAGTCAAACTGGTGACGGCAACGATAGCAATAACCATGATGGCAGTTCTTCTGATGTTATGAGCGACGATGAAAGTTCTCGAGGCTCAATAAATCGTATGCAAACCAATACGGGTGCCATGCCTTCCCTGTTCGGAGACAGTGGCTGGGACAGATTGAATACCACCATCCTCTCAACATCCAACTGTGGTAACCCGTCTCTACGACAGTTCGGATTCGGACCCACCTCAGGCGACGGCTTCGGTATCGGCTACATCATCAAAGACGGCAGCGTCAGTATCTGCGCTTCCTCCAAGCACCGTCAGACCAAGCGTTACATCGATGCTATCGAGAGCTACTTCCTAGAGATGAGAAAGGTCTTGAGACAAACTCAGAGAAGAGGCACAAATACCGATAAACTTGCCAGTCGTGCACGAGAAGCCGAGGAAATGAAGGCGAAGATTAGACCTAAGAGTCATAGGCTGAAGTCGCGCGGTAAGCCTGTTGATGGTACTAGAACACCCGCTATGGAAAGTGAGCAGGTCAGCGATGATGACGGCTTGGGAGGCTGTAAGTTTCATTCCCACTCTTTTGCAATGACTATGATGCTGACAATTGTCTCAGATGGCTTCTTCGATGCTGGAATGTTGTTGCAGGCACTTAAGCAAGAGCAAAACGGTAGCATTAAGCCTAGTCAAAAGGCGGCGGCGAGAAACAAGGTTGGCAAGAAATTGCAATTGACGGATTACTAGTGTTACTTTTTTCGCATCAATTCTATGACCTTGCTCTTTGTTTATTGAATCCCGCCCATGAAGTGTTACTGCTTCCAGATCTGTGTCATGATTTTCGAGATCTGAGCTATGTTCTCTCCGTAAAGTAGACAGCAGAGCGAAGTCGAAGGAGGTCTATCACTCATCGACAGCCTGCCCTCGAGAATAGGGATGTCTCGAATCACAAACATGGACGCGTTGTCCAAGAGTCATTGACACCGGCAATCCAAACCAGAACCGACAACACAAATACCGTCCCAAACCACAACCCGTCGCAAAGGTCAACTTTGTCAGAGACATCAGTAAGAGCGCTCATCCAAGTATTCTTGAGCTTTGCAGTCTTGACCTTGCACTTGAAGCATCGCATAGAGGGATGCTTACACCCAGACAAACTTGGCTCCAATCCCATCATCGCACTCGGGTGCACTCCCTCTGTCTTTGCCTTTTGTCTCGCAATCTCAATCCTCGCTCTCGTTTAGATCCCCGCACCCTCACTCCGTGTACTCAACCATTCAGGACTGAATGTCCACTTGCATTCTCCCAGATTCGTCCATGTATCAAAGACGATTTCAAAAATCGCAGCTTTGGAGTGACGATGCAGTGCAAACACGTATTGCGTCAAGCAGTTCGGACAGTTGTGAGGTTTGGAAATCCTGGATCCTGAAAGGAGGTCTTTAAAGTTGTAATCGGAGCAAAGGTCGGCGAAGATGTAGTTGGTGCATTTTAGTAGTGTCGAGATTTGAGTTGGGTTGTTGCAGTGGCATCTTCCTATTGATGATTCCATGAGTTTGTTGAGGACGACTAAGCGGGTGTCGGAGTCACTCCGGTGGAGGGAGTACAGATACTCGACCGGGATGATTATACGGTGAGTGGCGTGAAGGACGAGACTGGAGTCGGCAAAGATGGGTTTCAGATTTAATTTCGTAAGCCAATCACCGAGTCCGGGATTATTCCAGTCCGAGTCAAAAGTTAAGGACTCAGGTGATGTACCGTAAGCTGTACCGAGCCGGCGCCGGTACATGACCTGTCGGAAGTGCTCGAAATCTAGGTAGATGGACCATTCTTTGTAGTAAAGAGACAGTGCTTCAGGGGTCCTTCTAGGCTGGCATGGACATCGTTGGTCGTCAGCAAGACCCCGGCCACGGATGTGATCCAGAATCGGGCGTGAAACCCGAGTTTGACAGTAATCACAGATGGATGTCGCCGCTTTCTCCTTCAGCAAGATCTCTAGAAATGGGAGTCGCTCCGGTGTCTCTATGTCGGGTCGTACCTCTTGGAGATACTGATCCTTCATCGGTGAATTTTGTTCTGAGTAATGGCATATCCAAGTGCTGTAGAATATGTCTTTGCTGGTGAGTGCCAGACACAACACATTGTGGAGGGGGAGATTATCAGCTATGCACATCATTAGCTCTGGTGGGAGTTTGCCGATGTGACATGGCTTCTTTGTAGGTCTGAAGTAGAGATCGTAGCCCCTCATGACGACTGGATGTGTTGAGGGTAACCCAAAGTTGACCTTATTTCGGCTTTTTGGTTGGAACTTTTTGTTAGTATGCGTGTATTCGAATTTGATAGAATCTGTTAATTTTTCGAGCGTCGTTGATGTCGCATTCGAATCCTGTATTGAGTCACCGGATTTGATGCGACACCAATTGATTATCAGTCATGATCTGGAATATGCTCAGAGGCTCATACGGGTGACTCGAAAATGAGTTGCAATGAGCTGTTTAACAAACTTGTCTTCTCCATCCCGTGATCATACTTGGTACGCAGAGTTGTTGGCGTACACGCAGATATACATGGGCGTCGTTATAAAGGTATGGTCCTCAGACGCTGACCATCTCACCATCTCACCATCCATCAGTGATCGGTTTCTAGCCAGCAATGACTCGATAAATCCGAATGACTAGCCTTTGGAAAGTCCAAATAGCGAGCGACGAGGTCGACATGGACGCATAGATCACGGCAGATCAGTTTGCAGTCCAAAAGAATACTTGCAGACTCTCAGAGGCACGAGACTGGGCGAATGTCAAGATGGCATTTTCTGATACGTGGGACCACTCGCTGCATTCTCTTGCGGCTCCAAGAAGGAACAGGTTGGAGAGAAGTGTTCATCGAGACTTTTTGTACATATCTAGTGGTTAGCGGGATGACTTTTCGGGAGGCTGAATAGACGGCAGGAAGTCTAGAGACGTCCGAGTGGCAATCCCACAGCATAATAGAGGCTTGCATAGATTGATAAGCGAGCGAGGGAGCAAAAGCTGCAGCATATATCATTTTGCAGCCATAGAGACAACGACCTGGTTAGCAATTAATAACAGCCCTACCACTGACTCACACATGCATTGCAGGACGCAGTTAGCTTGAGCGGAGCGGATGCAGCGGTACCTGAGCATTATCGAAAGCCTACTATATTAACAACAACCATAACATAGAGCGATGCCTCAGCCCTGCTGCCCTGCGAATACCTCGCGTGGGAGTAAATAGGATCGACCGCAATCCCCACCCCAGACGGTTTCGCGTATATTGTGGCAGATACTGACCCGAGATTGAGGGATGCCGCAATAGCGGAACACTTCGGCGAGCAGACCACAACGCGTAAGATTTTACGAGATGTTGCTCGCGATCCAAAGACCTGGTTTTTGACCATCGGGGGTTTGGAAAAGATGTGATGGAGATCATCGATGAGACATTGTGTTAGAATGAGCAGCTAGACGACGGCACTCAAAGGGAGATTGACCTTAAAGCTGGGAGCTTGGCTTCTGGAGGATGCGTCGGCCACTTCCTAAGCACACTCGACTTCCATGAAGACTCCTTCTACATTTGTTACTTTGTTTTGCACACTAGCTATAAGAAGCTACTCTCGCTTCTCGCTGCGACTCTCGTCGATTTGCGATTCTCGCTGCTCTCGTATGCCTGGATATTACAAGATCTCATTGTTAGCCCTCAATTTTCAAAAAATCTACCCCACACCTTGAGCTCTGCAAGTCGGTGTACCAATGAATCGCGGATTGAACTACATGAACTTTCGAGCAAGAGACATCAGGCTTTGTGAGATGAGATGGGTAAGAATTTTGATACGGAGAGAAAGCATTGATAACATCCTTTCACCGTACAAGACTTCCAACCTCCTGACTGCTGAGCTCCGATAGAAGTGTCCCTGCACAAGATAGTCTTGCTCATAACTTTATCACAATGCATAAACATCCTGGACACCCAGAATATCATGTACATTGAGAATGTCTTTGATTGCGTGGACCTCGTGCTGTTTTCCAATGTAGAGGACAATCCATCGACACTACGCAACACAAACAGCTGACTTTGCACTTGTCATAGCGTGTGAGCGCATGTCACCGGCCAAGTCGACGTGACCACCGTACCATGGCAGCACCACAATCACCATCTGGACTAGCATTCGTACCGAACACTTTACACAGCAACGGGCGCAATATCGAAATCTGACCAAGAACGCGTTGGCTGCACGTAAGAACGTTCCTTGTCAGGCGTCCTGAACGCAATGTCACGACATTTTAAAGTTTCGCGCTCGGGAAGGACGCGAAGGTTCAACGGTCCGTCAACTTCCCAAACGACCGCGTCTGGTGGCTTGCGGGACAACGAAATTGCTTGACAGCTGGTTGCATGCGACCATCGGGTCACTTGGAATATGGCTAGTGTTATTACGTATAGACCATGGCTCGTTAAAGAAAGGCGGGAAAAATTTGTATGCAAAGGACAGAAGAAATTCGTTTGTGGATACTAAAGGTAAAGAGAAAAGGAAGCGCAGATCGCTCAGGGGATATCGGTAAAGGGACAGAATTGAATGTAAAGCACGAGGGCAAGCCCTGCTGGAGAGAATAGACAAGAGTGACAGAGGAGACGTTATATCGTGAGAGTCGCACTTTCGTGGGAGGTAAGAAATTGCTCCGTCTATGCGGATCGTTCACGCTTGTGCAGCGTTGGCCTTGGTTTCTGGATGAACCTGTCACGCTCTGCCCTCAGATCTCCTAGACTGGGGCTCATGACCACGCGAGGTCGTTGTTGTGCTGCGAGACCTCTGATGCTCCGTGAACTTGCAGGCCTACTGAGACTAAGAGCACTACCAGAGCGGATGATACTGGGGTTGGGGCTGGTTGGTCGTGAACTCAAGGCAGAGCCTTTACGGCTACGAGAGCCAAATGTGACGTCGCTTGGGCTGACGACTTGACCGGCGAACGGTGATGAGGTGATGATGGTGCCTGGAGAAGTGGTTGGAGAGGGTATAGGACTGTCGCTTCGGAAAAGAGGATGAATGTGCGACTGGTCCTGATTCAATTGTTGATTCGAGGGGCGACGGTGCAAAGATGGCGCAAAAGGAGGGAATGCAGGTGATTCGGGTACTTCGTCGGCCTCCTCATCCTGTTCGCATGCATCCGGGAACGGCCCATCAAGAGGATAGGCGGGAGATACTGGTCTGCTGCCAGGAATAGTTTCAAGACGATGGGCTTGCGTCGCCCGTAGAGTTGCCAAAACACTCGTTGGCTCCATGATGTTAGTGTTCGTGGCAGGCGAAACATTCCAAGTCTCGAATCCGTCCGAAGGTCTACGCTCTGACGTCGAGTCCGAACGGACAGTCTCCTTGGACTTTTTAGATGCGCTTCTTGACTCCTTGCCATGTCGGAGGAACTGTTGAACTGAATTTCGGACGCTGGACTTGATGCTGATTGACTGTTCGGAAACATCGGAGAAGGATGACACTGGTCGGTCAAAATTGGGTGAGTAAGGAGACAGTGTGTTCAAGGACAAAGCTTGGGTCTTGTGCTCGCCAATATCAATGCAGCTTCGTAGTGGATCCGAAGTAAATAGAACAGAATCAGGCAATGACGATCTTGATCTCCAAAAGAGACCACAGTAGACTCCGAGTGATATGAGTGAAAAGACCCACATGGCAAAAGCCGCAGCGACCATGGATGCAAGATGTGCCGAAGAACTTTGAGTTTTGATAAGCGGTAGGTTGTTGTACATCCAACCAAGAACGTAGATGGACATGATCATAGCGATCGTAAAGGGTAAAAGAACAACAACTGCTAGGGTCCATTTCCAAGGCTGCAGGTTGCGATTTGTGGAAGTGTAGAAGACGACGAAGATGAAAATGATAGCGATCGCCAGAATATCTAACACAGCAGCGGCTGTTGCATGCGAGTGTATCGGAGTGGGGACAAGGACTGAGGCTGCGAAGAGAGTGATGAAGGTAGCAAGAGCAGTAGTAGAGAAGCATGCAGCTAGGCAGCTGAGGATGCATGCTGGGTTTCGTTGTAGCAAAGCCATGCCGCTGAGAGAGTGTGGGTTGTATGAAGAATGTCGTATGTCTTGTGAGAAGTTTAATGAGAGTAGTGATTGGAGAAAGTCCTTTCCTAATGGCCTCCGAATGTGTGCAGGTTTCAGGTATACGTGAAACTTCAATGCTCCTGACGGTGTTCGGTGTTCTTGCTTCTCAGGCCTAAAAGTCGTCTGCTTCAATGGAATATGGTTCTCAAAGCTGGTGATGTTGAAACGGACGGGAGAAGAAGAAGAAGAAGTGAAACGGTGATTGTAAGCTGAGCGAGAAACGAAGATGCAGGATGACACGAGTTTGACTGTGTCCACAAGCCTCGAGTCTCAAGCATGAACGTTGGGTGGTGTATGCAGCCAAGGATTTTCGGTCGTCGGGGATGTGCGCTAGAATATTATACCGAGCCCTTGCACGGTTTCATGCATGAAATCGATAGTGATCCGGGGGAGTGGTGATGATCAAGACAAAAAAAGAAAGACATCAGGCCTAAAAGGCAGGGTAGATGGAGTAGTATATGTAAGGAGAGTCACAACGCAAGGATAGAGATACTCATCTAAAAACTTCTAAGGATGATCGCATAGAAGGCGGCAGCAGGCCATCAACACACGCTCGGTTGTTGTTTGCGATCATCAACAAGGTCTACCCGGATTGTGCGCCTGTGTAATCCGGGTCCTGGGGGCTGACCATGCCGTGGTTAGCAATCGGCGGCGGCATTTCGCTACCAAACGCCATGATTTGAGCATGGGGGACGCGCTCAGCCGCGAACTTGACCTTTTCGAGATGGCGAGCATTGAGCAATCGACCGACCAAGCCCAGCCCTCAGAAATACAGACGGCGCGAGACAAGTGCAGCTGCGACCCGCCGTACTTTTAATATCTCTGACCTTCTGTGGCATGCAGGAGGAGGGGATAGTCTTGACAAGACACGAGAGGCGCTGCTAGAAGAATGTCGTCGAATGCAGGCGAGAACGAAGCTTCTGAGCAGCCAGTCAGCTTTGACAGGTGGGGCCGCCTTGCAAAGCCAAATCGCGGTTCGCGGGCAATCGAAATTGCTACACAAGAGTTTCGAGCGATACAGACACGGAAGAACAACACATAGCGTGTACGACAGCATCTGATTAATGTCGCGACGCTCACAACATTGGTATGGTCGACTACGTCACAGAACGATGAGACCCTTGAATTGACAAGCTCCTCGAAACCGTCAGGCCGTCCATTTTAGAACGAATAATGAACATGACGCTCAAGGGGTAGCACTCGTTCAAGTCGTTGCTGAGGAGGGGCCTGAATGTGGTACAAAGATTCGGAGAGTTTTCTTCCTCTTCGTCGCACGTGCAGTGCAGTAGGAGGCCTTGACAAGTCGACACGACTGGCTCAGCTTGCATGCAGAATCCCGATGTGTACTCTTGCTGCTATGAGGCTGTATCGGCGGCAAGAAGACATACAGATAGCTCGTCAGCTGAGCGGCGAGCCTCGCAGAGCGTGGTAGCTCGTCAAATAGATCAGAGACGTCGTCCAACCAGTCTGGACTGATATGTCTTAGATGGGGACACCGTGCGTGCTCACCGCAGCTCTTGTCAGTCTTCTATTAGTACAGATGACTTTTTTCCGGTCTTTACGGGGTCTCAGTGGCAGGATAAATACAGTGTTTCCTGCTTCTATCAAGAATATCAGTAGCGTGTCATGTCCAACGAGGAAGTATCGTCTCGATCTCTCACCGAGTCTTGACACATCCTCACACAACAGCCTGCGGATTGCTTTGCACAGCGCGACATTACCATGAAGTTGTGCCACAAGGTCCTGCAGTCCCAAGCCGCATTGATGGAAGTAAATGAGGTGACGATGGCGATGAGGTTTGTCTGGAAGGATGGTTTGGAGGTTGACTACGCGAAGGGAGCGAACACATTCGCCCAGGAGGCAAGCACGACAGGTAAAAGTAAGTCAGAACAGTGAGACATTAGGGGATATGTCTGGAATGTGAGCAGACGCAGAGTGAAAGAGAGGCAGCAGAGTGCCAAGTGAATCTGTATGACGCTTTGCGGGCGGGCATTCTCGAAGCTCAACCCGCGTTTCCAGCTTGCCACACTCTTCACACAACTCGCACTATCACACACCATCTCACGACTTTTTTTTCTCCCGCCGTCGCACTCAGTCATAGGAATACATCAGAACATACACACCCACACCAAGAACCGACACGATGAAGTTGACCTTCAGTACGTTTCTCTGCGAGACCCGCGCCTCGTGTCGAAGCGGCCCCACTAACAGTCGGTATAGAGGATCTCAAGCAGCAGAAGTTCGTCATCGAGGCCGAGCCCTCAGAGACGGTACGTTTTCCAGAGTCCGATTCTACACTGGCCAACGACTAACACTGTGCAGATCGGAGAGGTCAAGGCAAAGATCGCGTCCGAGAAGGGCTGGGAGCCGTCAACACAGAAGCTCATCTACTCGGGTAAGATTCTGCAGGACGACAAGACGGTCGAGTCGTACAAGATCGAGGAGAAGGGCTTCATTGTCTGCATGACCTCCAAGGTAACTTTCCTCTCCATTCGCAATCCACGTCGGCCTTCGCCTACTGACACACTCAAAAGCCCAAGGCTGCGCCCTCGAAACCTGCAGCGCCCGCAACTCCCGCACCTGCTGCTCAGGCCACAACTCCTGCTGCACCTCAAGCACCCACTTCTTCGTCTACGTCCGCTTCGGCTCCCGTGCCCGCTACACCCTCCCCTGCTACCAACGAGAGCAGTCGGTTCAACGACCCTTCGGCACTCACCCTTGGCGACGAGCGCAATGCGGCCATCTCCAACATGGAGGCCATGGGCTTCGAACGTGAACAAATTGATCTTGCCATGCGCGCCGCCTTCTTCAACCCTGACCGCGCTGTCGAATACCTCCTGAACGGCATTCCCGAGAGTGCCCAACGCGGACAGCAGCAGCAACAGCAGGACCAGGCTGCTCCCAGACAAAGCCAGACACCGTCTGCAGCTCCCGCTACTGCACAGGCCACTGGCGCAGAGGGCGAGAGTGAAGGAGTTAACCTATTCGAGGCCGCCGCTCAGGCTGGTCAAGGTGGTGGTCGTGGAAGCACCCGCGCAGCTCAACCCGCTCAAGGCGCCGACGCAGGACTTGTTGCAGGTGGTGACCCTCTGGATTTCCTCAGAAACAACCCCCAGTTCCAGCAACTTCGCCAGCTCGTCCAGGCTCAGCCTCAGATGCTCGAACCCATCCTCCAGCAGGTCGCTGCTGGCAACCCTCAAATCGCCCAGCTCATCGGTCAAAATCCTGAAGCCTTCATGTCTCTCCTTGCTGAGGATGTTGACGATGATGCTGCTCTCCCCGCCGGTGCTCAAGCTATCAGTGTCACTGAGGAAGAGAGAGAAGCAATTGAGAGAGTAAGTCTTGCCCATCCATACCTACACACATATGCTAATGTTCTCGCAGCTCTGCCGTCTTGGTTTCGAAAGAGACCTTGTCATCCAGGCTTACTTTGCGTGCGACAAGAACGAGGAGTTGGCAGCCAACTTCCTCTTCGACCAGCCTGAGGACATGGATGAGTAAAAGAAGAATGTTGCGTGAAGAAATCAGGATGATAATCTGGCTGGTTTGCAGTCAAGGCGGCACTAAACGATAGTCATGACGCTTTTGCTTTTCTAATTCATGATGTCCCAAAGGACTCGGTACATAGCGAGGAGAAATTGTTTTCACCCATCGCAGGTGCCTGCGGCATCCGATACCTATCATTTCTATATCTTTTGGTGCGGCTTGGATCAGAGTGACCATTTGCAGTCTGCCCTTGGATCTGGTCACTACTTTCGTTTAATCCAACGACGAGCATTGTTTTCAGACCCGAACATGCAGAAAGCCGTTCTTGCATTTATCTCCACGAATGGTCAGATCACTCGTAATCACACGTACATAAGTGTGGTGTGAAAGCACCGTGGCTGCGACAGAAGCTGCTTGACTTGCCTGAGGATGGTATATTTCTCTTCCCAATCCGGTATTCGGCATTCGAATTCTTGTGTTGCCTAGCATGCCTGGGTCAGCCGCCTTTTCAAATGGAGTTGTCTCGGGCCAGGTCCAAGGATTCGGATGGAGCCGGTCGGCTTTCGAGAAGTCACGCTAACAAGCCAGGCGTTACATGATTGGCTGGGCGTAACTCGCTTTGGAGACTCAAGGTGTGTGTGTCCAGGTAAGAGAAGACTTCGATATGCTGCTCAAAGTCAAGACCTTTCAATAGTGGATCGACTACACTCCTTCATTCATATTGTGTTGTATTTCATCCATGTCAGTTTTATAAACTCAACAACCGCGTTTCTCAGTCTAGGGTTTGTCTCTGTTGGGGGCGATCAAGTTTTGCACAAAAGCATCATCATCACGACCAACTTGACCATCGGAGGTGAGTAATTTCTGCAATACATTGACGTCGCTTTTATCCTTTCGAATTGTTGGACCTCCTGTATTTTCGCTCGATGAGTCTGTCGTTCAGGGATACGACTTGATCATTTTGTCTACAGGCTTTACACTCCTTGTTGCTTTGAGCCGGCAAGCTGTAATTTCCTCCGACGGCACACGACTCTACACTCCCTCCACTCCTGCTCCTGCTGCTGTTCATACTACGTTTACACTATTCAGTCACCTACAGCACAAGAGAAAGCACGAGTTTGAATGCTGATATCGTTTCAAGAAAAGATACTTTCGTCGCACCCGTCCAGCATATCCGGATCAACCTTTTCGTATCTTTCTGCTCGTAAGTCTTCCGAGTCCGTCTACCGATCATCTCAGTAATCCAATATGATGGTAGCCTGCGGTTACGATGGAGCTCAGACGGAGACGAGCTGCCACGCCGCAGAAGCCATCGCGACTGCAGCCAACTGAAGCCCTACATATGACTACTCGTGCGGCATCCAAGGCTGCTTCCTCGAATGGAGGCTCTAGTCGGCGTGGTTCACTCTACTCAAATGGGCAAATCAGTCCAATGACTGGTAACGACAATGAGCCGGACAGGTATCCTAAACGAAGAAGAGTTTCCACTGCTTCCAAGTCCACACCGACTGCCGCCATCTACAACTCTCAGTCTTCTTCCTCGAGGCCGTCTACGAGGAGCATGTCTGGTGGAAATCTCCAGCCAATCGCTGAATCGTCTCCTATGCCACGTAGGAAGAGGAAGCGAACGTCAGACGTCACAGCTGAGAACATCTCAGTAGCTCAACCTATCAAGACTAGGAGTGAATTTGAGCTCGCCCTACTGTCTCCTGCCACAAAGAAGCAGCCACCCAGGAAGGCCAAGAGATTTTCAAACTCGTCTCGAGGTCAGGAGACTGCCGAGGAGGAAGACGAGGACGACGAGGATGAGGACGAAGAATCTGCAGAAAGCGATATAGATGCTGCCGAAGATGACCTAAAGGACACCGTAGAAGTCTTCGAAGACCTACATCCTACAGCGAATGGCCATGAAGAAGCATCGCTGAACGAAAAGTCCAACGGGATCACAGATGTTACAGCAGACGATTGTGATGAAGACGATAGCATGCACGACGCAGGAGCTCCTGCAGGCGTTGACCAGGAGATGGCAAATCAGCAGCAAACGCAAAGTACAGATTCGAAGGACGTTGCAGAGCAGGCAAGCGACATGCAGAGCTTAGAGATTGCTCCAAATGGCTCTCTGTACTCTCAGGACGGTGATCAACAAGCAGGCCAAGACGGAGACGATGCAGAGGGCGAGTATGATGAAGATGGAGACCTGGACCTTTCACGTGATGAATTGACTCTGCCAAAACAACTCGGCATAACAACACTTGACCCTACGCCAGTCGTTTCAGCCACAGCATCTCCAGTGGGTTCGAACCAAGACTCCAATGCGGAGCAAGAGTCCCCGACCAAGCACTCAGCATTGATACCGGCTGGAGATGCATTAACCGCAAGTCAAAATGGCGATAAACCTGTCAAGAAATTACCAGGAAGGCGCAGAGCTCCCCATGCCAACCCAAAGGTCGAGGCTGCTCTGCGTAGACAACTCCATCTGCGCATGGCCTACAGATCTGTGGCTAAGAATTTGAAACCAATCCTTACCGAATTGGCGAAGCGAAGCCTGAGCAGTATTCACAGAGATCCTGAGGCGCACACGGCCTTTTCAGAATACCCGATGGTCCAGCAGACCCTCGAAGGGCATTTCCAAGAGCGTCTTGATTGGATTCAAAAGCAAAAGATTCTCAATAAAAAGAGATTGGATGACATGTTGGAAGAACAAACAGCAATGCGCAAAAGAAATTTCGAGGTATACCTTCTTTTTGCATCTTCTTACTGCCGTCGAAAACTGACCTTTTGTGTAGCATGTTGCTCAAAATATCGAGGATGACATGATCGTGCAATTGCAGCACGACTTCCTGAATAAGCTGCGTCAACAGCGACAGGCTGAAGATGACGATTACAGCGATGATGAGGTATGTACAGCGAAGCTTGTCGAGCGACTCTCCCGTCTGATTTTGCGTCCTAGGGCGACGACGTGATTCCTTCGCTTCGGCGGGTCACAGCTAAAGGTGCGCTTCGAGGTATATTGGGACCCGAATATCATTGGCGAAGTCGGCCTGCTCTTGAAACCGAAAGACTGTTCAATGAGATGCACGGGCGTCGTCGAATCGCCAGCGAACATATCAAACACGACAAATCGTCTGCTCTGGAGGATCCTCGACCTTTCACCACCTTTGACCCTGTAGTTAGAGACGCGGCGGAGGCTCAACTAAAGATGAGAGAACTCCTTGCTGCATTGGGAGTCGCTGCAGAAGAAGTTGCTAGACCTCCTCCGGTACCGATCGTCGAAGCTCCACCGGCGATCCCGGTCATACCGAACAACGAGGCGCTTGGTTTATTGATGTTGGCCGAGGCGTCTGCTACCCCTATTTTCGCTGCGCCTGCGCAATCCGAAAACGTCACGATGGATCCTCCAACAGATATCCCTTCAAGGCAAGATAACCTCAGCGTACCAAGACCCAGCATGTCTCGCGCGGGAAGCGTCGCTACACCAGCGCCTCCGAGCAATCTTCCGGCGAAACCTATGGAGGAACCTTCTTCCGAACAACGTCACGCCACGACCGTTCCCATCAGCTTTAGTCAGGCTGTGCTTGAACCATCGACAACGCAGACTGCTCCACTTTTCACAAGGCACTTGCAGCCAGAGCAGCCAGAGCAGAGACCTCAGTCAAGGCTCCCTAACTTGCCGTCGATAGGCCAAGTCGTAGCATCACAATCGCACGCTGATACGCTGCCGCAGCCAGTGGCAACATCAGCACCTTCAAAGGCTGTCGACTTTTGGTCTAGTCTCTCTATAGATCACACCAAGTCCAGCTCGCAAGGCAAAGCCGAGTTTGTTCCTCACACAGTAGCTCGGCAGAGCTCTGTAGCTGAGCCACCAGTTGGCGGCGGGGCCGATATTTCGAAATCTGAAGACCGAGAGCCTCGACCGTCGTTGCCCGGCTCTTCGACGACGTTGGAACCATTGCACGAAAAGTTGAGAAGAACATCAGACTCTTTCGGGCCATTACTTAACAGACTCGATGATCTCGACAACCCTAAGCCACGCAAGATGCCTGCACCCAAAAAATCACTGTATGGGCCTTGGCCTCGCAGCAGAAACTACAATCCTCTGGATAGAAGAGTAAGTACGACTAGCACGGCACCATCCCAGCCTAGCCTGCCAGGCATTCATTCGAGGCCATCGAGTGGTCTGGAGGCCACTACACCTTATAGCACGTCTGAAACTCGACGACCTAGCTATGTGGCTGCACCTCCGCCACCAGTGCCAGGTTTTTCTACTTCTCTGGCTCAGTCTGGGCCATACAACCCGGCACCGATATATGGATCGGCGCCTCCTCACCCGTTTGCTTATGAACGAGGCCCATATCCTCCCATGACATACGGACCTCCACCACCTGGATTTGCAGGGCTGGCAGGAGGGCCAATGCAGCCAGGTCAAGGAACACCTCCATTCTACGGCGGTCCCCACGGTCTTCCACCTCCGAATCAGCAACAAGGTGGATACGGCCCACCACCGATAACTTCTCGACCTCCCCCAACAGCACCGGCATACGGACCTCAGTACGGAGGACAGCCCATACTTCCAGCTGGCCACGATCCTCGATTTGGACCCACCGGGGCACCTGCATCAAACAATGCTGGACCAGCTTTTGCACAATTTGCACAACACGATGGACGAAGAAGACGTAATCAGAGTCTGGGCAACAGAGAGTTCCAGCACTATCAGCCACGATGATCGACAGACTCGACTGATGATTGGGCTATGGCAGGTGGGCTTCTCTCATGTAGTGGTCTTGACTACAAGCAGAAAAAGAAAAGCATGTTATTCTTCGTAAGATGAGAGCAGTAAGGCTGACTATTCGATTGTGCTTGTGGTGCCTTGAGTGTGTACGACATATAAGACTACCAATGAGATGACTGTTGTTCTCTAGCAGTGACTGTGAATTGTACTGGGGTGACCAATGGAGGAGATGCTCTGGAAGGTGAGTCAAAATGGTAGGCGAAGCGACGGACGATGATTGGCCCGGTGGCAGCCTGAGTCAAAAGTGGCGTCCGAAAGGAGGAAGGCGCGGGCGTCGAGCTTTCCCTGACGTCCTCGTACAAATTGCGGGCAAAAGAACATGTGAGAATTGCACCAAGCAGACTCGCTCTTTCGTCTTTCTACCCAATCCACAAGCAATCTTCCACTCTCACATATTCCTCCGACCCAGAATCACACTCGACGTCACCCGAGAAATCAACAAATCATGGCTGTCCGCGCTCAATTCGAAAACTCCAACGAGTAAGCAAGAAAAGACGGCGAAAATACATCCAAAGCATACTGACTGAGCGCTCAGGGTTGGTGTCTTCTCCACTCTCACAAACTCCTACGCCCTTGTCGCTGTCGGCGCTTCCGAGAACTTCTACAGGTAAATCAGAGCGAAATGGCGAGGCGCAATGACAGGGTCTGACAAGCGCCGCAGTGTCTTCGAAGCCGAACTCCAGGACGTTATCCCCATCTGCCACACCACCATCGCCGGCACACGTATCATCGGCCGTCTCACAGCCGGTAACCGCAGAGGTCTGCTCGTCCCCACCAGCACATCGGACCAGGAGCTGCAACACTTGCGCAACAGCATTCCCGACGATGTGAAGATTCAGCGCATCGAAGAGCGCCTCTCCGCCCTCGGCAACGTCATCTGCTGCAACGACCACGTCGCCCTTGTCCACCCCGATCTGGAGCGCGAGACCGAGGAGATCATCGCCGATGTGTTGGGTGTCGAGGTTTTCAGACAGACAATCGCCGACAACGTCCTTGTAGGTTCATACATGAGCTTGAGCAACGCCGGTGGTATCGTCCACCCCAAGACCAGCATCCAGGACCAGGATGAGTTGAGTTCGCTGCTTCAGGTTCCTCTCGTTGCCGGTTCCGTCAACAGAGGTTCGCCCGTCGTCGGTGCCGGTATGGTCGTCAACGACTGGATGGCCGTCACTGGTCTGGATACTACTGCCACTGAGCTCAGCGTTGTCGAGTCCATCTTCAAGCTTGGTGAGGGCATGGGTCCCTCGGCCATCAACACTACCAACAAGGACACCATGGTCGAGTCCTTCTACTAGACGCATTTGTTTGCTCTGTCGTGTCACCCTCAAAAAGAGCTTTACGGTTGTATCGGCTTCTGATCTGATTCGAATGAACACACGCATTCCTACTTTCACTTCGGTGGCCCTCCGTCCTAGTTCGCGCCCAACATGCGCTCGCGCCATGGACAAGACCGGCCCTCACGCCACACCCTGGCCGTCTCCACCAAGTTGGAAATAGACAAGTTCACGGCGGATGATATGGTGGGAAAGAGGAAAGAGGTTGCATTTGATAATGGAGTTGTGGAAGCCGTACAACCAGACGTACTCGGATACATTTTTTTTCGAGAATAGATAGCAGTCGGCCTGATCTAGTCTGAGGTCTAGCATATTTGACCTTTTGATCCCTCGATCGATGAATGTCTCTAAAAACGTCCTGATCATTACTGTGAGTTGCTAATCCAGAATCCAAAAATGGACAATCTGACCATGACTTTCTCGCTGTGCACATGACCCTGCTCTGAAACTTGGATGACGAGTGTGCAACGCAAATGCGTTCTAAGTACTCTAGAATCATCTCTTATATTGCTCCATGATACTCTACTGTCTGTGTTCAGCGTCTTGTCACGATCTCACCAATATGTCGTTGTAGTTTCGCGTTTTTGATATCTGTCAATTTTTGGTCTGTCATCTGCGGTCATTTCATCACGTGTCTACGCAGTTCTCTCAGTGAGGAGGTATATATAGTCAGTGGATTACCACCAATCTGTTCTCGAGCTTTGGAGACGATTAAGGTGGGAGAGTAGGGTGATCGTCGTCGCTGTCGTCTACCCAACGTGTGCAAGCATTATATTGCACAAACACATGGATATAAGCACAATACGCCTCTTTAGCTCAGTTGGTAGAGCGCGGCACTAGTAATGCCGAGGTCACCGGTTCGACTCCGTTAGGAGGCAGTATCCTTTTGTCCACCACCCTCGCTCAATGGTCAATGTTTTGCCAGAAGTGGGCGTGGTGTGAAGAATGATGTTTTGGATTGTGACATACGTCTCGAAGTCGAATCAGCAGAAACTTTCATCATTCGAGCACGAGCAGTATCAATATTTGCAAAATGATGCCAAAAATCAACCTCTTACTTTAACCATGCTATGCTCTATTTGCCTGCCTCTTGCTTTTACAGCCTTCTTTTCTGACTCTTTCCATGACTTCTCCTCTCCTCTACTCATCTCTAGGGAACTCATCCGTCAACTTCAACGCAGCCTTGACATTCATACTCAACAACTCCTGAATAAGCAATTTAGCAGCATACGGCAAAGTCATCCTCACAACACCTCTGCTGGACTCGCAACTCTGACACCAATTCTGGTATCCCATCATACCGCAAGTCTCGCAAACGTCGACTTCATGCGCATCAGAGGAAAGCATGAGTCTTTCCAAAAGAAGCTGGGAAGCTCCGTAGGCGATGAGACAATCTCTTTCCATTTCTCCCAGACGGAGACCACCTTGGCGTGAACGACCTTCGGTGGGTTGACGGGTGAGGATGGCGCGGGGACCGGTGGCACGAGAGTGCATTTTGTCTTGAACCATGTGCTTCAGCTTTTGGTAGTAGATAGGACCCATGAAGACGTATGCAGGGAGTGATTCTCCAGTGATGCCAGAGGTCAAGTGATCTTTACCCGAGTAGCTGAAACCGTGGGAGATGAGAATGTCGCCCATATCTTCTACTTTGCTGCCACCAAAGGCGGTACCGTATTCGTGGCCTCCGCGAAGGATGCCGGCTTTTCCGGAGAGGAGCTCAAGCATTTTGCCTACGGTCATACGACTAGGAAAACCGTGAGGGTTCATGATGATGTCCGGACAGATTCCCATATCGTTAAAGGGCATGTCTGTCTGTTCTGCCAGAAGACCAGTGACACCCTTCTGTCCGTGGCGAGAGGAGAACTTGTCTCCGATTTCTGGACGACGGGTTTGACGTGTTTGAATCTTGATGATAGGGGTGTTTGATTCGTTGGCGCTGATCATGACCTTGTCGGCATAGGCTGGGTCGGGGAGTTTGTAGGACATGTGTTGAGGTGCCCAGCCGGCGTTTTGTGTGTTCATACCTTGGTTGACTGGTGTTTCCTTGAGCATATAGCATTCTCCAGATTCCATCTCGGCGCCTACTTCGACAAGACCATCGTTGCCAATCTTCTTGTGACGTGGGTTGGAAGGGTCACGGTCACCAATGCGATCAGTCTGACCGTTTTGGTATTGCTTGAGTGGCATGCTGACCTTCTTGAACACTTGACAGCGTCCGAAGCCGCGGTCACAAGAGGCTTTGTTGAGCACCAGAGCATCCTCAATATCGTAACCAGAGTATGACATGACAGCAACCATGGCGTTTTGACCGGCAGGAAGTTTGTCGTATTTAATAAGCTCGATCGTCCTGCTCTTGACCATGGGCTTTTGCGGGTATACCATGAGATATAGCAGTGTATCGATACGTGTGAGCTGGTTGTAGGCAATAGCTCCAATGGCTTGTTTACCCATAGCGCATTGGTAGGTGTTACGAGGAGATTGGTTGTGATGAGGATAAGGAATGAGACCAGCGACAGCACCTAGGATGGTGAAGGGCTCAATTTCGAGATGTGTAGTATGTTGGTTGATGTCGTGCTCGTAAACTGCGATGTTACAGTCGTTCTCTTCGTTAACATCGAGGTACTCTACCAGTCCACGAGACAGGAAGTCGTCGAACTCAAGCGTGCCCTTGCGGAGTGATTCGAGGTAACGAGTTGTGACCTTGGACTTTCCCTTCTCCACGATGATGAGTGGGCGCACGATACGACCTTCATCGGTTGCAATGTGTACACCGTTGTGGTGGTGGTTGATGTAGATACTGACAAATTCCGAGATTCTTCCCATGCGACGGAACCTGCGGAAAGCGATCAAGAATCGTTTGGGCTCGCGAGTCAGGGCCACAGGTGTACCGTTGAGGAAGATGATGTATGCGCCATCGGCGTAAAGCTCCGTGCCACTGGCGGATGTGACATCCTCAGCACCGAGCACAAAGATCATCTTTCGGACAGGATCTTCTTCGTCCATGGTTGTAATGTGTGTCATCAGCGCCAAGTTCTTGACCAGACCACAAGCCTCACCTTCAGGGGTATCTGAAGTGCAAAGCATACCAAACTGCGACGGCTGGAGCGCACGAGGACCAGAAACCTTTCTTGTCTTTTCGAACTGAGACGAGATTCTGGTCATCATACCGAGAGCGGCGATGAAACTCAGACGACTCAGTACGTGAGTTACACCAGCTCTGTCCATGCGGAAACGCTTCAACGTCCAGTTGCCAGTCGAGATGGCACGTTCCAGACCCTGTGTGATGCGAGATTCGTGCATGGTGATGTAGTCGGCTGGGTTGAAGGCACGAGTTCTGTTCGGCTTCCTCAACACCTTATCCCAACTTTGCTTGATCAACTTGTTGAAGTCCTTGAACAAATCCTCGAACAACAGAGCCATCATCGAGCCTGACAATTCCAGACGCTTGTTACCAAGGTAGTCTCGATCGTCAATCAATTTCGGGTCATGCATACACATGAGCACTCTGCGGACCATGAATGCAATGTATAGAGCCTTTGGTCGGAAGTTCATGGCCGTCACGCCAACATGAGGAATGATTGTGTTGGAAAGCTTCTCCACGGCGTTCTGCTTGTTCGTCTTCTTCGGTACTCCAAACTGACCAAATCTTTCAGGACGCAAGCGTGCACCAACATACTCAAGAGCTTGTTCTTGAGTCGACACTCCCGAGCGCGCGGCTTCTTCGAGGTTGACAGAGAATCCATCCTGATACACAGCATCGTCACCAGCAACGAGAAGCATTATTTCGTGGTCTGACTGAACACCCATAGCCCGGAGAGCGATGGCAACTGGAATATCCTCGGTGAGAGAGTTGTGCTTGAGAACAATCAGCCCCTTCTTGAGAAGAACGTAAGTCTTGGTCTTGACGTTGGCGGTATGACTGGTGACTGAGGCTTGGATGATTCCCTTGAACATTTCCACAATGACACGGTTCTTGCTGAGTTGTTCCTGGACCAGGATGACCTTTTCCTGACCGCGAACCACAAAGTAACCGCCAGGATCGACGGCGCACTCGTTGAGTAAGCCCATTTCCTTCTCCGAGCGGCCAGACAAGACACACTTATTACTCCTAAGCATGACGGGCATTCTGCCGATGTAGACGTTGCGTTCCATTTTCAGACCACTCTGCGATCTGGATTCGAAGTTGACGTAGATTGGAGCCGAGTATGTCAAGTCACGTAGACGACATTCGTTGGGCGTGATTCCAGGACCTGAAAGACCGGGCACCGTGTTGTGGCGGTCTTCGACACGTTCTGGCTTGCCGATGCGGATGTCAGTGTATCTGATGAACATGTTAGGATCAACATCACTGTGCACTGTAGCGTTTGCACGGAGAATGGTTTTCAGCTCAGTGTCGACAAAGAAGTTGTAGGAGTCGATATGCTGTTTCACCAAACCCTTGACTTTAAGAAAGGCTGGCAGAAGATTCCATTTGTCCTGATTTCGTCAGCTCTCAAACTTGAAATACTTGAAGGATACAATCAACGCACCCTTGCGGTGTTGATGGGATCGGTCAATCCTTTGCCGTAGTAGAAAGGTTCAAGTAACGTGTCAGACTACAAAGTCAGCATTTTCCAGCGTTTCCGATGCTGAAGTACACTTACAGGGTCAGTCGAGTGGGAATGCCGCCTCTTCCTAGCCGGTGGTTGCATAGGCGCGGCATCATGAGTGGTCATCTCCCCATCAGCAGGCGCCTGTGATTGCGGATTCACATCGGAAGTCGCTGGTGTTGTGCTCGTCACAGCTGGTGCCTTTTTTGTTTGAGCCTGCAGATCGTCAGTTGAATATCGACGTGGTAACCAGATCTTCGGACTGCATTACCTTGGGCGCGGCGGTGCGAGCCTTTGGAGGCATTTCTAGGGTTGCCCTCAAGACCTAACGCATGCAGTAAAAGAGAACCGAAGTCAGACTGCTCTCGTCAAAGCACGAGGTGCCTACTTGGCCGATGCAAAGCTTTCGATGCGATAGACCAGTCACGGAAAAAAAGTGGCGGGGTCAAAAGTTGTATGCGCCACTGCCAGGGACGCGAGAATTACGCTGCTGAGGCGTTTTGTGTGGCCCAGAATTCGCAGGACCTCTAGTTTACTATGTTCTCCTTTTTCAGAAGATACGAGGACTATTTGACAGCAGTCGGCGCGTTCGAGGCAGATGTTCACGAGTTTGCCTTTCTCTGGATTCTTCTTGGGTCAAAGCTGGCAGAGCGGAAGACGGAAAGCCAGCCCGCTCGGCAAAGCAGCCGAGCGGCTCCCGGACAGGGTTTCCACCAGGTGTTGGATGGCAACCTTGGTTAAACACAGCATTTTTACTCGTCCACCTTGATCAATTAAATATCTAAGAAAAGTCACAGAGCATTTGACAGGGATGGAAGACATACAAATTGATCTGTGTTTGGCACGGAAGTGGCTACACAGGTGCTCACCGCCTTGCTACGTCAGCAGAGCCGTGTAGTCTCTTGTATATCGCGCTCGCTAATCAAAAGCCACCAGCTCTGCCAGATCAATGTCCAACTAAACCTGACGGACAGATTAGCTCTGCACGCCTGATGTGTACCTGCCAAATCCAGTGCTAGGTCTCAGTGCACACGGCACATACACAGTTGCTCGTCGTAGAGCTATGATGAGACGAGAGTGGATCACGGAGTGTTGAGTAATAGTTTCAGGAGCAGACTGAGTCCAGACAGTCTTTGAAGCAGCACGTGTATGGACAGCAAGCACATGTGATAGCGAGATGACCATGCACGGTCTGGTTCCTGATAGGAAGCGGGACATGGCGAGAACTAGGTCAGCAAAGCGACGGGTTCTTGCCCTGCATGACGGAGCGGAACAGACAAACAGGCAGGATGGAAGACTCAGTGAGACCCCCTCTCATGTGGCATAGTCGTGGAGGGTGGAGCAGAGACTTGTCGCGAACTTGTATGCAAGCACGCTTGGGCCTCTCGGGCGGCGTGTGAGAGCACTGAGAGGCAGGCGAGCGGCGAGGGTTGCTGCTTTCTCCACAGTTGGCTCTGCCTGTGGACCTGAGGCTTCGGACAAGCAGAGCTTCTTCCCTTCCTCTCGGTCGCTCATTCTTACTGCGTGCGTTGTATTATTGGGAGATTGTTTTTTCTGTATTCTACTGCTGAGCGCGAGGGCTGCCTTGGATGTACGAGTCGAGCCACGACGAACGTCTCCATCCCGGATAGAAGTGTCCTTCTGCCTGGACCCCTTGATCCAAAGCGCCTACCCCCACATTCAAGTCACCGCCTGTTTGAGTATAGGTAGCAGCAGCAACAGGTGGGTGCTTCGGCCTGACGTCTGTCAAGGAGTCGCTTCGCTAACCACTATACCAGGAGGACTCGTGTTCCCTCACCATGGCCTTCTCCCAAGCTCTGTCAGACCGACCGGACAGCGGCCTCGTCTACCGTCCGCACCAGTCACCGCGAGAAGATGCGCCCTACCCAACCTCTGTCACCACATTTCCCTCGCCACTATCGCCCTTGAGAAACCTCGGTCTGGCTGCTACTGTCGCAGAGGGTCGCGGTAGTCTTCAACGTCGCTTTACCACAAATGCGCTACCCACGCTATCGCCTATCGCTCAGCAGAGGCGTCAGGCTGCGGAACCCGCCATGACGGTGAGCCCATTTCTACACTTTTTGTTTCTGAAAGAGGAGCGTCTTCGTATACACTGGTGCGGGCATGTACCGATATATTCCATCCTGCAATAGCGTCTTGTCCTGGGTTGACTTGCTGTCCTGGGTTCCGGTTGCGACCATGTGGCCTAGAAGATACCCTTGGTCAAAGGACTATGCTGACTGATTTCTTTTGCTGCAGGCTTTCAACAAGATTACTCCCGTAAGTCTGCTCTCTACTTTTCCGTAATCTCCTCCCTGCATCGTCTTTTGCGGCCTGACCTTGGCCAGCTTTGGTCTAGCCTTTGAACGTGGACCCTGTCTGCTCTCTTCGCAAACCACAAAGACATGTACCACTGCTCCGGGAGTGAACTCTGTATTGCTTCTTGGTGTACTGTTATATCCCTTCTCTTGATTTTGGATCCGAAGGGTTGTCGCTACGCACACAATTATCAGACCCGGCATTCCTCCAATAATGGGCACTAACAAATCCCAGTCCGAAAGAAAGGCTCGCCAATATGAGGAGCTTCTTTCGCAGCAGCGCCGCATCCAGGCTCAGATGGCCATGATCGACCCAGAGCTTCGTCGTGAAGTCGACGAGCATCGGAGATTGGAACAGGATATCACCATGTTCACTGCTGGACACCTGAGCGAGCCCACTACACCACCTGATTATTATAATTCTGTCAGCCGCGTACACAGTGCTCGCTTGTCTACCGCTAGTCTGGCCTCACCTCCTGGTTTCCCTAGTCGTCCTACGCACGGAGGATCTACGCTTGCATCTCCACAGGCCACCATCTCGAGACCTGCAACCTCTCATGTACATTCAACTTCTATTCCTTCTAGGTCGGTTCCCGTTTCACGTCGGGGCTCCGACGAGGACGGAGAAGATAATGGCTTCTCATTTGCGGATATCAATCATAAGGCCGCAGCAAAGTACGTGCAAAATTTCTCATTTATAAACCATTGTGATTTCTCCCCCTTCACTGTACTTTTCACCTTTCACTTTTCAATTCACTTGCAATTGTCGTCAAGATGTCCGGGCTCAATGGCCGGTCTCAATACGAGTGGTCACTTATTCCGTCGGGACCTCGACAATACGGCGCTCTATCGTCTCGTTGGTCTCTCGACAATACACTCTGTTGGTTTCGTCGCCCTCGACAATACGTTTCGTTGGGCTTGACAATACATCATGAGTTATTGACTCTCCAAGCGACTCTGCCTCTGCCTCTACCTCTGCCTCTACCTCTGCCTCTGTCCTCTTCTTCTCCCTTCTTCCCAATACTCCTCCACAATCCCCGACGATTCTCCCTCAACGTTTGCTCCTCGACGTTTGCTTCTCGACGCTTTCGTCCCGAAGCTTTCGCCTCGACGCTTTTGTCCTCGACGTCTTCTTCTTCAAGTGCTGGTCACTTGCTTCGTTATCACACCTTGTCCTGTCTCATTCAATACACTTCATACACGTGCACGATCACCACTCCAAGTCAAAGATCTTCTCTTTTCTAACACCAACCAACCTCAGTCTCAATCGTAACTCCATGCCTGTCAAGATGGCCGAACTGTCTACTCTTCTTGGATCTGTTAACACTACCGGCTTCCTGTTTGGCGACGAGGGCGAGCTCGAGTCCACACGTATCCACAACCAGGCTTCTCCTGACACCAAACACTACCTTCAGTACCAAGCCAGCGACGACAAGTTCCCCATCCTCGTTCGTCGTGACGGCGAAGGTATGCAGCTTTCCGCAGCCAGGGCCCAGCAGAACGGCTCCGACAATCAGCCCATCACTGCTGCCGCTTCCCGTACCAACAGACAGAATCTTCCTCCCAGCGCCATGCGTCAGGCTGTCTATGGCGAGGCTCCCAATTCTCACAACGGCATTCTGAACGAGATCAACACTGCAAAGAACACTGCCGCCAACAGAAGATCTATGGAGGTCAAGTTCAGCGGCCTTACCCCCAAGCGTCCTGGTTTGTTGGCTTCACCTAATGGTATCAGCTCAAACGGCGTACCCAAACTGCAGGGCTCTTACTCGACCAACGACATTCCCACCTTGAAGACTACAAACGCTAGTAACTTCCCTGAGACCTCTGGTACCGTTCAGTCCCCTCGTCCTGACTTCACTTCTCCGCCTCGTCAAACCTCAATCTTGAGCAACGGCCACCAAAACGGGTACCACACTCCTTCTCGTCAGGAACAAGCCAAACCTGAGGAGCTCAACAGCAACAGCGGAACTTCTCAAAGATCTTCTCTCCAAGCCAGTGCCGCGCCTTTCGGACCTTCGTTCACTTCATCTTCGTTCGAGCCTGTGCGCGCCGGAAACAACCACACCAACGGAGCCGGCAACCATCACGTCAGTCCTTCTACGATGCAGACCTACGGCAACGGTCCTTACTACGCCGGCTATGGCATGCAAATGTTGGGAAGCGGCTTCAACAACATGCATCTTAACAACCAGAGCGGTGGTGGTCAATGGGCCCCACCGGGTCACATGCCCGGCTTCCAACACGGTGGTTACCCCCAGCAACACCCTCAGCAAAACCTCGCGCGTCACAACGACAGCCAATCGCGCGTCATGCAGCAACGCCGCAACCAAAACGGAGATGGTAATTTGCCAATCTCAGCGCATACACAATGTTTGTCACTAACATGGACGCAGACGCAGCCCGCTTCGCAAACTTTAAGTTGCCGGAACTCGTCGGTGAGATCTACAGTCTTTGCAAGGATCAGCATGGCTGTCGTTATCTGCAGAAGAAGCTGGAAGAGGGCGATGGCGAAAACATCAGACTCATTTTCGAAGAGACCAACCCTCACATGATTGAGTTGATGACTGGTAAGCTGAGGCGCTTCATCCGCTTTCGTCGGCATTGCTAACATCTCTTCGCAGATCCCTTCGGCAACTACCTCTGTCAGAAATTGCTCGAGTTCGCCAACGATGACCAGCGTACGGTCCTCATCCGCGCAGCCGCCCCTTCGATGGTGAAGATCGCTCTGAACCAGCACGGCACCCGCGCACTGCAGAAGATGATTGAGTTCATCACTACGCCCGAGCAGATAGAGATCATCACCGAGGCTCTCAAGTACGAAGTTGTGCCTCTCATCCAGGATCTCAACGGCAATCACGTCATCCAGAAGTGTCTCAACCACTTGTCTCCGGAGGACGCCCAGTTCATCTTTGACGCTGTCGGCACTAGCTGTGTCATTGTCGGTACTCATCGTCATGGCTGCTGCGTCCTTCAGCGTTGCATCGACCACGCCACCGGCCACCAGAAAGGCCAGCTTATCCAGTACATCACCTTGAACGCCTACACCCTTGTCCAGGATCCCTTCGGCAATTATGTTGTTCAGTACATCCTCGACCTCGGCGAGCCTGCCTTCTCGCAGCCTTTGGCCAAGAGCTTCCTCGGCCATGTTGCTGGTCTCTCAAGACAGAAGTTTAGCTCCAACGTGATCGAGAAGTCGATCCGTACTGGCGACGAGATCACCAGACGCGCTCTCATCGATGAGATTATGAACCCTGTCGAGCTCGAGAGGCTGCTTCGCGACTCTTACGCCAACTACGTCGTCCAGACTGCCATGGACTATGCCGACCCCGAGGTCAAGGCTCGCCTCATCGATAACATCCGCCCGATCCTTCCCTCGATTCGTCACACCCCTTACGGCCGTCGTATCTCCGGCAAGATCCAGGACTACGACAACCACCTCAACGGCCTGCCCGGTAGCATGTCTCCCCCTGGTGTCATGTCTCCTGGCCAGCTCAGCTCGACACCTTTCCGTACCAGCAGATCCAACACGGTCACCTCGTACACCAGCAACAGCCCTGTCAGCCATCAAGTCGGCAACTACGGCACCACCAGCTTGGGCTCTCCCAACGCTCATCATCGTCAGCAGGGATCGCTCAACACTATGCTCGCCCAGCCAGGTGGCCAGCAGCAGATGAACGGCTACGCTCATGGCTACCAGCAGTATGGCCATGGCTCCCGTGGCTCTCGCGCTTCCAACATGGGACACTACTGATTGCATCCTGCTTTCTTTTTGGACATGTACTTCATGTCATGGGTTCCAAAAATGTACTTTAACTTGAGATCGGTTTCTGCATATCTGTTGCATGGCGCCGTCCACAAGACACGGCGCAAAAGAGGGGTTGGACATATGGGAGCTCTCCGAACAGTTCAAACCTCATTTTGACACGAAGATACGACAACATTACGGCCACGTCATAGAAGGCGAGCGAAGGGCCCACGAAATTTCAGTTTCTTTTGTTCCCCATTTTCGATTCTGCTATTACAAGCATCAGCGAAGGAAGCGAGTGAGCGAGCGAAAGAAGAAGCAAGGCCAGCCTAGACTTGAGGCATTTCGGGGCAATGTGTAACTAGTTTTCTCACTTTACACAATCGAAGCTCGCGGCTCAGACAGATAAGATGATTGTCTTGTGATGCGTGAGTGGTAGAGGATGTTTTGCAAGCAGGTAGTAGTCGCATGAGGTCAGGGGATACAACAATAGGTTGTGCTTGAGATGACGGCGAGTTATGCAACAAGGCCACAAGGACGTCAATGATAGGATGGCAAGGAGGACGAAGCAAGGGGGTTGTGCATAGCACCATGTGGTAGTGCCGGAACAAGGCATGCTTGGCGTGGATGATTGCAAGCATGGATAAGCAGAATCAAAACAGACATGCGAAGCACTTTGGTACTAGGGTAAAAAAGAGCAGACGACGAACAGGGCCACAATGTGCACCAGAACATATGTCAAGAACGAAGGCTGCGATCACGATTACTTGTGGCAAAGTGAGAGCTGTGCAGCGCGGAGGATAGGCCTTTGCAAGAACACGAAAGACAAAGTGCGATTCCACAAGGATTGGATCTGCAAGGATTGCTTCGTGGCCTTGACGGGTGCGGTAGAGAGTATGAGGGATAAGAGAGGCATGTCGAACACCAAGTATTGATATCCCAAGTCGATGGTAGCTTGCTCCTGGGAGGAAGCACGAGCAGGCACCGAAGCCGAAGAGAAACCGGTGCGCTTGCTGCGCTTGCTGCATCTTGACGCTCCATCAGCCAGAGGCAGCCCATCTTCGACAAGCCCAACCTCATCGCACTTCTCTCGTACCGCTACACCCCCCCCCCCCCGACGCATCGTTTGTTTTCCCGCTCTTCGACACACAGGCGGACCAGGAGATTCCCCAGGCGAAATGGCAGCCGTAGCTGTCAATGGCGGCGCTGGCGCAAAGAAGCTCAGCAAGAACGCCTTCCGTAGACAGCAAAAGAAGGCGCAGAAGGATCGCTCCGTGAGTCTGCCACTTGGTTCCTACCCACCAACCAAGACTAATGTGTGAGCTCAGGCCTCTGCCACTCCATCTGTCGCCGAGTCGACCGACATTTCCGAAGCAGAAACGTCTGTAGAGACCGGCCGCCAACCTGATGCTCAGCTCAACACGCGCCATGATCCCATGCAAACCAAGGGCCTCCCCAACGACGACTTCACCATTACCGAAGACGATCCTCTATATGCCGAATTCCAGAATGTCCTCTCCCGGTTCAACGACCTGGACAAGTCCCAAACAAAAGAAGACGAGAAGCCCGAGATCTATTACGATGACGACAATGACGACATTCCTGATGAGGAGGACGAGAAACAGCCGAAGCTGTCAAAGAAGGCACGCAAGGCGGCAAGCAAGTTGACCATCGCCGAGCTCAAGCGTCTGGTGCGCAAGCCCGAGCTAGTCGAATGGACCGATATCGACGCTTCAGATCCGCTACTGCTGGTGCGTATCAAGTCGCAGCGCAACGTTGTCCCAGTACCCTCGCATTGGGCCCTGAAGCGCGAGTATCTTTCTTCCAAGCGTGGTATCGAGAAGACGCATTTCAACCTGCCCAAATTCATCGCCGACACTGGTATCGCCGAGATGCGCGATGCCGTGCTTGAAAAGCAGGCAGAGGCGACCTTGAAACAAAAACAGCGCGAGAGGGTACAAGGAAAGCTCGGCAAGCTGGACATCGACTACCAAAAGCTGTACGAGGCCTTCTTCCGCCACCAAACAAAGCCCCCGCTTACTCGCTACGGTGAGGTCTACTACGAGGGTAAGGAATACGAAACTAATCTTCGCCATCTGCGACCTGGTGAGTTGAGCGACGAGCTAAGAGAAGCTCTGAACATGCCTCCGGGCGCGCCTCCACCCTGGCTTATCAACCAACAACGTTTCGGTCCTCCTCCATCATACCCTGGTCTCAAGATTCCCGGTTTGAACGCCCCTCCACCACCTGGCGCATCATGGGGCTTCCACCCTGGTGGCTACGGCAAGCCTCCTGTCGACGAATACACAAATCGCCCTCTTTTCGGTGGTGACATCTTCGGTGTAAGCAACGCGGAGGACGAGGACGCACCTACCGGAGCGCCTGTGGAGAAGTCTCTATGGGGTGAGCTGCAAGAGCGCGAGGAGGAAGAGGAAGAGGAAGACGAGGATGAAGACGAGGACGAGGAAGACGGAGATGAGGCTATGGACGAGGAGGAGATCGGTGCTGGGCTAGAAACGCCGAGCGGCATGGCTTCCGCTGTTCCTACCGAAATTGGCATCGAGAGCGTTGGAGCCGACTTTGAACTACGCAAGAACGCAAGAGCACCCGAACCCGAAGACAACGGTGCACCTCGATCAGCATACCAGGTCCTTCCGGAACAGAATATTCGTGCTCAAGGTTTCTTTGGAGGCGAGAGAGCGTACGACCTGCGGGCAGCACAGCCAAATCTGCCTGTTCTGGGACAAGAAAACAGGGGAAGCAAGCGCAAGGTCGGCGACATCGATGTCAGTGTAGACGTAGATGCGCTGGAAAGAGACGATCGCTTGAGCAAGGACGAGATTCAAAGGCAATTCGAGGTCCAAAGACAAGCACAAGCAGACGGACAGTGGAAGGGAAGAGTGGATCAGGAAGATTTGAGTCAGATGATTGCCGAAGAGAGCAACAAGAGGCTGAAGCAAGACAAGGAAAGGAACGAGCGCAGAAGAGGAGGCGGTGATAGCAGGAGCAGCAGGAGATAAGACATGGTCACTGGAGCCACCTTTCCGTTGTCGCCTTGCATTCCAAACGAGCCCTGGACATGGAGCACCTCATTACCAGCTAAAACGAGCAAGAGTAAATGAAGCACCTCATTCAAAAGTCAGACCATTGAGTTATCAGCAAGCAACGTGCACCTGGATGAGATCAGCACTGCCGGGAGACACAGATACTGAGGGTTCAGGATTTTGGTCAGATTTTAGGACAGCTAACCTGTTTAGCATTACTTTCTGGATCAGGGACTTATCTACATGCTGCACACACGATAAGATAAAAGGTTTCTGCTCAAGAACTAATGTTAGTCGACACAAGAGGAGATGGAGCACTTGAGGCATGCATGTCACGTGTGGGGGAAAAGCTCGGCTGCTTGGAAGCATGTCAAGTTGTTTGTCCCTGGCGTTGGCTTTTGACCCACGCAAACACAGCTGCCTCATCAGACCTCCGTCACTGCATTCCGTCAGTCATTCTATTGGTGACCCCGTCGAGAAGCAGCAATCATGGACAGAGACCGAGATCGCGACCGAAGGTAATGCTCTTTCTCTGCTTTGTTCTTTGTCCACCCTTACTGATGCCTCGCCCAGACCCTTCCCACGCGAGGACCAATACGGCGATGGCCGTGGTCAATCCTATCGTCCTCCTCGCTCTCCCCCACCCCGATCAGACACTTATCGTGCTCCTCGCTCGCCGCCCAGAGGAAATGCCTACGTCGACTCGTACCGCGCGCCTCCAAGAAACCGCACCCGCTCGCCTTTACCTTTCCGCCGTCGCTCGCGAAGCCCTCCGCCTTTTCGCCCAAGAGATGGTGGAGACAGCTACAGGGGTAGGCCTCGTTCACCACCGCCTAGAAGGGGTGGCTTCATGAGAGACGAGACATACCGTCCTCCTCCTGCCTCTCGCTTCCACAGAGACACTCTCCCTTATAACACCCGCTCGCCAGTACGTGCACCTCGCGATCGTTCTCCTCTCCCTCTGAAGCGCGGTCGTGATGTCTCGCCCGCTGGCAGTCGCGGCCGAAGATCCCCTCCCCCTCCAGCCAAGCGCGAAAGACTCGACTCTCCACCTCGTTCGAGATACAATGCCTACCCTCCGTCGAGAGATGTTAGCCCTGGACCTGGACGCGACAGACGGGAGATGCGTTTGACTCCTCCTCGTGGTGTCACTCGCGGCTACCGCTTGTTATCGCGTTCTCCTATGCAACACAATGAGAACATCAATCCTCGCAAAGTTGACTGGAGACGTCGTTCGCCATCCCCTGCAAGACCTCGTCCTGACCTCATGTCCACTGAGAACTCTGGGCCTGGTTCCGTCACCAGCTCGAGACGCTCATCTCCGCCGATCCACCCTAGCAGGCTTGCTACAATCGACACACTGCCCAAAGAAGATTTATTCCACAACCGCGGACCTCGTGCTATCTCGCCAGCCCCTGCACCGCCAAGGTCACCTGTCGCCTCGAAACCTCGATCGCCGATCCCTCCCAGACCCAGATTACCAATTGCTCCGCCAGCAGACGTCCGCTCCCCTATCCGCAAGCGTGAACCCACACCTCCACGTGAGCGCGAGATTCCTACCGGACCGGCCAATCGTGCTCCTCCGACCGGCCCGGCGAGACACGACGAAGTTCCTCAAGTCAGAGCGCCGCCGACTGGACCTGGAGCCTCGAGATCGTATGCGCAAGCAGCTGGCGATGTACCCATCCCTACTGGTCCCAGAATGAGAGTCAATTCGCCTCCTACGCATCCAAGAGGAGGCATGCCATCCAGAGGCGGCTATCAGAGGGACTACCCTCCTCGAGACTTTGGCTCGCGTGGAGATTATCATGGTCCGCGTGGAAGAGGAGGACCTTATGGTGGGCCGTCATACCGTGGAGGCCGTGGTGGAGGCTATGTTACGCAACATAATAGAGACCCAGACTTTGTCTCTGCACCACCCTCAGGACCTCGTGGTTCCATGGGTCCGCATGGTCCAGCTGCTTCATTCAGAGGTGGAGCGCACAGTTCTGGCACTTACCCACGCACAACACGCTTTGCGCCTAACGGAGCGCCACTGCCTTCTGGTCCCAAAGCAGACATTGTAATGGGCGGCATGGGAGAAGACGACAGAGGAGTCAAGCCTGTCAATGTCTATCTCGCAGACTTGCCCCGCATTGTCGATGGCGGAATCAGAGCACCTGAACTTTACGACCGAGGACGCTTGAACAAGCTAGAGGATGAGGCAGAGAAGCTGCGACAAGTCATAGAAGACAAACAAGCACGCAAGCGCAAGGGCCTAAGAGAATGGGCTAAGCTCAGCCGTGAGAGCGAGACTGCGAGTTATAGAGCGCAGTTGGCCGACGAGAACGTGAGAGCACTCGCTGGGGAGAATGACGGCGGCGCTGCATACTAGTGAGATGACAGATATTCACCATCGCCTGATCAGTCAGGAAAGCAACACACAGAATCGAATTGGAGAGAGAGAAGACGATGATGAGGATGAGGATGAGGATGAGGAAAATGGCTTATTAATGAGAACGAGAGACCTGATGTCGAAGACGATATACCCCCTTTGAACGAGGAAAAAGATTTGTGGTTGCTGTGAATGAGGAACATGCTTGACGATGATGTTGTTGATGGTGATGTTGATGCTGCTACAAGGACGACGATGCCAAAAAACGTGGCCCACTCATTGCATCTGTGGCCGCTTGAAGTTGTAGCATGACAGACCCGGTGTCAGACCTGGTGTCAGACCTGGCGGACACGATACTGATAGTCTGGCTTGCAGCTTTGCATGACAATCAACAATCCTCAAGAGGAAGGTACGAACAAGAGGAAGACTCACAGAAAGTAACCCCGCCTGCTCGTTCTGGATTCACATGGCCGAGGCGTCTGCAAGACGAGTGAAAAAGGTCCAAGCTTTCAGTCCTGACCCACCCACACGGACTTGCCGTTCGAGAATTGTTGGAGGAAAGCGCGGATTCTGCCTCTGGCTCTGCCTCCACACTCGCCTCTTTCTCGTCCCTTCCACTTCTTCCACCAACCTCCAACCACAAACAAAACTTGCTCTTTGCAATCACTACAACCTCTCTCTATCAATTATCAGACCACCACAACACACAACAACCTTCATCATGCAGAACTTCGGTGCCCCCGCTCCCCCCATGACTGGCCGCGCTTGCTACAACTGTACGTTTTCTTCACTCAGTGCGCAACTCTACACGATTGCGATCTGCCTTCTCGACGCTTGCTAGCTACGCTTTGCGCACTTGCTAGCAGAGGCTTCACTCGAACACAACCAAGAACTCAAAACTGACAAGCTTCACACAGGCGGCGACACTTCCCACCAGGCCCGCGACTGCCCCACCAAGGGCAACCCCACCTGCTACAACTGCGGCGGCCAGGGCCATCTCTCTCGCGAGTGCACCAACCCCCAGAAGGAGAAGTCCTGCTACGGATGCGGTGAGACTGGCCACATCTCCCGCGAGTGCCCCAAGGGTGGCGCTCCCAGAGGTGGTGCCGGTATGGGCGGTGGCCAGGAGTGCTACAAGTGCGGTCAGGTCGGCCACATTGCCCGCAACTGCTCCCAGGGCGGTCAGGCTGGTGGCTTCCAGCAGCAGCAGGGTGGTTACCAGAGCCAGGGCTACGGTGCTCCCCGCGGCCAGACCTGCTACTCTTGCGGCGGCTTCGGCCACATGTCTCGCGACTGCACCCAAGGCCAGAAGTGCTACAACTGTTTGTCTCCCTGAATTTTCTACTGTTTTGAACATCCACTAACGCAACACGACAGGTGGTGAGGTCGGTCACCTTTCCCGCGACTGCTCCGCTGAGATCAGCCACGACCGTGTCTGCTACAAGTGCAAGCAGCCCGGCCACGTCCAGGCCGCCTGCCCCAACTAAGGGCTTGCTAGTCTGCTCTTGACGACCATCTCTTTTTCTTGACCAGCACTGCGCATTACATCCGTCTTGCTTCTTTTTTTTCACGACCGTCATGACCTTTTGATCGCAACGGCCAGTCTCCAAACAAAAAGCTTCTTTGTATTCACCTTTCTTTCTGGGGTTGTTTACTAGGTGGGGAGACAGGCCGGGTTTTGCCTATCTTACTGCTGAGGACGAGGACGAGGAAAAAATCACAACGGACACGAAGGGCACTTGATGCGATGAGGGAGAGAGACCGATCATGCATTTTCTTTTTTTGAAATTTCTTTTATTTTCCTTTGTTGCTTGATGCCAACCCATCTTGGACAAGAAGGCAGCCCTTGGTTTTTTTCACTTTGGTACACCGAGGGCTCGCCTTTTTAACAAAAAGCCATGCCGCCGACCGAGAGTTGAGAGAGGACGAGAAGAGGGAGAGCTTTACGGATTTTTCTTCACGACAGATGTCTATACCCACTGCAATTTCAAAGGACGAAGTTTTCTGGCGGTTTCACTTAATCATTCTTCGCAACAATCCTCAATCATCGTGATGTGTCTGAGAACGCTCCTGTATGTGGTGATACTGCTCAGCGATCTTGTAGACTGCTCTACGTGCTCTTTTCCGCTTTTGCTATCTCATGGTGGGGACGCCGCAATCAGCCGAGAGAATGTCCCGCTCGTCTATACCAACCATCCTCTGACGTGTACACGATACATGATACAAACATGCGGCTGGAATGATTAAGCTTTCGAGATAAGCTGTTGGCACGCCTGCAATAGCAGATCTCGCGACCAAAATCGGCACGCGACCGTCTGGTAGCAGAGTGTATGGTGCCAAGCTGCCAGGCACGCGGGAGACGTGACAGACGTGTAGCTTTTGGTTCGTTGTGTTGTACAAACATGTTGTCTTCTGCCAACGACTGCCACGTTTTGCGGAGTGTACATGATGTTTGTCAAGTCTCTGCGACCCGGATCAAGCGGTCCATGAGATGGTTCATGACGAATAGACGCGTCGCGGGTCGTAAGGCACTTCGATAGCTCATGATCGACTGTCAGAGTGCGTTTCCAGATTCAAGTTAGACATGAATGTAGAGAGAACAGGATCATCGTGCTTGTTCTGCTATGATGCTGTGTGTGGATGTGATAGATGAGGTTGTCGCCAGATGCCTACACTGCTAACTTTAGCTTCCATCCATCTTGACTTTTGTTTTGTCGCGAGACAACAAACTTTCCTCTCTATCACTTCAGCCTTCTCTCTAGCGATTCCTACGCCTTCCCTCTGGAAGACTGCTCTAATCATGCGGCCTTCTTTGTTGACCTGCGCTGCATTGGCTCTCGCATCTACTGTTGTTGCGCAGAGCAGTATCGCGGACAACGCAACTCAGCCTGTCTCTTTCTTTTACACTCGTCCTTTGTCACAGGCACCTGCGCTGAATGTCACCCTACAAGCAGACTTCACACCTGGCTACATCTTCATCTCACCCTACAAGTCTGTCAAGCCAGCACCGTACATCTATGAAAAATTCGGAAATCTCATCTGGGATGGCTATGGAGTGGCCGGCTCAGCAAATGCGCACAACTTCCGACCCTGTCAGTTCAATGGAACGACTCATCTCTGCTTCAACCAGGTCAATCAGCAGAAAGGATATGGCATTGGCCAGGGTGTTATAGTGGATGACAACTACAAGGTTGTGGCTACTGCTCAGACTGGTGGAAATGCTCAGCCTGTAGACATGCACGAGTTCCAGCTGCTCAATGATGGAGAGACTACGATCCTCAGTGCCTACCAGATCGTTCCGTTCGATCTGTCCTACTTCAATATTACTACTGGCCTCGGCTGGCTCTCGGAAGGCGTGTTTCAAGAGGTCAATGTGACTACCGGAGAGGTCCTGTTTGAATGGTTCTCAACCAACCACGTCGACCCCAGCGAGAGTCAGATCACTCCAAACACTACTGACACTGGAGGTGATGGCTTCGGGCCTCAGACTGCCTTTGACTACTTCCACATCAATTCCGTCGACAAGTCAACCGCTTCGGGCAACTACCTGGTCTCCTCTAGACACACCAGCACGCTATACTATGTCAATGCTACCGACCGCGAGACCATATGGAAAATAAGCTACCTGGGAAGCTCGGACTTTGAGTGTTCGAACTTCAACTTCAGCTTCCAACACGATGCTCGTCTTGTCTCAGAGAACGATACCGTGACTGTGCTCTCCATCTTCGACAACGCCAGCGACGGCTACAAAACTACGACTTCTCAGTCTTCGGGCAAAGTCGTTGCTCTTGACCATACCTCTGGCATCGCGACAATGCTTTCGAACACAACCTTCCCCTCGGACGGAGGCATCTCTACTACTTCCCAAGGAAACTCTCAGGCACTTGCCAACGGAGGCTTCTTCCACAGCTGGGGCAGCAATCCTTACTTCTCTGAACACTCAGCAAACGGCACAGCAGTCCTCCTCGCCCAATTCGCCGCAGAATGCTCGGCTCAAAACTACCGCGCCTTCTCCGCCGACTGGACCAGCACGCCCGCGACCACAGTTCCTGATGTTTACGCCTACGCTATCAACGACACTGCCGCTACTCGGATCTACGTATCATGGAACGGTGCCACCACAGTCTCCTCATGGCAGTTCTACGGTGGTGATGCAATTGGCGAAAACTTTCTTGTCATTGGCCAGACTCAGAAAAACGGCTTCGAGACTTTCTGGGAGGCTGATAAGTTTTATGAGTGGGTGAGAGTTGAAGCTGTCGATGAAGAAGGAAACTCGTTGAGGAACTCAAGCTTCACGGGGACTTTCGTGCCTTCTGGTATGCTCGTGGATGCTTGTGATGAGAGCGGTTGCAGTGTTGCTAGTTCTTACTCCTCATAGTGGAGGAGAATGTGCGAGGAGGTTCTCTTCAAGGATGAGCTGGTAGTATTCCTTTTTTTTTTATTCGCTGGCGGATTGCTTTTACTTGCTGACCACGAAATTACGATATTTGCTTTGTGTCTTTTCGTTCTCTTCCTTCGCGAACCTCTCTTAATCATAAGCAGGTGTTGTTGGAATGCCGAATAATGAATAGGCGAGCACTACCATACTCATCTTTTGCTCTTCACTTAGATCGGAGAATCGAGGCATTGAGGTCGCTGCCTAGACTCGGTCCGTTAGTCGACTATCGGCCTCCAGCAAGCGAACCTTCTGTGATCGCAACACCATCGACGACACTCTCTCCCCAGTCATTCACTCATATCAACCGGCACTCTCACATCGAAGAGTTGGAGGCCTCTTATACCCTATTCAAACTTCCCTCAAGTACTTGACCAACTCTTCCCTTCTTCCACCACTACCAACCTCGACCACCACCACCCCTTGACCAAGATCTTCTCGGTCTCTCTTTTCTTATTTTTCCTTTGCTTTACCTTTACACGTCTAGACTAAAGCAAGTCTTTCAACACCATTACTTCATACAGCTATCCGACGATTTTGATACCTTGACGTCTGCTCTGGTAGCGGTATATCGGGTGCTTGGTCGTTCTTGCGAAGATCTTTACTCCTGGATACTGCCACTTAAGGATCTTGACGACAGATCGTCGACTTTGACTTTAGGTTCAATTTTAGCTCCAACTCTTGCATCACGGCCGCCTTCCGACCATCCGACCATCCCTAGCATCGATAGAGAGGAGATATTTGACTTGACCCTGAGATCGTCTGTTCTCGGCTTCTTTCTAGACTCAAAGGCATACACTTGAGCCAACCCTTCAAGATGTCCGACCCTTTCTCCGACATGGAGAAGCTAGAGGTCAGCACGACTATGCCTCCTCGTCCTGCTATGCCTTTTGGCGAGGAGAATGTGGAGGTCGAATCTGAGGTCAAGATGGAGAATGTACAGGACAGTTCATCACTTTTTGAACCGCAGACTTCGGCCAAGCGTCCCATCAAGGATGAAGATACCCCCGAAGCAAAGCGCACGAAGTGCTCCAACAACAACGAGTCTTTCTCAGCTGAAGTTCCTTTTTCGTACTCTGGCGACCCAGTCAGGATTTATGCGTATCCCGAAAAGTACGATTACGCCATTCACGAAGTTGTCCCCAAGCTCGAAGTCAACAGCAACTATCATCGTTGGGCCGAGCAAAACCTGCCACGCGTGATTCGCCAAAAGATCATTCCGAAGATCTTACCGTTCGTTGGTGAAGATGATGAAATGAAGAACTACCACACCTTCTTCTCCGCGAATCAGAAAACTCCCATGCCGGAGCCCATGTGGTGCTCATTGGTGGGCGATCCTGGTACAGGAAAGTCTACACTCATGAGCCATCTTGCGGGTATCAGGAACTTGGCAAGCAGTGTAAGTTTACTGGATCAATCTTGCCGTATTTTGTCTGACCATTCGTCTCTTATAGGGTAACTCCAGCGAAAGCATGACACAATCTCCCATGGTCTTCTCATACTCGACCGGACAGGCAAACTTCGAGATCAAAGTTGTGATTCGCTATAAGGGCAGCATCAAATCAGTGCTCAGAACCTGCTTCCAGGATCTCATTAAGTGGTTCAAACTTTCTGAGGTCGAACGTTCTGATGACGACAATGACCTCGTTCGCGAAGCAGCTGATGCAGCTCAGGAGTATTTGAACAGACTATTTCCAGAGAACGAAGATGTCACAAGCCTACCGGATATCGAGGACATGATGCAGAAGAAAGGTTTGCTTGCCGGTGGTGATCCTGATCCCATCATCAGCAAACTCCACACCGATGTTCTTGGTCGCATCCACGAACAAGGATTCGACTGGGAGTCGCGCTCGAAAACAATGACTGCAGAGAGTCTTCTCGACATGAGCAACAAGATCAAGCCGTTCACCGAAAGAGGTGACCTTGCACCAATTGTGACATCAATTCAGATTGGTGTACATTCGTCTTTTCTCGCCCAAGGTATCCAGATCTCTGATCTTCCCGGAATCCGCGACACCAACACCCATACCAGCCAAGTCGCTTTGGATGGTTTCGAGAAATGTCCCAGAACGATTGTGGTCGGTGACGTTGTGAGATGCCTTTCCAAACCGGAACTTGCATACTACTTGAGCAAAGCAGTGCGCGAGAAGGGTGCTGGAAACGTCTGGCTGGTACTTAGAGGAAAGGAGGTATGGCACCTTGGATTCACGGCACTGCAGGAGACATGACTGACCATATACAGATAATTGAAGAAGAGCCCGCGAGATGCAGCGCAGCTGACAAGAGCAAGCTGAGGCAAATGAAAGACAGACTGGAGAAGGCTCAGGCCAAGATCGACATCTCCTCTAGCGATGAACAAATCAAGGAAGTCAAGCGCCTGGAAAAGGAGCTGCTAGACGAAAGACTCGATGTCCGCGATCGCAGCACTCGAGAGCAGTTTCAGAAGAAGTATTTCGACACTCGCAACACTGGCGATCTGAACGTCGTCATCATCTCCAACATCGACTATTCAAAGTACGTCAATGGTCCCGACGAGAACAATCCGCCCACACTGTCTTACGACCAGACTGGCATCGATGAGCTTCGGGCACAGCTATGCAGTGCTCCCAGTCGGGCCAGGGTCGAGTCGCTACGCCACCACAATCTGAAGATACAGCAGATGCTGAGAAGACTCAGACTTACGTTCAGCGCTGCGCAACTTCCTCGTAGAGATCGTGTCATCGCTGTGTTCGAGACTAGTGCGTTTCTTCCAATGAAGAAGCACCAAAAGGTGTTGACCGCATCCACAACTCGCCACAATGTCAATACCCTGAAGCTTCTACGGAACGATGCAATGGTGCAGGAAATTGAGGCCAAGATCGATGGCAAGTGGGCAAAATACCCAGCAGCCACCATCTCGTCTTTCTTCAAGAAGAACGGCAAGCACAAGCACAGTATCAAAAAGATTACTCAGCAGCCTGAGTTCTGGACAGAGGCCATCCTGCTCATTGTGAGCAAGCATCTCCTTCCTCTCGAACAGGTCTTGTTTGATGAAGTCGACAAATGTTCTTCGACTATCATCGAGTCTATGGGTGACACAATTGCAGACCTCAAGCATGAGATCGGACGACTTGAACAGGTTGGAGGTGTCGACATGGAGGAGATCTTTGAAATTTGGGACAAGGAGAAGGAGGCATTCGAGGAGGAGATGCTCCGCTTGTGCACCTGGCTCAAGGAAAAGATCAGGTATGTTGTCATCCAACCACTGAGCAAAAGCCTTTCCTAACGCGAACAGACAAATCTCGACCGCGTCCACAACGGACACTGGTTCCACGATTCCTGCTTTCGCCGAGAGCACGCAACTCATCTACCAAGAAGCTATGACCGAGATCCCACCAGGCACATCTCAAGGACCGAAGAAGCGTCTGAAACACCTGAAGAGAAAGCTATTCGACGTGAGCGGGCCTTTTAGCAAGATGGGAGATGACGTTTCCACGCAGCTCAAGAGGATCTCCGACAAGTGGATCTCCGCAGTCGAGAGGCGTGTCAAGACCGTCTTCGACAACTGCAAGGATGCTCTTCTCAACGAGTTCAAGGGAAAGCGCATGTCCCCGGAGAAGCGCGCAGAGATTGCTCCAGGCATTCTCGCCACTGTCGATGACGCTTTGCAGAGCCTGAAGGCTGACGTCGAAGCATACAAGAAGGCTAGAGAGACCGGCAGGCAGGCTACCGACACTTGAAAGACACCAACCAAGAAGAATTACAAAACAAGAGGCTCTACTGGACGAGAAAAAAGATAAGGCAAAAGACAGAAGTAGAACTTGAAGAAAGAGATGAGAAATGGCGGACAAACAGTAACGACTTGACGATCTTCCACCGATGAAGCGCAGCTCCAAGGAAGCACAAAGGGATTTTTTCAACATCAAGCAGAAGAAGAAGGATTCTGCAATTTCACATACCGTCTCTACTCTACAGCAGCCGATCAAGAGATCTTCATAAATTCAGATGAAGACTACACACGTCCTTCCAAAACGCAGGAGGACATCAAGGGTTGGCAGTTTCAGCATTCTAGCCACCATCACAAATCAGTTTTTGCTTTCATCTTTATGTACCATTTTCCTTTCTCTTTGACAGTGTGCCCCAAGTTCTACTAACAGCCAAAGCGATCTCAATGTACTTGGAGTCGAGCTCGAGGTTGAAGAGACGAAGAAGTGGCGACTGACGTCTCCACAGGCGAGAGCAGCGGTCCGAAACGATCTGTCGCAAGGCAGCGAGTCGGTAGCAAAGACAAAGTCGAGACCAGATGAAGGTGAGCGCGTCTGACAGATGGTTAAATGTCACCTCTTCTTTGACAGCAGCACAAAGCAAGAGGTGAGCTGTAGAAAGATACAGTCGATTCCTACATCGAAACATTAATGACGAGTCGCTGACGAAGCAAGTGTTCTGAGGTGAGACCATCATCTCGCTCGAAAGTATGGTGCCTTGTTGCAGCTGCATGTGCGACAAAGCAGACAACATGAGATGTGGACGGACAACGTCACCGTTCATCAGCACCGGCGAGATAGACCGACCATCGCAATCATGCAGAGATCGCGTTTGCCAAAACACCAACTTACGATGGAGCAGGAGCGATGCGGCAGCAATGATGCATGCAAGTCGGCAGAACCATTTCCTCCGTCTCCCGCGGTGTTTGGCTTATCCCCGCATGTTACCCGATTGGGAAGTCGTAACTCCGACATGCTTGGAGGAAGGAGACATATAAAGTCAGAGGCAGTCGCGATGCTGCAAATGACAAAACAAGCTGATCAAAGCATTAGCAACTTCAATCCTCACACTGACTCAATAATCACACTCAACATGACTTCCTTCATCAAGAAAGTAGCCATTGTCGGCGTAAGCAAACTTGACTGCTCCTCTCAAGGACTTGACTGACATGACTACTCCAGGCCAGCGGGAACATGGGCTCACACACCATCAACGAACTCCTGAGACTCGGAAACCACGAAGTCACAGCTCTGACCCGCAAAGGCAGCAATCTTTCTGTCCCACCGGCCGTCAACATCATCGAAGTCGACTACGACGACATCTCAAACCTGACAGAAGCACTCAAAGGACAAGACTTCCTCATGATCACTCTCTCGGTCACAGCGCCCGATCACATCCACAGTAATCTCGTCTCTGCGGCCGGAGCAGCAGGAATCAAATACGTCATGCCCAATGCCTACGGTTTCGACTTTACGAACCCAGACGTGGTGGCTGATATCCCTGTTGCTTCCAAGGTTTACTCGTACTTCCCTCAGATTGAGGAGCTAGGCATGAGTCATTTCTCCTTGGTGTGCAGCTTCTGGTATGAGTGGAGTTTGGGTATTGGTGACCTATACGGTATTGACATTAGAGAGAAGAAAGCAACATTCTTTGATGATGGAAAGACAGTCATCAATACCAGTACTTGGGAACAATGCGGTCGAGCTGTTGCGAAGATCCTTTCTCTACCTGTCGAGGGTGGAGACAACAGCTTGGAAGCCTACAAAAACAAGAGTTTTTACATCAGCAGTTTTAGAGTCAGCCAAAGGGATATGCTGGACTCAGTCCACAGAGTTCTCGGTACCAGTGATGCGGACTGGGAGATTGGTTATCAGCCCAGCAAAGAGAGATATGCCAAAGGGATGGAGGCTATGAAGACGGGAGATCGAACTGCTTTTGCAAAAGCCATGTACTCGAGAGTGTTTTATCCGGATGGCAGTGGTGACTACCAAAGTAGAAGAGGATTGGACAATGAGGTTTTGGGGTTGCCGACTGAGGAGTTGGATGAGGCTACCAAGAGGACAGTTGAGCTGGTGGAAACTGGATGGAATCCTTTCGGCCAGTGAGAGAGGTTTCGTTGACCATCTGAGACTTGAGATATTTCGTAGTTGTGATAGTTCTTGCAAGTCAGTAGCACTCATCGCTTCAACGATTGCCTTTTTCTGCAAGATGCAGACGAAACTTGTTGTGTGTCAGCGACGAAGGGAACATTCGTCCATATTCGTCGGTGATCTTCTCATAGCTACCGAAATAGGCGTACTTTCTCCGCTGTCAAAGGAAACACGATGTGGTACTATGTCCTGAGCATGAAGATGAGAGGACGACGCGTTGACATGCAAGATAACGGCGCGACAAAAACTTGCTTTTAGAAGTGTCGTATCATCAACGCGTCATTCTCAAACCGCGTAGCCGCTGCTTTTTGTTTGACTGCCATTGCAAGATGCGTTACCGATGCAGAGTCGCGTCTGGCTGAGAGAGCGAATTGGACACTACGGCGGAAGAGCGGGATGAGCTCCGATGTCGCAGCAAGACGACCAAGTCTCAGTACACACTCTGACATTTCCTCACATTTCTCCCAAGCCTTGAAATCCGTCATGAGTATGCATACAGTTGACGGAAGTCAAGATGATAAATAACAATCGTCAATCACATGCAGATAGCAGCAAATAATACGACCTCGGTTGTAACCTCCAAATCCAGTTTGACCGAGCTCAAAGCGACGCTTTGTCCGCCAGTAAATTGCTTTACGACGACGACGCTATCCACCCAGTGCTCATAAAAAGAAGTCGAGAGTGGAAAGATGTAGTTTCAACCTTATCCATACACATTTCTGACACCATGCCGAATCCAAAAGATATACCTAATCCATATGAACATCCTGTTTACAAGGATTGGGCAAAGAAGTCGCCGGAGGAGAGGGTGAAGGGTTTGGTGGAGGCTCACGGCACTGCTTCGGAGGAGCCGGTACGTGTTTTGACTTCATTTCATCTTTTGTTGTGCATCTTGATAGCATGCGTGAATGCTTGAGAAAGAGAAGGAAGAGAACATACGACAAACAATGCAGAAACCAGCAAGCATGTAACACTGAAAGCAAAATATCACGACTGACACAATCCCATCACAGCGCTTCAGCGACCTTCTCTATCACAGCACAGAGACATCCCTCCCAGTCCAGCTCCTCTCCGTCACCCAATCGTCCCCCACAACAGCATCATGCACCTTCACCTTTAAAATCCCCGCCTACTACACAAATGGCTGGTCAAACATGCACGGAGCAGCCCAAACACTCATCTATGACAATCTAACCACTCTCGCCCTCGCACCTATCTCTAAACCCGGCTTCTGGATGCTAGGAGGTGTGAGCAGGGTTTTGGATGTCAAGTATCTGAGGCCTGCAAGTGTGGGAGAGAAGGTTACTGTGGAGTGTGAGGTTGTGCATGTGGGGAGGGTGCAGGCTAGTTTGAGGGGTGTTATGAAAGATAGTAAGGGGAGAGTGTTGAGTACGTGTGAGCATGACAAGACGAATATCGACCCCGAGGTTGCCAAGTTGTAAGGATGAGGGATTCGAGGAGGTGGAAAGAAAGCCAAAGTAGAGCAATTCACGGCAGAGTCAAGGTGAGCATGGCTTGAACATTGACCAGAAGAAGGCTCTTGGTAGAGGGGATAAAGTATCGCTATTTAGGCTAGATGCGGCCTGTACTAGTTTACAATATTGTTCTGCCCACGATGGTGACGTGCTCCAAGTCCGCTGCAGTCGACTTGATGAGAATCTCATCCGAGTGCATCAATCATCCTGTCCAGCTTCGGCCATGTCCGCATCTTCACCCTCCACGTTTTCGCCGGGCGGGTAAAGTTCGCAAAGCAGAGGATCCTCCAGAGCACCCAACCTGGCGAGGATGTGATTTTCGATCAGTGTGCGGAGTTCGCCCTTAGGCATGCTGTGGATGGGGAGAAGCACACCAAACACCTCGTCGGTAGCCTCCAAGTGTAATTCAAGATGGTGTTCGTAGATTTGGCAGGCGAGCTTGTCCTTTGACACGCAGGTAAGAAGTGTGGAGACGTGGTGGAAGAGATGCTAAGGGATATGTCAGCGTCACAACTTGGTAAAGCATATCGAGTCCAAAAAACATACATTTCTTCTTCTGAAGAGCTCTCTTTGCTCCAAGACCCACCAGAAGCGGTCAAACAAGGCGCCATCGAGGATTTCAGCGACTTGTTCTTGCTTGTTCTTGAGATCCTTGGTGGAACAAAGTGCCATTTGTTTGTTGAATTCCTTAATTTTACTTTCGAGGTCTGCCTCGAGTCGTGCGAGTTCCTCGGCGACAGCAGCGGCTACCAGCTAACTTCTTGTTAGTCTTGGAGCCTGACTTTTGATGATGACTTGGCTTTACTGCTTCTTTGTCGACCTCTTCGGAGTCTGGTTCAGTGGGTGAAGTTTGTTGCTCAACTCCGGGACTTGATCTCGCTGGTGACACTCTGTCTTCTGAGCCAAGTTGCTGTCTCTTTTGAGGGTGCAGATAACAGAGGGGATGAGGTGGCACGCTTTTTCTTGAGACGAGTCAAACGGCGAAGTTTGTGATCCATGATCTGACCACCTAGTTAGTCAAGTCTATCAAGATACATGAGAATTTCCAACTTCTCAAGTCTCCTAGATTCTCAAGGTCTGAACGTCTGGCTGAGTTGTAGAAAGCAAGGAGAGGAGGGAAAGGAGAGAGAGATAGAGAGAAGCAGAGAGCGTACAGCAGATATAAGGTGAACGGAGTATGAAATCTACAGGTGGCCGAGTGAGACAGCGACCTGCTTCACTCCCGGTCTTCCAGCAAATTCTCACTTTTCGAGCTCTGTAGTGAGGAAATAATGAACTTGTTTCTGTAGGCGTGTACGGTCTGTCAGAAGAAGTGAGACTGACCTTTACAGAGCATGTACCGAGGATAGCATGGATTTGGTGAGCGCTAGTAGTGACGATGAATTTAAGTCCATCTCGAATATTCGCAAGTGAACCATCAGTCTACGCTTTATATACCGCTCGAACAAACAACTTTCCATCCAGGTAGCGCGGCCAATCAGACCCCTCCATATGGTCTCCTGTTACGATGGTGTCTGAATCATTTAGTGTGGGAAAATGGTTCAACGAGCTGCCTGGACTTCTCTTTTGTCTGTCAAGTCCCTGGTTCAACTCAGACCATTAACCCGTCCTTATCTTTTTGCCTTTCGCTGCAAGAGTTCTATCTGCGGCTTTTGTCAATCAGCGGTGTAAGTAGTCGAGTTTAAATGATACTGTGCCTTCCCACATGCTCAAAATTAGGTCAGAGAGGATATGCGGAAACGACAATGTCTCCTCTCGAGAACCCCGTAAATAGTATCCCCATCGACGATCCAGTCACTGGTTCCTGCTGTAGAAAGGTAGAGTCTCGTTTTGGAGATGATTATTATCATTGGAAGCGTTGTCAGATGACGACTATTCTGCAAGCCTCTTCACCCCGCCATACCCTTCGCTCCTTCCTCGCAAGTCCCTCCTTGCCTGCTTCAAAATCCTCTGTTTCCACCTCGCCGATTGCTTTTACACCTAGCACTGGCAACGCAATTTCCTCTACTAACGCACTGATCTCAAACTCGCCAGTGGCTAGAGGGCATATGCCAAGTTCGATGGTAGCAGAGCTATGTGGTAGAAGCACCGGTAGGCCCTGCTGCAGAGTTCCGCTGATGAGAAGTCGACGAGAGATGTCCAGACTAGCTTCCGCAGAGTTCTGGTCCGCGAGTATCGGCTGAAGTCTCAGGAGCGCTTTGATCGTGCCATGACTTTTATTGTGAATGGTAGTACGCAGTGTCAACAGACTTGCTGCAGGCACAATAAATCTACTGCGGCCGCTTTGCTGGACATCCTCGCCTTCGGAAGCTATTACAGACATTCTGACGTCAACATCCTGCAGGCGTATCGTGTTTATCATCTTTGGGCTCAATCTGAGACCGCGAAGATCAATGTTGCCGTTCCTATCGGAGCCTTTCTCTTCCCACGTACCGCGTAGGTACTTCAATACCTCCTCCCTAAACCAGAATTGTTCCCGTGTTGCGCGCTCGAGGTCGGCAGATACAGGCCCATCGGCCGAGACAACGAATTGTCGCTGGTTCTGTTGAGATAAGATGGGTATGGGCGCAAATGGGTTGACAACATGGAGGCGTGGAAGCAGCAAGACAAGCCGTGCTACATGACCAGGATGAATAACCTCATGAACAGTGTAGGCTCGATCCCATGTTTCGTCAGAAGACGAGGATCGGACTTGGAAGGAAACAGTGAGCGGATTCGGCCATGAGTTGCGCAGATCGAGAAGAAGTAGACAGTGCTCTTCATTGCTCGATTCCAAGCCCACGCGATCCAGCAGGGTCCGGAAGCGATTGCTGCCCTTTTCTACTGAATGTGAGGGTGATCGTGGCGACTTGGGTCGTTGACCTTGTTTCTGTAGGCCTCGATTCGCCCAAGCAAAATCAGGAGAGAACTCTGTGAAATCCATCCGGTGGAGCTGTATGCTTGCGTTGACAGTGATATCAACAGAAACTATAACCTGACGCGTAAAAGCTCGACCTTCAACCTCCGAGAAAGGCTGACCCAGATGGGCATAATCGAACATGATCTTTGCAGCAGTAAGGCCAGGTTTACCGAGGACCGTAATCTCAAAGGTCGCTTTATCACCCGGCCGGATGACCATGTCTTGACCACCGCCCAGACGAGTCCATCTGAACGTCGGATTACCCGACAACTCAAGCTCAAGGCCATGCATATCTGGCTTAGTCAATTCTTTCGCTGCCAGCGCAGTATGGATGGAAGACGTTAAGGAGTCATCGAAAGAAACGTGCAAGAAATCAACAGCGATATCCGCCGAAGTGTTTCGAAGAGTGACGCGAAACGACTTCTTTTGTCCTTCAAGGACCATCAGAGCAGACTCTGAGATACTGAGGCTGTCGAATACAATGTGTGGCTGAGCTTGAATGGCCGTAGCTGAGACTTCCGTGGGTTTGGGCTGGACAGGCTTCGATGCACGGCCTTTTGAGTTCTTGGACTGTGTGGTGATAGAGGTTGCGTCACGAGCCGTGAGGCCAAGGTCCTTGATCTTGACAGGAAAATCAGGTTTCCAGTACGACTGGTAAATTGGGAAGACTTGATCCTTGCAGCCGGATATCCGGATGGAGCATCCAATGATACGGATTTGGCCACCCTTTCTGGCACGCGCAGTGATCATAACATTCTGAAGTCGAGCGGAGCCTAGAATGACAGGTTGTTGATCAACGTCAATCGCTGGCCCGTCGGTCACCAGCGATAAGTGTTCGATCTTGATCTCGAAGTCATATGGATTTTGAAGGGTGACGACGAGCTCGACTGGTTCACCTACAACAACTATCTTCTCTTCGGTCTTATGTGTTTCTTTGGCGAAAGGATTGTACAAGAATGGCGATTTCCCTGGTTTGTTGCTCTGATCGAACAAGAGATCAGACTTATGACGCTCTCGTAGCTTCTCGTTGTTTGTGTCATCGACCCATTGGACGTCGCGGACAATGAAGTCATCCCAATATGCAGCCTGAATGTTTGGAAGGCCGATCTTGCTAGCAGCATTGATAGTTCTTGCCATGTTTGAGATTAGGCGAAGTTGCTCCTCTGTGACTAATGTAACGCGACGGTTATGCTCATGTGCAGTCATGGTTCCTTGTGGGCCGACAACTCGCAACAGGAGAGCGGAGAAGTGCACTACACCTGGCAAATCGGGCAATGCTTCACAGAAATCGATGCACGCTCTAAGGATATCGATTTTGAGATTGACGCTGCCAAACGACTTTGTACTAGCAGATTGGGTAGCCATTGCGATCGTAGCATCCATCATCATGTCTAGGGCATTCTCCAGGCCTGTCCCGGATGCCACATTCGTCGAGTCGTGGTGGCTCCGGTCGCGAGCACCATACGTATAATGAAGGTCTCTCAGGAGGTCACCAAGACCTACTTGATCATCGTTGGTAACCGAAGGCGTAAGTCCTGTGCTGAAAGCGGCAGACAAACTTGCAGCAGGATGAATGCCCATTTCAGCAGCACCGACCTTTCTCGCTTGGACGAGAGCTGGTACGAGCGAAGTGATCATCTCTTTCACGATGACTGCCTTTTTCCGTTCAAGTCCAAGCATAGATAGAACAGACACGATACCTGATTGGAACGCTACTACATCGGCAAGGGGAACGCCAGCACTTGGCGGTGGGTATGCTCGTAGAGCCATGTCAGCAATGGCGTGCTTTAATATGCCGCCGGATAAGCTAGCATTGATCCTGGGTTGGTACAGTGATCGACTGGAGGTGGAAGCGATTTTTTGCAAGATGGTAGAATCCAGTTCACCGCCTGCATTCTGAAGGAAAGCCAGTAGCTTTGACAATCTCAGCACACTCTCCGAGTATGCGACCGGAGACATGGGCTCGCCGGCTAGAACAGTTGTCCTTTCGTAGACAGAGATGATCATGGGCACCAGATCTGGTAGTAGCCTGGAAGCCCTCACAGCGGCGTTTTTCGCCGCAGTGGGGTCCTGTTGGCCTATGGGCGGTACACCATCTCTGGTAATGGCGGAGGAGATTATGGATGAAGATCTGTCAGGACCAGAATTGCAGATGGCGGGAATTGGAAAGTCGAAGCCAGACCAGATGAGCAGAAGCATACAGACCACGATACTTTCTAGACCCTTGGCGTACCACAGGTAGTCCGAGGCAGAGCGAGCCTTGTTTGTATGCTCGACAAGTTCTCGCCAGGCATCGTTCCAACGTCCGGCAAGCATGTATAGATTGCCTATGACGATACCGACTCTTGCTTTCCCCTTATTCTTTGCTCTTTCTTGCGCACTCGTGGATCCAAAAGTCTGAACCGACATGCGATCTCTATTCGCAATCTTGCTGCCACTGTCGGACCTCGTGTGCGCTCCCATATCGTCGAAATTTGTAGGTGGAGCCTTGGACGGAGGGGTTTCGGAGGGAGAAAGGACGGCGGAGGATTCAGCGGGCGACTCTGGACGTGATGCGTCCGTACGTAACGACAAGGAACGGTCCAGGTACGGGCGGGAGTCTGTGGGACGAGTTGAGGCTCCTGGTGACTGAACACTTGGCAGAGCTTGTACGGCGGTCGCATATGTAGCCATCTCAGACAGCAGCTTGGCTGAGATGTCACACATGATTGTGTTCATGGTCGTCGTCTTGGAGGCGTGCGAGGGTGGGACGCAGATGGCATCGTCCAGGCTCCAGTTGTTCTGCTGCTCAGGAGTGCAATCCATCACAAGTAGCTGCGACAAGAGCATCTTGGGATGCTGTTCGGCTAGTCTCTTGACTACATGCTGCAATTCGTCCTTGGGGGAGGACTCGTACTCGAGGGCGTCGGCAATGCCCAGCACCATCATGGACTCTCGGAAGAGATCGAAAGGGGCCAGTTGGGCATGCGACGGCGGCGCCATTGACGTCGAGAAGTTGTATAGGAGAGAGCCATTCGGGAAGGCCAGCGGCGAGAAGAGCGAATTGTTGGATTTGGTGTCGGGACTGATGTCTCCTAGTCGTACCCTGTCGTGCTGTTGCAGTCGCTCCAGGAAGGACATGAAGCGATGCTTCTTGATGCGCCCGGCGGGCAGGACAAGCACCCGTACGCGCGCCGGCGCGATGGGCGAGAGAGGGTCGTTTGCCATTTCCTCATTACAAGCCACTCATTCCCGCTCCATCTTTGTTTGGGCAGGAGCTCAAACAACAACTATCGGCAGCGAGCAGTCGCAGGGTCCCTGTTGTCGCTCCTGCCCAATCACGCTCCATCCCGCCCGCTGCTCCTCCGCGACTTCTCCACATTTCGAAGCCTATCCAAGCCCTATCTCGTACAAATACCCATGACACGCTACCATTTGATGTAGATAATCCTATCATCCATCTGCATCATCTGCTTTCACTTCAGCATGAAAACTGCACTACCTAGATCTCCAGCACATCTTTCACGCACGCGCTGCCTTCGTACAACGTGCTGTCTGCCATCTCTACGTCACGACCCATCTACCTGACTCCTCCGTTGACCGCTCTGCCGAATGAGAGAGCCGTGACCTGAACCAAACTTAACAGTATGGCTCTTCTAAGAGGTCTCCGCGATCCTTATGAACGGAACTTCCTGGCTGCTCCGAGACCCAGGTTCAATCGAAGGTAGGCATCCACTCAACCCTGTCCATACCGTACGACTCGAAGCCGTCGGCAAATTGCGTCAATGCGGCTAACGGCGGCGCATCATGATCTATCCACCATTACGTCTTTTTTCCAATAATTGTCCATTCCATCTGCCACCCGACAATGCCAATGCTAAGCAAGATATACAGCGCGTCATCCAAAGTCTCATTACCCTTATCCTTAGCCTCGTCGAAATCAGAGAAGCCACAATATCATCTCAAAAACTTGCTGCGAGAAATAGACGCCGACGATCCGGAGAAAGATCTTGTCCAACTTCAGCAACGAATATGCGACTCGATCGATGAGTTCCCAGTGCCTGATGTTCTCAAAGTCTTCCATTCCGCCGAAACGCTCCTTCGTGAAGATGACCTTACCAAAACAGACCTTGGCCTAGGAATCATTGCGAAGCTGGCCTTCAAGCCAGAATGCACTCCCGCGAATCGTCTGCACTTCTTCTACACCTTATACCATGATGGAACCACGAATCGCTACACCGATTTCCCTTCCTATCTTCTGACCATACTTAGCGATAATGGTCGTCAGCTTGAAGGGTTTGAACCTCTATTAACCGGTCTCATACCAGCTCTCTTACATGAGGTCGACTCGGAGTTTGCTCTGAAAGATGTCAAAAGGTCCGAAGCTCGCGCATCTGGTTTGCCTATCTCAACGTCACTCGACCTCGTTAACAACCTTGTCAAGTACAATGCGAGATTTTTTCGCGACTCGGATATCACCGCACTGATTCAAGGCATGTTTGAGCTACGATACAAACTGGCTTTCGAGGACCCGGAGAGAATTTGCGATATTCTAGGCACTCTGATCATCTATACCCACATTCCGAAAGAGGCAGTGACGAATGCTACGAGAACTCTTTGTTTCTTGAGAGGACGAAAGGGTCTTGAGGAAAAGACCAGTAGGACTTTTTCGTATTTCATGAACACTCATTTGAAGGACGAGACGATCGAAAGCCTGCTTCGGAGATTTGAAGACGAGGAAACTTGTCCTAAGGAAGCTGCAGGAGCCGCTGCTCTGCTTGAACTGTCGCTGATCAATGCAACAACACGCTACTCAATAGATCTGGATATCAATCGCTTGATGGATGCCCTGGCAAGACCTGTACCAGAAGACATAGCCTCCGCGTATGCCAGGTTACGCTTGGAGCTGGTTAAAGTTCTGGTTGATGACGCAGAAATGCAACAAAAGCTCCTCGCGGCTCCGGATTGGATACACATACAAGAAGCTATTATCCAGAACGCCAAAGCCCCACTTGAGTCCCTTGCGGTCGGTCTAAGCAAGGAAGATGGCAGTCTGGATCGGTTCATGAAAGATCGTGAGAACAGAAGAGAAACCGTTCGTGGCGTCATCTCGTGCCTTGAGCATCTGGAAGGAATCAGTCTTCAGCAGTCCAGGACGCTACGAAGGATCGCGCTCTATGTAGCGCCGTGGTTGACGGAGCAACAGTCGATGAAGCTGATATCAGCTTATCAACCATCCTCTTTTCGCATCTCAATCGGTAATTGGCTCGGTGAGATTAGGGAGCTCGCCAACCATTTCATCTTCAACACCGCTTGCCATCTCACGCTGCGCCAAAAGGCTCTCAAGGTCATCAAGTCTGCATGGCGCACCGCTCAACAACTCGGTGAAGATGAGGCCACCAACACTTGTCGCGATTTGATTCTGAATGCTTTGGACAACGAAACAAATTATACATTCAGAGGTAATTTGGTTCATGTTCTACTATGTTTCACCGTAGGTGTGAGCGACTCAATCTTCTGTCGAACACTAGAGGTATTCGTGAAATCGGCTCGTACAGGCTGCTTTCACGAATTGATCGAGATACCGTTCTTTGCCGAGCCCGATGCTTCCGTAGATCCAAAGCCCGAGATTGGCTCACAACACAGGGCTCAAGACGAAGACTTGCCATCCATTCTGCCTGATGCCGGGCTCGTGGTCCTGTTGATGCGCAGCAGTGTCGATCAGCTCGAACGATCACGTAGGGTATATACCGAAATGCTCCAGCTTCTTGCCATCGCAGAAAGGCCAGCTGAGGCCACAGTCATGCTTCTCAGAGGCTTGTTCCGCATTCGGAGTGATTTAGATCACCGCATCTTCTTCCTTGCAAATTCTGAAGGCGAAAGCTTAGCAAAGGTCCTTCACAGAAATGCGGACTCCCCCTTCTTGCAATCTCGCAGGTCTTCCTTGCAATCTGGGATCTCCATAATGCCGCCCGTTTGGAAGTACGGCGACATACATGGACTGCCGGAATCTCCCCCGACAACGGTAAGCGCCGTACTTCGATCAGAGTCAAAACCAGTTGACGGGGTGGACTGCAGCCTCGACATGAGATCTTGGCTCGAGACGATAATCCAAATGATGGATTCTGCGAACTGCGATTGGGAAGTATACAGCTACATCATCGTCCATGTCGGTCCTCAAGTCTCTAATCAGTCTTTGTTTGCGGAGAACATCTATGAAATTAGATTGCTAAGGAATCTCGTGTGTGCCAAGATACAGTCACAGACGATTTACAGGCCTCCAGAGACTTCAAACTTACGACAAGGCGATGTGGCTTTGTGCCTGTACCATATCCTAACCACTTGTATCGGATACCATTGGCGCTTCCCCCGAAAGGAGAACGTAGACACAGTCACCACTCTTGTCAAAGGTCTGACGCTATGGGATCGCACGACGATAGCTTGCGTCAATGCACTAACGTTGAGTTGTTACGAGCTACCGATATCGTTGAGTCGAGATCTTGTCCGTATCGTAGCGCAGATGTCCACCATCGTCACCAAGTCAGACTCTGCCATTCATGTGCTCGAGTTCCTTGCGGGATTATCTCGTATCGACGAACTCGTCAACCAATTTCATGGAGACGAAATCAAGACAGTCTTTGGTGTTTGTTTCAGCTACATTGACTACGCCAGAGGCAAGAAATTTGATGAGCAGAATCGTGCAAAGCCTACGGGACCGCCAACCAGGAACTCTTCGATCGTAGACAGCAACTACCGCCCATCTACCGAAGACATCCCACAATACGTCTTTGCGCTCAGCTACCATGTCATCACTTTCTGGTTTCTTGCTCTGAGCAAAGAGGACCAGAAGAGGCACTTCCCTTGGATGGAGCAAAGGTTACTCTCCCCCGACCAATCTGGCCAAGTACAGGATGAAGCAATCGTCACAGTTGACCACATCTGGCGAGTCACAGAAGACAAGGATGTTGTGAAACCGCTTCCTTTGGCACTCGGTGCGACTAGCGAATCGTCAGCAGACCCCATCACACAGACCTGGGTTTCGGAATATTGTATCCTGACGATAAAATGTCACCTTGATAATGGACTGGTCGAGATCACCGAGCGAAGAAGTTCTGGCACCGATGAGAGTCACTTCGTCTATTCCGGCACGGAACCCCCCTCCCCAGATCTCGTGTACCAGGAACGGTTTGCCTCAACCATCAATGGCAACTTCAAGAGTGATTTGGAAGTCGTTGTCCTGCCCATAACTGATGCTACACGTCGCGCACTCGGTATCTTCGATCGCATATCTCCCATTGATTTCTTCAAAGCTGGTGTCATCTACATTGGCGAGAACCAAACTCATGAACATGAGATCTTGGCCAACGTGTCCGGTTCTCCAGATTATAATCTATTCATCGCTGGTTTGGGTGAGCGCGTGCCTTTGAAGAACAATCGTGAGAACGTGGCCGGCCTGGACACCAGCGAGGGCATGTTTGATGGCAGAAGCACCTTGCGACACAGCGACACAATCACCACCCTCAACTATCATGTTACAACCATGATGCCCACAAATCGCGAGATGGATCCTCAGTGCACAAGAAAGAAGTCACACATTGGAAATGACTACGTCAACATCATATTCAATAACAGTGGGTTAGAATTTGACTTCAACACGTTCCCGTCTCAATTCAACTACGTCTATATTGTCGTCGTCCCTGAAGCACGTCAGACGTTCATTCAGACAAGAACACGCTCTCATAACCCTGGCTGGTATGAGGACTCTTGGTTCAAGGTTCGCGTTCTTACGAGACACGACTTCCCTGATATCTCGTCGGCAGCCGAGACGGTGGTGGTGTCAGGCGCGGCTTTGAGTTCGTATGTGAGAAATTTGGCACTCAATGCAGAAGAATTTTGTCGTGTCTGGGGCAATAGAGGGATGGGAGAGTTGCCTTCTACTTGGAGGAGCAGATGGCAGCAGATCAAAATGTTGAGAGAGAGGAACGTACCGAAAAAGGAAGATAAGGTTGGCTGAGTAGAGGTGCCATTGTGGCAGTACCGTAATCGAAAACTGCCACTTCCAGATCAGAAAGCATCTTTCGAGATACGGAATCTCACATCGATTTCAGACGCTAGCAAAAGGATATGAGGGCAGAGGTCAGGTAAGAGTGGTGATCACTGGCGGCCGAAGGCAAAGCTCAAAGCCATTCCACTCTAAATGTCATCGGCCTCAGCGGGACTGGCAGAGACGACAACCAAAGGATCTCGTGGTTCGAGCCAGTTGAACGCATTTGTACCTGATTCCAGCTGTTAGGAAAATAAAAGAACACGATGCATTCATCGACAAAAATAAGTTGAAGCATCTCACCTTCCAATTTCCTGCCTTTACAATCTTCTTCGATCTCGTATGCCTCTGCCACAAAGCTAGAGCGGACCATGACATCAGACTTGGTATGAACCGCTTGTGATATTTCTCAAAGAAGTCATCCTCATAACGAAGATGCAGACGAATCGCCTTGGTCACGAACTTTAGCCGCAGCGCTCGATTACTCAATCCCTGAGCCACTTGCTCCAGTAAGCCAACAGCAAGTAGGACAGGACATGGTACCGAGCTGCAAGTTTGCTCCCATTCAACATGAGTCTGGTTCGAACGTGAAAGTATCAATCAGTCTGAGATGAGGATGGAATGTCAGAAGTGGAGACAGATGATTGATAGGTGTATGGAAAATTTCAATTCAGGTTGTCCTTCAAAAGACGATTCGTGTAGTATGGGGAAAAAAGGGTGACCCTAAGGGCTATAAACTTCAACCGATACGGCCTCCAGGTGAACGCATGATGTGCTACGGACGTCTTCAAGTATCTAACTGTCCGATATACTGGTCGACTTGATCAGCGACGACAATCTATTGATTGTCATCATCGTCAGAAACCTCGCCCTTGTCCTCGTCCGACTCGTCGCTGATTTGGACAACCTTGTCGACCTCGATTTCATCCTCATCCGAAACCTTGCCTTTTTCCTCATCCAACTCGATGCTGGTTTGGACATTCTCGGTCTCGTCCATGTTTTCGTGTGACATCGCATTCTCCAGATCATCCTTTTCGGAAGAAGTCAACTCAGCACCTTCATCGTCTGAGTCAGAGTCGGGAGGAATGCACTCTGGGAGTTCAGTGCCGAACACTGTGCGATATCTTTGAGGTCCGAGATAATGGGCGACTTCGCTCGCGAACTTTGTGCCCTCAGAAACGTGTGTATTGGCGACGAGTGCCAGTCCACGCAGACGAAGCTGAATTCGGCGAGTACAATCGGTAGTATCCCTAGAGTCAATATCGAAGAGGAAGGCCTTGGATTCGACGTCGGCTACTGAGATAGTCGAGACAATCTTGCCGGCCTTGATTTCCCAACCACGATCAAGAAGAGCTGTGTATTCCTCTGCCAGAACTTTCTCCATATCGCGAGTTTTCTCTTCGACCTCATTGAGCTTCTGCTTGACAAGTTCATTGAGACCGACTTCGCGCTCGATTTCGGCGGCGTCCATCTCTGATACGGGAGGCTTGGAGACAGTGGCAGACTCGACGGCCGGCTTCTTTTGAGTTACGTTACCGGGGGTCTTCGGTGCTTGCGCGGACTTGACGGACTTGACGGCCGGCTTCTTTTGAACTTGGTTTCTGGGGGTCTTCGGTGCTTGCGCGGATCCAGAGCCAGGTTCCTTACCGGTGGGGTCGCGGACAGACTCGGGCGGCTGCACGGAACCGGCGGGCTTCTTGAGGGTGATGGCGTCCTGATGTTTAGCGAGCTTCTTGGGCTCGACGGTCTTCTTGGGTTCGACGATCTTCATCTTCGCATCGGAGATAAACATGATGTCGTCCTCTTCACTCTGGTCTTCCTCTGGGACGGGCTTTGAGACAGGCAGCTGATCGGTCTTGACAACCTTGACGGTGTCGACAGCTGGTCCTTTCGGAGGACCGGCGGGGTCGAGGGTTATGTTTCCGATGCGGGCCATGGTGTTTGCGGTGATAGCCTTGGAGGTTGCAGAGTCAGCCAGGTGTATCAAGGTAATGATTGCCAAGTGTAGAATTACCTTGGTGTGCAGGGTTAAAAAAGAAAGAAAGCGGAAGCTGGGAGTGTAGACGAGGAAGAGAGGAAGGAAGATGCGCACGCGACTGGTAAATCTCCGAGATTGGAGTGAATGTGCAAAAAGACGCGCAACAAGTGACGAGTGACGAGTGATGGAATAATGAGTGACGCACGGCAAGAAACAAATGAATCGCGCTGCTTACCTTTAGGGCGGTATTTCCGCTCGAGGAAGTGTCTGACGCAAGTTTTTCTCACATCCTTCGATATATCCCTCTTGCATGCCTTCGGAGCTGTCGATGCGATGAGTCTCTTCCGTACCATTGATCATGACGTGGTTTACTTTTGCGCTACCACCTGTAGGGATGTCATCTTCAGTTTGAGCAGCCACGTCCAGTTCCTCGATAACGCTCGTGGTCAATGTCTTTGATCGCATGTCTTTGTGCCTCCAGACGGTAATGCTCATGTCATACCTGGGCGTCGCGCTCTGTCCCATAAACTGAGAAATCGGCTTTGAAGTCGTGCAGATTGTTCATGTTGACTGCACGCGCTAAGAGGCAAGGCAATGCAGCACAGCGATTAGTCTGCTTTCTCTTCTCTGTCAAGACATTACAGAAGCGCCATTGATCTGACCATCGCTCCTCGACAACGCAGTCCTGTTCAATACGACCAGAGTAAAGAGACCGAGGCTTGATGATCGCGCGACGAGCCGTCTGAAGGGTACATAATCGCGCAATCGAAATTAGTGGATGTCGCACCAAGTGATGCGGGTTCCCGAAACGTGATACCAGATCTCCAGACATTACCTGGTTATGAGGAGCGGTGTTCTGCGGCAGGCTCTGTAGACAGCCGTTCCTGCCTATACCGAAGCTATGGACGAGTCGCGTTGATACGGTATACTGGACCAGGTGGACGGAAGTGAGTCGTACTCGGTGATCGGGCCGTTGATGTCTAGCACTTGTGGGTCGACGTTGTTTGCGTATTCTTTCAATTCGCTCGGACTGTGCTTCTGTAGCCTGACAGTATTCATCCACTGAGGATGTCGATCTGAACCTTGTCGTAGAGGATTGCGACGCTGTTAGAAGCGGCAGTATAAAGCCGAGGCTAAGTCAAGCACTCATTCCACCACCTTCACAGGACCTTGCCTTTGGTCTGACGTCTTCGCCTCCGTTGGTATGTATGCGACTTTTTCTAGATGGTTTCGTACAGAGCGGACTTGAGACGACGTTGTACGAGCTGCACGCCATAAGTTCAACGTTGGCTTTTTCTGCACCACTTAGTGGAGTGACTGCGGGAACCCGTGAACTTGACTCTCTTGAGGTTGCTTGCGCAGGAACTCTGCATCCCATCCCGCTTGGCACTTGGAATGTTCCTAGATGACTAGTGCTTGGTACGCGGATACTGCGGCTCGCTGGATGTGAGAGATCATGTTCAGTTGACTCAAAGTGATGTGCTGGAGAAACGATGGCGTTCTTGCCTGGCATAGCGTGTACTCGCATGGCAGAGAGGGCAAGAACGGATGGATGAGGTGTCGCATGGCATGGCAGCGGTCATATATAGTCCCAGTAGACCTCACAACCCCGTTGCCCTTCTTCCGGTACTACCACTCTTCGGCATTCTGTTACCTGCCGTCATCCAAGGCATACCGCATCTCTTCTTTATTCAACTCTTTTCTCTCACAAATATCGTAGCGTCATGGCTGAAGCTCTCACGATTCCCCTTCCTGTGGGAGACGATAAGGCTCACAAGTCGTCCTTGGAGCACTCGCAGAACGACTCACTGGAATCGATAGAAAGGATCAAAGAGATTGATCCTGATATCGAAAGGAGAGTAGTTCGCAAGTGTGACTGGTGGGTCGTGCCTGCTCCAACTATCATGTTTATGCTATCTTTCATCGACCGGTGAGTTGCACTTACTCTACTGAGGAATCATGCCTGACAACCGGGCTAGTGTCAACATCGCGAACGCTAAGATCGAGGGTATGGTGACAGATCTTCACATGATCAAGCACGACTACAACATTGCTTTGTTCATTGTCTTCATCCCGTTTATCCTCTGTGAGACACCAAGCAACATGATTCTGAAGCGCATTACTCCGCGCGTATGGCTGAGCTTTCTGTTGTTCGGTTGCGGCCTCATGGCCATCTGTCAAGGCGTAACAGAGTCGTTCGGTGGCTTGGTGGCATGTCGATTCATCTTGGGAATCTTCGAGGCGGGTATCTCCCCAGGAAGCATCCTGCTCATCACCATGTACTATCGTCGCGAAGAGCTACCTCGAAGGATTTGCTGGTGGTACATGTCAGGCACCGTAGCAGGAGCTTTCGGCGGGTTGCTCGCCTACGCTCTGGCTAACATGTAAGTACAGCACTGCTGCTCAGCTTATGTTCTTATGCTGATGATTACCAGGAGTGGCGTTAGAGGGTACGGTGGATGGCGATGGTGAGTACCAAGCAGCTGTGGTTGACCGGAAGCTAACGAGCCATACAGGATATTCATCATCGAAGGGTGCATCACCGTCGTCATGAGCATAGTCATGTACTGGTGGCTCGCAGATTGGCCAGCAGACTGTCGCTTCCTAACCCCAGATGAGCACAAGGTTCTCATGTGGCGTTTGATGGATGACAGTGAAGGCGATGCCAAGATGAATCGTGTGAATTGGTCCAGGTGTGCAAAAGACTGGAAAGTCTGGATTGCGTAAGTCCTGTCGTACCGTTTTTGGTGTGCAGAAGTTGACGACCTCGAACAGAGCCGTTATGTACTTTGGCATTGTAGCTCTGAACTATTCGACTAACAACTTCAACCCCACCCTCCTCAAAGAGCTTGGCTACACGTCTGCTGCAGCTCAGGTCAGTTCCTGTCTTCGACTTCGCCAGATGTAGCACTGACAAGAGCCAGATCCACTCGATCCCTTTGTATGTTGTCGCTAGTGCGTTCTGCCTTGCAACTTGTTATCTGTCGACGTATGTCAACAGTCGATTCTGGCCGCTGCAGTTCGGCGTGCTCCTAGGTAGTGTTGGCTTCATCGTGCTTTTGGCGCAAAAGTCTACTGCGGTTGGACCCGGCATTGCATACATGGCACTCTTCTTCATCACCAGTGCCGGGTATATCGTCCAGCCGATGGTTGTCTCGTGGGTCATGAACAATGCTTCCGGACATTACAAGAGAGCCTTCACCTCAGGTACCATGATCGGCTTGGGGAACGCGGGTGGGCTTGTATCCAGCAATGTCTTCTTCCAGGAGGAGGCACCGTACTATCCGACTGGATATGGAACTTCGTTGGCATTGTTGATTTTAACAAGCCTAGCGGCAGTGGTGTTTTGTGTTGGGCTGAAGAGAGAGAACGCCAGAAGAGACGCCGGCGAGCGTGACCATCGGCTCCAGCTGTCCGATTCGGATAACCTTGGAGATGATCATCCCTCCTTCCGCTTCAGCTTTTGAGCAACATCGTTGTATGGGGTTTTGGGTGATGCGATCTGCGTGGCTTCTTGTAGAGAAAAGTCTGTCGCAAGGTGTGATTTACGAGACACGATTGATTTTGATCTTGATATTGATGAGCACTCTCATCCAGGCGCAATAGGACATAGATATGAAGTTGGCTCTGATTCTAGCTTCCACGATGACGATGTCATATCTGAACAATAGAAGAGGTTGGCGGTTGGCTGGGAGCCCTGCTTGACATCATCGGTTAGGGGTCCGTGCGAGGATTCTTATCTCCTCACGAAACATGTCGAAGAAGCTCATGAACCGTTCACGGGCATATTTTGCCAAAAATGAACTATATATACGTTGACTTGTCACAAAAAGCCACGGGTAGAGGAGGAGATTATCGCGGGCGCTAATTACAAAGATTACAAGAGTGGAAGAAATGAACGTTATCATCTCGACTGGCTGAAAAGGACTTGGTGAGTCGTGCGAGACTGCCATCGTTGGTCGCCACGCCTGTGCGAAGCATCTCGGACAGATTACGGCCTTCGTCCGTGTCTTCATTATCCACAAGGAGTCTCCTCCGCTCGGACTCTTGCGTTCTCGACTCTCTTCTTGCCTCTCTTCTCGACTCCGCGCTTGGCTACATCCGTGGTGGATGCCTGTGAATCTTCCTAATCTTGGCCATCCTCGCCATCCTCGCCACGTAGCTTCAAGTCCTGACTGTCCAGTACAGCGCCGCCATTTTCGTCGAGTTGCTCCTCATCGTCCTCTTCATCAACTCTTGGGCCTGACCTGGCGGCTCGGCCTGACTTTTGCTTCTTGTTAGCTTTGTTCTTAGCCCTCTTCGAGGCTCTCTTGGAGGCTCTCTTGGTGACTGTCTTCGAGTCTTCCCTGTCATCGTCGAGTGCGAAAAGATCGCGGAGCTTCTCGTAGGGATAATTGGGTTTCACGGGGTCGCGGTCTTCGAATGGAAATTTGCTGTATCCGTCGCCGTTGGCTTGGAAGTCTACCCCAGGTATCTCGGATGGCTCCATGACAAGACCGGGGAACCTAAGTAGGACCTTGACGACGTTCTTCAAGTATACGTCCTGTTCCATTGCCTTCTTCTTGGCCTCCAGGACTTCGTCGGGGTCGGTTTGGTGTCACGACTGGGTCGTCTTGAGGTGACGACGGTGGATCGTAAAAGAGAACAAAAGCACAAACCGACACCTGCTCAGAGCAGAAATGTGGAAAAGAATTATGTAGGAAGACTGGTCGCTCCTGCCTGTGGTGGAAGAGGATGCGCCGGATGTTGCTCGCCCGCAGTATGTGGCTTCCCGATCACTATCAGACCTGTAACAAATATCCGTTGGCACTGACGGGATAGGCGTTTGTGAACTTCACTTTAGCCGAGAGTTTTTATTCTCGTTTGTGAAGACCCATCATGTCAATCACTGTCACTCATTGTCGTTTGCAGTGCCTTCTCGACTTGACTTGACTCGATCTCGTCACATCCTCCGAGTTTCTCAAGTACTTCAATCTTCGCCCACTCATTTTGCTCGCCATCGACTCTTCAAGGAAAATTACAGGCACAGCAGCCGATTCGCAGCCGTCGCAATGGCCCCAACTCAGAATCCTGTTCTTCAGTCTAGTATCGCGGTCCGTGCTACCTATGAACCGCACACCAGAGTCCCTCTCATTCAAGGTGTCGCCATTGGTCTCGTTACGCTCGCATTCGTGATCTGTACATTGCGCCTCACCATCCGCCTGAAGAGACGCACCACGAGCTACGAAGATGGCTTCATCGCATTTGCCATGGTAATCACACATGCACTCCTTGTCGAGTACTTTACTGACTCTTGGAAGCTGTTCTCCATATTGGAAAGCGCAGTCGCCTGCCTGGGTAAGTTCACATCAAGCATCACTAATTGTTCTTTTTCCTAACTTCGGCAGCGGCGCAAAATGGTTACGGCGCCCTCGTGTCTACCCTGACTCCTGAACAATTGGCCAGATCTCTTATGGTAGTATCCCACAATCACACTACTTGGTAAAGTTATTGACAGCGCCAGTGGTTCTGGTGGGCCCAAGTAATGTACAAGCTCACCATCTGGCCTACCAAGCTGTCTATTCTTTTCCTCTACCTCCGCGTTTTTGGCGACACCCCCAATGTCACATCTTGTGGTATCAACTTCCGCAAGTTTCTGTACTCGATGATGATCTTCTCCGCCGTCTTCTGTGTCATCACACTCATCGTCAACGTTCTTACATGCATTCCGGTCAAGCACTACTGGGACAAGGACTCTTCTGGCCACTGTGGCGTCGATTCGTTCAGCTGGTGGCTGTCGCAGTCTCTCCTCAACACCATCTCCGACATACTCATCCTCGTCTTGCCTATGCCACTTGTCAAGAACTTGCTCCAGATCCCCGCTCGTCAGAAGGTTGGTCTTTGCTTGGTTTTTGGACTCGGCGGTTTGTAAGTTTCGCTTGCATGTGTTGTCACTGGCTCCACTAACAACGCCAAGTGTGGTCGTTGTGACTATTATGCGTATCACGACCTTCAAGACAGGAGGTCTTGGTGACGATATTACTTGTAGGTATACCGACGCGCACTCTTCTTGCTCGAGGCTAACCAATAGACAGATGATGGCGCTGTCACACTTTGTTGGACTATGGTCGAGACCAACGTCGCGATCATTTGCGCCTGTCTGCCATTGCTTCGTCCCTTCATCGCTCGTATGATCCCCGAATTCTGTGGCCGCTCTGGCTTGCGCAGCACCAACAGTTATCCCATGGTGCAGCCCACCACGACAGACGAAAGCCCCAACAGCAAGCTTCGCAGCATTCATGTGCCTGAAAGAATGCGCCCTCGCTCATGGGTTGGCATTGAGACGGTTATAGGCCAGGGTACTCAACACACCGACACCGATGGCATTCACAAGCAGATGGATGTTGACGTCACGACTGAGGCTGTGAGCATCTGCGGCACTGACTCTCTGCGTCGTCTGACTACACGCCAGGACGATGAAATCACCTCAGAAGAGAGCAGAGATTCGGAGTCTACTGCTGAACAACGCAAATGAGGCGTTAGGAGTGCGGAGGTTCACTGGTGATGTCATTGAAGGAGGACAGGTCGCATCGATATTGATAGTAGTGATGATATCAGATGAATGAATTTCATTGCTGCTTTTGTTCCATCACCTCGTCGCATAGCGTGCCACAGAACACTGATGCTCTTCTCAATGCACGTCAGGGTCTTGTGCTCAACAATACTTATCGAGGTCGTCGGCGCTATAAGTGCCTGACCACGCCTAGGATTGTATCTATCATGGGTTGAGTACGTTACTTGTCTAGTTCGATATGGTCCTGTATGTGACCGGTGCTGATATCTGCACAGAGCTCGACGCAGTGGCGGAAACATTGTCTCTCAACGTCTTCATCCACGATGTTGACGACAAGCCATGTGATCATGATCAAGCTTCTGGGGAAGCAGGTAAGAAAAGTAGTCTATAGCTATGGCTCGCCCACAGCGGCCAAGATTGTACCATAAGTCACTCAAGACTACGAATAGATATACAGTGAATGTAAGCTGCATAGAAAGTAGAAGATTAGTGTTGCAGTCGTATAGATATATCGTCGACAGTTCTTCGAGACATCGCCGAGGGGGCAACCCTGATAGAAAATCGGCCGGTATCCGAAACTCAAAAGCCGACGCGTCAAAGATATGAAACACTGCCCTTCGAGTGCTACGACTACGACAGAGTAGCAGCAGGAAGAAATGAGCTGGCGTACGTGTCCGTCTAGCAGGAAAACCTATGAGTCTTACTGCGTGAAGGTGTAAATTGAAAATGCTAATCCCTAGGATTGGCCTGACAGTGCAGCTACCACATTGGACTACTTGTCATGTACAGAAGAAGGATATGTTCTGTCCAACATATGAAGAGAATGAAAGGGAAAATCCGCAGCGATATATGATATGGAAGTTATAGATGATCTGATAGAAAAGGCACAGGGATAAAAATAAACCCCTGGGCTTGGCAGCGGGAAGGCGTCGATGATTCCGAAGTTGGGAGCTTTCGTTAGAGGAGGGAGTAGTGGCCGTTCCATCAGCTCCACGCTGGCATCTTGAAAGGGGTGCATTCTCGCTCTCGTTTCTCAAGGATCGATCCTGCGGAAACACTTCTCCCTTCTCTTCCTTTCTTTCTCCCACTTGTTGTAATCCCTTCTTTCTCTTCGTCCACTCGACGATCTTGAATCTCTTGTAATTGTTGTTGCTTTTCTTCCCGTTGCTCGTGCCGACTTGAGCTCAGCTAGCTTGAGTAGGCGCTTCCGAAAAAGCAGGGCCAAGCACATACGTTCAAACAGTCCGCCTTTCAGCATATCGAAACAGCCACGTTTCTTCATCCAACATGGCTGCAACAAACCAAGGCTTTGCAACAGGCGCAGACCGCGATGCTGCCGAGCTGAGGAGAAGAGCAGGCGCTCCGGCACAGAACGGTGCTGTCCAACAGCAGCAGCAGCAGCAGCAGCCCGTCATTGATGACCAGAAGAAGCAGCAGGTAAATGGAGCTCCGCCCAATGCACTGCGCACACCGACTGACACACACCCGCAGGCAAAGAGCATTGTAAATGTCATCGACGACTGGGAGCCCATCTTCGCACCCCTTCTTTTCACCGCACTCGCCTTCTTCACCCGCTTGTGGAAGATCGGTCTTTCGCCCATTGTCACCTGGGACGAGGCGCATTTCGGCAAGTTCGGATCGCATTACTTGCAACGCGAATTCTACTTCGATGTGCACCCTCCGCTGGGAAAGATGCTGGTTGGCCTTTCGGGCTACCTGGCCGGATACAACGGTACCTTCGAGTTCAAGTCTGGCGAGACTTACCCTGAGGAGATCAACTACGTCTTCATGCGCCAGTTCAACGCAGCATTCGGAGCTCTGTGCATCCCTCTGGCCTACTACACTGCAAAGGAGCTCAACTTCCGCAAGACCACCGCCTGGTTCGTCACCATGATGGTTCTGTTTGAGAACTCGTACGCCACCATCAGTCGCTTCATCCTGCTCGACTCTATGCTTCTCTTCTTCACCTTCACCACTGTTCTCTGCTGGGCCCGTTTCCACAGACTCCAGAAGCAGCCCTTCTCTGCCCAGTGGCTCCTGTGGCTGACCCTCAGCGGTCTCTCCATCGGCTGCGTATGCAGTGTCAAGTGGGTCGGCATGTTCGGAACTGCTTTGGTTGGTCTCTACACCATTGAGGATCTGTGGAACAAGTTTGGCGATCTCAAGATGCCCAAGGTATGCTGTATCGACATGTTTGTGGAATAATGACTTGCTGACACAATCTTCTCCAGACCGAGCTCGCTGCTCACCTCGGCTTCCGCGTTGTCGGCTTGATCGTCATTCCCATGATTGTCTACATGTTCTCCTTCTACCTCCACTTCCTGATCCTCGAGAACAGCGGCCCCGGTGATGCCCAGATGAGCTCTCTCTTCCAGGCCAACCTCAAGGGTACCGAAGTTGGAGTCGACAGCCCTCTCGAGGTCGCTCTTGGCTCCCGTGCCACTCTCAAGAACATGGGTTACGGCGGTGGTCTTTTGCACTCGCACGTCCAGACCTTCCCCGAAGGCTCGCAGCAACAGCAGATCACCTGCTACCACCACAAGGATGCCAACAACGACTGGTTCTTCTACCCCAACCGCCACGAGCCCGAGTTCGATGCCGACGCTCCTCTCAAGTTTGTCGGAGACGGCGATGTCATCCGTTTGATCCACGCCCAGACTGGCCGCAACTTGCACTCTCACTCCATCGCTGCTCCTGTCACCAAGGCTGACTACGAAGTTTCCTGCTACGGCAACACCACTGTTGGTGACACCAAGGATCACTGGGTCGTTGAAGTCGTTAACGACGCTTCCTCGCGCGACTACTCCAAGGTCCGCACTCTGACCACCGCTTTCCGTCTCAAGCACGTCGACCTCAACTGCTACCTTCGTGCTGGCAACGTCAACCTGCCTCAATGGGGTTTCAAGCAAATTGAGACAACCTGTGTCAAGGAGAACCACCCTCGTGATGTCTTCACTCACTGGAACGTCGAGTCCCACTGGAACGACAAGCTTCCCGCCGCCGACACTGGTGCCTACAAATCTCCTTTCCTCCGCGATTTCATCCACCTGAACGTTGCCATGATGACTTCCAACAACGCACTTGTTCCTGACCCCGACAAGCAGGACGACTTGGCTTCTGCTCCTTGGCAGTGGCCTCTTCTCAATGTCGGTCTCCGCATGTGCGGCTGGGACGACCACATTGTCAAGTACTTCCTTCTCGGAAACCCCTTTGTTTACTGGGCCAGTACCGCTTCCATTCCCTTCTTCGGTCTCCTTTTCGTCTATTACCTCATCCGCTGGCAGCGCGGCTACAACGAGCTGTCTCAAAGAGACATTGATCAGATCCACTACTCTGGTATCTACCCCGTCATTGGATGGGCTCTGCACTACGCACCTTTCATGGCCATGGGCCGTGTTACTTACGTCCACCACTACTACCCTGCTCTCTACTTCGCTATCCTCTCTCTCGCTTTCTGCACCGACTGGGTTACTAGCCGTTTCCCTCGTGCTCTGCAGTACGGCGTCTACGCAGTCCTCTACACTGTTGTCATTGGTCTGTTCTGGACATTCAGAGCCATCACCTTCGGCATGGAGGGTAGCCACACCCAATGGGCTCACCTCAAGTGGCTCGACTCATGGCGCATGACCGATTAGAAGTCGGCTGAATGATTTGAATGGCCCAATGACAAAAGTTTTGTGGCTGGGGATAAGAAAGGAGTATGGAAAACATGTCGGTTTCGTCGCGAGGCAAGTGTGGTGTTCTCAGGGACGAAAACCACGAAATGGAAAAGACAAGCATTTTCCTTGGTATAATTTTCTTTTTACAAGTCAAACAGAATATTTCTCATTTTCTTTTCTCTCATATGGCTGCCATGTCTCGTAATCAAGAACACCTTTTGTCCACCCGGCCAAGTTGAGATACCAGACCATGACGTAGAACAAGAAGTCTCTTGACGGTTGGCTAGCTACGCCATACCCTAACAGCTTAGGACGGTGTATCACGATAACAAAGACGATAGCCCTTTCGTAGCACAAGAGTATTGTAGAGGTGTATATATGCGTCAGGACCGAGTATAAGGTCAAAGAGCTCCAAATGTGAGGGTCGCCCGGATGTCGGGTCGCATCTCATCTGCTTTTTAGCCCGTCATCCAGAAGTACCGACGCTGATTTACCAGTGAGAGTCTATTTTGCTGCATTACCCAGATATGGATATATAGAGCTCGCATGGAAATACATCGTTGCGTCGACCTGGTACAATCAACGCTATAAAGAAGGATACATCATAGAGGCGAATGTACGCTTTCGTACAATATGTCAAAGAAAAAGGCGTAGATTGTCTCAGACAAAGACTCGCGAGAGCAGATGGCAGGAAGTTCGTTGAAACACGCTCGGACGCTAACCCTGAACTGAAATGTGGGGATACGGGAAGTTTGGTGAACAGCAGCAGCACATCGCCCTCGACCTCTGTGAGCTGAATGCCGAGAGAGGGTATAGCAGTGACAGCGACAGCGAACGATACTTTGACAGGGCGAGCGATTCGACGAGGCAAGAGATTAGGAAACAAGAAACAGGCTTGGATTCGTGGTGATAATCTGGGCAGTCGCCAGTCAGCCGCCTTTGTGCTTCTTTCCCTTTCGACCCGAGATTGGATTGAGAGAGGCATACGACGACGCCAATCTTTTTCGCTCCTTCCTGGACAGATTCCAAACCTCATTGATACCTCGCTACCCACCTACTCGGCACTACCGTCGGCCACAGCATTCGTTCCCTGGAGAAGCCGGTCGAGGACGGAGCTCTTTTTGGACAGACACACGGACGCAGACAGCGCACCTGACATGAACATCTCAGACTAGAGCGGCCATGTTTTCCTCGGGCTCGGGCGATTCCAAAGGGCGGCAGACATCAGGCGGCAAGTCGTTCTTCTCGCGCCGGCACCACAAGGACAAGCACAACGAACACGTGCCCGACAGTCCCTCGCTGCCCCCGAACTGGGCGCAAGGCTCTCTACCACCTGTGCCCCCTCCGCACCAGCAACAGCATCAGCATCAGTATCACCAGCATCCCCCCTCGTCGTCGCATTCGCACTCTTCGCGTCAATCCATCGACCATGGCGGCGGCCTCATGACGGCCATTCCCTACGACAGTGTACAGCGAGATACCAGGTCTCCAGTACGTGTCGATTACCTACCACAAGAGAACAACTCGCTCCCTCCCCCGCCGCGGCCGCCGCAACATACATCGCAGTACTCGTTGGCCAGCACCGGTCGCACGAGCTCCTATGAGAACTCAATACACTCGCAATATGACCAATACCCTGCCTCGGATAGAGCCAGCGTGCGCTCTAGTCACAGCCATCGCACCTCGATATCCATGCATCCACAGCACTCGCCGTCCTCGTTTCCCAACATGTCGCTCGACTCGACTACCCTCCTTCCTCAACTTGCTCCCTCATCCACTCGTGGATCCCAGCAGAATGGCTTCCTTAGTGCCAATCAGCCTTCTGCTTTCAGCTCAACTGCATCATTCACCCCCGACGGCTTCAACCTTCAGCGACCGGCCGATGACCGCATCATCGAGAAAGAGTTTTTGGAACTTATGCACAAGCGTGGTTGGAAGAGTTTGCCCGAACAGGCCAGGAGACAGATGGAAGCATACCCCATAAACAAGAAATGGACCTTGGTTCATCAGGACAGATTGGCCGAATGGCAGGGAGAACAAAAGAGACGTCAGCACGCAAGGACTACAATCAACGCGGACTCGAATCTGGGTATACTTGGTCGAGCCGACGAAGAAGGAAGCCCTGAATGGTATGTCCGCAAAGTTCTCGACAACTCAATCAGCGCGAAGCAGTTGCAGAGTTTGGCTGTCAGTCTGCGTACACAGCCTATTGGATGGGTCAAGGCTTTTGTAGAGGCACAGGGTCAAGTCGCTCTGGCAAATGTGCTGGGCAAGTACAATCGCAAGCAGACCACAGGCCCAACAAATCCAACTGTTAATGACAGAGACCTGGATCGCGAGTACGACATTGTCAAATGCCTAAAGGCTCTAATGAACAACAAGTACGGTGCGGATGATGCTCTGGAGCACGCCCCCATCGTCAACGCTCTCGGTGCATCTCTCATTTCTCCCCGACTTAATACCAGAAAACTGGTCAGCGAAGTCCTTACTTTCTTGTGCCACTGGGCAGAAGGACGCGGTCATCAGAAGGTTCTCCAAGCTCTGGACTCACTCAAGTCGTCTCAAGGTGAAAATGGACGATTTGATGCCTGGATGCGCATCGTTGAGGTCACTGTTGATGGCAGAGGCAAGATGGGCAGTCTGGTCGGAGCCAGCGACGAAGTCCGAAGTGGTGGCATTGGTATGGAGAACCTGCTCATGGAATACGCTGTCGCATCTCTGTTCCTCGTCAACATGATTGTGGATGCACCGGACAGGGATTTGCATCTTCGTTGTCATATCCGTGCACAGTTCACAGCATGTGGCATCAAACGAATTCTCAACAAGATGGAGCAATTCCAGTACGATATCATCGACAAGCAAGTTGAAAGATACCGGGCGAACGAGATCATCGACTATGAAGACTTGCTCGAAAAAGAGAATCAAGTTGATGGTCAAGAGCCGGAACCTCAGGACCTCAGCGACCCTGTGCAGATTGTGCAAGCGATCATGTCCAAGGTGAATGGGAGTCACTCAGCGGATTACTTTGTGTCTTCTCTGCAGCATCTCCTGCTTATTAGAGATAACGAGGCCGAGGACAGGCTTCGTATGTTCCAGCTTGTAGATGCTATGCTGAGTTACGTGGCCATGGACAGACGATTGCCTGATATGGATCTCAAGCAAAGTCTCAACTTCACCGTCCAGAGTTTGATGGACAAGCTGTACACAGACTCTGAAGCTCGTCAAGCCAGAGATGAAGCCTTGGAAGCTCGTCAGATCGCAGAGTCGGCACTTGCAGAGCGTGATGAGTTGAGAGCCCAACTCGAGCTTGGTGCAGATGGTCTGGTAAAGAAGCTGACACGCCAGCTCGAGGAGAGAGACTCCGTCATCCAGATCCAGCAACGCCAAATCGATGGTCTCAGAGCTGAACTTGCAGAAGTTCAACGTGTGAGAGCCTTGGAATTGCAACGCAATGAGCTGGAGACTAGAGAGCTATATCTTATGTTGCGCGATGCCCAAGATATTGCTGCTTCATCGGCAAAGAGTGGCAACAAAAATGGCACTGCTACTGATCCTGCTCAGATGCAAGGTATTCTGGATCGCGAGAGACTCATGGACCGTCTGGAGATGCAACTTGAAAGAGCGAAGACACAGGCGAAACTCGAAGGCAAAGTTTGGCAACAAGTCGATCCTTCGGATAAGCTCCGAGAATTGCGTGAGAAGATGGACGGCGTCAGTGGACCGACTGGCGCCATTCCTGACAGTCTGCCCGATGGCTACATTGGAAGTGTGTCCAGGGGACAGAGAGGCGGTATTGCTCGCAAGCCACTTCCTAGTCAATCTCAGCAAGATGGCGACGAGTCGCTGGATGAGGACGACGAAGATGCAATCGTCTTTGAGAAACCTCGTATCGTTGAGATGAAGCGCCCCAAAATCAGCTCCGCTCACGCCCAGGCTGGTTACCTCAACGACATTGTCAAGAAGGTCCGCCGTATTGATGCGAGCGACGACGAAGAGGACGACACGACTACTGGCCCTTCACACTCCAGAAACACCTCCACCCAGTCCCGACATGTATCCTCGCAGTCCAGACATGTCTCCTCACACTCAAGAGACGGCTCTGCTCAGCATGTCAGGAATCCCTCTGCTCAGTTCAAGGCCGACAGCGAAGTCAAGTCAGATAGCTCAATGCCTCCACCACCTCCGCCCATGTCGGGCTTTAATGGAGCTTCTGCTCCACCACCACCTCCTATGCCAGGTTTCAATGGTGCTGCTCCACCTCCACCTCCGATGATGCCGGGCTTCGATGCCGCTGCTCCTCCCCTGCCACCCATGATGCCTGGCTTCAATGCATCCGCGCCTCCTCCCCCGCCGATGATGGCAGGGTTCAATGGTTCAGCGCCGCCACCACCTCCAATGATGCCCGGATTTAGTGGATCTGCTCCTCCTCCGCCGCCTCCACCCCCAGGCATGGCTGGATTATCGACTGGTGATCCACCGCCGCCACCAATGCCTGGTTTCTCCGGCCCACCACCTCCACCACCGCCAGGAATGCCTGGCTTCTCTACCGGTGGTCCTCCACCACCTCCTCCTATGCCTGGATTCGGTGGTCCGCCCCCTCCCCCTCCGCCAGGCATGCCAGGCATGAGAGCTGGAGGACCGCCCCCACCACCTCCACCACCTGGAGCACCTCCCATGCCCGGAGCAAGACGCGGAGGCTTCTTACCACAAGCTCAGTACGCAGTGTCTTCCAGCATTGGTATGGGTGTTGCACGGCCCAAGAAGAAGCTGAAGGCTTTGCATTGGGAGAAGGTCGATTCTTCCGAGTTCACCATGTGGGCCTCACATGCGCCCACACATGAGGCAAAGGAAGAGAAATACGCCGAGCTTAGCAAGAAGGGCATTCTTGATGAGATTGAGCGTCTGTTCATGGCCAAGGAGATCAAGGCGATCGGAAAGAAGGAGAAGAAGAGCGACAAGAAACAGATCATGCCTAGTAACCTGATGCAGACATTCCAGATCTCATTGGCAGTCTTCTCACAGCGTCCATTGGAAGATGTTGTACGTATGGTCATCCACTGCGACAAGGATGTCTTGGATAATCCTGTCGTTATGGAGTTCCTACAGAGAGAGGATATGTGTACCATTCCCGACAACACGTCCAAGCTCATGGCACCCTACAGCAGAGATTGGACTGGACCGGATGCCCTGAAGTCCGCTAGAGAGCAAGATCCTTCAGAGCTTACCCGCGAAGATCAAATCTACCTTTACACCGCTTTCGAACTGCATCACTACTGGAAGGCCAGAATGAGAGCACTGGCCCTGACGAAGAGCTTCGAGCAGGAGTATGACGAGGTTTCGGACAAGCTGAAGATGGTTTGTAACGTCTCCGAGTCGCTTCGTGACTCTGTCCGCTTGATGCCTGTCTTTGGTCTCATTCTCGACATTGGTAACTACATGAACGACTCCAACAAGCAAGCCATTGGATTCAAGCTTAGTTCGCTCGCTCGTCTTGGTATGGTCAAGGATGATAAGAACGAATCCACCTTGATGGATTATGTCGAGCGTGTTGTACGCAGACAATATCCACAGTGGGAAGGCTTCACCGAAGACATTGGTGGTGTTGTCGTCGCTGCCAAGTTGAATGTTGATCAGCTCATGGTCGATGCGAAGAAGTACATTGACAACATCAAGAATGTGCAAATGTCTTTGGATGCTGGTAACCTCAGCGACCCACGTAAGTTCCATCCTGAGGACAGGGTCAGTCAAGTGGTTCAGAGGTCAATGAAGGAGGCGAGAAGAAAAGCGGAGCAAATGGAGCTGTACCTGGACGAGATGAAGCGGACATACAACGACATTATGACCTTTTTTGGCGACGACAATCAAGACGAGTCGGCGAGGAGAGAGTTCTTCTCCAAGCTGGCCAATTTCGTCAACGAGTATAAGGTGAGTTTGGTGGAAGTAGTTATGAATACTGAATCTTGCGCTAACAATCGTCCCAGAAATCGCACGAGAAGAACACTTCTCAGGAAGAGACACAACGTCGCAATGAGGTCTCTATGCGTCGCAAAGCGCAAGCCAGCCAATCTGCCCTCGAGAAAGCCACTTCAGATCCTGCCGGTCCTCCCTCGCCTGCTTCGCAAGGTGCCATGGATACATTGTTGGAAAAGCTTCGCGCCGCCGCTCCTGCTACTAGAGATACAAGAGATCGCCGACGACGAGCCCGCCTCAATGAACGCCATCAACGCCGTGTAGCTTCTGGTCAGCAGATGCCTGAGATTGCTGGCGTCACATCACCCACAGATGATGTCGCTCTGCTATCTCCATCCTCCGAAACCGCGCCCGAGCGTCCATCGACATCTGACAGCACGACACTATCTCCTCATGTCGAGGAGAACGACAAGGGTGCAATTAGCGAAGGCGAAGATGTGGCAGATCGAGCGGCCACGCTTCTGCTCGGCCTCCGCGGCAGCACTGGCGATAATGACGAGCCACCTCTTCCACGCGATAGCGAAAACCTTCGTGTTCGCCGACGTCGCGATCACGCAGATAGCGAACGCGAACGCCGTCGCCGAAGACGAGCACCGGGCACCAGCACCGCTTCCACCGACGGTCGTCCTCAAACTGGAATCAGCGATGCCAGTGCTGACCATCACGACGATGACACCAGATCAGAAATGGGCGACACTAGATCAGATGCCGGGAATGGGGATATCGGTGATGGCATGAGATTGGAGTTACAACTCATGACCCCACTGGCGAGCCCCGCGTTGACGTCTCCACCCATCACTATTGTTAGTCCGCCTTCACCCACCACGACTGCAGAGAAGCGAGATTTCAGCACACCACATGGCAGTCCCAGGTTGTCCTAAGCTCTCAGAGATCAGTGTGAAAAGAGAGAGTTGTTTGGGTCTTTTTCTGAGGAGTTTGTTGGATGTCCTCTCCACATCATTTGCATGACAGCAACTAACCAACCAAACCTATTGTAATTGTTTTTGTTCTTTTTGTCTTTTTCTACTTCATCGCGACAAATACCTAAGCGCTGTTTTTCCTGTTTCCTCGCACAACACCCTTCCTGCATAGTAGGCGTTTTGATTGTAAATCTAGAAGAGAAAGAGGGAGAGGAGAAGAGGAAGAGAGAAGACGGGAATTAACCTTGGTAGATCTCTTGAATCGTCAAGAATACTCATTATTCTGCATCCATAATCATAAGCAGTGTAAGGGTGCTTGTGTTGCCAATTTCTCGAGCTCAGATGAAGACCATAAACTCCCATCTAACATACGTTTAAGAGTCCACTCTTGCACATCCCCTATAGCATCTCCATCTTCTGGTGTGTATAAAGCACACATCCATACACCTAAACTTGTGTCAACCGCTCTATGTGGCGGTAAATCCGTAAATGTCAATTTTTTGATGCCAGCCTCCAGTTCAACGTCTGTAGACTCTATGAAAGTGATTTCTACTCTGGCTCCAACTTTTGCATTCCAGAGTTGTAGCCAGTCATCTTCGTCATCGCCAAAGTCTCTGCGTGAAAGGACGACGGTGTTTAAGAGCGGCATACGTGCTAAGGCGTCCATGAAGGTGGTATCGAAGACAGAGTTATAGAGAGCGAGATGTTTGAGTTTTGGCCAGTAGGAGGGGAAGAAGTCGGTAATTGTGTGATCTTCTTGATCTTCGTCATCATCATCGTTATCTTCATCCTCGTCCTCTTCGATCATGGGAATATGATTGAAAGCAGGGTTCCAATACGCAAGATACAGCTCATCTCTCACACTTGCAAATTCTTCCAATTCGACGAGTTTCACAAAACCTTGTCGTAGGAGTGGACGTAGGGTTTCTGTTCTGTCATCTTCGGGGTAGTGGGAGCGTAGTGGTATGTTTATTACTAGTCGTTTTAGATAAGGTCCTAGTATTGTGAATAACACCGTGATGTTCGTTACAATCTCCCTGTTGCGGATTGTCGGGCCTGAAAAGGGCGAGAGATAGAGGTTCCTTGGACATGAAAGAGGTATCGTAGAATTTGAGTGTGAGAGTGCTGTGACGAGGGAGCCTAGTCGCCATGGTGCGTCGATGTAGAGACAGTGGGTGTAGAGTAATTTTCTTGCTGTCTGAAAAGTAAACTTAGAGACTCTCGAGAGGGACAGCAATGTTTTCGTGCAGGAGTGTGATGCTGGATATGCAAGATAGTGAGGATCGGGTATCGTGAAGTGGATGATCTGGTCGAGAATCTCAAAAGGCAGATGCAGTAATTCGAGCTTCATGATGTCAGAGATGCTATAGCCTGAAGGCCCAGGACAAGCACAGAGACAGAGAACAAAGAGAGACGACTTGAAGTTATATGGAGACGAATCATATGTCCAAGAAATGCGGTGTCTCGGTTTAGAGCGTTGGAGGCGGCCTCGACGCTACAACTGTTGAAACTTTAATCCAGAAGATCTCGAAACTTGATATCGATCTTGAACCCCGCGGAGGCCGAGTCCGAGCATATAGAATACACAAGGTCGTACTCGAGTAATAGGACACTGTCCTGCTCGTGGTTGGTCGCGTCTCGGTCGCAGAGAGCAGGTGCAAAAGTACAGCTTTCTCTCACGCAGCTTCGATTGAGCAAGCACTCAAGAACAAGATTATCCGACGCAGTAGCCATCACAAATACTGTCAAGAACATCTTCGTACACAGATCTGATGGTGTAATGGGAAGAAGAGAACAATTAATTCTGGTCCGAGCTTCTACCTAACCGGACTTATTTCAGAACGAGGACATTATAGAGTGGGAATCGTGATGAGATATAGTCTTTCTGAACCAAGGCGTCCTTTACCTTCCTTCCCTGCTTCTTCAACTACAGGACCCAACTCCTGAGTGGCATTGATGTAACGACCGGTGAGTACCTTGTAGCGGGAATCGGCAGAGAGAGCAACCATAGTGTTGGCACATAATTCGGGTGTCTGGCGCTTGAAGTTGCCCATTTGTGATAGTAAGCCTTGCACGAAAGGATTCTGCATCTGATCCTTGTTGATGGCGTTCTCGGCAGCGCCGATCTGTGTGTCAACCATGCCGGGGTGTACGGAGAAGGACAGGACATTGGTGCCCTTTAGCTCTTCACTCAGACTTTCGTGGAACTTGGTGATGGCAGCTTTGGATGAAGAGTAGGCGCTCATGACAGGTATCGACATAGTGGCCACAGCGGAACTCGTGGTGAGAAGGACACCGGTATTACGCTTGAGCATTGACGGCAGTACTGCGCGGATCATGGACACTGGAGCGCGAACATTCACCTCGTATACACGCCACCAGATATCCAGATGCTCCTCTTCAGCATCAAAGGGACCGACACGGGTGATGCCCGCGTTGTTGACCAGAATGTCGACGGGTCCCAGCTCCTTCTCCACTTGAGCTACGATGCTCTGAGCGGCACCCTTGGTGGCTACATCGGCGACGATAGAGATTGCCTTGCCGCTGGCAGCTTCGATTTCGTCGACAAGAGTATGGAGATCGTGCTCACGACGGGCGACAACAGCGACCGAGGCGCCAGCGGCAGCGAATGCCTTGGATATGGAACGACCGAGACCGACGGATGAGCCCGTCACAACAACCTAGAGCATATGTCAGTCTGACCATCAGGCTTCGACGTGAGGATCATTGTCAACGGACCACTTTGCCGTCGAGCTTGCCAGCATACCTGGCTGGAGCAATGTCAGAATAGCTCTCGTGCGTGTTAGGTAGGGTAGTGGTGGGTAGAGTGGTGTTCGTGCTGGAAACCATGTTTGACGTTAGGTTGAGATTGCTTGGGTATGCAGTGTAGTCTGCCGTGCTGGCTGCCAGGGCCTTCTTATACTTGACCTTGCCATTATCTGATACAAACAGAGACACCAACTGCAGCTGACACTCAGGGTCAAACCATCAGAGTGGGGTTGGTAAAGTTAACCATTGCGTCGGCTTCAGCTCTGTTCTACCGACTTGCACGTTCCAATCCTTACTATTTGATATTGGTCTAATAATGACCGGACATGCCGACGATCTGATTGGCTATGTTGTGGACATGCGGACAGAACATCGAATCATTGCTGCCTGAGTCGACTGCTTTTCAGCATTGCCAAGGACTTGTGGTTGAAGCTGCTGCCTTGTAGTCGTTGAGGACGCAAGGGCTTCGACACACCGGGGGGAATGAGCCGAGATTATCCAGCGGACGAGATGAGTGGTGAGGTTTTGGAAGATAGATCTTCACGTCCCAGTGCGTTGTCGAACAGGAGACCGTCAGCGTGAAGGTCGTAAAGACTCAAAGCTGGAGGAAGCTGCCGAGCTCCGAGGGAGCGTACGCGGCCCACCGTTACGACGCCCCAGCCATCTTGTTTTCGTGAATGTACCGTCTTGACTTCAAACCCTCCTTCTCTGACTCACATAGTGTCGCTTGATGAAATAGCTGACGTGAACGAACGCATTCGAAGATTGACATTCTTGAGCTTAGAACGCGCTGCATTGAAAGTAGACAATTCAACGTAGAAGCCTCAAGACAACGTCAGGACAAACCTATGCAGCAAACCTCAAATTTCCAATCCACACCATGCTCGCCAAAATCAAGGATGAATTGGGCATCGATACGTTGCTCGCGGCCCCGAGAGATGTGTATATCATTCTCTTGACAAGAACTCTGCGCATGTTCGCTTACGGCTCGAGTACCCTAATCTTGGCCCTCCATCTCTCATCTCTTGACAACTCGGATACATTGATTGGCATTTTCATGTCATTGACACTCATCGGTGATGTCTTGATCTCTTTACTTCTTACTTTCGTCGCCGATTCGCTAGGCCGCCGCAAGATTCTTCTTGTGGGCTCTGTGACGATGGCACTCAGTGGTGTTGTCTTTGCTACTCAGACCAAATTCTGGATTCTATTGCTCGCCGCGGTCGTTGGAGTCATCTCTCCGAGTGGCAACGAAATTGGTCCTTTCCGTGCTGTGGAAGAGAGTACGCTGGCACATTTGATCCCAGCTGCACAACGCAGTGATGTTTTCGCTTGGTATGTCGTCGTTGGAACCTTCGGCACCAGTGTCGGTGCACTGCTTGGTGGTTGGCTTGTCACTGGTCTGGGTGCCGAAGGTGGCAACACCTTGGGCAGTTACCGTTTTATTTTCTGGTTGTATGCCTTGATCGGCTGCGTCAAGTCTGGCCTTACCTTTCTCCTCAGCGATGCTTGTGAGCTCGAGAGAGTTGTTCAGAAACAGAGTGCAGAAGTCGGCAATGCAGAGGAAGCCGAAACCTTTCTCGGTCAATCTCAATCGAATCAAGCACCGAAACCGTCAAGCAAATGGGCTTTCTCTCAGATCAGCCCTTCATCTCGTGCCACACTGCTCAAGCTCTCTGGTCTTTTCAGTATTGATAGTCTGGCTTCCGGCATGGCATCGATATCGCTAACCACCTACTTCCTCTCGGAAAAGTTCGGCTCAGCTCCATCTTCTCTAGGCACGATCATGGCCTTTGCCAGTCTGATGTCGAGTATTGGCAACATCGCCGCCAGCAGTGTTTCCAAAAGAATCGGTTTCATCCACACAATGGTGTTTACACACCTGCCTTCGGCCATCTTCCTCGCCATGATGCCTGCACCCAACTCACTAGCCTTGACCGTCTTTTTCATTGTGGCCAGAGCAACTCTTGCATCGATGGATCAAGCTCCTAAATCTGCCTTCCTCTCCGCAGTTGTGCAGCCATCTGAACGTACGGCAGTCATGGGCGCGCTGAATACCGTAAAGACAGCGGCACAGAGTGCAGGACCTCTACTCACGGGTGTGTTGGCACAGAACAAGCATTTCGGTGTTGCTTTTGTGATGGCTGGAATCATGAAGGCTGGATATGATTTGGGCCTTTTGTATTGGTTTGCTGAGAGTAAGATGAGGGGAGGTTCGGCTGATGAGGCTAGGGAGAGAGTGAGGCAGCAGGAAGATGAGGAGGGTCAGGAACTTAGATAATAGAACTTTTGTTGTTTCTAAGCTTGAGAATCCTTAATGCTGAAGTGCCTTATTTGGTCATATTGAGACAATACCATCTCCTTGATGTCTTTGTGAAGCTTATCAGGAAGCAATTAGGACGTATCTTACGACGGAGATAGATTATATGTTCTCATTTTATTTTCCTAGATTTATCCATCCTCTACAGCTTACTCTTGCCAGCCTTGATCAAATGCAAGTTGACTGGCGTGATAGCCTTGCCCTCTAGTAGAGCGCCCAATACGTTCTTGTAGCACAACTCCTCAAATCCAATATGCGTATCAATAGTACCTCCAGCCGTGTGAGCTGTCAGAGTCGCCTGCTTCAACCCACACAACTCCTTGTTAACATGCGGCTCATTCTCAAACACATCCAGTCCACAGGCACTCAGTTGCCCCGACTTCAACGCCTCCACAAGATCAGCTTCATTGACCAGAGGTCCACGAGCAATATTGATCAATCGACTTCCACGCTTGAACTTCTTGAACTTCTCAGCCGTAAACAATTGCTTGCCAGAAAATGGTGTTGCGACAATGATGCAGTCTGCAGCCCCCAACATCTCATCCAGAGTATCGTAGTAAGTCGCGCCTACAGCCTCTTCCACGCTCTTCGGTTTGCGGAAAAGATCGTGATAGGCGATCTTCATATTCAAGCCCAAGTATGCCTTTTGAGCAATTCTGTAACCGATGTTTCCAAGACCTACGATACCAAGGATACGACCACCGGGGTTTATGGCAGTGGTGGGGGAGTTTTTGTGAGCGTCGAAGAGCTGGTCGGGGTCGCCTGAGCGAGCGGCGATTTGAGACCAAGCGAGGTTACGGAATGTGGAGATGATAAGGAAGAGAGCGGAGTCGGCTACGGAGTCTGAAGATGCTGCTGCGCCGTTGCAGTAGATGATACCTGATAGGATCTCCGCGTCAACACAATGTTTCAGAAGTCAGAAGAAGAGGAGCGTTTCTTACCCCTCTCGGCAAGGATATCAGTGTCTACCCAATCAAAGCCTGCACCAGCGGACGCATACACTTTGACACTTTCAGGAAGCAGAGAGATTAATTCTCTATCCGTTCTTCCCATCTCACCGCCAGTGTTCCAGAATGGTCGTAGCATTGCGACAAAGTTACCCCATCTCTTCTCTTTCAATGCTTTGAGGAATTCAGGACGTTCACGTTCTGCAGCTGAGGGTTGGATGACTGTAAAATGAGTTTCGAGCTTCTTGTATAGATCCGCGTGCCAGCGAGGTGGGTCGCCGAGATGAAGAATAGTAGGCTTAGATGCCATTCTTGATTGAATTTTAGATGTGCTGTGAAGTGGCTTATGGTGATGCGGACTGCAGGATGGATGAAAAAGTTGAAGAGTAAGTCCAAAAGAATAGTGATTACACCTACATGGCGGGTAATGCTAGCTATATGTCTGGACTACACTTCCGAAACGTACAATGTAAACAGCCGAGATGCGATGTCAGAAAAGGAAAGATGGGAGGCATCGGTGTCGGCAATTGAAGTTCAATAGCCGACATTTGCTGTTTTTGTGGGGTCATCTGTCGTATGGGGTTTGTGTTTCCGAAGAGGCGATCTTTTGTGTTTGTCTTACGACAGGCTCATGTCAGGCGCGCAGAAAATACTTCCTCTTTGAGCCAGCATTCGGATTTGTACTCTGTGAGATGTAAGATCGAAGCCGGAGAGAGTTCGAAGCCTATGCTTGCTCCTCGTCTCAATATGTAGAAGCAACATGCATATTCCTGGTTGTGCGGCAATTGATGTACGCACCTGAGGTCTTCACAAAAATCAGTAGCGGAGACTCCACGGGTCTCGTACGGTCTTGAGATGGTACTGGAATGATAAAGATGGTTGATTTGTGTGGCTCCGTAGAGCACGTCGAGCCTCGCAGTTGGACAGATGATACCTATGTTTTTGAATGCCTTCCCAAATAACGCCAGCGCTGAAACAAAGCCGTTCATGCTCGTGGAGATTATTTGGCAATAACCATCTCCCTGGCCGGACGTTCGTATTCGTACTCGATCTCCCTCTTGGGGCCCTTTGAGCCAGTCTTCTTCTTCGATTTCGTGTCTGCTGCAGGTCTCTTGCGCTTCTTGAGGTCTGCAAGCTTCTTGGCCAGTTCCTTGTCGTCCTCTCCAGATGCGCTGTCGCCATCCTCGTCATCGTCCTCGTCTTCCTCGTCGTCGTCTGAGTCGGCCTCTTTTTCGCTGCCGAGCCAGTCTTCCAGGTCGTCCATGTCGTCGTCGCTCTCCTCGATGTCACTGACGTACTCGACGTCGGGACCTTCCTCCTCTTGCTCGTATTCGTACTCCTCCTCATCTTCCTCGTCGATACCCTCGTCGAGATCCTCATCACGTGTGGCCTCGCCACCACGCTCCAGAGTGCGCATGACACGCTTCCAGATGTTCTCATCGACGTTGAGGGGTTGTTCACCGTAGGCACCGCTTCTCAGTCTCTCGACCAGCTCTCTCTCGATGGCACGCTCAATCTTGGCAGCCGATTCTGCCTTGCGTTCACGGGTTGCTTCTCTTCTGCGGATCTTGGGTGCAAGTCTGGGCACCAACTGTTCTCCGAGTCTCTCCTCCTCACGGGCCAGCTTCTGCATGCGCACTCTGACTTGTGTCAAGCGAGTGAGACGTTGCTTGTTCTTGTGGACCAGGAATTTGGGCCAGTACTTGAGGCGGTCGTCGACTTGCTCCAGGGCCTTTGAGTAGTTGCTGCTGAGACGAATCTTCTCCCACCACTTGCTGGGCATGTGTGCGCGCTCGATCGTCTTGATGTAGAGGTAGAGACGCTGTGTTTGCGGGTCGGCGCGGATGGTGGCATAGCGAGAGTTGGCAAGAGGGCATGATTGACGATTGCAGAGACCAGTGACATTGTGTTCGTTGCGACAGAAGTTTTGCTCCTTTGTGGTCCTAGAAGATACGATTAGTCAGGTCCAGAAGACTTGGTGCGCGCATGTGTCTTACTTGAGCTTAAAAGAACAGAACTGCTGGTTAATCACCTGCCAAACAATTTCGTCCGACGCCATCTTGTTGGTATTGATTTAATGATTCGTCTTGTTGTGATTAGAGAGACAAAGCCTGTAGCGATCGATGCGATATTCCAGAGATGTGAACGCACTACTCGAAGGTCGCTGATGCACAGTTGAAAGAATGGCCAAATCGAGTTCCAATCAACAAATCGCAAGCGCCCGGCGACTTTTTTCTGAGCAGAACTTGATTGCCCGCGTCGACCTTCTTGGCTGTTCACCGCCTTCGGTGCCGCCCGAGACTTCCACCCGAACAACCGCAATGGTCAGCAAAGCTCGCCTCCTGCTTTTCCATTTCTGCCACTACACAATTATTTAATGCAATAATTAAATGCTTGCGACGAATGAGGCTTGCCAGGAGCTCATTGTCTATTGCTACCAGCCGTCCATCATGTTTGCTACAGGCGGCTAAAATACTGCACTTGGCCCGTCCATCAGCCACAGCACTCACTTGCAACACTCACCGACTTGCTGCATCACCATTCTTCAAAGGCCCTATCGTCCTCGCAAGACCTCAGAGTAGTGCGCCACCATTTTCGACTAGATTCTATGGCGACCCTACAATATATGCCTTGTCCACCGCTCCCGGACGAGCTGCCATTGCCATCATTCGTATCTCCGGGCCGGCATGTAATGATATTTACCGCAGTCTCTGCCCTGGACAGAAGCCATTAAAGCCTCGCTATGCCGCTGTACGAACGCTCTACCGTCCTGGTGCTAAACCTTTGCCGGATAGTCTTCTGGATTCCAGCGCTCTGCTACTCTACTTTCCCTCTCCTAACACTGTGACTGGCGAGGACCTTCTTGAGCTTCATGTCCATGGAGGTACGGCTGTCGTTAGGGCTGTCTTGTCTGCCATCTCTCAATGTTCGCCCGTTCCTGGTGCTGTCCGATATGCTGAGGCCGGTGAATTTACTCGAAGAGCTTTTATGAACAATCGTCTGGATCTTACTCAAGTCGAGGCATTAGGAGACACACTCTCTGCAAACACTGAACAGCAACGCCGTCTGTCAGTTCGCGGAACGACAAACAACTTGTCGCTTCGCTATGAATCCTGGCGTCAAATGCTTCTCGCAGCACGAGGCGAGCTAGAAGCTTTGATAGACTTTTCCGAGGACCAACACTTTGACGAGTCGCCAGCTGAGCTAGCTTCTTCTGTCGCGGATCAAGTCCGAGATTTGGTGCTTCTGATTGATGCACATCGTCGGAATGCAATGCGCGGAGAATTGCTCCGAAATGGTATCGCCATCAGTCTCCTTGGTGCGCCCAATGCTGGCAAAAGCAGCCTTCTCAACCGCATCGTAGGTCGCGAAGCTGCCATTGTCAGTCAAGAAGCAGGTACTACACGTGATGTTGTTGAAGTTGGCATTGATCTTGGCGGCTATCTGTGCCGGCTAGGTGACACTGCCGGTTTACGAAGTGCTGTTCTTGCGACTGCTCAAGCCCGAAAAGAGCACATGCAAGAGAAAATCAGCATGATCGAAGAGGAAGGTATGAAACGAGCCAAACAGCGAGCCATCGAAAGTGATGTCGTGATTGTTGTTTTGTCTCTCGAGTTGGAAGGCAAAAGTGTCGTTCTTAAGCTGGACCAGGAGGTCATTGACACTGCTGCTGAACTCGCGGAGCAAAAATCGAACGTCTTGGTTGTGCTGAACAAGACTGACCTGCTTTCTGGTCATGCGTCTGAGCTTGAAAATTTCAGACGACAGGTCGCTGATACGTTGCCACATGTCAGACTCGAGAACATCTTCGCCATTTCTTGCAAATATGCAGAGTCCGTGACAGTGTCTGATGCCGGACACATCTCTACGTTCCTTTCTGGCCTCATCAGACAATTCGAGGACATGACATCGGCTGTTGCAGCAACAGATGATGATACCGATCCCTCTATCTGGCAGGAATCGTTGGGTGCAACTGAACGTCATCGTCTTCTCCTCGACGAATGTCAGTTTTACCTTGAGCAATTCCTCGGTCATGTAGAGGCTGGTACTCAAGACAGTGGCGACTCTGGCGTCGAAGAGATTGATGTCGACATTGTTCTTGCAGCAGAGAATCTCCGCGACGCTGCTAACTGCCTAGCTAGAATCACTGGCAAAGGTGAAGCAGGAGATGTGGAAGAAGTACTCGGTGTTGTCTTCGAAAAGTTCTGTGTCGGGAAATGAGGACTGAAGAAAATTCGATAAAGCAACTGTAATACTCCAATGGATGTACGAGGGATCTGCTTTGCCTAAGAACAATGATTTAGAACCGAGAAAGAGAATCAATTAATCTACACTATGCTTCCGAAACAATTGAGGAGAACACGTCTATCATCTACCCATCTCCCGGAGATGCTGAACCCGTCCGACGCGCTATTCAGAAGTTGTAACGGAAACAACACCGAAATCCCGATGACCGAAAAAACAACCAGACTCCTGGTAATGCAATTAATTCTATCCATGCCGTCAAAGACCCGATGCGTGTATGCCGAACAGAATGTATATCCTTCAAAACAAGAAAAAAAAGCGCCGTTTAATACTACCAGCGAACAATGAATCGCCAAACCAAACACCATGTATATGGAAGACTCTTGTCGACTCAGGACCAGCGCAAGCCGGGAATGTCGAAGGAGGATGTGCTAGGCTGATGCCTTAATTGTAACCGCCTCTGCCATCGTAGGTGCGGGCAGAGCGGACGGTCAAACTTGAAGGATTGCTCGGTCTGCTGATTCCACTGGTCTTGACGTCGCGATTGTAACCTCCTCGACCGAGAGAAGGTGTGGAGGAGCGGTTATAGCCACCACGGCCCATGATTGCTTGAATCTGCATGATCGGAGTTGTGGAATTATTGTTGATCTGGAGTTGAGATATTGTGGAGGTTGAAGTAGAGTGATGATTCTGATGTTCTGCTGAGCTTCGAATGTACGGTACTGATGATGGTGGTGGTGGTGATGAGAGAGAATTGAATAGAGAGATGGTTCCAGTGGTCATATATATCCCGTTCCCTCTGTCTAACATACCAACTCTGTATCACTGCAACGACAGTATCCAGATACCGGCATTCTTTTTTCGGTCAAGCACTGCCTTGCACCAGGCATCCCGACCAGTGAGCGTAACAAGAAAATGCTGTTTCTGTCTTCCATCCTACCCAGTCGTCCCCGAATCTCCCCTGCCGGATCAGCCCAGCGTCACATTCGAACGCTCACAGCCTCAGGTCTCCTCGACCCATCTGCCGAGAGAATTCTGGTTAACTGATAGCAGGACTCACTTGATAGGCTCCTTAAGTCAAGCACGGTACAAGTGCTTACTGGTACGAAAACATGCACTAATAGTTCTATATCGAGTGCATCTGATGGAAATGATCTCCCCATCGGATGTTGCAGAGAGTCAAGCTTTGTCTGTGCATCTTATGCCAGCTTCTCTTTGCGATGTTCGTCAGCCTCACACATATAAGGTACCTGACACTATCCCATTCGAGGGAAACTACAAAGATGGTGTTGACGATATTGTTCGGAAAGCTATGTTTGGGATCAAAAGGCACGGGTGAGTGCGCTCAGCCCTATGCAGGACGCACGTGGATGGTCGTCTGACATGCATAAGATCATCATCGTCGTCACTGGCTGACAGGCACCAACTGAGGTACGTACCTGCATCTTCTGGAAAGCTTGGCCGTCCGTGAATGCTAACTTCAAGCAACCCTAGAGAGTGACACGTCAAGCTTCCAAGGACAGGCACTTCTCGTGGGCTCAGGTACAAAGAGATCTCAGTGCGTCCATGCCACGATTAGGCATCCCGAGAGCAGGGTGCCCGGGTGGAGACGAGCAAAGTACATGTGGTAACATCAATACGCAGCCTATGCTAAGCAAATAAAGCGTGAGTATGACCTCAAGCGTTTTCTTCCATAACACGACGATTCGCAAATCTCTTCAGTCCGTATAACTTTTTGCGTGTTACCGCGTGAAGCTGTCGCTTTGTGTAATTCAAACAATACCAACAAGTGTAGATTGCAATGCCTTGCTGTGTCGTACTTCCTCCATCTAGAAGGTGAAGACCGGCCGATGCGAGTGTGCCGTCCCTGCTGCTCGGAGAGCAGGTTGGCGGAGAAGCCGAATCCCAGAGAGAAGTTACATATGCCGGGCCCTGTGAGCTAGTCACGACTCTCATTAGTCCTTCATACATGTCGGTCCAATAGTCTTGCACCTTGTGCAGCCAAAAGATGGTGATTGTGGTGTTGCGAGTGATATGATGAGCTATCAGCAGCAGCCGTAGAGCCATTGTTCCATATATTGTCAGGTGAGGTCTATGTGTTAGACAGTTGACGAGCCTGGTCGGACAAAGTAGGCACAACAAAGAAGAGCCAAACTCGAGCACATCTCTTCTGGAGTCATGCAAGTTGGTCCTAGTCAAGAATACTGTCGATAATTCGCGCTTGACGGATACAATGGAGTGTGCTCGGCTGTCCTGCCCAAGTTGAAAAGTCCTTTCGATGCACTCTGACCAACTTCACTAGGGTTGATTGCATTCAGGGTGCATAGACGTGAGCTGCTACATGACGAACCGGCCGTATACCCGTTTGCCGGCCTCCCATGCTGTGAATGGTCATATGGCGATGCTCAGGTCAGACTGTCAGTAATAGCCGTGACGGGGGCCATCATGCCTCGTATGGAGATGTCCGAGCTCGTCCCACGAAAATCCACATGGCAACTGAGAGGCAATCGGTCCTTCTCCGGATGTCCCGCATTTTGCTCCAACATACGGGGAAGCTGTCTCGGGTCGGGCTTTCCAAGTTTGCTAAGACTTCCTGCACCTGCTACCGGATATGACCGCAGACAGTCTTGTGCGTTCTCTTCGATAGTGGAGAAACAGGAACAGGAGCGAAGTACGGCCGTCAACAGGATTTATAGATCCTCAATGATCATGCACGACGTGAGGGGCATGAACACTTGATGACTTGGCATTGATCTAAGATTGACTGACGAAGAGCGACAGAGGATCGATCGGTGATCCTTGCAGAGACGGCGGTAGGGCTTCTTTGACGAGGTACATCAAACTTGCCGACGGGCATTCGTAACGGACCAGTAAAGTGGATAGATGTCTCTGTGAGTTCGTGGAGAATGATGGAGATCGTTGCACGCCGAAGATCACCCACTTTTATCCGGTCTTGGTGAAAGTCGAGTCAGAAGTGGGGGCTGTCGGCTGGTGGGTGTTCGTGGAGACCGCCATGAAAGCATCATGATCTTTCTAATTTGTCGCACGTCACCAAATCAAATGGGGCTTAGGTACCTTTTGTTTGCTTCTCAAGCTTCCTTGTCGTGCTTGGTTCAGCCTGTGGCTTGCAATGGTATACTGACGCTATTATTCATATATCTCGAGATTGCGAGTTGGGTCGGACTAGGCACGCGAGACAATCGGCAGGCCTGTCACTCTGTCCGCGTCGGTTTGACCAGATCGAGGCCTTTCCGCACCCAAGTTTTCATGCGACGATCACCACATCCAAGCGATCATCACCATCAACATCGGTCGCCGGTCGGCAGATTCGAAGAGGACCTTCGTCGGCTGGCGATGATGCCGCCGCATCCGACCGAAAAGGTGTGGCTTATTACGGCCCGGGCATGGTCAAAACGGGATGCTACGTAGGTGGCCTGCTCGACCCTATTACTCACGATTGACAATGCTGTTGTTATCATTATTGCGGCGACTACTTTGTGCCCAGATACAGCAAGAGTATGATAATGTACTGAGAAAGCAGTGCCGAGATGACCTTTGAGCGGCGCATGCAGTAACGAGCACCAGCGCTTCTCACTCGTGATGTTCAGTGCCGAAAATCGTTGCCAGAATTTGTCCGCGTTTTCCATGGGGCCTCCAGTGGGGAGATGATCTTCATTCTGGGGGCAGAGGTTGGAGCTCACGCCCGTGCACACCAAAAGTCAGGTATCCACGTCACATTATTGCTTAACTTTTTGAAATCGAGAGGCACAAACTGTGGGCTGGGAAGTTAGCCGCGTGAGGGCTGGTAAGACATGGGATCTCCATGGATCAAGTCAGACAGGTATAAAGGGTGTTGATGATCCAGTGTTTGAGCAGCCATCAGCAGCTCGCCTCTGAGGGACATTCACACCATGCCTTCCATTACTTCTTATATCCTTGCTTCGGCAGGAGTCTCGCTGGTGAATGCACAATTCGGCAACCACGGCTCCCCATTCCCTAACACAACATACCCTGGTTTTGAGTCAGAAAATCCTTACACCATCGAGGGCTCCAAGAGCCACCAATGGAGTCCTCCCAAGTACCCCAGCCCTCGGGGTGAGGGTTCTGGCGACTGGAAGGAGTCCTACGCAAAGGCTCGCGCTCTTGTTTCACAATTGACCCTCGAGGAAAAGGTCAACTTGACCAGCGGTGTTGGAACTAGTAAGCGAAGCATGTTACCAATCCCTCGTCCAGTACTAACAATCATATAGACCAGGGCAACTGTGTCGGTCAAACTGGTTCTGTCCCTCGTCACGGTATCAATGGTCTCTGTCTTCAAGACTCTCCCGTCGGAGTCCGTCTTACCGATGGCAACTCTGTCTTCCCTGCCGGAGTCAACGTTGCCGCCACCTGGGACCGTGGTCTTGCCTACGCTCGCGGCCGTGCCATGGGTCAGGAGCATTACGGTAAGGGTGTTGATATGCAACTCGGCCCTGTTGCTGGACCTCTTGGTCGCGCGCCAGCTGGTGGCAGAAACTGGGAAGGGTTCTCTCCTGACCCTTACCTTACTGGTCTTATGTTCGCCGAGTCGATCAAAGGTATTCAGAGCGCTGGCGTAATGACCAGCGCTAAGCACTTCATCGCTTATGAGCAGGAGCACTTCCGCCAATCTCAGGAGGCCAAGAACTGGGGCTTCAACGTCACCGAGAGTGTTACCGCCAACTTGGACGATGTCACCCTCCACGAGTTGTACATGTGGCCTTTCGCCGATGGTATCAGAGCTGGTGCCACATCTATCATGTGCTCTTACAACCAGGTCAACGGATCTCAGGCTTGCCAGAACAGCTACATCCTTAACCACCTCCTGAAAAATGAACTTGGTTTCCAAGGTAAGTCTTTTGGTATCTTCATCTTGCAATGACCACCGCTAACACAAGAGGTCAGGATTTGTTGTTTCAGACTGGTATGGAACACACTCCGGCGTTTCCTCCATCCTCGCTGGTCTTGATATGAGCATGCCTGGAGACCCGGTTCAGGAGTTCGGAAATCACGGTGGTGCTATGTTTGGCTCTAACTTGACTATTGCTGTTGTCAACGGAACCGTCCCCCAGTGGAGACTGGACGATGCTGCCGTCCGCATTCTCGCCGCTTACTACTACGTCGGACGTGACAAGAACCAGGTTCCTGTTTCCTTCAACTCTTACTCTCTCGACACCTACGGCTATTCGCACAATGCCGTTGGTCAGGGTTACAGCTTGATCAACCAGCACGTTGATGTCCGTGGAGACCACACTAAGCTCATTCGCGAGCTGGGCGCCGCCTCTACCGTCTTGCTCAAGAATGTCAACAACGCCCTCCCTCTTACCGGAAAGGAGAAGTTCACTGCTGTTCTCGGCGAGGACGCTTTCGAGAACGTCAATGGTCCCAACGGATTCACCGACCGTGCTGGTGACTCTGGTACTCTCGGTATGGCCTGGGGATCTGGATCTGCTAACTTCCCCTTCCTGATCACTCCTGACACTGCCATCCAGAACGAGGTCGTTGGACAGAACGGAGGTCTCTACCAGTCTCTTAGCAACAACTCCAACCTCGACCAGGCCTACTCTTTGGCCAAGCAGGCCGAAGTCGCTATTGTCTTCGTCAACAGTGACAGTGGTGAAGGTTATCTCCAGGTCGAGGAGAACTTCGGTGATCGCAACAACCTCACCTTCTGGCAAGGTGGTGATGAGCTCGCCCGCAACGTTTCCGCTACCTGCAACAACACCATCCTTGTCATCCACTCTGTCGGTCCCGTCCTCATTGAAGAGTATGGCAACCACCCTAATGTTACCGCTATTCTCTGGGCTGGTGTCCCTGGTGAGCAGTCTGGTAACTCGATCGCCGATATCCTCTACGGTCGTGTCAACCCTGGCGCCAAGCTTCCTTTCACCATGGCATCCAAGCGTTCCGATTACGGTACTGACGTCTTGTATACTCCCAACGATAAGATCCCCCAGACCAACTTCAAGGAAGGCATCTTCATTGATTACAGAGCTTTCGACAAGCAGGAGATTGAACCCGTCTACGAGTTCGGTTTCGGTCTTTCGTACACCAACTTCACCTACAGCGGCATCAAGGTTCAGAAGCTCAATGTCAGCTCTTACGTCCCTACTACTGGCATGACCCCTGCTGCGCAGACTTATGGTAACATCAGCATGAACCCTGCCGACCACGTCTTCCCTGGTAACTTCTCTCGTGTTCCTCTGTACCTTTACCCCTGGATCAACTCGACCAACCTCTCTTCCGCTGCTGGTCAGTCGCAGTATGCTCCATACGGCGATGTTAGTTTTGTTCCCGAGGGCGCTGTCGATTCTGCTCCTCAGCCTCGTCTCCCTGCGTCCGGTCCTTCTGGTGGTAACCCCGCTCTCTGGGATGTCATCTACCGCGTCACCACACAGATCAAGAACGTTGGTAAGGTCGCTGGTGTCGAGGTTCCTCAGCTTTACGTCTCACTCGGTGGCCCCTACGATGCCGTCAAGATGCTCAGAGGTTTCGAGAGATTGAGCATTCAGCCCAATCAGACTGTCACCTTCTCGGCTGACATCATGAGAAGAGATATCATGAACTGGAGCCCTGAGGCCCAGGATTGGTTCGTCAGCAACTACACCAAGAACGTGTACGTTGGTAGCAGTTCGAGAAACCTTCCTCTCACTGCTCAACTCGCTTAAGCGACGATTTTATGATCACGAGTCCAAAAGAGATTTGCTTTAGCTTTAGATTAACAACTTAGTCCATAATATAATTACATTTACCAATCACAATCTTGTAGTCGTGTCTTCTTTGTTGCAAAGATCTACTTCTTTGGCACGGGCTCTGCCTCCTGAACCTTCTTGATGACTCTTGCTGGTGACCCTACAGCGACCGAGAATGCCGGTATACTCTTTGTGACAACCGAACCTGCGCCAATTGTGCATCCTTCGCCAATAGTCACGCCGGGCAGGATGCTTACGTTTCCGCCAATCCAACAATCGCTTCCGATTACCACTGGGAGAGCGAATTCGACACCATCGCGACGAGACTGTACATCGGTCTGATGGGTCGCACTCAGGATGTTGACGCCAGGTCCGAACAAGACTCTATCACCGATTTCTACCAAGCAACAATCGAGGATAGTAAGACTGAGAATCTATCAACAAGCCGTACAGCAGTGATCGGAGTGTGTATGCTTACCCAAAATTCGAGTAGAAGTCATCACCAATCAGGATGTTGCAGCCATAGTCCACATTCAGCGGTGGTTCAATAAAGCTGTTTTTGCCGAGAGAACCAAAGAACTTCTTGAGAAGTTCGCCGCGGTGTGTCATCAATTCTTCTTCTGTCGCTTCATCTGAGATCGGTGCATTGAACTGTGATGCCAACTTTCGGGCACGGAAGCGACCAGTCAAGAGTTCTGGAACGAAAGCATTGTAGCTATTAATGTCAGTAATTGATTCTGTCATGATGAACCTCAGACTTTGACTTGGATCAAAGGCAGCATGTCCTTTGATTGTGCCGCAGTGATAGACAAGACTTCAGGTACTTACAGCATCCCGGAAATCATCTTCTCATATTCTTCACACCATGGTACATTAGCCAGACCTTTGGCGCGAGCAATGATGGCTTCATTCTTCGACTTAGCGGGCTCCATGTTTCTTACTGATTTGCAGTAAGACTCGTTGATCAATGAAAAAAAGAAATCAAGTTGAAGAAATTGACAAGCCTCGCGTCTGGAAAGTACCTACGCAACGTTCTTATACGGACTGATGTCTGGCGAAGCAACACCAAGAGTTGTGTAGATGTCGGTCCGAACCAATCGCACTGTCGACAGCTCCTCCGCAACTTCCCCAATATATGCATATGTGCTGCATAACACGCATAATACGGCACCTGGCGGCGCAAGACTCGAAACTCAACGGAACGCCGTCCCGACACTCCGGCCGCGTTTTATCCCCAAGGACAAGGCGAGCGAAATCTTGTCGGCGCGTCAACGCGGTATATGACAGCAGTCGCATAGTCTCGATAAGCTCGACTCGAAACATGTTATCTTCCTTGCTTTATTTCAGCGATGCATGTTGAATCTGCGAGGACGCGTTCGATGATGTAGGTGTCAAAGTAGCGGAGCATATCGCGGCAAAGCCTACTGCTTCCCGCCCACGTGTTCCAAACCTGGCCGCCAATTGCGTCTACAGCCTTCACATGGGTATGACATGGTTCTTTGCCGGGAGAGACGGCAGTCTTAATACGAGTATGCTGCAAGTCTTCTGAACATGAGCTTGTCAGGTACATATGGACCTCTACCCAGCTCTGTATGATATCTGGTTGTACATCTCTTCCTCCATCCCACAATCACTGGCCATGGGACTGCGCGAGTTGATCTTTCCGGCAGCCATTTGGATAGGTTCTGTCAATGCTGCACAGAATTTACCCTCTGGAGCTGTATCTTCGCACGTCGCTTCATCTGGATTTCCCACATCTGTGTTCTCGTCATATTGGGTCAAGCCTGTGGCTACAGCAGAGCCACAGCCAGCACTCTACGATCCAGTCCTGAACATCACGTTTCCCTTAAACTTGACCTCCCCTGATACAATCTCGGAAGAGAATGACGATCCAGTCTCATATCCTGCTCCAGTTGCAAATCTCACCTCTGCTGGAAAGCAAGCTATCCTTGCAAGCATTGTCTCTCAAGTTGAAGACATCATCACAAGCGATCAATTCACCACTAATTGCTCGAAATGTATCGCCGGCCTGACAGTTGCGAAGTCTGCAGCTCAATTGGCTCCCGAACTTCTGCCTAACACGATGGTGTCTCTGTGCCAGAAATTCAAGCTACATGATAACGAGACTTGCGAGGAAGACTTCGAGGCTTCTACCTTTGGCGCCATTTGGACTCAAATTCTGGCATTGTCTGATGTGTCTGGTCTGGATGGTCAGTACATCTGCAACAGAATATCGTCCAACTTCTGTTCAATGCCAAAGACCAGTCCACTGAACACAACTGGGTTATTCCCGAAACCGAAACCACACAACTACACCGTTCCCAAGGCCAGTGGTAAACGTATCAAGGTACTTCATATGTCCGACATTCACTTGGATCCTCGATACGCAGTCGGCAGTGAAGCTAATTGCACGTCCTCTCTTTGTTGTCGCGCCAATAATTTCAACACTGCCCTCCCGACTGGTGAAATATCTCTTCCAGCACCATATTATGGCGACTTCAAGTGTGATAGCCCATACGGTCTGGTCGTAGCGGCTCTGGACTCCATCGGGCCGCTTACTGGTACTAGCGAGCAGAATCCATTCGGCTTCAGCATCTACACTGGCGATCTCGTCAGTCATGAAGGCCAGCAAGAACTCTCCAGAGCATATGTCGAGTATGCAGAGCTGTCAATCTACGACATGCTCAAGAAGTTTATGCACAAGTCGCCTGTTTATGCAGTCCTTGGGAATCATGATACCAATCCTGAAGCAATAGACGCTCCTCACAGTCTCCCGGGGGATCTTGGTATGCAGATGTCATGGAACTTTGATCACGTTGCGGGACTCTGGCACGAAGAGGGATGGCTCAATGCAACTGCTGCAAAACAAGCTAGCCTACATTATGGTGCTTACTCGGTCAAGACTCCTCAAGGTCTTCGCGTCATCACCTTCAACACCGATTTCTGGTACAAATCCAACTTCCTCAACCTGATCGATACTCCCAACCCAGACAAGTCGGGCATGTTTGCTTGGATGACTCAAGAGCTTCAGGCTGCTGAGGACGCTGGCGAGCGCGTCTGGATCTTGGGCCATGTTTTGAGCGGTTGGGATGGCACTAATCCCATGCCCAATCCCACTGATCTGTTCTACCAGATCATTGACCGCTACTCGCCTCATGTCATTGCCAATGTCTTCTTCGGCCATACGCACGAGGACTTTGCCTACGTCTACTACGCCAATAACGGAACCAACCAGTCTGCTGGCAACGCCCTCAATACTGCGTGGGTAGGTCCTAGTATCACTCCACTTACAAACGTCAACTCGGCTTTTCGCAGCTACGAAGTCGATACAGGCGACTGGAACGTCTATGAAGCCTACACCTTCTACTCTGATGTTGAGTCATTCTCGGAACTCCATAGCACAGGCCCAACTTTCAAGTTCGAGTACAACACCAGGGACACTTACGGTCCAAGCATCAACTGGCCCGCCGAAGCTCCATTGAATGCGACTTTCTGGCACTTGGTCTCTGAGCAAATTGAGAAGAATACCACACTGGCCAGTACATTCAACACTTACCAGGGAAAGAGCAGTGTGAAGAGTCCTAATTGCACTAATATTGCGTGTGCAAAGGCCAAGGCTTGCTATATCCGCAGCGGGAGTGTAGCATTGGGTTCAGTTTGTCCCCAGGGGTATGTCATTTTCTCATCTCATCGTCTACAATGCTATTGCTAACCAAGAGAAACAGATATGGTAGTGTGCAGAGCCCCTTCAAACCGACGTCTTGATAAAATTGTAGAAGCTAGAGAGAAGACTGAACATACATTATTGGAGGACATATGGAGCGGCTTGTTCGTGGTGAAATTGGATGTCCACGATCTAGACAGATAGACAGATTTGATACATTGGTAGATACTCAAGTAAATGTCCTGCCTTTACAGAGCATCACTTGTGATCAATCCTATGGTCTATTGGCTGGNGAAGCAAACCAAGTCTCATTGCTCGTCGTTTTCTGAAGGGTCGAAGTTCATGAACCTTGGTGTACTAAGCTGGTTGGTGCGGGTACGACCCTGGCGATGTGTCTAGGAACGTGAAGATCAACAACACATTAGGTTTATATAAACCAGTCCCTCTCTGACAGCGGTATTACCACACAGTTCTCCTCGTTCCCATTCTGAGTGGATTTTCTCTGCACCAGCAGGCAACATCGATCGAAATCCCCAAATCGCTCTTCGTCAAGGGAGGATGTCTGACTTGAAATGTGTTTCTAGTGATGCTTCAAGGATGTCGATACTATCTGAAAGTATGATAGTTGTGCTCTCGGTATTTGAGACGTTATCATACTCTTTGTAAGAACGTTCCTACACCTACTATCGACAGTGAACTAGACAGCTCTCCTGAGGATCTTGAAGCGTCATTCACGCTATATATACTGTCAGACTGTCGCTGAAACCACAAGTCAGCGAGCCAGTTCACCAAGTGAACTAGATCAATCAGACCTGCCGGGGTAGCTCAATCGGTAGAGCGTGTGGCTCTTATCTTCTCAGATATTCCAAACCTCAAGGTCGCGGGTTCGAGCCCCGCCTTCGGCTATTCCTAAACACAGCTGCTTGTTTTCTTTTGTTTTGCTTCCTGGTGGTATGGTGAGCTCATCGAAGCAATCAAACAGAAATTTTTTAATGCCAAGGATTTGCGGCGGCCTGTGCGTTCTTGGATGTGGGGAAGTCAAACCGCCTGTCGCGTGAAATTGGTCTTGGCAGGAGCTTGGCCGACGACACATTGATCGTCATGGATATGTTTCTGCTCAGAAAGGTTCAGGAGAGCCATGTGAAGCCTGGCGTAAGAGTGTCGCAAGTTGAGAGGTGAGACATTGGCTTCTTATGATTGTGTAGGTGGTGTTTTCGCGGATGGGATGTCTGGCATCTTGGCTTAGGTTGTGCGTGATGATCAGAACATCAGATTGCCGGGATTCCAAGTGCAGAAGGACAGGACAAAGAGTGTCCGTATGACTTGTTTCGAGAAGACCGTAGAAGAAGAGGCTGAGGAGTATCGTATGTCGAGAACAGGAGGCCTACAGAAATGACGAAGGATCAGAATTGCTCCATGACGTGACCCTTAGCCAGAGCGTTGCGTACGCACTACCAAGCATAACCATCATTGATCTTGGAGAAATGATTTGAAGTAACGCTTTCAGAAACTCAACATCATGGACGATCTTTCCCACTTTGACGGAACCATGTTTCAAGAAGACGAGAATCTTGAAGCCCTCAGGAGTCGTGTCGACCCAAAATTTGACCCCGCAAATGCTGCACTCAAAGCAACATGTGGTCATCCACCCATCCACATCCACTCTCAAGATGACGATGCCCTGCCTAACGAGACAGCCGTCTTTACTATCTTGGTCGAGCTCGTAGATGTACCGGATGACACCTATGTAAATCTTGCCATCGACACAATCAGAATAGTCACTGACAACATCAACCAGGACAAAGACGTCTCAGCAAGTAGAGCCGCGGTAGCGATAAATACTCTCTACCTTTCCGAGAGACCTGATCCGGCAACCCGACGATCAGGATCTGAGGGTTACCTCTACTTGATCTGGTCCGAACTTTTTAGTTGGGTGAGGCAAATCCCAGTCGAGCATTCTGCAATGCACAGATTAGTGGATTTGATCGCCGAACTCATGAAGATTGATACACAGACGTTGCTCATCTGGGGACAGGATATCAAACTATGGCCTCAATTGCCATTGTTAAATCCCGAGTTTGTCGAAGAATGCGAGCAAAGAAGGGGCGTTGAGTTACAGCGCCTCGAAGCTTTCAAGGACAAGTTAGCGGCTGATGGTGTTTATACTCTTCGAAGTGCATGGAACCAGAGAAAAGCCGGCATGGAGAACGATAAGATATGCATTAAAAATTACAAGATATACTAAGCAAGTTTGAGATCGTCAGGGAGATGATGTGCTTCACCTACTGCCTCTTTCAATGCAAGGACAAGCTCATCGATACCAGACAGGAAGCCCAGATACGCACTCATACATACAGTGTATCCGCGGACTCCTTCCTTTTTGAGAACGTCGATAGTTAAAGTCTCAACATCGGCACCATGTCCATGCTCTAGACACTTCTTGAGCAGCGGTGTTGGTAGACGCGCAGGCAACGGATCACCAGTCTTCAGACTCTGAGCCACGATACCCAAAACAACCATAACATCGGCAATAGCGCGGTGGTCGAGAATGCCAGAAGCGATAGCAAATCTTCTGCGAAGTTCTGGAGAGAGCGTGGCGGCGCGAATGTGAAGATGAGCAAGTTGATAGTTGATGAACTCAGCAATCGACTTGATCTTGCCACAGGTCTGTGAGTCGAATACGCTCGAGGACAATTCAAATCTCAGACTTGCTATGGGGCCGCCTAATGAGCCCAAGTCTCCTGCAAGCTGTATGGTGACTGCTTCAATTGCAGAGGTATGTTTGTCGGCAATATCGAGCTCTGACCATGACGACAAAATCGCAGCGTAATGATCGGCCTCTTTATCGAGCACGCCAGAAAGTCTGCGGGCGATATTTCGTGAGAGTGATGATGGCCAGGGAAGAAGAGTAACGATGAACGACACACCGAAGCCGACGAGTACGAGAACTGTACGGCGCCAGAAGACCTCGTAGCCCCAACCAGGGTTGCCGTAAGTAGGAAGGTGAGTGTCAATATAGCTGTAACCGATGACGAGAATGACGGTAGCGCCACCGATCATGACAGCTGGTATAAGCGGTGGTGGAGTGTAAAGTCGGAACCACATCAGGATAACAGCATATACGGCAAGTACAGCTCCGAGACCATAAGGATTTCCGGGTCCGTTACCACTTCCGATGTACCTGAGACGATTAGCTATAGGAACGAGAGCATAGAACTATGAAAACTTACCATCCAAGCATGCCGAGTACACCTCCAGCAATCGTTCCGAAAATTCTCGTTATGAAGGCGAAGTTGAATTCGGCGGAAAAGGTAGCCGTACCTGTTTGTGCCATGATGAGAGCCCACAGTCCCTTCTCACGGTAGTAGAAGCCTGATGATGTTGTGCAGACTGCTGGTATGGCTGCTGCAAGGGTGGCGATCAGAATTCTCAGAGCAAAAATACCCTCGTCATTGCTCAGCCAGTGTCCAAAGCCAAGTATGATGGCAGAAATCTTGCTGCGTTTCCTTGTGGGCTTATGCACCCTCCTGAAACTCTGCTGTACTTCCTCAATTGTCGCCTTATCAGCTTGAGGCATATCGGCGACAGAGGGAGCGCCGATAGCTGGCGCTTTGGAGCCACCAAAGGCCCAGGCACCGAATTTGCGCAATCCGGTAGGAAACCACAAGCGAACAGTATTTCTCTCCTTTTCAATGAGTGTGATCTGCTCCAAGGCTCGTTCAAGAGCTGCAGCCAAGATCAGGAGACGATCTTCGAAATTGAAACCAAAGAACATGCCAACTAGCTTATGCCTCTCCGACGTGTGACCATGAAACCTGCCGTTTTCGTCAAAGAGATGTTGGTGCGATGTCAAGAGCGCTTCATTGGCAACATCTGGGAATTTCGCCTTTTCTTCGCGGAGATGTTCGAGCACATCAACGTGTGACTGCCTCATTTTGGCGAACTCATCAGCGGAAATTCTGCCAAACCATCTCCTGCTGTTGTTCTCGTTTATACTGTGAGCGATCGCTTGGAAAGTGTCTTTGCAAGCTTCGAGAAGAGGGTCACTGGCATGAGATAATGCTTGGTAGGAATCGGCAACAGATTGGCCGACTTCTGGGTCGCGCAAAGCATCAACGAGATTGAGACTTTGCATGACTTGATGCCTTCCGTATGTGTACTTCTTCTCACGTTCTTCTGATCCGGTTGCTTCTTGCGTCCTAATGTCATTGGATCGAAGTTCATTCATCCTCTCCCGAGAACGTCCCTGGAGGATCTCAAAGGCGAGTAGGCTCATCGAACCGACCATGACGCGACGTATGGGCTCTCTGAGGGACGCAATATCTTGAGCGCTCCAGTGACCAAAAGAAAGGTCAAATGACAAGAAGCCAAAAGCAGGCTCTAGCGCAGCCCAACCACCAAGGACTCCTGATCTCAGCCCTTGCATGGGTTCCATGTGTGATGTGTCAGGATAATTAGCAAGAAAACCTCGAGTAAGATCGAGAGATCCAGTCATGGACGTGACAAGCTTGTGCATGCCATGTAGCGTCATATGAGAAGTTGATTCAGGGAAAATGAGCATGGAGCAGGCAAGACTGATAGCGATGGCGGCAGCAGCGGGTTTGATGAGCACTTGAGGGATAGTTCCTTGGAAAGCAGGAAGTAAGGGACCAATAGTGAGGAAGACATCGGTGATGATCCAAGCAAAAATCGCAGTAAGAGCAAGCTTGGGCACCCTGATCCTCAGCCTAGCCATGAGATAGACGAACAGACCCAGCATGCAGAAGTATGTGACTGTAACACGATTATCGAGCATAAAGCCGTTGTAAATAAGAACGCTGACAGGCGAATAAGTCGTAGCGCCGACATTTCTTGCAGCTTGCTGACCCAAAGCTTGCAGTCTAGCCTGAGTTTCTGCTTGTGGTCGTGTAGCTAGCGCGGCTTTCATGGCTATGACACCCCAAGCCCATGCAAGACCCATACCTAAGATCATAGTAAAGCCTCCGAGAAGGAAGACCAGTACAACGCCAGAGGGTGGTAGGAACATGATGACAATACAGCCGAAGAAAGTGGCATTGCCAAAGGTCTGCAGGGTCGGCTCAATGACGATGAGCAGCGAGGCTACCCAAAAGGCAACTGAGCAGCGAAAGAGGATCTTGAGATCACGGGCATTGAAGTGGTCGAGGAAAGGTGGAAGCTTCTTCTTCTTATTGCTCGGTGCAGTCGAAGTCGCTCTTGTATTGGTCTGTTGCAAGGGCGACGAGTTGCCATTGCGCGACTCTTTCTCGGTCGCGGAGCCACTAGGCTCGCGCTCGGAAGACATGATCGTTCGACGTCGTGTCGGCTTCTGTGCGACAGCTGTTCAATCGCGAGGTGGAAGATATCCGTATTCGGGTGTCGCAATCCAGATGGCTGTCGTTGCCGGTCGGGTGGAGTAGTCGAGGTATACACTTCGTCGACACAGAAGTTCAGGCGGGCCTTCACCCTGTTTGTCGATCGAGGGTGGCGCCTTGGTATTCACTCAGACGAAAGAGAATACGAGCTAAGGAAGAGAAACATAGCAGAGACCTACCGTGAATGTGCTTGACCTACTGCGACTGTTATGACCGCAACTGCCAATCTTCCCTCTGACGGTAGCAGCTGTTCCGCCAAAGTCTATTTGTGCAGCCTTCGAACACATTCCTTGAGCCTACCATCACGCCTTCTCAGCTTCTCTGGACCGATTACCGGCCGATTCGTGGCTTTGGGACATGGCTCAGCGTTGTTTTGTATCAGAAAAGTTGTAATTCTTGCAGGAAGGTGCGTCTTGTGCAAGAGACTCGGCTTCTTGCGCTTGCCGGGAGGTCTCAATTCTTGCACAAAGTCTCCATAAATCGTCCTCGGAGTTGATCAGACTCTCAGCGTGTGTCCTGTTCGACTTTGACATCTACCGCCGTCGACGGACTATGCCTTTGCTGCACAACAGAATTCAATGGTCAACGGGTAAAACCTAGTGGCTTGTTCAGGTAGCACATGTTCCGAGAGATAATTCGGCGTCCTCTGCACACGCTGTGATGGCATTCGCACTTCGTGCCGAGCTCGGCTCGGATGTCACCTTGACCTTCCGTGAACGGAGCTATCTCCACTACATGTTGCAATTGTATGTGCAGAGAACCAAATGCTATCGGAGCTCCTTGAATTGAACTTGAGTAGGTCAGCCTTGATCCTGTTATTCTGTTTGTAATATCAAGCATCAGAATTGTCGGGAACATGGGAGAGAGCATCCTCCATGGCTTTCCAGAAGCCGCTCCTTCGAGGCCGTCGGGCAAGTTGTTATATGCAGATGTAAGTCGTCATCATGGCAGCAGCAGTCTTACCAACTCGTCCCGTCGAACCTTTTACGAGTCTACTGTCTTGTGTTTTCTTTCTGGACAAGAGCGTCAACTGACCTTATAGGTCGCAGTAACAGCCACAGCCAAAGAATTCGCAGGCATCTACCGCAACAAGCAATATCACGAACCAGACTTCTCTTCTGTCCTCGATCGTGCCCAAGATGCCGGTGTTGATAAAATAATGCTCACCGGCATGTCATTTCCAGACATCACCTCCAATGCCGATATTGCTCGCGTAAACCCACTGCAGTGCAGCATAACCATCGGAGTGCATCCTTATCATGCCTCCGAACCCTACGTCAATGGAGGTGACGGAAGCGAGTACTTCTCTACTCTGGCAAATGCGATTAACGACTTGAAGTCTTCTGATCCTAAGCTGGTGACCGCATTTGGAGAATTGGGCTTGGATTACGATCATCTAGATCATGCGGACAAGGAGACCCAACTACGCTGTTTCAAAGACCAGCTTGACCTTTTCGTCGAGCAGGAATGGGATCTGCCGCTGTTTTTGCACTGTCGGGCTGCGTTTGATGACTTTGTCGAAGTCATGGGAGCATACGCCTCAAGACTGCCTAGGTCAGGACTGGTTCACTCGTTTGTCGGCACACAAGCACAGATGGAGAGGTTGGTGTCCATAGGCTTTGGCATAAGTGTTAATGGTTTCAGCTTCAAGGATCGCGAGTCATTGGAGATGGTAGCTGCGATACCCATGGATAAATTGCAACTCGAGACCGACGCGCCTTGGGGTATTATACAACCAAGCTCGGAAGTGGCGAAGAGATACTTGACCAATGCGCCAGCATTGCCTGCGAGTAAGAAGAAGGATAAATTTCAGATGGGCTCTACGGTCAAGGAGAGGAACGAAAGCTGTGCTATGAGTCATGTTGCATTCATTGTTGCTGGTTTGAAGGGCATAAGTGTACAAGAAGTGGCAGAAGCAGCTACGGAGAACAGTGAGGCGATGTTCTGGCGAGGCACATTGCAGGTATGACATGTTAGTAGAATGCTTATAGATTGGCTGGAAAGAGATAAGGGTAGATGTTCAGAGCTTGGTCTTGATTGTGCATCCATCCTCCTTCTGGCAAACAGCTGTACGTCCGAGATTTTTGGTTAGAGGTCCTGTAGGACCAGTCTGGTAATGACAAAGGTCGTCAATCTGTCTTGTGTCAGTATGGTCACTTGTCAAGTTTGGGACAAGACTTACTCCAAGTGCACAACTCTGTCTCTTGTCGCTGGTAGGATACTGCTCATCTCCCCACATGCCTGCCCAATGAAGCCAATCAACTTTCTCAGAGGCTTGCTCGGTAGCACCGAAACCGACTCCGCCAGCAGAAGTGACAGTGTTGCTAGCAGGGTCGTAGTAGTAGCCGCGGTAGTTTTGTGCGACATCCCAGTAAGGCCCGGCATCAGTGGTGTCAGTCACAATGTTACCAACAATTGGGTAAATCTTCTGGGTGCCAGCTGTGGCATAGTTGGCATGACTGCCTGCTGCAGAGTACACGATGGGTCTCACGCCAACTTTCGAGACGGCGGAGTATGTGTATGCAGTTCCGCTACTGTGAGCCGAGTAGTAGACGTTCTGAGGTACTCCTGCAGTCGAGAAGCGAATCTATGCGTGCATGTCAACAATCCTGAAACTAGTAGTTGAGTTTAAAATGTCACCCACCATACTATGTTCCCAATCTCCAACATGATTGTCGACCCTACTGCCAAGAACCAGACTGCCATGGTTGTAGCTGTAGAAGTAAAAGTAACACACATCGACGAAGCCGCTCTTCTCCACAACAATGATAGTAGCAGGTGCAGCACTGTATCCCTTGCCGTTGGGCTTACCATACGTGCTGGTGAGCCAAGCAGGGTTGGTCTCGACGTCATCGTAGCTAGTCAAAAAGGTTGATGAATTGTAGTTGTTCAATGTCCCAAGGGTCACGGACGCAGACACGTTCTTGTAGTTGTAATCGACTGACATGTGCTTGACATGAGTAGCAACGTCTGAGGGAAACCATCCTTCGCCACTCTGGAGGTATGTGTATGGTGCATAAGTCAGGGCATATGATGGAATGGCGGCACGCTTGAGGAGGCCACCGGCCGGAGCAGCGAGCGCAGGTACGATAGAGGCCAGTGCAAGAGCGGCGGAAGCGAAGGACAGAGGCATATTTGCCTGACTTTGTTATAACAAATGAATGAACGAACGAACGAACGAACGAGGAAAGGATGATGAATGTCGAAACATTGTGATCGTCCAGGTTCTTCTTTCTTATATCTGTGCCTTTCGGCTGATGTGGTATCCGGTTACATGGCTTCGAAAGTGTGATTGATGGACGGAGATTAATTTGGTCAAGGGCACAAAGAGACGGTGCCGTAGAGGCATACGCGTGGTTGTTGCAGAGCAATGTACTGGAGTCTTAAGTAACGTCAAGCTTGTCGAAAGAAGAAGGAGCGAGTTGTCATTACTACTAGTCAGGCACGACTTTGACTTATTGGTCGAGAGACGTCGTGTGCCCTACGGTAAGCATATCTCGTGGACTGTCAAGGATCTACATTGCAGGGTGATAGAGCAAGCTTTTGGCGACAACACCTGCCGCGTGGTCTCAAGCATGTAATTTCATCGGTCAACAGTAAGTAGGTAGTCAATGTTGCTGCGCGCATGACTTGAAGCTGACTCCCAGAAGCAGATTACCATGTGCGACACCGAAGACAAATCGTTGTATGTTCGTAATTAGGTCGTCCGTTTGAGCGACCGAGAGAACAAAGTTGAGCCCGGCCTAGCCTAGTTTGATTGCTCTTTGCGAAGCAATTGATTCTTGATAGGCCATAAATCTTGGCCACCAGTGCCCAGCACCATACCACCAGTTGGTCATATCTCTTTAGACTGATTCTCTCTGGAGCCCTTTGTCTTGCTGTATGATTTACTGTAGAGTAGGAGAGAAAGAAAAAAGACAAAAGAGGTCAAGATGTCTCCAGTTTACACCCAATTTCTTCGTGTCAAACATCTTCACTCGAGGTCCAGATTACACAACACTCCCCATATGTTGCACCTTTTCAAAACAGCGAGAAATCTTATGCATGGAGGACTCCTTATAAGCAAAAACATGATTCACAGTCTCCTATGATCTTGATGAACCCAACCCGATTTGAACGGATGACCTTGAGGTAGTTCCACGTGGGCATGACACCACTGATTAACTGGAATCTCACGCGCTACCGCTGCGCCATGGGTCCTTCATAGGGTCGAGCGGCGAGTGGCATGGTATAATAAGATTACTACGGTGCTAGATTTAGATGTGGGGCCGAAAGAGTCAGGGCTACTAATAACGCTCAACGAAGATGCTATGGGCAGAACCAGAGTAGAAGTCAAGGGCAAAGTGGATCATAGTACGTCAAAGCCCTCCAGGTGGTTTGTGACGACTCTGGTTGTCCAGAAAGTCCTGGCAGATGTCCTGTTAGTCGATGAACTGCTAGCAAACACGAAAGCAGTATGATCAATCAGTTTCGAAGGAAAAGACAAAGACGATATAAAGTATGAAATCGGTCCAATGTGATTCTATTGATACACAATTGTCATTATTCTATGTTTTGGGGAATCATCTAATACTGCTCGTCAGGGCAGTCGAATGCCAGATGACCATCTTTTTCACAAAGTGCACACCATTTGTCGTTGTCCATCTCGGATGTGTCTTTGCTGTCCTTGGTGTTCTCTGCAACATTGTTGTTACTGTTGTTGCTCAAAGTCTTCCGTAGCGAAAGCGGTGCGGGTGCTTCGAGCTTGTCATTATACCTGTCTCTGCTGGGCGCCGAAACATTCAGACCCTGCATGGACTGGGACAGTTCATGTTCTGGTTCTGGTTCGTCGTGCTTCGGTTGACCTTCATGGCCGCCATTACTCTCATGGTTGTCGACGCCTTCCGCATCGGGACAGGTCCTGGTATCATGTCCAGGGGAGTCGCATGAGTCACACCACAATCTCTGTTCGTCCTTGCGTGGTGATCTATAACGAGTCGGAGATCTGACGTTTTCGGGGGATCTTGATAGATGATGGCGTGGCACTTCCTCGGCTGCTGCCTCGGTGTTTATGATACTGTCCCTCTCCTGCTCGGCTGCTCGTCTTAGTTGGTCGACTGCACGCTCCAGTTCCTCCTCACGGAAGGCCTTCCGATCGATCAGTCCTTGAAGCTCAGACTTCTCGCGCTCGAGCTGTTGAACGGTCGCCTGAGTGTTTTTCAACTCTTCGGGGTCGGCAAAGCGTCCGGGTGCTGGGCTTTGTCGTGCCATAGGACTCGCCTCCGGACCAGAGCTGAGTGAGTGTATGATTGCCTTGAGACCCCTGATTTCATCATCCTTCAATTCGACATCCTTGTCTCTGGGGTTTTGGCCTTCTGCATCTTTGGCTCCCTGTAATGCTCTGGCAGCCTTCTCCCTTTCTCTTCTCAGTTCGCTCCGTCCTCTTTCGACTTCTCCCCTTAAAAACTCGACCTCTCCTCGAGCCTCTGCTTCACCACGGCGCGCATCTTCCAGACCCTCCTCGAGCTCGGCAACAAGCTCTTCCAGCCCCTTAAGCTGGCGCGCGACGTTCTCAACATCCTCGCGGCTGTGACCAAGTTCGCGCAGTTCATGAATCTCGGCAAGTAAATCAGCAATCTTTGCTTCATACACACGCTCAGTCTCGGCGGAGGCCAATTCCAGGGTATCTATGGTGCTCCGGAAGTCTGCGCGGTGGGCGTCGAACTCGTCGATGAGAGATTGAATCTTGTCGTCTCTGTCGTGTATAGCCTGACGCAGTTCATAGACGTCTGAGCTTTCGTCGGCATCCAATCCATCGGCGGGTATCAAGTCTTGAATCTCTTTCAAGCTAGCTTCCATTTCTACTAGCGAACCAGCTTGCTCTTGTAATTGTCGGTCCTTTTCTTCGATTTGAGCAAGCAGTCTCTGGATTTCGCCATCTTGATCGACCGCCACCTGGCGCGACGGAGAGCGTCTAGCAATCGAGGCGGCGGAACTAGTCGAAGGGCGTTGCGAGTCGCCACGATTGCCAACACGAGAGCCTGTGCGTGAATATGGGCGCGAAGGAGCTGCAGATCTACTAGCAGCACGAGGCGTGGTCAACAGAGGCGGTGCGGGACTTGAGGTGAATCGTGGAGGTACGGCGGATCTCTGGCTCATGGAGAAGTTGCGAGCTGGAGTAGGGACCAGATTGGGCTGTTTGCGGAAAGGAGATTCGGGGCGTGGTAGGGATGGACGACGAGACTTTAGCTTGGACAGAGGACTAGGAGGACGGGCACCAGGCCCCATTGACTGCGAGAAGTTGGGCATCGCAGCTGTTGGAGGAGTATATGAGTCTAGACGGTAGTGGGACGGCGTGGTCGGGGTGCCAGGATAGGGCGGACGGGGGCGCGAAGGCGATTGGCGCTTCTCTGCACGGTGGACAGGCAGAAAGATGCCAGCACCAGGCATGTCCGTGTCGAAGTAGCGGATGCCATCGACGTCGCCATCGTTCTTTCCTCTGGCAGCAAATTCGCTGGCCAGTTCGACACCAATGAACTTGCCCTGCTTGCCCCTGACGGGCCCGACAAACTTGACCGTGCCGTACATGTCGCCAGGCACGTTGACCATGTCGCCCAAGGCAACGGACGAGTCGGCCATGTTGGATGTTGGTCCAGGTGAGCGAGGAGCGTTTCCAGTCAGGGCGTTGAGAGAAGCTTCACGAGCTTTGCGCTGAGCATCGGTGGTGTGCATGGGTGAGTTTGACGGCCGCACGCGCTGCCGTGGTGTCGACATGACTGGGAGCTTGGAAAGACTCCTGGCGTGGCAGAACAACAAGATATAATCTGCCTCTTACCGCCACTATCAAGCCCAAGCCCAAGCCCAAGACAAGATGCAAGACACAAAGACACGTCAGGCCCTGATTACCCACGCAACCACATAGCACCTGCGACCCAATGCCCGCATGAGAGACGTCGCCCAATCATTTCCTGTCATCCTTCGCAAAAGGGGCAGCCAGCCACTAACACCATCTATGTCGATCGTGCTTTGGTCTGAGCTCGCGCAGGCCTTATGTTCTGCAAATCGGCTGGTCGTTACTATATTCCCACTTGCGCTCAATGTTTACGCTCAGAAAACACGATACAGCCCGTGCATGACTCGGCAACATGATGGCATCAACCTGTGACTTCAATCGTACCGAGGTTGTTCGGTCCATCCATAATACCCCACGCCCCGAGTGCTCCTCTAGAGATACATTCAACTAAACACCATTCTATCCTGTGTCCGTGTCTCGTGTCTCTCTTGTCTCGTTCAAACTATCAAGTCTTTCACAATGGCGGGTCCGATCCGACAAACCATAGACATCAAGTCGCTCGAGAACTACCTAGAGAAACATGTACCAGAAATAAAGACACCACTCGACGTTAAGCAGGTACATCCTTCTACCCTCCCAGCTCTTGCACATTGCCATACTCATTCACGATAGTTCGGATACGGCCAATCGAACCCGACGTATCTCCTGACATCCTCTGACAAACAGCAATACGTGCTACGCAAAAAGCCCCCAGGAAAGTTGCTATCGAAGACAGCACACAAGGTCGAACGAGAATACCGAATTTTGCATGCCTTGGAGACGACCGATGTTCCAGTACCAAAAACATATTGTCTGTGCGAGGATGATTCTGTCGTTGGCACAGCTTTCTACATCATGGAATTTCTGGATGGTAGGATTATTGAAGACCCCTGCCTGCCAGATGTCAGCCCGGAGCACAGGAACGAAATGTGGCGGTCTGCAGTCACCACCTTGGCCAAGTTCCATCGAGTTTCTCCAGCTTCAGTGAATCTAGCATCTTACGGAAAAGCGAATGGCTTCTACAATCGCCAACTTGCGACCTTCAACACCATTCAGGATGCGCAAGCAAAGGCTGTGGACATTGAATCAAACGAACCAGTAGGAAAGATTCCACATTTCGATGACATGGTCGCTTTCTTCGGCGACAAAGACACCCAGCCGCAGGATCGTAGTAGCTTTGTCCACGGGGACTACAAGATCGACAACGTGGTCTTTCACAAGACTGAACCGAGAGTCATTGGAATCCTAGAGTAAGTCGAATCAAAAGGTTGGTATGTGGCCGTTGGCTGATCAGCGTAGCTGGGAGATGTCAACGATAGGCCATCCACTTTCCGACTTGAGCAACCTGCTTACTCCATTCACCACTGCCGATTCTCCAGTAGCTCGATCGATTGGAAGAGGGAGCGAAACATTCCTTCCAGGTAACACACCAGGTCTACCAACAAAGCAGCAGTGTATCGATTGGTATAGACAAGTGGCTGGATGGGATCCACGACCAGATATGACATGGGGTGAAGCATTCGGCATCTATCGCGGCAGTATCATCATGCAAGGCATTGCGGCGAGATATGCTCTCAGGCAAGCGAGCAGCGCCCGCGCGCAGGAGTACGCTGTACAGATGCGACCTTTTGCTACGGTAGGCTGGGATCTGGTCCAGCAGTGTCAGAGAGAACGAGTCAAGCAGGGTACGAAGGCCAAGCTGTAGCACAGTCAAACGATATGCTGTAATCCATACTACCTTGATAATCATAAGTCCGTAACGAGCTGACAGCAAGCGTTCAAGTCAAGCCGACCAGGACTGTTGATGTCTCGAGAGATGAGACCGACCATGATCGAGACATGTGCTACTTCAAGGTGTAGATGTTCGTAGAGGATAGTGACGAAGTCGCGCGAGAAAAAGCATGACGGACGTCTCACTTGAGCCAAAAGAAAGGTGCAGATGAGATATACGAGGCAATGGAAAGAGTATTTGATTCATAGTACCAAGGCGTCGCTGCTTGGTACGCTCTTGATACGGGCCATGAGAATTGTTTAACACGAGTATGACGTGCTCCTTGGGACGTGTATAGGATCCGGGCTATTGGTCCTGTCAGTCCACGGGGATAAATGTCGGCATGTGGGCGACGGAAGGTTGCGACGTGATAGCGAACGTCTGTGTGTGTGTCGAATCACGGTCGGGGGCTGCAGATGGGTCTGGGAGAGAGATGGGCTCATCGGCGGTCGTGTTCGTCCATGCGTTCCAGAGCTTCCAACATGACAACTGAGTTGCCGCGGATGACCTGAGAAGAATCAGCAAGGTGTGGTGTCGGTGGTCTGCGAGCGGGTAGACGTACGACTTGGCCAATTCGGACCTTCTCGCCGCCAGCCTTCTCCTCGACGGCATCATCCAAGACGATGTTCAAGAAGACCTGTGGATGGTGAGTTTGCAAGCGCGATGAACGGGGTCACTGGTAGACGCACGTCGTAGCCGCGAAGGACGCCAATGACCTTGCGACTGCCATTGAGCTGGACGAACAGGCGACGGTCGAGGTACTGGAGGCTTGTTAGACATGGCGCATGCACAAGTAGGAGCGAGCAGGAAAAGCCACCTTCTTCAGCTCTGGCTGTGCTTGGGGCATGATCGCGCGAAGATGTATCAGTCGAGAAAGTGATGGATTGGAAGACGTCCAAAGTCTAGACGACGAAAGCGCAGGGCACGGCATTGCGACGGCTTGCGCGTGTGGAAAGTCCCCGCGCGTCATGCCCGAAAATCAAACACGGAACACCAGCTCAGCCATCAGCCATCGTCCATCACACATACACATGCACCATGAAGAAGTCCTTCGCCGCTCGTCGCGTACCTCGCAAGATTGGCCATGACGATGCCGATGCCCCGTCCGACACGTCGAGCAATAATGGTCAGTCCTCACCCTCGCATCTGTCTCCCAGCTCTAACGAAGCTCGTCGTGACAGTCGGTTGACGACCTGCTGCAGACTCTACCGCCTCCTCCACCGTCAAACGTCCCTCCGCGAAACACCGCAAATCCTCCTCCCTGCGTCCCTCATTCGCCGACGACGACAATACCGACTCGACTGTCGTCACTCCGAAGCGTACGAACCTCTCTCGTCTTGCCATCCAACGGAATGCCGAGAAACGTTCCGACGTCGCCTTCCGTCCAGCCCTCGATGCCGTCTTGGACCGTCCGACTTACAACAGAGACCATCTGGATGAGCTGAAACAGAGCACTCCAGCCACGCCCAAAGACGTTGCGTCTGCCTCGACAACCGACAACGAAGACACAGCTTCTCTATCCAACATCGCTGTTGACGTCAAATCAAAATTCGGTTCCGATCTATCGAGATACCAGCCTCCTACAGCTATACCCACCGCGGCCGAGATCCAGGAAAAGAAAGCTCGTCGCGCACGTCTGGCCAAAGAGAACGATTTCATCTCGCTAGAGGACCATGGAGACAACGGGGAGGATGACGACGACGCAGTCACACGGGACGATCAAGGGCGTTTGATACTCAAGCCCAAGGAAAAGTACCCGGAGACTCGTCTTGTACATGATGATGAAGACATGCTTGAAGGATTTGACGATTTCACGACTGATGGGAACATCACATTTGGCCGCAAGGCACAGAAAGAAGAGGACCAGAAACGTAGAGCCGAGATGGCCTCAATGATAGCCAATGTGGAAGGACAAGGAACAGACGACGACGAAGATGATGATGAAAGCGAGGCTGAACGTAATGCTGCTTTCGAAGTTGCGCAAACGCGCCATGGCACCTATGCTGCACGGGAACAAGAGGCCGAATCCACGAGACCCCAGACACCACCGAAGGTTGTCCCTCTGCCGACAATGGACAGCGTCGTCGAAAGGCTTCGAAAACGACTGGAGGAAATGGAGAGCGTTCGCGCCAACAAAGCAAACGAGATGCAGAGCCTCGTACAAGAGAAGACAATGATCGGCGAAGAAGAAGTCAGGGTTCAGGCAGCTCTGAAAGAGACGGGCGAGAAATACCAGAAGCTGAGGGAAGACATGGGGCTGGAGACCCAGCCTGACGACAAACAGATCGTCGAGGCAAATGGAGTCCACCAGATACCCAGAATCAATCGCGCCGAGGACAGCGACAGTGACGACGAAGAAGGAGCAGAGAGGCCGGGTCTCGGGACGTCAGGTCTGGGTAGCGGCATGCGTCGAGACATGTCGGACTGGGGTATGTAGCCTTGTCACAGCTGCCCCTGCACGCAACGATATGAATATAACGGAAATCAGAGAGTTGAGGTGTCCTTTTCGATGTGATCCTTTTTCCATAACGCCTAGCGCCTCGCTGTGTAGTTGCTCAATTGACAGTAATATCGGTGTGGCTTGCGAATCATGAGTTGGCATCGATTTCGGCCCATACGGATTCGACCTTTGCTCGCTTCTCCTTGGCTACTTCGCGGTTCTGGCGAGTGCGTTCAAGACGCTCGACACGCAGACACATGTTGACTTGGTGCTTTGCCTTGGTACACATGCCCATAGACTTCCAGAGAAATCCGCGGGCGTGACATTCTTCGAGGGCATTCATGACCTCCTCGCAGTCTAGTTGTCGTCAGAAGACCAATACTGGTGCTTTGAAGCCTGACTCGGCAACTTACTCTTGTTGTCTTTGGTATGAAGATGGGGATGCATGATTGCTACGGACACTGGTGGCCGGGTCGTTCAGTAATGGAGATTGTTCTATGGAATGGTTGGCTATGATGCGCGAGTAGATGTGATGGCCAGAGGCAAATCATCAGTCGAACAGCACTAGCGTGTCTTGGCTTTTCCGAACGCCGCTCTCATGTCACCTGTGACCTAACTGGTGCCTGTGTTTTGTTTCGATCAACGTCAATATTCCGAACATCACTGTAATCAGATGTCGCAACAGGTTTCTGCCAAGAAGCAGCAGGGTGTGTATTGGCCATATGTGTGGTCTTCTCTTTGCTGACCCGGTATGTCAGAGCTGCAGGCGCAATATTCCAACTACAAAGAAACTCTCCAAGCCATCGCACAAAAGATTGGAGATGTCGAGACTGAAGCAGAAGAGCACAAGTATGTTCAATTTTCTTTCCACCTTGATGCATGAAACTTTTGACAGTCTCGAGTTGCATACCGCATGGTCGATAGTTGCTGACATTGGAGTAGACTTGTTCTAGAAACACTTGAGCCACTGCCCGACGATCGCAAGTGTTTCCGTATGATCAACGGAGTCCTTGTGGAACGAACAGTGCAAGATGTTCTGCCACAGCTCAAGACCAACGCAGACGGTCTCAGAAAAGTGCTTGAAGATCTGCTAAAACAATACACTACCAAGCAAGAAGACCTTGAGAAGTGGAAGGTCTGTAAACTCGATCGTAGAATCTAAACGAGAAAGCCGGCTAACATGTATCTACAGCGTCAAAACAAGATCCAGGTTGTCACGCAATGAGCTCATTTCTACATTTGCATGGTGCAATGTATATGTCTTGCCCGCTCTGCTCTTATCCTTGCCGGTGAAAGCCTAAATGAGCTTGACAGCAAGCGTGCCATCCAGAGCCAAGTCGTGCATGGTGATGGCAGAGACCGGGCGTTGAGCGTCAGTACAAGGCTTACCTTAGCGGTCTTGTTCACCAACAGCAAGACTAAGCGCCATTACGGCAAGGGTCGCAGCACCACCAGATTCTGCGAACTTGCTGCTAGCTGGTCCAACAATCTTGCGTGAAGACAGAAGACTGAAACAGCTTGGATGGAACGACCGCAGGACTTCGATTCGTTGCTAGATTCTATAGCTCTCACGGACTAGTGAATGTAAATGTTTATGATCAACCACATATCGCCAAGCCTACGCAGCCTGTGCGGGGGATTGATTGACAAGTAGATGAGGCACGGTTGCAAGGTCATCCGTTGCGACCTTGCCATCCGAGATGTGTAAACAAGGCTATCCGATATAGTGACGATAAGCTCTGGAGGGGAGACCCGCGGCACATTTTTTGGAGCTGTAGAATCAGATGCAGCTTGCAGCGACAGGTCCGCTGTCCAAGCTTTGTCCGAAGCAGTTCTCCAGATCATCGAAAGCGCAAGTGATCCCCCACCATCGCACCCGTCTCTCAGGAAACGCGAACCAGTTCGTTCCTCCTTCATTGTCAGCCTATCACATTCTCCGCCAGTCACGATTTAAATAGCCATCAGACTTACGCGCCAAACATCGATACAGGCACGCCATCAGGTTCGGTATCTTATTTCTCGTCCCGCCCCACAGTCCAGCTCGAACACTCTGTAGCGTTACGTCGCGATCTTGACGTCTTCATACTTCCTCGGTTCATTGGGCTTCAAGGCAGTCCATTAATTTTCTGGCAGCAACTACATTCACATATTACCCGAGGGATTATTGCAGCCGCCAGCCTCATAGTAGTGTGAGTCTGTTGTCTTCCCGCGTCTGTCGCGATCCGGTGCTGGCGATTTGCATCACAACACGTGGACTGCGGCTCCCTGCCATTAAAGATGTACGACTGACACACTCCTTTAGACTCTGTTGTGTTGAATGCCAACTGGCTTCAAGAGCGCTTTTCCAAGTCTTGATCTGTTACACCATTGTTGTTCAGTGCCTTGCAGCAACCCCCCCGGTCCCCGGCTGTCGTAACACAACGCGAGGCATAGCGTCTTGGGCTGCAGACACTTTGGTTCCAACAGACTGTGACGTATCGCGACAGCGAATCAACTTGCCAGCGCAACAGACATCAGATTCAAAGGTGTGGGTCCTATTCTGCAAGTCGCCGAATACAATATGTCACAAAGCCCTCGAACAACGGATGTCGAAGGACAGTCGGTATCACACTCAGCAGCATTGCAAGCAGACGCAAACCAGCCGTCACCTGACGAGCATGAGCAGCAAGAAATGAGTAGAGGCCCTGATGATCCCGGTGATCATGTCATGAGTGGTTATGACTTTGAGGTCAAGGAGCAGGATCGTTGGTTACCCATTGCAAACGGTATGTTCTTATCGAGATTTCCCTTTTTCCTGGTAGGACGTGGTACAACCGACAAGGGAGCTTGCTGGGTCTGTACTCCCTTTGCACCACCTCCTGCATACTGACCAATGCCGTCAATGGTTCTGCCCTTCCAACCCCCTTATACAGCCCAATCGCGCGTTTCGACATTTTGACCGTCGAATCAGAGCTGCTTCTGCCAGCCCAGATCTGCAGCTTTGACTTTTGACAGCGCGCGGATTGCCGAACAGTCATGTCTTCTGCATCCCGAGTACCATCTCGATCACAGCCACTGCGTCCCCGGAACACTAAGAACGATGTTGCTTCCGATGCTAACATACGCAACTTTGCACCAGTCGCGCGAATTATGAAAGGCGCTCTCCCAGACAATGCCAAAATCGCAAAAGAAGCCAAGGAATGCATGCAAGAATGCGTTAGCGAATTCATCTCCTTCATCACAAGTGAAGGTACGTCTCTTGTTACTTGAAACTTCTGTTGGACCGCCAGCTGACAACTTGAAGCTTCGGAGAAATGTCAGCAGGAGAAGCGCAAAACCGTTAATGGCGAAGACATTCTCTTTGCTATGACCTCGCTAGGTTTCGAGAACTACGCTGAAGCGCTCAAGATCTATCTGGCTAGATACCGGGAGGTGAGTTTCGATAACATTCTCGAAGTAAAACTCACTTGGACTGACCAAGTTACAGACGCTTGTGGCTAGAGGCGAGCATCAGAGACCAATGACTGCTGGAGGCAGTGTCATGAACTCTGCCGGCGGTGCCCAAGAGACATCGCCCTACGAAGGTAGCAACCACGGTGCTGCTGTTCTGAACAACGCGATGGAGCCGGCTGAGAGCTCAACCAACGACTATGCTTATGGAGTTGGCCAAGGAGCAGCGGGAGGAGAATATTAGTTGTTGCAACAGCCGCTACCTGAGCCGTCAATCGCTCCAGAATTCTTTCCAGATCACTCCGAGGGTGAAGACGACTATTGAGTGGTACCACCATGGCATCTGGAGTTCGGGCGTCGAGACTCGATGCAAGCCTTCAAGGTAGCTGAAGGTAACTTATTGCCTTGGGATAGGCATGGAGGTCCCTCTTGATTATGTAGTTTATCGCTTCTCTAGACCAAACACCACATTCTCCTTCCAACATGCATACCTACGCATGTGCTCCCTCCTATTCAAGCACACATCGGAAGTTCATACAGTGTTAATATTCCTTCAGTAAATGGCCATCGTCGTTCCTTGGGCTTCATACTTCGAATTCATCAGACACACAGCGCTCTCGCGCGCACCAGAGCCACCAAGTCAATGAACACGGCCTTGAAGGGAATGAAGACATCGAACACGTCCAGGAAAGACAGACTAAATGATGTCTTCATGGATGATTTGGATTTCCTAATGTTCATGATGTTCATGGCCCCATTTGATTGCCAAAATCGTTTTCACGATTTCACACGAGAACGGGCTGATCAGCTGCCCGCAAACCAAGCTAACTCGATCTAGTAAGATCGCTTCGAGAGCTCCATAACGCGAGAAGCAACAACGAGAGAGTCAGACAAGTTGGACGACTTCTCGACTAGACACCACGTGCCTGATTACCTTCATTGATCACAATCTTGATGCATTTATATGATGCTCGTTTCGGCTTTCACGCTTGCCACTTGGGAAGGGAATAGGTTGGATGAAAACAGTGTGTTCAGGATCTGGTCTTTGAATCGCGATTGACTGACTCACTGCCAATACTAGTCAAGAGACCGGCGTACATAAGTTACGTCCTCCTGCCTTGTGTCTGGTGGTTTGGAGGGAGATGGGACTCGTTCCTGCCAAAGGGGGTTTGAGGCTGGCTGTCTATGCCACCTTCAAATCCTTCTACCGGGAGTGCTAACGCTGATGCTGATTCAGACCAATAGATACCAAGAGCTGCCAATCTTCTATCGATGCGTATAATCGTGGCGAAGATTGAGCAGAGTGAAGACGAGATATCGTTGTTCCAAGATCGAAGACCCTCGAATTTCGTGGGTTTCCATCAAGGTCAGCGATGTTCAGGGGATCTTTAGACATAAGATTATCGATCGCTACTGTGACATGTGTTTGATTGTCGTTGATCGTTTTGGGGATATATGCAGTTGCAAGTAGTTTCCTCAAACGTGTTGGTGAGCTTCCTGGAAACAGAATCGAGTCTAATGCCATTGGCAGAACTCGCGTCCCCATGGGGGCACCTACCTACCTTCATGCAATAGATTACCGGTAAGTTCTTCTTGTGTGGCCTCAGCGGTTGTGGTTTGGTCATTTGTGGTTCCTCAAGAACTATGTCCTGAGACGGACAGTGATGCTATGTGAAAGAGCATAACTTCATAATTTCATTTTTCTCTTGTGGACTAATTACTACCATTATTCCTCCCTTCTTAGAATACGGACCTTGGTATCTTCGGCACTGCTGCTCAAGAAGCCCACTCCACTATCGGCTTCAGATCCTGGCCCTCCCTCTTGAGTCTTCTTTGCACACTCCCTGTCGTAACTACTAGGATCAATGCCTAGAATACCGCCAACGTTATTGCGGTCGCCAGGCACGCTGAATTCGCGGAACGCATAACGCCATTCGTTCAGGAATTGACGGACAGCCTTGCCGACTTTGTCCTTTCCATTCTTCGAATGGTGCCCGGTGCCGCAAATGGCGTAAATAGGTCTGCTAGATGAACTGTGGTCGAGCAGGCACGACGTCAAGTACTGAACAGCTTCTTCGGGATGCAGACCTGTGACTGAGATCAGTATTTTGTCAATCAAGACCTAGACTTTTTGCTTACCGTGTAGATCCACGAATAGTTCCTTTCCAACCCCAGAGTTCTTGTTACGTTCTTCGTACAAGCAGCGAGCTGCCTCACGGTGGGCTTCCTTCATTGCCAGATTCTCGTTATGACCTCTGAGGCTAAGTGCCTTGGCGCCACGAGCATCGTTTCTGTTCCAAGCTTGAGCAGCACTTTGTAGGAATTTGTTTCTCAAACCGCCGTGCCGGAAAGCTTCAGCTCTGGCCTTGAGATATGCCTTATTCGCAAAGTCTCCAGTTTCCAGCCAAGGAATGTGTTCTGGCGCTGTTATAGCCATGGCAGCTGTGCTGTTTTCACGAGAGCCAGTGCTTTTCGAGGGCCGCAATCCTCTTCGAGACTGAACCTGGGGAGAGGGTGACGGAGTCATGCGGACGACGTCAGCCAATGACGAAGGCGTAGGGACAGGGCTTTCTCTGCTGGCGGCGTGGCCGTGACCTCGCTTCCCATGGCGACGAGAAGATCGTGAGGCAGCAGCGGAGCCCAAGGTAGGGAAGGCCTCGTCGTCGTTGACAGCCAGAGTCGAAGGAGTAGCAGTCCGAGACTGGTGGCGACTGTTGGGCCTAGACGAGGAGCGAATGCTTGCATTGCTCGAAGGCACAAACATGGCAAAGGGATTCATTGTAGAAGCGGCCGAGGGCGGTGATTGGAGAGAATTAAGCAGACTAGGGTCATAAGATTGGTCATAGGGATTAGAGTTGGTAGGTTGTAGAGCAGGAAAAGAATCGTAGTCTTGGAGCTGGAAGTTTGGTTGAAGAGACTGAATCGGAGGAGTTGCGCCCTCTTCCATGGTCAACCTGGTCATGAGAGCAGAGGGGTCGTGGGAGAAGATGCAAGAGTCGCCGGCAAGGCAGCCTCCGGCCAACCAGTACCTGGGAGCAGTGTTAAGATACAGATCATGGAGCTCACAAAGGACACTAATCAACATACTTGCAGAGGTGGTTACTAAGATCATGACTGAAGCGACAGTCGGCCCTGGCACAGTGGCCCGACGAGAGCCAGTACTTGCACACGATGCCGCTCTTTGGCTGGTTCGAAGGGGACAGCGGCCTTGAGGTAGGGCTCATTGATTTCCCAACGAGATATGTCCGGCTCTGGGATTCTGTTGCGCTCAAGGCCTGCGGGTCTGCTAGGGCCATAATGGTCTGACTGAAGTCGTAGCCATTCAGTTGGAGAACCTGCTCTAGCTCCTCGTCGGACTTCTCATCACGTAAGACGGAGCGCAGCATGTCGTAGTTGGACATTTCGACCATGGAGGGCTGGACCCAGTCGGAGGCGTAGGAAGCAAAGGTGGAGTCGCCGAAGGAAGCATTGCTGCTGGCATCGTCGTTGACTATCCAATCGACATTGTCGCTTCCGTAATCGCCATATTGCTCGGTGGAATGGGTGGGGTCGCTGAACTGGTAGGCGCTCAAGCTGGGGCTGTGGGGGATCTGAGGAGTCGCAAAGGCCAGGCGCGGTGAGGGACGCGGAGAGGAGAAGGGAGAGGCGGTCGAAGAGATTGCACGGTTGAACTGGGGAGGAGCAGGGCCGAAGCCAGGCGGAGGATGGATAGTGGCGCTCTGGGATCGCGGCGAGGCTGTGGCAGAGACGGAGCGGGACTGCTGCCACGGGGCGGGCGATGAACGACGAATCACAGTGGCGCGTAAGGGCGGCGGCGAGGTCGAGCCTTGCAGGTGGTCGCGATGGCGCCAGAGCACACCCAGGACGGCATCCTCAAGAGCCTTGCCTGTCAGACGGGCCTCTTGGCGAAGGAGGTCCTCGACGCGATCGGCCTTGTCATCCTCAGGTAGCGCGGGGTCCTGCAGCACGGGCAAGCATATCTCGTAGACCGTGTCCGACACCATGGTCGTGTTTATGCGTGGTGCATCGGGAGAGTGAGAGAATGGAGAGGCGTCACTGCTCAGCTGGGCCACGGCGATGCTGAGGGCAGGAGCGAGGGCGAGGGCGAGGTCGAGCGTCACTCACTCCGCTCCCCACCGCTCCGACATGGAACGGTCCCTCAGCCAAGCCTTGCTTAGCCCGCCTGGCGTCGATTGGTCCGTTCGTCTGCCGAAACCTTGGTCGAGCGCTGTCACCCTGTCATTCTGTCACCCTGTCGGAGCTTCGAGTCCCAGCTTGCATGTGAAGGCTGCTTGCTCTCTACCAACATACTTGATCATCGTTCTTGCTCTCCTTCAGCACACACTTGCCCATCATGGCCACGGCCGTCTCAGATCACATCCTCAACCCGGCCAGCGCTCCGATCCCTGATTTGTCCTTCCTGCCCTATCTCAAGACGGCCTTTCCGCCCTTTGGCTTTCCCAGCAAGCACAATCGTCCAACATGCGCTGCCTATAAGAATGGCCACTGTCCACTCGGCCCTGCGTGTCCTGATCGCCACTATACTCCACCCAACGAGCGTTCCGGAATCGGCCATCTCATCTGCAAACATTACCAACGCGGTCTGTGCAAGAAAGGCGACCAATGCGAGTTCGCACATACCTTTGACTTGCGAGGTGAAAGAGAGTGCAAAGAGTTCAGCCGTTTCGGTCTTTGCCCTCAGGGCGACGAGTGTAAGTACATGTCCATCACTCCTTGTGCCTACATCTCTGACTCGCTCTTTGATCAGGCACATACCTCCACATAGCACCAACCTCTCCGTTGCGCATTGCGCCGTGCCCTCATTTTGCCCGCGGTTTCTGTCCACTCGGCCCGTATTGCAGTCTAAGACACATCAAACACGCTGCCATCTGTCGTTTCTACCTTGCTGGCTTCTGTCCAAATGGTCGTTCAGGACCTCCGGACAGAGACAACGTTGTCTCATGCGAACACGGCGCTCACCCCAAATGGATCGAGGCAAAGGACTTGAAGAAGCCGGAGCCCCGTCGTGTGAAGCCTGAGGAAGAGCTGCGAAGAGAGCAAGAAGAGCGTGAGGAAGAGTTCTTTGCTGAAGAGGAGAAGCGTCGCGAAAGATTTGAAAGAGGAGAGAGTGGTGGCGGACGTGGCTGGGGCAAGCGTAGAGGAAGAGGCAGAGGCGGTTGGAGAGGTCGAGGAGGCTGATGCGTCTTTGAAGCATATGCATCACAACATCCTGGCCTCCATGCTTGCCTACTGGACCAAGGAGCCAGCAACGCCTCACTCCCTACAGATTATACTCGACAATCAGCCAAGGTCTGGCTGGCGTTATTCTGGGTGCTGCTCTGGGAGCCTCCAAGAGCTGGGTGCCGATTTCGAGTCGTTCATCCCGGCAAATAGCAGGGTTCAGCATGCCACCATGGACTAGTGTTCAGCCGAATTCCTGTGCTGTAGAAGTACTAACAGTACAACTGAGATTATCATTCGTACAGGCGAAGAAAGAAACCGTCGAACGCTGGTGACGTGCTCGAACATTTCTAGTGTTCAATATTAGATTAATTTGGGTCGATCTGAGCTTCACAGAGACGAGCGGATCGCTGTGTCACAGCCCAAAGGCTTTCATAGCTTCAATTGGGGCGTGGTCGGACAAGATTGTTGGTAAATAGTTGAGTAAACAGCATTCTCCAATCGAGACCCTCAATCTTGGAATCTACACACTCCAAACTTCTGAACCTTGCACGCCATCTGACAACAAACTAAAAATGCTCAAAATTGCCGATATCTTGTCCGATCTTACTTCGCTCCGCGTTGGTGTATGTTAAAAGTGAATGCACGCGATTGCATCTCCACTTGACTGACCTATGATGTTTGATTGACAGGATCCAACTGCTGCCATGGAGCTGGTCCTGGCCCGGCCACCCAGCGACGTCGCAACCACGTCAAGTCAGCAGCTCATAGCAAAGGCACAGAATACTACCGACACAGATGCTGATCTCGCTCGCGCTCAAGATCTGCTGGATCTGCATGCCAACGTGAAGCTCGCTCATCGCGCGGGTCTCGACCAATCCCTACTGGAAGCTCGTCAGCAGGTCAAGTTGGCTCTAGCAAGTGTCTGATCTTTCGCATTCTGAGGCTTTAGCTTTTCGTCAAGTCATGACAACACTGCCGTTTCAAAGGTCGCAAATCAAGCTCACTGGTCACTACTGAAACACCGCCCGAATAACCGATGTGAGGTCTGTCCTGCATAACGGAGGTCGGCGGAATCAAGCACACAATCACGACAAGTCTTGGTCGAGCTCAGGGAATGACATCAATTAGGAAGGGTTATGGTAGGATGTATATCAATATCTTGAAACCACGGCAGTTGCAACATTGCTACCTTGCTCTCCCAGCAGAAGACGCAGGAATAGTCTGCCACCAAGTTTGGAAACCCAGAACTTTCTGACTTTGTCTCTCCAATGTCTCTTTGGGTGGCCACCCTCGTCAACAGGATCAACGACCACAACATGCGTGTCACGTCTGATAAAAGTATCGGAGGGCATAGATCGGAAGGACAAGAATGATGGCCTAGCGCGTACTTCATGCGCCTCTTGTTGTAGTTCGGGCGAAGATTTGCTTGCAACGAGGACGGGCACCCTGTCAGTGCTCCCTTGAGTAGTTGTTCCGACTCTCTGTATGGATGCAATAGGAGCCGCAGCCAGCGGTACAACCGGAGCAGGAGTTGTGCTTGACGGAGCGGCAACGATGACTGGTGATACTGGAGCTGGCGATATAGAATTTGGCGACTCTATGATCACTGTCGGGGAGACACTTGGTGATGAAGGGGTCGATGACACGATAGGTGCGGGTGGCGCTTCAACATGTGTGGTCTGAGTAGAGCTCGGCTCCACTTGCTGGACGACGACAGGGATTGGTGCAATGACCGGAGAGGCCGGTGGCGAGACATTTGCAGGAACAGCAATGAGAGAAGGGCTGGGTGGTGGGAGAGGCTCAGGAGCAACGATAACAACTGGAGGCGCGGGAGGTGGTGATGGAGGCTTGGGTCCAGAAGCTGGAGGTGTCACAGCCTTTTCGAGTGTTGGTTCTGCTGCCGGGACTGCAACGACGGAGCCTCCATGGCTGGTGACGACGAGTTCTGGTCACAGCATCAGTCGTCGTGCAGCAATGATATATCTGGAAGTCGGTTCTTACGCTCTGGTGGAGGTGGAGAAGGGGGCGGAGAGGGAGGTGACTCTGCTGCTGGGGGTAGAGGATCAATCGAGACCTTGGGCATGGGCTCTGGAGGATTGTCCATTGCAAATCAAGAACGTCGTGGCAACAGACAACAAACGAAAGGCTGGACGAAGAAGATTAAGATGATGGAGTAAGGAAGCCGAATTGATGAAGTGCGTGGTTGTAGAAGATCAAGAGAACTCAAGCCAAAGTTGTGCTATTCAACAACTGGTGGGTAGGTAATCACTTTCCACAGCGCCTTCCGTATGGTGAGACGCTGCCAACTGGTCGTCGCTGCGGTGAAGCTGGCAGAAAGCAGGAAGCAGCTCGGCATGTTCTCACGTATGTTCCTGCCGACTTTCGTCTCGACGCTACGCACAGAGCCATCTCTTATAGCGGTATGACAATAGCTAGACCTGATCACCTTTGTGTCTATGCAGATAATGGTCTTACGATGATCACAAGTACACAGAATGCATGCTACGTGGTTAACAAGACACATCCACACTGGCCATCAGGGCCTACGGCTCATGTACTTGACGCAACAGGCCGCTGTCAGCTTAGACAGAGCACTGTAAGACACTCGCGTTAGAGCCATCCATGCCTGCGTCTTGTTGATTTGTGCTTGTTGCATATTTGGTCTTGATTGCCGATACGCATGAAACTGCGAAGCAAGCTGAAGCTAGGTGAAGTGAGAGTATGACGGTCTGTGCGCTGATCAAACAAACTCTCGCGTTCCCATCATCAACATCTGTACACTTGCTGTCACCTGCATCGTTAACTCTTTAGAATCGAACTTCAACCAGATCAAGCGGTACCAAACATTGATAAACAGACCATGAATCGTATAACTACGAACGTGGACCAAAAGCTATTGCGTACCACCAAATTCCCACCTGAGTTCAGCCAGAAAGTCGACACAACAAAGATCAACATTCCTGTTATCAAGAAGTAAGTGACGCTGAGCTTTGCTACATCATGTTTTATTTTATACTAACGCTGTGAAGCTGGGCTGCTGGTGAGGTTTCGAAAATTCTTGGCTACGAAGATGATGTCGTGATCAATCTTCTCTTTGATCTTCTAGAGGGCTCCAAAAACGTAAGCTATCGACATTCCAAGTCAGGAAATAGTGCGCTGACAGTACTAGCCCGACATCAAATCGTTGCAGATTCAATTGACAGGCTTCCTTGAGAAAGATGCGGCGCTGTTTTGTAAGGAGCTCTGGGGCCTTTGCTTGAGCGCACAGAAGAGCGATACAGGAATCCCGCAGCAGCTTGTCGAGGCAAAGAAATTAGAACTCATACAAGAAAAGGTAAGTTCGGCTTCGAGGTACCATGTTCTCATTCTAACTCTGTACTAGGTCGAGCAAGAGAGGGCTATTGAAGCAGCTAGACAACGCAGAGAGGACGAGAGAATTCGCGAGAGAGATCTCGAGAATGTCCGCAACCGGGACCGTGATCGCAGAGATCGAGGAGGACGAGGACGTGGCCGTGGCGGAGGCGGAGGCCGCGATCTCGAACGTCGCCCTCAAAGAGACTACTCCAGATCGCAATCACCGCCATCAAGGCAACCATATGGATCTAGTGATTTCCGTCGCAACAGACCTTCTGCCAGAGAGACGGACTCGTACGTGCCAGCCGGGGAAGCCAGTGGCCGACGAGGTGTGAGACGCCAACGATCACCCTCCATCTCCCGCCGTGATCCCGGCTCAGTGTCTCCTCGACGTACATCCCCAACCAGAGCCCGGAGGAGCGCACGACGTAATACCTCGAGCGAGCGCAGTCGTAGTCGCTCTGCAGAAGATCGTTATGCCAAGCGACCACATGACGGGCAACGAGCAGAGCGCCGACGCCGGGACTCATCGCCTTACTCACGAAGACGTTCACCACCTCCGAAGCGTAGAAGAGACTCTTCTTCTTCTCCTAAACCAAGACGCTATCGATCACGCACACCCTCAAGGTCTCGCCCGAGCCGCAAAGATCGCGACGACAAGAGCGTATCTCCTCCACGCCGTCGACGTTCCCCTTCATTCTCCGAAGATAACCAGAACAAACGTGCTAATTCTGTCAAGGATCGTCACACCGGTAACACACGCAGCTCTAAGCGCAGCCGCAGTAGACAACGTTCTCGGAGTCGCTCTCGCGAAACTCGCAGACGATCAACATCTTTGACCAAGTCACACGACAACAGACGACACCTTCCTGATGTCTCCGAAGAGAGGACCATGAAGAAGTTCGACAAGCAAGCAGAGAGCACTGCTGGAGCAGCAGAGGAGGTGGGTGCTGATTCTTAAAGTCACATAACATCTTGTCCGGGCCTACTTGTCCCTAACTGTATCTCACGACACACCTGCATGTGCGAGTGAGATTGGCCGTATTCATAGCCGGTATACTAAATCTATGTTACGTCAAGCTGGCACACAGTGTGCATGTTCCAGAGCCAAGGCAGATGCTAATGAGTGAAGATCGATGACAGATCAAGCTCCTCTGCAGCCCTCGCAAAGCATAGCGATAAGAGGCCCACGGCGAATGAATTGAGAGAACGATTGTTGAAGAACAAGATCATTGCCATGCGCAGGATGTGTGGAGGTTGCTGAAGCACCTTTGTGTCCAGGTGCAAGTGTGAAACTGTCAAGTTGTGTTTGGCGGCGATGGCTGCCGAGAGTGTGGGGAAGATCGACTGTGACGCGTGGGGAGTGGACGAGGATGCGCGCGCCGACATGGAATTAGATTTGCTGCAGCATCCTCGCACAACTTCCATCCATCTGCTCAACCATCTCGCCTGCGCATCGAAATGACTGATAACGCAGCTGCTAGTGCAGCCAATACAGACCAGCCCGGTCGGCCCTATTACGAGAGTCTACGGAATACCCTCAAAAGTACCTTGATCAAGAAGCGACAACTCGACGAGCAATTGCAAGCGCTGGAAGACAACATCTACAAAATGGAAAGCAGTTATCTGGAGGAAACCAACGGTGCTGGCAATATCGTACGCGGATTCGACGGATGGGTCAAAGGTGTTGTGGTAGGAGGAGACAAAAAGTCCATCGACGACCGCAAGGCACGAGTGCGAGTTCGCGACGAGGACCGTATCTTCTCGCGAAGCTCCATGTCATGGATCAGGGTAAGCTCGACTCTCGCTATCTCTTCGTACTCTTGGTCAAGCCGCTGACATGTAGACTATAGGCGCAGGACTCAGATATGCCCACGTCGGCTACCAACACACCTTCACACGCTCCTACACCAGCATCCTCGGTACCACCCCAGCTTACCTCCAGAGATAGCAACCACCCGACACCGAGTAGCACTGTCTCGAAAGCAAACAGCAAAAAAAAGAAAGCCGCCGACAAGGATGATGACGAGGACAATGGGCCGGCAAAAAGAAAGAAGATCTCCTACGGTCCGCATTGATATGTTTAACATTCTGTCATTTGCTGCGTTGAAGCGGGAGTTGGGGACAGGTCATGCAAGCATTGGGAGTGAGGGTCAGGCGTTCAGGGTGTAGGTCGTTTTATAGAGTCATCTTCACGATTATTCTACAGTGGTGGTAAATTACAAGTGTCCTGGAGACACAACAACGCTGTCTTGCTTCCGCAACAGTGGTGGGTTCTGTTAGTATTTTGCATCTTCTTCATGTGAATGACTTGTTATCAGCACCCAGATTTGGTTTCTTGTTTGCATGTGTTTGCTCATGTGGATGGCGATCATCACGAAACCACTCCCGTCCAGTATATGACCATCTCCCAAGATAGTTGGCCATACATTGTAACCACCTATGACTAAGGCTTCAGACGTGGAACAGGAGCTCTGGCTATTTGGCTATGGGAGTCTGATCTGGAAACCGCCGCCACATTTTGGTAAACATGGCTTTGGCTACCCGCTTCGTACGCCTACTGACTGGAGCAGATCTGAGAGTGCCTGGCTATGTCGAAGGATATGTGCGGCGCTTTTGGCAAGCAAGGTAGGCTCTAAGACTCGTTGTCTCACTATATAATAACAATGTCGTAGCGAGGATCATCGCGGAACTCCCGAAGCCCCCGGTCGAGTTGTCACGTTGATTGACAGAGCACATTGGGAGACGTTGGTCGATGAGGTGTGTTTGAATATTTGACTGACTACCAAAATCGCCTCTCCTAATGGCGTGTAGCACTCCGATGCATCAGCTACCACATGGGGCGCCGCTTACCGGGTACGTCAATTGAGCATGCAAATGATACCTGTGCGTAGATTCAGTGCTGACGGCGACCTTGAATCGCTTTAGATACCTGGGCCACACGTAGCAGAAGTGAGAGAATATCTCGACATTCGTGAGATAAATGGATATAGTATCCAGTACACTCCATTCCACGTCTCAAGATCATTTGCGGCTTCACACAACCTACCCGCACCGATCAATTGCTTGGTGTACGTGGGGTTGCCTGACAACCCGCAGTTTGTGGGCCCGCAAGATGCTCAGTTACTGGCAGAGCATATTGTGAGAAGCAGGGGACCGAGTGGCGAGAACAAAGATTATCTCTACGGACTTGACCGATCCCTCTTGGAGCTTGGAGAAGGAAGCGAAGACGAGCATGTCCACGATTTAGCGAGACGCTGCCGGGAGATTGAGGGTAGATCGTCAGACTCCAGTGTTATCGGATCTGAGTTGCGAAGAGTAGGGAGCACGGATGAGCAGGAAGAGACAGAGAAGTGAAGACGACATGACCAGTAGTGTACTAGATGAATGCATGGTCAGCAATTGACGCGTTACAGTCTTACAGAGAACTAGATGGACGGAGAAGGTTTGTAGATCTACAGTAGGGTGGCTGCGGCGCGAACCGGAGCGTCGTACAGTTTAACGGTCGAGCGCCGAGGTGAGGGCATACGAATCCCATAACGTGTTTGGATGCTGGGCCAAGGGGAAACTCATTCTTCCTTCCAATGTCGACGTCCTGAACAGACTTGCGCATCTGTCGACATGCGACAAGAGAAGGCGGCCACATGGAGTGATATCCCGACTTCTGTGCTGCGAGCTGAATTGCTACGCCGGCAAACCAACGAGCACAATGACAGGCCTGCGTGTGGAACTGCTGGCTCCAACAAGGACTACAACATGCCTCTGCATGTCTTTGCTCTGATCTTGATTCTTGTTCTCAGCACACTGGGTTTGTCCTGTCTCTACATGGATCTCCTGGCCTCTTTGCTAATGATGGAACAGCATGCTCCTTTCCCCTTCTTGTTCGACGGGTCCCTCGGATGCCAGTACCACGTCAGTTCCTCTTTCTGTCAAGGCATTTTGGAACCGGTGTCTTGATCGCTACCGCCTTTGTGCATCTGTTGCCCACCGCCTTCACCTCCCTGACCGATCCATGTCTCCCGCCCTTCTGGAACCAAGGATACCCCGCCATGGCTGGCTTCATTGCCATGATATCGGTTATGCTGGTTGTCGGTATTGAGATGTTCTTTGCCACAAAAGGAGCCGGCCATTCCCACTCAAGCGAATATGTAACGCCCGGTGAAGAACACGAAGACATGGCTCCCCTGACGAGAGGCAGCCACGAGGGATTCGCAAGACCATCCCGCCCCCGGAGTAATAGTTATCGGCGTTTCAACCAGGGACAGATAGGTGTAGAGGAAGATGGCATCGAGGATGCGACTCTACAGGACGCTTCGCCCTGGCAGGAGCATGAGAGGTACAATGACGTGGGACATCCGAGTCGCAAAGGGATTACCAGCCATAGCGATGCAGGCAGCAACTCAGACCTTGATCTGGATGAATTGGACGAACTGGATGCTCACACGAATGGGAATGGATCATCATCTAAAATTCAAGGGCATGATTCGGGCCCGAGCTTGGAAAGGACTGGATCGCCTTCGGATCAACAGCAGCAACAGAAGATGCTGTTACAGTGCCTACTCCTCGAGGCAGGCATCCTCTTCCACAGCATCTTCATAGGTATGGCGGTGTCGGTGGCTACAGGGACGTCGTTCATCGTGCTGCTTGTGGCCATATCTTTCCACCAGACATTTGAAGGATTGGCACTTGGGTCTCGCATCGCGGCTATAACGATATTTCCAAAAAGATCACCACGCCCGTGGCTTATGGCATTAGCGTACGGAACGACGACGCCACTGGGACAGGGGATTGGACTTTTGGTGCATAATCTCTACGACCCGTTCAGTCAGACGGGACTACTCATGGTGGGTATCATGAATGCGATCAGCAGTGGACTGTTGTTATTCGCAGGCTTGGTGGAACTATTGGCGGAGGACTTTTTGAGCGACGAGAGCTACGAGGTGCTCCGTGGACGAAAACGGTTGCAAGCATGCGGCGCGGTGGTTGCTGGAAGTTTACTCATGGCCTTGGTTGGAGCATGGGCTTAAGGATGGATTGCATTGGAGGTACAAGGCGTTAGGCACGGTTCAAAAGGGTAGAATATGTACAGAACATGTGTGTGTAAAGATAGCAAGGCACTGACAAGACTGTGTGGTTAAAGAGGAGCTCTCTCGAGAAAGCAGAGTGTTGCAGCACAATCAAGGCATTCTGTACAGTGAAGCATGGCAATACTCAAAGGCGGGCAGGTGAGGTGAATTAGGCTCGGGCAGAAGCAGGTTGCATGATGGTGACAATCCAAGGATCGGCACTGGAGATGAGGAGTCCAAGCGACAGCCGGCCGCTAGTTTCCTGCCGCATCTTCGTCCTGGCCCTGCACTTGGACTTGGACTTGGGCTCTGACTTGACAAGAGTATTGCCGACTCGTCGTCGTCACGTCCATCCATCTGGAACAAGCGGCAACCTTTTCCGAAGCGAGCCGTTTCCTACCGCGCTCCATCGACCGCTCCGTCTCGACTCTCGAATCTCCCGCCTCCGTCGACACACGACACACGACACACGACACACGATACACCCGCCTGCGCCACTCGTCCTTCGCCCACGAACAAGCATCCACAACTGTCACTCGCCAGTGGTATGCCGGTATAGCGACCACATCTAAATGTCTGCCACGACGACTGCGCCGAGCGCCGCCTCGCTCTCGTCCTCGCCCTCGCCCACCAACACCGGCTCTTCGGGGGGCAGCGGTCCCACCAGTTCACCTCTTCTGTTCTTTGTCGCCCTGGGTTTCGGTGTCGTCTTTACGAACCTCTGGTATCCACCCTCCTTGCCCTCTTGCTTGTCACCGTCCCACTTCTGACTCCCTTCCTTAGGATCATTGTCGGCGTCAAGTATTGCTTCCGCTACAACCAACGCAATCGCCAACGCGCACTCGGCGAAGATGGCAACCCAATCGATCTCATGGCAATGCCCCGTCCCCACAGACGTCGCAGAGAAAAGAAGCTCATGACCATGGACGACGTCAACGATCGCTTCCCGCTCACAAAGTACAAGATCTGGAGAGCCTCGCGCGAGGCTAACGGCCTGTCCACTGCTGGCGGTGTCAGTGCCGCTCCGAGTCGCGCTCCCAGCATCAGACACTCTACACCAACAGATACCCCCGCTTCTCCCCGTACCACTCTCGAACTGGCCCAGCAACATCATGCCACGGCCACTACCGCCGCCTCCTCCGCCGCCCCTGTCACTACTTACGACAAGGTTCCGCTAGAGAAGACCGAGACTGTGGCATCCTCGATCCACGAACACGATCACGAGTCCGACGACGAAGACGATCCCATCCGCACCGCTGCCCCACCTGAGATGGTTGCACCTCCGGGAGACACATGTGCCATCTGTCTGGATAACCTCGAGGATGATGACGACGTCCGCGGTCTTAGCTGCGGCCACGCCTTCCATGCTGCTTGCCTTGATCCTTGGCTCACTTCCCGCCGTGCTTGTTGTCCCTTGTGCAAGGCCGACTACTACGTTCCAAAGCCTCGTGCTGCCGACGACGCTGATGACACTGGTCGTAGGGAGCGCGGCATGCGTATGCCTCAAGGTCCTGCCGCCGCTTGGATCGGCGCTCGCAGATCAGCCAACACGGGCAGGAGGCGTATGATGCTTGCCGGCCCACGCTTCATGAACGCTGAGCCCCATACCGATCAGCATGGCTCTCCGCACGTCGTACATCGAGGTCCGGCTCCAGGAGCGGGAGTCCGATCCGACGCTCAAGGTGGCTGGCTCAGCAGATTGCCTCGATTGTCAAACCCTCTACGACGTGGCAACGTCTCCAACACGGCGCATGCCAACACCACTCCTACACCTGGTGATCTGGAAGCTGGTACTTCGAGATAGCTTGGTAAGAAGATGAAACAGTCCTTCATTTGTTGACTCGAGGGACATCTCTGGGCTCTTCGGGACAACAGTAACGAGCCACTCTGGGGTTTTGGGATCGGGTCTATTTGGGCAGGTATGCGGGTAAGCGACAAGGTCATGGCGATGGTCGGTTGGGACTGATGGGAATTCGGGGCGCTCTGGGTGTATTCTCTTAGGGGAGCGATCTTATTTACTCTCAAATTTCACAGTTTCTTTACCAGACATGTTTGTCTTGTCAACCATGGGTCGGATCCCATTTGTGATATCTTGTGAATTCTTTTGTCCGTCCTATGGTTAGACATGAAACTATGCTCTGTATATTACATCTCACCGCATTGAGCAATAGCGATGTCCTGGATCGGCTTGTCCGTTACGTTGGTCCTGACATTCTCAATCTTCCGCACAACGTCCATGCCATCAACAATCTTTCCAAAGACAACGTGTTTGCCATTGAGATGAGGCAGCGGTACAGTAGTGATGAAAAACTGACAGCCGTTTGTGTTTGGTCCAGAGTTCTAGTGGAGATGTACGTCAGCCTTCTGCACATATGTACAGCGATTCGCAATGATGACACTCACCGCCATGGAGAGCAAACCAGCGACGTCGTGTCTAAGATTGAAGTTTTCGTCCGCGAAAGCTTTGGTGCCGTAGATTGAAGCCGAGCCAGTGCCATCGCCGTTCAGAAAGTCGCCTCCTTGGATCATGAAGTTTGGGATCTTTTTGCATGTGTTAGCTATTCTGTACACCTCGCGTCAGTCTAACGCAAAACTCACCACGCGATGGAATTTGCAGCCCTTGTAGCCTTGGGGATGGCCCAAGTGGTTCTTGGTTTCGCCAGTGCAGTATTGGCGGAAGTTTTCGGCTGTCTTAGGTACAACATCGTGGAAGAGTTCCATCTTGATGCGGCCCATGGGCTCGCCGCCTAGGGTGATATCAAAGAAGACTACCGGGTTGGGGGATGCGGACGCTGCCATCTTGTTTGAGCAAAGCGTGATCGTAGATGAAAATGAACCGTATGGCTAGGGACGCTAGATTTGTGCAATATAATGGACGTTGACGATATGTTGAATGCTGAAGCTGTGGTTGTTTGACACAAGAGAGGACGAAGTTGGCTTAGAAAGTCTCAGTCTCAGCGGTGAATGGTCAAAGTGTTTACTGGATGACAATTAACATGTAGCAGAGCCTATGAAGCTGACAATGTTGAGTCATGAATGAGCTGCAAGGATTGAATGTATGTTCCGGAGATAGATTGCTTGTACATAGAGGAGTGCAGTGCAAAAAGGTGAATAATATACAGAAGCAGGGTCATACCAGCAGTGTGTTGGGAGTGAGGGAAGCATTGCCCCGCCAATGACATCATACAATCAAGCTCGTGAGGATCCAGCCACTTCCACGTTCTCTCTACGAAACAAACCTTACAACCGCTATTATTGCAACAAGATATAATCTCTATTTGCACCCCAAAAGTATGTGAGATTGTGAAGAGAGCGACACCACTTCCACTGACTTCACGTCTTGCAGAAACTCAACCATGTCTTACGGAAACGATCGCTACGGTGGTGGTGGTGATGACAGCAACTACGGTGGCCGCGAAGGCTATGGCGGCAACGACAATAACAAAAGGGGTGGCTACGGCGGAGGAGGTCGTCAGGAGTATGGCAACAACTCCCAAGGCGAGTTCGGTGGACAAGAATACGGCGGTCAAGGCGGCCGTCAGGAAGGCGGCTATGGCCAAGGCAACTCCGAATACGGCGGACAGCACCGCCGTGACGACGAGTCCGGATACGATCAACGCAGAGACGAACTGAGAAACCACGGACAATCAGGTTACGGGTGAGTGCTTCCTGCTTTTGAAAGCACGAATCGTATAGGGCTGACCGTACTCAAGCTCCGTCGCTGGTCCTGGCGGATTCGGAAGAGGCCAGGAGGGCTACGGAGGTCCCAATTCCAACAGTTCCGAGAACAGATACGGCTCTGGTCACAATGAAGGCGACCGCTACAACAGTGGCAACAACAACAATGACGAAGGACGCTACGGTGGTGGCGGCAACGGTGGTTACGGACAATCTACTGGCACCTCGTACGGCGATGTTCCCGGCGGCTCGGACGACTACTCATCTGCAGCTCACACTGCAGCCCAGCACGCCGGCGGAGCTGGAGACACAAATCTGTTCAGTGCTGCCCTTGGTATGCTCTCGGGCCATAAGGCGAAGCAGGAAGACGTCGACGAGGACGACGCCATCAGACAGCATCAGCAATACTACGGTGGAAACGGCCAACCTCAGCAAGCCAGTTCCGGTAGCATGGGCTCGGCTGCTGCTATGCAGGCCCTCAAGATGTTCAACCAGGGAGGCAGCTCTTCTGGCCACGGACCCAAGAGCCAGAACGACTTCATCGGACTGGCCATGTCTCAAGCTGCCAAGCTGTTTGGTATGTGTAGACATCATCTGTAGCAGATCACCTCGCTAATTTTGATGCAGATCAGCAAAGCTCTCAGGGCAACGTGCATCAACAGGCTTCGAAGCAGGATGCCGTCTCGTCCGCAGCACAAATGGCGCTGAAGATGTACATGAAGAGTCAGGGCGGCGGTGGCAACAGCAGCGGTGGTGGTCTCATGGGTCTCATGAGCAAGTTCATGTAAGCATGAATCAGAAGGATACCCTCTAACATAGCTACGACACTGAGAATACCATCACTCTTCCATCAAATTGTTTGGGCAAGACGTGAATCGAGTGCACTGTATTGATGAAGCGGCCGTCACGTTATGGCAGGTCGACGCTGCTCCAATCCTTTGTTTGTATGTCTCAGTAGTCAGTATCAGCTCATTGCGTAGGATTGCAAAACCATCTCTCGATTCGAATTGCTATCGGCCATCTCCAACCGCGCGACTCTTCAGCTTCAAATACCCTTTGTTGCCATCATCAGTAGTCATGTCATCAGACTCAGGGATGCGCTTCGCCGAGGATGAGCTGGCTGGAGCAGCTGGTCGCGAGTTTCGAGAGCCGCCCACCAGTACTGCCTCCTCTTGTTCAAAGTCATCTCCGGAAATGACCTCCCATTCTGCCCCTGACATGTCTTGAAACAGGATTTGCTTGATCTTGTCGAGGAAGCGAGCAAATGACGCCGCTCGCCAGTTGCGCATCAGGTCGAGACTTTCAACCGCGGTAGAGGATTGACGAACAGCGGCATGAGAGAAATGACCAAAGGGCTGACCAGTACTTGTGGGATGATCCGGGTCGGCTGGCTGAGGGGTTGGGCTTCTACTAGTGTGTTCACGGAAGAGTGTATAGAGATTCAGACCCAAGGGACAAACGGCTTGGTACGCACTCGAAAGGTTGAGGCCTTGAGAATTGCAGAGCCATGCAACGTTCCAGGCTAGTAAGGAAACACCTTCAATGAACAGATTGTACCTCGCGGGATCCTCCTTTGCCAAAGAGACCAGTGGACGATCCAGATGTAGAAGACGGGGCTTCGGTAAAGAGCGTTGATCCAAAGTTCGCGAGGAAGACGGAGTAGACGAGGAGCCTGGGAATGGAAGTTGAAAGCCCTGATATGAAGATTGCAAGGAGAAGATGGTGGGATGAGGATAGCTTGCGTGAGGAGGAGTGATCTCGGCTGGAAGGCGGACAGACAGATAGTGACAGCACGTAATCAACAGACGGCATACGTTGGCTAGCGACGCATTGATGAGCTGAGATTTGGCAGAATTGAGGTGGCGCAAATCGACGATGGAAATGCCGCCAACAGCGTAGTCGTGCACGATGTTACCATCTGGCATACGCCGCCTTTTCTGCTGCAAACCAGCCAGCCTTGTGGTCTCTTGACACAACTTGGTTCTACCTTCGAGGGTACGTGCCTCTACCTTGGCGAGTCTACGCTGACTCCGGCGGATACTTGCATGAAGTGGTTCAAGTAATTGAGGCACGCGGCTCTTCATCTCTGTCTTCTCGCGCACTATCTCGGCATGTCGCTCCTTGATCTCAAGTGCGCGTTTAGCATTTTCCCTGCGAGCTTGGTCTATCTGCTGCTTGAGCAAGCTCAACTTGTCATTGATGACGGCGCAGCGCTCAAGAGTAGTCTGACTCTCTCGCAGGACCTGGGCATGAGCATGCTTTCTTGCACTTTCGGTGGTAAACACCAGCTCCGAAGAATGTAGCGGAAGGTCTGGAACTGGCAAGACGGTGCAGCTGACCTGCTTGTGCAGCGAGTCAACGTCGATCAGATCTGTCAACCTGTTCAGCCGAGCCTGGTACACCAGTGCCCGGGCACAAGAGACGCATGTTGGTTGTCCATGGGATGGGAACGTGGTGGAGCATATGGAGCATTCCATTGTGGCCGGTACCCAAGGCCAGGTCCAGTGTGTTTGTGCAGTACTTGCTCGCGCATCGATCGTCTCTTTCTATATATTCTCTCGGACTTGTCGCAGAAAACAGTGCAAGACTCGAGCGTGGCTACTGTGTCACCACGTGTTAAGACTCCGTCGAGAAAGAGGGCACTCTAGGGGCGTGCTCGCATGACACTTGAATATATAATCACAGGCGTTGGTGAGAATGTTCGAGTTATCTTTGAACGTCGGTCACGCTTGACCAGACACGTCACAGTCCGGTAATAGAGGCCCCTGGAGTCCGCGCTACATCATCTACCACTTCGGGAAATACTGTCATGCACCATGGATTGAGACTTGACACAACGTGCCAAGCACTCCACGAGCCATCTTATTGTTGATTGGTCAAGACTTCCTGGCCAGAATCACTATGGTGCGGTTACGGGTCGAGGCATTTCTGAGATCACAAGGTGGGGGTCTGCGTACTGCTTGGCCCAATCTCACCGCGTCACGCGTCGCGTCATCCGCGACTGCCTAGCATACAACGTCTAGTTCCGTTGCCCAAAACATATTCGCACCAACGTCCGAGATCCTTGGACAGGTGAGCCCGATATGGAGTCCGGTCACACTACTACGCTGCACGGACAGACCAGCCCTCCGCCAGACGAGAGTGAGGAAGAAGACAACATCGACCCCAAGGATGAACTCAGCCCCTTCGACTGGCAAGCACTTAACTCAGAGTATCTCGAGACCATGGCTCAGTGCAAGACAAACGAGGACAAACACCTTGAAGAATTCGCATCTCTTTCACGATTCTTTGGAGTCTGGGCTGAGACCATCTCCGGACACGAACAGGAAAGAAGCCACGCGCGGTAGGTTCGAAATGTTGTAGAATTGACCTTCTCTAATTCTCTGCCACTCAGTCTCAGGACACAAAGTACCCTGGCCAAGTATCACGAGGGCGAGCTCGAAAAGCGCAGAAAGCATTGTAAGATCAACCAAGCAGCAGTGCACTTTCATGTGTCTTTTCTAACCCGGACACAGACGTGAATGTCGTCGAGGCATTTCGGAATGCTCTTCACATGCTTGGTAATTAAGTTTTTCCAACATACAAGGTTTACTTCGGAAAGCTTTCATGCAGCTATACTGCTTCCGAGTTTCATCTTGCATGCGCTAAAGAGTCCTCTTGCCCATGTCTGTATCTTTGCGTCTGACTGAAAGCGTTGCTGCAGCCCTGTCTTGTACTCCCATTTTTTTGCTTTATTCGATTGCTTTGAAGCTTTATACCCGCTCGTCAGAGTACGCGAACTTTCATGGCTCAGGAAGGCTGTGGATGGTGTGCTCTTAAGCCTAGTCTCTATACAGATTGTACTAGGTCTTTGAAGAATTGAAGTCTATCTCTATACAAATACCGTGACTCGCTTTTTGGACGGGGTCGTCTAGAGCAGAGGATTTTGTCTGTACTCGGGAGCATCACCATCGGTCTTGCTCTTCTTGACCTCCTGATTCTCGAGACTGTTGTCGACGCTGGCGTCGTTCTCGGTGAGGAACTTCTCAGCCTCGAGAGCGGCGATACAACCAGAACCTGACACGGGTTAGTAATTTGGAGATTGATCGACAACTTGCGGATACATACCTGCACTGGTAATAGCCTGGCGGTACTTCTTGTCCTGAACATCTCCTGCAGCAAAGACACCCTCGATGTTGGTGTGAGTAGTTCCGGGCTCAGTGATCAAATAACCGTCTTCGTCCATTTTCAATTGGTCCTTGAACAGGGTAGTGGCCGGTTCGTGACCGACAGCGTAGAAGAGACCGTTAGCAGCGATGTCCTCTTCCTTTCCGGTCTTGATGTCCTTGATGGTGAGACCAGTCATCAGACCACGAGGCTTGTCTTCACCAGTGATCTTGGTAGCCACAGTGTTGTACTTGATCTCGACCTTGGGGTTGGTGCTCAGCCTACGGGCGTTGGCCTTGCTAGCACGGAGCTGGTCCTTGCGAACAAGGACGGTGACCTTGGAGGCCTTCTTGGTAAGGTAGATGGCCTCCTCGACGGCCGAGTCACCACCTCCAATGACGACGAGAGGCTTTTGTCTGAAAATTGGTAGCGAGCCGTCGCAGACGGCGCATGCGCTGACGCCGTTGCCCCAGTATTGCTCCTCACCCTCCAGGTCCAGTCTTCTTGCCTTGGCACCAGTTGCAATAATGATGCTGTCGGCTGTATGTGTCTCTTCCTCGAGGTTCTCCTCATCGCCCAAGGGGTGGAGCCAAAACTTGAAGGGTCTCTGGGAGAGGTCGACCTTTCCGACCGTCTGAGTAACGATCTGGGTACCGCAAGCCTCGGATTGTGCGCGCATGTTGTCCTAGAGCTGGTCAGGTCTGATAGTGCCAACTCGAGATTGGACTGCCACTCACCATCAATGTTGCACCCTGGATGTTCATGAAACCAGGGAAGTTCTCGACCTCATCAGTGGTGGTCAACTGGCCGCCAGCTGCGATACCGAGAGCGAGGAAACCTTCATACAGGACAGGCTGGAGGTCTGCACGAGCGGCGTAGATGGCAGCGGTATGGCCGGCGGGGCCTGAGCCGATGATGACGACCTTGGAGTGCATGTTGCGGGCTGGAGGAGGAGCAAGTGCGCTGGCTTCGCGTGCTACAAAAGGAGAAGATGCGAATGGGAGAGCGAGAGAGGCGCGGAACGGAGTAATGCCTACACGGCGGAGAGTCGAGGCAAACACTTTGACGGTGATTTGTAACTAGGTACTGGGAGATGAGATTCGGGCTGTAGATAAAATGGCCAGAGTTGCTTAGCAATGCTCTGATCAGACCATTCGGGTGCGGCTGCTTCCGTTGATGTGATGATTTTATGTTTCTTCGAGGCGTTTGGACTTTCGTAATCGCGGCCCTATCGAACCGCGCTCTTTTTCTTTCGGCTTCGTTCCAAATCGCGACAGGGACCGAGGCACGTGCTTGACCCATGCGACCTCGGCCGGTCTGCAGCGGACACCGACTCCTAATCGCAAAGCTTGATATTGTGATAACGTGGATCTTATCTGATGTAGCGATTATCATTCGCGTCAAGTCGTTCTGCGCAGTACCAAGGAGTAGAGCCACAGAGAATTGGCCGACGTCGGACATCGACTGGATGAGAGGCTGTCGAGAGGCTACGTAGTAGATCCCGGGTCAACACGCATTGGCCTTCACAATTGATCGTGCCTTTCTCTGATGCACTATGTTCATTGCTCGGGACTTTCTAATCTTCGTTGATCGCACCATCCTTCGCTTGATCCGGTGCATCGTCCTGTGCCTCCTCTGGGGCGCCTCTTTTTCTCAGATTTCCAATACCAAACAACAGGTCATCGAGTTGTTCCCGCTCTGGTGCAGGATGCATAAGCTGATTAGCGTCATGTAGTTTGACGTTGAAGCTCTCAGCAGGCTCCAACTTGGTCTCAAGCTCGTTTGTGCTTATGCTGTAGGCCTGAAGACGAGGTGTCGATGCCTTTGTCACGTTAGTCTGCGCGGTCAAGAGATTAGCTGAAGATTGACATACCTCTGCAACATCCATGGAGACAACGACGATGTTTCCGACCACAGTGATATCCAAGGGCACTCCTGGTAGATTGACGCCAACCACTTTAGGAGCTCTTGACGACAAAGGACTCTGTGAGATCAGGAGACAAGGCAGATTTTCGCAAGCCACCAAAATTGCATTATTCTCGGCCTCTGCATCCATTGATACTGCCCAGAGCCCGGACACCGCAATCGAGTTCTCAGCTCTGAATGTACTTGGCTGGGACGAGAAGAGCGATGTGAGAGCAGATCTGAGGTCGCGCTTGTCCTTCAGCTCGCCAGCTTTCCAGTCCCATACTCCTAACCAGTCGTCACCACCACCGCTTACAAGAAGATCGGTGTTAGGTAGCAGACAGATCTTGCTGATGAACTCCTTGTGTCCTAGACAGAAACGCTCAATGACGTGCGCTTGTGGGGGACCTCGAGAGACTCGGATGTGTTCGTCCCTGTCGGTAGTAATGATGTAGCCACGGGATCTTCCATCCACCATCTCGCTCGCAAATTGAACGTCAGTCAGCATGGAGACGTGTCCGAGGAGTAGCTGGTGCTCAAACTTGGGTCCGTCCTTGACTTTGGCTTGCAGATCCTTCTGCTTCATCTGGTTCTCAAGTGCCCTGCGATTACGGCCTGAGTGGACAGTCAAAGTGGTGGCTGCTGGCACGTATTTCTTCTGTTCACCGTCTTCCTTCATTTCCACCTTGGTGCTCTCTTCAGGCTGCTCGGTGGTGGCAGATGGGAACAGAGGTAAGGAATACACATCTCCAAATTTGTCACCACACAGGATTGTCTTGTTGTCAGGAGTCACTAGAACAGCACAAGGGCGTTTCGGCATAGTTCTTTTCCGACGTTAGTCGCGTGAATGGGGAGAATGAGATGGCCGGTCGTTACCTTTCGCTTAGTTCATTGAGCTTTCCGCTCTCGGTAACTTCAAGAACTCTGACTGACTTGTCATCAGTTACAACAACTACATGCTTGTTGTCGGCTGCGACTGCTAGCTTGATAACATTTCGCACTGGCGCCGCCTCTGATTCCAGTTTGCGTTTCTTGCCAGCAGGGCCGTCTGATTTGACCTCGATCTAGTAGCCGATTCAGCAAGCGTTCAAGCAGCAGAAGCTAACTAGGGTCTCCGATCAGCCAAACTGCGGAACTCCCTGTTTGAACGATACTCACTGAGCTGTTGTTCGTTTGCTCTGGCCATTGGGCTACAATTGAGCCGTCTGCGAGTTTCACAGATACGATGCGAGAACCACAAGCAGCCAGCAAGAGACCCTCAGGCGCAAAGTCTTGGGACTCACAAAGGGCTGTGAGCTGATAGGGATGATTCATTGTCCAGATGTTGCACAGGAGTGAGCACGGCTGCAGAAATTGTTCACTTGGGTGGGATATGCGGCGAGCCAGATCGATGGCCCGAAAAAAGGTATGGTCGAAGCTTTGGAAGGTCGGTAGTCGCCGACGCCAAGGCCGACACCCACAGACAGCAAATTCAGTCGCAGTCTGGCAAAAGGTCAGAATTCGGAGAGATCTTGAACCACTACAACCACTCTCTACAGGAATTTTCCAGACTTCGCCTGAAACATCCCTAACTCATCGCAAGATAGCAGAAATGGGGGGCAAGTCAGCAACCAAGGCCGTCTACTTCGACAAGCTGAAGTCTCTTCTTGAGACTTACAAGTCCATCTTCATCGTCACCGTCGACAATGTCTCTTCTCAGCAGATGCACGAGATCAGACAGGCTCTCCGTGGTGATTCCGTTGTCCTGATGGGCAAGAACACCATGGTCCGCCGCGCTCTCAAGGGCTTCATCAGCGAGGCCCCCGAGTACGAGCGTCTTCTTCCTCACGTCAAGGGTAAGTCTGCATGCGCCTAGCGCGACTGCGCATTGGAAGTGCGCGCGACTGACTTTGCGCGCCCACAGGTAACGTTGGTTTCATCTTCACCAACTCCGACCTCAAGGACACCCGTGAGAAGATTCTCTCCAACCGTGTCGCCGCCCCTGCCCGTGCCGGTGCCGTTGCCCCCGCCGATGTTTTCATCCCCGCTGGTAACACTGGTATGGAGCCCGGAAAGACCTCTTTCTTCCAGGCCCTCGGTGTCCCCACCAAGATTGCCCGTGGTACCATTGAAATCACCACCGATCTGAAGCTCGTTGAGGCCGGCAGCAAGGTCGGTGCCTCCGAGGCCACCCTGCTCAACATGCTGAACATCTCGCCCTTCACATACGGTATGGGCATTGCTCAGATCTACGACCAGGGCCAGACCTTCGATGCCAGCGTCCTCGACATTGAGGAGAGCCAGCTTCTCAAGGCCTTCACCAGCGCAATCACCACCATTGCCACCATCTCCCTGGCCGTCAACTACCCCACCCTGCCTTCGGTCATGCACTCCGTTGTCAACTCCTACAAGAACGTCATCTCGGCCGCCATCGAGATCGACTACGAGTGGGATGCCATCCACGAGCTCAAGGACCGCATTGCCAACCCTGACGCTTACGCTTCCTCCGCCCCCGCCGCCGGTGCTGCCGATGCTGCTGGTGACGCTCCTGCCGCCGCTAAGGAGGAGGTCAAGGAGGGTAAGAAATCACAGTTCCAGCTGCACTTCATATTCAAAATGCTAACTTCGTTTCTGCAGAGTCTGAGGAGGATGACGACATGGGCTTCGGTCTGTTCGACTAAGCGTATCGCTTGCCGTAGTTTTTCTAGAAACAGAAAACAAAATCGTCTCCAAAAGAGCATGATGTCTCTCTACTGCCAACGCGAACTGTTTTCACCTTGCAGTCTTTCCATCCGTAAAAGGTCAGTAACACGCTATGTCTTCCTTCTCACATTCATTCGCGAATGATTATACATTTTTAACCCCGAGATCTTCAATGAAGATTAAAACGCAACAACAACACTCTAATTTTTTCATGACGCACATTCACATTTCACCATCGCTTTATCACCTCAACTTTGATAACGAAGCTAACTGAGATGACAGATACAAGACGTGACGTGACGTGATCTATGTTGTGATACGGTACCCATCGTAAAACAGTTTATACTACAGAGACTCGTATCCAAAAAACTTCAAAATACCACTTCCCTCCCAAGCTCTCGCATACTCTTTGACTTGAAACGTTGTCTGTTGCCACATCCGCATGGGTGACTATTCCGCCAACAAGAGGATCGTCTGGTCCGTATGCTTTCATCTCGCCTGCAAAAAGCTTGAGGCTTAGGCTCTTAGCCAGGCCCAGACCTCTATGTGATGGCTCGACATGGAGGGTCGTAAGTGAGGCGTCTAGTCCTAGAAAACCCCAAGCAATCGGTTCGTCGGCTGAGACTTGGGAATCTGTATAGTATATCGCAACACTGGGTAGCTGGCATAGAGTCCTGTCTTGTCGAGGAATTTGCGTGCGCGACTTGACTAGCTCGTAGTCTTTGGGATCGACCTTGCCGTACACATAACCGGGTGGAAGACTTCGAGAACTTATGCTGTGTATGCGTGAGCAGCTTTGCCTGCGATGGTCCTTCACTTCATGCTCTTACCTGTTTTTGAAGTCGAAGATGTATTTTCGATACGGTGCATCGTGGCCAATGAAACTTGGGTCGATGAAGCCCAGGCTCTTGAGAATCTCAGCAGTGGAGCTATGGACGGCTCCAAACAAGGCGACATTCTCGTTATCCAAGTGCCTCTCGAAATGGTTGTTGCTAATGCTTCCATTGCCGTTGGTGCGTACTGAGCTTGCAGCAGCATTTTCGGATCGAGCAGGAGTCTTGAGCTTGCCAATCTCTCGGACCATAGACCTGACTAGATCGTCTTCTTGTGGAAGCCGCGTCGAGTCATTCGCCAGTACTTTATGCTCCCAACTGGCACTCAGCCATACTTCTGTTTCTGGCCTACAAGTCCGATCAACGAATGCAATTATCCAGGGACGGTTAGCCTCAGTCTGGTGAACTGGGCTGGCAAAGTTGATGGAACTGAGCAGTCGAGAATCTGGTGTGAAGTGTCCAAATTGAATGCGCCTGTATAGGGCAACACATGTGGGCATGTACGGTGCAAGCCATTGAATCAGATCCTGCTGCGAGTCACTCCACAACTCAAAGATCTCATTGCTGGATGTCATGTTCCACGTGAATATGTGTGCTGAGCCAATTCACTCCAGACAGGAAAAGAGGAGTGGGAGAAGCAATAGATTGACGACCACGGTATCGTGCTTTGGATAATTATAAATCCACCCGCGGTGCTTCCCGAAATCGTTCTCGGCGCCCAACGCCTCCTTCTGGATATAAAGAGCCCGCCATGGCGTACTAGAAATTGATATCATGCACTTCGAAGACGAGAAACCTCGTGCAGTTCTATGGAATGCCGCAAACGCTACCCACAAGCATAAAAAAAAGGACATCGCAAGGAATTGCCCAGGAGCTGCTTTTGAACACAAAACTACCCGGGCTTTCGTTCTTAATCATAAACGTCGTTTACTGGGAGGCACATTGTACTCTCTCCCCACCTGCGTGCATCTCTTCGTCGTCATCCTCGCCCATACCGCCACGTTGTGCGCGTGCGGACTCACGGTTCGGGTCGACCTTGTCGAGCGAGAAGTCCTCTGTCATGGCGTCCGGTGGAGGGACGTTTTGGGGAGAGCGAGGAGGCAGGACGCTTTCGAGAGCAGCCTTTTGCTCGTCGGTCATGGCGCCACCATCGGGACCGGGCAAGACATCGGGGAACTTGACGTCGAATTGGATGTAGAGGTTGCCGAAGTCGTGGTGCCTGTACGAAGGCATGCCCTGGCCTCTGATGACCTTGATCTCACCTGGTCATGATGTTAGCGTACTGAATGCAAGTAATCAACGGTAATGACTTACCTGGAGAAATGACCTCGCCGGGCTTGATCTCAACGGTGAGCCACCTCTCGTCAAGGTGCTCAATGTAGATGGCACCACCAGCAAGAGCAGTCAAAAGATCAATCTCGGCCTGGTAGAAGAGGTCGTCACCCTTGCGCTGGAAGCGGGCGTGGGGCTTCTGCTCAATCTCGAACTGAACATCACCAGGCTCGACGCCGGGCATCTGATCACCTTCTCCGCGGAAATCGATCTTGGTACCACTCTGCACACCCTTGTCGACGTGGACGTGCAAGACCTTGCGCTCAACTGTGGTCTTCTTGCCGTGACATTGCTTGCAGCGGTCCTTCTCGCGGATGATCTCGCCCTCTCCGTTGCAGTCGGGGCAGACGGTCTGGAAGCGCTGGATCATGGGACCCATCTGGCGCATCATCATCTTCATACCTTGACCGTTGCAGCCTGTGCAAGTCTTGACTGCACCATCCTTACCACCACGGCCATCGCACTTGGGGCACATGACGGACTTTTGCAGAGCAAGCTTCGAGATCTTGCCCTTGTACATATCCTCCAGAGAGACCTTGTGAACGTGGTGAATGGTGCGAGCCTTCTTGGGACCGGACTCGCGCATGCCGCCGCCGCCGCCGCCGAACATGCCGCCAAAGCCGCCGCCGCCGCCAAAGAACTGTGAGAAGAGATCCTCGGCGTTCATGCCACCTCCCATACCGCCTTGCTCGAGTCCCTCTTCACCATACTGATCGTAGAGCTGGCGTTTTTCCGAGTCGGCAAGGATTTCGTATGCGTGTGAGAGTTCCTTGAACTTTTCGGCGGCCTCAGGAGAAGGGTTCTTGTCTAGGCAAGAAGTCAGCCACATGGCACTTGCTAAGAGCGAAAGACGGCTACATACCAGGGTGGTACTTCAAAGCGCCCTTGCGGTATGCCGACTTGAGTTGAGCCTCAGATGCGCTGGGGTCGACGCCCAGGGTCTCGTAGAATTTCGTGTCCTTGACCATGATGCAGGTGTGGTGGAGTGTGTGTGATTAATCCAAGGGGCGCGCCGGCAGAAGTGAATGTAGAAAAGGCTGGAGGGGGTATCAAATCAACAGATAAAAAGCCAAGGTCTGGAGTTGGAGCGTAGTAAGCGCAGGCTCTGAGGTCAACAAGAACGTTTGGGAAGGCGATTGATTTGACCGACAGCCTTTCTAGAGCCTTCGATGATTTTCTGCCGACCGCCGGCTCCCAGCCCGCCAAGCCATTCTAACCCTCTCACTCATGCTCGAAGGTCTCACCAAGTCCACTCACTCTGCATCCGCGTGCTTTGAACGATGTTGAAGACGGGCATACCTCGTGTGACAGAAACTTGTGTGATGTAGCAAGCATAATGGTTGCAGCGGATTTCATCAGCTCACTCTTGCGAGACTCTCTGCCCGGCCGAACATGTTTCGGCTCCAATTGACTCCATAACGTGATTACGGCCTTGCATTCTGAATTCTTACTACCGACCATAGTCAAGAAAGATCCCGTACTTCTCCATACGGTGTCTGCTCTTGATATAATCGTTAGCAGAAGGGTTATCCACTTATCATGAAACTATCACCGGCTTCGGGGACTACGAGCCGTGAACTACAAAATCTGTCATCTGGGGTTCTGCTTTTTCCACCACTATCAACTATACCTATATATCCACGCTATACTAAAGATGGAGAGCGACATTGGTTTCCAGGCTGCTCTTGAAGAGGCCAGAAAGGGTGCCGCTGAAGGTGGCGTACCGATCGGTGCTTGTCTCGTTTCGGTATGTGTGACTGGAGCTGCTCGGTGACGTTCTCGCATCTCTGTTCAATTTGGCTTGCGGTGCACTCCCATATGGCATGTCGCATCTGGGAAGGTGTGCTTAAAGAACTGGAACTGATACTGCCGTGCATGCCTTCGTATATTCGCTGACTTGCTTCATTCTAGGCAGATGGCAAAATCCTGGTAGGTTCCTGATGCTGTTGGTTGAAGCAACACAACTGACATGTCGCTCGCTACAAGGGCCGTGGGCACAACCTGAGAATGCAAAAGGGCTCACCCACAATTCACGTATGTATCTGGATTTCACACGAGACATGGCACAATACTGAGCAAAACAGGCAGAGATTGGTGCTCTTGAGAACGCTGGCCGTCTTCCAGCTTCTGCCTACCAAGGCGCCACTATGTACACTACCCTTTCACCCTGCGACATGTGCACCGGGGCCTGTATTTTGTACAAAGTCAAGCGTGTTGTTCTCGGCGAGAACAAGACCTTCGTTGGTGGCGAAGATTACCTCAAGCAGAGAGGCATCGAGGTAGTCAACGTCAATTCTGCCGAATGTGAAGATTTGATGAAGAAGTTTATCAATGAGCATCCCGAGGAATGGTGAGCGTCTCGATCTGACAGTACCCGTCCCACCACTGACACAAATCGGCGTAGGAACGAGGACATTGGCGAGGAGTAGAATCTAGACTTGCAATTCACCAATCGCTGGTCATCATGTTCCTCGCGTGCATATTTTGCTCGGCAGCCTCCAGGGCAGAATTTTTGGTTGCATGTTGGATTCCTAAAGCATCATTCGCAACGGTAAACAATTGGAATGGCCGAGTCGTCATCTACCTGAAAGCTCGTGAATCTGCTCGAAGAAGAATTTGAGATCATCAGGGTTGACAAATGGGGTGATACCTGGAGCTGTTAGCATGTGTTTCCATAGACAAGTAGCATTGCACATACCATGACCAAGGTTGGCGATCCAGCCTTGCTTGCCGCCGCCGAAACCCTCTACCATTTCTTTGACGACTGCGGTGATGGCCTCTCTACCACCGTAGAGAACACCGGGATCAGCGTTTCCTTGAAGAACCTTGCCCTTCTTCTGAGCAATGGCATAAGCCTCCTTGGGCGAGTGAAGCCAGTCCAGACCAATGACGTTGTATGCAGTGTCACATAGATCATCGAGGGCGTACCATGCGCCCTTTGCGAAGACAGTCATGGGAACTACTTCTTGGTTGAGTTCTCTCAGGCGATTGGGCAGGTGGTCTGCAATGTATGTCAAGTAAGGCAAGGAGAATTCCTTGAAAGAAGTAGGGGACAATTCGCCAGCCCATGAGTCGAAGACTTGAATAATCTAGCACAAGATGTTAGCTCAAAGGCAGAGTATTGGAATAGACGATGGATACCTGAGCACCGGCGACAACCTGCAGGGCGAGGTATTCGACGCAAAGCTCGGCGATCTTCTGCAACAGCTTCTTGCTCTCCTGGGGGTACTTGAAGATCCAGGTCTTCACTTGCTTGAACATCTTTGTGCCACCGCCCTCGACCATGTAGCTGAGCAGAGTCCAGGGGGCGCCACAAAAGCCGTAGAGAGGCACACGGCCGTCAAGCTTCTGTCTGGTCAGGGTGATGGCCTTGTATACGTAGTCCAGAGTCTCCTTGACATCGACGTCTCTTTCCATGATTTCCTGGTATTGCTTGTCATCGGGTGACATGAGCGGGTCGGGGAAGTGAGGGCCCTTCTTGTCGACCATGATGACCTCCATGCCCATGGCCTGGGGGATGACGAGGATGTCGGAGAAGATGATGGCGCCATCAATGAGACCAGCAAAACGATCAATGGGTTGCAGAGTCAGCGTCGAGGCAATCTCGGGCGAGCGACAGCACTCGAAGAAGTCGTGGGTTCCCTTGGCCTCGTGGTACTCGGGCAGGTAACGACCGGCCTGGCGCATGACCCACATGGGCGGGCGCTCGACCTTCTCACCACGCGCAGTGCGCAGGAGGAGGTCGTTCTTCATGGGTGCAAATTCGGGCATGTTGGCGCGGTTTTCTGCTGCTTGATGCCTTGACGCAAGTTGCACCAAAGTCCAGCTTGAAGACAGACGCGCCCCCCGCATCGACCCATCAAGCTCTCCACCGACATCATCAAGGGGAAACCTTTTCTTTCATCCCTCGGTCCAATTTTAAAACTCATTATCCACTCTGCACATGAGCTGACCGTCAGTCTCGACAATGCTCCGCCAGGCTCGTCTACCCTTGGCTCGCCTGGCCAATTCAATTGCCCCAAGGAGATTCGCTCCATCATACTGTGCCGTTCGTGGTGCCAAAACAAAAAGTACTATCAAGTTTCAGGAATTACCACAAGGCGCCCTTGCTCCCGCTGCTCTGCCCATAACAGAGGAACACCCGGATGATCAGGTCCAGGTCTATCCGCGTGTCATCCAGCAACACCTCAACAATGTCAACAAGTTCAGCGATTGCGTTGTGCTCACTCGCATAGGCAACTTTTACGAGCTTTATGGCGACCAAGCCGAGCAATACGCCCCACTTCTCAATCTCAAAGTAGCCCAGAGGAAGACTGGTCTCGGTCCTGTAGCAATGGCGGGCTTTCAGTACACCCAACTGGATCGTTACCTGAAATCTCTCGTACAGGGTTTGAACAAACATGTCGCCATCAGCGAGGAAATTCGAAATTCGCCTGCTGATCAAGTCAAGAATGGCGGTCTCCTCTACAATCGCAAAGTATCCCGTATCATCACTGCTGGCACCTTGGTGGACGAGACCTTTATGGATCCGTTCGAGAACAACTTCTTACTAAGCATACATGCCAATATTGACACGGCAGACGATGGCACCATCTCACAGGATACGGATGTCGGTCTTACATGGGTTGACCTCTCTAGTGGTGACTTCTTCACACAGAATACAGACATAGCCTCACTTGGCTCGGTAATTGCTCGCGTAGGAGCCCGCGAGATTGTTCTAGATTCTAGCTTTGAGCAAGTTGACCGATCTCAATTGGATCGATGGCTGGGGGACGGAGGACATGCCGTGACATACCACAGTCCAGATCCCGAATTTGACTCTATCAAGCAGTGGGCTCCTATGTTAGAAAAACCCGTACCATCAGAAGAGTGCCTCCTTTTCTCTGCCCAAGAGGTGCTGGCAGGCTCACTGCTCTTAGATTATGTCAAAGGCAGGTTGCTCGAGCTGAACGTTTCGCTGAGATGTCCCATTCGTCGCAACCAACGTGATTATATGAGCATCGACAAACAGACCTTGAAAGCTCTGGAGATCCGATCCACGCTTCGAGACGGTCTCTTCCAGGGCAGTCTGCTTCATGCGATTCGAAGAACGACAACCAAGAGCGGTGCTCGGCTTTTGAACCAGAGACTAGGTATTCAAAATCCCTTTCTTGCGTACACGGCCCCAGTATTGATCGTCACTAAACAGTCTCACCTTCCATGTCTATTTCGGAGATCAACAGTCGTTTGGATTTGGTGACTGAACTGTTAGAGTACGATCAGTTACGCGAAGATGCTATATCAGCATTACGAAGAACAACAGATGTCTTGAGACTACTACAGAGATTCTCTATAGGCAAAGGGGATGCTGATGATTTACTCGCTCTCGCCAAGACCGTAAAGATCATCAACCAGATTGTAGATATAGTGAACGCTCATGTGCCTCCTCAAACGAGAACGACAGATTCATCTTCTTCATCAATACAGTTGAGAGCATTAGTCAATCGCCTTGATCTGGACGGTCCTTTGAAACTTGCAAGCCGCATTCTGGATGCCATTGATGAAGACGGCCTTTCTCAACAACACCTAGCCGAGGAGGCAGAGGCGGTGGTTGCTGCCGAACTTGCGGAACAGATCATCGAGACAGATGAGCTCGAGTCCAAACCGGCAAAACGTGGCAAAGTCAGTGCTAAGAAGACTGTGGTAGTCCCTGATCTCAATACAGGAGAGTTCTGGATCATGCGCAGGAGGTTGGTCTAGAATGAGGAGCCCAACTGGACTGACCATTCTCACTGACCTTGATTAGTGCAAGTACGGCCTTGAAGTCGGGGCATCAGACTCTTGACAACGTCATGAAAGAAAAATCACAGCTCTTCGACCGTCTAAGAACGGAAATAGGTACGAGTTGATGCTTGGAATAGCTCACACACATGCTGATTCGTGTAGGAAACACATTAGTACTCAAGTGGACTCCGCAATTAGGGCACTTCTGTCATGTCAAGGGCAAAGACGTCCGGGCGGAGGTACCAGATGCAAGGAACGTCAGCTCGACCAAGAACACAAGGGCTTTCTACCTCCCGGAATGGACACATCTGGGTTCACGACTGGAAGACGCAAAGACACGTATTCGCATCGAAGAGCAAAGAGTGCTCAACGACCTGCGTAAGCGAGTGGGTCTCGGAATATCCACGCTCATTTGATCCCTACTGACAGATCAGGTTATCGAGAATTTGGTCAAGCTGCGACGTAATGCCAGTATTCTTGACGAGTTGGATGTCGGATGCTCGTCTGCAACCATGGCAACAGAGAGGAACTTAATCAGACCAGTCCTACACTCTGGGTAAGAGTCTTCTGCTTACCTAGACACTACATCGCTGAAACGAACATAGTACGACACACAATCTTGTTGGCGGTCGTCACCCAATGGTAGACGTAGGTCTTCAAGCGCAAGGCCGGCTTTTCACTGCAAACGACTGTGTTGTGGGCGGAAACCAGAGTATCCTTCTTATCACAGGGTATCTTTCCAAATCCGTCATTGAGCACAATATACTGACTCTGATCACAGACCCAATATGGCTGGAAAGAGTACCTATCTCCGACAAAATGCACTGATTACCATCTTGGCCCAGACCGGTTGCTTTGTTCCTGCGGATTTTGCAGAAATTGGACTGGTGGACAAGATCTTCAGCAGGGTAAGACGATACAAACCATGTACTATATCTAGTGTTGACAGTCCTCTAGGTAGGCTCGGCCGACAATTTATACAACCATCAATCAACGTTCATGGTCGAGATGTTGGAGGTGGCCGACATCCTCAACCAAGCCACTCCACACTCATTCGTCAGTCTATCTTAGAAGGAGGAAGGCACAACTGCTGACAAACCAGCCAGATCATCATGGACGAGGTCGGTAGGGGAACAACTCCAGAAGACGGTGTCGCTGTGGGCTATGCTTGTCTACATCATCTGCACTGCACCAGTCCTTGTCGCACTCTGTTTGCTACGCATTTCCATTCTTTGGTCGACATGACGAAAAGTTTTGATCACTTAGCGTGTTATTGCACCGACGTTGCTGAAGAGGAGGATGGCTCTTGGGTCTATGTACACAGGCTCCGGAAAGGAGTGAATAGGGACTCGCATGCATTGAAGGTTGCTAAACTCGCTGGTAAGTGTGCAAAACCCGATAGCTGTACATGACTAACGTTACCAGGTCTGCCAGAAACGGCCATCGCTGTGGCCAAGAGCGTCCTCGATGGGTTTGAACGTGAAAGGGAAGATCGGCCTTAAGCTCTCAGTCGTCACACAAGCCAATCAGCATTGAGTATACGGCATCACATTGTAACCATGTTTGCTTGATTGTCTCCGATCAACTGCTGGTTCCGTACGACCTAGACACGGGGTATCTCTAATTATGGAAAGCCTTGTCGTACGTTACCATCCCGCCATCGCTCAGATACGACGAATAGGATTCGTCTAGTCTTTCTTGCCAAAAAGGTGCTTGACCTTGTCGCCCAGGCTCTCCTTTTCGTGTGGCTTCTCTTCCTTCTTCTCCTGTGGTGTGCTGTGACCTCCGTACTTCTCCTTGTAGACATTTCCCTCACCGCCACGCTGACGCTAGATTAGCCAAAGTAAGAAGGGTCGTTCATCTAACTTACACCAGTATGGAAGTTATCATGGCCAGCAGAGTTGCGCATAGCGGGCTCAGGAATGATGTCCTCTGATACGGGAGTCTTGTCGCCGACTGGTCTGACTCTGGGAGAATCGACAATGTTACCGGCACCTTCGCCGTCATTAGCCTTCCATCTACCGTGCTATCATAGATTCTTCACATACCTCCGCGGCCGGATGAGTATTCGGGCTTCGAGGACTCGCCAACAAAGCCCTCACGGATGATGTTACCATCGGTGTAGCTGTGTTATTTTGTCAGGCACAACTTCACTCATTTACTGTAGATCTTTGCTTACAGCGTGTCATCGCGGCCGATGTTTCCAGCGCCTATTGAGATCTTAGCTTGGCTCCGCCAACACGAGATAAAGTGGAAGAACATACCTCCGCGGCCAGTAGAGTGAATTCCGTCTGCCATGGTGTGCTTTGCTTTTGTGATAAGTTTGGGTATGGTGTATGCTGAGTTATGAGGTGGCTGGATTTTGGGCTCCAGTTGAGGTGGAACATGCTATGAGAGGAATGCGGGACTATTTGTTGACCTTGCTCATGTGAAAGCGATGACGTCTACTTTGGCGCAACAAATGTGCCAAGATATTATCACGGTTTACAACCGTGATGGCTTCACTTGCAATCCTGCGGAAACAGTGGAATCCAGTCAACGACATCGGGTATTTTGTTCGACGTTCGATCCCGAAAGGGATGACACGGTACATGGGTACCCGGCAGGGATACTCGTTAAGGTTTACTGCCAGTCACCAAGGAAAGCTGTTTTGGGATCTCCGTCAAGATAAGAAAATGGACCATGATTTGTGATTGTATTTACGTTTTGTCGAGGTCTACCAGGCATTTTACCGTGTGAAAGGTGACTATCGTTGCCGTTTGGGAGCACTGATGTTTTTTGAGTCTGTACCACTTATCACTGTTTCGCCTTAAGGTGATGAATATATTTGGTGATTACGACGAAGTTGTAGTCCCTGACATGTATGCAAGCAATATAGAATCGAGCGTTGCATCATTTAATGTATGTAAGACCATGATGTGCCGCCACAGAACTGTTTCTAAGTCGTGTACCATAGCTGCGCGCCCAGTAGCTAGAATCTCTTGGAAGCAGGGAAGAATTCACGGTGGTCACATAGGAAACGCAGTTGATGAACCTCAAATAACCATCAGACAGGGTTATAAGCACAGCAAGCTTGCTTGGCAAGCTGGAGAAGTCCTAGCGAGCAACTTTCAGCAAGCAAGTCGCGTATTCTCAAACACAACCCGAGTGGAAGCAGCAGTCGTAATGGCAGAGACGCAATCATATAAGGAGCTTCTGGCCAAGTGGGCCGACAAGTATCGCGGAGTATGTTCAACCTCAGATTATGCCTAAACATGTTCTGACAACGCTACGCAGGCAATTGTGGAAGACCTCGACCCTCCCGCAGCTCTATCAACATCACCATCTTCGCCCATTTCGAGTGCCTTGATGGCCGCCTATGAAAGAGAATACACCCATCTGACCGTCGTCGCGCCCGAAACGCGTGCGCTCGTTGGCTATCTGTCCATGCCTCATCTCAAGCATCTGCTCAGTGCAGGCACTGTGCGCGACACCGACACGGTAGACAAAGCAATGACAAAGTTCAAGAGGAAGGGTACCAAATATCATGTCATTACTATGGATACCCCACTGGAAGAGCTGGAGGCTTTCTACGAAGGCATAACCGAAGATGGCCAAATGCCAGCGCAGGATTTCGCTGTTGTGACAGACGCTGGTCGAAAATTCGTTCTGGGTGTTGCAACGAAACAAGACCTTCAGGAGTTCGTCAAGAGAAGACCTGTCTATTGATCGCACCTGCCAACCGGCCCCTTTCAGACGTTCCCTATCTCTGTCGACCCGAAACATTCATGCCCTGCATGGGCTGGCCACGTTATACCATGGCGGCTGCCAACATCGATATGAACATGTCGTATCTGACGCCATCTGTGTATCGCACTGTGCGAACAGCTCCGATATCCAGATATTGTTTTCGGGACCCTTGCGAGTCTCTATATGTGTCGGAAGATGGATAAGACCGCACCGAGTATCGGCCAATGCTGCTTGGCGGTGCTGACCATGGGCCGATACTGCTTCATCTCCCTTGGCAGGGAGATGGAAGGAGGATCGAGATTAGCAATTTGAAGACCAGATCGTAATTAGAACCGTCATCTGCCTCTTCTTTTCTTGCAAACAGCCGCCACGACACTGATGTCATCGAGTTTGCCGCCCTCTATAGAGAGACCTTCTTCGATCCCGCGCTCCATGTATGGACTCTCCGCAAAAGGGTCCTGGGCGATGGTGCGAGCCGCCTTGACCAGCTCCTGCGCAACGAATTGCATGCCTCCCGCGTAGGTACTTTGGTCGTCTGAGCGCATCACTTGTGAAACGTTGCCAGATCTCCATTTCTCCATGCTTTGCAGGACGTTGTCGACAACTTCGTGTTCCCAGAGGTTGTCTACTACGCCATCAGACATGGCGAGAATGATGTCGTCTTCTGCAATCGTGATCTTGTCCATGACGGCGTTCTTGTCAGGCTCGTCGGGACTGTTGGTACCAAGCTGTCTGGGGCAGTCGAACCAGTGCCACTGTTCGGTAGTTTTGTAGATGACCTCGCGATGCTCTGGCCGTATGACCAGTATCTGAGAGTCGCCCAGTTGAGTTACGTAGAGTATAGGATGAGCCGGAGAGGAAGAGTCGGTATGCAACAGGGCGCCGCATGCAGTGGTGGTGCCGAACCATTCGTTGGGCTTGCTGGTTGCGTCTTTGGTATGCTGGTACGCCTTTGACAGATACTTGACAGGATCGGGCTCCGAATCGTCTCCGTACACATCCTTTTCAGCTTCGAGGGCCCAGAAATGGAGTATGAGACGTGACCACAACCTGTGACAATATGTGGTCAATACGGAACGAAGAGACGCTGGATGCAAACATGGATCTTACGCGGCGTGTCCTCTCTCACGGCTAGCCCAGGCTCCCACACCGTCGTTTGCACCGATAAAGTTATCGCTGACCAGGACTGCATCGTCGCCGTTAGTAATGCCGCGAATCATGTCGCCGTTCACAGACGGGCGGCGGTCGCGGCTTCGATCATGTGTGCTCAAGGGGTCTGAGAAGGAGCCCGACGGGGGAGATAAGAAAGGTGGTGGGAATGGTCGGGAAGGTCGTTTAGCAAAGAGGCCGTATCCTGCTTCGAAGTAGTATGCCGATTTCGAAACAACAATCGAGGCTTCATCGGGCACAGGAGTGGTCGTGCCGCCTTTGGGCTCCTCGTTCTTCTGCGGTCTACGCGACGACGCAAGTCGACATGGAGCACGAAGCCGGCGGATGCAAGGAATCTGTGACGTCTTGCTCAGCGCGCGCAGGCCTCCCCTAGCGTACATGCTGCTGAGACTGAAGCTCCAGCGATATTGAGCTCAGCCGACTCGTCGTAGGTCATGCCAGTCCGCATCTGTCAGGAACTAGATCCTCGATTGATGCTGACGGGGAAGGCGGCCAATGTCGGCGGCTCCCTTAACTCCGTCGCCTACAATTTCCTGTTGCGGACAACGCAATGCAAGCTTCCAAGAGGCAACGATGCAACTCATACTGATGCTCAGGCATCTACTTGATCATATCTATGTTGAGAAGAGTAAACGCGCCCAGAATGACTGATTCAGACCCTTTACTTGGCCAAGTCGAAACAGAACGCCTTTGTGCATGCCACCAAGCCGTAACCAACCGTAATCCTCAAATGCAACATTCTCGCCAATCATGCCTTCTTGTCTTCAGCCTTCGTCTCCGATGATTGTTGAGCACCGGTCGCCGAGGTCGATGTGTTTGCTTGAGCTTGCAGCTCGGCCTCATGTTCACGTCTCAGAACGTCTTCCTGGCGGCCTTCATCCTCCTTTTCGTCAATGTTCTCCAGATCATTCACGCGAGCAGACTGTCCGCCCTCGCTCTGCTTTTCACTTTGCTCGTTCTCATCCTCAATCAGTTCCTGCTGCTCACGAAGAACCTCCAGACGCTGCCTGTTGGTTGCAGCACCTTCGGCAGTGTGAACCTCCAATTCGATCTCGTGGAAGAGTTCCTCCGGAATGCTAGACAAGACAGCCTGCAGGGCATCGATCTGAGAGTCAAACTCGACGTCCTTGCCCTGGGTATACATGAAAGCATTGGAGAGAACCAAAAGAGTGCTTGGAACACCATACTTGAGACGAAGCTCAAGCCACAAAGTCAGGTCGTCGCGAAGTCTGGCAGGCGAGACACCGTGAGTGCGAAGACCACGAGAGGCACATGCAGTCTGAAGCTCAGGCACGGACAAGGCCTCGACACCCTCGAAGGAAATGGCCCTGTCGTCACGCTTGATCTGGCGCATACGATGTCTGACTTGGTAACGAAGCATGGTGTCGGTGCCGAAAGTGGTCAAAGACATGTAGCGGCAGATACCAACAAGTTGTGGGCGCGAGAGGTTGTCCAGAGTCAAGTCGTCCTTGAAGATTTTGCAGACACGAATAACATCGGCCTTGGTCGGCGCTTCACCAGTAGTACGAATCTGAGGAAGGTCAGTATACGGCATAGCGCAAACGTGTAGGGGTAGTAAATCACCTTGCGGAAGAATTCAGTAAACTCTTCCTTTTGTGCATTGGCGGCAGAGACAGGCAGACCAGTCTCTTGCAGAGTCTGACGCAAGAAGCTGCTGACCTCCTTGCGAGTGCCACGAAGACTACTGGCCTTTGCTTCCTTGGACTTCTGGCCCTCGTATGTGCTAGGCAGCATGTTGGGGAAGAGCTTCAGAGCGACGGGGAGCAGCAACTCTGCGAATGGCACAATGACAAAGACCGAGAAGGGAACAAGACGACCGAGATCCTGGACAGTACGGTGCAGCTGGGAGTGGGATTAGATTGGGTGCAGCGGATTGTGGTCGACAGACTTACTTGTCTGTGCTCTCTGCGAGTGAGCTCGTAACCTGCAGCCATCTTCAAGGCCAGCTTCGAACTGATCTTGACCTCAGCAGCCAAAAGCTTGGTGCCGTCCCAGTAATGGTGAACCTCCTTCATGATCTTTTGACGGAGAGTGAGCTTCTTGTCTTCCTCCTTCTTCTTCACCATCTTCCTCTCTTCGGCTTTGTCGGCAGCAGCCTTCTGGTCAGCAAGCTCTTTAAGAGCCTGGTCTTCGGTAGCCTTTGTAGGCGCATGCTCAGTAGGCTTGTGGAGAGGGATGCTGACATCTGGTGTAGACGAGGATGACTGCTTTGATTTGTCTTCTTGCGATTCAAGGGGCTTCTTGGCCTGGTCCGCGCTAAAACCCGGGGGTGGGTAGTTGGACTGGTTGTTGGAAGTGGACGTCTCGCTAGAGGCGAAGCGGTTCGGGACCAAGAGAGCGACAGCGGGTAGTTGGCTGGGAAGGCGTAGAGAACGAGACAAGGCGACCCTTGTGCTGTTTCTGAGCAGCAAGGGTGCCATTTGTGAAGCAGTACGGTTGAGGGACATGGCGGGCGGACGCCTTCGAAGACGTGAGGGACTTCAGATGTTCAAAGACGATGGGTGCGCAATTGTACGGCAATTGAAGAAGATGAAATGGACGAAGAAATGCGGAAGCTGCTGTCGTCAGGAAAGTTCGAGACGCCCGCCCGGACTTCACCTTTAATTCCGTCGCCCCGTGCAGACACTGCATCTTTTTCATAATCTCTTGTCCAAATTGAGCTATCTGCATATCTTGACATTCGCTACAATCCACCATTCCAATCACCTGGTAGTACTTTTACAGTAGCTATTATATACTCGACAAGACCTGAATGGTTTATGGGCTTGCCATCAACAGCTCTTGACTCGCCAGAAGATAGTCTCCGACATGTTCAGATCATAATATTTCCAGTTGTGCTCTCAGAAGGGTCCTCAGGTCCTGGCATTCGGCATCGGAGGGCTACGGATGCGCATGGCCGAGCCTCGGGGTTTCGGACGTCGGACGAGGGTTTTGGGGTTTTGCAACGCACGGGCAAAGTACCTTTCCCCGCAAACAGGAAGCCGACGCCGGGTGAATCAACAGTTTCCCTTGTCTGACAATTGTTCAAGCGGCTTAATTACTCGCTCCTTCTCGTCACGCTCTCAGTCTTGTGTCTTTTGGCTCGTAGATTTGCTGCCTGCCAGTCTGCCCTGTGCCCGGCTCGTCGCTCACACCTCTCTCGCCCGCTTGCTCCCCAGGTTGCACACGTTCTTCAGTCGTCCTGTCCGACCACAATACCCACCCACTCGAACACACGCATACATTAACAAGCCGCCAGCCGCAATGCAACTCCGGAAAGCCGCTCGCATCATCTTGGTTGGTGCTCCTGGTGTAGGAAAGGGTACTCAGTCTGAGCGTATGCTCAAACGATTTCCTCAACTAGCCTCGATCAGCTCTGGTGATCTCTTGAGAGATAATGTTCGCAGGCGGACTCCGCTAGGTAATGCCTACCAAGAGCTCTTGACTACTGGAAATGCTAATCTATACACGTCAGGCATCCAGGCCGAGTCCCTTATGAAGGCCGGCGCGCTCGTCCCGGACTCGACCATCTTGCGTCTGATTACGAACGAGTTGACGACAAGGGGCTGGCTCACTCCTTCTTCCCCCCAGAAGCCTCTTACCATCAACTCTGTCGCCTCCTCTCTGAATCCTTCCGATGCTTTCGCCTCGCCAGAAGACGAATACCTCACCTCCGCGTCTTCTCCCCAGCGCCAGTTCGACTTCAGCGATCAGCCAAGCGCCTCTTTCATCCTCGACGGCTTCCCTCGCACTGTCGATCAAGCCATCCAACTCGACAAGTTAATCCCCATCAACCTGGTTGTCCAGTTCAATACCCCCACTTCCGTCATACTCGATCGCATCTGCAACCGTTGGATCCATGCCCCCTCTGGCCGGGTATACAACACCACCTTCAACGCTCCAAAGGTCGACGGAAAGGATGACATTACAGGAGAGATCCTAGTACAAAGGGACGACGACAAGCCCGAAACTTGGATGGCTCGTCTGAAGAAGTTTGAGGAAACCAGCCAGCCTCTACTTGCGCACTACGATAAGCTTGGTGTTCTGTGGAGGGTCGATGGTAACAGCAGTGATGAAATTAGCCCAAAACTCTTTGACGAGTTCAACAAGAGATTCGGAAAAGCATGAAAGCATGAAGAGGCGCACAAAACCTTTGAGCAGCTATCACGCAACCGGAAATCTGGGAAGAAGTGCGTGTGGAAACGCGGCTGCGAAGTTACCTCTCAAACACGTCGCAATATCTTTGATGCGTCAATCCCTCTGGACACAGGCAGATTCGTCCCACACGAAGATTTTTTCTTAAACATCTTCAAGGATGTCAGCCCTGAACCATGCACAATCAGGGCTGTGGCGTGTCTCGAACCTATGGATGACTGAGACCAGGATTCTATCTAGGAAGTGGATGCGAGATATTTAAGCACGTATTAGGATATGTCCTCGACTTACTGGGCACCATGTTCGAGACACAACAAGCTGGAGATGAGCTGTGAAGGATGACTGATGGAGTTGACGCAGGCTGGGAATGCAGCGCCTACGATTGAGCGTTGACAACAAAGCCATCGTCTCTGAAGTGGTCACAAATCGCATCAATCTACTACACCCGCAATCCAATGAGTCCATTCGTATCTGCTCTTGGTGCTGTCAGCAATCATCCGCAGGTAGTCATGTCATTTCACATCAGAATGATTTCCCCAGACTACGCGGACACCGAGATCGTATCAGCTCGTATCGGAACTATCGATAGAGCTGCGATGCCGGAGATACTCGGTCCAAAGTAGAGAATCTTATTGTAGAAACAAGGGCGCTGGGCGCAAGGCGCATCTGTGAGTCAATTAGATATAATGAACTAGCCTTCCAATTCAAACTACATTCTCTTCGCCTATTTCGTTTTCTACGCTTGCAATTGCCGATCACCTCTAAGCAACACACTCATAATGGCCCCTCCAAGTGCGATCGACATCGATGTTCGTGCAGTTGACGATACTACTGCCATGACCGTTCCAAACCCTCTCACGCTCGAGGGTGTCTCTCCGAGACGCGCCGCCACTGGTAGACTCATTGCTGGCGTCGCCGCTGTGGCCAATGTCGAGCAGTTCAAGGGAGCAAAGCAGCACAACCACAAGCCCAAGGCTAAGAGATGGGATCGTAAGTGCCTGTCTGAAGGGTCATCTTGAACACTGCTAACGGCAGCTAGACCGCCTGAACATCGAAGCCTCTTCACGTAAAGGCAACTCCCTCAAGGCTGCCGCCGAATACCTCAAGAAGCCCGGCATCATCTCACTTGGTGGCGGTCTCCCCTCGGCCGAATACTTCCCCTTTGACGAACTGTCCATCAAGGTACCCGAGGTCGGCCACTTCTCCGAGCAAGAAACACGCGAACAAGGTGCTGTTCTGACGGCCGGAAAGTCGGATCTGGCCGACGAGAAGTCACTGTTCGACATCACTACCGCCTTCAACTATGGCCAGGGTACAGGATCTGCACAGCTGTTGCGCTTCCTCATCGAGCATACAGAGATTGCACACAACCCTCCCTACCAGGATTGGTACTGTAACATGACGATCGGCTCTACCTCCGGATTGGATGTCGCCTTGAGAATGTTTGTGGAACGTGGTGATGTCGTCTTGACCGAGGACTACACATTCGCAACCGCTGTCGAGACCGCCGCACCAATGGGTGTAAACATGGTCGGCGTTGGTCTGGACGGCGAAGGTCTCCTCCCAGAGTCTCTCGATGACATCTTGAGCAACTGGGATGAGGCAGCACGTGGTGCCAGAAAGCCATTCTTGCTCTACACCGTACCCACTGGCCAGAACCCAACTGGAGCCACCCAAAGCGAGGAAAGACGCAGAGACGTGTACAAGGTGGCTCAGAAGCATGATCTCTACATTCTCGAGGACGAACCCTACTATTTCCTGCAGATGCAGCCATACACAGGACCCGGTTCGCCCGATGTCCCACCTCCAAAGAGCCATGCCGACTTCTTGAGATCGCTAGTTCCTTCATACTTGTCAATGGACACTGATGGTCGTGTTATGCGTCTGGACTCATTCTCAAAGGTTGTTGCACCAGGAGCGCGTGTTGGCTGGATCACAGCGTCGCAGCAGATTGTCGACAGATTTGTCAAGCACGTTGACGTCAGCACACAAGGCCCCAGTGGTATCAGCCAGCTTGTGCTGTTCAAATTGTTGGATGAGCACTGGGGTCATGCCGGCTTCTTGGACTGGCTTGTTCACATCAGAATGGAGTACACGCAGAGAAGAGATGTCATGCTCTCGGCATGTGAAAAGTATCTGCCCAAGGAAGTCATGAGTTGGAAGCCACCAATGGCTGGCATGTTCGTAAGTCAAATCTTCATGATGTGATGTGCGATTGATCCAAGCTAACAACGCTGCAGCACTGGCTCCAGATTGAGTACGAAAAGCACCCTGACTACAAGAACAAGTCGGTTGCAGATCTCGAGGAGCAGATCTTCCAGACCATCGTGGACCATGGAGCACTGGTCATGAAGGGCTCATGGTTCTACGCAGACAGTCAGGCCAAGCACGATACCATGTTCTTTAGAACAACATATGCCGCTGCACCTTTCGACAAGATCAACGAGGCGATTAAGCGCTTGGGAGAGGCTGTGAGAGAGGAATTCAAGCTGAAGAGCCAGTAAATGCTTTTTGAGATACGGGAAGGTTTAAAGAGGTTCAGCATCTCGGATTGGGAGATGTGTGGCGTTCAGGGGAATAGACAAAAGATTTGGAGTGGGCTTGCATAAGAGGCCTCAGTTGATGAAGTTGACGCAGAAGAAATGAAGAATTAGACTTCCAAAGACATAATCCGCAAAAGCCCTGGGTTCAAGTCAGATAAGTTGTGCATGCGAGACGGTGGCAGACAAAGTGGTACCTTTCGTGTGATATGGAGCCGAAATCGGCCTTGTTCTGGGGGTTGGTCTGGATTCTCAAGCTGGCGGTAAGAACAAATTGGCCGACGGTAGCAGAGAAACCGGAGAGGAAAGCGTTGAAGGGCTATATGAGTTGTCAGCGTGTGATCACGAATGCGATTGTGATAGTGGTATTCGAAGCATACGTAGTTTCCGCCAATGACACAGTAAAGGAATTGAAGAGCGCCGACGAAGATGAGGAAGGTCATGAAGACATCAATCAGCTTGACACGTTGAGGGGTGTCCTGAACATAGCGGTCCCAGACGGCCAAAGCGATCTCTTGAGCATCTGATGAGTTGCGGACAGTGGTTCTAGCGGAGGTGGCCTTTGCTGATGCGGCAATGGGCTTGGTTGGCGCCGACGAAGCAGATGTTTGGCCGTGGGAAGGCTTGGCCATCGAAGGGGGCACCTGAGAAGGAGCAGGAGCAGCGGCGTTCTTCTTGGGAGCCATGGTTGATGGTCTTGGGTCGGAGAATGTATCGACTGAATCAAACGTGGACGCAGAGGTGGACCGATTGACTTGGAGAATACGCCGGTCAGAGGATGGATCAATGTCGAGACGGAACAGATAGACGTCGAGTTGGGTGCGTGTGCTCCTCGCTCACAGTTACTGAGATGCAGTAGCAACAATCGAGGCCAGCTTGCCCAAGTTGAAGCTCGCCGACATGCACGCACGGACGATGCCGCGTCACATTCATTGAAGCTCGACTCGACGCGCTGTCTCCGCTTGCCGCTTGCTTGTTGACCGAGGCCTTCTCCCTTGATTCAGTGCACAGCATCTTTCTCAAACATCGTACCCTTCCAACAAGAACATCAATATTGACAATCACTTATAACAAAATGGTAACTGGATACTCTCATCATTGTAGACTGGAAGATTGAAGCTGATTGAAAACAGAGTCTCGTGTAAGCCGATGCCTGGAGCCCTGACTATATCTGGATGAGCTTCTTACCGATCATGTAACAGCACCATCGCATACATTCTCGCCTCGCTCACCGCCGGCGGCGGCACAATGGGCTATGTCAAGTCAGGCTCGGTCCCTTCAATCGCTGCTGGAGTCTCTGTTGGCGCCCTGTACGCACTTGGTGGTTACCGCATGTCCAATGCCCAACCCTATGGTGTCGAGCTCGCGCTTCTGGCCAGTCTTGTCCTTGCCGGAAGCAGCATCCCTAGAGCCATGAGGTCTGGAAAGCCGCTCCCCATCGGCCTGAGTCTTCTTGCTGTCTATGGTCTCTACAGCTTCGGCTCTGCTTGGTCTGCCAGAGCACGTTAATGCCACTCATGCTTTGAACCCGAGCACTTTGCTACCCCCATCACGTCAAGATGCTGCTATAATGTTTTGAATAACGAGTCTCCTTCTCAAACCTCATCATTGCCTGCCCTACGTGTCCTTGATCGTACGCCAGAATGTCCGTTGAACCGAGGTAATGGATCAAGGTCGTGAATTAGCTTCGTGGAGCTAGCTTACTATGGTGAGTACAATGTTCAACCTTTCGGTAGGTCAATGTGCCCCGCTTCAGTGTTCTGTCCATCGACCGAGGCTGTCTCATAGCATGTTGTTCTCCATGAGATTCAGCGACGTCTACAGAAATGTACTGTTTGATTGACTATGTTTACAGGCTCTTTCAGTCTAGTAAGTCGTGTATCAACCACATGAACCAGCGCGTTAGGAACGACTGGCACTTGAATCCAGCCACCATGACTCTTTCCTGAAATCCGGCAATCGAACATCGCTACTACCTTAGTCGAATGCTCATCCTCGATGTTCACGGACGTTCGCTGCTATATGTTGGGCGTTTAGTTCAAATGATAAGACCCACGCTCTCTTCTACGGTGTCCCATCTCGGAATGTCTTATCTGACAGCATGTATCGTGATAAGTTTCGATCGAGCGTTGAATCTGAGTCTATCAGATCGTCCCTGATCAGCTGTGCTATATGGGCTTTGAGGTATCGCCATTAAGTGAAAATGGAGTTCAGCACAACCTCTCAAGACTCCCAGCGTGGACAGACACGGGGCAAGCAGTGGACGATGATCTCTCACGCTTCCTCCACGAAAACATGTCCACACTCTGCATAAAGCAATGGCGACTCGATAATAATTGGAAAAACAGAGCTCAGCGGTAAAGTAGCCATCCTCCCGAGCTGGTATCGATTTTCTCAGGTGATCCATTGTCACCCATCAAGCATCGAGCTCTCATTTCTCGAAAAGCATAGCGAGGGAGCCTCTCGCAAGAGCTGGCCTAGCTAGATCAAGCTAGCGGTCGCGTGACTCTCACATCTATGCACGTGCACAATCTGTTATGCTAGAATTGCATACATGCGACACTGTATGCGCCTGACACGATACAATTGATTCTTAGGGCTTTTCATGGATGATAGCGGCAAGGGCAGGCCTGGGACAGGGATCGAGTGCAGACAAAATTTTGATTTTGTGTTGTTTTCAGCTCAGAACATCTAGCTAGCTAATATTACTGCGATATCGTGGCTATAGCATAGCAATGAGGGGAGCTTCAATGCGAAGCTCTCTGCCGGTTGTTTCCAGCTCGTACGAAACACCAAGCACTGCTAAAAAAAAAGAAGAGCAGTACGGAAATACCTACTCCGTGTGGTTATCGCCATGCAAGCCCCGGCTTGCTTTTTCCCCTTCCAGCCAGGTGATTGATATGAGAAGCAAATAAGATGTCGTCCCAGAAGAGGAAGAAGTGTGGTGCTGGCAAAGAGGACGTTGTCAAGAAGGGCACAAGAATGGTCGCCTTGGTGCGAGCGACGACCGGGAACATCTGCATGGCCGACTGCCATACGACGGGAACTTCGTCTTGCTGAGTTTGTGCAACGTGTGCCGTATAGAAGGAGAGGAGGAAAAGGGATGGGCAAAGAGGATCAAGAGAACTTCCATCTATTGCCACAGACTGTACACTCGCAGAAGGTGGTCATAGGTTCATCGGCAGATCTGGTCTGAGCCTGACTGTAACTGACCTTCTTTTGACCACACTTGCCGCAGGTCAGACTGGCACTGATACTGCGTTCTGCTTGGGCGACCATAGCCTTGTCCATGTTTTCCTTTTGCAATTTTTCATCCTCGGCGCGCTGTTTGTCACTCTTCAGCTCCTCGTGGGTCATGCGTACAAAGCGATCAGGCTTGATAACACCAGAAAGCACCTGGCTACGGAGCTTTGGGTTGGACTTGTTCTTGAGATTCTGGTAGAGGGAGCGAATGCGCTGGCGGTACTCGGGACTACCCTCTGGTTGGTAGGCGTTGTAAGCAGCAAGCTCGACAGAACGAGCAACGGTCAAGATGTCTTGCGACGCTGTAGACGGGGGTCAGTCAGGGAGCAGATGACATAGGCACTTGGTGGGCAGTGGCATACCGTCGGGCGACATGAAGGCCAGACCGTCGTACATCAGCTTGATGCAGGCATCGCGAGTCTGGTTTCCAGTGACGCCGCAGTTGACCTTGTCAGACAGGCTGTTGCGCTTCTCCGGGTCGCCGTGAGGTTCCGCCTTTTGCTTTGCGGCAGCAGGGGCAGGCGACGACTTTGCGGGCGCCGGAGAGTTTGTGCCGCTGGAGACAGCTGTAGTGGGAGACTTCTTGACGTCGGCCTTCCATTTGTTGACCAGAGCGCTGGCAGCCCGCCCGACCTGGCTGTCGCTGTTATGGCGCAACTTGTTGACGTGCACACCGATCTTCGTCTGGCGCAACAACTTTTCCGTGGCCGTCCATCCCTTGAGTCCGTCCAGAAGAGAGAGCAGAGTTGCCGGAGGGTCGCCGCCTGCTGCTGCCTTTGCCAGCTGTTTTCCGCGCTCTTCAATGTCCTTTGCTTCCATGCTCGCCATAATGACGTTGCGCAATCAGTCGCCTCGTCGCCTTGGTCGTCCAGATGCTGTCACGATACTTCTTTAGCCTGGGCGCCTGGTTTTTGCTTTGGCGCAAGTGTTCGAGATGGGAGGTGAAGAATGAATCAACTTCGAGGCTCCAAGGTTGTCGGACCAATGTCAAAGCCAACCACCAAAATCAAGGCGGGGTCACTTTCTACCAAAGCTGTTCCTCGTCACACTGACAATCCCGACTACTCTCATTCCTGCCACTTGGACCACTGGTCTCAGCTTGCCGCATGCTCAATTCATGTCCGACTGCCGTCACGATGCTAGGCTAGCATTCTGCCAACCCGGATGACAAATGACGTGCCCCACCTGCTTCCATCATCTTGATCTTTGATCGACCGACTTCACTCACGTCTTCGTTCCAACCGATTCCTTGACCTCTTCACTCCTCTCATCAAGCTTGCGATCATGTTGGCAATCATTGGAGCTTCTGGTAAGCTTGGCGGTGCTACGCTGGACGCCCTTCTTGAATACAATCTTTTGCCCAAGGACCAGATAGTATGCTGCACCTCGTCAGAACCTGGGAGTGACACTTGGTCCTCTCTGGAGAAGAAGGGTGTTCAAGTTCGTCATGCCTCTTTCGATGATAAATCTTCCCTTGAGATTGCACTTTCTGGTTGCGACAAGTTCTTCCTCGTCTCCACCCCAAACATCGACATGGACTACAACGATGCTCCTTTGGGTTCGGGTCGCGAGAAGCATCACTTCACTGCCATTGATGCTGCGCAGTCTGCCAACGTGCAACACATCTACTATAGCTCCCTGGCCTTCCAGAACCCTTCGAAATCTCGCGTCATGCAGGCCCACATTCGCACCGAGGCATACCTCGCAAAGCTACCTATCAACTATACCATCATGCGTGAGGGTCTCTACAATGAGAGCTGGCCGCTGTATGCAAGTTATCACGACCTCAAGGATGACCAGCGCTCCGAAGTGCCCATTGCTGGCGATTCTCCTATCAGCTGGACCGCCATCTCTGATCTTGGCCTTGCCAGTGCTCTGGTGATTGTTGCACCATCATCTGAATATGCACACAAGACTTTCTATCTGTCGCGCACTGAAGGGCCTAGAACCATAAATCAAATCCTCGACAAGGTCTCGGCCGTCAGGTCCAAGAAAGTCTCTACAAAGACTGTCACACGTCAAGAGCTCGAGAGCTATTATGTCAAAGACAAGAAACTGTCAGAGCCTGCCGCCAAGTGGTGGGCAGCTACTTATGATGCTCTGAGAGACGAGGAGTGTCTGATCAATGATCTAACTCTCGAGAAACTACTGGCCACCAAGGGAAAGAAGCCTAAGCCTGTGGAAGAAACGATAGAAGAAATGCTTCGTGCTTAATTAAGTTCAAGTCGGACAAGCACCAGTCTAATAAGCCAGATCCTTGTCCCCATCCGTCTCGACGACCCAATCATAGACCAAACGGAGCTTGTATTCCTCCTTGCCCCTCTTGACGATAATACGTCGCGTGTGTCGTTTCTGCCCATCCACTACCTCGAAGCCCCATACCTGGTCTGCAGTCCAATTGGGCTTCTTGCCTACGCTGTTCACAATACTCTGGAAAACCTCACGATCTCCTTCGGCCAGAAACTTCTCATCCCAACCCTGCTTGAGGTAGTCGTGCTCGATTTCATCCAACTTGACGAACCGCGAGCGCCCAGTGACCATTCCGAAGACCTTGTCATCCTTCTCGTGCCACGCGTAGTCCACTACGCGCTCTTCAGTGTTGCGAATATTTCCAGTTGTGACTTGCTCATTGTCTATGTGCTCCAGCCCATTTTCATCAACGAACTGCCATGCTTTAGTTGTAATCCATGTCGAGATCTGCTCTTTTACTGTACCTGCTTGACATGAAGTGTAATGTTCGAATATTTGACAGCCTGGCGAACAACCCAGCCTATACCTTGCTATACGAGTCGTGGTAAGATTACTGAGCACACTACATGAGCTCAAGGAATTGGTACCATTTTCAAGGCCGCATCGGAAGAGTCTGACAAGGTCTTATTCTGGTTGTTCTCAGTATGCGTTCCATGCCAAACCGCGTCGGTAAACACTTACGAGATTAAATGTACCAGATAGGTTGCGCAAATTCACAGTGTCAGGAACAGCCATTTTCGGAAAAAGTAATGCAGGGATATTATGTATTAGGTATTCTTCGGTTCCGATGAATGGTATCGAGGTATCTATCTTTTGTCTTGAGGAGTACCTTCGCTTTTACTGCGTGACACTTGCGCTTGCTGCGCTGCCGCGGTACAATCAATGCGGGGTGGTTCGGGCTACGTGACTTGGCGTGATAAGTTAACGCTTGTGCTCGGCGGTAACCATCAGTCGTGAAGCAACTTCTTTTGCAGTTGACATTGTCCAGCTAAGATAAAATCGTCTGACATGTGCCTGGCGGAAATGGTCATTCTGCTGAAAGCAACGGTCAGTTTTTGTATACCGAGAAGAGTTTGGTTGACGGAAAGAGAAAAGAGTTGATAGATCAGAGAGAAGATTAAGGTCCCCATAGACTTCGTGGTGGTCAGAACACTGGTTCTCTTTTCGGATTGAACACAGCGTCGACCTTGGCTTGTCCCACGCAGCCATCGGTCTAAGGATGATGTCTCATCACGACAAAGGGATGCTGCAAGAAATGGATGAGATACTCACATGCTCTCTTCATCTGTTGGGTTGATTCGGCTTGAGACCAGCTCCAGACCACCTTACCCACGCGCCTTGGCCTCTGCTTCCAGTGTTGGCCAAAGGAACTTGGACTTCCGAGGTTCTTCTAAAGGTGTCTGTACAGAACTGGGCTCATCTATGTTATCGCGTTGAGCTTGCTTTCCATGGTCCTGAGTGCTAGGATTCGTCTTGGAATACCTTGGAGCGGCCGCATTCGTAGACTCTTCATCGCCGTACATTAGGTCGATTGAACTTGCCTTCTGTTCGTCCAACTCGCGGGCAATTCTGCGATGAGTCAAGTGCTCTGGATTCGTCTCAGAGCTCTCAATGAACCTTTGCCATTTTCTCTTTCCCAAGCCCTGAGACTCGGAGGTGCTCGCGGATCGCTGCCTGTCACCATCGCCGACAGTGTTTACATCGAGACAACCTACAGTTTTGGTTGATCCACTCGGTGTATCGTGATTGGATTCGCTTTCCGTATTCTCTCGCCTTCTTCTTCGTTCTCGTAGCAGAGTCTGTATCTCACTGTGCCTGAACATGGCGATCTGATCGTCCGTGAGCGTGCGTTTGACGCCATCATGGTAATACCCAAGATCATCATCGTCCGTAGTGTTCTCCTCGAAACTTGCGCCAGCATCATGGCTCCTGTTGGAGGATCCAGAGCTTGAGCCGGAAAAGTGCTTTTGGTGAAAATGATGCAAATCATCCTGCATGGGTTAATTCTTGGCCCAGCTACAACTAAAGAGATTCCCACTTACTTCTGTTACCAATGGAAGTCTGAGATTTTGTGTCGACATGTCTCTGCGCCATTTAGGTTTCACTCGGGATTGGAGGGTCGAAGAGAAGGAAGGTTGGTCAGTCACGCGCGTGTCGGCTCGTCAAAGTAGTTGCCAAGCGCAGAGTGTCTGGGGTTATGTAGAGTGCGAGCAGGCGCGACCACCTTGATTTCCTAGCATCATCTTCACAACCTTGCCATACATCATGAAAGCCCGCGCAACCTTCGCCACCTCACTCATCGCAGCTTGCTTCATTACCGCGACTTCTGCAAAGGCGACCTCGCTGCACATCGCGGATACACAGGCAAGCCTCAATCTTCCAATTCCACACGACGTCATGTCAGGCAGCGATGTGACCATTTCCGACGTACTCGGCAGGGAACGCAGTATAAACATCTTTGCTGGCTTTACTCGTGATATCGAATCTGTTTTCAAGCGTCTTGAAGCCGGATCCCATAACACCACTTTGCTTGCGCCGCTCAACTCGGCAATCACGAGACTCCCCAGGAAACCATGGGAGGACCCACAAGAATATGCTGCCTTGGGCCAGAACGCATACGACGGCCGAGATGGCGAGGATAGGGCGCACAGAAACCTCAGGCGTTTTGTGGAAGCCCATGTCGTCCCAGAGTCACCTTGGGCTGAGGGTCAGAAAGTTCAAACCCTCGGTGGAGACACGGTCTGGTGGGAAGAGAAAGACGGAAAGAAAGTGGTGAGCATCACCCGACGCTGATTTAAGAACTGACTGACGACGGCATTAGATCCAACCTGGAGGCATCGAAGTCTCGAGCGTTCCCAACAAGGTCGTCAATGGGGAAGTTTGGATTTTGGAAGGTGCTCGAAACTATGCGTAGTGGAGGGGACATGGCATGACACAGCTCACACCTCAGATCGAGAACGCCGACCCGTGATATAGACTCAGGGTATTTGATACACGAATCTGAACTACAAGCCTCTTAACCTGTATGTAACTTCTTTACGCGCTGAGCGCCTTCGTAGAGTGCTCTGTCAACAGCAGCCGCTACGGTGAGAGTGCCACCGATGACAGCACAAACGCCGACAAGGAATCCAGAGAAACTTTTAGTCCTCGACTCGCGATTGATGACCTTCATGGGTGAGATGTCCTGTAAAGCAAGTTAGCTGATGGGTCTCAAGTGGGATAGCTGACTGCTTACATATGAGAAGAAGACGCCGGGAATTCCACCTCTGGCATGTAGTCTCTCTTTGTGACCTTCCTGTCGATCGTCACCACCTGCCAGGCTTCTCTTGTGGCTCGTGACACTGTACTGATGAGTCTCGATGCTGCCAGCTTCACCGTGACCATAGCTTCCCAGCTCAATGAGTTCGTGGGGGAAGTTCAGAATGGAGTTCTTCTTCTCCCATCCCAAAGGTAGATAAGCAGTCGAGACTACCTTGACAAAGTACATGAAGTTGTAAGCCTTCTCATCCGTCTTGTGCTCGGTGTTGTCAAGTGGGTTAAGGTGGTGATTAGTCCAAGCCATACCCTTCTTGCCGATGCTAGCGACGATGTCGTCAGGAAGCTGAGGGCCGAAGCGAAGATGATGGATGTTGTGTGTAAAGGTGTGCTCGATGTTGTTGCCGCCGGCCCAGTAGTTCTCGAGGTCGTGGACGTGCATGTTGCCATTGCTGAAGGATTTGCCAGGTGCAAAATGAAAGTTGCCGACAACCTTGTTCACGCGAATTCCTCCTTCGATACGACAACCCTCTCTACGCTGTTCGTCGAGATGCTCCGAGTAATGTTCGCGTGTACACTGCTCAACATTTTCTCCTCTTCCAAAAGACCAGGAAACGCTGGCATAGGCTTCACGAACTTCAGCGCAAGTGTTGCAACAGCCGGCCTTCTGTGCGTTTGGAGGGGCTGGTGCGCCGTAGCATTCTCCGCAGTACTCGGGATCCAGATGGGTGGCAGGGTCATCGCTATGACTGGGCAAGGTTAGCAGAAGGCAGGTCAGGGAGGGTTCGGGAACATGGTTACAGTTCAAGAGCCTTGCTCTCAATGGCATGGCCACCATCAGATTCGGCGGCAAGTCTGACCTTGTTCACGCCATGCATGACACCAGTCTGAATCTCACCCGACACATCCATCACATCAAGGGTGAGGAGTTCGCACGGCACTCTGGGAAACGATATGTTCATGTGAATCTCCATCTTTTCTCCTCTTCCCTTGTCAACTACAAGCTCGGGATGTACGACTACTCTGCGGTAGTCTGCATATTCTCCCCAGACGAGCCATAGGATCAGCAACAGAGATGAGAGGGTGACAATTCCGCCAGAGGTAGTGCGCACTCGTGCATCCTCGACAGTCTTGGTAAAGGCGTCCAGACGCGTGAACCGTGACTTGACTGGCATGGTGACCGAAGTGGAGGGTTGGCCGTGATCGAGTTTATAAGGCCAAGGGCGAGTAGAAAGGAATGTCGAGGTCGGATCGAATCAACGCGGCATTCAGGCACGTCTCAAGCCCCGAGGCTTCGTTGAGGGTCTTGGAAATAGTGAAGTGGTCGAATTCGTCGAGTTCTCCAAGAAGCCACCTTTCGCTGCTCATGCACATGGACGGTGGACCCTGGGGTTGGAGCGCACGTCCCACAATCCGGCTTGCTCTTTCAGATAGCCGGTAGAAAGTGCTGCCGTCCGCTCTACCTTCAGGCTTCGCGCTCGACCTAGCCAATGCATGCTGGTCGCAAGAACAGGGGGTATCATTATCATATATATCAAAGAATCAGGTCGAGTTCCGGACCGCTATGCAATTTTCCTTCCCACGTTACCCACACCGCGTCCGACAATGCTGACGACCACATCTCCCGCGTTGCTGCCATCTCTCAGGCCCCAGCCGCTCATGCCAAAGACTCGGAGATCTCGTGCCAGCTGCACAACCTCGTCAGTACCCAGAATGTCTTTGCCTAAGACCAGTCTTCCGACATCTTCGCTCCCCATGGCCATTAGCGTCAACATGGTCGGAGCTGCCACGATCGATGCGCATCCTGCTTGCGAGATACTCTCGAGTAGTTGGTATGCGCAAGCTTTGCCGATGTCCTCTGGTGCTTCACCACCTGCCGCTGAGCTAGCCACATCTGCCGAGTACAATGCACCAGTGTTTGACTCTGCAACCAAACTCAGGCCGAAACCAACTCCAATCTTTTTCTTCGCAGCAGCATTGTTCCGTTCCGGAGCTGGAATCAGAGGTGCTGAGGAGACGTCCGAGAAAATGTACGTGTCTGCGACGAATTGATTGAGCACGCCACGAGCCGTGTCAATCATTCTGGCATTGTTTGCGCCAGCTACTCCAGTTGCGTATGCGACACCGCGTATCCTCTTGACTCTGCCGGGGTTCATGATGTGTATCGTCTTTGGCAGTCTGACTTGGTGACCAAAGACAAGCTGCACCTCACCACCACCACCTCTTCCACTGGGTCCAGGATTTGATCGCTTCAATACTCGGAGCTCGATGTTGTTCTGAATACCAAAGTTCTTGTACAGAGGGAGGATGGCCGTCCGGACAGTATCCACGCTGACGTCGCCTTTGTCGGTCGCACTGGTGATGACACCGGGACCAGTGAAAATGACATTGACCTGTGCTTTGGAGAAGGCGGCAAGCATGCACAAAGGTATGAGGAACCAACTGACACCCCTGGCGCAGTCTCTAGGGAGCTCATGCTTGATCACGCCGCCACTTGCGCCGTAGCCCGCAGCACTTCCCACGATGAGACCTGGTTTGTATACTAGTGTCGTACCGGTCATGGAGAACTCGATGGCAGAACCATTTGTGACGGCATCTAGCAGTCGGAGAAAGGAGACCTCGTGCGGTGCAAGACCAGGATTTGTGTGAGACGATGCGCGAATTTGGGAAATGCGGACGGGGCGACCGGTCAAGGTCGCAAGGACGAGACGAGTGGTGAGATGGCCGGCGCCATCGAATTTGAGTGGTGCAGTGGGTTGCGTAGTCGCCATGTTGTTGTGTCGACGAGCGGCTCGAGTGTGATGATGTGCACCCCAAAGAATCCTGACCAGCTTCTCTGAGATTTTCTGTTCGGCGTTTTGCTGGACCAAAGTCCGTTGCCGCGGCGGAGAGCTTCGGGAGTGCCCCACAATGTCCTTTCGCACCACACCTAGACTCGAGACCCTGTTTCTGCGGCTCAAGACTTCGTGTGCTACTACTAACCTTCACGGCAAGGTAGGGCCTGAACATCGGCCTCGTGCATCGCAATGGTACAGGCACTGCGTTTCTGGTGCATGGTTGTACACCCAAATCACGTCAGCTAAGGTAAGAGATATTCACGCGATATTGCTTGGGCTGTGCGTTGGAGCAGGACAGACATGCACGGGCGAGCGTCTTCGAATCAAGGAACACCACGCAGAGGGAAATCATATGAGTGGAAATCAAAGAGGAGTGGCATTCTATAGAGATGACTGAGCTCTGGGGGCAGACGTCAGAAAACTGGGCTATATGCCGTGAGATGCTCCGCTGGCTTAGGCAATTCGCAACGACCCATATCGGGGGTCTTCATGTTCATATCGTTTTGATGATCCGTGTGTGTGGTCCAGTTCGTAATGGACACGCTTACTGGCCGTAACCGCCCTCGCCGCCGTTGTTCTGGTAGCCGCCCTGGCCGCCGCCGTAGCCGCCCTGGCTTCCGCCGCGCCAGTTGGAACCGCCGCCGCCGTAGCCGCCCTGCTGCTGCTGGTTGTCGTAGCCACCACGGCCACCGCCTGGAAAAGAGTCAGTCGAAGTCGGTTTGAATGTGCCGAGAGAGGAACGTACCGTAGCCGCCCTGGCCACCGCCGTAACCACGGTCACCGCCACCGTAACCACGGTCGCCGCCGCCGTAACCACCGCGACCACCACCACCGTATCCGCCACGGCTCTGGAAGCCACCGCCGCCGCTGCCACGCTCAGAGGCCTTGTCCACGCGAATGGTACGACCGTCGAACCTGCGAAGTTTAGTACGTCGTGGCCGATGCGAAGAGCTGTAACCGAAGCGAATGCGCAAGTTGTGTTTGCGCACAAGAGTGTATCCGTCGATATGTTTGTGACTCACTCGATCTCGTTCATGCCCTTGATTGCGGCATCAGCCTCATCCTCGTTAGAGAAGCGCACGAAGCCGAAGCCACGGCTGCGTCCGGTGTCACGGTCCTTGACAACAACCTGAATGGTCCCCGTCAGTATGCATGTTTGTAGCTGTAGTTTGGTGAGCGCGCATGTCTTACAGCTTCCTCAACGACGCCGAACTCCTCGAACTTTGTGCGCAGAGCAACGTCGTCAGTGTGCCAGGCAAGGCCGCTATTGATATGGATTAGTACAGAGCTGCCGGCGCATGTGCAAGTGATAATTACCCAATGAAAAGCTTCGACATGATGATTGATGATTTTGGGTAGAGGTCTGAAGGATGGTTTAGAACTCTGCAAGGCGATGTTGAGGATGACGAAGCGGGAGGAGCAGGCGACACGTCGGTTGATGAGAAACTCACCTGGAGGCTGGAACTGGGGGAATTTGAAGCGGGGGAGTGCTTGGACTGAAAGTGGAAGACAGCTTCGTCAGTTATCAAGCGTCAATATTGTTGTGTGAAGCTCAAACGACCTACAAGTGACGAACGCCCTGGTCTGTGTGTGTGTGTGTGTGTGATTGTATGCTTCCAAACTGATCTGAGAGAAAAGTGAGGAATGAAAAAGAGGTGACAGGGCAGACGTGAGCACGTGGAATGTCTCCTCTGCAGCCCAAGAGTCAAGCTAAATACTGCTGGTAAAGGTTGATTCGTGATCCGCGACAAGATAGCGCGCGCGGGCGTGATTCTTGGAACTTGTGATGGTGGGGTCACGGGTGGCAACACGCACTACGACTGAAGACAGCTAATGACATGATGATACCACTCACATAGCACTATGAAGCACAGCGGCAACCGGTTGGGAGCACAGTCCTGCAGACCTAATGTCTCTTCCATTCAACACCAAAGGTGGTGATCAGTAATGCTCCGATGGTCCTGGGGCCAATTGCTCCTCCAGCCACAAGCCCGCATGCATGAACAGCCGGTCTGTCAATATGCGGCTGTCCTTAAAGAGCGATCTGGGCCACCCGCTGATGTACTAAGTGTTTGCCTAAGCGACAATCAATCACGCCGAATTGTTCTTTCTGGCTGCTGTGTGTACATTGGTGAACCTAATCAAGGTCGATTTCAACATGATATTTGCCATTGCTTGGTACATGCTTCTCTAGCACCCCTATTAACCATGTCTCTTCATGTTCAACAGTTTGACCGCATATTGAGCTGCATGATGGTACGAACATTAGTCCAGAGGCACCTCTCAACCGAACGTAGTCTCGGTCGTCCAGGACAGAACGACGTGCAATTATCGAGGTGTGCAGCGAATTGGCTTCTGCCTGTACAATGCTCAACAACTGCAACATAAAGCTGGTACATGGATGCGATGCTCCAGAACTTCGAACGGCTCTAGGATGCAGTTGCCTCCGAGCCATGACAAGCTCTTTCCTGCGACGCTGCATTTGATGCTCAACTTCGGTTCCTGCAGGCATGCGACTCTGTGATCAGCATTCTACCACTCCGATGGAGCCTTCTACGGAACATGGATATCGATCAATGGATCGAGAGTCTGAACCAAGCACATCCGCCTAGTGAATCTCCTGTGCTCATCGCGCGACCCAATGCGACGCAAAAGCATCGACGTGGTTCAAGAAGAAGTTCTTTACTCGAACCATTCCTTGTGAGAAAACATCGTGTCAATGAGCGACGGCCTGTGGCTTCCATCGGCCTCTCGGATTCTGGAACAAGTAACGCTGCATCCACGTCCGCATCTTCTTCTTCTTCTTCTTCTTCCGCGACGCCATCCTCTTTGTCATCCGACCGGAAGTATCAAAGAAGACCACGACACCGTACCAAAGCAGATAAATACACCTCAAAGTCACGGTCGAAGCCACAGTCTCAGAAGAAGGAGAAGAGGAGAAAGCAGGAAAGGAAGTCGAAACACACAAAACGTCACAAACACAGAAGCGCGGCAGTCACAGGTGTAGTACAGAACTTTCACGCAAAGAATGTTCTCAACCATCGGCTCACGGTATACTTTCCACATACACTGTTCCTTTACACACTCTGATTCAATTCCTTGTAGCTCGGTGCTTCCCCCAAAGTTGGTCTGTACACCAAAGGCCGCTCCTCAGGACCTACTAGAGGCAAGGGCCGTAAGGTGCAACAACTCCTATTCGGCGTCTTATACTGATCTGATACAGTGCCACATCTTGTCTTCTCGGAAATGAAGTTTCTCTTGAAGCCTGAACTTACAACAAAGGATGAACCCGATCCGGTCTCGAAGAGTTACAAGAAGAAGAACGAGAAGCAGCACAAGAAGAGACCTCGTGAATTATTTGAGGAGGAGATATCTAGATACTTTGGTACGGAACCCCACAACGACAAGACTGACGACGAACCGACTCTCTCGCGAGTGGACGCCTCAAAAATTCCGACGGCATCTCCTCGTGCTCTACATCTGCCAGAGAAGCCATTTCTTGGATTCGGAAGCAGGAACACACATCCACCCACTACAAGCTATTACAGTTGGTCAGAGTCAGATATAGCAAGCTCGCCGCGAGTAAGGCATTTCGGCCCAGATCACGAGCCATTGACCGTGGGCCAACTGCAAGGCGAAAGAGTTGAGAAGCTGAAAGGCAATCCGTCGATGGGGGAAGCGGCCATCGAACCTCTACTTGCAGAGGAGGTGACAATCGAGCTGCATGACAGCGGCCATGAATCAGTCCCTCAATTAGTTGAGAAAACTGGCCAAGCTACTAGGCCGACAGCTGATTTACATTTCCACCACACTGCCAGCGTCGAAGCTACGCCTACCTTTGTACCGAACAAGCACAGTAAAACCGCCGCCACAGTTACAAGCCATGAGCGCAAGGCGATACCAAGAACTAAACTTCCAGAAGATGAACAACCTCGTCATTTCACATCTCAACAAGCAGAAATCGCTGACGATCTGGCTATCAAACATCACACAGATCCGTGGGAAGAACTGCTTAAAGCTTGTGAGGTCGCAGCTCGACCTTCGATACCAAATTGTCATGATGAGGTGTCACCTAGATCCGCCCTGCCTGCTTTTCATGATTACACAGATCTAGACCTATGGAGGGAAGACGATCACCACTCCTTTCAGCATGGCGATACAGACGAAACCCCTCGTATCGACGAGCACATTTACCGGGACCGTTCAGATGCCGTTGAGTATGGAAGAGATGGCCTTTCATTTGGGCTCGGGGAAGACAATACTTCAGAGTCTCTGGATACGAACAACGATTACGATTCGGCACTGGAGGATGAAGAAAGTTGGGACGAAGATGGTATGAAGATACAAGACGCGACTCTGAACTATCGGCCTCAAGACTTTGGTGCTGTGGACGAGCTTGCTGCGTTCTGGCAACCGCATAACTTGTATTATTGATAAGACAATGTATTCGAGGAAAACGTTGCATACCAATGGATAGAGGACGAAGTTCAATGAGTAGTGCTGGGTGGGGAAAGGCCAGTGCTCGGGGGCGAAACAAACTCAGACCGAGGTCGGGAAGTGCAGCTGGGCCAACAGACCAAGCAGTCAGCATCCCAACAACCGTAATCGATAATCTTCGTCGATTACAAGCAAGTTAGCCGCATGTTTGCGAACTGTAGGCATTCCGTATACAGACGTCAATTGACTCTGAAAGCAACGCAAGCCAGGCCAATTGTTGGGCACCTGGCAGTTTCCACGCTGGCTCACCGCATCAGCCGCAGCGCTGACCCCACCACGACGGCCAAAGCCGCCGACGCTGCTGTTTTCAAATCTCGCACTGCCCAAGTCGCTCGTCACTTGTCCGCAACGACACGTTCATCACACAACATGTCTTCCCCAAAGTACTCCGTCCGCTCCGTCGGCGCTCCTCACACCCTTGAGCACCGCATCTTCATCGAGAAGGATGGCCAGCCCGTCTCTCCCTTCCACGACATCCCCCTCTATGCCAACGAGCAGCAGACCATCCTGAACATGGTCGTTGAGATCCCCCGCTGGACCAACGCCAAGCAGGAGGTACGGCCCAATCCCTCTCGCTCTCAGTCCCTTGGGTCAGCTCATTGACAGCCTTGCAGATCTCCAAGGAGGAGCCTCTCAACCCCATCAAGCAGGACACCAAGAAGGGCAAGCTGCGCTTCGTCCGCAACTGCTTCCCCCACAAGGGTTACCTCTGGAACTACGGTGCCTTCCCCCAGGTATGTCACAGAATGCATGCCATTGAACTTTTGGAGCTCGACTGACGCTCTCTCTGGACCTGGGAGGACCCCAACGTCACCCACCCCGAGACCAAGGCCCAGGGTGACAACGACCCGCTCGACGTCTGCGAGATTGGTGAGCTCGTCGCCAAGCCCGGTGAGGTCAAGCAGGTCAAGGTCCTCGGTGTCATGGCTCTGCTCGACGAGGGCGAGACTGACTGGAAGATCATCGTCATTGACGTCAACGACCCTCTCGCCCCCAAGCTCAACGACATCGAGGACGTCGAGAGACACCTGCCTGGCCTTCTCCGCGCGACCAACGAGTGGTTCCGCATCTACAAAATCCCCGATGGCAAGCCCGAGAACCAGTTCGCCTTCAGCGGCGAGTGCAAGAACAAGAAGTACGCCATGGACGTTGTCAGAGAGTGCGCCGAGGCCTGGGAGAAGCTCATCACTGGCAAGACCAACAAGGGTGACATCAACCTGTAAGTTTGCGATTCTCGGAAGAAATACTCTCAAGTGCTAACATCACGCTCAGTGCCAACACCACCGTCTCGCACTCCAACGACCGCACCGATGCCAGCAAGCTCAACCTCCCCGAGGCTGACAACAAGGCTCCTGCTCCGATTGACCCCAGCATTGACAAGTGGTTCTTCATCTCCGGTGCTGCCGTTTAAATGCATCGAGGCTATAAAATTGTCTAGACATACAATCTACAAGCAACGAAAAAGGAATTGCACATGTTGTCTCTTGAAACTTTGACGAAATTTGTGAAATTGCCCTACAATGACATGCCGAATGCAATTAATGATACACACATGCTTTGTGTCGACATGTATGTTCAATGGCACGAAATGTGCGGCCAAGCAGCAAGCGTGACCCAAGTGTAGTTGACCATAACGCCTCGCTCCTCCCAATGCAAAGTAAAACAGACCAAGATGAAGAAAATCAACCAGCCAGCTCCTCCTTTCTGCCGAGCATACGCGAGTGTCTGTCGACCTCTGTCATGATTTCCTTGATCTTCAAGGTTTCGAGATCAAGATTCATCTCCTTGCCATCCTCTGTGACATTGTGTAAGCGGGGAGCGTGCCAGTAAGGGCATACGGAGAGCAGTACTGAACTTGAGAGCCAAGACACCAGGCTTGTTGGCATCGGCCCTGGGTAGCTGCTTGACATCGATCTTCATGGTGGTGCGGGCATTCGGCGGGAGCAGGGCCAGGAAGTTGCGAGCCGTCTTGCCAGACTTTGGGTTGAAGGGAGAAAAGGCGGTTGAGACGGAAGTCAAGAAGCGGGTGATCATGCTGGCGGTAGGGTCGAAGCGACAAGGCGAGAGGCTGGTATAGGTGCGTGCTTGGTCGCAACAAAAAAGTCAAGGCGGGAATGGTATGAGAGGCAGGCCGGATGGCGGCAACAGCCGTGCAGGACTGCGGCGTGGGTGTGGGGAAGAGTGGCATGTCTAGCCAGGCGCATCGCTCGTCCATCACCCGAGCGAAGAGCCATGACGAACCAAAGCGTGCTAGACTCCTTGTCGCAGCTGTCGGACTCGATCAAGCTCACCTTCCAGCTCATCAGCCGCCTATCCAAGCTCTCCTTCCAACCAGGTTCCACCCCACTGCAAGGAGACGGTGACGTCCGCATCGAGCTCTCACACGACATTCGTGACGCTCTCAAACAACACGACGACACGCTCGATAGCCTCCGGCAGGAAATTGAAGACATTGTAGAATTCGGGACCACCTCTCAACGTCGTCGCGACAGTCTCAAGGACAGGGAACGCGCTCGTATTGCTGCTCAGCTTGCCCGCCTAGACGAGGACTTGAAGCAGTACGTCTCCATATCTTCTGCACACCGTCCTGGACATCCCGAACTCACTATTTGCGCAGCGCCAGAAGCCAGTTCCGTGCTGCCCAACTCTCGTCGAAACGCGCCTCGGAGGCAGCTAAGCAAAAAGAACGTGAGATCCTATTTGTCTCTCTCCAACAACCCGTCGAGCCCGACTCCACTTCGTCGACTCCTGATCCTTTCGCTGCTCGTCGTCCCCAGCCCAAGCAGTTGACTCAGGACGAACTTCTTATCAACGCTTCGACCGACGTGACCTCTGCCCTTCGTCGTACTCATAACCTGCTCACTTCGGAGCTCTCTCGTTCGCGCTTTGCACAGGAGACTCTTGACCAATCTACGGCCGCTCTCGCCGATCTAGGTGAGCGCTACACTGATCTTGATTCTCTTCTCAGTAACAGTAAGAATCTTCTTGGAACCCTCGTAAGAAGCCAAAAGAGTGATACTTGGTACCTCGAGACTGCTTTTTACATTCTCATCACAACCATCTGTTGGCTGGTGTTCAGAAGACTCATCTACGGTCCCGCTTGGTGGTTTCTCTGGCTGCCCTTCAAGTTCCTGCTGCTCAAGCCGTTGTATCTCCTGCTTGCTGTGTTTGGTATCACTGGTCGCTCTTCGGCTGCTACTGCAGTATCCGCGTCATCAAGTGTTCCTACACAGCCCACAATACGTGTCCAACCTAGCGCATCAGGCGATCGACCTACTTTCCGGAGAGGTATGGACCAACGCTCGGCAAACGTCATACCTGTCGGAGGCGGCGGTGCAAAGGCTGGCAGGAATGGTCAGCCTCAAACCCAAGACCCCAGTCCTGAGGGCAGCATGTCGCAAGACATCGGCCAGATGGCAGAAGCCAGTCGTGAGCAATTACCACAGCAGCAAGGAGAACATAAGGAGCCTCAGAGAAGGGGAGACGGCACCATTCTCAAAGAAAGAGGCGACATTCCTCGTAACCCAAAGAAAAAAGTCTGGGAAGAGGATGTCGAATCAGCTAAGCACGAAATGAGAAAGAGAGACGAACTCTAAAGGTCTGCATGTCAGGCCATCAAACCAAACGCATTTACTCTTCCGCAGCTTACCCAGCCTCTCTTGAATGTTCTTCTATGAACAAAAGTTGTGCATCGCAACGATTGTCAATAGCGGCTGCTCAAGCACGGGCGACGCCAGATGCATGTACATGATGTAGCTGTTGCCTCATGTGCCCGGGTGGCCTACGTATTGCCATCTCGAGAGCTGCGATGCTGATCACGACATATTGTTGACATGGAAAAGGTAAGTAGGTAGACCGGTAGGCGAGTAGTGGCTGTCGTATCTCGACATGTGTATGTACCTTCTCTGCGGCAGTATCGAACGTCTCGCAATATCTTTTCCTCTGCGTCTTTTATGCTTCCTTCGCCGACTGGTGTACAAAGTCGACAACCCCCCAGCTGTTTTCGTATCTTCACAGCAAGCGCTGACTGAAGGCCATCAGACTTTTACTTCGCTGCTGATATTACTCCATGATATGCCTTGTTCTTCTGTAGTGAAAGGCATCAGAACAATCAGGAAGTCGTTTTTGCTACCAATCGCAGCAATCAACACTGGGTCCCTGCTAGCATCTCTCGGCGCAGTGACATAGCCGTATATAATTCCTATCCAATGTCTGAAAATGCTCTGCGTCTTAGGCAGAAGTCACGGATATAACATCGGATTTAAGCTACGAGACAAGATTTGGCCATCCTCATGGAACTTGTGCCTTGTGGCGATCGCACATCAGCACACCTGGGCTCTAGAAGCTCTTCAAAGTCTGTAGTCAACTCAAGTCGCAAGGTCCTTTGGTCCGTAAGCGAACCAAAAGCACCATCACATCCTGCCTGTCGACGTTGATTAACAACTTTGGCTTTGCTTTTCCCGACCCAAAGCCTAATGTTTGAGCCCTCGAGAGCAAAACTGCGCACTGGTGGCTCTGTGGCTGGTGATGGAAGTCGACAAGACACATGAATGTCATCGGGCTGTATACGTGCGCCAAGGAAGAGCGACCATTCTCAAGGCGGCCTCTGACAGGACGATTATTTGGTATGTGAGATGCTATTACACAATAGATTGAAGCCTAGAGGTGCGGGAAGCGTGTCGGATGCTAACGGCGTGAAGCGTATGGTCGATTCTGATTGGACGATACCTTTGCTTATCTCTGCCTGTCCCTGTCTGTCCTCCGTTATCTTGCCCTCCGCAACTTGGCCTCGAGAACAACTGCGCGCTATGCCTGGAGTAGATTCCATATGGTAACTCTTACATAACCCTGGGGCCCAAGAGGGTGTTTGGACGAACAGTAGGAGAGTGTACAGTGGTGAGGTTGTCTCAACCTTTCATCCGGTCATTGGCATATCAAATGAGTGTCGCCGCTTCAAACCGTCTTATTTTGCTCGCAATGCTCTACGGCTCTTACAAGCATCTACATCATTCCTTGGACTTCGCTACTTCATCTCCAGCCCTTTGAATCAGCCAACCAAATAAGCCTATCTCGCGATAAGCGGACTGGTATAATAGCCATTATCGAACTTGTTCCCCGCGGCCACCCACGCATTATCTATCAGTGCCCGCTGTCAATTGATTGTCCGAGGTCGGGACCCTGACTTGATTCAACAAGTACGATAGTGATCCAACATGGCCGCTGCTGTAGCCATACAACCTCTGGCCCCTCGCTCTGGCCCAATGGCTTTCAACCAACAACAACCAAGGAGCAGTAAGATCGCCTTTGTGCATGACCACGTGCTATCCCACTAAACATTGTATTATTGTAGTCACCAGCTCTCGCGGAAGAAGAGAAAGGCCTTGTATGTTATGATATACACTAGTTCTCGCCAAGCTTAAAAGTTGACCCTCCAACAGGTGACGGTTGCCGTAGACGTAAAAGCAAGTGTGTGTTACAAGACTCATTACCTTGTGTCCTGTGTGAATTCCACAAGCAAGACTGCACCTTTGTCGAGGCTGCTCAACCACGCAAGCGAAAGGTAGACGACTCGACTGGATCAAAGGACTCACCAAACGCTAAGCGGTAAGTGTCGCATGCTGACCTCAATTCCTTGTACCTGACTAACTCGGGATAGTCCAAAGGACTCTAAAAGTCCAGGTCAAACACCTCCGCCGCACCAGCATCCTATTGCCCCTGTCATTCACCTTGAGAAGCCACAGCATGCCCCACAACCTGTACGAGGCGTAGTTCTAGGAGATACTCTGAGTCTACAACGAGAACAACACTGTAGACTCATTGGACGCACCTCGGCCTTGGATATTTCCCTTCTTGGATTCTCAGACTTCGGCAGCCGCCACGAAACGAATACTGGATTCGGCAAGATCAGGAGGGTAGCAACAAGTGACTTCTTCAGCATGCATACCGATGCTTCTTTCTCAACGTACGAAGACGAATTACAAACACTAGTTGCAGTCGAACAAACGGTGGCACCTTACGGACCTTCGCTCATCGACTTGTACTTCCGCAATGTACATCCTAGCTTCCCCATCCTCCAGAAACATACTTTTATGGACAGACATAGGAACGGAGACCGCCAATTCCACTCGGGCTTGTTGGCGGGAATGTACTTACTAGCACTTCGCTGGTGGCACAGGGATCCCGTGCTCTCTCAGCATCCCAAACCGTCTGTTTACCGTCTGGAAGAACTTGCAGCACGGTCACTCAACATAGCTATGCAACACCCTAAACTGTCCGCTCTCCAAGCTGGTTTGCTGTTATTGCAGAGACGACAAGCGACCGATTGGGGGTTAACTGTACAATTAGTTGCACTAGCACAAGATCTTGGTCTACATATCGACTGCACGAATTGGGACATCCCGATCTGGGAGCGTCGACTACGCAAGAGACTGGCGTGGGCACTTTATATGCAGGACAAGTGGACTGCATTGGTTCATGGACGGCCGTCCCACATTCAGGCCGCTGATTGGGCCGTTTCAACTCTCTCGCTCGACGACTTCAACGAAGAATTCGAGAATGCCGACCAACAGATGATTGCAGACGACGAGAACGAAGAGGAAGAGAAGAGCCGCGTGATATTCATCCAGATGATTGAGTTGACGAGTATCATGGCCGAGGTAATTGATGTGTTCTACACACAAAGGGCCAACGCGGAATTCGAAAGAGGCGGAAGAAATGCCACACGATTGATTCTGGAGCGAGCAAAGCCAGTGCAACTCAAATTGAAGGAGTGGTTTTCTAAATTACCGGCGGTCGCAAGAATGGATGCATACACACCGGGAAAGCTGTCTTCAAATGGTAAGCAACGAGGCACTCAACAGCGATATGGCGGCGCTCGCTAACAATTAAACCAGGCTACCTGCATCTTGCATATTTTGCGACCGAGATCTCAATTCATCGACGCATCGTGCAGTCATTGCAGCCATCGGCGACGGATCCATACGTCTTGTACATCTGTCGGTCGGCGGCCAAGACAAGATTGATTTCGGCCATGGACTTTGTCAACCGTCTCAAGCCAGAGCATCTCGACTCATTCTGGTACTTTGCATCGGCAACCAACTTCGCCTTGATCAACACGTTTGGCAACCTCCTCCGAGCGACCGCTCCCGGAGAGGAGGAAGCAGGATTCTATTCATGCCGCCTCAAAGAATACAGGTGGGCATTGGGCGCCAGCTGCCGGAGAGCAGAGTGGCTGGAAGGTGCTGTCAGGATGCTCGACGCGACTGACAATCTGGTCGATGGTCTGGCTGACAGTCAACGAAACAAGACTCAGCATACGGCCAACGAGGAGATGGAAGACGACGAAGAGGGTGAATACTGATGTGGACCCTTCTGGAGGATTATGTTTTTGATGAATTTGCTGCATTGTTACGATACCCATTTGATGACTGGCAAAGATTAGAAAGGAAGGCACAATAGAGGCGCGCAGACATAGAGTTACTAGGACGATCATAATGAGAACATGTATTTACAACATTTCACGATCAGAAAGGTGCAAATGGATGGACATTGATGGATGATCCCGATGCGGAGCAGATTGGCTTGGCATCACGTCGTCCCGCAACGCGTCCAACGCTGGTCTGAGGACGACCAAGAGTGTTTGACCTCGACCAGGTTGCGGGTGATGGACGACAATGGTCTTTCTTACTAGGAATGCGCCGTCATTGTTACGCGTTGTAGGAGGTGCCCCTCATGCCACATCCGAAGACCATGAGCAGCGTGATCAGCAGGCAGCATCCGACCTGAGTGACGACGACGACGACGACGATTTATCCAGCCTTGGAGCTCTTCCCAAAAGGATACCAAAGAACGTCCGTCCACCACCGCGGAAGTATACGAGACCAGTAGGCTCTCAAGGACCAGCTAAAAGAGAAGCCGAGTCCGGGGACGAATTGACCAAGGGACCATTTTCGCAATCCTCGCAGCCAAAAAGGCTCAAGACCACATTCAGTCGAAAGTTCGGCACACAGAACCAGGTAGTACGGCAGCAGGAAAAGACAGGTTGGACCCATTCGCGTCTGCAAGCCTCTGGAATTTGTCTCTGATTGTCACTAGCCAGTTCCTTCAAGGCGCGAGATGGCTCTACACTACAAGCCAAACCACCCGAACCGCCGAGGAAGAAGACCTTCCGAGCAATCCCCTCTGCCGAAACCTCATCCTCTCAGCCGGAAGCTCCATCAGTAGCCTCCGCTCCCAGCTTCCGCCAACCGACACGCTCTGCCATGACCATTGCAGACAGCACCGACCTTTCTGCCCAGTCGCAGCCCATCACTCTAGACTCCTCACAACTCTCGCCTCCGCCTTCATCTCCTATCTCTAGCCTATGTGACATCGAGCTTGCCCAGGAAGCCGACCAACTCGACAAGCACCTATCCTGTCCAATATGTGGCATGAAGGTCGAAAAAGACTTCTGGGACAAGTTTCAAGATGAAATTTCCTACAAACGCATGAATCTTCGCCTCCAAGAACGTTTCTGTCAAGCACACAAAGCCCGTAGCGCCGACGATGTCTGGACCGATAGAGGCTACCCCAAAATTGATTGGTCTGCTCTCCAAGGACGACTGAAAGCACACCATCGTCACATACATGCTGTCCTAGATGGACACTACGAAAGTCACTACTACAAACAGCACGCGAAGATGGTGTCCTCAACAAAAGGGTACACCGCCCGCTCAGCCGTGTTTACTGGTCATTTCACAGGTCTGCGTGCTGGCTACTATGGCACAAAAGGCGAGAAGATCATGTACGTATTGGTTCAGTCTGACTTTGCCATTCTCCGTATCTAATCGCAACTAGGGCTGAGGACATCGTGCGCACCTTTTCTGACAAGCTTCGCACTCTGTCCGAGACTGATCCACTGATAGCTTCTGGCAGTGCATCAGGTGGCATGTCCGGCTTCGTACATGCTATCTTAGTGCCAGAGATGGCCTGTGGGCTTATCATGGAGGATATGAAATGTGACAGAGATACAGCCCAAGACATCTTGGCTGATAGCGCAGATATTGGTGAGATGTTTAACGAAGAGGAAGATGAAGAGATGCCGCGAGTCGAAATTGATTTGCTAGACCCGAGCGAAATCAATGACGAGACCGAGGTCCTGTTTACGCAAAGGCCTGGAAAGAAGTTTCGTTTGGTATAGCTGGGGGAATCTTCTGAGCAGTCCGAGGCCAACTCTACAGCAGTGAGCGTTCAAGTATCATCAGGTTAGCATGATCGCGATTCTTGTGCTTCCTTTGCTTTCTTGCGTCACAACGGCTTACAGTACGACGTTACGACCCGACGCCTTTTTGACTGGATGGAACATGCATAATGGCGTTTATTGTACATGGCATAGCATTTTGAGCGCATAGATATGGGCATATGCTTCACACACTCCCATGTTTATCAAATTCAATTTTGGGCAAGTCACTTAGTGCATTGTTACATTGGGTGTGAATTCAACAGCAACTTTCATTTCTTATGCGTATCGTCATTACTTCAACAGCAGTAGAATGAATGCCAACGTTTAGTTAGCCAGCTTGAGCTTCTCGAACTGAGCGATACTCTCCTCGTAGTTCTTCTGCTCGGCCATCAAATCCTGCAGCTTGGTCTTCTCAGTCTCGAGCACGGAGTGGGAGACCTTTTCAGCGAAACCCTCGGCGTCGAGGATCTTGCGCTGCTTGGTGGCTCCTTCAGCGGCCTTGCGAAGCTTCTGCTGAGCACGGGTGATCTCGGCGTCAACGTCGACACGGCCGGCAACTTCGAGGAAGACGGCGGCGGATGATGAGACGGCGAAAACGGCACAACCGGTAGGGGTGCTATCACTGGGTCCAATGATCTTGAGGTTGGTAAGAGCCTTACCGGACAGGGTCTTGATAGATGCCTGCTCGTCAGCGGCAGTCCTGTAGTTCTTGTCATCGTAGCATTGAACAAAGGCTATAATGTAGTCAGTAACGGTATCGTGGCAAACGGGATTTTTACAAGACTTACCCTTTGCGTCCTCCTTGATCAAGTACTCAGACATGAGACTTCTGACACCCTTGGAGCATCCGAGCAGAAGCTCGTAGGCAGCCTCGCTCTCAAAGTCTTCAAGAGCGGCATCGAACTCGGGGTAAGCAGCAATGACGATACTCTTGGTCTTGTCTTCGGGGCGACGGGGCAGACGCTGCCACAGCTCCTCGGTCAAGAAAGGCATGAAGGGATGAACCAGACACAGTGCACCTTCCAGAACGGTGTAGAGTGTGTCAACGGCACTGCGCTTCTCCTCCTCAGTACCGTCGCGAATGATGGCCTTGCTGTTCTCAATGTAGACATCGCACAGGTTCTCGTACCAGAGCTGATAGGCGAGCGAGGTCGAACGTGAGAACTCGCGAGCAGTGAGAGCATCATTGATCTCCTTCGCAGCGTTGTTGAACTTGTGCAGAATCCAGCGCTCGGGCAATGACTCCTTGCCTGTCTTGCCACCCTTGGCCTGAGGAACAAAGCCCTCGGGCAAATTACCAAGAACGTACTTGGTGGCTTGGTAGATCTTGTTGCAGAAGCGACGGTAACCTGCCATAACCTTGACATCGAAAGCAATGTCACCGCCGCCAGTGGTGTACTGGATGAGCGAGAAACGGAGAGCGTCAGCACCACACTCGGGGATACCTTGAGGGAAAGAGTCCTTCTGGTACTTGGTTGCGTTCTTGACTTCCTTGGGATCGAGGTTACCTTGGAGCAGCTTATCGTGGAGCTCCTGAAGAGTGATGCCCTCCATGATGTCGACGGGATCGATGACATTTCCGAGGGATTTGGACATTTTTCTGCCGTCCGAATCGCGGATGAGAGAATGACAGTAGACCTCAGTAAAAGGTACCTTGCCGGTGAGCTTGAGACCGAACATGATCATTCGAGCAACCCAGAAGAAAAGGATGTCCCATCCCGTCTCGAGCACGGAAGTAGGGTAGAGCTTCTCGAAATCAGGGGTCTTGTTGGGCCAGCCCAAGGTTGAGAAAGGCCAAAGGCCAGAGCTGAACCATGTGTCCAGACAGTCAGGGTCACGGACAAGCTCGAATTTCTTGCCGGGGAACTTCTCCTCGGCCTTCTGCTTGGCCTCCTCTTCGGATCTGCCGCAAACCCAGTACTCGTCCTGAATATCATCATTCTCCTGGCCTTCAAGCTTGACAAAGTAAGCAGGAATTTGGTGGCCCCACCAAAGTTGACGCGACAAGCACCAGTCGTTGATGTTACGCATCCAGTGATAATAGTTGCGCTCGGCACCTTCGGGGCGGATCTTGATTTCACCGTTCTTAACAACGTCAATACTAGCGTCCGCAAGTTCACGCATGCGCATCCACCATTGAGGCTTCATCAGAGGCTCGATAACGTCCTTTGACTTGGAACAAAGAGGAACCTTCATGGGGTTGTCGGCCTTCTTGACGAAGAGACCCAGCTTGGTGAGCTCCTCAACAACGGTGTAGCGAACGTCGAAGCGCTTCTGTCCTTCAAACTGGCCGGCGTTACCATTCAGTGTGCCATTGTCGTTCAAGATGTTGATGAACTGAAGCTTGTGCTTGGCACCGAGGTTGGAATCATTAGGGTCGTGAGCAGGGGTGATCTTGACGGCACCAGTACCAAACTCAGGGTCGACGTATTCATCGGCGAAGATTGGAAGGAGGCGGTCGACGAATGGATGCTTTGCCTTCTTGCCGACCAGGTGCTTATAACGATCATCGTTAGGGTGGACAGCAATACCTGTGTCACCGAGCATGGTCTCGGGACGAGTGGTCGCAACCTCAATCATCTCTTCAGAGCCCTCGATGGGATACTTGAAGTGAGTGATGACACCGAACTCAACCTTGCGCTCGTAACCAGGAACGTCCAGAAGGGTACGTCCTTCAAGCTCCTTGTTGTCGACCTCCAAGTTAGACAAAGCGGTGTTGAGCTGAGTACACCAGTTAACGAGACGGTTACTTCTGTAGATGTAGCCCTCCTCGTGCATTCTGACAAAGGTCTCTGTGACGGCGGCGGACAAATTGGCGTCCATGGTAAAAGCTTCACGGGTCCAGTCAAACGAACCGCCCATTCTCTTGAGCACGATGTTGATCTTCTTGTGGTACTCCTCCTTCCACTCCCATACAGTGTCGACGAACTTTTCACGTCCGAGGTCGTGTCTAGTCTTTTGCTCCTTGCGCCAAAGCATCTTCTCGACAACGCTCTGGGTTGAGATACCGGCGTGATCGCATCCAGGAAGGAAAAGTGTGGTGTATCCTCTCATTCTGTTCCAGCGGATCAAGGTGTCCTGGAGAGATGTGGCGAGTGCGTGACCGCAGTGCAGAGCACCGGTGACGTTGGGTGGGGGTTCGGAGATGACAAAGTAACCTCTGGGCTTGACGTTTCCGTCGGGACCAAATTCGGGCTCGTGGAAGCCCTCCTTCTCCCACCAGTCGTACCATGCTGACTCGACAACCGAGGGAATGTAGGCCTTGTGGTATTCATCGTCCAGCGGCTTGAGGACTGCAGCTCGTCAATGTCCTAATCTTGTGCGCCTCGCTCTGGGCTTGTGCTTACTCTTCTTCTCGCCCTTGGGTGTCTCTTCGACGTATTTGGGCAGAGCCTCCTCCTTCGCCTTGGGCTTCTTCTCCTTGACCTTTCCGGAAGGCGCAGCAGCAGTGGCCTGCTTCGCCTGCTTCTCGGCGAACTTCTTTGCCTTCTCGGCCTTAGCGCGTTCCTTTGCGACTGCGTTGTGTCAGATGTCCGGTAACGGTGTTATTTCAACGAGGTTTCGTACGCTCTTTCTCCGTCTTCTGCTTCTTGGGTGCCTCGGCGTCACCACCGTCGCGGCCGGGTGCGTTGTGGCCCTGGGGGTCCTTCTCAGACGACGAAATGAGAGCCTCGGTGGTCTCGGCTGAGAGCGATGGCGGCTGACCGCTCACGGGACCGGTCTTCTCGCCCGCTATCAATATAGTTAGTAACTGGGATCCTAGACCAGGCTGTCAAAAAGAAGAAGCTCACGAATGTTGTGCGATGCTGCGTTGAGAGCCATATTGGTGAAAGCTCTTGTGCGATTGAAGAAAACAGGCCGTACGACCAAAGCGCTCCTGTAAAGCGCTCTCGAAAGTATCGTGGTGGTCTTGGTGAAAGTGTTTGCGACCGCGACAAAGTGAATGCTACAAAATGCCTGACTCACTGGAGAGCAACGCGGAGTTAATCCAAAGCTCGTTTCCTCACTCGGCCCGCGCCAAGACTTGACGATGCGCCCATAACCCTGTCGCTCTGGCTCAATTACTCATCTCACGTCAACATCAGCACTCGTCTATCGGACAGACGCTGTGGAAGCTATGTAAACATTATCAAGTCAAACTGTCGTATCCTTGGGTAGATCTTTCGTTGTTGTTGCCGATTAAGCATCAGTTCTCGAATGCTCTGATGTATCTCAACGCTCCACCACGGAGCTGACCAACTCTGTTGCTCGTGTGAGGGTCGCAAACCATTGCACTATTCGGATATTGACCGAAGCATAACGTGGGCATTAAAACAGAACTTCGTGGGATATCTACAGCCCTTGGCCTCTCAATTCGTGCCATCCGATCATACGGTAGCAACAATACGATAGAATAAAAACATCAACCCTGTACCTCATGCGCCGCCCTTTGCCGGCCCTTTCGCTATGCCAATTTCCCCGCCAGTGCTTTCCTCCTCTGCCGGCTCTGATAAGCAACCAGCTGATTGGTATGCTGGGATTGCTTGTATGCAGTTGATCTTTCCACGAACGTCAATCCTAGAGAAGCTTCGCGAGATCAAGAAAGCAGTGAGTCTATCCGGACTGTTGGCTTGTCGCTCGAACAGCCGTCACTGTTCATAATCAAGAGTGTGTAGCACTCGAGTTTTGTTGTGCAGCTTGCTTGACAGGGTTGAAGTAAGCATGTGCCATGGCCTCCTTGGCAGTCAATCGTTCCTGAGCAAACAGTTAGTTGCTGCGCTTGTCTCCAAATTTGCTTGTGTACTTGCCTGATGGTCGTATCTGAGAAGCTTGTCCAAGAAGTCGATCGCGTCATTACTGACAAAGCGTTGATTGTCGGCGTTGACGAAGCTGTGCCAGTTCTTCTTGGGGAATCTGCCTAGAATATCGTCGTACTGAGCGTCGAGCTCAATGTCGTACTTGTCCAAGTAGTCGAACAGATCCTCAGTTCCCAGGACTTTGGCGATCTTGACGAGCTGATCTGAGTTGCTGTTACCATGGAAGAAGGGCTCTTTGCGGAAGATCATAGAAGCGAACATGGCGCCCAGGGACCACATGTCGAGAGAGTAGTCGTACTCCTGGTAGTCGACCAGTAGTTCGGGACCTTTGAAGTAGCGCGATGCGACACGGACATTGTATTCGGTACCGGCGTGGTAGAACTCAGCAAGGCCCCAATCAATCAGGCGCAGCTTTCTCTTCTCATGGTCGATCATAACGTTGTGAGGCTTAACGTCGCGGTGCATGATGCCCTTGCTGTGGCAGAAGTCGAGAGCCTAGATTGATGATCAGTGGGTGGGCAACTGGTGGGTGGGTCGGGATGTAATACCTTGAGCAGCTCGAAGATGTAGTATCTGACATCAATATCGGCGAACTTGGGGTAGAGGCTGCGGAAATCGGTGTTGTTGACATACTCGAAGATGAGAGAAGGAGTCTTGCTCTGGAACAATCATGTCAGACGGGAAGGGGTATCGCAAGCGGGAGACTGACCTGGCTGTCGCGGACAACATCGAGCAGACCGACAATGTTCGGGCCTCCGCTCAAGTTCTGGAGGATCTTGATTTCACGCTTGATCTTCTTCTTCTTGACAGGCTTGAGCACCTTGATGACGCATTTTTGGTAGTTGACAACGTTAATGCCCTCGAAGACTTCCGAGTACTTTCCGCGACCTGGCGGGCCAAGGTTAGCTCAAGGACGCCTGCAAGCCTCGGACGGGCAGACGTACCAATCTTGCGGACGACTTCATAGTTTTCCAGAACACCCCAGGAGATGTTGACGCTGTCGTAATCCCAGTATGCGCGAGGCATGTGCTGGTTCACATCGGCGTAGACGCGAGCCATGCTGGGCAGCAATGGCCGTTGGCTGATGTGGCAGGCGCGGCAGGCGGACGAGAACAGAGCACAAAGCAGCAAGAGGACGACGGGGTTGCGCAGACAGCGAAGGAGTTTGGACGAGGGGTTGAATGTGGATGTTGTGGTGATCGAGGTGGAGCACAGCAAAGCCGCTGCTGCGTCAAACCATGACATGGCTCGCTTGCAAACGCCCTGGCCGAGACCTGACTCGCGTTGTGAGGATGCCGCGTCAATTGCCCTCTGGGTGTGTGACTGGCATTGGATGCTGTCTTATAGCATGAGTGAGAGTGATGGGACGACTCACTTGCTCTTTGTCTACCTTTTTGCTAAGGAAAGGACTTTTGGGGAGGCAGTTGCAAAGGACCTCATTCTCTCATGAATTGCTTGCGCCACGAGTCATGAAGATCGTCCTCTTGCTCGAATTCTCGACACTCTGCTTTTTGACATGTGAATATCCCCCCACCACCATCAACATGGTCTGAACAAATCATGCTTAGCTATGTTTTATGACCTGAATGTCGACTGGAATCCGTCGATCAAGGATGCCGAGCTGTCAAGGACTCTCGCCTTCCTGAGCGAATGTGAGACCATGCACCACTGCCCAGCTCGCCTACCTTGTCGCTGATGTTCATCAGTAGGATACAATGTCATCGCCTTGAACCATACCATCTCAGGCAGACTTCCGTCCGATCTCGTCAGTCTGGTCTAACAAGCTTCCATGTCAACATACTGACATTCGACAGTCCTGCGCCATTCCGGATCCTCTGCCATTCAAAACCCCGGCCTCCTTGACTATACTCCGCCGCTGCACTCTAGTATTGTCCGAGTCTGCAACCAACAACCGCTTGGGTGCTCTGGCGAACAACTATGATATCCTAGCTCTGCGTCCCGTCGACGAAAAGACCTTCCAGCATGCCTGCGGCACCGCCGACTGCGACCTGATTTCTCTTGACCTTACCAAGCGTCTGGGCTACCACTTCAAGTTCAAGACCGTATCCGAGGCTGTGAAGCGTGGTGTCCGCTTGGAGATCGCATACAGCCAGCCTTTGATGGCTGATCCTGCCGCCAAACGAAACCTCATCAGTAATGCAACTGGCTTGATTCGAGCTACCAGAGGTGGCCGCGGTATCATAATCAGCAGCGAGGCCACAAAGGCCGTGGGTTGCCGTGCACCCTGGGATGTTGTAAATCTAGCTGCTATTTGGGGCTTGGCTCAAGATCGCGGTTATGAAGCCGTGAGCAAGGAGGCTCGGAGTGTCGTCGTCAGCGCAAAACTGAAGAGGACTAGCTTCAGAGGCGTGGTCGATGTTGTATACGGAGGCGAGAAGCCTGTGGCCAAAGACCAGTCCGAGAACCAGGGCCAGAAAGACAAGACCAAGGTAGCAATCCTCAAGGAGAACAGTGCAAAGAAACGGAAATCCGAAGAAGTGGAAGACACAACAACAGATAGCTCGGAGAAGCCCATCTCAAAAAGGGAACAAAAGAGGAGAGCCCAAAAGGCCAGAACGGAGGGTCTGAACCAGAGCACTACTGTTGCTCCATAGCCAATGAATCAAGCAAAAAAATTCCGAATCAAGTCAACATCACTAGTACGTACGTCTTATCAAAGTTGGGTCTTAAATGTGCCGATTACAAATACGAAAACATGTCATGAACATTGTTTGTCTCCTGGGGTTCTATACTATCCAACGACGCCAACCCAATGCATAAAATTTAAGGTGATCATGTATCACTCCGCCTCTGGCTGGGACTTCCCTGCACAGCGCCTGCATCATCTCGGTATCCTGTATGCTCATGGTCGTGGTCGTACTCTTCATCATCACCGACGCTGAACACATCCTCTTCCTCACTATCCTCTGCAAAGGCGTCGTAGAGTTCTCCTGCTCTACGCTTCCCCTTTGCCTTTGCACTCATCCCGTTGGTACCGCTGGCTCCTCTGGCACCTTCGTCGTCAATGTCCTCTTCATTCAACATTTCGAATTCGTACTCGTCACGCGCATTGCGCTGTTTGCGGCGCTTGGTGAGGACGTACCAAACGCTGAGTGATGTACAAAAGACCGCAATGAGTGCAAACGCTCCATATATCCAGACTTGGGTGCGCTTCGAGGCACCGAAAGTCGGGAACGGAGAGGGCAGGAAGTTGTTTTCGGGTTTCTCGCTTACTCCGTCTTCTTCTGCGTCAGGTTTGGACGTTGGCTCTGCAGTGGTCTCTGATGTTGGCTCTGCTGTAGGAGCCGCGGTCACTGACACCTTGCTGTTGACAGGTCGGTCGATATGGTCGGTGGGGTTGCCTTGAGGCTCGCCAGTCATTACAGGATGATCGACACTCGTAGTGGCTCCACCAACACTGGTGGTCTCAATATCATGATTGTCATCGTCGTGCTCGTCAGGCAATGGCAACAGTTCTTGTTTCGCTCCGTCAATTGATTCGCCGAAAAGCTTCAAATGCCAGTCGATGAATTTGCCCGTATGGCCGTTCTTTGTCGAGTCCTTAACAATCACAGTCCACTTTCCTACTCCGCGTTCGCCCCAATGAGCAACCGACATGAACGTCCAGTCGTCATAGCCAGCAGGCGCTTCGTCTCTGCGACGAGAAGTTGCGATGTGCGAGATGATACCCTCAGGCGAGCGCAGCTCCACACTGAGGTCACCACGACGGCTATGTTCCACGTTCATGGTCACAGTGACATGCTCGATCTGTTCCAGATTGGCGTCCTTGAGCATCTGTTCGGTGATCTCGAAGCTGGAAGCTATGCCCTTCTCGCCCTCAGGAATGTCATGTCTAACATGCATCCAGGGAGAGAAAAACCATGCCTGAGGCTTGACATTTGTCCAGTTTCTGGCGGCTTCCACGATTGCATAAGCATCAATCTTTCCGTAACCCGAAGCGTGGCTGAACCGGCGTCCAAGAGGGGTGTCTTGCCAATCGTCCTCGGGTTGGTCGATTGGAATAGCAGTGAGAACAGTTAGCCATTGAATATCGCGCCAAGTAAGATCGGGTCTGAGCTCAAGCACTAGTGCGTATATGCCTGCGACTAGCGGACCGGCAGCTGATGTACCACCATGGCTGACATAGCACTGATTCGCTCCAACGTCCGTAGTATGAATAGCATCGCCAGAGCCAGAGCTATATGTCACGACTAGTTGTGCCGAGCATTTCTCACTGTAGTATGGGTGCAGGCCTTTGCGATCGATACCGCCAACGGAAACACTATAGATACTGTTGGTATAACCGTCAAAGTTGCAGTTGTCGTCATTGGCCGCTCCGTTGCCAATGGCAAAGACGAAAATACTACCAAGGCCCTGTCGACCGTCCTGAACTCCGGCAACCATGGCTCTTTTGATTATGATACCAGGTGCCTCCATGCTTTGGCCGTCATCTGGGGGACCCCATGAACACGAGTAGATATGATTTTCCTGGTAGGCGTAGTTCAAAGCGAGTGCCTCATCCAGTTCGGTGAGAGCGCCAGAGAGAATGCGAACACCGGCGACCTTCGAGTCGTACGCAACACCGACGCCACAGACGTCGTTTCTCACGGCGGCCACTTCGCCAGCGCAGCGAGTACCATGGTGATCATCAGACAGTCTGGGCTTCGGCTCATCGACATGGTCGTTGAAATCGTGCGAACCAGCAGCAAAATAATTGTCGCGTAGATCGTCACTGTCCATGTCCAAACCATCGTCAACGATGCAGACGGTCGAATTCTTCCCGGTGATACCCTGCAGCCACACTCCTGTGACATTGATATCGTGTCCTGTCTGGCTAGGATTGTACAAGTGCCATTGTTCCGGGAAGGTGGGATCCTCGATGTCCAGACTCTTCGCAATATCCAGACCTTTCTGCACCTTCGAGTCCACCGGCTGCTTGTCTGCTCGTATAGACAGGACAGCGGACTGCGGCGGCGGTGCACGCTTGAACAGACGCAAGCGACGCTCTTGCTTTTTGTTGAGCAGGATATCATCCAGAGGATGGCGGCGGTCCCAGCCAATCTGTCTTTTTATTCTAAGGCGTTTCAAGTCCTGCTTGGCTTCGTGTATAAGGTCCAGAGAGGCTTTTGGTGATTTGAAAACATAATGATCCTTGAGAGAGTGGATGGCGCTATCGAAGTCCAGACCAAGGTGTGTAGCTATCGTTTCGGGCGAGGAATTGGGGGACAGATGCACGGCATAATAGTCATAGTTGTCGTAGTCTGGCTTGGTCAGGGCGAAGCTGGTCGCGGCCAGCTGCAGAAGACACAAGAGTGGGAGGCGCATGATCTCGTCGAGTATGGAGCAAATCACTCTAGATGCATGATGATGGTCGAGACATGAAAATTGTGCGGACAAAGAACGGAAAGGGGGCTCAATACAACCAAGTCCTCCTTACCGTCGAGGCATTGTCAGCTGCGAGAGAGTTACAGCTTCAAAGAAGCCTCCGTGTCAGGCTTGGCACCGCCTGCTTGCGCAACGGTCCGCTGCCCTGAACGGCAAGCAAGATGATGATGGCACTCATACAGATTGCTCCTCAATCAAGTTTTGATTGCTTCCACCTGCCTTTGCACTGCACACGTTCGGTCGTAATCTACCTCTCCTTGACCGTCTCGCATCGCGATTCGTTGCCCTGGCCATGGTGCCTTCCCCAAGCTCGCCCCGTGCTCCGGAACGAGCAGCCACCAGCCACCGAGCTGCAAGCGCTGTCCATTCTGCCATGATATCGTGCCTGCAATCATCGACCTTTTCATCTATTTCCCGCCCTGTCTTCCTTCCACTTTGCCTGTATATAGCTAGCCATCCCAAATCACCGCCGTTTCTTCCATTCACCACGCTTTCGCCATTCTAGTGACGTCTGACCTCTGTGGCCGGTCTCCCTACACCTCACTAATGATCGACATGTCAAGAGACTACTAATATCTTCCGACCGAACCACCAAGTATCCGCGAATCATGGACTCCCGCAGGAACAGCGGCTCATATGCCAAACCGACTAGTTACTTTACACAAGACGACAATCAACCGACAGTTCACTTACCAAAGACTCGCAGACCAGAGGCCGCCCATGCACCGCATGGCCTGGAGCCACTCCCACAGCTCGATACTCGAAGTGCTGTGCCATACAGAAAGTCCACCTCCCACGGAGCTCCTGTATCGCCTGACCATCGTTATCGCTCTAAACCCGGCTTAGTCTCCGACAGGTCACCACTCCAAAAACTCGAGGGCAAGCTCGACGATATAAGCAAAGAGGAGAAGCGAGCTCGAATAGAAAACGCCGAGTATCGTGCTCGTCAGGATTCTGCGGCCAATCAGTCTCGAAGGGTCAACGGATTCGGCCCGCAACCTTTGCCTTACAGACCAGATGAAGGCTACCGTCGCCACGAGCGGCGACATTCGTCCGCGCCAGCCTCAGGAACCGAGAGCGATGCCAACATGCATCAAAGACGGTCATCAGTTGACTATGAAGGACATGCGGAGACCTTGGACGCTGAGCGAAAATTCAGGCGCGCATCTGATGCGCTGAGGATGCACGGTCAAACACGAACCTCAGACCATGCAACTGATCATCCCGATCGTCCCAGGCATGCCAATAGTCAGGATCGTCATGAAAGATCTAATTCGAAGAGCTATCGCCACAGAGCGCGAGATGCTGGCTATGTTGGTGCTGCGGCAGCCGCTGCATCATCCTCTGCTAGTGACACTCGCGCACATGATGGCGCTGGTAGTCAGGATCGCCACCACGACTCTTGCAATCATTACAACCAAGCACATCTTCCTAGTGGTGACAGAGATCACAACTCAGATCGATCAATGTACCATCAGGGTCATTCTACAAGCCGTTCAGCACACATCCCTGTCGCTCGAGGATCGCTGAAAGGTACTCGTCTTGGAGCCACTGGAGATTCGAGACCTAATGATGCATATCAAGAACAAGATTCAATCCCACTCAACTCTGCACGAGCGGGCAATCAACGCGGACCCGCCTACAATATTCCTCCTCAGACTACTGGCGGTCAGAGTGCCAGGGAACAGGTCGGTTTCTCCAAGGTACAGCCAGTGGGTCCTTCTCAAGCCGATCACTCTGCCACCCGAAGTCACCACACTGTATCTAACCTGTTTCATCGCCATCAGCAAAAGGACGGCGTATATCGGAAACAACCCGAACTCCAAGAATGGCGTGAAGCAGGTGTGGCAAGATTGACGACAAATGACCATGATCTCCGAGAATTTGCACCAGGTGCCGCCAACAGGACTACACATTGGTGGGAGGGAAGAGCATCACGACATAGAGATCCTGTCGAGAACCATCCGGAGGCATACGACGGTGCCCAAGATGAATCAGCGAAGACTTTCAATCCGCCTCTCTATCTCAAATGTGGACCGCTGTTACGCTACACTGGCATGCGTCAGGAAAGAGTGATGCAAGCGAGTCGCACCAGCGTCTCCGAAATGGAGATCTGGAGGGGAAGTGTCATGATTGTGACGCAGGACGAACACTCTTCGTATGAGGACATACCGACTCTTCGTCTATTTACGCAGCCTATGGACCTGTCACCGCCACCATCTGCAGAGCGCGGAAACGACCTTCCACCCGAATATGATCCAGTTGCTGGTCAAGTGAAAGTCTCACGGACTGGACAACCACTCTACGTGAGACCTGTGAATGCCCTCGAGGACGGCCTTGACATATCTCGCGTAGAGAATGGCTCCGGGTTGTTCGAATCGGCAAGTTCCTTCAATCAGGGGCTACGACAAATTCAAAAGCAGGCAATGTCAGAGGCTTTATACAGTACCACAAAAGATGGGTCTCGTACTCAGACTCGTGATGGTGAAAAAGCCGGCAGATTTCGCGAAGTTAAAGCCGCTTGCTTGCATCGAGAACGCGGAGTGACATTCTGGCGATTCAACCTGGAGATTGAGCTCGGTTTGAAGCAAGCACGAGTCGCCTACCGAATCAATTCAGGTCCTGCGATTGGGTTCTGGGTCCCTGGCAGAGGACAAAGCATGAATATAATGTTCCATTCTTGTAACGGATTCAGCCTGTCTGTAAACTCAAACGAATTCACCGGTCCAGATCCTCTCTGGCGCGATGTTTTGAACAAGCATTCATCGAGACCATTTCATGTTATGCTAGGCGGCGGAGACCAGATCTACAATGACGCCGCCATGCGTGATACCACGTACTTCAAGGAGTGGTTGCAAACCAAAAACCCGGAGCATAAACATCGAGCCGACTTCTCTGAGGAGATGCAAGACGAGCTAGAAACATTCTATCTTGACAGATATAGTATGTGGTTCTCACAAGGGCTGTTTGGCATGGCCAATAGCCAGATTCCAATGGTGAACATCTGGGATGACCATGATATTATTGACGCAAGTTTTCTCACGAAACTCCAGAGTTGCGCTAATTCGTTGCTAGGGATACGGATCTTATCCTCATCATTTCATGAGCACTAGAGTCTTCACCGGCCTAGGTGCGGTTGCATTCAAATACTACATGCTGTTCCAGCACCAGAGTGTAGTGTCCGAAACTCAACGCGACGAGCCGTCGTGGGTCTTGGGTGCATCTCCCGGACCTTACATAAATGAGCTTAGCCGTAGTGTTTTCATGTTTCTCGGCCGAAAGGTCGCACTGCTAGGCCTGGATTGTCGGACAGAAAGAATGAGAGATGAAGTTCTGAGTCAGCAGAGCTACGACATCATCTTCAACAGATGTCGATCGGAAATTGTCAAAGGTGAAACCAAACATCTTATTGTCCTTCTCGGCGTACCGATCGCTTATCCACGACTCAACTTTCTGGAGAACATCTTGACATCAAGGATTATGGACCCCATCAAAGCCCTCGGTCGAACTGGTCTTTTGGGCGGATTCATCAACAAATTCGACGGCGGTGTTGAGATTCTGGACGACCTAGATGACCATTGGACTGCCAAACATCACAAACCAGAGAGGAATTGGTTCATCCAAGAGCTCCAAGAACTCGCCGCCAGTAAGTCTGTACGAATCACCATTCTTGGGGGTGACGTACATCTGGCCGCCGTAGGACAATTTTACACGAAAAAGAAGTTGGGCGTTCCCAAGGACAGAGATCATCGGTACATGCCCAACGTTGTCTCTTCTGCCATCGTCAATACGCCTCCGCCAAATATCATGGGCGACGTGCTTAACAAGCGCAACAAGATTCACCATTTAGACGCCGAGACAGATGAAGACATGATCCCGTTGTTCGAGCACGATGTTAACGGCAAAGCTCGCAATAATCTCCACCTTCTACCCAGACGAAACTTCTGCAGTATCAGAGAGTACAATCCAGGCTCTACTCCACCCTCTTCTCCTGGTCCGGAATATCAAGCTTTGAACAATCGAAGTGATCCGTCAGACGAGCATCTCCATCCGCATGATTCATTGGCGAGGTCTGCGTCCGCAAGCAAACGAGGATCTCGTCCAAGTAATCTAGTGCGAAGATTGTCAGGCTCCTCCGCGAGGGAACCCCAGCAGATCAGACATAGGGGCGAAACCCACGCCATGGATGCATACGGCCCGAATCAGACAGTCGGTGACGACGACAAAGGATCTTACTTCCCACAGACGCCATCTAGACCGATCAATCAGTTTCACCGGAGACCGACGGACTTGTCTGAGAAAGCTGCAATTAAAGCAAGTGCCAAAGGTGGACCGGAAGGCGAGCAATCTGGACACATCAATCTCGAGAACGGGCTGGACATCTGTCTGCACATGGAGGTTGACCAGAAAGACCCTGCAGGCATCACTAAACCATACAGATTGTTGGTACCCGCTTTGTGGTACGAAGGCGCTGCCGACGTCAACACTGCCAGGTTCAAATCGAGAGGCGCCTCAATGATGGACCGTATAAGAGGCAAATCAGTCACAAGATCACCCAACTCGGATGACCGGTCTCTCCATAGTCGCGATAGCCGCAGTAGCTCAGAAAGCTCCGATGGACAACCGACTACAAAACTGGACGACACCGCTCTCAATAGCAGGTTACAGACGACGGAACGTGAGCCAATTACCAACAGGACCATAAATCATCCTTACGGACAGGGCAGACCTTCGAATATCGGAGGTTTCAACAAAGAGACCGGACCATCACCTCCCCGTAATCGTCATCCCGCTTTGGCTGGCGCAAGCAAAGAGATGCCCCGCGAGGCCACCCGACCTTCGGCAGGACCTCACCCTTCCGAGGTTCCGGCGGAAAGCACCCAACAGAAGCGCTCATGGAATCCATTCGGTCGTAGACGTCAGCAAGAGTCAGCCAGGAGTGACCAAAGACCATATGATGACTATGAATACACTGAGTCAGAAGAGAGTCTCACCGAATCAGAACTGGATGAAGATCACTATCATCATCAGCCACGAGGCCGTAGAACAAGCATCGCGGACAGAGTCTTTGGCAGAAATGGTGCACAGAGAAATCAAGATACATTGAATAACGAACCGCAGTCTGTTGGACAGCCAGAGATCGCAAAAAAGTCAGGATGGAAGATTTGGAGATAGGAAATGGTGGGTGGGTAAACATTCATCCCTTTGATCAGTGGTAGTTTCGAATTATAGACATTGATTTCTTTGGTGCACTACACCTCAGTCTTCGCATAATTGCTTGAGTGAGCATACATACATATGACCTCGTTGCTGCCGATACTCCTCACTTCGCACTTCTTGCCGAACAAGTATACTATAATGCATTACCTCTATGTGGTGCTCAAGACGTCAACAGCCTATCAGAATGTGAGTATCTAATTTCCTGGAATGAGTAATTGTTGGCTCTCTAGAGCCCCTAGAGGTTACAACCCTGACTGATGTCTTGCAGGATCGGCCATATCAAAGCAGGCTTACCCTCGGTGGAAGTTCGAGTTCCTCATCATTGGCGCCCTATGCTCCGTTTGGGGAGTCATCATGATGATCTTCCTCCCAGATAGCCCAGTCACCGCCAAAGGCCTCAACGAAAGAGAAAAAAGAATAGCACTGGAGAGGCTGAGAGACAACCAAACTGGTATCGAGAATAAGCACTTCAAGTGGTATCAAGTTCGCGAAGCATTCACCGAGTACGTATATCCCGAAAGCACGGATGGTAATTTATACTCCATCCGTCTTCTCTGATTATCAAGTACTTCCTGTACACTGTCAGAAAAGCTCGGTATTTCTTCAAGGATCAAGGCAGGCAAGATTGATTTCTGCCTGATGACAGGTCATGTTGGAGGCTATGGCAACCACGAGAGCAATTCCGAGAAGTCATTTGCTAACCACACTCTTCAAAATAGTTATAAGACCTACCTCTTTTTCTTCCTTGAGGTGGTCGTGACAGACGCTGTATTGTTTCTCGGAGCAAGTCAATCTATCTTTGCTTGCTGAGAGTTTCCTGATCGTATCTGCTCCGAACAGTATTGCACGGGTAACATCGCAGGACCTTTCTTCTACAAGCAGTCTCAAAGTCCTCGCTACCAGCTCGGTATATGGAGCATGATTGTCAGTCACCTGATCGAAGTAGTCGTTATCCTAGTGCTGCGCGCGCGGTTGAGTAGGGAGAACAAATGTCGCGACAGGATCCAAAGCGCTTTACCAGGTGGCCTAGAGGGCAGAGACCTCAACGCGACCGCATTTGCAGATCTGACTGATCGGTGAGCATGCAACGTACAAAGTGGACGTCAGATTTTACTGACCATCGTAGTGAAAACATGAACTTCAGGTATATCTACTGAAGGTCTGTTTATTGGTCACCAATTCGGAGTGCGACCTATGCTTTCAATCCCTCCATGTGGTGGAGCCTCTTCCGCCAGTTCCCGAGATTGTTTAAAGAGAGTTGTTACAAACTATTGCGATGCAAATATACTTTCATAGACAGTTGATTACAGCAAGAGCGAAAATGTATGTGGCACTGCTTCCTGACGCGTGAGTGATCTGTGATGAAAGCATCGTGCGTTGCCGAAGCTGCAGACGTCAATATTCGAGCACACAGGTCGAAAAGAGCAGATCGCTGTGAGAGGCTTGACGACGGAATGGGACAGTCAATTTTCGAAGGTTGTATGCGTCCCTCGTGGACAAGATCACAATTCGACCAACCCAACGCAGCGTGGGTTTCTCGTAAATCCAGACCGACCACACAAGGGATGGTCGGCGTAAACAGATGATGCCGTTCTTCCAAAATCTATCCCATTTCGGACCCTTGTTTTCCGTCCGAGTCGGATACGAGGCACGTCAATCGACGTTGATTTTGTCGCAAAAATTCGCTTGTTTCGATCTGTGTCGAGCTGTCTCAGAACGGACAGATTCCGGACAGCCTTCCATAAGATTTCGTCTCATCAGATAGCCATGCGCGGATCGTACAAGCACAAAGTGAAGTTCAAGCTGAGGTCCACGAAAAAGTGGAGGTGGAAAATCATCTGCCCTGTTAGCTCCAAGCCACAAACATCAGCCTGCATATGATTGGTTCGGCTATCTGCAGGCTGCTGTGAATCTGGGCGACGACAACCTGACCCTCCAAAGGACCTGCCAAGAAGCGACATAATCGTGCAAACGATGAACCGTATCAAGGATCAGCTAGTATTTCAGGCAATCTCACTCTTGATTTCGGCTACTGTTAGGACACTTGATGCAGCAAATCAAATTGTCGTTGTCAATGTGCTTCAACACCAACCAGTATCAATATAGGCGTATGATGCACTAGATATTAAATCCACAGTACCCAGATTACGCGAACGTGTCGCCGGAAAGCACGATACTTCGGAGACTTGGAAGAGCTATCATGGACGGTCATTGCCCCATACACTCTGCATCACGCTGGCGCAATTTTCAGGAGGATTAGGCGGCTTCACGAGCATTCGCATAAGCGACCTGGTTTCGTTATGCTCATGATGTAGGTAGCAATTTCAATTCAGCGACTGCGGCAACATGTAGAAGAGAACTGCAAACAGTCGTGAACACGGTTTCATAAGGCTTTGGCGTGTGACGTTTTTCGGATGACAGTCGTGATCTCCCAGCCCTCGGCCGGGCTCGCAGAAGGCTATCTCTCTTTCGAGAAAATTGGCCGTTGGATCCGAGAATGTGCAATCGCCAGTACTATGCTGCATTTACATACTCGCATACGAAGGATTGAGTACTACTCGCGAAAAATCGATGGGGAGTAATGAGTTGGCTAATTAGATGTGCTTGGGATCTGGCATGTCTTTTGATGTTGTCAGATGGATCCGGTAAGGCGGAAAGGACTGTGCTAGCCTTGGCATTGCAAGACTATCAACGAGGGATCAAGAGAGGGCGTTCGAATTTAGGTACAGTAACAATGAAGACGGCGATTACCAGAGACGGGCAGGGGGGTTCCTGAACTCGGCAGGCTGCACATTGTTCATGTTCACTGCTTTTCCTTCTTGTTAATCACACCTGCCATCAATTTCCTTTCCAGACCACAGTCCCCCGAATTTTGTTGCAACTCAACCCTGCTCCGACGTTCTCGCCCTCGCTTGAATTTCCGCTTGCCGGTACATTCAAATACCCTAACTGACACGCGCGCGCAACCAAGTTCGTTCGGGCCAATACCCGTGCTCTCCGACACGCATGTTGTCTCTCATACTCTTTTGACGTTTCTCACTTTCTCATCCTTTCCCCGTCCACCTTGCTCAGTCTTGTATGATACTTGTTGGACACGTGTACTCGCTTAACGGGGCCAAGTCTTCGATACCTCCAACCACTCTCGTCCGTGGAGCAGTCCGCCAGCATCTCGACGTTCTGGCTGGCGTCGCTGTCTTCACGACATGGAATCCCGCGCGTCCAGCGCCATGAATGATGCAGGTTCACGCTCACCTACTGGGCCACCTGGAATCAGCACTATCAAGGCTGAAAGGACAGCAGATGGCACTCCACATGAAATTATGAGTGCTTCCCAGACTCCAGCTCCTAACACCGCGGATCAACCTACTGAGTCCGGCTCACGACAATCATCATCACGACCAGCGGATCTCTCATCAGCGCAGGACTTTCCAGATGTTGCAATGGGCGACGCGATGCCCTATGGGACACGCTCACGCAATCGCGCAGGCAATCCTCGACCAAATTATGCAGAGGATCAAGACATGGATTTCGAAGTCCCCCCGCCACCAGCCAAGCCTGCATCTGCCAAAAACGTCACGGCTAACCAACAAGATGCAATTGACCCCAGAACGACCATCGTAGAGCCTTCGTTTGCTCGTGTTAATGGTACAGACCACGACGAGAGATCACCATCTGCTTCTGGTAAGGAGACAATTCCTGGAACCTCTGCCTTTTCTACTGTCCCGCCTAAGAAGCGCAAGGCAGCGGGTGTCGCCAATACTGCTATTGTCGCATCTGGATCTGGTAACACAACTACAAATGCGGTCGCGCAACCTACTACGAAGCGACCGGCATCTTCCATGCCTCTGGCTAACATGTCCCCTGAGTCCAACATGATGACTTTCGAGAAATCAAAGGGAGTTCTGAGAAAAGGTGGACTTGTATCGGATGACGGACAGATCCTTTACGTCAACGGTCAGAGCATCCGACCAGTACGATCCCTCCAAATGGCTGACAGTTCGTGTCTAGATCATGTGTATCTCGTATGTGAGCCACCTGGCGACCCATATTACCTTTGCAGAATCATGGAGTTTTTGCACTCCAAATCCGACGACCCGAAATCTCCCGTAGATTCTATTCGGGTAAACTGGTTCTATCGTCCCCGCGACGTACAACGCCTTAGTAGCGACAGCCGCCTCGTGTATGGTACTATGCACTCTGACGTATGTCCCCTCACCTCTTTGCGCGGAAAGTGCAAAATCCTCCATCGCTCAGAAATCGGCAATCTCGACGAGTATCGAAAGGAGTCAAACTGCTTCTGGTTTAGTCAAATTTTCGATCGTTTCATCCGCCGATTCTATGAGGTGATCCCGACTTCACAAATCATCAATGTTCCTGACAAAGTCAAGCGGGCTTTGGATGAGAGATGGAAGTTCATTGCTGTCGAAGTTAATAGAGTCAAGGAACTCACAGCTGCAGTGAAGCTCTGCAAGCGGTGCACACAATACTGCGCTAGGTATTAATATCGTGTGTAGATTTTCATGACATGGCTAACTTTGCCTACAGCAATGACTCTGTGGATTGCGCAATTTGCGGTACCTGCTATCATATGAATTGCGTTCGACCTCCTTTACCGAAGAAGCCCACGCGTGGGTTTGCCTGGGCGTGTGGTCCCTGCGGTCGCGCTGCTGAGAAAAAGCTTGAGGCCCGCAACACCCCTCTTGGTGGTGTCGACGAAGAGGAAGAGATCATCGAAGAGGAGGAAGAAGATCCGGCCCTAGCAGCAAGCACCCGAGCACCAAGCCCCAGTGGTCCTGATGTCGCTACAGATCAACATCCCGGCACGCAAGCCGAGATCGCCATGGCTAAGATGTGGCCATTCCGGTACCTAGGGATTCACTGCAGAGTCGAGGACGCGCTGCAATATGATGATCGTGCTATCTATCCGAGAGCTAGCTCTCGACTGGGGCCTCGCCATCAAGCAAACGTCAATGTTTGGCACGGTAGACCGGTGGACCTTAGAAAGCCCGCCGACATTAAGAAGCGCTTTGTCAAAGGGGGTGGCCAGAAGAAGGACACGAAGTTGACAAAAGAAACACTTGCGGCCATTGAAGCAGATCGCAAAGAACGAGAAAAACGGCCGAAGTGGGTGCAAGATGAACCACCAGGTTACGTTCACCGTGGAGAGGACTTCGACAACGACGATCCGAACAACACGGCCAGACTCATTTTCAAAATGCCAAACGATGACGATGAGCACGCTCCAGCATCGAGTGAGCTCTTCATTGACAAATACATGGACCGTGTTAAGGCTGCTGCGAAATCACTCAAGGTGACGCCTTGTAGTGCCAACTACCTTGACAAAGCACTCGAACTCCTGATCCAGAGCAAATACAATCCGGACAAGGCTATCGAGCAGCTGTCCAAGGTGGACCGCATCAAAGATCTCAAGGAGCCTATACTCACGGCAGATGAATTGAAGAAATTTGAAGAAGGTGTGATGAAGTATGGCTCGGAACACCGATCAGTCCGACTTCATATGAAAACCCACCGTCCGACATCTACGATTATTCGATTCTACTACCTCTGGAAGAAAACACCTCGTGGACGTCAAATATGGGACAATTACGGTGGTCGCAAAGGACGAAAGCGTCAAAACATGGATGCTGCCAGCAAGCTTCAAGCCGAAGTCGCTCACGATCTGGATGACTCCGCCTTCGACACTGACAAAGCCAAAGACCAGAAGCGAGGTTTCCAATGCAAGCACTGTTCTACACGACACTCACGACAATGGCGTAGGGCACCTGGCATAAGCCCTGGTCAGACAGTCCCTTCGGGAGAAGGCAAAACGGCCAAAGACAAAAGCAATCGTCTGCTTCTGGCGCTCTGTGGTAGATGCGCCGGACTTTGGAGGCGATACGCAATCGTATGGGAGGATATTGACGAAGCCACCAAGAAGGCAGTCCAAGCAGGTGGACGTGCTTGGAAGCGTAAACTCGACGAAGAAGTCGTGCGCGAAATACTGGCTTCGAACGAAGCTGCGCCAGCGGACGCCAATGTTATTGTACAGTCAGTGGAAGGGGCAGAGCCACCAAAGAAGAAAGCCAAACTTGGACTTGATGGTGCTGAGAAGAAGAAGGCCCCCAAGCTTCCAACGCCCCCACCTCCCCCGATAGTGCCCGAAGAACCCAGGTGGAGAGATCTGGAATGCTTCGTCTGCAACGTGCTTGACTCGGCAGGCGAACGACCGATAGTGTGTTCACACTGTAAACTCAGTGTACACAAGAGATGTTATGGCCTCTCCACACAAGTCGTACCGGCGAAGTGGGTCTGCGACCAGTGCACCAACGACAGGACTCCAGCTGTGTCTACTGAGTACCTGTGCACATTGTGTCCGATTGAGGAGACGGCTCACGAGATGCTCGAACCTCCAAGAGTTACTCACAAAAAGAAGTCGGATCGCGAGCGCGAAAAGGAGAGATTGGAGAAGGAGCTCATGGACAGTGTGCAGCTGGATTACAGCAAGAAGCAAGCTAATCTGAACCGGCCTATCAACCCCAGAGAGCCGCTGAAGCGCACAGATGGCAACAATTGGGTCCATGTTCAATGTGCAATCTGGACCCCCGAGATTCGGTTTAGCGATGCAAGTCTTTTGGAGAGGGCTGAGGGATTGAGCGCCATTCCAATGGAGCGATACGAGGCCGTTTGCAAGGTTTGCAAGAAGAACAATCACGGCGCTTGTGTCTCTTGCCTACATTGCCGTGCCAATTTTCACGTTGGCTGTGCTGTGCAGGCTGGATATACACTCGGCTTTGATGTGACACCTGTTAAGGGATCACGAAAAGACCAAGTCATCACGGCGACGCTCGGCGAGGAGACTGGTGCGCTGACAGCCGCGATCTGGTGCAAGGAGCATGCCATTAAGACTGCTGTGCATCCGATCAGCGAAGCAATCGACGACAAGACCCAGAACGCTCTACAGGTATTCGTCGAGAACTACAAGCAGGCAGATCCCACTCTTACTGGCACTGCGCGCAAGGCCAATCTCCTTAGCCAATCGACTAAGCTAGCCTCGCAAGCAACTCTTGCGAGCGCGACTGCCAACCGCCGCATTTCTACAGCAAGCGGTCTGGCACGTTCGGCACGTAACTCGCCAGCAGGCTTTCCCAGGAATGACGAAGCCGATGGCACGAGCTCGACTGAAGAAGAGCTAGCAAAGACATGTCTCAAATGCCATACCGACACGAGTCCCAGATGGTGGACTGCTGAAGAGACTCTGAAGAAACTACAGGCTCAGACACCAGTCACTACACGCAACGAGGACAGCTTAAAGGGCTACCGATGCAACAAATGTCACTTCAAGCGGATTAATTCTCCCCAAGAAGCATCACCTCCACCTGCCCCGGCACGGAAAAGAGTTTCTCTATCACCACCAAAGCAATTTCCACTTCAGATCGGGTGGGGAATTGGAATTGCAAACCAACCTCCGCAACCACTGGTCCAGACACCTGTACACACTCCAGGATCGGGACCAGTGCAAGCTACGTTGCCAGTCGCAGTCGATACAGTGGGTCAGATGCAACCCCCAGCTCCACAGACGTATCCTGGACAATACCAGACTTCGCACGCCCAAGTGAATGGATACACACCAGGAAGTATGCCGACTTATGGTCATAGCACATCAAGTACTTTCGCGCAGGCAAACGGACAAGTGTCGAACCAACATCATCACGTGGCCATGAGCAATGGGATTCATGGAGTGCATCATCAGCATCCACAAACTCTAGCACCGATCACCAACGGGCAACAGACTCCTGGTGCGAACGCTGGGCACGGCAGCCCGCCGACAGGACTGGCTAGGGCTGCTACACCCCGGGACGGATCGGTGGATATAAGGACGAATGGAGCAAGCGCAAGTCCAAGTCTGAGAAATCTGTTACATTAGTATTATTAGTTGCCCATGGATCGGCTTTCGAGCGCATACAGTGCGAGGGCTGATGGTCGACCAAAGCAGTCGAAGCATGAAGCGGTACTAGCGATATGTACAATCGCAGCATAATCAATCACATCAATAACTCAGGCTCACCGCTATCGAATGTGTAAAGTGCAATCCCAATCAAATTAAGAGAGTCCGAGACGTCCGATGCCTCGTAGAAGGACGAGGTCGGGTGTCGGAACGGAGTCACGTGGCAGGGCGGAAAGAGGGGAAAGTAGGGCCGAGCCCATGCTTTCTGTCACTTTGTACGGCATTGGCAGTGACAGAGACATTGGCATCGCTGTCATAAGGATGGGTGCGTATCCATGGTTAGCCCTCGGCACCAGACAGCTTGCTGATAAACCATCCCAGGCAAAGCATACCCCGAAGAGGCACGCAGCCAAGTCAGGCAATTGCTGCAGCAGGGTGTCGCTGAAGATGAGATAGAGAAACAGACGGGCGTGTCCGACAGGACCATTCGCCGCTGGAAGGTAATGCGTCTAGTATAAGTACACATCAAGCGACACGGCCTGACCCAGAGTTGATAGCTCGAACTCGAGCGCTATGGACGCATCGGCAAACCTCCAGAGAGCCGGACTGGACGGCACCGCGTCATGAATAAGGATGTCGAGCAGGCCTTGTTCGATCGCGTGGCGCAAAAGCCCGACATGTCCGTCGACGACATGCTCTGGTGGCTGTACGATACGTACAAGCTCGTCGTTGGTACACGCACTATCCGCAGAGCCTTTGAACGGCGCAACACTTCGCACAAGAAGTTCCGCACCCATGCGCGCAAGCACTTCAGCATCGACATGGGCGTCGACATGGACCTGGACTCTGACGTCGATGTCGATGTGCATGTCGACACTCAATCTCACGACCATCATGCCCCAATGCAGAACCTTGTCCAGGAGACCGTGTCCATGCCGGCTACCCAGGCCCACATGACCGTCTCACAACCAGATACAACCTACCAAAGTCCTTATGCCCTGCTCATGGCCATGGCTGACGCTACCGACGACAGCAACCAGCCACCTCCACCAGACATCAGTCCCGAGCTGGCTCGCGCACTGGGAGGTTTGACCGAGTCCACTCACATGCACCAAGACCTGATGCCCGACCACATGGACCCTCTGTCTGAGGACGAAGAAACCCTACAGCTGCAGCTTCAGCAAATCATGCTACAAAAGAAAGAGGTCGAGCTCAAACTCAAGATGCGCCGCTTGCGCCAACGTCGAGAGTCTCACACACCGAATGACGATTCTTTGTTCGATCACCTGGATGTCGACACGACCTCGAACTCGCACATGCTTCCAGACTCGACTGCAAACAACGACCCGTTTGCTCCACAATCTGTCACCACCGATACGAATCCGAACACACCTAAGCCCCGAGATTCTCGCAGCAAGAGCAAGGTTCAGGAGGCTCGTAAGCGGACCGAAGAACGTCAGGAGCGCATGCTCAAAGACCTGGAACGTCGTAGCCGCCGACGGGAGCACCTGACAGCAGAGTGGGTGCAAAGTCGAGACGTCTGGGCAAAGGGCCCTGAGAAGCTCCTGGTTCAATTGATGCATAAACATTCGACCTATGCATACAACCAGAACTCGCTTGAGACTTTTGAAGCCATCTTCGCAGAGTTGTATCACCTCGTCGATCACACCGAGTGGTATGCCCCGGTACATGATGACCTTCTGCGCGAACGTACGCGTCGTAAGATGAGCCAACTTCGCAGCAAAATGGTAAAGAGTGGTGAGATAATCAGTCGCGGCGAGGGGTACGGCGGTTGGACCAAGCCTGACGATCACGATGCTCTGGCTGGCGCTACCGATCTCAGCGGCACAGCACCTGAGGATACGAGTCTTGACATCTCTCAACACCACCACCAGATCGATGGCTTGTCAATGGATCTCCATGCTCACGACAGCAATCACGATTCACTGATGGCCCGCGACGCTATGATGCAGCATGACCATTCTATGCTCGAGCATTTACAGGGCAATAGTGCCGATCTGCACCACGGAGATTTTGACCACGATCAGCTAGCACGACACCAAAACGAGTTGCTCGCACAACGAGGCATCGCGCATGAAGCACAGCTTTCTCATCAGATTGAAGAAACCATGGCTGCTGGTCTAGCATCAGTTTGAGGTGTGGTACATGCCTACTCAAAGGCATCAAGAATGGCCGTACGGTATTTGCTGTGTTGCTAGTGTTGCTCGTACGACTGTTCATGACTTAAGTAACTTCCATCTGTATTGGTGCATATCATCACTCTTGCTCAAATACAACTCTTCTCCAGTAATAATAATGTTATAGTGTGATCGATGCACGTGCTCATCCAACGTGCCTCGTGGAACTTGACTTGCTGCTTAATAATTGCGTCACTTTCGCGCTTTCGGGATTGTAGCTTCCGTCCCCAGCATCTTCAATCTTTACATGCGACAGCTTGGACAAGTTTAATTCACCACGACTGCCAGCAATACCATCTCCACTGATAGTCTGCAGTTGAGCTGCTACACTAATACGCTCAGCTTGTCTTCTACGGTTTACGCGCATACCGAGTCACAGGACCAACCTTTGCAAAACAACACAATCATCACACCCATGGCCGACGCCACTGCAGCAGCACCAGTCGTCTTCAAAAAGCGAGCCGGACGAGCAAACGCAAAGAAACGAGCCGCCACCCCTCCCTCAGACTCCGACTCCGAATACAGCAGTCAAGATGAAAGCGGCGCACGCATAAAACGCCGTCGCAAAGGCGGCATTACCACTTCCACCTCGGTCATCACAAAGCCCGCCCTCTATCTAGGCAAAAGCACACAATTTGCTGGTGATAGGAGTGCGGCGGTCACCGATCTGAACGATGCGACAAAGACGAGTAATTGGGTTCATGCTGATGATGCCGTGAAAGCTGGACAAGAGCAACAAGTTGGCGAAGAAGAGGTGGATAAAAATGGCAATTACAGAGGTGCAAAAGGTTATGGCAATTTCATACAAAAGAACCCTGATAAATCGGGAAAGAGCGTGGGACCTGTAAAAGCACCTTCGAATATGCGTATGATCACGCTCGTCGATTTCGCGCCAGATGTCTGCAAGGATTATAAGCAAACCGGATTCGTGAGTCTCTCTTCTCGTCCTCCTCCTACAAAACACACAAACACTGACTTTTTGATCCCTCATCACAGTGTGGTTTCGGCGACAGTTGTAAATTCCTCCACGCAAGAGAAGACTACAAACAAGGCTGGCAACTCGACAAAGAATGGGAAAAGGCCGGAAAATCAAAAGCGAAATCCACAATAATCGGCTCTGCAAACCGTTCCTCGGAACAAGCAAACGAATCCTCCGATGATGACGAAGCAAAAGAACTCGAGAAAATTCCTTTTGCATGCATCATCTGCAAGGAGCCGTATAAAAGTCCAGTGGTGACGAAATGCGGTCATTACTTTTGCGAGGCTTGTGCGTTGAAGAGGCATAAGAGTAAAGGTGGTAAGGCGTGTGCTAACTGTGGTGCTGATACGGGAGGTACGTTTAATGTAGCCAAGAACCTGAGGAAGCTGTTGGATAAGAAGAGGGAGAGGATTCGTAAGAGAAAGGAAAAAGCGAGGGAGAATGGGGATGAGGTTAGTAGTGAGGAGGAGAGGTAATGCCCGAATCACTCCCTGGCCTTGCCGTACCTAGTCTTACATCCATGATATAAGAAACATCAAGAATTGATTGCAATAGGCTTCATTGGACGAATGGCCCTGATGACCGATTAGACACGCTGCGATGATGATGAAAACTTCTTTCGTGTGTCTTTCTATGTAGCAACCTCACTGGGTATATCGCTTCCGCCTTCGCTCGTTGCGAGCAAGTCAAAGGCCCAGAATAGGCAACCATCTTCATCTCTGTAATGATCTTTCTTGCTTGCCTCGTCCGCCATCCCGCAGGTGCTGCTTCTTGCGCACGCATTTTCGACCGTCTCACTTGCCGCTCCTTGCCGCTCGCTCTTGTCCCGACCGGTGTGTCTGGTTGCGGCCAGCATCTCTTTTCCGTCTCTTCATCGTGAGCCATTGAGGCCAATGTTCTTGACGCGTTTCGCGAGCTGCTCTCCATCACTGCCGTCGCCTGATGCTCCGCCGTTGGCGGACCACTCGTTTCGTCTCTTCGGTCGACGGTCGCCGCTCAGCTCAACGATAGTCAGCAGGGATTTCCAGCCTATTTACAAGTCGCACACACCCAAACGTCAGCCAAAATCTTCCTCTTTAAAAAAAAGCAAATACGAATCCAAAACACTACATGTCAAGGATCGTTTGGAGAGTGGCCCAACCTGGTGTTTGCTGCAACGCTGCACCGAGGCTCGTATCCTTCTGCGTTGCCACTTGACAGAGAAGACGGAACTCATCCTGTATATTGTCAGCTCGCTCATTACAGTACGCAATCGGCGCTACGTACCTCGCTTAGAACACCCATGGTATGCACAAAGCACAGAGCGTGGAAGTCTGACATCTTCTGAACTCCATTGTCGGTGTCGAGTCTAGCGACCTTGCTCAAGAAAGTCTTGAGAGCTCTGTGTTCCTGAGATTGGCCGATCATCTCTCTGTTCTCGACAATGAACCCTTCCTCGCTTGTGAATAGAGGGTTGGGTTGCAACGGGAAACCGTGAGTCAGTGTGACCAGCAGATATTCCACAGGGAATGATGGCTTGGCGTTTTCCTGTACATTTGCACCGTACTCGTTAATGCGGCGATAGAAGACTTCGGGGATATAGCGCGTGCGACCCAGCTCGTTCTCCTCATCTTCATCTCGGACGAGCATAACTGTCGGGTCCGCGGATGGCTCGATAATATCGGCTCTCGTCATTTCCACGGCAGAATCAGACGCCTGATAGGCTTGAATGGCAATCTGATCCTCGTCATCACCAGTGATGATGCATGTAACGAAGTTGGATCCGAAAGAGCCAGTCTCACTCCATCTCGAAGGGCGTGGGTACTTGGCTTGATACCTTGATGCGAACATGATTTCGAGGGAAGACATGAAGTAAGAATCAGCGTGGCGTTTGCAAGCTACAGTGCCATCGCCCTTTCCAGAGTCGAGCAAGTCAGTGAAGATGACGCCGACGCGTTGCAGGCCGCAAAGAGACGCCACCTGATCAATCTCGTTCTCATTTGTCCAGTCATTCAAAGTTACGCCGTCAAGCTCATCGACCTGAGGAGGTTCGTAGATTGCCTCAATAACAGCCTTCGTGCCGAGTGGTATCTCTGCGTAGGGCTCGTAGCGACCGTACATGAAACCAATTCTCTGAGCTGCTGAGTTGCGCCAGAAGTCTAGAATCTTGTTGATGATGGCGGGAGACGAGAATTCGACGTGGTCGACCATGCGGTAAGGTTGAGGTTGTAGGGTGATGGCACTAGGCTGGCACTTTGTGCAGATACCTGCAGGGAAGGGCTTGTGGCCCGAAGGACAGTTTGGATTTACTCGGTAGTATGGCTCGGTAAGAGGAGGCATCCAAGAACTTCCAGATTCATACTTGTTCTTGCCTTGGTTCATCTTGCGGAGGTATGCGTGGTAAGAAAGGTGCTTGATCTTCTTCTCGGCCAGATAGCCAGCGTCATATGGTTCGATGGGCTGACAGTGGTCGCACATGCCGTTTGCGCCGTGTCTGCACATTCTGGTATCGCGAGGTCTCTTGATCTTGCCATTCTCCTTGTCCAAAACATCGTCGAGTGGCAACTGCTTGACAGTATCCCAGGGATTGTCAACACGAGTTTGCGCAGTCAGATTGGGGATGGCAATGGTAGTGGTGTCTTGAGCAGTGACTTCCTTTCCATTCAGTCTGTGAGCATTTAACGGTGCGGGCGGTTGACCATTTGTCGGAGCTTGGCCTTCACTGAACTCGACAAATATTTGAGCACCATTTCTACACGTGTAATCAGCGCTGGTTCATATCAAGATGAGTGCAGACAGCAGACTCACGCAAGCCCGAGTTTCTGGAGAGTAACGCCTTTGAGGCTCTCGAGAAGTCGTGATTGGCCACCACGCTGTGGGCTTATGGCGACGGATGCGGAAAGAGTGTCGGGAGTGAGCTTCTCGACAATCTGAGGGAGTAGAGTCGAGATGTCGGTCGAGGGTTCGACGTTCAGGCGAAACTGGCCAATACGACTGGAGAAACGTAAGATCATGGCGGGCGATGTGCTTGTGGGAGTTGGGTCTGGGAAAAGCAAAAGAAGGAAGCTACGGTCGAGGAGTCGGTAAAGCGTCGAGATCGGAGTGAGAAGGGTCGGTGAAAGTGAGTTGGTCAAGCTGGTCGAGTAAGTTGTGGAAGGAACTCTCACTGTCTATTGTGAAAGTCGCGGGTGCAGCTTCCTTACATGACGTGAGATGGAACGCTTCACCTTGCAACGCCGGACTTTAGCGCGGGGCTAATTAGTGGCCGGTCAGACACGTCGCAGTCTCGAAAGTGCAGGCGCATGCTTGACCCGTCAAGAATTCCCCGTCCACATACACATCCGCAATCATGGTCGACTGGGTCGGTCTCCTGATCCCCCTGGCATATCTGTCCATCCTCATAGGTTCTCTCGCCACCTTTAGCTCTCTATATCGCCGTCGCAAGGCTCAAAAGGCCGCCAATCTTGCGCCATGGTTCCCTCCCCACCTGCAACGTAACATTTACCTGTCGCTTCTACACCTCGACCCTCAGGATCCCTCGTCCGTCCCCGAAGGCTCCGACAAGTCGTTAAGCCAGATCCCTGACAGCATCGTCCGTGCTGCCCTGTTGCGCCGCGCCGTAGAGGACATCCACCGCATCATCCAGATCCGCAACGCAAAGCCCGCCCTCCAGACACTACTACAGAGAGGCAGTGTGGGGGATGAGCTATGGCAGCGCTTCTTGAGAGCTGAGCAAGAGATTGAGGAAGAGGTCAAGGATGTCGTTTCTGAGGTATGCTCTACTCCTTTCACCATCTACCTCCTTTTCATACCTCGAGACTAACAATAGACAAGGCCAATGCTCTCGTACCGAACTGGGGTCAAATCATCTTCCAGTCAGCCAACGAAATCGCCAACAACCAACTGGCCAAGCAACGCATGGAGGACATCCAGTCCAAGCTGCCAGAGGAGAAGGCTTGGTGGGACAAGAAGAAGCAAGGAATCTCGTCGCAATTCATGAAGGAGCTCGACGATGAAGCTGCTGGCAGCAGAAAGGGTTCCGTCACCTCGGCTACCAACAGCAGAAAGGGCTCGGTGGTCTCTATCACAGGCCAGAAGACCAACAGCGACGAGGACGCTGTCTTGATCGAAACACCAGGCAGCGCAAAGAAGAAGAAGGGCAAGAAGTAAACGACACCTGCCTCTTTGGGTTGTGTCGAGACAAAATTTTAGAGATGTCCATTTTTCTTGTTTGAGAACCTATGTTGAACACTGCCGTCATCTGGGCTTGTAGCGTTGCGTTGTGCATGTATCTGGAGTTTTTTTTTTCTTTGGAAGGAGAAGTTGATTGCTGTCGCAGGATACGAAAGGTGTGGCAAAAGAAGAGAATCAAGTGCATGCTACGTCTTTACGACGGCGCGGATATAAATGTACAAATCAAAAAAGGTGTCATGGCCCCTCGCTGTGAATCCAGGCGCCCTGCTATCCCAGAAACAATTCAATAATCAATAAACACCACGCCATGCGTTTTCTAAGAAAAGTCGTGTATCTTCATCAGTCACCTCCCTTTGGTGACTGCTTTCTCTGCTTGATGGTCCTAGGAGTCGCGTTCACCACAACAAAGTGACTGGCCTTCGGGTCGTAGAAAGCTTGCACGTCCAGTGTTAAAATAGATCTGCTTCCCTTGAGTTGAATCAATCCTTGGACAACAAAACTTCCTCTTGGCGGTTCCATCTTCTTGGGAATCTTCCCTTGAGCCAAGGTGGCATGGAAAATATGTTGAGCTATCGGCATCTCTATGCTTGACGTTGGTTGTGGCACCTTGGCTGCCCATGGAAACAACGATGAGGCGCTACTTGACTTGTCTGCGTTTGCATCCGGCGCACCTGCTTGCGTTTTGGCTTGCTCGGCCTGCTGGGCCTGCTGGGCTTGCTGGGCCTGTAGCAGCTGTAAGAGATGTTGGTATTTGGCATCGTGGCTACCAGGTGTAGAGTCAACCTCCCAACCCATCAATTGTTTCAGGCGATGATATTGGATGCCAGCAAGGACCTTAGTGCTGTTGTATATTCCGTTAAAGGCAGCGGACGGCCAGAGCGTGCGAGTAATTCGATGTTGCTGCTGAGCATCAATGCGCTGGAGGGCATAGGCAACAAAATCGTCGCCAAACTCAATGCCGGCACGAGCGTATTCTTGTGGAGGACCGTCGGGGAAAATGATGTCGAGCCAACATTGGCCAACCTTTGTGTCGCGACCGAGTTGTTTGACGAAGGCTGGGTGCTTTTGAGCAGTATCGTAGACAATCTTGACCAGTTCGGCTAATGAATGGTCAGTTTTTGGTACAGACAGATATGGATAAGGGCGAAATACATTGAATCTTCTTGTGGCGAGCCTTGTCCTTTGAGACCTTAACAAACTCTTGCCATTCCGGATCGGAGCCTTTGTAGAAGGAGCGAGGCAGTTTCTTCGCCCATGTCATGGGGATGAAGAAGGAGTCTTCATGGGCGAAATCGGAATCAGATAGTGTTGTCTGCTCATCGGCGACACCCTCTTGTATTTCTATCTCTAGTTCCGGGAAAAAGTACCAGACGTAGCCGATCAGGCATGAGGAATAGAGAATGAACGAGGCGATACGGAGAGGGGTAAATAACGGCGGATTCTGGAAGCGGACGGTATGCGATCGGACGGATTCGTTTAGCTGGACAAGACGGCGGAGGTGGGCGGTGGTGGAGAGCGGGCGATAGAGGTTCGACGGGCGAGCTAATGTTCTGAGCTTTGGCGCGGCGCGAAACATCTGGACAGGATGGTGGTAGAGCGAATGCGGATGCGAATGCGAATAGAGTCGTCGGGCGCTACGGCGCAAGTTTGAAAGATGGCGAGTCGGGTGATGACGACGGGTGTTCAGGCATGGGGGACGGAAGACGGGAGACGGGAGACGGAGGCAGCGCGCCAAGTCGCCGACTGACGTTGGACGATTGAGCATTGCTATGAACGAGACTCGTCCGTCTCAAAGCATATAAATCCGTCACACGCCAGCAAGCATGAGACTGGCTCCGTGTTTCTTGCTGCCCGCAGCAGTTGCTGCTGCAAAGGCCTCGCTGGGCAACCTCTACATCCACAGCGAACAAGGTGGCGCCGACTCGTCCGTCACCACTGTCAAGGCCGACGCCGCCCGTCTGCTCATCGCCTCGCGACTGGGCCTCGACCGATACCACTCTCTCCAAGGACAGGACGAATCTGCTCTGCTGACCATCAATCGCCTCTCTGGACAGTCTGCCTTCCTCTCATCCCAGGACGCCTCGGTCGCTCTGATTCTTTCCACTGTCAACCAAGAGGGTACAACATCACCATCCTGTCCGAGTCGCAATGAACAAGCTAACTCGACCTAGATCTTCCCTTCTCCTCAAACTCTGCCTATTTGCAGACTATCCAGATCAAGGACTCGCCTGACTTTCAGACCTCCGAGAAGCTATTGAACGACCTCGCGCGTCAAGCTGGCATCGAACACTTGTCCGACATTCATCAGTCAACCGTCTCCTCTGATAATGGTCCAGCTTTCAGAATCGCTCAGGATGCAGAGGTATGTGTTCATATGTCGTCTGTCGGTCGAGCCTCTTCCTGACTTGTCGTGATAGGCACTCGCTACTTCTTACGACGTCCTGACCAGCCAGTACCACACCGTCCTCGTTCTCAACGTGCCTAGGGATGCCTCAAGGAACACATACGGCTCTTACGACGGTCTTGCCATGTCGCAGAAGAAACGCAACGTCAAGGAGGCTCCCCTGATCACCGAAGTCACAAAGACTGCCTCGCACCTCAAGGCCACCTTGACCCCCGACGCTTCGTCAAACATGACCTACAACCACACTACTCCTCTCAGAGGTATTCTCCCTGGCTGCTTCGCCTCATTGTCTGCCTGCCAGTCCATGACCCGCAACTGCACTGGCCACGGCTCTTGCGTATTGTCTCACACCGACAAGGACGCTGGCGACTTGGGCGGCAAGTGCTACTCCTGCGCCTGCAAGGACGAGGTTCGCACAAACGCCGATGGCGGCAAGAAGACCACTCGCTGGGGTGGTCCCGCCTGCCAGAAGAAGGACATCGTCATGCCATTCTGGCTCATCAGCTCCTTCTCCGTCTTCATGGTCTTTGTTGTCAGCTGGGGCATCGGTCTGCTTTACACTATGGGTAGCCAAGAGCTTCCCAGCGTTATTGGTGCTGGTGTCTCTGGCCCTGTTAGAAAGTAGAGCGCCATGTCGTTCACGGCCTCGTATCATCCATCATCTCATTCAGCTCTATCACAACCCTCATGTAGATATATACCAATTTGATTGTTTTGTCACGTTCAAACACAACCCACACATATAAGTACTGCTGCGAAACCAGGACTCTTCTAGATACTCGAAGCACCATCTGACCATGGCCGGCTCGCTGACGTGATGACCCTGGCCAAAAATTGATGACACAACATCAAGTTGGTCGGCCCATCTGATGATCTACTCAAATCATTCAGCGCATCTGTAAGTCATCTCAACTCAATCTTGGTATCTGGATGTTTTGTTGTGTGAATTTGGTTCAATACACGTGGGTCGTTGGATTTGGTTATTTTTCGACTTGGACACATCCCGGATCCACCCCATCTCAGCTGCCTTCGACAATCTAATATTGGCAAGAAAAACAAAACCATTGTGCACAGACTAATGTCACTATGTACGTTCTACTCATGCTTATCGCCATAATACATCTTCCCATCATCGGTCCACTTCTTTCCAATCCTTTCCGCCTCTGTCACACTCAGACCCAACTCATCTCTCTTGTCATCTGTAATTCTCCCCCATTCGAGCAACAGTCTAAACATATAAATTTCCATGTCCTCTTTCCTCAACACTTTGTTGGCCCATTCACGTCCAGAATCGGCGATATATTGACCCTGTTTGTCGTGTCCAGGTAGCATGATCCTTTTCCCGTGAATCTTGCCTTCAATGCCCATGAAGTAGACCAGGGTAGCCCAGAAGCCATGACCTCGAAGGTCGAGCGGTACAAAGTGAAGCCATGGTGTCAATCTGTCATCCCACCATTCACGGAACAATGCCGCTTTGAACGGTAAACTCTGCGATTGCAGGAATGGGATGAAGCGACCGGAGAATGCAGCTCCGTCGAGATCGAGCAAGTAGCGGTATGACCAATGTGTTTGGAAGTCTGTGGGAGCAACCATGGGCGCAAAGTGCTTCTCTTGGTCTTCGCAGTCGATACCGCCGCATCGTATGATGTGTTCTACGAGTTTGACGTCTACTGGTACGCGTTTGACGAGCTCGGACGCAGGAACGTCCACATAGGCAAGCTTCTTGCGTTTGTTGGCAAAAGGATAAGGGAGGAGGATTGGTTGTGGCGGTATGGCGGAAGCAACATTGTTGGCTAGGTTCATGAAGCGCTGTCGGCTCATGCCTTTCCAGACACCGGTGTTGGACGAGACGCCCTCAGAGGTACTGCCACGCCAGAAGAGCGTTCGCGTCTTCTCGTCCCATGAGAGGTCAGGGTGTTCGTCGTTGGGATCGTACCTTACTTTGTCCACGTAGTTCCATGCGGATGGGTACAGAATGTCGTTATAGCCGTGTACCTTCGACTGCGAAAAGACAGGGTACAGCTCGTGTGTTGCTTTAAATGCTGCTGGCGATAAATAAAAACCGTGCAGATTAGCGAGATCGGGTTGATGGCAGATGTCTGCACTCGTCGTCCAATTGGACAAATATCCTCCCAGTGAGTGTGGAGCCAAGCATGTCGTACACAGATGGGTCGTGTCCCATTGTAGTGAGCTACGCGCCGCAGAGTTGGGTGGGCAGCCAGACACTCCAAACTCGTCGAACGTTTTCTGCCACGACATCTCTCTGAAAGGTGTGATACCGCTAGATTCTTCTGGCAGTGGCTTCCAAGCGTCACCCCTCTTCTCGCTGAATGAGTTTTGTGCGTTCTTGTGAAGGCTAGTCTTCCCTTTGGCAGCCTGTCTTCTCGCTTCAACGTCTTCGTATGGAACAGCAACACGGCACTCATCGTTTACGTTGAAGCCCAAATCCATGTCGGGCAAGAACTCGCTGAAGTGGCTGATCATATCGACGATACCATCCAGCATCCATCTATGCGTACCCATCGCGTTGGGACTGATCTCAGCCCTGCCGTTGCGTATGCCGATTCCAGTAACATCATTCCAAGGATTGGATGTGGCTTGCCATGTCCTTTCTCTGATCTCTGGTGGGCTTAGAGTCCAAAATGGTAACAGATCTTCTTGGATCTTGTCAAACTCATCGATTACTAAAGAATTACGTCCGATCGCGTATCTGTACCACTCATGGAAATTTGGTGGAGGACTTCTCCCATAGCGATACTGGTACTCGACTACGGCGGCTGTCAGGTTAGCGCTCGAATATGCTCGTCTTGAGTAAGCTTTATGAGTGTCGCTTGCTTCGTGTATGAGTAAGTCGATGGGGTGATAGGCAACATTAGTAGAATGTCCAAGCCAAATTAGAAAGCGGATACAGAATATCAAGACAATGAGTCCGACAAGAGAAATTGGCGTGTCCGAGAACATTCCACGGCTCTGACGGCGATGATCTTCTGAGATAACCTGAGTATGTATGAGCGCGATGAAAGCGATCACAAGGCCAAAGAATGATATCAGAGTTGATGTGTCGGCATCTGGGGGAAATGGGGGAAGTGTATGCCAGGACCAAGTGGTAGTTATCGAGCAAGATGCGACAAAAAGGAGAACAGAGACGGCCGAGATCATACCAGAGTAGAAGATCTAAGTTGGTTAGCACATTTGAAATTTTTCAAACAGGAAAATGAGAGACTCACTGTAATGCAAGTAGACAAAGCTACCGTACAACATAATACGGCCAATTTGATCGTACGCCAAACAAAGCCACGGGGAATTTCGAGAACCCAGAACCTATCCTCGGGGACGGCGAGAAACCAGATGATCCCCCAAACACCAATAGCGGAAGCAGAAAGCAGACATGCCCAGCCGACAATGCTTAGAGATCTGGCAGGTGAAGTTTTGCCAGTGTTGGGGTATGAACGTATAAGAACATCTAAACAGAAAGAAATAGAGAAGTCGAGAGCCAGAGCAATGCGTTGAATCGTGATCATCTTATCGTTGGTCGTAGGAGTGCAGATGTAAGTGGAAGATAGACCCTCGCTTCGATGCAGAACAGTCGCGCTGGAGAGGCCAAAAAGAGCAGTGATGACGATATAGCGATAGCGATTGGCAGCCCATGAGACCTCCAGAAGTTCGTACATACTTAAGTCAGAGTTGTCTCCAGTAGGGGTCACTTTGTGTCTTTGATATACGCAGAAATCGACGACAGCAAGACCGAGGGGTATGAATTCAGTATAAGCAGAGCCAACACATTGAACGTCTCTGATCAGACGTCTTAGGGTCTCGGCACGAGCGCACAAGAAGATTACCAAAAGCACGAAGCATATTCGCATCCGGCGTACACTGATCTGAGGACTATGCACATGTGCGAAACTGGGCGACACCGGTGAAGGTGGGGTCGACGGGCCATCAGATGTGTTCTCCTCTAATGGTAGCTCATCGTAAGAAGATTTGCTTGATCTGACAAGATATCGCGAGAAGCCCAATAAAGAGGCACCGATCGCACCAAGAATCAGACCAATAACATGTAATGTACGGCCTGGGAAGAGTAAGCCGTGTGTTGACGAGAATATCAAGTCAGGGGCGCATTACCGTATGCGAAAGCCTCAGCCGAGTTCAAAGACCAAAGACAGGAAGCGATAGTCAGAACGACCAAGGCATATTGTTTCAGCGACTCCATATCGACAAGGGGTACTGAGTTTTAGCGCAACGGGTATTTGAGATGTTGCAGCAGATGGAAAGGTCCGAGTACCAGCATCATGAAGATCGGAAAATATGAGTTAGGTTTATGCGACTCCGGTATAGCAGTCAATGGAGCGATATCATGGCCTGTTGCACTGGTAGGCGCTCGACACGGGGCAGAGACGCGACCTGCCCTTTTGTCGCAAGTCGTCACCAAGAAAACAAGCACGCACGGTCCACATGGGTCAGAGTCCGGGGTTGGAAAGCTTAAGCCCGAGATTTTGACTGCAACTTTTTGGGCTCTTTTCGAGCTCCGCCACTTTTTCACCTCTAGCAATCCCGCTTATATTTGATCCGGCGACTTCAGTCGCAGCTTCAACATGGGTAAGAAGGCCATGTACGACTCTCCTGCTTCTTTTCCCGCTGCCAAGTCAACTCACTAACGCCTTCCAGCGATTCGCGCATCCCGGCCCTCATCCGCAATGCCGCTCAGGAACACAAGCGCGGCTTCTTCGTCGTCGTCGGTGATCGTCAGAAGGATGTCATCGTAAACCTGCACTACATCCTCCAGACCGCCAATCTCAAGGCAAACAAATCCGTCCTCTGGGCGTACAAGAACAAACTGCTAGGCTTCACCAGTCACCGCAAGAAGAGAGAACAAAAGATCAAGAAGGAGATCAAGCGCGGCATCCGTGATGTCGATAACGAGGACCCCTTCGAGCTGTTCGTTTCGACCCAGAACATCCGCTATGTCTACTACAAGGAGACGGAGAAGATTCTCGGAAACACCTACGGCATGTGCATCCTGCAGGACTTCGAGGCCATCACTCCCAACCTTCTCGCCCGTACCATCGAAACTGTCGAAGGAGGAGGTCTTGTCGTTATGCTCCTCAAGGGTATGAGCAGTTTGAAACAACTCTACACCTTGTCTATGGACATCCACTCGCGCTACCGCACAGAGGCCCATGGCGATGTTGTCGCTCGTTTCAATGAGCGCTTCATCCTGTCCCTTGGTAGTTGTGACTCGTGCTTGGTCATCGATGATGAGATGAACGTCCTGCCCATCTCAGGAGGAAAGACCATTCAGCAGTTGCCGCCTCCGGATCCGGAAGCTCAGGGAAAGACTCCCGCTGCTAGGGAACTCGAGACCATCAAGGAGAGTCTTGCCGACACTCAGCCCGTCGGGTCCCTTGTCACTCTGGCCCGTACCGTCGACCAAGCCAAAGCTCTGCTCACCTTTGTGGATGCTATCGCTGAGAAGACTTTACAAAGTACCGTCACCTTGACCGCTGCTCGTGGTCGTGGTAAGTCAGCCGCACTCGGTGTGGCCATTGCCGCTGCCGTCGCACATGGTTACAGCAACATCTTCATTACCTCGCCAAGTCCCGAGAACCTGAAGACCTTATTCGAGTTCGTCTTCAAGGGCTTCGATGCCTTGGGCTATCTCGACCACGTTGACTACACCATCATCCAATCTACTAACCCTGACTTCAACAAGGCCATCGTTCGGGTAAACATTCACCGTCAACACAAGCAGACCATCCAGTACATCCAGCCTCAGGACGCATATACTCTCGGCCAAGCAGAACTCCTGGTCATCGATGAAGCTGCCGCAATCCCCTTGCCACTGGTCAGAAAACTCATGGGCCCTTACTTGGTGTTCATGGCTTCGACCATCAACGGTTACGAAGGTACTGGCCGCTCTTTGTCACTCAAGTTGATTCAACAGCTCCGTGAGCAGTCTCGCGGAGGCTCCAAGGCTAGTAACGAGCAGGTAGCCGATCGATCCACAGGAAGGTCTGCCAAGGACGAAAACCAGGTTGCCATTGCTGGTCGCTCTCTTCGCGAAATCACTCTCTCTGAGCCGATCCGTTACGCCCAAGGAGATTCCGTCGAAAAGTGGATGAACCGTCTCCTTTGTCTCGACGCTACCCTCCCTCGCGCATCAACAACACGTGGCTGCCCCCACCCAGATCAATGTCAGCTTCTGTCTGTCAACAGAGATACTTTGTTCTCATTCCACCCAGTCTCGGAGAAATTCCTCCAACAGATGATGGCGCTGTACGTTGCTTCGCATTACAAAAACACCCCTAATGACCTGCAGTTGATGTCTGATGCTCCTGCACATCAACTGTTCGTGCTTGTTCCTCCGGTTGAGGAGGGTAGTAACCGCCTTCCCGAGCCTTTGTGTGTCATCCAGCTAGCTCTAGAAGGTCAGATCAGCAGAGAGAGCGTTATCAACAGCTTGAGTCGTGGCCAAAGAGCGGGAGGTGATTTGATTCCTTGGTTGGTCAGTCAACAGTTCCAGGATGAAGACTTTGCTGGACTTTCTGGCGCACGTGTTGTCCGTATTGCCACACATCCCGACTACATGAACATGGGCTATGGCAAGAAGGCTCTCGAGCTCCTTACCGACTTCTTCGAGGGCAAGTTCACATCTCTGTCTGAGGAGGATGGACAAGCTGAGGCTGGAAGCGAGGGTATGGTCCGTGTCACAGATGCCGAACTCGAGAACGCCAGCTTGTTGCAGGACAACGTCAAGGTTCGCGACATCTCGACTATGCCTCCGCTCTTTGCTCGTCTCTCGGAGCGCAAGCCTACCCGTCTGGACTACATGGGTGTTTCATACGGTCTTACCTCGCCGCTACACAAGTTCTGGAAGCGCGCCAACTTCGTGCCTGTCTACCTCCGCCAGACCGCAAACGATCTTACCGGAGAGCATACCTGTGTTATGTTGAGAACGCTTGACGGCGCTACTTCTTCGGACCCTGCTTGGCTCGGAGCGTACGCCAAAGATTTCCACCGCAGATTCCTCAGCCTTTCGTCCTACCAATTCAGAAAGTTCACCAGCGTCCAGGCTCTCAGTCTCGACGAGTCTGCCAATGCCGGCATCAAGCTCGATAGCAGTGTCCCCCCCAAACCACTCACCAAGAGTGACTTGGACGAGTTGTTCAGTCCTTTCGATCTGAAGCGTCTGGATAGCTATGCGAACAATATGCTGGACTACCACGTAATTCTCGATCTGTTGCCAAAGATTGCCGAGCTCTTCTTCACAGGTCGTATCAAGGGTGAAGAGGCTGTCAAGCTCAGTGGTGTGCAACAAGCCTTGTTGTATGCTATCGGTCTGCAACGCAAGACCCTCGAGGACCTGGAAAAGGAGCTCGGACTGGGAAGCAGTCAACTGCTTGCTATGTTCGTGAAGGTGATGCGCAAGATGTCAATGCACTTCCGTGGCCTGGTTGAGGGAGCTGTTGCCGAGACTATGCCTAAGGGTATTGGTGGTGGCGATGCTGAAGCCGACAAGATCGATGGTGAGGAGGCACAGCGATTTGCTCCTCTTCAACAGACTTTGGAAGACGATCTTGCCGAGGCTGGCGACGAGTACATGGCCGCTGAGAAGGAGCGTGCTCGCGCCATGATCGATGCGCTTCCTCTGGACAAGTACGCGCTCGGAAATGCTGAGGCCGATTGGGACGAAGCTGAACGCCAAATCCAGAAGGGCGGAGGCCGTAGCGGAAAGAGCACAACCGTCAGTGTCAAGTCGAAGAACGCACCGAGCAAGCGCAAGGCTGGAGAAGCGCTTGAAGAGGTGCAGAAGGAGGCTGCCAACATTGATGGAAAGAAGAGTAAGAAGGGCAAGAAGTCAAGGTAAAGGATTAAATGAATTGCATAGAGGGCGGAGTTAAGGGTGTACAAAAGGACGTATCGCCATGGGATTGTTGAGGGGAAATATCCAATCTGTATTTGTCGTGTTCCGAATTTGAAGATATTCGAAGACATAACTTGAAGTGCTTTAGAGAGACTTTGTCATCCACAAGTGAGGCAGTCGTGTTTGTCGGTCCCGGAATTTAAAAGCGCACCCTCCGTCGCTACAACCGCATCCTCCACAATCAACCTTCACTTCCGTCTCACAACCAACGCTTCTCAACACATCGTTTCCAACAAGATCGATTCTGTATAAAATCACTAGACTCACACATCTCTCATCACCAAATACAAGACTACACAATGGCCGAACCGCGGTATGGACACGTCCAGAAGATTTGAGCCACAACATACACAGACTGATGGCCTATCAGTGGCGCATGGGGTAGACCTCGTGGAGGAGCAGCACGCACACCTCAATCCCGATCTTCGAACGCCTCGCCCGCTCCTACATCTTCGGCTGCGGCACCTGCGAAGCCTGCCGCATCACCTGCTCCAACTCCCGTGCCTGCAGGCAACGTCTGGGCTGCCAGAGCGGCAGCGCAGAAAGCTCCTGCTGCGCCAACAAAGAAAGAGAAAAGCACTCCTGCTGCGACGCAAGCGAAAGAGGAAGGCTCACTGAAGAAGGTCGAGCAGAGCGGTAGTGCTCCCATTGGAGACCGTGAGCGACATTCACACTTCGAACGAAACAGAGTCACTGACGCATTACAGCGGCCTGCATGGGCAACGGACAAAACTTCTTCGCCGAACTGGCCAAACAGGTTGCAGCGCTCCAAGCTAAGGACGCACCCCAGAAGGCAAAATAAACACCACGACAAAACGAGCTTTCACCAAGAAACACACAGTGACGATACCATACACGATCTATAATTCCAGCCACCCTTCCACACCCAAGATGCCCCCATCGTCAGCGCTCGGATCCATGGACCAAGTTTTGATCGGACGCACCGATAGTTGCGACCTCCACCCTGCCTCCCACATCTCGATGCCCGCCCAGCCTATCATAGCCGCATTGTCTGTGCAAAGCTCAATGGGTGGAAACCACAATTCGACGTGCTGATAGCCTCTGACGTCGAGGAAGGAGCGCATCACATGGCGCAAGAAAGAGTTCGCTGCCACACCACCCGAGACGACTACCGAACTGACCTTGGCAGCCTCTTGAGATGGAAGGGAGGACAAGTACAGTAAGACGCGCGAGGCGAGATGCTCGAAAGCCACACGCATGACTTCTCTGGCCATGTCACGGCGCTCATCGTTGGAGAGTTGACCAGGCTGGCGCAAGCGTCTGGATATGGTGGAAGTCTGGTGATCGAATTCATACTTCACAAAGCGTTCAATGCTGCTCAAGAGACCCGAGAAAGAATAGACCATCTTGCGACTGCTACTGCCGTTCTTGCTTTCGGCTAACGGTGCACCTAGACCCCAGCCCCATTTCGTGACTCTTCGTGCGAGCTCAACGTCTCGCTTTGCAGGTGCTGTGTAGTGGTAGTCCGATGCACCTCCAGGAAAGGCGAATCGTTCAAGTGCCCTCCCGTAAGGAGGTACAACCAGATGCGGCGGCAGGATTGCTCGCGCGGCCTTGTCCAGACAGTCTCCAAGAGCAATGTCGCCAGTTGTGGCTAGTATCCTATGATCTGTCAAGCCAGTAGATTCGATCAACATAGAGTGGCCTCCGGATACAAGGGCGCTCAAGAAGGGAAAGTTCGGGCCAGAGGCAGGACGCGATTCGAGTGCAGAAACCAGACGCGGAGTCAAGGCGTGGGCCTGCATGTGATGAATGCCTAGCACGGGGATGTCCCAAGCCACTGCTAGTGCTTTACCAGCGTCCAAACCAACAGACAGGTTCGAGCGCATACCAGGGCCTCTTGTAGCGGAGATGAAGTCCGGCTTCATGCGCGAGGTGGTTCCATGGTACAAGGTGCGGCGAGGGTCCGAGTCCACTTGGGATGGGGGCAGATGGGTCAGTGCTTCTTGCAGCAGTGGCGCGAGTGAGGACTGATGAGACTCCAGAGCGACGACAGGGTGGATGCCATTGTAGGCGGCTGTGTTGGCAGTCACTTTCTTGTGGAAATGAAGCGTTGCCGAAGCATCTTTGTGTTTCTCGACGATGGCAACCGATGTGTCATCGCACGACGTCTCTATAGCGAGAGTCAGGAGGGTACGACGGTGCAGTGCAACTCCATAGGACCTGACAGGAGGGATTGCGCGCGTGAAGGTACGCAAAGGCGACAGCATCAACGTGCGTACGTTTTGTGACGTTGGTCGAACAAACAATTTCAAGATTCGAGAAAGTCGATTGCCAGCGGCTTCTGGACCCTGAATGGTTCGGTAGATGGCCTTGGCTGCAGATGTCACCCGCATGGAAGCAGCGGGATGACGCGATTGAAAGCGGCTTCCTGCACGCGGCTTCCTTGTTTCTCGCCAAAGCTTCGCGGGCACTTCTCTGCACGCGCCGTTGCCTAATGCTCGCAGTGTCCATCATTCCGCATGGGCTGATATGTACCTTGCACATCCTGGTCAGACGCTCCCATGGCTTATGAGCTGCCGTCCAAGGAGAGGTTGCGTGAGATAGCAGCTCGTCAAGATGCCAAAGAGAAGGAGATCAAAGAGGCTCGCGCCAGACGCTTGTCTACAAGCAACCAGTCGCCAAACGAGCAAGAGGCTGCTGCCGAAATCATCCAAGTCGGTGACGATCAACACTCGATGTTGTCAAGTTCTGATGCTGAATCCGACCAGCGCAATTACCGTGGTTATCGCGAGCGTAGAGAAATGCGTGGCTTAGGCTTGTCTGCCTCTACAAGATGGGTTGATGTATGTTATAGCGTTACCTCTATTAGTGCGTAGGTATCTAACGTGTCACAGGCTGTCAAAGAAGGTAAATGACCATGGACTCACCCTACAATACCTCACTGCTCATGTCCGAGTAGCCCGTTACCGCAATACCACCCAACCCATGTCTCGCGACGAGCGGGTCCGACACGCATCAACCCATGTCTCAACTCCAGGCAACCCGGTGGCTCGCGAGAAATGGAAGCGTGCAGGCGATATTGCAAAGCATGCAGAGAACGACGATACCAGTTCCGACGAAGACTTTGGAGACATGGATCCACAAGACCGCGAAGACTATCTACGGCGCAAAAGAGAGGCCAAGGCCGAACGAGAAAAGATGGCCAGGACTATGGGTATAGAATACTTTCTTGAGATGGTAGGTGTGCAGGCTGTCCTGCCTTGTGCTCCGGCTTACATGTCTGTAGGTCGACCAAAAGCACCGTTATGGCTCTTCGCTTCGCAAGTACCATAAAGTATGGCAGGAGAGCGACACGAAAGAGAACTTCTTCTACTGGCTGGACTTTGGCGGAGGCAAAGACGTCGACCTTCCAGAACGTCCGAGAACACGCCTGGACGAGGAGAGAGTCCGTTACTTGTCCCGAGAAGAACGTCAGAGATATCTGGTCGAGATTGATGATGATGGTTACCTGACGTGGGCGAAGAATGGTCAACGCATTTCCACATCGCCCGATTGGAAAGACTCTATGGATGGCATTGTCCCAATCGATGACAAAACCACGCCTACGTGGCGCAACACCAGCGGCCGTCAAGATTTGCCGCCATCATCGAGTGATTCTGAAAGCGATTCAGATGTTAGTGTAGGCAGCGGCGAGGACGCATCTCGATACGTGAACCAGGAATTGCATGATGCGAAAGGTCTAAGCAAACTCAAGCATCTCTCCGCTAACACCATCATGAATGATCTTCTTCGGTTAGTCTTCTGATCGCCCTGAAACCACACTCACCACTAATAAATGTCCAGCAAAACCACCAAGAAGAACACCTGGATCTTTGTGGCTGACACTTCATTCCGACTCTACATTGGCATCAAACAGTCAGGCGCTTTTCAGCACTCTTCCTTCCTAAAGGGCGCCCGGATCCTATCAGCAGGCTTAATCCGCATCAAGCGAGGTCAACTTAGACGATTGAGTCCCTTGTCCGGACACTACGCACCACCAGCCAAGAGCTTCAGGGCTTTCGTACATAGCCTTAAGGATGCTGGAGCTGACATGTCTCGAGTGAGCATCTCGAGGTCGTATGCCGTCCTTGTTGGTCTTGAAGGCTACCTCGGTACTAAGCGCAAACTGAAGAATGGAGAGCAAAAAGTCAAAGACATGATACATCCCGAAGAAGCTCGACAGCGCGAGGAAGCGGAGAAAGACAAGAGCAAGAGTGCCCAAAAGGAGCGAGAGTTACTCGAGGCGCAGGCGAAGAAGGAGGAAGAGGCCAAGCGGCAAAGCAGCATCACTGAGCGATTGAAGAGCAAGCTGCACATCGGCGGCAATGGCTCGAAAGACGATTGATGTGGTCTTCTACTCACTGGCGACATGTCCTCATGCTCTTCTACGATTAACGATAGCCATGAATGCAATGTCCTGAACGAACTATATGCACTTAATAAGTTCTACACTGCGAGTACTTGCTCGGTGGTCACTGATCCAGGAGCTTCAGACCTTGAAACGTCCAGTGGCATCTCGGGTGGAGCATCTTCTGCCTTGCGCTTGGCTTCCGGGGGTACGCTGAGCTCGGCGTCATCTGCTTTACGCTTCAACGAGGCCGTCTCCTCTGCCTCCTTTGCTTCCACTTTCTTCTCCTTCTTGGCATGGTTGCCTCTTTGCTTTCTCTCCGATCTCGTCTCTTTCTTGCCGAAGCTGATCTCAAGTTTCTCATCCACCTCGCGAGCTCGTTTGGCAAATTCTTCATCGTATCCCATAATCTCGACCAGATCGGTGTAGCTCTTTGCTTGGTTCATGGGACGGTATTCTTTTGCTCTGCCAGGAATCATTTGACCGAGAAGGTATTTTGTGTTGCCCCATCTGTTTTCGACTTCCAAGGCGGTTGTGACATACTCCTTGACCACCTGATCCCAGGGTGCCATGCCACCATCCTTTTCGGCGCGGAAGCATGAGGGATTTGTCTCGGCAGCTGTCGCGATCATGGCACCGTCGACTCCGTATTCTTCTGCTAGCTTCAGAGCTTCGTCTCTGCTTGTTACATCGCCGTTCATTAGGCATGCGACGCCTGCTTCGTGGCAGATCTCGCCGACCATGCGCAGTTGATCGCGGATGGCGCTCTCGCGTGGTCGCATGGGTGTTGTGCGACAATGCAATGTGAGACCAGTGATACCTGTAGCAACCAATCTTCGTACGAGTGCTGCCGTGTCCTCGGGGTTCTCCAGTATGCGGATCTTGACACTGATGCCGATCTCGAAAGGTGTTCCTACTTCCTTCACCAGTGCTTCGAGGATGGCGACTAGCTTATCTGGCGTCTTGAGTAGAGCAGCACCCATACCTCCGAGAGTACTGAATGGCTTGGGGCATCCTGCGTTCACATCGATGCCGGCCACATCTCCAGCGATCAGTTTGGCAGCCGCGACAGCTCTTTCCGGGTCGGAAGTGCCGATTTGGTGGATCAGTTGGCGACCTTCGCGCGAAGGATATAATCGGTATATGACGCTTTCGCGCTGTGAGGGGTTGACGTCCGGGTTCTTTGAGCCATTGGACGAGAGGCGGGTGAAGTCGACGGTATTTGTGACGGTGTTGACACGGCGAGTGGTGCCGATGAGGGCTTTATCGATGGTCTCAGGACCTGTTATCCGGAATCAGTACTCTGCTGCTGCTGCTGGAAGTAGCGCAATGAGAAGGAGACATACCCCATACAAGGTCAGCGCCATACTTCAAGGCCATCAGTCGCGATGGGCATTCTCCGCTGCGGACCATTGGGGCGAGGACGACTTTGCCGCGGTAGTCGACTCCATTCTTGGGGATAGGGACTCTCTTCGTCATGCTTCCTGTCATGATTTGTGTAAATGTTCGTAACATCCCATAACTTTCTTCGAACAAGGCATGAGCCACTGGTCATCGGGAAAAAAGTACTCGGAGGGTCGAGACCCTTAATGCCGAGAGACCCGTACGTGATTGGCTCGGGGGTCGAGACTTGCTAGACACACCTTTCCGGGCATCACTCAATACGTGTACAGTCAAAACTCGAGGTCTATTGAAAATGATTGTCTAGTCGGTCTTCTGCTTGCGTCTATCGATGCCTTCGCTCATCAGGATCGCCACATCCTCGGCCGTCTTCCCCCTACTTCTCACTTCTGTCTTCTCCTTGCCCAGGTCTGTACCATAGGCAACCAAGTCATACGTTTTGGCAATGCCACTGAATATAGCTTCTTGATCTTCAAAGCCGCCATCTTCTGCCAGTGTAGCACCGATTTCTTCCATTTCACGTACCCAGCGATACGCCTTGGGCGGCATTCGAGGCATGGAAGCATTGGCCAGATCAAAAGTCTTTGGACTGTATTGCTGCAGGTGCTGCTGTAACTCCGGGAGAACCCCGAGACGGTGGGCTGTCGTGAAGGATTGGATTGCTAGTCCAGTGAACCCTTTTGTCAAGGCTGCAAAGCTCATCTTCAGTCCTGATGCAGCGCCGATCTGATCTGAGATGTGTCTAGCTCCTAGTACGTTTGCCAGATGGGCACCGCTGCGTTCTGCATCTGCTAACTGATGCGGCCCGGACATGGGCATACTCGGCCTCTTCCACGATGTGAGGATAGAAGGGTCTGTATCTTTGGCCATCAGACTCGGGGCGCTGCCAATGACAGCTCCGTCAATGAACCTGATGCCATCCCTATTGTCAACTTGGAGAAGCTCGCTCATAGTCCTGGCCAACTTCGGCGATGCCGCGTTCATGTCCAGATAGTACAACGGAACGTTTCTCTCGGAGAACGAATCAGCTCTGCTGGCTTCCAAGATACGTCCAGCTGTTGCCATGGCGTCTCGCGGAGGTACAATCGAGATAATATAGTCTGAGGTTGCTGCTAGTTCTTTGTCCGTCGAGATCAACTCTATTGACGCCGATTCGGCTCGAGCATGTGTATCTTGACTATGTCCTCATGTTAACATCATCTCGCCATAGCTATCCCACTTAGGAGAATGATCATTGACGTGCCTTCGACCAGTGATGTTAGTCACCACACGATAACCATTTGCTTTGAGCAGCTTGGCGATCCCGAGTCCCATCTCACCAATCGAGAGGACGCCTACAGTAGCGAGTGGAGGAGTCATCTTGATATCGACCTTTGTCTCCGACTTGAGATGTTCAAGAGATGATAATGCATCGATGATAATACTCGTATCAGTCACGCTCGGCGTGCCTCACCAGACGCCGAAAGGTGAGCGGGGTGTTCTTGCCGCTTCGATGCAACGTCATGCCCGATTCGGATACAGCAGCCGACAGCTACTTCCATCTTTCGAATCAACACACATCGTCGTCAATCGTACTTGCTATGTCTCCTAAGCTTCTAAATATCCGTGCAGTCAGCTACCCTATCCGCTCTCGCATCTGCTTCAATCGCACCATGGCGACCGTCCGCTCATCTATAAGCCATGAAGAACGCACCGCCCAAGAACCACGAGAAGCACGCTTGGAGCCAGTAATTGTTTCACGTATCGATGCCGTCAATGATACTGTTCGTCTTATTCGTTTGAGTGCTATGAAACCTGACCATAAGCTAAAGGTATATCATTCTGGAAAATTCACCGGTCCACCACCTTTTGAGAGCATATGACTAACAACATTTACCAAAGTAAAGTTCCTACCAGGACAATGGCTAGACGTCTTTATTCCTTCTCTATCCAAAGCTGGAGGCTTTACCATAACTTCGATACCCTCAGACCAAGGCCAACCTACCCCTCAACGACCAGCCTACTTTGAACTCGCGATACAAAAGTCCACCAATCCTCCTGCTCAATGGCTCTGGAAACCGGAATCTGAGATCTTGGATGAGCAGATTATTGTACGCACAGGTGGAAGCTTTGTTTGGCCACCCCCAGGAATCAATATCGATGAGATTGAACAAGTCGTCCTTGTCGCAGGGGGTGTAGGCATCAACCCCTTGATCTCAATCTTTGCACATCTGATGAGTCTTCCCAAACGGCCGAAAAAGGTCAGATTTGTGTATGGCTCTAAGGTCGAGGAAGGTCCGATCGAAGCTTCACGTATTCTTTTCCTGACCAGAATCATGGAACTGATCAAGAAGCAAGAAGAAGGTGATGTACAACTGGACTTGTTTCTTACCGCAGCGTCGCAGAAACAAGTCGATGAAGCGAGAGGACTACCTGAACATGTCAAATTAGGAAGGATAGGGAAAGATGACTTGGAAGCCAGCGTTGGCGAGGACCGCGGGATCAGACAAGCGACTGTAGCTTACATCTGCGGACCCCCTGCCATGACCGACCAATTCGTCGACTTCTTGAGCACAAGAGATGGCATGGACAAGCGTAAAGTGTTATGCGAGAAGTGGTGGTGAACTCGCACACTTGTGCTGCCAGCAGCCCCCTGGCCCTTAGATCGGATACCGATCGAGTGATGAGGTTTTGATCGACCTCTATGTACTCTATCATGTCTCACTTTGGCGACATTCCATGGTATTAGATGCTCAATTTACTGTGGAATATCCTGGACAATCGCATTGAACAGAGCTTATACTGAGAAAAAATCCTACATACTGGAAACACCCGCCCGCTCACCAATCGACATCGACAGCTCATGGTGCTGCTCCTGGCATTGGCGCCAAAGGACTATCAAGACCCATACCATGATTGTCGAACACACTTCTCTTCCTTGCTAGCTTGCGACCATGCATACCGTTGAGGTAGTTCGTGGCATATGTCCTACAGGTGAATGACGTGCTGGAGCTTGAAGGAGCGATATAGCTTGTCACAACTTGAGTCACAGTGATATAGTTGCCACCTCCAGCGGTGATGGTGACAACACCTCCATTTCCTCCTCCACCAGTACCGCCGCCTACCGAAACTGTGGCGCCTGGTGCAGTCGAGACTACAGTGCGCTCCGAGACTGATACTGATATGGACACAGTCGTCGTGGTGACCGTTTGCGTGGTTGGCTGGTAGACGACGCTAATCGCCGTGCTGACACCGTAGGTTGAGACTATCGTCTGTCCATTGGAGACAATTGTCGATACAGCAGTAGAGAGGGCGTAAACCGTCGATCCCGGCCCGGTTCCAGGTCCAGTGCCAGGTCCAGTGCCAGGTCCAGTGCCAGGTTTAGTGCCAGGTCCAGTGCCAGGTCCAGTGCCAGGTCCAGTGCCTGGTCCAGTACCTGGTAATGTGCCAGAGCCCGTTCCAGGACCAGTTCCCGGGCCTGTACCTGGCCCAGTTCCAGGCAATGTCCCAGGTCCGGTGCCTCCTCCAATGGCAACAGTTGTCGCAGGTCCAGCGCCGGTGCCTACCGCAGATCCCGGACCATAATCACCATTGTTTCCATTACCACCATTTCCAACTGTGCTGTTGCCCGAACCAACTGATCTCGAGAGAAGACGGGCTGAGTCGACACCAGGCGAAGTGACATTAGTGTAGCCATTCTTCAGCTCGCAATTACCTGCGCCCAGGGTCGCAAAGAAGGAAATGCCCAAGCATGGACTGGGAGAGTTGAAACTCATTAGGTTGTACATGTCGCAAGCATCGATGCATGAAGCAAGAGAGCTCACGTTGGTAGTGGACAGAGTTTGATCAGTAATGTATCTTCCGCACCCAATCTCATAGAGTTGACCGAAGCTGTCGGTGAATATTTGGCTGTTCGACGAGGGGCAAATTGGTGTGGCAGAAGATCCACTGCTTGGCACAGATCCAGAAACGACAACGGTCGTAGTTGGAGAGCCACTAGGTCCGCCGCTCACGATGGGCGACATAGTCCCACTCATAGACATGAAAGAGCTTTGGGGTGCGACACTGAAGCTGCTGAAGTTGGAGCCGAACAGTGTACCGCTCCAGCCAAAACCCTCTGGGGGACAAATACCGGGAGTGGGGCAAGCAGTAACTGTCTCTGTAGTGAAGATAGTTGTTGTTCCAGCAGATCCAGATGCCTGTGCAGAGCATACGTTGCCATTACCAGTAGCCACTGAAGGAGACTCAATACCGCCACCAGGCACAACCGTAGGCGTCAAGAAGCAAGTGAAGCACAAAGACCCGGAGCCCGTACTATCAGTACCGGTAGCCAGACTACTGCTAGGGGGAGTGCCTGTTGTCGTGAGCGTACTGACTACGGTAACGGTAGCGCTGGCGGGATAGGCTGTGATTGAGTCAGTATCGATGAAGTGGGAGACGATAGAATGTGACTTACAGGTAGTGATGGTGACCGAAGCACTAGCAGTGCCACGCGAGATGCTCGATGATGAGGAGATGCCAGGATCAGTAACTCCCGCACGCACAGCGATGATGAAGTTTGGATCAGACACTTGAGTGCCGGTGAAGGTAGATTTCATCTGACAAGCAGAGGCGAGTGTGTCGTAGACCACACCGATGCAGCCTACGGTGATGTCGCAGCTTGGCAAGCAGCCTGAGACAGAAACAGCACGGAAGGGACTCGAGAGGTCTCCTCCTTGAACGTCTAGACCACAAGCGATGGTGTAGTTGTTTCCGTTTGAGTCGGTGTAATTCTGGCCATCAGATGCGGGACATGTTGGCACGGGAGGAGATGAGGTGGCCACCGATGAGGTACTAGACGCAGTGCTTGACGGTGAGGCAGAGCTAGAAACTGATGAGGTTGATATGGTGGAGCTTGGCAGTGTTGAGGCCGTGGGCGACGATGTAGCGGCATCAGTTGATGTGACTGGTACAGGAGGTAAGAGGGTCGCTGCGACGTTGTCGGGATCAGGTATGGTGCCAGTGATCTCACTAAACAGCGTACACTCGTCGCCCTTGTAGTTGACGCCGACACAACCTGTGGTGTCATCGCAAAGATCGAGACAGTCCGTGTACGACGGCTCAGTCACACGCTTCATGATGCGGAACCTATTGATGCCATTGTCGTTGTCGATTGTAGTTCCCGTGTATGAGTTTCCGCAACCAACGTCAAAGTTTGCGCCTCTGGCATTGGAACAGGTCGTTGGCGTGTCAGAGTTGCAAATGTTGTCTACAGTCGAGGGACATGGCGGAGCGACGTAGTACACGATTGAAGGGCTTGCAGAGGTAGTCGTCAATTGCAGCCTTGATGTTGTTGGGGAAGAAGGCGATGTACTGACAGAACGTGATGAAGACAAGGACGAGGAGGAAGAGGATGCCGGAGGCAGGGATGAAGACGAGGAGGCAGTGACAATGAGACTCGAAGCATCAGCAGAAGAGCTATGCGAAGAAGACTCGGTAGCGTATGTGGACAGGCTGTCAACAGGGGAAGTGCTCGGAACTGAGGTTGTGGAAAGGGCTGATGAGATGCTAGAAGTATTGCTATGAGCGACGAAAGCCACAACAAAATTGGAAGGAGCCGAGGAGACTTGGCCGACCACGTTCTTGAAGTGGCAAGTACCTGCAGATGCACCTTCGAATGTGAAACCGACACACCCTGGTGTGACATCACAAATGGTGAAGCAAGCCGTGAATCCTCCGCCATGAACTTCAGTGTTGTTGAAAGTGTCGATATTTGTGTCCGAAGAGCAATATACGTGGTAATCAATCACGTTCTCGTCCACGTATATAATGTTGTTGGCCTGTGGGCAAGTCGACGCCTGTGCACTCGGACGAAGCGTTGCAGTTTTGGGAGGAGTGGATGACAGAGAGCTTGTTGACGTTGCAGCGTTGGTTGTTGATGTGCTGGAGTCATCCGATCGGACCGCAACAGCTGCAAAAGTGTGACCGTCGTACTCGAGATCTCCGGCACCAGCTTGTAAGAGACAACTACCAGCTCCGTTGCCTCCGACATGAGAGACGCCACTACATCCATCTGTCCTATCGCACAACTCAATACAAGCCTCGAAGCTATCAACAGTCTGGCTACCCTGATCAAGATTCTTGGCAGTAAAGGCAGAGCCACAGCTGATTGTGTATGATACTCCGTTGTAGTCAGCATAAGTGCTGCCGTTGTACATAGGGCATAGAGCCGGAGAAGCTGAGGCGGTAGCTGAAGATGATACAGTCGAAGACACAGAAGATAGCGGCCCAGTGTAGGGCACCGAGAGAGGCATGGATGATGTGGATTGTCCCATGCCAGGATTGATGATACTGCCGCTGATACTGATCGGCGAAGACGACGTCAGTGGTGCCGTACTGGTAGGAACAGAAGACGGATCCACACCGACCGGCAGTTGATAAACCTTGATTGAGTTGATCTCCCAGTACGCTTGGGTGAAATTCCGCGGATAGTTACCCACATAATCAACGCAAGAGTCATAGCCGTTCCTACCAGGCGACAATGGACAGTCTCCAAAGCTTGAATACGCCAATCCAGCCCAGGCACCACAAAAGTCAGTATTGATGATGATACTGTGATTGGCAAAATGGCTGTCAATGTCACAGGAGCCTTGGAAGTTAGCCATCGGTAGTCCGAACTGCGAGACATCTGGAGAACCATCGGTGACACTCGAAGGGATGCGCTCCCGGGGAAAGAACCAGACACGGACATATGCCGAGGTCCACTCTGTGATGTAGACTCCACCGCCAATATCACTAAGTCCTTTGCCATAGTTGTTGGGCGTAGCAGTATCGTTTGCAATGCTTCCACATCCAGAGTTGTCGTTTGCCGCTGAATCGCAATTTGAATTCGTGAATAACCCGCTTTGTCCAGAACCAGCAATAGTGCAATTTGCATCTGTGTGCATGGAGATAGTGTTTGTCATGCTAGTGTGTACACCTTCGATGATATCTTGAATTGTTCAGCGGGGGCTATAGAGCGATTGTTTCCTCTTAACTGACCTATCTCGCCATTAGATGGCCAATCTGGTCCAAGCAGCCAGAAAGCTGGCCATGTTCCACAACCGTAAGGCATGTGGTTGAGATCCAGAATGAAGAGGCCATGAGTATAAGTGTTGTCACTGATAAGCCTGACAGCTGGTCTCCCTGGTCCGCCACTTGGCCATTTGTTTGTGGTGTCGACACTAATGGTAATGCTGTCGTCGTTCGTGGTCGCATATGCATTCGTGTTGGCCACTGATTCGTTTACATATCTAAGGGCAAAGGTTAGCTTTTGGAACTCGTAAGCGAGATTATACTTACTGAACGTGGCCGTACGTTGGATCGTAAGACTGCGAAGATCTTAGTGCTCAACCCTGGCGTTCTTCTAAGGGTAACCTACGTTGTAAAAATTGAACTTCCTGAAGAAAATGCTGGGTTGGTAATCATCGACCAGCTCGTATGCTCCCGAGCCAGGAATACCACCACCAGTGAAATAGCTTGCACCGGGTACACTTTGAGAAACCGCAGAAGAGACAAGAGAAAGGAGTGGCAGAACACCGATGTTGGATCGGGACGCCATGAACGGCATTTTTCCCGCGACTTCGAGATAGATTCGAATCGTGGGGAGAGAAGAAGACTTGCCTTGCTACATCAAAGAGCTTACACATGGAAGAGACAGGCCATCGAGTTGTTGTGATGGCCGCAGAACATTCCTTCTACATCAACCACATTCCTCGATGCTTAGCAGGCGCGGGAACCAGGCATTGGCAGATTGCGACCACATTCCCAAGGGTCCGTTGTCTAACTATACGGCAGCATTGACGATGAGTGCAAAGAGCCACGAGGAAACACGAAGTTGACGCGGATGCTAGAGACTCGGCCGATTTCGGAGCTCACATAATTCAAGGGTTTGCACAAAGTTTATGAACAAAAACATGAATGCTTTGCAATTTCAGTCCTACGTGATAGCAAGGGAGCAAATGGCAAAAGAACAGACTATTGAAACGAATTCCTCTTATCTACCACCAAATTAAGGATACTCAAAGATTGCCACAGTATCGGCGAAACCATTGGCATTCGAGATTGCTGGGACGAGGTCCACCGAATCGACAGTGACCAGATTGGACGAACCCACAGTGTTGACCGCATACAGGTAAATACCCTGGCTCTGTTCAACACTGACCATCTTTTGTTGACAGTTGGTGGTTGCCAGACATCCAGAGTCGTAGTTGTTAAAGAACGAATACATTCCAGCACCGTAGGCGAAGATGTATGTACTGTTGAAGATGCGCAGACCCCAAGTTTTGGGGCAGTTGACAGTGAAACAGTCAGAAAAGGTCGGATCGTTCCAGTTCGATAAAGGAGGATAAGGCGAGACGGCGTTTGGGTTATTCTGCATATAGCTTTCAGATTGTCAGCATGTGTGTTTAGCTTCAGCAGATATGTCAAACTTACGCAGTTTCGGACTGAATGGCACTGATGTAGATCTCCTTCGCAGAGGCGATCTGGTAGTTGTAAAGCATACTATGCTCGAAAGAAGTGCCCAACATCCACATCGGACCCTGACTCTCGACCAAGACTCCGCGACCATTCCAAAGATTGATTTGGTCATGATCAAGCAAGTCCATTTCGTGATCACTGACCCAGCCCCAGTTGTTGGCCATGTACATAGACGCGGATCGCGTGATGTGAAGAAGCAAGAATGCACCGTAGCATTCGGGTTTCGGTGTGGTGGGCACATTGGGTGTCTTGCGACAATTGTATGATTGCAGCTGAGTACCATTTGTGCCACCGATACGCCAGTGGACGTCGAACATTGCTGGAGTCTCACATTAGCAAAGAATGTAGGAGAGATACGAAAGATCACTTACCTGCGGATCCTGGTGAGGATTGCGCAAGGTTCCACTCCATCATGATTGCGCCTGGAGCAGCACCCAAGGTCTGAAACATGATTTCGACGAGTTCAATATCGCCAACTTGTCCAGGAACACCAACTCTGAAAGCGACCTGGGGGTCATTGGCGTTGCTGAACTTTGGTGCAGTGCCGTCCACCATAAAATAAGGCCAAAGCTCACCTTGGACCTTAATTGGTATGGGGAAGTTGATAGTGTCTCTGATGACATAAGCACCATAGTCGATGTAGGCAATCTGATCTGGCTGGATGGAGTTCAAGAAACTCTGTAAGCATGCCGTGTCATCGGTGACACCGTCACCAGCACATCCATAGGTCTTGATGGATATGAAGCTTTCTACCGGAACACCCTCATACTGCGGTCTTGAGCGTGTAAAGATATCTCCGTCCGGAGTGAGCAAAGAAGGAGACTTGGGAGCCGGATCGACGAGCTGTTGTACCCGGTCGAACCTGGCTGCAGGTCCGTAACAAGTAAGATTGTTTTCTTCGTAGGACGACTCGTACGCAGTGTAGACTCTGCCTTGAGCCCATGACGCAATTCTCTGGTTTCCTTCAAGAATCGTGACATTGCTAGGAGAATGCTGGACCGCGATTGGTGTATCCACAAAGTTCACGTTGTCTAGAAGGAATGTACCGGCGGAAGTGGGGGTTGAGTTGGTGGAGAATGTTGTAAGGACGCCAATTTCGACATTGTTCATGGTCGCATCTTGTAAACTGATCGAGCCCGTGGTTATGATGTCTCCGCCTTGGGTCATATCTATACCAATCCTGGCGTTGTTGATGACGATGTCCTTGTAAGCGAACAGCCAGTTCCAATTCTGATAGATCGCAGTCTGACAATTGTTGAAGGTCAAATTGCGACAGGTGAATTGTTGGTTGCCAGAGAAGAAGCCGATAGATCCACCATTGAAGATGAGATCTTCCAGATACAACGCCGACCCATTGTCCATGAAAATTCCCTGTGAGTGGTTAGCATCGGGTTATGGGACAAGAATGTATTATGGACCTACCATTTGCTGGTTGTCGTCACCTCCTTCGGTCATCTCGAATACAATATTCTGCAGCGATGTTCCTTGTGCGACTTGCCAATGCAAGCAATGCGCGGTACCAGGGGGGATCTGTCGAATGTCCAGAACAAGATTTCGAACCTGACGCCACATGTTGTTCTGTGAAGAAGACTTTTAGCATGTACCAAGAACGGAACATCATCGTGCTTACCTGATTGGCGTACCAACTATATCCATAGGCCAGGTAAGGATCGGCGTCAAGCAACGCGATGCCGTAAAAGTTTGGTAGACCCAAAATCACAGGTAAGTTGTTCGCATCACCAATAAATTGCGTGTAGTACAGCATAATCAGTGGCCGGCTGATGGCATAAGTACCAGGCGGGAAGTATACAATGGCCGGAGCAGTAGTCTGCGAGTCGCAGGGATAGGCACACCTATTGCCATCGTAGGTCGCATTGTTGATAGCATCAGTATCGTCCGTGATTCCGTCGCCTACAAAGTGTCAGCCAGGCTGTTCTGGAACAGGAACAAAGCAAACTGACCTTTTGCACCATAGTCCATGACGTTTCTCCACACAACGTATGAAGAGTTTGAGCCATACACGACCTTGCCTTGTCTGGTAATCTCAGACATCCAGTAGGGGGCTCCAGAGCCATAACGTTTCACATGATTCGTAGTATGGAGCGGAGCTTCATCTTTCGATTGGGCATTGACCTAAGTAGAGACATCAGTACAGGAAGTATCAAGATAGTGATGACAACCTACGAAATCTGATAAGAAAATGCACAGCAATAAAGCGACAGAGGCGAGCAGAGAGGGAAGTCGCATTCGCGCCATCATCTCTGTCAATGACGAGAACGGAGATACTTTCGAGGGCCAAAAGATGAAGCAAAGCCAGACATAGTCCGGGTAGCAGGGTAGGTGGAAGACGTGTGTTTACTATGCCAGTGCGCGTAGAGGAATGAGGATTCCTGCCGCAGGTACTCAATCGACCAAGCAAGGAAGCATGGCTTCCCAAGCAAATTCCTCGCAAGATTGGCCAAGAAGAATAGACCGACTAGTTCCTGGAAAGACCAAGTCTCTGTTCCTTGGTCCTCGCCTCATTTCGCGGGCCTAGAGAGGGATCGAAGAGCGAGTTACCAAAGGAATCAGGATTTCCACGCTGTTGCTTGGTCTTGTCCTGATCTTTTTGGAGTTTATGGGCATCATAGGCAACGATATCATCCTGAACAAGAGTGATTTTGGTGGGTTGTCTGCGAAGCATGCTGACGAGGTAGATGGAAGTGGTTGTTGGTTAGATTGGTCGAAAGATGGTGTGTAGGAGGCTTGAGATCTCTGTTAAGGAGTCTTTGAAATTGAGAATGAGATTGGATGCCAACGAACACGACGAAGAGATCAATTAGCAATGTTGTTGTTTCGGGGGTGTTGAAGGGCTCCGCACATATACGGAAACGCACAGACCAGATGCATGGCCAAGATTTGGGATGTCCATTGTCCATCATGCGGACAGCGACATTGAATTTCTGCTCTTAGCATAACCGCACATCAACATGTTCAAAAAGCAACCGCTGACGGCCGTGTCATGCGCAAGGCAAAGATGCCCTGTCAGCCTCCGCGTGCAGTCGGCGCGCTACCGCAGCGACCTCAATTGGGCTGACCGTCAGAGAGGCCAGGAAAAAGGCTCCAACACCTTGCGTACGCTCCAACACTGCTTCCAGTCACCGCATACTATGGCTGACCCTATATAGCGACCAACCCGGCTCCCGAACATACTTCCACACCACACAATCAACCCGCTACTGGTCGCTCACGGCAACAGCGCGCTGCTCAGGTCTCAGAGGAGGTCCGCATGCTGAACCGCGGCAGCACAGCCGCCACCGTTTCCGGCGGTAACAACAGTATCTATCCTACCACACGTTCCAAGGATGTCGACCCGGAAGCTGTCGGAGGATCCGGCCAGATGGGAGCCAACGACTCTGCAGCCCGCGAAAGTGGCCTCACCCAAAGCCCGGGTCGCCCCATTCGTGCAGGTAGAGCACGCGACGAGTCGAGATCAGAGCATTCTTCAGGTGTCGCCGTGCAAGGTGGTGCAGCAGTTTCGAGAAACTCAAAGGGACGCCAACAAGAGCTGGTCGAGGACGAGGAGGCACTAGACGAGGATGAGGGCAACGACGAAATGAGCCCCGACCCCATGGGCGAATCCACAGCCAACGAGCTCACTTTGCTCGAGCAATTCGACAAGCAAGAAGTCACAGCCGTATCTTTCGAGCCAGAGACAGTCTCTCGCGACGAGTACCTCAAGCTCGGCCAGGGTGGTGCCACTATCGCTGCCGGAAACTTTGCCGGTGTCATCGAAGATCGCATCAAGATTGTCGCCGAAGCCACACAGGACGACTTCCGCTACGCTCCTGACATTGCCAAACGCATGATCAAGGGCGAGCTTGTCTCGTTCAAGGACGAGCAGGAAAAGGCAGATGTCCTTGCAACGGTCAAGAAGGAAGGCTTTCAGTTTTCCGCTATCTCTTCTAGCAGTCAAGGTGTCATGTTCGACAAGTTCGTCCGCGGCGCATACCCGGATCCCAATGCCTTACCACACAAGAACAAGATCTTGAACGAGATCGCCCGCACAGTTTCGCGCAACTCCACATATCTGAACAAGGACTCGACCAAGCTTCTTAGAAAGATCGGTAGTCTTTTGCCCTCAGAGGCCGCTGCACGTAAGCCTGCCGCCGCACCCAAGAAGTGATCACTTGCTGGCTTGTATAATAGAAATGTATCTTCTTGTAACAATTTACGACTATCAAATTACTCGTTTGAACATTTACCAGTCCTCCTCGTCATTTTGTCTCATTGCTTTAGACCGTGCTCTGAGCGCTTCTGCCAATCCGCCAGCCAACCCGCCGGTCGGCGGAGTCGAGGTGCCACTGTCTGTACCACTGCCGCCACCACCCGGGGCAGAGGGTGCCGGTTTACGACCTGCGGGCCGCTTCGCTGGTGGGGGAGGTGCCATCTTCTTGCCTGCGGGTGCGCCATTGGCCTTGGGCGGCGCGGGAGGCATTGAGCGTGCCTGCACTGGTGGTGGGGGCGGAGGTGCGGGTTTGGCTATCACTTCTTCCAGATACGCCGATGGCGCCCATCCTGATGCCGACTCGTCCATTCGTTTTGCAAGCCACCATCCTAAATGTTCATTAGCGGCTACTCCTTGATTCGGTTCCAGTAACATACCATTGTTTTCCTTTTGAGTCACTAGAATGACCTCACCCTTGGTGAGGCTTAGCTCGCCAGCAGTCTGTCCAGCGAAGTCGTACATAGCCTTGAATTGTGGTTCTTTCGGCGTGGCAGCTGCAGGTGGTGGCGGCGGCGGCGGCGGAGGAGCTCGGGCTGTACCTGCCGAAGCCGTACGCGCATGACCAGTACCGTTTAGTGCGGCGACAGGTGCAGGGACTGGTTTCTGCTGCATAGCGGCCTGGGCAGCAGCTGCCGCCGCAGCGGGGGTGTTGACCGTCGTTGCAGGTAGGAGACCCGCTGGTAGTCCTTGATTTCCACTTGGCAAAGGTCGAGCCTGAGGCACAGGTCGAGATTGAGGTGCTGGACGTGCAGCAAGTTTTGACGGCTGGCCGCCAGGACCTCCAGGTCTGAGGAGTTTACCACTGGTGATAGGTTTACCGGGGATTGATTTGGCCTTTGGCGTTGGCTTAGACACCGAGTTGGGTGGCTCACCCGGCCCGACATGGACAGTACCACTCTTGTACAGATCATCGCGAGCCACAGTCTGATCTTTGACAACTTTGACGGTCGCAAGTTTACCAGGCTTCTTGTTGTAGCTTATTGTCTCAGCGATGCGGACATCAACGGTACCACGCGATACTTGCTTTAACATTGTGAAGAACTCGGTCTTGAAGATGCAGTTCACCAACGGGTCGGGCTCCTGAGGAGAACCGGCACCAATCGAGAACCAATCATCCTTGAGAGTAGACGCGCTGACAAACTTGATCGCACCAATGGCAATTGTACGCTCGGCCATGATCTGTAGCTGCTTGTTGAGGATAGCCTGCTTGACGAGATAGACATTTTTGTTGGTCAAGATTAGGAACCGGGGTTCTGGCTTGCTCGAGCGACCGAGCTTAGAAACGAGCAGCTCGCAACGACAAGAGAACAGCACTTGATCAGAGCTGGGCAGATTGATCGACTTTCTGATCATCTCTCCAGACCCACCATCGTTTCCAATGCCGAGATAGTCTCCCATGAATCTTCTGTAACCGATAAGAGAGTAACGTCTGCGTTCCTTGCGGCCTCCCAGTACCTGGTGGCCCTGGTCACGCAGCTGGATAAACTCCATACCACCAGTCTTGCGTCTCCAGAACCTCTGGATACGTGTCGCGCACTCAATTCTGTATCGAAGGTAGTTGCGCCAAGCTCGTTGGATTCTAATGGCCATATTGTGCCAATACCTGTCACGCATAGTCTCCAACGCGAACAAGGTCTCCGGGGTCTTGATGAAAGCCTTTGTGACACCCATCTGGTATTCCTCAACGGGGATACTGCTGTCTTTGAGAATCTGCTTGACGCCCGATTTGGCGTCGCCAGTCCAGGTGTAATCTCCAGCATAACTCGTCTTTGGTGAGAGAAGATAGAAGCGTTCCACAAACTTGTCAAATGTTTGTCTGTATGCGAAACCAGCGCGTCGAATACGGACGTTCTCCTGAAGACCCAGATACTTGATTTGATGCATGACGTTTCCAGTATTGTACTCGGTGGGTGACTTGTTCTCGTTTGGCTTGATCGTACGGATGTATGAGGGCGATGCCTTCATCAAAGTCGATACCAGATCGTTCGCAGAGGCCTTGATTCTGTCACCAGCGGTTGGTGGTCTGCGCTTGTTGTCTTGGTCAACTTGGTTAGGGAAAAGTGTATGTACAAAGTTGTTCGAACTCTGGCCACAGAGATTGAGAATGTCCTTTAACAGCTGATCCTTGTTCTTGTCTGTCATTCCCTCCACAGCATAAGCAACATCACCAGCATAGTGCTTGATGACGAATTGACCTTGTCGTGGCTGGAAATTGGGATTCGAGGACAAAGCGTTCAGACGCTGCACGAAGGTACCGTCGGCAGCTGTCGGATCAGCGTGAGCAGTAGCACAAGCATCGTTAAGAGCTGCAAAGACACCAGGAGGTCTCTTCTCCTCGATCAATTCGCACACTACTTTGTTGTCGAAGTACTTGATGGGCGTCCACGTAATTTGTTCTCGCTCATACTCTTCTTGCTCGGCCTTAAGAGTCAGCTGAATGAAAATTTGCTGCAGCTTCTCGTTGACATAGTTGATACAGAGTTGCTCAAAACTGTTTCGCTCGAAAATCTCGAATCCATAGATATCGAGGATACCGACTGAGTGCGAGATTGCGCCCTTGGCCCTTAGAGATTGATTGACTCTCTGCACGATCCAATCGAACAGGTTGTAGTATATACCCTTAGCGAGGGCGTCCCTGACAGAGGTCGCTTGTGCCGGGTTGAGGGGGACGTCATAGACCGATCCTCTTCGACCACCGCGGCTAGTCTCCATGACTCTGATGGTCAGAGCCTTGTTGACATGAGCAGAGTCCACTTCCAATAGATAGGCGACAAAGTCAACCACAGATTGGTCTGCAATCGCGGCGTTTCCTTGGTCGTCCTCGGAGAAAGTACAGTTTCCAAGCCAAAGAATGGCAGCGAGCATGCGGAAGATGTCGTCTTGCTCGGCTTGCGACAGACCAATGACCTTCATAGCGTTCAACGTGTCCTTGAATTCAGCGTGGTCGTCAATTCCTGGGACGTCGTAGCATTTGGACGCGCTGGTGTAAACATAGGACTGGGGCTGCTGAATACCGAAGGTCTGCCTGTAGTTCTCGGAGCAAGCCTTTGTGAACTGGTAAAAGATGTGGAAGTTTCTCTCGTTCATGATCTGCCCCACAACTCTTGACTTCTCCAGGAGGTAGTTTGTGATGTTGGCTCCAACGGGCTCACCCTGAGCATTGAATTGTATCTCCAGGTACTTTCCGAATCTCGAAGAGTTGTTGTTGCGAAGCGTTTTCGCATTGCCGAAAGACTCGAGGAGAGGATTTGTAGCCAGCACCATGTCTTTGGTCTCTTGAATGGACGAGTTGCTGCCACCGGACACGTTGGCGATGTATTGCATGATACGCTTGGCCGCCTCGGTCTTTCCAGCACCCGACTCTCCAGAAATGATGATACATTGGTTCTCTTTGTAGGCGTTCATGTTGTAGTATGAGGATTCGGCGATGGCGAAGACGTGGGGAGGGACCTGCGACACGTCAGCATTATATCTTAACCGCAGCGGAGAGACGCACTTCTAATCGGTTCTTGCCCTTGTAGCTATCGAGCACTTTGTCTGTGTAGATGCCAACTGTCGCAAACGAGTCAGCATTTTAGCGGAGCAGTCCATCGAGAAAGAGCTGCTTACGGTCTTTGAACGGATTAACCGACACCAATACATGGCCAATATACGTCTGTCCGACACTTCAGTCAGCATCGAGTTGGTCGGATGGGCCCAAGTTTGCGGCGCGCATACGTAGATCTCGCCATTCTCGAATCGCTTCTTCAGATTGTCGTTGATGGCTTCGTTGGAAATCTTGCTGATAAGCGTGAGATCCGACACTCCAACTTCCTTCTTCTTTGTCGACTCGAAGGCCGCCTTCTTGACCTGAGGCTTTCCGCCGCTAGCTCCAGGTTGCGCGGCGGCAGCATCCTTCTTCCTTCCGGCTCGTTTGGTGACGGCCTGCGATACACGGGTCAGTCAATTGGCGCAACGTGACGATACTCGCAGGCGACTCACCATAGTGGGCCCGATCTAATGGTGAGAACAGTCGAGACTCGGTTCGATATGGCGCAGGACCCTGCTTGTATTGGATTGTCAAGGTATCCAAGGGAGCAATAACGGAAGGTCAGACACAGTAAGTTGTGTAGGACTTCATGAAATGGTGGTAATCTGGCTAAGATTGGTGGCATCGAAGCCCAAAGTTGCTCCACGTCGACGACCCAAGCCGGTGCTCCACGGGCCGAGCACCAGCCACGATGCGTCATGGCGCGCCGTCTTGTGCCGACCAGATCGCTCACGCGATAGCGAACACCCACCTGCCTCATGCAGGGCAGATGGCCGATGCTTCCTTGGCTTGAGCCCCAGCGGCCGTTGTATAACACGCGTCTGCCGCTGAATATTCATTCCCAGCCCGTTTCCGTACTTGTACGCGCAATATCCTGCTGCTAAGCCATGCAGCTTTGTGGAAATCTTGTCACAGCTCCAGGCAACTACATTTCTTGCAGTTCGAACTTCGAGACAACGACTTGCCTCGTATTCTTTCAATGCTAGACAAAGATTCATGACAGTGCTCATAGGTATCCAACAAAAAAACGGCACAACAAACTGCTCTGCTAAACCCAGCCTCCTCGAAACGCCTCGCTATCATGCTCCCAAAAGTGCCATCGAAGGAACTAAACACAAAATGCAAACAGGATTCAACGTTATGATCTTACCTCGTCACCTCCAAGTCTGCCTACCGTCACCCAGTCAATCTTGCGAGCGTGTTCATTGACCCAAGAACCCTGCCACTGTAGACGTTGCTCCCCAACATCCGTACAGCCAAGCCCGCCTCCCTCAATCCACTGATCGAGTATCCGGAGCAGCAGGTGCATTTTTTGTTCTACCATGTTGGCTTGGACCATTTCAGCAAAGAGCTTCTGTCCACGTCCGGGCTGGGACCCGTAGAGCAACGCATGAATTGAATGCACCAAAGTTTGCCGGTCTCTAAGGAGCTTGGTTGGCAAGTCGTGTTTCTCTTCAATCGCGCGTACTCCTTCCACAGGCACAAGTGTTGCAGAAGTATGCAGTCCATCCGCGGAGAGAACGAATTTCGTGTGATCCGGGAAGTGAAGCTGTCGTTCGCGTAAGCACTCTCTCCTTTCGTAGCAAGTATTACGAGTAAAACGTACCTGTACGCAACCATCCGAGAACCCCCATATGCCGACATTGCCCGATCTTTGGTAAAATCGAACAAACAACAGATCTGACTCTGCATCTGGAGCTTCATCCGCACAGTCTGCGGCCTCAGTCCCGTTGAGCGTCTGGCTCATATATCTTCCAAACTTCACCCAGAGGACACGCAGCATTCGCAACCGCTCTCTTGTTTTCTCGTCCCTCGTGGCGAGATTGAGTCTTTCGAGTCCAGCAGCTCCATGGTCTTCAAACATCCTGAATGGCACGCGTTCTAAATGCTCGAAGCGCTTTCCTATACGCGCGAGCCAACGCTCTCCGTTCTTGACCGCCACATGGGTCACTGGTGTCCCACTTGCAGCAGACCCGTTGATGACACATCCGACGGTCCCATCGTCAAGGACATATCCAACTCCATGTTTCTTGCTGTAATCCACCCATCGACTAACGAATGGCAGTGGTCTCGATGGTTGTTGCGGAACTCGTCGAGAAGGCGCCAGGTGCTTTCTTTCTATCGCTGAGGCTAAATTGTCGCGGAATGCTTTGAGGCGCTCCAGTACTGCTGTCGGGTCAGATCCGGGGAAAGTCAAAGATGTATCAAGGTTTCTCCTCCGTGGCACAGGAAGTTTTGCGGTCATGGCTGGTGGCGGTGGGAGAGCCGGTCTTCCTAGGTTTTCTTGTTCGTCGAAGATTTCGACAATCTCCTGACTTGGTTGTTTCGATCTTGATCGGGAGCTTCTGATGGCGAACGTGTTAGGCGGCGCAATCTCCAAGTCATCACGTATGGCATCCGCGAGAGCTGGAATGTCGCGATCGGACGGAGTCTTTCGTGGTGCCCTTGGACGTCGTGCCAGACTAGCATCTACGCTACGTTTCGACGTCGGGATTATCTCGCCACTCTGAGGCTGTGAGGAGGATGGAAGGAAGTTTGTGCCACTGAATGCAGTTTGACTCAAAGTGTTAGTTTGACTGAGTGTGTTCAGTCGAGATGACTGACGAGTCGACTCGGGAGCACTTTCTTCCTTCTCATCAGTAATCGTGCGCGTCTTTCGAATAGGACCGGCTCGTCTGATACGCGGAGGAGGTGGCATGAGCTCAGTATCCTTCTTTTTCTTTGTCTCGTCTGCGCTGCTTTCCTTGGATCCCGGCTGGACTTCGTTATGGGATATTTCCTTGAGCTGCCTCGTGTCGGGTTCGCGCTCCTCTGCAATTCCTGTCAATGCGTTCCTGGGCTGGAAGGCATCAATACTGTTGCAATTTGGCGACGTATAAACCGTGTCTGATGGAATGGGAATAACTGGTTGACGACCTGCGGCAACCTCTCTCTCGATGTCCCTAACAATACTTCGAATTTTCTTGCCTGCGTTGAGCTGGAAGCACTTGCCTGGTGCATACTCGCCAACTCCAGACTCCTTGCAGACGTACCACCACGATTCGCTGTAGCCTCTCTCGAGCACTTCTGGACTCGGCGGTTGCACATTGGGCCATGAAGGAACTTTGCTGACTTGGGCGCGACTCATCTGTCTAGGAACGAAGGCGATTTTGAAGAAAGGATGAGACACAATCTGATCAGGAGAAGGTCGCAGTTCTTCCGAGACTAATAGAGACGAAACCAGATCGCGTAAGTCTGCGGAAATTTCGTTCGTGATTGAGGATAATTCGGGCCATGAATAATCGCCAGCTTTCAGTTTCTTGTATATTTCTTCCTTGGATGATGCGTGGAATGGAGCCCTTCCTACGGCAAGAGTGTATCTATTCTGGTTAGTCGGCCAAGCATGACACAGAGAAGGCACTACTCACGCGATGATTCCGATAGCCCACAGATCAACCTTCTCACTGTGACCCTTGCCCTTCTCCAGGATCTCCGGGGCCAGATAGTTTGGAGTGCCGCACATTGTGGTTCGTCGCTTGGCGTCCATATCTTTTCCACTGACAAGCAAGGCAGCGAGACCAAAGTCGCCAACCTTGATGTTCATCTTCTCATCCAGAAACAGATTTCCGGTTTTGAGGTCGCGGTGTACAATGTTGCGGGCGTGTAGATATTTGACAGCTCCGGAGACTTGAATGATAAAGCGACGGATTTCGGGCATAGTGATGTTTTTGCGACGCTTCAGCATGTCGGCAAGCGAACCGCTGGAGCAGAGTTCGAGGACGACATAGGTGCTCTCGCCAAAAGAGAAGGCGCGGTGAAAGGCTACAATGTTAGGATGGGACAGCTTGGAATGGATTTGCAATTCGGTAATGAACTAGAGAGCAGGCGTGGTCAGAACGAGGAAGCGCGTCACCGTGTGTCGAGAAGATGCGCACCTTTTGTGCTAGTTTCGCGGGCTCCATCCTCGACTTGACAATCTTCAGAGCGACCAGATGGCCGGTCGATTGGTCGCGCTCGAGACGTTCGGCCTTGAAGCAGATGGCAAAGCCGCCCTTGCCCAATTGATTCGAGGTGGCATAATTGATGCCATGTGGTTCCGAGACGATAGGCGGCGGAGGATCCGCGTGAACAGACATGGTTAGTATCTGCTGCGATTATGATGCTGGTGTTAGGCTGGGCGTGTCGTTGGAGAGAAGCACGCAGGCGCTTGCTTGCTTTGGCATGTTATTTTGTTTACCCACGCTTCCGGCACAGCAACCGACCCGGCTCAACACGCCGACCGCCGACCACCGACCGCCGACCGCCGACCAAGAAACCCGGCTGCGTCATTTTGGTGCCTGTTGTTGACTCCGCGACAATTGCTTGTTGCTGCCAAACACTTCATGCAGTCTTTCAATGTCGTTGACCTTCAAACTTGCCTCTCTGGTCATTCGTACCGTCGCCAAACCCATAGGAGTAAATATATCCCTGCATCCGTATATGAACAAAATCTGACCTCCAGGCAGAACCGAATCAAGCAATCCGCCAGAGAACATGACACCTTCCGTCGATACTGTGTGAGCTTTGCTCAGGGCCTCCATCGCATAGATATGCGTATGCGACTGGGAATCTTACACGATGCCGCCGCACAAGAACGTATGCACGCTCGAGAAGCCGCAGAGGCTGCCGCCAAAAAGAGACAGACCGAAACACCGACTGTCAGGACCGAAGCCCAGCAGAAAGCAGACGATATGGCTGCCGCAGATCTAAAAGATAAGGAGAGTAAAGCACCACCGAAACCCAGGATTCGCCCACTCTCAGAGTCAAGGGCCATTGAGCTAGGCGCGAACTTCCTCTCAGAGTCTTTCATCTTCGGCGTGGCCGTGGGCTTGCTCGTTTGGGACCAATGGCGTACGAGGAGGAAGGAGAACACGCGGAGAGAGGGTATTGATGACCGTTTGGAAGCATTGGAAGATCACACTCGCCAGATCGTTCAACTCCAATCGGAGGTGGATCGACTCAAGACGAAATACGAACCGCTCTCAAATCCTGCAGAACCCGGCAGCGTTATTGAGACGAAGCCTGCAACGATCGATACCGTCCAATCGCACGCTCCTACTAGGCAAGCAGACACGGCACCCGAAACAAAAATAGGCCCAGCAAAGGGAGCAATTGGTACCACTTCGCTGGCGGAGGAAAGCCAATAGACCACTGGTCCACCTTTATGTACATACCATCACACCTCTCAATATACCCTGTAAAGCACATATCCCAGCTCTATATAACAAAGTACAAGTATCGATTGGACATCGCCGATTTCACGTCCGACGGAACTGCAAGATGCCAATAAGATCCTAGGTCTGGAGCAAACGCGAAAATTATAGATGCACATGGATAATCAATCCATTTCGAAAATACTGACAAAGCACAGCGGCGCAAGCCCAAATATCCAAAACCTCCAACACCAAACATGTAAAAAAGAAAGAAGGAAATCTTCTCCGACGTCTACGCACGGGTCAACGAATCTAGAAGATAGAGTTGACAATGTTACCACCAATAGTAGCACCGGCACCAAAGATGGCAGCGTTTCCCAGCTGGGAGACAGTTAGCATCAAAATAGTACAGGAGGGAGCGAATCGTTACCTTCTTGCCAAACTTCTTGCCCATCTCCTCGCCCTTGGTAGGGACCTTGCCACTACCATCACCCTGTCCGCTGACCTCAAGAGGCATGTTGCCATAGTTTGTAGATTGTGGAGGAGCGTTCTCGACGACACGAACGTAGGAGCGAGGGAAGATGCCCTCTTGACCAGTGCGCGAAGAACGGCCCTTCCACCACTCAGCGTTCATGTATTCAGTGACGTTGATGTGATCATTGGGTTGCAGCTCGAGATCGCCAGCGTCTGTGCCACTGTATGCGTACAGAGCGGTGGCCTGAGCAAGCGGGGGCATCGATGGTGGGGGAGCAGCATAGGCCGGAGGAGGCGCAGGAGTCTGGGCTGGCGAAGGCTGGTAGAAGGAGTTTGGCTGCTTCTTCTCGTCATCTCTGTTGATGTTCAGGTTGGCCATGGGCGCAGCGGGGACGGCATTGTTGACGGGAACGGCGCCAGGCACGGCACCAACGGACAAGGGCGCATGCAGGGCAGTCTGGGCCGGGATCTGTGACAACAGCGACGACAGCTGCTGCGGTGTAATGACAGAAGCGTCACACAAGTATTCGAGTTCCTGTCGAAGCGTCAGTCAGCCGTTGCTTTGTTGCTTGCGCCTGCAGCCCTCTCCGCACCGCTTTGATGGTCCGGATCGACCGGTTGAGCTGAGCAATCTGCATTTCCTCGAATGGTGCCATGGCTGAGAGTTGACGAGCAGTAATTATCGCTTCTTCGACCGAGGGAAGGAGGGGGTTTAAGAAGACTCGCTGGTGGAATCGGGTCGCGCGTGGGCAGTGCTCTGATGTTTCACATGCACGCGGCCTGGCCAAGCCTCCAGCAACGTCATGTCGTGTTCGTATCCTCCACCTATAGTTACTATTTCCTCTTCATCTATCTACGAGTAGTCTGCCTACATCTTGTCTCTACTCTGAATGTTGTGCCATCATCTTTGCGATATGCGCATTCATACCGTGGAACGCCTTCTGCCTTTCCTGTTCCCATCCGTTGAATGAGCCCTCCGACATGCCCACCGGAATCTGGTCCTTGCCAGCTTCAAGTCCTGCCCATGTAGCCTCCGTGAAGTCCTTCAAAGGCATTCCGATTTGACCGCCGTTCTTGATGTCCGGCTGGTGCTTCTCGTCATGTAATTCGGTTTGCACGGCAGGAGGGAAGATCTCGATAACCTGGATATTGCCAGGTCCGTTCTTGAGCTGCTCTCGGAGCACCAGGATGAAGTGGTGCAGTGCTGCCTTGGAAGCGCAGTAGTTGGGACATCTGATCATGGGGACCTATACATCACTCAGTAAGCTACCTTGTACAACCTTCTTGATGCTCTATTGTGAGTGTGTTCAGATCCAACCCAATCCGTGACTGAAACGTGGAACACGTCTTCAGGTAAAGGCCTCTCACGCCTGAGTTCTACTCTGAGAAACTTACCAATGCTAGTCCAGATGTGGTGAAAACAAAGGAGGTCTGATTGCTTTGCTTTTGAAGGTATGGGGTAAAGGCAGTGACCAAGTGGATGTATGAGATGTAGTTGGTATTCATCTCTTCCGAGACTGAGCTGAGGTCAATGCTCTCTGGCTTCGAGAAGTCAAATCCTCTCTGAATGCCAGAGTTCAGGAAGATGCTGTCGATGTCCGGGTGAGACTCCATCAAATTTTTAACGAATTCTGGAATAGCGTCCAGCTTCGTGATGTCGAACTGTACGGCCTCAGCCTTCTCTTTGCCGTGCTGAGAGACGAACTCGTCCAGCCTCTCTTGTCTACGGCCTGTGACAATGACCGAAGTGCCATTTTGGACGAGCTTACTTGCAAGAGCCCAACCGATGCCAGAAGTGGCGCCTAGGACGAGAACTTTGTTGTAGTTAAAAGGCATTGTGTCGATGGGACTCGAAAGACGACAATTGGTAAAACTGAAGAATGATGATTTGGTCAGACTCATCGGCATTCGATTAAATACACGTCGCTGCCGTACGGTTACATCATACGAGCTCTAGACCGGAGATAGACATTCCATGTCCGAATGGGCCGAACTGCCGAAGTGAACGGTTTCTCTCCACGCATGCTAAACTCCGTCTCACTCGTAACGTTAGCTGTCCCAAGGCACAATACTTTCCAGACTTGCATCACTACTACCGAAATCATGTCGCTCTATCGACTCCCTGCGTCAAGTGCATTGGCATGAGACTTGTCTCTGTCTTTCTGCAGCTTGTCGTTACACTACTTGAATCATGGAGGAGTAGCAGCGACAAGGTTAGGACACTGAAAAGATAGAGCAACAAGCTGCCAAAGGTCATGGGTGGGACCAGGCGCTGGGACTCAATGGGACACAAGACTCGGCACGCATGATCATTCCAAGGGGTATTGTGCTCGAGGTCGTTGCCTGCGTGAGTACATGTTAAGCCATGCAATCGAGTGTCGACAGAGGGTTCCATCACCGACCTCACTGCGCTTCGGAGGTGGCTTTTGTCAAGTGAGCAGTGAAGGTAAGTTTACCCAGTCAAAAGATTCGTCGCCTCGTCGGTGACTCCGGGTATCCTCTTCAAATTCGCGCCCCCGTCACTAGTAAAACGAACCACCGTCGACCGACTCCGGACAACAATCCAATCAACTCCTGCCACCGTGTCTGCGCCTGTTGTTCCACACGCGCAGTGCTTTTGTTGTGCGTCTGTCCTGAATGTATTGATCATTCAATCTATTTCTCCGCATCATCATTTGTCTCACGCAGGTGTCCGTCATGATCGAGTACAAGATGAGGAATGTCTGTTCTCCTACCTCTACAGAGCAGTCTAAACAGGCGGTCAGCTTCGAGCGAGAGATATTGGGAGAATCTATAGAGCTGGGTGAACTATCCATCGGTTCGCACGATGCAACTCCACCACTAGCCATGTCAAAGGCTCGCACACTCGCCTTGGTGCTTACACTTACCGGAGTATGTTAACTTGATGTGTTTTGAACTTGCAACACTTGTTAACTCAACACTGAATTAGGCGGCTTTTCTCAACACTCTTACGATACAGGCTGTGGTCATCGTACTTCCAACCATCGGCAGAACGCTCGATATACCAGCGGCCAGACAACAATGGATTGTTTCAGCATACTCTCTGTCGTTTGGCTGCTTCCTGTTGCTATGGGGTCGACTGGCTGACATCTATGGCAAAAAACCTATCTTTGTCCTGGGCACACTTTGGGTTGCCATCCTCACGTTGGTGAACCCGTTCATGACCAATGAGATTGCCTTTGATCTACTTCGAGGACTCCAAGGTGTCGGCGGAGCGGGCAATGTCCCAACCGCTTTTGGCATCTTGTCTGCTACCTTTCCTGAGGGCAAGGCTAGAAATCGCGCCTTCTCTTTCTATGCTTCGGGCGCTCCTATGGGTAGTATCATGGGCAATCTTTTGGGTGGTGTCGTCCTAAAATACGCTAAGGACTGGCGCTGGGTGTTCTGGGTCCTTTCCATCATGGCTTTTGCGGTCGCCATAGCTGGTTATATCGTCATCCCTCAGCCACCGCCGCGACCGCGCTCGGAACTGAAGAATGCCGTCGACTGGATCGGGGCCTTCCTGGTGACAGTCGGTGTATTGATACTGTTTTTTGCCTTGACTCAAGGCAACGTCGTGGGATGGAGAAAGCCTTACATCCTTGTCCTTATGGTACTATCGATTGCATGCATAGTCATCTTCGTCTTCTGGCAGCTGTACCTTGAGAAACGAACGGGACGTCAACCCCTGATCAAAGTCAGTCTGTTCAAGCGCCTCCGCGTCTCTGCCGCCATGTTGGCCATGACTGTCTTCTTCTCAGCCTTCAACAACTACTTGATCTTCTCAACCTATTTTTACCAGGAGTACCTCGGACTCGACGCTATACATACCACGCTGCGCTTCATCCCGACAGGAGTCGTCGGAATAATCACGATACTTGCAACCTCACAGCTCTTACACGGGGTGCCAGTCAACTACTTGCTTTTGTGGGGAATGCCATGCGTGATGCTGGCTAATTTGTAAGTTTGCATTGCTCTCATCACACTCGTTACGATATGCTAACTTTACAAGACTCATGGCTGTTCCGATCCCACCGACAACGACGTATTGGGCGTATGGCTTTCCTGCCATGTGTCTGGCCGTGTTAGGAGCAGATACTTTGTTCCCGTCACTGCTCCTCCTCGTCGCGCAGTACATGGCCCCCGAGGATCAAGCACTCGGCGGCGGCCTCATCAACGCGGTAGGTCAGATCGGACGAGCTGTTGGTCTGGCTATCAGTACAGCGGTCCAGGTCGCTGTACAGAGCAGGCAAGAGAGGACGGAATTGTATGGCGATAAAGCCAACGTTGGGAATCATGCATATCTGCATGGTCTGCACGCAGCTCAATGGCTCAGTGTAGGCTTTGCAGCTACCGGGTTTCTGATTGTCGCGTTCGCTTTCAGGGGTGCAGGAGTGATTGGATCATCGAAGGGCTCATAAGGAGCTCAATAGGTGGCGGGACAAGGTTACCACAACCATCGGGCCGTTCATGCACCACGCTTTCACCTCACGTTTCAGATTACTTCCTCAGCTCGTGAAGTGCATGGTGACAAGTTCGAGCAAGGTTCAGATGGAAGTTTCAGAAGCTTCTGGCATCAATCTGATGTGCTTCTCGGGGCGGCTGATGCGCCCTCGACCCTTCTTTTCACTTTGCTTGTCCTTCGTATTGGGCTTAAAGCCGAGGAGGTCGTCAAAACAGAAAAGACACAAGAGTGTCGGCGCAAGCCATGTCATGCACGCCAATGGGAGTACCGCCTCCTCGGAAGGGAGGCTCTGTTGAACCTTTTTGGGTTTGAGCTGACGACTCGCTGCGCAAGCCACAAGGTCATGGTGTGACGGAATAGCGACGCATCTAGCGGGTTCTAGGCAGGACAAGTGACCTGCCAATTGCATGAGTTTCCGCCCCTCCCACGAAACCGACGAGCTTGGTTGCGTGGAAGGAAAGACGAGGGTGGCCGACAGGGGTGCAACACACGTGGCCTCGGTGCCCCTCCATCTAATGGGAAGACTCCGCACTTTCTCTTTACGATACTTGATGTCACTTCCAAAGAGAGAGGAGCAAGAGAATCAAGTGTTTCTGAAGAGTACCGACGAATACAAGTGAGTACAAACAAATCTTGGCGCTACACGTCAAGAGCTGCACCTAGAAAGGCAGTCAGCACTGAAGGTGCCGTTCCTTGCACAAAGTTCCACCGCCTGACCGAAGCCAACCTCGGAGCAGCAACCGCTCGACTGGAGTGTTTCTGCTTCAGATAGAAACCCTATTGCATACGCATGCTTACTACATGTATCCTGCAACTCTGTGCAATTTGAGCAGCGTGGTCGCGCGACTGCAAGAAAATTTCTGCAAGGTGCATGTAGCTCCCAGCTCCCATGTAGTACCTCCCGCGATACGTGAAAGCTAAATCACGTTTCAGAAAGTTCATCAACCGACTTGACCCAGAGGTCCCATGGGTATCGTGCATCTTGAACCGCTGAATTCCGCTCGTCAGATGCCTAGAATTTAGTTTCTTAGCCAGGGCCTCAGCTCCTGTTTCTCGAACCGCAGCCTGCTGCCCTTTGTTGACCGTTGTCAAGAGCAAAGCAGCTGCGCCTCGATACCATCGCTCAGTGCTGGGATATGCGCGTACACCAAGCGGAAAGTTATGGTATCAGTCGACACGCAGCGAGCTACGCTGTGCAGCGCGGTTCGCTTGATCCCTTCAGTGGTAGCGATATATTGGTTTTTGTGATCGTGAGCCAATCACGCTCATCAGACACATACAGCTTCAGACTGGGATACCTCTCTCAGTCTTCCACAGCTCAAAGGCCAGGGTGGGAGTGCGCTTGATGACACTGAAGACGTCCTGGGTACTGGCGAGCTGGGGATGACTTCTGAAAGCTTGAAGAACGACATCCCGGAGTCCACGATCGTTGTCAATGGTCGAGCAGTAGACTTCCTCAATGGTATCGGCGAACTCTGGTGAGTCGTAATAACAAGCCATGGCCATCTCGAATTTGCTTTTTGCGAGAATCTTCAAAGCGGGTATATCGTACTTCTCGGCCAATGCATAGACGCGGGTGTGTATGAGGAGATTCGAGTCATCAGTCTCGTACTCGCAATCCTCATCCTCTTCAGAGTCGCAATCAGAACCAGAGTTTGGAGTGGTGCCTGCACTGGTACCGCGAAGTCCTGTTTTGCCTTTGGGGCTTGTTCCACGCGGCGAATGGGTGACGCTCGAGTCATGTCTGGGATGAGAAAGAGGGTCGACACTTTCTGTCGGCGTGACTGGCGTGAGTGGGGCGCAGGCGGCCGCTTGAGCAAAAAGGGGGTCGACAATTTGTGACAGATCGAGCTTTTGGGATCGTTGCCTGAGGGCTTCCTGCGCACGATGACGGAAGACAGGAGAAACTGGCTCCTCCTCATCCTCGGGGATCAGGTAGTCTAAGTAGTAGAAGTCTAAACCGTTAGCCGGATGATCGAGGGATGCCAAAAACAATCAGGGTAGTGTGGATGTCAAGGCTCTTAGGAAGAAATCGCCAACATTGAGGTCTAGTCCGGACCATCCGGGTGGGCAAGGACTTACAGTGGATCATGTGCTCGACCGCGTCTCCATCTTCCTCACTTAGATCAATCACCCCTGTTTGGGCTTCCCGAAATTGGTTGCTGCATGCTCCATCGAAAAATCCAGAGCGTGAGCAGAGTATGGCACGGTGAACGTTGTATTCTCTTGAGTTACATCTGATGGTTAGATCAGAGTATTTTCCGCCCAAGTGAAGCCTAGTTTAAGTTAGTGATCAGGACGAGAAAGTTGGCCATAATGGTGGCTCACGTAGAGAGAGCAGACATCAACTCCTTCCTAGGAGATTCCATGACGGACGGCAGACGATCTTCGGGGTATGAGGCGGAGAGCCGATGGTGCAGCGTATTTTTTAAGGTTATTTGACAATGGAGAATTCTTTCAGGGGAACGTAGATCCTTGATGTTGAGATTGAGTCGAGACAAATCCGTTGATAGCAAAAAAGGTCCTTGGGAGCAATGGTAGAGGTGTCGTGTGGATAAATAGTAGAGATACTGCTCGAGGGGAGGCTGTGACATAAGTAAGCTCAGACCAAACCCAGCAGTACTTAATTCAACCCGTGACCCTGACAAAAACGATCGGCCGCCCTGGGCACTGACGCGTACCAAAGGACTCCGCCGAGTCGCCGTGTGTCGGCCATGGTGGAAGTTCTCATTGCCGACCTACGTCAAAGTGTTTAGGCTGCGTGATTGCATCAACCTATGATCGCGGACACCAACGATTGCTTGGGCGGCGTTCCCCACAGTGGTCAAAGTTCCAGGCGCTGGTACTTGCGGCACTCCCGTGTGGCAGTGAAGATGGTGCCAACACGATGGCTTCCGGCTTGGAAGTAAAGTCTGAAGAAGGGTTGTTGTGATTGTGATTGTGATTGAGAAGCGATCATATTGAGTGGGATACAAGTCGTTTTAACACTGCGGACCAGAGCTGAGCGAATTCTAGATCACTGCCTCGGGGGTTGGTCAGTACGGTACACACAAAAGTGACTTTCGGCGAGTCCTTCATGCTTCGGCAGCTCGCATACGCGTTGGCCGACTTTATGTTTTGTATTGTGTGCGTGAGCTTGAACATGCTCGGCCTCTATATGATAGGCTGGAGTATGAGCGACTAAAATCTGCTGGCGCCCACCTGCTTCCCACCTACATGTCTAGCACAAGCTCCTGTGGCTTGACAAGGCTAATCAGGCGAAGATACTTGACAACATCTACGATCCGGTTCATTCGCCTTCAACTCAACATCCTGTATGAGGATAAGTGAGTGTATCTTTGGACCTACTTGTCTCATGCAGACAAGGAAGCGTCTCGTAGGTCTAGACACCTCGTGTGCCGAACGTCGGAGGTCGAATGGGTATAAGAGTTCGCACTTGCTGCGGTGTGGAAAGCACGATCTTCACGCAGAAGCGGTCGAGAAGACCAAAAGCTGGCGATGCAGGGTCTGCTCGAGTCGCGTGCCAGCGGCAGGGCTTCTGCACGTGGACAGTTTGAGCCGTGGCAGTCATGTTTTGCCCATCCAAGATCGATGCCAGTGTTTACTGACCACTCGAATGCCTTCTTGGTGTGAGTGCTGAACCGTGCACATGATGGATGCAAGAGCCTCAAACTCTGGAATGGAGAATCTGGGGCAGCGCGTCTTCAGCCCAAGATGCAAACGCTTGTTGCTCGGACCCTAGCTTACGACCAGCCTCACGCCGTCTAAGTATGCTGGATGGTCTTTTACTGCTCGTGGTGGTAGGTCACGAACGTTTCCTCGGGAACGTCTCCGCCGCACCTGGTCGAGATATTGAGGCTTCTCAAATTCAAGATGGCTGGAGACTGACGCGCTTCAAAAGAAGAAGATGGTGCCTCATTTCAGTGGTAGTCTCATGCCTCAATCAGCAACTCGATTTGCCCACAGATACCGATACTCGCACCGACATGCGACATGCAACATGCGTACCCGTTGTATCAGTCTGTCTAAACTTCGACTTACTCTGTGGACCTAAGGCCTTCCGAATGCCGCTTGACCTTAGACGTTGCCATGTCGGACCTTTGGAAATTGTGAGGGCTCCCATGGCAGATTAAGTTGTACTCGAAGCTTCTCGAACAGGCAAAGGTTGGTGCGACGAGGAAACACCAAAGAGGGTCGCTAGAGACAAGAGGCGCCAAGATGACAACAAATGTGTGTTTGGAAAGGAGAAGTCCGAAGATTTCCTCCTCACCAATCTCCGAAAGGACAAGTGACGTACAAGCATTTCTCAAGGGGCGGTAAACCGAGTAATTAGCTGTGATCTAAGTCTTTGAGCCTCGACCCAATGAGGTACGAAACATGTCGGAACGTCAAGTCTCCTGTCATGCCTGCAAGTCGCACAGGTGCTATAAATTCGGCAGAGGATAAAGGCGATGTCCGACAGTCTCGTAGCAGCAGTTTCAGAATGTTGACGGGTCGGTGGAACACTGCGTGAGCGTTCTGGAGCACCGATGATGCAGTGAATTGTTCCAGAAGATGCGGCCGAGATAGCAAAACAAACTCACAGACAAAACCGCGATTGACAGGCGCGCTCTTCACGAGAGAAAGCTGGGAGATCTGATAATTCCTTGTGCTGTCTCTGAATATTGCAGCAGTGTTGCACCATGGCCGATTGATTGCGCCGCAGGATACTGTGACAAAGGGCAGGGTCGGCTAGATAGAATGGAAGTATCAAGCTGGTGACATGTGATGACGCAAGCGAGCACGGTGACGATCAATCACCGACATGGACATGGACATGGACATGAGCATTCACACACAACAAGCCGTCTCCTATTCTGGTCTCAACTCGAGGTGATTTTGACCACGACTCACAGTCTACAACACAACCACCATCACTGCCCGACTATTGGCCCAATCGCACATCAGACATCATGGCCGACGTGTTTAAGCTATCGGCGTCTCTCAAAGGGCACGAAGACGACGTAACTAAGTGGCACGACTAGACCACAGAGCCCAAGCGCTGACTGTCAACTGCTCCCAGGTCCGCGCCGTCCTCTCTCCTTCGGCTCGCTGTGTCTTCTCGGCCTCGCGTGATGGCACCGTCCGACAATGGCTTTTGACCTCGTCCGACCCGCCCACCTACGACGACACAATAGCTGTCCAAGCTACCTCGTTTGTCAACTCGCTGACATACGCCGCTCCCTCCTCGAATCACTCCGACGGTCTCTTGGTCTCTGCCGGAAAAGACACAATCATCGATGTCCGCCACCCTTTCCAGAGTCCAGATTCGGATCCCGAACGCTTACTCATCGGTCATGCCAACAATGTCTGCGCTCTCGACGCTGCCTCCGACGGCGATACTCTGGTCAGCGGCGGATGGGACACGCAAGCAAGAGTTTGGTCCATCAACAAGGGCGAGTGTGTCGCAGAGCTGAAGGGACATGACGCCGCCGTCTGGGCTGTCATGATCTACGACGACAAGACCGTCATCACAGGCTGTGCCGACAAGACGATCCGTATCTTCTCTCTCGGCGGCAAGCTTCTTCAAAAAATCCCTGGCCTGCCCGATGTCGTCCGCGCCCTCTGCAAATTGCCCGCTGGCCACCCCTCCGGCGCCGCTTTTGCTTCGGCAGGAAACGATCAAGTCATTAGACTCTGGACTCTGGATGGTGTCGAGGTTGCACAACTTCATGGACATACTTCCTTCATCTACGCTCTTGCCGTCCTCTCCAACGGCGATCTGGTCAGTTCCGGTGAAGACAGGACTGTAAGGGTGTGGAAGGGCACCGAGTGCGTTCAGACCATCACACATCCTGCAATCTCCGTTTGGGCAGTATCTGTGTGTCCTGAGACCGATGACATCGTTACTGGCGCCAGCGATAAGATGATCAGAATCTTCAGCAGAGACCCCAGCCGTCATGCAAACCCCGAGGTACGTTGTTTGCACTTTGCCCAAGCCCTAGTCTAATTAGCGTTGCAGACAATACGCGCTTTCGATGAGAGCGTCAGTTCATCCTCGATACCGCAGCAGACCGCTGGTGAAGGCCAGCAGATCAACAAGGAACAACTTCCAAGCTCAGGTTTGTTCGCGCGAGACCTCAACTTTAGGGGTGTGCCACTAACTGATAGGAAGAATTTCTGCAACAGAAGTCCGGCACCAAGGAGGGCCAGGTGCAGATGATCAGAGAAGACGATGGTAGTGTGACTGCTCATACCTGGTCATCGGCTGCTCAGCAATGGATCAATGTAAGTTGTCCACGAGACTTGCCAATCTAGCGTACTGACACCACTTCAAAGGTTGGTACCGTGGTCGATGCTGCTGCGAGTAGCGGGCGTAAGGTGACGTACGAAGGCAAAGACTATGACTTTGTCTTCGATGTCGACATCACCGATGGTGCTCCTCCCTTGAAGCTACCCTACAACATCGGTCAAAACCCGTACGACGTTGCGAGCAGGTTTATCGCAAACAACGAGTTACCCATGACCTATCTGGACCAAGTAGCCAACTTCATCACCACAAATACACAAGGAGCAACACTAGGCTCGTCCGCTCAACAACAAACCCAGGCACCCGGGGCCGACCCATGGGGTAGTGAAAATCGCTATCGTCCTGGCGAGGCCGGTGCTCCTCAGCCGTCTGGAGATGCACGCCCGCGCTCTTTACCTCAAACACAATACCTTTCAATCACTACGGCAAATCTGTCTGCGATTCGCAAGAAGATCGGCGAGCTCAACGACACCATGTCATCTGATTTGGCACTATCATCAGACGAACTAAAAGCTTTGGACAACCTGGTGAAACAACTGCAGACCAGCCCCAAGGACCCCAAACCTCAGGCAGATCAACTATCTGCAGTACTCAAAGTCGCCACTACATGGCCGTCAGCAAATCGCCTTCCCGGCATTGACCTCCTCCGGCTCTCTGCTGTGGCGCCTAGCTTCGCAATGCACACAAGCGGCGAAGACGGCACAATCGTAGATACTCTCTGCAAGAGTGGTGTCTTTGCAGTAGACACCGACAAACCAAACAACGCTATGTTGGCGATCCGTGTCCTTGCAAACCTTTTCATGACCGAAGAAGGTAGACTGGTCACCGATGGCTGCTTCGAAGAGATTGTGTCGTCGACTCAACCATTCGCCAGTACTTCTAACAAAAACCTGGCAACGGCGATTGCGACATTGTACATTAATTATGCAGTGTTACTGACCTCGGGTGCACCTGCAACGGAATCCAAGTCAAGGGAACAGCGCGCGGCCGCCATCATCAATGCATCCCTGAACATTATCAAGCCCGATGGCGACAGCGAGGCTGTATACAGAGCACTTGTCGCCGTGGGCACACTCATGTCACTAGGTAATGAGTTCAGAAAGGAAGCTGCACAGGCAAAGGACATGGGCGGTCTTCTGCAAGGCATCGAAAGGAGTGCTTTGGGCCAGGAAAACAGAATCAAGGCCGTGACCAATGAGATGAGGGATCAGCTGAAATGATTGCAGAAGCACAAAAGCATGAGATGCATAACGAAAGCTATCGACTATAGATGAGCAAAATTAGAGCATGCGAGCAATTCCTTGATAGCTACGGGAACTTCTACCCTTAATTACGATCGTGCTTCTACTCAACGGCCCAGTCTTCAATCCAAAAGTCTGTCATACTATCCACGACGTCCTTGTTCAGCTGCTCCGCAAGTATATTGAAAGCTCTGTCGTTGCCCTGTAGGGTGTCGTCAGATGGAACGATGACCGCTGAGCTGGTCTTGGGTGTATCTCTCCGACGAGCGAGTGCAGCCTGGGCGACATGACTGAGCGAAGGCAGGACATCGGAGGTCAAATTCACAGCCAGAGAAGAGAGCGGTAGGTCAGGTGTACAGTGAGCTAACATATCCAAGGGACGGACTGCAGATGACGGCTTGGGCCTGGGTCGGCTGATCGATAGCGCGTGTGTCTTGACGAGGTCGGCAATGTTCTCCAGCTTTGCAAGAGGAAGAATTGGGACCCATGCGAGCTCTGTGTTTGTCATAATTTCTGCCTGCAGTCGTGTGTAACTACGCAGTCCCTCTATCTCGTCTCCGTGTGGTCCGCTCAAGAGGTCTTTTGCTGAAGAGAAGGGTTTGGATGCTGAAAGCGAGAGGATGATTGCGATGTCCAGACCGCCGGTAAGGGCGACAAAGTGTTGGATTCGTGCAAGTGTGGCCGGCAGTTGTTCATCTGACAAGTTGTTTGGAGACAACAAAAGCAGTCGTAGTGTGCGGTTTGATTTTTGAATACTCTTCGGAAAATCCGAAAGGGGGACTGCAATGTCATGGTTTTCGAGCAATGATTCTGGACAGATCAACTGTCAGAGGGGTTATTGATTCTTTCGTGATGTTTTAATCACCTTTGACCCCAAGTCCAGATGGCACAATCGACGAGGAGATAATTGAGGCAAAGGATGAGCGACGACGGAGCGTTGTACAGAACATGACCGATCGCGTGAATACATTAGTACACGTATAGCGGGCATCTTGAGAACAAAAAACGTAGGTCGATTCTCGCAATCTCTTATTGCAAAACGAGGAAGCAACATCGTTCTTGCCTCCAGACAGTCTCAATCGTCTGTGAGCACTACTACGTGAAGCTCCTTCTGTATCCGTCCAGGAACAGCTTGACAAGTACCCGTCAGTGGCTCTTTCTTAGCAACACTCAGGTCTCGCCGAGCGTCGTCATGAGGCCACATACCCGAGAAGATAGCAATCTCGCTTGAGGTGGAGCTAGAAGGATTACCCGCTGGAGCCCGAGTCTGGTAGAGCTCTAGGAAGAGGTGGAAGGCATCCGACAAGTGATTCACGTAACCTACCGAGCCGAAGTACTTTTTAGTCAAACATACCCTAAGGGTACTTTGTATACGAAGCTATTCGATGTGTCAAAGGTGATTGTCGATACTAGTCATGTTAGCATCGTCAGGTTTGCTTATCGCAAACAAGCTTCCTCATCTGTGGGGTATCTTCCCTTTCTGGAAGGCAGTTAACTTGTATCATGCAAGGAACGCCAAATGATCTGTCCACCAAGCTGTAGGATGCCATCATCACATTATTCTGTTAAGCGATCATTTGTATGGTAAGGATCACTGTCGATCCCCAAGCGATCCGGCGGTGCAAGTCGTATCCGTCTGTTTGCTTTTCTTCCCACGACTATATAAGTAGAGCCGTTGTCCTCTGAACTTGTAGAGCGACCCATCCGAACTACCCTAACGCGACAATGAAGATCTCTGTGGTTTCTACACTACTTCTGGCCGCTGGTGCCATCGCTGGCCGTAGCGCACAGCATGTCAACAAGAAGCTGCCCGAGCGTATGCGCTCTGAACCCGCTGGCCTGCCTGGTGTAGGTCTGGACAAAAGGACCACCACGAAGAAGAAGCAATACATTATTCCTCAGAACCAAAACACCACAAGTATGTATCAAGCCACGCAACTGTGCTACCGAACAGCCAATTCAATCTTTGCGGGGCACCCAAGCAATCACAGTCAGACAGAATATACATTTACTGACCGACTGTAGAGTATGCTGTTAACGGCACTAACATCCCTGACGTCAACTTTGACATTGGTAATTAACCCATCATAAAACTTCCATCACGGCTCTGACAAACATCCTAGGTGAGAGCTATGCTGGTCTGATGCCTATCTCTTCCCAGCAGAACGCTAGCGAGCTGTACTTCTGGTTCTTCCCCTCAGAGAACTCGCATGCCGGCGATGAGATTCTGATTTGGCTTAACGGAGGTCCCGGATGCAGCAGTCTCGAGGGATTACTACAAGAGAATGGTCCCTTCCTATGGCAATACGGAACGAGGAGTCCCGTTAAGAACAACTACAACTGGAACAACCTTACCAACGTGGTATGTGTGAAGTAAAAGAGCTGGAGATTGCGAGTTGGTGGTTTTGGGTGCCGCTTTCCCTTATCGCATTTCGTCCAGCTTGGCTTACAATGTCATGTACATACTCTCTGCTCTAGAATAATGCTAACCGCACTCTCTCCCTACAGATCTGGGTCGAGCAACCGGCTGGCACAGGCTTCAGCAGCAAAGGCAGCACACCCTCTGCAACGAACGAGGAGGAGGTTGCAGAACAATTCGCTGGATTCTGGAAGCAATTCATTGAGACTTTCGGTCTACAGCACAAGAAAGTCTACGTTACTGGTGAAAGTTATGCTGGTTTCTATGTCCCGGTGAGTACTCCACACCCGCAGCTCACATGCTGGGGGAATTGATCGTCAAGGACGAATAGTTTCTTCACCACTCGAAGGCAATTCGCTAACTCTCCTCTTACCTCAGTACATCGCCGACAACTTCATCCAGAAGAACGACTCTGCGCTCTACGATGTTCATGGTATCATGATCTACGACCCCTCGATCTCATACGATGTCGTGCTTCAAGACATCCCAGCCACACCGTTTGTTGAATATTGGGGTCCGCTCTTCAACCTGAACCAAACATTTATGGACGACATTCGCAACCGCTCCGATGCTTGTGGCTACACTTCATTCATGGAGGAGGCCCTCACTTTCCCGCCCAAGGGTCTGCTCCCTTCTCCTCCCAACGCAGACTACAGCATGCCTGGCTGTGAGCTCTGGAACGATATCTTCAGCGCTGTCAGCCTCGTCAACCCTTGCTTCGATATTTACCAGGTTGCCACTACTTGCCCTCTACTCTGGGATGTCCTCGGTTTCCCTGGTAGCTTCGACTATCTGCCTGAAGGTGCTGAGATCTACTTCAACCGTACGGATGTGCAAAAGGCCATCAACGCACCTGTTCAGGAGTGGGAGGAGTGCACTGGCGGTATCCTGCGCGAAGATACTAGCGAATACACTAGTCTGAGCGTCCTTCCCAAAGTCATTGAACACACCAACAACGTCATCATTGGCCAGGGCATGCTTGACTATATTATCTCCTACAATGGAACTCTCATGGCTATCCAGAACATGACCTACAACGGAGCTCAAGGATTCAGCAAGGGCCCTCATACCTGGAATGAGTTCTTCGTTCCTTACCATTCAGAACTGAACCTAGGTGACCTCGCCGGCTCCGGTGTCCAAGGTGCTTACCACACCGAACGTGGTCTGACCTTTGTCACCGTCCAGCTGTCTGGCCACATGATCCCTCAGTACGCTCCCAGCGCTGCTTACCGCATGGTCGAGAAGCTCCTCGGAAGAACGAAGACCCTTGGTACGAAGAGCAACTTCAGCACCCAAAAGGGCAACTTCGGCAACTCTTTCAACTTTGTCACCGCCAACGTTACTACCAACTGAATGAAGTATATTAGCGGAGCCGGCCGTGTACGAACTCCCTGTATTGGGTTTGTTAAAGTGAGACAATGATTGTGCCTTGCTACGGTTTGATCTTGCTCTCACTTAGACTCTTGGAAGAGAGTAGAAGGAGTGATAGAGTGTCTAGAACACAAATCGGATCTATAATAAAATGAGGAATAATTATGTAGAACCTTCAAACTGCAATCGCTCTCACCATCCCGTGCAGTAGTGTGTACTACTCATTTTCTTGTAGATTACGTCTTCGATGCCAAAGGATGTTTCTACCAGCCAGGTGCGAGAAGCAGTTGCATATGCCTAATAGTCACTCAAAATGGTCCAACATGACGGCTCTTCTACACTCACTCTTCCACAGCAAGTTCGGTGGGGCACAGCGAATCTCTGTAAAAGCCACGACTTGCCGGTGGTGATATCTCCTCGACGACCACTTCAATTCCTTGCACACGTACCTTGATCTGCAGCAAATTCTCAGAGCTATTTACTTGTTCCCATTACATGTTCGAAAGATTGCTCAAGGAGATAAATTATCATGATCGATCACCCTAACACAATCGTCCGTTTTGCGGACCACAAACTCGCGGCTTCTGGCTCATCAGGCACTGGTCAACACAGCTCTTTGACTGTGATGCCATGCAAAGCAGTTTGGAAGAGCAGTCGGATGACTGACGAAGTGATGGTCAGACACAGATCATGTGGAACTCGAGAGAACGACAGATATTAGGTCCTCTTACATACCTTATGCAATGCGCTGGATCTCGAGCTTGTTGATGGCGTGTTCTAGTCAAGAAAGGCAGACTCTGATCAACAAGGGACCGCCAGTGTGCTTCTGTCGCGAGCCCAATCAATCGATCGAGTGACTACTATCAGAGTCGCAAGAGGCTTTTGGTTCGTATTTCTTATACTCTTTCTGGTCATGCACGTATGCTGAATCACTGCATGGCTGAGCAGCCGAGGACCAGAACAATTTGTAGATCTGCTGTGAAGGTTTTGCAGTCATGCTCCTTTACGCACTTCGTAGTCAGGCCTGTTGTTTTTGAAACGGCTCAGCACGACCGTCCTCTGGCCTCAAGCAGGGAGACAGTGCGATATTCTAGAAATTAAAGCACCTCCATTATTTCCAATGCTCTGAGTCTGGACGAGGGAGAAGTCGACTCTGCCTTCTTGCATGCATGCTTTGGCCAGGACCAGTAGCCTGATTGAGCTAGCTCGGTACGACGGTCACGGGACCTTGAGATGGCGAGATACCGCCGGAGCCTTGCAATTCTTCATCTTGGCTCCTATTTACCGCGTGCGTGGTTCTCACAGTCTGCGTCGGGTAATATCTGTGGTACTGCCGTAGTTTCTGGAAAGGTTAGAGTGCCTCGCTTGAGACGACACGCCTCTCGATGAGATCGTCGAGGGGCTCACCCTGACTAATGGGAGATGACCACAGGTCTATCTATCTGTTCAGGGTGATATGCACAAGCAGTGTGCCTGTACCGCTGTTGTGGTAAGTGGTGCCCTGACGCGGTGTTAATGAGACAATCGGAATAGAGGCATTCGTTTAAGTGGACGCGGTCCGCGAGTATTAGTACAGCAGGTTTGGGACTCTGGCACAGACGGGTGTTATCTGCTTTACCCACGAATGGACGAGTTCAGATCAGGCTCCAAAATATTATAGATTATAGACACAAGTGCTGATTATACACGTAGATATCAACGGACACGGGCATACAAGACATGGGAGCAGTCGGAGGACACTCACTGCACGTTTGGAAGTGCAAGTGGAAATGCAAGTTGATCTGATAGAAAAGATCAACGGGGAAGGACGGTAGGCTACAGAGTGATCGACGTATAACTTGGCATTATTTGGTCTGCTGCATTTGCAAACAGACTGCTGGAGGGCTAGTCGCATGGATTGAGCAACGAGCAACAACAGGGTATGTGGAGTGAGCCAACGAATTGTTCATTTGATTCTTCTGGCAGATAAAGCAGTATTATTTGGTATCTTTGATCAAGGAATGCGGGGCCGAGTTCGGCGACGACTTGAGAAAGGGAAAAACAGACCAAGACAGATGGATCATCGATCATCCACGTCGGGGTTGAAAAGAGCGATGCGCATACGGTGAAGCTGTGCAGGAGTCAGATATGGGGTCTTGAAGAGTTTGACTTGAGACAAAGGGTCGCTTACAGCAGGGAGCTTCGGTACAACAACAGCGAGAGTTGCCATGAAGTTGATCATAAAGTAGGTTATGTCGTAATGCGTGTAGTGAGTGCTGACAAGGAAGAGGATAATGGGGACGCTGAGCAGGAACTTTTTGGCCGGAGTATATTGGTCGCCGCTATCGATCTGCTCCCACATGTTGAGGTTGTCGTAAGCACCGGCGTTGAACTCAAAGGGCACGCCTCGCACCCAGTGGAACATGAGGAACGAGCCGGCCATGTACGAGATGTTTGTGAGGGTCCATGATGTCTCTTGAGAGATGTTGGGGACAATGTCGAAGATGATTTTGAGGAGGGCAATGAGGACAAAGTGGATGGCCCAGGCACCTGTAGAAACGTGTCAGCATGCGCCTTGGAGCAGAGCTGTTGGCAGAGACGACGCACCTTTGGCATTGACCCATTCCGAGTTGAGGTTGGGCAGGGCGGCCTGGTCGCTGATGTGCTCCAGCGACTCAGGGGGCTCGGTGTACATCAGACTGCTAGACCGTCTCCTCCGTGCTGCCTTGGTGTCCATGCTGGAAGCTGCTCTTTCTGAATGTCTCCTCTGGTTCGGCGGGCGATTCGTGTCTCCGGCAAAGCTAAGGCCGGAGGAGGGTTGCAGGAGTGTGGAAGACAGCTTGGCGGTGTTTGCTGCTGCTGGTCCTGGTGCTCGTGCTCGTGCGAAAGAGGGGTGCGGAATCGTGGCGGTCGTGGGCGCACCGATGCACCGGCAAGGGGATACAATGGGAGAGGAAAAGACAAAGAGGATCGGACAGATGTCGTTGACAGCAGCTGCGAATTCGGGCAGAGAAGTGGCACGCCGCGCGAAAATGATATGATGCTGAAGGGTCCAGAAAGTCAAGACTCAGTTCAAGGAAGTTGTGGCGGTGCTGCACGTTTGGAGAAATTGGAAAGTCCCAAGCCTCTCGACAAGCCTCACGTACGATTATTTCCCCAGCTGTCTGACTACTACTACTATTACTACTTTTACCACCACCACTCGTCACCTGCTTGAACACATTTGCCTACCCACCACGCTATCGACGTCTACGACTGCCTTCGTCTTTCTATTGCCTTCTCTTTCACCTGTTTTTGCTTCTTCGCCCCGTGTCCACGTCGCCCTTTTGTTTGCGTCTCTCTTCCGTCCACCTCCGCGTCTCCTTGGCAATAGGGCTGTTTGCTGTTGCTATTTTGGTTGCATTGCTGCTTAAGCCATTCTTCTGAGACCCTTCGATATCTGAAGACATGATTTCTTGATAGGTTGATACAGTAATCGTACAGTGTAGCGAAACGAACGCCAGTCATCTACGGCTGACACCAGGACTCCAGCTCTGTGGTTGCCAGTCGTCTCCAGGGTTGCCCTTTGGTGCTTGCTTCCAGGGATTTGCCTCCTTGTCCTTGCTTCTGCCTTTGAATCTGCCGTCGTCCTTGGTTCTACCCTCTGTTGAAGCCTCGACTTCGCCCTCGTCACCTACCGCACTTCTCACACCTTCGTTCTCAGTTGGTTCGGTCTGATTATTGTGCATGTAGCCGGCAGGGTCTTTGACGCCAATTGCTGGTTCGGTCTGTGCCTTTGACGGTGCGTCCAGGAAAGACTCTTGAGCAGCCCACCTTTCATCCGCTGCAGCAGCGAGTTGACGCATCTGTGCTTGCCGAGATACCTCGTACTGTTGCTCCTGCAAAGTAGGAGCTTCTGGCCGAACCTGACGCAACCACTGATGCCATTGTGCTGTGAGGGTACAATATCAGAACAAAGTCGTCCAAGTAGTCACAATTGTTTAGTGGCGTACGTGAAATCTTAACATCGGCATAATGCCCCTGGGTGCTGTAATGAACAATTCTGCGCAGGCGACCGGCATTGATGGCATCTTTGAACTCCCAGAAGGTGTTGCCAGAAAGATCAGCGCCTGTAATTATGTGTGGTCAGTTGTGTCAAGGCGGTGATTTGACAATTTCTTGAACATACCGACAAGCCACTTTTTCCGCCATGGGAGACGGAGAGCCTTCCACTTGAACCAGGCTTGCTTGAGAGCTCCCGGCGGTTTCGGCATGTTGGAGATGAAATATCACGACAGGTTTGAAGAGCGACGGAGCATCAAAGGCGGACGAAGCACGAAGCATGGAGCATGAAGCATGCGGCATGGTTTTGATGACGCTCATTGATGAAACGCGGGCGAGGCGCATGCACAGACGCGAGGCCCAAACATTATCAATCACCTGCAGCCCTGCAGTCCCTCCTTTACCCCTCCATCACCAAACTACCTCCGTCTTCGTCCTCGACATGGCTTCTGTATCGTCGCTAGACCAGGACATGCGCAACTTGCGCTTGTCCAAATACACTCCGCAAGCCGCCAATGAGATCCGTTCTTGGATTGAACAAACTCTCGGCGAAACACTGCCATCTGGCGACCTTCTCCGGGATGTACTCAAAGACGGCGTGGTCCTGTGCAGACTCGCCAACTTGGCTCTCCCTGCTCCTGGCATCAAGTTCAAAAAGTCCGCCATGCCCTTTGTCCAAATGGAAAACATCTCACACTTCCTGCGAGCGTGCGAATCCCCTCCGCTAAACATGCCTGCCCACGACCGTTTCCTGACCGTCGATCTGTTCGAGTCGAAAGATCCCGCTCAAGTTCTGCAGTGCATCAGCGCCTTCAGTCGCGTTGCTCATGCTGTCAGTCCGGCTAACTTCCCCAACACCATCGGTCCCCAAAGGAGCGCAACCTTGAGTCCCGCTGGTGCTGGCCCTACCACCAGGAATGCTCGTACCGTTCCGCCAAGTCCTCTATCTGCGAAACCCTCCTATGCAGTACCTTCCGCCAAACCCTTGAGCCCTGCTTTAAGTGGAGGATCACCAGGCTCGCGCGCATCCGACAACGGTCTCAAATCAACCCGAGGCACAGTTAGTAGCTGGACCAAGGCAGGCGATCGGGGAAACACTGCTCCCGCATGGAATATTGCTCAATACGGATATATGGGTGGTGCCAGTCAAGGCAACCAAGGTGTCATGTTTGGTGGCAGACGACAAATCACTACTGCTGCACCTCATGTTCCTGGTCAAGGTGAATCTGGCTTTGAGAAGAGACGCCGCGACAGAGAAGCCGAGGAAGAACGCCTGCGACAAGAGGCCGACGACGCCGAATACAAGAGGAAGACCGAACAGGAGGCTGAGGAAGAGCGCGATCGCATGGTTGAAGAACAAAAGTGGGAAGAAGAAACTCGCCGTACACGAGAACAGGAACGACAACGCATTCTGGAGCAAAAACGACAATGGGAGGAGCAAGAGCGCAGATGGAAGGTCGAAGAGGAGGCTCGTCAGAGAGAACAGGAGGCAGACACGGCCGACGTGAAAGTAAAAGGACAACAAGCCGATCAAGATGCTCGTAGGCCCAGCGCGCATGAGGATACGCCGGAAAGGCTCAGAGTGCGCGACCTCGAAAAGCAGCTCGAAGAAGCAAGGGAACGGGAACGCCAGTATCAGCAAGAGCGCGAGGAGCGTCAAAATAGCATACATTCGCGACCTTCTACTGCGAGGTCGGAGCAGGCAGCAGACCCGGTGCAAAGGGCACCCTCACCAAAAGACAGCGAAGTATCCTGGGCACCAGTAGAGGATGAGGTGTTAAACAGGAAAGTGGCTGCGCCTGAGACGAGCCGTGGCTCATCGCGACCCCTTCCCACGCCGTCATCCAGACAAACGCCTGTGCTTCCTGAACGAACAGCATCTCCAGCAGGACCACGGCCTCTACCAGATCCTTCGGCATACCGACCTGTCTCGCCAGCGCAGACACGCACCGACCGGTATCTCGCCGACAACCCAGCACCCGTGTCGACTAAGCCGGTTGCTCACCAGCCACGAGAGATGGGATACACATCAACTTATGAAGAGCAAAGCGACAGAGAGCGCCGGATTGCATCGCAACAAACGACAAAGGCAGGAGGCTGGGCATCCAAATCACTTCTGGAACGAGAAATGGAACGTGAACGCGAGAGACAGCGAGAGTGGGAAGCTAATCAGCAAACGAACAAGGAAGTAGCCAAAGACTTGAACCAAGGAAGTGGCGCTGGACAAAGCTGGGATGTGCATCAATATGGCTACATGGGAGGAGACAGCCAGAACCGAGGTAGCAGTTCGGGCAGTGGGATTGGATTTGGTGGACGGCGCCAGATCATCGGACCCCGCCCTCCCCCAGGCTCATGATGGAGCGAGAAGCAGATCCAAGCAGGACGAGAAGCAAAGTCTTGCGACGAACAATTAATAGCAGCTGTACATAGGTTCCATAAAGACAATAGCATCGTCTTGACTCGGGCAGTAGAGATGGAACATGCATGTGAAATTGGCCCGAGCGCTGCTGACCTATGACGTACGGAGTCGGTTTCTTTGAAGTTTGGAGCCTCAGCAGGTGCAGGGCGGGCAGGCGCTTGCGGAAAAGTCCTTCATCACAATCACGCTCCACCTCGTTTCCTGCTTTGCAAACTGCTCCCTGCTGACTCGGCGCAAATTACCATCTTCTGTAGAACCTAATGGAAGTGAAGTTGCCTCGTCCATTCCTTCATATCTGCCAACTCTCGACTCCCATACAGTAACCCGCATCACTAAGCGCTCTTTCGCGACCCCTCTTCCTCCCACACCGCCACCTTCACCCCTCCTACCAGACATCCGACCCAACACACCACAATGCACGACTTGCGCAAGCAGGTGCTGCTCGAGAGCGGCAAGACGCTGTCGAAAAAGGCAAAGGCCAAGCAGGCCATGGGCTCGGCCGCCAGCTCAAAGCAAAACTCGCCCAACGCCTCGAGGGTCGCCAGTCGCCAGGCCTCGGACGATGAGGCTGATTTCAGCGACTCGACTACTCAGTTCAGGTACACTTCTGTGCTACTCTTCCCGCACCACGTATCCGCTAACACACTTTTGCAGTGTCAACTCCTTCGACGAACTCCGACCCGAAGACATCGACGCGCCCGAGGATGCTTGGGTGGCACAGCTGAACGAGCGCATGGAACATCTCATCGAACGCAAGAGAAGCAGTGTACAAGGCCGCGAAGAGAGTCTCTCGGTTCTTTCGCATCTTCTTATGGCCCACTTCGCTCAGCGCTATGTCCGTCCAAAGCTCAGTGAACTGGTCCCGGCTCTACTCAAATGCGCCAAAGGTGGTCAGTCGGATACTGAAACCGCTTTGGCCCTCAAGGCTCTGAGTCTGTTGATCATCACAGAGTCCTCCGACTCCATCTACGACGCCATGATCCGTCCTCTCAAGGGCATCATCTCCTCTTCAGAATCATCCTCGGTCATGGTCGCTGCTATTCACACCCTCGGTGTAGCGACATTCTACGGCGGCGTTGGTTTAGACGAAACGCAGGACATTATGGATTTCTATCTCGAGGTTATCGAGTCTGATGGTCACTCCATCGAAGCAGGTGACGATGGAAACGTCGTAGCTGCTGCTTTGCAGGAGTGGGGCTTCCTCGCGACCCAGTTTGAAGGCATGGAGGACACAAGCGAAGAGCCAATGGAGGCCTTCGTCGAACAGCTCGAGTCCAGTGACTCGAGTGTCGTAATTGCTGCTGGCGAGAACATCGCTCTTCTCTTCGAAAAGAGTTGGTCAGAATTGGAAGAAGACGAAGAGCCTGAACATCAGAGCGATGATGATGACGAGGAAGAGGCAGATCCAACTGCAAAGGGCATGGTCAAGCGCTACACTGTGTGGCGTCAGGAACATCAGCTCAAGCACACGCTCAGTGCTCTCGCTCAGGCGCACGGCAAACGCATGTCCAGGAAGGACAAGAAAGACTTACATTCCAGTTTCGCCGACATTCTCAACACGGTCGAGCACCCAACGAGGGGCCCTCGCTACAGCAACGCCATCGATCAGAACACGAATAGAGCTTACGGCTCACGCATGGTTGTCCACATTGGCAAGAACACTATGAGTATCGACAAATGGTGGAAACTTCATCGTCTACAATCACTGCGCCGTGCACTTCAAGGTGGATTCATCGTCCATTATGAGGACAACGAGGTCGTGTTTGATTCTTTGCCTGTCACGTTGGACTAGACTGGCCTTCGTCCTAGACTCTCCTTAACGACCACAAATATCACGATTTCTTGTTCAGCATGGGAGCTTTGAATTTCGCAGGTGGATACTAAAGCGTTGGTGTTTGCTTGCTCGTTCTATATCTCATCATCCTACCTATCTTTTTCACACACTACTGTTCCTCATGTTCCATCGATCAGTGGTCTTCTACTCTTGTATGTGTGTACGGTTGATTCAAGTCCGGTTCATCGGCATATCTTTGCACGACATATCGTAGCAACCATTGCAGTCTGCAGCCTAACACCGTGAGCAGGGTTTCCCTCTCGGCAGTTCATTTGCAATCTTATCATAATCGTTGCTCCTCCGACACCGACACATGTGTGCTAATGAATAGTCCACTATCTTCTTTGAACATCGGAAACCACTGGAAGATGCTTGGAGGTCTCATTGTGTGATGATGGAGAGTTTGTCACGTTTCTTCAATGTCATGTCTTCGTCTCTAAAGCTTGGTGGAGTAAACGAGGCTTTACAGTGGTGCTCGGCCCAACCTCTTTCCTCAGTCTAACGACCTACAACTTCCACAAATCTCATGAATATCTTCCGCCGCTCACGAGTTGGCTCTCCAAGGATACTATCACCCAAATCTATCAGAAAATTGGCAATGGCAAGCCCGCCTCCTACAAGACGCTTTGCACCTCTGAGCAAAGGCAAAGGTCATGACGCCATCGACGGTGACATGGTCTTGAAAGGCATTGTGTTCGATGTCGATGGAACTCTCTGCGAACCTCAGAACCATATGTTTGGAACGATGCGCGAAAAACTGGGTATCACCAAGGAACAGGATATCTTGGATCATGTATACAGCCTATCAGGATCGAAGCAGAAGGAAGCCCACAAGATCATCGAGGACGTTGAACGCGAAGCTATGGCGGAGCAAGTACCGCAAGCTGGACTGGCCACACTGATGGAACATCTGGATAAGAACGACATCAAGAAGGGAATCTGCACGAGAAACTTCAATGCACCGGTCGACCATCTTTTGAGCAACCACCTGCCAAGTCATATCGATGCATTCGCACCAATTGTCACCAGAGACTTTCGCCCTCCAAAGCCATCTCCTGCCGGCATTTTGCATATTGCAAAGCAGTGGAAGATCATTGGCGAGTCAGACGTAGGAGATGATGGTCGGCCCATTGCAAAGCGGTCAATTCCCATGATCATGGTTGGCGACAGCATTGACGATATCATCGCTGGCCACGACGCCGGTTGCGCTACCGTGCTACTCAGAAGTGAAGGCAAAGAGGACCTGGAGAAGGATCCCCGAACTGACGTGGTCATCAGCCGGTACGTGGAAAAGTAAACAATTTGTTGTGATGTCAAATACTGACCTTACTTTTGTGGCAGACTGGACGAATTGGTCGACATCCTGGAGAAAGGTTTCGAGAGCAGACAGAAATGATGCTTCATAGCACAGAATTATTCATGGGCTGACAGCATTCCGAACGGCCGTCAGTGCAAGAGAAATCAAATAGAAACGGCCATAAGGACCCGGTATACATATTAACACTCATGTGAGCCTAAGCTGGCTAGCTAGCTATACAAAAACGCTCGGAACCCTTCCTCGTCCACTCGTGCTTCCGTCTACCACACCGACCATCCCTTTCCGAGGGCCCCCAAAAACAAAAGTCGCGACAAACGAGAAAGCATTGCTAGTTCCTGACAAGCTTGGGTATTCGAGAAAAAACGATCGCTCCAAGAAAAAAGAAATACTCCAGCGGAATCCTGTCCTGCGTATGCGAAAACCAGATTTCGTATGTTTCGTAATAATCGTGAGAAAGAGAAATTGCTCAGCCTGAGGCGAGCTTTCAAACAGCGGTGTTCATTTGCAACGTCGAACGCATGGCGCTTCTTCGTGATTGTAATGTTGATGTTTGAATAGGAGCAACTATTACTAATTGTTAGTCTTGGTTCGACATGTTTAGTAGTATCCGAATTTGTGCTCACGTTTGAACGACGGCTTGCGGTCTGCTTTTGGTCGAGTCGGTGCGGCTGCTTGGTCGAAGGTGATGGTTGATTTCTGAAACTCGGCCGAAGGAGCATTTGAGCCCGACAGGAATGATTTTATGCTGGCAAATGTTTTTGTACTTTGCTTGACACTGTTTGTGGAGTCGGTTTGTTCGTAGTCATCGTCGTCTTCATCGTCAGAAGAAATTTCTCGCTCTTCGATTGTGACATTGGGAGGGAGGGAGATTTCCTCGTAGGCCGGAAGCTCGTCATCGGAGAAGATGGAGTGTAGTGAGGACGTAGTAGACATAATTGTTGTATGTGTATGTATGTGTGGGCGTGCGATGGGTTGTATTGACACAGTATGACTTTATGGAACAGGAGGCAGGGTCGAATTGGTTTTCAGGTGTAGATATCTTGTGCTCGGATGGCTGTGGAAAATCGCTGACCGCAGCAGCAGGCAGATGACCAGGCACATATATATGTAGTGATGTACATGCCGATTGTGGAGAGTCAAGCATCGTAGCAGAAACTAGTGTCTCGGTCAAAAACCGCAGATCCAAGACCTGCCATGCATGACGAGCGTCACAGGCGTAGTCGTAAGCCCAAAATAACAAGGACCCAAGGCACTCAGCCACCGGCGATGCCTGGCAGCCTTTACGAAACACCAGCGTCGGGCATAAAGGAATCCAGTAATCAAGCTAGTGTGAGCCAAAACGACTTGCAAGCAGGAGAAAGGGAGAATCAGTTGCGAGCAGTGCCACACAGCGACCGGAACTCGGAATGACAGGTCCTTGGTGGGAGATGGCGGGGATGACTGATGCCAATTCAGCCCTACCTACCAGGATGACTTACAGCGCCCAACGGCTGCAAACATCCGGATGCATACTTCCACAATGGTGACGCGTTTTCTACAACGGCCATGACAGTTCCACACCTGCCGATACAAGGGCCAAGGTTAACCAAGCAACCCCGAAGTTGACAGGGTCTTTGAATGTTCGGGCATCAGGAAGAGCTTACGAATGATCGACCTCGAATCAGCCACACGATGATCAGAAACAGTCTTTTACCAGTGTCATCTTGAATTCATTATTCCAAAGGACAAGACTTTTGGGCATCGCTGGCAGAGGTGAGTCAGGCTTAAGGCATCCCACGGGAAATGCTCAGCGGCCAGATATAAAGTTGGTGGAAATCTTCGGACTCGAATCAAGCATTAACCCTTAGTGCGCGGACGCAGCCCAAGGGTTTTGATATGATTAAGGAGTCTTTGCTTTTCCCTCTACTGCACAATTTGCAGATGTGCCCAAGGCTCTCAATTGGTACTTGACATGTTTCTAGAAGACTGAGCTGAAACAAGGTAGAGTCAAGGCCGATGCGTCTAGGGGCCCAGCAGCTCGGTCAATTGTCAGTACACAAGCTGACGTGAGGAAGCAAATTTGCATTAGCAGAATTGTGCAACACAAGGATGCATGAAAGAGCACTTTGACGCCAAAGGGCACGCGTTGACAAGACGCGTCTCGCAGCAGCAATCGGCTTCCAATTCTCTCTCGTCCAATCTCACACCAAAATGGCAGATACAATCCACACACCAGCTGTTGAACGCGATCCCCCTTCTCTCCCTGCATCCCCATCGCCCAAGCGCGTCAAGCACGTCGAGCCTGCTCCCAATCTCTCAGTCGCTTGTGAGTTGTAGCTCCGAAGCTTCAATCCATGCCCGCTAATCCATGGCCAGCTATCCTGAACGACACTGCAGCTACTCCCACTCCCCATTCTCCTCCACACAAACACCACCAACTAGACATGTCTGTCGCGACTACCCATCTGCCCCCGATGAACCTCGAACCCCCTCCGCCAGCCCTTCAGATCAAGCTTCTCTCAGCAACAGCTCGCGCTCCCACCCGTGGCAGTGAGTTTGCTGCCGGCTACGATCTCTATGCATCAAAGAGTGCCACAGTTCCCGCCAGAGGAAAGGTCCTTGCTGATACCGACATCTCGATTGCCGTGCCTGCTGGAACCTGTATGTTCTGATCTTCTGCCACCTGTCCAACTCTTCCTGACATGCTCCATAGACGGTAGAGTAGCTCCTCGCTCTGGACTCGCTGCAAAGCATTCAATCGACGTCGGTGCTGGTGTCATTGACGCAGACTACCGTGGTCCCCTCAAGGTCCTTCTGTTCAACCTAGGCGAGACCGACTTTGCTATCAACGAGGGAGACCGAATTGCACAGCTGATCGTCGAAAGAGTAAGCAACATCACGCTACCCTCGATTCACAAACAATAACCTCCCGTCAGATCTACACTCCAGAGGTGCTTGTGGTTGACCAGCTTCCCGACAGCGTCCGTGGCGCTGGAGGCTTCGGCTCAACTGGCGGCTTCGCCAATATCGTCCCTCCTGTCAACCCTCCTGCCAACGGAGGCGCGCCTGCCATCGGCCTCTAAAACAAGTGTTGCGTTTACCACTGGTTTATGGGGACTGGCGTACAAGGAAAAAGCTGGTGTGCTTGGTATAATTTCATGTCGGAACAAGGGGTATGTAATGCGAGACGGCCACGACAGGAAAAAGCAGAGTAGAATCTTCAAGCTCAAGTTTGATGCACAGCACCTTGTCCGATTTCTCCTCCAGTGCCCATGTTGACCACCCCAAGCTCGTCCGGCTTGACAGACACATCGGGATCAAGCTCGACATTGGCAGCATGTGCCTTGAAGGCCTCGATGTCGGGAGGATAGACCAAGTCCTTCCAATTCCTGACGACTCTGACTTCGGCCGCTTTTGTGAGACGCAGGTATCTGTCACGCTCGTTGTCCTTGTCCGCCTCTTCGCCAATGCCTGTGTTGAAATCTTGAGAGGCCTCCATCTTCTTCAATTCTTCTTGTCTTGAGTCCATGGTCTTCTTAAGCACCAAATGCATACTCGCCAGTACCTTCTCCGCAGCCTTTGCCAGAGGAAGTTCGACCGCCTCGACCTTGTCTGGCGATTGCCAATGTGCTGTGGTCAGAAGATCTGCAGCAAGACACGCTTCACGTAGTCGTGCGACCATCAGTGCGGCAAACATGTCTCCTGTGCCAGAGAAGAAGACTGGGAAAGCAGGCACTTTCAGGCGGAACAGACGTGGGTTGAAGTCAGAATCAGCTGTGGATCCCACAATCGAGAGCTCGGCTTCTTCTCCAGTCTCATTGTCGTGCGGCAGGCGGACGGACGTGATGATGATGTGGGGAACGCGGTGAGTGCGATGGAGGACGCGAATAGCCTCGGCGAGAGACTTGAAGTCTGTGATGGTGACACCCGAGAGAAGCCTATAGTATTGTCAGCAGCCAATCGAGGTCCATTTGTTTCGCATCCGAGTCCTTACTCTGCTTCGAACTGGTTGGGCAGAATGAGATCTGCATCTCTCAGCAAGCTCTTGTATGCCGGGACCACTTCCTCGCTAACATAGATCTTTCCTTCGTCGCCCATGACGGGGTCCAGCACTATTGCTTTCAGCTTCCATGTCTGCTCGACACGCTCAATCCTTGACTCACCCCAGAAGAAGGCTCCAGGCTTTGTCGTCGATGCGAATCTGGTCTCTCGTGCTATCTTGCCGACTTGCTGCACGACACCGGCACTCGGACAGTAGCCAGACAGCAAGACGTCAAAGTCATTAAGGCGCGACTGCTTCAGACCCTCGTATAGTTCGGCGACTTCTTCAGCAGGCGTCTTGCGGCCCTTGAACTGCTTGTATCCTGTGTGATTGCCTGATCGTGTCAGATGTTGGCTTCCTGGCTGTTACGCGTCGTGGTGATTGCTGGGAACGCACTGAATTGAACCGTGTTGATGGCCGACACCTCGCAGCCGAGCGCTTGCATGACAAACGTGGCCATGGTGTTACCTACATAGCTATCGATGTATGAGGGCTCGAGTTCTGTCCATCGCTCTCGTATGGTGTCTTACCCATATGCTACCTTCACTTACTGTTAGTCACAGCCCATGGTCATCTGGCATGGACCTTTTGCAATCTCTTACATGACTGGCGACCGCCAGAACGTGAGTCTCGGGAACTTCTGCCATATTCTGTTGCGAAAAGAGACAGATAGTGAGTAGGTGCGAGTGACTCTTCTGTCTAGATACATTCAATGCTGGCGATTCACAAAAACAGAAGACAAGAGATAAGGCTGCGTGACGTGGTGTGGGGATCGGCCAGGGTCGCCAAGAATCATGGTCATCACAAGGGTTACAAGAAAAGCAAAGTCTGGGTGGTGAAAGTATCTTATTTGAATTGGTATAATGACAAAATCGGCCGTCCGATCTAAACCTCACGCTGATGCCACTAGCAGGGCAACCCTCTCCCCAAAGCAAATCATCAAAACTCCAGAAACACCATGTCATGCCGTAATCATGCTCTTTCTTTCTTTGTGCTACGCATCTACTCCTCATCACCAATCTATGATTTGTTAGCTTGTGCATATGGCCAATGTTGGCAGCTTGTCTTACCTTGGGGGCGAGGTAGAATCTGAGGTAACTGTTGTTTGCCAGCGAATACTCGACCATGAGTGGCACATCGGTCGAAAGGCAGAGCTTGACTCTGCTTGAGAGACCGCTGGCCTTGCAGAAGTTGACGAGGTACTTGAGCGAGAAGGTGAGCGAGACGGGCTCTGACAGCTGGATGTCGACATTCAGGTCCTCCTTCTCGACGTTGGTGTGCTGGCGGAGAGTAACGGAACCGGAACCAATGTCACCGGTACAGCCGAACTTGACGCCTTCTTTTGTGCACTCGATGTTGACTGATGAGACCATGTCAGAAAAGACTTTGCAAGTAGTTTGATCAGCGAGACTTACCAGACTCTGAGAGAGCAGAGAGATCTCTGCAAATGCGCTGAAGCTCGGCCGAGGGCAGAGTGATGGAGGCGGCGTAGTCGGTGTCGGGAATACCAAGGTGCTCTTGGTCAATGTCCATCAACTTGATGTCGTACTCGCTGATTCTGTCGCTCTCGGAGCTCTCGAAGACAAGGTTGACAACGTCAGGCGAGTCCTCGGCCTTGAGGGTCAGAATATCCTTGTCCTGAGCAGCGCGGAGGACCTTCTGGAGAGAGACGAGGTTGATGCCGAGGGCGATGTTGCGATCGCATCTGAAGGGAGAGAAGGAATCGGCCTTGAGCAACATGGAGACGAGGGCGACGTGGGAGTTGTCCATGGCTTGGAGACCGACACCGGAGTCGTTGCATTCGAAGTTGCAATCTTGGACGAGGTCCTTGATCGCCTCAACGACCTTCTTCAGGAGGTTGGCCTGTTCGAGACGTGCCTCAAGCACTGCGCACATGTGAGTTTCCAAGTGTCATGATGAGCGGCGGAAGGCTTTCTTACTGTTGATGTGTGGTGGATGAGAAGGAGATTGGTGTAGGTTGAGTGAGAAACCGACAGACAAGTGGTCTGGTCAAGTGAATTGGATGGTGAGGATACGGGAGTGTTTGCGAGGTGGAAGGCAGTAGAGGAAGAGCGCAGTGGCATTGTTTGGCTGTGAAGAAAGCTAGCGCGCGTCGCTCGCGTCCACGAAAGACGCGTTGCGAATCTTGGCCCGATCTGGCTGTCATGACTTCACCGTACCGCGACATTTCTTACCTGCTGTATTAACCGATCACGAATCTTCTGCCTTCGCTTTTGATTCGGCACAGCTTTTGGATACTCTGATGAACAATACAAGTCATTCAGGTCACCACGAGTTATGTGAGTGAACCTCTATATCAACAGGCAAGACGCATGGCCGGAATCATATTGAATCTTGATTTTAACAACATCTATGTAAACTTGACCATCTCCTCCAATCTTTGCAAGCCTTGTTCTCCAAAAGACTTCGTCAAATCTTTTGTTTTGTTGCTCGCAGCTCCTACGAAGCCCAACAACAGCCTCATCAGCCGCATTTCTCCTAGGAATCCCAAGGCTACAGACTCGACGAGGGCGTGGCATTCAACAAGACTACCTGGCTGCAATCTCCGTGTATCTGGCCTTGTTTGTGACAGTAGATTTGATACAGTATCTGACACAGATAATGGTTCGGGTTGGAACGTAGCGCGTCGTGTTTAAATGGGCGTAGCTTTCGTGGCATGTGTTGCGTGAACGGCGCAAGATGTTTTGTGGTACAGGTGTTCCCTCAGATACATAGATCATGCCGGGCGAGGGCATGGTTTCGGTTGGACAATGGACGTTGTACGGTCTTGGAACAGAATGGTAGAGGTGTCGGCGACCGAGAACGGGGCATCATGCGCGAACGAGACCGTAGAAGAGAGTCCAGGTAAGCACAAAGCTCATGAGGCCTCCAAAGAGGTCGCCGATCCACAGGTCAGCGATGGGCGAGTGGAAGTAGGACTTTGCTAGGACATTGGCGCGGAAGGAGAAGATGAGGAGGGAGACAAGCAGAGAGCCGAGAGCATAGAAGAGAAAGCCGGGAAAAGACTCGAGACCGAGAGTGCCAGCAGCGACGCCAAAGAGGGAGGCAGTCAGGGAGCGGATGTTGGAGACAGTCTGGTGAAGGGTCAGGTGGGACGGTCATTGATGTGGACAGGTGTGTGAAGGCTTACTCTCGCATTGTGCATCATGCTTTCCTGCACGACAGGGTTGATGGCCAACTCGCGTTCGTCCAGCATGATTGCGATGTTGCCGAGCAGATGCCTGTTGTCTAGTGGTGTCAAATAGGGTCTAGCTGGTAGGGGAGTTGAAGCTGGTGGGCTCGAGGTTGCACGTTGGCTCCTTCTCCACACGCGGAGTATTGCGGACCGAGAGTCTGCCCCGACACAGACTCTACCCCGACCAAGGGACATACAATAGCAAGCACGAGACCCGGGCCTGAATCATGAGACGATTCTCTCCATGGGATGATAGTCGAGTACGGCACGCCTTTCACATGCGAACGTATTCCACCGACTGCCCGGTAAAGTGCCAGTCTAGAGGTACACATCTATCTGTAGGCCTGTACACGACAAATGTATGGAACGGTCATGGAAGGGGAATGTTCCTGTGTCATGGATGGACGAGCGGAATCACACGGTACTTGGATACATGTAAAGTTATTCATCTACGGGAAATGGTGCGAAGGTTGAGGATGAGCATCAAGGAGATTGTGCAGGTCGAGGTGCAGGATGCGCATGACGAAAGACGAACGGCTGGAGACGGAAGGCGCGAATCCGTCCGCAAATCGCAAATCCTTGAAACTGTCGTCGTCGTCGTCGACCACCAGCCCGTTGCTTTTTGCTTTCCATCAACACAAAGCCTCTGCAACCGCCATACATAAACAACCTCTGTGTATTTTACTGAACCCACTCTGCGCTCTGGAACTCCTCTTCTCCTGCAAAGCTTGCCGCACTCTAGATAGACGCACCTCTGGGTCCAGCATTTTGCATCCCTTCCCTTCGATGCGCCGGCACGCGACCACGACACTGTAGTCCTGCGACCCACGACCAAAATGGCCTTCAACTTCAACTGGTCCCCGCTGATAGGCGACACGTCGCGCGCCCGCGACATGCTCACCGCAGCGCTGAACAAATCTCCAAAACCTCCCATCATTGTCGACGACATCATCGTCAATGAGCTGAACCTGGGCTCGGTGCCGCCCGAGCTCGAAATCCTCGAAATTGGCGATCTGGCTGAGGACCGCTTCCGCGGAATCTTCAAAATGTCCTACGCCGGCGATGCTTACCTAACTCTCAAGACCCGCGTCCAGGCAAACCCGCTAAACACTTCGTTATCCACAAAGCCTGCCTTCGCATCGCCTCAGCCTCTGGCCGCTGCCTCGGGTCTCACCATCCCCATTCAGATCACCCTGTCTGATATCCGCTTATCAGGCTTCGTCATCCTCGTCTTTTCGCGCCAAAAGGGCATCACCCTCGTCTTCCGCAATGACCCTCTCGAGTCCCTCAAGGTCTCGTCCACCTTTGACTCGATCCCCTTCGTTCGCAACTACTTGCAGAAGGAGATCGAAGCACAGTTGCGTGTCTTGTTCATGGACGATCTCCCCGCCATCATTCATCGCCTGTCATTGCGTGCCTTTGTGCCGGAATACAGCCAGGCCCAAGACGATGAGGCAAAGGCGCCCACGGACGCTTCAGAACGACCCATCGACCCCCTGGCAAGCCCACCGCAGGACCCTACCGATTCATGGGCCGATTCCTTCGACCCCTCGCCCTTCTCTCTCGACTCTTCTTCCGAAACCTATGCCTCCTTCTCACAAAAGAACTTGCTACGTCTCGCTGCATTGAGCGAGTCACAACAGACCCTTTCGCTCTTCACCCCCGCCATACGTGACACTGTCTTCCGTGCCTGGGCCAGCTCCAAAGAATCCCAGGACTCGTCCACCGCCGCTACGCCGCTCGCTCGCCCGAACCCATTATCTCGCATACACTCGTCCATCGGGACACCCAAGTCGTGGTCTTCAGCCTCATCCGATGTTTCCGACGCACCGACACATTCTAGCAGACCATCCCTCGCCAGCCAATCTACATCATCGACCGTTTACTCAATGGGCACTACCAGATCAAGAGCCCACGCCGCTAAGAAGAGAAAGAACAGAGTCGTCAACTTGCGTAAGACTGCTCCAGAAGACAACACCAACGATACCGACAGTGTCGCGACCAATGACAGCGAGGACCTATCCGCTCCTAGCATCACTCTCACCGAACCTCCTCAATCTCCTCGTCGCCTTCCAAAGCTTGAGGTTGAGGCTACTCAAAAGACACCGTCTTCTCACGTTCGATTTTCTGCTTCCCAAGAACAGTCAAAACCATCTTCTGGAGCTCAGACGCCGACGCCGGCATCTAAACCCCAACGTCCTGCCTTGTCTACTATACAGACACAGCCTCTATTCCAAGAGAAGAAGAAGGCCGATTTCGCAGCCCGCTCCTCTTCTGCTTCACGGCTACGCTTCAACTCCGAGGGCTCTACTGGTGGCATCTTGGAGCAGGCTTGGATGATGAAGATGGCTGCCGAAGTGACACGTCGCGTGCAAGAAGAAAAGGCCACTGGCGGTGGCTTCTGGCATCAATCCGAGGAGCTGGAACATCCACCTCCTGCTTACGCTGCATGATTGTTCTCATTTTTTCCCATCGCATTCTGACCGTCTATCATGGAGGTCATCTGTATTAGTATACTACCTTGACGAAGCGTGGAGTATTGGGTTGCATTTACAAATTTGGTTGTTTCACACGATTCACAGCCAGTGTGTGTTTTAAAAGCTTTCAGTTTTGAGTCTTTGATAACGAGTCATACAAACTTCTCATTCCATATTCATAAACTTTGATATTCGTGCTACTTCCGTCGATGTGTGATATCGCATCAAGAAATCGGTCTACTCGTCCTTGTCCAAGATGGCGTTGACTGCAGCAACCTTGTCCTCTGCTGTCTGCTTCTTGTCTGTCCTTGATCCGACCCTGATATCGCTCTGGATTCTGACGACTCCATTTTCGTGAAGTAGCGTGTGTGCTTGGCCGATCACGCGCATGACATCGTCCCAAGGACCCTCTGTTGATCACTACTTTAGCTGCTTGACACGGTATCTAATGCGTGATATCGGCGAACAAGACTTACCGACCGTCGTTCCAGCTGAATGCATGTGATAGACAAGGCCGCTCTTCTTGAGTAGTCGCTGAACTTGAGAGACCTCTTTAGACACGGATGCGGTGGGTGTGCCCAGCGGTATGAGGCAGAAGTCTGAATGTTGTCAACGCGACCATTTCAAAGAGATGTTCTCACCATGCACTGACCTGCGATACATGCTGGGGGTGTAGAAAGATTGGATAATTGACTATCTGCCATGTTTTTGGTTTGTTGTTGATGTGGTATGTTTCAGTGCTGGAAAGGTCTGGCACGATGACGCTGAGTCTTGTGGAGACTTCGGCGCAGCGAGCCTCTCCAGAACACCTGCAATTTGTCTTCTACATTGGAAAGATCATTTACCGAAATTCTTGATACTTCTGTCCTCGATTACTTGCATAGTGACTAGCATGGTCTATCATGGATTCTATTTGAATTGCTCTGATTCGAAAAGTTGTATTTTACTGCACAGCCAACCGACTTTCAGCTTCTATCAGCTCTGCCAATTGTTCAAGAGCAGCCCCAATCTGACTGATAATCGCCCACATCATGTTGCCGCCGAAAACCCGTGACCATATTCTCAGCACAATTGCGCATAGTTGAGAGGATTGTAAAGCAGAACTTTCCACATACGAATGGACTATCATTTCTTCCAAGTCAACTGACTCACGAGTCTCCTCGACTAGCGCACGAACCCAGTCCAAGATGTTAGTCTCATGTGCTATTACTGTCTTAGCGTCTATATCCGTGGCCAGGAGGGAGAAGTACAAGAGCATACCTGTAAATGGGTCGTCGCTCACCGTGGCTGCCACAGACTGGAGCCACTTGAACAAGAACACCGCACTCTCCAAACCAGAAAGGGAGTGCTGACAGCTCCAGAAGAACATCTGACTACGTGAGACGTACTGAACGCTCATATTGACAGGTAAACTAAGCGCATGCGTCACGTGCAACAGTGTAGTGGTCAATCGAGGACTGCGCTTCAACGCATGCGAGAGTCGATTATGCCGCTTCAGAAAATCGACTCTGGTGAATGAACGACCACATGGACATAGAAATGGTTTCTCCTTGGCATCTTCCAACAGGAATCAGATCCGAGCACATGTAGTTGCAGTTGTCGCATGTTGCTTACGAGTCCGGATATGGCGCTGTAGATGTTCAAGGCGCGCGAACTGCCGTTAGCAAGACCTGCAACTAAAGCTCTCTCGACCTCGCTACTAGCGCGCATTTCAAGTCACTCGAGGTCGTCGAGAACTTGATTATGAGAAAAATCACTTTCGAGCGCAGATGCATGATTGCGCACGATGAGCGACAAAGTTGGAGAAGCAGTGAATTTGGAGATCTGGAGATTCGCAACATCCTCGGCCCTGGCGAAGGTCTCGTCTTTTTTGTGATCCAAACACAATACAACTACCCTTGCTAAACGACACAATGACAAGCGTAGTATACTCAAGCCTACCACACGAGCGTATCAGTCTGGCGGAGCAAGATGGCCCATACAAGTTTGCCACATTAGTGTATCTCGCGGAGGGAAATGCGAACATTGTTTACTCCTTCAGACCAACCACCAACGGAGCAGTACCTCAGAGTGCCCGATCCAGACTTCTGCGATTGAGGAAAGACAAATCGTTCATCCAATCCACAAAGTCTCAATTTGCAACATTCCAACAGACTTTCGTACCATTATTCCGACCCGAGAATCTTGTCGAGCAAGAATTGATTGCATTGGATGGAGCGCTTATTCAAAATCTCAACAAAGAACTTGAGGTGCATGAAGACACGAAGCTTCGGAAAAGCTTACGACATGGTGACCGACTGGCTCTTGATAAGTTCGGCTTGCTGATGACCGACATGACTGCTCGGGATGGCGAGTACCTGTTCGAGATTAAGCCTAAATGGCTACTGCAGTCGCCTGATGCACCCGAAGACTCAATCAGATGCCGGACCTGTGCTTTGAGATTGCAGAGAGCCCATGCGAAGTCTCAAGGTGCCGTGATGCCGAACTCAGGTGGATTCTGTCCCCTTAGCCTTGTCGATGACGACGTCAGGGAACGCCAGAGAGCTTTCGAGAGTATCATCAAGTCACAAGCTAGTGGAATATCCGATGCATCAGGTAAGCTCGTGGATACAAGATCGCTCATAATGTTGCCGATGTATTGACCTCGAGACTTTAGTGGAGAAAGCTGTCAGTTTCCTTGCTGAGGAAGGTTATAGGGTATTGAAAGATCTTCGCAAGTATCAAGCACAATTTGATGAGCGTGGAATTCTGAGCACGAGCGCGTAAGTTATCCAATGTCAGATATCCTAACGCCTCTAACAAAAAGTAGCGAAGAAGTATCGGACGACTACTCAAAAGCCATGACACTTCGTGACTGTGTGCTATTCATCAGAGGCTCACTAGACGCATTTGGAGATACAGCCGACATTCGCCTAGCAGACTTAGACTTCAAGCATACGCATCCAGATAAGATCAAGAAATGGATGGAAACCGAGAAGGTCCTTGTAGATGGTGGTTGGTACAAGGACCCTGAGGATGACGAAGGATCCGAGCCAGCTTGCTTGCTTGCCCGAAGACCACTGGGGACCATGCAGGCATAACAGTAGGATGCGACTGTCTCCCGCGCAGATTCTCGGAGGCCCCTCTCAGTGTTCATAATGAGAGTGTTAGTGAGATGACCGGGTGCATGACATCGTTACTGCACTGACCTACTCCGTCCCGTATATAGGGGTTGATGTTGAAGCCTGGCCACATCATGAGTGTCTTCCATGCTCGTTTGGTACGAAAGTGACGGGGACAGTCTCAAGGAAATGCATCAAGGGTCACATGCATACAATGTTTTTTTGCTAAGCCTTGCCCGTCCTTACAGGTTTCGAGCAGCACTCCTACACGGAGAGGAAAGCGGCTTGAAGTTCTTGGTGCAATGGTACAAGCGTGCGATGTTGACACTGCTTGGCTGTACGACTTTGGCAATTCATCGCTTGCCTGAACCCGTCCCGATTGACCGATCACTTCCTCATGTTGTTACCCAATGAGAATTATGACAAGTCGCCAAGTGCATTCTCGTACCTGCAATCTTTTCACTGCATTCATGCTGAGCGCTGTTGATGGCGAAGCAGTTTGCTCACAGCCTGCTGTTCCATCTGCCGGTTGACAGAACGGGCGATGATGGTCATGTCATGCGGTGAGAATTGAGCTCATCCTGACCATCCCGTCTTGGCGTGCGTGCCTACCACATTGATACAGCATGATATAAAGATGCCTGAATGTTGCCAAACTGCTCAGGCTCAAAGCTCATCCTTTGCCCTAACTCAAGATAACCTAGAATCATCATTCCACCTAGATCTATCAGCGTGGCCTCGTCGACGCCTCACATAGTAGAACCCAGCGCTCTACCAAACCCGGTATCTCATAACTATACTCCAGTCATGACTACTTTCGCGCAACATCCAGACAACGAGGCGCCAGACGTACCGTGCTATACCGCCCCAGAGCCGCACAGTCATCAATACATGCCAAACCAGCAAGCTCAGCAGCAAATGCGACAACCAGCACCACCCACACAGCAATATCCACCTGAAGATCAGCATTACCTACAGTCAAGATATGCGGGCCCAGAGTCTATGCAGAATCAACATCCTGTCTACCCGGCAATGTCTTCGTATGTGCAACCACCAGGCGAGTCGTATTATGGTCAGCAACTCCGACCCAGCTTGGACCAGAGACGCAGCGAAGCAAGCTTCCGCTCTACACATTCACACAAGTCAACCTGGTCGACAGATTCACATCGATCGCATCACTCAACAAGATCACACGAGTCGAGTCGTTCGCATACAAATCGGTCGCACCACACTGATCGCGATGCCAACCAGGAGTCCAAGAATCGCAAGAAGAGAGATTTGGACGCTAGGCCGACGATGGGAGACAGTGTAATGCTCGTGGTCAACCATGTCCGAGACCTGCTTTCTAGCGATAGACAGTGAACATGCTGGGAATGACTTAGACAAAGTCGTGTATGTTTCTAATGAACGATTGCGATACGGGTTGCGATCTGTGGTTGCTCGGTGACTGGTAGAATACCTAGTTCTTCGTCATGAGTTCCATTATTGCCGACTTGCCTACACGTTAGTCAGTATGTACAATCGAGAGACGTTTTTTTCCCGAATCAGTTCAATTCGTCTTTCCAGAATGCAGACAGTGTGTCACTTCCACTCTCTTCCATTATTGACCCAGAGCAGGAATACATCGTAGAGAGGCGTATGAATACGACGCAAGGAGTCGTTAAGACGGCGCTTCGCGGCCTGATCACTGCAAATGTATGAGGTGTTGCCCCCTGCCATTAGTGTGGTAGAAATCAGCAGCCAGAAGATAGATAAGAGGACGAGATCTTTGATTTAAGCATCAGTCGCCATGATCACACTCGAAGCTAGCGACCGTTTCAAAGCCCAGCGAAGCCCAACCGAGGTTTACCCGGTTGTAAGAAGAGGCTGTTCGGCTGGCAAAGAAATGAGGGTTTGAAAGTGTCAGAAAGCGGGTTGGTCAAGCGGGTGTTTAGATCACCGCGTCGCGCTTGCCTGTTTTTCCAGTGATCTTGCAGCTGCCTCGCTTTCCTTATAAGCCCGCCGCCCCCACCTTCTCTCTTTATCTCTCAGCACCGCTACTTTCGCATACCATCCACAAGTCGTCAGACAACATCATCTATCCAAAACAACTCCTTTAACTCAACAACTTCATCACAATGTCTGGTCGTAAGTACTATCGACTCCATAACACAGTCTCCTCCTTCTTCACTACGCCGCCGCTGCCCTCGCTCCAGATCGCGAAGACGCGTCGTCGCGTCGGCTTTCATCAACACCACTTCACGTCATCCATCACTTCTCATCAACTTGTACTAACATACTATCACAGGTGGCAAGGGTGGCAAGGGTCTCGGAAAGGGTGGCGCTAAGCGTCACCGCAAGATCTTGCGTGACAACATCCAGGGTATCACCAAGCCCGCTATTCGTCGTCTCGCTCGTCGTGGCGGTGTCAAGCGTATTTCTGCCAGTAAGCATCCATCATTCTTCATGTCTTGTCAAACATCATGCTAACCGTTTCATCAGTGATCTACGAAGAGACCCGTGGTGTCCTCAAGACCTTCCTCGAGGGCGTGATCCGTGACGCTGTTACCTACACTGAGCACGCCAAGCGCAAGACCGTCACCTCCCTCGACGTTGTCTACGCCCTCAAGCGCCAGGGCAGAACCCTCTACGGTTTCGGCGGTTAAATGCCGCCACGCAACCTGGCTTCTGCCGCTGGTTCTCTTCTCTTCATGAACTTCATCGACTGCTTTTACTTTGCTTTTCTTACACTCGACCGGCGCGAGGTTACGTGAGCTTGCCATCGATGCAGCCACTGGGACATGGGACACGGAGTTATCTTGGTACATGGGTAACGAGCAAAGGGAAATGCTCCTCTTTCAGATGAAGGAATGTCTATCAAATCACATGAATCAAATATGAATGGCACAAGGCCTTCATGCATTATCAACTTTCAAAATCATTGTGCAATCAACGTGGCAGTCTCTGCCTTTGTTCAATATAGTAGCCTACACCCGAGAGACGGTCGATTTGCTCATACTCGAGCGTTACCGCTACATCTTGTCCATCAAAATAACACCATAACGCCCCTAGCCATGCAAACCCAGCAGGTATATCTTCTTTATCAATCGTGCAGAGTAGACGCGAAACATGGACTACGCGATCTATGAGCTAGCACCCTCCTGCTTGAGCTCTTGTCCTAGCCTGTATTTGGGCTCCATGAGGCCAATCTGTAAGATATTCCACGTTAGCAAAGGCCCTTCCGACGCCAGCTCCTCTTGTTCCGCCACGCCTTTGAAAGTACTCCATGCCCCTGTGTGCACACATCTGTGTCTTCCTCCTCTTGCGGCGCGCATCACTGCCGGAATAGAAACTCACCATGCTAAGCAACCTCCAAGCAGGATCACTCGGTTGAGCACCAACACCCAACCAGTACTTTGCGCGATCAATGTCAAGCTTGATATCCTTGAACTTCTTTGCCGCCTCGTTGCCGTCGGTGGGGGTTTTAGGGATGGGATCATATGTGCCTAGGACTTCGAGAGGCTTGCTGCCGCGTGCGGTTCTGTATTGTGGGTTCTCTTGTCAGGACTTGTGGTGTCTTTTATTATCTTTCTCGTCTCTCGGTTCGCTTTCAGGGACGTGGGACGGAAATGCGAAGAGGGAACAGTGTAGGCGTGAGATGTGGTGTAGGCGGGTTTAAGAAGGTATAGGCGTACCGGGCGTGAGCGACGACGATGTTGTAAAAGGGCGCATGACGCTTGCCGAAGCGCGCGAGACGGATCTTGAGAACCATGGTGGATTTTGTCGTGTGTTGGGTCGTAAATTGCGTGTCGTCGAGGACGAGGCTTTCTTTGCGGAGACTATTCGATGCCGCCGCTGCAAAGACGACTTTCGCGATGTAAGAGAATGCCAAGAACACCCGCATCTGGTGCTGTACGGACTGCAATCAACCATCTACTTTGCTTATATTCCGCTTAATTGTCCCTAATTCTCATTCTGGCGTTACTCCTCTCATATCACAATGACGTGATTGCTCTGATGCTCAGGCGGCATCTTGGAAAGTACAATATCGACTTCTGCGATAATTCAAGTGTGCTGCTATGCTACATCTCGAGCCCACTGGCTCTGCTGGGTATACTGCTCCGAAAATAATAACAATCGCCGTGTTGACGTGAAGCTATTCCTCTTCTGGAAGACGATGTGTCTGACTTGGTATGGCAATCTATCACACGGTTCTCATAACTACTAGGCGGCAAAGGTCAGCAATATTCCAGAGTCGGTAGCCAATGATGCCATCACTCACGTTGCTCCAGTCGATGGTCGGTACTAGTCGCTTTGCCCTCAACGGCCAAGACTCTTTTACTCAGCTCGTTGTAGGACTTCATGATGACCGACTTTAGTTCGGTCTGGCGACCAATGAGTCCTCTCAATTGCTCAGGAACTCCGTAGGCCGTCCGCCATTGATTTTCCATCATCCTGAATAATTCGTCCGTGGTGACAGAATTTAAGCGCGTCTCATGTCTCTGAAGCAAATCCACGTGGTTTTCCAGCGTCTGCGTAATATGGTCAAATTGGGGCTTGAGGTCTGCTGGAAGCATTGTCCCCTGCTTGACTTCGTCTTTTGAAGCCTCCAATTCCCTCTTGATACTCAGATTGGATTCCTTCAGTTGCGATGTGACTTCATCCAGAGCAGTGATGCGCAATCCGTAGTCGTTCAGCTTTATCTTTAGATCTTTCCAAGCCAGAAGAGTTTCAAGGTCCTCTTCAAGACTAGTGCTTGTTTGTGCCTTGACTATTTGTGACTGTAGCTTGACCATTTTAAGTTGAAGATTATCGATACCAGTTTGTGCTTCATCTAGCTGCTCGACGAGAATGTCGTCTTTCTCCTTAAATTCGAAGCCTAACCTTTCGATTGCCCGATCGTGTGAAGCAAGTCTTGATATGATGTTTCTAAGATCGGACGGGGCAGGAGCGGTAACCGGAGTGTTAGAAGGGCCGAACTTCTCGACTCGATCTCTCAGGTCCTGCGTGGTTTCCGAATTCTGTTTGATCTTAGTGGCGATATCGACGTCTAGCTTCTGCCGCAATGTTTCGAGCTTAGACTCATTCAAGTCAATTCTCCGAGAAATCTCTTCATGCTTTGTTTGAATCTTCTGCTGATCGATACTCGATCGAACAGTATCCACGGCCTGTGGAACCTCTCTATGTGTGTTCCGAATTTTGCCCATGTCGCGTTCTAGATCAGAACAACGAGTTCTGCAACTAGTTTTTTCTTTTGAGAATTGTTCGCATAGCGACTTATTGGTATCCACGGCTGATTGCACAGTTGAAATCGTTTTCCGGTCAAGATCTTCGAGTTTGGTCATGCGTTCTTCGAGCTGGGTGATACGCTGTTCTGACTTCTTAGCGTACTGATATTCAGTATCGGCGTCTTCCTCCATTGCGGCAATTTTGACCTCCATCCCATGATTTTTCTCGTGGTGATGTTTCTTGAAGCTCTCGAACTCTGAGCGAGAAATACAATCTTGGTGTTGGTGAGATTTCGAGTCTTGTTCTGGAAAGTAGCCTTGCAACACCTCTATAAGAAGCTTTGTAGCTTGAGCAGTTTCGGCTTCTGTCGTTTCGAAATCCATCTTTGCTTGGCTCAGTCTGTTGGTCTTTTGTGTTCCAAGACCTGGAAAGTCTGTATAGCGTGGAAGCATTTGATCGAAATCTGACTGAGTGTTTCTCAGATGCTGGACACTTTGATTGTGCTTGGAGATCGCTAGGATGAAGCTCTCAAGAGCTTTCGGAACTCCTGCAATGGTGTGTGCTGGTGTAGTATATCCAGGTTGATCCTGACCATTGGCCTGAGACGTGGACGACCGTCTTGAGCTTGGATTGGACGCAGTCGAGTGTCCATTAATTAGATTAGCTGCATAAGCAGTATGTTGGTCAAATCGACCGATCTTCCTTGGCAGGACTCTCGGGTCTGGTGAGGGCCCAGAATATGAACGCTTCATAGCGCCGAGTCCTTCCAGCTGAACAGAGTTAGTGACGAGGATCGAGGGACAGTGTGAGCAGTGAGAGACGGTACGGCTAATCGCAACCGAAGGATGATAGCAACGGAAGTGAAACAAGTGGATGAAAAGATGGGACTGAGGTTTGCGATGTGTTGGACAATGTGAAGGATCATTGGAAGTGCAGTGAGATATATATTTACCAGGAAGAAGGCAGCGTGTGAAGGAGTGAAAGTGGTTGGCATAAGGGGTGAGCGTGAGCACAATGCGATGGGACGAAATCGGAAAGAAAGGCGAAAAAGAACGACTTACACAGCAGACAGTTATTTGAGTCTTAAGAGCAATTGAAGCTGTTTTTATAGCTCATGAAAGATAACATGAGCACCCGGGTGGGCATGGAACAAAAAAAAGCGGGCCCTTGAAGCGGAAGCGTTCGTTGGACGCGGAGAAGCTGTACCTGGCCGTTGTTGCACAGCAGCTGGTGCTGGCTTTCGACGCTTCTGAGTGAAGAAGCAGGGGAATTGCGCGGTAGTTTGTTCGATGACGGCAACCGATTGCAAAGAGAATACTGGGCGATCTGATAGCGCTTGGGCCGTTTGTCGAGGTCAGAGGAAGAACGGCGGCGCCAGGTCGGTCAGTCACAGGTCGACGACCTCGAGTGGTGGGGAGTAATGTGCAAAGAGTTGATGCTTTCAAAAGGTGATCGCTCTTGAGGTTGAAGTAGAGTGAAGCGAAGGCTAGCAGTAGTGGTGGTGTGGCGCGTGAAGTGGTGGAATAAATGACAAAGCTGTATGTCGGTGTCGGGTTGAGCCGCACAGGTGGATGCGAAAGATGCGGAGCGTCGCAGAAGAGCAGCAGCAGCTGTTGGCCTTGTCGCATCAATCACAATCACACCCACAACCAAAACTTTGTCACCATCTAACCACCTGCTTTCCACGAGTCCGTCCTAGAATCCGACCGCCAGCTCGCAACCCTCTTCGCGACACGACCCCACAAGGCTAGTTGCAATGGCGGCGCAAATCTCGACCATTGCCGAATCGAAAGAGGTGCGCGGCCTCAACCTCATTGCCGCCCACTCCCATGTTCGTGGTTTGGGTGTGCAGCCGGATACTCTGGTCCCCAAGCCCGCCGCCGAAGGTCTGGTCGGCCAGCAAAAGGCCCGTAAGGCAGCTGCTGTCATTCTCCAGATGGCCCGCGAGGGCAAGATCGCAGGCAGAGCTGTCCTGATCGCCGGTCCTCCTTCTACTGGAAAGACGGCCATCGCCATTGGAATGAGCAAGGGATTGGGTGAGGATGTCCCGTTCACCATGCTCGCTAGCAGCGAGATCTTTTCGCTCGAGATGAGCAAGACCGAGGCACTGGAGCAGGCTTTCCGCAAGAGCATAGGAGTTCGCATCAAGGAAGAGTCGGAAGTCATCGAGGGAGAGGTCGTCGAGATCCAGATCGATCGCAGCGTCACGGGCGGCAACAAGCAGGGCAAGCTCACCATCAAGACAACCGACATGGAGACTCTGTACGACATGGGCACAAAGATGATTGACAGCATGACCAAGGAAAAGGTCCAGGCCGGCGACATCATCTCCATCGACAAGGCTTCTGGTCGCATTACCAAGCTCGGACGGTCATACACACGCTCGCGCGATTACGACGCAATGGGTCCCGACACAAAGTTTGTTCAATGCCCCGACGGCGAGCTTCAGGTGCGTCGCGAGGTCGTACACACCGTCTCTCTCCACGAAATCGACGTCATCAATTCTCGAACCCAAGGCTTCCTCGCTCTGTTCAGCGGCGACACTGGCGAGATCAGATCAGAAGTTCGCGAGCAGATCAACACAAAGGTTGCCGAGTGGAAGGAAGAGGGCAAGGCTGAGATCGTGCCGGGTGTCCTGTTCATCGACGAAGTTCACATGCTCGACGCAGAGTGCTTCTCCTTCATCAATCGTGCTCTCGAGGACGAGTTGGCTCCCATCGTCATCATGGCCAGCAACCGTGGCCAAACACGCATCCGCGGTACCAGCCACGTTAGCCCACACGGCCTGCCACTGGACTTCTTGGATCGTCTCGTCATCATCAGCACTCAAGCATATTCGCCCGACGAGATCAGAGAGATCCTGAGCATCCGTGCACAAGAGGAGGAAGTAGACGTGTCAGCCGACGCTCTCGCTCTCCTCACAAAGATTGGCCAGGAGACTGGTCTGAGATACGCCAGCAACCTCATTACTACCTCACACTTGTTGGCACAGAAGCGCAAGGCTAGGGAGATTGAAGTCTCTGATGTTCAAAGGAGCTTCGAGCTGTTCTACGACCCCAACCGTAGCATGAAGTTCGTTTCCGAATTCGAGAAGAGATTCATTGGCGACGAGGGTGGTGTCGATCTGGGCGGCATGAACGGCAACCCCGATGCCATGGAGATCACTGCCTAGGTTTACAGGATTGCCGTGGGCGAGACGACTGCATGTTAGGGGCGTTCAAGGAGTCACAAAAGAATCGGAATACCAAGGCCAGTAGGGGTACGAAACGAATGTTTGTCATAGATAGCAGGAAGTCCTAGCTTCAGTATACTAGACTCTGGATCGAGTATGCAGATGTCATAAGGTCATGTCTATTAGTTGATATATGTGCTGGTTCAGCATCTCGTCTAGTCAGACACTGAAGAGGAAAGCGCAGTCATCCGTCATATGTGCATGCCGGGGATGCCACCGGCAGCTCGAATGAATGCAGTACTGTACAGGCTGGAAGAAGCAGAGAGCCGCCCATTTGATGAGTTTTGCCCGATATATGAGGCCATCCACGAACGCCGAATCATCAAGTCAAACGTCCCAAATCAAGGCAGAAGCAACGAGCGTTGGGAAGTATCAAAAATCAAAGGCTCAGTCTGTCGGCGCTGAGGCGATCAGCACTTGTGTCACGACGTACCATGCTGAGCTTATAGAATCTCTCTTCGCCTGCAGCGGTCCTGCCGCCAATGTACCATTTCTCGGCACCAAGAATGTCTCTATAGCCCATGCCACCTTCAGAGCTGCTGTCCGAGCCTCTACGATTTCGACGAGCCTCGGACGCTGTAGGATAGCTCGGTGGTGGGCGATTCGGAGGGCCATATACAGGCATACCTGCCGAGTTCACGCCCAAGCCCGGAGAAGGAGGAGATCTCTGAGCGTGGGTAAGAGGTGAGACATTGTGTTGTAGAGGAGATAAAGTCGAGTGTAGGGGTGTGGGCTGTACAGGAGTGACGGTGGACTGGTTGGAAGAGGCTGATTTCGAATGGATAGCGCGAGGAGCCGAAGCAGCGTTGGGAGAGGATTGCGAAGGATTTGTCGAAGTTGAAGACCAGACGGTCTGAGTGTGAGAAGAGCCGACTACGGCGGCGGCTGAAGAAGCGGTGGAGATGGACGAATTTGACTTGGGAAGGGCGGTAGAGTGGGCGCGGAAGGCAGCCCAGAAGTTGGAGAAGAAGGGACGATTGCTGTTCATGACTGGCGCTGTTGGGCCCTCAGGTCATGTCTGCTATTGCGCTTGCTTGCCTCGAGGGCCAGTAGAGTTGTGAAGATCCCAGGCGATTTCCGACCGGCGGATGTCGATCTGGAGCGTCGAGTTGATGTGAAGATGCAATGTAGACAGGCACGTGTATTCGCCCGTTTTATACTGGTACCTTCACGACAAGTCGATTTCTGCAGTAGGACGTGACCAAAGACACGATAGCATGCGCTCAGAGGTGAAGTGGATGTCGGCGAAGGATTACCAACGCTGCGGGCAAAGTCGGGGACGCTTCGATGAGGGGTGTGCCCCGGATTCTGTCCGCGATCCGTTTTCGGGATGTTCTCTTCCCGACTATCCTGTCACGTATCTGACTGCGATTCTTGAGTAGACAGAGCAATGCTTTGGTGACGGTTCCCTGCGACCGGTCTGTCGTTGGTGCAGAGTACGGCAAGCTGGAGGAGAGAAGAATCGAAAGACGTTTGCGATCAGTCGTTCATATCTCCACACCAAGATGGTTGCTTTTTCCAAAGCCTCTTTTACTCGCTTGACCGAGCCGTCCCGTCAACGCTTGTCAGAGTGGACCATCTCGACCTCGCTCGTTGATGCAGCATGTGCAATTCTGGTGTCAAGTCAACGGTATAGCGCATGAAAGGGGATGGAAAAGGAATGCGGCCTCCTGGAAGCTCCTCAGACCAAGTCATGTCTGAAGCTATCTCACGCGTCCTGATCGACATGTTGACTGCTACTTCCAGACTTCCAGTGGTCCTTCGACTGCTACGCAATCGGTTTCACGCGCCCTTTGCTTCCACCAGCGCCAATCCCTGAAACTATATCAGGAAACACGGGCTCGAGCGACTGAGAGACCGTTCAGTAGAAAAGGAGTCATGCGCACCGGCTGCGACCCACCGTCATGCTCATCGTCACCGGGCGCCTGAACCCTGTTTTAATCTTTCTTGTCTCCTTGGTTCGCGTTGCGTCTCACATTCCTTGGTGGCGTGGCGCGTACTTCCTTCCTCGACTATATATTTCTTTGAGCCATCTCCTGCACCTGTTTCTCAACCTTTTGCTTGCTATACAAACACATCTCCACCGTATATCAATCACCTGTTACCATCTCTGCAGCATCCGCATTTGCATCAACATGAACTTCGTTCTTCCAATTCGCATCGCGCAGCTCATCCTTGCGCTCCTCGTTCTCGGCACAAGTGCTTATGGTGAGCGCACTCTTGACTATGCCATTGCTTCAATCCACTGATAGCCTTCTTTAAGTCGCTAGCAGCTACAACCATTCGCCCTCCGAGATCAACTTCTTGGTCTTCACTTCAATCTGGACGCTGCTCGCCTTGATCTACCTCAGTCTCACCTCCTGGAAACTCGAGCGCTTTGCCCACCCATGGATCATCTGTGGAGTTGAGAGCTTGACAATGCTCTTCTGGTTCGCTGGATTCATCGCTGCAGCAGTCTTCCTTGGGGACCTTACTACCTGCGCTGGAAAGGCTTGCGGCTCTGCTAAGGCTGCCACTGTCTTTGCCGCATTTGAATGTGAGTCTTGCAACCGGTATTCGGAATTTCGCCTTGTTGACAATGTTATGCAGGGGTTTTGTTTGCCGTTACAACAGCCTTGGCTGTCATGGCTGTACTTGGAAGAGGTCGTTCCACCAAGGCCGCGCCCAACACGATGGGTGCCTGAAAACTTCGCACCCGACGAACACCTAAGATGATGATGTGTGTCACGATTAATGGTTTTCTGGCGCAAGGCGGCGTTGTTTACGGCTTGGAAAGACGAGATACCCTGGTAACACCTCGAAAGTAATTTGGTCAGATCGGCGAGGGATGTTTTCTTTCACATGCAAGAAGACCAAGCCACAATTTGTGGCGTTCAGGGTCGCTCAATGACGCTATTAATCAGCATCGAAGCCGCGCGAAACACCCTAGGCCGAATGTGTTTGTCGCAAGGTAGTTCGACACTACTCTACAAATCAATACTCCTATCATCTTTCTTACTCATCATCTCCTCATAACTCCTGTATACCATGGCAGCGCTCGACGAGAGTGCGCCCGCACCTCTGTCAGAAGATGAACAAGATGTTCTCGCTCTGAGCGTGCACTACCACGGCCAACCTATAACCCTCACTCTGGCCAACGATGCCACCATTTCTGATCTCTCCACCCTCGTCGCAGAGGACCTCCAAATACCACCCTCGAACCAAAAGTTCCTCATCTCGCCAAAACCTGGTCTCTTCCGACCACCCTTCAAAGACCCGGCCCTTCGCCTCGATTCCCTGCCACCGAAAGTAAAGATCACACTCCTAGGCAGCACAACCCAAGAAGTCGCCGACACCGAATCCGCCATCTCCACCCTAAAGCAAAAACAACAAGCCCGCCGAGCAGCCCTCAACGCCGGCCGCAAAGTCCAAGCAACCCGTCACCGTGACTGGAAGACCGCAACCGAAGAGGCAACATACACATTCGCCACACTACGTCCACTACCACATCTGCATCAACCAGAAAAGTCGCTACGTTTCCTCGAGCGTCTGCGCGATGACCCTGGCATCAAGTCTGCAATGAGAAAACACAAGTACAGTGTTGGTTTGCTGACGGAAATGGATCCTGCCGAGCATACCACACACGAATCAAGAACCCTAGGCTTGAACAGGAATAGAGGTGAGGTGATTGAGTTGCGGTTAAGGACAGATGCATACGATGGCTACAGAGACTACAAGGTCATCAGAAAGACATTGTGTCACGAGCTGGCTCACAACGAGATCGGTCCACACAACACAGAGTTCCATGCTCTCTGGAACCAGATCGAAAAGGAAGTTGAAAAGAACGACTGGTCAAGAGGTGGCAATTCGCTTGGAAGGCAGGAATTCTACAACCCTGGCGACGACTATGTCGATGATGATGACCACTGCGATGCTGGTGGTTGGGAAGGAGGATCTTATGTCCTAGGCAGCACGTCGAGTCAGAGCTCTGCTGAACCGCTTTCGCGACGAGAGGCTATGGCTAGAGCAGCTGAGGCAAGGGCGAAGAAGCAGAACAATTCACAGAAGACGGCCGACCACGATTCTAATGCACCGCCGACCTGACCGAGACGATTTTACGACCGATAATCTTTGGATTTTGTACAGTAGCGTAGCATAGCACAATGATGGAAACGCGAAACTGGTATTATGCTAAATAAGGACCCTCTTGTCATGACTTGGCTGCTGTGAAAAACCTACTCTAGAGCCTGCCAGTGTTTGTGCTTACTGTGTGGCTGTCGGCTACTGTCTCCCATTCCGGAACGATGAGGAATGTTGCCAGGAACTTCAGAGCAGCAGGTTCGCACCTTGAAATAAGCGCCATCCTGCCGACTGTACGAGTTGTCATAGGCGTGTCGAGCTCGACCTCGGAGGCTTTAAAAATCGACACCACAAGTGCAAGCAATCCATGTATAGACATGGCTTGAACAAACATGAAGCCTATCGACTGTCAGCTGAAGCTGCAACACCCACCTGCACTGGTTCCGAGCGTCGTGGTAGTATTCCCAGCCATTGACGTAGACCCTATTGAGGGTCATACCGACGAAAAGGGCGCTCAGCATGTTGTTCACAAGATCATCGAATTGGCGAGTCAAAGTTTAAATGGCGAGGGTCGAGCGACGTGGCGATGGAGAGCGCCGCGAGCTGACGAGAGTAATGAAGTGTCGCACGTTAAAATGTTGAATTGCTCATTTAGTTGAAGCAATTTGATGGAACCGCACCACGGGATGTGTAACTGTATTGGAAAAAGGCGGATTGCCGAACTAGGAAAATCCACCGGAAAGAATGCTCGAGAATCGTAAGCTGTATAACGCGCGAGTGTGTCTGGGTTGTGTCGCCAAAATAGTTGCAGAAGCACGTTACGCCTCAAGATTTCTGATTCTTTTTGTGCCGTACGACGAGCTGAAAGCCGAAAAGACCCGAGAGATTATTCTGCTGATGCGCCCCGAACGAACCGTGAATAGCGTGGAAGAGCGGCAGGAAGATGACGAGAAAGGTGAATTGGTACAAGATGATGGTTGGGCAGGATAACCGATGGGCCGTCATGTCAGAGTGCTTTTGAATTCCCCCTGGTCATTAGTAGCGCTTCAACGGCGTTCGTATCTGTCAGCACCGCGCTCCTCGCCATAAGCACGACGGCCACCAGAGGCAGCAGCATCGGCAGCGGGAGCGGCAGGGTCAGCGTAGCTAGAAGGAGCATCAGCGCGGGCACTGCCACGATCGTAGCCATATCCTCCGCGTCTGTCATCGTCACCGCCAGAGGCACCACCACGTCCAGCGTAGCGGTCTTCGCGGCCACCGCCGTAGCTGCGGGAGCCACCGCCGTAGTCGTCACGATCGCGACGGCTGTAGGAGCCGCGGTCCTCGTAGCGATCGTAGTCGCGACCGCCACCGCCGTAGCGGTCACCACCACCGTAGCGATCATCGCCGCCGCCGTAGCGTCCGCCAGATCTGCCGCCGTAGTCTTCGCGTCTGCCACCACCGCGACGATCGTTGTAGCGGTCGCCACCACCGAAGCGGCCAGGAGGGCGGCGGTCGTCAGCTGGGGACGAAGTCAGTTGGTTGGTTGGTGTGTTTGATGATGGCATGGTGATCTTACTTCTCTTGGGGGGACCGAAGTACTTGCCGGGGGTAGGAGTTCTGGGTCTGGAGCGACGAGCCTTCTCAATGCTCAGAGTGCGGCCCTCGTAGACCTCGCCCTGAAGACCAGACTTGGCAGCGTCGGCTTGCTCGCCAGTGACCATGTTGACGAAACCGAAGCCACGCGATTCACGGGTGTGAGGGTCGCGCATGATGCTGCAAGTGTCGACATCACCGTACTTCTCGAAGAGGCGGCGGACCTCCTCCTCGGTCAGACGAGGGTGGATACCGGTGACGAACAAGTTGGAGCCAGGGTTGGCGGCCTCTTCTTCATCCTCACGGATCTGTTGAGCGGTGCTGCATTGGTTGTCAGAGACATGATGTCGTGATGGGCCAATTGTAGTTTTTGGTGACGTACCGGTCATCACGGACAGCGGCAGGGGAGGCGCTGCGGAGTCTGCTGTCGCCGTCACGGTCGGGGCGAGGAGAGCGCGAGCGCTCACGAGGGTACTGAGGCTCGTCTGTGATGGCGTCAATCGGCTGATGCAATGGTGCGATGCGAGTCAGAAGTAGATACCTTCGTAGTCGCGGTTCTCGTATTCCATTTTTGCGGGTGGGATTAGATTGGGGTTGGGGAGAGAAAGAGCAGATAGACAAGATCAATGAAAAGAAACAAGGAAGGGATGCTGCGAATGAAAGTCGCGAGCGTGTGAGGAAAGGGATGGAGGATTGGTCGCGCCTGCCTCGTCTAGCTCACTCTGCTGTTTGCGCCTTCCTCGACTGGGCGCGTAACTTTGCCAAGACTTTTGATCCAGCACGTGATTTTCGGAGCTGAGGTATGATGCAGATTCGAAAGGGCGCTCAATTGTTTGATGTGTTTGCGCAGAAGACAAACTTGACCATCGAATTACCTGGTGAGTCTCCCCTTTTGCTTCAAGTCAAACTCACGACCTCTGCGGCACTTCACTATCCTCGAGTGTCAACATGGCGTCGACGCTCGTCATCACGTCGCGAGAGCCGGGCTGACTAACGACAGCAGCCTCTGGCTCAATAAACCTATCCTCCCCAGTCGAGAGCAGTCGCAATGGCCTCGAACGGCCCGTACTATCAAGCTGTCCAGGCGCATGATCAACCTGTGTCGGACGAGATGCGCCTTGCTCAAGGCATCCTGGACTACACAGCCTCGGCACCTCAAGCATCCATGTACCCGGAGCCCAACTCGGAATATCATCATGCTCAGCAGCTCGCTTCAGAACAGGACGCCGAAGACCACGCTCAGCTGCAAGGACTCGTTGAGGCTGCCACCAGTGCCGCCGCTCAAGAGCAGATTCGCCAACGCAACCAACAACTCCAATTCGCACACTCGGACCAGGATCTAGCTTCCCTGTTGCGCGAACCCTCTGCCAGGATCTCGACGTCCAAACGGAAGCGATCCATCTCGCTTGACAATGACGATCCTGCTTCTGCAAGTGATTCTTCCAAGCGCCAAAGACACTCTGAAGACCACGGCCATCATTCCCCACACCTCGATGCTCGCGCAGCTGGCGTCCATTCGGCCGCTGCTCTGTTCCGACCTGCCTCCGATTCTTCTAAGAAATACACTCGGCCTCCAATGTCCAAACTATTCACCTCGCTCGAACTGTCACCGGAAAACTTCTTGTATCTGCAGGCCGCTGCGAAACAGTACATGCTCAACGCCGACTATCCTGACCGCCAGGCATGCGTAGGAAACAGGGGAAGAGGTGACAATGAAATGGTCAAGGCCAGGATGTATCAGTGTGTGCGCGAATTTCTGGAAGCCGAGGGCTGGGGAGAGAAATACTTTGGCGAGAACGCGCCTCCACCAAACGACGGAGAAGCCAATGCACCGCCTCAGCCGCGTCGCTACATATGGCCTCGTGACAGAGACCGCATCATCGCTCTTTGCACTCCGCTGCTACGCCGTATGGTCACGAACGAACGCCAGAGACAGTATGCTATTGAGACACGCAAGGGTGGCAAGCAGGACAAGCCTCTTCAGGATGGCCCTGATCCTCAGGCCCACCGTTCTGCTCAGGACCCGGATGGCGTTTCCATGTCCGCACATGATGGTCAACAAGAGCCATATGACTCGCGCTTGGACGCCATGCCAGCTTACCACCTCTATCTACTAGCCCCTGAGACTGGCCAGCTAGTGCGAGATCGTATTTCTTTTACCATGGAAGAAGACTTCAGCTGGCAATGGCTGGTCGACACACTGGTTAGCAACTGGTGCAGTGCCCTACAGATCGTCCAGCCCCCTCCTGATATTGCTGCCAATATACTCGAGCAATTCACCATCAAAGTGCTCACCTCATCTGGTCTGACTACTGTCTCTGGCGAAGGCGAATGGCAGCTGGCTGTTCAGGACATACGTCAAACCATTTGGCTCGACAGTACTGTCAAAGTCGTTGCGGAGGGTCCACCTGCACCATAGAGCCGTGCAATTTCTCTCTTCATCGTGTCCTGGTCAATTGTGGCGGTGTCTCCTTGTTGTGATAGAAACATAGCGTCGACGCTTTACAGAACTAGATATCCAAGTCTTCATTGCAAAGGGCTTTGTGCCACATGCTATCTGTCAGTCATGTCATCTCATACTCTTATGGAACACTAATGTAGTGACTGCACAAAACGAATCTGCAACATGGTCACATGTGAACGTTAACAAATGAGAGTGAAAATTGGAGATCTTGAGTTTTCATTTGATTGAGTAGGCCTCTCCTGAAGCCATGATTACAATGAGCATCTATTTTGGTATCCTAAAGTTTTATGGATCCATCTGTCGGACTGTAAGAAGAATAGAAAAAAGAAGCGAAGAAAGAAAGTAAAGCAAAGGCAAGTATAATGTTCATGTCGTCAAGTTCGTTTCATCAGTCATCATCAGTATGGTTCTCTCCCACATATGAAGCGAAGAGAAAGCAATGAAAAACGCTTGTCTCCTGCTCCAGACCGATGACCCGGAAATGAGATTCGTAAAGATTCGCTTTTTCTCTCATCAATCATATCGTGCTGTTCTTCGTGGTGAAGAAATTCGTAAAAACAAAGAAAATGCGTAACTACAGCTCAGCGTGAGCGTGGCCTAGAGCATTTGGCCGGCAATGTTGCGGATGGCCCATCGCCAGGAGTCGTCGGATTGACGGCAGTCACCGTTCTCGGGGAACCAGGTTCCACACCTGCGGCGCCAGGCATGCTCCTCATCGCGTTGACGACGAATGAACTCGGGACCCAAATCGAACTCTTCGCCAACAAGCCACTCATCGCCACCAGTGGTTTGTGTACCATCGGGAGCAGAAGTGGGGCCTTCCTTGAGATCCTCGATAGCAGCGAAAGGATCTTCTTCATCTTCGGTGACGCTAGGGCTGTTGTTCCTAGAGTCTCCGGGACGAAGCTTGAGCCAACACATGCGACGGGGGTCAAAGACCATGCCACCAACGACCTTAATGTTTTGATTGGAATAGTCGGACGCGAGCGGGGTGATAAGAGCGGGTCTTGGGGGCGAAGGTGGTAGGGGACGTGCAGTCATGTACGAGGTCTGCTGTGCATCATAGGTGGTCGGGGTTGGGGTTGGCAGTAGCGGGCCAAGCTCAAAGGGAGCCAGACTGTTCTCATTGCCCTCCCAACGAAGAGTCTGGGGGTTGAAGGTCATGCCCTTCTCGATGATTGGCTTGTCGGCATTGGCAGTGCTAGGAGCAATGAGTTGAGGGCGCTTGGCCTTGATTCTGGAGGCACTTGGGCTGGTGTGAGGACTGCGGGCAGCGATTTGAGCCTTCCAGTTAGTGCTGACAGGCATAAGCGGACCCTCACTCTTGGGACGACCGGTTCCTGCAGCACGGAGGCGTGACTCGCGTGCGATACGGCTTGCTGCAGTATCGCGAAGATAACGCGGGGTATTGGACTGGTCCTGGAAAGTCTTCATGGGCATGGGGCTGCGCGGTGTCACCGGAGCGGGCGTTTGCATGCGCTCAGGCAAGGGAATCTTGGTAGGGCCAGAAACATCAATCCTGCTGGGAATGTTGCGAACAGACTTGGGTGCGCCCCTGGAAGAGGGCTGCTTGAGGTACCTTGACTCCTTGGTCGACGAGGTGGGGAGGTCATCAAAGAGGTCAAGTTCGGTACCGTCACCGAAATTGCGTCTGCGAGACGGCTTCGTCACAGTGCGTTTGGATGCAGCTTCTCGTGCAAGCGCGGCAGGAGCGAGGTCTGCACGGCGACCGGAGCGAGACGGCGTGTCAGGCACATAGCCCGAAGACAATCGTGAATAAGAGCGAGGTGGGGGCGACTGGCTGCGCTGAGGTTCAGCCTCGCGACGAAGGTGGTACGCAGAGGTACGGGAAGGAGGCTTGGCGGTAGTGTGGTGCGACTGGGCTGATAGGTTGGCTGGTAAGAATGGTACGGGCTTGACGCTTTGTTGGGGACCGCGTAGCAGGGGCATGGATCGCTTGTTGCGCAAGAAATTGGAACCCGATGTAGAGGGTTGAGGACGCTGACGAGTGACAAGCGTTGCTCCGGGTTCGAAGACAGGCTCCAGGCGGGAGGCCGGCTTTGAGGAGGGGACAGGGCGTGGGATGCGTGTGGCAGAAGGCTTCTCGGAGAAGGTGAGGGTCGTGGTGGGAGCACGAGTCGACGACGAAGACTTGGTCTGTCTCTGCTGGATGTTGCGGTGGAGGGTGAGCTTGCTGGGATCGAAGACATTACCCGAGCCAATGTCAAGACCGCTCTCGAAGTCGTCCTCGTCCTGGGCCTGCGAAGTTGGAGGCGCTTCGACCTGCTGTTGACGATGCTTGAGCATCTTGCCCAAGTCAATGGGACCCTCGGGTAGTTCAAGACCACCAAAGTCATCCTCGCTCTCGGTCATGACGCTGCCTAGACTAGGACTCATGGCAGAGCCAAACTGAGAGCCGGAGAAGCTTCTATTGCGCTGGTCGCGACGTGTGCCAGCAAAGCGGATGCCCAGACTACCTTCGGTGAAGTCATCAAAGTCGTCGTGTTCTTCCTCGTGTTCTTGGTGGTGAGAAGGCTTGGGCAGTTTGAGCGAGAGAGGGGCGTCGTCGCCGATGTCCAGATCATCCGCCCAGTCGTCGTCTTGACGGGGAGGAAGTGTCCGCCGGGAAGGCGGGTTTCCCAGGCGTTGGATCTTGCCGCTCATCAGAGCTGACGGAGAGACATTGTTAGGGATAGGGACGCCGGCGTGGAGGCGGGCGGACTGGATTGCGTTGTTGGCCGAAGCGTCGTCGTTGGGCGCCAACATGACATGCCAGTCATCGTCAGCGGGCGCAGATTCGGAGCGCAGCGACAGGCGCGAGGAGAAATGAGTCTGCACAGTCGAGACGGAGTTTGTGAAGAGATCGCCCTGGAAGTCGACATCGTCGTCCCAGCTCTCAATGTCGGCCGCGGCCATGGCAGGCGGTCAGTCGGCAAGCGAGCGACGACGGCGTGGACGGAGAGTCGAGTTGATCGGAGATGGGGAGCGAGAAACGATCGAGGCGCTGGGAGCGACAGTAATGAAGGTGCTGGCAGGAACGGGGTTGCATTGAAGACGCAGGCAGCGTGCAGAAAGGACGAAGCGCGCGATGGCTGGAAAGCTGCTGCAACGGGCGTCGAGATATGCAAGCCAGCACCAGGGCAGGACCGACCGAGCTGGACAGCGGTCCTGACTCCTCGAAATAGTGCACGCACCACGCACCTTTTCTTTTTTCGCAAGAAGGGTCTAACTTACAGTCCCGCCAGTTCCACCGGGCTAGCGACTCAAGCGCACGTCGCAATCTCAGTAAACAATCAATCAGTCCCACGCGACCTTGACACCTACTTCAGGCCTCTACCGCAGCAGGCAATGCTTCACGTCGCTGCGGCTGTTGTCTGAAACGTCTCACGAAGACGCGCTTGTCTGCCGAAACGCTCGCCAGCAAACGGTTAAAAAGTTCCGGGTAGACGTTGTTGTCGTTGTTTGTACAATCCCGCCGCTTCTAAACAAACGTCCCCCGCCCCGGCATCTGTCGCCTACTGCTCTTCCCTACATCAGCCCTCGACCGGAGCTAGCCATCATCAAATTTTACTCTGCCGTCATGCCACCATTGCCAGACCCTTTAGTCTTGCGGCTGCTGCGGACTGACGTCGACAATGACTTCGTACTCGTCAATGTCCTACAAACCGGGTCTGACCCTCTCGATGTGAAACTCATCGCTACTGATGGAGAGTTCCCTTTCGTCACCAACATACTACAGAAAGACATTCGCAAATTGCAGGCTTCTAGCTCCCAGACCGATTCGGATCAGTGGCAATCTATCTTGTCTTCTATTCTGCTCCAGTCTACTCCAAATGATCCTACTTTGACCGGAGTAGAAGCCGTGACCAGTCTCTCCTCATCTCAGCTCACTATAACTATCCGCAACAAGATTAGTGGCATCACTGTACGTTCCCGCTGCAATTCTCCTTGACTCATTTTGTATACTAATGTCCGTAGCAACGACTTGGCGCAATCGTTCTTGACAAGGATGAGGATGAAGCGATTCAGCTATACGACTGGACGGGTTTTGCTGTATTCCGAGCAGATACATTAGCCCATCGACTAGCTACTTTCCAATCTACTGTGGCGGAACACCAGAAGAGAATTGATGAACTGACCGCTCAATTGGATGACCTGGTCAAGGCGAAGAAGTCTCAACAAGATGAGATGCTCAGAAAGTTTGCAGCCCTATTGAACACCAAGAAACTTAAGATTCGCGATCAGCAGCGCCTTTTGGCTCGCGCTAAGGTCGACCCCAGAGCCGCAGATCACGTTCAGCAAGTCAGATCTACTACTGCTGGCCGCAAACCTGATCTGTCTCGCTCGAGCAAGCGTAAAGCTGATGACAACATTCAAGAATTTGAAACCGATGACGACGACCTCGAAGAGACGGATCTGGGGAAGCCCATGAACGAAGCAGATGACATGCGTCAGGAACTTGATGACCCCCTGACACCTGACAAATCCGACCTTGATACTGAGGATGAAGAGAGCGACGGTGGCTTTGCTCCAGCCCCCATGCCGTCTCAATCATCACGCTCACAAGCCTCTCTCCGATCCAAACCCAAGACCTTGGAGACAGTCGGACCTAGCGAAGCTAAGACTGCATTCAGCGAGTCCCCTGAGATACAGCTACCACCTAGAAGGCAGTTGCCCTTTCCCATGAGGAATACTACGCTGTATGCTTCACGAGCTCCGCATCAGGCAGCCATGTCCACGACTTCTTCGCAAACCTTGCCCATATCCTCCACGACCATACACTCTTCAAAGCCACCACATCCAATGGACGACGACGATGAGACAGATGATGAGTTGTAAAGAACTACAAATGTTGACGCATCAATATACGAGCGTTAGGCATGTAAGCCAGCATGATCAGTTGGTCGAGATTAGATTGCATTAGCTTTGTGCACTATTTACAGCTTACCAGTAGTCAGCGACATCATCGCCCATCTGGTCCTCCATACTGCTCTCTAAACGGCAAAGTATCTGAAGCAGTCATAGAAGCGCGCCCTCCTTCAAGTGTCTGGAAAGCCACTGTCCTCGGTGTCATCGGATTCAGCATGTTTGGCATCCCTGGTGTCACTGAATACTGCCATTCTGCCTGTGATCGCATCTTCTCCCATTCTTGCTCATCGAGTCGGGCCGTTTCTGGCGAATATTCTGGTATCTCCGTCTCTTCCACATCCGCTGCTCGAGCGGACTTTTCTCCTTTGGTAGGTACACAAGAATAAAGCGAGACGGCCAGCGTCACTGCAAAGAGTATCCTGATGACGTTGGTCAGTCCTACGATACTTCGATATGTACAGGAAATACTCACAACAGACACAACGTTACAGCAAAACTCGCTTTTGCCTGCTTGCAATATCCAATGTTCTTCTTGTCTGAAGCGACATTGCAACTCTTGGTGATGTACCATGGTGCACCCTTCTGCGGATGGTTCTTGTCGGTCGTGTCGGAAGCAGATTGACCATATGCACTGTATGCATAAAGGACGACCAAGAGTGTGTGAACCAGAGCGGAGAAAATGGGAATCAGAGCCCGCATGAAGAACAGGACTGGCTTGATGAGCATTATGAACATGGAAAGCACTGATATGACGACGTTGTAATCGGTGATACTATTTGACGGTCAGAATCTGGCAATGAACAAAGACATCATAACCTACAATTGACTCCAGATGATGGGAGGGCTGATTGGTCTGTGATTGGCGTAGGAATATAGGATCTCAGTAGGTGAGCTATTGAAGCCATTGTCGTATCCATCAGTCCAAAGCCGTGTTCGGTAGGTGTTTGGCTGAGCAATGGCGAACAGAGCAAGAGCGGCCACAGTGAAGGGGAACTCTGCGACGAACAAGTAGAGCATGGTCTTTCGTGACCTCCATTTTCGCGCGATAAGCAGCATTATGGTAGTTGTGCGGCTCTGGGTGAGATAACAGCAGTGTATGACTGTTCAAAAGACTCGAGAACGCTCCGCGAGTATCAAGTCTCACACTTAGCAGTCAAGCGCCGAAGAAACGGAGGGAAGTCAGAAAGGAGACGCTGCTCACGGGAACAGACATGATTTGTACAAATTACTGCGGTACAACTCACGCGCATGATCTAAGTTCTCCCTCACACTGTTATCACCGTCAGCAGCGAACGAGGTAAGCTGTGTAGCCGCCCTCAAGCAAGCGTGGCACGTCTTGCGCTTGCTGTACATGCATGTCGTCCAATCAGCGTGCTTGCTGTGGCGCTTGGCTGGGTTTCCTTTCATCTCCATCTTACGTCTTGCTCACCATTCAAATTAAGATCCGCGTCCACGCATATATCGTTGCTGATGTCTCTCGAGAGGGTCTGATTTTTTTTATCCTTTGGTTGCGAATGATATCGCGGCTTGTTGACAGGAAGGTTGTCTGTGACAACGGGCTGCTGAGAGCACAAAGGCTGTGAAACTTGATTAAGAAGCAAAATGGACACACAATCCACAAACATGAACAACACTTCCACAATCCACATTTCCCCGCTTCGAGAATAATATTGGACACGATGATGAAGAAGAAGCGAGGTCGTCGTGTGAAAAGCCGATTATGAGATACCAGGCCAGGGTGCTACCATAAGCATCGTTTCGCGAGGCGTCGGCGTCAACACCTTCGTCCACTCGTTCATCCTAGAAATATCACATAATCCCGTCTGAGCATGTCTCACCCCGCGAAGAGAACACTTAGCATGCTCTACGGAACAGCTTGGAAAAAGGAAAGGACAGCCAATCTGGTCAAACAAGCCCTGCAAGCAGGCTACCTCGCCATCGACACAGCTGCTCAACCAAAGCACTACCGAGAACACCTCGTCGGCGATGGAGTCCGCGAATTTCTATCAACCAGTAGTCTCAAACGCGAAGATCTATACCTACAAACCAAGTTCACTTCCATCAACGGTCAAGATCCCAATAATTTGCCCTATGACCCTTCATCCAGTATCACAGAGCAAGTGAAAGCTTCTGTCGCGTCTTCACTGCACAATTTACGAAACAACGAAAATGTGGAAGAAAGTTACATCGACTGTTTGGTACTGCATAGCCCGTTACCAACGATCCAACAAACCATGGAGGCCTGGGACACAATGTCCTCATTCGTACCTACAAAAGTCCACTCCCTAGGCATCTCAAACACTTCACTGCCCATCCTCAGATACATATGGGACAACAGCACTGTCAAGCCGAAAGTAGTGCAAAATCGCTTTTACGCCGCTACAGGCTGGGACATCGCACTCAGACAATTCTGCAAAGACTCTGATATCGAGTATCAGAGTTTCTGGACGTTGACTGGCAATCCTGAGTTCTTGAGTGCTCCGTTGATTACACGTACTGCTGAGGAAGTCGGGATAAGCGACGAAGTTTTGCTATATGGCTTTGTGCAAGGACTTGGTATTACACCTATTAATGGCACGACTTCGCACATTGAGACTGATGTGGCTGAGCTCCTGAAGCTCGAGAAATGGAAAGCCGAGGGCCACAACGGCAAGACATGGGAAAAGGTTGTTCGAGTTTTCGGTCTGTTTCTCAAGAAGTGGGCTCATAATGGTGACCATCGTGGTTGATGTCATTGTTATTTGTTATTCGTATGTCAATCCAAGCGCTGTGTTTTCCGGGAGTCATAAATCAAAATACATGATCTAAACAAATGCTGCAGAACAGAATCAGAAAATCGAGCGGAGATCAAAATAAGAATGTCTCAATTATAAATCTCTCTCCATAAAATATGTATCGTATGCGTATATGCTAACCCTATGTTTTGTCATTTATTCGTCCATCAAATCAGATCCTTGTTGCTTTTGCCCATCCCACCGTACGGTTCAGACGCTAGCGGTACGTCGCTTTACACAAACAGGTTTCTGTGCGTAGCAAAACAACAGTCTGAAACTCGTCCTCTGTCGCTCGCATTCGCGGAGTAGACCGGGTGTGTCCCAGAGTCCTCCTGCCGTCGACTGACCAGGGTCAGGGTAGCAGGAAGAGTACCACCAGCGTCCTATCTTTGCCACCGTCTTCGTAATATCTTCGTCATTGCGTCGTTCATGATGTTCGTCTTCTTCGTTGTTCTTATTATTACTGCTCTGCATCCACTCTGTAAAGCGGAGGTACTCAGGTTCTGGTTGTTCTGAAGTTCTTTTTCGTTGACTGCCGGAGCTCGAACTTCCGCTATCGTGGCTTCTTCGTATGCGTCCAGCTACAGGGATGCCAACGACACATTTTCTGAGGTTCTCAAACTCACGCTTTCCGAGTAGTGTTAGGAAGGCATCACCGTGGTTCCAGAGACTGATTTGGCTGTCTTGTTGATGGATGCGAATCTTCAAATCGCGTACAGTCTTCCGTGCTATGTGACCCATATTCACAAAATCCAGATCTAGAACAGACATCTCGAGGTACCCTGAAGGTCTTAGTGTGCGTTTGATTTCGTTAAAGCATGCTTGGTATGCATCATCCGCTGCGGCGATGGGGAAGCGGAAAACCACTGCCGAAAAGTAGTTGTTGGGAAAGGGGAAAGATGCAGAAACAGATGGGTGGGTGACATGATGGTGATTCGAAAGTGTTTCCCAGGACGATGAGTTCGGCTCAGGACCAAGATTGTAGAACTGGCACTTTGGGTAAGTCAAAGCGCAATTGTAGGACCACTCTTTCCCGAGGCCATCGACGATCAGGATACGAGTATGGTTGCTAGTCATCGCTTCCTCATGCGCGGGACTGAATAGAAGTCGCCCGAAAGATAGCCATTTGCTTGTCATGAGCGCCGCGAATCTCAACTCTGCCGAGGCGGATGTGTCGACTGGTATTTTCTGCTTCGGAAAGAACGACTTTCGCGGACTTTTTGGACTCCAAAGCGTAGGCCCAACTTGAGAGCTTCCAATCTTGCTTGGTGATACTGGAGCTTCCGATTTGGCGTCCTCTCGATCTACAAGGTAGTCTGAGATCGAAAAAGTAGTGCTTGGACGGCTTGTATCAAAATCCGAGCCTCTTTTGCTAGCCCTAGACTTTGAAGTACGACGAAGTGCGCCCTCTGCGTTGTGCCCTATAGGCTTGTGATCGACCATATCTCCATATTGGAACGGCGCGCCAAGAGACGATGTAGTTGACGCCCTGACTTTTTGGGGCAATACTTCATCTAGCAGATTGTCATACTCATTCCAAACTTCGTCTTCACCTACGAACGAAGATCTTGTGATGTGAGGACTTCCAAGGCCAGAGCTACTTGTATAAGATAGCTCTGAGTCCTTCCTTGGTGGGAACGCAAGAAACTCGCCTGCATCGTCGGTGATGGAAGTAAATTGACCGTCCTTCACGTTGTGGTCCAAAAGGTTCTCAAGGACGGAAGTGCTTTCGAGAGGAGACTGGATCTGGTTTCGCACCACTTCCGGTATTCTACCAACAGACCGTAGTCTTACTTGAGGAACGTCTCCTTGTCGGGGTGATCCAGGCGGCTTTGGAATGTTCACAAGCTGAGGAGCCTTGACTTGAGTTATGGTTTTCGCTTGGAGAAGGACTGGAGAGCCTACAGACGTTCTCTTCAAGTTTCGTGCATCCAACGGACTGGGTAGAAGACCTTCGTGTCTCCGACTATAGGGCACAAGATGTTTCTCACTCTTCGAATCCGTATCCGAGTCTTTCGAGCTGTGAGAAGAGCGGCTTCCACCGCTGAAGATTTTCTCTATGTCGGTGAGTTCGAGGTCGGTAGCCTGATCGATTGAGCCAAAATGTAATGATTTCGACGACTGCTTCCCAAGCTCATCACGCGAGCTTTGGTTGGTGATCTTGGACTTGAAGCGCTGTATCAGTGTCGGACTTTTGTTTGCTGCAGAGGTCCCGAGCCAATGTCCTTCCTTGCCCTCATATGCCAGCTCGGGAAGTGGAGGTTTGGCGGAATAAGCCACGGGCGCAGTCCTCGGGGAGATTGAAGAGTGATCTTTACTGCCGACTTCGATGTCTCGTCCTGGGTTTACAAGGCGAGGAAGCTCTTGTTCGTCGGCATTTGAGCCTCTTCCCTTACCACGAAGGATTATCGGTTCTCTCCTCTCTTCCAGAAATTGATCAATGCCGTCTTCGTGATCTTCTGTCATACCTTTTTTCCGACTCAAGAACGATAGCCCTTTGTGGCTTGTCGAGCTATCTTTGCTGGAAGAGCGACTGGTTCGACCGAAGATACTACTTCCCCTTCCTCTAAAACCAAATTTACCATAGCCTTCATGGCCCGTACCCGCTGCGGGCCCTTTCTTTGGTTTCTCAGAGACGATCGGATGAGTGGGCGAGTCTCTGTAACGACTCGATAGAAGACCTATCCTAGGAGAACTCGAAGCGTTTGGGCTTGTTCCAAGCATCAGGGAATCTTTCCTACTTAGGGGAGTACCCATTTCAGATCTGTCCACAGGCGTCCTAGGTGTGGTTGGGTATGTTTGTGATTTGTTGCTTTGTCGAGAGGAGCTGCGGTTGGAGAAGCCGAAAGTCCGTCTTGGGCTTTGGGGTGGTGAGTCTGGCGTTGCATCATTCGGTCCTCGAGAAGACACTCTTGTAACATGTGAGAGGTTACTTTGAACTACTGGAACATCCAATGAGAGTCCCGGACCATCGATGCCATCCCTACTAGGTCGTCTCGGAGGAATAAGACTCCTGGTCGATTGATTTTGTGGTGGATCTACATTGAGATGCGCAAATTCTGGCGGAATACCATCGATCGGTACTCCTCGAGGTGTCCTACGAGTTACAGCTTTCGTAGCAACAGAGCTATCGGTGTTGCCAGTAGATGCAGCCTTGGCTGAGAAAGGATTCAAGAATGTTGGCCTCTGTCTGGAAGATCCTCGGTCGCCCTTGGAATGATCTCTCAAGTCGGAAGCGCTTGGCCTCATCGTTTCTTTTCGCAAGGAGGAGCTGGCATTTGTAGTCGAAGCCTTGTTCTCTTTTCGTGCCTGCGTCTTCGCAGCGATACGAGCTAGATCCAAGCTATCTCTGTGACGTGCAGATCCCAGAGCCGATGTAGCTAACGATGAATGTGAGGAGGCGGAAGTTGGTGTGGACTGGTGGCTGAAGGGCGAGCCCGAGTTTCTGCTAGAGGCCACATCCGAGAAAGGTGCTTGATTGTCCATAGTCTGATGCAAGGCCTTCGTGTCCGCTCTTGGGTCGACCGGAGTGGCATCTGACTTAGTCATATGACTGAGACTCTTGAGTTTCGTGAGTCCAGATGTGGATGGAAGAGTCATGCCAAATATGGCTCCTGGGAAGGGGTCATCATCATCATACTGCACTTTGTGCACCGTATCAACCAGGTCCTGATGTTCTTGCATACTTTCTGGATCAGTTTTGACACGAAGAGCATATTGGTTGATGATAGAAGGCTTCCTCCTCAACGCCGAACGTGGACTGTCCGGTACTGATATAGTCGAGCCTGATGCTAAAGATGGTGTCTTTGTGGTCAGAAACGGCGGGCGTATAGATCGGCGGTCTGCAGAATGAGCTTTACTGGGAGCAGCTTGGATTGATGGGGTGCCTGATGAAGGTTGCGCCTGTACAACCCTTGGCGGGACATATCTGGACGGCAGGCGAGAGTTGGTTACCGTGCGACCTGAAGTCGTCTCGCTCTTAGGCACGTGGCGAAGATCCGGATTTGTTGAATGGTGTCGTATTGGTTCCCCAGGAGCAAGGTCTTTTGAAGATCGAGTCGTTACCGGTAAACGAGTTACCGACCTTCTTAGACTTCTGGATTGAAGTTGGTCTCCCGAACCCGAAGGAAGGTCCGGTGCCAGTGGACGGGCCATCATGTTGTGTTGTGCTTCTTGAGAGTCGCCTAGCGATACCAGGATTGATCTATACCACAGTGAGAAGTATATCTGTGACTTTGATAAAACTCTTTATGTTCTTCATAGTAGGTGCCAGAAGGATCGTCAGATGATACTGGTGTAGATGTAGTAGAGACCGGAGGCTCAGAAAACACATTCGAATATAATTTCTTGGGCTTTTCTCCACAAAGAATCGAAAATAGAAAGCACGACGACGAATGTACCAGAATTAGGGTATCCTTATGCAAGCACGTTTCGAGAACTACCAAGGAAGATGTGCCGAGCACCGCCACCGACAGCACCGGAGAGAGCGATAGAGAAACGGATGAGATAGACGGTGAAAATGACGCGGCTTGGATCGATGTTTGAAGTGGCAATGTCAGCTTTGTTCAGATTTGCAACGTGTACGAGGCGGACTGGATGGGTTCGATTAGGGAAAAGGGCCTCTGAGCAGGCGAGATGCCCAAAAGCTAAAGTGGGGATGGCGCAGGCGGCTGTGGCTTCGCTCGCGTGTCTCAACCGTGGCTCGCAACGGTGTGTCACCCGCAGATCCGGCCGACGACGTTTTCTTGATATTCCGGAGCTGGGGGCAAGTTGGTGGGTTTCAAGAGCTGATATGAAGATTTGGGCAAGAATTGTAGCTGTCTAATATCATTTCATTGTACTGTCAGAGTCACGAGCGATAAGGTCGCCCGTCTCCTGCCGCAATGCGAAATGCCGCATCTCGCAGACGCCGCTCCTCTCTGACATACGATCCGCTAGTCGCGTAGCTGTATGCAGGCACAATATAACATGACTCTCACTCGTCAATTTTCGAAGCACCTCAATCTCAATCTAGGGCCTCTGGACTATGATTTGCAGGCTTTTCTTACCAGCGCGAATTCGACCAGAAAACTGATCACTACTCGAGATCCACATCGGACCGGCCGTGAAAAACACAGTTTGGCCAGCTCATAGCCGTGGCTGTGTGCATGTTCATGCATGCATGTATGCATCCGTCGCGCCAGTGCTCCGAGTCATGTCTCTTACTGGCTCCAGGAACTTTCAAATGGAGATACATCCCTTAACCCAATTATACAGGACGACATCATGTTAAGATAGTGTCGACAACCCCTCGAGATCAAGAGACAGAAGTCCAGGATCGGAAGACTTCCACGCGAAGATTCTGCACGCCGGGCACCAATTGCAAACATCTTCCAAAGCCACAACTCAAGCAGCGGCAAGCTTCAACCTCATTGGAACATTGGAAGATGAGCCCACCTCACTCGCATGACATTCCAATCATGTGATTTGTAGTGGTGTACGGCGACTCGCCGACAATCGTGGGAGTCACTGGAATTGACAGACTAGCTATCGGAAGTGTTTTTCATATAGCACACGGCATTCGGCAACATTCTTGAGATTCACTACATGCCCCTGTAACTACAGGACTTCTTTGATACATCGCTAGGACTCCAGCCAACACCATTCAAGCAACTTCTACTCGGAACGCCATGGTTGCAAATGCAGTTTGATGGGAGCCATAGATTTATGGATCAAAACTTACTTGATCTTGAGTATGGTCATGTCGTGATTAGGAGAACTCTACACGTGCGCCTTGGTTGGCGCTTCGTTGAGAGGCTCTCTCTGCTCTTCTTCTCCTTCTGTTTGTGTCGAAGGCACTGAGCTCTGTTCCCGTACCTGTATCGTTCGTTACAGGACTGCCAATCCCGCTGTTCAAGCCGCTGGGGGCCATGTTAACAGGACTCATCCCCATATTATGTGCAGGAACAGGTGGGGGGCCCTGCATGGGCGGCAGATTCAGCTCATCTGGGCGCGATGAGATTGTTGGTCTGGTAACATTGCTCAGAGGTTGTGTGGTGCCTTGAGTACGTCTGTACCTGACGCTTTCATCCTCGACTCCAGAGCTCAGGCTCTCAGCCCTTCTCCTTCTCTGACGTCTCTCCCGTCTCCTTGCTTCTCGCTCCGCTGCGGCCTCGTCTTCGTTCAAGCGCCGGAGTGTGACAGAGTGTCCATCAGGGTTCATCTTGACCTTGAGGCTGACAGGTGGTGAAGCAACAGTCGTCGGGCCGTGAGTACCCTTGATCTGCGAAGTAGCGATGTGGCCACGTTCTGACGCCTCGCGATGATCGGGCCGACTGAGCGGATGAGCAGTATTGACTGGTGCGAGTCCTGCGTCCGGTACCATAGCTGGAAGGTGAGTCCTGGATGTGTGGTTTGATCTCGCGAGACGTGCGGCGTCAGGCATGATAGCTCCTTCAGGCATCGACACAAGACCAGGCTGAGTCGGATAAGCAGGCCCCATGATCGGTGGTGCCAAAGACGTAGACCCTTCATTGTTTGGCAATTGAGTCGCACTGTACTGATTGATGGTAGGCAGAGTTGCTGCAGAAGCGGGCAAAGGCGGCATATTGCCAGCAGGTGGATGGTGTCTGGCGAGTTCTGGATTGCTGCCTGCGAAACCATGATCTTGGGTAGCTTCGGTTTCCGCGATGCTCACTCTTCTGTGCCTCGAGCGGTCTGTATGGCGTCGGCTATTGGCACGGTTGATTCGTTCAGCGTTCTGTCGTTCTTGCTGACGCATCTCCCCGATTCTGGCATCATCCTTCTTGATCTGACTTTGCTTACGCTTCTCTTTGAAATAGCCAAAGAGACCGAGGGCTCCCATTCCAGCGAGGACACCGGGCTTAGAAGACTTGGTTGGCCGAGAGGCGATCTCATCCTCAAACGAGCTTCGACTGTCGTATGAAGAGAACGAATCGCGACTTGTCCGTGAACGAAGTGGCTGTACCAGAGGGGCAGCTACCGGTAACGCACTGGTTCGATCGGTCCTGGTAGCTCGCTGAGGTTCAGGTGACAAAGGTGCTTCTCCGTCTCGTACTCGGGTGATCTCGGCTCGGCTGACAGGTTGAGTTCCGCCAATGGTCGGAGCGTAGGAGGAGCTGACATAGCTCTCTTCATCATGTCCTCGTTTGCGCGAGAACGCGCTCTTCAAGCCTTGATATGCGCCAAGTCCAGCGCCAGCGCCCAGTAATCTGTTTCTCCAAGTGTTCGTGTTGGTGTGATTCTCGATCACCTTTTCCTCTTCCACATAAGAGGCAGAAGGGTAGGACCTGTGCGAAGGGGTCTTGGCTCTTTCAATCTTCTGCGCGTTCCTACTCTGTGAACGATGACGAAGGGCTGCCAATCCAGCCAGCCCTGCCCCAAAGAAAGCGGTATTCCTCAAGCCATGGTGACTAGTGTTGCTGCCAGTGCTGACAGACCTTCTAGTACGTCCAGTGCGTCGGTCGTCAGTGATCTCGGTTCTGGTCGGACCTGAAGTGTAGCTGGAGTAGTCATCGTAATCCGCCGTCGGTTGGTAGATGTAGCACAAAACGAAGTACAAGAGGATGAGGGCGGATACGGCCACAGCATAAAGAACAAAGAGGTACTTGGGAGATCCATAGAGAGTCATGCCGAGGGGGATCTGCGCTATGCCCAGTAGAGCAATTGCTCGGCCAAGCCACTGATGCAGCTATTGATGTAATTAGCATCATGTGTGAGGGCCAAACAGGAGGCTCACACTTACCATCAGCTTGAGAGGGATTTTCCATCGCGACTTACCCTTCTCAATCCGATGAATCAAGGCTCCACCAAAGAATTGGACGAGGACCAGTGTGTACAGAGCGACTCCGATACCGTGGTGTGGATTTGACAAGCTTCGCTCTGGACCTACGGCGAACCAGCCAAGAATGAAGACAACAGTGACCAAGGCGACTGTCAGTATCTGGAGATAGATATGGAGTCGAAGAGCCAGGCGAGGGTTGCGGTAGTAGAACCGAGCGGTGAAGATAGCTGAAGGGACCAGCAGTAGAAAGACTAGCGCAGCCAGCACTCCATGACCGATGATCAGGCGGTGGTATTGAGGGAGTTCGGAGAAGCGGTTGGACATGCCTAGGGACAGGAAGTTAGACAAACTTCGAGACTAAGCGAGTTTGGATAATCTCACTGTTCAGCTGCATTGTTGCGAAGTTGAGGCCCTGTAGATTGGGTAGGAGAAATGTATTCTTGGTTGAGTCCCATGTTCCGTCTCCGACAAACATGGTGCTGGAGTCGTAGACACTGCTACCTGGCGCACTAATACCCTCGGTAGACATCTTGCCAACGCTGTTTGAGCGCGCTTCGGCGCGTTGTATGAGTTTGGTGCTCGATCGATGCCAGGATGTGGATTGATGTCGATGGTTGGAAACTGAGCTTGTGTCTGACAAGTGTTGTTTCTTGTTTCGTTCAAATTCGTCAAATCATCGAGTCGTGATAGTCGTTTCCGAGGTGGACAAGCAAAATCGATTGTTAATCGATAAGCGCTCTTCTTCGCTCGGTATAGAACAATGCGTGATATGGTAGGTTTGCAGACAGGAATGCAAGGTCAGAATTCAAAAGCTGTACATGTGCGCGTAATCACAGAACGAACGAGACATGGGAATATGAGAACAGGGAAGTCGGGCAGCTTCTCCATGCTGCCGCACCGCACCCACCGCACCATCTTGCAAGTTTAAAAGCGACATGGATAGTGATTGGCAGCAGCGTTGACCTAGCAACTCGACTGTCGCGATTCCCCGCTATCCTTCCCGCTGCGCTCGGTGCACAACTCGGTCGATGCGATGCATAATTTATGAAAATCCAGCCATCTCCAGCCGCTTCCAATCGTCTACAACGCCATTTCCTGCCTTGCCATCAGAGACTCAGTTGCGTTATCTGGAAAGCACCAATCAGATATATCCATCTCTCACGCATCCTTAACGAGCACGCGAATCATGGTCAAATCAAAGGAGTTTCTCAAGAAGCCAAAACTTCCAAAGCAGACGAAAAAATCAAAGGTGTGCTATCCAAACTTTTCTTCCCTGACACCATTGACATCTAACGACTATCTCAGATTCTGATTACTGCAGATGACTTCCAGGAGGGTAAGCAGATCTTCTTCGGCGAGGGCCTAGACCTCGATTCAGATTCATACTGATCACACCCGCAACACAGCCGCCGACGCCGAAGAAGAGACTGGTGGTAAATGGAGAGCTGGCGACCCAGCCAAATCAAGTCGCGCCTTTGTCAGAGCGATTGAAATCTACAACAATGGCTTGCAAAGACATCCAAAAGATGCCGATTTGGCATACAACAAGTAAGGATCCGCAATTCACATTAAAGAGTCACAGGATCAAGCTGACAAGACCACCGCAGAGCTCGTCTCGAGTTTGAATTGTCACAGCAGCCAACTCTAGTGGCTAAACTGGCAGTACCATTACTGGACTTCCTACAACAAGCTCTGGAATCTCATCGCTATGCTCTTCGACTTAACGAAGAGTCGGCCGATATTCTGTTCAACACGGCTCAAGTCATGATCAGTATCGCCGAATATGTAACAGAAGCCGGCATCTTTAGTGCGCAAGCCGACTCGGTAGCCCTTCTCCGAGAAGCACTTGAACTGCTATCAGCATGCTTCAGTCGACAGGAGATGCTCGTAGAAGAGCAGAATGCAAACTCCATGGAAGCAGAAGGCGGTGTTTCTGTCGAGCAACAGGCTCCACCGGCAGAACCTGAAGCATCATCCTCTCGAGCAGCAGAGGATGCAGGATCTGAGAGTGACGAGGAAGGAGAATACGTTTCCGTTCAAGCATACATTACTCCTTCCGACCTTCTGGACACGGCACGTTCGAGTCTAACTGCCTTGACCCTCCTGATCACCCTCGATGATCCCTCCAACGTATCTCCTCTCGCCAAAATGGGTATCACTCTAGTCGAAGAGAAGATACCTCAGTATCTTTCACAAATCGAAGCCGAAGAGCGCACTCAAGAAGAACCAGACATCGGCCTCGAACGCGCCCAATTCCACGCCTCCCTCACAGTAGCCGATCTAAAACTCGGCACCGCAGCCCCAAGCGAAAGTCTCGCCCGTCTTCAACAAGCTTTTGAACCTCTCGCCATCACCACAAACGTGGCAGTCATGTGCACCTACGCAGACAGTCTTGTAGAACTGACCACCACGGCGCAAAACTTCAGTCCGTCGAGTGCAGCGACAACTTGCTGGTCAACTCTGTCGAAGGCTCAAGATCTCTACGCTGCTGCGGTTAAGATCAATGACGCAGAGGCTAAGGCACGTAAAGCGAGAGTCTATGAGTCTAGAGGTGATGTCGAGTTGTTACGCTTCAATCTCGCTACTACACCTGCTGCTGGGCTTTCGACTGCTATTCAGAAGAGCGCACCCACGTTGATCAAGAATGCACAGACGTATTATCGTGGTGCGATGAATTTGTTCAAGGCTGAGGGAGATGCAGAGGCAGCTGCAAAGGTGGAAGTGAGAGGTTTGATAGCTGCTATGCTCGATGGTAAGCTCAATGGCGATGTATCTCAGCAAGTTGTCGCTGCGTTGGGCCAGAAGGGAGAAGCTGGTAGAGCGGTGGCCATGGATATGTTGAGGGAGAGTTTGTTGCCTGAGGATTGGGATCAGGGGGTCATGTGAGAAGAGATTTACCTTGGAGGAACTTGTATATAAATTTTTTGGTTGTGAACAAATTGGTGTACATTGAAGTATGAAATCTATAGTCTCCATGACATTAATTTGTCTTGGTCTTCCTACCTCCATTTATAAAGGCTTCTGCTTCATCCTCACTCGCCGTTGTATCACCATCAGCATCGCCGTAATCTCGCCAGTCTCGCTCGCTACTGCCGTATGGCGCAACATCTTCTTCCTCGTCCTCTTTTTCGCTCTCGCTCTCTGGCTCAGCAAAAAACACGCTTGTTTGTCGTGTAAGCTCATCAATGACACTGCCTCGTCGGGCAAAGTCTAATGACTCCTCGCGCTTAAGCTGTCGGACACTCGGACGTACAGTATCGTTTGAAGCGCGTGGTGACATGGAACCCAGCCATCCACTAAAGCGTCTAGCAAATGATGGAGAAGGTGCTCTACTTTCTTCGAAGCGTGATCCCATCGGCGAATGGTTCTTCGAGGTTCTGCCGCTCTGCATCCTGTCGGGGGTCTCGGAAAACATCGGGCTAGGCTGGAGCTTGCCGCCATCTAGACGTGCTTGCTCAAGTATCGACTCGAGGTCATCACTGCTCAGCATACTGCGCATTTGACTCTTTTCAATAGATGGAGTCGGCAGAGCATTGGGATTGGGTCTCATGCTCTGTCGTGCGTCTTCCACGATCTTTTCGATCTTCATGCGGTTAGCAATGAATTTCAATTTTGGGAATGCAGCCTGTTGTCCGTTTTGAATCATTCCAGCCAGGCGTTCTTTGGAGGGATCTGCTAGGATGTGCCAGAAGTCGGAGGGTTTGGACCTCGGCCAGATCGTAATCGTGCCCGAGAATCGCTGTAACCACACCTCGCTCCAATCTTGGCCCATTGGTCGTGGGAGTAGTTCAAGATGCCTGAGCACCTTTAGCCACTTGGTCAAGTCGAGCTTGAGATATTGTTCGAGAGCAGAGCCGAGGAAGCCACCTCTCCAGCCTCGACCACGTCGATGTGTCACTGGCCTGCCGACACTGCCGCGTGATGAAAAGAAGAAGAGATTGATGTGCGGGTTGACCTGAGAGACGATGCTGAAGTTGACGTTGAAATGCAAGTTGAGGGCTTTGAGTGGGATGTCAGTGCGAAGCGAACCATCCTTCCACTTGTGACCGAAGGCATATGGCTCCAAGGTGCCGTCTTTCTTCTTTCTCATGAGTACCACTGGATTGAGAACACCAGGAACGGCAGCTGACGCAATGACAGCAGACCAGACGACACAATCAGGAGCTGTCAAATAGTTTGCAAGAATAGTCGGTGAGTGTGGATCTGAAGGTACGCAAGACACGTTGAGTATTCGACCCGTCCTTTGAAAAGCCTCGAGAAAAGTGAGTGAGCCGTGGCAGAACCAAGCACATCGCCGGGCCCAGTCGACAGAGTCAAAGCGAGCACCGGTCTTATACCAACGTCGTGACCAAACGGAGATTGGCTCTCTACAGGCAGTTATACGAGCAGCTAACGCAGGAACAAGAGTCGACTTGAGTTCCTCGTTCGTACGAGTACCTAGTAGAGCAGCAACAAGGGCACCACCCGAGGTACCAGTTATAATTGGAGGAAGGAGATCCGCATCCAGCAGGGCTTTCGCGATACCGAAGTGATAGTAAGCAAATGTCGCTCCACCTGACAGGCAGAGAGCGGTGCGTCCAAAATTCGTGCTGAGGTGCTTGACCATGGCACGTTTGTCTTCCAAGGAGAGTTGATCGGAGTCTAGTAATAGTTTGATACAGTCTGAAGCCTCGTCGATAAAGTCTTGTATGAGGTTTTTGGTGCCGTAGTAAGTTTCGGAATACAGGCGAGGGTTCTCGAAGCCAGCAAAGTTATTCTTGACACAAGCCTCGACAAGACCACGCAGCTCGTCGACAGCACGCGTGCCAGGGGACTCGGCAGGTTGGCTGTTCGTCTCTGCTTGAACTTTTGCTTTCAAGGATTGAAGACGCTGCTTGACGCGACGAATGGTCTTGCTATCGTAATAGGCGTACTCATCGGCAGTCTTCCACTTGTCGCTACCGAGATGGCCGTCGAGCTCCTCGGCGGCCTTGATCCAGTCCTGGTAGTTTGACTTGTGACGCAGACTTGCACGTAGTTGCTCACGCTTTCCCCGCCAGGTAACAAAGTGCTCGTAAAGGTAGATGTAGAACCTCGTGAACATGTACGAGAGTCCTAAAGCCATGATCCAGCCCAGGACTACAAATAGCAGGGGCCACTTGAGCAGATTGTATGTCCATCCTTCTCTTGTCTCGTCCTTGCCTCGACGCGGCGGGAGCTTCTTCTTCTTCTCTTTCTGCTGTTTTTGGCGACCCTTGACCTTTTGCCGAACGGGAGCCCAATCATTGAGTGCGGTGAAGAATTGGGGAGGTTGATTCGATGGATTGAGGAGGTCGTCCTCCGAGGGGGAAGTAAAGTCTGGAGCGGCAAGGGCCTTAGCAAACTCCTGAACATCAGCCTCTCCGATAAAGTCATCGTCGAAGTCGGGGATGGTCGAGTTCTCCCAAGCTGCAGCATCCCACGGACTGGGGCCATCGCTGTGTTTGGACGTGTCGGCCATGACATTCAAGCAATCCGGCTTCTTGCTGTCACGAGGCGATGCAAGTGCGGGTGCGCTGCATGCTGGAGGGGGAAGGTACGACGGGACTCGCGAGGAAGCATATTGGGGAAGCTGCTACGTCACCGGGTTTATTGGTTTTGGCTTTCTTATCTTATCGCTGTGTTGGCGCGTGCTTGCTCAAGACACATCAAGGTCGCCATTTGGATTTGCCTCCTGTGCGACAACAATGCTGCGGGACAGCGGCCTGTCCAAGCACAATGCCATGGCCAATCGTAGGACTGATGCTGGAGAGGCTGTCGAGGCCAAGCGCCCTGCCAAACGGGTGAAAGTCGAAGAGGCAGAGGCGCCAGACGCTGCGGAACTCGCTCCTGTCGACTCTGCACAGCACAAGACCACCGATCTCGAAACAGCTCTCCCTCCGATCGACACCGACAAGGACGCCATCTTGGCCTACGAAGCCACTCGTGCTGCCGATTGCTCCGAATCACAAAACGACCAGCCAAAGTGGATCCCCGGACAGCGCTCCATCTACGTCGACGCCTTCAACCTCGCCCTGGACACGGTTCTCGAAGATGAGAGCCATCTCTTCGATGCCGCTGAGAAGAAGGTCTTTGACATGTGGCGTGGCTTGGATTACGAGGCTCAATATCTTTACGTCCGCTTGTTTCTACGCAAGACTTCTGCCTGGCATCGCGTCAATCGCCTCGGCTACCACAGCGACATCTCCGACCTCCCCAAGGCCGTTGAGACACTACAGATCCCTTGCGACCTTCCATCGCCCACCGTAGAGTCACTGCCTGTTCCTCGCGACTTTGACCAGCCAGAAGATGCCCGACTTGGTCACTCCTTCACCTTTGCCGATCGATCGGAAGACTACATTACCACTCTCGAAGAAGCCTCTTCGCTTCTCCTTCTTGACGAACTCAAAACGCTCGCCAAAGACGCAAAAGTACAAGGCAAGACCAAAAGAGAGTTGCTGAACGCCCTGAGAAAGGCAAGTGGGAAACAAGCTGGCCTGGGTTGGTCCTCGCTCAAGCGATCCGATACGGAAGAATCTATCATATCTATGCCGGATGATGATAGTCGAGAGGGCACTCCACTACAGAACCGCGACACACATTTTCTCGAAAAGATCATGGCAGAGACCGGGCCCTGCGTCCGCCTGTCTGATCCTGCACGTAGATTGTTTGAACGTGTTCATCTTGTTTTCTATCGCTCCACTATGTGGACTGAGAAGTCCCTGACGACTATTATCCTTGCAAAGATTTCTCGTCTCAACTTCCCAGAATACCTCGTGTGTCGATCAGCCAACATATTTGCGTCCAGACCCATGTTGCTTGAGTTCGAAGCATCATTACGGATACAATTTTATCTTGACGGTGTTCTAGAGTTCAACGGTACCCCGAGCAAGGAGAATCTGGACATCATCCTTAACCTCTGCGACCATATTCTTCCACGGTGGAATGAGCTGCTGCAAGAGGAACAACAGAAGGAAGACAGCATATACATGACTGGCGAGGGCGCGTATCTGCGACGTTTGTCGCCTGCATGGGTCTATACCCGCATCATCCATAAAGGTGCATATGTTATGGGTAAGTTCAAGGACCACAAACGTGAGTACGAAACTCTAGAGGCTCTACTCAAACAGAAGCTCTTCCACACCTCCAGGCGAGGCGATTGGTATCAGCGAAAAGCTCTGTTAGAAGAACATTACATGCATGCTTTGAGACCAACTCATGGTCGTGGGGAGGAGGCCCAGAAGAAGCACTGGAAGCGAATCTCCTTGCAAACCTGCGAGGAGGGTCTCCAAGATCGGCTTGTGCACCTGATGTATCATCATGACTTACAGAAGCGAGTCATGAAACTGGAGAAAGCACTTCGCGTGCCGATGCGGGAGCAGCACGACTTTAGCCATGTTCGCTTGGCAAAACCTGTAGAACGTTTCTTCCACGGCACTCGAATACAGCGGCCTGAACAACCAAATGAGACGAGAAGGGGAGGCAAGACTATCTGGATTGATCCTGGAGAAAACGAGAATGAAGGCGAATGCTCGGTGGAAGCGATGTGTCTGTCGCAATACCGTGCTCTCGGTTACAAAGGATACCATGCCGAAGGTGGTATTGTACGGACACTTTTCGCTTACCTCTTCTTCGATGTCCTCTTTGTGTACATCCCAGATGTATTCCAGACGCCTTACCAGACATGTCCTTTGGATCTGCACACAGACGCCTTTTACCCATCTCGCATATCGGAGATCAACCAACGCCTGAACGAGATTAACAACGGAGAGGCCCAGAATCTTATACAAAAAGTGTGGGATGACCATCATGAGAAGAACACATGCGTTGTGGGGTTGAGCTGGTCTTACGAGTTAGAGGATCTCCTTTCCATCGCCAAATGCTTCCCTCCTGCCGCCCTTAGTACCGTGTGTAAAGTCATGGCACAAGAGTATGGACAAAGAGGAGGTGGCGTACCTGACCTCTTTCTGTGGAGGGAGGATTCTAGCGTAGAGGGTGGAGAGGTCATGTTCGCTGAAGTGAAAAGTGAAAACGATCGCTTGAGCGATACACAACGCTTGTGGATTGATGTACTTACTGGTGCGGGTGTCACGGTAGAGCTGTGTAACGCTGTGGCTAAAGAAGTAAAAGTAGTTGGTTAGCTAGAACCTCATGACTTGGACGAATTTCACGAGCATACGGAGACGGCGGATTGCACGACAGATCTTTCCTTCTTTCATGGTGCTGCCAATAAACTCAACCAACTTCATGGAATCTCCACTTGCCAACTTCCATCCTCAAACACGGCACAACCGAGATCGATCACATGTTTCAGTAGGATGAACGCATCGTGGTCTTTTGCCATGTCCAAACCAAGCTCACACAACACTTGACAGAATTGTTCCACGAGATGGACTCGAAAAAGAAAACCCAATGATTCGGATACAGGGTTGTACCATCAACCATGTGAAGCTCGCGGGCGATCTCGCGTAAAAGATCAGCGCCCATGATGCTGTCACGGCCGTGTGGCTACCGTGAGGCGCAGCACTGCCCACTTCAGGGCAGGATTTTACCACATGTCGCTTGCAAGTGCAGCCGTGGCCCGCAACTCATTTCGCGTACCGGAAGCCAATATCCAAGACTTCAGCTTGCAGGTTTTCGACATCGACAGGCGCATGGCCTTTGCATGGTGAATCAACATCCATAATTTTCTCATATCCTTGTATGCTACTGCAGGTCCTCCCGTTGATGCGATTCTATCGGTATGAAAAGCCCTGGAATCCCGGAAGTTTTCCTCTGGTTAACTTCGTCACGATTTCCAGGGCAGCCTTGCTCATATTAGCCGTGTGGAGAAAAGAGTTGTCGAAACAGACGGAGATCGAAAGCTTCTGATGTCATGCTTCGCGAGAGAGACATCTGAGACAAACTGCTGTTTAGGGCTCCAACGGCCAGGCCAACGTGTCGGGCCCGGTACCGAAACTCTACAACTTGTGGCTGGGAATTGGACGACAATCGCTGCAAAATCCCCGCGACAAGCAGCGAACGGCTTGCCGATTTTGCAGCTGCCATGTTACTCAGCAAATTTCTCGAGCTCCCTCCAGCTTCCTGCATCATAGCTCCAGTCCGAGACCCTGGTCGGATCGCAATGCTGCCGTACTTGCAGGGATGAGTATGCATCTCAGACGTCACCCGTCAACGACGCGCGCCAATCATGGCGACTTGCACGGTTACACTTGCTGCTCTTACGTCTGAGACTGTTGACAGGTCGCGGTTGCGGTGCTGTTGCCGTCTTCAATTGTCTCTCCGTATCGGCACGCGTGTCGCACAAAAGCCTGTATCGACCCGATGAGACGGCATTCTTTGATGGCCTCGACCTGCAAAGCTCCCTCGAGAGTCCTCGATTCTCGCCTAAAGCCACTAAAGGACCGCCCCGTCTTCTCCGCATCGTCGATACACCTACCCATGCAGCCACTGTTCTCCAGCCGTGGCTGTGACGTTGAAACGCAGCTGAAGAGCAGGACCAACCGATATCTCACCAGCCGCAAAACCTGCTGATGCCACCGTGAGGCGCTACCTACCTGGCAGTTCATACGTCACAAGCTTCCTGGATAGCATGCAACCAGCCAGCAGGAGTGATAGCTTGCTCCGTGCTCGAGGTAGGTACCTTATATGTTTTTGAGCTCCCTTCCCTCGTCCCATTTTCTCTATCCATTTACTCCCCCCATTCCCCCAGAATAATCTAATCACGATTGTTGTATGACCAACAATTCTTCTTCCTCCTCTTACGCCTACTACTCCTTTCCTCCAACTCCAAACAGAGCTTCTCCCCCAGCAGGCTCTAAATCCAATTCCCCGACTCCCAAAACAAGACGAACTCTGAACAACATGGCACCTTCTCCGGCAGCAGGTAAGGCCACTGGTGGTGCGCCCAAGACTCCCACAAAGTTGGGCAGAAAGCCCCAGAGCCAAACTAGCCAACCCCCCAAACTCGGACAGCAAGCAGCTTCCGGCGCAAAAAAAGCATCCGCCCCCGAGGGTGCCAAGCAGCCAGAAGTCCCTCAAGCTTCCGAGAAGCCTGATGTTGGTGATGTGCAACAAAAAGCCGGCGATGCCGCGCAAGGTGCCCAGGAGAAGGCTGGCAAGACTGCTGAAGATGCTAAGAGCAAGGCCGAGGGCGCTGCTGAAGAGCCCAGCAAGGTCGAGATGAAGGACGACACCGAAGCCGCATCCACCCAGGCTGGTGATGATGAGGACGAGGACGATGACGAAGGCCCTCTGAGCAAGGTTTCCCAGGCTGGAGACAACGCCAAGGGCCAGCTCGAGGAGCAAGCTCCTCAACCAATTGACGACTCTAATGATAACGACACTGCCGCTGGTGCTGAGGACACCGCTGATGACGATACCGAAGATACTGAGGACACTGCCGACGACGACAAGACCGTAAAGGCCGGTGACGAAGCTGACGACAACGAAGACGATGCCCAAGACACCACCAGCAAGGTGGCTGACGACGCTCAAAAGACCGGCAAGCAGACCGGCGGCAACCTGCTCAAGGGTGCCAAGGGTCTGGCTGGTAAGGCCTCTGGTCTTGCTGGCAAGGCCGCTCAGGACCCTAAGAAGGCTGCCAAGGATGCCGGAAAGGACGTCCAAGAAACCGCGGGAGATGTCAAGGACACCGCCGAGGACACTGCTGAAGACCTTGCCGAAGGTGCCCAGGATACCGCCGATGACGCTCAGAAGGTTGCAGGCGAGGCTACCGACGAGGCTGGCGATGCCGCTGAAGACGTCAAGGACACTGCCGAAGGCACTGCTGAAGACGCCAAGAGCACCGTCGAGGACGCTGCTGGTGAGGCCACCGACAAGACTGGTGAGGTCGCCGAGGACGCTCAGGACACTGCTGGTGATGCCGTCGACAAGGCCAAGGACACTGCCGAAGACGCCACCGCGGATGCTAAGGCCACCGCCGAGGATGCTCCTGAGCAAGTCAAGGGCACCGCTGAGGATGCCACCGACAAGGCTGGTGAAGTTGCCGAGGACGCTGAAGATGCCACCGGCGATGTCGCCGATCAGGCCAAGGACACTGCCGAGGATGCAACCGACAAGGTAGACGAGACTGCCGAGGATGCTGAAGACGCCGCCGAGGACAACGTTCCAGAGATCAACGACATCAGCGACCTCCCTGTCGACCTCTCCATGCTCAAGGGCCTCGAGGTCTCAGAGGATGGAATGGTCTCTGACCAAGACGGCAACCCTGTCGGCAAGCTCGCTGAAGGTGATGCCGAAGACCTCGCTGGTTACCCAATTGGCGATGATGGTGAGATCCTCGATGACGACGGCGACCTTGTCGGACGTGTCGAGCTTCTCCCCGAGCAGGTCAAGAAGCAGATGGCCGACCTGAAGAGCAAGGGTGAACTCCCCAAGGGTGCTGAGAAGTTCGTTGGCGAGCTTCCCGACACCGACGATGTTGAGGAGAAGACCAACCTCAGTATCTTCAAGGGTCTAACTTGCGACCCTACTGGTAACATCTTCAACGAGGATGGTGACACCATTGGGCAAGTCACTGATGGTGACCCGCAAGAGCTCATGAACCACACCTTGAACGAGTACGGCGAGTTCGTCGACGATGACGGCAACGTTATTGGTCATGCCGACATTCACCCCGATGCACCCGAGGACATCTATGACCAGATCCAGAACGCTGCCGATGATGCTCAGGATGCTGCCGACGACGCTCAAGACAATGCCGACGACACCGTCAAGGCCGCCGACAAGGTTGATGAAGCTGCCGACAACGTCGACGATGCTGCAGATGATGTCAAGGATGCTGCTCAAGACATTGAAGATGAGCTTCCTGGCATCGAGGCTCTGCAAGGCAGAGAGCTCAACGAGGCTGGCGAGGTCGTCGATGACCAAGGCGAGATCCTCGGTCAGATCGACAGCGAGTCTCTCAAGGACAAGCTCGAGTCTGGCGAGATCAAGGCCGAGGATCTCAAGATCAACGAGGGTGGCGAGGTTGTCGACGCTGACGACAACGTTCTCGGTAAGGTCGGCCTTGCTGAGGGCGCCGCCGAGAAGCTCGGTGGCCGCCTGCCTCCTCTTGACCTTCGTATTCTTGATGGCAGAAAAGTCAACAAAAAGGGCAAGGTTCTCGACGACGAAGGTGATGAGATCGGTGAACTTGCTGAAGGCGACCCCATAGAGTGCGCTGGCAAGAAGGTCAACGATCGCGGTGAGGTTCTTGACCAGAATGGCAAGGTCATTGGCAAGGTCTCCGTCACCCCTGGTGAGGCTGCTGAGACCGCCACCAAGGAGCTCCAGGCCGAGCTCGGTGAGAATGTTCCTGACGAGGAGGAGGGTGAGGATGAGGAGCAAGCCGATGAGGAGGAAGAGCTTCAAGGTCCTCAGTTCAAGATTCCCGACCTCGATGTCCTCGAAGGTCTCAAGGTCAACAAGAAGGGCAAGATCCTCAACGAAGACGGTGAGGAGATTGGCGAGCTTACGTCTGGTGAGCTTAGCGAATGCGCTGGCAAGAAGGTCAACGATAAGGGTGAGGTCCTCGACGAAGAAGGCAACACCATTGGCCGCGTCAAGGCTCTGCCCCAAGAGATCCCTCAGGAGGAGCTCGATGAGGCCGAAGAAGCTGCCGACAAGGCTGAAGATGCACAAGACGCCGCAGAAGATGCCGCTGAGGGTGCTGAGGATGCCGAAGAAGGCGCTCAGGCTGCCGAGGATGGCGCCGAAGACGCTGAGGAAGGCGCTGAGGACGCTGTTGAAGATGCCGAGTCCAACCTCCCTCCCCTTTCCGTCCTTGACGGTCTGACTGTCAACAAGGCCGGCAAGATCGTCGACTCAAACGGTACCATCGTTGGTGAGCTCACCGAAGGTGATGCCAAGAAGCTTTCCAAGTCTGGAGTCAAGTCAGACGACCAAGGTCAGTTCTGGGACAACAAGGGCCATGTCATCGGTCGTGCCAAGACTGTCCCTGTCGAGGAAGACGAGGAGTCTCCTTTCGCTGGTCTCGAAGGCTTGATCGTCGTCAAGGACGGTTGGGTCGAGGACGAGAACGGCAACCGCGTCGGTCAACTCACCGAGGGCGACGCCAAGAAGCTTGTTGGTCGCGCTGTCGATGAGGATGGCGACATTCTCGACAAGAAGGGTTCCGTTGTCGGCCATGCCGAGCGTTACGAGGATCCCGACCAAGAGCCCGAAGCTGAGGAGGAGCCCGTCGATCTCTCCAGCCTCAACGGCAAGACCTTGAACAAGGCAGGCTTTGTCATTGGCGACGAGGGTGTACCCGTTGCTCGTTTAGTCGAGGGTAAGGCCAAGGAACTTGCTGGCAAGAAGCTCGACGACCAAGGTCAGATCTGGAATGACCAGGGCAAGGTCATCGGCCGCGTCGAGATGATCCCCGAGGACGAGCGTGAGGCCAAGCCTGACGGTCCTTTCGCTGGTCTCCAAGGTCTTCGCGTTGTCGCTGACGGCAAGGTCGCCGACGAGGACGAGAACATCGTTGGTGAGATCGTTGAGGGTAACGCTAAGCGCCTGATCGGTCTTGCTGTCGATGAGGACGGCGATGTCATGGACAGATATGGCAACGTCAAGGGCCATGCCGAACCTCTTGAAGAAGAGGAAGAGGAAGGTCCCGTCGACAACTCTCTTCTCGATGGCAAGAAGCTCAACAAGAGCGGCTTTGTCGTTGATGACAAGGGTATCCCTGTTGGCAAGCTTATTGATGGCAACGTCAAGGAGTTGGCTGGTCGTCCCTGCGATGAGAACGGTGATATCCACAGCGACACTGGAAAGGTCATTGGTCACTGTGAGGTTCTCCCTGAAAACGAGCGTCTGTCCAAAGCTGAGGGACCTTTTGCTGGCCGTGAAGGTCTTCGTGTCAACAAGGAAGGTTACGTTGTTGATGCTGAGGATAATATTGTTGGCAAGGTCACTGAAGGTGAATGGAAGAAGCTTGTTGGCCTTACTGTTGATGAGGACGGTGACATCAATGACAAGTACGGCAACGCAAAGGGTCACGCTGAGCCTTACGAAGAGGAGGAAGCCGGCCCTGTCGACAACTCCATCCTTGATGGCAAGAAGCTGAACAAGCAAGGATTCGTCGTCAATGAAGACGGCATTCCTCTTGGTAAGCTTGTTGAAGGCAATATCAAGGAGCTTGCTGGTCGTCGCTGCGATGAAGAAGGCAAGATCCACGGTGATACCGGCAAGGTTGTCGGACGCTGTGAGGTTCTTCCTGAGAACGAGCGCGTTGCCAGACCTGAGGGTCCCTTTGCCGGACTTGAGGGCCTCCACGTCAACAAGGAGGGTTATGTTGAGAACGCCGAGGGTGACCGTGTCGGTATCATCACTGAAGGTGACGTCAAGCGTCTCGTAGGCTTGACTGTCGATGAAGACGGTGATATCAGCGACAAGTACGGAAACACCAAGGGTCACGCCGAGCCTTACGAGGAAGAGCCTGAGGAAGAGCAGACTCCTGAAGACCTCTCCGCCCTTGCTGGATGCACTGTCAACAAGGCTGGTAACGTTGTCGACTCTTCTGGCACCATCATCGGTCGTGTCGCCGAGGGTGACCCGTCTACCATGGTTGGCAAGAAGGTTGATGGCCAGGGTCAAATCTGGGACAACGCTGGAAATGTCATTGGTAAGGCTGAACTCGCAAAGGGTGCCGACACCAAGGCCGAAGGACCTTTCGCCGGCTTCGATAGCATCACCATCAACAAGGAGGGTTACGTTGTTACCCCTGATGGCAGCATCGTCGGCCGCGTCACCGAAGGCGATGTCAAGAAGCTTGTCGCTCACAAGGTCGATGAAGACGGTGAGATCCAGGACAAGAACGGCAACCTCATCGGTAAGGCTGAGAGATGGGAGCCTGAAGAGAAGGAGAGAAAGATCAACCCCATGTCTGGCCGCCGTGTCAACAAGGAGGGTGAAGTCCGTGACGAGAACGGAGATGTCATGGGCAGACTCACCACTGGCGATCTCGGTCACTGCGTCGGCCTTGAAGTTGATGACAACGGTTACGTTGTTGACAATGACGGCAACAAGGTCGGTGAGGTTACTCTCATCCAGAACATCATTGAAGATGAGGAGATCCCTGAAGAGGAGCTCACCGAGGAAGAGAAGGAGGAGCGCAAGAAGAAGGAGCAAGACCGTGAGATTGCTGAGAAGATGGGTGCCATCTGTACTCAGACTCTCGAGAGAGTCCAGCCCGTCTGCAAGCAGATCACCGACGTAAGTGCTTACCTTCATCTGTTTACTCGAAAATTTACTGACCTACCTTTCTTCTACAGCACATCGAAGCCGCCGACCGTACCCCACGTGAAGAGTTGGATGAGGAAGATTTGGTCAACAAGGTCCAGCCTCTTATCGAAGAGGGTGGTCGCATCTTGCAAGAGTGCAATGGCTCGCTGCGCGGTCTCGACCCCGACGGTCGCATCGCTGCTCAAGCCAAGGGCCGCGCCGGCACCAAGGAGGCCACACCCGAGGAGTACCGTCTCGCAGATACCCTCAAGGAGTTGACCACCACTGTCACAACCACCATCGACAACGCAAAGAAGCGTATCAACGACATGCCTCACGCCAAGAAGAAGCTGAACCCTCTCTGGGGTCTCATGACACAGCCTCTTTTCCAGATTCTTGCTGCCGTCGGTCTCTTGCTGACTGGTGTCTTGGGTCTGGTTGGCCAGCTGCTTAACGGCCTTGGACTCGGTGGTCTTGTCAATGGTCTGCTCGGCGGTCTGGGTATCGACAAGCTGCTCGGTGGACTTGGTCTCGGTAGCGTCGCCAGCTCTCTCGGCCTGGGCGGCAAGAAGGACAAGAAGAAGTCAGGTGGTGGCGCATCCTCTTTGCCCCTCGTCGGCGGTATGTTCAAGAAGTAAGAAAGAAAAATGAGAAGAAAAATCACAACATCCGATACCCTAATACTGAGCAAGCCTGAGGGAGGGGGAAAAGAGAAGACAAACAAAGAGGAGGGAACTACAACCAACCATTTCTGGAGGAAAGAGCAAGATGATCGGGGGGTCTTTCTTGCATCTAACTGATGGATTATCTTTGGGGGAACTTCCTTTTCTGGTTTCTGATTCTGTTTTTCTCGAGCCCAGGCGCTGGTCTCCTTTCGTTTCTACCCTTGACGAATTTCCTTTGTTCAAATTTGTTCAACACACTGTCTGTATTTATATCACTACTTTATTTGTCGAAATAATATCCTAGCTAGGTAATTTCTGCTCGCCACATAGTACAATTCGTCTCCTGTGTTTGGTCAACTTTTCGTATCTTTCATTCTTTGTCGTGTTGTTTATTTGCAGTAGATGTTTTTGTTAAATTGTTGTAATCTTGTTCGCCTCGTGTTGCTCTGCATCCCTGCGAAGGTCTTTATCATGGAGCGGACGCGAACAAAGCGTGACTGACTCAAGTTGGAGGCCGGTCTGCTGCATGGCTGGATTGCTGCATGAGTGCTCGCGCTACACCCACATCCTGCAGGAGATGGCTGGCTTACAGAGCCAAATTCTGTGAAGGCGTGACATTCTTTTTGATTTTTCGGCAAGACCATCTATTCCTGTCCGTGGCAAATGTGTTCACTTGATCTATGATGCAAATCAGGGTTCTAATTTTGAGCACAGCATGTCAAAAAGTATCAAGCGTTGAATCTGATCCAGATCTCACGGGAGAAAAATCTTCTTGACTCGCGATGGCATCTTGCACGATTCAAGTCTGTGTTGAGTTCATGCAAAGATTACTCGCCCGCTCACGTCCGCAACCTTGGAGGTGACGGCTGCATGGTGACAAGCAAAGCCGAGGCGAGTCTGCTCTAAATTTGGAGATGATGCGATTGTCGTTGGATGATCGATGAGGAGCTTCGCTTGGAATGACAGCAACTGGAAAAGAAGGATCCGCGGCGGTGGCCGGGGTGGTATGTGCGAGTCGTGTAGGTTAAACCAAGCTTTCCCTGCCGAAAGAAATGACGATGGTCGGCCTTAATTTAGCAAAGCGTTAGCTGCGGATGGCCCTGGGATAGAAACACTCCCGCTTAGCACCACCACAAGATCAGCTTTTGGTGTCCGCCCGCCATGGCTGGGAACACAATGGACTCATCTCGTATAGTCCTTGGCAATACATGTAGGTGCTCATGATGCAGGTGTCGTAAGAGGCCCGCGCTCGACAAGCTGGACGCTCGGAGGCTAGAGGCGTGCCATCTGATCCCGGATGGTTGAGGGTATATATCCTGGCCCTGCTCCTCTCACATGGCAGTTTCAACATCTACTTCTTATCACTATCAACGGTACGAGCGATCAAAACGGGACCAGCCACATAAAATATCAAAGATGTCTCCTCGATCAGTAACTCTCCTCTCGGCCCTCCTGGCTATCTCGGGCACTGTCTCCTCGGCACCTGCTCCTATTGAGAACCGCGCCGACATCGTGACCGCCACTATCAATGGCGTAGTCGTCTCGTGGGAGAACAACTGGAACGTCCCTGCCCAATCAACGCCTCCCGCTGTCATTCCTCCTCCTGCCTCTACCGCCAACAACAACAACAACGGTGGCGATTGGATCACGGCCACATGGCAAGGCAACGTCTTCTCCTGGCAAGCGAATGCTCCTACTGCTGCTCCGGCTTCCACTCCTGCTCAGGCATCAGTGGTGTCCACAAACATCCCTGCACCAGCACCTACTGCCCAGAACACCGATTCTTCGTGCAGAGATGTTCACGTCTTCCTGTCTAAGGGCTGGAACGAGCCATACCCTGGCCGTCAAGGCAAGCTCGCTGGCGCCATCTGCTATGGTCTAGAGTCTTGCGATTACGAAGATATCCTTTACTCCAACCCCGAGGGCAGTGATTACTGCACTGCCGTCAGCGAGGGCGACCGCAACGGCATCGACCAGATGACTGCCTATGCCAACAAGTGCCCTGGATCTAAGCTTGTCTTGACTGGTTACTCTCAGGGTGCCAACGTTGCCGGTGATATTCTTGGTGGAGCTGACGTCTGTGGTGGCCCTAACCCCGGCCTCGACCCCTCGACCAGCCCCGGCAACAAGCTTGGTGCTGTCCTCCTCTTCGGTGACAACAGACACGTCGCCAACCAGCCCTACAACGTCCTTAGTGGTGCCTCTGTCAGCTGCAACGATCCCCGTACCCCTGAGTCCCTCGCTCGTCTCAACAAGTTCGCTGGTGTCATGAGATCTTACTGCGACGGATCCGACCCGGTCTGCGCAGCTGCTGGCCCCGGTCCTTTCGACGTCAACAAGCACCTCAACTACTTTGACATCTACACCGACGATGCTGCCGGTTGGGTCAAGTACATGCTCGGCTACTAAAAGCTTCCTTTGGTCTCTCGCTTTCCGAGAATTTCCTGTTGATATTTTGAAGGATGATATAAGATTTTAATCATAATGAGCCTGCTACTAGACAATAATGACTCTTCACACTTATTATACTTCTCTCCCCTTGTGCTATTTCGTCGCTTTTTTTGCTGCTGCTGTAAGGCACAGTTTTCCAGAACAGGTCGATATTTGATGAGAGCATCTACTTCGTCGACACTCCACGATCTAGAAAATGACTGTGCCCTTGTACAGTTTGCCTTAAAGAACTACAGCAGTGTTCCCGGGGATGCATCTAGTCTCAGAGGCTCCCTGTACGAGCTATTCAATTCTAAAAGTACTTTGCCTCCCTGTAGGTTATCGTTGCTCTACGTCAATCGCATGAGAGAGTGGGGGTTGGCAGGACTGGGAGATCGCGATACCCTAAGCTGCAATGCGTCAATGTCTACAGCTGAGTATCTCGTATTGAGCATGGCTCTTCTGAGATCACAATCTCCAGTCATTACGCGTACACTTCTATCAGAGACACAGTGGGTCCTTCTTGGAACACGGAACGAACACGGTCGTACCCCGCAATGATAGCACCGATACAGACATGGACTGTCATGTCAGTCTCCAACATGTCAGAAACCATCCTTGGTGGAAAGCTGGGCACAAGACTCCACACCTCCCAGTGTGACAGGGCATGTCGCGCTTTTAGCTGTCTTAGGGCACAGTGCTTTCCCAGAATGGATTGACGTCCACAGAGAGCGACCAATTCGTCAACTCTCCATGACCACTCGTTAATCTGGAAACCGACTTGCATTCAGACAACTCATTGTCGCTCTGTAACATCATGAAGGAGAGCGGGAACTGCACAAGCGCAAAGACAGCAATGAGTCGGCAGTTCTCCACGGGCGTCATAGACAGAATGTCACATCAAGCATGAGCAAAAGGATTTGCCCACAAACGGTCTTGCATGAAAATCAACAGGAAGGCGTTGCAGAAAATGGTGTGCATGGTGTCTGCAGGTCTACCAAGACCACGACGTGCATGCATGCATGCAATCCTGCAGAGGTTCACAACGCACGCGCATCAAGGCTTAGTAAAAGAAGAGTCGAATAGCGTCGTCATATTCGGACTTTTCTTCCTCCGAGCGACATCTGTCGGCTTTGTGACAGAAACAAAAACCGAGAGCGAAAATTGGAAAGGTGAGAGAAGAAAAAAGAAACGATGCTTGACGACAGAAACTTGGTTCTGCGAGGAAGCTGGTGTCACGCCTTTTCGTCAAAGTGATGTGCCTGGTTCGGGAACTCGGATTTATATTTTGCCGGAAGTGGCATTATTTATAGATGATTATTGGACACCAAGCCGTCTTACCTTGACGACGAACACACCATCGCAGTCTCAAGCGAATTGACAGAGCGACCGATAGGAAATGTTCTGGTTTCATCAAACGAGATAAGATGAGAATGATTGATGCCGCGATCGAGGTAACATGTCAGACAGGGTCACACCAAAAATGCCTCGAAGAACCTAAAGACATGTCAGGGTGGTGGATTATCTTGACCATTACTTCTACGACATCGTCTTCATCAGACCAAAAGTAGGCTCCGTGTGTCATTGAATTGGAATGGTCGGGTCATGTACACAGTCAGACTCGTCTATTTCAACAGAAGCACAATTGCAGCAGGAGCGTCTGTCTTGCTTGCTCCTTCTCCCGCCTCCCAATCACATCCTACAGAAGTCGAAATCATTGTGCACACAATCAGGCGTAACTCTGATTTGGTCGGAATCGCGATATTCGAGCAACATCATGTCCACCATCACCACTCCTCGTCCTGATCGTCATCAAACCCTTGCATACGACATGTCTCAACCACAGATGGAACTCGCTCAATTGCTAGTAAGCCCGAGACACAGAAGGATATGACTCAAACACTCTCCACGACCTGAGACTCTGATACGATTTTATAGCCGGTTGATATGTAAACTTACTCAAAAGCACAAATCCAGAGCACTCAACCATCAAAACAACTAGCTCATGCACTTGATTCGAGGTATATAGAACACCACACAATATATAAGATGCTGCGAAATCTACCAGTTATCCGTCCTTCCTACATCTCATCACACAAGCAATCATGAGATTCTCCTCTTCTCTCCCAATCGCCCTCCTGGCTCTGTCGACCAGCACAGTTCTCTCTCAACCTACTCGCACCTCTGCTTCTGCCCTCCTAGATCCCGAAGAGTACGTATCCCCTCCTCTGCCCTGTCTCCAAGCGCCCTCACAACTAACAAAATCCACCCACAGAACCTTCAAAAACGACCCCAAAAACTTCGTCTCTGACCAAGCCCTTCAAGCCTTCCAAGAGCTAACCGAGCGCTTATGCGGCAAAGACGAAGCATGCGAAGACGAGCTATGGAGCAATTACGACGCCGTCTGCAAGTTTGGAGAGGACAGAGATGAAACCACGAATGCTTGTATCAAGCAAGTCACTGCTGAACAAGCCGAGCTCGCAAGACACGGCAAGGGTGTAAAGCAGACCGAAACGCCACATGAAATGAGGGAAGAGAAGAAGGACAGCAAGGAAAAGAGAACCATGACTGCTAGATTTATATAATTCTGTGTTGTTGCAGCTCGTCGTTGGCCTGCTCTAATCATCGAAACATGACAACCCAATACACGCGGAGGTCTTATTTTATTCTAGTGACCAGGCTTTTGTAAGATGTTCTTCATCAAGGGCATTGACCGCACAAATTTCCATCTTGTCCTATAGTTCGCGTCTATACTAGATGTCACAAACGCTGCACCACGTCAATGATAGAACATCATCACCATCACGGTCTACTGAAAAGAAGTACTAACACGTACATCAAACCCGAGGCACACGCATCTCCAGCTTTCGACAACCGTGAACTTATATACGCTGCTGCTGGACGACCGTGAACGCACGCACAGCAACAAGCGCTGGCCGAGCGTCGACAAGAGACATTTCTTCGTCATCGACCCGGTTACGCTCTCGATCTCGAGAAAAACGGTACATAGACATATTCTTACGCTTAGCCGTGACTCTGGCCCAGATAGGCCAGAACTCCTGCTCGTGGTTGGAGAAAGGGAAGGAATGGACAAAGAAAGTTTTTTTGGTGGTGTTTGAACAAAGATTGGATCAGCATAGTGGATGAGTTTCTCTTCGTCGAACACTGACAAGTAAAGAGTTGTGACAAGGTAGGGAAACGGCAGTGATACATCTGTAAAAGCACAAAACATGAAAACACTAGAAAAGCAGTCATTGAAAGAACTAAAAAATCTTTGCAATTCGAATCTTTGTTTTTGCTAGCTTACAGCTATGTGTTTGATTTTTTTACTGGTTCTTCAAATAGACTTCGTACACTCGTGCAAGACACCATCAGCTCTGGCCTTACAGACCAAGCTTCTCAAGGTACTTGGTGGCAAGTTCGACAGCCTGGTCAACGTTCTCGGGCTGTGTACCCTGTCCAAGGGAAGTGGCACCCTTACCACCAGCCTTTCCACCGAGCACGCCAGCGACCTCGTTGGCCCAGGCAGGAGCATCGGCGCCCTTCTCCTTGGCCTCTGCGGAGACGTGGCAGCCGTGAACAACCTTACCCTCGGTCTCATCGGCGGCGATGATGTAGATGGTCTTGTCCTTTTGCTTGGAGCTGATGGTCTTGATGGCCTCGCTGATGGCCTTGGAATTGGCCGAGATAGGGACACGAACGACCAAGCGCTTTGAGTCGGGGTTCTCGCTGAAGTGCTTGGCGATTGTGTCGGTAACGGCCTTGTTCTCGGCCTTGAGGAATGCCTTTTGCTGATCGAGGTTTGCCTGTAGGGTACATTATTAATATATGCAGGTGTGAGTCAACATTTATCGAAACTCACCTTGGCAACCTTGGCGAAGCGCTCCTTCAGCTGGGACTTGGTCACAGCAGAGATGGTCAGCTGGTTAAGCTGGACCTGCAACTGCTTGGCCTTCTGCTCCTTCTGAGGACCGTATGACATCTTCTCCAACAGAGCGAGCTCGTCCGAGAACTCCTGTGCGACTCTCTGCACTTCGTAGGCAGCCTGGCCAGTCACGGCGATGATACGGCGAATGCCCTTGGCGATACCACCCTCCTCAAGAACGATCAACTCCTTGATCTCACCAGTCTTATCGACGTGGGTACCGCCGCAGAACTCGACACTGACGTTCTCCCACTGAGGGTTGTGGACGTCCTCAAGGAGTTGCTCAACGGGCACACCAACACTGACGACGCGAACAGGGTCAGGGTAGGTCTCACCGAAGACAGCACGAACACCCTTGATGTTTCTGGCGGTAGAAAGTGGCACCTCAAGTGAGTAGACGGGGCTGTTCTGACGGATGTATGAAGTGCTCTTGGTCTCGACCTCCTGGAGCTCCTTGTCCGACAATGCAGCCTTGTGGCTGAAATCGAAACGGAGCTTCTCGGGAGCAACCAATGAACCCTTTTGGTTGATGTCGTCACCGAGAACAGCGCGTAGAGCGAAGTTGAGAATGTGAGTACCAGTGTGGTTGTTACGGATGGGGTGTCTGCGGAGTTCATAGTACTCAGAGATGACGGAGTCGCCAGTCTTGAGAGTGCCGTAAGTCATGTAGCCGGTATGAAGGATGTAACCACCGTAGCTCTGAACGTTCTGAACCTCTAACTCGGCCTCGCCATCAATCAGGATCTTGCCAGTATCATTCTCCTGACCACCCTGCTCAGCGTAGAAGTTGGTCTTGTCAAGGATGACACCGAACTGCTCACCCTCAGGAACATCGGAGGTGCTCGACAAGAATTCTCTGTTGTAGTAGATAGCCTTGATTTGAGCATTGATGTTGCCGCGACCGAATTTGGGCTCGTCATCGGTCTTGGTGACTTCAGTCATGGAGTCCAGCTTGCCGAGATCATGAACATCAAGCTTGACCAGATCGGCACCAGCCTTCTTCTCGCCCTTGCTGGCCTCCTTGGCCTTGGCCTGAGCGGCGTTGACCTCCTCCTCGTTGATGGTGAGACCGCGCTCCTCGGCCATAAGTTGAGTAAGATCGACAGGGAAACCGTAGGTGTCGTACAAACGCCAGACATCCGATCCAGAAAGCGACTTGGTGTTGTTATCCTTGCACTGCTGAGCGTACTTCTCGAACATGGCCTCACCACGATCAAGTGTCTTAGCGAACGAGAGTTCCTCCTCATCCAGGATCTCCTTGACGTCCTGCTCCTTCTTCTTGATCTCAGGGAACATGTCACCCATCTGAGCAACAAGAGTAGGAACAATCTTCGAGAAGAAGCTGCCAATGTCGGTGTTCAAGTACTTACGAGCGTAGCGGGAACCTCTACGCAAGACTCTACGGACGACGTAGCCACGTCCCATGCTGCTAGGGATGGCTCCGTCAGTGATGGCGAAGGTGAGTAATCTCACGTGGTCAGCACAAACGCGATAGGCAGTATCGATACCGTCGACATCCTCGCTTCCAAATTTGCCCTCGTACTTTCGGACGCCAGTGATCTCCTGAATACGGTCAAACAGGGGTGTGAAGACATCGGTGTCATCTGTAGAAAGTCAGTACTACCTCCGCGATATAGCGTCGGCAACTCACAGTTGCTAGGGACGTCTGCAAGGATACTCGAAAGACGTTCGAATCCCATTCCGGTGTCTACATGGGCTGCGGGCAGAGGACGTAGAGACTTGTCGGCTTCACGGTTGTATTGGATGAAGACGTTGTTCCAGATTTCCAAGACGTTAGGATCATCCATGTTGACGAGGTGTGCAGCGTTGCGTCCACCAATTCTGTCGTAGTGAATCTCACTGCAAGGACCGCAAGGGCCTTGGTCGCCCATCTCCCAGAAGTTGTCTGCCATGTTACCGGGAAGAATGTGGTCCTCGGGAACACCGACAGATTTCCAGAGCTCCTTGGCTTCAAGATCGGGCTCGAGACCACCAGCCTTGTCACCCTCAAAGTAGGTGACGTACATTCTGTCGGGGCTGAGACCGTACTCCTTGGTGAGAAGTTCCCATGACCAAGCAATAGCTTCCTTCTTGAAGTAGTCGCCGAAACTCCAGTTACCCAGCATCTCGAAGAAAGTCTGCGATAGCTTGTCAATTATGTTTGCTGGGCCATTGATCAATTGTACTCACGTGGTGGTAGGAGTCCTTGCCGACATCGTCCAAGTCCTAATCGCATTAGACAAAAACCATCAGAAAAGTGCTGGAGTGAAGTTACATTGTGCTTTCCACCAGCGCGAATACACTATCGAGTCTTGTTAGCATGCTGTCGGCGCTTTCTATAAAAAGTCTTGGCTTACCTTTTGAGAATTTGTGGCGCGCTTGAGCGAGGCGAAATCGGATGATGGGTCAACAGTTCCAAGGAAGATAGACTTGTACTGGTTCATGCCAGCATTGGCGAAGAGAAGAGTCGGGTCCGAGTGAGGGACGACGGATGAGGAAGGCACTATCAAGCTATGAGCTATGCGCTGCGGCGAAACAAAGACCCCCAAAGCGGCATACCAAACGTGTGGCCTCTCTTCTTGACGAAATAATCAATAAAAGTGCTTCGCACCTTGGCGGCAGGCCATTGCTGGTCGGCGGTTGTGGAAGCCATGTTTGGTGCGCGTGTTGTGGTGTGGATTGCGCGAAAGGGGATGTTGTATGGCAGATGCGAGAATGTTCTCTGGGCCAGCTGAGGTGGATTTTGAACGTGAGTCAACCCACGTCGGCAACTGTTGAACAAGCTCGTGATCATCCACGCTTTCCTTCACTTGAAACCGCGCGCTTCTTCACTTGATCTAGAGTCAACTTCGAATCACTTGCTCGACTATCGCACGTCTAGACAAACTACTGGCGTGGTCGGTGGTGATGCGGGATGAACACGACCAGCGCGGAGGTCATGGACCGAGACCGAGACATTGCCATTGCGACTGCGACAGCTCCACCTTCAGCTACCAGTCCACTCCGAGGTGTCAAGCGCACAGCAGACGACTCGTTCGATGATGACCACCGCTTTGCGAAACGCTTCAATTTGCTCAATCTAGGTATATCCTCCCGCATCGTTCCTTCCCATCAACAATGCGCTGACACCTGCCTCCTCCGTCCAGCCAATGGCCATGACAAGCTCTACATCCCTGTCACGTCCAGGCCGCAACTCCAAAGTAGCCTGCCTCGACCTCCCGAAGACGAGCACATGCAGCTAGATGACACAAAACACCGCGTATATATCCACAATCTCGATGACGAGCTCGCCGACATCGAGTCAGACGAGGAGAAACTCATCTTCCTCCCAGATATTGAGAAGAAGCTCAATGCTATACCCAAGCATATTTTAATGGGAGAGAAAAAAGACACACATCAAGAACTCGTTCTCTACAGTCTCCCGCCCTCACTGTCTGTGCCTATCGAGCAGGACAACGTGCGGAAAGCTATACTCGAAGCTCGCCAACGTGCAAAAGAGAAGGCTATAAATACAGTCGCATTGTCATCTGGCACAGCTGACGGGACGCCGCCAGAAGAGCAGATCGAAACTGCTCACGGCTACGACTCTCCAGACTATGGCCTGGATGAAGACACAAATGACATGGACGAGGATGGCGATGCGATGGATCTTTCGTAGGTGATGATTTTCGTTTTTGGAATCTTGCCAGCCCAGCCAGCTCTCTACCTAAGTTCTATATACTGGGCCTTATTCTCCTCCAGGCCACCACCAGATACAAAAGTTGTTCAAAAACATTAATCTAAATTTGGTATATCCTCCCATTCCTTTCCTTTCTTTCATAAAATCTTCTAGATTCGTGCTCGACCCCAGTGTCTCGGGAGCCAGCGCCTGCTAGGGCTTGGTTGTGCTTCGATACGTATCGTTTGTGATGCCGCTACCGACTCTTCCCCTCTGAGCATCAAGCTTTCGGGTAGAGCGGTGCGTCTCGCCTTTTGGAAGTTGACGGTACTTGTGATGGTCGTCCATTGCGTCGTGTAGACGTCTGGTAAGACCGTGATTTGCTGAGTCGTCCATTGTGTGATGGTCGTGTCTGCAGGCTCGAAAGCCGCGTCGTTGGTGGCTGTTACTACCGCTGCTCGTTCGATGCTCGTCGTGATGGTCACCCACTGCGTTGTTGTTGCGTCGGCCGACACTGCTTGGACGATTGTCGTGAGCACAGTGGTCTCGGCAATCGGTTGGGCGGTGGTCGTCGTCTCGACATTGACAGCTGGTGTCGTCGCGCTATTCTCGACTGCTGTGGGCTGTTGAGTGGCACTCGACTGTGGGAATCCGGTCGGAGACACCACTTGTCGGAGTGTCGTTGTGATTGTGGTCCACTCAGTAGAGGTGGCGTCTGCGGCTACGGCCAAGACTAACGTCGTCAATACATCTGTCATTGAAGGCAATGGCTGCGTCGAGCTTGTCTCGGCAGCCGTTGCTGCAGTCGATGCAGGTGCGGGAGATGTATTGGCACTCGATTTACTGGCGCTCGAACCTGCAGCCGATGAGGCTTGTGCAGTCGACGAAGCTCGGGTGATTGATGCAGCTTGAGCAGTCGATGAGACTTGACCAAGTGAAGAACTCAGAGCAGTCGACGAGGCTCTGTTGCTTGACGATAGGCCAGAGGTCAGTGATACGGTCTGGCTGCTCAACGATGTCTGAGCAGCGGACGACAGATTTCCACTTGACATGCTGTCAGTAATTGAGGAGCTTAGGCTTGAAGACGAGAAGTCTGTAGCGGATGTGCTTCCACTTGACGAGGTCGTGGCGGTGGACGAGACTTGGTCAGTCGGTGAGCTCTCGGCGATTGACGAGCTCTCAGGGATCAACGAGGTTTCGGCGGTCGATGACGTGGTTTCGAACGATGAGGTCTGCGTTGACGATGTCTCTGTAGTCGTCGTATCGACAACAGATGACACAGTCGAGGTAGTCTCGGCAGGCACGGTTTCCGTTGATACGGTGCTAGCACTACTAATGAATGTCTCAGTTTGTGTTGGGGTATTATTATTGCAAAATGCGGGCAGTGCAACCTTTCCAGAAGATTTTGCAGTCTGCTCGAAGACTTGCAGAGAGTTGATGGTCCAATAAGCATTCGAGAATGCCGAAGGGTTATTGGCGACGTAGTCGGTGCAGGAGCCGCTTAGAGCAGAACATGTAGAGTCACTGCTCCAAACGCTACCAGCCCAGTCACCGCAAAAGGTAACATCAAAAACAATCTGATTGTCTGAGAAAAATTCAGGGATGTCACAGCATCCTGTGAATTGAGAGAGTGGCGTTCCCCAAGTTGAATCTGGGGAGGGATTTCCGTTTCGGATGTTGGCAGGGATGGTGCCACGCTGGAAGAACCAGATGCTGATCGCTTCGTCGGTCCATTCCATGGCGTAGACACCACCTCCTACGTTGTTAAAGCCATCACCATAGGTGTTGTACTGAGAGGTGGAGATCTGACAACCCAGGTTGTTGGTTTGGTCCGCCGCGTTGACGTAACAGTCATCGGAGTATAGACTTCCAGTGAAATTGCCATTGTCGTAGATGGAACAGCCGTCTGCGGTGTGCAATGTCATTGCGTTGTGGTTCTGCGTGTTTACACCTTCAATAATGTCGATCTCGCCACCGTTAGGCCAACTAGGTCCGACCATCCAGTAGGCTGGCCATGATCCACAGGAGTTGCCAGGCATGTGGTCAAGGTCGAGGATGACCAGACTTCCAGAATTGTAAGAATTCTTGCTAGTCAACCGTATACTGGGACGACCATTGGGTTGAACATTGGTATGGTCGACTCCAACATAGATCTTGCCATTATCGTTACGAATAAGACCGGTGTTCCATGCTGTGCCTTGGTCAATATACTGGACGAAGCCATGTGTAGGATCTGGTGCTGTGAAGAAATCGAACATGTCGAAGAACGACGCAGAGTTGTAGTCATCTTGAAGAACATAGCCAGCTATGCTCAAGTTAATGACTGAGAACAGGGAAAACAAAAAAAGAATGAGTGGCATGTTTGCGATTGAGTAGGTGCAATAGTAAAAGAATGATTGCGCACAAAAGAAAGAAGAGCTGAACAGGGAAATGCGAGAACACATATATAGAGCTGAGTACATACGAGAAGGTGCCGCCTCATCGATGCCATAGTCAGATAGGCTGACCCCTTTGGGAGAAAGATAGAATGTTTATTGCGGCCGTTCAAACGGCTTCAACGCAGACCGGGCGTGGCCCTGATAAATACCATGGTGGTGACCTACTTGGCGGTCTGGTCAAGAGCTACGCATCGTAATGCTCAAACGGTTTTAGCATGTACTCGTCTTCCCAGCTCATTCTCAGCTCAGCGCTGCTGATTATGTCGCAGTTCGGAAATTGTGGTTTTCAAGAACAAGGCGTCACAACAGGCTGAAAGTGATCTCTAGCAGAAATGGCATTCTACAAGCATAGGGTGAGTAGCGGAAAGAAAAGTCCTAGCATCTCGGTAAGAATGCTTGATCATGTCGTGGTTTGCTCGTGGTAGAGCGCCGAAAAAAAGCGCTCAGGGTGTGGATTGGATTGTCGTTGAGCAAATCCGCACATCCCCACCACACTTGGCAGGCACAATTTCGGTCTTCGACCAGTCGATCAAGCTGATGTCTCGGCCAGGGGTGAAGTCCGCCTCCTGCCTCGTATACCAAGTCTGCACGGCATGCTATTTTCAAGATCACTCGATGATGACAAGGCGATCAGTAGGACTTGTCACTGAGCATTGCCTGGGTTACGGGTAGCCTCATAGCACGTCATGGGACATTTCTTAAACATTCCCTATCTGACTTTATCACATCTCGTCGGCTGCCGCAGGTTTTTGCTCGTCACAATCGATTTGCAAAGGCTATCCAAAGACATGGATCGTCGGCACTGCGTACGCTCAGATGCTTGTGGATCATGGACGGTAAGGGGTTGTCCTCCCGACATGGGTTGTGAATGAGCACGAGAGAGAAAAAAGCCGTTTGGGGATTGCTTGCCGCAAGTCCAAACGGTCTCATGGAAATGGTTTCCATGTCAGCCGCCAGTTGCTGCGCTAACGGGGATAAAAGAAGCGAACGACGACAGGTTTCCTAGAGGACTGCTCTTTTTGCACTGCCTGAATGTCTCGGTTTTGAGCCGCCAAAGGGTCTGGGGGTCGTGGTTGTCTGCGCGACTATCCATAAGGTCATGATAGTTTTTGATACACAGATTTGACCAACGCATGGTTCGTCAGGATGGCGCATGCCTCTTCGTCATCAGTTCGTGCTTCTGCTCACTTCGTCACGTCTCCCTGGCTAACCAAGTCCTTGTCGCCCTGTGCTGTTGTACTCTGAGCTTCTGACTTCTTGGCCTCTTCTTGGGTGAAGAGATCTTGCCAATACGATTCCTTGTAACCATCCATTAGACGTGTAAATTGTGGCCCACTCTTGACCCAGCCTTTGACACCTCCTTCAAGCACCATCGATTGCATCTGCTCATCTCCCGCCGCGTCAATGAACTCCTTGAACCTGCATCGGTCAGTGAGTGGGGCTGGAGATGATATGGCGCAAGCTCCGTACCATGCAGCACAGCGAGGTGCTCTGCCATTTGACGAGCCACCTGTTATAGAATCGATCAACAACGAAGCTTGTTGAATTGTTATGGTCTGACTTACATGTGAAAACGACCCACTCTACGTCGGCTTTGTATGCCAATTCGTAACTGTCGGGATACCTTAGTAACGCGACCAAGGTGGAGATGGGTCGGACCTACAGCATTCCTCTGTTCCACCAGAAGCCCTGAGCCGGGATATTCAGACTACCACGAAGGCAGCCACCCTCAAAATCCATCCTTCTGAGGTCGATCAGCAGTATGCTCGCTACACCCCGTAACGAGAGCATCTGCATCACTCTGTTCCGCGGCATGATGGCCGCTTTGGTCTTTGGCTCGGGAAAGTCCTCGTACCATGCCTTTGGCTTGCTTTGTTCGATAGTCATGCTGATTCAGTGATATGAGGAGTGTTGTATCAATGTGCAAAGATTGAAAGGCTCCACTCGAGTTTTGAATTTGAACGCAGGCATCATAGAAAGCTACGGTTGAAACAGCACGAAGCCGAAGTCCGAGACGACATCCGAAGCTCCAGCTATTTCAAAGCACAATAAATTACACGAATAGCAGCAATGTATATTGATACATCGTCCGATGGAGGCTATCAATGAGGAACCGGTTCTGAAAACAACTGTGCTTTTTAACAGCTCCTTCTTATTGTATCAGCATAGAGGCCACCAGGAATGACGAGATTTTGTTAAGAGGTCGTGAGTAATGTTCAAAATTGAGCCTACATGGGCATGATTAAAAGCGCTTAACTGGGGATATCTCTGACTTTTCGTAAAATGAAACAAACAGACATGATGCATCTATTGCAATGACTCAACAACCAGAGCACTGGCACCACCGCCACCGTTGCAAATACCGACGGCACCGATCTTGCCCTTTGTCTCTCTGAGGACTCCAAGAAGGGTAACAACGATTCTGGCACCACTGGCACCGAGAGGGTGACCGAGAGCGACGGCACCACCGTGAAGGTTGACCTTGTCCTCGCTGACGCCGAGAAGCTTCATGTTGGCGAGTGCGACAACACTGAAAGCCTCGTTGACCTCGAAAGCGTCAACATCCTCCTGCTTGATACCGGCGTGCTTGAAGGCCTTGGGCATGGCAAGAGCGGGAGCAGTGGTGAACTTGGAGGGCTCGTGAGCAGCCTCACCCCAACCCAGAATCTTAGCAATAGGCTTCAGACCGAGCTCCTTGAGCTTAGCCTCAGAAACGAGAACGACGGCGGCGGCACCGTCGGAGAGAGGAGAAGCGTTGGCAGCAGTGACAGTGCCCTCCTTGGGCTTGAAGGAAGGTCTGAGAGTCTTTGTCTTTGCCTCGTTGAAGTTCTTGGGCTCGTCGTCCTTGTCAACAACGATGTTGGGCTTGCCTCTGCCACCGCTGACCTCAATGGGAGCAATCTCCTCACTGAACCAGCCGCTCTCCTGAGCGTGTTGTGCCTTCTTGTAGGATCTGATGCAGTAATCGTCTTGAGACTCTCTGTTGAAGCCGTGCTCGTCGGCGCAAGCCTCAGCAGCGAGGCCCATGTGTTGGTCCTCGTAGGCATCGGTGAGACCATCCTTCAGGACAGCGTCAACGAGAGACTGGTTGCCGAACTTGGCGCCGGTGCGCATGTTGGGGAGGTAGTGAGGAGCGTTGGACATGGACTCGGTACCACCAGCAACGACGATGTCGGCACCGCCGGTCATGATGGTTTGAGCGCCGAGGATAATGGCCTTGGTGGCAGAAGCGCAGACCTTGTTGACGGTGGTGCAGACGACCGAGTTGGGGATACCAGCACCGAGAGCACACTGGCGGGCAGGGTTCTGACCGAGACCAGCAGAGAGGACGTTACCGAAGATGACCTCCTCGACGGACTCGGGCTGGACGCCAGCTCTCTGAACAGCATGCTTGATGGCGTGAGCACCAAGCTGGGTGGCGCTAAGGCTGGAGAGGGAGCTATACAAAGAAAGGGTTGGTTAGAATTGTTGAGCAATCGTGTATGGCGGGGCTCTCTACTCACCCCAAGAATTGACCGACAGGAGTTCTGACGGCAGAAACGATGTAGACGGGGGTGGAAGGAGCCATATTGAAGATTGATCTGAGAGAGAGAGAGAGAGAGACGTGAATGTAGAGAAGAAGGAAGGAGCAGGACAAGGAGCCTAAAGAAAGGTCGAAGGAGCGATCAAGGAGGGCTCAGGAAATCATGCCATGTTTAATTTCGAGAACAATCTGGGGGGTCCAGCAGCTGTTGGCAACGTGTTTCGCCGCAGGAGTTTGACCGATACGGGTAATATCCGATCATCTAGATATGAAGCCTCGTTGGCAACCGAGAGCGGTGAAGCTCGACGGACGGAAGCTCGACTCACGCCGCACGGTTGGTGACGATCTGGTAGAGACGGAAGTCTCGCGGCGACTGTCGCATTCGAGCTTCAACTTTTGTCGCGTCAATTGTCGCTCAACCACACCACATCTGCTGCTATGGACGACCTCTACGATGAGTGCGCTCAATGTCCTCTCTTCCTGCCTTGATCAATACTGACTCTTTGCGACAGGTTCGGTAACTTTATCGGCGAGCCCGAGGAGTCGGACATCGAACAGGAACAGGATGTCGATGCCAACGATTACCTCTACGACCAGGACGAGCCGGAGGAGGTTGCTGCTGCTCACGACCAGCAGCTGATGGAAGTTGACGGTATGCGCCGCATGTGAGGAGGTCTGATGGGAGAGACTAATTCTGGCGCAGATGAAGGACCCTCGAATGCCGTCGTTCTCCACGAGGACAAGCAATACTACCCTACGGCGCAACAAGTCTACGGTCAGGATGTCGAGACTCTGGTCCAAGAGGAGGATACACAGGCCTTGTCACAACCCATCATTGCTCCCATTGTACAGAAGAAGTTCACCGTGGAAGAGGCCGACTTGCCTCCTGTCTTCTTCAGCCGCGATTTCATGACCGACTTGATGAATTTCCCTACTCAGATCCGTAACGTCGCTCTCGCAGGCCATCTTCACCATGGTAAGACAGCCTTCATGGACATGCTCGTTATGCAAACACACGACATTCAAGAGAAGCTGGACAAGCGAAAGGGACGCGATCGCGATGAGCAGCTGAGATACACCGACACACATCTTCTGGAACGCGAAAGAGGCGTCTCTATCAAGACTGGTCCCATGAGTCTGGTTCTGCCCGCCACAAAGGGAAAGTCACATCTGATCAACATGCTGGACACTCCTGGTCACGTTAATTTCGCCGACGAGGTTGCTGCTTCATTGCGTCTGATCGATGGTGTCGTCTTGATTGTCGATGTTGTAGAGGGTGTTCAAGTGCAGACTGAGATGGTCATCAAGCACGCTGTTCTCAACCACCTACCGCTGGTTCTTGTCGTCAACAAGATGGACCGCCTGATCCTGGAACTCAAGCTTCCCCCGGCCGATGCCTACTTCAAGCTCAAGCACGTCGTCGAAGAAGTCAATACTGTCATTGAGAACGCCGTTCCTGGTCAAGGCGAGAAATACCGTGTTAGTCCCGAAAAGGGCAACGTTGCATTCGCCTGTAGCATGATGGGCTGGTGCTTCACTCTCCCTTCTTTCGCCCATATGTACGCCGAAACATATGCCGGCAGCGGTCTGGATGTGCCTGAATTCAGCAAGAGATTGTGGGGCGACATTTACTACAACCCTGGAAGTCGCAAGTTCACCCGTCGTGGAACAGAAGCCGCCAGCAAACGCTCTTTCGTCAACTTTGTGCTGGAGCCTATTTACAAGCTTTATTCTCACACCATCAGCGAAAGTCCCGAGGACCTCAAAAAGACTCTGGAGAGCCTAGGCATTCACCTTAAGTCTACACAACTTCGCGCGAATGCAAAGGACCTTTTGAAAATGGCATGCGAGCAATTCTTTGGACCCGCAACTGGCTTTGTGGATATGGTTGTTGACCACGTTCCGTCACCCGTGGAAGGAGCTAAGCAGAAGCTTGAAAACTACTACACTGGCCCTACGGACACCAAGACTGCAGAAAGCATGCTCTCTTGTGACCAGGATGGCCCTCTTATCGTACATGTCACGAAGCTGTTCAACACATCAGATGCAACTGGGTTCAATGCATTTGGTCGTGTGATGAGCGGTACAGCACGCCCTGGTCAGAAGGTTCGCGTGTTAGGTGAGGGTTACACAATCGAGGACGAAGAAGACATGGTAGAAGCCACCATCTCTGATGTCTGGATTGGCGAATCGCGATACAACATACCTACCAGCGGTGTACCTGCTGGTAACTTTGTCCTGCTTGGAGGAGTCGACAACTCGATCGTAAAGACTGCTACCATTGTTGCGCCCAAGCTACCAGAAGACGAGGATGCCTATATCTTCCGTCCTGTACAACATTTCTTCGAATCTGTTTTCAAGGTGGCTGTTGAGCCGATAAACCCTTCTGAGCTTCCGAAGATGCTCGATGGTCTCCGCAAAGTCAACAAATCATACCCTCTCATCACAACCAAGGTGGAAGAGTCAGGAGAGCACGTTGTTCTGGGAACTGGTGAACTCTACATGGACTGCGTTCTGCACGACCTGCGCCGACTGTACGCATCAATGGAGATCAAGGTCTCAGATCCTGTCACACGCTTCTGCGAAACAGTTGTAGAGACGTCAGCTATTAAGTGCTACGCATTAACACCGAACAAGAAGAACAAGCTCACAATGGTCGCCGAACCTCTTGATGAAGGCATCGCTGAAGATATTGAGAGTGGAAAGGTCAACATCAGAGAGCCAGTACGCAAGGTAGGCAAATTCTTCGAAGAGAACTACGGCTATGATTTGCTAGCGTCACGCAATATCTGGGCTTTTGGACCCGACGACATGGGTCCCAACATTCTACAAAACGACACATTACCCTCAGACGTGGATCAAAAACTACTCAAAAGCGTCCGAGACACGATTCGTCAAGGCTTCTCATGGGGTACCCGCGAAGGACCCCTATGTGAAGAACCCATCCGCAACACAAAATTCAAAATCACCGATGTCAGTCTTGCGCCCGAGGCCATTTACCGCGGTGGTGGTCAAATTATTCCTACAGCTCGTCGCGCAGCATACAGCAGTTTCCTAATGGCCAGCCCGCGACTCATGGAGCCGGTGTACAGCTGTTCCATGATCGGCAACGCAGACAGCGTAAGCAGTCTCTACACCGTCCTCGCCAGACGCCGCGGCCACGTCCTCTCCGACGGCCCCATCGCCGGAACTCCTCTCTACAAAGTCTCGGGTCTAATCCCCGTCATCGATTCCTTTGGCTTTGAAACCGACCTTCGCATCCACACACAAGGACAAGCCACTCTATCTCTGGTGTTTGATCGCTGGAGTATTGTGCCTGGAGATCCGTTGGATAAGAGTATTAAGTTAAGACCGCTGGAGCCGGCTTCTGCGCAAGCGACAGCGAGGGACTTTGTGCTCAAGACGAGGAGGAGAAAGGGGTTGGCTGAGGATGTTACGATTAGTAAGTTCTTGGAGCCCGAGCTGTTTAGGAGTTTGAAGGAAAGCGGTATTTTGGATCAACCTGCATAGACGAGGATGAAACAAGGGTCATGAAAAAAAATGCTGTAGATTTAGGGAAATGAACAAGATTCTCATACTCGCGCACGTTACTGAGATTTCGTTGTGTATAAGATTGTATGCTTAATTGATACTTCTCATCTCAACCCCCATCTCCTCCTCACCCAACTCTCCCTTTGGCGTCCTCACAACAGCACCCTTGAACCCCTGACCCAAATCCATAACATCGTCTCCCCCATCCACTTCCATCGGATCCTTACAAAAGATCCCCAACAAAGAATCCACAACATCTCTAACCTTGTCCGCAAATTCCTTCCCAGCTAGATCATGTTTCCCCATCCCAGAGCGAAAAGCAAAACAAGTAGCCTTGTAGACATGATGATAGAGTAATTTGTATTCTTCATCTTTGGCTTCTTCGTGAGGGTCCAAGACTTGAGACTCCGGAGCAGGGGTGGCAGTTGAAGCACGTTTCTTGCGTTTCGAAGATGCTGTAAAGCCCCATACACGAAGACCCGCCAATACGACTTTCGACACCATATCTTTATTCTTCTTTTCCAGTACTTCGTCCTCTGCAGAGACTGTGGTCACAGGGACAGGAGTTGAGCGTGAAAGGCCAGAGACCCTTCGTTCTGGTAATGTAGGTTCACGGCGTAGTGTGGCTATACTGGGACTTCTGCTTTTCGGTCGCGTGAGGATTGGTACAGCTCCTCTGCTTGCTTCTGACTTCAGATGCGGCAGAAATGGTGCAGAGGTCGAAGCAGCGGCAGCAGCTACAGAGGTGCCAGAATGGTGCTTTCGCTCAGCGGCTGCGTTGAAGGTGGAGTTTAGGGCGATTTTACGCTTTTGACGTGCGGTGGGTTCGTCCCACGGGTGGGGGATGAAGCGGGCGTTTGTGGTTGAAGTATCAGAGGCTCCTGGGATGGGGGAGATTGGAGGTGTAATGTCGGAATCGTTGAAAAGGAGGAGGTCTGAGGATAGAGGGATGGCGTAGAGGCCCAGTTGGAGGCTTGCAGAGGAGGCTTCATCGCGTGGTGGTGTGGGAGGATCTTGTTGGACGTCTTTTCTCGCAGCGTAGAAGAGGATTTCTGTGATACGTGGCTGTGCTACGTTGCTGGGATCCGCAACGTGAACAGCTACTAGAATGCCCAGAGGGGATTCCAAGGTAGCACTCTGCCACCATTCCCGGCCTTGATCTTCTGTGTCGCTGCTGCTAAGGAGTAGATTGCTAAACCATGTTTCGGTATCTATATCTGCAGTCCAAACGTCTAGTCGCGGACCGCATATCAACTGCAAAGGTATTTGCGTGGTATCGACATGTGAAAGAAATCGCAAGGTGCAGTCGCTCGGGATCGGAGGCTTTGTCGGAGACGCGCTTATGTGTATATCTATATCAGGATGAGTGTTTGCATATAGTCATTGACTTTCACGCCTACCTCGTATCTCGTTATGATCATCAAGCCGTAAATTCCCGCTCCAGCTATCCATTGTCGTTCTATTAATGTGACTTCCGGGTTTGATCATCAATGTTTTCGGATGACGTGACGGGAAGACGCGTTGACGGCTGCTCTAATCTTTTCCTGAATAGGCAACTACGCCATCTACCACAGTTACGAATGAACAAAGCAGGTAGAAGTACTTTGCAAGTTTGAGATGTCATTTCGGTGATATACAGCATAACGCAAGGGAGTCGGTAGAATGGAAAGAAAGTAGAATAGCAGGACTGTGGGTATGTACGCCTCCCCGCTCCATATGTATATACAAAATTCGACCGATCGAAGAGACTAACGCCAACCATGCAATGCTCTCCATTGTTTTGCCCAAGTAGTATCATTGTCTGATGGGGATCACCCATCGTTCATCTTGATCGTCTTCCAACTCGTCAGAGTCCCATCCGTCTTCCTCGTCACGCACAGCCAACTCGACAAATCGTCTGAATGCTGCTGCGGCTGCTGCGTCGACCTGCTGCTGGTTGGGGACTTGTTGCTGTCGAGCTACGGGTGCTGCTCTCCTGCCGTCCAATGCAGCAACTCTGCCACCTCTCGCACGCCTTCCATCACCACGGCGTGCTGGCTGTTGTACATCTTCGACTGGAGCAGGCTGCACGGCGGCTGGAGCATCATGTGCATCAAGTCTCTCTGCGAGCTCTCGTGCGGCAGCCTCGTCTTCTTGTCTCTGCAGAGCCTCTGCCTCCTCTCTGTCTGCGGCCTCGGCCACTGCCAGAGCCTCTTGCTCCCAACGCCTTGCACCAGCAAAAGCGGCCTCTTGACCCTCATCGCCCTCTTCAAGCTCCCATAGCTTCTGATAACAGTCTGTGCCTGCCTTGTTGAAGTGCTGGTAAGGGTTGTCGGCGTCCAACCAGGCGCCGCACAAATAGCAGAAGTGTGAGGCGCACTGGAAACAGCGCATGTGATTGCAGCCCATGGTCTTCTGGGTAGGACTGCTGCAGGTGGGACATGGTGAAGTATGCGAGCGAATGTAGTCGTAACTAGCCTTCTCTTCGTCAGATAGCTCCAAGGGGTTGCGAGGCCAGCAACGAGCAAACTCGCCGTGCCAACCTGCATAGCAAGTTTTACAGAAGGCGAGGCTACATTTGCTGTTACTACAAATAGCCAGTCGGTCCGAAGGAGAGTGGCCCTTCTTCTCCGCCTCGGCATCGTCCTCATCTTCGCTTGATGACTCGGGGTACAAGGCGAGGTCCTGTGGGATGGGTGGGTATTTTGTGCTGCGAGCCGGGCTCTGACACCAGGAACGCGGGCAGTAGACGGTAGTCTTGTCGGCTTCCAGCTTCTTCTTGCGCTTCATGTCGACATAGCGACGGACCACGTCCTCTTCGATACCCATTTCCAACAGCTCTTTCGGGTGTAGTGTCTTTTCCTTTCTTCTCTTTTTATTGGCGACTTTGCCACATGTAGGATCTAGGCATTGTACTCTGCCAACATCACCCTCAGCGATACAATTGTTATAGAAGTCTCGCAAGCAGGCTTGACAGAAGACATGACGACAGCGACGCATGCGGTAGCAGGACGAGCCCTTCTTGGGCTCGAGGCAGATGCCGCAGTCAAAGGTGCCAGCATCGAATGTGGCCTTCTTGGTGAGAGCATCGTAATCGAGCAAGGCGGGTTTGAGGGCATGGGACAAGTCGAGGCCGGTTGCTTCCAAGTCAAAGGCTTGCTCCGCTTGTTGCTGTAGGAAGTCGATGTACGAGAACAGGATCTGGCAGCGACCGTAATCATCCCAGAGCCTTTCACATTCTGCCTCCAACTCTTTCAACTTGTCGGCAGGAAGCCATTGTGGCGTGGTAGACAAAGAAACGATTGGCGCATGGTCGGTAGGGTAGCCTTCGGGAAGGAAGAGGTTGAGTTGGAGAGGCGGAAGGTATTCGACGTAGTGTACCTCATCGTCGAGGTGGGTGAGGGGTGAATGGTCGAAATGGCCGTTGTCCGAGTCTGGCGGCGATGGCGGTGGCGCCGAGGGAAAGCGCAAAGCGAGCGGACTCGAGGGGTTGACGGGGAGATCTAACGAGGCGACGAAGGGCTGCTTCGGGTCGACGCGCAGTTCGGGGTAGATTGCCGAGATGGTCGACAGCTCTTCTTCCCTCTCGTCCTGTTCATCCATGGCGCCCGAATCAATGTGACTCGTGAGTGGCTGGGTGGCTGGGTGCTACGAAGAAGTCATAAGTGCAAGATAGCCGTTGGAAGGCTATGTACTGGTGCAAGTGATAGTGACTTGTCAAAACGGAAGGACGAGTTGGCCAGAAAAAGGATTATAGGCAAGTGGCGCAATAACGGTAGATGAGCAATGGGAGAGATGGCTCAGATCGTGTCTTGGTTTCGCCTCGGTGACGGTGGGCAGAAACTCACCGCCCGAGACACAGACACCGCCCACGGGCCGAAGCCCTCTTATCACCGGCTTCCCGAAAGCTTCAACGCTGCTGCCCGCTCCCGCAATGTGCATTTCGTCAGAGCTCGGGAGCGTCTGTCTCCTGCTTGCATACAACAGCAAACACGCGTAATACAAGTCAACATGGAAGACCCTCCGTTGGCTTCCCTCTCTTTGACACATGTCCATTATGTGAGGCTTGGCGCATGCTTCTGCCCGCTCCAGACAAAGCAGCTAATCCACAATCCAGAATCCCAATGACCCTATCGCACACGCTTGTGCCTTCTTGGCCCTTGTGCCCCAGGCCCTCTGTGTTACATATGCCACTCTGATCTGGAGCACGCGTGAGGCTGAGGTTGGCCTCATGTTTGCTGGTCAATTGGCCTGTGAAGCCCTGAACTGGCTCCTCAAGCGCACCATCCGCGAAGAGAGACCTCATCGTAGGCACTCCCATCCTCCACTGCTCTCTCTCAAGCCTCTCCTCTGACTTGGTTTTCCCACAGGCATGACTGGCAAAGGCTACGGCATGCCCTCTTCGCACGCTCAATTCGTTTCCTACTTCGCCGTTTCCGTCACCTTGTTCCTCCTGTTGCGACACAATCCTCACGCTCCCAACACTTCGACCACCCACATACCCACCTCGACTTTCGAGAGACTTGCGTTGTCTATCCTGATCATTGCCGGCGCTGCCGCTGTTGCTCAAAGCAGAATATACCTCAACTACCACACCGAAAGACAGATCTTGGTTGGCTGCATAGTTGGCGCGCTCTTTGCTGTCTTCTGGTATCTGTTTACAACATACTTGCGCCGTTCTGGCTGGTTGGATTGGGTGCTGGACACTTCAATCGCAAAGTTCTTCAGACTCCGCGACCTGGTCGTCAACGAGGATCTAGTCGACGCTGGCTGGGAAAGGTGGCAGAATCGCAGAAGCAAGAGAAGCGAACAGAAATCTAGATAGCTGTCCACACCGTACATCACTTGCATATAGACGTTAAAGAGAAGAATTTTCGCATCCTTCATCTGCAACTACGCCTTACACCTGTCCAGACCCTGTGGACTTGTCACTTTTTGGGTATGGGATTGACGTCTTCCACCAATCAGCGAGCATGACCATGTCTTCCTCCGCGCCCATGGGGCCCGACATCGCGTTTTGGTCGGCCGTTCGACTGTGCGCAAGAGCCAACATCTCCACAGTTTCCGCATTTTGCTCAAAGATGTTCATCACGTGTAGCTCTTTCGGGAATTCAATGCGACTACGGGCATACACGGCTGCATCGTTCAGAACGACGCATTGTGGGTATAAAGAAGACTCACGCAGTCTGTTCATGTTGCAATTACCCCTCGTTTTGCTGCCACAATCAGTGTCCTTCGTTACTTCCACATTCCCCACCAAGCAGCAGACTTTCGAAAGTTTCCTTATCGTTATCGGACCCTTCCTCACCACTTACTCGCCCGCCGTGCATCGGAACCAATCACGTCGTTGGTTTTCAATTTTCCTCTCTCCCTCTCTTCAGAATGTCCAGCTTCAGTATCCCAACACTCGCATCACAATACAAGATGGCTTCTGATCAAGCATCACCCTATGACACCTTCAGGCATCCCCTGGAGCTGCGCTATGCAAGTGCGTAAATTCTTCACCCCGCCAAGCCCAATTGAATCGTCAATGAAGCCAGCCCATATGGTCAATTGAACGGGCCAGCAAGCATGATCATAGTGTACTGATTCAATGGCCGCGCTATAGGCAAGGAGATGAAGCATCTCTTCTCTCCCCGCATGCGCGTCAGCACCTGGAGACAGCTGTGGATTTGGCTGGCCGAATCCCAGAAGGAGTTGGGTCTTTCCATCTCCGACGAGGCCATCAACCAGATGAAGGTCAACCAGATTGTCCAGGATGATGAGTTTAAGGTTGCCGCAAAGGAGGAGGAGAGAAGAAGGTTAGTACCCTCATCTCCTGTGTCTTGCATGTCTGGATCTGTGACGTATCTGGTCCTGCGTGTATGGAAACCACGTGTTTTCGTCCTCCAGTGCACACTGTTTGTCGCGAGCAGCATGGGAAATCGCGGTCTCCTCAAGTGCTGTAGAAATCAGAGTTCTGACTTCCTCTTCTAGACACGATGTCATGGCTTGGGTCCACACATACGGTCTCTGCGCTCCTGCCGCTGCTGGTATTATCCATTGGGGTGCCACTTCATGCTATGTTACAGACAACGCCGATCTGGTCTTGATGCGTGACGGTCTTGACATGCTCGTCAAGAAGATGGCTACCGCCGTTGACAAGCTCTCCGCTTTTGCCGTGCAATGGAAGGACCAGCCCTGCCTTGGTTTCACTCACCTTCAACCCGCTCAGCTGACCACCGTCGGAAAGAGAGCTTGTGTCTGGATCCAGGATCTCTTGATGGATCTCAAGGCCATGCAGAGAGTTCGCGACGAGCTCTGCTTCCGTGGTGTCAAGGGTACTACAGGTACTCAGGCATCTTTCCTTCAGATCTTCGACGGCGACCACGACAAGGTCGAGAAGCTCGATGAGCTCGTCACCGAGAAGGCTGGTTTCGCCGGCTGCTACCCCATCGCCACACAGACCTACTCCCGTAAGGTCGATCTCGAGGTCGCAAGTGCTGTCTGCAACTTTGGTGCTACTTGCCAGCGTATTTCCACCGACATCAGACATCTTGCTTCCTGGAAGGAAATTGAGGAGCCTTTCGAGAAGGACCAGATCGGTTCTTCCGCCATGGCCTACAAGCGCAACCCCATGAGATCCGAGCGTATGACCTCTCTCGGTCGTCGTCTTGCGAACCTCCACGCTGACTTCATCTCCACCTACGCCTCGCAATGGATGGAGCGTACCCTTGATGACTCTGCTATCCGCCGCATTGACATCCCCGAGATGTACCTTTGCGCCGATGCCCTGCTCATTCTTATGAACAACATCTTCAGCGGTCTTGTTGTCTACCCCAAGCGCATTGAGAACCGTATCCTTGAGGAGCTTCCCTTCATGGCCACGTAAGTCTTCATCTCAACCTCTTACTCAATGGCTTACTAACATATCACAGTGAGAACATCATCATGGCCCTCGTCAAGAAGGGTGTCTCCCGTCAGGACGCACACGAAGAGATCCGTGTCCTCTCTCACCAAGCTTCTGCTTCCGTCAAGCTGGAGGGCAAGCACAACGACCTGATCGAGCGTATCCGCGCCACACCATTCTTCGAGCCCATCATTGGAGAGCTTGAGGTCCTTATGGACCCCTCGACGTTCGTCGGCCGTGCTCCTCAGCAGGTCGAGAAGTTCTGCGGTCCCCAGGGTGACGTTGAGAAGGCTCTCGCCAAGTACCGCGCTGAGGGTATCGAGGAGAAGGTCGGTGACATTATCCTTTAGATGTGTCTGTATTTATGAAAGGACTTGTTTTCACATGCTATGGGACGTCAGGATGATTGGGAGGTTTACAAAAAGTCACGGTAGATATTACACTAAAAAGTCACCCAATAACCTAATTATGATCAACTTGCAATCTATAACTGTGTCCTCGCTCCGTGGTCATGTCGAGTGATTGTCGGGCTACGAATGGGCACTATCGATTCCTGTATCATTGAAAAGTAGAACAAGAATCTGAAACGACTCTTGGATATGCTTGACTAATTGCCGTGTCTCTCGGTTGGTGAGAAGGTAATATATTAGCTGCGCGTCCTTTTTCGATTCGAAGTTACTGCTTATTGAGTGCATTGATGGCTCTTCGTAATCGAAGTTTCTTGTCTGAAAATTACTCTGCATTGCGACAGCTATCTACATGAGAGACTTTGGCTTGGGGATGCTCAATTTGGTGTCGCGCTAGAGCGCGTGACGAAACTCTTGGCGTGTGTCGAATTCGAACTCTTGCCAGGCGTCAACCCAAAGACAACCACAACCATACCAACCGTTCTTCAATATCCTCATCATCACTATTGGCAAGAACACGCGCATCTATCATCGCTGCACTGATGGACCTGTACATCACTCTTGAGCGATCTTCAGCTTCTGCTAGCCAGAGTTGAAGGGTGTCACGGGCTGTTGGGTGGCCTTGCTTGCTTGATTCTCATACTCTCTACTGTCTGCTCCGGCGACCCGCTCATCGCTTATATACTTCAGCTCACGCTTGAAGGGTGAAGCAGGGAGCTGGGTGGTTACGGGACAAGAGTACTGCGATCCAGGTGACGTCCAACATCGAGTCAGGGCTGCTCGAGACATCTCTCCAAGCCCGGGTGGGAGGGGTCTCGCTTTGTCGAGGGCTTTATAGGTATATCAACCCATCCTATCTGAACTGATTGCTGCAGAGAATATAGCCATGCCCAAGGGTAGACGACCTGCTCGAGCAGCATGGCTCTTCCGCGACAAGCCAGCTGTAGCATTAGCAGCGAACAACAACACATTCGGTCGTTTTAGTGTCTCGATCAAGTACGATGAAATCAAAGCCGAAGGCTCAATTACTATTCAACATGTCGTTCACCTCGAAGGATTCCAATCCGAACAAACCCTTGACCTTGTTCTACGTCCTGAAAGCATCGTTGCTTGTGACCTACTTCTTGACAGCCACAAACTACCTCCAGAGGTACTCAATCTCATACCAACGAAGTTCCGAGATTTTGAGTCTGTCGTTGACGATGCACACCCCCGGTACTGTCATATGCCCTACAGCGCCTCTTCCTCTAGCGTTCATATCGACCAGTTTCGGACAGCGATTTGCTGCCTTCTCTCACTTGTGTCAAGCAACGGGTCTTCAAATATACCTTGGTAAAGACCAGGTCCAGCCAGAGCACCTTATTCGACTTGAACGCTTCACATCTGCTATCGCCCATCGTCACCTCCGAGCAAATCCTATCGACCTTCGAAGCCTGGGTGGCGGTGGTGGAAAACAAGAGACAATATGGGAGAATATACATCCGCCTCTGTTAGAAGATGGGCAGGCAGAACTCGGCTCTACAAGGAAACGATGTCGTTCTGGTCAGTCTCCGCCATTTCGCTTGGTTTTGCAAACATAACTCTGACATGCTACATAGACTCTGGCAGCCAGCAACTGCAATCAGGAGAGCCCTCCACTAAAATACAAAGGTTCCTCTGGGGAATACCCCCAGGTTCGCCTACAGAAGTGAACACGCCAAGTTCGCGACATATCACCCTTTCACCTGCCGCAGATCAAAGCACGAGTCACGGGCACCGCGAGGGAAATAACCCAGGCCCCCAAGCCTGCACAGGTCGAAGCCCGAGTCTTAAGCACACCATGGAACAGCGACCGGGTTCACGAGCCGGCACGCCCCTTCCTGCTTATCCGGTGGGGTCTGACAACATGCACACACCATCTCAGAAAGCAAGCATTTCTCCCTGGGGCTCCAGTGTAGACATCAAGCCTACGTTTCTCCCACCTCGAGCCCCTGAGTGGTCTACCCCTTCGCCTGCCGTTGCCCCTGAGCTCACAAAAGCTTTGGGCGGTATCTTGCAACAGATATTACCCCAGGTGATCGAAGGGGCCTTCTCCTCCATCCTGGGACCATTGATCGATGCTCGACTCGAGACACTAGTAAACCACAAAATGGAGGCACTCGTTCGGGAAAGGCTTCCCCAACTCACCCACAATGCTCTCCAACAGAACATGGACAGGTTCATAGACGAACTGCAAGATGGTCACAAGCGCGCCGAAATCGAGATTGGAGAAACCGTCGATGAAGCGAAAATCGAGCTCAACGACACACGCGACCAGGGCATTGACGAGATCGAAACCTGGGCTCAGGGGCGGCTTGGAGACTTTGAAGGTGAAGTAGACCTTGTCGCTGTGGCTGCTATTGAATCTCTGGAGGAAAAGACAAACGCTTTGAAGGAGCGGCTGGACCGCAAGTTCAGGGGTCGATGCAGAGAACTGAGGAGGGTACATGGGAGTGCTAGGAGGAGGTCTATATAGCATTGAATAATATCAACAATCTCGACAATCTCATCATCTCCTAAAAATTCGGGCTGACGCAATACAGGCTTTCAGTCTGCATCGACACTGATGTCGAGGCTACCTACCTAGTGAGGCAAGCGCGTTGCTGTCGACGGTCTGAATTCCACACGCATTTCCACGACGACTGTATCATCCATCAAGAGCCTTGGCATCCTCTCCATGGCTCCTTCTATCAATCCGCCAATCACATCCTTTCTCTTCGTAACATACACATTCTCGTCACGTTCAATCAGCAATCGTGTTCCCTGAGTTCATATTTTGTTCCGTCTGTGGCAGCAGAATAGCTGATACGCAAGTCCACTCGATGCATCACGCGCAAAGTGTCATATGATCGCTGACAACAACCACAGACACGACGAGTGAGATTGGCTTGAGCGAGCAATTGCACTGAGTACCAGTCATGAAACCACCTACGGCCTCGAGAGTGACATGTACTCCAGGACTGGGTGAGAAACTGCTATGGCCTCCACTTGGTTTCAGAATCGCCCGACGATACGCAAAGAGTTGTGCTCCGCTCGCAGGGATCATGCAACTCTGTTAACGGACCATTCCTTACACTTCTGGATGATGGCAACAAGACGATCGAGGTTTGCGGAATCGATTTTGGTACCAAAGGCAAGCCGCTGTACCTCGTCGTTTTATGCAAATTGCCTTGATCTAGCGGATCAGTCCATCAAGCACGCTGAGACAATATCGTCGCCGCCAGCTGGCAGTATTAATTGTATGATCACACTGTGGAAAGTGTTTTATCGTCGACTGGAACCTCAAGCCGGCGACTGATGTCGAGCCACAATCAAGCGAGATCCAGAAGCAATCATGTGCATCGCTCGTCAAACGCAAACTTCTCCCGTGGCTATGGTATCTCGACATTGCTTCCATACACGCTAAGCAAGAGTCAGGACAGTGGGACTGAGAGTCTTTGGTCCACTTGCTCTCTCAAGCCGAGATACATATCGCTAGTGACTGTTCGCGCAATGGGATCACCTTGCTGCTCCATCAGCGTGAATATCCTCCAGGCTTCGATCTGCCTTCTCTCAAACCATCAGGGTTTTTTCTATAATCCCATCCTCCAATAACTCACAGCTACGCCCGACTTGCCCGATTCTGCGAGGTAAGATACGTAAGTCACGAACGAGAGCCCAACTCTGCTCTCATCTCAACATAAGCATTGTTTCATCAGCGACAGCTTCATCAGCAGCCAGAGGGTCTCTCATCAACTGTCAACCATCAAAACAACATTGAGAACTGCACGTCTTCAGGATCATTGCACTTCTGGCCTTGAACTTCACCAACACCGATTTGTGACGCGCTGCATAGTGAATGCACACATGCATACTTATGCAAAGTGCGATCGTCGTCATTGGCAAGTATCAATACTATATTTATTTGCAGATCAAACACACAACGTCCATCTCTACCATGATGGGTACTGTGTTGACGAGTAAGCCACGTGGATAGATTCAATGCTTGCAGATCGGTGTCATTCCCCTTCCCTCTCCATGTGCTCAAATCTGTCAATCCCGCTTTTCTCTATCGTGGATGCAGAGCGAGCATGAAGGCAGAATGAATTTCTAGGTCTGGGAGACCTTTGCGATAATCGACGAGACCATCATTCTCAACGTGCTGGGTCTCAGAAGATACCGGGTTCTGGTGATAAGGCTGCGGTCGCAGTGCTCTACTCTGGCATAATTTGCGTTGACTGTGGACGATGCAAGAACCGTGTGTTGTAGACTCACCTGCTTTAGCTTCTGCTGAACAGCTACAGATAGATAGACTGCTTGCATGCCTCGACGTCACTTCTGTGCGACATTGCAAACAGAATACGAGGTGATCATCATGCTTGTTGTTTCAGCACGACTCGGAGTACTCCTCACTGACATCAATGGCATGACGCCTGCAGTATGAGGGATATATATCGCTCTTTCTTGCCTATTGCTGACAACCATCCTTCCAAATCGTCAAAAATCACAACTGCTTCTTCGCAAGAACAAAGCCCATCACAAACATGAAGGCCTCCACTATCTCTACAACTCTGGCTGCAGTCCTTCCTGCCTTTGCCGTGCCCACCGCTCGTTCCACTGGTGACTCCTTCGGCGGTCTTGCCATCCACTCCGGCTCCCCCATCCACCTCTCCTCCATCAACGCAAACGGCAACGCCTTCTGGATCAACAAGCCAACTTCCTCCTACTGCCCCAATACCACCGTCTCGTCCTGCCCCGAAGGCAAATACACCTACTTCACCTCCGGCAACGACACCCTCTCCCTCAGCGTCGAAGTCCCCGGTGGTCAACGTGTTTACGTCGCTGAAGATGGCTCTCTCGGCTACACCATCCCTCATGGCAGTACTGGTGGTCAAGTCGTCAATTACACGGGCTTCAGTCTTGCGGACAACGGGATCCATTTGAAGTATCTTGGTGGTGATTTTATTGCTGTGCCGGTTGGAGGTGCGCACAAGGTTTATGCTGCTGCTGTTGAGGGTGTTCCTAAGAATGGTACGAGCTTTGCATTCAGAGTTCAGTCTGCTGATGCTACTTATGGTGCTTGGGAGTATTAGATGACAGGTTGGAGTACCGTGCGGCTTCAGACATGAGGTCTTAGTCTCGTCGTAGATGGCAGACTTTCTTGGAGACGTGTGTCCAAGGAAAGAGCAAAATAGCTAGCTGTTCAAATACGCACAACAATCATATAGTTCAACCTTTATCCGTTCCCATGATCCTCGTAGCCGATGGCGGGTCTTGTGCCCGTGATCTCCACAAACGAGTTCAAGCCACGCCTTCGGTTGGGGCATGTTCTTGATCCTTTTAGTCTCGAGCATCTGCTTCGATATTGGTCCCTTCACAAGGAATAACATACATGAACCGGCGTAAAACAAATGACATTCAAGAAAGGCGCAGAGAATTAGAGACACAAACAGCCGTCGGTCGTTTGAATCCACACCTGTCCGCCATTCCAGTATTCACCACCACCAGAGAAAAAGGGAAGAAAAAAAAAAAGACTCCCCCTTCACCTTGGGGAAGGTGCAAAAGAGAATCCAAGCCAACTTATAATTAGGAATAGCCGAAGGCGGGGCTCGAACCCGCGACCTTGAGGTTTGGAATATCTGAGTAGATAAGAGCCACACGCTCTACCGATTGAGCTACCCCGGCAGGTCTGATGATCAAGTTGTGTGACACAACTGGCTGCTGACTTGTGGAAGCGTGAACAACTAGTCTCAGTATATACTCTCCGTCAGGTGGCTCTAGAAGGTCAGGAATCCATGAGACTATGTTGGCTCTCATGAGGCCGAGTAACAATACAATGGAAGAGATGACAAGTGGAGTGACCCATGCAATTGGTTCGATCTAGTATTATTCTCGCCGAGATGTATCGCTCAAACAACTGATCGTTCGTGCAATCGGTGGTTGCATGTGCAGTTTTCACGTGGTGGGACCCACGCCAAATTCATGTACACATCAAAGTCGCCTCAATTGTGTTGAGACTCATTCAGAAGAGACGAGATCAACTTATACGATTACTGGATAGTGGTAGAATTTAGAGGTACCATGTTGTTGGTGATTCGGTCACGGCAGCGCTCGTCGTCGGATATGCAGGATTATAGACAGGGTCGTACCCTCTGCAAGCTTCCTTGATCACATACGAGCTGAGTCACGACTCGAAATCACAATTTCGACAACATCGAGCCACAGAGCCATATACTCTGTGAGAACGTGCGACAAGTGATACTTGAGTGCGAAAACACCCTATCAGGGAGACGTCTTGCAAACGAGACTCTAGGCCATTGATATTGTGGATTTTGCGCACCGTTTCGCACCACACCACGACAATGGCACGACGTACTGCTCTTCTTCAGCCTGGCATTAATACACATGCCTGATTGATTGAAGGATCGTCTGCGAGTAGCGACCTTACGCAAGGCAAAAATACCGGCCACCACTTAGACCATCAGGCTTCAACACCGACACTGCAACCGTTTACTCATCCCAGCCTCTCTCACAACGCATATAGTGGAGCATAACGCATGACGGTACCGCCATTCAGTCTGGTTGAAACCGTACTTTGCACGTAACGAGCTGCCGGGCTTCGACACGCCAAAATCGAACGCCAGATCCAGATTTTCCCTGAACTCTCGGAGGCCCCTCTCAGAATCCGCCCACTTATATAAAAAGTGCAAAAGGAAGACTTGCTAGGCTACAGCGGAGCAAAAAGTACGACGCCTAAGAGATTCGAACTCTTGCTCCCGAAAGAAATAGATTTCTAGTCTATCGCGTTAACCACTCCGCCAAAGCGCCAGATTGTTCTTGTCGAGCGTGTTACTTCCCATATAGATCTCCACCACGTATCAAGGACGGAGGCCCTGGGATCTGTGTCCTATGGACCTTACAGGACATCTCGGGATGTTGAGATTGACACAAATATAGGGGAGATGATGAGGCTTTGTGCGTTGGGGATTTGCTCAAAGTAGGGGACAGGCAAATCCAATGGCTGCTCCACTCGTCTTTGTCAGACCCTACCTTTCTGATCCGAGGAGGCTTGGACGAGGGGCTGTAGCCCCGCATGCCCCACGTCGATGTTCCTTCCATCCTCTCTGGGGTAAAGATTGGCAGACAAGCCACCGATGTCCACACTACAGGCAGAAGGATGCGGCAGGGGAGTGAGAGGGCTCAGATCCGGATGATAAAACCTGCGGGTCACGTAGCTAGGTTGTCTGAGTGGGGCTGCATCCCAGGAAGTTGTTGATATGAGAGCTGTTGGGAGCCTCCAGTGTAGTCCACGCTTTCTCCATACTCGCGTTGAAGAAGCACAATAGTAGTTGAATAATGGCCACAGACGATAAGAAGCCAGCCTTTGAAAAGGTAAGAGCTTGCCGGAGATGACAGCGTGTGGAATCTTATTCTCATATGACATCACAGGTCATCGTTGTTGGAGCTGGACCTTCAGGCCTTCTCTTGTCACTGCTGCTGATTCGAGCTGGTATAAGAGTACATCTTCTGGATGCTGCTCCTACTCTGGACGACCAGCCACGCGCCGCGCATTATGGACCTCCTGCAATCCCGGACCTTCGACGAGCAGGTGTCCTGGACAAGATCAAGTCGCAAGGCTTGACGCTCAACACAATGTGTTGGCGAAAGCTAGATCAAACATACATCGCTGGCATGGATACTAGCGAGACATTGTCGAATGACCCCGAGTACGGTGATGTGAGGACTGTCAGCCTGGCTTTGCAAACACTGGACGCTTTGATGTTGGAAGACTTCGAGAAAGAGGGCGGCCAAGTCAGCTGGGAACATCGAGTGTTGGAAGTCCAACAAAACGAGTCAAAAGTTTGGGTAAAGGTCCAGACGCCGACCGAGAAGGAGAAAACGATCGAAGCGGATTATGTCGTAGGTTGTGATGGCGCGAACAGCGTCGTCAGAAAGAGCTTGTTCGGAGAAGACTATCCTGGGTTCACCTGGAGTCAGAAACAGATTGTCGCAACCAACGTGAGTAGGGGCTATGTTTTGACAAAACCTTTACTGATCAGTATTGTGCAGACGTACTATGACTTCCGTAAATTTGGCTATCACGACGCGAACTTTATCATCCATCCTGAGCACTTGTACATGGCAGCCATCATCGATGATAAAGGCCTGTGGCGTGTAACGTATGGAGAAGAGCCAGGTTTGACACGCGAACAATTGTTAGAACGTCAGCCCAGGAAGTTTGAGACTATCCTACCTGGCAATCCGAAGCCTGGGGATTATGAGATGGTGAATTTCTCGCCATACAAGATGCATCAGAGGGTAGCCGAGAAATTCAGAGTTGGGAGAGTCATGCTGGCAGCGGATGCGGCGCATCTTTGCAATCCTTTGTGAGTTGACCTGAGGGTACGAGGCCGAAATTGGTTGCTGACGTAGATGTCACAGTGGTGGTCTCGGAATCACTGGCGGATTTGTGGATGTTGGCTGTTTGTACGATTGTTTGTACGGCATCTGGACGCATCAAGCCGACGACTCAATCCTGGACCTGTATTCGGAAGTGCGTCGACAAAAATACAAGGAGATCATTGATCCAATCTCGACGGAGAATTTCAAGCGTGTCTTTGACCAGGATCCGGAAGCTGCGAGCGAGAACGACCACTTCCTAGTTTCGTGCAAGAAGGCGGCCGAGGACAAGGAATTTGCCCGGCAGATGCACTTGGTGAGAAATACTCGTAATCACTTCTCAATCAAGAAGTAGCCACTAACACGTGCAGGCGTCCTTTGGCATCCGTCATGATTTCACACAATATTATCGCAAGGACAAAGGCAAGGCACTGGTGACTGATGATGCAAAGTCCGACTTGAGTGTTGAACATATCGAAATAGTCGCGCCGACGGGAGCTGATTAGATACCGAATATGAATTTCAACTGATGTACTATGCGCTAATTGGTCCGTAATAGCAATGATCATGGTCCCAAATATTGGTACAAATGAAATGACCCCGAAGACTTTCAAGAATCGACCGTTGTCCGCACTTGATACGAGTGGGATACCACGATACCGCTTGTGCCTCTGTCATCCACAACATGATCTTCAACAGTCGACAGTCGATGAGCAAGTATCTCATTCGTACTGTCCGTATCCGAGTCCACGTTATTCGCAGTGATCTGTGCCTTATTCTTATGTCTGTGCAGCTCGATATTAGCGCCAAATGGATCCATGTTGGAACCTTTGCGATTGTGATCTATCTGTCTCTCATCGGTCCTGTAGTATTGGCCAGTAGGTTTCGAGTCGTGTGTACTACCCGAGAAGATGCCGCGAAAATAGCGTTCGAAAAGAGGCTTGAGCGTGGGAACGCAAGTGCAAACCATAGACATCATCGTTTCGATAGCGGACCAAACAACGAAGTCGGTGATGGTATAAGTTAAATCGCCGTCACCTTGCTGAAGGTAGGCAATAATACTTCTGAGACGGATGATGCTGACGATACACCCAGCAGAACCCATGGCAAACACCAAGGACAGAGTGATTTTCTTCTTGCGAGTGAGTGCAAGATTCCATACAATCGGGATTGGTAGTGCAAGGATCAATAAATCGCTGACAGAGTTGCACACAGCGTTCGCGATATCTAAACGACTGTTAGTACGTCTGTCTGAGGTCGAAGCTGATTTTACGCACAGAAAGCTGGGCGATTAATGCATTTTCCTTCGGCAAAGATGTCCCTAGTATCAGTCAGAAGGATGTCTCGAAATACAAGGAGTAGTCATAATGACACAGATAGCGTAGCCGGACTAAAATGTAGTTAGGAACCCAAATAAGAGTGCATCATAAACCAGAAGACCGCTAGAGCCGCAGGAATACAGTCCGGCAGAGCACACTCCCATCGGGGCACTCCTGACCTGTGAACACTTGTTGCAATCATCGGTGTACGATCTCCGTGCAACCACAACTACACCATGTCGGGAGAGTCTTACCATTGAAAGTGAACTGGTGTACAGTCAAAGATCTCCGTGAGGATACCAGCCACAGAGTAACCGATAGCGAACAGAAAGACGGCCCACCAACGCCAGTAGAAGTTTTGGATCGGGAAAAGACGGCGATACAGTAGCATGATGGCGATTTTGATGGAAAGCATCGACGAGCTGTAAAATACAGAGGCTATAAGGTATAACCGGAGAAAGTATGGAGAGAACAGAGATACTGGGACATCCCATAGATGTCGTCCCATACCCAGATGGACCAGTGCTTGATAGAGCGCGATAGATGTTATGCAGATGAGCAGAGAGATAATCATTGCCCCTGCCTCGTGTCAACAAATGCCGCAGCTGGCGCATGACAACGCTTGACGTACAGTCATCATAGCTAACGGACTTGACAATAAAGATTCGAGTATAGAGTCGAAGAAGGACCACAATTATCATGATGACCAAGACCACTATGTTGGTTGCTGTTTGCTGATAACTAATACTCGGAGGGTTGATGAAGTTGGATAGTGTGCCATTTGGTGGTGTGGCCGAGGGCACTTGCGAGTAATCCACATTAGGGTCCATTTTGAGCTTGACTGCTGATTCTAGTCGTGGAGGTGCGTGCCTTGTCGGAGGGCGCGAAGAAGTTCACCCTACCTGGGGAAGGCTCAGGGAGACGAGAAGATACCACGAGGGGTGTGCTTGCATTTTGATCTTAATCGTGTAGGGTATCGTTACTTTTGGGAGACTACCGGAAACCGAGAACCACCTTTGGGCCCGTACTTTACTTTCCGCTGATCTCTGGAGGCAAGAGCGAAAACAAAAGCTCATAGCTCCTTCCCGATATTGATGGTACTACTACGGTCTTAGATCGACTATGAGTGTAGAGTGTTGTCTCACTGCTCGAGTCATGCCGTGTCCAGGGCTTCGCGGGCACTAGAAGCAGGTTCTCAAGCGACATGAAACACTGAGCTGTCAGCTGTCACGTAACGGCTATACGGGCTGTGAATTCTGTGCCGCAGAGGATATGACTCTACCATGTAGATGCCGTCAGTTGTTCAAAAACAGTCTTTAACAAACGAGGGTCCCAGTGTCTGGGTTGTGGACACGCGGGTAGATTGATACATCAGGCATCCAACCTTGCATGGAGGACTGTCTGCAGGGTTCCTGAAAGCACGGTCCAATGCAAAAAGAGAGCACAAGCAACTCCGAAGAGGCGTGATACATTGCCGTGACCCGTGTTGAACGGTCAGTATCAAGGGCGGTTGTGATGACTAAATGAGACACATGCGCAAAGGGACTTGCGTAGGCTCGAGTTTCCTTTCTTGCGGACTGCCGTGAAGCGGCCATTTGCCTACAGACAGCATGCAAGCCATATCCGTTCTATGTCGAGTTCAGAGTGGCATGAGCTGTGAAGATGCACAGTAGTGTTCTAGGTCGAGAAGCCCGCACAGGAGTAGACGAGACAACAAATCCTGGTCGACATTGCTGCAGTGCTGGAAAATATCGCGTGTTGATAGAATTGCATGCGTGACAAAGTTCAAGACACGGAAGACGATCAGACCTGCGCGGATATTGACTGCCGACGAGCTTGACTGCTCGGGGCCGTCATCTTGGAGGAATTTCGAGAATTGTTCGAGGTAAGAGCGAAACACGAAGCGGCGACGACCGGGTTTTTCTCTTTGGCGGGGATGTTCCGCGCCAGACGCATCACCAGTGAACCTTCACGACCTTGAACTGATCGCACGCAGAGCTTCCTATTTCTCTTTCGATCATTGGCATCAGTAGTGAGAGGCCGGAAGATAGTCACAGTCAAAGATGTAGCCGAATCTTCAGCCCTGAATTCGCGAATTAACCAAGCTCGCGTTTGGTCGCTTTCAGACCGAATCAAGCGGACGCAATATGTGAGATATATCAAGGTAAGGTCAGTCTCTTATGACTTGACAAGACGACAAATATCGGCACTTGTGGTTTTGTGATTTTCTGAAACTCTTCTACGACACACACAATTGGCGTAAGAAGCTTCTTTGACAGATGCTTGGGTCACAAGTCAAGATTCGAGGCGTTCAGACCGGTGTCGTTCAGTGGTAATCTTAAGAGAGATTGTATTCACAAGAGGTCGACATTCTGATTTAGAGCAAGGTGAGGTACTACAACAATAAGCGAGGATCCAAGCTATTGATCTTGGCCGACTTCGCACCACCTTCAAAGACGAACTCAGAAATAAGCTTACCAGTAGCTGGGCCATTTTGAATGCCTGGATGATTGTCAGCTAGGTCTTGCGAACATTCGGAAAATGAAAACTTACCCCAGCATGTATGACCAGCTGCCATCAGGAGACCCTTGACTCCAGTGTAGCCAATCAATGGGCCATTACCCCCTTGAACGTTCGGGAGATAGCAGGCCTGTCGTGCTGTGACCTCTCCATCTCGTAGTTCGTCGCTGATGGAGCTCACATAGTCCACGACATCTTGGCATCTCTGCTCATCAACCTCGACAAGATCAGACGACTTGGGAAGAGGCACCATATGATCTCCTTCACCACAAGCGTAGACTTCGTTCTTTGGTCTGGTGTAGATTTCCGGCGAAACATGTTGCTCGCCTCGAGACTTCTTGGCTTTGTCGTTCCTTGCTCCGAAACCAGCGGGTAGTCTGATCTCCGTGAACAGAGCGTACGCGCTGATCTCACGAGTCGGGCGAATAGTGACACTATGTGCTCGAGTGGCTGAGATAGGAGCGTCTGGGTAGACAGTCTTTGTCCATGGGCCGGCAGAGATGATTACATCAGTTGCGGAGATGGTCACCTCCTTATTGTCGTCGTTCTTGTCTTCGTATGTGACACTTTCGACGCCCTTGCCGTCCTTGGTGTAATTAATGCTCTTGACAGCAGCACCAATGCGAACGCCGGCACCCTTCTCTGCGGCCAGTTCGGCCATAGCAGTAGTGAATTGGTAAGGGTGCACTTGTGAAGTTGTGCTGGGGTCACCCATCTCGTCGTACATCCTCAAGCAGTCGGGATGTAGCCAGTCAAGATCCTTTGGTATACCCCTGGCCGCCAATTTGGCAGAAACTTTTGGTGGATTCTTTTCAAGACTGACGCTGTTCTTTTCTCTGTCGGCAGGTCGGTCGTTCTTTCCGTCCATGTCGTTATCCTTGCCCTTTATTGTGTCCTTAGCGGTGAGCTGACGGCCCTTGCAGTCTACCGAACCGCAATGAACCTGTCTGTAACCCCAGCGCTCATCGCCACCATATTTGTCGGCCAACTGCTTATGCAGCTTGTATGAGAGTGGCACGATGGAGGAAGGATAAGCCCACAGGGCCAATAATCCTCCAGCTTTGCCACTTGCACCTCCAGCAATTTTTGTCGCTTCCAGAAGAATGACCTTGTGTTTTTCCGGATTATATGAAGGATGATGTGTGAGGAAATAGGCAGAGGTGGCACCGATGATACCGCCTCCAATAATTACAATGTTCTTCTGCTCGTCTGCAGCCATGATGGATAGTTGATGGTAATGAGTGTTCTTCTGTGCAAGTTGACCAAATTTACCGGACAAAGTAGATAATAAACTTCTGCGTACAGAAGCCAGAGTGGCGATAGAAGGATTGTAGTGGTTCCCAACGGAGAAGGTGGACGAAAACTCACGAATCACGTTTCGCCTTACTATCGCGAGGAAGAGTGACGTCAAGCGGGTCTGATGACACGAGCAGGGTCACCCCAAACGAGACCGCCAAACGTGAACCTGACCTCACCACGTGAACGTGCAAGAAATTTCAGTATATTAATAAATGGGTTGTATAGCTCGGTAGTTCATATGTACATTCTCAAGCATCGTGCGCGACCTTCTGCAACCAATGTTTCGTCTTTCCCCAGGCTCCTGTTGCCATTCTGGCCTTCTGGTAATCTTCTTCTTGTACATTGTGCTTACCGACAATATTGAGGAAGACCTGGTCCAGAGTAGCTTGCGAAACAGCGTAAAACTCCATACCTAGCTCCTCTTTGCTTGCCTCCAGCTTTTCGAAGAGCGAACTAATACCGTTGCGTTCGGCGGGGACGATAGTAGCCTCGAGACCCTTCTTGTCGTCAACAGAACTACTGGAGTCGTCGTTGATCGATCCTGGCTGGTTCGGTACTTCGAAGCGAATCTGGCCATGGAACGAGCGGTCTTCGATGCTTGCGGAAGGAAAGTTGATCGCAATCCAGTTCTTGATTTCAGCAAGCTTGGCATCGGATGTATGGGGTGCGTCCTTGTGAACAAGATGGACGTAGTAGGCGTCACCGTGCTTACGACGCAGCGAGTCACTGGTACCAACTGCAAGCATACGCCTGGCCATGATGCCGACACGATCACCAAGGGCGTCCGCCTCTTCCAAGCTGTGAGTGGTCAAGACAAGACTGCGACCGGAGCTTACAGCTGCCAACGTCCTCCACATGATTCTCTTCGCACCAGCATCCATTCCGGAACTGCCTTCGTCAACAAGCAGTACTGATGGGTTACCGATCAGCGCAATACCAAGACTAAGCTTGCGCTTATTACCACCAGAAAGTTTGGATGCCATGCGACTGCTGAAAGCACTGAGGCCGACAGCATTCATTACTTGATCGACATTGTGCTGGATGTCGGCGACACCGCGAGCTCTCGCGTAGAAGTAGAGATGCTCTGAAGCTGTCATCGCATCCATGGCATCGAACTGCGGGCATACACCTTGATGTAAACGCGCCGAAGCACGCTGAGTCACAATAGACTCATTCTCAAGGAAGACATCTCCACCACTTGGATGAACGTCGCCTCTGATCATAGAAATGGTAGAACTTTTACCAGCGCCGTTCGGTCCAAGTAGCGCAAAGATTTCACCTCGAGGGACACCAAATGCCACGCGATCAACAGCAAGGTTATCGCCATAAGACTTGCTGATGTGTGAGACGCGCAACTCGTCCTTACAGTCATTGACTCGGACTGCCTCGTGATACACGTCCTCGTCTGGATATTCACTCTCCTCTGCATCCTGGGAGCGGGTTTTCCTGCTGAGGAACGCAGGCCTATATCCACTGTCATAGTAGACAAGGAAGGCAAGAAGGAGCAGAGACTGAAGCACCAGGTAAAGAATGGGACCACCGTAGACTGTGATATCTCCGGCATAGGAAGCTCTTTCGTTACCGTGGCAGAGAAGTGAGAATTCGTTGAATGTAAGGAGCAGCGAGCGTAACAGATTTCCAGAAGGTGTGATAAGACCGATCGTGAAGTGTGCGATGTTGACCCATGAATCGATCTTCTCTGTAGGGGCGTAGGTGATAATTGCCATGTAAGAGATGAAGTAAATCAAGAAGAAACAACACTGCATACCCGCAGCGAACGCAAACGAAGCCAGTTGACTGGTGACGAAAAGGGAGATGACATAACTGCAGAGTAGAGCAGCCAGTCCGTACAAGAAGAAGACGACAAAGAGCGTTCCCGGGGCGTAGAGAGCGCTAGAGACACCAACAAAGATTACAATCGTGACTATGCTGACGATCAATACGAAGGCGAAATCGAAGATGGTATATGCAAGCCAGAGGGGGAATGCTCTGATACCGTTCGAGTAGTGCAGCGCTCTTACTTTGTTCACACGCTCACTAGTTGGGTAGAGGGCGAAGAACCCAGGATAAGCAGACATGGCCAGACCGAAGTAGAGAATGAACTGGAGCGTATCTCCAGCTGTTGGAGCCCATGGCTTTTGGAAAGCTTGGTAGGTCGTGACGATAGGAGTTCCAAGAAGACTACTGTCCAGGATGTTCTGAGTCAAGATCGCGTACTCGAGCTCATAATTACCCCTCCAAGCAAATAGAGGGGTGCCGCCCTGTGCGTCGAGGAAGTAGCCTCCTGGAAAGACACGACTATAGTTTGTTTGCACATACTCATTGAACGCGGCAACGCTAGTGACAGGTGCAATAGCATCACTAAGACCAGCGTACAAATTGCCGAGAAGCTGGGTTGGGATTTGCGACGCTGGTCCAACAGGGAAATCTAGGACATCGTCGAGGCTAGCGAAAGAGATTATATCCTCACTCGAGCTTGAGTCGCCAGGAGAACAGCTCAAGGCTCTGAAACCTTGCAGGAACAGAGTTACAAGACCTCCAGCAATGATTGGGATCAACACAGCGGCCAGATATGGCATGTAGTTGCGACGTAAGATGGTGACACGTTTTCGGAGTAAAACCCATGTTTGCGCACCAAGCGAGATTCTTCTTCCTTTGGCTAGTTCGAGGCCTTTCTCCGACTGGAGAGAGGACACATTGGTCAGTGGCGTGGCGTCGTCACTGAGTGTATGATCGTTGTTGAACTCCGCGGACAATTTAAGGAAGACATCCTCGATGCTGGGTCCGCTGACTCTGTAGTCAGTGACACCAAGTTGTTCCAGACGTGTGACAAACGCAGCTGCCGCACTAGAATCAGGGAGATTGTACACCACGTGATCGGCGTGATTGCGGCGGGGTATCGAAGTCCAGTCCTTAGGTTCGGTGAACTGATGTTCGGAGTAGATCTTGACACGGTAGCCGCCACCAAGTTCATGCTTCAGAGCAACAGCCGTGCCAGTTGCAGCCAGTGTACCTTTGGACAAAATGGTGATTTGATCCGAAAGCAAATCTCCTTCGTCGAGGAAATGAGTGGTGAAGAGCATGGCTCGGTGGCCTCTCTCGGCCAGAAGAATATCCCAGACCTTTCTTCGACTGAGAGGATCAATGCCCGAACTGACTTCGTCAATTAAACACAGGTTGCTACCACCAGTAAGCATCATGGCCAGTTGGAGTTTGCGCTTTTGTCCACCAGACAACGTCTCAGAACGAGCTGACACCTTGTGAGAGAGATCGCATTTGGAGAGCAGATCTCGGTGATCTGCAGTTTGGTCCTTTTGGCCTTGTGCCTTGAGCTGATTGAAATAGTAGACATGCTCCTCACAGGTAAGTTTGTCCCAAAGGACATTCTTCTGTGGACAGATACCGACACCACCAGAGCTGTTGATATCTATCGTTCCAGACGTGGGTGATTGGAGGCCTGCCAGCATGTCCATGGTAGTGGACTTACCACTACCGTTAGCACCTAGGAGCACATGAATTTCACCAGCGCGGATGGTAAAGCTAATATCATTGACGGCATAGACGGTTTCTCTCTTGTTCTTACTGAATCGTGACCAGAGCTTCTGGTAGAGCCAGCTGGGAGGATAGTGCTTGACTAGATTGGAAATACGAGCAGTCTCATTGTCTGTGGCGTGGTCCATATTTCTGGCCTTTGATGCAGTGCCGTACAAAGCTCTCTCGAGGAAAGCTCCTATCAGGGGATATACCACGATCTGTATGGCGCAGAGCACAAAGAAGACGGTTCCAGATACCTTCCATGGTGCCCCGGGAGGTGCTTCCGATATCCTGGCAGCAAGGTTATCGCGCTGCCAGTATGCCATGTATATGATGAACAGTGTAAAGTTCATCGGTGGGAACAACAAGGCCAATACAACAATGGCACCAGTAGTTTCAGGCGTTTGTACCTGAATTATGATGGCCAAAACAATGCTGACAATTGTCACAGTGATGCCCGAAAGTTGAGCCTTCCGGAAAAGACTGGCAAAAGCGATCGCCCAAGAGCTGAGCGCAAGTCCAGCTAGAATGAAGTAACCAATCAAAATCCCAGTATTGGAGGACGGATAGTTGAGTCGTGTGACGATTGCAGCCGATATGACCCAGCCTGGTAGATACATGATGTCGAAAGCAAGATGGTTAGAAAGCAGACGAGCGGCTTGTGGCTGCCATCTGCGCTTATTCGGCATCATGGCTTCGATGAGCTGAGACATTCCAATCTCACGCTCTGTCGCCATCTGACCCGTTAATTGATAGCAAATACCAACAAAGCCGATGAAGTAGGCCAGACCGAGAATCTTGATCAGCGTTCGCATGTACAGCCTCGTGATATTGCGATCTCGCTCCTCTGGGGTCGCATCCGTATAAGGATATTGCAGAGGCAAGGGAATAGTAGTACCATCGCCAGATGCGATCAGAGCGTCCACTGCATGCTGAATGGGAAGAGCATAGATCTCTGCGTCGTTGTCCTGGTTGTTCACGAACACCTTTCCTCCAAGAGATCCATCTGTTCGAATGGTGTAATTCCAGACATCGCCATTGCTAGGAGATCCATGGAAGCTTAATGCTGCAAAGCAACCAGATACACCTCGTACAGAACTCCTGCATGTCTCCAGAAGCTCAACCTCGCTTGAGAGGGTCACTGGAGTCTTCCCGCTCGCTCTGACAGTGTTGGACAGTTGGTCAATCAAATTTGTGACCTCGCTGGGTGCCTGGCCGTTGGTGACGAAAGCTACAGTCTTGCGTCCAGTTGTTCCTGCACCCAAAGCTTCCTCGAATGTCCTAAGGGTTGATGGAGAACCGACGCCAAAATCCGATGGCGGTACAAAGAAGTTCTTACAGTATGAGATGATGAAGAAAAAGATGATGGGCGCCAGGAAAGCTCTGATTGTTGTGGTGAACCAGTGTCGACCAAGTACAATCAATATGTTCTTCTTGGTCAAAGTCCAAGTCTGGGCGAAGAAACCCATGACCAGCGATCGTCTCCCTCGAAGGGGGTGTTGTTTGTTTGTTAGATTAGTGGCAACGAAGGCCTGTTGGTAACCAGATCAAGCAGACATGCGATACAGAAACAATAACAAAAATCAAAACGGGGCGACAATGATGTACGAAGCATGAGATTGGGAGCCGGCTTATAGAAGACACGAACAACACCATTCTTGGGAGGCGATTTCCAAGGTGTTGACATTGTTCGATTGTCAATTTCGGGTAGTCGCTAAGCTATATAGAGTTAGCGTCCTCGGCGGATGGATGCCGAGCCGGTTGTCTTACTCACGCGTCCATCTCACGTTTACTTAGCGATCATCGTCTCAATAGATCTTGGAGAGCACACAGATTGTGGAGAAAAGTCACATATCCGGATGAAGTACACATAGACTATTCTTACGTGTAGAAGTTTCGACATCAAGACACTGAGCTGTCTCCACCAGCCGACGAATATGGACGTTTCTGCCAAGTCATCATGTCACTCGGCGTACGTACGCGCCGCAGTCACGAAACTCTCGCGGGAATTATGACAGACGCCACTTTGAACCGACGTACATCGTACAAACACGCAAGCGAGATCTCGAGAAGCTTAAACAGAAACTGTCATTGAAAGGACCGGTCGTATTTGGACTGATGTCGGCCGTCTAGAGAGATGGCATAGCCATGATCGATTCACTTCCGGAAAACATGCCGTTGTGCTACTATTTACGGTCAAAGTCCGCATGCTCGAGCCTGCACGCCTGCACCTGCAAAGAGGCTCGGTATCTACTTTACCGCTTGGCGACACATCTCGTGAGAATGCCGAGCTATGCACCTCTTCCTGATAAAATTATGGATGGCTTAATGGCTCGACCTTTTTTGGGACGCGATAAGGAGAGAGTAATAAGGTAAGAACGACTACAAATTTTACACTATTGCAGAGGCTTCCTTCCGACCATGAGATACATTGGAGTGAACAGAGCCTTCTTTCCACCAGCAACCAGAGCATCAGCGCCAACAGACAACTCCTTGGCCGTCTCTGCTGTACCAGACGGCGCCAATCTCACCATCTCCAATGATGAAAGCAGAGACTCCATGACAAACCGACCAGCCTTTGTCATGCGCAGCGCACCAAGGAAATCCCAGATTCCTGTGGCATAGTTGATGTTGCCGCTCAACGGGGCATACCAGGGCCTTGCATCTTTTCGCTCCGCCAGGTCTTCATCATGTAACATGGTGAAGCCTGCCTTCAAGAAAGCTTTCTCTGCCTCTTTTCTGGTTACCATGTTGGAGATGCCGTTGCCTCTCTCGATACCATGGCGAATCGCGCGATGCTCCGAGTTGTCTTCGTCGTAGTGATCTGTCATGACCCATTCGTAAACGCCAACCACTGCTCCTGGTTTGGCGACGCGGAACATCTGCGCATAAACGCCCTCGAGGACTGGAGCATGGCAGGTGGCTTCAATAGCATATACAGCATCGAAAGTGTTGTCTGGAAAGCTCAGATCCTATCCTTCGACGTTAGTGTACGACCCTAAGAACCGATGGATTCCACGGTACTTACCATGAAGTTGTTCCTCACAAAGGAGACTTTCTCGGAAAGGTTACGTTTGGCTGTGAGTGCTGTCGCTCTCTCGATCTGGTATCCATTGTTGTTCACACCAACGATGGAGCAGCCAGTGAATGTAGCTATCGCCCTTGCTGGACCACCTATACCACAACCTACGTCGAGTACGGTATGACCTTCTTTGATACCGATCATGTGTGCTAAGTAATGCTCATGACGGGCCAGTGCTTGTACCAACGACTCCTTTGGCGCGAATCGACAAAGATGGAACGATTCTCCCCAGCCTTCGCAGTAAAGATCGGTCGCCAAATCGTAGTAACTGCCTCGTGTCAAATCTTATGCTAGCAAAGCCTGGAAGAAGAGAACCTTACTTGTTGACCAAGGACATGTAGGAGTCTTGTCTGGACTTTCGTGCTTCGTCATTGTCCTCGGACCAACGCTGGACGTACTCATCTGTAACGAGACGATGTGCTTGTCCGTCCTTGCGTAACATGGAGATGAAAGCATTGCGCTCAGTGGCAGATTTGCCGTGCATCAAGATTGCGAACTCTTGCTCGCTGGCTGGTACTGAGGTGATGGCCATTGTTGATGCAGAAGGCTAGGCGACGGAAAGCTGATGTTGTTGCATTCAGCCAGGCAACGCAGCAGGTCTCGTTATATATGCTCTTGCAGACCACTACTGTAGGCCATATTCTCCAGCTCTACCTGCAGAGGTCATCGTACGACAACTTGACATTGTTTGTCGGTCATCATACAATGAATACCCGCTGTGGATCGTTTGGAACAGATAGTCTCTCGACATGCATGCATCAAAGTCGTACGATGAACTCCTCGTGGACGGTGATTTCACATGTGCAGTCATGGAATTTCAAGACACCTTCTAGAAGAAGCTAACACTGATTGATCCATTGTCCCGGCGATCTTATGTCGAACAGAACATCTAATCTATGTGGTTGTTGAGAACATTTGTGCACGCTCTCAGCAGCGGCAAGTGCGAGCCCCGCGGAATCCGTGGTTCCCGTCCGACACTGACAAAGTGCCGCCCTCTCTTGATTGGCCCCTTTTGTGTCCTCAATCTTAATGCAGCCAGACGGCAAGGTCAAGGAAAGCATATTGTTCAGGAGAGAGAAAATTCTCCAATTCGTGATAAAGGCACGTCTGGTTTGGCCAATTCGTCGTGGTTTGTAGTTGTTTGATTTTCCTTGCATGCAAAATGGAGTTGAAGCATATTGTATTTGGCTTGGCATTTGCCTTTGTTAGCTACATCGTCGTGGAATGGCAACGACCAAAGGAAGGCATTCAGGAGCCTCCTGCACTTCGAGCAAAGATTCCATTCATTGGACATATCATTGGAATTGCTACTCGTGGACTTCGATACTTTGGAAAGGCTTGGTGAGTGGAAAGCATTATCTTTACTGGGACTGCGCCTAACAATCATTTAGCGAGGGATCTGATGAGCCCATTGTTACAATCGACTTTCTGGTTTCGAAAGTTTACTTGGTCAACAAGAGCAGTGCAGTCAAGGATGTTCAACGAAACTCGAAGGTCATTACCTTTGACCCCTTCCTTGACTCTGCTGCTGAGCGTATGGTGGGCGTCTCGGCTCAAGGTCTGAAATTGCTCACAGGCAAGGAGAAGGGAGGCGGTGACCTCAATCGAAAGGTATGGTTCAACGTAGTTATCATAACCAAGGAGCGTTGTATTCTGACAAGTCTTTATAGGTTGTGAAAGCCATGCATCCTACTCTTCTTGGTCCTGGTCTAGACGTAGCCAACAGAAACATGATCAACAATCTAGTAAAGTCCGTCGATGAGCTGGCTTCATTGGGCAACAAAAGCTTCGATATCTATGCCTGGTGCAAGCATGCCATCGCTGTCGCTAGTACGGACGCCGTATGGGGTGAGAAAAACCCGTTAAAAGATCCCGAGATCGAAGCAGCCTTCTGGGACTTCGACTCACATCTGCGCCTGTTGCTCTTCAACGTCTTTCCTACCATCATTGCACGAAAGGCATATCGAGGTCGTGAGAAAGTCGCAGCTGCTTTCGTCAAGTACTACAATGAGGGTGGTCAGCATGTGGCTTCGGAGCTCGCCCAAGCACGTTGGAAAGTTCAGCATGAGAGTGGAGCCACCACCGAAGACATTGCTCGCCTGGAGACAGCGACTGTGCTTGGAGTAGTGTCAAACACAACACCATCTTCTTTCTGGATGCTCTTCGATATCTATTCACGCCCTGCTCTGCTAACACAGCTCCGCGATGAAGTGCGCGAGCATGCACTAAAGAAGAATGATAATGGAGAAATGATAATCGATCTCGCTGCCATGAGGGACGATTGCCCAAACCTCCTGGCCACTTTCCAAGAAGTGCTTCGTACGCATTCGAATGGCGCTCCTACTCGCTTCGTCACAGAGGATATAGTGTTAGGCGACAAACACCTGCTAAAGAAGGGTCGCATCCTCATGATGCCCGGCATGAACATGAACTACGAACCCAGCATCTGGGGCGACGACTCTCAAAACTTCGACCCTACACGCTTCAAGAAAGAAACTTTAAAGCAACGACCAACCAGCTTCATGTCTTTCGGCGCATCACCAAATCTATGTCCCGGACGCCACTTTGCAAGCGGAGAGATTCTTGGCCTGGCAGCCATGATGATTTTACGCTACGACATCACCCCTATTGGTGGAAAATGGTACTTGCCAAAGTTCTGGCAGGGCGCTATTGCAGCTTCTATGCCTTTTCCTGCAGAAGCGTATAATGTGACTGTGACGCCTAGAGAAGAATTCGCTAATACGACATGGGCGTACAAGTCGACTGATGGAAAGGGCAAGTTCCCACTTATCACAGGCTGAAGATTGGCCAAATGCAAAAGATATACGTTACAGTATTAGAATGTACAATTTATAAAATCTTACATGAGCTTTTTCCCCCCAAGATCTTGAATTCAGCTTGTTGTTATCAGAACCTTGAACCGTCTGTTTTTGGACATGTCTTTTAAGGACGCGGTGATCTTTGATGTCAGAAGACTCCTCGCTTCTCAGAAGAATCCAGCTGACCAGACGCAAAGACTATAATTTCGGAATATAAAATAGTACTTGCCTAAGCGGGAAGGCTTACTTTTCGTTTTCGTTTGTCACCTTTTGATCTTCGGTCTCTGGAGGCCACAACAAATATAAGAGCGTCTAGAGTGGCTGTTGGTTTGCTACATATCAGGCCCCCAATCTTCCAGTTCTATACCGCCGTGCTACTTTATAGGAATGTGTTTGGCCAAGACTTCAAGGTAGGAGCCATGATCCGTGGAGGGGACGACTCATCGTTTCCATCTTGCGATAAAGGTTTCTAGAACATTTGTAAGAGCGATTCTTGACTACTTTCTCTCCGGTAACTTTCGGCCTCGAAAGCCATCTATGCATCGGTTGCATCGGTTGCACAAGCTTTTTACTGTTGGACTTGATAAGAGTATAGATTTATGGTCTAGAATCCGTCCCCCTTTCTCTGTATGTAGGTTTCTATAACTATCGTCAAATGCTTCGGTCTATGTTGGTATTAAATATGAGTTTTGACGTGTATTTCATGATTGTTGCGCCCATTGTAGTTGGCGGCCCACTCTTCCATTGCCCTCTTCCTCTTCAATTTTGCCATTGAAGCCCGGTGCTGGTAATGCGGCTATACCCCTCGGCACATTGTTGTCCAAAATGCTCCCTGCCTTCGCCACCAGTGGCCTGAGATATCGTGACTCTTTGCCTCTCATCATGGAAAGTTTGTTGAGCATTAAATGCAGGTACTGTCGTCCACAGAGAAAAGTGTCAGACATGTCGCCAGAAAATACATGCAGGACATCAGCAAGACAACCAGCGATGTCTGACAGTTTCTGCTCCATGCCTATACCGTGAGAGTCCAATACCAAGGGGTTCGCGCGTTCAATAATGTTGACCGTCCGCCTGGCGAGTTCGATGGGGTAGTCGAGGCGTCCAGTGCCTGTTTGTCCCTTATCGCAGACCAAGCCGTTGCTGACACCCATCTGCCAAGCCAACACGTGTAACCATTCCCTCGACACACTAATGTCTATCCTAGCAGTCTCTGTGATATCCGAGAGGGAATGAGCGACCGTGTCGAGCGAGCGTTGTGTTTCTGCCAACCATGGCTCCGAGCATAGGGCCTTCCGACGAGCGCTGCCTTTCCAGATGCTGACGAAGTTGTCGTCGATTGCGGAGAAGAGGTGGGCCAAGTTGACGAAGCCATGGAGGAGGCGAGGGTCTTCCGATTCAAAGGCCAGGGGTAGCTGGATGGTAGGGTGTAATCGGCAGTTTCTGCGACGCTGTATCGAGTAGGCTCTGCGCAATCAATGTTAGTATGTGCAGAAACAGACACTGGTAATGGAGTCAAGTACCTCTCGGTTATGAAGAGTAGCCAGTATATTCGTCGTCGCCACTGCGCTTCGAGGGGGTCGAGCTCGAGCATGAGGGTTTCATCATCCATGTCCAGATTCTCCACAAAAGATATCGCCTCTTGCAGGTAGTGCCACGCCTTTTCGCTGCTCTCTTTGTTGCCGTAATAAGCAAAGATGAAGAAGCTAGTCATGACTGTGACTGTAGTCGGATTGCCGATGTAATCAAACTCTCGTCTCACTCTGAGGCATTCTTCAATGAACATCTCGGCTGCTGTTGAAGGTCTACCAGGAAGTGGCTCCATCTCAGGGATCGGCGTTGCTGCATCCAACTGGACGAGAGTAGCCGCGCTCAATGCGCAGAGAAAGCCGTATGTTTCCGTTGGCATGTAATTTGTCGGGCTGTAAAGGTATGGGTCTAGATAGATTTGTTGATCGACCACAGGCATGATAAAGTAAAGATGCTCGAAGAAGAGCTGCACATATGGCAAGAATCGCTGGTTCGGTATACGTGATTTTGCAGGTTGTGGATCCAAAGCAGAAGAGTAGTATTGAGGTGGTCGGGGCGGTTGTGCTGGCCAGAGTTGGCTCATGGCTTGGTTGATGGGTACCCCTCGAGGATCCATCTGAAGTGGCGTCGCATAGTTCTGGGCCTCCGGAGGACCGTGATAACCATATCCTGTAGTGATAGGCTCTGCAGGCGTACTTGTTGCCATCGATCCGTCGAAAGGACTGTGATTTGGTGCAGGGGCTGGCGACGAAGATGAGCTTCCATACCATTGGTTGAAGCCGTCCTGCAGTACAACCGGGCTCAGGGGACTGTCGGGCGCGAGCGTCGCAGATTGATCAATTTTTCTCAGCGCATGCAGCACTCTAGCACTCCTGAGACCCTTTGGACCCTTCTTCTTGGGTGCTTGGAGGTACGCGCATCGAATGGTGGCCTTTCGGCAAGGGCCACAAGGACTCTCTCCATCACAACGAACCTTGCGTTTCCTGCAGCAGTCGCAAGCTCGCTTCAAAGATTTCTGAGTACTTCCAGAGGCAGATTCTCCCGAGTCGTTCTCAGCTGTTGTGGCCATGCACATGATCGAGCCTGGGAGATATGGCGTAATGAAACGAGAATCCGTATGTCGGATGTGTCGGTAAATAGCAAATGCTATTTAGCTGGCGATTTCGTTCGGACGGGTCTCCAAAAACAAGATCTGAGCATGAGGGATCTGCGGTAGATAACAAGCTCCAAGCGCAGTGGCACCGGGATGTTGTGGTAAGATGGTGCAACGAAACATGCGAGTGCTTGGACAAGGGCTTCGAAGGATGACATGCAGTTGAAATGCGGGGAAGGGGTTTGCAAAAGTTCAGGCCAAGCCGCCGAGTCAGGCCGAATCTACCTGCAGGCTTGCCGCTGATCGGGAACCCCAGGCTCCAAATTTGGCCCCAACCAGGCATCCCCAACCGGAGAAGACCTTTCGGCACGACATCCGTGTGGCATAGAATGAGTCCGTGCCGTATTGAATGCAACAAGCGATGCCTCCAAGTAGGTCGTCGTTGAGCTGGCACTTTACTCTGAGTTTCGATGTGTAATGGATCTTGTTTCTGATCGGTCCGGAAGCTTGAACAGTGGTGGTTGAGTGAGCGTCATACGAGTACAGGCTCTTTGTTTTTTCGTGAGCTCAATCTCACGATGCCTCAGGGAGCTTTGGTACCGCGCATGGTCGCGTGCGTTGTAGGGACTGTGCTTGCGATGGGAGTAGGCGCTCAACGTCTCGCTCTATGGCAGCCACAAATGTCGGGTGAAGTGACTGTATACGGCAGAAGACCCATGGGGCGTGGGGTAGTTTCATCCATGTCGGATATAATCATGTTGTCCCGATCGATGTACCACTGTTTGCAGGTACGGCTGAGATTCAAGCTCAGGTATTGTGAGCCTGCTGAAGGTTGGGGTCTTCGTTCTTGACAATATCGACGGCAGCGCTGCTCGCGACAAAATCTTCGAGCTCTTCGCTGACAGTCTTGAGCTTCTCCTTGACTGTCGCAGTGCCTTCAAGACCGACAATGTGCCGAGCAGGTGGGTTGTCATGGCCTCCGATGGCGGCAACAGCATGTACCGTTTCAGCGACCAATGTCTCTTTCATACCCTTGGTCAGGGGTGCGTAGATGGTGTTGATGGTATCAGACTGAAGCTGATCACCGGTTGTGGGTTCATCGGAGCCTTCAAGACGATCAAGCATGCCTGCTAGAATATCGCGGAATAGGGGGGCTGGATTGTGATCTGCGGCATAGGCAGGCATGGGAGGAGCAGCAGTGATACGGTTGGTCAGAACAGCAATTTCCATGTTGGGCTGGATAATGGTCATCTTGATATTGAAGGGCGCGACCTCGTAGGCCAGGCTGTCGCAATAGCCTTCAATGGCCCATTGACTGGCGCAATAGACGGACATGCCTGGTGTACCCATGTGGCCTGAGAGATTGGATAGCATAACAATATGGCCATTTCTCTTGGTGCGGAAGGTGGGCAGGATGGACTTGATGACATTGACGGGGCCGAAGAAGTTTGTCTCGAACTGGTCTCTTATGAGGGAGTGGGTACGCGTTGTCTGTGAAAGTTCCTCGACGGTGCCGACCAGCGTCTCTGAAGTGCAGCAGAACAATATGTCGATGCGACCGAAGCTGTGTACGGCCTCTGCGATGGCGCTCTGGCACTGGCCCATGATGCGCACGTCGACTCCCACGACCCTCAGTCGGCCTGACCATGTCTCCTGCTCTTTGACCTCTTCCAGGAACTCGCGGAAGTGTGTCGACTGTTCGCCGTTCTTTTCAAACTCTAGCGGAGGCACGCCGGCGACAATGTAGTCTCCATGGTCGAGGAGATGGCGCGCCAACGAGATGCCGATGGGCGAGTTTGCGCTGGTCAGGAACCACACGCGCGGCGAGTTGTGCGTCGGAAACTTTGGCTGTCGAGGTGGCTTGGGATCCACCGCTGCACTTGTGCTCATATCTCCATTGACCTCTTGGAGGGCCTCGCTATGTTCAACATCTTCTTGCATCCTGAAGCTTGCAACAGTCAGGGTGCCTAGTTCTAGCCCTTGGCATTGCCAGCAAGCGCCGGATCCCCCTCCGCCTCGCCCACGACGACGAATCGCCTTGGGTGCTTACCTAAACATGGCTCAAGTACAGAGCCATGTTCTCAAAAGCTCGCTCGCATTGTAGTACAGAGCAAGAAGCTCTTCCAAGTCCACATGCCAGGTTTGCTTAGCTGCATGACATGTAGCAGTGACACAATGGCCTGCCAGGAGCAGTTTGGAGAGAATCGACTCTGGAACCTGCCACGCTGTCCTGCGATCAGACCATTTACTGGAGTAGCTGACTCTTTGCACAGCGCCTAGTATCTAAACAGAGCTTTGAGTGATACCATATTCTCCAGATCTCCAGACCAATGCAATCCAAGGACGATCACTTCCCGAGAAGAGTCAGAATCCCAAAAACAGACAGCAGGCTTTAATTTGGAATCGTTTGATTTGTCTGCCGTAAGGACATGAATGTTGCTTCAAAGGCCAGCAGCTCGAATGATCACCAGTGTATAGACCCAAGCGGGAGGTGGAAAGCAGAATGAACAAAAAAAGAAATAAGGGCAGAAACATGAGCTACTTCTAAACTACAACTTGCATGCAAATGCTCTGCCAGTTCTGCTCTCTTGACACATAACATGCCCAAAACCCTTTGCTGGTTGCTGTTTTCGTTTCACTGTGCTACAAACGTGACCGTCCGAGGATGGAAGCACAAGCGCCGATACGTGTCGACCCAAGCGCGCCGAAGAAGTTGAAGAGTGCGCTGTGGAGCAGTGTCAGTCATCGACTCGAGAATGCTGTTATTCCTTCTATTACGCACCTTAGAAGCACTTTCGGTGAACGATCGAAGGACCGCTCTCGTCGTACTCTTGCTTTGAGATCCACATCTGCTGGAAGGTGGAGAGGGATGCGAGAATGGAACCACCGATCCAGACGGAGTACTTGCGCTCTGGGGGAGCGATGATCTTGACCTTCATGGATGAGGGAGCAAGGGCGGTGATTTCCTTCTGCATACGGTCGGAGATACCGGGGTACATGGTGGTGCCACCAGACTGGGGAATGTATTAGCTTGTTGCCGCGAGAACCAAATTGTGGCACAAAACTTACCATGACGATGTTGCCGTAAAGATCCTTTCTGACGTCGACATCGCACTTCATGATGGAGTTGAAGGTGGTGACGTGGATACCGCCAGACTCGAGACCAAGGACAGAGGGCTGGAAGAGAGCCTCGGGGGCACGGAAACGCTCGTTACCGATGGTGATGACCTGACCATCGGGAAGCTCGTAGGACTTCTCGAGGGAAGAGCTCTGGCTGGCGGTCTGGATCTCCTGCTCGAAGTCGAGGGCGACGTAGCAGAGCTTCTCCTTGATGTCACGAACGATTTCGCGCTCGGCGGTGGTGGAGAAGGTGTAACCGCGCTCGGCGAGGATCTTCATGAGGTAGTCGGTCAAGTCACGACCGGCCATGTCGACACGCGAGATGGCGTGGGGAAGGGCGAAACCTTCGTAGATGGGGACAACGTGAGTGACACCGTCACCCGAGTCGAGGACGATACCGGTGGTACGACCGGAAGCGTACAGCGACAGGACGGCCTGGATGGAGACGTAGAAGGCGGGGGCGTTGAAGGTCTCGAAGACGATCTGGGTCATCTTCTCACGGTTGGACTTGGGGTTGATGGGAGCCTCGGTGAGCAGGACGGGGTGCTCCTCGGGGGCGACACGGAGCTCGTTGTAGAAGGTGTGGTGCCAAATCTTCTCCATGTCGTCCCAGTTGGTAACGACACCGTGCTCAATGGGGTATCTCAGGGTGAGGATACCACGCTTGGACTGTGCCTCATCACCGACGTATGAATCCTTCTGGCCCATACCAATCATGATACTGCGTCATTGTCAATTCAAGCTCGTAACACAGCTTAGAGTCGGGTAATCGTACCCATGGTGGCGAGGTCTTCCGACAATTGAGGCTGCAGCGCGTTAGATGCTGTGAGAAGGACGAGTTTCGGAAGCTTGCGTGGTACTTACGGAAGACGGCTCTGGGTGCGTCGTCACCGGCGAAACCGGCCTTGCACATACCCGAACTGTGGCCAATGTGTTAGCTGTAATCATCCTGGAGCTTCACGAGTGCGCGCCATTGAAGCCTAAGGTGGATGCAGGATCGCGTCGACGGCGGCCCAGTCGCGCATGACGTGATCCCACACCCAGCGACGGCGGAAGACGCGGACGGCGAGGATTCTTACCCATTGTCGATGACGAGAGCTGCGACCTCCTCTGTAGACACGAACAGTGGTCAGCGAATGCTCGATGGAGGTGTGACGACGACGGTGGCGATGGGGACAATGAGGAGTTGGGAGGTGAGGGGTGCGCCGGCAGCACATTGGCAGCAAGAGGAGAGACTCACCTTCCATTGCGGCGGTGTTGTTAGTGGATGTGGGTTGGTGTAGAGTTGGAGAGATGAGCTGCAGCGAGGATTTGAGCTGCTGTAGATGGGACACGCGCGGTGGGGTTAATGGAGGTGATGAAGGGGGAAAGTTGGAACACTTGTCGTCGAACCGGGCGGTGTGTGAGGTCCAATTCCTTGGCCTGTGCAGGATGCTAGCCAACTGTACCCGATTGGTTGGATTGCGTCTAAGCCTCCGCTCTATCAACAGTCAAAGCCCCGTTGCGTGTGCAGGACAACCTCTCTTTGGTGCGCTGAAAAGCTCTTGTTTCCCGTTGTAATACTTGCACTCTTTGCTCCTGCTTCCTCTTGCTACTGCCTATATATCTGCTATCAAATACGGCTGCCTTGGCTGCGTCGTGCAGGCCGCGTAACACGGCCATGAGTAAGCTCAGCCCAACACCTCCCACTACATCATGCCAAGTATGATGCTGCATGGCGGGCAGACGTTGCGCCCTCTCCCGAGTCTCTTTCTTCAATCCTCATCGTCTCTCGTGTCTTTACGCGTCGTGCCAGACGAGTGACCACAATCCCAGCCTCGCTCTTCGAACGGGTGTCCCATCAGCAATCGCTCTGCCAGCCCTTTGGAACCATCTCGACGCTTGAAGGATTGTTGAACGCAGAGTGGGGTCTGGCCACTTTCCCGGGACCCCTTTCAATACGACTGCGCCGTATTCCGTACAATGTCATTTGCAGCTTTTCACACATTGTGAGAATGCTCAAATCCTTCTTGTCATCTGGCTTGAGCTCCGTCGGACGCCTCCTGGTCATTGATTGCGACTTTCTAGACGGGCAGGAAAAAGAAATCAATTCGCTTCCCCACCGAGATAAAGAGCTTCGCGGAGCCTCAGGCCGGTCCCGGCAACGTTGAAGCGCCGACGATCCTGGGCTGGAGTCGCGAAACTGCCAACGGTTTCCAGTAATACCACGGCGCGATTACAGATGCACGTCCAGCCATCTTTCAGTGTGTGTTAACGAAGAGATGATCTTTGGTTACAGCAAGCGCTCTGCAAGACTCGGCCGACGCGCTCGAGACAGTCGCGTCGACGACGTAGGTGAACCACGAGAGTCTTGAACTCAGGCACAAGCTTTCGATGGCCTCGACAACGTATGGGGACATGAGATCGAGTCTGCAGAGATACTCGAGAAGATCAAGCAAGCAATCTTGCCAGGTACACCTCATCTCGACTGACTTCGTGACAAACACAGTGAGATCGAGAATATCAACTGATGCGCTGATTCAATGCCTTCCCTTTCCGCTTGATCGCAATCGATCGCTGCTACGGGACATCTTGGAGCAACACACTGCGACTTGGAGACGATTTAGAACTTACAAAAATGAGACAGTGTGATCAGGACACATCGTTCCTGCACATTTATACAGGCACAACTGTCCTGGAATAAGCCTCAGAGTGTATCCGACCAGCACGCAGTGAAGGTGACCACGCAGTATAGTATTGGCAGAGACATGTAGATACAATATAGACTGACTTGATCATGATGATCCGCTAGACAATGTGCCATGTGTGAACCTGTGCTGTCTGGCTGCCGTCTGCGTCTGCCATGCGCTCAAAACATGGGCAGATACCCAATCGTGCAAATTTTACGTTGCGAAGGTCAGTACGCAATATTACTGCCCTGCGACCACAAGACGTGTCGGAAACTTCGAGCTCATATCCTAGTATGTTGCTAGAAGCAGCTCACTATCCCGATTAGAACATGTCTTACGTCTATTAGAGCAAATGGCAGTCTCCAATGTCTTAGAGACGGGGGAGACCCTGACTGGAGTGAAGAAACAAGAAAGAAAAAAAAGAACAAAAAAAGAGAAATCGAAGCGTCTCGAAGCACCCACCACCTTCGCATCGCGCCTCGGCCCTGCAGACAAAACTGCACGCTGCGTCACCACAAAAATAATTCCTGCCCCTCACAGCACAAGGCACAACAATTCACTCTGAACAATAACGACTTTCAACCCACATACTCGAAACACACATTGACATTGCCCAAAACGCATTAGTCCAAGAGACACACTTACACCACCCTACCACCACCCACACACACACACACAAAGCCACCCACCACCACCCACAATGAACGACCCAGGCCTCAACACCCTCCTAAAATGGTCCATCGAAAACTCGACCGCCTCCGAAACATCAGCCACCCCAACCCAACCACGCACACAACTAAACCCCGAACTCCTCGCGCAACTAATGGGCGGGCCCAGCGATGCCGACCGCATGATTTCCTCCATGCAAGCCATCCACGACCCAAACGTCGACCACGAAAACAAGGGGATCGCATGGGATAATTTCGAGCAATTGGTGGAGAATTTGGATAATGCTAATAACATGGAGGCGTTGAAGTTGTGGACGCCGCTTGTGGACATGTTGGAGAGTGGGAGTGTGCAGGATAGGGAGATGGCTTGTTGGTGTTTGGGGACTGCTGTGCAGAATAATATCAAGTGTCAGGAGAGGGTGAGTCACAACCGTTTCTACACGTTTTCAAAAAGTGAATTGGGAAGACGAGATGCTAATGCTTTTATATTCACAGGCGTTGGCTGTTGGAGCCATCCCCAAAGTCGCAAAGCTCTGCTCAGACGCAGATGCTGGAGTTCGCAAAAAGGCCATTCGTGTCATTAGCTCAGAGGTCAGAAATTACCAGCCTGCCCTGGACGAGGCTGTCAAGTTCTTGCCCGAGGACATTGTGGGCGATGGCAAGTTCGATGCCGAGGACATGGCCAGCGTGGATATTCTTGTCAACGCACTGAGAGAGAAGAGTGCCAAGATGGCTTAGATGGATGAAAAGAGACGGCTCATGGGTATAGATGGGAAGATGCATGATACACAAGCAGGCGTTGTACGTGTTGGCTAAGTTGACATGCAGGTCCTGATAGTGACCTTGGTTATGGGGTATACGAGTAGAATCTGGCCAAGAGGCCATTTCTGAATATGAAGGATTTCTCGCTTTCAACTTCTCCCTGTCCTGTCCTCTTTGTACGACGCTCCGCCATGCCCTCAATAGTGGCCTATTGCAACTTTCAAAGCTGGGCTAAGTATGTGCAGCCTTCATGAGACTGCGGTTTCTGCTCTTTCGGAAGCATGACTTCTGCCATGAAGACACAAGCTTCTCCCGCCCTTACTGTGTAGTTATATTGGCTCAACAGCCTTTGTATGGTGTCCGGTCATTTGCGTCTCTCTGTACGCAGAAGGTCCACATCAAGTCATCGTCTCGACGACTCTCGGCTCCTGTCGCCTTGATCCAGAGCATGGGTGTTTTCGCCCCAAGCCGTCAGGAGGAGAGAATTCTTGTGTCTTGTTCAGAGGCACTCCAAGCAGGCACCGATCAACTCATCAAACGTCTCTCTGCCATAGTCCGCCTTTTCCAACCCCAAGCCCAGCACTAGCATCCTCTGCTCCTCTGGATTCCTCATCAACAGCGCCGTCGCAATCGTCGTGGCCAAAGTTTGCCCCAAAACTTCAAACTCTCCTCTTGTTCCACCCAACACTGTCGTTGCTGTCAAATGCGCAAACGGAAGCAGACTTGCATCCACATCGGTCTCGGAGGAAGGGTTCAGGAAGCCATTGTCTAGTGGACGACCGCCGGAGAGAGGGACGTGTAGCCAGTGATTCAAGCGGCCGGATTGAGAGATTGTGAGGACGAGCTTGTCGGAGAAGTTTAGAGCGGTGATCTGGGTAGGGATGCCGGCGACGGTGCTGTTGACTGATTTGCTGGGTGCGGGGAAGTCTGAGAAGGTGACGTTCGGCGGCTGTGAGCCCATGGCAGGAGTAGGAGTAGGGAGGGACCGAGTCTGCATGCTGAGAGACGGTGGCTTGAACAACAACAAGCTGGAGCTGCAACTGTTTCTCTTTCTGGCCGACGCACGCTAGCCCCCACATTTTGCGAGCGGGTCGGCGCGTGCATGCATGAGCTTAAATCAGAAAAGTTGCAATCGCCATGTCCGACATTTCGTGTTTGTCTACCCGCCTTTCCCTCCTTTCATACCTCTTTCCCGGCAGGACGCTTCACCATGCCGCCCAAATTCGTGCCTCGCGATCGCAAAAAGGGCAGAATCGCAAAAGCAAAAGCGAAAAACGCTCACTCCCACGACGAGCCCGAAGATGCAAACGCCGCCGAAATCGTCCCTCCCACACCCACGGAACGAGAAGCCCGTCGAACAGCTCTGCAAGAAGAGATTCGCGCTCAAAACAGCACTTCGGTCATTAGTGGAAAGAAGAAGAAGAGATTGGACAAATACATTGACAACAAGCTTAAGAAGGAGGAGAACTTGGCTTTGATCAAGAAGCTCGCTGCCGGAAAGGTTGACACGAGCCTCTTGCTGAGTTCCAAGAAGCTGGGAAGAGGTGGAGAGTCTGCGAGGGAGAGGTTGGAAAGAGCGCTGAGAGAGAAAGAGCAGGGCATCAACCTCGAGGCAAACGATGCGATTCTGTTTGAGCAGAGGAAGAGACCCGCGCTTGAACTCGAGAGCGAGTCTGAGGACGAGCAAGCGTCAACACCCCAAGCAAACGCGTCACAAGCTGCCTCTGCAAAGGCCTCAGTCTCAGTTCCTGCGCCAGCACCGGCGCCGGGCAAGGGTGGGCTCTTTGCTGCCGGCCAAGGTCTGTTTGGCAGTGGCCTGAAGAGGCCGCTTGAGACAGACGAGGAGGGAAAGCCGGTCATTAAGAGTAGAAAACGCACAAAGGTCGTCAACAAGTCTGTACCTGCAGTCGTCCAAGAACCCGAATGGGAAGGCTTCTCTGGAGACGAGGGCGAAGACGGCGAGGATGACGAAGACGAGGACGAGAGCTCAGAAGAAGACATCAGAGATGGCGAGGAAGACTCGGATGAAGACGACGAAGACGACGAAGATTCAGAGGACGCCGGAGATTCCGAAGACGGCTCCGAAGAAGAGTCGGACTCGGACGAGGACATGTCAGATGCAGAGGCTGTCAAGGAAGCACAAAAGGCTCGTTCGTCTGCCTTCAAGATGTGGGCCACCGAGCAACGCAACGAGGCCATAGGCTTCGTCCCCTCGACCAACCTCGAAAGCGTCAACTCGACAGGCGTCAAACAACCTAAAAACTTCGTCCCCCGCGCTCCTTCGCCAGAAACCCTCCCTCCAGAACTCGCCGTATCCGCTACCACAGAATCAGACAACCGTCCCGCCGTCAGTCTCGTCATCCCTCGCACCCCTGAGATCCAAGAGGCTAGATTGAAGTTGCCTGTCGTGCAAGAAGAGCAGAAGATCATGGAGGCTGTCCACAACAACAATGTCCTGGTCGTCTGGGGTGCCACTGGTTCCGGTAAAACAACTCAAGTTCCTCAGATGATGTTCGAGAGCGGTTACGGCAGTAAGATTGGTCAGGCAGATGGAGAAGGCAAGGCCAAAGGCATGATTGGTGTCACCCAACCTCGCCGTGTCGCTGCCGTCAGTGTGTCCGAGCGTGTAGGCACTGAGCTGTGCAGCATGAAGAATCGTGTTGGTTACCAGATTCGTTTCGACACCACCGTCTCGAAGGAAACTGCCATCAAGTTCATGACTGATGGTATTTTGCTCAGAGAAATTGCCAACGACTTCATCTTGTCCAGATACTCTGCCATTGTCATCGATGAAGCTCACGAACGTTCCGTCAATACCGATATCTTGATCGGTATGATGAGCAGAATCGTCGATCTTCGTGCTCAGATGGCAAAGGAGGAGCCTGAAAAGTACTACCCTTTGAAGCTCGTCATCATGAGTGCTACTCTCCGCATCACCGATTTCACAGAAAACACCCGTCTCTTCAGAAACGGTCCTCCTCCGATCGTCAAGGCAGAAGGCAGACAATACCCTGTCACTGATCATTTTGCTCGTAAGACCACACATGACTATGTGGATGACATGCTCCACAAGATCACCAGAGGTCACAAGAAGCTGCCACCCGGCGGTATGCTTTGTTTCCTTACTGGTCAGCAAGAGATCATCCAGCTTGCCAAAAAGCTTCGACAAGCCTTCCCTGCCGATACTGGTAGCCAGGTCAAGCAACCCAGAGTTCATGTGTCTGCTGCTGATGCACCTCTGGAGATTGATGATATGGATGCTGAAGCTCAACCTGCAACGAGAAGAAACGACGATGACGACGATGATGATGACTCAGACATTGAGATAAGAGGATTGGACGACGAAGAGGACGACAAGGAGTTTGTGATTGAAGGCGAAGAGCAACCCGTGGAAGCACTCAGAGTCCACGTGCTACCCCTTTACTCGCAACTCCCTACCAAGCAACAACTTAAGGTCTTTGAGGAACCTCCGGCAGGTTCAAGATTGATTGTGCTTGCCACCAACGTTGCCGAAACATCTCTTACCATCCCTGGTATTCGATACGTCTTTGACTGTGGTCGCTCAAAGGAGAAGAAATACGAGGCTTCCACTGGTGTACAGACTTTTGAGATCGATTTTATCAGCAAAGCCAGTGCAGCACAAAGAGCCGGTCGTGCTGGTCGTACAGGACCTGGCCACTGCTACCGTCTCTACTCATCTGCCGTCTATGAGCGCGACTTTGAGGAGTACGCTATTCCCGAAATCTTGCGCTCGCCCATCGAGGGAGTTGTGCTATCGCTCAAGAGTATGGACATCCAGACCGTAGTCAACTTCCCCTTCCCTACACCGCCAGACCGAAAGGCACTGGCCAAGGCTGAGAAGCTTCTTACATTCCTCGGTGCCATTGATGCGCATGGCAAGATTACAGAAACTGGAAAAGAATTGGCAGCATATCCCTTGTCGCCGAGATATGCAAGAATGTTGTTGTTGGGCAGACGCTATAACATGTCAGCACACACGATAGCTCTCGTCGCATCACTCGCTGTCCCCGAGCTCTTCATCCCTCAGACTCAATACAACCTTGAGAATGCACCCGATGAGGCGGAGTCAGATGACGAGAACGACACCGCCAGAGAACGTTTCGCAAAACGCCAGATACGCTCAGAAGCAGACAACATCGCCGCCTCAGCAGCAGAAGTCAAGCGAAGAGCATACGGAAAAGCTCACGCAACACTCTCCCGCTGGGACGATCGTAGCGATGCTCTAAAGCTACTAACAGCAATGGCCGCCTACACCGCATCCTCCTCCCCAGCAACCTTTTGCACAGACTACTTCCTGCGCGAAAAAGCCATGAAGGAAGCCGCACAGCTTAAGCACCAATTAACAGCCATTGTCCGCAGTCAATCCCGCACCGGCACCGAAGACCCCACCCTACTATCATCATCATCATCGTCACAAACCACCCTCCCACCACCCACAGACAAACAACGCGCTATTCTGAAACAATTCGTCGCAGCGGGCTTCATCGATCAAGTCGCCGTCCGCGCCGACATCATCGGTGTCGCATTATCCCGTAACCCACGTCGCGCAATCGAAGTCCCCTATCGCACTCTCTTCGCCTCCAGCACGGGAGACACAGCAGGCACAGATCCAGAAACCCGTGCTGCCGCAAAACTATCCTATGTGCATCCTTCTTCAGTACTGGCTCGTCTCACCGTGCCCGAAATGCCCGATTACATTATTTACTCGCATTTATCTCGACAAGCTCCCTCGCCTCCTTTCGACACTTTGCCAAAGACGAGAATACATCCCTTGACGACGGTGACGGCGAAACAGCTCGCTAATCTGGCAGAGGGGACTCCTTTATTGGAGGTGGGTAAGCCGGTGGGTAAGATTGAACAGTTACCTCGCGGTGCTGATGGGAGGGAGAGGAGAGAAGTGTGGGTTGGTCTGAGTTTGAGAGGGGAAAAGGAAAGTACACCTTGGCCTGTGGGAGCGAGGAAAGTGGTTCAAAAGAGGATTGGAGGTGCTTGGGAGATTGAGAAGGTTGTGGGATAAGACTTTTTCACTTTCTCTCTCTCTCTCTCTCTCTCCAAAAAGTGCAATGGATGGAAAGAGTAGTTTGCTGGAATGCATAATCAATATTTATAACATCTCACACAATCACTTCTGACATTTGTCTGGAAGGGAAGTATTTTGGGGAATTTTCTTTTGGTCTGGTGTCTGGGGGTTCTTAGATAAGGGGGGATGCTCATTCTGCGCCCCCCCCCCCCCCCATGTGGCCTGGACCGATAGGAAACACCTCAAAACTCTTTGTCGCATACATTCCCCATCTTCACGTGCCAATGGCAGGCGAACCACGGAAACACCGGGCCCAAATGTCGAAAAATGTCCTTCTCGCTTTCCTTTCGTTTGATCGAGGTGGTGGTTTCTGTCGCCTGTCAAGATACTTTGTATGTCTACATGTTTGCTGGAGTGAGCTGTCTCGATGTGGTTTTGTTCGTCGACCGGTGTACTTCTATCTCGGAGTGCCTGGCCGATTGCTGTCTGTGTAGATGCACAGCATTATCCACATCTCTCTATACATGACACTGGAGAGAAAATCCCATCTTGGCCTTCTCCGTGAACATGACCACCAAATATGTGCATTATGACAGCTACACGATTGTGGCAACATGGTAGCTGGAGTACGCAAGCTGTATTGCTATACGATTATTTGTTTTGTCTATCTAACCCTGACACCCCAACCAGTGGGTCATCTTGAAATATCTATCTGTCTATTCCTTGAACATTATTCATCTTCTCTAAAGATGATACGCACGAACCGTCTACGCCTCAAAGATCCTCTGAACCCATCTCTTGACAGCGCCCTTCCACAAAGCTGGACCAGGGAAAGTGTAGCTGATCAAAGTAGGCCAGTAAATGCTAACTGAAATACCCTTGTCCTGAGCTGTGTAGAGCTTGTTGTACTTTACACCGGCAGGTTTGGCAGTTCCTTTTCCGGAGATTTGGAAGTTGATGCAATTGGGGTAGTTTTGCGCGCCGTTGTCGTGGTCCGCATTGTGTAAAGCAATAATCTCATGGCGAAGGACGTAGGAGCCAGCGATGAGAGAGGAGGGAATCGTAATGCTCCAAGACATGTTGTTTGCGATCAGGGTGTCTGTGGCCCATGTGCTGTGCATCTCGTTAACATGGAACTGGTACATAGCAATGCAGAGTGAGGTAGCTTACCCAGGTGCAGGATTTCCATTGATCAAACCTCCCTGATCAATCTTGAACCAGTCAAGAGTAGCAGGGTTGACAATAGAACAATCGCCAGGGCACTTGGCAAGATAGGTAATGACAGGGCCTTTATGGCTTTCAGGCCAATCAGACCAAAGCAACTTGACCTTGTCACCAGCATTGACAGGAATACGTGTGTTTGTGGATTTGGCACTCTTGTGGCAAGCAATGTTTGCAGTGCCGTAATCAGAAGGAGAGATAAAACCGAGGTCTTGGTTCAAGGAAGACCAGCCGGCGGATTTGGCATGAGGGATGCTGGGGTTGACACGCCACCAGGGTTGAGCTCCGGGATACCATTTGTTGCCGGGTGTGACGATGCCTTGGACGAAGCCATGAGCGGTGACGGTAGTTGTGAAATTGATGAAGGTCAAAAGACCAGAAAGAATGGCCAAAGTTGAGAACATGATGACTTTGTTCAAACTGTTGCCTCTCTATTGATGATGATGATAGTTGGATGCTCGAATACCAGAGTCGAGACACAAGATAAAGAGTGATTCGCAGCAGACAAGACCTCAAAAGAAAAGAATGTATAAGAATGTCGATAAACGACGGGAAAGAGGCTTGGAAGAAAGCTGAAGAAGGTTATCACAGGTTGCGCCTACCTAGATATACCTTATCCATCTCTTGCAGCCAAGTTCACCTACCGCAGAGGACAAGGCAGCGGCAACGAGTAAAACGAAAGCCCATGCCGCGATATCCAACGTTTATCGAAATCGAAATCGAAAGGCTAGGCGACGACTCCGTCGCATGTCAGGAACGCACAACCAGGCATACCAGGGGGAAATACAGGTACAGCACCGTTAGAGAGGTTAGCAGACAACAGGACCTAGACCTTGCATGCCATGCCTCCAACTTTTCGATAGCTCGCTATCAGAAATGAACCATTGTCTCAAGTAGAATAGGCATCAATCTTGAAGATCTGTTCCAGGACCGAACAAAGACGTTGAGCAAACGGTAATTCTTCCCAGCTGTTGGTTGCTGTTGTTTCTGTGCCGTGGCGACGTTTTTGGCAGTTGAGTGGGCGAAGCGTGCGAGTCTTGGCAAGAGCAGCCGAGCATCGCTTTTGTAAAATTGTCTTGCAATTGACGGACATACATACCACACAATTCTCAAGGAAGCAGGCTATCGAGATGCACGGCAGTTTTTCAGCTACTTGCGCCATTCTTCGGGGTACTCGTTAGCTCAGCCCACGGGTCTAAGTTCGGAGTCTTGGGGACTCTCTCATCTTCATAGTAAGTTGGCCCGACGGCCTTGACCAACATCGGGCAAAACGTTCTCCCGGCGCAAACAAAGGTGTTGTCGAGTAGACTAGTTCGATCATGCAAGATGTGGGGGGCTGCGATGTTTGATGACACAGATGCAAAACATGAGCAGAATCTGAACGGATCCAAATGACGAGAAGGCTGCTTGTGCTTGGGGTTGCTATGTCATGCTCCGTGGCTACTTCAAACTAGAAGATTGATGGAACAGAAGGGCAAAGATGGGTTATATAGGCTGTGCGTTATCATTCTGTGTTGGATCTGTTGATAGGCATTGCTCCGATCAAGCTATTCATCCATTTCATATCGATTGTCAACCTAGAACTGAATACTCGCCCATCTGTGAAGCTCGCCCCTACCTCTTCATATCATCACTTTGATACGATGCATCTCCAGTCGTGGGGTGCAGAAACCGACAAGCTGTCGTAGCGCATAGTCCTTTGTAGAGAATAGCAGTCACCGCTGAGAGAGTACTACAGTGCTCCATCTCCCGATCTGATATCATGCTGGAGGAACATCCTGTGCGTTTCAACAGCTACAAGATCACGAGTCACCTGAAGTGGAAATACGATTGTTTGATGACTTTGTGAATGATTGTGGATAGCTAGAGTTATAGTAACTATTATTAGTATACCGGGGATTCGGTGATAAGGGCTTCGGTCATGGTCGCGAGTATGTATAGAGAAGCGTGGGTCATGTCCATGGCTCCAATATAGCCTAGTCGTCCTTCTTGGTAGGCAACCTAGACCGTGGGGATTTGACGACTGTCATCTTCTGGCAAGTAGAGTTGGCCTTGCGAAACGTTGTTGAGGTGGAGACTTTGGGCGAGGTACGACGAGGGTAGGAAACGACTCGAAGGCCCAAGCGGTAACAACGCTTTCGTTTCTTCAACCACATTCGATCGTGACAGTTTGGAATCACCAAGTGTCCATACCATAGAGTACTTGCTGAAGAAGGCATGGGCTTGTTGCTTCCTTTGTGCATCTGTGACCAATTGGCGAGCGCACCAGATAATAGCCGTACCACCCTTGACTGCGTAGTCTCGTACAGTCTCGGCAAGCTCTCTGTTTACTGCCTGCTCGTCCATCAATTCCGCATCTAGGACGACGATTGCGCTTGGTGGATCTTGGTCGATGTGATTGAGTGCGTTTGGGGCATCAGAGAAGGACGTTGCTTGTGGAATTGCTTCGTTCAAAACTTCCTGCAGCGTGGCACACGTTCTTCTCGGCGCTTCGGCGTCGGTGAGCGACAAAAGCATGATACGAACATCGCGATCTTGGAATGGAGGATTCATGACGACGATGATGATGATAATGATGTGGTGCTGTGATGATAATGCGGTAAGGTTCAATGTCGTTGTTGGTGGAAGACACCAGTGAAAGATACCATCCGATGGATCATGCCTTCTTGATCTGTGAGCGCGACGCCATATTTGGCCATCCTGCTGCTCCTGCCGATATCCAGCGTCGGAAGTCGTCCAGCATTAGTGCAGAAGCTTCTAGAGCACAAGTCCTGGTCGTTCCTGCCGACTACTTGAAGACTCGACTAAATGGTATGAACGCCACAGTCCAAAGTACTATGGCAGCAACGAAGCCACCCAGACCAATTCCCACATAGTACCAATTGTCGCTCGTAACATAACCTAGACTTATAGAATCAATCCAGAACGCCACAGATGAGATGATCGCAATGCCGACGTGTATCCACAATATGAGTGTGGTGAAAATGACCGAGGTGTAGAACGGCATCTGATGATCCAGGGTTTCGATGGAGCGTTCAGTCGGCTTGATCACCTCGAGTGCCGCAAACATCTCGGAGAACGTTTGTTCATGTCGCGCCAGGAGATCTCGGGGTGGCAGCATGGCAGTGCTTGCAGAACCGGAATCACAGCCGTCTTCGCTAGCAATGGAGTCACGGCCAGTCTTGCGTTTGTGGCCGCGAACTTTGAAGTTCTCGAGTACTGCACCAATAGGCTGTATCAACAGCACAAGAGGCACAATCTGTCCAAAAGTCCACTTGTCTTCCTGATGATTCCACCAGAAGTTCTGTTGCCGTGGTATGATAATTTGAATGGTACCATAGACAAGTCCAACATAGGACAGCCACAGCGACGCGGCAAACGATGCGCTGAATTCAAACAAAGCCAGAAGAACAACGTACACGACCATCGCGACGTGATATTTCCATGACAGTGACCTTTGTTTCTCGCGACATTTGGAGGCTTTGAGCGCTTCGGCGTGTAGTATTCGCTCCAGGAAATATTCGTAGGGCCCTCTGATTCGACGATGGAAAATGTTTCTGGAGGTCTTGAACAATGCACCAATCTTCCAGATGTACGACCCAATAAGGATCAGATAGGAGAGCGGTGCATCGGGATTGATACCCTCACCCCAAGTGTGGAAGTAGAAACACTTCGCTGGAATGGCCCAATAGGTTCTCTCGTCATCCTTTGTGTCATCATGGAGATACCAGGTTGCCCAGAGATTCGACGAAGTGGGTACTAAGGCCGCCAGCAGAAGGACGAATAAAACCAACATACCAACTATACGCCACCCTAAGACTCCAGGACGCTTGTGAAAGTACTCCCCTAGCATTGTCAATGCCGAAAGATGGACGGAGCTTGACATCCAGGCAAGCATGATGACAATCTGAAAATGGTATACGGAGATATGACCACGTAATGCTATGAAACCAGCAATACAGACTGCGATTCCGGTAACTATCTGCTGATCGCTGAGCAGAAGGACGCATTGTTGCAGAGCTTTATGCCAGGAAGGGCTTGTGCGTCGCTGAGAGGGTAGTCGGTGCACATATAGATCGACTGGTCGAAGAAGACTTCTATCAATAGATCCCAGCAGGTATGAGATCAGTACGATCGCAAAGGTGACATATGCGCTGAGAAGGAAAGCCAGTATTGCACCTATACCTGAGATCTCGGTGTCGACCTCAGGTTTCGCTCCAAGAACCATCAAGTCTCGGCATGTTTCGACCGTGAGCGTTATATTGGTGATGTTGGTCGACATGATGACGTCGCGCACAGGTAGGGAACTCTAGGTCTTTCATGTTGGAATCTCAGCGAGAAGTGGGGATTGAGGAGATACAGATGTTATACGAGCTGCGCGCGTCAGACATGGTTGAAGGTTCCTCTTCGGCCGAGAAACGGTGAGTCAAAAGCAACAAACGAAACGTTTTCACGCTCTAGATGGACACCGACCTACTCCTGCGTCTAGCCGACTCCAGAAGTCGAGCAGAGCATGTCTGTCTGTACAGTGTACTCAGCAGGGCATGCTTGTCCTGTCTGGTCGCAGCGGTGGTTGAGCTGGCAGAAACCTTCGTTGCCGGGTCACGGCGTCCACGGTCCGCGAACAAGTCTGTCACGCAATGAGCTTAGTGATCACCTACTTCCACCCCTCGATTGTCACACGAACTGAACAAGAAGACAAGAAATACTGTGTAAATTATGCACTATACAGTGTCGTAAATCGTCGTCATAATAGGCTCATACTATGCAAGAAAAAGAGATGTTCCCAAATGCTTCCCTGCCCAAAACAAACGTCCTTGTCCATGCAAATCATTCAGCGCCGCTACTTGCTGCCCCTCCTCACCTTCTCCAGCAAATCCTCCATCTTGAATGGCTTTGCGATCACATCATTCATCCCAGCCTCTGTCATCTCGCTCTGTTGCTCTTCTCTTACGTTGGCAGTCACACCGATGATGTTGACTTTGGGGAGATCGTTCTCGTCCTCGAATCTCCTGATCTCTCTGGAAGCAGTCTTGCCGTCCATAACAGGCATCTCCTGATCCATCAGTATGCAATCGAATGGAGGCTTGTGCTCGGAAGAACGCGCTGTGATCAAGTCTAGAGCCTCCTTGCCGTTATCTGCAGTCGTGACTTGAAAGCCCTTTGCCTCAATCTTCTTCTTGACAAGCTTTTGGTTGATCAAATTATCCTGGAAGCCTGTGTGAGCAGTGATCGATAACACAAGAGTAGAAGAACACTTACCTCAACAAATAATATCGTGGGTCTCGAGTCACTTTGAGGATTTGAAACTTGATCAACAGGCTTCTTTGCTTCTTCCTTGTCTCGCTTTGCGAAGTCCTCGCCTCTAGGACCAGTCTTATCATGACCAAACTCCTGGTCGTCATCCTTGCGATCCTGGTCCTTTGGGTTTGTCGGTTCGCTCTTTTCAAAGCTTGCATCAGGGCGATGAGAGCTTCGACCGGCGTTGGCTGGTCTATTTTGTCGTCTTTGACCCACGTCGTCCTCGGCTCTTGTTGATGACTTCTCGTCTTGGTCGCGGGGCGCATTACTGTCTTTGTGCTTCTGGCTCATCTGATCGGCCATGTCGCCTGTGTGTTGCCATCGGTCCTTAGGCGGGTCCTCGCTGTTGGTTCCAGTATTTTCCCCAGAAACATTACTCAGATCTTCTGGCACCTTGTCTTCATCTACCTTGACCTTGTCCACATGCCCACTTTGCTCGAGCTTCCTCGAAAGCTCCTTGGGCTCCAGTTTGTCAGAGTCCTCGGGTTCGCCGCCGCGTCGGACCCTAAAGAAGAAGCCAAAGGTCGATCCTTCACCTTCAACTGAACTGACACCTATTTCTCCACCATGCAGCTGACACATTTTGCGAGCTATGTTCAGGCCGAGCCCGGAGCCACCATACATCTGGCCCGTCTTCGGTGTAGCCTGTTGGAAACGCTCGAACAGCTTGGACTGATTTTCCTTGCTGATGCCAATTCCGGTATCCTTCACGGCAACCATGATATACAATGGTTCACCGTCTCCCCACTCGGCATTCCCGGTAGCATCGGTCTTCAAACCGATGTTGTCAGTTTTGAAGAAGACCACATTAGGTGGGTAAGATGTTGGCCTTTCGATCGACGCAGCCACCTCGATATCAATCTTCTTCTTGCGTTCTGACTTGGTCGTAAATTTGATCGCGTTTGTCATGAGATTGACAATGACTTGACTGATTCGAACAAGGTCTGCCATGACCCAGTCGACGCTGCAGTTGTCGTATTCTGGCGTGACTGTATATCCAAATTCGACCTTCTTCTTTCGCAATTCTGGCTGGAAGATCTTGAGTGTATCTGCCATCTGAACCTTGGGTTTTGTGGCTCTGCGAACGAGTTAGTGGCTGTCATAATGATATTGTAATTGAGGATGATAGCGCTTACCTGGGGGCGAGCGTGAGCATAGAAGCGTCAAGCTTCGAGAAGCTCAGAACGTCATCTACGAGGTTTTTCTCGGCGAAATATTAGTTGAGAAGTAGCACACCAAATATAGGAATAATTCTCACTTGATGATCCACGCAGAGTTGGATGGTGCTGACAGCTTCGACAATTTCGTCCACAGAGATGTCTTGGGTTGATTTCGCTTTACCATCGTGTACCGCTTCCATAATATTTTCAGCACAGTGCAACACAGCTGATAGCGGGTTCCTGATCTCGTGACTAATCATATCTATGAAGCGCTCCTGCTGTTGCTTCCTCTCACGCGCTTCTTTGGCTGCGCGGGTCTGAGCAAGCTCGGCGTTCTTCATGTCGGATACGTCAATCAGGGCACATATGTAGCCACCAAATTGTCTAAGGGTAAACTGTTGTAGGTTGTTCTTTCCTAGCGGGCGCATCAGGAACAGTCTCCATTGGTTTTCACCAAAGGCTCTGAACTCTGTCTCCAGGTCCGTCTGCGAGTCGAAGGCACTGTGGTACTCTTTCATGACTCGTTCATAGTCGTCTGGATGGATAGTCTCAGGCCACATCCTGAAAGACTGATCTGGGCCTCGGTGGGCGGTCAGATCGTGGAATTGGTGGTTGACGAATAACGGGTCGGCCTTGTGATCTAAGATAGCGAGTCCAGTTGGCAACATCTCGGCGAATTTCTGGAAGAATGGTTGTCTATCCAATGCAGTCTCTTCATGGTTGACGAGATTATTCATGTCCTCGCCTGGTGAAGCCTGCTTCTGCTGCTTTTCTTCCTTGGAAGCCTCCTCTTTAGCCTCGTTGCTATTTGAGTGTGTTTTGTTGAAGATCTGCACCAGAACACCTGCAATCTCGCCTTGGTCATTGATCGGACTGCACACGACTGGGGACTTTTCGATGCTCGAGGATGGACGGTCGGACAGTTCGGAGGCGACGATAGGCCGTGATATGCGACCTTGAATGTAGTCCCGAAGAATGTCGACTGTGTCTTTCGGGAAGGCGTCGGTAGGCGGCCTTCCTTGCTTGAGAGCGCTGTGAGAAGTGGCCTCCCAGGCTCCATTGTATATCATGACGAGCTTCTCGCCCCAAAAGATGGCGGCAGGATGTGAGAGGGTGAAGACGAAGGGTGCAATTGACTGTAACGTTTCTGGCCACTCGTTGGCTGAGCCTATATCACATTCATCCCTGGGCGCGTCAGTGGATGCAAGTACGAAGGCGGAGGCGTGACGCGAGTCGTGCATACCAAACCTCATCCGCCAGCAATAGCGAGTCTAGCGCTTCAGCGGCCTCCTTCTTGTTTATGGCATCTCCCGGGTGAACCATACTTGCAGCGATGGTAATGCTGACTTCTTCAGAGACAAGTGGCCTAGGTACAGTGCATACAAACTCAGTATGGGCCAGGCTTTCGAAGATCCTTGCAGTCGTTCACGACGTGTAACGACATCGGCGGACCCTGTGACGTCAGATCGGAGCCTAGTCCGAAAGCGTCAAGCTGTCAAAACTAAGGCCATTATTTCCGACAACCATCTGGCGCGAGCTTAGACGTGATGGAAGAGACTGGAGATGATTGTATTAATGTGATGGTTGTACCGCCGTCAAGAACATTGTGTAGATTCCAAGTTATGAATCTCCACAATTATCCAACCGAGTATTGCACTGGAGGCTCATTGCATTGGTCAGACTCGAGGGGAACAATTACGACCGAATGACATTCAGACACGGTAAAAGCTCCTGCGTACCATCAATGGCCTTCGAAGAAAGACTCGATGTCTTGGTACTCCTAAGATCTAATGTATTAAGAGCCCTATCCTCTTGGCTTATAGTGGGGGGATTGGGATGCTGTGAGACAGGGTGGTGAGTACAACGGTACGCCAGGTCCGTTACCCTTTGTGGGAAGTCCAGGCACCACGTGACATCTGATCGTCCTTTTTGTCCGTGTGCTAACTGCCGTCGCTTCCCATCGACCCTGAGATAGACGCAGTGCCGTCATGAGTTGTGGGAAACCATGAAAGTCTGTTAAATCGAAGTGTGAACGTAATGAGGCGCCGGAACAGAGAACCAGCGTACCTTGCTACAAACAGAGAGGGTGTTGTATCTGGAGGCTACGCGTGACGATAGGTAGGATTTTAGCACTTGGGGAGGCCATCGCCAAAGCAAAACCCCGATCTAACAATGATGCAAGGCATGTATGAAGTAGCCACTGGACAGCTAGGGAAGATTCTGAAATATTCCTCGACAAACTCAGCTCGAAACCTTCTCACACCCTCAGAGACGTACCATGCACACACCAATAGGGTGTCACGAGCTTTGTACTGCAACAGGCACATGCGAGAGCTTACCGCATTCCGCCGCCTCGGTCAACATCATCGACCCCGCAGTTCAGCGCCTTGCGCACTTTCAACCTCCATTCTGATATCCACCGGTCGACTGCCACGACAAGTACATGCATATGGTACTTCCTTCCAGGAGATAGTACTACCTAGACTTCGGGCTACCACGATGTAACACTTGGTTTTATGCCGGATTTCTGTTACACACCGCCTCACACGCCATTGCTCTAATTGTTTTCGTCTCTATTCTGCCTGTCATCTTGCAACATCTGCCATAGACGATCCAAAAGACATCCTTCGCAGCTTCGAGGCCCCTGGAAAGAGAGTTTAGGCATACCTTGAGTCGAGGGTTGGCGGCCTGCCAAATGTAGTGAGCATTTAGTGGTTGCTACTTCAAGCATACTTATAGGAGATGCGTGAAACCATCATCTTACTAAGTCTTCCTCTAGGAATAGCCTACAGTATTCGACTTTGGAAGCCACCATGCAGGAGAAGATGCCTAAATATCTCGGACCTACAGTCAAGCGTCTGACGGACTCAGACACGCTACGTGAATTCCTCGCATGTGACTCTTCTCAGCCTACCACATCTTCTTCCGGTCCATTCGGCATGCACGAGGTTGCAGGTATACTTTCACTGTTGGATGATGGCGGGATACTATATCAGCTAGTCAGACGTGATCTTGGTATATGCGTAAGTGCAGTGATAGCATAAGCATGTCCCCTTGATGTTTCAGATTACTTTTGCAGCGATCGATGCACTGATTCTACTGGACATCGAAGGTCGATCGACTCCTGGAGTAAGTTGACGTTCACCATATTGATATTTCTCCGAAACAACTCAGCCTAGATCCATGCACCCCAGCATGACATATGCAATCTCCAAGGGTCATGCGCTCCGTCAAAGAGATGATCTTGACGGAGAGACACCTTGATCCTGCAAATCAGCCATGGGCGTTTGAGGGATGCCTCATCAACGATGAGGCATGCTGTTGTGACAGACGCAGGTTTGCAGATCTCACAAGTTCAGCGAGAGGCGTACTTTGTGTTGCAATATGAGGAAAGAAGCACGATGACGCTGACCTTTTTGGTTCTTGACACAGCGAGAGCAGCATAAATATGTCGCTGAAGCCTGCAATCTACCAGATGCTCACATCTGCGAGTTCCCACAGTCTGTTCGGTATCATGCATCTCAGCAAAAGCTCATGTCTTTGTACGATCATCGTTGCAGCAGAAGCTCTCTCGTCCTCGGAATGGCGGTCTCAATCAATATACCAAGTCATGACTGACAGGTTTGCTCGCACTGACGGATCTACCACAGCCTCTTGTGATCTGGGAGACTACTGTGGCGGCACATGGAAAGGGCTAATCAATCATCTGAGATACATTCAAGACATGGGCTTCACAGCGGTAAGTGCAAGACAGTGTCAAATGTGACCACCACTGACCGCTTCTCAGGTCTGGATTTCCCCGGTTGTAGAGAATGTCAATGGCTCTACAGCTGACGGCTCGAGCTATCATGGCTACTGGGCGCAAGACATATATGCCGTCAACACCAACTATGGCTCCGCTGCTGATTTAGTGTCGCTTTCCGACGCCTTGCACAAAAGAGGAATGGTCCGTTAGACCCGATTTCTAACGTAGCATAGGCGTGGCTGATGGGTTCTCAGTTCTTAATGGTTGATATAGTCACAAACCACATGGCCTATGTGGGCTGTGGTGATTGCGTGGACTACTCGAAGTTTACTCCGTTCGACAAGGAGTTTTATTATCACCCCTTCTGTCTGATAGACTACAACAATCAGACCAGCATGGAGTCGGTGAGGATCCTTGGAGACCAATGAGTTCGCGCCGCGTTGCTAATCTTCTCCAGTGCTGGGCTGGTGATAACATCGTCTCACTACCAGATCTCAGGGTCGAAGAGTCCGACGTACAAGAGATGTGGGCAATATGGATCAAGCAGCTAGTCGCGAACTACACGAGTAAGACCATAGACTATCGCTTGTCCACTTTTGGAGCTAACATAAAATAGTTGATGGTCTCCGCATTGACAGTGCATCCAGTGTCAGCAAAGGCTCATTGAAAGAGTTCGAATCAGCAGCAGGCGTCTACGCCATCGCGGAAGTCTTCAACAACAATCCAGACTACACCTGTGCCTACCAAGACTACATATCTGGCTTGATGAATTACCCAATGTACTACAACATCACCTCAGCCTTTAGCTCCACGAACGGCGACATTAAAGAGCTAGAACGAGGAGTCAACACCATGAAGTCTACTTGCAACGACGTAACGCTTCTCGGCTCCTTTATTGAGAACCACGATAATCCTCGCTTTCCGTCATTGACTTCTGACATGGCGTTGGCGAAGAATGCAATTGCGTTTCAGATGCTTGCTGATGGCATACCAATCATTTACCAAGGCCAAGAACAGCATTTCTCTGGCTCTTCGACACCGAAGCAGAGGGAAGCGCTGTGGACATCTGGGTACAACACTGCTGCTTCGTTATACGGCCATATCGGTAAACTCAATGCTATTCGTAAACAAGCTATGAAGAACGACGATGGGTATTTGACATACAACGCATACCCTGTTTGGGCTGACGACCACACCATCGTCATGAGAAAGGGAAATAACGATACCCAAGTCATTGGTATATTTAACAATCTTGGCTCTTCGGGAAATGCGAGTTTTGATTTACTGGCCACGAGTTCTGGATTCGATGCTGGGATGAATGTTACAGATGCATTGACTTGTATAAAATCCGCTACTGATGAGTCTGGAGATTTGAAAATTGAGATCAAGGGTGGCTTGCCGGTGGTTCTGTACTCGACTAAACGGCTTGAGGGAAGTGGGTTGTGTGATGGTTGACCTTGAGTATTCCATATACTGGTGGTCTGTTTTCGAATTTTCGGTTCATGTAACGTAAAGTAGCCGACTCCCTGCTCATATCATAGCGAATTTGCTGACTATAAAAAGGGCACAATGATGTTTGGGTGTTGATGAGCCGTTATTGAAGAGAGGTCGATCCAGCTGCTCTCAGGAATTGGCACTGTATACGAACATCACTGTGTGATTTTTCAGTTCTCATTAGGGCGATTTGATGAGCTTGAGATGCCAGAGTCGATGGGAAAAGTCATGGGTATCATATTTGTCTAGTCATTATTATGGTCTGCATCAGAGCTAAGAAGCCGGAGTGGCAGGACTGGCCGGTGTGCTTGGGTTGGTAGCAAGACCTTTACTTCTCCTCTTCTTGATCTTGTCTCTGACCTTCTTTTTCGTCTTTTCCTCGTCTTCCTTCTTTGCTGCTGCAGAGGCGAACGGCGTGGCTTTGGCTGCCAATCTTGCTTCTTCCAACTTCTTTGCCAATTCTGCTTCTTTGAGTTTGGCAGCTTCGGCGGCTTCTGCCTTCGCGCGGACGTGGTGTTTTGTGGCCGAGAAGGTAAAGTTGCCTGGCTCGCCTCGCAGGGGGTTCTCGTCCATGTACTCGTCTCCGTAGTGTAGCATCATGTTGAAGGACTCGAAGAGAGCCATCTGCGCGCGAGGATCTGCGTCCTTTGCTGTCTTGGACTGTGTTTCTGCAACAGATTGCGCCGCTGTATCCAGAGCAGCTGCGGACGGAATGTCAGCCGGCGTGGGCGCTGTACTGGCTTCTCGACTCGCTGACAAGGCTTGCGATGCAGCGAGCGTCTTTGTAGTGGATGGAGGGAAGTAGGTGTATCCTGTCGCAGGAGTGTAGAGCGGTAGCGGAGCGGCGGTCTGAGTGAATTTTGTGAGGGAGTTCATGGCCGAGAGGAGGTGGTTGCCGACAACATCGTAGACGGATGGCGCTTGGTACATGTTCTCGCCGACCAGGTAGTATGTGCCCAGAACGGTAATCTCGTCTGCCTGCGGAGGTCTCTTGCGACGGTCTTGTTTGCGGATGACCCAGATGCCCGTATCTGGCCCTAAAGCTGCATCTGTGTTCGGTTGAGGCTCGCCGATGATAAGGTACTCGACGCCATTCATCTGCTTCAGCCGTGTCTCAAGCGCTTGTCGAGATCTACACAGCTCCCACATGGCTTGGTTTGCTTCGGCCTGCTTCCAGAGAAGGCCATTCTTGCTCGTATGATCGAAGAAGGGTGATTCGCGGAGGATGGGATGGACTGCCAGCAGGATTTAGTCAGAGAAGAGAGACGGTGTGGCTTGTCGCATCATGTGCTTACTGCTGTCTGCGTGGATTCCACCCCAGTACTGAATCACCTCTGGTCGGCGGAACTGCACCTCATCCAGTGGAGTGCCATTCCATGTATCTGTCATGGTCTGTAGCAGGAGATCGCACCTGCCTCGGTCTTGTGAGTGTTTGAAGGAAGCTCTTGCCCGGTTGTGTCGCCAAGCTGTCGCGACTGCCGCGCGGGAGGACGTGAACGAGTGAAAGTCGTAGGGCTGGAATAAACCTCGCGGGAAAGCCTTGCCCGATCCGGCTTTAGCTTCTCCAGCTTTTCTTTCTAGAACTCATCGATCGACACATCATATCTGTTGCCATCCCATCGAACAATATTACTACACGACTTTATCTGGCTCGCATGTTCTTGACAGTCTGCGTAGAAAGGCTGACCCTCTTTCCCGACATTCCTTTCTCCTGACTTCCGGATCTCATCAATCATTTGTTCTAATGCACCGCCCTCATCTACTTTTCCTGGATGCCTATGACTCCTTTAGTAACAACATCATCAATTTGCTTCAACAGGACCTCAATGCTACTGTCGAGGTGATCAAAATTGACGACAAGCGATTTCTCACGAGCGACGATACATGTTTCCGTGCCTTCCTTAGGCGTTTCGATGCTGTAGTCGCTGGTCCTGGTCCTGGTGATCCGAGGAATTTGAACGACCTCGGTCTCATTGCAAAGTTATGGAATCTACCTGAGGATACCTACTTACCTGTCTTGGGCATATGTCTTGGATTTCAAAGTCTTGCTTTGGCTTTCGGAGGTACTGCTGGCAGACTCCATCAACCCCGGCATGGCTTAGTGACTGAGGTTACCCACCAACGACAGTCGCTGTTTAATGACATTGATGTTCTTATGGCCACTCAGTATCACTCACTTCACGTGAAGCTCGGCCATGATGTAGGCAAGACTTCTGCAGAACTTTGGAAGTCGACTCCGAGCTGTCCGGACATCATACCACTGGCCTGGGACTTGTCGGATGATCAAAACGGTCCTATCCTAATGGGTATCAGACACGTTAAGAAGCCATTCTTCGGAGTACAGTACCATCCAGAATCTATCTGCACGAGTTTTGCTGGTGCCCAGATTATCCATAATTGGTGGTCCGAAGCATTCGCATGGAGGGTGGCCCGCGCAGCTACAGCTCAGAAGAATGACACCTTACATCTTACTATCGATGTCGACTCTTCTGAGACCAACAGCGAGAACGGCGATGATTCGGCAAGCACCACATCATCCTTATTCGATGCGGTCAACCCTACAATCAGAGATACGACCGCTACAACACCAGCTTTGACTCGTGACTCCTCGAGAATGGGACGAGACCCCTCCTCCAGATCAGTCACTTGGAAATGTATGGATGTGGCTAGTGGCTCGATTGATGTAGCATCTCTACTTCAATCACTACAAAACGTGAACCACCAGACCATAATGCTTGAGTCTGGCAGTAAAAACGGTCAGCCTGTCAGACCTGAGACTGGCCGGTTCAGCATGATTGGCTGCATCAACGACGCTAGATCACTTCGATACTCAACAGGCAACCACACGATAAGCAGCAATCTTTCCGGCACGGATACTCTATACACAGGCTCCATGGCAGACGTGTGGTCCAATGTCGAGACATTCATGACCGCGAATAAGGCGACGGACGGAAACGCTGATCTACCATTCTGGGGCGGTCTTGTAGGATTCGTCTCGTATGAAGCTGGTCTGGAGACGATTGATGTTCCTCAACCATTAAATGGTGATCGCCCAGATGTTTGGTTCGTATTCGTATCACGTAGCATTATTGTTGATCACGTGGAGAGCAAGGTATATTTTCAGAGTTTGGAGGAACACGATGATCGTTGGTTCGAAACAGCTGAGCAGGTTGTAAAGAAGCTCGACCAGAGGCTCGTTGGAAGCTTGACTAAGGACGAGAGACTGCCAGGGCTAGCTACCCCAATCATCACTGCGCCCAACGATGCAGAGTACGTGCGAAAGGTCGAGACATGCCAAGACCATATTCGTGCTGGCGATTCCTACGAACTCTGCTTGACGGACCAAAGCATTTTGTCCTATGACGAATATTGTCGACCGACATCGTTCGAGCTCTATCAGCGCCTGAGGACATCCAATCCCGCGCCATTTGGTGCCTATCTACGCTTGAAAGAAGAAAAAGAAGGAAAAGAGTGTGGTGTGACCATTTTATCGTCGAGTCCAGAGCGCTTCTTGTCATGGTCACGGACTGGAAAATGTCAGTTCAGGCCCATCAAAGGCACAGTGGAGAAAAAGAACGGCCTTACAAGAGATGATGCTGAAAAGCTGTTGAATGTCGACAAGGAAAGAGCTGAAAACCTGATGATCGTTGACCTCATCAGACACGATTTGCATGGAGTTGTGGGATCTGGAAACGTGAAAGTGGAGAAGTTGATGACCGTTGAGGAGTATCAGACTGTCTTTCAGCTTGTGTCAGTCATCGAAGGGCAACTGCAAGAAGGATCAAAACATACAGGTATCGATGTGCTGGCAGCATCTCTTCCTCCTGGATCAATGACCGGCGCTCCAAAGAAACGATCGTGCGAGTTGTTGACGGAAATAGAAGGAAAAGCAAGGAGTATCTACAGCGGTGTACTGGGATACTTTGACGTTGGAGGAGGCGGAGATTTTTCTGTCGTCATCCGAACCGCCTTCCAATGGGACGATGAAGGCGTATGGCGAATCGGTGCTGGTGGAGCAGTCACTGTGCTGTCTTCTCCGATGGCTGAGTTTGAGGAGATGGAACTGAAGAGGCAGAGTTGTTTGCCTGCTTTCGGACTTCGTCGGGACCCTGCGACATGATCTGTGTTAGCTCTAGTTCTTCATCAGTCGAGTCTGACTACTTCAGCATCCTCCCTAGACGACAACTTGTAGTGACTGTGGAAAGGCACAGTACGTTTGTAAAGAGCAGAGTCGTCAACTGAGGTCAACATGCTTGCCCCATTCCTCTTTACGTGACTTCGACCAAGGAAAGACTGTGCATTTCCACAGCTCGATGCCACATGCGTCGCTGACCGGAGAGGCTGGAGATATAAAAACTTACCGAGCTCTCCTTTCTGGCGAGGATGTATGCGAGTATGCAATAGCGAGTATTTTCACCGTGCCTGTTGAAGAGCGAGGCGATGGCATTCGTAGCCTGGCGATCCATGGTACGAAGTCTGGCCTCACACCCCTGGGTCTCCTTCTTCTCTCTCTCAACAACATGGGTCCGGTGTGCGATCTTACCCTGAGCCTTGTCAAGACCAGCTTCGCACAAACCAACAGCAACGTAATCGCCACGGCCTTTGGCGGTGTGGTGGTCGATCTTGGTGTGCTCTGCAAAATGCTTCCACTGTTGCAGCTCGATCTCTGCGATCTTGAGTCTGATCTGGTAGCACTCCTCCATCTCTGCTCTTGCAACCTCACTTCTGTAGACTGTCTCGAGCTGTTCGAGGTTGTCTCCTGGGCAGAGCTTCAGGATGAGCTCCTTGATGAGATGGCCAGGGGGTAGGTCGGAGCGCTTTGGCATGCGGTCTTCCTTCCAGGTTACCATACGTTGTGTAGGAACTCTGACCAGGTCTGGGGAGGCGTCAAAGGAAACGCTGGGGGGACCTTGGAAGCCCATTGCAGACATGCCTATGTGAGTGATGTGTAAGAAGGAGGTGGATGAGAAGGCAGGGATCAGGCAAGATATAGCGAGGATGCTGGGCCATCGATGTTTGTCGCTTCAAAGGAGAAAGAGACGACCTGAGACGACGCAAAGAATCATGTCGTGCCTACTCGTTGTCATAACAAGTGAGCCACCAGGCTGAATTCTTAGCCATACGCTTCTTAGCCACTGTCCGCCATGTTCTATCATCATCTGGATGCAGAGAGTAATGGGGTCATCTGTATGCTTTGATTGAGAGCTCGCCATAGTTGGTCTCACGAACTCTCTTTGACCCTGACTATCAGTACTTCTCATGTTGCTGTAGATCTAGTAGTCTGCCAGACATGCAAACAACTTTGACTGTTCTGCATCAGTCCTCCGTACCGACGAGAACTGGTCGATACTGCTCCATCCTGTGAACCTACATCGAAGGATATGTTGCCCTGTGCTTCTCACCGGTTTCCACAGCAAGAACCGACTGTTGTGACTCAACTCTAAGCATGAAAGCATTGACCGGCTTCTGAGTGAGGTTCTGCGCGCTTTGGTGTTCGTGGCTTCCTCTTCTTCCACCTCTTCTACTAGACTCTTTCATCAACACAACACTGCCAGACGTGCCTTTTTCTCCTTCTCTCATGATCGATACACTCAGCTGGTACTCCTCGAGTATGCTAGACTGGTATATGCAACTTCATCGGCGGCCTCGTGCTGGTAAGTTCTTTGCGCCACTTACTGGCGTGAGCATCGCACGTGACACCTTTGCTGACACCATCAGTTCATCCCTTCCATCATGCACCTACCTGCAACTTCCTGTTGTTCATCGCAACGTGGCCGTCATGTAGGAGATCTTTCTCTCTTCATCGCAGCTTCTCTTGTCGACTCTGCCTTGGAAGCGCGTCTTCACATCATCCACTCAGGTAGATTCTTCGCTTACCTTTCGCTTCACGAGCATAACACGTGCTTTGCTCTTGTAAGTATTTGCTTACACGTGTCCAACCAGTTCCACTCTCCTGTTACTTGATCAGCACGTTGTTGCCTTTCAGAGATCTTGTGTTCATCGCGCCTTCCATGGGCGCTCTTCATCAACACGTGCGCTGTCTTCATCACCAACATGGCGTCTTCAAGCTCGTCATCCTCGTCCACTGTGTCTCCACTTCAGTCTCATCTCTTTTCAACTTACCTTCATGGCTGCGCACCTTCTTCGTATCAGTTAGTCCCTCTTCTCACTCTGCACAAAGCTTAATTTCTTACTAACGATTCATCAGTTGGTTCTCGATCCAAGATCTCCAAGGTCGCTGCTCCTCGTTACCTCACCTCTATCATCTCTTCTTGGTAAGTAGTCGAGAGTTTTCGCATACTCTATCACATGCGATGCTTGACATGTGACTTCGTTGACCACAGACTCATAGATCTTGGCCAATTACGACCTCTTACCTCGCATCCATCTTCGTGGCCAATGTGATTGGCATGGACAAACCTCCGCCGAACGGGGTTCTGCCTTGCACATCTTCTCCCGAGCTGCGGGTCTTATCAATAGCCAACACCGGGTCACATGATGGTCCGCAACCGGGTACCACCACCCTAAGTTCACGGGCTTCCTACCCACCACGTTCACCATCAGGTTCTCCCGCGCCCCTTGACTTCTGTTATCGAGTACCACGGTCGGACTGCACGCTCTTTCCTCTTTCATCGTCACGATCGACGTAGACCTTTCTTTCTCTCTCAGCTTCATGGAAGTCGGTGCACGGCGGTCCTTGGTCCAGGCAATTGAAGAGGTGGCTTGGCCCGGAACCGTCGACACATACGCAATGTGGTGCTGCCCATGCTCCGGGCAATCGAATATGTGGCCGGGCCGGGGCAGCATCCCACTCGATGCACCGCACTGAGTGTCACCGCTGCCGAGAACGGCGCAAGCATGGCTGCCCCACGCATTGGAGGCACCCAGTGCGGCGCATGTGTTCAACAGCCGACTCACCGTCTTGTCCCATGCCAGCATACTGTCTGCTATGACCACTACTTGGCTCATCCTGACGGTGCACCCGCTCGCTGTGCCCGTTGTCTCAAGGTGCGCGCCCCCAACTCTTCCTCCCCCACGATCTACCAGTCTTCTGTCCTTGCGCTCTCTTTCCATTTGCGCACTCTGCTTACAATAGATACAGACTGTCGCTACCATCCTTGACGTAAACCCATTCGGCAATTCAACTGTCGACGACCTCCCAGACGTAACCCGTGGTCTGAGACTGGCACCTACAAGCAGCTCCAACACCGTTCGGATCCCGACGGTGCACCGGCTCGCTACGCACCACTATGAAGAATCGGCGGAGGAAAATTTGTGCGTCTCCTGTCCTCGCCCCAGGCAATTGAAGAGGTAGTCTGGGCTGGGACAGAGGGACAAATGCATAGACAGGCGTGGTATCAAGAAATTTCACGATTGTCGATCGAGGCTCAAGCTGCTGTCTTTGCTCCAGGCGATCTAATAGGTGGCCGGGCCGAGACAGCATCTCGAAGATTCTCACCAAGAATGTGACTTTGTATTGGCTGAGCTGTGAGGTGCAGCTTCGGGATCCCACAACGAGCTTCCGAACCGATGATAAGCAGTCCATGATGGTCAGAAAGCTGGGCGGGACTCGTGCCCGTGTGCTCGGGCGAGGACGGAGAGGACGTTGTTGGACGGTGTGTATAAATTGCAGAGAGGTATTCAGAGTCTCTCGACGTTTTTGGAGAACCATCAACCAAAATCAATGAAGGCTAGCAGACTTCTCATCATGATCATTCACAAATCTTCTCTCTGGCCTTGAATGTGACGATCTGTATTTGAAAGACCTCGAGTACGGAGTCAGGTCGACGATAGTGCAAGGCTCGGGCAATCATCCAAGTCCCACGGGCTTAATTCTTCCAGTGGCGGGTGAAGAGGTCCTGGACTCGTGGATGCCACAACCGCTATGGTTTGTCGCCGTGGTGCTCGAAGCTGAGGGCGGTAGAATCCTCAATTCACAAAGTAGAACCACACCAACGACCAGCGCGCACCAGGTCAACGAACCTCGAGCCACAATCAAGCGCCTCCGTCGCTGTTATCGAACCAACTATCATCTTCTTTGTCACGCATCAACATGCCAGCATCACCAGGCGACCCCGAAGAAAGGGATGCATTCTCCTGGAGCCACGAGCAGGGGCCTGTGGTGAGCGCCTCGCCCGGTACCTCGTCCACCGCTTCCTCGTCCAGCTACTCGAAGGACGGTACTGAAGATGAGCCTGGATCATTTTCTCTTGCTCTCGTCATGGCAGAGAATAGGAGACAACGTGATGCACACCAGGCACATCAACAAGCCAATGGTGGGCTCATGTATTTCGAGTGGCTGAACCGCAATCCTGCCTTGCCTGTCCGCCAACAGCATGGCATCATGCGACTGATCGTTGTGCGTGTGTGGGCTGTGCTGGTGAGAGCCAAGCAGAAGTTCATCGACATTGTGAGAGACTGGGCCGGAGGTTGAAGGGAAGGTATGTCGACCGCAGTATACCAGCCATCGAACCCTAAGCTAACGCAAGTATCCCAGGTCACATCTCTCCAAGCCTTACATCGCCATCTCCGCTGCCCCATGATCTCGCCCATCGGTAATGAAGACTTGCAACAAGCACAAGATGATGCAGAAGTCGAAGCTAGATGAAAGAGGAGAGGAGGGAATATAGCCGGCCAGGCCGGGATGCGGGAATGAAGTAGCAGGGCTATGCATGGTCCCAAGAAGGGGCTTGCTCAACAACCAGTCTGCAGTTGAACCGCAAACCACAGGGATACAGAGCAAAGAAATAACGACGCCTGTCAGAATAACAAGCATCCTCCAATTCTTGCAATTTGATGGCCCGCCATATCACTGGAGTGCTTGAGGCGCATAACCGACCAAGTTCATGTAGTCCGGGCTGCTGTCTGCCAGGTGATGTACAGTTCTGGAGCATGAAGGACGACGACAAAGATCCCTCACTAAGGCGAAGAGGATGCAAAGACGCTGTGATACCTCTCGGAACGCACCATGATGAGGGTTGCCACGCTCTCGAGCGTACGCCGGGTCCTAGTACAAACATTTCCCAGGTTCAAAGCAAGTCATAGGCCTGGGTCAATGGGTTGCATCAAGCTCTCTTTCTCGGAAATTAAGAAAAGAAAAAAGAGAAAGAAAAGAAAGAAAAGTAAGAAATAGGGAACGGCAAACATACGTGCTTGAAAACTTCTTTCGGCGAAGCAGGGATTCCAGAGAGATACCCTTCGACCTTGGAGGAACCCATGACAGCAGCATTCTATAAGGCTTGCCTCATGTGGTCGTATTTTTGGCCCCTTCATCGGTACTCAGAACTGGAAACTCTTCTTCAGTGGTGGTCTTACGGCAGGAGAGGTCCCGAACAGCCAGCCTTGCTTTTCAATACGCCACATCCTGGATATTCTGGGTATTTTCATCACGTAGGGCATACTGATCAGCCGGCAATTCGATATGGTGCCTCTCAACCGCATCAGGCGGCTTTTGTTCTGTTCTGTTCTCGCAAAAGGGGTATATCAACATATTCGCCAGTACCACCGACGCCGTGCAAGTATTCTTTTTGCTGGATCATTAAAGCATCAACCCAGGAGGAAATCGCTTTCAATAAGATTTACCAGAATCGCCAGATAATGAAGAACAGGATGATCGTGCCGAGAGCGGCAAAGGGACCGTACTGTTGTGATGAATAAGCAGCTGCTGAATCATCATTGACGACCCAGGAAGAGACATACCTGCTTCAGGAGCAACTCCCAATTGATCCTCACGGCGGCACGCTTGTACTTTCTGCTAGACTCTTTCAGGTCGGAGCTCATCTGTCCCATTCTGTCCAAGCTGTCACCACGATAGAGCAAGTCCTCCAGATTCTTGGACATGATCTGAGTCGTCTCTTTCAGTTGGGCTTGCACCTTGTCGAGGTTGTTCGAAGCTCTTGGGTTTTCGTAAGACTTTTTTGTGCGCTGCATGAAAGTGTCGAAGTCGTTGAAGGCGTAAGGACGCAGTGCCGACGAGCGATACTCGGCATCCCTATGAGTGTTCATGAACTCGGCTGCGACATCGTCGAGATACATGGCGGCAAGTTCTTTCGGGAAAGAGCGTTCGGTAATGGCGAAGAAGATCAGGTCTTCATGACGGTAGTAGCTGCAACGCTACAGTCAGAAGCCCGGCTTGAGCGTGGAGATGCTGCTTGCTCACTGGAGTTTGTAGTCGCCTGATTCGATGGCAGCTCGCGGCTCGGACGTGTTGCTCATCTTGCGAACAAGAGCCCGCTGCTGGTTCTTCAGATTTGTGATGGTGTCATCGTGCTGCAGGCCATAAGTATGCGTCCAATGCGATGCTATCGTCCGCACCTACTGGAGAGTTCTCGATCGATGCAGCGAGCATCAGGCCATCCAGGCGTACGATTTGGGTCGAGTATATGGGCATCGCGGCGTCTCGTCTTCTACTGGATTCCGGAGTCAGCTGAGTTGCACTGCTTGGTATCCTGGCCAAGTGTGCTGGTAGAACGACGACATTTTCTGCTATCAAGACCTGTATCTGGCTAGGACTTTGAATGCGCACGATTGCAAGGCCAGATGAATGGTTGCTCCTCTGGTTGTTGACATGGCAAGTTCCGAAGCAGTTGCAATGGCGTCATACCACGCTTTCTGTCAGGTATGGAAGGCGCACTTACGTTCTGAGGGCTTACAGAGTGGGCAGCGCTTGTACTGCTAAGTCTCTCAAGGACTGAAAAATCGGTGTTCAGATGAGGATGTTCGAGTTGGCTCAAGACAAAGATGCAGCCTGACAGTTTGAACATCCACCCGGCAAGGGGTTACCAAAGTCCGAGCCCCGAAGGCGGTGAGCCCGCTGCTAGTGGGAAGCATCAGACACAAATAAGAGGACATCACTCTTGGACATCACACTCATATCGGCATTTTATCTATCTGAGAGTGGCATCAAGCTCATACCTTGCTGCAGGTCTACAAGGTCTGGCTCGATGAGATCATGTTTGAGAGCTTGCTTGCTACCATCATCATATCCTCATGCCCACCCCGTTGTGCACATGGAAGAGCTGATGTTGGTCCGTCGTCACCACTTTCACGAGAGTCAAGATGTGCTCTCCTTCGTAATGCGTGATTGAGTCTCGGGGGAACTGATGTCGTGACCGAGAACCTCGATGGGAGTCGCAGCATGTTTACCATTTTCTGCCCTGCGACAGCTTATCATGACGGTCGTCTTCAATCTCGAAAGGGAAGCAGATTCGACGTGTACGTGACCCCGGGTAAGACCTGCGAGGGCTGACGCCGAGAGCTTGCGTGGAGGCACTTCCAGAGCCGTAGTGAAGGCATCTACGTGAACCGCTTTCGTGCCAACGAAAAACTGACAGGGCGAGTTGTCTCGAGCTATCTTCGCGCACCTCGACAGCTTCACCATCCCACCACACCTACACCAGCCACCATGAATTTGGTAGGTACCTCCACTTATCCCTTCTACACCCTACACCCTCTCCTCTTCTGCCCGTTACTCTCTGCACATACACGTACACCTTCCCGGATCACAGCTTCGCTCCGGAACACCGCACTCGGACGGGAGGGTCTACCTCGAAGATCTCTGGCCAACACCTGGCTACGACTTCCAACGCGACGGCACTGTGTACACCGTGAGCCCTCTGTTCAGCAAGATCAGGCTTGGCCGTTCAGAGTTAATACAGACAAGCTACTCGAGAGTCACGCCACCGGACGAGAATCGAGTGTCTGCAAAGATCTCAACACGTCTGTACCGCCATTCCTCTCTTCTCCGCGTCGTGATGGGGCCTCGACCAAATCGCGAGGATCTGTTTTTCACAGACCTGACTCTCATTCGCCTCGAGCACTGGCCCAGTACTACTCGAGGCTTCGAGGCCAAGTTCGAAGGACTGCAACTGCCATGCTACTAGAATTCTGCATGTCACTGTTCATCATCAAGAGCGTTTCGTGGCCGAATCATGGCACAATTTTTCATGACAGTCTGTCGTCGAACAAACGAGGCAGTCGCATAAAGAAGATTCAGTCCGAGTCAGACAGTTCATCTGTCAATTGACACCGACACCCAGACAGTCCGACCTAGGGTATTGGGCACATGGCCGCCAGAAAACAAATTCCCAACCAGCTTTGAGCCATAACCGAAAAGGACAACCTTTTCCTATCGAGACCGCAAGTTTGTCTTGCATGCCCACAGCCTCGAGCACAACGTACTTGGCACGTCAGAATGACCGTTGCATTCTCAATACATTTGGCAAGATACTCTTATATCTTGGACCAATTCGACAATCACGACCTCTCCGCGCACGGACCGGTCGACTTTGCTCCTTCTTTCCAACGCCGCGAAGCTCTCCCCACCTTCACATCACAACACTCCAACTTCATTTCATTCTCAACGTAACTGACACAACTTTCTATCAGCACACTCCTACCACACACCTCTTGACTTGTGCCTCCTCTCTTGCCGGTGGCGATCCCTTTACCGAACCAAACAGCGATCACAGCAACAAGCACTTCTCATTCTCACCAGACCCCTCAGTCTCTGAGATCGTTCGCAACTTCATCTGGGGTAGCAAACTCGGCCAACCAGTCCCCGCCACACTCGAAAAAGAACAAGAGTACTTAGGTCTCATCTACATTGGGGAACTCTACGACGATCACATCGAGAACATGTCGGATCGTCTCATCACTCAAGCCAATTCAAGGCTCACCAAGGCTAACCTTGTCGTAAGTTCACCCTAAATTGACGTGCAAATGTTTCGATCGTTCATGAATCCAATGTCTGACCTACTCCATAGACTCTGCTCACCAAGCAGGAGGCCTGGTCTTCACTGGACTTGGAGACGAGACGCGAGCTGTACCGCATGCTGCCAAGTACCCTGAAGGGCGACATGGTCGCCATTGACCCTGACATGCACCCCCTGAAGACTGGCTTCGCAAAGTACATCAAGCACTTCATCTATGAATGGGAGCAGGATCTCGCCGCTGGCCGCAGAACCGCCAAGTGGCAGAGAGAAGCCAAGCAGGCCAGCGGTGAGCGCATGGCCGGGGCATACGACGGCTGGAAGGAGACGGAGCGCGAGGAGCACTGGGGTCAGAAGTATGATCGCGAGCACTACCACGCCAAGACTCTCTAAACAGGGGTGACCATGACTGTGCAATGAAGCAATGAAGATAACGACGACTAATGACGGGTGGAAATGGCTTTTAATGACGAAATTATAATAATGCTTCGCTCTCTCCAAAACGTTCACTGCGCGAATGGAAATTATTGTGCCTTTATACAGCTACTTATGTGATTGCGCTTGACCGCTGGGATAATAGTGCGTTGATATGGATTTCGCTCTGTCTCTTGTGCTCTCAACAATGATTTAGATCACATTGAATTGGTTTCTGCATTTTTACAGCGGCGTGATCTTGCGAGGATGAATGTTGAGAACGCGCGAGGTTTAGAACGCCATGTGAACATACCAACGCCGCATCGAAAATCAAGCCTCCACTTCACAAACAATAATCTGCAATACCATCAGGGGGATTACATTCGAATAAACGTTGTACGAAAAAAGTCTAGGATCTTTCATTACGAATAGTACAACTCACCAAACTCGCTCTGGTTCTTGCTTCAAAGAGCAGTCAACTTGAAAAACTCTTCATCATGGCACCGACGACATTGCAACATCGACGTACACACAATCTACTGCTGATATCGAAACTATTGTCACAACGGGAGAACGTATCTCCATTTACCTTGATCGTGGACAACCTGGAGCAATCTGGGAAACCTGTGCTCCGAGAATATATTCGTCGTGCTACGGTAAGTCACATGGTACTAAGCCTATAAGACTCCCATACTAACATTCATGATAGATAGCAAAGACTGAAGTCATTTTCGTCTCGTTCGAGACTTTGAAGAAGCCGAAAGACATTGGTGTCTTTGTCAAGGCTTGGGAGAATGGTGTGCAGCAAGCTCAGAAGGAGGTTGGTACATTAATCGCAAAGGCGACGCAGACACAGCAACGTGAGTTGTTAATATCGCATTAAAGATGAGCAAACACTAATCCTATCCGAACAGGCAAACTCTTGATTATCGACAACCTAAACACACTGGCCTCAGATCCGTCAACATCGGCGAATTTGCCAGGACTTTTGTCTTCTTTCCTCTCGCCTACAGTGTCGTTGGTGGCAGTCTACCATGCTGATATTCCCATCCCACCTAGCATCGCTTCGACATCACCTTATACCCCTCAACCACTCACAGTACTAAAATATCTAGCCACGACCATCCTGACTACTCACGCACTAAACCACATTCTCGCGGCAAAAGCGGCTCGTGAGCGTAGTGTAGCTGGACCTGTCTTTGGACTAGCAGAGGAAGCAGAAGGTGTACTTCTCGGTCTCGGCGGTAACTCGCCCTCAGGACTGGTCTTGGAGATGGAGTACCGTCGCAAGTCTGGACGTGGCGTAAGAGAGTGGTATTTCCTTCCCCATCCCTCTCTGCAAAAGCAAGAACCCGTGGGAGTGAAGAACAGATTCAGCGAGACTGTCATGTTGTTGGAGGACCATGTGTTGTACCGCAGACCGACGGAGGAGAAGGAGCAGGCTGGAGATGATATGGACGTCACGTTTGAGCTGGGGCTCACAGACAGGCAAAGGCAGGCTAGAGAGGGCGTTGTGTTACCTTACTTTGATGCACAGAAAGGCGGCGGCGAGGGTGGTAGGATCCTGTATGATATGGGCGAGGAGGATGACTTTGATGAAGAAGAGGACGAGATTTGACAGAGTCAACAATTGACATGGACCTCTAATGATCATTTGCCTTTCATGAGAATTGCTGCAGATTCATGTGAAAATGTGACCCTGTCCCTCGTGGCCAACGCTGTGAAGGTTGATCTTCTGATCTTCTCAGCTCTTGTGACATCGACCTCGAATCTGGCCGTCAGTCATTTTCAATTCAACTCATCTCGCGCGACACCTTTCACACCGTCATATCTGTCGCAAACACCACATCACATCATCCAACTACCTTCGGTGATCCAATCTCTCGCGCAACAATCTCACACCACAATACCACCACAATGGCGCCTCGCGACCAGAGCCCACGCGCAAGCGACAACCGCCGCCCATACTCAGACCGCCGCGACCACACCAACCCACGAGACTCCCGACCCCGCCGCGACCGCAGCAACTCCCGCGATCGCGCACCACACTCCTCTCGCGGCGGCGGCGGCGGGAACAGCGGCCGAGGCGGCAGCAACTTCAGAAGCTCCGACCGCGACCACCGCGACACCCGTCAACGCTCTCGCTCACCCACCCGCTCATCCCAACCCCACAACACACGTCAACGCTCCCCTCCCCGTGCACCACGCGGAGGAGCCAACCCTCGCGATCACAGAAAGCAAAACGTCAGGCAAGAAGATGTTGTTGCGCCGATAGATCCTGATGAGGATGAGGAGACTGCGATGAAGAGGTTGATGGGATTTGTGGGCTTCAGGAGCACGAAGAATACTAAAGTGCCGGGGAATGATAAGCTTTATGGTGTGAGGAAGGATAAGAAGACAGAGTACAGACAGTACATGAATCGTGTTGGTGGATTCAATAGGCCTTTGAGTCCTACGAGGATGTGAGGCGCTTTCTGAGAAGTCAAGGCAAAGAGAGAGAGAACTGCGACTTCAGCGACGGCGTTTATTTGGGCACACTGGGTTCTGCATGAAGCAAGACAAGATACCATTTTGGAGGGGTCTTGACAGGCTTGGAGCAAGGGAGAAGACAGACCATTACTTTTACGCCGTCGCCAAAACTATCCATTGAAATGAAGAAGAATGGATTACCGACTGTCTGGCCACAACCTTGCGCCTCTATTCAATACATACAATGCCACTCTGGGCAACCCAACAACAAAGTAAAATCCCAGAAAACTACAAAGGAAAAGACTAGGCGTCCATCAGAGAGCAGAGGGATAGTAGTGAAAACGCACTGCTCAATGATGGACACCAGCAGCATGAGCAATACTCCTCTTCAACCTCAACGTAGGATCCTGCAACGCCGGTCGAACAAACGAATAAATGCCGAAGCTAAGAGAGAAGCCTATAACCACGACTATTCATCCTCTGGTCAGAAACCACCATTCTCAAAGATCAAGGGACAAGGGCCAGACTTACACAATGGGTATGTCTCTACCGGCAGGGACTTGATCCAGTATCTCACTCGTTGAGTCACTGTATGAGCGGCTTGCTCTTCTCTAGCTGCTGCTTGGAGAAGTCTGGGTGTGGAGTGGATGAGGCGTTTTGATGTTGTTGCTCTTGCTATTATTGAGGCTTGGAAGAGTGTGCGTTGGGCGAGCATGTTGATTATGGATATGATGAGTGGAGATTCTGATTGAGTTGCCAGCAACTGCTTGAGGATAGGTCAAGTTTGAGATGGGAATGTGAAGTGTGTGAGCAGAGATGTGTGTGATGAGAAAGCGATGGTAGTTGTGTACTACATGATTATATACTAGCGACTGTATATTGCTCATCGCTTTCTATCCTTGATTCGGTATACCATATAGGGCACTCAACAATACAAGGCCACAAAATCTGGTCATCACGCCGTCGTAGGATTTTTACCTCGCCGTTCCATGCCGAATCCTCTCTATACCGCGTGCTTGCGGAGGCACGGCCGGCAAATAGCATCACGAGGTTGATGAGTTTCAATTCGAATGGGTCTTCAGATCCTAGCCGCGCGGTAACTATTCGTTGCAGCAGGTTCGAAAGGAAAGCTGGTGATCTGAGGTGAGTCGAGGAGATGTCAGGCCACTGCCCAGCTGGAAATCGCCGGCGGTCGGCAGCTTCGCTCGGAAGAGTCGCGTCAGCATCATCCTTTCCTTGGTCTCTCTCTCTCTCTCAGACACGTCAAACGTCCTAATCTCGATATGACATTCGTCGATCTGCAGTCAGAAAGAACTTCGTCACGTTTTACTACGAGTGGGTTCAATTCGTTCTTGGTCAGCGGCGGGTTGACAAGACGCAGAGAACATTGACGATGCGTTTTCTCGCCTACACTTTTTACGGTAATTGCGCAACTGATATCCGACGACAGAGCGACTGATTGGTCTTATAACAATATCTTCATGACTAAACACGCATTGCCTTGAGCCAGCGAATTCTCCCATATTTCTCCACGGGGAGTATCGGACGCCGTGGTTGTTTCTCCGCAACCATCTTCTCACATCGCCTTCGTCTTCATGAGATGCTGGTATCTTGTTGTCGTCCATCCTCGCATCTTCTTTCCAAACGCGATGAAGAAAAGCGCGAATATGGTGATGGCAAAGCTCAAGCAACCTATCATGATGAAGCAATTCTGAAGGCCCATGCCGTTAATCCAAGACTGAATGCCAAAGGACACACCGAAGCCGATCGTGTTCCTCAGCAGGATGATAGTTGTAACCACTTGTGTATCGATCTCTTTGTATGAGTCCAGGATATAGCTCATGGTCACCGTACCACCAACACTGAGACCGAAGCCGACAAGACCCATGCCGAAGACAGGAGCAATCCAGTGCATGCCGTGGGCGGCAGTGGCACCATATATGATCAAACCTCCAGGCATGATGAATGCTGTGGGAATGAAGGCCCATAGGCGGTATTCTGGTTCCCTCCAACCTCGGTTACGATTGCTGAGATACACTGTCAGGCGATCGTTCAGTGGGCCGGCAAAGTAAGCGCCGATCAAAGACCCAATCAGGGGCGAGAACCAGACCAGACCCAAGCCGCTGTTGGAGAATAGGTAAGGAGGTGGTGAGAAGATCAAAGCTACGGTAGTGCCCATGACCGCTAACCAGGATACGCAGGTACCGTAGTTGATACCACACTAACGATGATTAGTAGGATTGTCACGAGAATACCGGGCGATGGACTCACCCAAAATACTGCTGGCAGACTGAGACACTTGAGCGGCATCCACCACTCAGTAACCACTGCAGTCCAGGTTGTTGGGTAGGTCTTCCAGAGGCTGTACTGTAACTTGAATCCCTCCGCATCGAACACTTCGCCAACGATGGCCTCTGACTGCTGAGGAACGCTCTGACCGTCGGCTTCTTTGCGTGTAGACTTGTTCGTGAATGTCTTGTCGAGTTCAGGCACATCGACAGTGTTGACCAGAGCCTCGTCGTGCATGTCGAGGGGGCGGATGAAGTGTGTTTCCTCAAAGGTAAAGAAGAACAGCAAGGTCAGAGCGCCCAAAACGATGACTCCATACCAATACATCCACCGAACGCCTTGTCCAGTCACCATGTAGCCACCGCAAACTGGACCAACGAAGCTGCCGAATGCCAGGCCAAAAACGTACGCACCGAGCTTGCCTCCGCGCTCGTGGGCAAAGTATATGTCCGATATAGAGATGGCTGGCAATGCCTCGAATGGAGCGGATCCCAGGCCTCGCAGTATCTCTACCCCCCAATATTCGCCGTATTGCTTTGAAACAGCCATCCAGATCTCGGAGACGAGGACTAAGAGCAGCGTCCAGATGTAGATGGATCGTCGACCGAACTCTGTCGAGGTATCAGTGTGATGTCCCTGCTCAAGGTGCAGTCCAGACTTACTGTTTGACAAGGGTACGAAGAAGACATTGCCCACTCCAAGAAGCAAAAGCATCACAGCTCCGGCATAGTTCAGGTTGTTGATGTTGGTGCGATACGTCTGCAATAGGTTGAGATAAACGACTGAGTCGCCATTGGTGATCGCACCCAGTGTCGCACTGTACAGTCTGTCTAGGTGTCAGCCCGCGTCTCTACTCAAGCGCCATGCGGAGGCCACGCACACCAGAAGAAGCAAGTGGTAACCCTTTCGCCATCTTGACCAACGAAGCGGATCTCGAGGGTCATTGGATGGTGTCGGCATCAAAATGATGTCCTTCGAAGAGAAGCTGCGCTGATGGGTGCCTTGCACCAGATACACTGTGCCGGGTACTACATCGTAGTCTGGAACATCTGGACGGACAGACTCCATGTTGATGAGTGTTGAGGTCGACGTTCAAAATCCAAAGTTCAGACAAGGGTGCAGAATCGGAGTCTGAGTAGGACCTTTCAAGGCGACAACCCAAGACCTTTATGTATAGCTGTGGCTGATAGTATCTTAGCGGTCAGATTGGTGTATCAAGATCAGAGTCGACGGCAGTTGCTGAAGAGAGGACTAGGGCTCACGACGGAGGTACTCCACTGTAGCTGAACATGTCCGCGTCCCATCCTTCTCCATGAGATGTGGAAGTATATCAGATATGCACATAGTGGCTTGTCGAGTTCAGAGGCCCAGCCAGATAAGTGCGTGGTCAGTTCATTGCCCGATTAGGCATCACCGCGTTTTAGCGCCTTCCTCTAGCGCATCCCCACATCGTGCCTCCTCCCTTGATCTTCGCCAGCCACGAGTTCCTAATCCGCGACGTTCCCCTCAGTCGGTGACATGTTATCAGTCACGACCGCGGTTTAGCGTACCTGTTGCCCCATCTTCTGATACCAGAAAGACCGCCTTTTGGTGCCTGACAGCCCCTCATGTTGACGAGATACGTGAACATCCGAGGTTCACTCCAAGTGTCTGCCAGCGCGGAGCTGGACCGCTGTTGATAGGCATGGTTGTTTGTCATGTCTAGCGAATTCTGAAGACCTCATTAAGGCTCAACGTCGCTGTTCTTCGCTATCCTGCACGCTCCTTACAATCGTTCTGCTTTTGTGTACATCTTTCCAACATCATGGCTGGAGACAAGACATACGTTGACATCTCTCGAGCAAAGTGTGAGCAGAGAGAACGACTTATCAGAGATGAATGGAAGATTTCTCCCAAACTCAAACTCGGCCACAACGTTCTCGAGGTGCCGAAGATCTGTGGCATCCTTACGGAGCGCGAAATTGCTATTACTGGAGACAATGATGCCGTCGACATCATTGAGAAGATTCGTTCGCAAGCATTTACTGCAGAAGAAGTGACTCTTGCTTTCTGTAAGCGTGCTGCGATCGCACAACAACTGGTATGTCTCCAATAGCTTCCGTCAGACTTTGTTTGACTTGACTGACTGGACTTGAAGACGAACTGTTTGACGGAGATCTGCTTCGAAGACGCCATCGAACGAGCTCGCCAGCTTGATCAAGACCGGGTCGCCAACCCTTCGGCACCATGGAAGCCTCTACACGGACTCCCGATTTCTCTGAAAGATTCGTTCAATGTTCCAGGTCTAGACTCGACAATCGGCATGACCTATTTCGCAAACAAGCCTGCTGAAGAGTACTCGGCTCTCCCAAGACTACTATTGGATCTTGGAGCTGTGCTCTACTGCAAGACCAATGTACCACAGACCATGATGACCGCAGACTCCGATAACAATGTTTGGGGTCGAACACTCAACCCTTCCAACCTGAAGTTGACCGCCGGTGGTTCTTCAGGAGGTGAGGGCTCTCTTGTTGCCATGAGAGGAAGTGTACTTGGTATTGGTACGGACATTGCTGGCAGTATTCGAATCCCAGCTATCTGCAACGGCATATACAGCGCCCGTCCCAGTTCTGGTATTGTGCCCTTTGCTGGCCAGCAATCACCAGAGGTACCAGGTATGCCCGGCATCGAAGTCGTCGCAGGGCCTATGGCAACATCATCGCGAGCGTGTTCGTATTTCATGAAGACGATCATGACCGCTCAGGCATGGCGTTATGATTCTTCGTGCCTGCACCTTCGATGGACAGGCGAGCAGAGCAAACGCAAGCCACGAATCGGTGTTGTCCTTGATGATGGGCTCTATACTCCTTTTCCACCAGTACGTCGCGCCATTCGCGAAGCAGCACAGAAGCTGCGGAGCGCTGGTATCGATATTGTAGAGCTGAGGCTACCCCATGTTGCCGAAGCACTAGGTATCACCTTTGGAATGTTTGCACTAGATGGCTGCAAGGTAAGTAACTTTGCAACACTGCTCTAGACTCATCTGACTCTCTGTCGCCTATAGTTTGTCCAGAATCTAATCAACGAAGGTAATGAGCCACAAGTTGAGTCTGTAAAAAGAGTCAACCTTGCTTCCATACCTGCGAGCAGTCTGGCAGATTACATGCGTCTGAACGACCGCAGACATCAGCTCCAAGACATCTACCACAAGTTCTGGATCGAGAATCAGCTTGATGCTATCATGCTTCCTCCAGCACCTCAGACAGCTACAAGATTTGATGAATGGGGCCCAGTCAGCTACACCGCGCTGTGGAATTTCCTCGATTATCCTGCTATTATCATTCCGACCGGTAGAGTGAGAGAGTCGGACGTGGCGGATGGAGAAGATTCGGCTTTGTACGGTGAAGCGGATCTGAACAACTATAAGCTCTGTGAGTGGCCCCGCCAATTTGGCACAAGTCTTGTGCTAATGTTTGCCAGATGATTCGCCCGAAACGTACCAGGATGCACCCTTGACCGTGCAAATCGTTGGAATGAGACAAGAGGACGAAGCTCTGGCTGGCGTTGTGGAATTTGTGGATAACATACTCAATCGCTCGTGAGATACAGACATCTATCGTATTCTGTCCGTTACATGAAGTTTGTCAGCTCGTAAGCATCTATCAAAATCTTGTTGTCCTCCATCGCCAAAACACCGATACCAAAGATACTGTTCATCCAGTCGTATGGTCCCGAAGCCTCAAGTTGCAAGCGGGTGAACCATTCCACCTCATCTTGGGTCATGCGAGTACGAGTTCTGGGTTCAATATTGACTCCGGGGCCAGGCTTGAAGATGCCTTTTGAGCGTACATATATGTAATGTCCGTCATCGGTCTTGAGAGTGTATCTAGCATTCAAACGCATAACCTGCATCCAAATGTCAGCAATGAATTGGAAGAATCAGCATCTTAAACTTACACCTGTACCTCCCATAGCAGTCCCCCAGTCAGCGCCACTCATGTTTTCTATGATGGCTGAAATCCGGGGTCCTTTGACTGTACCGCCAACGATGGGCATGATGACTCTTGCATTGCTTGTTCCGGCTTGTGCTCCCACGAAATGATTATCTTTGGCCATCTCGCACTCAAGACGATAGATGAATTTCATCGATGGTATTCGCATTTCGAACTTCCTGTCCGAGTAGGCGTTTCCAGGTGAAATAGCTGATGGACTTGATGCAGACATGTTCGGAGCGTTGATCAAATTGATATGTAGACCAAGAACCAGAAGGGGAGGGTATCGAGCTTATATATGTACCTCCCTCTAGGGCACGAGGCTATCGTTTGTCGATTAGCTCCGTGTGCACCTACCGAATCCAGTAACCGAGGTGTCCTTCGGGTCATGTTCAAGCAGATCAGGGTGACCCTCGAAGCGAGACTTGACGAACATGAAGTCCATGAAGCGATGCCTGTACAAGTGATTCGGACTACTGGTGAATAGAATGAGCGAAGAAGTCCTCCTTGTTCTCAATAATGTCAGTTCCAGATATCTCATATCGATATGTTGTACTCACTGCCCTCCATATCAGGTGAATGGTCATTTGCCCTCCCCAAGTGGATTATTTTGCCCAACACATCGGGGTCATGTCGGAACAGATCAGGGTGACCATAGAAGCGACTTAATCAAGCTATTTCTTTCTCGCATCCGGTGCACCCATATCTCTTTCTCGTTTTTCGAGTTTTTGAGATATCACTCTTTGTCAAAATATCCTTCTCGTTGATGAAACATGCTGTTCGAACCTTATCTTTTGATTGCCCCGCACTGGTCTTGTTTGGTAGGAGTTAGCGATCCAACTAGACCAACATCGTTCTTTCCTTCTGATCTTTTCGCGATACGATACATCTCAACATGTTCGCCAACTTTTCTAACACGAGTCAAGGACTTATAAAGACAGATTCACGGCCAAGATCGGATGCGTCGAAGATCAGTTGCCTGCCATGTAGGTTCTACAGACCAGGCTCGAATCGCAGCTATACTCATTTATTACAAGGTCGACGGAAGAAGAAGAAATGCGACTTTATTCAACCGTCATGTAGCAGGTGTCGAAACAGCTATGGTCAAGATACGTGTGTGTGGTCCACTTCACGGAGAAAACAACGAAGTCGATCACGAGACATACAGAGTATAGAGCGTGATGTCCAATCCAGACCGAGCTCCTCGTCCAGCACTTCAAGCAGGGCTTCAACGACACTAGTCAGGAAGCCGTCCGCTTCGACACGATCGAACAGCCCAATAGACCTCGGATTTGAGAACTTCTGTCCTTGGAGCATGCCAGACGTCGTCAGCAGTATATCTCCGTACGAATGACGGAAAATGTCTTTCCGGGAGACTAATACTAACGCCACTCAGCGACCTATCACCCCAAATTTTCTTGAGGATCTCCACGGCTTTCCAAAACCGTGTTCTTTGTCTCGACAGCGACTTCAAAGACTCGCTCGTTGCACAGAGTCTTCCACTAGCTCTTGAGCATCCTGCTCTTCTCCACGCTTGGGTGGCATGCAGCGTCATAGCACTTTCGCAATCTATGCCGTACTGGCATGAGAAGGCTATCAGACACTATGATAGCGCTGTGAGTGGACTGAGCCAAGCTCTACAGATAAACCCTCATACCAGCGACAAGTGGAAGAGAGAGACTGTGATACTTTTACATCTATTTGAGGTCAGTCTATCACGTGCACGTATGGATATGTACTGAGATTTGGCATAGGGGTTCTCTTCAAAAAGCGAAGAGTCTGCTTTGGGAAAGGCGCATCTTAGTGGTGCACACATGTTGTTCAACCCTACTGTCAAAGAAAAATCTCCTATGAGCTACCACGATGTCTTAGTACTCGAAGCTTACATCATGCATACGACCAACAACTATCTTTTTCAGCCAGACTCACAATTACCGATAACACATATGGAGGAAGCAATGGAGACTTTCAAGTCAGCCATGGGCCAATTGGATATGGACTGCAATTGGCGGAACAGTCCGTGGATTGGATTTGGAGGCCTGGATTTAGTAGACATGATTTACCGAACATCATGGCTCACACACAAAACATACTTGGACACCGCGGATCGAAGGGAATTACAAGACATCGTCGCTCGGCTTTCATCTTGGACCGCTCCCGCGTGCCGAGAAGAGTCAACCTCGACACATCTTGACCTGCCACCCAAGCGCTTGGTCATACTCGCCCGGGCATATTGGTGTGCGTGTTCCTATCTCGCGACAAATCTAATGCTTCAAGAAGAGATTGAGGATCTGCCGCTCGACAATAATGCTTTCATGATACAAACCCTCGAATTACTGGATCAGCTGATAGAATTTGAATGCACGATCAATAACTACTTGTGGCCATTGGTAGTTGTTGGTACGGCAGCATCTGATCAGGTTACTCAGGACCATCTCAGGTCGCTACTACCGCAATTTAACCAAGCTCTGGGAAAGGAATCTGCCAAAAGAGCCGAAAGATTCCTTGCTACTGCTTGGAAGAGGGATTTGAGCGGCGAGATGTACGGCATGAGGATCTTCCGCGATAAAGAAGCACTACATCACATGTTTTTCTGATCAGACCCTCCTTCTTTGTTTGACAAGATCAAGAAAGCGAAAGACTATGGCAGACGAGCCCAATAAACAATGGAGATAGCCTACAAAGAACATAATAAACCACAACCCTCAGCAGAACAAAAGAGCAAAAAACCAAGAGCCTTGCTCTATTGGGGGAAAAACTCTCATTAGAATCCTTGATCAGAGTCACCTGAATGTCGGTCATTCTGGCTGCCAATTAGCCAATTTAAGACATACGCGGCGGAAACTCTTTGTGAGAAGTTCTTATTACACAGAATCCAAATGAGTGGTTAAGCCGTTACACCAAACAGAGGATTTCATGTAAGGAATGAAACTTGACAAGTATATCAAGTACTTAAGGGTGAGGGTACTAAAGCAAGGACTAGGGTTCGAATCAGAGGTGAGGAAGAAGGTCTTTGTTTTTGCTCTGAGGGGATCTCGTGCGTTGAGAATGTTTGGATGGTGGCTGTGGAAAGGCATGATGAGCTTCACAGATTTGATATGGTTGTCGTGAGACGCAAACAAGCAAGCTCTCCCTGCAACACATCTCTGGATTCTGGAAGTATATTGTCTTGGTACAGCTCCCACGACTTATGCAGCACCAGTCTGAGATGGATGCCATCGACTAAGGACGAGCAAAGCACTTACCCGGCAACATCATGATCACATCTCGGGCTACATAGCATCTCACTACACTCCACCCTCTCCGCCATATCGACTTGCCATCAGAGCCACTGCACGAGATAATTCCTACACACCAACAACATCCATGAGCGTCGACTCTTCTCCCGCGTAGCCCTCTTTCACATCATAGGCGAGAACGTCCACGTACCACGGGCCCAGATCGAAACGACCACTCGCTCTCGACAATCGTCGTCAAAGAATGCATTGCCGTGCAAATACTCAGTACATCTTACCCGTAGGACGAAGATTATGTCTCGAAGAAAGAGCGAATGTGACCCGAGTCTTGTCTTCGGAGGCGCTGGTAGGTCAGATGGGAATGATGGAGCAGCAAGTGAGGCGGCCCAGATGTCGTCGCTCGATGCGTTCTCTGCATCAGCGGTCTGATTCAGCAGAGATGGATGAGGAACAGATGTCATGCTTGGGTCATTGTGTGTATGCGGGTCAAGAAATAGCGATGGAACCAGGGACTGAAGCATACAGATATTGACATCTTGTCATCGTTCAATCTACCTACGTTACGGAGAAAGGGCATCAATACAAATATTCTCGCCAGCCAGAACGCTACCAAACGCCAAACCACCAAATGCTCCCAGCCCAGAACCACTATACTAAAGCTCTAAAAGTAAACAAGCGCCTCAACCCTGCGAAGTCTGCGAAGGTCCATCCACACCAATATCTCCACTTTGAAACTTGTTCAGATTCTTCAGCATGAAACTACGCTTGAAGTAGGTATTCGGATGTGTAATGGTGTCAAGCTCACTAGCAGGCCAGAGCGATTGATCCTTGACCTTTTTGATCTCGTTCTTGTGTTGATGCTCAAAGACACGATTACAAGCGATATGATAGCGAGTCTTTGTGACGTCCTCCTTGACGCTCTTCAAGACTTCGCGGTCTGAGACGCCAGTGGCTTGAAGAAGACCCATCAGGTTATCTTGGCTGAACCAGCGGTAGGGGCAGCCGTGGCTTTGTCCACTGCTGGGAATTTCGGAGATGAGTTTCTGGCATGAGTAGGGCGTGTAGCCTCTGCCACGTCTGTTGGAGTCACCACCGACGTCGCCGTAAGCGTGACGAATGTTGTAGAGGTATTCCTTCTTGAACTTGTCGTCTGTCATGAGCTTGAAGCTCTTTCGCCAAAAACCAATGCATTCCTGCATGTCGAGACCAATGCCTTTGAGAAAGAGGGAGTACTGGAGTCTGGCGAAATGCTTCAAGTGGCTGTTCTTGCGTAGCTCGCGGTGAAGACTCTGCATACAGAGGGGAAAGTGAGAGGCTAGGGCGTCGATCATGTTGGCAGTGATGACGGTCGTGTCGGAGATGGAAGAGGCATCGGCGTTGTATTGGGCGTCTGGTGATGCGAAGGACTTGGAGAGATGGGTAAGGATTGGAGAGAGACGGTTGTCTTCGTCCATTCGTGGCAGAGCGCGAGCAGCCAATTCGAGGCCGGCCTCGAGCTGTCTGCTAAACTCTCCAACAACCATGCTCGTCTGCTCACGCATGTGGACGAAGGCCTTGCCCATCCTCAGGAGGACTTTTCGCTGTTCGACTAGTTCGGGTACGTCCTCCCAGTCGACCTTGAACCATGATTCCTCCTCGTTCTTGTATACACCAGTAGCGCTCTTCAAGTCGTCCAGCATGTGGGCCTTCTCGTCGTCGGCGACAGTCTCCCAGCTCATGTTGAGACTTTGAATGAATTCCTTGCGCTCTCGTACGTCGTTCTGGTTGAGTCTGAGGCGGAACAGCTGTGTTTCTAGTCTTGTGAAGCGCTTGCGAAGGTCATCTGTGGCAGAAAAGGCAAGACGGAGGGTCCAATGTGAGTAGTGATCACGCTTGCGTTGCATGTCGTGCTCAGTCGATCTTGAAGAGTTTTGATCCAGTCGGAGGTATTTCTCCAAGATGGGCCTCATGTATGTCTGAGTCTCTTCGGCGCTGCGGTTACGGAATTGGCACGATTCGAGTTCGGCAAGTACTGGAACGTCTCGTTAGATGTTGAGAGTCTAGAAGAAGCGAATTTCACCTACCCTTCAGTCTGGCAATGCCCCATTCTTCAAACTCCTCGAGAGCAATGTCCCCGGTCGGCGGGACATTGTAGAAGTTCATGGCATGCTCGTAACTTTGCTCTTGCCATTGTGATTTTGCGAATTGTCTCTTGCGAGGGTCGAGCACCGTCCTCCGCTTGTTGTCAAGTCGTGCGACTGGTCTGGCTGCCAACATTTTGTATGTGTATGCTATTCCTTTGAGCAATCATGTAATTGCCAGAAGAAGCGTGTTTCTGCATGAGACGCGACTGCCCCGATGTATCGCGACGCGTTGTGCCAAGACTTCCATTTATCAATTAATTCCGCTTCGCGCGTCATGCAGCACTTTGTGCACAATATTGCATAAATGATATGCAGTTCCTGAATACGTTGCTCTATCATCTATCGTGTATTCGTTCTAACCCAATAGATCACCAAGCTTGTTGACGTAAGCTGATGGGACCACGGTTGCATCTTCGGCCAAGAACTCCTCCTTCTTGCTGACACCAGTCAAGACTGCCAATGTGCCTCCGAGCTTGCCCTCGATACCGAATTGGATATCGGTGTTGAGGCGGTCGCCAATCATGCAGACACGACTGCGGTCAAACTTGAACTTTCCCTCGACAGCATCCATCATGGCTTGACTGGGCTTGCCCAATGCCAGAGGCTCCTTTCCCCATGCCTTGACCAGAGGTGCGCCTACTGATCCAGCACCAGGGAAGAGCGTGTGAGAGTTGGGCAATGTCGAGTCGGTATTGGTCGCCAGGAAAACTGCTCCTCTGCGGAGGTAGTGGTATGCCAGACTGAGCTTCAGGTAATTGACGTTGAAATCAAGTCCAGCAAGCACGACACCGACATCAGGGTCGAGAGCACTGCCATTGGCAATGTTGGTGAAGTCCTCGGCCTTCATCTCGCGACGAAGTTCGGGATCGGTACCTCCGCAGTATCGCACGTTCTCAGAGGCAAGTTCGGCCTCGATGCCTGACTCTCCAAGTACAAAAACCTTGTTCTTGGGTGCCTCCAGCTTGAGGATGCGAGCAACGTAGATGGCTGCGCTGTATGCAGAGCCAAACACCTCTTCCTATGATGTGCCATCAGTCCCATTCCTCTATCCTCGCACAATATAGACGAACCACTTTGCACGGGATGCCCATGCTGTCAAACTTCTTCTTGTAGTCTGCACGAGACTTTGTGCTATTGTTGGTCACAAAGACCAGTTGTTTTCCTGTGCCTCCTATTCAGTATCGTCTTGATTCTTCTTCCCAGATTGGTATATGCCAACCTTTGCTTCTGAGCATTTCAATGGTCTCCTTGGTTCCCTCGAAGAGATGATCGCCAGACCAGAGGACGCCTATCCTTCTCGTATCGTCAGTTTCGATTGTTCGTGTGGGTATGTTCGTTCGTGTATCGCTATCTCGTTCGCAGGACAAATGCGTACCATCGCAGTCAAATAGGAAGACCTGTGGTCAGTCAGTGGATTGTTCAATTGTAATTTCTTTGGACATGCTGTTCTGAACTAACATCAAACTTGTCGAGGAACTCCTCGATACCGGCCTTGTCACCAGTCAAGAACTTGGGAGCCATAACGTTGGTATGTATAAGATAAAAATGTCGAAGACAAGTGCAGCTTGTCGAGTCAACAAAGTTGTCGGGCTCGCATGCCCCTCCATCGTCATCGGCCGACACCTCCGGCTGCCGAGATCGCTCCGCCAGCTCATCCATCTCCGATCAATCAACCCATCAACGCATCAACTCTCCGACTTACTTTTGCGTCGCGCATGTTGCACTAGATACATGGTTTCTAGCATGCTGTAAGCTCAATATCCTGGGCCAGCTCGGCCATTGGTAGCTGTACTCTTTCCGGTGCAATATCACGATACCGTCGACGCTGGGTTTGCATCATTCGATACTTCAAGAAACTATCTTCCACACGCTTAGCTATAGCTCCTGGTTGAGCCTCAGGTACGAGTACACTAGCCTGTTTGTAGGAGCCCACATGATCAAGTATTCACAAGCACCTCCTGATTTTAATGCAACAAATTGGTACCACTTCTGAGAGAAGCACCAGCAAGCTTTATTCTCACTTTACTTCAAGCCATGCACCGGCTGGGTAAACCTCACAAAGCCACCAGAGAATGGCTGGTGGAGAAACAGACAATCTTGCCAATGCCCCCCTTGTTACTTCTTTAATCTCAAATCCCAGATCAACAGGGGCACTTTGCCCTTTGCGGTCGCTGTGCCTCTCGCTCAACTCATCAATGTCGGTTTGATCAGACTCAACTCCCGTCACCCTGGACACAACAATGTGTTTACTGCCGAAGACAAAGACTATGCCTTGTCACTCCACCGTGACATTTGCTACGGTATCAATTCTGGCAAACTTCCACTACAGCTTCTTGAGATTCTCCTACTCGCGTCTCACAAAGCTGTCCTCAAGCCACTGGATCAGAGTGATCCAGAGTACAGACACAAAGAATTTGAGGTGTACCTCAAGAGAGCCATTCGCAAGTGCAAGGATCAAAGCGATGAGCAGGAGGATGGAGACGATGATGATCAAGCTGAAGCAGGAGCAGAGGACGACAATAACCACTGTCACCCAATCTGCGAATCCCCAGTCGATAATCTCGTCAAAGAGACATATGTAAAATCGTATTCGCATAGAAAGACATGATGCTAACTTGAGTGCAGCGCTAATCTGTGGACTGCCCCTGTGGCAGACCACTCGCACTCTTAAGTAGAAATTCCAACATTGCCTTGTCGCGGGAATATCACATAACGCGGAATCTCAAACATAAGGCTGAAGATCGAAGCGACTGAAAATGGTCTCAGAGAGACCTGGAGGAATTGAGAACCTATATCTGCAAAGTAGTAGCACTCAAGAATCACAAAGCCAATAGCTGCAATCACAAATCATACTTTGCCTTTCTACAGCTACTTACGAGGGAAGTTGACTCTTAGGAGATGGAGGTAGATCGGTTCTCCAAAAGTGTATACAGGCTATGATGTACCCATACAAAGGCAAGGTCATTTTCATGGCCAGGTCGACGACGACGACGGGCCTATGATGTCGTCGCTCCGTGAGTCGTACGCACAATCGACGACACAACTATGATGTCGCCCCGTGAGTGAACGAACCCCTTGTAGTCGAACTCCGTGATTTCGACGCGTCGACTGCGGACTCCCTGAATCGTCTTTCTTGACCACCAGACGCAGCTTGCATCGTACGCAAACATCAATCTTTCTCTGCATTGACGCAACTTTCCCCACCCCAACCACTTTTGATCGAACAGATCGAAGTCTAAGCAATGGACATTGACCTCCTTTCGCACCACAGATCTGTCCTGAAGCGCGAAGCTATGCTTCGTAAGATCAGACAGATGGGTGTTCCACGTAGAATCACTCACACGCGCGAGACTCTGATGAGAGAGTTCATCCATGTAAGCGAAAGGCGAAGATCTTACTTATACTCGCCACAGCGACTAACGCATGTGACTAGCGTCCTATGCCATTTCGCCCAGTGGCCGGATCCGCTGCTCGTCCAGTGCCCGCCGACGCTTATACGCCATCGTATCTCCCTCTCGCTCACCTAATCAAGATCTCACTCAAGGACCTTCAGTGTGAGACTCGTCATCACGGACGCTTCTTGCTGCTTCGTGTGTTCTGCCAGCCCTTCCGCAAGTTGGCCATCACAGCAGCCGTCGAGGATGAGACTGAGGACGTCGACAAGATGTCCCTCTACCACGCCAAGGATTCCCTTCGTGCGTTCGAGATTCTGCCTGAAGGCAGCGTGATAACCATCAAGGAGCCCTTCTACAAGATGGAGGACAACGGCGCGTACACCATCCGTGTGGACCATCCCTCCGATATGGGTTTCCTGGATCCGCACAACGAGATGTACCCAGAAGAGTGGAAAGACCCTGAGGACTTTCAAATGACGGCTCTGGAGTGGAAGCTGGAAGGAAACCAAGCTTTCGCTAGAGAAGAGTACCTGGAAGCACACCGTTGGTAAGCACATACTCACCACTCCCGATCTCAACACAAGCTTCTATACAGCTGTAAAAAAGGCAAAGTACTTTTGAGAGTCAGAGTGGTGTCCGCGGAGAATGACCGATCCGTGTGCTCTCTGCGGGCATCTCAACGAAGCTGAATTTCTTTGTGCCTTTTTACAGCCCGCCTTCCAAACACCTCATGTCAAGGAGATGAGGCTAACATTCGCTCATTAGTTACACTCGCGGACTGGCTCGCGCAGACTCACATGAACTTGACCTGAAGCATGATTTGTTGCGCAACAGATCCTCAGCCAACCTTCGCCTCTCACACTATGATCAGGCCATTAGCGACGCTTTCTTCTCTCTGACGAGCGATCAGGATGATCCAGAGTTCAGGAGGAAGAACTCCGAAGCTCACTGTCTGCGTGGTCGCGCCAACTACAACCTTGGACACTACACCAATGCTCTCAAATCGTTCAAGGAGATGCTTCAGCTCTCTCCATCGGACGCAAACGGCAAGAAGGGGCTAGCACGTACCGAAGCGCGCCTTGTAGAGGAGCATGAAGGACTGTATGACTTCGCAGAGGTCGTCGATGAAGTCATCAAGAACGGATACTCTGCCGATCGCGCCAGTTTCATCTCCAACACTCAGATGCGTCAGACTGAGGACCGTGGCCAGGGCCTTTTCGCCACCAAGGAGATCCGCTTGGGCGAGTTGATCATGTGCGAGAAAGCCTTCATGACTGCACACCCTAGCGACGACAAGCCAAAGTCGCCAATGTCAGGTTGGCTGAGTAGCGTCCAGAAGGTTATCGACAACCCATCCCAGAGCAGCAACATGCTCGGTCTTTACTCTGGTAGAGTAAGATCATCGACCACTTCTGTGCCTATCATCGACGGCCTTCCTGTGGTTGACACCTACGAGTTCTTGAAGATACTTGATCTGAACGGTTTCAGTTATGAAGTCGGCCAGGAAACAAAGCCGTACGGCACCACAGCACACATGTCGCCCACCAGTCCTAAGTCGACCGGTCTGTGGACACACGTCAGCAACGCCAACCATTCATGCCTCGCCAATGCAACAAGAAGTTTCATCGGCGACATGATCATCCTCAGAGCCGCGAGAGACATTGCCCGCGACGAGGAAATCACAATCGCGTACCTCAACCCACAGCACCTTCTGGCAAAGCGTCAAAGAGCTTTCGCTGGCGCTTGGAGCTTCGTTTGCACTTGCCCTCTTTGCGATTGGGAGAGACGCACGACTGTCCACGCGCAGGAGTTGGCTGAGAACATCGAGACTGGCCTCGCCTTCATGGGAGACAAACTCCACGACACCACTCTTCCCGATGACTCAAGCATCTTAATACTAGCTGAACTTTTGGCAGAGGACCTCGAAGACTCTTATGCTGACCACCTGTTGCGTCGCTTGCCGTGCTTGGGCATGGCGCATGTTTGGCAATGGCTCTCGCGGATATATCTTCTTCAAAACAACAGAGCTGCGCTCGGAAACAGCTCTTACAAGGTCCTCTTGAGTTACGGCTACTGGGTCAAAGTACAAGATTCGATCGTGAGAGTGGAGCTCGGTTATGGGATTCCTGCAGTTGGTGTGGTCGACGCTTTCATGTGTCTCGCTCATTTGGCTGGAGAAGACGACGTCGAGCTCAGTTCAGAGTTCAAGGCTTGGGCCAGAATGATCTACAAGATCGTCAACGGAACCCCTCTTGGTTTCGAACTGAAGTACGGAGACTAAGAAGAGACGGGAAAGGATGGTGATACGGATACGATGGTAGCTGGGGTAGTCAATAACGTCGCTCAATCAAGTGTACTCATATACCAATATCAACACAATATCATTGTGAAGTCCTTGCATGATTGGCAAAAGATCTGTGAGGTCGAAGTTGTTACCAGATATGTTATTGGTGGTGTACGCAGGCCCCTTGATACGTGCGTATGGTGATTGGAGAACATACCGAAGGAGTTTGTGGTTGAAGTTGGCGATCCTCTTCCTGGGCTCTCTTTGGCGAGCAACTGGCAAGCCATCAACAACGACAAGATGCGAGACATTCGCAAGTGAGGGGAAGCAAATGTTGCGGACCAAGTCGGGTATGTTTATGCGAGCTCTGTCGATTAGAGAACCCCGGATTGTGGTCTGAAACAGGTTTGGTATCAGTAGACAGCAGGTGATTCGTGAGCTCGATGGGCCAGCGTGTCAGATGCTCTTCAAAGGGTCTCTCACATGTCACGCTTGATCGAGCTTTTGCTATAGTCGCGGCTAGATAGATGAACATGTGAGGCGCCGACTCGAAACAGGAGATAGGGAAGCGGGGTTGGCGTATTGGATGATTTCTAGCAAGTGGAGCTCAAACTTGAACCCTTTATCCGTGAAGATATACGGGACCCCCACGCGTATGCATGCTGCATGCTGCAGGTAACAGCATTCAATCTTGGTGTTCCTAGGTACTGGGTACATGTGCTCAAGTTGAGGTTGGGATGCGGCATTTGCTGAGAGCCGCTGATGTTGGAAACATGCAAAAGATTCGGGAAATACCTGCACAGGCAGTGGCGAACATTGTGTGTTGCCCTTTACTGAACGACGTTCCAGACATGATCTGCTGTAACACGTACAAAGGGAGATATGGTAAGCGGTGAAGAACCTCAGTGCAACGAACTGGCCGAGGGGCCTTCCGACGACGTTTAGGTAGATGCATGGCGCTGCTACACCTGCATGAGCAGAGACGCCTGGTGCAGAGTCAAAATGCCGCAGGGCTCATGCTTCTCATCGTTGCATCCTACGAAACGCTTAGCCGGTGCTGTCACGAATTTTCAGGTTTGACTTGAAATCGGCAAAAAAAATCATGTCAAGCGAGAGAACACATCACAAAACGCGGTGACAGGCCCATGACACGGAATTGTCACGAGTTTGAGTTTGGCAAAATACTGTCAGAATCGCCAATTCCCGGGAGTTGAGTAAGAAAAATCACTGCAACAACGCGGGACACCCGCTTTTTCGCATAGCGTCGATACATCGGAATGAGCAGTGATGTCAGTGAGGCATATTTTGGCAGTCGTGTTTTAGGACGAGTGTGTCGCGCAACAACGACAATTTCACAGCATGGCAACCGCTTGCGGCAGGTTGGTACATTCTTAGAGGAGCACCACGTGCAAGGAGCGTAGCGACGAGAGTCGCAATGAAACTGTGACGGAAACGGCGGCTCCAAGGTGAATTGCAGAGCGGTGTGCGGCGGTGCAGTGGGTCAAAAATGGAAGAGGGGGTGGAAGGAGCACGAGCGGTTTTGTTGGTTGGGCGCAGAGGACTGTGGGTGGGCCGTGGTAGTGGCCGCGGCCCCCAAATAAACTAACCGCACACAGAGTGACCTGGGGGCCTTCTAGTTTCTACACGGTAGCAATTTGCGCCTGTTCTCTCTTTCCTGCACTGCACTTTATCAACTCGCCCTCTCGTCCTCTCGCCCCTCCCTGGGTCGCGTGTGCGGTGCGTTGCGTTTGTGAGTTGCAGCTGACCAACCTGCTCCATTCGCCATCCTTCGTGTCTTCTGTTGTCTTGTTCCCGGCATCCCGAGCGATCTGCAAGTGAGCGTCATCCTTGGATCCTTGGCCACCACCAAAGCGACCAGTATGTCCATGGCTATGCTTGCGCTGCCCTGCGCATCACCCAACATTGTCAAGACTAACACTCTGCCAGGCGCTTGTCTTATTATCGCATCGGCCTGGCTGTTGTATTTCTTGTATCCACATATCATGTTCGTTCTGGTCTTATAACAACAGCCTTCGGGTACTTCTGCGCGTCGTCCTACCAAGGGTCTCTACGTCCTGCGGTTTGCGCCACACTCATACATAAATCAAGTCCTCTCGCACACAGCCATCTGCGCCGTCGCCTGAGCCACTGATACGCGGCACTAATTCGCGTCAACCCGCATCAATCACCCATGCCCACCTCAAGTAGACCTTCTACCTTGGATATGGGCCATCTCCAGAGAACAACGTCGGCCATGGGACACATCGACTCGGAACTACTGGCTGAAGCAGACGAACCACCGGAAAGAAAGAACCACCTCGTTGACTCTCCGCGTCTTGACGCTGCCTTTATCAAACATCTTCCCCCGGCTTTTACTCGTAGAGAGTCTCTTCTCACACGACAACTTCACTCCCCGGAACCTGAACATCCTCTTGAAGATGAACACCAGCGCGCCAGGGCCATCGTGCGTGGCATGTCAGCGTGGAGTAACCATAGCATCGCCTCTACTGCCGAACTCACCAGCGACAATGATCTCACCAGCCCCGGGACCCGCGAGAGCACTCCCAGCCCTCCATTACCGCCCACTTTAGTCAGAGAATCCATCCCGGCACTGGAGAAATCACCCCATAAGGAGCTCGTCATCGTCGGAGACAGCAAAGTCAAGCCCGAAAAGTCCGTTGAGGCTGAACTTGGTCGCCCTAGATGTATCACATTTGCTTGCGGCGGCAAGAAGCCTGCCTCAACCCACGTCGCCTCCGAAAGTGAACAGGAAAAGCAGCAAGCACCGGTCTTGGCTCTTGCAGATCCACCAAAGCGCAAGACATGCATTACATTTGCTTGTCCCTCTAAACCTGCCGTACAAACGAGTCCTCTCAAGGAAAAGACCAAGTCTATGACCTTAGCTCCAAGCCAGGGCGCCAAAATGAGGATCGTGAGTCCAGGACCCAGAACCTCAAAGACTCAGGCATCACCAAAACACTTCCCTAGAAACCATCGCGGGTCTGACTCAACCGTCAAGAATGACTCGCCTAAAAGCCTTCGCAAGACTCCCACGCTCCCTGTCCGAAGACGTAAATACAGCATCGACAATGACGATGTACCTGGCGAGGAGAGAAGATTCCACGAATTCGGTCCCTCGGAGGAAGAAAACGAGCAATGGCTTGAAGAATCCGGCTGTTATCGCCAACGACTGACTGTCAATGATACTCTGTACAAAGAGAACATTATCAGACAGATCGGCGAAGAAGTTGAGGAAGAGGCTATCGAAGAGGACGAAGACCTCGAAGACGAAGAACTGGAAGAAGATGAGGACGATGAAGATCTCGAAGACGTCGACGTTGAGGAAGCCATCTCCGGAGATGAAGTTTCCGATGCAGGTTTCCAGACTGACGACGAAGACGGCTTTGCTGTGTCCGACAACGAAGACGATGACAGCGAGAACGAATGGTGGGCTCCCGGAGGCCGCTCAACTGCTGCTACCTCTATGGAACAACTGGAGCCCATCCGCCATCGCAGAAGAACCAACTCGGATTCATCTCTTGGATCAGCACATGGCGAAAACAAGACCGCATCAGCTCCCTACGGCATGGTCAAACGCAGAAGCCGCGCACTCAAGATCAACCGTCCTCATACTCCCGATCTCCCCGATAGCACCGACTTCGTTTGCGGCACTTTGGATGAGGATCGCCCCCTGGAGCAAGCATACATAATGAGTCTAGAGAGGAGAAAGGCCGCCAAGCACAAGGTCAAGCCTCAGGACATCGATCCCACCTTTCCCACTTCCGATCCAGATATGGATGAGGAGGACGACGATGACGAGGATGATGAAGACGAAGAGAGTGATCACCCTCTCTTCATGCAAGGCAAGATCGAGATCACCGAAGAGCTGGGCTACCGCGGACGACGCGTGTCCAAGACCGCAACCAAGAAGAAGTCCATCTCGCCTCCTCATCAACGTCTTCGCTCGCCCCCTCCTCCCAAACATCGTTCGCACCGCTCTCCTCCACCGTCAGCCAAACGTCTTCGTTCGCCTGCCCCTATCAAGCGCACCGCTCACAAATCACCACCTCCGCGAAAACTGTTCGGTCAATCGCCCAGACGTATGAAGTCACCTCCACCTCCACCTCGCCGTCCAACTTCTCCACCACCATCTCCGCGCAGCTCTGTCGAAGGTGTTTCGGCCATTAGTTTCACTCCAAGAGCGACTCTGGCTCGTCGTCCTCAGCCCACACACACTGCTTCGCTACCTCGAGTGGAGAGTCAGATCAAGATTGGCAAGCATGCTATGGCCACATCGCCTGATGAACATGACGATCCTTTGTCTGGTCTGAGAACGGCTCGTGGCGCAATTGACATTGTTAAGGGCCTGGAAAAGAAACGCCAACGACGCAAGGAAAAGCTCTATCAGAAGCATTGTCAAAAAGGCGGAAAGGAGCGCGAACGCAAACCGAAACCCGGCAAGGGCGCCGAAAGAATGAGAGAAGTTGGGCTTGAGCTGGCTGCTTACAAAGGCAAGAAACAGCATGTCCTCTCCTACTAAGAGAAGTCGTCTTGATCACGGGCTTGCGACGCCGTCCACACAGTTGGCACATTACAGTCTCGTAGCACGAGTCTGCTGGTCGTCGCAGGTACTCAGATGATCGACGATCAGAGCATCTTTACTGACGCGGATCTTTATTCAGCTGCGCACCTTTCGCCCACTGGAAGCTCGTAGTCGTCTTTATTTCCTATAGCTCAAAGCACCGAATCGCGCGGCTCCAGTCACAGAAACGCCCAGCTGGCTGACGCACAACAATACATAATGATCCCTTTCTTTGTACATACATACCCCCTTATTTCTCGATTTCCTTTTTACGAGGAGTTATCTTTCTAGATAGCGATTTCTTGGAAGGCGAGATACCACTTTGCTTGCATGGACGGGCATCAGAACTGGCGTTCGTCGATTTCAATCAGGAGGCTCGGTTTGGGAAGCATGTTTATCCATGATTGAGATAAAGTGTTTCTTCTTGGTCGAGACCTAGCCAGGATTGCAGATAGAAGAATTCACAATCGCTATCAATCTTCAAAACATTCTATAGTGCTGTTTGGTGAATATGCTTGTGTCGTCGCAATGATCGAAGTTGAAGTGTTGATTAGCTGGCGTCTTGGCATTGACCGCACCTCCCCCAGATGACGGCGGCGACGGCTTTCCAACGTGGACATTAGTTTGTGATAATACGAGCACCTGTCAACATTCGTAATTCCCGCCCATTCCATCTTGGACTGTCGCAACACCCTCCTCGATACAACAAACTGTAATAGCAATCAACCGACAATATGTGGATCGTTGACTGGTGTAAGTGAAGGGGCTCACGACGCCTTTCGAACACCAGAGGGAGACAAGCGCTGATCGCAAACACTACAGTCTGGGATGTTCTCGCCAACCTTGGCCTGATGAACAAGCACGCCGTATGCGACATGGAAGACCTTGACTATCCGGAACAATCAGACTGACACAGACGATTGCAGAAACTGCTGTTCCTGGGTCTTGACAACGCTGGAAAGACCACGGTGCGTCGGCCATGCGCCCTTTGACTCGTAGCCTGGACTCGACAGCTAATCTGAATCTGCCAACAGCTTCTTCACATGCTCAAGGTACGTTTGACCTCTCTCTATGCGCCTCACTTGCTTGACCATAGCTGACTTTGAGTAGAACGACAGAGTGTACGCCTCCTTCTCCGCAACGTCCTCGATCATCCGAGCTTACAGCCAACAGCGCCGTCTTGAACCCTACTCTCCACCCTAGTACGATGCGATCTTGCCGATCATGGACTTCACACAAGACTGACATGTCACACAGCCTCCGAGGAGCTTAGCATCGGCAACGTCCGCTTCACCACCTTCGACTTGGGCGGTACGAATACATGAATGAAAGAGCAACGGGAACATATGACTGAGTCTTCAAACAGGTCACCAGCAGGCAAGACGTTTGTGGAAGGACGTGAGTGGCTACCAGGACACATCTGTTGGATTCAAGGACTGACGCAGGACATACAGTACTTCCCTGAGGTTTCCGGTACTTGACAAACGATCGCTCCCAACTTTGGATTTGGCAACTGATGCGTTACTTAGGCATTGTTTTCCTTGTCGACGCCAAAGATCCCGAACGCTTCCTCGAGAGCAAGGCTGAGCTCGACGCTCGTACGTCGCACACCTGTTCCACATGAGGAACTTATGCTGACGACATTTCTTAGTCCTGTCCATGGAGGACCTCTCCAAGACTCCCTTCCTGATCCTCGGAAACAAGATTGACCGTAAGCTTTACCGCCATCTCGCACCTGCCAAAACACAGCTAACATAATTCAGACCCCAGCGCTGTCAGCGAGGACCAACTCGTATGATTACTCTGACCGCCAGTCTACGAAAGACGCGAAACTAACGTGAGAGCAGCGACACGAGCTTGGTCTCTTCCAGACCACTGGCAAGGGCAAGATTCCTCTCGAGGGCATCCGCCCCATCGAGGTCTTCATGTGCAGTGTTGTCATGAGACAGGGCTACGGCGAGGGTATTCGCTGGTTGTCGCAATACGTCTAAGCGGACGACTCTTCCAACGAAACCCCGTAGCGATGGTGCAAGAGCGCTGTCGGCATATGCTCGACTTCACATACCAACAACGACCTCAGCACAACCAGCAACCCACCCGTCTTTTGGCGCAGCACAAACTGGGGCGGAGGGAAAATGAACGTTACAGGTTTCAACTCACGTTCAGAACATGAAACTTTGGTAGTGTTTCTTACTTATTTTGATTCCATGGAGGCGCAAAGAGTGGTCTTTCAAGTCTGCTTACTTCTTCATAAACTGTTGCTTATCTCGACTATGAATCGATGTAGCGTGTCTTCTTCAAGCTAGTGCCAGCAAATTCGTTTCTCGTGAGCTATGCCCTCCTTCGAGTCGATTCGTCAAGGTCGTCGAAGATGATTTCGTAGATGATGAGACGGATCTCGACTGGTAGGCGGAGGAAGTGGGATTGGGATGGTTGAGAAGACATGGTTGGTACGGTGTGGGAGTGATGTTTGATCGAGTAGATCGCCGTCTTGAGGACCGCGACCAGGGCACAGACAGTAGCAGGACAAGGGGATGTGGCTGACTGCTGATTTGTTGACTTGTCACAAGGTCAGTATGGCCATAGCCGGAGAGACACATGATTGTAAGCGCACCTTGAACTAGGATAGACTAGACATCGAGCTGTACCATTTTCTGATGTGGAAAGCGGAGATGGGACGTACTTTTGGGGATAAATTCAAAGACGAGGAGAAAACAATGGGCAGCGCATATTGCAAGTGTTCTTATCTGCACAGCGGAGGAAGCCGCTACTGCCATATTTGTTAAGCCCATCGCAAAGCAGGAAGTTGCAACCATTTCAAGCCTTTTCCAGGAAACCACGAATCGTCTTTGCAGTCTCAGCTGGCATGCTGAGGAAAGGACTATGGCTAGCCTTCAACCTTGCGACTTCCACTTCTATGCCCTGGGCCTTTACAGCATCGATCAATTGCTCTTGCCCGTTCTTGGTCAATGCTCTGTCGTCTTCGCAGATGATGTATGCGGTTGGGATCTCGCGCCAAGCGACCTTTGATGGTGCATGTGCGACGTGGGAGAGAGGGCATCCTCCTAAATTGTCGATTGCACGCCGGGTCATTTGCTCGGGCACGTCATGGTAGAAGAAATGCAGTGGCTCCAGCGGTACAAGAGCCTTCGGATTCTGCATCATTCGTTAGCATCTTGATGGGTTCGTCAATGGACAATGGATACATACCTTTTCATCATCGAGTCGAGCAATAATTGGCCAGTCATCACTCGTCGGGAAGTCTGCACGCGTTTGACCTTCCTGGACCATGAAAGATGTCATATAGATGAGCTTGACAACAGAGCCGGATGTCTCGCTCTCCTTCTTGCCTAGACCACATGCTGCTTCCGAGCCTGTCATGCCGCCGAATGAATGCATCACAACTGCCACGTCTCTACCGGCCTCCGTGTGAGAAGTGATGGCATTTCGGATTATTGAGATGTCTTCATTCCAGGTGTCCTCAGGCAGGTCCTTTTCATCATTGGTAGATGATATTTCAAGGCAATCTACAGTGTAACCGGCTGAGTTGAGTTTGAGTGCGAGGTGTGCGTAGTGTGCAGGCACATGCCAGGCTCCAGGCACGATGACAATAACGGGTTTGGTTGCAGTAGATGACATGATTGCGAATGGTATTCGGAGAGCAATTGTCGAGACGGTTGTAGTTCAGTTAGCCTTGGAGTTGACTGATTGATAGGTCTGGTCAACAATTTCCTCTTTCGGCTCCCCCACTACGCCACACGATGATCATGATCTAGCACAACTCATCTGTCTGATCATCTCCTCACCGAAGCAAATCCGAAGCTGTTCTTCCATGCCACCATTGCTGAGCAATTACTCAACCAGGCATACTTCACCAGCATGTTCAAGGCTTGCTACATTCACGTCGAGGCGCGTCCCTGATTCTGTCACTTCGCTGAGCCAGCGGAGGCCAAGTCGCCTGATATAGCTTCGACCGAACGCCTTCGAAGCTCGAGGATCAGACCACGATGATAACAACATGAAGAATACTTCTAGTCTCGAATTTACCTGCTTCCTTGCAGTTTTTGATTCAGGCCGTTATCAGCGCTATACTTGTTGCCTCACAAGAAACTTGGTTATAGCCATGAAAGCGATAACTTGTCTTTCATTGGCTCGTTATCACACGTCATATTTACACCATATGCCTAAACGAAGATCGCAAGAACAGTGAGAACGAGGTTTGCCCGCGACAACAGGCTCACGGTGCCTGGATCTTCATGTTATATGGCCGAAGAGACCAAGATACCGCCGTGCCATGATGAACGATGACAGCTCTGCGGGTACGACTCCGTCCAAGCTCTGCGGACCACTAGCTATGAGGTGAGAGTGATAAGATTTGACCTTTGAGCTAGTAAGTTATCAACAAAGTCTTGTTACCGCGCTCGACTAGATAACCAGCTTGTTCCCTGCTTCCGTTCAACTTCTTGCACATAACTTTCCATTGTACTTAATTCTACCTTCTGCAATGATCCTGTTTCGACCAGAGAGCGTATACTGTCCTACTACATTTGAATTGCTATCATGGACTCGGTCGACATTGTCAGGGGAGACTCGCCTATGCAGGCAGCCGAACAAGGTACTTTCCCATCCAACACTACTCTGAGCCAATGTTCACGCTAACCCAGTCAATTTGTAGAAACATTAACGCCTTTGAATGACAAGCTCGCAAGTGAAATAGCGAGACTCGAAGAGCTGTTTCGCATAGATCAGCAGAAACTGAAAGACATCACCAAGAGATTCGAAGTAGAACTTGACGAGGGCCTTAAAGGGAACAACAAGAACGTTGTACGTTTCATGAAGACATCCGGCAGCTCTCTAGCCTTTGCAGACATCCTTTCCTCAGCCAATGAACATCACCTGGGTATTAGATCAACCACACGGTGACGAGAAGGGCAGTTTCCTTACCGTCGACCTTGGAGGTACCAACCTTCGCGTATGTTGGATCACCCTGCCAGGAGCTCGCGGCAAACCAAGTATCGTTCAGGAGAAATATCAACTCTCAAAAGAGGTCAAGACAGGCACGGCAGACCAGCTATGGGATGAAGTAGCAGATCGCATGAAACCCTTCATTCGAGACCAGAAGCTGGATGGAACAAGCACACAACCCTTGCCGCTTGGCTTCACTTTCTCGTACCCAGCCATGCAAGACTATACCGACCATGTTATACTGCAGACCTGGACAAAGGGCTGGTATGTCAAGGGAGTGGAGGGTGAAGACGTCACAGTACAACCTCGCAAAGCAATGGACAAAAGAAAGCTTCCTGTCAAACTTGTTGCACTCATCAACGACACGACAGGTGCAATGATAGCATCTGCATACCACGATCCCAAGACAATTATTGGTGCCATCTTCGGGGAACAAGCTTTCGAAAAGATGAGCGCTGGTCCCTACGTAGGCGAGATCTTTCGTCTTGTGCTTGTAGACCTGGCAAGACAGAGCCTCATCTTCAAGGGTCAAGATATTTCAAGAGTAGAAGAGTCATATATCCTCGACACCGGTTTCCTCTCCGCAATCCAAGATGGATCAATCTCCTAACCTCGAAAACACAGCAACTTCATTCAAAGCACACACAAACATCACCCTTGACATCCAAGAACGCCATCTCTGCCATCGCTTAGCAGAACTCATCGCCACCCGAGGAGCACGTCTCTGCGCCTGCGGTATCGCGGCAATTTGTAGTAAGAAAAAGATGACGCATGGTCATGTTGCTGCTGATGGGTCGGTTTCGAATAAGCATCCAAAAATTCAAGAGGAGATGGGCTGATGCTTTGGCCGAGATATTGAACTGGCCGGAGGATAGGGAGGGAGATGGTATTGTTTTGACACCTGAGGAAGATGGGTCTGGTATTGGTGCTCCGGTTATTGTTGCCATGACGTTGGAGAGAGCGAGGAAGGCTGAGGATGCTGGTGTCAAGGGAGCTGCTGATATGTGATGTGATGGTTCTTGGAATCGCCGATCTTGTTGATATGACGAATGAATGGATCTCAGAGTCAGTCGTGAAGCATTCAGTATATACTAAATCGAAGTAGGTGCAGAGAAGGCAATATTAGGGAAACCATGATAGACGTAATCCAGCCTTCCAATCCATCGAGTCTTGGTGAAGCACAAAGGAGAGGGATTGCCGAAGATGTAAAAGTGCGAGACTAGAAGTCACCACCGCCACCATCATCGCCACCGCCATAGTCATCACCACCGCCTCCATTGTCGTAGCCTTGCTCGTAGGCGTTGTCTTCCATATTGTCGATACCGTTCATGAGCATGGCACCACCGAGCAGACCTGCACCGGCTCCCAAGGCCATACCAGCACCGCCACCCAAACCACCGCCGGTTCTACGCTGCGGCTGTCCGTACATCTGCTGAGGTGGGTATCCGCCGTAACCTTGCTGAGGGTAGCCACCGTAGTGTTGCTGAGGCATGCCGTAGCCACCACCACCCATCATACCGCCAGAGGGGTAGCCTTGCTGGCCATAGCCCTGGTTGGGACGCGAACTCGAACTCGAGGCCTTGCCGAGAAGCTTGCCCAAGAGACCACCCTTGCTCTTACCACGGTCCTGGTCGCGAGGAGGCAGGTCGTTCGAGTACTGAGGCTGGGAGGGTGTGGCAGAGCTGTAGTAGTTGTCTGAGGCGCCGGTGCGGGTTCCGGACTGACCAGTCTGACGAGCGCGGGCTTCTTCCTCTGCTTGGAGCTTGCGAGCAAGAGCCTCGTCGTCGTTGACGTTGTGTGCTGAGCCACCCGAGTGGATGCTCGAGCCGTAGGGGTTATTTGAGCCGTAGCCGCTCTTCTCGGCACCCATGTGTTGAGAGTGGTTCGAGTCGTAGCCTGGAGGGGCGCCTGGGGGAGCGCCGCCCGAGGAAGGATAGGCGGGCTCGGTGGGCTTCTCCCATTGTGATTGCTTGGTGTAGAGGTTCACAAAGAACCATTCCTTGTACTGGTCATTCCACTGAGCTTTCCAGCCTTCGGGAACTTGCGGCGGAGGAGGGCCCTGGGGACTTGTTAGCTATGTGCCGCAATGATGCCTAGCTATCTTATCGTCGCGCATACCGGAGGTGGGGCATAGTCGGCCATGATGTTTGTTTCCTCGGTTCTGGACAAGTTCTGAGAATCTGATCCAAAAGTCTTCGGTTAGATGTAATAGGCAATGAGACCAAAAGATCGAGGATCAGAGACGAAGTAACGTGGTCGATACAAGACAAGATGCCCGTCACAGACGGTATGCTAAGACGTCACTGCCTAGGTTTGTGGCTGTGGTGGGTGTGGCGTCTGGCACATGATTGTTCATCCCTCTTTCACCGACTTTGCCATCCTGAACGCGCAAGCAACTTTGCATTTCTTTGTCGACACTTCTTTTCCATGCCCGTCCATTCACAAGGCTGTGCTTTCTTCCATCACCTTGATGCACGGCGCAATCTATTTGCCTCATGCTCCGCCAGCTCGCATCGTATGCCGCCAAGTGCCCCACCATCCTGGCGCCGAGGCAACGCTACCGAGTTCAACGCACGAGCTGAGCCTTCCAATCACAAATTAGTAAAGCGTACAAATCGAAACTCAAACAACGAGCCCCTTTAGCTCAGTTGGTAGAGCGCGGCACTAGTAATGCCGAGGTCGCCGGTTCGACTCCGTCAGGGGGCATCACGCCTCATCTTTTGCTCTGCAACGTAGTGCAGGCAGCTACCTCATTTTGGCTCGTGAATATCCATATGAAGAATGTTTTGATTGAAGCACAGTCTCACACATCGGCAGCGAGGTATGTGCTTCTATCACAGGGACCGAGAGCGGGAAGCTGTCTATCCGATCAACGTCTTCAGGAAGAGCAGGTAATTCAAAGATGGGTGATATGGTCAATCTCATATTCATCGTTATCTATCATATATATTGTCTCGATCTATGCATGACCACCTCGGTATCATGTCCCGCCTGCCTTTCCTTGCTTTCTAGCCACCTTCTCTTCTTTCTTGCGAAGGATATCTTCTCTCCATCCACGGCCCCAAATGGTGACCGTCCACGTCAGCACTGCTGAGAAACACAAAAATCCAGCACTGATTGTGCTGAACCATCCAACTCCAATCTTCTCAACAGCAGGTAGACATGCTGCTGTTCCGGTAGCAGCAAACAGATATCGCAGCATGTAGTTGCCAGCAACCACTTCTGACGAACGCTTTTGCATGACATCCAAGCAGTATGTGTTCAACGAAGGGAAGCAGAAGAGTTGTGCTACTCCCTGAATGAACATGACAATGACCGGAAGGGGAATTCCACCCTTGTCTTTCTCGATTGACCATCCGTAGATCAACATGCAACCTGGAATGATGACACCCATAAACACGAGGCATGAGCGAAGTCGATCCTCGGGTACGCGCTCACCGTCCCGTTTGTCGATCCATTTGCGTACTGTGCAGTCTGCCCAGCGGCCTCCGAAGAACGTGCCTGAATATGATGTTAGCACTTCCATCGTCAGAGGTGATAGCGTGTCTCATACCTAACAGATAGCCGCATCCTGGCGCAATGTAGAAGAGACCTGACTGAATTGGCGACGTAAGGTTGAAGCGAGGGTTGATAACATAACGAATCGGTGTGAGCAAGCTGTACATGTTGAAGACAAGCGAACTTGAGGCAAGTCCAACGATGAACAGATTCGGAAATTGGTACAGCTCAACAACACGCAGAGGGTTGGTCCACGACCACAACTTCTTTGCCTTTTGACCCTTTGTAAGACCCTCGAGTTCGACGGCCTTCTTGTAGTGGATAGTCTCTGGTAGGAAGAAGCAGCATAGCACAGTTGCAAAGACAGCTAATCCAGTCTGCAGCCAGAAAATATCGCGCCAGCTCTTGTAAGTGACAATGATGCCGCCCAGTAGAGGACCCATGGCTATAGAATGTTAGATAAAGCAAGCTACCAAGATCAACGAAGACTTACCAGGTCCAATAAGTGTTCCCGAGAAGAACCAACTGAGGGCAGTGGCACGCTCTGTCGGACGATAGATATCGCCGATACAGGAACTACCAATGATGAGGAAAGAGGTTCCTTGGAATGCTGTCAAGATACGGAAGATGAAGAACGAAGCCAAGTTAGGAGCCAATGCAGTGCCAATCGAAAAGCCAGCGAACAAGATGGCACTGAGCAATTGAGTCCATCGTCTTCCATAGACTTGACCAACAGGCCCCCAGAACATCGGAGATAGTCCCATAAACAGCATGTATAGCGCGTTGCTAACGTTAATGAGGGTACCAGTGGTATTGTACGTTTCCGCGACCTCAGGCACAGCAGCAAGTACAGTTGTCGATGCCATTGGAGCCAAGAAAGAACAAAAGGCCAGAACGGAGACTATCCCGATCTTCTTGCCATGGGTAAATTTGTCGTATATCTCATCTCCAGACTCGCGGTATGGTATGTTGGGTATATCGTGTGCCGAGGCATGGCTTTGGATGTGTACCAGATCCAAGTCGGAGTTCCTTTGTTTCCCCTTCTCTAAGTCCACGCCTTGGGCATCCTCGTAGGGCTCTGGGACAGGTTCGACAGCGGGTTGTACTACTGGCTCTTCTGCCCGAGTTTCCGTTGCTGTCGCGTGCTTGTTGTCCGGCATGGTGGCGTTCAAGGTCGATTTGCCGATTGCGGGGGTGGCATTGAACAATTGGATAGAGAAAAAATTGGTAGTGATATAGAAGAGGGGCACTTTAAGACGTGATGTTCATCACAAAGAGAATATCAGATAGATTATAATGAGTCAAACGACATCATGGAGAGCCGACGGCCAGCCATGCCGAGAGGAATTGGAGCAGAATCTGAGATAGCAGGCCGAAAACCCGGCAAAGGCTCAGAGTCGCCGGATTGGTTGGCCGACCAATTAGAGAAAGTGCTTTTCCGCTAATCATGGAGGCGGACTTGCAAAATTCCGCGCCTTGTACCGAGATCGGCTCATGTGGAGAAGCAGAAACAGTCTTGATCGTGCATACTCGTACTGATTGTTCCTCTTTTGAGAGACTTGGGAGAAGTCAGACTATCTAGGATATCGCACTTGGTCCACTTGATTAGCATACATGTCCTTTTCGGTGCTAACGACGGCGTGTGGCCATAGAACCCGTAAGGTAGTTGGATATATCGACCGACAGAACACAGCGGATTAAGACTTTGGTGTGTCTTTGAACGACAAGAATGCGAGAATTGGCTGTTACAACACTGTCCGACGACTATTGTAAATTCCGAACACGTCAATATTTTCGCCGCATATTCGGGATCACGGAGAGGATCACAGCCAGGAGCGTGAAGCAAAGTTGGCAGTGGTAAATGGGAGAAGATGGCAAGCACGTGCGTGAAACAGGGTGACAGGGGCAGCCTCGGCATCATCAGGCTATCAAGGTTGTTGGCCGAGGGCGGCGATCGAGCAATACAAACCACTCAGTACTCGATGATCATGCCATCCATGTCAAGCACATCTCCGCACTTGGGATACTATAGATCATCATCGTCATATCCTTATACATAGCTTTGGATCCAGGAGGGCATTGAGAGTTTTGCGTGGCCACAGTCGATTTCCACAACATGGCCGACTCGGTTGGTTAGCATGGCTTGATCCCCTATACAAAATCTGCGGTCTACTAACGCGCTTCCACCAGATCGAGTGTTTGGACATGCGCTCAATACCGTCAACAAGATCCGCACAGGCTCGCAGAAGCCGCCCGTGAGCGAGCGTCTCCGCCTCTATGGCCTCTACAAGCAAGCAATGGAAGGCGATGTCGCATACGTGCAAGAACGCCCCATCAGCGACGACAAGAAAGAGCAGGACAAATGGGATGCCTGGGCCAGCAACTCTGGTCTGACGCGCACTCAGGCAAAGAGGCAATACATTGAAACGTTGATCAACACCATGCACGAGTACGCGAGCGCGACGCCAGAGGCCAGGGAACTGGTCGCAGAGCTCGAGTTTGTCTGGGACCAGGTGCGGAATAATTCGAATCCGAGTGGGAGCTCTGATGCTTCGAGTCCGTTGCGCGTGCTGCACGAGCAGCGCTCTAGTTATCCTGGCATGGTGTCCAGCTCTGCCGCCGCTTTCGCGGATGACGATGTCGCGTCACGTCCGCTGCGAATATTGAGCCCTGTCAGCCAGGCGGACGAGGATGAACTGCACGAAGAGCACGAGGAAGAGTTTGTTGACGCGCCGATAAGTCAATACGACGACACCGAGGATCCGGCACTGGATGCTGAAGAAGACGACGAGGACGACCAGTCTCCCACGCGAAGACTTCGCTCTGCGATATCAAACCCGCAGGACACACGATGGCGGAAACGTATAGAGTCAGCTCTGGTCAAGATGACGACCGAAGTCGCCGCTCTACGCGAACAACTAGAATCACGCAGCTACATTGCACAACGGAGGAAACACTCCCCACTAGCTTGGATACTACGAATTTCTTGGTTTCTGGTCAAGCTGGTCGCTGTGGACATGTTTATCCTCTGGCTTGTGTTACTCTATCTGCGCCGGAGGAAGGATAGAAGACTCGAGGGCGCTGTTAGAGTCTTGCTTGGTGACGCTGTTGCACAGATGCAGAAGGTGAGCAGTAAGGTCAAGGTGCCGACCTTGACAGGCAAGAAGAGCTAGCCTCTGAAAACTTCTTATCACGATTTCGACGAACACTTGTATCAATTTATTGATGAACTCATCGTGCCGAAATGGCATGCGCACAATCAAAGATCAAGGAACAATCGTTGTGAGAAATTGAATTTTTCGTAGTTTGCATTATGTGTCGTGATAGATAGCGATGTAAACGCTTAGTCCTCCTTGAAGGGGCATCCCTTTGCCGAACTCTCTGTTCTGGTCTTCTGCTCGACAATCTCTGCTGTGAGCTTCATGAGCCTGTCGGCCATAGCCATGTCTTGACCCTTCTCGCTGGGTGTCTCGTAGACCTTCTGAGGAGCAATGTAGTTGCCACCAGTATCGGCCATGGTACCTGCATACATGGCAGAAACACATCCTTCAAATTGGCTTTTGCGGAAGGGCTTGAGTCCGACCGACATGCCGTAGCCTAGAAGAGGGAATGCCTCGTGGATGTGAACGTTTGTCTGCGCTGTGTCGACGATACCAGGGTGGATGGCGTTGACGATGATGTTGGGGTGGGAAGTCTTGAGGTGTGCATTGAGCCACTTGGCGTACAGGAGGTTGGCCAGCTTGCTACGTCCATATTGCGGTTGAGGTCCGTAGTCCTTGTTGAGCTCCTCTACGGATGCGAACTCGGTCTCACTAGGTGCCTGGGCATGCAGGTTCGACGAAGTGTTGACGATGCGGACAGTGTTACCCTTGTCGGCGTGTTCCTTGATGGTCGGCAACAAGTGGCTGGTCAGCACAACGTGACCGAAATGGTTGCTGGCCATGTGGAGATCGATGCCATTCTTGTTCAGTTGTCTGGTCATGATGCCTCGGGCGGCATTGTTGAAAAGGATATCGATTCTGTCGGTCTGGGAGGCGATCTCTGCAGCAACCTTGCCAGTTTGTACCCAGTCGGAAAGATCGCATTGCTTCCAGATGAATTTTTTGCGAGCTTCGGGTCCAAATTCTTCCTCAATGGCGTTCAAGGCGTCATCAACAACCTCCTCTCTCAAGGACAAGACAAAGAGTTTGGAGATGTTGTGCGAAAGAAGAGTATGTGTAATACCAAAACCGATGCCTTCACTGCCACCTGTAACGACGGCAACCTATTTGATCGTGTTAGAGACATGCAATCTGTTGACTTTGCGAACATTTACCTTGCCGCTAAGGTCTGGCACCTCTTTCAGACTGAAGCTGTTCTCCGGGGAAGCAAGAGCATGGAAAGGACCTCCCAAGTTCTCCGAAATAGTGTTCTTGATGGTCTCCATTGTGATGTTAGGAATTTCGCTCATTGACAGGGATTATTGTTTGTTCAGTGAAGGGAGATGGGACACGGAAGCCCTTATAAGCAATAATACCCCTCATCAGAGCTCAAACCATGATGTCAACTCGTCACGAAGTAAGGTGGACCCGGGGACAGAAGCTTGGAGATCACCGATGTGCTTGAGTTATGGATGCTGATGCGGTCATCATGACTTCCTGAAGCTTGATTGGGCATATCTGATCGACATTCCATCTAATCACTGGGCAGTGGACCGGACCGTTATTCTGGGGTGCATCTTGAGCCGCAAACGACATTGCTTTTGATCTTCAACACATCAAGACCATGAGTGCAGAAGCGTTGTGACGGACAACGAGTAAGCCGAGCACCTACATGACTAACAAGCGGGCGTACGTGCATTTTGCTCACTCAGCCAGCGGAATATTGCTTCTGCGGTCTCGTTCGCCGTTGGATCTTTGCAGACGCAAAAACACCATGGATACTTAGATACGTAGAATTCGTGGCGTTGGCCTGGAAGGTCTGATTGTGTCAGCTGACTTGCAGTGTGGTATAATGTTAAGGAGCAGACAATGAATCAACCTCATGTCTCCGAGCCTGGGGAAGGTTTCACGCACGGCACCATCTCGAGTCACAGTGATCGTGTCTGCGCCAAGGTTCACCACTGGGTGGGAGCGAATTCTGGCTTTGGCCACAAATTGGGCTTGAGACGTGAACATGCCATTGTCATGTTGCGAGAGAGCCATAAGAGTTATCGTCTTGATCTATACCGAAGACTTTGGTTATGTGCTCTTCGACCATTTCGCAGGTACCTTTCTTCCATTCACGAGGGGCATCTGCTTTCCAATGCACAAACACACCACCCAAGGTGCAGGCAACATGTCTGATCTCGTCCCAGAGTTCGCGCTCGACATCCATCCCGAAGGTTTGGATAGTCTCATCTTTGTCGCCCCACAGTCGACGATGCTCGCCGGTTTTGTGGTTGATGGCAGGCCCATCTTGATTGAACAGTGTATTTGGGTCCATCTTTGGGAAGTTCGCGTGAACCGTGAACGGTAGTGCCTTGACCAGTGCAACAAAGTCGTCGACAGGATTAGACTGGAGCATGGCCACACCACGCAGCTCGCCACCCTCATCATATCCCAAAATTTTGACGGGTTCAGTTACTTGGTAGAACGAGGCATCCACTGCAACTGCACCTGCTAAGAATGTCTCTTTATCCCCTTCACCAGGGCCTCCTTGAGTGAGGAGAGGATAAAAGTGCGAAGGTCCGTAAAAGTTGTAATATGCAGCCGCCAACAGCGCTGCAGAATGGGTTCGTTTGGAAACAAGGACCTGACCCGACTCTGTCGAAGCTCGAACATTCGTTGATGGCACAGGCTTGCCCTGAATCTTATAAAACTTTTCCGAAGCCGACGATATCCAAAAGTCTGGCCATGTAACTAAGCCGCTTGATGTAAATGGCTCGGTCTTAAAGACATGGTCGACATTGTGTACCGGGAAGTTATCTGCATCAAGCAAGAGCACTTCTTCGAAGCTCGAGAACAACACTGAGAAAATCTTGTATTGGTATTTCTCGAGCTTGATTAGTCCAGACGGAAAAAAGTCATCCAAAACGACGCAGCGAGCATTAAGAGAGGGAAGCAACTCTTGGCACAAATAGTTGTCGCCACGTTCTTCATCGGCTCGCAAGAACAGTTCGACTGGTAGAACACTTCCAGAGCGTCTGAGCATGCGAAGGGAGACGATAAAGATTGGCAAGTGTGCCCCGCCTGCAGTAGACACTATGCCGCGAGATCCGGGTTTGCAAGGCAACGTCAAGTTGGATACCTCTTCGACCATATTTTGGTGTGCCAATCGCATGCCCTCAACCTGCTGAGAGCTGATTGGCACATAGTCCGGCCTTTTCAATGACTTGTGCTTGTTATCATGAAAGCCGATAGCGGGAACACTGTTGGTCTTAGTCAAAGATGATACAGGTGGCTTGGTGTCCTTGAGGATCCGGACTAGTTTGCGACTGAAATGAATGTAAGCATCCCCATCTTCGGGCTCAGAGGATTTCCAGCCAAGGATGCTTGCAGCATTCCTGCGACATTCGTCAGCTTTGCGCACTCAACACTCAAAAGTAATACGAGTACTCACGATTCTATCGTCGCTGGTGCCGCTGAGAAGTCTCCGCCAAGGACAAACTTCCAAACAAGAACTATGAGGCAGGCAATCGCGAAGGCCCTCCGGAAACGTGCAGGAAAGCGTATCATCCTTCGCCGCTACAGAAGCTCGGCCTCCCCGTTCGAAAGGCCGCGTCGATGTCCAGGAAGATTGAGTCCAAGACTTTGAGCAAATGTATGCGTCTATGCCATGTCGGACAAGGTGTTGCACAGTTGGCGATCAATCCAGCCAGGCTGTCTAGGTTCTACCCCCGAACGCCGCCGTTTGGTTGAATTTTGAGTTGACGCGGCCGCCAGCGTTATGCGGGGGTTTTGCACTTCGCGCTTGAAGTGGGGCTCGGTAGGTTGGTCCGGACGCCGAGCAATGCCGGATGGCCCTCGAGCTTTCGTCTACCAACCTATCACTTTATTTTGCAACCGTACACTCCGTATCGCTGGAGCTAAAGCATTTCCAACGTCTGCATCCTTGAAGACCTGCTTCTTGATTCGATCGTCCAGTAAAACCCTGGGTAGCCTAACAGTTTGTCTCAAATCGCAAGAGTTTTCTAGAATGTTGAAGAGTATCGCCGACGCGAAGCTGCCCTGGCCAGTACACATGAACAGAATGTTCCCGAATATGTTGCTAGATGCCTATCGAACATGCAAGAACTTGCCAGCTGGTTTTTCATTCATTGTTCTGTCAGAATAGTTCCAAGCGATACTCGGCCTTCTGCAACTTGGACTGAGAATCGTCAGAAGTGCCATCGCATCGCGATCGTGAAGATGAGGATTCGACGGTCAAGTCGGAAATCTCGTGCTTTCTCTTAGCTGTATCGAGTACCGCGTCGTTGGCAAGACACTCAGGTCTTTGTATCCGGGTGGCTCGGCTCTGGGTCCTAGCTCTCTGTGCCTCCAATCCAGGCATGCAGTGAACATGCGTGCTCGAGGGACACTCGTTAATCCTTGCCCTAGATTACCGATCGTCTCCGGACCATCCACCCTGTTGCATAGCAATCATGTGTGGGTTGAGAGTTGAGATCGAGGATACACAGGAAACAGTAGTCCATGTATTTATTTTGCCCTGGTCATGGTGCTTTGTTCGCTTTCCAACCCTGGTGTGGATCGTCGTTCTCGCTCAAACCTGCTCTCTCGACCTCGTGGAGGACAGCTTGGCGTAGAACACACAAGGTCGAGCAAGAGCTTAAGCTCCAAATATGTAGCTAATCGCCCATGCCTGGCTCAGCCCCTAGTGTTTCGCCAAGTTGGAGAACAGAGTCTCTGGGTACAAGTTACCTTGTCCTCCCCTCCTTCCATACCCCTCGATTTCAACAAGGCTTACTATGCATACCCGAGCTCCTCCAGACTTATTACTGTCAACCTCTGAAAGTTTCCATTGATAATCAGCTTGCTATTCCTGGCAAGCAACTCGGTACCGCATACTTGTTGAGCTTCCGTTCCCTCCCACTGGAATTCGGAACTTCAAAGCTCCCTGATAAGCTCTAGATGGCCCAATTTATAAACCATCAACATCGCAACAACTTCCCAGGAGCTCCCCCAAACAATATGGATATCCCATATCAAGCCCTTTTTCAACCCGTCGACGAAACTCAGAACATGCAATCACTGTTCGTAGAGCCCCAGCCGCAGCCCCAATATTATGGATTCCCTCTACCAACTGGAAGTTCTCTGGACTCAGGATATGCGGGCGAAGACATCAACCCTTTCGAAGACAACGTCTTTGGTCCAGACATCAAGATGGGTTTTGGGCAACAACTTAACTCAACAACTCCCAATTTTGGAACATACGGCTACACTGCCAACGATCAACTGGCTAGCGGCCCCGATCTAAACTACATGCCAGTTGCTTTCAACGCACCATTCACTCACAACTACAGCTCTCTGAAGCAGAGCAGCAACGTTTCTCAGAGCCCACCGGCCTTGGTCGCGGATGATTCAATTAGTGTGAAGAGTGAAGACGCCTCGTCGGACGCAGCCTCGCCAGAAGCGACGACTTTCCCAGTCGACCAACAGAGCAGGAAATGTCCGGGCACGCTCAAACGAGCGGCGACAGATACATCGCTGGAAAACCAGCCTGCCAGTATACAGCGCCAGCCCGCCAAAGAAGGTCGTGGACGTACCCGGAAGCGTATCCCACACACTGCGGTCGAGCGTCGATATCGTGAAAATCTTAATACACAACTGGAGAACTTGCGATGTGCATTGCCGAAGCTACAGGCGGCTCATCGTCGCCGACCGAGTGACCCTAACGATCCGATGAAGCCGAGCAAGTGCGAGATACTCATAGGCGCTGTGGAACACATCAAACGTTTGGAAGAGCAAGTAAAGGAATTGAAGAAGAAACTGGGCGAATGAGAAGAGGAGAAGCGCGATGTCAGTATGATAACGAGAGATGTAATAGTCTGGGTCTTTGTTGCGTTTGTGCGCACTCGATTGGGTGGGTCGAGGGATATAGAGAGGACATATTTCCTTGGTACTGATGAGGTATGTAGGCGTTTGAGTCAGGACACGGGATGTGATTTATGGGAGGCTGTACTCTATTAGACAAATAGTAATTATCACACATTCTCTGACCGATTGTGAGCGATGTGAAGACGACTGTCGGTCTCGATTGAGAGAATAAGATGACATGAATATGGACAGACCCCTCGGCTGAAATCGAGGTGTTTGTTGGTACGTGCACGTCATTGCTCATCAGCCATGTTTCCTTGAACCCTTGAATCGTCAAGGTTGCCAGCCGACCAAAAGTTGCAAACACGAGCCGACCCCCTTTCATCATGAATTTGAAACGACAGACTTGACGAGAGGATTACACACATACCGTTGAAGTGGTGCAGCATGGCAGATTCCATCCCGCCTGAGTTGGCGGCAGCTTTGCTGAAATGGGTACGACGGCCTTTGGCCAAACATGCTATGGCTAGCTGACACGGCCAGATACAAGCATTCCATACGACGAGGAAGGTCGAAGGCTGGGAGGACCTGCAAGACGGCCAAGTACTATGGGACATCCTACAGGACATCGACCCCGGCTACTTCCAAGATGACCTTCCAGAATCGCTTGCCAAAACACAAGATCACTGGATACCGCGATGGCAGAACCGTGGGACTCGTCCATGACCTCGAGACTATCCACGGGGAGCTAACAGAGACATAGTCAAACACGTCAATCGTCTTGTCACATCCTACATACGAGATTCAAGCGGCTCTATCGAGAATCCCACAGGCAGCCATGATCCAGACCTTAAGGCTATTGCTATGGATGCCAGCGCAAAGGACACCATCATGGTAGATTACCACCACACGATCCCTCTCCACCAGGTAGTCGACTGACCATCGCATCCATAGCTACTCAAGACGATGCTCCGCGCCGCCATGTACTCGCCCGAATCGAACCAGAGAATGGGTCGCTTGATTGTCGGCCTCGGCCCCGAAGTTGCCGTGATCATTGCTGCTGCCATCAAGGAAATGGAAGACACCGATACATTGCAGACAGATGTCGCAGATAGATCCGAGTACGAAACCACTCCCGAAACATCTACCCCGGCCGAGCCTTTATCAGAGAAGCCTGCTGTGACCAAGCCTGCGACCGGTCGTCTCTCCTTTGGCACCTCTGGACAACGAGATCCTGAGTTGGAACAAGAGGAGAAGCTCATCCAGGCATACAAGGCTATCAAAGACTTGGAGAACAACAATGCAAAGGCCGTGACCGAGTTGGAAGAGCTGCGACAAGACAAGGAGGAGCTGCAGCAAGCCTTTGACGCCTTCAAGTACGAAGTTGAAAACCAAGGTCGCAAGGCTGCCGAAAATGATGACTTGAAGGAGATGCAGCTCAAGACAGAAAGAGACCGGGACTATATCGCCGAGCTAGAAGCAGAGCTTGAGACATTGAGAGACAAGTCACAGGCCCAGGAACGTCAGATTGAGCGATACAAGACAGACACGGACGCGAAGCAGAAGTTGAGAGATGATATGCAACTTCTCCGCGCCGAAAGAGACGACCTGCTTCAGAAAACACGCATGAACGAGAACCTCAAGAAAAAGATCCAAGCATTGCAGGATCAGGAGAAGACGAGCTCCATCTTGAGAGAAGACCTACGCACGGCCAACGACAGGTTGCAAGACTTGGATCGCCTGAAAGAGCAGTGTGCTGCCCTACAAAAAGCCAATGCTGAGAATCTGAAACTTATTGCAAACGGGGAGCAAGAGATATTCGATCAAAAAACGACCCGTAAACGCATAGAGCACGAGTTCAAGGTCCTCACACAGAAGTGGGAAGCGGCCAAGGAGAGACAAGTCAAGGATCACGAGAGCATCACAGAGCTCGAGAACAAGTTACAGACACTCGAAATTGGAGGATCGAGCACAAATGTCACAAGCGGTGGACTCGATGGCGAGCTTGAGGCCTCCGAGAAAGCCAGGGCTGAGAGGGCAATGGCCAGAAGTCAGACCGACGCCACACCTTCTGCTGACGCCGCCATTCTCCAACAAAAGCTCGATTCCATCACTGTACGTAACAACAAACTAGAGACCGAATATCTGGACATCTTGCAAGACAAGCTCGGTCTAGAAACGGCTCTCCAAGATATGCGCGAGCCAACCCGAGAGCCAGAGGAGAACGTTCCTTTCCTGGAACAACGCAAGAAGCTGCAGGCAGCGCAGGCCGAGATTCAGGAAATGCGTAATCAGCAATTCGGCTCGAATACCGAGATGGCAAGCATCAAGGAGAGACTCATGGCTGTACAGAAGCAGCTTACTGACAAGGACGTGCACCTGGACAGCGATGCAGAGTATCAAACTTTGACCGACAGGTATTCGGAACTGCACAAGCACAGCGAAGGCGTCGAAGCCGAGTTGGCCGAACAGCGCGCATTGCTGAGACATGCTCTACTCAATGCTGGACAGTTGCTGAAGGAGTCGACCGAGTCACGCAACGAAAACGAGTACAAGCTGCTCCTACAGCAGCTACAGACAGTCAGAGACGCACCAGACGACGACGAACTTCTCGAGTCCACTGCGGCGCAACTCGCGGATCGTATGGAGCAAGCACGTTACGACACCACTGCTGCAAACAAGGTATGTCACCCGCTCAACCTATCCACCTTCGGATCTACTAACACTCCTTCCTCTAGCTTGCCGAAGACCGAGCAACCGAGATTGTAACACTCAAGAAACAGGCTGGCTCGGGTGCGGCAACGTCGGCTTCGAGTAATGTGCCCTCGGCAGAGTACGCAGCCCTGCAGCGCGAAAACAAGCTCATGACATCTGCATGGTTCGACCTCAGCAGCAGGCTGCAGAGCAATACCGTGATGCTGGGTAGACGTAAGGAGAGCCCTAGAAGCTTTTTGGGCAAGCAGCGACAACTGGTGACTCCTGGGTTGGTCGCTGGACAGGTAAGATGACATGATGCTATTGTGGACGCTTTATTTACTGACAGTCAAACAGCATCGTCGCTAGTTGATTGATTGAGAGATATTTTCTTATAGAGTAATACCCACACAGCAACATTAGAGCGACAGAGAAGAATTAGACCTATACGACTATGCCATATTCCGGATATAACAAAAGCAACAGCGATGTGGGCAATTGCATTTCATCGATGGTAGTCTTGATGACACGTTTCGATATATTGAGACGGTTTGACTGGCTCATCATCGGATCCTGAATCTGGCCAACCAGATTCAACCCTTACAAGCTAAGGTGATGTGGTGTAGTGGTAGCATGTGTCGTTGTGGAGGTTAAATTCCAGCAACGCCGACCCGACGGCGGTTCGATTCCGCCCATTGCCAGGATCTTGCTTTTTGCTTATTCCTGTTACTGTTACCGCCTACTTGCGTGCACCATATTCAGAAGCATATGTTTTGTTTGCAGCATGGAGAGAGCTGGAGAGCATTGGTTATATGTGACGGTGAGACGGGTGTGAGAAGATAATATGTCTATCGTGTTTCATTACAACAAGTTAATTCTATTCATCAATGTATTGAGTTACAAGTGGCCGACTCTATCTGACACCTATACTCTGCTTGGGACCAAAGCGATCTTCTGGATTCCAGGTCTCTTCGGCTTTGGTACCCGGTGCCAGCCATGAGCCAGGCGATGCATTACTTGATGCCCTTGCACGCATACTGTGCTCAGCGCCATTCGGTAAACCATAGCCTCCTCCGTTAGAAGCTGGATAGCCATTGGCAGGAAATTGCGAGTGGAAATTTGCATCCGACTTCTTATTATCGCCGCTGACCAAGGGGAGCAAGGTGTCTTTGCTTTCTTGCATTTCGCGAGCACGCTTGTCTGCTTTTGCAGCATCGCTGGTGCGGTCGTAGAGGTAGAGTCCGATGATCGTGAGGCCAATGCCAAAGGCTTGGATGTTTGTCATCTTGTTGCCGAACCAGATGATCGCAAAGACAATGACAAAGACACGCTTGAACAGACTGGCGACACTGTAAGTCACTGGAGAGACCAGTCCCAGCAAGACAAAGGCGACGAGATTTTGGCCAAAGTGGAAGGATCCGTTGAAGATGAACTCGAGACCCAGACGTGCGTGGTCGAGGGATCCAGGACGCTCGGTCAATTCGATAGACGCATCAGCAAGGAAATCGGCGATCATTGAGAAGCCTTCTGACCAGAGCCAAATAGGCAGGGTGAAGAAGAAGGCAAGACCGGAAGAATAGCACAAGAGATTGAGCTTGTCGGGCTTTTTGTTGCGTATGCTGATGCCATCGGCCTCTGCTTTGGCAGCCTCGTTGAAGAGCTTCTTGGACACAATGTTCTGGGTGACGAATAGTAGAGCACTGCCAAAGGCATACACAAGGCCTAAGAAGTTTGCTTTGAAGCTAGCGGAGCAGGCCATGACGACACCCAGTGTGAGAGGTACGAGCGACATGTAAGTTGCGTATGAGTATCGGACACCAAAGACAAAGCGGTAGGCGAGAACTGTGAGCAAAGGCGACAGACCCTTGATTGTATGGACGAGCGATACGGGTATGCGACTCATGGCATCAGAGCTAAGGATGTGACCACCGATTTGAAAGGCGGTCAATGGAAGAGTTGTCATGATGAGCTCGCGGGAAGGTTTGCGGATTCCATGGCGTAGTACGGGCATTGAGTTCCGGAGAGGAGGGTGGATGCGAGCAGCCCATGACAGTAACAGACACCACGAACATACAAACATGAATTGAATCAAGGTCAAGGTCACGGGCTTGGGCAAGGCGGTCAGGATGGCCTTGGACGACGTGTTTGACATGATGGAGGTCGTGTACCAGATGGCACACAGGGTCTTTTACCAACGAGTAAGCATGAGTATGCGGTTGTATTTGGGCTGCAACGTACAATAAGCCTTCCCGACACAGGGGCCTTGAGAGCTTCGGCTATCTCGTGTGCATTCTGGCTGACGCTGCCCTTTCTACCTCGAACCGTTCGAATCGCCTCGCTCAAGCTCTTTTGTCTTCCATGTCGGCCCACCGCGCTACCACCGTTGGGTGTCCATCCATTCGTAGTGCGTGAGTCCTTGCGCGCCTGCCATCGTTCATGACTGTGCAGGTGGTTCGGGAGTCCCAGAGGCTGGGGCATGGGCGACGCTGGGTTCGAGTCAATGACCTCCTGTGTCGTCTGCAGCATTTCCTCTGACAGATCCGGGAATTTAAATGTCGCTGGCGACGGCGACGTTGAGGACCGCCGGTCAAAATGCGACGTCGACATGGCTGCAAGAGCGATGAAGGGTTATGGATGTGCGTGGCTTCGGGATGAATTGACTGAGATTAATCCATGGAGAGCAATCAGATTATGTGCGCTTTCAACTCTCCGATATGAGTCTCATCAAGGCAATTAATGACAGCTTGCCAGGGACCGCTTGGTAGAGGTGCTTCATCTTCGCTGCCGTCATCCGGTAAATTCCGTCTCCGTATCTGAAGCCTCCAGCTCCCCTTCTCCAAATCGTTGAAATGAAACTCGCCCTTTTCACCAACGGGTCATGTTGTAGAGATGAAGCTCGCTACTCTGTTTTTAAACGCTCTTCAGACTGCTCAAAAGCCTGCAATTGTACCTGTGCAACCAGCTTCATGTTCTCTCGGCTTCTCCACGTCATGGGAAATCTTAGGCCCCTTCCAAGTGGGCACGCGAGGCACGATGCATCCATCACCATTGGATGCATTAAACACTGATTCCGTGATGCAGAAGCAACATGGGGCGCTGATCCGCTCGAGTTCTATGGTGGCTTTCGCAATCTAGAATACGACCAGGAAGCAAAGTTCCCGAGCTCTCTTGCTCCAAATGCAACTGTCTCCTGGTTTACCGTCGAAGCCCAACAGTCATCTTGCGATACTCTATCCGCTCAGCTTGCTCTGTCTGTAGCGTTTCCCAACGTTGACCTGGAATCCCTCCAGCGCATATATGGTTGGGCCGCTCTTCAGTACCAGGGCTGGGCTCGAGGTCTCCTGCACGTAAATGGGCCGCAGTCTCAAACCCTGACACTCGCAACAGATAATCTGCTCGAGTTCTATCTCGACGGCGTTCATCATTTTGGTGGTGACTACTATGCTTTTCGGAAAGCCCCGATTGTGTTGCATCTAGAGCCAGGTGAGCACATCATTGACTTACGGCTTGTCCGCGATGTGCGAGCCATGGGTGGCGTAGGTTCTCCAACGATCGACTTTCAGCTCGAAGCAAGAGCTTCCACTAAGGATCTTCACATTGCTAACAACAATATTATCATGCCTGACATGGTCGGTGGGCGATTGGCAAGCATGCTTGGATCTATTCAAGTCCGCAACGACCATGTTCATGACATTGAAGTCCTCGGAGTCACAGCAAACGATAGTTCATACTTCGTTTGGCTCTTACAGCCTGAAAATTTCCGGGTGGTTTCTGGACAAACAAGGCATGTCTCGGTGGCTATTTCGTGTGAGAGTAATTGCAGTCCATACCTTGGTATCGACATAGAGTATAGAGTTGGTGGAAAACCCCGCTCTCCAGTTTCTGTGCTGCATGTCGACTATAAATTTACCCAGCCAGAGCTCCACAAGCCCCTGAAGGTGACATTGTATCATCCTGGAGGGATGGTATCTTATGCAATCCTGAGGCCCCCACCAATGAACGTCACCTGTCCTCTAGACTCGGAGGGCTCACTACCAGTGCTTCTTCAACTACACGGTGCTGGTGTAGAGGCTGACAACGACATTGTGAGGCATGCTCTAGATCCGCTGTCCGACCTCTGTGCATGGGCACTCTTCCCTACTGGATCTACACCTTGGAGTGGTGATGACTGGCATGTTTGGGGCTTTGCAGATGTAGAGGCAGCAGTCAGGGCGATACCTGGATGGATTGAAAGCATTGGGTGGACAGGACCTGGGGTGAACACAAAGCGATGGCTCGTCAGTGGCCATTCCAATGGAGGCGAGTGCACATGTGAAGCTTCTACACGATGTACACTAACATGCTCCAGGACAAGGAACTTGGTACGCTCTAACGCATCGTCCTGACAAAATCTTCGCAGCCGCCCCTATCTCTGGCTATTCCTCGATTCAAAGTGAGTCAGTCACTCCATCCGCAATTAGTTCAGAGCTAATAACGTAGACTACGTACCATACGACCTGTGGCAACCGATGTCTCCGTCCGTACGCGCGCTGCTCGATGCGTCTTTGAGCAGTTACCGCCACGAAACGTTGCTAGAGAACGTGAAAGGCATTCACATCCAGCAGCAGCATGGAAGCATCGACGACAATGTTCCAGTCTTTCATTCGCGATTGATGAGTCAACTGATCAAGCAAGCAGGTGCAAACTCGTCGTACACTGAGCTTCCAAATAAGAATCACTGGTTTGACGGCATCATGACAACGGAAACATTAAGCCAATTCTTCAAGCAGGAACTGAACGGCTTCGCACGACCCCTGCGTACTCCTGAAGCTTTTACACTTGCAGTTGCAAATCCGGCAGACTCGGGCCCAAAGTTTGGAGTGGAGATCCTTCATTTGCGTCGTCCAGGCCAGCTTGGGAAGATCCATGTCTCTCTCTCCTCATCGGTGTGTTTCATCCAGAGCTCGAATGTACTCAGCTTGCGTTTACCCAAGATCTGTCCACGAACGCATGATGTCGTGGTTGACGGTCAGAAGATAAGTCTGCCCGTTGACTCTGAGAAGAGCGATCTGTGGCTCCTCCCTGACGGCACCTGGAAGGTAATTGTCCCGTGAGCTCCGTGTTTGACACAACAATGCTGACCAGTAAAAGGTCCTTTCAGAGCACCGGTCACCGGCATTACGGCATAGGAACCAGCTAGGCGGCATGGATGCTTTGTTCCGTACTCAGAACACTCTGCAGATTGTCAGCCACTCTCAGCAGGCTCGACGTGTTGCACTACAGATGTCTCGCAACCTTTGTCAATATCTCGGTGCCGATACAGAAGTTCTGGATTCTGGAAACGAACCATCAAGGCAATATAGCAACATCATTCGAGTCCTCATTTCTAGCGATCCACCCGCCAGTCACCTTGGGCAATTCGCCCTCCAAGTGGACGCTTCCAGTGGCATAAGCATACGGACGACAGATGGCCATATGAGGTATCCCAGCTCAGCAGGTCTTGGTGCAATATTCTTGAGGCCGTTGCCTGAAGGAGCGGTGGAGTTGGTGGTATGGGGCCATGATGCAGTCGGCTTGGACGTTGCGTCGCGCCTTGTCCCCATGCTCCCCGGAGTTGGGCAACCAGACTTTGTCGTAGCAGACAAGAAGATGCTTCAGATGGGTGCGGGTGGTGTCCTGGCAATGGGGTCCTTTGACCATCTATGGAACGTGACGGGAAATTCCTACTTTACTTGAGATGGTAGATGATTGAACAACATTGTCGCTGGACCCAGCCGGGTTTAACGACAATACCTCCATCGGTCAAACTCTGCCGTCAGCTTCGTCACTCCAGTGGTGCCGTTTGAATCTGAATGATGTAGACATTGCGAGTGGAGCGTGCGCACGGACGCTGTCGAGCATCTGGTCACTCTTTGGGAAGGCATCCTCGAGCTTTACTACCCACTTCCCACTCCACGATTCCAACCACCTTCTTTGATATTCGAACCTCGCGCACTCTTTTGACCTAACCTTCGTCGCTCCTTCATCCCCTAATTGCAATTGGACGATCTCTAATTGCAAACGCCGCGCCGACATCCTTCTTGTCTGCGCACGATTCCTGGTCTGCTCTTACCACAGCATCCCTTCAAGTAAGCCTCGTCGTCTCTTCTTTGGCGATCTCTGCGTCGTGCACCTCTTCTCTACCCGCCTTCCACCCTCTCCCATCCTCTCCCGTCTTCCAACGATAGCTGGAACCATCATGGCTTCTTTGAGCCTTGACGGATCACCTACTCCTCGCAAGAAGACTCCCCTCAACTTCTTCCTTCACGACGAGGACTCTTTCGACGACGAAAATACTCATATTTCTGCCCGTGCTGTAGGTCTTGAATCTGTAATCATGTTCCATCCATTCGACTTAACTTTCCGTCAGCAGCCCGTCAAGCGCGACACCAACACTGCCGTCTCGGACACTGTGCCTCTCACCACTTCTCGCTTTACCAACCAGATGCCTCCCCCTCCTCCCACCACTCGCAACTCGTCCTACAAGGTAAGTCCTTCCCAACACGTTGACCGTGTCATCTATCTTGCAGCACGCTGACCGACGTCTCCATCAACAGGGTCAAGTCGGTATGCCCGCCATGTCAGTGTCTACCATGTCGATGCCACCCAATGTTCTCGGCACCACTCAGGCTGCTCCCGCTCGTAACGTGCACCTCGACGAACTCTTGGGCAAGCTTGCCGAGCAGCAAGCCATTCTCAACAAGCAGAACACCGCTCTCCAGGCGCAGCAAGGTGGTGAGACATCTCCCGACTCGTCCGGCTCTGGTGCCCTTACCAACCCTTACGCCACAACCCCTCGCACTGATTCTCAGTTCAATGACATCCCTCAGGCTGATCTTGCCGAGATGTTGCGTTTAAAGAAGGAGCTTGAGACTGCTCAGACTCAGATTGCCCGCATGGACCAGGAGTTGTCTCAGTCCCGCATCACAAAGCACACACTCGAACAAGCTATGGGCTCCCAGTTTGACTCGGAGTTTGATCACATCCGTGATCTCCGTCCCCAGGGCATTGCTACTCGTGTCGACAACTGGGTTCAGTCAACTGAGTTGGGTGGTCCCTCCATGAACTCCAATCCTGGCATCAACGCCAACCACATGGCACCAGCTACTGCCCGTGGTATCTGGGGTGCAGGATCTACTTTCGGCCCTGGTGGTCCCGGTGGTCCTGGTATTACTAGTCAAGCACCCAACAGCACTAACAACTGGCCTCTGACCGACCCTCGTGTCATGGCTGGCAGCAATGCCAACATGTACCCTGTCGGTCCTATCGCCCGTGGCTGTCCTCCTGCTCTACGCATCGACACAAGTGCAATGAGCCCTTACTTGAGTGAGCCCTCTTCTGCAGACTTGTCCATGCGCAACGCTCACAGTCGTCCGCACTCGGCTTTCGGCAACCACCTACACCCTTGGGGCCAGTTCAGCCCTAGCATCAACGCCGGCGACCAGACCGGCCTCACTCCTCCATTGACGCCTCTCTCTTTCCAGTCAATGCAAAACATGCACAACATTGCCGGAATGCCTCACCCTATGTCTGACCGCGCCATGATGAACAACATGTCTTTCGGTACCAGATCCAACGGCACCAGACTGTCCCCTACCGCTGCCGAATTCCAGGCCGGCGGCTACGGTAACCCCGGCTGGAACATGAGCCAACAGGTAAGTTTTTCCATTACTCTGCGCCGTCTGCGCAGTCGCGTTGTCAATCTGCGCACCGACTAATCACGCGCAGGCCCTGTCTGAGCCCGGAAGCTACCTTACCAACGCCGAACCCATGAACTACCGCCGTCTCTTGGACCGCAACATGAGTTGCAACTGGAAGTACATTGTCGACAAGATCGTCCAGAGCAACGACCAGCAAGCTTCCATCTTCCTTCAGCAAAAGCTCAAGGTTGGCACTCAGGAGCAGAAGTACGAGATCGTCCAGGCCATTATTGACCAGGCTTACCCCCTCATGATCAACCGCTTCGGCAACTTCTTGGTCCAGCGCTGCTTCGAGCACGGTAACCCCGAGCAGATCATCGCCATTGCCCGCGCTATCCGCGGCAACACCCTCAACCTCAGCATGGACCCCTTTGGCTGCCATGTTGTCCAGAAGGCTTTCGACAGCGTTCCCGAGGAGTACAAGGCTATCATGGTCCATGAGCTCCTGCGCCGTATTCCCGAGACTGTCATCCACCGCTATGCCTGCCACGTCTGGCAGAAGCTGTTTGAGCTCCGCTGGAGCGGCACCCCTCCCCAGATCATGAAGTATGTCAACGAGGCTCTTCACGGCATGTGGCATGAGGTTGCCCTCGGCGAGACCGGTAGTCTTGTCGTCCAGAACATCTTCGAGAATTGCCTTGAGGATGACAAGCGTCCTTGCATCAACGAGGTCCTCGCCAGCATCGACGTGATTGCCCATGGTCAGTTCGGCAACTGGTGCATCCAGCACATCTGCGAGCATGGCGCCATCACTGATCGTAACCACGCCATTGACCACGTCCTTCGCTTTTCCACCGAATACAGTATGGACCAATTCGCCAGCAAGGTTGTCGAGAAGTGCCTCAAGATTGGCGGTGTCGACTTCCTTGACCGTTACCTTGACCGTGTCTGCGAGGCTCGCGCCGATCGCCCTCGCATGCCCCTCATCGACAGTAAGTGTACATTTCCTCGTCTCACTCCAGCTCATGCTAATCAAGACAGTCTCTGGCGATCAGTTCGGAAACTACTTGATCCAGTACATTCTCACCCACGCCGACCCTCAGCGTCGTGAGATTGTGGCTACCCACATTCGCAAGCACATGGTTTCCCTCCGCGGCTCCAAGTACGGCTCCCGTGTAGCCATGCTGTGCTGCAACCCTGCCGTTGCTACTCGTCCCGGTCCTCCTACTGGCATCCCCATGGGCCGCAACGCTGGCAACTTCGGCGAGCGCCCCTACAACGGTGCTCGTGGCTTCCCTTACGGTGGAGCCTACCGCTAGAGGTCCAGTGGCAAAGATAGTTCAGCGCTCGCCAATCTTGTGATTTCTCGACCAAGATTGTGGCGGGTGCACAACAAATATCTTCACACCATACTTCATGTCTCACTACCTAGGCTCTCATGCTCATCGGTTCTTGTCGCATGAGAATTGCTGGCACGACACATGAGCTGGCTGCATACATTCAGAATATTATTGCACGTTTGACAGTTGATGCGGAGGAAGCATCATTGTCTAGCTCCAGCATGTTAGAATTTTTTCATTTACACACTCGTTCTCAGGGAGGCATCTGTCATGTCGAAGTTCTTCGCCGTCTATCAAAAGAAAAGGAGGAAGCTCGCTTTTGGCGCAAGCCTTTTGGATGGATCGGAAGCATCTTGTATCTTTCGATAGCATCAACATGTCAGCAGCAGGAGATAACGGCACGAAAAGGGCGACAAAAAAGAGCAGAGGGGGGATTTCCAGTTTCGAGACTCTCGTTGATATTTTCTTTTTTTCCTATGTTTTTTTCTATGCAAGCAGGGGATGTAATGGGCGGAAGCTGAGAGTTGGCGGTCTAACGGGAGCAAGCAAAGAGGGCGTAATGTGACGAGGAGCGCGGCTCAAACTGAACTAGCATCGATATAGAAGCGAAAAGACTTGATTGACACGAGAAGTTGTTCCTGGTGCAGAAAAGGAGATGGATGTTTTGATGTGGTTGCATGTTTTAGTTGTTTGTTTATCCTCGGAGCGTGATGATGTCAGGGTGGCTGGGGGGTTAAGGTCAAGCTTTCAACACAACGTAGCCGGTCACGTAGCAGATGCATGTTTAAGCGGAAGCCAATCAAGAATCAAGGAAGCCGACGAAGACGATGGCCTCGCTCACACCTGTAATACAAAGCGACCGACGACGTCCCTACTCTCCCGTGCACTCGCCCTCGGCCCCGGTAATCATGACAGCGGCTAACGGCCACTTTGCCAGTGTCGGCGACGACGGCGACACGCAGTCGTTTGAGCACGGCATCCAAGTCATTGACGAGAACAAGACATTCAACGCGAAGCTACCGGCATACCTCGACGTGCAGCATGTCTTGCGCCAGGGCTTCAACTACCACCTCATCTCCGTCTTTGGCAGTCAGAGCACGGGAAAGAGCACGCTGCTCAACCACCTGTTCGGCACCCACTTCGGTGTCATGTCAGAGTCGGAGCGTCGCCAAACCACAAAGGGAATCTGGATGAGCAAGAACAAGCGCGACCAGGCCGAGGGAGGCGCTATCAAGATGGCCGAGAACATCCTGGTCATGGACGTCGAGGGTACCGACGGTCGCGAGCGTGGAGAGGACCAGGACTTTGAGCGCAAGAGCGCCCTGTTCGCCCTGGCCACCAGTGAGGTCCTGATCGTCAACATCTGGGAACACCAAGTTGGTCTGTACCAGGGTGCCAACATGGGCCTGCTCAAGACGGTCTTTGAAGTCAACCTGCAGCTCTTCCTCAAGGACAACAAGTACGCACATGCCCAACCCCTTTCTTTGCCATCGTTCCAGCCTTCTAACCCTTTCCTACAGCTCAACACCTCGCTCACTCCTATTCTTCGTCATTCGCGACCACATCGGCACCACTCCCCTGTCCAACCTACGTCAGACTCTCCTCGCCGATCTCACGCGCATCTGGTCCACCTTGTCAAAGCCCCCGGGTCTCGAGAACTCCAAGATTGAAGACTACTTCGACTTCGCCTTCACCGCGCTACCTCACAAGATCCTCCAGCCCGAACAATTTGTCGAGTCCGTGGCCAAGTTGGGCTCGCGCTTCCGCGAAGGTCAGAAGAGTTCTAGGACAAACCCTTTCTCCGACGAGCAGGCGGAGCCCATCCTGCTCCCCGAATACCACCGCAGAATCCCTGCCGATGGTTTCTCCATGTACGCCGGCAACATTTGGGAGCAAATCGACAGCAACAAAGATCTCGATCTACCCACCCAGCAAGAGCTTTTGGCACAATTCAGATGCGACGAAATCGCTCGTGAAGTGCTCGTTGCCTTTGACGACGTCATCACACCGCTCGAGTCCAAGCAGGTGGATGCTGCCAAGGCTGGAGCTCCAAGTATCCTCGCTGGTCTCGGCAAGGCTATGAACGTGGCGCGCGCAAAGGTCCTCAAAGACTTCACCAGTGAAGCAAGCAGGTACCACCAGGGCGTCTATAAGCGCAAGAGTGCCGAACTCGAGACAAGCGTCGATGCAAGACTCAAGGCTCTCTTCCAGGGCCAGCTCTCCGCCGCTCACAAGACCGGTGTCCACCAATTCACCGAGTCCATCTCGACGGCAGTCAAGTCTGGTCAGAAGAAGGGTAGCAATTATGACTTCCAAAAGATTGTCAATGCTGAGAAGCAGAAGGCTATTGGAAAGTACGAGGAGGAGGCAACAGGCCTTGTCATTGAAGGTGCCTCCTGGAGCAACTACCAGCAAGAGCTGGATCTCTACCGCAAAGATCTCGACGAAGCCAGTGCTCGTCTGCGCAAGGACGAGATGCGCCGCCTCGCCTCCCGCGTAGAGCGCTGGGTCCGTTCTCATCTCGGCGAGTCCATCGGTGTACAATTTAACAAACTTGGTTCTGGTCGTGGCGGCTCCGGCGCACCCGAGACCGGCGAGAGAGGTTCAATTGAAAAAGATCTCTGGGATCGCATCTGGCTCGTCTTTACCGAGACGGTCAAGCATGCCGAATCACGCTTCACCGAGCGCGCAAAGGGCTTCGATGCTAGTCCCGAAGAAGTCGAAATCGGTCTCTGGCGTCTACGTCGCAAGTCATGGGGAGTCTTGCGGGCCAAAATCGACGAGGAAGTCATGGAGGGAAACTTACTCCTCAAGCTTAGAGAAAACTTCGAAGACAAGTTCCGCTATGATGAGGAAGGTGTTCCTCGTATCTGGCGCCCCTCTGACGATATCGAGGGAATCTACACCCGTGCGCGGGAGAGTACACTCGAGCTCATTCCTCTCCTTTCGAAATTCAAGCTTCATGAGACAAAGTCGTTGCCGCCGCTTGAAGAGTGGATCGGCCAGACTCCTGCCGAGATTTCTTCTGCTGACGAAGAAGATTTGCACCCTATCGGTGGTGTTGACGAAGAAGATGGCAAGACCATTGATGAGGAAATGACTGTTCTCAGCGATGCAAAGAAGCAGGACCTTAGTGTGAGGTTCAAGAAGACTGCTGATGGTGTTTACGTCGAAGCCAAGCGTAGCGCTATCGGTGGTGTTACTCAAGTGCCGCTTTATTTCTATGGTCTTTTGCTCGCTCTGGGATGGAATGAGATTGTTGCTGGTAAGTGTTTCATCTTTTTCCTTTTCATTACTCCAATTAATTTCGGAATCCTTGATACTAACAAACCGTTTCAGTCCTCCGCAACCCTCTTTACTTTGTCTTCTTGATCCTCCTCGGTGTAGGCGGTTACGTAACCTACACACTCAACCTCTGGGGCCCTATCATCCGCATGTCAAACGCCGCAAGCGCACAAGGCATCGTGGTCTTCAAGGAGCGTCTGCGTGAATTCCTAGAGACGTCGGATACCGGTCGTCAAGCCATGGCTATGTCTGGCAGTAAACCTTCTGAGCGTGAACAGTACAGGTAAGATTTGGACTTCCTCCTCTTTTTAATTTTCCACCAAATTTGTATGTGCGTGAGATGCTGACTGAGATGAACCAGAATGGATACGCTCAATACCGATGGCAAGAAGAATGCTTCTGCAGCTACTGTGGAAGAGGATGAAGATATTTGATGATTGCTTCTTTGTCACATTTCTCCTCTTTCTTCCCCCTTCTCTTGTCTTCATCTTTGAATATTGTTTGTGGAAGAACGAGAGATTTTTGCATCTAGCCTTCTTTCTCCTCTTCCTACCCCAGTGTGTTGTGTAGATTTGTATCAAGACGAAAAAGTCATGTCCCCTATATGTGTGTTCTTGTCTTGTCTCTTTCTCTCTCTCTCTCTCTCTCTCTCTCTCTCTCTCTCTCTCTCTCTCTCTCTCTCTCTGTATTGTATCTAAACTGTGTATGTTGGTTTGTTTTTGTTGTCGCTAAGCTGGCAAGTCTCCAGCGAATTGTATGCGTTGATAGTGCGTGTTTCTTTCGTGATAGTCATGTCAGACATGTCGCAGGTACGACCCTGGTGTCTGGTCTACAGCCATATAACTCAACGATGCCACGGTCATATGATGTGCATCGTCACAGACGCGTAATGGGAGCCGTTCTCAACTGGAAGTGAGTATCTTCTGGAGCGTGAGCCTTGAGGTGGTGACAGAAAGTCGTGATCATCAAGTCGGCACTAAACTTTGATGCTGAACGCAAGGTAGGGTTGGCATCTGCAATAATTCTCAAATTACTCGTTCAATTTCCACTACACTTCTAGGTATGACTCTATAAGATCTAGCATCTGATCATAATCCGCATCGACAAGTCCATTAGTTTGTGTAAGTGTACCATCGATAAAATGCGTGTGCTCATGAACAGCTGGCGGTCCAGCACTTGCGATCGTCCACCTCGTCAGATCTTCCTTACAATACGCCCTTCTAGTAGGCAGAGGGCTTGTTGGACGGAAAACTAGGTTCAGTTGGCTGGGTAGAGGCGCCGGCCGGCGACAGATGGGGAATCTTGAGCGAATGCTCCGATATAGGGCGAGGTTCGGTGAACCTTTCTGGTAGGTCGGGAAGACTTGGGATACTGCTCAGGATACTGCTGTCGATGGTGGAAGCAGGAGCGGTTAGAGTCGAGACTCTGGGATCTGCTGGGATCCGTGTGTCATAGCCCGAGGGGCCAGAGTCAGTGCTGACGGGCTTGCCACGACGAGCCTTTTCCAGTCCCTCACGGTCGGCATGTTCAAGGCCGGTGCGGAAGTAGTCGATCTCTGGATTCTGGTCAAGAACTCGTAGGCGCTTGTCGATCATAGCTTGAGTCAGGGGAGACGTGAGGAGCTCGGGGAATGCACTGCGGAGCTTCCGGATGATTGCATTCAGAGAGTAATTGCACGTGTCAAGAACACACATGGCGTGGTCATGAGTGCTGTTCCACTGGCCGGGCAGAGGTGGAGTTGGCGGGAAGCGATATGTTGTAGTATCAGAAGCCCATGAGGTGGAGTATGGTGATGAAGCATCCCGAGCCGAGAATGAATGCTTCGACACGGATGTTTGGATGGTAGAAGGGACATTTGATGGTACGACGAGATTGTTGACGGCGGACGATGGGGTCAAGGCAGGTGGTGGGCACTCTGGCACGGGAGTGGGAGGTCTGCTGGCGAGCTTCGAGGATGAGGGAGGAGTGTCCTTTGCGATTGTGTATTTGACCTGGCCTGGAGGCTCGACTGGTGTTGATGGATCCTGGCTTTGCGTGAAGTCAATACTGGTATATACGGATGATTGAGGACGAGATAGGGCATACTTGACAGTACTGCCGTCGATACGTTTGCGATGGGCCGAGAAGAGTCCCATCTGCGTACGTGTTAGCAACATGTGAAGGCGTGCTAGGCTAATGGTCGGACTGACTGGCGCCGAATGACGGGTCCTATTATTCGATGGGATTGGATGTTGAGATAGCGCAGTCATGTTTAGAACGATGGCTGTTTGCAGAGGCATGTAAGCGACAGACTGGGGATGATGGAGTCGATGATGAAGACGACAGAAGGGTCGGGTCAAAATGCAGGAAGGTGTGCAACATAGAAAGAGCGAGGCTTCATATACTCTATACGTTCCTGCCTCAACCTCCTCGCAGCCATATAACAAGATAAAAAATGGTGTCCAATTGTGCCGACTTTTGTGATTCAAATTACAAAGACAACGCCAGCAAAGAGCATGTCTCGTTTGATTGTACAAAAATTGTCCACGGAAAAGCATACTCAACCTCGCCGTCGCTCGAAAGTTATAATTCTCGTTGATCGTTATGCGCCAATCTCTACTTCTGGAGACCGATCTTCTGGAGGAGGCTGGCAGAGGCAGGGATGTTGCCATTGCCGCCCTGCTCAAAGACTCCCAGAATGTTCTTCCAGACAGCTCCGGGTTCTTGGCTGGCGTCGATGCCTCTCCAGATGTTGGTCTTCTGGTAGTAGTGGATGACGGGGCTGGTCTGGTCGTGGTAGGTAGCCAGGCGCTTCTTGAGGGTGGCCTCGTTGTCGTCGGCACGCTGGACGAGGGGCTCGCCGGTAATGTCGTCGGTCATGGTCTTCTGGGGAGGGTTGAAGATCTTGTGGTAAGAGCGGCCGGATGCGGGGTGGACGAGACGGCCGGTGATACGGGAGACGAGCAGCTCGTCGTCGATGCGCAGCTCAACGGCGTGCTTGAGCGACTGCTGGCGGGCCTTGAGCATGGCGTCGAGGCGCTCGGCCTGGGCGACGGTACGCGGGAAGCCGTCGAGGATGAAGCCAGACTTGCACTCGCTGTTGTTCTCGAGCTCGCTCTTGATCATGCCAATCATGATCTCGTCGCTGACGAGACCGCCCTGGTCCATGATCTTCTTGGCCTGTCTGCCCAACTCGGTCTTCTTTGCGACCTGGGCGCGGAGCATGTCACCAGTAGCCTGCACATGTGTTAGTCGTCGTTCGCTCCTTGCTACAGACATGTTTGCGCATACGTACCAAGTGGCAGACGTTGTACTTTTCCTTGATCTTGGGGGCCTGGGTGCCCTTGCCTAGCTGCGCGTCAGTCGCGAAAGATGGATGGACCAGAATTGCGCATACCGGCACCGGGAGGACCCATGAGGATGATTCTCATGTCATCGCTGGTAGGCTTGGACGAGGACAGGCTCTGAGCCTTGCCCTGCAGACGAGCCTCGAGCTCGGCAACGCGTGCCTCGAGCTTGTCGACGGTGCCTCTGAGCTGATCCACCAATTGTTCTCCGAGAGGTGCCATTGTGTCAAGTGTGTGAGGTGAATTGAGTAGTCCAAGTCAAGCAAGAGAGGGCAGCGGCAAGGTCGGAGAATACTCGCAGCCCCAAATGCCTGTCGCTGCTTCGGCCTCGGATGTGCCTTGGCTTGGCGTCAACTTCCATCCACCCTCTTCCACAATCCCGACTTGCCAATGCCTCCTCCAAACTCCATCAACTTTTACACACTTGACACGGGAGGATACATTTACGCCCCCCAGCGCTCCGAGAAGCTAATCAACCCAAGTGGCCGTCTGCTACTATCAGCTGTAACGATGCACGATTTGTCATATCCAGAGCTCGGCCCGGCGAGAATGCAGCATTTGCATGCTCTCTTAGGATCACTCTTCGCATCGAAAATCAGGGTGCTATTCTGCAACTCACATTTTGAAACACGAGTATCAGAAAAATGTAAGTGACAGCCAGAGACGCGTAGGTACATTGAAAGTGCAAGAAAGAACTACATATTGCCCGGCATTTCTTTTTTCGCATCAAACATGCTGACTTATGACCACACCATTCTCAACCTTGAACATGCACCGAGACCTTCTACAGTCTCCCTTTCGCAAACTGGACCACTGACCCTGTGTCCAATCAAGCCTCCCAGGTCTCACTAGGTCTTCTCCAATCATCAGAGTCATGCTGTGTCTCTTGTCTGATAAACTGACACATGTTCGCCGTCTTTGCCATGAAGCTCTCGTAGGCTAAGAAGGGTCTGTTAGCATCCGGCGGAGTTACCTTGTGTGTAAACATGGAAAACATACCATAGCTGCAAGCGGTTTCTTCTTGTTCCTCACCCCATCTTCCTTGACGTTCCTCTTCTTTTTTGTCAATCAATTTGTCTTCATTGATGCACTTCTGCACATCCTTCTCGAGCCAGTTCATGAATCTATCATCTTTCCTGTCGCAGACGTCTCCGTAAGTGACGTCGTGGATGTTGTTTCCAGGTGTACTGTCGAGGCATTTCCTCTGTGGCATGTCGTTCAGTTGAAGTACGACTTTCTATCTCTCATGGAACCACTTACGATGCACCAGGGTGTAGCCTTGGATTGGTAGATCTTATGATCGGAGTGCAATGCTAGTCTCTCAGTAATATTTAGAGCCGCGAAAGCCGACTCAAAGTTGGCTGGGTGCTTCTTGTTGTAGTCCTCCTCAAGAGTGCGGCGGCCCACGGGACCTGCGGAGGCAACAGCTGTCAGAACAGTGACGAGTAGTGTGGTGTACTTCGTGGTTGTGATGACAGTAGTTTGGGGAGAACGGGCTGCAAAGTGCGGCTTATATGTAAACAGATCATGCGTGGCGTGATATCATTACTCAATCAAGAACTAAACAGCATTACCGGAGACCTGTGATTCGAACGAACTCTGTTTGCTTATACATTGGCTTTATCGACTCTTCAGACCTCAAGTCTTGTGGGCTCATCTGCATCAGGCTTCTTGTCAGCGTTATCAGGATGATCTTCGCCCTTTGGTCCAGCCTTGGAAGCCTCGAACGACTGCTCAAAGTCGGCAATGATGTCGTCAATGTGCTCTATGCCGACAGATATGCGGATCAGGTCCTCTGTGACTCCACTGTTGATCTTCTCCTCGTCGCTCAGCTGCTCGTGTGTAGTGCTCCAAGGATGAATAGCCAGAGTCTTTGCATCGCCAACGTTTGCGAGATTCGAGATCAACTTGAAATTGTCCACGACCTGATTGCCTGCCTCGGCGTCACCTTTGACACCAAAAGAGAGCACGCCTCCAAAGCCTCTGGGGAGATATTTCTTGGCCAGCTCATGACTTGCATGGCTTGGAAGACCAGGATAGCTGACCCAAGAAACATTCTCATTCTTCTCAAGCCATCGAGCCAGTGCAATTGAGTTCTGAGCATGTCTCTCGCAACGCAGACTCAAGGTTTCAATACCCAGCAGCAATTGCTGTGCAGCGAATGGATTGAGAGCCATACCACCGTCACGCAAGATCTCGACACGAACACGGACGATGAATGAAAGCTTGCCGAAAGTGTCCCAGAACTTGAGGCCGTGGAAGCCTTCTGAGGGCTCGCTCATTTGAGGGAATCGTTTGCGGGCCTCTGGAGTGCCCCAGTCGAAGCGGCCGGCGTCAACGACTACACCTCCGACGGTGGTGCCATGGCCGCCGATCCATTTGGTTGCGCTGTGGACGACAATGTCGACGCCGTGGTCGATGGGACGACAGAAGAATCCACCTGCACCAAAAGTGTTGTCGACCTGTTCCGTATCAGCATCGTAAATCCATATTGAGCACTAAAGGGTATCCACTTACCATAACAGGCACACCAGCTTCATGTGCAATCTTAACAATGGCCTCAAAGTCCGGCACATTATACCTCGGATTACCAATACTCTCAATATACACAGCTTTAGTCTTATCATCAATAACCTTCTTAAAGTCCTCCGCACTGTCGCCAGTCACAAACTTTGTCGTAATGCCCAATCTAGGCAAAAAGACTTTGAGCTGATTGTACGTGCCACCATAAAGGTTCGAAGTCGAAACGATATTGTCGCCCGCGTGGGCAAGTGCCGCAATCGCCATGAATTGAGCTGATTGACAGGATGCAGAAGCTACAGCTGCCACACCACCTTCCAAGGCCGCGATACGTTTTTCGAATACATCGACGGTGGGGTTCATGATGCGGGAGTAAATGTTTCCGGACTCTTTGAGGCCGAACAGGCGGGCGCCATGTGCAGAGTCATTGAAGACGTAGGACTAGAGTTGCAAGATCAGTCCCCTGTCCAGAACTGATACTTGCTTTATGTGGTCATACAGTAGTTGCATAGATAGGAACAGCTCGCGAGTTCGTAGCACTGTCCGGCTCATGACCTGTCAGCAACGAGTAGGTGGTTAGCTCCTTGAACAGCAACTATAATGGTCATCATGCATTGAGCTTACCGGCATGCAACTGCAAGGTCTCAAAGTGAGGGGTCTTCTCTCCAGCCATATCGATCACTTGTAATCCTAGTAAACAATTGGAATGGAAAACAAAAAAGAGTTGATCGAGGATGACTCGAGAGGGGACCGTCAACATTGCCCCTCTTTCGGGCGCGGGGCGAGTCAATGGTTGCTTGCGAGCACGCAATCGATGGTGCTTGTGTGGCTTTGATCCTCCATCACGTCTAGTTGGCAATGGGCGATATCGCAAGACGAAAGTGATGATGGTCGTGACATCTGCAGGGTAAGCAATTGGTATTTAGTCCCGTATATCAGACTGCGATTGCAACTATGATGGATGCATTCTCACAAGGCACGTACAAAGATCCACATTGCACAAGGGGAATGACGAAAAGACACGTCACAACGATCACGAAACGGAATCAGAAGTACAGGTTGAAAGACTGGCATTCTGTATTTGGAAAGAGGTTTGCGAAACGCCTATGCGATGCCAGAAGAACAAATCTGTATCAGCCCAAGCTCTCATCAACACCTTCTCCTGCCCGAACCTCTTCAAGCGACATTAAATCTAAGAAAACGGTTTTTGTAAAGTGAAAAAAGAGAAGACGTTACGACATTAAATAATGCTGTTGGCTGGGGTCGAAAGCATCTAGTCAACCTCCTCCATGGCGGACTCACCAGCGGCCTCGGCAGCGGGAGCCTCAGTGGCGGCAGCCTCCTCGGTGGTCTCGGCCTCCTCATCGACGTTCAGGCCGAGAGAGACGAGCTTGTGGATGCGCTCAGCGTAGGCGGCGGGCTCATCAATGGTGAAACCAGAGACGAGGAGAGAGGTCTCGTAGAGAAGCTGTGTGATGGACTTGACGGTGCGGTCGTTCTCACCGTCAGCCTCAACCTTCTTCTTGAGCTCCTTGATGATAGGAGAAGAGGGCGAGATCTCGAAGGTCTTCTTGGAAGACATGTACGAGGACATGGAGGTGTCACGGAGAGCCTGAGCCTTCATGATACGCTCCATGTTGGCGGACCAACCGAACTGGCCGGTACGGATGGCACAAGGGGAGCCGACGAGCTTGTGAGAAACAACAACCTTCTCAACCTGGTCGCCGAGGACGGTCTTCAGGCTCTTGGCGAGAGACTCGTACTCCTTCTCCTCCTCCTCGCGCTTCTTCTTCTCGTCATCAGTCTCCTCGAGCTCGAAGTCCTTGGTGATGTCAACGAGCTTCTTGCCCTCGTACTCCTTGAGCTGGGTGAAGGCGTACTCATCAATGGGGTCGACAAGGAACAGAACCTCGAAGTTCTTCTCCTTGAGGGCGTCAAGGAAGGGAGACTTCTGGACGGCCTTGAGGGACTCGCCAGTAATGTAGTACATCTGCCTCTGGTGCTCGGGCATACGGGTGATGTAGTCGGCGAGGGAGGTGATCTCGTCGAGGGACTTGGTAGAGTTGTAGCGGAGGAGCTTGGCGAGCTGAGGACGGTTCTGGGCGTCCTCGTGGATACCAAGCTTGAGGTTCTTGCTGAAAGCAGTATAGAACTTGTCGAACTGCTCACGGTCCTCGGCGATCTCGTTGAAGAGCTCAAGAGTCTTCTTGACGATGTTCTTCTTGATGACCTTCATGATCTTGTTCTGCTGGAGAGTCTCACGGGAGAGGTTAAGGGGAAGGTCCTCAGAGTCGACAACACCCTTGACGAATGACAGCCACTCGGGAATGAGGTCGGTGGCATCATCGGTAATGAAGACGCGGCGGACGTAGAGCTTGATGTTGTTCTTGGTCTTCTTGGTCTCGAAGAGATCGAAGGGAGCGCGCTTGGGGACGAAGAGGATGGCGCGGAACTCGAGCTGACCCTCAACGGAGAAGTGCTTGACACCGAGGTGGTCCTCCCAGTCGTTGCTGAGCGACTTGTAGAAAGCACCGTACTCCTCCTGGCTGATATCGGCAGGGTTGCGGGTCCAGATGGGCTTGGTCTTGTTGAGCTCCTCCTCCTCGATCTTGCTCTCCTTGACCTTCTTGGTCTTCTTCTCCTTCTTCTCGTCCTCATCATCGACCTCCTCGACCTTGGGCTTCTTCTCGTCACCCTCCTCGGTGGTCTCCTCGGCCTCCTCGTCAGGAACCTCCTTCTCGGTCTCCTTGAGGACGTGGAGGTAGATGGGGTATGAGATGAACTCGGAGTGCTTCTTGACAACCTCCTTGATCTTGGCCTCGTTCAGGTAGTCAAGCTGCTCGTCCTTGAGGTGGAGAACCATCTTGGTACCACGGCCGAGCTGCTCACCCTCGGTGTCCTGGGTGAGAGTGAAGGTGCCACCGGCGGATGACTCCCAGAGGTACTGCTCGTCATCGTTGTTCTTGGAGGTGACGGTGACCTTGTCGGCGACAAGGTAGGCGGAGTAGAAACCAACACCAAACTGACCGATCATGGAGATATCGGCACCAGCGGTCAAAGCCTCCATGAACTGCTTGGTACCAGAGCGGGCGATCGTACCGAGGTTGTTGACGAGGTCCTGTGGAGAATTAGTTACAGTCCTTGGTGTGGATGGATGGAAACAGTCAGTCACTTACAGCCTTGGTCATACCGATACCAGTATCGCGGATGGTGAGGGTCTTGGCCTCCTTGTCGGGGATGATGTCGATGCGCAAGTCCTTGCCAGAGTCGAGCTTGCTGGGGTCGGAAAGAGCCTCATAGCGGATCTTGTCAAGAGCATCAGATGAGTTGGAGATGAGTTCTCTGAGGAAGATCTCCTTGTTGGAGTAGACAGTGTTGATAATCAGCGAGAGCAGCTGAGAGATCTCAGCCTGGAACTCGAACGTCTCGGCGGCCATGTTGATGGTAGTGTTGGGGAATTGATTCAAAGACGAGACAAACACAGAGATGCAAAGCAAAAGGTGACTGCTGGATGGAGCTAGCCGGGTATCGCAAAGAGAAAAAGAGATGTGGATGTGAAGAGGGGAGAAAGAGCAGTCGAAAGAAGGAGTCTGGCAATTTGTATGCGCCTTCAAAAAGCTTCCATCGAAACACATAGAAACGCCAAGCTTCGTTGCGTGAGAGACCGCTCGCACTGTTTCCCTCACTCCTTTGAGAGCCATCGAAACACAAGGATTGGACTAGAAGTCTCCATGATTGTGATCTCAATATCTGCTTTTGATTCACTCTACATTGCTAACATAATTGCCAGTGATTGCCCTATCGAATTCGAGGACTTTCACAACTGTAACCTCAGGATTGGTCAGACGATTGAAGATTCACGCTCTCTTTCTCCGAAGATCCAGACTTTGTGGGGTTCGTCGGCGGGTTTTGGTTGCCACCCGAACTTCTAGCTACCAAAACCTACCTGCCCATGTGCCGAATACTGTCACAGTTGTAGCGAACAGGATCCTTGCACTCTCTGGACTTGCAGCGATGTCACTGAGACATGCTGTTCGTACGTCTAGTCAGACACAAGCCATTGATGTGAAGATCGACTGTGCCAATCTACGGCTCGTCATTGCTCTGCTTTAGGCCTGGGAGAGAGGATATGTGACAGAACGTATGTGTGCATGACCAGATAGTGCTGTCTGAGACAAAGTGCACTTCGCAAGTATACTGATCTAAAGGCTCGGAACAGAATGCAAGCACTCCAAGCATAAGAGTATTGAACCTTTGCACGGCAAGCACTCCATAGAATCACATGCTGTTATGAACAAGTATGCACTTGAAAGCTGCAAGTTGTCACATCTAATGACACCGCCCTCCGGGATCTAGGGTGATGAACTGGTTGTAATGCCTTCAGAACCTTATCATGCAGCCCAATCGTAGTAGTTAATGCATGCTGCTGCTAGTTGAACATGACCTCCCATTGAGCACCATTATACTCAAAGATGCAAAAGAAAGCATCACCTCTGTCCATTCGATCGCTCAGTAAAACTGCATCCATTGACGCCAACCAAGAAAATAATCCCTTTGCTCATCCAGACTCAGGGTGAAACTCATGCAGATGACTGTGCTGAAAGGCCGACTAACACTGTCCAGCCCGTGTGGTATCCTGCTAAGCAATCCCGTCTTCATGAAGTAATCTCGACGCTTCTCTTATCAGGAAGCTCGACGGCATCTTGCTTGAGCTGTGCAGGTGCAGCAGACAATGACTCTCTGCGAGTGAATTGTGCGTCTTGTCCAGTCATTCTTCTGCCGAGTGCGCGCTCGACTTTTGCGCCCAGGGCGATGGTGTTGATCTCGTCGTCTTTCTTCTCGCTGAGCTGGTAACGTTGTGCCTCGAGACGCTCATCTGCCATGCGCTGAAAGCCTGCTTTCCATGATCTGATGTCTTGGGTGCGAGGGTCGGCAGATCCGACGGTGCTCATGGATGCGCGGGGCTCGGTGACGGCGATCTTGTCTGTGTCGTACGTGGTAGTGGAAGGTGTGTTGTGGTATGCCTCTTGCTTGAAGCCAGCGTCGGCGTTGTTGTTTGTGACGGTCGAAGAGGTACTCATGGCGATTGACGATTGCAGTGATGGTGCGCTGGAGTGTGTAGAGAATCTGTACGATTGATTGTGTATTGGAGACGACTTGTTCGACTATCAAGGAATGGGAATGTCAGAGATCGGCAAAGCGTTGTATTGGCGTAGCAAGCAAAACACCAAAACACAGTGAGGGGCTTTCGAGACAAGAGAAAATCCAAAATTTCGATAATAAAAAGGCAAGTGGATTATGACGAAAAAGAGCAAGGTCTTTAACAAGGACGTACCATGATCAAATCTATATGCGGAGATTCAGGAGTTGTCAATCTTGTGCTAGACTCTTTTGCCGTCAGCTGCATAGTCATAGGAACGCTTTCATAGCCCGCCGCTGCGAATGTCTCACCCACTGCCTGGCCAGAGCGAGATTCACTTGAAACTTGTATTTGCTGGGAAGTGTCTATCAGGAAAGAACCAGGATATTCCGTCAAGAAGCCATGAGACAGAATGAGATCCACGGCTTGCATATGATTATGTTCCTTGTCGTCGGACCCCTTCGTACCGCTCAACACGCCAATCATGCTAATGTCCAGGGACCCTCGCTCGACTGTTGGGCCTTGTGCTTCAACCTGGCGCAAAGCACGATTTCTATTCTTCTGCCACTGCGAGCTCGAAATGCAGCTCCAGACTCAAGGATCTAGTGTCCGACACAATAGGGTTTGCTGTCATTGAACTCTATTCAGCCATCCGATGTATCACAACCACGAAGCACAAGAGACTTGCGCGTTCTAATGTTACAGGATAATCAGTAGATCTATCGTCTGTCCGACAGATGGTACAACTGTCGCATCAACGTGGCGGCCTCGATCAACGCCACGTGCGGCAACACGTCGTACATGTTCTAAGCAAGGAGAGTACACGAACCACACATTCCGCAAGTTAGTGGCACCCAAGAAATCATGTTGCACCAGATTGATAAGGTCTTGACTCGTTCACTCGTCTATCGTAACATCTCTCCTTGCCTGACTTACTACCATTTCCCCCCTGTCAGGAAAGCTTTGAAAAGATCCAAGGGAGCCCTGCTATTGTCTCTGGCTGATACCACTTCATATGCGGGAACATGAGCGCTTGGTACGCTCAAGCCTACAGCTTCTGATGCAGTCAACCAATTCCTGGCTGCCCATAATAGCATTGTGGCAACAGCACCACACCCTCCAACCACCTGCAGCATGGTCCATCCACTAATGTTGAATCTTTGGCCCAGTGCAAGCAAACCCAGTGGGTCTTTATGGTTAAGACCATCGAGCTCACTGGCTCTATTGCTTGATGACCTTTGATGGCCAGATTTGACCAAAGCCGAAGTAGCATTGTGTCGATCGTGAACGCCCGTAGTCGGTTGCTTCCTTTCTTGGTATTCCATGTCCAGCGCAATCTTCAAGTGATGTGCCCATTCGGGTAGCTGCGTGTCTGTTCTGTCAAGGTTCCGAGGGTCCATACGGCGACCGAAGTCGTACTGGGAGGTTGTGCCTAAAGCTGCTGCAGGCACAAGTCTGAAGGGAGTGGGTGACGACCCTCGCTGGCTAGGAGTGGTAGTCTGAGGCATCAGGTAACCCGATGGTGACGAGAGCACTGAAGAGATTGACGATGGTGCCGCGTCGTGCCCGTCGGGTTGCAGGCAGCCAAGTCTCTCAATAGCAAGCTCACGAAGCTCGCGTTTGTGCGAATCGAATGAAGTCTTCAAGTACTCTCGTCGCCATTGAATGCACTTTTTGACAGCACAGTGGCGTAACCATTGAGCATTGTCGGGGTCAAACAGCCGTTCTACCAGCTGAGTAAGATCGCTCGAGACAAGAGGCTGCACATACTCAGAGGACATTAGCACACTCGCATCCATAGTCTCATCATCTTCACTCGACATGGAAGACACTGCAAAGGGTGACTGCACTAGAGCATCTCCAGCGTCTGTTGTCTGGAAGGTGAATGTCCTGACCCCCGAGGCCTCGAGGCTTGTTCGAATAGCTGTCTTTGCATCTTTTAGATTGTCACCTGTGCAAGTATCGGCTCTGCCAATGATAGGCACTATATTGGTGAGTGACGAGAGACGTCGAAGGATTTCGATCTCTGCGGAACTCGTTTGGTGAGATGCTAGAACATGTCAGCGAGAACCAAATCATGAGCTCGTGGTCGACTTACTTGGGTGGAAGATGTAGAGAAGGGCATCGATCTGGAACCCTCCGCTACCACTCAGGACGCTGAGAAGATCCATATCACTCAGTTCCCCTGTCATGGTAGTCCTACGTACTGAAGCTTCTAGATGCTCGTAGATTGTGTCGATCGTTTTGATCATGTCTTCCTGGCCGCTCGCGCCACTCAACACCCAGCCAGGGGTATCGACCAAGCAAACATTGCGTTCGAGGATCGAGTCGCCCATACTCTTCCGCCGTCTCAGACCACGACCTTGCTCTATTTCCGACCACCATGCGGGATATGATTTGGTCGAGGCATGAGTTTCATGTATCTCGTGCGTGTGTGTGGTCGCAGCAGGAGATTGATCGACCGTCACAACAGGGTCGACATGAACAATGTCCTCGCATACTTGGACGATACTCTTTATTAAACTTGTTTTGCCTATACCAGAAGGTCCAGCGACCATTATCCTCAGTCTTGGTATACGCTTGCCTCTTTCAGTGAATGGACGACGCGCGGGCATCGATATACTGGGCATGATCAGTTGAGGGATGCTGCTTTGAGGAAGTGTTGCAGAAACGGGCTCAACGAGCGTGTCGTCGGCAAACACATCTTCGTCCTCACTTGAAGAGTGCAACGCCTGACTAGCAGTATCGTCGATGATACTTCCTTCTTCGTCCGAGAGGCGTACGCTTTTGACACTGGGCGATTGTGGAGTACTGGTGTCGCTGGTGCGAAGAGGCGTAAAGGAACGGCCCAAGGAAGTCAGAGACTCACTCCTGATGTGCCGGCGAGTCGGTGACGGCGTCAAAGGCCGAGGGACATGAGATGATATCGACGACTTCCGCGACGAAGAGCGTTCCTCAGATGAGATGATGCGCTGAGCAGCTGCAGCGATCTTTGGGTGAACCGGGTTTCCAAGCTTCCTCTTCTTGCCAGACGCAGTGATGGAGGGAGAGGAGGACAGCTCTGGTGACCTGGGGGCAAAAGCAGCTTCAAGTGTTTCATCTAAGCTCTGGACACCGTAGTTGTTGTCCTGGTCCTCCTGCGTGTCACTTTCTTCGGCCTCGGCCTTTTTCATGTCCCGTTCGCTTCGCAAGAAGAAGGTGGTTGGCGACTGCGCATAGCCCGGGACTGCTGCGGTACCTGCATCGGTACAAGGCTGCTTCTTCGTTCGAGGCCAAAGTCCTTCGGAATGGTTCATGGTGGGGTACTGGTGATCGCAACTTTGGTCTCGACTTGTCAGGGTAGCGACACTGAAGTTTTGATATTTCCAGTGGCAAGGCTATCTCATTGCACGATCATACGACTATCTTGCTCAGTGAAACGACATGACGCCTTCGAACAAGTACAAGTAGACTGATGACATGACCTCGCGATAAGCGGGACGGTTAATCGTGGGGAAATTGCGGGGATAAGATCTCTATAAGGGAACCTTGGCCAGCCGAATCAATCATGGAACGCAGCGCATATATCGAGGATCGCAAGTAGTAGTCTGTGAGCCGTCAATGGATACTGTCGTGAAGAACGTCATCATGTATTCTGCATATCTACGGTCGTCGTCCCAGAGAGCATACACAGCAGTCGCAGTCCATCTGGCCTGCTTCTTTCATTCATCCTCAAGCCAGCCTACGCCAAAATAAACCGCGTCGCTCTGAAGAAACCCACTTTTTCGAGATCCCATCCACGCCTTCCAGTACACATCCACACCCGTGTTGATACAGACTGCAAAGCCAACAGAACTCCGCAACAAACAACAGAAACACAGTTGGCTAGGACGGAGAAAGGAAATCAATGAGAAACACGCGCCGCTATGCATTAGTGACAAATATGTGAAGTTTTGTGCAGCGCGTCGAGGCTTTGGAGACCATCTCCAATCCGCTCTAACGCTGAGAAAGAACTTTTCCGAGAAGAGACATATCGCGTCATATTTTACAGATGAGGGCCGAATCACTTCTGTGCGGAAGTCAGAAGGCTAGTCAGCAAATAGTCGGTTGTGGCCCATGATTGCGATGGACCTTTAGGCAGCCTGGGCGCCGCCACGGCCACGAGAGGCGTTACCACCACGTCCTCTCTGGGAACCGCCGCCACGGCCACCTTGGAAGGAGCCACGAGGAGCCTGATTGGCACCGCCACGGCCGCCTCTGGCACCACCACGGCCGCCAGGGAAGAAAGGTGCGTTGGACTTGGGACGGCGCTCCTCGATGGTAATGGCGTGCTCGCCGATCGAGAGGGGACTGGCCTTGAGAGCAGCCTTGTAGCCGTCAATTGTCTTGAAGTCAACGAAAGCGCAGTTCTGCTTGTCTTGTTAGTCATGCTTTTGTGTCATATGAAGTAAAAAGATTTACCTTAGGTCGGTTGGCGTCGAAGTATGTGAGCTCACCATACTTCTCCAATGCCTCTCTCAAGGTGGGAAGAGCAATGCTTTCGTGAACGTTCTTGACGTAGGCGCGGTTTTGAGGTGTCTCTTGAGCACCGGCAGCGGCCTGGCCCTTGTTCTGCTGTCTCTTGTCACCAACGCTGGTCCACTCCTCTTGTTGGTCGGCGGAAGGGGCGGCGGGAGACGATTCACGGGCAGGAGCAGCGGCAGGAGCGTCCTGAACAGGTGCTGCAGGTGCAGGCTTGGTAGTGGACTCGGGTTGAGGAGCGGCCTTGGGCTGAGCAGGGGCGGCAGTCGAAGGCTGGGGAGTAACAACGGGAGTAGCGACGCGGTGAGCGGCAGCGGCGAGGTTAGCCCAGGTCTTGGGAGCGGCAGGTGCAGCGGGAGCAGCAGGCTTGGAAGGCGCAGCAGCCTTTGCGGGCTGAGCGGCCTGCTTGACGGGGGAACGAACGGCGGGAGTGGGTTCAGGGTCCTTGGGCTTCTCGACGGGCAGCTCTTCCTGTGCAGCTGGAACCTCAGGGACGGCCTCGGGGGCGGCCTCAGGAGTCTCAGCGGCCTCCTGGACAGCAGCGGCAGGAGCCTCCTCAGCCTCAGCGACCTCGGCGGGCTCAGCCTTGGTCGAGCCGTTGACAGCAGCAGGAGCAGCAGTCTCCTCCTCCTCAGGCTTCTCGGCGATGATCTTCTCTTCAATAACCTTGTCAATCTTGGCGGCATCCTTCTCAATGGCGGCGGGGTCCTCTGAGCTTGTCAAAGTCTCGTGCTCGGGCTCTTGAGCAGCGGCGGGGGCAGGCTCCTGGACAGCAGCGGACTCTCCAGTGGCCTCGGCCTCATCCTCCTCTTCAATGATGTAACGGAAGATGTCGTTCAAGACAAAGTAGCCGTTGGTCTGGGCAGCGAGAACGAATGTCTGGGTGAACTTCTTGTGAGGAGCAGACTTGTTCGAGATCTCGCCGATGACCTGGATGACGATGTGATCGTCCGAGGCCTGGGAATCGACATTGGTAACGCGGACCTTGCATTCGGAGAAATCAAGCTCCTTGATGCGCTCATTGATGGCCTGTTTCTCGATTTAGCGCGTGTACGGTTTGCGCACTACCCAAGCAACAAAGACTTACCCGTTGTCCCACGCATACCTCGACCTTCTCGGTCTCGTTGCCTGATACGAATTGTGAGCGCTTGTTGTAGAAGAGCTATGGCTGGTCAGCAGAGGTCCTTGTTGTGCACAACAGCTCTTTTACATACGTAGACCTTTTCGGGGCTGCGGCTAAGGGTGGTGTAGTACTGCTCGACGAAGTACCAACCAACCTCATCCTTGGGAATATCGGCAGCGGAGTTGTTTGATTGGGAAGGCGCGGAGGGGTTGGAGGAAGGGTAACTGGCGGCGGTGTAGCCGGCCTGCTCTATCGATCCATAACCGTTCTGCGAGCTGAAAGTGCCGTTGATAGCGGATTCGGAAGCCATTGTAGAGAAACCAAGAGGACAGAGACAAACGAATTGAGATGCGTAAAGTTTGTTGCGATGTCTGACGAGGATAGCCGGTCAGCGCTGCTTCTTGCGAATATAGTGATTCCGATTTGAAGCAGTGGCGGGGTGTGCGACAGAAGATGCACAGTGTGGGAGCGTCTCACCTCTAAAACGATGATAAAACAGTCAAGTATAAAACTATCTTGTGCAGCTCGACAGATCTACACTTTGGCGTCAAGCTGCGGTAGGAGCTTGCTAGATGGTAGGGTGTAGGATGGAGAAGTGGAGAGAAGTGGTAAAGGACAGAAAGACGATTGGAGCTTGCGGTGATCAGAGTGGGCTTTGAGGCGTGTCTAGCAGAAATGTCTCTACATGACGATTCCCATATCCCGCCGCACACAGGCCAACTTGATGCCAAGACCCTTTCACGTGATCTATACCATTTATGGAGATCAACAGAGATCGCGCTTCGAAACAAACTTTCCTGAGGTTTTGCTATTGGTATGAGCGTGGACTCCCAAATCAGACGCGTGCTGAATGGTAGAGCGTGGAGCACGTCGTTGTAAGACTTTTACATCGCACAAAAACACGGATTAGAAAATTGTAAGGCTACACGAAGAACAGTAAGTATCAGGTCTCACCATCTATCAATCGTGAGCTCATAAGCTGCTGAGTGATTCAGTGATCAAGCAATGAATTGTATCATTTTTGTCAACCATGCGTTGACTAGGTTCGGAGCTCCTTCGCGACTGCCATAGTGACAAAAGATCGACATGCACACCGATCAGCCTATTGCATGCTTTATTCGTACACGCTCGTCCCACAAGACTGCATGCCCATTGACATGGCACACGATCTCCCCAACCGCCTGCAGTACTCCTCGTGCCTTGCAATCCAAAAGATCGTATCTGCAAGCTTCATAAACTGATCAAGCCCTTCCCACCTTGACCAGAACTTCCCATACATCGAGCTCATGGCATCTTTTTCCTAGAAATCGTTTGCCGAGTCGCACTGCACAGATTCCAAACTCGACACGATGACTCCAAGAGATGTTCATGCCCGACTACGTTACTCCGTGAGCCTTCCAGGCGAAACCTCACACGACCAAGAGTTGGCCAGAGCAGTCCTAGATCTTCGCCAATGGGAGTCCAGCAAAACAGCAGAGCGAATGCGTCATCTCGTCTCTGATCGCGACCACTCGCGTGCCGAGACCATTTCCTTGAGTAGCCAGCTGAACTACATGGAGGACTGGATCATGGGCCTCTATGTATCGTACAGTGTGTTACCATCAAACGAGTTAATGATAGGTTACATGTGGCATCTCATATGCTCGATACCGAGACTGCGTGGACGCGTCGTGCAGGACGAACAGGCTTATCAGAGCCTTGAACAGAGTGTGAGCTTATATGGAGCAGATGCTGAAGTACTGCTGCTACGTCAACAGCTACAAGCGCGGTGCGCCGAGAACGAGAGACTCAAATCTCAGATCAATGCTCAAGTCGAGGGCAGAATGGACGAGGTGTTTGATTCAGCGGTACGATTGGCGGTCGAGCATGAGCGTGGCAAAGACGAGGTCGTGATCAAAGACCTTCGTCAGGAGAACCAGAGACTTCGTGTAGCGCTAGAGACGCAGACACGGTCAGACTGTTAAGGTCGAGGATGTGAGAGAGGTCAAGCAATGGCGGCATCGGGATAGCGTGATGTGGTTAGGCAGGAAAGCTATTTACAGTCCTCACAATCCTTTGTACCTTCTTCCGTGACTGTAGTATCAGGCTGAGCAGAAGGTGTTGATTGCGCAGGTGTATCCTCAGTCTTGGATTTGGAGGGCTTGTCGGAGTGGCCGAGGTCGCGACCTGGTTCGATATGGTTTCTCAACAGCTGTTTTAGAGTCTTTGTCTCAGGGAAGCCTCCCTCTGCCTTCCTATCCCATAGTAATATCTCTTTTGGTTGGGCGCCTTCTTCAGATCCGAGCGGAACATAGGTGAGGTAGACTTGAAAGAGGCCACTTGTAGCAGGGATGAGAGCGATCTCGCCGATAGCTGTCCCGAAGGTCGACAGTAGTTCCTGGCCAAAGTATGCTGCTCGTAACATCCATCTGCACTGAGTACAGTACGATATGGCGACACGAGGGAGTTTGGGCGACGACATGGCGGATGGTTTAATATGTGCTTTTGTGCTTGTGCCTCCAGCAATGAGGAAGTCGCGAAGCTTGTCGGTCGCGTACAAGCCCGCACCTGCCTTTCCAGTCTTCACAGTCTCAACAACCAGCACATATCACTTTTCCGGGTACTTCCCTCTGGTAAATCTTGCGTACCTGCCTGTTGAATCCAATATCGAAGGAGAAGAAGAAATGACATGTAGATGCTGGAACCCCTTCACGGTAGGTTTAGCTCAGCGACCAATTACGCAATGAGTAAGCCTTACTTCTTCCTCTTTCCTTCGTCTTGTCCAGTCTTGTCTCCTAGAGAGATATGGCTCTCACCTCGGTTCCGACTCCGACCGGTCTCTACGAACAGCGACGGTCGCCGACTGCTGGAATCGGTGTCTTCGCCGTCGCCGCCATTCCTTCAGGCACACGCATTCTTTGCGAACCTCCACTCTTTGCACTTCCCGAAGATGACGATGTCATTGAATGCTATCTTACGATCAAGGCTCTGCCGCTAGATCAGCAAGCTACCTTCTGGTCACTGGCCGCATCCATAGACCCTCCTGGGGATACAGAGTGGATTGGCGAGTTACGAGAGGCTTGTGATGGTATGTCCACAGTTTGTGAGCTGCACTCGGAAAGTGCTGATTCAACTAATCTGGCACAGAAGACATAGGCGATGGCTTCGACGACCTTGTCAAGAAGTACGAGGATGCATACTCGAGGTTCGAGACAAATCGCTTCACCTTGCGCTATCCTGACGGCTCGCCTAACAAGCTTGGGGTCTTTCCAAACGTAAGCATGTCCGCTGCTTCCAGATAACAGTCATACTGACATGCATCAGGCCGCACGGTTTAATCACTCATGTACACCTAATGTCTACCACCGCTATAACCCGAACATCGACTGTCTGACCATACACGCCCTCCGCGACATTCACCCTGGAGAAGAGATCTGCACGGCATACATTGATATCTGTCATGATACGGCTGAGAGACGTCGTATTCTAGCCCACTGGAATTTCGAGTGTGCTTGCGACGCTTGTGAGACGCGGGATCCGGCTCGCGAAGCCCGGAGACACAAGTTGGAAGAGCTTATGACGACCATGCAAAGGAGGGAGAACAAAAGATCCTTCGAGAAGTGGGGTACTTGGGACTATGCGGAGGCTCTTACACTTGTGGAAGAGGTCATCTCCCTCATGATGGAAGATGGCTTGGAAGAGACAGACACCTTGGGCGAAGCATATGAGCTCGCAGCCGAGTACAACCTCGCCATGGTCTGTAGAGAAGACGCTATCAAGTGGGCTGAGAGAGATGTAGAGGTCGAGCGTAAGTGCTGCGGCGAGGACAGTGCTGAATACACAAAGGCGATGGCTTTGCTTCAGCGTGCAAGAGGCACTTAGTGTCGCAACCGCTGTGAGGGTTTCTGTACAGCCTGGCTTTCGGTCGTAAACACAGATTGCTTGTTCTGCTGGTTGCTCTTACCAAAACTTCTAGTATGGTTCCAAAGCTGTGACGTCGATCGACCCTGTCATGAAGCTCCGAGGCATCATAGAACGCCTCCGCACCGGCGAGCATGTCCTCGGATATCCACAACATCAATGAATTGAAACATTGTACAGTGACCTAAGACTTGAAATATACGAACCTGGCGCAGCTCGAGTGACGCGCTGAGATTGATCATTATGCCTCTCCTCAACTTCTACCTGCTCAATCTCAAGGACAACATCCAACCCCACACCTTCCTCGCTCACCTCCAAAAAGCCAACTCTTCCATCAAAGTAATAGTAGCATCAAAGCCACGTCACTTTGTCGTGAAGACCACTACTCAAGACGCCTCCATCCTGAACAAACCATGGGATCTCATGCTCCTCCTTCAAGGACTCAACGGCCAACTTCCCAATGCCGTCACCCAGCACATATCCTCCCAATTCACCCTTCCAGTGGGCATCCCGTCAAAGCTACTCTCTGGCTACCCAGACAAAAATGCCAGACTTATCAAAGAAGCGCCCTTCGCTGGACTGACGGGCTCGTTGGACAATCCAACCATGCCAGACTCAAGTCAGAAATTAGAATTGTCGCCTGACATGCTGAAGTTCATGGATCAATTGCTCAAGGAGCATGATGGCCCTGTCACCATGTTGAATTTGTTAAAGTTCAAACCTAATGGCAAGCAGAGTTATTATCAATATGGACAGGTGCGCCCTTGCCATCACAACCACAGGTAGACTGCTTTGCTGACGAAAAGGGTAGGAATTCATCAAAGTAGCAGGAAAACGTGGCGGTGATGCTAAAATTGTGGGAAACGTGATCCCTGCAGACGGTGCAAAGAGTGGGTGGGATGAGATTGCTATTGTGCATTATGCCAGTATAAAGCACTTTTGCGATATGCTGGCTGGAGAAGACTATCAGGCCATCAATGAAAAGTTTAGACTTCCGGTGAGTTCTGCGCTTTCTGAGAGGGTTGCTGCAATCTTACTAACTTGACTTCAACATAGGCCCTAGAGGATACACTGTTGGTTTGCACTACCGAGTTTGGAGTGATGGGTTCAAAGGCTAAGCTGTAGAAGAGCGGTTGTCCTGAGCTCGTCGGATTGATCTTTGTAACTTCTATCTTTACACCATGCCGTGTTTTACCTGCTCATTTGTGCCGAAGCTAGAATCTCCCGAACACTACCGATGCTTGTTTCTCCTATATCTAAGTGAGGATTGACAATGTCTGCATCTCTAATTCTGGCATTCTTTGCTGCTTCCGCCCACGAGGCAGTGTGCGATGTACCCGGTCTGACCATGTGACTCTCATCCGAAAGGCGAACCAACAATTGCTCTGTCTCGGCAGAAACGGCAGTGACCTGTCGTCGTAGATATGAAGTGTGTTGCATCAAGGCTGCTTCATCTTGTGCAGTGGATCGAAGAATCTCTATGAATGGAAGGATTCTCGAAGCAAGTCCAGTATTGCTCGACTGCGCGTCACTGTTCGCTGATTGTTGTCCGTCTGGAACAGGTTCGATGCCGCCTGGTTTGGCCTGAGAGTCGGGGCTGAGAACGCGAAGCAAATGCTGTCGCGAATTGATGTACTTGTCGTAGGGATTCTGCAGGGTGGTTTTGATGTCTTCCAGAGACTCCTCTGCTCCGGTATCTGCTGTTATTTCCAGATCAGGGTCCGTGTGGTCTTCGTCCTCTGACAACTTTGCAAGCTCGCCTTCAATCCATGCAATCAAGTCATCTCGAGCTCGTCGAAGGGCATATGCCCGCTTCCAGTCTTCCAGATTGGTGTCTTTAGCATGATTGATATGTGGTTTCGATTGGATGTTGCTCTGCGCGCGCAGCACGGCTTTCTGTAGTTCGAAGATATGAGACTGGGCCTCCGCCAAAGATTCGTCCTGAGATTGTTGTGTATGAGGTGGTGGTATCTGAGCTTGCATACCATTCAAAAGCTCGCTTGGATCCGCATATCGTGAACTGTGCCTGGCCTTTTCCAGATTGTCCAGTGCCTTGTCAATGACCAGAAGTTTGTCTCTTCGTTGTCTCTGTCGAATGAGCGCAACGGTATCGGCGACTGGGCTGTCTTTCATCTTAGTAGTCTCCCGTTTGTCGACCGGACTTTGTAGAAGACCAAGTTCTGCTTTCAGAGCATCGTATTGTGATTGTGCTTTTTGTCGTGCGATGAGAGCCTGCATGAACGCTCTTCTTACACCGTTGAACGGAATATTGATTGCAGACTGTGCAGATGTCTCCGCGACAGATAAGGTTGCCTTGGATATAGGAACATTTTCATCATGGACAAATTGAGTCAAGAGAGAATCGATGCCCCTTCGAATTTTGTTGACCTCTTCGCGCGACCTGATATATGGCCCTAGAGCCTCTGCGAGCTCCGGGAGAGGGCATTGTTCTACCAAGTCTGGCATGATATTTGAGAGATGATGTGGTTGCTAGGTTGGTGGGTCGGTGGAAGATTGTTTGTATACAGTTTCTTGGCGCAACTTTTGCACGTGAAACTGGAGATGAATTGCTGATCTGCAACCTTCGCAAGCTGACTCTACTTGTTCGACACTACCGCCTCTCGCAGCACGAAATGCTACTGCTACTCGAGGCTCCTTAGTATTGCTGACGCGTCCCGATACATACCGAAGGCTTATACAACGTAGAGATGCCGGACGGCTGGAGACGTGGGTTGGTGAATCCAAGGGAAATCACATCTCCAATAAGCTCGCCCTCAGTGACATGCAAGTCATATTTGAGGCGAACCCCGGAGAGACTGTCCGAACGACCCGCTGGAATGCAGTCCAAGGTCGTACGGCGCACAATGTCGTCGACTTGATGTAATATAACATCAGGTGATCATGCAGCAATCGCACCTACCATGCGCTCTCGCCGTGAGCTGCAAACCCATAAGGGGACCATCCGCCTCCAGACAACTCGTAAAATCATACACTCCAACCACGATGGATATACCCGAGCATATGAGAAACTTTGTCACGGCCATGCAACAAGTCTATCTGTTTCCGATGACTTTAGACGGCGAGTAAGATACCATTTCTGCTATGCCGCATCTTGTCCGACACTATTATTTTAGACGGACTAGAACCGAGTGTTCCTTGATTCAACATCTGATACCCTCGATAGACTCGACTGGAAGCCACCACCCATGAAAGACGGCCATCGTGGACGGCATCTCTGGACTGATGCTTTTGGTGTCCTCAACTTCATCACGCTGTTCAAGGAAACGTCACAGCCTCACTTCTTGGTACTGGCGGCTATACTTGTGGAGACAGTGCACGACGTACTAGGCCGGACTCGGGATCTTTCTGCGCGGCTACCAGGGGCCTCGGACATGTCTCCGTTGGCTGGTGGATTGCGCATAGGCAAGACTGAAGCCTTTGGGTCCGATGGAGATGGACAATATCATCACTATCTGACTCTGTGGATGCTGGCGCTGAACAGACTTTGTGTTGCAACAGGCGAAAGAAGTTACAACGACCAAGCTGTGGTACTGGCTCAAGCGATACATCCTGCTTTTGTGTATCAGCGAGACTCTGCACACCCGAGTATGGTCTGGTAAGTCACGGTATCTTACAAGCAGCGTGAATCGTACTCACGATATGTACAGGAAGATGTCGATGGACTTATCCCATCCTCTTGGTCGTGGTGAGGGCAATATGGATCCTATCAACGGTCTTGTCATCTTCAAGATTCTGCAAAAAACCAACGGCGACATGAATGTGTTGCGAGACGAGATCATGGACTATCAGAGGATTGTTGACCAAAAGGGTAAAGCTTACGCCTCTTCCGATACTCTGGATCTAGGTATGGTGCTCTGGGCCGCCCACTGGCATGCAAATGAGTACGACTGGGCATCAGACCTCGCGAATGCCGTAGTTCGTGATATGCGGATATTGTATCACGAAACGCATTACCTCGATATGCCAATTGACCAACGTCTGGCGTTCAGGGAATTTGGAACCTGCTTAGGCATCAACAGCCATCCCACTCATGAGTTGAGGCCGGTCAGAGACGACATAATCGTGGCATGGGAGACAGCAGGCAGGGTGCCTGTACCGATCAAGAATGTCGATATGGAATCTCTTGAGCCCATCGATTTGGTCATGTACGCTGCAGCATTATGTTCAGGAGCGTTCGAAAGAGATTATCTGAATTAATTTATAGTCTAATATTATCATTGCGAGTACTGTCGTTCCTCAACTCCGCCATCATGCAATCGCTCATACAAGTCTTAGCTCGAAAAGCTGCCCCTCAGTTGTGTCCTTCCTCTGCATTTCTCTGTGCTGCTTCCTGGTCTGCGTGCTTTGCTGGGTCGAACACGTAGATAGGGAACTCTAGGAACAATGTGCGCTTGAGAATCACAGGCATCTTCTTGTACAGCGCTGGGGGAAAGGGGATGAGAATGCTGGTCTGGTGGAGATAAGCAGCATACTCATTCCAACCCTCGCCCTTTTCGTATCTCTTCTTTGCTCCAGGGCGTTCTTGGAGGGTCAGTCCGGACACGAACATCAACAGTGTGGTCAAGAAGATGGGTCCAACGATACTGGCGTACAATGCAGCCTTGGCACCACCATGCACATAGTTATAAGATGCGGGTGTAACGGCTAGCATGAAGATTGCTGGGGATATATTAGTACGGTGGACAAGGGTCAAGTAGGGATAAACTTACAGAATTGGATCAGAATCTCCGCAAAGTAGTTGGGGTGACGCGACCAGGCGAAGAAGCCCTTATTGCAAACAGCACCGCGCTCCTGGTGAGTCTGCTTGAATCTGTACTTCTGAATATCGCTGGTGGTTTCCATGATGATACCGATCGCAAAGCCGATGACAGCCAAGATGTCAGTAGCCTTGTTGAAGGCAGGTTGAGGGTAGCGATTGACAATGGGGCTGTTCAAGATAGTCACAGGCATGCTAACAGTCCAGACCTAATACCAAAAATGTTAGCAAAACTCAAAAAAGTCGCATGGTTTCGATCGCTCTTACCCAAAGAGTTTGGAAACTGTAGAATCCCAGCATAGGCAAGACCTTTCCACGCTTATCATCAAAGCGGTCGTCCTTGCCAGTCTTGATGATACGGAAAAGCAGGAACCCAGCAAGACGTGCTCCCCAAAGCATAATGAAGATGCTGTCGACGATTTGACGAGCACCGTGCTCGCCATACATGGCGACCGTGATGATGGCCAGGATCACAAAGTTGGTTCCGCCAGCGACATCGTTGAACTGATCAGTCTTGAAGATAACAGAAATGGCAAAGAAGACGGCCTGATATCCAAGAGTGATCAGGAAACTGATGGCTAGGTAGTAGTCATCGAGAACATGGACTGGAGCCATGATAGTCCGCTCTTGAAGGGCGTCTTGTCTAGTTGGTGATTGTTGGTTGGAAGATGATGTTCGATGTTGTTCGCTATATTTGGTGATCTGCAAAGAACTGGTATAGAACTAAATCAGGGTCCTGCACTTCCTTTTTGTTCGCTGTCGGATGCTGGTGGAACGCCAAAAGGATGAACTCAAAATCCGTTCTAAATGTCGTCACCAGCCACCTGCCAGCGCTCAATAAGGCATCCCTTTGCCAAGCCTCACGATTATGAGCGCGGAGTGAGATCTGTCGGGGTCCATCACTTTTTGCTGCGATCCGAGCCAAGTTCTATCTAGCAAGGCGCAAGGATATTTGCAGCTTCTCAAAACTCTGGAGGGAGCTCCGAGATGAATGTGCATATCGATTGAGGCTGTCCCCGTACATCGGAAAGAGAAGAAGGTCCTGCGGGAGTTGGACAAGGGAACTGTGAGATCAACCGTCTATCCTCCATATGCATTTCACGTGTGGTCGAACGCGATTGTCGGTGATCGTCTCTGGAGAGCCTCACCCCATGCCATAGACTTTGTCTAAAGTGTCCAACATGCGAAGGTGTCGAGATGGAATATGGAAAGGTTGTCGCAGAAAGGCAGCAGAGTCAAGCAAATCGCCGTGCGATGCACTCATCAAGACGGTCTTCGAAAAGTACAATGCTCCGCAAGTAGAGTGTGCCTACTGCCTAGTAAGAGCGCATCGACGTCTTAGGTTCTGCCTTTTTGTGACAACGATCACCAGTTTCGAAATCCTCGTGCCATTCAGGATATCCAACAAGTGTCTCTCCTTTCATTTTGCAGGCATCGCAAATGGCAGGTACACGCAGCACATCGAGATTCATCACCGGTCGCGGAGGACAACAGACGAACGGTCTTCTCGAAACTCCACTGTTCGTTTGTCGAACAAGATTGTCTTTATCCCTGCTGCATTTGAAGCATACAATATTGTTGGTGGAAGATAGGCGAAGACATGAACCGAGCTTCCATCATTTCAAGGACCTTTCAACGTGCAGTCGATCATCGGTAGAGTATAAGCCTGAGGCAAGAACAGGCGACTGACCATGCACGAGTAGAGAGGTGCCCCTTCGTCCGACCCATGTAAGACATCTCCCCAAGCTCGAGACGGACGTGCAAGGTGTGACAGCCAGCGGATCTATCCACATGAACAAAGCTGAGTGGAGATGTCCACGCAAGGCAGACCGCAGTAGGAAGGATAAGTGTTGGTGGTGTGTTGGACTTGGAACGTGCCTACATCGTGCATCTCGTATCTGCATGGGTCATCCTAGAGAATACCAGACCCCTCAAATGTCTCTGATATGCACGCTTCACCGAGTCGCGACTGGCAAAGATGGCGGCGAGGGAGGGGGGAGTGAAGAGGCACGGCTCACGACTTGTTTAACACACTTGGGGCTTCTCGATTGACCATTGCTCCCACATCTACTCTATGCTTACCGTGTTCGTCGACGACGTTCTCCACTGCATGCAAAAGAAACAAAAAAGTGATAAATTCGTCGTTACCGGAGGAGTGGATACGCTTTTCGACTTGACAAATGGCTCGTCACGGGTGCTAGACGGACTGACGCACATCGCAGTTGTGGTTGTTATGCGTTGACTGCGCTTGGCTGTCGCTCTGATTCATCGGTGTTCTATCACTGTTTTGGTATCGTCATCTCCATCACCATCTACTAGCCCACGAGAAGCCAAACTTGCAAAACGAAAGAAAAGAAAAGCACAAGTTCCTCAACAGGACCATGCGATGACCACATGCAGCTCGATCAAAGGCATTCTTGCCCTTGTCAGCAATCTGCCGTAACTACGGACTACGCTGTCTGGCAGCCGGTCTGTGAGTCCTTGAATCTCGCAACGTCACACTCCCAATTACATCATCGCCCACCTTCTAGTTTTGTGCTGGGTCGTTGGATGGTGCTTTTGCGCTTTTTCGGGTCCGGAGACTTGTGTCATAGGGTGCAAGAGGAGAATGACCGACGTGGCCAATCATTACCGCAGCGGGGAGATTCGTTCCCAGACCGAGGCGTTTTGATTGGATCGTTCTTCCACACCCTGACCCTGGCCACCTAAATGGCCGCTCTACTGGGCTCGTATACACGCGTCATTTGGCAGGCAGGTCAACCATAGGTACCCGCCAAGGCGAAGTGCGACCCCCGTTTTACAAGCCTTAGACGTTGATGGCGTGTGCTAGCGTGCCTTTCAGCTGCAAACGCGCCGAGTCATGTTTTGGCAGGTCACTATCTCAAAAGTCATGAAACTGCGATATCGTGCTCGGTGAGATGGGAGACGAAGAGTTTTGAAGGGTAGTTGCAAGTTCATATTCCGTAAGAGCTTTTGGGCATATACCGCATCATGTAGCAGCGCCCTCTTGTAAAACTATTGTACAGAACATACCGCCAGTCTCGGAAACACAACAAAGAAAAACAAAATGATGATGCGCCATGTACTCCCATTGTGGATTTCCACATAAGCCGTCTCCAAATTCATGGGTATCAAGTAGAAAGTGTAGCGATTGACGATGAAAGGTATTAATCCTGGTAAGAGGTTCATGATCCAGACTCCAGGTTGGACAGGGTAGAAGAAAGGTTCCGAATATTATGAATGCACGTGAAGCACGCCAGCGTATTCTGTTATCGAACAGATCGGCGTGGTTGTGTGCGTTGATGCATCCAGACCGTATAATAATACACGTAATACAAGTTGTGTGATCCGAAAAATCAAGGTAGTCGATAGAGGTTTGCGAGGCCTGAGTCAGACGCAAGCAATGATGATGCATACTTACTCGTCATCCGGTGAGGCTTGCGAGTCTTCGCCCTTGTGTACCTTGCGGTGACGTCTAAGGTTGGAAACGACGGAGAAGTGGCGGCCACATCCCTCGACATCACATGCAAACGCTGATGTATTGTTAGTCTCGTATTACTTCGATCCAATGCAAGACAGGTAAGACTTACGTTTTTCGCCAGTGTGGCTGTACATGTGGGTCTGAAGAGAACTGGGACGAGTGAAGCGCTTGTCGCAAATCTTGCACTTGTGCTTCTTCTGCGAGCTCGAAGAAACCTTTGAGCTGAATTGGCCCATCATGGACTGAGGTGCAGGGGGAAGAGCAACGTTGTCTGACAGGCCGGTAGGACGAGGCAATGTGCGGGACGATGTGTCAACAGACTCGCCTGCCGAGCTGTAGTCGCCATATGAAGCCTCGCTGACAGAGCCGCCATAGTAGGATGAAGGGTAGGTGCTAGCCGACGAGATTGAGGAGTGGGCTGAATGTGTCGAAGGGAAGCCATATGAGTCGGAAGAGCTTCTGCTCGAACCCTGGGTTCCATAGATGTTTCTGGGAGTGATGTCTTGGCTCATGGCGACCATGCCTCTGCTAGCATCCAAAGCATCACTGAAGCTGTTACGCTCAGCCTCTGTGGTAGAAGCGGCATTCAGTCTGTTGACGTCAATTAAACTGCTCTGGCGGTGCTTGTTGGCGAGCACGGGGTTTCCAAGGAAGCTTGCGGATGCTACTGACGGGTGCGAAAGGCGGCGGTCCTGGTTGTAGGCGTATGCAGCACTGTTTGGGTACTCTCTGGCATATGACGGTGCAGAAGTCGGGGCGTACATGGCTCCGGATGAGGGAGCAGAGGTGACATAGGTCGAACCATAGGGACGGGGAGCACTGAGACCATCTTGGCCTGGTAAGCTGGATTGCGCGTATAGAGCATCCAAAGAATCAATACCTGAAGCCAAAGTTGGAGCCGGCATGGCACTTGGGTGCATGGGCATGGACACATTGACACTAGGGGCTCTTGCCACCAAGTGATGTGCGCCAGGATCGCTGACCATCGAAGGTTGAGGCAACGAGGTAGCATACATCTGATGGGGAGGTGCAGGACCTGAGACCCATGGGTTGGTGAAATGCGGCGCGGGGTAACGCATGTGGTCGTAAGCCAGGCCAGTGACCTGTTGGCGGTTGTCGACAGCCATTGCCATTGTGCAAGGGATTGGGGGAGAAGAAGGTGGGGTGGTAAGAGTAAAGAAGGGACAAGGATCGATGATGCTGATGTTGATATTGACGAGTGGTTGGTAGAGGGACGAGGCTCACAGCGTGTGTCGATGGTTTAAGGATCAACGCTGGAGACAGGTTCACAGAACGTGGAGAGGACGATCAATGTGTGTCCGACGATGGGGATCAGCGAGTTTATGTGTTTCGAGTTTCCTCTGCTGAGCTGCAAGCTCGAGTGTCGCGTCCGAAGGCGGGATTTGTTAAGCTCTGGTGGTGGATGGGCCGAAAAGCTTAAATGCCAGTAGAATAATGCTAGGGCCAGCAAGAAGCTCGAGGCGATTTCGGACAGAGCGTAGATGAGCTTGGGGTGCTGATAGTGTGCAGGTCTCAAAGAGGTAAAAGATTTGTGCTTCTGGGTACTTGGGACTTGTGCGGAGGCAGTAGTCGTTTCAAGTCTTCAACAAAAGGTGGGCCTGTTCGTGAAATGCAAAGGATCACCAGCGACGATCAGCGGGGAGGAGAGGTAGAAATAAACCGCACCTGCTCAGCAAGTCACCACTGACGTCGACTTACAGGCCGGTGTGGCTGTCTTAGCTCCATGCAGGGCTCAACCTTAGCAGCCAATCGCCGTCCACCTGCCGTCTCCACCTCTCTCATTCCTAGCCTTGTTTAGCGCGAAGACCACTATGACTCGTTAAGCTGTGGGTTCTTGACTGTGCATACACATCTCCGAGCGTGAGCGGTTCAATTGATTGAGATTCACCTGGTGTCAAAGTTTACACTGCCACCTCCACATCTTCATGTCCTTAGCACCTAGCAGCATCGTTGTTGCTGCTGTCGATGCTGACGCTGCTTCTGCTCCAAGCACCCTCCTTTTACCAGCAGCATGAAATTGGGCATCTGTCGCTCCGTTTACCTGGAACTTGTCCTGTGCATTCTGCGGCATTATCGACGTACGATTGTTCGCCATCTGATTTTCGTCGGCCCCAATCTCACTCCACCTCTCCATCTCGACATCTGAGCTCTACGGACTGTTCGGCGAGTAGACTTTTTGTTCGACATGTTTGCCTCTGTAGTTCTACCCAAGCGGGAGTCGTTTCGTACGAAAGCAAAAAACCCGTTGTCGGATTTGGTCTATCGTGCCGTTGACTGGCTGGCATCTCTGAGTCTGTTACGCTTGGACATGGCGTTTGGCTGTTCGCTGGCGTACGGAGGTGGAGATTCCGTCCCAAGCTAAGACATTAACCATAATGCAGCCATATGTCAGCCATCTATCCCCTTGTCTTGTTCGTTGCTATCTTATTTGGTTCGTGCTTTCAAGCCACTTGCAGCTGCTTAGCTGCAAAGGTATGTTTCAAGAAACGCCGCAGCCGTAATCGGGCTGGCAAGTGTTCCAATTTTCAAGGTTCCTCTTAATGTCCTCATTCGGGACTCCTCAATAAACATCCGTCAATGACTCTTCTACACTTTATGCTCGAGGTAGCGTTTGCTTTTCCCCCTCGCGTAGAAAGTGTAGGAAAGCCACAACGGCTCAGGTCCACAGCGTTGCTCGAATTCCATGGTTCCATGATTAAACATTAGTGGAAACATCAACTGGCACCAAACGCTGAGAGGAGCTACACTTGTATGCCCAGAGAAGTCGTTGCGGACAAAAGGCACACTACGTGCCGATCGTTCCGCCAGCCACACTTTAAGCATGGCTCTTGTTCGTAAGTGCCCTTGACCGTCACAACCCAAGGTTGCACTGCCGGTCGGGACTTTTTGCACCACGAGCCATGCTACCGGTCTTGAAGAAAGAAGACCAACAGCACGAGGATGAAACAGACCTGCCATAACGGCCGCAAGCAGTGTCTGCGAGAGTTTTTAATTGATTGGTGGCGCTCTTGGACAAGCATGTCCAGGTGCGCGTGTGATACATGCGTGCGATGCCTGCGATGCCTGCGATGCCTGCTGGTAGCGGCGCTTGGTTGTTTGCCTGTCTTCCTGCAAGGTTGCCCAATTCGGCACCTCTCTGTCTCCTTCTGCTCTGCTTTGGTCCTCATACGGTCTGCGATTCATTCGACTTGTCCCCATTTGCACCTTAGTTCTGTCAAACGCGGGATCTGTCACGCGCTACATGGTCAATTAGATGCGGCTGATGGTCGGAGCAGCAGCTTTTGAGTGTGGCAACTGGCCAGCCAAGGCGTTGTCAGATAAAGTTGGCAAATTGTGGGTTTCGTGTCGTGCGAACACGCTGCTTTCCATGTGCTCTCAACATGTCCGAGCCAATGACGGTCCTTTTCCCGACCCATCTCGCTGGTGCTGTCTGGAACATCTTGGGCTGTAGAATAATGGCCGTATCTCATCGGCCATGCGACTAGTGAAGCTGGCCCCATGTCTTGGCTCCGGTGGGATCGCGCAAACCTTGTCCGCATGCGTGTGTCCACCACGGTTTGTACGTCCGTAAGTCGCACTTGAATCGCATACCATCATTCTGTGCAAAGCCTGTGTTTTGATGCCTCGTTGCCATTTATGCGTTACGTACGGACATGCTTGGAATCGGCTTGCGTGCCAAGTTGTATTCCTTTGTCAAACGGCCCGCGCATTACATTGTTTTCTCAGCATGCATGCACAGTGCACGAAGGGGAAATGCCCACTTCGGATTCCACGTGTAGATACCCGCACAGTCAAGGATTATAGCCAATTCTATTGCATACACGGCCAGTGCATCCTCGTCATGCACTTTGAATTGAGTCTCCAAACTGAATCTATCCCTAGCCCCTTTTAGATATGTTCCGTGCCAAAACGCCCAATCCCGTCCCTCATCTCGTGCGGAAGTGCATTTGCAGATCAATCACTCTGGCAAGACTGTCTTCTCACCTTCGGACTTCATCCGAGCTCCAATGGAGGGCCTCCCTGATCGCCGTTGGGCAATGCTGTCGACCGTGACATCTAGACTTGAAGTATCCACATCTGGCTGGCTCACGTGGGCCAAAGGTCCGTTCCGAGTCAACTTCTCGATGTTCTCGCGCGTGAGTTTCGAGGGACGAGCGTCGGTCACGTTGTCTTGTGCTGGCGTCTCTCCTGGTATACCCAAAAGTTTTGTGGGTGTAGCTGCGCTTGCAAACAACTGCTGATCACGCAATTGCATCGCCTTCTCTTCGTTTCGCAACCGATCCATCGAACGACTCTCTGCAGTTTCGGCAGATCGTGCAAATACTGAATCATTCTGGAAGTTCAGCTTGTTGAGCTTTGTCGAAAGAACGTCTGTTGCTCTCTGGCCTGATGTGGTGGGTCGAATGTCCATCTTTGGTTGCGCCTCCTCCTGGACATTATCTCTTGAGGGGCCAGATTGGGGTGGAGGTTGAGGAATGCTTGTGGGCACAGGAGATTTGTTGGTGGGTGTGTTGGATGACAAGGCTGTCTTGCGTTTCTTTTCGACAGCCCACTTCAGTAGCATTTGCTCCAGCGTCTTACCCTTCACAGGCTTGGCCAGGTAGTCGTTCATTCCAGCCTTCTCGCACTTCTCTCTATCGCCTTGAATTGCGCTTGCAGTCATTGCGACGATGGGCGTGTTTTGAATCTGTTCGTCGGCGATGAACGGCTCGCAATGACGGATTGTGTATGTTGCTTTGTAGCCATCCAGAATGGGCATTTGTACGTCCATCAGGATAATATCAGGCCTCGGGTGCTCTGGAGTTTCTGGTTTGCTGAGATAATCAAGTGCTTCTTGTCCGTTCCATACGGCATTGACAGAGAATTTGAGCTTTTTGATGGTCTTCAGGGCAATCTGCTGGTTGATCGGGTTGTCTAGCCACGAGTCAGTCGGTAGTTCGTCGAAATCTCAACCACGTCACTGACCTTCAACAACAAGAACATGTGTCTTCCGCCTCTCCTCGTCTGATAGTCCAAGTGGTAGATCGAGCTGAGCTGGAGACGCTCTGCGTGAGTCTACAGATGGTTGGCGAATACCTGGTTTCAATGGCGAGCCTGGAGGCTGTGCTCCACTGTACTCAGACATCGAAAGCTCAGAATGCAGTCGGTGAGGAATTGGACCCATGTCTAATGGAGGTGAATCTCCAGAGAGATACGGTGCTTTGTTGAATGGTATCCAGAATGATGCTTTGGTACCAAGTCCCAATGAGGATTCCAGCGAAATCTCGCCGTGCATGAGTTCAACCAGCTGATGATGTTAGCTGATGAGAATCAGAGTCAAGCTAAAGCTTCGCTTACATTCTTGCTAATGGTCAGACCAAGACCAGTTCCACCAAAGCGCCTGGCCGTACTGGAATCTGCTTGTGAGAAAGGCTGGAATAGTCTCTTTCTGACCTCTTCTTCGATACCTATACCAGTGTCTTCAACCATGAATTGCACAGCCACGGTCTCCGCAGTTTCCTCTTTGATCTTGACCTGCATCTTAACGCTGCCTTCGGAGGTAAACTTGATCGAATTAGTGAGAAGATTAGTCAAAATCTGCCTCAGACGGCCTGGGTCACCCATGACTTTTAGGCGTTCGAGCTCTTGAGTCTCGTCGATGTACATGAGACCTTTGCGTTCGGCCGCAAAGGTGAGCATCTTGTTGACATCGCGAACAACGACATTCAAGTCGAATTGGACATCCTCTATGTCAAGTCGGCCACTCTCCACCTTGGAGAAGTCAAGGATGTCGTTGATCACAGTAAGAAGGCCGTTGGCCGATCGTTGTAGATTCTCAGCACACTCACGTTGCTCTTCGGTCAGAGTGCCTTCTGTATCGTCCAATAGAAGCTCAGACATGCCGATGACGCCGGCAATGGGTGTGCGGATCTCGTGAGACATATTGGCTGGCACGTGTTAGCTTGCGCGGGTATTTCCTCCGGGGGTCGTATTACCTAAGAATTGCGACTTCATCTTGCTGGCTTCCTTCGCAGCCTCGCTCTGGGCTAACAGACGCGAGTTTTCCCGATCGCGTTCTCGAAGTTGTTCCTCTCGTTTTCTCAGATCCGTTACGTCCATACTGACGGCGACGACACCATCCACAAAAGCGTCGCCCTCCACACCTGCATTGCGCTCCAAGCGTTGCAGAGGAACAAATCTTGTGCGGACCCACGTATTGCCTTCTTTCAAATGCAGTTCAGAGGTCTCATCGTTTTGTCTGCCAGCCAGAATGTTCTCGATGTACTCTTTGTGATGACCACCATCCAGAATGGCTGCTGTGTCAAATAACTCGAAAACATTCTTACCGATAGCGTATCTTCGGATCTCTTCGTCAGAGTGCTTGGAGTCATCGTTCCATACAATAGCTCCCTCAAGCATGGACAGGTTGCGATCGGAGTTCACCGACCATAGCGTAATCTTGGCCATTTCGATGACTTGCAGAAGCTGCAGTCTCATCTGTCGAGCGTCTTCTCGAGCAAGCACCAACTCATGGATATCAGTGCAAGTACCAAACCTAAACACAGTCAGTTTGAACATGATCAGAGGAAGTAAGTGCATAACGTACCATTTGACAATCTTTCCAGACGAGTCCTTCATGGGCACTGCTCGACCCAGCATCCAGCGCCAATCTCCATCTTTGGATTGGCATCTGTATTCTGTTCTGTATTCCTCGCCAGACGCTAGACTGTGTGCCCATCTCTTTCCCGTCAACTCCATATCATCTGGATGGAATGGATTTTCCCAACCGTTGCCGAGACTTTGATCTACGGAGAGGCCTGTGTATTCGTACCATCTTCTCGAATAGTAGTCATGCTGACCGGTCGGTGTGGTTGTCCAGATCATTTGCGGTATCATGTTGGTTATGTCCTCAAATTGTCGCTCGTTCTGTACCTTCTGAGCGGTGATGGTATTGGCATACTCAGTAACGTTATGGAAGATGACAAGACCACCGAGGAATTCACCAGTCTTACTGTCAGTAATAGTCTCGCCGTCAACGTCGTATATAATCTTGTCGCCAGATCTGGGGTGGTGCATGCCGACACGTCTGTTTGAGAATCGCTTCTCTGTTGTCATGAGATGCATGATAGGAAACTCGCTCATCGGGAGCAGTTCAGAAAAGTCTTCCTTCCAGAGAACATATTTCGAGAGGAAGTCTCGCTGGTCTCGAACTCCCGTGACGCCTTCTTCGTCATCAGGATAGACCATCCGCACAGCAGCTTTGTTGGGGATACCGAAAGATTCATCTTTCCACATGGCGAAAGCCGGATCGCTCAGCGAATTCAGCAGGGCATCTTTCAGACGATTAGACTTTGAAAACAGAGAGGGCGCAGCAGCAGAAGTAGTTAGAGAAGGAGGCCCAGTAGGCAAAAGTGAAGGAGCAAACACAGACGGGCTACCGGAGAGGCTGGTACGATGTTGATGTTGTGTACGACGACCGCTCGAACTAGAGCTTGATCCAGATCCCATGCCTGAGGAAAAGGTAGTGTGGGTCCTTGCAACAGTACGGTGGCTTGAGCGGGAAGACGAAGACTGAGTCTCGGCTGCTGAGGTAAAGACCAAGGTGTAGTAGTCCACATCATCGGCAGACCAAACGGTGATGATGACTGTGGACTGAATATGGCCCGACGCATCGTGGTTGAGCTCCTTGGTGCGAGGAAGACCTGTAATGGGGTCGCGGTTCGTAGAGAAGACGACGTCGACAGCAGCATCGTGTACAGTAGTGCGAGCCAGGTTGGCGCGGGTCAGAGGCACAGGCTTGGACTGCAGGCTGATGGCATCATAGTTCTCTGCTGTGGGCGTGGTGTCCCCGCCATCAGACTTTGTTTCTGCCTGGGCGCTAGCATCGACAGCGTCTTGCTTGATGGTATTGAGAAAGTCTGCCCAACGCATCCATACAGGATTCGCGTTCTGGAGGAGGTCCATTCCAAGGTTGTCCATGGGGATTCCGCCCAGGATATCGCTGGCACCCCTGACATCCTCTTGCTCGTTGCTATCGCCACTTTCCGGTCCAGTCTGTTGTTGCAGATCTATGCCCAGCAGTCTCCCCAAGGCCTCGTTGGCAAGCACGACCGTCTTCTCGCTAGATAGAACCAAGACTGGCATGGGCAGGTATTGCAAAGCGGTAAAGGCGGTATCGGTCATGCTCGGACCCGAAGGGATTCGAATGGAGAGGGGAGAAGACGGCGAATGATCTCGGTAGCCTTCATCGCACGTGTTGAGGTCGAAGTAGCCTGCAGCCGACGGGTCGTCGAATCTCATGTTGGTCCTCTGTCTCGGGGAGGGAGAGGCTTGCCTCGCTTGTTGGGACGTGTTCGAGGTCATGTCGTTTCGAGGGCTGCGACGCTATGGCGCGCGCATTGCCTGGCGGTCCGACGAGCGGTGGTATACGGCGACGGTATAGGATGCGAAGGGGATTTGGACAATGTCTGCGAAAGCGGGACCGGCCGGCTGAGTGGCTGCAACTGTCAACAATGCACTCCTGCTCAGTTGCACCGATGTCTGACTTCCGCGATAAATACGCTTGTGACGTTGTCCAAACCTTATATACAGGCCCAGGAATGCGATCGAGCCTGCTGTCCGACGTGATTCTTCGTCACGACACTGTATAAGGTCTCGGACTCCTTTTTCGACCTGTCACACGTCGAGACCTGATCACAGTATAGGGAGTCCCAGAAGATCGTAGCGCAAAGGCAGTTCGTTCCTGCGCGCGATGCTCCATGGAGCTGTTTTCGATCGACAGCCACTTCTCCGAATCGGGTCAAGTCCTCCACAGAAACATGTTCTAGAAGTGGCCGCTCGAGCCAGGGTGAGAAGACGATGGCTTTTTTTTCGCTCGCAAACCTCATGGAGACCGGAGCAGCGACGGCAAGTTCTTGCTTGCTAGAGTTTACAGTAATTGCATCTTGTACGCAGAGCTAACAGTGATAACACCTCTGTCAGTCGTATAGGTGCCATCATCCAGGGACCGACTCGCGTTGTTCCCCAGAAGCGGGAGGCTGGTGCCGCGTAACCGCATACATGCACCGACCAGTTCACGTTGACCTTCTTCGCCGGAGCTCCTCAAGTCGTCCTCCAGCAGCAGACTGTCATCATGCCGCCCTTCACCATACAGCAGTGTGCAATTCCTGCCGTGACTATTCTCATCGTCATCATAGCATATCCATCGCTCTGGCTGCTCGAACGACTCGGTCCTCAACCTCTGACTAAACAGCAACACATAATACTTCATACATATGCCTTGGTAATTGTGTTTTGCTACTACAAGGCATGCTTCACAAATCCCGGCACCATTCCAAAAGACTGGGTGTCCGGACAGAGCGAGGTCGCCAAAGTTCAAGTTACTCGAGAGGAACGCCAACGCCAAAGATGGTGTCGCAAATGTCAGGCCTTCAAACCACCACGGGCACATCATTGCAAGACATGTGAAAGGTTTGTCGCTTCGTGCTATCAGCAGCCATAAAATCCACTCTAACAAATCAAGGTGTATCCCCAAGATGGATCACCATTGGTATGTCTCGCTCACATCTCTTTGTCAATATCGTTCTCACCCTTCAAGCCCCTGGACAGCAAATTGTGTTTCCCACACTACTTTTCCACACTTTGTCCGCTTCTTGTTCTACGCAGTGGCTGGCATGTCGCATCTTGGGTGCCTCCTGTGGTCGCGAATGTACCACTTGTGGACGCTGAAAGATCTCCCATATGTATGTGCTTATGTGCTTCAGGAGTGACAACATATTAACCCCCGTCCAGTATCTTGGCCCGACACCTTCCCTCTTGTTTGGCCTCTTCTTCATCACTGCTTTGAATTCCGTGGTCGTCTTCATGCTATTCATCTTGCTCGCTCGCACGCTCTGGTGTCTAGGTGCAAACACTACCACTATCGAAGGCTGGGAGATAGAGAGACATGAGACGTTGCTTCGTCGTGCTAAGTATCTTGGTGGTGTTCTTGAAGGCCCTAATGGAGCCAAGGTACGTATCATCAGGCAGGAATATCCTTGGGATATCGGTATCTTCTCCAACATTGCACAAGGCATGGGTAGCTGGAACCCTCTTGCCTGGTTTTGGCCCTTCTCGTTCACTCCCTCCGTGGAAAGTGGGCTGGAGTTCGAAGACAACGGTCTCGAAGGTGAGTCTTGGTCTGTGTATGTGTCACTCAGAGCCAACGAATATTATAGCACCTGGCACAACGTGGCCACCACCGGACCCGGACAGAATGTTTCGCATGGCACCTACGGAGAAAGCTTTTGATCCATCAAAGGCATTTACTCATTCCATGGATCCCGAAGAGTTCTACAAAAGGCAGCAGGCTGATCAGCTACGCCCTCATCTCGACGCTGACGTTTCCGAGCTTCGACGAAGGCAGCCCTTCCATGTGCGATATGACCAGAAGATTACCCGGAAGCGTCGCGAGGATGATTACGTCTATGACAATGACAACGACTACGAGTCAGACGGTAATGAAAGCGAGGATGATGTGCCCCAGTGGCAACCAAAGCCAGGGGAAGGCGAAGAAGGCTGGCGAAACTCCGAGGGTGAGAGACTGGACGACTTCGGCGTTGATGAAGATGTTGAGTTCTACGACGAGGACGACGTACCTCTGGGTGAGCTGATGAGACGAAAAAACTTGGCCAATGACAGTTCGGCGTATTGAGCAGTTATCTTTGATGAGATATAGTCGTCTTGCTCACCACCTGAGTGGCTTCCAGGGGAAAGGCCGATCTCGGGGTCTCATGCCCGATATCGCGATACATGCTCACCTCCGCATCTCCATCCAGCGTGCGGTCGAACATTGATATTAAGGCCGGGTGTCCACTACCTGGATCTTTCTACATCTTACAGCGTTTTCTCGAGACAACCAATATGAGCAAAGTCAATGATAAATGGTCATCTGAGGTGTGTATGCTGTCTATCTCGTTTTTCGTCTTGATCTACATTCGATCAATGGATGAGAAACATCATAAGCATCAAGCATTGATCTTTATATATTGAATCGTAGCGGAGCAATAGAAACGTCTCAGAGCTGAAGTGTCTGACATGAACAGATCTATTCAGCAGCTGCAGGATTCGTACCAAAGCTCACAACGACTGTTCTCTCCTACCTCTCGCCGAATCCAAATGAAAGGATTCTCGACATTGGCTGCGGCGATGGTCCTTTGACCGCCCAGATAGCCGCCTCGTTACCCCAAGGCCACATATTTGGCCTAGATGCCTCGCCATCGTTCATAAAGACAGCAAAGGAGAAGCATTCGAGTCAAAATTGTGTCTTCCAACTCCAAGATTGTCGCCATATTGGCGAATGCGCTGAAGCAGTCGATGGTAGTTGGGACAAGGTGTTCAGCAACGCAGCTCTCCATTGGATACTACGTGAGCCCAGTACAAGAGATGTTGTTTTCAAGGACGTTCACTCGGCCTTGAAACCAGGTGGTACATTCGTCTTCGAGATGGGTGGTAAAGGCAATGTGGAAGCTGTTCACGCGACGATCTTGTCTGTTCTGGTCGCCAACGGGATTGCCCTTTCGACGGCCAGAGAAGCATGTCCATGGTTCTTTCCCAGCGATACATGGATGACACAGCAATTGCAAAAGTCGGGCTTCGAGGTTGTCAAGTGCGAGTTGGAGTACAGACCTACCAAGTGTACTCCTAGATCTGCCGATGGGTCTGGTGGCTTGGAAGGTTGGGTCAAGCTCATGGGAGCTGAGATGTTGAATGCGGTAGATGAGAGTAAGCGAGGGGATATTGTCAAACAAGTCTGCGATGTTTTGGAGACTGTTGTGACTCGAGAGGAAGATGGGAGTCAGTACCTCAACTACGTCAGACTTCGCGCTGTGGCACGAAAGATATAACACGCCAACCACAAATTATGATATGATCAGACGCAATCAATGTCAACCTCGAAGCGGAAAACATCTTGCTACAATGGTATTTTTGACTATCTATGTTCTGCGAATTGTGACGATTGCCATTGAGAAGCGTTTGTGGCTGTCCGCAGCATACACGCAAGTGGAAGCTCGAGGTCAAAACATCACGCAAGTCGTATTTGCATCCCAGTTCACAACAACATGATCTGACGTCCTGTTACTTGATTCAGACACTATAAAACATGCTACAAACAGTTGGTGGAGCCACCAGTATCTTAAAAAAAAAAACGTGTATTGGGATAAGTCAGAGTTACTGCTCAGATGTGTGGCTGTTGGTATGACCCTGACTCTTAATCAGTCCTTCTGTCGACTGTGCCTGTTGCCATGCACGTTACGCTATTGCAACCACGTGAAACAAGGTCATACAATGTCGAACAAGAAGATCAGATTCGCTTCCAGCTGGTCTATGGTAGATCTGATTTGTCCGTTGCCTCCTTTTCCATCGCAGTGCCTCGTATGAGAAAGGCATGGTCATCTGTCACCGCAGAACAGTGTGAGCAGCGCAAATGGTGCTGCGGCTATCTCCATACAAGAATGGATTCATAGAGAATGCAATCACCGTGTCTACCTATAGCTAGGAGGTCAGGATGAAGCACAAGGAGGAGTCTGTAGAGGTAGCCCTAAGGAAGAGGTTGGGAGCTAAATGGGGAAACAAGGCTTTGAGTACGTCATTGCCGAACCCCAGACCAGCGCAGGCAGTTGCAGCTCGACCGAGACCGAGCCAGACCCCGACCTTCCCAACTAGCATCGCAACCATTGACGATCGCCTCAAGTCAGCCAGCATACCACATACCGACCGCCATGGAGTACGAACCGACAGCCGACGACGCAAATGTCGACCTCGCCGGACCCGGCCTGCACGGCAAGCTGGAATGCCGCGTGACGGACCCTCAGAAAGAGAACGAGGGCACACAGAACCCCTTCATCTCCTACCTCGTCACCACCGACACAGACTTCAAGTCCTTTGTCAACCAGCACTCTCAGCTGCGCCGCCGCTTCACAGACTTTGTCTTCTTGCAAAAACACCTCACACGCGAATACCCGCAATGTGCCGTGCCGCCGCTGCCCGACAAGCACAAGATGGAATATGTTCGCGGCGACCGCTTCGGCCCTGACTTCACTGCCCGTCGCGCACACGCTCTGAACCGCTTCTTGAACCGCCTCGCCTTACATCCCGTCCTTCGTCGCGCTGCCCTGCTCGCCCAGTTCCTCGAAAGCGACTCATGGAACTCGACCATGCGTTCCCGAGCCGCCCGTGGCATGAGCACTGGTGAGGCCACCGCTCCGAGCGTACTGGAAACATGGACAGACAGCTTCCTGAATGCATTTGCCAAAGCACACAAGACAGACCGCCGCTTTGTCGATGTTCGCGAACGTGCCGACAAGCTCGACGACGACCTCTCCACCGTTGCCAAATCAGTCTCTCGCCTCGCACGCCGCGAATCTGATCTTGAAGGCGACTACGGAGATCTAGCAACACAATTCCAGAAACTCGCCCAGCTGGAACCTGGCGTGCAAAATGAGCTCACCAGCTTTGGATCAAGCATACAATCAAACTCGCAGGCATGGAAAGACTTGCGCGAATACACCGATCAAGACTATCTTGGCAGTCTACGTGACATGGAAGCCTACATTGCCTCTGTAAAAGCACTCCTCAAGACGCGCGAACAAAAACAACTCGACTTTGAAGGCTTGTCCGAATATCTGACCAAAGCCGCTAGCGAACGCGATCATCTCGCTTCTGGACCCAGCATGGGCGCCTCTGGCTTCATACGTGCCAAAATCGAAGACGTACGCGGTGTAGATCACGAAACGGCGCGCAAGGAACGCGTACGCAAGCTCGAGCTCCAAATCGAACGTCTGCAGAATGAAGTCGAGACGGCAAAGAAGACGAGTGAGGCCTTCGATATTGAAGTGGTCAAGGAGGTGGATGACTTTGAACGTATCAAGGCGACCGAGTTCCGCGAGACGTTGGGTGGGCTTGCGGATGCCAATTGCGAGTACTTCCGCTCTACTATCGATACGTGGCAGAAGTTTATCGATCAATTGGAGCGCGAGCAAAGGGAGTCTACGACGAGTAGTTGAAAGATCGAGTGATATTCTTGATTCGATACTACAAGTTTGAAGGGGAGGCCTTTTAGACCCGAGTGGCTTGGGAGAGATACTAGATAACGAGGATAACCTGAATGTGTAATTATGATAAGCCCTTTTTTTCGTTGTTGTAAAATGAGCGTGTTGAATAGAATAGGCAAAGGTGACATTTTCTTGCCCAGGGTTCAGAGCTCAGCTTTCTGTCTCTTTGCTTTCCTGAGATCCGCTTGTAGTACAATCATTGATATCAGAATCCATGCTCCCCCCAATTTTCCAAAACCATGCCACGCTAAGAAAGGCCCATTTCTTCATTCAGGTGCTGCAGGTGCTCAATCGTCAAAGAATGAAGCATTACCAACCTCTGGATCATAATTCTCATGTCTAGCCTCCTTGAATCCACTACCTCCTTGCGATCTTCTCTTCCGCTTTCCATTCTTTCCAGTCTTTTTCTTTTGTTGTTGTTGTTCACCTCCTTGTTGTATCTTTTGCCAAAAGGCCTTTCCGATAAAGGAGACCGTGGCTGCGATGACGAGGACGAGGGCTGTTCTGGCGCCGCCCTTTGTGAAAAGTTAGAGATGAGAAAGGAGGGGAAAGGAAGGGGAGGGAAAGGGGGAAAGAGGTGAGTGCTTACTGCCATGATTGCTGCTTTTTTTGTGGATATGATGGAGGAAGAAGAAGGAGGAGGAGGATGGGAGGAACGATCTTGCTGAGATCGTGGGGGAAGTGAAGAAGACTGGTGTGCTTTTTGGTGTGAAGAGAGATGTTGTTGTGTGAGATCGTTGGTTGATGTTGAGCTTCTTGGGGCAGTGACGATCTGAGGCAATAAAGGTCAGTATTGTACTGCTGATGACATACGACAGTGAACTTACTCGTCAATCTGCTGACGTTTGGTTGATGAGATCGTCTGATACGACTCGAAGTCGTGGTTGATGTTCGAAGTTGAACGAGAGGTTGACCGACGATCTCATGCAGGTTGATGAAAAGAGGAAGAGGTAAGCTTGTAGTTGTGTCGACAACTATCGATCGACAAGCGGAGGTCCGAGCACTGTAGTGAGAGTGGATAGGTGTGAGCAAAGGAGGCGAGAAGAAAATGTGAGATATAGCAATGTAGTGACGAGAGGGTCATCTGGTGGAAGTAGCCGGGGTATGAAAGCTATCTACTTGGGTCCAAAGCTCAATCCAGCACTCTATTGTTGCGCTACTGGAGCCGGGATGTTCTAGTGCTATCGACACTTGCTCTCACCGATTCTGTAGCAGTGGGCATCCTCTGTAATGCCGGCATGAGATCCCTTTCTCTGACCGTCACTGTTGTCGTCCTCGTCTCTCGCACCACCATAACCGTCTCGCCGGAGTTGTGGTAGTCGGTCTCGCAGCTGACCAGGGGCTGTGTAGTTTCTTCCTCGACAGGCGCATTGTTCTGTCCCGGGCTGAGCAATCTCGACATGCCATTCGAACCAGAATCATCGACGGCAAGGGCGACTGATTGAATATCGATGGACGGAAGAAGGTGCATGCCCAATCTCAGTGGCACAAGCACGAGTGAGACTTTGGTCTCTTCATCATCAGGCTTAAGATCAAAGCGTGAGCGCTTGGGTCCAGCCACAAGCCAAGGACCATCTGCAGACGCATCGACATCATACGAAAATGAGAGCGGCGTATCTGATGCGACTGCCACGCTGGCCCAGCGCCTTGTATGCTTGATTGTGAGAGTGGCTGCTAGTGGGCGGCCGATTATGACAGCCTCTGCCGCCCTACTGTCATCGAGGCGAAGAGTAACTGTGTGCAAGACATCGACAGTAGGTACTTCGACAGAGAGAGTAATCTTTCTTGACGAAGCAGCTGGCTTTGTTTGGTCAAGAGGCAACTTGTGATTGTTCTACATTAAGGTTAGCACAATGTTGGTCAACATACTGATTATCAGACAAACGACTTACAGAGTGCCATTCCTGCAGCCACAGTTCTAGGCCTTGCCGCATGTCACTCGTTAGACTGGCAACAAGCCTTTCCCACCCCATGGATCCGTAGGAAGGTACTTGGAACTCATTGAGCAGCACTGCCTGTTCGAGCTGGTGGGCAGGTGCATACGACTTTGTTCTGTTCAACAAGGTAGGTACGAGCAAGCGCCGTAAAGCTGCAAAGGGGCTGCTCGCAACTGCCTGTTCGAATGTTTCGCCAAGCTTCTCAAAGATAGCCTCGTCAGAGCGTATGTATTCGACAGTCAGTGACAATGCAGCTTCCTTCTTGTTCAGCTCGCCTTGACCATCCTTTCTTGTAACCTTGTAAGTCAGATTGGCTGGCTGCTTGTCAAACACAGTCATTGGGAGAGGGCAAGGTAGAGCTCGCACTCCGTAAAACTCGGACTCTTGCACTTGCACATTTGTGACTTGCAGTGGTGTCGCGTTCGTCGTCCTAATACTGAAACGGGAAAAAAGAGCATGAGACTTGAAGATGTCGTTAACATCTACATCCAGGGGCAATGCTGCCGAGACCGCTGAAGTACGAAGGTACGAGAATAATCCCTGGCTGGTTTGGTAGTTTGCCTCCAGTTTAATGATAAGCTCGTCGAGGGCGCGTTCTGTGCTGTAGGGTACTCGGATTTTGAGGACCACTTCTGATCCCGCTGCGCCGAGTCGAAGCGTACCAGCTTGTGATGTATCCAGATGAGCGTGATCGCTCTCTATAATGGCAGCATCCGCAGTATGGAGTCTCAGTCCGGCGGACGCAGACTTGAGCCGTAGGTCAAGACTTTCAGTATTGTTGCGGCCTGTCACGACGGTGAGCTCAATCGATCGTATCTTGTCGATGTGGATCTCATTGGCTAGCGTTGTTCGGATTTCGAGAGACTTGCCATGAGGATAAACTAGCAGAGAAGGTCCACTCATGCTAGGCCTCCTCCCAGACATGTTTGCATTGGTAATGCCCAGCGGGGTCGTCTGTGGCTTCGGCTGGAATTCATGGGAGAAGTGTAGCTTCTTCGACTCCAGCGTTAGTTTGTCAATCAGATAATGTCCGTAGGTTGTGACGCTCGAATGGACTTGGAGTTTTGCAAGGCCACGCTTCAGCGTCAGAGGACCGTCGCTCTGCAAAAGTATCTCCTGACTTCCGTCGCTTACTAGCACCAGTCGTAGCTTGACACGATCGAGAATGAGATCCTCATCCAGAAGGTGTGTGAAGTGGACGTTCAGGCTAAAACCATCCTTGCCTGAATAATGCATTATTTCAGGGCTTACATTGATGTTGGCGAAGAACTCAGACATTGTGGCGTTGAAGTTGTACGGGAGCTCTCCTGAAAAACTCACGAGCTCTTCGAGAATACTGGTAACATCGACTGTCTCCTCGTCTAGCCATGCAGAAGTACCACGTATCCTGGGCAGTGATTTAGCCGTACGATGTGCAACCACCTTACCCAACAGGCTCAGCATCACTCTCATGTATTCGTCTCGCCGGTGCAGATCCTTCAGACACTTTGCGTATATCCTCAGCATCTCACCATGGACGTAAGACCAACTTGTCTTGAGGAAAGTTGCAGAGGAGCGCTGGAAGTAAGTAGCTGCCTGAGCGACATCGCCAAGTTGGCTAGATGAGAAGTCAGCTAAAGCCGAGGTCTGTTACGATGTCTTGAAGACATACTATTTGAGTATGGCAAGATCACTCATGACAGAGTCTGCTGATTTTGTGTGATTTGCGGTGCTGAAGTGCGACATTGCGAGCTTGCTCAGTTGCTGTCAAAGAAATCAGTACTACTCAGTACGAAATACCAAGGACATGTTACCTCGTAGACAGCTCGGAATTCCTCGAGAGATGCGAGAGCAGACGACAAGGGGGCACTAAGAACCATATTCGTTATCTTCTCAATCTTCGCGGTCGACGTCGAAGCCTTGAGTGCTTCTCTTTCTAAATCAGCCCCAGTCTCTTCTTCGCCGTCGAGATCAATGTCGACCATGGCTTGCGGTTCCTTGATCGCAGCCCAACCAGATTGCCACCCCTTCTGCTTGGCAAGAGCTTCGATGATTCTGCGCTGCATCAGGAGAAGCTGAGCCCGTCCAGATGCAAGGACAGCGATGCCAGAGCCAATTGTGCTCATGGTATCTGGCTGAGCGCTAGGCGTTGATTTGGCATATCGATCATTCTCGTAGATAGTTTGTGGCGTCAATTGAGACGAGGAAGAGGCGCTTCGTTGTAAAGAGCTCGACCGTGCTGGGTGGGTGTTGGCACCCTGAGGGAAGTTGAAATTACCACCTGCCTCTTTTTTAGAGAAGACACCAAGCGTTTGGAATTGTGGTGTTAGCTGCGCTTTGTCACCAGACAAGGACAAATCTTTAGAGGCGGTCTCCTCAAGGACCTGCTCGAGTACAGCATGCGTCCAGGAAGAAGCAATGTTTTCCACAAGTGAAGAAACAAGAGAATTGATTTCAGACCTACACATCTATCAACACAAGGATCTATCTGAATGTGCATGGAGGTATAACAATACCCATCAGTCAAGCCACTACGAAGAGCACGTGAATTGGTGGCAGCGAATAGAGCTGCTCTCTTGCAGACTTCAGCAGCAAAAGTCAGATTGTCATCTTTTGGACTAGCTCTGGCACTGGAAGGTTTGGTCTGTTGAAGATTGCCAATTCCAGCGCCAAGACGAAGCAAAAGTGTTCTTTGCCTCGCAAAAATGTAAAGTCGAAAGTCAAACAGAGATATGGTGCTGGAGACTATAGCGCCACGATAATCCTTCTTGGTCAGATCCAAGGGCTGGCTAAATAGTTCTTGAAACTGCGAAGTTAGCTGTTCGAGCCTAGATGTGTCGGACTGGGCATCAATAGTTTCCAGTAGGGCTTTTCTTTGAGTGTCAAGGTCACCGAGGAAGGTTCCTTGTGTAGCGCCAGGTTCGTTTTCACGTAGAACGGAATCGAGGCCTACCGACAGCTCATCATATATCGCCAGAGCGTCTTCGACGAGACCAACGCTTTCAAAGCCACGAGCAAGACCCTCTTTTAGGGTGAAAAAGGTGCAGAAGTTCCAGCCGGGTAGGGCACGTTGGGAGCCCTTCTCACGAATGTCGTCTTCGTATTGGAGAACGCGCAAATCAAACGACATGAGGATCAGAGTCTTGAACTTGGCAATGAGGTCCTGCCAGGCGTTGTCTTGCTCCTGCAAGCTTTCAGTGTATGGTTGAGTGACGGGTGTCTGTGGTAGCAGCTGTGGAGGAACGTCTTTCTTTTGCAGACGGATTTGAGCGATACGTTCTGGACCAGACTTTGAGGAAGCGGTGAAGTCGGCACGAATCTTGTCCAGTACAGTCCTTGAGTTCTTGCCAGGCCATTTCGTGGTGCTCGAAGGCCTCTCAACCAATTCGTCAGGTTCCTTTTTAGATGCAGCAGTCCAGCGAGGCTCGGATGCGGCGATTGTATCAGGAATGACGACGTGTAGGATAAGCCATTCGGCAGCATCGTGGTCCTCGGACCTGTTCACAGCCGAGGAGCTTTGCGCTGGTAGAGCAGTCTCCCTGAGCCAATCGCGAAGCATCTGGCGCGATGAAGCCTTGTACGTGTCCTTGTCATCGCATCGAAGCAGGTAGATTCGGAGGTATGGAGTCTGGCGCAAGCCGGGGATCTGGTGTCTTCTTTCTTTGGCGACTGTAGCAGCGCCGGGTCTGGAACCGTACGAGTCGACGCGCTGCAGCTTGTCGCTCTCTGAGGCTTCGGTCTGAGCATCGGGAACGAACTCGACATGGAGGGCACCGATAGAGCGTAAGGGTCTCGAGGGAGATTTCCAGTTCAAGTTTCGTAAAGGTAGCCTGGAGGCCAGGTCACGCGAGATCAGAGGGAAGATGCCAGAAGGATCGTGGTACTCGACTGCACGACTTATCAGACAAGACTTTCAGGGCAACGACAAGGCAACTGACCAGTGACCTTTGAACTCAGGTCAGACTCCATTGCTGAATGCGACCCAGGGTCAGGGAGTAATCAGGAAGTAGTGCAGGAGAGCCAAGCGTGCATAGAAGCAATTGTTACAAAGCATCAGCGCATCGTGTCGGCGGAGAGTCAATCAGGTCGAGGTGCGAGAGGGAGAGCAAATGGTCAGAAAGCGGACGTTTGATTACAGCAGGGTGGCATTGTTTGACATGACGGACAGGGAGGTGGAAGCTTGGGGAGACAGCGACTTGTGGCCGGGCGGGCCAAGTGTTTTGACCGACACGACGGTGGTCAGCACAGCGGAAGCCAGAGGCAGTCGGAAGTTGGCAAAGCGACGACGGCGAACTGCGGATCGAAAGACATCTCTCACACCACACATCCCACAATGCAGTCGTCGCAGATCAGAGCCGTACGCCTTGCCCACTCCGAACGCCGCGCGCATCTATACTGACGCTTCTCCAGGCCCAGTTCGGCACCAGGTTCGAGGGCCACCACGGCATGCAGCCATGGGTCAGCCTGCCCAACTACAAGGCCTACCAGAGCAAATACGGCCCCAAGTGAGCATCATCACTCCGACGGACGCCTCCGCATCTAGATACTGATCCGTCTTGCCTCCAGCTACAAGATTGGCAAGAACTTCCACGGCATTGACCTCCACCGCGCCAGAATCTTGTACGTCAACCGCCCCTCCTTCTATTCCCATGTCAGCAATCACTCGCATCTCCATGCTCTGGAATCCCCTGTTCCAGACGTCTCCAGAATCGAACGCTTCTGATGTCACCGCGTACTGTCTGCTAACACGACTCCTTATAGCGGCACTACCGCTGCCGGCTTCGGTGCCGTTGCTGGTATCTTCGCCCTCTTCTTCTTCGCCGACATCCCCCGTGTGAGAAAGGACATTATGCAGAAGATTCCCATCCTCGGCGACCACTTCGTCCGTGAGATCGCCCCCGAGGACAACCCCTTCTAGACGTCTCGCCTAATCACGAACATGACGTTTCCTGGAGTTGGCTGCTGTGTACACTATATTGCCATGGGGCTGCAGCATAAATTGCATGTTTTCTAGACCTTTTATCCACTTCTTCAAAAAAAAGCCACCATTTCCAAAAACACGTCTCTCTTTGGGATGCATTTATCATTACGCCTCTTTTGCGCCGATGCGATGCGCCTAGTACCTAGATGGCTTTGACCTGGACATGACGTAGACCCTAGTTGGTCTCGAGTCTGGATACAACAGATGCCATCTCTTCGTCGCTGTATATCCTGAAGCCCTTGTCCTTGGTGACGCTGGCCAACTGCACGTTCTTGGAGTCCAGCTTCTCTTCCATGACCTGCTTGAGCGTCTTGAGCACCAGAACCTCGGCCTCTGCCAACGTCAATGACTTGTGGAACTCGTTTTGTAGCTCGGCCTGTGCACCCTCTGAACCAGAGCCAATGGCCTTTGCGTCGTAGCGATAGAATGTGCCCGAAGGCTCGGCGTGGTACCTAGATAGTCAGCATGTGATGTTTGTAGAAAGAAAGGTAATGATGCTCACAGTGATGGGCCGTTCTCGTCAAAGCCAGCGATGAGCAGGGCAACACCGAAGGGTCTGCTCATGATGCTCTCCTCACCCTCGGCACCCTCGCCGAATCTCAGAGCCAGATCGCAGATGGCTTGGGTGCAGCTCTCGACGGACAGAGGTTCGGCGTAGTTGAAGGCGTGGCTTTGCGAAGTGATTCTGGCGTGCTCGATCATGCTGCGGGCGTCTGCCTGCAGACCCGACATGGCGGCACCGATGTGTCTGTCAATCTCGACAATCTTCTCGACCGAGCTGGTTTCGAGCAGTGTTGAAGTGACGCGCTTCTCGACACCAAGGATGACGCCTTCGGAGGTTGCAACCTGGTTGGAGGTCAGAAACAGAGGGAGTAGGCTGTTGTATAGTAGCGAGACGTACACCGATGGCGGTCGACCCGAGCTTGATGGCTTCGAGCGAGTATTCTACCTGGAAGAGACGGCCTTCGGGCGAGAAGGTGCTGTAGCGGAATGAGTATATTGTGTAGAGGCGTAGTGAAGGGAAAGGACGTACTTGATTCCGCGATCTGGAGCATAATGTTAGCAAGGTGCGCAGAAAGAAGACAGGTTTGGTACACACCATATTCGGAGCGAGCAATGAACATGGTTGCGAGAGTTGGTGGGGAAGAGTGAGTGGTGTGGCGGTGGAATGTGCGTAGTTGGCAGAGGTGTGAAGCAAGACGAGCTGCTTGTGCGATGTGTCGGATAAGAGGTCGTAGATGGGGGTGAGAGCAGAGGCGACAGGTGGTGGATGCAAGCTAGTTGTGTTTGTAGAAGCAGCAGCAGCAGCAGCAACAGCAGCGAGTGGGCGGTGATGCACTTGGACTTGCGCCGACGCTGGACGGAGCTTTGACCCGATTGTTTCCCGACTCGTCCCAAAACGCGTCCTCTCTTTCACGCGCTCGCACTTCGTCCCCGAGAGCTTGCAGCCATGCGAATACTGTGCAATGTCAGCTGCCGACCGAAGAACGTCGGCCTCGCACCGCCAGAGGGTCCCTCGTACCAGCGCTCAACCTGACGCCTCCTCGCAAAGAAGCGCCCATGTCCGTCTCGAATCCCATCAACACGAATCTCGCTCCACCACCGTCACCCGCGTCCGAAGCGTCCACAAACCCGCAACACACTCTTCTCAGCCTAGCAGGTCGGGACACTCCGAGTCTGCCTCCAGAGATGTCGACCGTCCTCCTGCTTGGGACCCTCAGGCTTCCCTGATCCCTCATACCTCTGCTCCTCTGGCTTCTCGCATCTCCGTCCCACCCCTAGCCGCCCATGCGCCATCTGCTCTCCAGCCCGAGCCCTTGTCTTCCATGACCCTCGATGCCCAAGAGAATGCCATAATCCAGGATCTGCTGTTCGTCTTCATGGGCTTTGAGGGCCAATACGTCCGCTACACCGATGCCTACCAACCGTCCGAGGAAAAGAGCCGCCTTGCTGGTCCCCAATTCCGTGTCTTACCTGGTCTGGATCCGAGTTTGAGAGATCTGACTATCTCTATGCTGAGGATGGCTTCACACTACGCTGCTGTTGAAGCCTTTGTCGAGGTACAAAGCCGAGAGGAATTTGGCGCCGTCAATCACGCCCTCTGCGCCGCCATGAGGAAGCTGCTCAAGGACTACCTGATTCTCATCGCACAACTGGAGCATCAAATGTTGACCAACCAATCTTTTACTCTCCACGTCCTCAATCTCCATACCAAACCCACCAGTCATATGATGTTTCAATTGTACAGCCTGGCTCATGAACTCTTAAAGGAGAACTCCATGCTCGAGGAAGATGATGATGACGACCTTGACGAATCTGATGACTTTGAGAACATCTTGGAGTCTTTGCGAGAAGGTAGAGATGCTGGCAATGTCGGGCGCAAAGTGTGCAAGGGAGGTAGTGTTTTGCGCCTGATCACAAAGCGACTGGCCACCATGTCTGGTGATCCCGCTGCTCGGACTCTACTCACCACTCTGTTGCGGGAATCATCGAGGCCTTACATGTCCATGTTGAATGAGTGGCTCCATCATGGAAACGTTCGTGACCCACATTCCGAGTTTCTAATCAAGGAGCAGAAGAGCATTCGCCGAGAAGGTCTGGAACAGGACTATACCGATGAATACTGGGAGAAACGATATACCATCCGCCACGAAGACGTGCCTCCCCAACTCGAGTCTGTAAAGGACAAAGTCCTGTTGGCTGGTAAATATCTGAATGTCGTCAGAGAATGTGGCGGCGTAGATGTATCAAGAGACATGGACGACCAAGTTCCTCATACCTTCGACGATGTTCGCTTCCTCGACAACGCCAATTCTGCATATGCCTTTGCCAATTCTTCGCTTCTCACCCTCCTCCTGACCACCCATGCTCTCCCTGCGCGTCTCCGCAGCTTGAAACATTATTTCTTCTTGGACCGATCAGACTTCTTCTCTTACTTCCTCGAACTCGGTCACTCGGAGCTTAAGAAGCCTGCCAAATCTGTTAATGTCGGAAAACTGCAGTCGCTTCTTGACATTGTGTTGCGACAGCCTGGAAGTGTCGCAGCCGAGGATCCTTTCAAGGAAGATGTCAAGGTTGTCATGAACGAAGTTGGCTTGACTGGATGGTTGATGCAGGTCGTCAACGTCAAAGGCCTAGATGCTGATGGTGGTAGTATCACGGCCTACACACCAGCAGCCAGCGTTATCGGCGATGAAAAGGACATCACCGGTTTTGATGCCCTTACTTTCGACTATGCCGTCCCGTTCCCTCTTTCGCTGGTCGTCTCGAGGGTGACGTTGACCAGATATCAGCTGCTCTTCCGTTACATTCTTTCATTGCGCCATTTGGAACAGCTGCTGGTGAGCTCATGGGTTGATCACTCCAAAGTCACGAGCTGGCGCCATAAAAGCTCTGATCGACGACACGAAGACTGGAAAAGAAGAGCGTGGTGCTTGCGGAGTCGTATGCTTTGTTTCGTTCAGCAGTTGCTATACTTTTGCACGAGCGAAGTGATAGAGCCCAACTGGACAGCATTCATGACTCGATTGAGCGAGGCAGAGGCACCGGAGAGTGTTGCTGAAGGTGGCAAGGTCAAGCGCACTGTTGATGAGCTGATGCAAGATCATGTCGACTTCTTGGCTACCTGTCTCAAGGAGTGCATGTTAACCAACTCGAAGCTTCTAAGGGTAAGTTCCTATGTCGTCTATTGACAGCACAATTACTAATACAGGGCAGATTAATTCCAAGGTCATGGCTACCTGCACAATGTTCGCAAACTACACTGCTTCTCTGTCACGCAAACTTGCCGTAAGCGACCCAGACCTCGCTAAAACCGAGGCTGGCAAGTCAGAGCACGACCCACACAGTCTAGAAAAGCTCGATGACATCCTTAAACGCTTCGAAGACAACTTCACAAGACATCTGAAGATCTTACTAGACGCGCTGAACTACCTTGCTGCCACAGAGACGGTCGTCTTCCTCGGACTTTGTGCCAGACTCAGCATGGCCAACGAGAACGTTTCCGGTCCTATTGCTTCTGTGCCTCCTTATGGATGAATGGACAGATGAAGGTGTATCTCAATTGGGTATCCTGCGATGAAAACACGCGTATAGAAGGAAAAGGATGGAGCTTAGAAAGAGGCTCTCTCAGATCAGATGCCATCAACGGCCGTATGCATCTAGCGTCTTCTGGGATCTCTACTCGCATCAATGTTGGAACCAGTTGAGCGTGGGGCCATCTGAGTAGCAGAAGGTGCGGGCATGGGAGCACTCATCTTCGGTGCCGTCGGTGCCACACTCGACCTCTCTCCCTCCATAGCAGCAGTCGGAGCACCATTCATGAGTGCAACAGAAGCTACACCAGTACTGTCTCTGCGCGCAACAGGAGCCACACCAACACTGTCCCTACGTGCTCCAGCAGTAAAAGCAGCAGAAGCAGCGGATTTATCATACTTGGCCAACGTGTCTGTGAGAAACTGCCTAGACGCCTTTGCACGTGCGTTGTACTCTGTAACTCTGCGAAGAGTATCAAACGCCGTGAGCACTTCAGCACTCGTCTGTTCCGAGATCTCCTGACGGGTCTCATTTGCCTTTATGGCTTCGGGTGCGAATGCAGCGGTCCACATTCTGTTTCTAGATAAGAGCAAAATGCAAAGTTAGTAATTGCACTCATTACCCTAAGATGATATGACGATTTGAGGTGAAGTGTTGATTGTGTAGAGGAGTGATGTTTACCTGACTTGACCATCGTGGGCATCCGAGTTTGCGATCATTGCTTTTAGACGCGTTTCTACCCCGTCGAGACGAGGTGTGTTGGGATTGAAGTCTGTGATGGGTAGCATTACTGCTCTTGCCATGATCTGAACTCGAGTGTTAGTTTAATCATGTCTACTTGTTGTGTGTTGTTTGTTTACTGTGTCATGCTCTTTCTTCGATGGTCCCGCCATGGTCTTCGATGTTTCGCTTCCCAAACGGGTTCCCCAGATGCGCCCAGTTCAGCGGTCAATGGGTTGGAGAAGTGTGAGGCAAGTCATCCGCACGGCGCAACTCTTGAGTATATGTCAAAATTCTAGTTGATTTGGTACGGCGAGGTAGAGAAAGGATTGGCGCAGTTCACGACCTATCTAGTAGATGCTGTCACGTGACCTTAATTGATGTTGTTATGGATGTTCCATGTCTCCATCCACATCACTACATGAGCTTGAAGGCTGAAAGAGCGAGAAATACCAGGCCTGAGTCATGAGCATAGCAAACAAGGCCACAATGTTGTGTATTAAATGCGTGTTCTTAATGTACCTCTTGTTCAAGTATTACGAAAACAACCTGCGCCTGTCTTTCCCTCCATCCTACCCTCAAGTCCTGAGCTCCCATACCGATTATCCTATAACTTATCCTTGTAGGCTGTTTCTGTGAACAAATGAACGCCTGATCCTTTCTCATTTCATTTCATTGTGTACAGGATTTTGTGTTCAGGAAGATCCAGCGACGGACACGACCTGGTCATCCTCGACGATAGCGTTGTACTTCTCGCCTAGAGCCTTGACGCTCTGGAGAACCTTGGTGGGGGCAGTGGCAGCGAAACCCTTGATGATCTTATACTCGTGTGTGATGATGCCACCCTATTGATTGTCAGCTTAAATGTTATTGCTCGTAGGCAAGCACGGTATTTACGGCTTCTTTGATGGCGGCCATTGCATGCTCGACTACCGAATCGGGGGTATCCTTCGGGTAGCTGACGATCACCTGCTTGTGCTCTGTGCCAGTGGCAGCATAGGCCAAGGCGACAAGGAAAGCGATGAGGAGGAGATGGATGGTGAATTTCATGTTGATTGCTTGTGTGATGTTTTTTTTAAGGTTCTAGACTGTGACTTTGGTAGGAGGCAGTGGTTTTGGTGTGCTGGATGGAAGGGGCTGGATGGGACCTTTATGTTCGAATGCGGGAGCCTGGACAAGAATGCTGTCATCGGCCCAACGGCGCCCGCCAAGACGACAGAGTTTCGTCCGGCTTGCCAAGACGTCTCTCTTTGAATCGCGCGACAATGAACTACCGACGGACGTCTCACTTCTGTTCACTTACAACAACACCTTCACACTCGACGACCAGTACTGCTAGGCTCTTCACCCCGACCCGCGACTGAAATTACTCCGACTGTCGACATCACCACCAATTACACGCGACTCCAGATCAACACGCGCCCTGTGAGCCATCACTAACCTCCGTGACTATCCACCAATCCGCGAGGAGAGTGAAAGAACACAACCAGAAAGAGCATTGCAAAGAAGATATTGCCACGACTTGCTGCAGCAGTTTGCAAGCACTAGCAGAAAAAACAAGGCATTGGGGGTGACAGTGGAGGAGTCTTTACAGCGTTTTCGCTGAAGATCAAGAGCCGGCTCTTCACACACCCGTCGAGAGCACGGAGCTTCTTATTGTGGGCGGGAAGAGACAATAGCTAGTATTGATCATCACACTCTTCTGATTCCACGCCTTTTGGTGAAGCAAGTCTCCGCTTGCTGCTTGCCATCTACTCACCTCTTGTGGTTGTTCAATTCGACCAAAGGGCCTGCATCTCATTTCTGTCTACGGGACGGATAGCGCATTGACTTGTCTCTTTTCTGAGCAATTATCGAAGGAAGCTATCTGTGACTTGTAGTCTTCTTTCTTCTTTTTTTCCGTCTACTACTGAAAATAATATCTTGCCTTGAAGAATCATGTCTGCCGACCAAATCTCTGACGAGGTCGCTCTGGACTTCCAGGAATCTTTGCAAGACCTTCAGAACAACAACAGATATGAAATTAGCAATCTGACCATCATCGCCAAGGAAAATACAGAACATGCTCAAGCTATAGCTATGGTTTTGGAAAAGCACATCAAGACGGTAAGGCTCGGAAAATTCGAGATTTCTACTCTGTTGTTTCAATAGACAGAAGATCAGATGGGGGTTATGAGAGAACTGCGACTAACCCTATCACAGACTGCTCCTGGACGCAAATTGCCGGCACTCTATGTACTCGACTCGATTGTGAAGAACGTGGGCACCCCATACACAGTCTACCTCGGAAGAAATCTTTTCTCAACCTTCATGGACTCATACACTCTTGTAGATAGCCACACAAGAAAAAGCATGGAAGCCATGTTGAAGACCTGGAAGGAGCCCGTGCCTGGTTCAATGGACCCAAGACCAGTCTTTCCTGCAGATGTCACTCGTACCATTGAGAATGCCCTTATCAAGGCAAGAACGGCCGCGGTGCAACTGCAGACCAGAAACCGTACTCCACTAGGTATTCCAGGAAGGCCCATGTCGTCGGCGACTTACAGAAACACACCCACCCCGCCGCACAACGCCAACCAATTCCAGCCGCCATCACAGGATTCTTATCAGAACGGATTCCGCAATCAACAGGTAATCACCATCAACACATTGTTCACATTCAAAACAACTAATATGTTCAAGCCCACACCACAGCAGTACCCGCCCAACCAGCTGCCTCCTGACATTGCGCGCTCACTGTCGGCTGCACTCAATCCACAGGACGATCTAAACAAACTCAAGGCAGATATTCATGGCTTGATCGCTGGTTTTCAGACCGAGTTTGCTCGTAATCCTTACGACTCACAAGTGCAGACTAAGCTCAAAGCTCTGCTCGATCTCCAAGCTGTTGTACAGACTCAGCAACTCAATTCCGATGCAATTGGCATGATCAAGAAACAAGTGGCACAGCTGCAAGCAGTACAGGCACAGCCGCTCCCACCTCCGTCAGCGACGCCTCAACAATCACAATGGCAGGCTCCTACTCCTGTCAATCTACCCTTCCAACCTCCTCCGCCCATTCCGCAAGGCTTTGCACCTACTCCTTCAGCACCGCCACCCGTTGCTCCTCCGGCCTTTGCTCCTGGTATTCTTGAGCAGTTGTTGGCCTCTACTGCCAACGGACAGAAGCCGAGCACACCTGTCGTTCAAGCCGCCTTGCGGTCAATGCCACCACCGCCTCCTCCTACGCAGTCGCCTCGCACAGCTGCAGCACTACCCGCCGGACCCTCTGGCAACCCTCTCCTAGACGCTCTCCGCGCCGCAAACATTCTGCCCGGATCCTCAAATGCCACGCCTGCACCTCCCTCAGGCCTCCCTGTTCTTTCACCACCAGCCCCTCCAGCACTCTCTATCCTCCAACAACTGCAAGGCCTTGCGCCGAAGCTGGGCAGCACGCCGATGCCTCCACCTGGTACTCCTGCCAAGGTCCGAATTCCAATGAATGCTGCCGCCCTCAAGAGGTATAACGATTTGCACAATGCCGCTTCGAGACACCAGACTGACTTTTCCGTAGCTTCCGTCCAGAAGTTGTACACACACTATACGATGCACAACCAAACCAATGCACATCCTGTGGTCGTCGCTTCCTAGCCACCGATGAGGGACGCGCCCAAAAGGCACGCCATCTCGACTGGCACTTCCGCAGCAACCAACGTATTGCCGACGCCGCTCTTGCTGCCGGTCTCACTCGCAGCTGGTACATTGACGACAATGAGTGGATCCGTCTTCGCGAGGAAGACTCCTCCTCAGCTGCCGCCGATGTCAACTCTACTGCCACCACCACCATCAAGCCCGTCAGCGTGCGTGAGAAGTACATTCCCGCACCCACCGGAGCTGCAGCAAACGCTGGCTGCTCCATCTGTCAGGAGAAGTTCGAGACGGTCTGGCATGAAGAGGCACAGGAATGGGTCTGGATGGACGCTGTCAAGGTTGGCGGCAGGGTATATCATGCTTCATGTCACGATGAGGTCAACAGAGCCAACGGAGGAGGAGATAGAGGTACTACTCCCGATCCTGTGCTTGGAAAACGCAAGGCAGAGGCCGATCTGGCCAACATGAAGACGAAGTTGAAGAGGGAGATTGCAGCATAGAGCTTTGTGGTCGTTTAGACCTGTTGCTAGGATTGTAGTTGAGAGACATATGCATTCAATCCATACATTCGTCATCATCCACGCTTCGTCGTTGACCCATATACCACGTCTTAATCTGGTACTATTAATAACATACGAGATGAATGCCATGGTACGATGTTGTTACCACCTTCTCTTGGGGTTTTGAGTTACCTACCATTAGCAGAGGAAAGAGTAGTATGATGATAGATAGCTACATATACCTCCCCCACCCTCTCTTATACATCAGAAGCCAACAAAAACCCAACACGAACCGTATCTCAAGTGACCTGCAAAACAATCTCACCCGTACAACCTCTGAATCGAACGCTCACCTTCACTCTCCTACCCTCATGTACTCAGGAAACTGAAATTCTCCCATCGATCTACCTGTGTGGCGCAAGCGGTTACACAAGTAGATTACGGTCATAAATCACTTGACACCAAAGTCCGTCATGTATGTTGTAAATGGTGAACAGCACCTACCAGATAAAGTCCGCTAATCTGGTGACAAAGATCAAGGAACTTTGGAGGTTGGGGGTTTTCCCGAGAGCCCTTTGGGGCTCAGGTTTTCTGCACTTTTTGGATTTTTGGTAGATGGGGTGGGTTCCTGGTATAACTAGCTACGACATTGTATGTTCACTATCGATCTAGGACCTGTTTTTGAGCGAGGAATTGGTGAGAAAGCGTTCAATTGAGGAGATTTTGCCCACGGTCCAAGTTGCAGACGTCGTCTCATTTGGCCCAGTCGAAAGCTCTACAACATAGATTCCGGCCACGGTGTGAGATCAACCCTGAGATGCTGGGGCTAGTAGATTAGTCCATGGACCAGCCTTGTGTTTGTATCTTGCCAGTATGTGCAGCGCGATGATGAGATCAGGAAGAAGCATATGCTTTCAAAGCCTTGAGTAGCTTTCCAAGATCTCACGTCCGCTGGACACGGAGTAGTCGTAGACAGTGGTATTCCTCAGTCGTCAAGCTCGCGGCGCTGGAGATCGTCGATGGAGTGGAGTGGAGTGGCGAGTATTGGCAAGCCAGGGCAGGAATGTGTCATCGAGAGACCACTTCATGCATCCCGGTTGTGCATCAGAGCAAAGTCTAAAGTCGTGCAGGTACACAGCAACTCGTTGCTCCTTTCTATTTGTTTCGCTGTATCGGACAGTGTCGCAAGGGGATTGAGCCTTCACTCAGCTACATGGTCCGTGATGTCAAAGCCAACACTCCGAGCCAACTTGAGTGCATATTCCCATCCGAAGTTGACCTTCCATTTGGCGCCCGGCTCCAGCACATCACCGCCAATGACCGCGGTCCTCAAGAGCAAACGTAGGGAACAGAGTGTTGCCAGTTGTGTATATATGTCCATTGTCGGGACGAGATCATGCGGCAAGACGGCGTGTAGAATGGCCAGTAGTCTATCCAGTGGGAAGGGACTTGGTGAGAGCAGATGTCTTGGGATCTTGCGATTCTTAGATTCGCGGCCAGCAATAGCACCGCCGCCTTTTCTGCGCCGCTTTCGTTCTGTAGCTTTCATGAAGTAGATGTTGTCTTGGCGGGCCGGGTTGAAGGAGGCAAGGTAAGCGGCACAGAGTAACCACTTGGAGTAATAAGGTAAGTCGTGAGTAACTGTAACAAGTCAGCAAGGTTGCAAGAGAGAAGTGGCTGAGTTATACACCTACCATCAGTCAGGATACCAGCATCCTCTGGGGGCTCGTCAATAACAGAATCGAGCAGACATTTCTCAGCCTGAAAGAGTTTGCGCTGTGCCACCATGAGTTTGCTGAAGTCTCGAGTGCCATATGTGCCATCGACTATTGGCTGGACGAAAGGCCGCCAGAGCTTGTCAAGTATAGATCTGAAAGTCACAACATCTCGCGCAGCACCACTGGCCAGAGAGTCCCAAACAGCAGCGCAGTACCGTGACCAGAGCCATGCATCATCCTCGGCCGAGAGTTCTTCCGAATAGTTGGCAGACGGCGAGAGAGGCTCATTGAAGATGTGCGGGGGCTGGCAGCAAACGATTTGGATGGCTTGTTCGCGTGTATATGGTGAGAAGTAGATGTGCGGAGCTCCTGGAAGATGAAGAAGCCGCGGGTGAGGATAGGTGACAATCATGACAACGCTGAGACATGGTATGAGTTGACCCAGACGTGCTAGTGTAGGCAGCAGAGTCGGAGGAGCCTCTCTTTGCTCATCAATACCGTCCAGAACCAGTACAAATTTGTCGACTCCTTCCAAGAGGCGGTCCAAAGAGCTAGTCAGTGTGCTTAGATTTTCACATCTCGCAGGAATGACGCCGTCCAAAGAGACTTGAGTCGCCGATTCGATGGCTTCCACACAAGCGGCCAGAGTTCGCTCTAAGAAGTGACGACCAGTAATGCACTCGGAGCACGGAATAAATGCATGCTGCAGACCAGAAAGCGCCAAGTACGATTTTAACAGGCCAGTCTTGCCAGTAGATTCGGGACCATGTACAACTAATGTTCCCGAGCTGTTTAACCTAGGCTAGACGACATCAGTAAACACAAGGGCGTTTGTGCTGGGGTTACATACAGAAAGCAGGGCAGAGAGAGTCTTGATCTGCAAGTCTCTACATGGCCACTGGTTAGTCAGGGAAAAAACAATCTCATCCGGCAGCATTTCTAGGCCCATGTCTGTTCCCTTCCGAGTGTCTCAAGAAATGCCAGGCTCCGGCGTTCTTGCCTGTTTGCGCTGCTTTTGTAGCTCAGGTAGTCGGTGAGTTGCAAACGGGCGTGCAAATCCTGTCAGAAGCACTGAATCACCCCTCTACAACGTCCACGGCTCGAATGAAAAGGCGAGTACAGCGGTGTGAAAAGAGAGGTGCGACTACAAAGAACGAAAGCGGGTCGACAACAAATCAACACCGCGTTGCACAAGAAGGCAGTATGGAGATGGATCGAGTTATGCAAGCCACCGGAGTTAAGTGGTTGATCCGAGTAGATCTGGGGAATGGCACGCTAGTGGGAACCGTGCGTCAGAAATTATTCTGATGGAAGTCGCGACAAGTGAGATAGTGCCTTCCCAAGTGACAGACAATGCAATGTGAAGAACAACGAGGAAGGTCCGCACCCCCGGGTGTTGGGCCTGCGTTCAGCCCCGCCGATGCTGCATCTGAAGCTGACCTGGATGGTCGCAACTCTCCATCTAACATCATCGACGACAACGACATGCCACCCTCCAAACCCGGCCTCTGGTTGCTAAAGACCAAGGCAGAGGCGCGTGCCTCGACTGCCACTGTGCAGGCCTGGACGATAGAATTGCCATCCAGAGCTGCTAACACCGTCCTGGGGTATGCTCATGTTTGTTTGCGCGCTGTTGCATCTCCATACTGACTCCCTCACTCAGTCTGATCAAGGACAATGTTCCCGAACTCGATGCCATCGACTTGCAGCACATCCGCCGCTTCGCAAAGGCCCGCTTCCTGCCCACTCACCTCATCCCTGAGACGGTCGCTGTCAGCCGCAGCAGAAGTGCCAGCGAACGTGACGGCTCCTCTCGTGGCTCGTCTCGCTCTCGCTCTTCACGCAACAAACGCCGGGGTAGTGTTCCGGCCACGCTGCACTTGATCGTTAGTCCCGTCAGCTGCGTCGATGAAGACACCCTTACCGAGCTCCTCCTCAAAAACCCTCCCTTTGTCGACGACGGCTTCCCTCTTATCCTGAGAGAGGTCACCCTTCCCCTACTTCCTCCCACCAGCGCCGAGCAGGCCGAACTATGGTCTCAACAGTACTGGCCTACCATCTACCGCAAGACCAATCCCTTTGGCCCTCACCCTAGCATCATCGGACGTGCCGAAGAGGAGGTCCTCGCCGACAACAACGTTCCTCGCCTGATGGAAATGGCAAAGAAAGTCGCCGGAGAAACAAAGGGCAAGTGCTGCGGCGCTGGTGTTGGATGCGTCATCATCGAGAGACCTACCGGAAAGCCCATCGAAGTCATCGCCGTTGCTGGAGATGGCCGTCACCAGGGCTTTGACGAGGTTGCTGGTCAACAGAACCCCATGGCTCACGCCGTCATGCGAGCCATAGGCATGGTCGCACGCAAGCGTGTCCGCAGTGCTACCCGTGACCCTCTGAAGCTCAATCAAGACATGGCCGCCCTGGACATCAACCGGCCTTCCCACACACCCGCTCCTGGTGCTCCAAAGTATGTCGACAAGACTTTGCTCGACTACCCCCTGACGCCCATGGAACGCAAGGCCTTTAATAAGGACAACCTGATCCCTGATGGCTACCTCTGCGTCGATCTCGAGATCTACTTGACCCATGAGCCCTGCGTCATGTGCACCATGGCCATCTTGCACTCACGCTTCGCTCGCTGCGTCTTTGGCATCCGTATGCCCAAGACTGGTGCCCTCACAGCTGATGGAGGCGGTCTCGGCTATGGACTGTTCTGGCGTCCTGAGCTCAACTGGAAGTTCTTGTGCTGGGAGTGGAAGGAGAAGGACCCATACGATGGAGACAACTACTTGCACCTCTTCCTCGACAAGAAGACTCAGGTCTGATCACTCCCTTCCTTGATGACGCTTTTCGACGCTCGCCGTCTCCTTCGGCCTGAGCTCTTTTTTTCCTTCTTCTTCTTCTTCTTTCGGTTTCTTTCCTCGTCTTTGTTACCGACATGATTAGGTAGCGTGTCGGCCCCACTTGAAAATTGGGGGAGGCTTTGTTTTCTTATGAAGACTGCCTGTGAACGAATGGCAGCAGCATTATGCACATAACAGCGAGCATGGTTTACAGGCGTCAATATGGGTTCACGGGAGGCAGTCTGTCGAGCTTTTATTATACCCCTTTCAAGCGAATGAACAAAACGAGACGGACGACATAGCTACGTCTCTGAGCATAACTCAAGGCAACATACTTAAATGGAAGCTTTTCTTAAAAAAAACATCTCTCACCGACCATCTCTGCCTGTGGTTCATGTATCTACACTGACTTGGTCGAAGAGGCTTTGCGATGAAGAATGGTATATTTCTCGTGTCTTCTCTGTGCCGAGGGAGCTCACGAGCTGCAGCTGCACTGCATCGCACGCTTGATATGGGGCACGTCACCACAGAATCTATCTTCCTCTTCCTTGTTCCAGCCCCATTCTTCCTTGAAGGGGTTGAGGGCCATCTTCATAACACCTTGGAGGATCTCACGCTCGCCCTTCTTCTCAACTCTCTCGATCAATTCGTCGAGGATCCATGATCTAGGGATGAACTGTGAATGCTAGTGTTAGCCGTGCTCTTCTGTTCGTGTCGTGAGGAGACTCTCACCTTTGGGTTGACCTTCTTCATGGCTTCCTGGCGCTCGGCGTCCTTGCCTTCGCTCCAATCCTCAATGACACGGTTGCGCCATTGCTCGAGCCATTTTGCGATCCTGGTTCTGGCTTCTGCCTCGCTGGCGCCTACAGTGGCACCGAGGCCTTCGCTGTGGAAGAAACGGCCGGCGACTTCTTTTCTCTGCTCCTCTGACTCGATCTCTGACATGTTCATATTGCTGAGCTTGCGGAAAGTGTGGTTGAAGTCCAGCTCCAGTGCTTCCAGAGTATCCAGCAGTTCAGAGTACAGGTTGTCAAAGTCTGTATCTTTGCATTGCTTGAGGCCGAGTCGGGCAGTCATGAGACGCTTGTACTCTGCTAGGAATACCGCGCGGAACTCTTCTCCGGTCTTCTCGATCAGTGTTTCGGCACGCTTGATCAGCTCGGCGGACCAGGTCTTGCTGACACCTTCGTTGACGAACTCTTCGTCGTCGCAGCGAGCACCGGCACCAATCAGTTCGCCGAGAGCCTCGCCCAAACGGACCAGGTTCCACCAGATAATACTTGGCTGATTGCGGTAACTGTAGCGTAGCATGTGGTCGTCGTGGTTGGGTGTATAGCTAGGGTCAAAGTTGTCAAGGAAAGCGAAGGGGCCAAAGTCAACCGACAATCCGAAGATGGACGTGTTGTCTGTGTTCAGAACACCGTTTGTGAAAGCGTAAGCTTGCCAGCAAGCGACTGTCTTTGCGTTTCGACGGGCGATCTCGCGATAGAGACGGACGAAGCGGTTTTCTTCATGTTCATTCTCGCCTTGTAACGTGCTTGCCGCGACACCACATGCTGGATCGACGGCGGTCTCGGCCATGTCTCCTTCCTTTAGGGCACCTGGAAGATTCTCCCAACCACCAAAGACATCTTCAGCAACGTATGTTGCCAGTTTTCGTAGCAGAGGACGGTCGCCACGAGTGCGGATAAGGTCAAAAGTACCAAAGCGAAGCCAGCTTTGAGCAAAACGAGTGACGATAGCACCGGGTTCAATGCGTTCTCTGAGAGCCTTGTCCTCGGGGGTAAATGTCAAAGCTAATGCACGAGTGGAGGGAATACCGAGAGCGTGTAAGCTCTCACTAACAACGAACTCTCTAATACTGCTCCTCAGGACAGCTTTGCCGTCGGCAAATCGACTGTATGGTGTCTTGCCTGCGCCTTTGAGTTGTACTTCGTATCGCACGTTCGAGTTGGGGTTTGTAGCCTCGAACAGAGAAATGGCACGCCCGTCACCTAGCTGACCAGCCCATTGACCAAACTGGTAGCCGCCGTAGCATTGTGCCCATGGATAGATCTGTTCTCGTCGCTGCTGCTCCTCTGGCAGCATGTTCGACTCTGAAGCCTCTGCTTCGTCCCATGTCAGGATCTTGTTGCCAGACACGGTGTCTTGGAAGTCTTGTGACTCTACCGAAGACGGGTCGATAGAGAGGGTCTGTAGAGCAGCCGGCGACACGGCGAGAACTTCGTATTTGCTTGGAGGGTCGGGGCGAACGTATGTGTAGAGGGCGCCTTTCACCAGGCGAGGGCCGAGTTCCCTGCGTTCGGCAGCATGCGAGCTCGCCGGAGTGGTGAAGTTCTGGTCCGGCGGGAGGTTCGTGGTGAAGTTGTTTGACTTTGGAAGATCCTTGATCGAGTGCAGCTTCTCGTTGGTCGTGGTGGCGTCGTACAGGGCATTCTGGTGGCCGACAGTGCTGATGTGGGCAGCCATGAGGGCAATGCGAGTAGTAGCTGGCGTTGGACGCAGGTTTCGCGCTCTCGAGAGCATATACGAGGTGGCTAGAGATATCCGTTCGCTTCTGCCGAGGCGAGTAGAAGGTTGAGAAAGAAGTTGGCCGGTATACAAGGACTCTTCGTGCATGCAAGTGACAGGCGACTGACGTATGCGAGGTCCGGAAACACAGACCGACATGTGGGGTCACCGCCTTTGAACTTGAGCCTCCATCTTACAGTAGAGTACGATTACAAGACATCTGACGGGCAGATCACCAGCTCAATCGATAGTAGGTCACTATTATCTACTGTCTTGCTCTGTTCTAGCTTGGTCTCCGTGCTCTTACCCTGAAAGTCGATCGATCCAGTCCAACCTCCCAACCTTTTACTTCAGGTATCAGTAGCGGTTTCTTGTCTCGCTCGTCTAGCCAGTCCAAGAAACCTGACCAATACTTTTGCTCCCACTTGATCCCTAACGGTAATATCAACTTCATCTGTCACCCTTGCTTGCCTCAGTCTGCTCGCATACACTCCTTGTATGGCCTTGCCTTCTACTTCACGTCAGAAAGCAAGGAAAGTGCACCTGCTTCAACCGCTAATCTCTGAATTCTTCCCCACGATCTAAACGCGTGCGACTTTTCAAAACAGCCGCCGACAACAACACTTCACGGTCCCTTGCATGCGCGCGCTGAGGCGCACTGCACTGCCGAAGATTAAACCTCTCATGGAAACTTTCACTTCACGCAGTTGCACGACACAATGCGAGTGAAGACATCGACCACTACATTCACTGATTGCAGCTCCATCCAATCTTATCCTTCTTCATTCAGCAGACATGAACCCAGTGGAAGACTACAAGAGATATTGTGGATCGAAACTGATATACGACATCACAAGACGCCGGCAACCTGTCTTTCTGCAACGCAACATTCGACAAGTTCTGGATCATCATGAACACAGTTTGAAAAGCATCAAGGATCGATCAACAAAACCTGCTTCGGACCCGGCGGCGACAAATATGATTCCGAATGACGACCACATACGATGTCTCCCTAGCATGGATATGCTGTCCAAAGCTACAAGGTCTGCTCAGCAAACACTCATGATTTGCCCAAAAAGACTTGTCAAGATTGGAACCAACTTCGGAGAGGCAAAGACGCAGCCGAAGGTGGTTGCCAAGCATGAGCCATTTGCGAATCCAACGTGGCTTCCACCCCCCAACAACATCAAAATAAAGTGCAATGTGTGTTGTACTCTCGCGTTCAAAGAAGATGCAGGCGCTAATTCTGGTCGGGCCCTATACACCGAGTCGCATTTGGCAAATTTGATTGGCGATAGAGATGACAAGGGCGACCTGACCTTTGCCATTGATATGGAGCCATTCATTGTCGATGGAAATCAATTACTCACCACACAACTGAGAAATCACGACGCAAACGGTGGAAGAAGGTGGAAGAAAGAACGACTCAAAGATGCTTCTCTTGGGATCGGTATCACCTGTTTCAACTCTGAGGACGCTTCCGAACTACTCTCGGTAGTCGACACCGATATTTCGTCCGGTCAGGCTGTCTTCCCGGAGCAGGCTGAGCTCAGAGCGGCCTGGAAGAAACTTCCTGCCTGTCCGGAGTCTCCACTGCCTCTTCGACGATACTATCATGAGTCCGAGGCCCGGCCCAAGCCAGGCGCCTCTAAAAGACTCGAATATCTTTTCGACGTGGATATCTCATGGAGCCTTAAGGCCAAGCGAAGTGGGACTCCTCTGGCAATGTGCAACAACATCACTCAAACAATCGAGAGCAAAAATCTACCGCAACTCCGTCCAATGGCACAAAAACCAACCATCTGCCACATCACCTACGTCTTCGATGGAGGTGTGATGGGAACCAGAAGTATCGCGCGAACGAGACTCAGTTGCGTCTTTTGTCCTGACCGTCTACCTCACGCGACATTCGACAGGCTGCACTTCCATTATCTGAGCCATCATGATCATTTTACCTTCCAAGTCCATACGCCATCAGCGACAAACTCCTCGTGGATAATCCGCACAGTGCGAGTTGAACTGTCTCTGCCTAAGTACGAGCGAGCTAGTGATAACGTAAGCGATCAACGAGAAATCACCTGGATCAAACCAGATGTCCCATTCGATATGCAACAGTACCTATCAGAAGGTGGTTTCAATACCTGGGCTAGCGGTAAACTGTCGGCACCCAAAATTTCTGCGAAAACGATCAAACCAAGCTTGATTAGGAAAGGGATTGCACGAGCCAAAGGGTCGCCCGCGAATGGCCAACCACCGACGAGCCGTCCGCTCAAGCCGCCCGAGGAGGTTAAAGATATTCCACCAAGAAGGCGTCTAAAGTACACAGTGCCAGACCTCGAAGAAGTCACATTGTTCCGTGCAGAATCCAAGCGAATAATCGAACCTGGAGAAGTGCTTAGCGAAAGCGATGCTGAACCGGACGACTCGTGGCTTTGGATCAGACACAGAAAAGAGGAGTTCCCACAATTGACTGGTACGGCCAGAGAGTTTGTGACACTATTTGACGATCACTTGGTGGAGGAGCCGACGATCAATGGGGGCGTGCAACTTTGCGAATCGATTGTTCGTTTTGTGAGGAAGTATGCGTTACTGCTGGGGCAACCACACATGCTGCAAGAGTTCGAGACCAAACTCAATCAGCTCAAGAGGAGAAAACTGATTAGGCAAAACTACATCGATTATTGTTTTGCTCTGATTGCAAACAAGGGCCAACCTTTACCCAGGCAGGCTGAGAAAGCAAAGGCCGATAGTGCCTCAGTAATTGGAGAGGGATCAAAGGCTGCAGCTAGTCACGTCCTGTCACCGGATCCCCAAAGGGACCATAACAGACTGGATGTGATCATGATCAATGATAGTGACGAAGAGACTGGAGCTGAGGTCTCTCCAGCTATACGTACTTCTGGCCATCGCGAGCTGGTCCCAGATCATCCCGCAACGAATGGTGTAGCTGGCAAGGCTGGCAAAGCTGACGATGCCAGCGAGGACGTACACATGGAGGATGCCGTCCATCATGCGCCGAACACCTGTATCTGCGGCAAGATACCTATGGGCGTCCGCAACGTCATCACTTGCCAAAACCTCGTGAGTCGGCTGTAATCTGTTGTTCTACCATATGCTGACTTCTAAATCAGCGTTGCCCACATTCAGAATTTCACATAGCTTGCGTTGGCCTCAAGAAGCGCGAACGCGGTTGGCGGTGCGAAGACTGCAGACCGCTGCCAGTATCATGAAAGCACTTGCTACACCAAATATCTAGCTTCTGCTTGTCACACACCAGGGCAGCTGTCAAGGCCGTTCCATGTCTTTTCTTTCGGCATTCGTGGAGTTTCAGGGATCACATGGGATCTGATCTTTTTTGGCGCATAAAGGACATCTTTAGCGAACAAAAGGGGAACACTGCATTTCATAATTTATCATAAGCGAAACAGCTTCTGCATCTCGAAACTCACTTGTTTTCTTGTTGCAGCATCTTCAACTGTGCCTGTTTCCTCATGACATTATGCGCATCGAAGCACTGACTTCGTTTATTTAGGTCGTATATACTCACCACAGATCTGATATACTTGACAGGTCTAGATTAGGTTGCCTTGTCCCGCTGGAGTGTGATCATTTACGATCTCTACCGTATTGTTGTTGATAGAGGTGGTCATGAAAGTTCCGACGATCGTCTGCTTCTTACAGTCGTTCAGATGAGAGGTCGAGATCGCCATAGGGTTGTTCGAATAAGCGGTTGTGGGAGCACAGCCTTTTACGACCGACTTGGAATGAAAACTGCAGCAAAAAAGGGGCACTGGGCAAGAAGAGCATCATGAAGAACAACGAGCCCATTGTCCGTAACATGACGGATATGAGCAAGACGAGTCGTCCATCAGATCGAAAGCACAACGACGGTGCATCGGTGGCAAGCTTGTGAACTTCTCTTGCTAGCATCCCAGGAGGTAGATAAGGAGGCACCAAGTCCATCGATGGGTTATACAGCACGAAAGAAGCAATTAATCTGTAAATGGGAGTTCCCACCAGCAAGCACGTGAATTCTGTCGAGACTTCATTCGACTGATCAGGAAATATTTCAGCTTATCTTGATCGAGTACAGTGTTGTCACAACCTCGAAAATTCAGCTAGAGGTCATCGTTTCGTCCAAGATGGTTTCGGCACGTACGCCGTGTTGTTCAGGTAGCAAGGTCGTGGTTGCTTCCTCTACTTTGGCAGTTGAACATCCTTCGAGCTTGCCACCGACGCATCCGTCATTGTGGGTTCAACCTCACCACGGAATTTTGTGATTGAAAGCTCTGGAACAAAGCAACTCTGCCCCAGGCCCGAAGAGCATGAATCAGGAAGCAGGAAGCGTGAACGCTTTGACCATCTGAAGATGACGTTTCAGCACCCCGCGATTGGGTGTGCAGACCGAAACAGTCACCAAAAATGAGGATGTTGCTCTACAGCAATTGTCAAATAGGGCAATTACCTTCTCGGAGTGACCAGAAGCTACAAGCGAAGAACCGAAAGAGCTACATGTGACGACTGAGTGACAATCGACGGGGCGTGGCGAGATAGATGGGTCCTAGAAGGTAGAGGCAAGAGATGGAAACTTGTAGAAGAAGATGGAAACCACCCGCAAATTCTGGTCGTGTCCGAAGCAACGCAACAACCGGCCGCTGCGCGCATTTATAAAACTTACTTCTCTTGCTCACACCTTCCCTCACCACTTTCTTCTTACACACTCAATCAAAAGCGCTTTTCTTTACGACTGACGACATCTTTTACATCGTCAACAAAAAGCTTCCTGTTTGATACCCAACTTCTTTTCCTTCAACTCACATCACATCCATCATGGCTCCCGCTATCGGTATTGACTTGGGTACCACCTACTCATGTGTTGGGTTCGTACAATCTACAATCACGTTCCGCGAAACATTTCACTGACTTTTCCCTCCAGTATCTACCGTGATGACCGCATTGAGATTATCGCCAACGATCAGGGTAACCGTACCACTCCCTCGTTCGTTGCCTTCACCGACACCGAGCGTCTGATCGGTGATTCGGCCAAGAACCAGGTCGCCATGAACCCTCACAACACTGTCTTCGACGCCAAGCGCCTCATTGGTCGCAAGTTCGCCGACGCTGAGGTCCAGGCCGACATGAAGCACTTCCCCTTCAAGGTCATCGACAAGGCTGGCAAGCCCATCGTTCAGGTCGAATTCAAGGGTGAGGAGAAGACTTTCACCCCCGAGGAGATTTCCTCCATGGTCCTCACCAAGATGCGTGAGACCGCTGAGTCATACCTTGGCGGCACTGTCAACAACGCTGTCGTTACTGTCCCTGCCTACTTCAACGACTCTCAACGCCAGGCTACCAAGGATGCCGGTCTGATCGCTGGTCTTAACGTCCTCCGTATCATCAACGAGCCTACCGCTGCCGCTATTGCCTACGGTCTTGACAAGAAGGTTGAGGGTGAGCGCAACGTTCTCATCTTCGATCTTGGTGGTGGTACTTTCGATGTTTCGCTCCTCACCATCGAGGAGGGTATCTTCGAGGTCAAGTCCACCGCTGGTGACACTCACTTGGGTGGTGAGGACTTCGACAACCGTCTCGTCAACCACTTCGTCTCTGAGTTCAAAAGAAAGCACAAGAAGGACCTTACCTCCAACCCTCGTGCTCTCCGCCGCCTGAGAACCGCTTGCGAGCGTGCCAAGCGTACTCTCTCTTCGTCTGCTCAGACCTCTCTCGAAATCGACTCCCTTTACGAGGGTATCGACTTCTACACCTCCCTCACTCGTGCCAGGTATGTTGAATATCACTCTGCTTTCAATCAACTCCAACTAACACATGCACAGATTCGAGGAGCTCTGCCAGGACCTCTTCCGCGGTACCATGGAGCCCGTTGAGCGCACTCTTCGTGACGCCAAGATCGACAAGTCCTCCGTCAACGAGATCGTCCTCGTCGGTGGCTCCACCCGTATCCCCAAGATCCAGAAGATGGTCTCCGACTTCTTCGGTGGCAAGGAGCCCAACAAGTCCATCAACCCTGATGAGGCCGTTGCCTACGGTGCTGCCGTCCAGGCTGCAATCCTTTCCGGTGACACTTCCTCCAAGTCCACCAACGAGATCCTTCTTCTCGACGTCGCCCCGTTGTCTCTCGGTATCGAGACCGCTGGTGGTGTCATGACTGCTCTCATCAAGCGCAACACCACCATCCCCACCAAGAAGTCCGAGACCTTCTCGACCTTCTCCGACAACCAGCCCGGCGTCTTGATCCAGGTCTTCGAGGGTGAGCGTGCCCGCACCAAGGACAACAACCTTCTCGGCAAGTTCGAGCTCACTGGTATCCCTCCTGCCCCTCGTGGTGTTCCCCAGATTGAGGTCACCTTCGATGTTGATGCCAACGGTATCATGAACGTCTCCGCCCTTGAGAAGGGTACCGGCAAGACCAACAAGATTGTCATCACCAACGACAAGGGTCGTCTCTCCAAGGAGGAGATCGAGCGCATGCTCTCCGAGGCTGAGAAGTACAAGGAGGAGGATGAGCTTGAGGCTGCCCGTATCGGCGCCAAGAACGGCCTCGAGTCCTACGCTTACTCTCTCAAGAACACCATCTCCGACCCCAAGGTTGAGGAGAAGCTCCCTGCTGATGACAAGGAGAAGCTCTCCGCTAAGATCAACGAGACCGTTGAGTGGATCGACTCCAACACTACCGCCACCAAGGAGGAGTACGAGTCTCAGCAGAAGGAGCTTGAGGGAGTTGCCAACCCTATCATGACTGCCTTCTACCAGCAAAGTGGTGGAGAGATGCCTCAGGGCGCTCCCGGAGCTGGTGCTTCTGGCGCTCCTGGCGCTGGTGGTGACGACGGCCCCACCGTTGAGGAGGTTGACTAAACGCATCGCCCCCATACATCTTTCGACTTTCCAGCATCATACAGCCGGCGTTGGTAGAGGGATAACAAGGGTTATGAACAAGTTGTCTTTTCTTTCTTTGATATCATGAAGCATGTGCTTGCAGCGGACAAACTGCAAGCATGCAATGTTACTTTAATGTCACTCGATTACGAGTGTAACGAAGATTTCTTTTCCTTTCAAAATGCTTCCAACTCGCTTCCATGTGACATTCTCTTTAACCTCGCTCACAACAGCGTTATTGACAGGCTCTGACTTCTCATGAAATTTGAGTCTGTCAATCACAGGTACTGGACGCCGACTGTGGAATATTGTTCATACGTATAACTTCCCTCAACAAAAGCAATGAGGTCTTCTGGCTCTTTTTTCTCGACTCTGTCCTGTCCGTCCAGCTGTCTACCAGCCTCTTTTAAACTTGATGTACCGTCGATTTACCATTAATTACTGCGTCCAAATCAGCGATTTCGAGTGTCTGGCTGTTTCGCAAGCTGTGTCCGAGGCTTTTCTTCTGACCTGGTCAAATTAAGTCTGCACTGCATGCTTCATGCACTCCTTTCATGGTTACACTTCCCGTGACATTTCGATGTCCAGATACTTACACATTCTTGCTCCTTGTTCATTTCGGTATGTCCTTTCCCGTAGTTCGGCTTGGTCGTTTTTCGAATTGACTGCTTTTCTGGACTTTCTGGACTTTCTGGACTTTCTGGACACTTTCGACTCGTGTCCAAGACGTGTCCGTCAACATCTACTATGAACTACGCATATCGCGGCCAAGTGTTCTTTCGACTACGGTGGGGAGTCTTGGTGTTTGGTTAATCTTCATTCCTAGTTTGAGACTTGTTAATACCTTGTCCGAATTACGAGTGTAGATGGGCGGCATCTTTTATCCTACCCAAAGTCAGAAAGAAAGTCTGGTGCGATTGTCGTAGTAGATGTTGTCTCAGCTTGGGAGTTCTCGGAAGTTGTTCATTCGTTCAATATTTGCCTGTTTGCCCCCAAACTACCCGTTGCCTCCACTACTTCTTTTGCTACCAGCATGTTTAATCGTAACTTCTTTGCGATTCTTTTCCGGTTGTACTTTCTGCACCTTACCGACGGCAGAAACCTGACACATCCCGTGTCTAGCCGTGTCCAGCTCAAACCCGAGAAACCCGTGGACCAACAATAGCTTATTCTAAAAACCCGGCGACCACTAGAGCTTCTGCAACTTATTGCCCTTGTCACTTGGATAGCTTTGTCTAAATCTACTTGGACTAAGTATGCCTTTGTCAAAGTCTGCTCGCCTGAGGCTGTCTTTCTTGCTCTTTTCTCCTCTCTTTCTTTGTCCTTTGCTCCCGGTCTCCTCGACATTGTCTAATGTGTTGATCGACCCGCTATTGAGTGGTTCTTCAACCTCTCGGCCTTCGTTCCTTTCGATGTTTAGGAAATCTACGTTCTTCCTCCCCTTGCGCAAAATACTGTGACACTTGAAGCTGTCTCGAGGCACAGTGCTTTCTGGATAAGTAGCAATGTTATCGAGATACTTCGTGTCATTAACTCCCTGCGCAGTGTGCATCGACATGAGATATGACTGTGCCTTTCTACAGCTCGTCGTTGCCCTGCATTTCTCATTGGGACAGACGGTGCGGCAGTACTTGTGAACCCTGGCTCTGCTTCAATTCTCGAAGAGCCACTAGTCGTGGCTTCGGGATAAGACTTGAGAGATACGCAAGACCAAAGGCATACTCAGTGTGCGTAGCAAACTTGTGGCCGCAATCACAAACATCTTAGCTTCTTTGAACGCATCACACGTCATTTTTGACCATCTTCAAAGCCAGAGTAGCCATTGAGTGTTGTATCCAGATTCAGGATTTGACTGTCGAAACGGGTTCAGAGGTTCTGCAAAACGATCGTACACACAGTTCTTGAAGTCCTTCGTAGCTCCCACATCTGAACATGTTTTTGAGCATAGTCGGAAACCTAAGCTCCATGAGGATACCTACGAGAAGATTAGATATGTCAGTGGTAGTACACGAAGGACATGTGACTCATCATCTATTGTCTCAATCATGGTACCGCGACCAAGACACATACCCATGAGGTGGGTAACCACGAGCCATACGGGTAATCCGAAAGAGCAAAAGAGCCGAGAGAGCTTTATCTTTCTCTAAGGAATACTGACTTTACTGTTTCGACTTCTACTTAGGGCGTGCAGTAACTACTTTTCGCATCAGCCTTAGTACCTTTCGAACACCCATCGCTTTTAATTGCAGATGAGGTCAGGATCCATCTCTTCACAGTCCCTCCTCAGGGGTGACCACCAATAAATGCTCATCTTTGTACCAAAGCCATTACTACACAGTGCCAATGATTCCAGACTACCCCAAGAATCTGACTCATCATGCATCTGATAAGCAAGCCTTCCTCTTCCTCCTAAAGAGGTCTCTGAACCTTGTACTCCTTGCCGAAATCATAGAGACCCCCAGCATATCTGCCTCCGATGTCGTTCACACTGCCAGAGTAGTCGTTTTTGTAGAGGCGAAATGGTGTATCAGTAGAAATCGTGGTTAGGAGATGTAAAAGAAACGTAGAAAAAAAATCTTGGAGAACCGCAGAGTGAACCAGGAAAGACAGTTTTGTGGAGACGTCCTGGGAAGATCTACCAGAGAGTATCTGGACTAGACCTGAAAGTTATTGGAGTCAAAGAGGGCAACGTTCACTGGTGCTCCGGAATGCAGATCAAGTGGGTACCTGGTACCACAATATCGACCAGCACACCCACGGCGCTGTGGTCTGAGAAGGAAGTTCAGAATGCCAGGTTTAGGCTGGCCAAAGGCCTCTTGGCCACAATCGAGGACGACAACTCTGACTGGGACAGCATCCCATGGACAGATATCGAGGTCAGTAGACCAACATCGTGCTGGGGCACCTTCTGATTGTGGAATGGGCCAAGATCGACAATATACAGCTGCAGCTGGACACCAACAAGGCGCCAAAGAAGTGTCAGCAGCGCTGTGCAATTGTTGAGGAAGAAGGCAGCCTTACTGAAGTTCATGGAGAGGCCCTGCGCGAGCTCGAGCAGAATCTCGAGCCTGAGCAGGAGTTCGAGCCAGTCCAGACACTTGTCGAAGAACACTGGACTGACGCAAAGCACATCGTAAGAAACTGCCGTTTCGACGTCGAGGAAGGCCGGTTTGATGCTAGAGAGAGACAGGCAATTAGGGCCCTGATGAGAGGATATATCGCTGATGAGGCCGAGGACATGGTAGAGGAGAACCATGTTCGTCTTACCCAGCTCCTGAACGCGGATTGTTCCACCAATTTCGTATCAAGGTTCCGAGGGACTTTACAGAGGCTAGAGAGGTTAACGACGACCTCTGCAGTCTGCCTACCTTCGTCCCTTTCGCCACCTGGTGGGAGAACAGAGATGCCTCTGACTCGTCCTCCCACTCAACCTACTCTGGCCTACCTGGCCCTCGCTCAGGTTGCTCCTCGGTCTTGAGTAGTGCTTCGGCGTCCCGTCGTATGTCCATCACAGAAACTCTCGAGACGGTTCAGATTCCTCAGGTTCCTCGGGTTCCTCGAGTAGTCGAAGCTTGAGTCGAAGCAGTCCGGGACTTGTCGTTGCTCTCGAGAGCCAGAAGGTACCTGGCTAGGCCTTTGTACTCTGGTCCTTGATGACGGAAGAGTCACGCTAGAAGCTTCGACTTTGAGGAAGGAACCAGGAAGGCATAAAAGCCGAAACGATATCCGAGATTCATGACAGGTGCACAAACTTTTCGGCGTAGAAGGCTCCGACATAGATGGCGTTCTAGGGTCGACAGAGGCTTTTCTACACACAGATCTTGTCTACAGTCAGGATCCACAGTGTATATTATTCAAGACGCAAGACGCAAGACGCATCACCGACATGCACGGAACAACGATATAGACTAGAGAAGAAAAAAGTTCAGTTGATAGCGCCACCGGAGAGTGTAAGACTAAAGAAACATAAAGTGGACGAATGACACCTTGGGGAAAAAAGAAACACGGTCTTTCTCCTTGTGTGATAGTTACTGAAAAAGAAAAGGATGAGACGTTGGTGAGTCCCTCCCACCTTGGAAATCGCATTCCGTTCAAGTCACTTGCGATCCATTGTGCTCTTTAATCGCTGATATACCCTGTGTAATCCAATCAGATAGACCTGTGACGGACGACAAATGAAGTGAAATCGAAGCGACGATTGCCCCTGTGGATTGACGAAGCGAGTCAGAGACGAAAGACGACCAGGGGATTAATTCCGGAAATTTCAAGAAGCTTTGGCGTAAGGACAAGCGCGACGCGAGGATACAAGCTGTTGGAGAGCGATGGCGGGAGCGGATCGGGTATCGAGATTTGAAGCGACGAGTTTAACAGCAGCCGCCAGCGCTACCGCTCTGGACGTTGGCGCCCTGGCCGACTTGAACGGTGGGCTTGTTGTTGACAGTGGTGTTACCCATGCGTTCCTTGATTTGGCGAGCCATGGTCAAGAAGGCCTGCTCGACGTTGGATGCGTTCTTGGCCGAAGTCTCGAGGAAGGGGATGCCGAGGCTGTCGGCGAATTCCTGTGGACGTTCGTCAGTATGCGGGCATATCGAGTATGGCGAGGTATACGAACCTTTGCGACTGCGTACTCGACGACCTTCTTGTCGGTCATATCGCTCTTGTTGCCAACGAGGAGCTTGTTAACGCCCTCGGTAGCGTAGCGGTCGATCTCCTGAAGCCACTGCTTGACGTTGTTGAACGAGTCCATGTCGGTAACATCGTAGACAACGCAGATACCGTGTGCACCGCGGTAGTAAGACGAGGTGATGGTACGGAAGCGCTCTTGGCCTGCAGTGTCCCACTATACACATCATGTATCAGTACTCATCGTCTTCACGCGGTCGAATGTATGCTGGACTCACGATCTGGAGCTTCACGGTCTTTCCATCGAGCTCGATGGTTCTGATTTTCTGCAGTCTTGTGTTAGAACAAGGCCAGTGGGGTCAGGCGGCGCAACAAGGATTCAACGTACGAAGTCGACACCGATGGTCGAGATGTAGCTCTCGGTGTAAGTGTCGTCTGCGAATCGGAGTAACAGACAAGACTTTCCGACACCGGAATCACCGATCAGGAGGAGCTTGAAGAGGTAGTCGTATCTGTGCGAGCTTTGTATGAGCCACACGTCTTAAGGGGGTTGTTATCGGGGCGAGGGCGATGGCGACATGGCATGAGATACTGCCACAAGGGGGCTGTCTGTACTCTGGAGACGCGAAATTAGTGTCTCGTTCATAGCCAAGTAGGAGCAGTGGAGGTGCAAGGCGACGACATACTACTCGGGGTTCATGATGGGCAGTCTTCGAAGGCTAAGGTGTGGCTTGTTGTGACGCGCGGAGGGTGCGGAAGATGTCTGAATAACCGCTGCAGCGCTGGCTTCTTGGATCGATGTAAGTGGGTGGAGGAGCAAAAGTCAGTCCTTGGTTGTAAGGACTAGATGAAGGGATTCAAAGTCTTGAGGACGGCGACGTGTGCTGGCTGTGTGAGAGTGAACAAGGGCCATCTTCGTCCCCACATTCTTGGCGGAGTACTTGGTCATTTACCGCTAACATGTGGCGCCGGCGGACTACAAAACATCATTTCAACACAAACTCCCATCCCACTACTTCACGTGCGACTTGTGAAAGGGGAATTCTTGTGAGATGACTCGAAGCAAGTTGACCTACTTCCTGTCGCCTGGCCACGTCCCATCTGATCGCACGCTATGCAACCGACCTAAACCAAAACTCATCTATACTGCTCACATGACTTTCGCTCTTTCCAATTTATCGCCATGCTGGAGGGGGAGGCCCTCCGTAGTTGCTACTCTGTCCTCCATAACCTCCATGTGATGCCTGGTGTTGGCCCAACTGTTCTTGTGGCCCGCCATATTGATTGTACTGGTGCTGTGTGAGCTGTTCCTGGGACGATCCGCCATAAGACGCTGGCTGTCCATATTGAGATGCACCATGAGGTGCTCCTCCTTGCGCCGGCCCGCCATGTGCTACTTGGCCACCAGGTTGCTGTCCATAGCCGCTTCCCTGACCAGGCTGATATGCTGTGTATTGTGAATTTTGTTGAGGCTGACCATGGTTTGGCGCGCCACCGTACTGGTTATGCTGATGCTGGCTATACTGGTCATATTGGTAGCCTGAAGACGCGTGCGAGGGCTGACCTCCGTATTGGCTTGGTGATGCTCCGTTGTTATGCGAGGGTTGGTGCTGTCCCGTGGCGTTGTGACTGGGGGCGCCATATGTGCCAGTCGTCTGCCCATTTGGACCACCGTACGAACCTGTCGATTGACCATAAGGGGCAGGAGAAGCGTGATGAGAAGCCGAAGGGTTGTAAGATGGAGGAGGAGCCTGTCCGGAGTATGTACCTCCTTGAGATGATCCTCCAGACGAATAACCGTAGCCTTGTTGGTGACTCTGCTGTAAACAGTTAGTCGGGGCAAGAGCTTTTTTGTACAGTAGTTCACGAACCGAGGAGCTGTGGCCACCTAGCAGACTGCCCAGGCCGCCCATACCAACACTTTGATTGTGTCCGCCAGCATTGCTGTGACTGCCGCTTGACTGTTGGCCACCGAGAAGACTTCCGAGACCACCAAGTCCACTGCTATGACCGCTGCCGCTAGTGTTGCTGCTTGACTGTTGACCATGTGGCTTGCTGCCTCCCCCTAGGAAATTTCCAGCGAGTTTACCGACCAGTCCTGCGGCACCACCACTGTTATGGCTTTGGCTCTGGTTGTGTCCGGAATTCAATTGCGAGTTACCACCAAGGAACTGTGCGGCTAAGCCGCCGAGTCCGGACGAATGCTGTTGTTGCTGGGGCTTGTTCGAGCTCAGTAGCATGTTCATGGCCATGCCCTGTCCACTGGTTAGTCTTGTACTAGATCATACACGGCCTGAGACATACTCCAAGCCCACGTTCGCCTTCTTGTCCATCCACGCCACGGGTTGTCTGTGCTTGGGCTTCATGAGGGGCTGGGAAAGGGTTCTGGTGTTGCGCAGGTGTATTTCCTGGGGATGGCACGGTGGGCGCCGCTTCCGTAGGCACTTCCCATGTCGACACTCCGGTACTGATCTGAACAAAGTAATACTTTCGAGAGCTAGGTACCTGTCAGTCAAGTGTCGCGTCGTTGGCCGCCGTGATTGTGCTCACTTGCCATCCCATTGGGCGATCCATCCGATAGGGAGGTTTGGCGGCGCCTTGTCTGGGCCAGCCTCGGGTTCGGAGTCAGGCATCACGGCTTGTCTAAATCGCAGGAGTCGAAGATGTAGGATACAAGAGCGATTTGGTTCTGCGAGATATAGATGTGCAAGAATGCAACAGTCACGGAACAAAATCGCTCTCGAGAAGATCAGCTTTAGGCGGGCGGGCTGTGCTGTGACGTCGAGGGGTGCTCGTCTTGACCCCGTACTTTTGGGACATGATAACAAGCGAACAGGGCATGCCGACTCGGGGCACCCCTACGCTCGCAACCCATTGTGATTGCAGCGAGTCCAAATCTTATATTGCAAGGCATGATCAATCCTTGATATGTGCTTGCATGGACCTCAATATTCCCTGGCATTGTAGACCCCTGGTCGCCAGGGTATGCTTGATCAGCACACGTTTAATTAAGATATCGAGACTACCATGAAATTTCACAAATTGGATTGAGGCCATTCGGAGAAGGAGAGCGTGTAGAGAAAAAAAGTAAAAGGTAAAGTCGCTGTATTAAAGACACAAGCATTTCAACATGAGTGTGGTCCTTTTTTCTACCGGACCTGAAAGGATCCCCAAACCACAATGATCTTCATGAACGCTGATACGAAAAGTCGGCCGCTAGCCAAAAGCGTGTTTTTACGCTTAGTACTCAGCCTCAACACCCTCCTCACCCTCGACGGAGTCGGCAGCAACCTCCTCGTAATCGCGCTCCAGGGCAGCAAGGTCCTCACGGGCCTCGGAGAACTCGCCTTCCTCCATACCCTCACCAACGTACCAGTGGACGAAGGCACGCTTCGAGTACATGAGGTCGAACTTGTGCGAGAGAGCCGACCAAGCCTCGGCGATGGCGGTGGTGTTGGAAAGCATGCAGCTAGGGTGATGGTCAGCGGGGGAAATACAGGATACAATCACAGCAAGGGACTTACACAGCGCGGTTGACCTTGGCAAGATCACCGTTGGGCACGTTCTGGGGAGGCTGGTAGCAGATACCGATCTTGAAGCCAGTTGGGCACCAGTCGACGAATTGGATGGTGCGCTTGGTCTTGAGGGTAGCGACAGCGCTGTGGACGTCCTTGGGGACGACATCACCACGGTAGAGCAGGCAGGTGGCCATGTATTTGCCGTTGCGGGGGTCACACTTGACCATCTGGTTGTTGGGCTCGAAGCAGGACATGGTGATCTCCTGGACAGAGTTGGCCTCGTGGGCAGACTTGGCGGCCGAGACGACGGGAGCGTAGGCGACCAGAGGGAAGTGGATACGGGGGTAGGGGACCAAATTAGTCTGGAACTCGTTCAAGTCGACGTTGAGGGAACCGTCGAAGCGGAGGGAGGCGGTGATGGAAGAGACGACTGCAAATGTGGTTAGCGGTGAACATGACGAAGGTGGCAGCTTGAGAGCGCATACCCTGAGCGATCAGTCTGTTCAGGTTCTCGTAGTTGGGTCTCTCGATTCCGAGGTTGCGACGGCAGATGTCGTAGATGGCCTCGTTGTCGACCATGAAGGAGCAGTCGGAGTGCTCAAGGGTGGTGTGGGTGGTGAGGATGGAGTTGTAGGGCTCGACGACCGAGGTGGCGACCTGAGGGGCAGGGTAGACACAGAACTCAAGCTTGCTCTTCTTGCCGTAGTCGACAGACAGGCGCTCCATGAGGAGAGCACCGAAACCGGAACCAGTGCCACCACCGAACGAGTGGAAAACGAGGAAGCCCTGAAGACCAGAGCAGTTGTCTGCGACTCTTCTGACCTTGTCAAGAACCTGGTCGATCAATTCCTTGCCGACGGTGTAGTGACCACGGGCGTAGTTGTTTGAGGCATCCTCCTTGCCGGTGATCATCTGCTCGGGGTGGAACAAGCTGCGGTAGGCGCCAGTGCGGACCTCGTCGACGACATTGGGCTCGAGATCACAGTAGATGGTGCGGGGAACGTATTTGCCGTTTCCTTTGGTCGCGTGTTAGCTCGAGTGTCGGGGTAGATAGGTTCATCGGGGCAACGCGTACCAGTCTCGGAGAAGAAGGTCGAGAAGCCCTGGTCGTTGTTGCCGGCCTTGCGCTCCTCGGTGAGGTAACCGTCGGGCTGAAGTATTGTCAGTAAGAGTGCGCGTAATGAAGGAGCTCAAGAGTGAAAGCGTACCTGAATGCCGTGCTCGAGACAGTACAGCTAGGCAGACAAAATGTTAGTCGAAACCCCTTTCGCAGACGGCGCAGGCGCTGATGGCCATGCGTCGAATCAATGGCAGTGCAAGCTCACCTCCCAGCACGAGTTGGCAATCTGGCAACCAGCCTGGCCGACTATAAGCATTGAGTGTCAGCATCGGCAGCAATATGGCGGATGAAACAGTCCAAGGGGCGGTCTGGCGCGCGTGGGCTCAAGAGCTCCAGGGAGTATCAACATACCGTTCAAACTGATGACTTCACGCATTTTGAATGACCTGGAACCGGACGAGAGATGTGACAAGGAGGGGATCGAAATACAGGGCGGAGATGGGTGGTCGGCGTGGTCGTCAAGAAACGGTCTGCTTGTCAGGAGGAAGGGAAGTGAGAAGTTGGCTCGAGCTTTTGTTATGGTGTTCTTGTTTACTCTTGGCGCTCTACCTTCTCTGCCGCCCGGCGCCCATCCATGATCCACCACCATCGGACCCCTACTTTGCCAGCCAATAATTCGTGCAAGAAGCTCCATCGCAGACCATCATCCTGTAAAATAGTTTGCTGTCTACCACCCTATTCGCTCTAATCAATGTCCAGCCAGAGACATTTGATCAAGTCTGTTCAGCTGCTACCTCTGCTGTATTGATGATGCACCTCCTGTCCATCATATCCTACATATGCTTGCTAGTCGTTCCTGCCATAGCAAACGTAGAGAAGACCATCTTTACCGCGCCTCACAGCGTAGCTTTTGGAGATGCACGACCAAACTTGATTGACCTACAACTCGTATCTCTTTCGTCAAAGAAACTTGCTGTTCGAACCGTTCTTCCTGTAGTATTCCCTGTCGAGAAACACCCTCGTGGATTGTCATCTTGGTATTTACTTGACGGCCTGCGCCCAGGTCAGCGTTACGAAGTCCGTATCTGCTGGGCGGCGACGGTATCTTCAATTGATCTCGGATTTTGTTGCCACATTTTGGTTAACACATCTCACAGCAACCTACGGATTTCATCTTGGACCCTTTTGAGGTCACGACCGTCTTTGATACTCCCGCTCTGCTACAGGATCTTACTACCTACGCTGAAGAGCGCCAGAGTTTGCTGGCAGGAGAAGACTTCGACGGCATTAGCGAGCCCACTGCGGTCAAACGATCTGCTCTATTCCTCCGCATTCAGTCGGCGGCCAACTTCTACACCACTAACAAAGAGTTGATGCAGAATCCTCCACCTGTCAATGTCGACATAAGTACGCTTCTACAGCTTTGCCGTATCTCCATTGACTGACCAGCTCCCGCAGTTCTTGATCCATATCTTTTGAACGTTTTTCCCCAATCGTTACTTCCAACAGCTGCTTACATTCTGGTACTGGCTATTGCCAGCTGGTTCCTTTCGGGATACGCCTGGTCTAAAGTCCAGGTCTTTGTGCAAGACAAGCAACACTCTGACTGAAAAGCACGCCTCGTCTCCCCAAACTCACTATCGACTCTCCAATTTTCCTAGGATGCAGTCAACAACCGTTCCCATCCCACGCTCCTTCCGTCAACTACCCCTAGAGCTCATCCTCATGATCACCAGGCCGCTTGCGCCGGACGCTTTCCTCTCGTTTGGCTTCGCCAACTATCATCTGCTCATCACACATTCGTTGGCTCCTTTACTGTCGACAGACACATTGACCCGTCTTGTTCGTCAATCAGCAGCCCTGAGAACGCGTACAATCGGCCAGTCGTGGATTCCTGTCGAAGTCAATCTGCAGATACTGCGAAACCTTGAGCCCCTCGACGCTCTGAATTATGCCATGGCCAATTATCTGGTATTGGCTCAGCAAGGCATTGCCCCTACACTCTCGTTGGAAACACTTCGCCGTCTGAATCGTGCTGTTCAACACGAACCAAATACAGTCCCGAATCTAGCACCAGGTCACAGTCCTAAGCCTTGAGCTGGCTGACAGACTGTCAAGGAAGCAACGGTAGAACTAGTCTATATGCGCCGTGTCCGCGTTGATCGAGCAGAACCTGCTCGTCACAAGTTCTGAAACTTCTCATCACGGCACGGTATGAAAGCATTTGAGCTTCCGTCTGCCGTAAAGCACCGCAGAAGTAAGAAGTCAGACCGATACCTTGGTTGTGTCGATTAGGATACCGGGCTGGCGTAAGCAAGTCAGTTACTGCCACGAATCAACCCAGCAAGCCACGCTGCATTACTTGACTTTATTACAACTCTTGACCAACCTTAGCGTCTTCTGATAGTACTTTAGCTTCTTGTGCTCTCTTCTGTGTATATCGCGTACTTATCAGTGTCCTAAGTGTGCTATCAAGACAGATGGTGTGTTGCTTTTATTTGCAGAAGCCGATTTGTTCAGTCCGGCATCACCACGGCCAGCGAGCCGTTGTTAGAAGTCTTCGGGGTACACTCACGAGATTTGTCAAGAACTCATTCGGTCTCGCAAGCGTTTCCTATAAGCACAGCTTCAGACTCTTTCAGGGGTATTGGTCTGTAAGCAGCCACGCAAATTTGTCGAACCTCAGCAGTGCACTGCCGCTCCTCTTCATGCTTCATTCGGATGTGGAAGATCCGAGCGAACGTCGCGCTTTAGAAAAAGGGTCCGAAGCGACGTCATAGTTGAGCCTCTGGATAAGATGAAGTGATCATTACCAAGCGTGGGCTGGAAGGTTTCTCGTTTACATTATCCTTGAGCTACTTCACTTCTATAACAGCATCTATCTCCACCTCTATAGTAATTCACAATCATCGCCCACGACATCCGTAATTTCTCAATCGAGAGCAGCGACACACGAGCAACCAGCTACTTCTGCAGCACCATCACCAGCAACAGCACACAGTCGACATGACGGACAAACTCATTCCGTCAAACCCTGACAAGGTCATGGTAATTCGTAACGTCACACCCGACATTGTCACCCTCTCGCTACCGTTTTCGCGCTTCGGTCACATCAACATCGGCGGTCGCGGCACTCTCGGTACGTCCTCGCGCAGACGCGTCACAAGCCGCCGCAGACAACTAACACGTCGCAGTCCGTATGCAGAATGGCAGTGTAGCCGTCTTTTCCCCGGTGGCCTTGACCGACGAAGTCCGCAGCCATATTGAGAAACTGGGAGCCGTAAAATACCTCTGTGCCAACGATGCCGAGCACCACATCTTCATGGACGACTGGCACAAAGCCTTCCCGGACGCCAAACTTATTGGCCCGGACATGATTAAGGAGAAGCGCGAGAAGCAGAACAAGCCGTTGCCCTGGACACACCTTTTCCGCCCCAAGGACAATGTCAGTTGGAACATTGACGAGGCCTTCGATCGTGAGTTCGAGGCCGAGTACGTCCATGCTCACCAGAACAAGGAGTTGGTCTTCAACCACAAGCCTTCGAAGACCTTGATCCAAGCTGATCTGTTGTTCAACCTGCCTGCCACCGAACAATACTCGCGTACCGACATCAACCCTACTGCTGGCTTCCTGACCAAGTTGATGTGCAAGATCAACACAACAGCTGGTACGGCCGTCTGGCAAAAGAGGTTCCTTTGGTATGGTGTCAGTTCCTCGGATAGACCTTCCTTCAACCAGAGCATAGCAAGAATCGACAAATGGGACTTTGAGCGCATCATCTCCTGCCACGGCGATGTGATTGAGAAGGAAGGTAAAGGCATCTTCAGAAAGGTCTTTGAATGGCACTTGGAAGCTGCAAAGAAGTCGACCTAGAATGTGCGACTCAAGTTTAGGTCGCGGGCCGCGCACGACGTGTATCGCGAGGCATCACATAGTTGGAACACGACATTGGTTTCTCTTGTAATAACTTTTGGGGTTACAAAAATTAGATATAATGACAATGCTAGCTTGATAATCATATCAGAAAACTCCTTGCCCGATGATGCAGTGAAAATCAAAAGCAACTTTTTTTCGTCCTCGCTGGATGCATATTATATAGGTAAAAAGCAATTTCGCTAGCAGAGCAACAGCAAGAATCGTGGGTATCGTTAACATGTGATGGCATTAACGAGAAACCAAGAGAAAGAGAAGAGGAGAGATGAAAGGCCGCGGGCGGCATCCTCAAAGTCTGAACCAGTTCTTTTCGACAGCACGGACAAGCTCATCTTCGCTGACACAGATCCACGAGCTCTCGGTCTTACCGTAGACACCAGTGGATCCGTATGGTCCCTTTGCAGAAGGCTCCCAAGCCATAGGCCAAGCACCACCGCTCGAGATCTCTGCAAAGGAGAAGTCACCATGCACAATGCGTTCCTTGGGGTTGAAGATGCAGTCGGCAAAGAAGATTTCAATGTCGAGCTCCTTGCGCTTGCGCTTCTGGTTCTGCATGAGTGTGCGTGCTGAGGAGAGGACGTCACGCAGACGGCACGACTTTTGCGCTTGTTGAGCGCGGTAGGATTCGTTTGTGCTGGTATTGTCGCCGTCACAGAGTTCGAGCGCACGAACTTGGCATTCGCCTTCCCAGACAACTTCTTCGTGGGAGAATAGGCAGGCGCACATGCTAGGAATTGAGATGGACAGATCCTTGAGACGAGGGCAGGAGGCCAGAGACTCGCAGACATGTGTCTCCGGGGAAAGATGGCCTGGGTGAGGGTGGAAGAAGCCATCGTCTGAGCGTGGAGAGTGTTCAAGGACACGGAGGGTATTTGCGGATGAGTTGACGATGGCCATGACTCCAGCGATAGTAACAGTGGATAGATTGGTCAGGTGGAATTCTTCGAGACGAGTTGCACTACGTGCGATGTTGAACATGTCCTCATCGTCGATAGGCATTAGGTGAGTGTTGCCGAAGATTTTCAAGCGCTTCAGATGCGAGAAGCTCACTCTGGGGTCTGCAAGTGGATGGGTGTTCTCAACGTGCGACCACTCCTTCTCCTGAGCATTGGCAAGACATGTGGCACGCAGCTCCAGAGACTTAAGAGCAACATCGTCCTCTGAGGAGATTCCCAGTAGATGAATCCAGTCCTGTGCACTTCCATGGCGCAGCAAAGTCCAAGGCACACTGACAGAGGTGAGATGACGGCAGCTTCTCAGGACGTCAAATGTCATGCGGTCCGTTTCGACAGTGTGGAAGCCATCGAAGAACATGCGGCGCACCTCGCCTGCCACATCTGGGTATTGAGCGAAGAACTTGACGGCACTCTTGAGAAAACCAAAGGGATCCCGGTAGACCGCACTGCCTTTGGGCTTGCTCATAAGCTCATACGCTCCGTAGGATGAACGACGAGTTGGGATCTCCGCCCACCTCTCTGAGCCTTGCCATCTTCTGATGGACACGGTCTTTATGGTGTTCTGGATGGCCCAATCATGCCATCTTGTGCATACGCCGCGAATGGTAGATGCTCCGTCCCAGCGTTGTGCTTCAGGCTGCACAGGTCCTCTGATATATCTCGTCAATGGCGTTCGCGAGATTGGGAGAGGGGCTTGAGTAAGACCAAAAGTGTATTTCACACCATTCTCAGCGTTCATTTGAGCAGCATAGTCAAGAATAGATGAGAGAATCTCATCTGGGAAGTCGTTGATGTGCATTTTGTTCATGTATCAGTGCAGTGACCACAGAACTGATGTCTCTTCGAGGTCAACCAATCTAGACTCTGGTCAGTATACACAAGGGCCGAGACAGATATAAGGCAACAAACCCCAAGTAAGGATCGGAGAAGAAACTGTTACTTGGAGTCATTCACCAGTATAGAACATACATTAAGCACGTCAAGTCGTTTGAGAATGGTCCTTGAAGAGTGACACTTGATGAGTGACACTTGATCAGAATAGTGAAGGTGGAAAGTTGGTGAAAGACTTGAAGTTGAAAATCGGAAAGGAAAACAAGGGCTTGACCAGGACTATATCCCCTCAAAGAGGTGCATTGTCCTTACGTTAGAAGAAACTCATGGCCCCCTCAAACGCCGGACTTGACGGACGCCTACACCGAGTGTTCACGTGGAGCATCGAACCACTGCACAGGTAATGAGCAAACGTGCGAAAGGCTTGCAGACTATTAGTAACAGATGGATGATTCATAGAGGACATTCCTCCCAGTTTCTATTTTGTGGGGGTAATTATAGGGTAAGAGCAATCCAGGGCCAAGCCGCTCGTTGCCGTTTCGGCATCAAAGAGCGTACCGCGTGATCTGGGTTTTCCATCACTCTGCTCGAAACGGTCAATTGTAGTGTAAAAGGTACCCAGGACGGTGGATTGATCACGAAGCGCTAGGAGAGGGGTTGGTTTGCAAAGCTGAGAAGCCACGACCACCGAGGAGATGAGGATGTGAAGTCGAAGGCAAGCACTTGGCAGAGTGGTACCGCCAATACATGTTTCGTGGCATTGTGTGATACGAACGAGATTGACGTATGTTGACGAAATCGCGCGCAAAAAAGGCGACAGAAATTTTCTTTGTCGTTCGGTATTGCGATCACGCAAGCCAGCAAACAGGCAAGAGGCAAGAGGCGAGCACTGAATTAAACGGACAATGGCACGTGGGGAGCTGCTGACGCGGAATCCGGCCCTGCGGTCAGAAACGAGATTTGCGTCTCGGAATACGGCGGTGTCGCCTGCCAGACTCGGGTCTACTACGCGGCGTACGAGTATGCACCAGATGGATGAAGAAGGTGCTACAGACGATGTGTTTTCGTGGCGTCACGGTTTCCATCATAACGTTCTTTTAAAGCCGTAGCTAGGCGGGCAAGGCGGATGCGGAGGCAGAGATGGAGGCGGGGAATTCTGGGGGAGTAGTGTGCTAAATTCAGTCACGCGTGTAGCTGTATCAAGGCACAAACGTTCGAGAAGCAGAGCAACGTCTACTGAGAGTCGTCATCATATTGACTTTTCACGAAGATTCATTTAATCCAGAAGACAGCTGTACTTTCACACTACTCCTTGTCGTTCCGTGTGATCATAGAGAAGAGCGCACATGACAGATTTTGACGCCGACAGAAATCTGTTGCCAACAACAGTAAAGTTTAGACATTGAAAATACGATTACCGACTCTCATACGGAAGAAGGCACTACGATCCGCTAGCCTGGCGCGTAGGCCACCTGCCGCAGAAGGAGCCGTGCTCGGGGGCTGGACGGGGTCACGCATCTCCTTAAGCTGTGTTTTGATCACATCGAAAAGATTTAGATCCGCAATCATGATCTCACCGCTATTGAAGGCGTCGAAGATGTACGAATCTGTGCGGGGTGCCGTCGAGGCCAGTAGAGCCTGTCTTTCATCTGATTCTGGTTCTGGTCCTGCTCCCATCTCTAGCTCTGTTTGAGCACCAGAGTCGGCTTCTTCAGATGGCTCGTTGGTGGGGTTGAGAGAATGCAACTCTTGATCGACCGGTTGGTGGTCGGAGCTGTGTTGACCGCGCTCCTCGAAATCGTGGGTTTGAACGGCGGTCGGAGGAGTGGTCGTGGTAGAGGTTTGTTGCTTTACTCTTTGTCGAGTCGTGGTAGCAGCCAGATGGACAAGCTGCATGAGCAATATCAAGATATCAAGTAGGACCAGATGTAACTTTGAGGTAGGGCCTTTCTGACCCACAAAGTCCATAGCCAGACCGCCATGTAAGTAACCCCTGGTAGCTTCGCCAGCCTCTGGACGAGCAAGGAGAATATGGAGGAGAATGATCAATAGATTGGAGCCGAAGATAGCGCCAAGGTATGGTCTCGGGTGCGGTGGCTCGGGCAGGAAAGCAGGCTTGGGTGTCAGGAACATGAACTGTATGGCGGCTCTGAGCAGGAAACGTGTAAAGGAGCAGCTACGATTGCATTAGTCGTGAAGCCAAGACAAGGTGTTGGTGGCATGTGTCTGCGTACTCCATGTAGTAGACGGCAGACAGCTGAGCGTAGATCAAGAGGTCGATGTTGCGAACGAGATGCTGCAAGAAGGCATCTCTCTTCTTGTTGAAGGTGGCCTTGTTGCGCTGAACGCGCTCTCTCCGGGTCGCATTGTCGAGCGAGAGCGACGAGGCCGAGGCATGGTTCATTTCCGGACTATCATGTATTGCTATCGTGAGCCGGTCGCATTATTTCGAGTCCACGCGCGGCCGACACCGAAGAAAGAAGAAAGCGAGTGCTTGGAGTCGAAGTTCTATCGTCGACGGCATGGGCTGCTCTGTATGACGGCGGCCACGTTCGGCAGGGCTGGACGCCTTTCCCCATTGGGTCGTGATTGAAACAAACTCGCGCTGCGACGCGTCGTCTGTCCGCGGGCAAGTCTCGTCTCTTCTACCGATTCAGCACCGCCTGTTCAATTACATCCAATCATGGCCAGTTTCTTCGATCTCAAGGCTCGCAAGGCTGCTGCTGCTGCTTCTGCATCAGGAGAAGCTTCATCCAAATCGACCGGCCCAAAAGTCGACAATCGCCTGCAACCATGGGTTGAGAAATAGTCCGTCACCTCGTCTTTCCAACAGCGAATCCTTCAACATCAGCTAACTCGACACCAGTCGCCCAAAGTCACTCGATGATGTTTCGTCGCAAGAACACACCGTCGACGTTCTCCGTCGCACCCTGCAATCCGCCAACCTCCCTCACATGCTCTTTTACGGCCCGCCCGGTACTGGCAAAACCTCGACCGTCCTCGCTCTCGCGAAACAGCTTTACGGTCCTGAACTCATCAAGACCCGTGTTCTTGAGCTCAACGCTTCCGATGAGCGTGGTATCAGCATTGTGCGTGAGAAGGTCAAGGACTTTGCCCGCATGCAACTCTCGAATCCTCCCTCCGGCCCTGCTGGCGAAGAATACCGCAAGAAGTACCCTTGTCCTCCCTACAAGATCATCATCCTCGATGAAGCAGACTCTATGACTCAAGACGCCCAATCCGCCTTGCGTCGCACAATGGAAACATACAGCAAGATTACTCGCTTCTGTCTCATCTGCAACTATGTCACACGCATCATCGACCCTCTGGCCAGTAGATGCAGTAAATTCAGGTTCAAGAGTTTGGACGGCCAAAATGCTCGCAAGAGACTGGAAAACATCGCCGCCATGGAGAAGGTCAAGCTAGATGATGGTGTCGTCGACACTCTGATTCGCTGCGCTGAAGGTGACTTGCGAAAGGCCATCACTTTCTTGCAGTCGGCCGCTCGTCTCGCTGGTGCCGAACTGTCAAAACCTGACGACGATGCTATGGACGTTGATGATCAAGCAACTGCCCGTTCGGTGTCAGTCCGTAGTATCGAGGAAATCGCCGGTGTGGTCCCTGACCATACAGTCGGCCGTCTCATCGAGGCCTTGCAGCCTAACAAACGAGCTTCGGTTTATGATGCTGTGTCTCGTGTTGTTCAGGACTTGGTCGCCGAAGGTTGGAGTGCTACGCAGCTGGTATCGCAACTCTACGAACAAATCCTTATGGATGACTCCATTGACAATCCGAAGAAGAATCGCATTGTCTTGTCCTTCTCACAGACAGACAAGAGATTGATCGATGGAAGCGACGAACATCTCACTATCCTTGATCTAAGTCTGCAGATCGCCAGCGCCCTTGCAGGAACATGAAGCGTCAGTCCGCTCCTCCGATGGGGTCTTCAATGATACCGAAAGCAACGAAACAAGTAGCGGCGTGGCGGCGCGCTACCCACGGACAGGCCTTGCTTTATTTGCTGTCTAGTCGCACGAGACCTAGTAGGAAGCATGCAAGGTGGCGCTTCGCCGCGATGTTTGCCGTCTATTGCGAATATCGCTACGTGTAAAATAATATGCCTAATGACCACTTTTAAATCTATGCATCTAATCTTCTTAACACCTTCGTTCAATCACGCCCCAGCACGATGCTTGGTTATGAGCACCATCAAGTTCACGATCAATGTATATGGGCTCATTGTGATGTAGAATGTAAAACAGGGGGTATAATCATTCAAGTCTAAGACTACCAAACAACGCAGAAGGGGAATCAGAATCTAGGAGATGATGCACTTGACCGGCAAGCCACAGGGACCAGACTTGTCGTGCTCCTCCTTGTGTTGAGGCTCCGTCGATGTCTGCTGCTTTTGTGCTTGTGTTGTGCTCTTCTGCTCAGTCTGGCTGGGCTCGGTGACGGGTGCACCACCACCGACCGCCGCCTGCTTGTTGTTGGCCTCCGCACCCGCGGCGCCACCATGCAGTCATGCGAAGTTCTGCTTGGTGAGAGCCTGCCAGAAGGCCTTGCCCTGCTCGAAGGCGAGGGAGAGCTCCTTCTCAGAGGGCTGGCGAGAGCCGTCGGGACCAGCAAAGGTACCGGCACCCCATGGGGATCCACCGCGAACTTCGGTGAGGTCGGCGAGGGTACCGAAGACGGTCTTGTAGCCGAGGGGAACGAAGATCATGCCGTGGTGGACAAAGGTCGACATGGCGCTGATGACGGTAGTCTCCTGGCCACCACCGGGGGTGGCGGTGCTGACGAAGGCGCCGGCGTACTTGCCCCAGAAGGCACCAGTCTGCCATTGGCCGCCCTGGTTGATAGTCAGCGTGTGTTACATGTTTCAATGGATGTCCATGGAGCTTACAGTCTTGTCCCAGAAGGCCTTGAACTGTGCGGGCCAGTTGCCGTATCTGGTGGGGATACCGAAGAGGAAACCGTCGTACTGCTCAAGAGTCTTGGGGTCGGAGAGGACGGGGTAGCTGGTCTGTCATCTTGCGTTAGTATGTCGCTGCTGAGATCCAGGTCCAATGTCGAGTCGTACCTTGGGAGGAGCGTGCATCTTGGCAAGGACATCCTCGGAAAGCGTCTCCTCGACTTGGTAGATGTCGACAACACCACCAGCCTCTCTGATACCTCTGGCCTCTTCCTCGACCATCTTGAGGATGTGGCCGTACATGGAGTACTATATCAAACACAATTGTTAGTCCATCCACTTCATGTGATGAGGTCCAAGCTCGAGCTCAGAAAAATAATTGACCGTGATGGGCAAGTGTGGTGAGGACGTACGAAAACGATGGCGACTTTGGGAGCCATTTTGATAGATGTCTAGCAAGAGCTACAGGCGAGACAATATTAGAACGGGTGAATTGAGGGATGAGGAGAAACAACGTCAATTGCCAGGGATGGGAAAGCAAATATATACAATGTTTACCCCAACTTAACTGACAATTAACAGCGGGTCTCCGATCCGCGCTGACAAAGTCTAGATTGGCAACTTAGTGATCATTAATATGAATTGGTCGGCTCAGATCGGGAAATCTTGACCGGCTTAGTGAACATTTTTCCCTTCCCGTTGCTAAGCTCGGCGTCCGAGTAATGATCTTAACTTCAATTTCATGTTCCCAAGCAATAAGCAACAATAAGATAGCTATTTCCGGAGAGCCATCACACCATCCATTGAGGTCCTGAGCTCAACCATGCATACCTTTCGGATTGCAAGGTTTGGCCAAATTCAACACGCATTACGCAAGCGATGTCAGCAATTGACAGGGATGACTTGTTCGATTGCATCGAGGGCAACGACTTGCGATTGATTGCTTCACCGTATGATATTTCCATCGAACGCCTCGTCCCGCTTTTGCTTTGATGGCAGCAACAAGGGGTCGACTGCTATTGAGGTGTGGTGTCTAAGTCGAAATTTCGATGTCATGTGTGATGTCAGTGACACCCTGGCCTTGTCGAAGGAGTTAATATACGACATGGTTAGAAGCATAATCTCCTCATGAATTCCTGTAAGACCATCGTGACAGTCGCAAGTAAATGGTTCTTTAAGCGACAGTGCCTGTAGAGCTCTGATTGAGCCAATTCTCAGATGATATTGACCGAGACAAGAATTCCTTGTGTCTTGATATAAAAAGACCACCCAGACTGACCAAATACTGAATTTTTACATTCACTGGTCAGACACATGGTTGACCATTGACTTATCCATGATCTCAACACTATCGTCGTGTACGTGTCGGAGCAATGCATCATGAGTATTGATAGGTATGCTTGCTTGGCCTTTTACTGTTACTACTTTGGTTAGTCGGTTGCCCTTTTCGGAAGTTACCGTGCATCCAGACGCGCTGTCCTTGTGCTATCACTTAACGCGAACACTCGACAATCCATCACTTTCTCTGCTCTCACGGAGACGCTAATCTTCACTTGTCAGCGCGTTGAGGATCGACCGATCATCTCAAACACATTGTGATTCCTCTCTCGGTCGCACAAACGCCGCGCTGTATGTCAAAGCAACCCCCAACCTCCTTCTACCCCAATCACATGTCGTGATAGCAATCACATGTCATCAGATTTTACCGATCATTAACAGCTTCGCTAAGAATCGCCAGGTAAATCTCGGTCGAGACATGTCATAAACATAATCAAAGCAAGCCAAGATGGACATCTCCGACCATTTGATGGATGGCAATGTTATGGACACAACAGAAATGGATCCATTTGTGTTGGACCTAGCATCGCCTGTGGTGCAACCAAAGCCTCGCAATCTGTCAAATGGAACACCCAGATCGCCCTCCTTGCGTCAAGAATTTCTACCTACACCGAAAGAAGGTATGAAACACTTGCCGTACTCAACCTCTCAGACGGGCCTGGTGTACGACGTTCGGATGAGATTCCACGTCGAGGTCCGACCTGAGGTCAACCAAGGAGTTCACCCAGAAGATCCACGGCGTATTTACGCCATCTACAAGGAGTTGGTAGACGCCGGCCTAGTCGACGATCCTAAAACAATCAGTCCAGCCCCTTATGTCCTTGCGCGGATACCAACAAGATATGTGACCAAGAGAGAAGTATGTGCTGTACACACAGAAGATCACTACAATTGGGTCATCAGTCTTGAGACCTGGGACAACGATCTTCTTCACGATGCTGGCCAGCAGATGGACAGCATCTATCTCTCAAGAAACACTCCCGTATGTGCAAGGTTATCAGCCGGAGGTGCGATTGAAGCATGTCGAGCTATCCTTAACGGTCATGTCAAGAACGCAATCGCAGTAATCCGACCTCCTGGTCACCATGCAGAGCACAAGGAGCCAATGGGGTTCTGCATCTTCAACAACGTGCCCATCGCAGTCAAAGCTTGTCAAGAAGAGTTTGGCGACAAATGCCGCAGAGTCCTGATCCTCGATTGGGATGTGCATCACGGCAATGGAGTACAGCAAGCTTTCTACGACGACCCGAACGTGCTCTACATCTCTCTACACGTCCACCAAGGAGGGAAGTTCTATCCTGCTGGGCCTGCAGGAGATCATCTGCACTGTGGTGAGGGCGCTGGAGGTGGACTGAATATCAACATCCCATGGCGCACAGCTGGTATGACAGACGCCGACTATATCCTTGCCTTCCAAAAGATCGTCATGCCAATTGCCCAAGACTTTAATCCTGATCTGGTCGTTGTTTCTGCAGGATTCGATGCGGCGGAAGGCGACATGCTCGGAAAATGCCATGTCTCACCCGCCGGCTACAGTCAGATGACACACATGCTGATGTCCCTAGCTGATGGGAAGGTTGCCGTGTGTCTCGAAGGAGGATACAACTTGAGATCCATTGCAGTCTCGGCCCTTGCAGTCACACGAACTCTGATGGGCGAGCCGCCAGGACGACCAGTTACTACGATTCCTACACCATCCGCCATTGACACTATTGAGGAAGTGCTACGACAGCAAGCAAAGTGGTGGCCATGCTTATCCCAAGGCGACCAGTCGCGACAATTAAAGCAGCAATCTAGCGAACGAGTTCACGATGTCGTTCGTATGTACCAGGCCCATTGGCTCTGGGAGAATTTGGGAATGTCCGAACTCTTTATTGCCCACAGCAAGGCATCAAAGAGTTTTGCAGGCCAAGTGCTAGCGACGCAAGTGTCTCTCTTCCCTTAGCGCAACGTACTGTGACTAACCCGATCCCAGTAAGAACCACGCCGACGCACGCCCTCTCTTAGTCATCTTCCACGATCCTCCAAAACTCACTGGTTCAACCAATCCTAGAACTCAGGCTTTTGAACTGCACAACACATGGCTGGTACGTGTATCCAAGTGGACGAACGTTGGAAACATATACTGACCATGTTCAAAGACTGATTCCGTGAAGCAATACACTACATGGGCCGTCGATCAAGGTTTCTCTGTTATGGACATCAACATACCGAAACATCACACTGAGGCTGAAGACGACTATGAACACGCCGAGCCAGCAGATGAAGGTCGAAGATCAGATGAGACCGAAGTACTTGCCAAGTATCTCTGGGACAACTACATCGAGTAAGAAGCCTCAGTCAATCGTGTCAGTCCTCGAGTCGATCCTAACACCTTTTTAGGCTAAGCGAAGCAAGCCACATATTCTTTATGGGCGTTGGCCAGGCATACTCGAACCTTATTGCCTTTTTGAAAAAGAACGACAGATGCAGAGACCGGCTGACCAAGATCATCGGCTTCATCTCCGACTCCTGCGTCTTACCCTCGTACAAAGCTTCTACGGATGACTTCCTGGATCGCTGGTACAGAGATGCGTCGAGGATATTTGTCGCCGATAACCACTATGTCTGGGAGAGGCACAAGAACAAGCAACCGTCTAAGAAATGGGGCAATCTTGAAAGAAGCAAGTACAACGACATGCAGGAGATGCTTGCGAGCCACCAGAAGGAAGTCACGGGCATCCTGACCATCTCGACTGAAGACTGGCAGCAGGAAGTAGCTCCCGTGGTGGGCGCTAATGAGGAGATGTAATGCACGACAAACGGAAGACTATTTCGCATCTTGTAGCGAGAGACATACATTACTGGTCGAGATCAATGCATCAAGCAGGGATTAACCATACATGCAGATGCAACCTTGTTCGTGGTTATGTTACCCTCATACAACTGATCCTGTGGAACCTATTGTCTCTACTGTAGTCCGACAACTTGTTACCATGGATAGTCACCCTCCTTCAATATTGCAGGAGAAACAAGTGAAACACGGAGAAAGCTTCCATGCCTATTCCTTCTAGAAGCTGGGCTTATCTTGCGTCCTTCGCTGCCTTGTTTCACATAAGATACGATGATACGATGATGACATGTTTGGGACAGCAAGTGGCTCGAGGGTCTTCTTCTAATCATCACACTCCCTCAGTCGAGAATCGTGGCGCGTTTCAGTGTGGCTAGGACTTGACTTGAGAAGAGGAGAGACTAGGTGAAGTTGATTTTGATTTTGATTGTCTCGAAAGACAGGTCATCTATTGATGATGGTTTTCTATATACATTATCCAGTCCTTGTTTTTAGAAAAGGATGATGGTGAATTTTAGCTATGTAATTGGGCTTGTGTGATGTGAAATATACAGAGAACTGTACATTCGTAATGATGATGATGATCCGGCTCTGCTGCCGTACTGCATGATGAGACAGACCTTTATAAGATCTGGTAACAAAAAACAAAGGTGACATGCGATGCGAAGAAACAACCGCCTGGGTATATGCAAATGATAACAAAAAGAGAATAAACAAAGAAAAACATAAAATCGTAATCAGAGATGATGCAGATCGCTTTACTTGGAAGCGATCACGGCAAGAGCGATGATGGCGCCAATCATGGCAACGCCCACAAAACTCATGATGCGGTTAAGGTTTCTCCACCAGCGAGCCTTGAGGTACTTGCGCTCTTGGTCCCAGTTGCGCATCTCGGCTTGGAGACCACGCGGGTAGTGGCTCTTCTCGCCTTCAAGTTCGGAGAAGTCTTGGATGGAGGATTCGACGTTGTTTACGGTAAAGTCGGTCGGTCTGAGCGGCAAGGGGAGGAAGGCGGCAACCATCCAGAGAACAGGGCACAAGAAGCCAAGGCAGAAGAAGAGGATCTGGCGATTGCCGCGGGATATTACAAGAGTGTTTAGTGCTTCGTCGAAACTGGGTGCGCGCCAGGTGGAGAGACGGTGGGACAGGCGGCGGGAGGGTGCCAGGTGAGGTGGAGTAGTGTACATGCGACTAGCGGCGAGGGACTGTGGGTAATTGGAAGAGCTGTAGGTCTGATCGCGGGGGATTGCGCGTCCAGAGTTGACCGTTTGCTGCCGGCGTGGTGGTTGGTAGGCAGGTGCGGAGTTGTGTCTGCCGCGAGGGATCGCTGTGATAGCCATGCTATCCGTCGAGCTTGAACTCGAGCTAGCGCCGTCACTGAAGTCGAGTTGACTTTCGTCGACATACAACTCAGCCAGACTGCTGCTCCGTGTGACGATAGACATGTCGTTTGTGGACTGGCTTTGGTTCATGTTTGCTCGAGGATGGTAGGGGCGAAAGATGCTCGGGAGGAAGTGAGATGATTTCGGAGAGGCATTGTGAGGTGTGCCTTGAGACTGCGGCAGGCTCATCAAGCTGTTTCCAGCACTTTCCCAACGACGATGGTGTGCCCAGGGCATCATGCGTACAGATTGAGCGGCCGAGCTGTGCTGAGGTAATTGTCCGTCCGAAAGAGCGAGACTGACCGTGCTCTCGTTTCCATGAGGGAAGTGCAGCTTACCGCGATAGAAGGACTTGGCCCACTGTGGGAAGATAGAAGAGCCTTGAGACGTGCGATCGGGATTATTCATGGTTGCCAGAGTATGATTTGAACGTGCGGATACCGGGCGAGGCTCCGAGAACGACCTTCCACGAGGGAGCAGACCCGACCTCTGAGTACGTAACGGGTGAGACTGTAACTCAGCGATAGTGTCATCCTGCTCTGAGGGATGCTCGGCGGAAAGTTCGTGAATGCCCGATGAGCTCGGGTGCACGTCTATTGGACTGCTCTGTTGTTCGATACCATGGGGACTGCTTGAGAACAACGGCTCCGGAACTGCAGAGTTCTCTCGATCCAGCTCCCAGCGAGAGCTCTCGGCAGACATGTAGTTGCTGTCGGTGATGATTGACGAGTATGAGCTGGAGCCAATTGTCTGGCGTCTGACGTACCAGTTTCCTGATTGCGACTGAGGTTGCACAGCTGGTGGTGATGTGAATATGTCTTCACTGAATTCACGGATAATTGACTGGCTGGAGGGCTCGGACTCGGATGCGATGGTTGAGAGATTTGACATGCGCACCACGCCTGCAGATGCAGATGCAGAGTGCAGGTGCGATCGCTTCTTGGCGACAGAAAGTGGTGGCAGGTTCTCGGTTTCGCTCGCAGACCATGCACTGCTTGCAGATAACGACTGTGCTGTAGGTGGTCGGACCTCGGCATATTGAACGGACGCCATACTCTCTGTGGATTTTGCATAGCGAATGACGTTGTATGAGTTTGATCTTGAATGCTCCGGCGGCGTGCTCGAGTACTGAGAGGGCGAGCTCACGTCGTAGACTTCAATATTCGGACCTGAGGATCCCGACGCACTAGTCGCGGCTGCAGACACAGACCTGCCATGCTGGAGTTGTGAGACCACGTTCTTGTTAGTGGTATCGGAACCTCTGGAACCAGGTCCTGATGATGAAGAAGCCGTCACCGGGCGGATGGTCGACGATTCGAAACTTGTCTCTGCAACAGCCGGCAGAGCCTCTGCTTCTCTCAGTCTTTCCTTCTCACGCTCTTCTGATGCGATAGGGGTCGGTGTGTTTCGTAAAGTTCCGTCCATGGAGAACCTGGCGCTTGTTGGTGAGAATGAGTCGTTGCAGTAAGTGTCCGCTGTAGATGTTGTCGTTGACTGTGAGACATTTGAGGATCGCTTGGAATGTCTGTTGTTCGTAGACTGTGCCGAGAGCCTTCCTGTTTGGCCAGTGGGGGGTTGTAGCACCTTGGAATCGATGCTCGGGTTCCCTTGATCATTCTGGATAGTGTACCCATGTTTGGAGGGTTTGGGTGGTTGCAGCACTTGCGTCGGCTTGTTCGGGAAAGGGTTCTTGTTGTATACATTTTTCAGACTCGTGTTTGAGCCGACAAGTCGGATAGTAGGTTGTTCGCCATTTTCCCGATTAAGGTCCGAGGGAGTCCGTTCGTGAAGCGCGCTACGACTTTTGGTGGAAGCCGGTCTCAGATTGAATCGGCCACCTTTGTCCAGTTCAATGGACTGCCGCGCATGGAAAAAGCGGCCAGACATATGGGGTTAGAAATGAGCGTAGAAATGAAAAAAATTGTTGAGATAAAAGAGTGACAGGGTATCGTTAAGCAGAATAGACACTAGTAGATCGACATTTCAAAGAGCGGACGGAAATAGCTCCCAAAGACTCCAAACGCGTCAAGTTGCGCGAAGAAAAAAGGCGGGAAAGCGTGCTGAGCAGAGTAGGAGCGGCGGGCGATTAAGAGATAGTTCTGGACAACGCAGAGAAGATAGCGAGTCACGATAGCTACGGGGAGAGGCGGGTCGAAATAGATTGTAGGGCTGCTGGAAAGAGTGTGACTGGTGGGATAAACGAGAGACGGAGAAAGAGCCAAACCTCGAGCATTCAAAGTGGCAGATGCTCGTCCATATGAAAGCACTCGACGCGTCCGTGCCATAGGAGTCAAAAAGGTCTACTGGCCATACAGGAGCCATTACGCCCTGAACCGGTTACGGGAGATGAGATCCACACGGACAAGAAGCTGTCAGGATGACCGGTTCAATGAGGCGTCCAAGTTGCCGGCACCAAGGGGCCTGGCTAACGCGGAAGCGACACGCTCCGTCCCTGAAACGCTTTCGAGTCGTGGCTCTGACAGCGATGGGTACCGCACAAAGAGATGGTTCTGCACAACATTGATACGCGAAGCCCCAAACGGATGTCGCGAAAAGCTTGCCTGTGCGGGCTGTTAGTTCACAGATCCCCAAAAACAGATCCTTAGGAAATTGCGGGAGACCATCCAGCGCAACGTGCGAACCTCTTTCGTGGGACCTGCACACGCGCCTTCGCAGCGCACTGGCAACCGCGAGCTTGGGCTGAAGAAGCATAGGCGCGATTTGCATCCAATACTTGAGACGAACACATACATCATTGAATGCCCTTCTCAAACATCGACTTTCTCGAAGGTCTGGTCATTCAATCTTCCTCGAGACGAACCTCGAACATTTGAGGCCCTGAGTAATTGCGCTGTCGATTACGGATAAGCCGCCGATTGTCTCCATCGTACGTTTCAACTGCTGGCCGTTTCGTCATCTCCAACTTCCCCCTTTGCTATTGTTGTTCGCCGACGACGCCAGCCGCACACATTTCGTTCCTTCTGCTGAGCTGGCCGTTCGTGCTTGCCGTTTGTGTCCAATCTCCTACATCAAAACATCTCTCGCAATACGGGGGCTTCGGGGTTCGCGGCGTGCCTGTCAAGCATAATCAGCCTCTTACCATCATGGTACCTACGAGTAAGTGCATATCGATACGGAAAAAACAAAAAACAAAAGACCAGGCAACATGACTATCCGGCATGTCGTGGATATCGACAAGCGACGTTGTCAGTTGAAATCGTGAGAACTAATCTCTATCTTCTGTAACAGCGCCAGCAATCAGTATTCACGTGGCAGTTGGCCTTACCGTCCTTTTTACAATCATTTACATTGCCCCATTCTACTTTTCGCCCACCCTGCGGAGCAATTCAGTTGCCAATCGGAACACGCCCTCCGTCATCGAGGCCCGGATTCGCGCTGTGATCTGGAGTTGTGTGGCTAGCGTAGTCATCACTGTCTCTGTACTCTACTTCAAGGGACATGCTACACCCACAGAAGTGTTTCATCTGCTTGGCATGTGCCCGGTAAACCTACTCGATACTGCCAAATCTTTTCTGCTCGTAGTCATTCTCTTCGCCGGTCCTCTGTTTGAGAGAGCTATCATTGAAGGAGACTGGAGAACATGGGGAGGTGCCGCGATCAAAGCAACAGTCTACAATGACCTGATAGGCTGGCGTAATCTTGTTGTTGGCCCTGTAAGCGAAGAGTTGGTGTTCAGAAGTCTCGCGATCTCCTTGTTCGTCCTGGCCCAGGTAAGTGCATATCACCGTCTGCCAGGCTTCACCGCCGACTTTCTGATTTTCTGCAACAGGCAACTGCTCAGCGCATAACGTTTACGTCACCACTGATCTTTGGTGTGGCACATGTGCATCACCTGCATGAGACTATCAATTCTTCACGACGTCCAGGAGCCAGCTATCTGAGCACTGCTCTGACGCCTTCAGTCATACTTCCTGGCTTGCTGCGTTCCATCTTTCAGTTCCTCTACACTTCGCTCTTCGGATTCATTGCTGCTTTCATCTACTTGCGCACAAGTTCGCTTGTAGCATGCATCCTTGCGCACAGTTTCTGTAACTGGATGGGTCTTCCCAGATTCTGGGGTCGTGTTGGAGAAGAACTTGGCGAGGAGATGCTGGATCAGAATGCTGGCGACAGTATGACGGACATCCTACAAGCCGGTGCAAATGATCAACGACTGTCAATCGCTTGGACAGTTGCATACTATGTTGTCCTCTTCACAGGCGCTATTGCGTTCTGGAAGCTTCGATGGTCATTGACACACAGTGACCTGGCTTTGGTAAAGTTCTAGACAGAGGTGGTAGTAAAGAAGAATAAAATTTTGGTATCATAGAAACGCAAAGTGCCCAAGGAGTACCGGTCTATGTCGCTGGTTACCAGCATGAAACGCCATCCGCTATGCTGAAAAGTCATGTAATCCCTAACCACAATCTATCAAGCCAATACCCAAAGTGACAACACAACAGCAATAAACACAGCCAACGACGACTTACCTCCTACAGCAGGCGCGGCATTCAAATAATACACCGCGCCGAGATAACTGCAAGTAACCTGTCCATCGTCACTTCGCTGGCCATAGTCGACCTCTAACCCTCTACCAGGATCTGGACATCCGAAGCCTAATGCAGCAGGACAGCTTCGCACCAGGCTGAAACACAGATCCTCGCAAGGTTTGACTTCCTTGTAAGGGCCTGGAGCAATCTTATCCACGATGATGCTTGGGTTACGAGAGCTGTTGGCAGCACGTACAGAGCCGTAGGTCTGATTAAAGGCTTTGCTATCGCTAGGGGCGGAGGTCATGGGTACGTATTGTTGATTTAGCTGGTCTTGGACTTGCATCAACATGTCCGAGTGGGGCATGCTGCCGATAGAGGAGGCGGATGAGTTGATGGGACTCTGACCCATGTTGCGAGGTTGTAGCCACGGCAGGGAAGAGGAAAAGTCTTCGCAGCGTGGCATGGTGACGGCACAGAGCCATTGCTTGTACGCATCGGCGCAATCGTCACAGTTCTTGGCGGGAGAGTATTGTGCGGATAGAGTCGTGTTGCAAGGGATCTGGTCTAGCGATTTGGCAAAGTTCTCATACAGGCCGGCTGCATAAGAATCGTAGACGGCGCTCAGCGAAGGTTGATCAGGGTATCTGTCAGGATTGCTGGGCACGGCGTATGCAACGTCGTGGCAGAAAGTCAAGTTGAAGACGAGAGCACAATTGTTGTCCGCCTTTGTCTTGAAGTTGACAGGCTGCCAGACTTGACCACCTCCGCCAACAACACCAGGGCCAATCTGCGTTGAGTTGCCTTCCATGGCTAGGACGCCAAAGTAAGAGGTGCTTCCGTTGAGTTCCTGGATGTAGAATTGCTCTTTGGGCTTGTGTCCCAGACCACGGGTGATCATGCCTGACTGGACGGAGCTTGATGCATTGTTGATACTAGCGTGAGTCATACCGCAGTAGCTGTTTCTCATGCCGTCAAGACGTTTGTCAATGGTAGGCTGAACAAAGACGGTGAACGGAGAGGTGAGATTCATCCATTGTTGGTAGACAAGGTCGTCGGGGTTGGCTTCGGTCAAGTTGTTCGTGACGAGCAGAGCGGCATGAGTGTCCGTGTCGACAAGGTAGAGGAAAGGCGAGGCAGGATGAGCGCCGTGATAATAGTTGTCGATGGAAGCAGCGATCTCGTAGTTCCAGATGCCGGTAAAGTTATTTGGCATGGCAGGCGCATGGACAGCCATGTAGACATCGGTCGTGGCATTCATCGAGTAATTGGCGAAGCCCTCGTTTAGGGTAATGGCAACCTGTCTTTCGGCGGGAGCACTTGGACCAGGCTCCTTGTTGGAAGTCGAGTTCGAGACGTAGAGGGTAAGCTGGGGCGGGACGATTGTCTGGTTCGTGGTGCCGTTCCATTCTGGCTGTAGACAAGTCGTGACGGATATGTAGACGAGTCTGTTGGAAGCCTCTTGTCGCTTGTAGATAGTGCCAGAGTCACCCGTATCACCATCATCGATACTACTGGGCAGACCAGGAGTCGCGTTTGCGTACGGAGCCCAAAGCGAGGCGTTGTTGAAGTGCCAGACAGTTGTGTTGCCCGCCTCGATGTTAAGCAGGCCAGGCACGTTGCTTCCACCCAGTGTCACCACATCCCCCACTACTCTTTTCGTATGTTGTTCGCCATTCTCTTCTATCTGTGTGTATTTGTATACGTCCTCTGGGTCATCCAAGTCATCTTCTAGGTCGGGCGCATGGTTATGCGGCGCATGGGCAGGTAACGCGGAGTCCGGACCCTCTATCTCGGCGGCATAGGCAGAGTGTGGAGTCCAGAGGAGACAATAGATACACAGGGCCATCGTGTATGCCGCCAGCGACACGGTGAAGCGACATTGTAGCCCGCTCAGCTTGAGAATGTGCATGGTAGCCTGTCAACAATCTCCAATTCGTCCATGCCGGGGGTGAATGCTCTCCACGCCGCTGGAGGACCCCCGCCAAGACTTGATGGTCGTCGTAAGCATGTGAAAGTCGGCCTGCTTGAGTAGAGACGGTCGTAAATATTTCATCAAAAGATCAAGACTCTGTCGGTCTCTCTTTGCGCTCTATAAACACGACAACCCTTGATTTAATCCTACATGATATTCATCACATTGCCCGACAGCAAAATGCTTCCGCCATGACCTTCCCGCTAAATGCTGCATGCCATGACTTTTGCAGATACGACATGCGCCAAACGCCGACAAGTCCTCGTCACTGGGTATCTCTCGTTCTCTCTTACATCATTCCCATCATTGGCGAGCTAGCATATGCCATGGGCTTGATGTCCGGGTGCTTGACCGCATCGAACTGCTTGAACTGCAGCTTGTAGTCGTCCTCGATGTTGATGAAGGCTCCTCTGTTTCCAGTCGAGTCGCAGTAGTTGGGCGCTGAGAAGATGGTGATACACTTGCTGTCGTGCTCTTCCTCGTAACCGTCCATTCTGACCTCGTGACTTCTGATGATGGCTTCCAGTCCGTTCTTCTCGCAGAATCTCTTGGTCACGTCGGGTCCGAATTGCAAGCCAACACCGCGCTTGCTGGGTCCTCTTCCGGGAGCCTTCTGAGGATCTGTCCATAGCATCTCCATCATCAATCCGCTCTGTCCGGGTTGCTTCTGGTTGTGTCTGTTGAGCTTTCTGACGTCATCAAGAGTGATATTGTCGTCCGAGAACAGTCCGCCGTGAAGAACGAAGTACTTGTCGCCGATCAATGTGGCCAGAGGCAATGCGCTGAAGGATTCCGAGAAAAGCTTGAATGTGCGGTCGTTGTACTTGGCCTTGCACTCGCCCTCGAAGCCATACATTCTGTTCATATCGTCCGTCTCGTGGTTGCCGCGGTTCAGGAACATGGACTTGGGGTGTAGCCACTTGTAAGCGTAGAGCAGGAGTGCAATCTCGCACGACCAGCTGCCTCTGTCGACAAAGTCGCCGTTGAACAGGTATGCGTGATCGGCCGACGGGCGACCGTTCAGTCTGAAAATCTCCATCAAGTCGAAGTACTGACCGTGGGTATCACCGCAGACGGTGATCTTCTTGCCCTGATCGACGCGGGTCTCAACCATGGTAGGCTCGTTATAGCAGATATCCTTGACGGCCAGAATGATCTGGTAGACATACTTCAGAGGGAGCTTCTTGCCAATCTTGAAGCGCTCAATGATGTCGTCGACAAATTCTTGCGTCATCGTGTCTCCGAGCTTGACACCGTCGTAGTCCGAGGGGATGGCCATGTTGGCCAGATCCAGACCTTCGGCGGCCGAGGGAGCGTCTGGAGCCTCGATGGCCTTGAGGAAAGCATCGCGCTTGATGACCTTTTGGCAGGCATCGTGCTGAGCGCGGGCAACTTTGTCTGAGGGCTGCTTCTTGACGACAATCTTCCAGTCGTGGATGGCGTCGGCATGTCTGAGGATGGCGGTGTTTGCGACGGCACGGCGATAGTAGGCCTAGCATGAGTGTGAGCAAGGGGGCACGTGGGCAAGAGGATGGCAGTATTTCGTACCTTGACAAAGTCAGGATTTAGCTCGATGGCCTTGGTAGCATCTGCAATAGCATAGCCATATGCTTCGAGTCGGATGTGAGCCTTGAGATGGTGAGTCAGTCGGAATGTACCAGTGGATAGATAGTCGAATTGTCACAAACCTGAGCTCTGTTTGTATAGAATGAAGGCTCTTTGTCGTACTTCTCAATAGCTTGAGAGTAGAAGTCAATTGCTTGAGGCCATTCCTTGTTCTTGAAGGCATCGTTGCCCTGGTTCTTGAGGGCGGTTGCCTCCTCCATGGTGATTGTGGTGGGGCGGATTATATAGGATGTTTGTGAGGATTAGGCCAGGCGAAGCTGAAGCCTGGAATATAGTCGAGGTAGAAAGGCGAACAAAGGCAAACAAATCAGCAATATATTCAAGCTCTCGATGTGTAGTGTCTGGACAGAAGAAGGTGGAATTTCTAGAAAACAGCACAGACACTTCGATATCACATCGCCGCCGCCTCGGTCTCGAAAGCTTAGCCTGCCATGTGGGGGTCCAAGGGCAAGTAAGGTAGTTTTAGCCGAGAGGGCTCGAGCAAGTCTTAGCGTGCTGCTCTGGATCCGTCTCGCTCAGAGGAGCATCATCTGTTTGACAAAGACAACATCTTGCTTTCTCGGCTCCATACCTCGATCGCTCTCCCGCTCGTCATCCACTCCCGCATTCATCACAATGTCCAACTTCGTACCGCCTTCACAACATCGCTCGCTGCGCGCCTGCATGGTCTGCAGCATTGTCCTTCCTGGTTCGCGCTTCCGCCGTGAGGGATGTCCCAACTGCGAGGAGTTTCTCGAGCTGCTCGGCCACGACGATGCCATTCAGGAGTGTACCAGCCAGGTCTTTGAGGGCCTCATCACACTTGCCGATCCTGCTTCCAGCTGGACCGCTAGGTGGCAGCGACTCGACAGCTACGTCCCCGGTGTTTACGCTGTCAAGGTGACGGGCATCGTGAGTCCACCTTCTACCTATGTGCCGCTCTACATATCACTGACTAGTGAGCCCAGTTGCCTGAAGAGGTCATCTCCACCGTCGAGGCCGCCGGTGTCAAGTACATCCCGTGAGTGCAACTTCCACCATCTCCTTGTTCCGGACGTCAAAACTAACATCCGCAAGTCGCGACGGTACCAGCATTGACGACATGTGATCGCAATCCCTGCAATCTACTTACACACGAATCATCAATTAAAAGAGCGACGGCGTTTTTGAGCTTGGGAAAATGGTTTGGCATGGCGGATGCCGCGACAAGGATGTTGCACTTTGATACCCCAACGCCCGATTGAAACACAGAGACTTTATTGTATTATGGGCAAAGGGAAAAAAGCTCGGATCACGAATCAGAATTCAACTCACAGATCACTCGATATCCGACAGTCAGAATGCTGACTTCGACTACACAAACATTCATAACCACCCCGGACATGACCACCGATAGCCCCTGGGTCGCATTTGCGATCGCTTAAATTGACTGTCTACTGGCCCGTCGTCAAAGCCGTGATAGCCATCTTCGTCAACCTCTTCTGTCAAAACCTGGGCTCCGTCAGCTATGATGATTTCGCTTGTATCACTCTTCATACTTCGAGCTCCTCTTTCAAGGACTCTTTGAGGATCGTCATGTCCATACGAAGTTTCAGTCTCTCAAGTGTCCGCGCATCTCGATTGTTGGCATCAAGAGCATGGATGGCTCTGTCACACGCTGCGATGTATTCATGCAGGGCTCTTGTGTCCTTCTCGCGAGAGCCCGTGAAGATGTATTCTTTGACCTTGGCTTTTTTGGCCAGGTGTTCTGGCCGCTCCAGCTCCTGGTCTCTGAGCGTTGATGACAGCGGTGTTTCTCTCCACGATTTGTCGTTATGGATGTCCAAGTCTTTGGCGCGTACGGGCTCCTGTTCTGCTACCCCAACGAATTGAGGTGGGATTGGCTTACTCAAAGCATTCGTGTGCTCTCGTAGTGTCTGGTACCTGCCGCGGCCGATATCAGAAGACGGAGTTTCTTCCATGACTGTGTTCGTGCTTTCGGCGGGTGTCTGTCTTAGATGGTCATTGGAGTACTTCTTGTGAGAAACTCGATTTGAAGTAAGTATAAAAACTTTGTGGGATGGGTCAGATCTGGCTATATACGGGAAGGACACAGTTACGCAACGAGAAATCTGCGTAGAGATCATGAATACGGCTGTTTCTTTGTCAAACTCGAACAATTGTCAAGATCACACACTCATGTTCAAATCTAAGAATAGTTGTGTAAGAGATCACTTGTACTATCTTCAACATCAAGCTGTAGACAACATGCACGCTTTTGTATGCAACATGGAAGACTACGGGCATAAAGAGCATCGAGCTGAAACATCTTGCACTCCCCACTGAGCGATGGTATCTTGAAGCGGCAAGGCTGCTGACCTCTGCTGCAGAACTGTGCGAAGGGTCATTGGACCTCTGGCGGACTTGAGGGTCAAGTCTCGTGCTTCGACAGAATGACTTACAGAGGCAAACAAAATAACAATCAGGGCCCTGCTACTATAAATTTATACCTGACAACCATACGTTCGGCTGATGGATGCTTTCTGTTGTCAAGATGACTTTCCAAAGCAGGATTGGAAGCCCGAGGACATGACGCTTTTCATAGCATGAAACGAAACATGTATTGCCCATGGAAAACGAGCTCGCCGGTACTGTTCCCCGTTTGTTGAGCATGGGACTTGCTGGAAGACGAGATGGTGTACAAGGTCTGGCCAGCTGCTGGGCCTAATCACAATCTGAAAGTACAAGATCGGTACATGTCTCAAAGTGTTTGTGGTGATTGCACAAGCTGGAGTGACTGCCAAGAGGGAAGACAAAGTCGGAAGTTGCGCGGCAAAATCCGAGGATTCGATGCGGGAGTGAGAGACGGCGGACCAACGTCGCAAGCAACAGCTCCTGCAGACATTGTGCAATTGACGAACTCGCTCACTCGACCGCAACTCATCATGAACTCCTTCCGTGTCGCCCGCGCCGCTCTGCGCGTCCGCCCTACCGCTTTCGCCGCTCCCCTCGCCCGTAGAGGCTATGCCGATGTCGCCGCAGACAAGATCCAGCTGTCTCTTGCCCTTCCTCACCAAGTACGCTTTCGCTCCGTCTATCTCCCTGGTCAAATTGAGGACTCGCCAGAAAGAGAATGGGAAACGAATCATGGACCTTTGCTAACGTGTTTGCTCTTGACAGGCCATCTACAAGTCGCAGGATGTGTACGAATCCCCACAGTTTTCCCTGATACCGCCATCAGACATGGACGAGCACGACTAACACACGGATCCTATAGTGTTCAGGTCAACATTCCCGCCGAGACTGGTGACATGGGTGTCCTCGCCAGCCACGTTCCCTCCATCGAGCAGCTGAGACCTGGTCTTGTTGAGGTTATCGAGGAGTCCGCCGGCAGCAAGCAGTTCTTCCGTACGTCTCGCAATCTACACATCAACGACACGCAACAAATCATAGTCGCACAAGAGCCGAAAAGAGTGCTGGGGAACAAGATGGCTGACAAGTGAGACTATAGTGTCTGGAGGTTTCGCTACCGTCCAGCCCGGATCTAAGCTCAGCATCAACGCCGTCGAGGGTTACCCTCTTGAGGACTTCAGCCCCGAGGTACGTGCAATGTGAAGGGTGAAGTGGGTAAAGTTCATGCTGACAAGGCATACAGGCTGTCAGAAACCAGATCGCCGAGGCCCAGAAGATTGCAAGCGGCAATGGCAGCGAGACCGACATCGCCGAGGCCAAGATTGAGCTCGAGGTAAGCATGTGGTCGAAATGGCAACATGTTGGCTATCGATTAACTAAACAATGACAGGTTTTGGAGAGCCTCCAGGGATTCCTGAAATAAGTGCACTAGCGGTTGTGCTTAGGTCTCGTCTCTAAAATGTATAGTAAATCGTCTGCTTTGCCCGAGGCTGGGTTCAAATCCACTCCATCGTGCCTTCCCTTGATTCGTAAAGTCTGAACGTCTTGGTCGAGCGTGCCCCTCCAAGCTTCGCTGTTGATCTTGCTCCCAACGATCAATTGTTCATCATCCATCACTAGACACACTGCACAGCCTGACAGCCTCTTTATTGCCATATCTCTATTACCTACACAGCACCAATGCCGCTCAATGTCCTGCACTCGCCCAAGGTTTGGGTTGCAGCACTCGTCCTCAAGATCAAGCTCCATTCCATGGCTCTCGCCGCCAAATGTAGACGGAGCCCCAAGCCAACCCCTGCCACAACCCCATCTGCAGCCTCGACTCCAGCTCCAGTCCCAGCCGCAGCCGCAGCCGCAGCTCCAGCTCCCAACCCTGCTCCCAAACACTAAATCCGCTTCCACATGCCAGCGACGTCCGCATGCTCCGGAAGTCGCGGCTCGCTTCGGTCAGCCTGGTCGCGTTGCTGATCGGATCCGAGCGATCAACAGTCTCCAGCAGCTGCCATCGATCAAAGCAGAGAAGCCCAAAGAGCCCGATACTTCACTCGTTCTACCCATCAATCCACCTCATGCAGATGAATTACATCGAGCTTCACCGTTTCCTCGAAGAGATTCTGCCCAAAGCCCCATCCGACCTGACACTCCCCTTTCACAATCCCAACCCCCCGTTAGCCCTCTAGTCCACTGTCCAATGCCGAAACGCTACCAACCACAATTGTCTGCCAACATCGAGAAAGGTGCAATCCCAACCATCAACTTCGATCAATCCATGTGCTATCGACATGGTCGCAAACTACAGTCTATCACAAGCTTTCCGGCTGGTACGAACAAAGTTTTCAGCGATGCGTATATCACTATCGCTCCCATGATTCGACAACAGGTCGATCCTCTGAGCCCCTGGTCTGTTGGAAATCGTCTTGCTAAGACTAGTGGAACTACAGTTTCCCCAGATGCTTGTCCCGATTGCCTTGCTGAGAAGAATATCTTGAAACGAGAGACTGAGATCACCATCCGCACGCCTCAAGTGCAGCCCAATCATCACGTACGATCTGCAAGCAGTTCTATCTTTACCGAGCGTGGTACGCCTCCTGATTCTACTCAATCGTCCAATGTCCTGGTCGGTACGACTATTGACAATCAGACCATCAAAATACCTGGGGCCACCATCTCTGATCTACCTCCGGACAAGTTCGGTGGAGTTGTAGCGACCGACCTCGGTGACTTGATCGATGCCATCATCGTCGAACACAGCGGGAGCCTAGGCAAAGTCATTTCCAATATCCGCAATGGTATGCCAGATAGTGCTTGGACTCAGAAGCTCTCGCGCGACCTTGCTAAGGTTTCGGAAGCGGTAGCATCTCTCCCGAAGGATAACATCAAAAACGCTCCTGCCTTCTCTCAGAACATCAATGGCCGACGCTCAGTCATACTGGATGCTTCACCTGATACTCTTCGGAAACGAGCAAAGACTATGCCTGAATTGCTCGACCTCATCGATGTTGCAACTGAAGAATTAGGCACATCAGGCTCAGACAATCGACAACAAGACCTCAAGCTGGATCGTCCACACATGCCCGGCGGTTTTCCTCTTTCTCGAAGCACATTCCCTTCTACCGCTCCACACACCCCCGTTGTTCGTTCATGTGATTCTTCTGCTTCCTATGCATCTTCCGCGTCATGCGAGTCTCGCACTTCGTCCGAGTCCTCTAGCTCATCCGAGCGATCCGTTGCATCTGTCTCATCTTTTCCATCACTCCAAACATCCGGACGGGCTAGAAGCTCTGATACATTGGCGGTAACAACCCGGACCAAGGTTGCGCTACCAGTCATGACCACCTCAAGCACACTGGTTGAACGTCCAACGCCAGAGGGAGACGAAGACAAGGCAACACTTGTCGACGCCGATTTGCCATTCTCGACGAAAAATTTGCCAGAGAAAGCCAGCCAAGGTCCGAACACATCTGGCGAAGCACCATCTAGGTTGCAGTGGAGTCGAATTCCGAAGGCCATGACAATACCTTCAGCTGGGTCTTCACATACATCCTCAGACCTGCCACGCTCAACTTTGACTCGACCGAAAGCCAACACGATAGACAAGCAACAACAACCGCGGCGAACGTTTCAGCAAGAGTGGCTAAGGGAGGCAGCTGTTGTGGAAAGAGCAGAGAGACGGAGCAGAAGCAGAGGTGCAACCCGTGTATGAGTCTCAAGTGTGATGTGATCAAGTACTACCTAAAGAATAATTTCTAACCTCTATTGTTCTTCGCGGTGTTGTGATTATATCGTGTGCATCTACATCCAGGGTCAGTATTGACGCACACATGACTTTCCGAGACATGGTCTGTGTAGTATCGCTATCGTGAATGACAAACAACGATTGGGTGTTATCTCGACTTCAGAGCTTCCAGGTCTGCTGTCGGGACTGACCGCCTAGATGTGTGCTACTATCGCCTATCTAACTGGGGGTTTATCTCTGATGAGGCCAGACGTTGCCATCTCACGTCTGAGCTATCGCTCCCAATCTTATCTGTCGAAACGCACAGTGCTTTTCGGAACTGACGCGTCGAGTGTCGAGAGCGTTGTCACCAGCTGACCACAGGCTTAATGTTTCTGTTGCCAATCTCGTGATCGTCCATCACTCGTGGTCTTGACTGCAGAAAAAAAGGCACAGTGTTTTTGAGACGTGGTCTGCCGTGCATGGAGAGAGCAAAAACAAAACAGCTCTCTCCATGCCGACAACTACGTAGCGTGATATATCTGTGCCTTGCCTCCAAGTCAAATGGTGAAGTGGAAGTGTAATGATGAAACATAATTCCATCTACATACATTTAGTCGTCTCTGTCTTTTCTTCTTCAACTGTAAAATCATCGTCGTCGTCCTTTGAACTTTTAGTCGCTAAGTCTGCGCGAATCGAAGGCAGCACTCTTCTTCTCAGCATCATCCCAGCCGACCTGGTCCTCAGACATACCCTCGGCACTCTCAGGGATAACAGTGCCGTCCAGTGCCATCATGTCTCTCTCAGCCATCTCTTCAAATCTCAATCCCATCTGCTTGATGATCTTCTGGTTCTCTGTGGGCCAAACCAAGCAGATGAGCCAGTAGAGCACGAAACTGGTCGTGAAACTCAACATCCAACCGAGATGACCCATGTTAAGTGCTGTAGTGCTGACATTGGCTCCGAGACTTCCAACGAAGCCGGGGAATGGAAGGGCGATGCCGCAAAGGTAGGCGATGACGGCTTGGATGTTCCAGCCTTTGATGTAGTAGTAGTGAGGGTTTCCTTTGTCGCCATTGTAGCAGTGGGCGATGAAGAGGTTACCGCGGGTGAGCAAGAAGTATTCGCAGATCATGATGGCGACAACGGAAGCCATGAAAAGACCGTAGCCAGCCAGGAAGGTCGTAAAGACACCAGCAGAGGCCAGAATCTTCCAGGGTACTGTTTTGCAAATTAGTCAATGCCCGACGTCATAGAATATGGTTGTGCTTACCAATTGCAAAGCCCAAGCAGGTGACCAGGAATTGACCACGGGGGATGGTGATAAATCTAGGGAACAACATGCTAGAGTCTGCACCAAAGGGAATCATGTTGGCAGCGACATTGGTACCCAAAAGACTGACTGACCAGCATCCGGCGGTAAGGAAGACTGCAAAGCGTACATCGCTTCTCCAGTATCTGTCCATAATCGCGTCCAGTAGATCCCACTGGTTCCAGAGCGAAAGACCCCATGCGTTGTTGATTGCGGCGGTAGACAAGATACCCAAGCTAGCAGAAAGAGTGACAGCGATAGGGTTGGTGATCATCTGCGACCACATGGCGCCTGATCTGGTCTTGCTCCATCGAGCAATATCAGGCTGGTTGGTGATTAGAGTAGCAGTGTTTCCGAGACCAGCATTTACTGCATTCATGAAGAACCATCCCCACCTGCCAGACGCGCTCACACCAGCAGCTTCAGAGAGCTTACCAGTACCCAACTGACCTCCAGTGTTGGCCATGCAGAAGATGAACAAGCCCCAGACGGCAGGAATCATAAGGACTGTCTTGACATTGAAGAAGGTGCGCAACTGGTAAGGGCGCAACACAGCCAGGGGGAAATGAGCCAACCAGAAGAGGAAGAAGGCGAGCATGCCCGCCGAGGTGATTCCTTGAGAAAGGGGAATGTGGTTGGGAATATCCGTGTAGTTGTGTCCAAAGATGGCACGCAGCATGTTGGCGACCAGCGAGGCACCCGAGAAGGCTTGTACACCGAACCAGACGCTATTGTATCTTCATTAGACATCCGCACATGGGAATGTCCGAGAGAGAGTACTCACACAGCCAAGATTGCTCTAGCACCCACGAAGTAGTAAGAACCCCACATGCCAAACACACTTCTCGCAACGATCGGATATCCAACATGGTATACCGAGGCACAGCGCGAGTTGAACAACATAGCGATGGAACTGATGAATTGCGAGATGAAGATGGCGAGAATGGCCTGCCAGTAGTTGAGGCCTATACCAATCAGACTCGATCCCAGGGTCCAATTTCCGAACGACAAGGCGAAATAGAAGATGACATAGTTATACCCTGTCGTCGTTAGAGCAAAAAAAAAGGGCTGCTCAGGAGCCAAAGGAGTGCTTACACCGCCAGGTACGTCTCTCTGGGGGCGTCGGGTCAAGATCCTCGTTCGACCATGTTGCGCCCGTCTCCCCATTTGAGTGTCGGTCGAGCGCAGTGTCCGGTACAAGAACCCATTGCTTGAAGTTGTCCCAGCTCTTGAAGGCATTGACGGCGTTCTTCTTCTTCTCCATGGCCGAAGCCTTTGCGGTTTGAATGGTCATGGTGGAATTGGCTAAGGAGGTGTCCGAGGAGCGGGTTGCGGGCGCAAGCCGTCAGTTTATCTGTACAGCGTGCCTTATCTTGATAGCGACAGAGATAGCGGCGACGAGATAGAGGGGAGGGAAGAAGGAGAAAAAATGATCCACCAAAGAAACTACGACAGGGCAAGGACGGATTTAGGCGGGTTATAGTTCAATTAAAGGTGATAAGGTACGTGTACGTTTTAGTTTTCTCGCCGTCGACGGTTCAGTGTCATGATGCTTTTGTCGTCAACCGTGCTGCACATGTGCACGCAGCGTGAGGAGAGAGATCGATCCTCGGTTGACCTCCTACCTAAAGCAGTTGGCGCTATTCTGTCGCGTGCCTACTTGCTTCAAATGGAGGCAGGATTGGCAGTAGGATGCAACATCGAAGGCGACTGAACATGGACGTCCAATGATGGCCAAGAAGTTCGCCCTACTGCTCGAGGTCTGGACTCTCCGATTTCCAGACGACCCGGGTACAGGCGGCTCCTTTGCGGACCATAATTCAGTGCGCTGTGGGGTTCGCTCTGGAGCCATCATCATTCGGCGTCTGGGGGATCGTTGACCGTGCAAGCCTAGAAGATACAGAAGGTCTTTACGTGCGCAGCAGCCGCAACAATTTGATCGTTGTCAATAGCATTTCTCCAGGAGAAGCCGCACTCGAGTATTGCCTTCACCATCTCGCTTCTTCTCGTTTCTCATTACTTGATAATTTGTGCCTGTGGTCGCTAGCCTTCCTCCAAGGTTCTCGGCAGCTTGGCCGAGCTTATCGAGAATACAACTTCTCTTAACCAGGGTTGCTCCGGCCGCCATCGTGAACGCCGACACGCCGAGGCACAGGGTCCAGCGAGACGGGATCAGCGAGCGTGATGCCGAACAGCTTTGGACACAAGACCAAAGTGCTGCTCGAGCTTGGAAAGTGTCAACCACACCAATCCTCAGTACGCAACCATGCCTAAGACAATTCTGATCACTGGTACCAACCCCGGCGGTATCGGCAACTCGCTTGCCCGAGAATTCCACACCAAAGGCCTTCGTGTATTCGCGACTGCCAGAAACACCGACAGCATCACCGACCTCGCCGATTTAGGCATCGAAACACTCTCGCTCGAGGTCACCAGCCCGGAAAGCATCAAGGCTTTGAAAGAGGAAGTTGCGTCGCGCACAGGTGGAAAGCTAGACTACCTCGTAAACAATGCTGGTCGCAACTACACCGTGCCAGCCACAGACATTGACTTTGAAGAAGTCCAATTGACGTACGAGGTCAATGTCTTTGGTGTCATGCGCATGTGTCAGGCCTTCACACCACTCTTGATTGAGGCGAAGGGCACGATTGTTCAGATCGGAAGTCTGGCAGGTGTCATGCCATACGTCTTTGGCAGTGTCTACAACTCAACAAAGGCCGCCCTTCACTCATACAGCAACACCCTCAGAGTTGAGCTAGAACCGTTCGATGTCAAGGTCATCACCGTCGTAACTGGTGGTGTCAAGAGCAGGATCGCCAGAACTGAGAGACTCTTGTCCAATGACTCAATCTACCTGCCCATCGAGGCCGAATACCAGAGGCGCACGAAGCATTCTCAAGAAGTCGGCATGCCCAACGAAAAGTACGCAAAGTCTGTCGTGAGCCAAGTGCTTAGTGGCCGTCATAAGAGGCAATTCTGGGAGGGCTCCTTCTCGCACATTGTCTGGTTCTTGTCAACTTTCATGCCTGCCAGAATTTTTGTAAGTTGCCTGTTCGCTTGTCTGTGTTCACTAACTGACTATTGAAAAGGACTATCTGTTCTGGCGTAACTTTGGTATGTGGAAGCTCAGAGAGGCCCACGCTAAGAAGCTCGCATGAACGTTGTCAGGAGGATGTACCGACCAACCGTGAGTCGGGCTTTCTATGAGGTGTAAAAGATGAGAGTAGGAGTGTTATATATACCCAGAGAACAGAATCAATTTACAAGGCACGCTGATAATTCCCCATCGATGAGCAAGTGCGCATAGCGACGTACGGTTTGGGCATTTTTTTTTTATGAAATAAGATACAATCTATGGTACGAGTCGTTTCCTCATCTCATCATTCCCGTGGGTTAGATATCATAGAAAAGCAAACAAGATCTTAATGCTTTATTACAGAGTCGATTCGAGAGCGAGAACCTGGGTAATAGTCAGTAGAGTCATTTCAGGTAGTTCCTTTGGAGGTCACTTACGATAGCCGTTCTTGTGGGGATGTAGACTTGGAGGAAGTTCTTTCTGTCGTTCCAAGCAAAGTCGGTAGTGAAGAAGCGAGTGCTCTCATCAACACGTCCCAAACCGCCGAAAGCAGGGCTATCGGAGTTCAAGACAATGCGGTAAGTGCCTCCCTGCTCGACACCGACACGGTAGTCTGTGAAGCTGTTTGTGGGGTGGAAGTTGAAGATCCAGAGAAGGCCAGCGCGCTCAAAGACAATGACCTTATCACTATCGTTCTTGAGGGAGATGTACGCTTGCTCGGAGTGTAGCCATCCGTACTTTTCCTCTGTCCATTGCATTTTGCTGTCAAAGTCGTTCAAGAAGTGGTAGCGAAGGTTCTTGTCGTCAACCAGGTTAAATTGACGGCGAGCGTAATGGAAGCTGTTGCCGTTGCCCTCGCGAGGGAAGTCGAGCCACTCGGGGTGTCCGAACTCGTTTCCTTCAAAGTTCAGGTATCCTTCACCTCCAAGGCCGTGAGTGATGAGACGAATCAACTTGTGCAGAGCCATACCACGCTCGATTACGGGGGTAAATTCTGTCAAGACAGACATGTTTGTGTACATTTCGGCGTCGCAGAGTCGGAAGAGAATGGTCTTGTCACCGACAAGAGCTTGGTCGTGAGACTCTGCGTAGGCAATGGTCTTCTCACCATGTCTTCTGTTTGTGAGGGTGAAGGCAAGGCTGCCCATATCCCAATCGATGTCCTCCTTTTCCTTCAGCCACTTGATATACAAGTCAGGGATTGCCATGGCAAGTCTGTAGTCGAAGCCAATTCCTCCCAAAGAGAGGGCGACGCAGAGGGCGGGCATGCCTGAGACATCCTCAGCAATAGTGATGGAGTCTGGGTAAAGCTGGTGCAGCATCTCGTTGGCGAGCATGAGGTAGACGACACCGTCTTCGTCAACTCCAGGGCCGAAGTATTCATGGTAGCCGCCAGAGAAACCCGTTCCGATTCCGTGGTGGGTATAAAGCATGCTGGTCACACCGTCGAAGCGGAAGCCATCAAAGTTGTACTCTTCCATCCAGAAGCGGAGGTTACTGAGCAAGAATCGCAAAACCTCGTGGTGACCATAGTTGAATAGTCTGCTGTCCCACAGCTCGTGTCTACCTCTTGCACCCTCGTGGAAGTAAAGGTGATCGCTGCCATCGAACATGTTCAAGCCATCAAGGACGTTCTTCGAAGCGTGACTGTGAACAACATCCAGCAAGACGGTAATACCCAGGCTGTGAGCTGTGTCGATGAGCTCTTTCAGCTCGTCAGGCAGACCATAACGACTGCTTGCAGCGAAGAAGCTGTTGATCTGGTAGCCAAAACTGGCGTAGTAGGCGTGCTCCATGACGGCCATGAGCTGAATAACGTTGTAGCCCAAGTGGTGAATTCTGGGCAATGTGTTTTGAGTGAACTCTTTGTATGTAGCGACTTTAGGGTCTGGCGACGAGATACCGACGTGGGCCTCGTAGATACGGGCACTCTTTGGCTTTGGGGGCTTTGGGTGCTTGAAGGTGTAACGCTCGTTCTTAGGAGGGTTCCAGAAGCGCGCATCGTAGACGGGAGAAACGTTTAGGTCTTGGGTGACTCTGGTGATCCAGGCAGGAATGCGCTCCTGTCTGGCGTGATCGTTCGGCACAACAAACGAGACCTGTGTGGTGGATTGAGTCAGTCTGGGTAGTTTGAAGACCTTCTTTCCTTCGAACCTTTATCTTCGAGTCGTGGGCAATGGCGGGCTTGCCGTTCTGCTGGGGCAAGGTGATTTCGAAGACGCCAAAGTCATTCTTCTTCATCTCGTGCGAGTCGCGGTTCCAGTTATCTGGTGGCCTGTTAGCCGATACTCAAGCGCGTAATTGGCGGTCGTTCTCACTGAAGTCGCCAATGAGGTAGGCTCTCAGAGCACTCTGGGCCCACTCGCGGTACACTATGTCGCCATTAGGCTTGACATTGAAGCCTAGCGTCTCGTAGCCCTATCGCAATGTCAGCTTTGGAGACACGGCAAATAGTTGGATCAGCAATTGGCTTACTCGGCTGAACTTTTCGAGACCGCCCTCAGTCTCGTCAATTGTCTTGATCCATTGTTGCGCTTTGCTGTATCTGCTCTTGAGAGCATCTTTGAAGGGTGAAAGCCAAGGATCGAGCTTGACGACGCCTGTAGAACGTTAGGTTTCACAGCTCACGGCGCAGGAAGACGATTGACGATACCAGTGCCGTCATTGGGAATGTCGTCGGCGGCTGGATGGCCCGCGATCGAGTTGTCGGAGCTTTGGTTGATGGGATCCATGGTTTGTTTCTCACGTGGAAGAGACAATGGATTGGAGAGGGATCTCGTGGGAACAAGAGAGGTTATATATGGAGAAGGAACAGAAGTGAAGAGGCGGACAGGGTTTTGATGTAATAAAGTGGTCGAGCAGCTTGATCCTCCACCACCCCAGCTCACCAGTTCTCCAGAGCCCGCTCCAGGATTATGATGCTATCCCGCATGAACTAGCCGTTTTCGGTCCGACTTTCGTGGGCGGTCGCTCAACATTTGACTTTTCCTGTCCAACGCGAACTTGCTGGGGTCCGGATGCACGAGCGTGCCCATATGTCTGTCTCTTCAACAGCCTCGACTGCCTCAGCGACCACTGCTCCAGCTTTGATTGTGTTGAGATAAACGTTCGTGCAAGATTGTGGTGCCGCGAGACCCTCGACAAACTACGTAGCTCCTCGTCCTCGGCGTTCGAGGGATACTTCCGATCAACCTATCAAAACACTTGGCCCAAGCCACCATGCACCCTCGAGCTTGTCCGTTATCTCCTTTGCGGGGAAGTGAATGCCCGAGTCATCATATCGAGTCAAGCAGCAAACATCAAGCTGGCTTTGGAGAGCTGCGATACCGAGTCTTCGGGTAGGTTCTCTTAGTCTGGGACATCTCGGTGGCTCTCTTTTACCACTATGCTCGCTACATCACACCGGTATACCCCTCATCAAGTCCGGGTAGCATACACCTTTACACGGACGCTACGCTCAAGTGCTGCGGCTCTCTCAAGCAGCTCGGACTTCCGCTCTAGCTTCTCTGGTCAAGGCTTCACTGGCTACTACGAGCCTGGCGATACTGAAGGTCCTTTGCGGAAAGCCTCTAACATTGGCGCCCCCAAGATCACTCCACGAGCTCTCAAAATGCATCTGGACCAGTTCGTAGTCGGCCAGGAACGAGCCAAGAAGGTACTCAGCTCAACTATCTACAACCACTATCAAAGGATCCAAGAGATTCAGCGGCAGGATGAGGAAGCACAGGAGTTACTCGAGCGCCAGGCCAGGAGATCAAGGCATCCAGTAGAAGGTTGGTCGCACTTCCTAAACCCCAGGATTACCTGTAGATGTACTTGCGGAACGCAAAACCATCATGAAGTCTGTGCCAGTATGAGCATATACTAACCAGTGCAAATAGATGAGTTTCCAGGCCATCACGCGACTATACACTCACATATCCATGTATGGGTCCCTCCATCACCACCTCTGACACCGTCTACTCTAGAAGACTCGTCTTCATTGACAATCGAGAAATCCAACATCATGCTGCTCGGCCCTTCAGGCGTTGGCAAGACGCTCATGGCGAAGACACTGGCTCGCGTTCTGGATGTGCCCTTCAGCATGTCCGACTGCACGCCATTCACGCAAGCGGGCTATATCGGTGAGGATGCAGACGTGTGCGTACAACGGTTGTTGGCCGCAGCGAATTACGATGTGGAAAAGGCGGAACATGGCATCATCTGTCTCGATGAGATTGACAAGATTGCTACGGCCAAAGTATCGAATGGCAAAGATGTCGGAGGAGAAGGGGTACAGCAGGCGCTGCTCAAGATTATCGAAGGCACTACCCTGCAAATACAAGCCAAACAAGAGAGAGGAAACAACTCTGGTCGCAACAACAACAACAATCAATATCCGAATGGGTCGCCCACGAACAGTCCACTGAGTGGCGGTGGTGCGGCTGGAGGCATGGTACAATCTCCTGGCAAGAGCGAGGTCTTCAATGTCAACACGAGCAATATCTTGTTCATATGCACTGGTGCATTTAGCGGCCTTCACAAAACAATCCTTGATCGTGTAGCCAAAGGAGGCATCGGTTTTGGTGCTAACGTACGTTCGAGCACTTCCCAAGACGGTGGAGCGCAGGAGACAACCATCACAGACGACGACGAGATGATCCGCAAGCATCTGCCATACTACATGCCCGCAGCTTCGGAAGAAGATTCGTACAACCCTTCATCAAAAGGCAAGAAGGCTACCTACAACATCCTGGACCTCGTCGAGCCGCAAGATTTGCAAAGGTACGGCATGATACCTGAACTGGTCGGCCGTATCCCAATTACATGTGCGCTTTCGGCTCTGGATATCAATGCCTTGGTCAAAGTCCTGACTGAGCCGCGGAACTCGTTGCTAAAACAGTATGAGCAGCTGTTCCAGCTCTCTTCAATAGAGCTCAGGATTACCTCTGCCGCACTTCACGCCATTGCAGAAACTGCTTACAGCATGGGCACTGGTGCCCGAGGTCTCCGCACTGTCTTGGAGAGATTGCTAGGCGACAGTATGTTCGAGGCACCAGGTTCTGATATTAAGCATATCGCCATAACCGAGGATGTAGCAAAGAGAAACTCTCCAGCTCTTTACTTTACACGCGATGGCAAGACGAGGTTCAACGCATTGCTCGTTAGAGAGGAAGAAGATTGGGAAGACCGCAAACGTGGTGAAGAACCTACGGAAAGTGACTTCGAGCGGAGGGCAAGAGCAAACAGTCGAGGTGGACATGCTACGACATTCGAAGAGTACCGCCAGAAGGCCACGGCCGCTGGATTCACATGATTTGTATGAACACACGATGAATATATGATCCTAAGCAACTTTCAATGAGAGCCGACATCTTGTCACTTCCAAATCTGCGAGTCCTCGAGGAAGGTCGAACTTTTCTTCGTACACCTATATCTCCTGATTGGACAAGCGGCGGCTTCTCATACATGACCGTGTATCCTGCTACAGCCATTAACGATTGTGACGATCTGACAAATTACACCGTCGGCCATCTTGACTGCAAATTCTCGGAGAAAGCCACACAATTGAAGCCTACCCATCAAACCTACCTCTCGTACATCTCACACCTCCCACCTCCTACCCTTCGCATCCCGTTCTCCAACAAGGATTGCACAGCGCAAAATGTTCAATATGAACGCTCGAGCCACATCTCATCAAGCCGCTTTAGCTCATCTGGGAGAGCGCCAGACTGAAGTCAACTTCTGTCCTTTCGATTCTTCCGAAGTATTCTGGAGGCACTGTGTTCGATCCACAGAAGCGGCATAGCATCGTCTTCTTTTGCTTCGTGCAGGCTCAAAGGTGCGAGGTGGATCTCTTTTGCCTTTCGATGATGCTTATACTTTTTTTGCTTCCTTTTTCGTTAGCGGCGTTTGTGGGCCTAGAGCTGGCAGGCTTTGACCGGATGTTGAGGGAATGACCCTGTTCTTCTTTTTTATATATGATGGCGGCGACGATATGCTTGAGAATGGCTAGTCTGCTTGCGTGATGCATCTGCAAGACCTCACTCAATGTCTGGAAGAAAGGACAGCCGCTCTAGTGCACTGCAGCAACTTCCTTGAGTTCGATCGCGTGGTTATGATAAACTCCTCTGGTCGAAACCTCTTAGGCACGCATCTCCCGAATCGAAGAATCGATTACAGCAAGACCTCTCCCCGTACTGTCACACTTGTAGCTACTTGAAAGCAGGATATTTGCTTGACTTGAGACGATGTCATTGTGAGATAATTCGCATCAACGACTCCCTGCGTTGCTAATACGAGATATAATTGTGTCTTTCCACAGCTCGTCGTTGCCCTGCTTTTAACAGTGTAAAGAGAGGGTTTGACAATACGAGGAGGCCAGAGAATGTCAATGATAGGCATGAGACAAAGGAAAGATCGATACTGGAGATTTGGTTTGGACAAACGAGTTATTAGATTGTATAACGACATCGGACATCATAACACAGCGATCAGATTTCACATGAGACAGAAGACAAGAGTCACGGACCTGCCTTCCTTAATTCGAGCGGATACAGAGCGGGGTGTGTTTCGAAGGGGGAGAGAAGACGCCGAACTCGCGATGTACTCGCCTGTTCTGCCGCAAAGTGAAACGGGCATTCTTGGTGATCAACACACTACCACGTTCATTATAATCAGCCTCAGCAATCCATTCACGGTGCATCGCATTGAGTTTCCTGGCTAGATCGATCCACATTGTGGCATATGCGGGGTCTTTCTGGTATAGCAGAGGCAGAGTAATGTCCAACCAAGAGCTAAAACCATGAAACCAATAATCGACAAAGTCAGGGTCTAGGAAGTCACTTTCGCCTCCCCTACCTTTTGCGAGACGATCAAGAGCCGAACGACGGCGCTCAGAGCGAATGATCGCTGACGACCTGACATAAGCGATCGCCGCACTGGGAGAAATCTTAGTCAATGAAGGCCGGTGGTACTCAGCAAAATCGGTGGACGCTGTTCGCTCGTAACCATAGCCGTGTGGCCAGAGACCTTCGTCCCAGAGAAGAATATGCCACTTCTTGGAGAATTGTTTGTAATCGAGCCGTCCAGCAGTTATGAGGTCGTGTTTGGATTTGAGATCGTCAATTCGGCGGGCGTGAACGGCGTGGACGCGTAGGAGGAGAGCAAAGCCTCTTGGCCAATTGTGCTTCCAGGTCATAATGGCAGACACGTTCGTCTTACTATGGGTTGTGTTACGAGCATGCTTTTCGAGCGCCACATACTCGTCAACGAGCATGGGTGACGAAAGAGCAAGATCAGCAAGCATCTTACCAATGTGTTCATCAAGGTATTCCATCTCGGACTCGAGGACTTCAATCATATCATGAAGACCTTCAGCAGCCGCTTCATTGGAGTCGATGTGAGTATAGATGCTGGCGAGCATAAAGAGGCGATAAGAGAGGTCAGTCGGACTAATGGCTTCAGTGACTTCCTTGAGAGCTTGGGGGTGGAGAGTGTCAACAAGGTCGTGACTGTTTTCCGCGTAGCGGTTGAAGTCGTTGAGCCAAGTCTCCTTGCTCGAGTATTCAGATCTCTGAGGGGCTTTCTGGGGAGATGGCTTGGTCCCAATAGCTGCCAGATGTGGCATGTCCTTTGATGTGATTTCCAGAGGCATTGTAACTGTATTCCTTGCGAGAATGGTTAGTAATATCTGCTGTTAGTGTCCGATGCTGTCCCGCAGTTGAGGAGCACTATGCATGGATGCTTGACTTTATGTGAAAGCTCCACTGAAGACAATGAGATTGTCTCTTTGTTACAACCTCTTTTGTGTCCAAGCACCTTGAAAGAATTGACACCCAGCTCGACCCAGAACAAAGCATGACCTCGAAGTCCTTTGTTGTAAAGAAAAATCGCATTTGACTCAATGACGCTTGCCCAGAAGATATTCTGACACACCCCAATGATCAGAGCGAGCGACAATGAGCTGTAGCAAGGCATAGTCATATTGTTTGTCGAGACATCTGACGCAGAGCCGTGGAAAATATGTATCTCGGTGGCACCGCTCCAGATTCGAAGATGTTCGTGCCTTGAGACAGCTACAAGTGTGACAGTGTTTCGCGCATGGGAAGGCTAGAGGGTGGCGTAGGCAAGAGAGTGTTGTGTCACGTAGAGATGACGCGCGTAAGACAGAATATGGGCGCAAGCAGGGACAAGTGTGCGACGTGAGGGCATGATAGTCGGAGAGCCTGAGAGATTGTGTAGGCAGCGGAAGGATGCGAGTTGTTCGTGAGAAGTGAAGCTCGGAGAAGGCGCGAGTAGGAGTGCGAATCAAGAGGCAGGCGCATTTAGTGGTTGATAGACAGAAACCCCGGTCTCGCAGCAGCACAGAAAGGAACAAATCGGGTGGGCTTCCCAAAAGGGTATGGTTCAGCCTCGATCTGGAGGTCAGAAGTGCTGGCCACTTTGGAAGCAGATATGGGCAGAGTGTTGATATGGAGCAGTTGCGATCGTAACAGAACATGTTCAAGATCCTCAAACCACTCGTATGCATGTGAAAATAGTGAGGGAGCTAGAACATTGTTTGTCGAGGGATATAGGCCAGGCGGTGAAGATTAATGTTCAGCAGCTTCCATATTTCTGGCCAAGTTGCAAAGTCACGGAATCTCGAGCTCGGTCCTTTCCCGCCCGGCAAGAACTTGAGGTGGCTCTTCGAACTTCAACCTCCCAGCAGACCGACCTCCATCTCCATCACCTCTCCACTCCCATCAATTCCTTCCCGAGACCCGTCAAAATGCTCAGCAGGTACGCACCAAGCTGTCGCCACCCACTTTCGCGAGGCCAATCCGACTGACCCGACTGCGCTCCATAGCGGCATTGCCAGGTCATTGAGGGCTTCCGCCCGTCGCCCTGCTACTTTGCAGCGCGCCTTCCAGCCCATCAAGTCTTCGTTCGCTCCCGCCTTGAGCCAGCGCTACGCCAGCACCACCCCCAACCAGGATGGCAGAGTCCACCAGGTCATTGGTGCCGTCGTTGACGGTATGAGAAAACCTTTTCCCCACGACGCCGAGCACAAGCGCCACTGCCGCCGCATGTCCATTGTCGCTGCTCGCACCTCGTAGCCACAACATGAACACGCATACTGATGCATAATTACAGTCAAGTTCGACGGTGAGCAGCTGCCCGCCATTCTCAACGCCGTCAACACCGAGAACAACGGTCAGAAGCTCGTCCTCGAGGTCGCCGTAAGCTTCGCCGCACTACCCCTGCAACATAGACTCGTCTAACAAGCTCTAGCAACATTTGGGTGAGAACGTCGTCCGCTGCATTGCCATGGACGGTACCGAGGGTCTCGTCCGTGGCCGCAAGGTCGTCGACACTGGTGCCCCCATCATGATTCCCGTCGGTCCCGGCTGTCTCGGTCGCATCATGAACGTCACTGGTGACCCCATTGACGAGCGTGGTCCTATCAAGGGAACCAAGCTTGCCCCCATTCACGCCGAAGCTCCCGCATTCGTTGACCAGTCCACCTCTGCCGAGATTCTCGCCACTGGTATCAAGGTTGTCGACCTTCTCGCCCCTTACGCCCGTGGTGGTAAGATTGGTCTTTTCGGCGGTGCCGGTGTCGGCAAGACTGTCTTCATTCAGGAGCTCATTGTATGTCTCTCACACTCCCTTCGTCCCAGCCTCAGATAACTAATGTTCACCGCAGAACAACATCGCCAAGGCTCACGGTGGTTACTCCGTCTTCACTGGTGTCGGTGAGCGCACTCGTGAGGGTAACGATTTGTACCACGAAATGCAGGAGACCGGTGTCATTCAGCTTGACGGCGAGTCCAAGGTCGCCCTTGTCTTCGGTCAGATGAACGAGCCCCCAGGTGCCCGTGCCCGTGTCGCCCTTACTGGTCTTACCGTCGCCGAGTACTTCCGTGACGAGGAGGGTCAGGATGGTGAGTTTGCCTGAAATGCTTCCTAGACTGCGGACAAGCTTGACTAACTCGTTTCTAGTGCTTCTCTTCATTGACAACATTTTCCGTTTCACCCAGGCCGGTTCCGAGGTGTCTGCCCTTCTCGGTCGTATTCCCTCTGCCGTCGGTTACCAGCCCACCCTCGCCGTCGACATGGGTGGTATGCAAGAGCGTATTACCACCACCCAGAAGGGTTCCATTACCTCGGTCCAGGCTGTCTACGTCCCCGCTGATGATTTGACTGACCCTGCTCCTGCCACCACCTTCGCCCATTTGGACGCCACCACTGTCTTGTCCCGTGGTATCTCCGAGTTGGGTATCTACCCCGCTGTCGACCCTCTGGATTCCAAGTCTCGTATGCTCGACCCCCGTATCGTTGGTCAGGACCACTACGACACCGCCTCCAAGGTCCAGCAGATGCTCCAGGAGTACAAGTCGCTCCAGGATATCATTGCCATTCTTGGTATGGATGAGTTGTCTGAGGCTGACAAGCTTACCGTCGAGCGTGCCCGTAAGCTCCAGCGTTTCCTGTCGCAACCCTTCACCGTTGCCCAGGTCTTCACTGGTATCGAGGGTGTCCTCGTCGACCTCAAGGAGACCATCAAGTCATTCAAGGCCATCATCGCTGGTGAGGCCGATGACCTTCCCGAGGGTGCCTTCTACATGGTTGGTGATCTCGCAAGTGCCCGCGCCAAGGGCGAGAAGATTCTTGCCGATCTTGAGAAGAAGTAGATCTCGTAATGGAGAATGTTGATGAGGAGCTTTCTGGGCAATCTGCCATAGCCATACCCGCGACGAATATCAAAAGATTAAAAGCGACATTGTAAAAAGGGAGGGGTCGTCTTTTGGCGGAAAGAGGTGAATGGAGATTACCGAGAGCTTGTGTACTTTAAGAACTGCGATTTCCTCTGTGTCCACAAATACTCGGCCCCCTCCCGTTCAGCGTAGCGAAAGTCGAAACATTTACAAACACTTTAACCAATGTTTTGGTTCATCGTACAGTGAACAGCATGTGACTTACGAAGCAACCAATATGGACAGACACTCACACTTGCACCGTCAACCCCACAGAAGCTCTGTCTCAAGGCACGAGCGGAGATAGTCTCTGGAGAACCAGCCACCCTCCACACTCTTCCGAGATACAGTTTGAGATCCAAAAAGCACTGTGCCTTTTTATAGTTCTGGTGTTGATCCCCCTTCGACTTCGGGAGACTACTCTCTGATTACTTCCTCCACACTCTCATCAGATACAGTTCGAGATCCAGAAAGCACTTTGCCTTTTTACAGCTCTGATGTTGGTTCCCTCTGGGAGTCTACTCACAGATGACCTGACGTCAAGGTCAGTGCAGCTCAAGACCATAGGCATACTCTGATTCCCTCTGATGCATATCATGCACACTATCTGTTGCCAAACAATGTTGCTCACGTGGATGTACACTATGCACGGGATAATGATGTAGATGCTACTTTTGATTGTTTTGGTATGAGATGAGTGATGCTTTTGTCTGTCTGTCTGTGCAAGAAGAGAATGGGTATGTAAATGGCCGAGACACATTCGTCTCGCCTGATGATGTGGGATGTCTTAGTAAAATCATGATGAGGAAAATATGCTTCTAGCTAGAGACCATGTTGAGCTGTATCTCTGCGAGTGCTTGTGCTTGTGCTAGTTCTGGCGAGGGATGATGATATATTGACTTGTCGAGAGCCACTTGAGAAAATGCAAATAAGAGACAAAGGAAAGAAAACGTAAAGAAAATCTGGCCAGTGTGGCGCAGTTGTAAAAAGACGATTGTTCTCTGAGACCTAGTGTGGTGTCCGCTGATCTTGTGGACTGCTGTCTGGAAGTGAAGAGTCATGTGTTGGATTTGGTGTTAGAGGCTTTCCGTCGCATCAAAAGCGAGCCGTGTTTCTCTCAATTTGCTTGAGTTCGGCCAGAATGCCCTTCATCTTTGGATCGGCGCGCGCCAGGATGATCTCGAGCTCGTGCTTGATATCTGCGACGATGGGACTGTCTTTGGGTCGCTGCTCAATAATAAGAGAGAATTGCGCGAAGATATCGTTGGAGATATCGGAGCATCCTTGGACCATCTTTGCTACCTGTGCGATCGTGGCAGAGTTGATTGCCTCAACGGTGACGTTGGTTGCTTCAGAGAAAGGGGAGTCAGGTCCTGGTGTCTTGACGCGATGCTTGAGAATGTCGACACAGCGGTCTGTACACCCGGTTCCTGTTCTGCGCGTTAGCTCAGAACACTGGAGGCAGTATGATGCTGCGAACCACTCTGCTGCTTAGAAATCTGGTAGGTTGGTAACATCGCCTCGGCAAAGTAGCCATCGCGGTGATCCTTGGCTGCTAACTGCTTGGTGTTCCTTCAGTCGATCAGTATGCTTTTGGTAATTAGGAGTAGGCATACATACTTCATCGTCTTGTCAAAAGTCTTCTTGTGTTCGGCGAATAGAGAAACTACACCATATCTCTGGGCAGCCACGAATCGCTCAAAAGGTCCAGTGGCAATGTTGAAGCGATTGATTGAGTCTGTGGCAGAATCAGCATGTACCTTTGAGTCGGCCAAAGCAAGGTCGCTCATACCGGTCAGATGGTCCGAGGCAGTATCGAGTCCTTCTAGAATCTTGACTTCCACGGATTCAATCGAATCTCTCTGTGCCACGATAAAGTCGGGCCAACTGTCATTGATACAGTCCTCTGCTACCTTGAACATCTTGGCGTTCCAAGATTCATTGCCTGTCAGCTTGCGGGTCCAAGTGCCGTCACGTCGAGCGAAAGCTCTGATTGTGGCGTGGGGCCAGTTTCGGCGGACCTTAGTAAGGTACTGCTCCGCATGTTGGCATATCTCTCGGAAGCGGCGGTTGATGGGAGCTGCCAGAATTTCCGGCGCTTGCTTTGCAACTGTTGTAGGATGGTGTCTCAGCGTCTCGCAAATTGCCTAGGACATATTAGCTGCAGTCCGAAGTCCATTCTGATCATATCTAACCTGCTGGAATTGTGTCTGAGACTCGGCACTGACATGTTGGCCCGACATACGCACGCTGCTTGCCCAGATGTGCAGCCTCTCAATGAAGCCCACAATTGAATGTGAGATGTGACGCTCAAAATTGGCCCAGACATCGGCAGAGGCAAGGCCAAGAGCGTGTCTTCGCAGAGCGGGCACTTCTGTAGCCTCAGGGCCCAGCTGTGCTTCGCTTGCCTTCGATCTTTCCTTGTATCCTTTAAGCCAGTTGTAATGCTTGTTGGAGATGCAGTAGATGGTTTCCGGCTCGCCTGCAGGAACGTAGTCTTTCTTCTTCTCGTGAAGCATTTGTCTCACCGCGACATTTCTCATCCAGACGACGGTCTCCAGCTGTTGATTGAGAAGGCTCTGATGAGCCTGTCTCAGATTATCTTGTTCGAATAAACCGCGAGACCCATTCTCTGAAGATCGCATCTGGCGTTCGCTCTCAGCAACTTGTTTCTTGACCTGGAGATATGGCTTGGCGTATTTCTTGTACTCTCTAGCAAGTTCGTCCAGATTGCCTGTCTCATCGGTATGTGTGCACACGATTGTAGTATGGCCTTTGAAACGCTCGCCATAGTCATCGAGCAGAGTCTGGACTGTCTTGTTGTCAATGCAGCGTTTGATGGGTGTGACAATCCAGAGATGATCGCACATTGATAGATGCTTGCTGCTGATGCGTGCACGAACAAGATTCGTGTCGGAGATACCTGTGTTGTTTAGTGCTATACATGAAGATATGTCGGACTCAACATACCGGGAAGATCCGCAAGAATGATGTGCTGAAGGAGGCGAGGCCCACTGACACCAACGCTACAAGACAGTCAGGTTTGTGTTCCCAAGCAACAAGATATAGGACAACTCACGAGACTTTGTGGACAAGGGGCCAAAGTGTGCCTCTCGAGTTCCAAGTCGATCTTGAAAACAAGAAAGGTTCTGTCCGTCTACCAAGCTGGTGAGCGGTATCAGCTTCGAACAGATTGGAAAGATGTCTGGGCATTTCATCGTTGATCAGTCTGTGAGACCGGTTCAGGAGCTCTTCGACGATCACATCGACGCTACCATTCATGCGACCGTGTCCTATGTAGGCCTTCATAGCTTCCAAGGACTTGAAGTCTGTGCTAGTATGAAAAAGGTCAGAAAAGGTATCTTCAGCAGTCTTTGCTTTTGCACAGTATAGCTCTTCTTGGTTCTTTGTCCAAGAGTCATCCTTCTCAAAGTGGTAAACGAGAAAATCGTCAATGTGCTCTCTGAGGAGAGCTGCAATGCTTGTGTCGTCCAAGAGTTCGATGTGAGCCGCAAACTTCTTGTTCTGTCCTGCGAATGGTTGACGAAACTCGGTCACTACGCAAGTGCAACTTCGCCCAGCATTCCCCTGTACAGTAAAGTCAGTGTTCGACCTTCAGAGGAAGCACAAGATTTGAAAAACCTCTTTGGCAAGATGCGGAGTATCAAGAAGTGAGTTGATGAGAGAGCTCTTTCCTACTAATATGTTAGCGAAGCAATTTTCTTTTTGGCGTATAGAAACACAATACCAGCGCCGGCTTCTCCCAGTAGAGCGATGACCAACTTAGGAGGGTCAGGGAACGCGCTGAGCTCAGAAACTGTAGAGCGCAGTTTCTCGACTTTTTCGTTCTTGAGTACACCCCGCCCAAGTTGTCCGTTGATCTGGCCCAGAAGGATCTCGATACGCCTCACGATGCCAGCTATCTGGAAATGATATGCGGCATGGTCCGGGTAAGCCTCTTGATTCTCTGAATAAAGGATGTCACCTCGCTCGGGCTCTTTGTCGAGCTCGTAGTTGTCGTCCTGACCAAGATCGTGGTCATCTGAGTCATCGCTCGCAGCATCCAGATATCTTTTAGCATAAGGCTGATACTGAAATGGACTGTCTAGCTCGCGCTTCCTCTTTCGCAGCACAACGGCACTGCAAGGTGAAGACATGACTCACTCTGTACCGCAATAGGATACAGCGTGGTAATACCGCAATGCCGCAGATTTCTGAGAATCCTCGAAAGCGACGGTAGAAGTTTGATTTCGTGTGAGTAGGAGTGGTCGGTAAGTTTGCGAAGAGAAAGGTGAGAAGGGGGGGGGGGGGGGGTCGTTGGCGCTGTATAAAAGTGCTGTCGAGGGGGGGGGGGGGGGGGGGGGGGGGGGGGGGGGGGGGGGGGGGGGGCTTCTTTAAACAAGGAACGTAAGAGGAAGAGAGAAAAGGAAGAGAGAATGCGCGCGATAGAGAGAGGAAGAGGGAGGGAAAGGAGCGAAGTTTATTGATAGGAAAAAATGTGAGACGACGGTTGTATGTCCAAGTGAACTGAAAACACTAGGTAACATTCAGTCTTGACTTGACTTATCTCGTTGACGCGTTCGAGGAAAAGGGGAGAGTGAGGTAGAACTTGATGTGAGATACTACCGCGGGTCCCGCAAGCAGTATGGTAGACACTCTTCAATTGAAAGACAGAGGTGCCTGAAAAAATGGATTGAATGGATTGATGGCTGGGTGCAGTCTTACGCCATGTCTCTCTCAGCATGCAAAACATCAGACGCATAAAAATTGAGACGTACGGCACATATACTCCAGAGACACCATTTCTAACAGCTTGCACGTCTACTTACCATGGTACAGATGAGAGTATGAGATGTGCCTCAGGCATGGATTAGCTGGAGGGAGAGGAGTGACGACGCCAAGATCGGTAGGCCTTGTCACCTTCTCAAGCAACCAAACACTTTAATTCTTGACTCGACCAAATCTAGGAACGATCTGAAACGACTTGAGGGCTTCTGGGCCAAGAGACGTTGGATTGGTAGCAGTCATGTTTTGTCTACGAACGTGGCTTCCAGTCCTCTTCTTCATGTTAGTGTTGCTGGGTACGAGAGTGCCGATCTCATTGCTGACCAAAACGTCAGATCAAATGTACCACCGCTTTACCTGGTGCTGTTCATCTCGGCCATGTACTATTTGAATCGACCGTGCGTCTATTGCTCGCTGCTCCTCACCGTACTCGTCATCTCCGTTTACGACTTCAACACCAACTGGTTTGAGCCTCAGCCCGAATCCTCGTCTTCGTCTTCGTCTTCGTCTTCGTCGCATCCCGGAAACTTGGCAGCGACCGCTCTCGGAGACAACATTGCTGTTGCGACATCAGCCATACAGTCGGCGGCGGCGTCGATCGCGCAGTCTGTTGCCGATGGCCTCACGAAAAAGACAGGACTCGACGTACAATCGCAAATCAGTGTGGCAGAATGGTTGAAAGAGTTGTTCAACAAGAAGGAATGGCGCATACCCTGCATCGATGTCGCTGTGAGGCTCTAGAAGATTGGATCACTGCCATCCGAAAGACATCTGGTCACCTTGGAGGTATAATGACATGAGAAGCATTTTCGGCGTTGGGTCACACGACAAAAGGGTACTTGGGAGGAGAAACATTGCATACTTGGAGTTCAGCGCGGCATTGTTGAGCCTTCTGACATAGAGAGAATCAGTTCAAATGACGGACTGCTGTCGAGCACTTTGGCTCCGCAAGATAGGTGGTGGGTATACTCGAGGACCGACAAGCGAGGTTCCTCATTCAATGAGATGCCTCAGTCTACTATGTTCGTAGCTCACCGAGACTATGTCTGGTAGTGCCTTCCTGCTCGGATACATGACAATGTAGGAATAGCCACTGCTTTGCATAGTTCTGTTGACCTGGGCTTTGACCAAGAATATTGTGCAAACCTATAGCGTACTATAGCCGAGCGGCTGAAAAGCAATCCCCGCTTCCGAGTCAACGACTTCATATTCTCTGTGTCACATCGACTGGAACTCGTGGTATATACACTTCAACACGTTGTTATCGGGATGGGAAAGTCATCGTTGGTCCGGCGCGGGATCCACAATGCGCTGCTGCAGGGCAAGCGCGGGGGAGGGGCATTCGAGCTCCCGAGCGCGCTCCTTCCTCGTTTGTACTCGTGCAATACTATCCGTCACGCACGCCCTATCGGACGCCCTGGAGACAATACTAAATTGACTCGTTGCGCACCCTTACAGTCGTCGTTCATTCCTTCCTTTTCCACTACTAAAATTCCACCCAGATATTGTTCGAGCTCTGCTTCGAGCACCCTGCTGAAAATAATGGCCGACAGAGACGTTCTTCCCGACGTGTATGCGCTCACACCTTTCACGCTTGGTTTTTGCCGGAACTCAATGACTGACATGCTCGTAGTGTCAAGCCATTCAACTATGCCATCTCCCTGTCCGAGCTCGAGCTCGGCGGCAGCTGGACCTACCAGGGCAAAGTCGACATTGACGTCGAAGTTAAGCAAGAGACTAAGGAAATCACATTGAACACCCACCAGCTCAAGGTCCAAAGCGTTCAAGTCTCAACTGTACGTACTTCGTGTATATGCATCATGAGGCTGAACCACGACACGGCGTTTCACATATGAGGATCGCAGCTGTGTCGCAGTCACAGCTCACTGGGGGGAAGATGGCAGTGACTAATGGAGAGGCCTCATGATATACCGCCAGCTCCCGGGCTGGAAACATGCTGATCATACTGTCTGCTGCAGGAGCAAGGCAAGACCGAAGGTGCTATCAAAGCCTCCAACATTACCTACGATGAGAAGAACCAGAGAGCAACCTTCCACTTCGACCAACCTATCCCTCAATCGCATAAGGCTGTTGTGTCGGTCAAGTTCAGCGGTATTATGAACAATGATGTGAGTATCTGACAACACTCAATCTAGGACTTTTGCTAATTCGCTCTGCAGATGGCTGGATTCTACCGCTCCAAGTACAAGCCCACCGTTCCTGCCGCCGCATCTGTCCCGAGAGATTCCGAGTACCACTACATGCTGTCCACCCAATTCGAGTCCTGCGACGCCCGTAGAGCTTTCCCCTGTTTCGATGAGCCCAATCTCAAGGCAACTTTCGACTTCGAGATCGAGATTCCTGAGGACCAGACCGCTCTGTCGAACATGCCTGAGAAGGAAACCAAGAAGGGTAACAAGGCTGGCACGAAGATTGTCTCTTTCGATCGCACACCCATCATGAGCACATATCTCCTCGCTTGGGCTTTCGGTGACTTCGAGTACATTGAGGACTTCACCAGACGCAAGTACAACGGCAAGAACCTTCCCGTTAGAGTCTACACCACCAGAGGTCTCAAGGAGCAGGGTAAATTGGCTCTGGAGAGCGCTCACCAGGTTGTCGACTACTTCTCTGAGATCTTCCGCATCGAATACCCTCTTCCCAAGGTTGACCTCTTGGCTGTCCATGAGTTTGTATGTCCCCCGCTCCTCTGTCAAGGCGTATTGATGGCTGATCGACAGCCAATCATATGTCTTCCACTTCGGGTTTTCATCGAATCATGCTAACCAGAGATTTTAGTCACACGGTGCCATGGAGAACTGGGGCCTGATCACTTACAGAACCACTGCTGTGCTTTTCGACGAGTACGCCTCGGACCAGAAGTACAAGAACCGCATTGTTTACGTCGTTGCTCACGAACTCGCTCACCAGTGGTTCGGTAACCTGGTCACCATGGATTGGTGGTCTGAGTAAGTGCCGCACAAATTCTGCAACGTATTGAATGGGAGACTAACGAACAACAGGCTCTGGCTGAACGAGGGTTTCGCTACCTGGGTCGGTTGGCTGGCCGTGGACCACCTCCACCCCGACTGGTCAGTCTGGTCTCAATTCGTCACCGAATCCATGCAGACTGCCTTCAACCTGGACTCCCTAAGAACCTCCCATCCTATCGAGGTTCCCGTCAGAAATGCTCTCGAAGTCGATCAGATCTTCGATTCCATCAGTTACCTCAAGGGAAGCTCAGTCATCCGCATGCTGGCTTCCCACTTGGGCGTCGAAACCTTCTTGCACGGTGTCGGAGACTACCTTCAGGCCCACAAGTACCAAAATGCCACTACCAGCGACCTGTGGTCTGCTCTTAGTAAGGCCAGTGGCAAGGATGTAAACACTTTTATGGACCCTTGGATTCGTAAGATTGGTTTCCCTGTCGTCACTGTCTCAGAGGAGCCTGGTCAAATCAGCATCAAGCAGTCACGTTTCCTAAGTGGAGGTGACGTCAAGCCTGAGGAAGACGAGACCACCTGGTGGATCCCTCTTGGCCTCAAGTCTGGTTCGAACACCACCGAGGCCCAGAGCGGCTCGCTTACTGCCAAGGAGGATACTATCCGCGAGATTGACGACAGCTTCTACAAGCTCAACTCCGAACAGACTGGCTTCTACCGCACAAACCTGCCTCCCAAGAGACTTACACAGCTTTCAACTCAGCTTGACAAGCTCTCTCCCCAGGACAAGATTGGTCTGATTGGTGATGCCGCAGCTCTTGCGATCTCAGGTGACGCAACCACTGCTGGCGTCCTCTCCTTCCTCGAGGGCTTCACAAAGGAGACCAACTACCTCGTCTGGTCCGAGGTCCTGTCTAGTCTGGGCAACATCAGATCTGTCTTCACCGACGACGAGCAGGTTTCTGAGGGTCTCCGCCAATACACCCTGCGTCTGGTCAGCGAGGCCACCGACAAGATCGGCTGGGATTTTGCTCCTCACGATGACTACCTGACTGGCCAGTTGCGTGCTCTTCTGCTCGCTTCTGCTGGTATGGCTGGTCACGAGGGTGTCGTTGCCGAGGCTAAGAAGCGCTTCACTGCTTTCACTGAGGGAGGCGACAAGAAGGCTATCCACCCCAGTCTGCGAACTACTACCTTCAAGATTGCTGTCAAGGAAGGCGGCAAGCCCGCTTACGACGCTGTCATGAAGGAGTACACCAACACAACCTCCGTTGACGGTAAGGAGATCGCCCTTCAAGCCCTTGGCAGAGTTCAGTCGACCGAGCTGGCTAGAGAATACCTGAAGTGGTCTTTCAGCGGCGCCGTCGCCACACAAGATCTGCACACACCTTCTAGAGCACTTGCTCTCAACTCAAAGACCAAGCTCGAAGTTTGGCACTTCATCAAGGAGAACTGGGACATGCTGAGAGAGCGTCTCGGCGGTAACATGGTCGTCCTCGAGAGATATCTCCGCATGAGTCTTAACAGATTCTCGAGCAATGAGATCGAGAAGGAGATTGCCGACTTCTTCAGGGACAAGGACAACTCTGGCTACGACCGTGGCCTTGCTGTCGTCAGCGACACCATCAAGGGTAGAGCTAGATACGCACAGCACGATCTTGAGGTCATCAGAGAGTGGCTCTCTGCTCACGGTTACACCAAGTGAATGTAGGTGCAGCAAACACAAAATGATAGAAACGAACTAGATCAATGTACGCCAACAGTTGTGTTTATTGCAAGATACTATCACCATGCTCCACCTCCCTTCTTTGTGCATGTCACTGGTGGAAAGCCATATCAAGGCACAGATAGTTTCGACATTTTTGTCAGTCAGCCTGTACAGGAGCACGTGAAAACAAGTGCTTACTGCTGAAGATCCTTGTACCTCGGTTTCAGGACATTATGAGATACACGCTGATATTCAAGTCAAGAAGACCAAAAGTGGAATTGCCTCAGGTCGTGCCTCTCCTATGCTAATGCTATCTAAAGTGAAAGTTCCTGTCTTCTTTTCATAACAGTCGTACAACGTCAACGTTAAGATCCCTCTCGATCTCCCAATCCGGCAAGCATTACGTCTCAGTCGTCTAATGCTAGCCATTCTGCCTCTGCTGTGCTCATTCCCAACGCATCCACGATCAATGGGGCATGGTCTTTGACTTTTCATACTGCTCAAGGTGCACCATATACCTAGCAGACGTTGTAACTTTGAGATGTGTGAACTTCTTCATCCACTCTCTTGGATCCTTGGGATTCTCAGGTTGAAGGAGACCAGGTGTCTGCGCGGCAGAAGTGCCATGCTGCTCATACAAGACATGGAAGCGTCTGTAATTCTCGCACTCGTCGACGCAATGACCTGCGAACCAACCGACCAGAAAGTCTGTGGCCTCTTCTTCACTGCTGTCCCACGAGGGACCGTAGGTTGGCATTTCGCTCTTAGGCGGCGAATAGAGCATGGAAGGCGGTGACATGTCGACGCGGAAGGGGTTGCGATTGTTGTCAGCCACGGGCGTACCGAGCAACTCGCAGGCCAAATGCCAGCATTTGACCCTGGGTGAATCTTCAGGAAGCAGACTCTTCTCGCGATCCTCGTCTATCAACTCCGCGAGCCACGCCAGAATACCAGGTCGACAGTAAATACGGTCGTTTCGACCACCTTCAGGCTTGATCTTATAGCCTACGAAGGCATTCAAGACTCGGAGTGCTAGGGCTGGTTGGTACTTGAACACGTCATCAGTGATGAGAGTGAGTGTGCCACTTGGAAACAGTCGTGTACAGTTGTATGCCAAGGGTGAGTCTGGGCGAAATTTGACGGTCCTTGAAATGCCAACTTGAAAAATGTTGATGCTGGTCGCCAGAACATTCCAGAATCCAGGCAACTTCCAAAATGTATTCATGGAAGGATGGAAGAGAACCACCCTGTTGGCGGTTGTCCCTTTGCCACAGAACTGATTGAAAAGGCCTGTGTCGTCTGAATGGAAGGATTTGGCTCCAACATCAACCAAGAACGCTTCAATAAGCTTAGTCTCTGGCGCCTCTCTCGGAAAGAAGAGGTACACGACCTTTTCAACCTTCTTGCCCTTGTTGCCTGCAAAGAGTAATTCAGGGGCAAGACCTAAATGCTCAGCACACATTGAGGTGAAAGAGCTTTTGGTTGGCTTGGTAGCGATGGGCTCTAGAGCGCCCGGACTGGCTGCCTGAAGATACCAACGCAGACCAGGCTTTTCGGGGCCTCGATGTGGCATGAACTTCCAATCCGGATTCTGAGTTGGGTAAACAACAAGAACATAGCCGCCAATTCGAGCGACAACTCCCGAAGAGTGTAGAATCAGAAACTCTTCTAGATACTTAGCCACGGGGTTCCCTGAAGTACACGTGGCACCACCTGATGCCCACGATTTGTCACTTGAGTACCAATGGGCCTCGAAGTCACGCGAGCGACACAGTTCAGAGCCTTCGAGAGTTGAATTTGCTCCGATCGTGTCGAGAGCTTTTGTTCGACCTGCGCCAGAGTCGAAACTTAGCCTGATATCCATGGCATAAGCAGGCGGAGTAGCGGGCTTAATGCTAAGACGAATGTCTATGGGACCTAGAATCTCTTCATCTTGAACATCTGGCATGGCAACGTCAAAGCTAGGAGCCGTGTCGAGGGTTGCTACATCAGTTCCAATGTTTTCCGCAGGAGGATCTCTTGCAGGGTTTCTTGTAGTCTCGAACGACGCAGTCGATGTCATAGAAGGCGACAAGACTGAAGCTCGCTCGTCAAGACGACTGCTTACGTGTGGCAAGCTAGGTCGCTCCCTAGGTCCTTCGACCTCGGCCTGACGTAATCCGTAGCGATCGGGACTCTCTGAACGCTTTCGTGCCTGTTGTATGGCCTATGAGGTAGGGTTAAGTTAGCATGTGTCCACCTATACGGATGACACTACCATGACGTGTAAGCAGACATCTTCGCGTACGTACCTTGAAGCCATTGTAATCCTCAACAGCTCCACTTCTAGTGCTATTAGACTGCTGTTCAAAGTCGTAGCCATGATAATATTCGCACTCTTCGTCATTAAATCTGCATCGACTCTTCTCCCAGAACGAACAGGTAGCAGGCTTTTTAGGATCCAGTTGACCCGTCAAAGCGTGTGCGTGGTGACAATCTGCCTCAGAATGTTTGCACGTGCCTCTATACCAGAATCGGCAAGTTATGCGTTTCCTGCTCGGGCGTGCTATGTCACTAGGCTGCGCGGATAAATACGCAGGCCTAGAGTCAGCTACCTGTGCTGATTGGGGTGTTATGCGTCCGTTGAGAGGCTCCCAATGGGGCTCAGACATTGCGACAGATCGATTTGGCAAAGCAGGCGCCGACATCGATGCCGTTGCTGAGCCGACCGAATCGGATCCTCTGGCTACATCGATCTCTATTTGCGAGCTATTCGACGTGGACAGGCCATGTACTGTTTTGTCTATAAATTTTCCGGTGCTCGGATCGATAAATTTCAGAGCATTTGGATCGGGAGCCGGTTCGTTGTGGCTGTAACTTTGCATTCGTGACCTTGTAGACAAGTTTACGAATTGAGGGTCGGTGGAGTCCTTAGGTGTGTACTCACTAACTCGCGTGCGTTGTCTGGGTCTGACCTTTGAACCAATGAAGATGTTTATTGGTGGCTTTAGTCGAGAAGGACCGGCAAGTCGGGGTATGGTCTTTGGGACAGTTTTATCAGCGGAAGTGCTTGGGTCCGATCGATTCTCAGTCGCTGCATTGTTGGAGGTGTTCTTTGGCCTGACTAGTGCTGAGGCCGGTGTTCCATCTGAAGCACGGCGGTGGATGGCTGTGCCAGAAGACTTTGCCAGTTCAGACGGTTGAGGCCTTGCTGAGCTACCTACGGCTGTACTACGTGCGACGGGAGTTTCGTTCAACCGAGGCTTTTTAGGAAGACCAGAGACGACATTCGATCCTTTGTGTTTGTTTAAAGCAACATTTGATGCTATGCCTAGATGCAAACACGGAGTTAGCTAGAGCTCAACGTTCACGCTGGGCTTCCAGGTGCTGCGAAGGCGTAGCCCCACCTTGTTACAAGGCAGAAGTAAATTCATAATTGGTAAGCTGTTAGTTGAGAACAACTTAATCTGCACGGAGAATCAGGCTCTCCGTCGACAACTTCAAAATCCGACAATTCTTCCTGCATCAAGTCGTGCGAGTTTGTCAAACCGCCGAGCTGTTGGAGTTCGGCGAGAGAGGCAAAGCTACGATTTATCGATACCTTTTATTTACATACCTGGTTGCGGTTTGGATATCTTTCCAGTGGATTTTGCTGGATTGATGGGGTCAACTACGCGTGTCCTTATTGATGCAGTTGTTGAATGCGTAGAGGAAGCGCGCGGGCTTTCTGTCGACGTCTCGTTGAACATGGAATACTGCGAGTTCGAAGGATCATTGACCGACAACGCTGGAGAAGGTGAGCGCGAGTTGGCCTGGGACCTTTTACGTTTGAGGCCAGTTGACCCATCAGGCGTAGATGGCTCGAAGAGGGGAGTGAGCTGTCTTCTGGGTGACTCCGAAAGAGACTCGATACGTTCTGCCTTCCTTGCGAGTCCCTTCTTGATTAATGTCTTTTTCGGAACGAGACGACGGCGAGGCGTGGATCCACGAGATTTTGTGGGCGATGTACGTGACAAAGCCTTCTTGCGACGCTTTTCCTCGCGTCTTGCATGTCTCTTCTCGCGTTTCTTCTCGTATTCCTCTACGGCATCCTCGAATTTGGATACCATGAAGGGCTTTTCTTTGCCTGCTTTGATGTCTCTCTTGAAACGCTCCCAGTCGTCAAGGCTGTCAGGATCGACGAAATTCTCGACTGGTTCCCAGGTGGCTCTGTGAAGACCGTAGCCTTCCCATTTGACTAGATATTGAGGGTAGCCCTCGTCATTCTTTTCTGCAATGATCTGATGTGGGTCAAAAGTTAGACAGCAATTAAAACAAAAGAGATCCGACAAACCTTTTCAACACTGTACTCATCTTTGGCTTCACTCTCGGCAGTACTATCAGTGTTGACGGAATCGCAGTCGTCGTATTCTTCAAAAATCAATCGAGTCTTAGGAGCGGCCATTGTGAAGAGCGAGGCAGGATATCATGGCTCTGCGTGACGATGGAAGGTGAAGATTTTGTGTGAAGGCGCACGGCAGATGTGATAGAAAGCGGCTTTGTTGTGAAGTTGCACGATGTGTGCGGTGAAGAAGATGATAGAATAAAGCTGGTGTTTCTGATGGTCGCGACGTGATGGTGATGGTGATAAAAGCGCACGTGTGATATGGCGCCAAGAGAGACAATGGCGGCGCGGATTGGCTGCGGGTGGGGAAGGAGCAATGGGTGTGGGCTGGGCTTGGGCTGCCTGGAGTTTCAAACAACAGCTGATCTTGTCCTTTCTACCACACCAACTCTTGTCGCTTGCTCAACCCGTCTTTGTTCCTGCTCGCCAACTCCTCCTCGCCGTGCGCATCAACGTCAATTACCTTTCTCCCATACCGGACTTGCCCTCTCTGCTGCCACGTCTGCTGAGATCCGCCCCTCCTTAATCACCCCCCAAATTCACGACACATCACCACCACCATGGCCAACGACGAGTACGATGTAAGCTCTCTTCATGGTCGCCCTTGTTGCGATTCAACCACTGACTCGATGTCCAGTTCCTCTTCAAGGTCGTCTTGATTGGAGATTCTGGTGTCGGTAAATCCAACCTCTTGAGCCGTTTCACCCGCAACGAGTTCAACCTTGATTCAAAGTCGACTATCGGTGTCGAGTTCGCTACGCGCAGCATTCAGGTCGACAACAAGACCATCAAGGCCCAGATTTGGGATACCGCTGGTCAGGAACGCTACCGCGCCATCACCTCCGCATACTACCGCGGCGCCGTTGGAGCTCTCCTCGTCTACGACATCAGCAAGCATCAGACATACGAGAACGTCACCAGATGGCTCAAGGAGCTCAGGGACCACGCCGACAGTAACATTGTCATTATGCTGGTTGGAAACAAGTCGGATTTGAGACACCTGCGCGCCGTTCCTACCGAGGAGGCCAAGCAGTTTGCTAGTAAGTCGCTCGTGTGCCACTTTCTCAGTCACATGTCGCTAATTGCGTGCTCTCAACTACAGGCGAGAACAACCTTTCGTTCATCGAGACTTCTGCTCTGGACGCCAGCAATGTCGAGCTTGCCTTCCAGAACATCCTCACAGGTATAAACGTCCTTCAACATGATTGTGCCAGTACTCTATCTCACGCGTTTCCCAGAAATCTACCGAATTGTCTCCAGTAAGGCCCTTGATCAAGGCGAGGGTAAGGAGAGCGGCCCCGGCAGCGGTGCTCCCGTCAGCGTTCCCTTGACTAAGCCTGCCGACGGCAATGCAAAGTCCGGCCAGTGCTGTTAAGTGCCCCCAACGCTAGATACCCGACCCACGACAACCCCAGAGAGCACACGATACGAGAAATCACACCGGAAACCCTGCTCCACGCACCCAGCCTTCCTCTTGGACGGTGCCGTGTGGTCTCTTCTTTTCCGGCGTTCTGAAGGCGTAAACGGCTTCGCTATACACCATGCGTGTCTTCTGAAATGAGACCTTATACGCCCGTCTCTGTGCGAGCGATTCTGCTCATTCTTCCCACACCCTTGCGCTTTTGTTGGTCGCGATCTAATCCCCTTGTTATCTGTCAACGTTGCGAATGTACTGGGCTGGGGGAACATGCTTTCTGTCTCCTTCCTGCTTTCCTGTGTTTTTGGTGTTTATACATCCGGGAAGGAGTTTGGCAATAGGAGTGCGTTAAGATTGCCACATTATAAGGAGGAGGAGGAATGGAAACGATGAGCTTTTCTCCTCTAGACGCCTAACGGAAATGAAATGCGAAACATGCTTTTCCTGTTCCTTCCATTTTGCATCGTGCTCCCACGTACAATAGAATATGAATAAGTTGCGAGTTGTCCCAGTACATGCACGACTAGCTAGAGCATGTTTAGAACTTCCTGAAGCCATCGTTGCCGGTGACCATGTCTTGGCCCTTCTGGCTAATCTCTTGACTTGGTTGTACCCAGGCTTTCGAAGCGTCTGTGTGCTTTCCTGTGCCAAACTTGTTGGTACACCAGTCAAGGACGGAATCAAACTCTCTTCTGCTTTCCTTTGCAAGGGCATCCCTGTCTCCTTGTCCCTTTGACAGTTTTTCTAGGCTGTCTACAAAGTCCCGAGCGGCTTTCTGGGGAGGCATCTTGGTCTCCCCGTCGTCCTTCTTCTTTTCGACCTCTGCTGTCTCGTCTTCGGTTGCCTTCCCCCATACACGTTCAAAGGGCTCGGAATTGTAGACATCGTAGTACCAGGCCCTGGTGTTGTTGAAGTCGCCTTCTATCCGATGGAGGATACCGTGGAGGTACATTGCTTCAAAAGCGGGATCGGACTGCATGTGTCGCACAAGAAAGTGGGCAGAGGGCAAGTCATGATTGAGAAGGTGCAACAGAGCCTCGAGTGCCGGATGTAGATATAAGGAAGCTATCTTGTCGCTTAGAGAAGTGTCGAGGGGTTTGGCTGGCGGAAGCAGCGGAACGGGGAGTGACTTGAGATGAGCGAGCAACTCGTCAAAGGTGACGGCACTGTTGGCGGAGTAGACACTGGTCATGATTTATTGCTGCTTCCTGCTTTTTGGTTTCTGTTCCTTCGAATTGCAACAAGCTACACATGGACAACAGGTTCCTCGGAGACTATATCTTGAGGCGCTTATTTCCTATTCCCTTGCCAAAGCATCATTGTAGTCGTCATGATCCAGCCTACGACGGTGCCCGGTCCGTGGGCAATTCAAACAGCAGGAGACGTCATGCTCCCTCCAAATCGGCGGAACCGGTTTTCGATTTACAGGTGGAGCACACCCGGCCTTGGAATCGCCATTGACCCACCCTACAGCGAAACTGTTTATATACAGAGTTGGAGCCTCCGACCTCTGACTTCCAAGCCTCTTCGACCCTGACAAGACAAGGCAACAAGGCGGTGCTACCAGCGACGAGACGACACCCCCAGATCTCCGCATCCCCAGCTTTCTTCCACCCATCGCCTCGGCCCACGTCATCCTCGAACTTCCAAACAAACGGCCATTGGCCCCTCGCACTACACGGCCAATAAGCAGACAGCGTATCTGTAGCAAAACATGGTTGGCAGAAGAAACATCACCTCGTTCGGCGAGCAGAAGGGCTCCGACAGCGGCCATGGTCGTCCAGACCAGGCCCGCAAGCGCAACCAGCACGACGTCGAGAACGGCTTGAATGGCACAAAGAAACCCAATATGTTCAGATTCAGAGATGCCGCCCATACTGCCCTTGGTGACAGGAGGAGAGAAGAACTCAAGAACAAGATTATGGCCGGTGTCGAAAGCGTCGACATTGAACGCTTTAGGAAATCGAAGCAGGATCTCAAGGACATCAAGAGCAAGAAGGTCAGACAGTTCTATGAAGATCAGAACAACCGCCTCGACGACTGGGCCGAAGTTGATGCTCTGGTCAAGGCTTTGGCCGACGATGTCCTCGATAGCATGAATCCAGATGCAGACAACGATGGCCAACAAGAACGCCATGGAGGCCTGCAAGATGCCAATGGTGCCATCTGGGACTTCCTTCCTGACGATGTCAAGGAGGGCCGCCAGAAGGCTGAGAAGAAAGCCAAGTGGGCCATCAACATTAACGTTATTGCAAACATCCTCCTCCTGATCGCTAAGCTTGCCGCCGCTTTCTCTTCGTCATCTCTCTCTCTGATCGCTTCGCTTGTTGACTCCGCCCTGGATCTTTTGTGCACTCTCATCGTTTGGACCACCAACAGACTCGTTCAGTGGCGTCTCAACGCTCTAAGAAAGCGTTTCCCAGTCGGTCGCCGTCGTCTTGAACCTCTCGGTATCCTGGTCTTCTCTATCATCATGGTTATTTCCTTCCTCCAAATCTTGAAAGAGTCGGTCGAGAAATTGATGCCCGACGCACCACACAAGGCCAAAGAACTTCCTGCCATCGCTATCGGCGCAATGCTCGGAACTGTTATCGTCAAGGGCATTATTGGTCTCGGCTGCATCCGCATCAAGACTACTCAAGTCCAGGCCCTCGCTCAGGATTGCAAGACTGATGTCGTCTTCAACACTCTCTCCCTTCTGTTCCCATTCATCGGCTACAAGGCAAATGTGTGGTGGCTGGACCCTGCAGGTGCTGGCGTCTTGTCCCTCTTCATCATCTACGACTGGGCAGGCACTTGTTTCGAGAACATCACTAGACTCTCGGGTCAAGCAGCGGATGAGCAGTTGCAGAAGAAGCTACTCTACCTGTGCTACCGCTTCTCCCCTGTGGTTGATGGTTTCAAGAGCATTACTAGCTACCACGCCGGTGACGGCATCTGGGTCGAGATCGACATCATCCTCAACGAGCAGTCCAAGTTGCACAGCACTCACGACATTGCCGAGACTATCCAGTACACTTGCGAGGGTCTGAACGAGGTCGATCGCTGCTTTGTTACTGCCGATTATACTTCCACCGGTCCTAGCGGTCACGCCGCTGATTCGGAGAGAGTCTAGTGGTTTAATACTCGACAATCGCAGAGTATATCAGTCACTTGCCACAAGTCCGTCCACTAATATCAAAATGGTATGGTCCATCTGTGATGGATATCGCCTTTCGAACCTCCAGGCTCGAGGTCACAAAAAAGGCAAATGTCATCGGTGTAAAAGCATTATTTTGCGAAACGCATAGCATGAGCATCGCACTCTTTTCTTTCCTTTCCTTTTCTTCTCTTCTCGCTTTTCATGTTATCAAAATGTACTTGTAGTAAAACCAATTTATCTTTATCACACTCATCATTTCTGCTACAAATGCTCACTCCCTAGCGGTAAGCAGCTCCATCGCGAACGAACAGACTCACTAAAAAGACTTGAGTCTGATCTCGACATCTCCTATCTCGACGCTCCTTACCTCGATGTCCCAGAAGTAGAACAATTGAAGTTCACCATGCTCGACGATGGACATGTGTCATTGGAACAACGAATACAAGCAACACTCGATGAGAGATGGAATCGTCGACTCAAGAGAAGGCAAGAGAGCGGAGTATATCGAGTCTGCGCTGCCCATAATCTGCCTGCCGTCTTTGAAAAGGCATTTGCTCTGGCAAAAGATGCTGGCTTTGTGGCATTGGTGCATAGAAATGGACCAGAGGGTGGAGAGGAGTGGACAGGCTTGGCAGCGAGACCAATCTGTGGATCCAAGGCACATACTGGGAAGAGGGAGAATAGGAACAAGAAGGATAGACGTTGAGCATCTAGCGACTATTTCTATGTAAGGTTTTCGGTCAGAAAGGGAAGCTTGGTCTCGATGCCATCTTGCATGAGTTATCAAATCTGTCGCCATCCGCTGACGAAGCCTGTCATGCTATGTCAAGTGAGGGATGGCAGGTGGTACTTTTCCCATTGCGGTACGTTCTTGAACCTTGAGACTTGACTGGCTGCAGAGTAGTTCTAGCCCTGGGCAGGGTCGTCTGTGTATTGGTCGCGTGCTTTCTCTCCCCAACGCGTAGCACTGCTTCGTCAAAAGCTGTGCGATTCTGCAGCTGCCGACTTGATCGTTACTAGTCATCGGAGATCTTCGGGGTTGCTGGCTACGTTGAAGCCTTGTCAATCACTCCAGGAAGGAGATCGAAGCTCTCATGCTCTCTTGTGACCATTATAGACCTCAACATCAAAGGCCTTTTTCACAGCCCAGGAGTGAGCAGAAGCACTGCACATCATCATTAGCACCCCATACACAGAACGAAGAAATACCAAAAACTCACATCAAAGGTCCACCCCTCCAAAAGGGCAAAACATTATCCATACCCTTCCTCCTCGCCGCAATCCTCTCCATAATCTCACCCTTCTGAAACAACCTAACCTCCTCCCCCTTGACCTTACCATCCTTCTCCGCAGCAAGCATCCACAACCCCACAGCATCAGCCTGAGCAATCACTCCATCCTCTTTCGCCATGCTCACCAATTCCCCACACCCATATCTTTTATCCTCGTCCAATCCTTTACACGCCGATGGACCACCAAGTAGTTTTCGTGATGTGCGTACGGTGGGAACGTGGATTGTCAAGGACCAGAAACCGGTGTTTCGGAAGACGAGATGTCGGATTGTGGCTAGGAGGACTGCGACGGGGAAGTTTAGGCCGATGGAGAGGTCGCCGCGGAGGGAGTCCATGAAGGTGATTGTGGAGGTGTTGGGTCGTGGGGAGCGGTGGGCGAAGAAACTGAGGAGGCGGTGGAATGCGCCTTGTGCTGACATTGTTGCGGTATCTTGACAATGTCTCTTCGATTATCACAGTGTACGGGTTGAGATAAAATTGTTATCTCTTTCTTTGGTAGAGAGCTGCTGAAGCTCTATTGTTTACGCTACGACGGAGGCTCTGGAGAGATCATTGCATCATCAAACAGTCATGACGACATTTATGCTTGCATTTCCTTTTTGGGGGGTCTACAGAATAGGGTATCCAAATCATCCGCCCGCAGATGCTCTGTACAGGTTGTGATATTAATTTCGTGGTTTCAGTCCTCTACACCCACTCCTTCGGCTCCTTGAGTACGCTCAGCATGCGTTCTTCCCTAGAGCCCTTCTCGGGAGCATGCATGTATTGCCAGCGTGCGGTCAATGGCAAGCTCATGAGGATACTCTCGACTCGGGAGCCAGGAGTGTTCAGGCCGAAGCTGGTGCCACGGTCGTGCACCAGGTTGAATTCGACATAACGACCTCTGCGAAGTTGTTGCCAGGCCTTCTCGTTCTCGGTGAAAGGCATGTCCTTTCGCTTATCAATGATGGGGACGTAAGAAGGCAAGAAGGCGTTGAGACACGACTGGGCAAAGGAGAAGAGGGCTTCTTGGTCTTTCTCGGTCTCGTCGAGGTCATCGAAGAAGATGCCTCCAACACCACGGGTCTCACCGCGGTGGGAAACATAAAAGTACTTGTCGCACCACTCCTTGAAGCGAGCGTAGTAGGTCTTGTCATGGGCGTCACAAGCGTCTTTGATAGTGCGGTGGAAATGAATGACATCTTCGTCGAACAAGTACGAAGGAGTAAGATCAGTGCCGCCGCCAAACCACCATGCATTGGGAGTGCCGTCGGCGTTTGCGGTCTCAAAGTAGCGATAGTTCAGATGCACAGTCGGAGCCATGGGGTTGTGTGGGTGCAAAACCATGCTCAAACCGGCCGCAAAGAATTCCAAACTCTCCACATCCGGGTCCAGGGCCTTGTGGTTGACCCTCATCTTGCTGATTGCGGCGCGTGGCAGGGTGCCGTAGACGATGCTCGTGTTGACACCGCCTTTTTCAAAGACGTTGCCGTCTTGTAGGACGCAGGTGATGCCGCCGCCACCATTGGGGCGGTCCCACTTGTCGACTTGGAAGTGGGTGCCGTCGACTTTCTCAAGCTCGCGGACGATCTCCTCCTGCTTGGATTTTATGAATTGTTCCATTCTCAGACGCATGGGGGACGTCTGGGTGACGCCGGATTCGCGCTTACTGAGACTGTCACGCTCTGCGATCGATGGCGGCTCCGTGTGTTCTACGTTTCCGGTTGCCTGTGCGTGTCGTGTGTCAGTGTCTGAGCAGTCGATGTACGTCATGACCGGGTTGGGTGTACCATTGAGTAGATGAGGGACCCGACAAAGACGACACCCACAGCGAGGCGCGTCTTTGGGGCGACAACTCTCGAGGGCTGGGGAGAGCCGGGAGGAAGGGGAGGCTTGGTGCCATGGTCGCCAATGGATCGGACTTGTTGCTTGGTGAATCTGGCAGCACGAGCTTGCCAGTATGGTGCCCGACTTGCTTGTGCTGTGCGGCGGAAGGCCGTCGATGCGAATGTGCTCATGCTGAATATAGTGATGAATTGGCCAAAGATGATGTCTAGACGAGAGGCAGAGGATGTCTTTGGTATTTGAACTCAAATCTGTCTATGCATCATGGAGCTCGCGAATGACCAATGAGCTTGGACCATGACCTGTCAAGGGACCATCACTCCACAAATGATGCCACTCATCACCACTCCGATACTGCCCTTAAGCCATATCAGCGAAATCATCCGTAGACGCTTTCTAAATCGAAAGAAGACGCCTTTGAGATCCGGTATCCGTGTACGTCGAAGATCCTTGTACGAGACATAGTCTGACACATGTCGATTGCTTCGACTGTCCGCGGACACGCTGGATCAGGGGTTGATGGGACGTTTAGCATACGCAGCGTCCACAATCATACAGCCTATCTGCTGTATCCGTAACCGGTAGACAGGTAGAGCAGTTGGGAAGCTTAAACGCGTGTCAAACATCAACATAATAGATGTAGCCAAGTGCATCCCTTTACAGTGAGCACATAATATCCTGTTTGGAAGCAAGGTACCAGACGGCAGAGAAGAATCAAATATCGTTATTGACAACCGAAGAGAAAGGGTATCTGCGCTAGTTCCATACTCTCTTTGCTTTGAAAACATCCTTAACCCCGGGCTTTCACCATACCGCGTATATCTCACACTACTCATCTTGCATACCGTGCAATAAAATCACCATCATTAGTCGTACCCTCTCCTAAGAGTAAAAAGAGAGAATGAAAAAAGACAACTCCGAAAGAATGTAAATAAGAGGCGAAGTGAACGAGATCCCGAATGTGCATAGATGCGCTTGCCTCACCTCCATTGTCTGTGGGAGGAAGGCCAGAAGTTGCTGTCCAAAGAGATTGTTGACGCCGTCCGGTTTCTGCTGCTTTTTGCCGTCGTGATACGCCTTGACCATGCGTGTGGGAATAAGGATAGATGTACGAGTTAACCAATAACAGGAAGAGAATACAAGTGGTCCGAAAAGATATCTTTTAGTAGAACAGAAGTGAATGAAGGTCGGTCCGCAACACTTGTTGAATACTAACCTTCATAGACAGTGGGCACCACGTGCTCAATGGAACCTTTACGGCTGCTAGCGGCGCCCTCGAGAGCATCTCCATTGACGCTACCAACGGAGCTGGTCTGAAGGCTACGCTGGTCGGCAGTCAATGGTGGAGGTGGAGGTGTCGTATTCTGCGAGACGGTACGGCTGCCAAAGGCGGTTGGATGGGCCAAGAGATTCTGGTCGTATGGTCTCTGCATACGCTTCTCGATCGCAGCAACCTGTTTGCCACATCCTGTTCGCTTAGCCTTTGCGAGCTCCGGCTGGAGGACATCGGTAAAACAGTCGAAGTCTTGTTGGCTCAGAAGATCCAAGAGCTTCTGAATCACGTAATTACCATAGTTGTCTCTGATGAGACCAAGAAGCATGCTCTCTCCTTCGCGTTGGTTGTTGCGCACAATCACGTCAATGACATCGTGCTTCCATGTCTCTGCAGAGTGAGTCAGGCACTTTTCCACGACGTTGCTTGCAAACTTGTGCTTGCTGTATCCTTCCAAGCCCTTGAGTACAAGCTCGAGTACTCTTTGCCGATCAAGCACGAAGCCGTATTCAACAACATGTTGTGCCACATAATTGCCGAACGAGTCACCGATCAAGGTGGGCATGCAGTCGTGCAATTCTGCCAAGATTGCCTTCCGTGTCAGGTCCTCGCAGTTCTCAAGGCATCGCTGGATAACTCGGCATCCGTAGGTATGGACACTGAGATGCTGGATTTGACCAGTGAAAGCTTGGAAGACAAAGGATATGTCTTTGGCATCGCAGCGTTCGATGGCCTTCTGGATGACATGGTTTCCGTTCTGGTCTTTGACACATCTCAACACGTCTTTCTCCAGTTCACGAACAAGGGAAGCTTGCTGATCGTTGAGTATATGCTCGAGAGCCTGATACGTTAGCCGGGATAATGATATTGTCGATGCAAATCATAGAACTAACCTTCTGCACAACACGACAGCCATACATCTGCAGCGACAGATCCAAGACACGTCCCTTCATCTTATTGGCTAGAATCTTCTTCTGGTTCTGGTCGCCGTGTTCGAAGAACTTCTGGATGACATAGTTTCCGAACACGTCTGTCATGAGCTGAATCGCGTTCGGTTGAATCTCTCGGAAGAGACGCTCTTTCTCGTCGCTGTTGGCCGTTTCAAGCTTCTGCTGGATGAAACGTGATCCATGCTGGTCTCCGCTGAATTCCACAACATGATCGAAGATGTCCTACAAGCTATTAGTACACCATTATTTCAAGGTGTGCTACTCTAAAGATCTCACCTTCAACTCGTAGCGTCTGGTCTTGTTGTTGGTTTTGAAGTCTTCCAGAAGAGCACTGCGCAGGCTGTGACCAGTTTCCAATTCTCGTGGGCCTCTCGGGGAGGGCATAGATGGAACACCACTGATTGACATCTGCGCATTCACGGGAGGATACGCAGCAGGGATATTGTGTATAGCAGAGCCGTTCGGTAGGTGGTAAGAATAGTAGCCACCAGGAACAGCAGAGTAGGGGAGATTGAGCATGTAACGATGGTCCATGTCCTGAGTTGATTGTTGCTGGAATCTCTGGTTGACGAAGGTAGAGGGACTGGCGTTGGTGTTTCGAGGATTATACATGTTGCTGTTCACGAGGGAGCGTTCGGGATATTGTGACATGCGGTAGGCAGGGTAATCAACGGTCGTCTGAGACGCCATAGAATAGGCATCAGAAGCGAAGGCAGGAGGTACACGAGATATCTCCTCGGCATCTTCATACTGATCGATCGAAGCATCGCGGGTATAGGTTGAAGGAGACTGGTTGCGGAAAGATGGCATAGAGAAGGAAGGTCTCGAGAGCGCGAAACTGTGAGACTCATCTTGCAAACTCATTTGCGAGAATTGAGCCAAAGACGCTGCTTGAGTATCCGTCGCGCCGAAGCTGCCATTAGGCCTTGAGGTTGAAGAGAAGCTGTTGACGCGGAAAGAAGTTGTAGGGGCCTGGGATGAAGAGAACTGGTCTGCATTTGCAGGAATGGGCCAGGCAGGCTGACTGTCACTGTGTCGAGACGGTGGCAAGCTATTATTGCGCGAAGGTGGAGCACTAGGGAGCCCATTGAAATAGCCCGTGGCTGAAGGTCGCCTCCTTTCGTCGACTGGGGATTGGGTCATGCTGTTTCCACCGATCCACTCGCCGTAAGCCGAATCAGTCGGTCTTGGAGCAACGGGTTTGTTAGGACGGTCGAATTTGGTGAAGACAGTAGGCGCGTCTGTGTTGTAGGATAAGGGGGAGTCGAAAGCGTCGCTGAATTGCGGTTTCGGCGCCATAGAAGTGGCAGAGCTGATGCCGCTAGTTGCGGGTCTGGAAGAAGCAGAGAAGGACATAGACCCACGAGGGGCTCCAGGATAAGCTTGAGGCAGGCCTGAGTTGCTGTTGCTGCGATGTTGTGGAAACGAGACGTCGTTCGACTTGGGTAGCGGGCCTCCAAGAAGGTTTGCATCGTCGCGCTTTGCGAAGACTCCGGAGCGGAATGTGTTGTAGTCATCGTTGACAGAAGAGTCGATAAGCTGGCTGGAACCGCTTCTGCCCTCGATCGTGTCCTTCCCACTAAGCTTCCCATTCTGAGGCCCAAAGCTAAGGCTGTTCCTAGGGGCGGTGGTTTGACGGGAAGTTGATGGCGGAGGGTTGAAGCTTGTGCTCCATATGTTGGAAGTGCCTTGCCATTTCGTCAGATTGTTGGTGGACGAGGCTGAGGTAGGTTGGCCGTTGCGACCTTCGCTGGTGGGAGGCCTGATCGGCTGCGAGAAGCCAGTCATAGTGATGGGACGGGGCTGCGACGAGAAAGAGGAAGACATTATAGACCAGTGTACAGATAGGTCGAGAGATGGAAGCGATAACGACTATGTAAGACGAGACGAGACGAGAGTTTACAAATGTCTAGTCATAGGCGTCAGCAGGGAGCAGGACACAACACACGTGGCCAGGAGAAGGGACTGCCTACTCGGACAGGAAGTTGATGGCGCTGAAGAATATACGGCAACACCATGTACACTTGTTCAGATGTGATCAAGGCAGGACGGCGTCTGGAAGTCGGTCCTGGTTATGTAACAGCGAGCGTCTGCAAGGCGGACGACGATCAAAGTATGTGCAATTTCAACAGGAGCTGCGCGGCACTCTGTCGGCGAGGAAGGCACTTTGGACGGGCATCTGCTATGCACTCTGTCCGTGTCGTGGGCCGAATTCACTGGTTGTTGCGAAAAGGCAAGGGGTAGCTTGAGGAATGTCCGAGTGTGAGAGAGTTCGTGCGCGATAGAGAGGGGGAAGGAGCGAGGGATATGGCAGTGTGGTTTATGGGCGTCTGCCGGCCGGGACAGAGGAAAGAGCGTGCTGGAGGTGCTAGTCGCGTGGGACAGGATGTGATTCTCTACTTCTTTTTATCAAAGAGCTACTCAGCCCAAAGCACTTTCGATGCTAGATGGCTCCGTCTATCTCCCGCTCCGCCTGTTTGAATGGTACGCTGCGGGAAAGGCTGCCGCCGCCAAGCCATAGGGTCTTCCAGGGCCCTGTTTATCCCCCCAAACTCTGTCCTCTCCAGCTTCTCCAACCCTTATGTTCAGGAACAGAGGTTGTAAAGATGATCGACACCTTTGCATTGGGAGTTGCGAACACTCATAAGAGCAGATCTGATGGGTTGTTGCTGCATTCTGACCAAAGCTTACCGCCTTGCTCGAGGTCTCAATAGCAGCCAACGCTTCCACCTCTCTTCGCCGTGACCTCATCGCCCCTAGGGCACTTTGATCGTGGTAAATGTCGTCCTGCAGATCATCATGCCCAGCATCTTCTATACCACATTCAACCCTACTACCGCCCATCTTCTCATCATGCAATGCTTCAGATAGAGACTACCCTGCGTGGCTCCTGCATGCTCCTGTCAAAACTGGCCAATCCTCGTGCTCTTTGCTCATGTGTTGACGAGACAAGCAAACGTGCCTCCACGAATGTGCCTCTCGAATGATCCTTCAACCAAAATTCGGAAGCCACCATTACAAATTTGGATTCCTGCAGGCAGCAAGCCTATCTGCGTCTCCGCCACAACATCCCGTATCCGGTTTTATCTTCGTTGCAATGCGCGAAGACGTCGTCTCTCCACGTTCTATCAGGAACCTGACAGTTTAGTCATGTATTCTCTGCACAACAGGTAGATAGTGGTGGTCTTGCATCAACAGTGATGCATCAGCGATCGAGAGTCGATAGTCTTGGGCTTTCGTTGTACTCACCGACAACAACCCAATTATTCCATTTGTGCTGTGCAACCACGCAGCACCTGACAATTGATGTACAACTAGGCTGCTCCTGGTATGAGCACCAGTGGTGACAAATCTACCAACGCCCACCCAGAGCGAAGGATCGTGCTTTGCACACATAATCGAACATGGCTGTAATACAGAATCTCGACATGTGCTTTGTGTGGACTTTCAACAGGCCAAGAACTCAAGTGTGACACGTCTTGTACGAGGTACTGTCCCTTGATAGGTCAAGAAGTCCACAGATGGCACTGCAGGTACTGCATTCCTCCTGCCCTTCTGTAGTTGACGACATTACCTACTTCCAGCTTTCGATGTCTCCTTCGGTAAGATACGATGGGACTGTCCTTTGCATATTTTTTTTGTGAGAGCATGAACAAAGGGAAGCTCAATGCAAGTACACGATGGTGCGGCCAGGGGTGCATGACGGAGGCTGACAGGATAGCAACTGCTTTGCTTGTTTGAGCAGACAGTCCTCAATCCCTGTCACATGTAAATAAGATCTCCTATTTTCAGAACACTAACAGATTCAAGGCAACCTATTCCAATCATTGAGGTTTCTTGCTTTGATTATTATTCGAGCGTTCGACAATTCTGTTCAAACAGAAAGAGTTGTCGTGGCAATGTATTCGCGAGATTAGACGGGAGAATGGCTGTGCAAGACCCTCAGTGTTGCGGGTTGAACGGCCGGAGCTTAAAGGTAACCGAGGGCTAGGACCAGACGGTGGAATAGCCTTGATGATAAGAAGCCCATCCAACACGACGAAGGATTGTCAATAGCGAAGACGACTGCTAGTGAGATCATGTCGGTACACGCACGATGCATTTCTCTGCCCCTGTTGTGGCTTTGGTCGAGGAATCCAGTATGTGCCGAGTTGGAGGCCTTGTTGAATGATGATTCTGCACTCAACTCTTCAGTGTGCTTAAGTTTGTCACTTCCGTCCTGTCTCTATGGCCGCACGTAACGATGAAATGGCGGTCGGAAAGCACAACCAGTTCCAGTTCGGTTGTTCTATTCGATGAGATACGTCGAAGGTCTACTCCACAGCATCCGCGCTTTATCGAAACGTGACACTGTGCAAATTTCATAACTCTGGTAACCAGCCTGAGCACACCGAGAGGTCATAAATTGACGCCAGAAGTGCACATCATACACCAGCGTCGGCTAGAGGCTTGGAAGGATTGGTTCCTGTTGATCTTGTTGATCATGAGCAATCCAAATCCGGTTTGGCTTCTCCCACCCTTCCAGACTTGCGGACCTCAAGCAGATTGAGTCCTTTCGACGTGTCCCACGGCTTGCCGGGCAGAGACTCGAGTCTGGACAGGCAGTTGTACCTATTGGAGCCTGGTCTCCATGATAATCACAGAAGCAGTTTCATCGTCTACAGAAGAAAGCTAAGGCTCCTAGTCTGCTGTAATTGCATGACGAGTGCTGCTTGGAAAGTGGAGTCAGGCTGCTTGACAGTTGATTGGGCCGTTTTGCACTTCCAACGGCGCTAATCGCTGGAGTAATCTTAATTCTCGTGGAGAGACTAAACAAAAGATCGAGCGCGCGCCCTCTCACTCGTGTTTGAGACCTTTTCGAGAATCCGTTTCGACATCTTCCACCCCTACAACTCGTTTCGCGATACGGCTTCACTCTTTCAGCCGTTTTCTGCAGTTCATTCGTTCAAGTTGAAAAGTCGATTGCGTATTCGAGGTATGCACTCCGTAGCGGCCCCCCCGCGTTCCCCTACGTTGAACACCAACCACCCAACCATCCCTTCAACTGTCTCGACGCGATCTTGCGAAGGGTCGCGCTTTGCAGAATGCACCACCAGCCCCGGATTATCAACACGCACACGACTGGCACGCTGACATGTTCCCGCTTCAGCATCCTGAAAACTCCAATCCCATCAACATCACAACGGTCCCAATCAAAAAAGAAACCACCGCTCGTACCTGGATCTTCCATGACGCCAAATCTTTAAACCTTCTCGCCTTCGACTTTTCAATACTCACACTATACACTCGTTCGTTCCAACAACAATAACAACAATCACCATGGCCAGTATAATGAAGCTTGTCGCTCGTGACAGCTACGACGAATCGTATTCTCCCACAATGGCTGCTCTTCTTATCGCCCTTGTCGTCCTTCTTATCATCGCTCTTCTTTGCATCGTCGCCCTCTACTTCATGCGCTGGAGAAAGCGTTCTATCCACGCCGACTCTCTTTCTTTTGATGACGAGGAGAAGTCGTCAGCATCACCTGCGTCGCGTCAACACCGTGTCACAGTCCGCCCTCACGAATCCATCATCGTCTACCAGGAGAAGCAAAGCCTGATCGACAACTCTGAAGCTCCGCCATCGACCAATTCGGTGCCAGAAATTCGCATCCATTTCCCTGAGGAGGTCGACAACTCTGGCAAGCGCCAGTCTGGCAGAGTCGTTGTTGTGCGGGTTGGTGACCACAGCATTGGTCTCGAGCCCGTTTCTGAAAACCTTCCTCCTTACCAGAAGAGCGAGTCGGATCGTTTCCAATCCCTTGATCTGGAGAGGATAGGTGGTCTCAAGGAGAAGAGCGTCGGGGCTCGCTACCAATAGTCGATGATGCATGGCATCTTTTCACATGTTCAACGACAACTATAAAAGTAATGACCCACTGGAGTTGCGCCTTCCATTGCCTTCTTTTTCCTTGGATCCGCTTCAGCCTTTTCTCTCATTCCAATCTCTTACATACGACCTTCGAGCCGGATACGTGCGCGAACGCTCCATCATCCCCACAGCTGCCGCTCATGGTACATATTCCCTTCTTCGACTGTCAATTATCTCCGGCATGGTGTCAACTTCTTATCGATGAGCCTAGAGCTGCTCCACAAAGCCTGGACTACGACATATCGAACATTGTTAATGATTTTTTTCTCCTTTGACGACTACCGCAGCTCTTTGCTCAGTCGCGCATTTGTTTTCCACACGCTCCTTCATCAACCCTTCCCGTATTTCTTTCTTTGTTTCAGCGTAGCGGGGCTGAATTTCTCTGGTGTTTTGATAGAGTGATCGACCCTGTGTGGAGTCGAGCCTCTTTGTTTAGGGGATTGAATGTTTCTTTTCTCAGGCTTGACCTGTACGATTGTAGTGTGTTGGTGTTCGTATTATTACCTACACATTTCGTCCACTCATAGCGCGCGCTTGACCTATGGTCGAGCAGCAGACGCAAACAATGAAAACAAGGGTCTCAACCCGATCAAACAATTGCATGTTCGTTGTGCTGACGTGTAACTTTCATGAGTTTGACCTTTTCGGCCTTGACTCTGAATTGTGATGTGGAGGTCAAATCAGAAATTGGTCAAAGATTTCGATGCACAAGATTAGAGTAATCTCTCGAAGCAGAGCTGTGTTTGAAGAGTCGAGCAATAAGATGAGGTTTCGGATTCCACGGAAGCTGATCGAGGTCAAGCTTCCCCTCCACAAGGTCCACCCCTCAATTTATTGCTTCCTCCGAGTTTGCAGCGACTGGACTGTTTTCTTCTCCTCTTCAGTTCTAAACCCACCGATGCCTAGGCGGTAGCTTTGAATCCAATGTCAGCAAGCGATGGGACCGGTATTGCGGCTCACTTGACGGGAGGAGCAGGAGAGCAGCAGGCTCAGATCCCAAAGACGGAGACGTCCAAGGATGTGCAGAACGAGCGCCGTCAGTCATTCAAGCGCCGCCATGGTTTTCTTGTTGCCTTCTTTACTCTGATTTTGTATGCCCTGGTCTCTCAGTCGCCTGCCGCTGCCCTCTTACTTACAACGACGCAGACTATTCCACGTCTTGGGCATTTTCCTCTTCCTTAGCGGCTTCCTCCTGACACGCCTCGTGCTGGACCACAAGTCCGAATGCGCCGTACCTCCCACTCATCTGGCCTCGTCCTACACACCTGGCTCACCCATCGATGGCTGTTGGCATCCCAAATCCTTCGACAAGGCCGTCGTCATCATTGTCGACGCTCTTCGCTACGACTTCACCGTGCCCTGGTCGCCCAAGCACCCGCAGCAAGCCTCTCAACACTTCCACAATGCTCTGCCTATCTTCTGGGATACTGCCGTAGCCGAACCCGAGAATGCCTTCCTCCTGCCCTTCATCGCCGACCCGCCTACCACCACCCTGCAACGTCTCAAGGGGCTGACGACCGGCACTCTTCCCACTTTCATTGATGCTGGCTCCAACTTCGCAGGCACTGCAATTGAGGAGGACAACCTGGTCGCACAGCTCAAGGCTGCTGGCAAGAGGATAGTACACCTCGGTGATGACACATGGCATTCGCTCTTTCCTGGATACTTCGACCCTGAACTCACCAGAGCCTACGACTCCTTCAATGTCTGGGATCTGCACACGGTCGATAACGGCGTCAACCATCACATCTTCCCTCTCTTGCACTCTTCAAACACATCTTCTTGGGATGTCATCTTTGGACACTACCTAGGCGTCGACCACGCTGGCCATCGCTACGGTCCCGATCATCCTGCAATGGCCTCCAAGCTTCAGGACATGAACGCCGTATTTGAGAGGATGATCGCCGAGCTTGACGATCAGACCTTGCTAGTTGTCATGGGTGATCATGGTATGGACGCAAAAGGCGATCACGGTGGAGAGTCGGACGACGAAGTCGAAGCCGCTCTTTGGATGTACTCCAAGAAGGGCTTGTTTGGCCGTCGTGATAAATCCGCCGCGAAGCCTCCAATCACAGCCAAGGAGAGGCCGGTGGCTCAAATTGATCTGGTTCCTACTCTGTCTTTGCTTCTTGGTCTGCCCATCCCCTTCAACAACCTTGGTCGCCCAATTGAAGAGGCTTTTATTGGCAGAAAATCTGATGACTATCGAAATCTCGCTGAAGTAAGTCACTTGACTGCTGCACAAATCCACAGATACCAAAAGGAATACTCCGCCGTTCGCAAACTCGATTCGGCCTCTACACTGCCCCCTGAGACCCTCTGGGAGGCGGCCTCTAAGGTCTGGGATGAGCTTGAGAACACGAAGAAACCTTCTCTCAATCTCTGGAAAGCAGCCTACTCTCAGTTCGGTGCCTACCAACATGAGAATCTGCGTGTGTGCAAGAGTCTATGGGCCCGCTTCGATCTCGCCAGCATGGCGATGGGTATCATATTACTTTCTGGTGCACTTCTCACCATCGTCATCTTTGCGAACGGCTACAAAGGAGATCGTGGTGAGATCGCTTCTAGCCTCTGTATGCGTGGTGTGATCGGCATGGCCGTCGGAGCTGGCGCAGGCCTTCTCCTGACAGGACTGACTCCTGTCTCCTGGATCAATTCTGTCGCATTCTTCTCAGGAGCGAGTGGTATCCTAGGCACGCTCTCTTGCTTTGCATCTGCACCCTCGAAGCTCCGTGCCCCGTTACCCACCTCTTTTTGGGGCTGGATCTGCACAATTCCACCGGTACTCCTCTGCATCGGCTTCGCTTCCAACTCGTTCACCATTTGGGAAGACGAGATTCTGCTATACATGCTTTGCTCCATCGGCGCATTGATGCTTGCGTCTTCCTTGCGCCTACAGAACCCTCAGGAGCGTCTGCTCGGTTCTTGGCACTCGGTCTCGTTCATCGTTCTTACTCGGCTCGCATCTCTTTCTCGCCTCTGTCGTGAAGAACAGATGCCATTCTGCAGATCGACCTACTATGCTTCCGCGACTTCTTCGACCTCAGCTTGGTGGCAGCTTACCATCCCCTTCATCATTGCTGTTATCCTGCCAAGTGCCATACGCGACTTCTTCGCTCGTACGAAAAACTACCAAGGCACAGCTGTACTGTGGTTGAGTATCGCTTTCCGTGTGGGACTTGTCTTTTCTGCAAGCTACTGGATCCTTGATGCAGCTGATGACAACGAGTGGATCCCTCAGATCTCTAGCGAGAATCTGAAGACAATTCGTGTGTTCATCGCGCAAGCCATCCTAGGTATCGCTTGGGCTGCTGGTTACAGCGCGTACCTCTACTCTGCTCCTTTCCTGGGCGTCGAGACCGAGACACCAGCACCTGAGACGGAGCTCATGGATCCTACGGACCCCACTTCGGCCATGTTTACACCAGTCAAGCCACAACAGCGCAAGAAACTCATTATCCTTGGTTATGCCAACACTCACGGCACTAGATACTTCCTCTTGCCCACTATCTGGGCGCTGGTACTTCTCCTTCTCCAAAAGCCCATGGGTCAAGGTACGCTTGCGCTATGCTTGCTCAGCATTCTCAACCTGCTTGAGATCATCGATGCCAATGATTTGCGCAACTCTCCATTGGGACCTGTTACCTTGGCTCTGATGGCTGGCTTCTACTTTTTCAAGACGGGACATCAAGCCACGCTCTCCTCGATCCAGTGGGAATCCGCATTTATCCCGCTAAAGACCATCAAGTATCCTTGGTCGCCCATGTTGGTCATTATGAGCACATTTGCGCCGTACATCCTCTGTGCACTTGCTGTTCCGACAATCGCTTTCTGGAAGGTACCTCCCCGTACCCCGGGCCTGATTGATCAAGTCGCCAAGGCACTTGCTACTCATGTAGTCTTCTACGCTGCTATTGCTCTTGCGACTGTTGTTGAAGCAGCCTGGCTGCGTCGTCACTTGATGCTTTACCGCATCTTCATGCCCCGCATGTTGCTTGGTGTTGTAGTACTCGTAGTTGTGGAACTAGTTGGCGTTATCGTTGGTCTGATAGGTATCAGAAGCAGCATTCGCAGTGTAGCAGAGGTGTTTGGATGGGGTCCTCTGGTTGAGGCAACACCTGTCCAGGAGATTCGGCCTACCACTACCGAAGCAGTGGCTGAAACAGTGGCGGTCTCTGAGGAGACCAAGAAAGAATAGATCTCTGCATAGGGTTTTCATGAATCTGGGTGGGATATGACTCATATATAGACTTTAGCATACGCATTTTTGTTTTCAATTAGAGCAATCCGATTTTGAAGAACTTTATAAAAGTGCATGGCACATCTGTATATCATCGCGACACGAGAGACGACCATTAAGTCATTCAAGACCACCTTCGCTTACAAGGCCGATGAACTCGTCGAGGGTGCGTTCTAGATAATCGTAAGTCTATCTAAACTTGTCGTACGACTAATAGTTCAGCTATTACAAAAGCAGGAAGATATAGCAAATGCGCTTTCTAAAAGGGCAGAACTTTCTTGCCGCAATCAAGAAAAACATAATAAAGATTGCCAATAAGAAGCTTTTCTAGGTAATCTGCCTACTTCTACTTTTAGATTATCTTTCTCATATCTCTCTCATGCTGTATTCAAGCCATTCTGTTGATAACAGAGCTCACACATCAGCTCGTATCCAACAGCAGAACCATTCAAAATGACATAATGCTCGCGGGCCAACTTCTTCATCAGGCGCGACAAAGCCATCTGGCGCTTAAGCTCATAGTACACGCCCATGAACGCAAAAGCATCCACAATCTCAGTAGTCAAGATGATATTGCTGCGATCACTTCGATCAAGATTCCTGCATTGTTTAGGAATGGCTTGAAGCCATGCTCGCGGACGACATCTTGAGCGTACATAAGAGCGGTGTTGCGGTCGAGCATCGCGATCGCCTTCATGAGCCAGGCGTGGCGCTTGATGAGGCCGAAGCGAGGCAAGTCGGCGAAGAGCTCGGGCGGGTAGGTGTCTTCGATTTTCTCGACGTAGAGCTTGACTTGATCGATGAGGTCTTGAGCAGGGACGATGCGTTCAGTCAGGGGTGGAATGTTCTTTTCGTCTACAGCGATGGGAGGGCCGGCTCGCTTGAGGAATCGGCGGCGGGAAGGAGGAAACCGCGAGTGCCATCGTAAGCATTCTCAGCAGCGCAAAGCTTACAGTCGCAGCGGAAACCGTAATTTTGGAGTGCCATCTTGACTTCTTCGTACTTGCCATCGACATGCACATAGGCGAGGGTAGGTTCCGTATCCTTTGGAATGTCCTTTATGGATGTGCATCTGTGTTATGCCAACATTAGGCTCTCGGAAGTTTCGCTGTTAAATCTTCCACTTTATCGCACTATCAAGGCACGATGATTGGCAGAATTGTTACATTGATGGTCTTACTTTACTGAGAGCGCTCAAAGGGAGCTTGCAAGGAGGGTATGCTTGAGCCATGATGCTCTGGAAAACACCAAGTGTCTCCTTTCTCGATCTCGCAGCCTGCCCATGTGTCAGTATATGGATCATTCCAGACTCAGCAGCATGCCATACCTCAACCGTGAAGGCCGCAACCATCCATGCGCGAGTGCGATGGAAGTCCGGAAATTGAGAGCGCTTCTTGCCCTTTCTGGATGCAACAAGGGCATCTAAATCTCTTTTCATTGCGAGGGTGTGGGCGATTGCTAGATTCATTTTTGCTGCTGGTTGGAGAAGATTGAATGTGGAAATGTACGAGCGCAGGATCTGAGTTCTTACAACTATGTCAACTGGAGGCAACAACGAGTGAAAGTCTGGTGTTAGTAAGCTGCGAGCATCATCTTGATTGTGTTTCTGCATTGACTTACAAGCGGGTTGCTGCAGAGCAAACGGACAAGCTCCAAGCAGACGCAAGGGTAATACACGATTAGGCAGGTGCACTGCCTACGACCGATCTGATCCTGCGAGCGCCAGTCACAACCAACCATTTCCGAATTGGTCTCTATCGTGGGGTGCAACTTCTGTAAACGCAGGTCATTGCACTTGCCAGAACAAAAGAGCTTGCCAAAGAAGAGTGTAGTGATTGCTTCAGGAGGATTGAGAAAAGAGAGAAGGATAGAACCGCTATAAACACTTTCCATGCTTTTCCACTACCCTTTTGTAGTGAATGGTTTCTTAGATCCCTGTAGTTTCCCAGCCATGATTTCCCATTGTTCCATGCGCCATCAATCCTTGAAAAGCGTCTTTCTCATGTATTCTTTCGCCTCGAGTGTGTTACACAGTCGTGTCATTGTTCGTCCGCGAGGAATCACATCATGAGCGTTCTAGGCATCGAGTCCTGCTTTGAATCTCGAGGGCTGGTTTTTCGCGTCTTGCAAGCCCTTGCCGTCTTCCTAAGAGTCGCCGGCAAAGCTTGCACCACGACCTCTGGGTGCGTAGCCACCTCTAGGAGCAAAACCGCCACGTTGGCCACCACGAGAGTAGCCTCTGCCACGACCACGACCACGGAATCCGCCACGGTATCCGTTATCCACGTTGGCCTGGCCGAATGTTTCGAAGTTCTTCTTTCGCTCCTCGGTTCTGAACTCCATGCCTCCCATACGTCTTCCATCATCTTGAGCTGCCTGTCTGTCCTTGAGCTCGGATGAGATGTTGTCAAAGAACGAGCTTGACTTGTTATAAGTCGCGCCAGGAATCACCACCTCACGCTCGGCTTGGGGAGCCTCAAAACCGTTGGAAGCCTCGTTCTGGGCCTGCTGAGGCTCGTCGGCGGTAGGTGTACCCAAGGGAGAGCCCGTAGCGATGGCCTCTTTTACCATATCCTGCTTGTTGAACTTGGCGTTGCTGGTCTCGAAATCGAAATCTGCCGATGGTACCTCGACTGGCTTGACGAGATCACGGTTGCTGGGACGTCTTCCGCCATGACCTCCACGATGTCCAGGAGCGAAGCCACCAGGGGCAGGCTGGCGTGGGTGTCTTGTTCTGTCGTCAGTGCGCATGTCACCAACGCGCTTTGTCAAGTTGTCGATACCTGCGTCAGCAGGAGCAGCGGATGAAACAGGAAGCTTCGCCATAGCAGCAGCCACTGCAGCAGCTGCAGTTTGAGTAGCGGTCTGTTGTTGTTGAGCAAGGTTGCTAGGTGCGTTGCCAGGCTTGGCGTGCAAAGGAACCAAAGGAACGGCGACGCGAGTGTTCTTGGGACCAGTGGGGGGCTTCGATTGCGACTGAGCAGGTGCGGTGGCGGCAGCTACATCAGGCTTTGAGTCGACAGGAGGAGGTGGCGCGGTAGCTTCGGTGCCTTGCGTCTTGTTTGCGGAAGACGTGGGCTTCTGTTCAGGGATCTTGGGAGGGAAGGCGGCATTGTCTTGGGCCGATTCAGTCTGCTGCTTAGCAGGAGCCGAGGGTGCTTGAGTCTCGGGGGATCTCTGTTGCTGAGCCTGAGGCTGTTGTTGCTGTTGTTGTTGCTGTTGCTGCTGACCAGGGGGGCCAATAGGCTGAGGAGGGAAGTGTCCAGGAGGACCTTGAGGACCCTGAGGACCCTGGGGAAAGCCCTGTCCAGGAGGAGGGAACCAGCCGGGAGGAGGAGGACCGTAGAATTGCGGAGGAGCGCCGGGGAAGCCATGAGGACCTGCTGGGGGACCGAAGCGGGAGTTGGCCTGGGGCGGAGGAGGGTATCCATATGGAGGGAAAGGTGGGGGTTGTTGAGGACCCTGGGGGCCCTGGGGGCCGCGCCACTGCTGCTGTTGTTGCTGCTGGTTGGGTTGGGGGAAAGCGCCCTGAGGGCCGGCTGGTGGTGCTTGGGGAGCGCCAGGTGCGCCGTGAGGTCTTGCGGCCTGGACGAATCAATGTTAGCTTTGACTCTGGTAGGATTGGGTGAGGGTCGAGCGAGGTTGTATGGGCTCAGAAGGAAGGCAACGGAAAAGGTCCACATGGTTTTGCGCTCTTGGACAATGACAAGAAGTTTACATCCGGAATGTTGCATCATAGCGATTACGGCTAGGTCGAGCTGGAGAGATTGACTTACACCGAGGATAGCGGGGTCATTGGGCATCTGAGGAGGCTGAGGCTTGTTCTCCTTGGGAGGCTCGACAATGGTCAGGTCCTTGACATCGCTACCACGGAAGACAATGTAGTCGTAGATCTGGTCATTGGGCGGGATCTCGTCGTCGGGGTTGCCGCGACGGCCTTCGGTACCGAATGACTTGACATTTTCCAAGGCGACTGTCGAGTTCTCCGAGTTGATCTCGTGTAGTGTTCCGACGTATCTGCGCAGTCGGCGGTCAGCCTGTTTCTGTGATTGATCGGCCAACTATCCACCTCGAAGCACTCACTTGATGTCGCTCTTGGAGATGAGGGAGATGCACGATCTGTCCTCAGTGTTAGCTAGCTTGCTACACGACAGGACTCGATTGACCGAGCGGCGCACCCGATGAATTCGGACATGGTGTATGAATGGACGATCCGAGCTTTGTATTCAGGCGGAACGGAATAATGCAGAGAGAGAAGAAGTTGGCTGCTTGTAGACAAAACAGGAGAATAGCGACGAGCACCAACTCACTTCCAGCTGCGTCGCAACAATGATGCTCGCGGGCGCTTGGACCATGCGCTCTATCACTTTGCTTCTCCACCCCTAGGTACCTACGTATACACTCACAGACGACCTCATGGCCGAAATGCAATCGTCAACGGATACTACTACTGTGTTCCAGAGGCTGGATGGATACGACTGGGATCATGACAATGAATTTCAAGCTGCTCTAAGTTCGATTTTGAGATCCGCTTCCACACCGGAGCAGACCGCGCATTTGACCGTGAGAGCCCGCTGCTACTATTACACAAGGTATCACATGTTGAAGGCGCCGTCTGTTTGGCTCGTCTCTTACGTCTGGTGGTAGGAAGTTCAGGACGCCTGTCAACTTCGAGGCCTATCAACAATGGCTTCAATCTCAAAATGATTCTGATCCTGAACCACAGCCTGCAGCATCATCCGAAGTAGCTCATCCTCCTTCCATGGGAGAGGCTCCTCCTCCAGCCTCCTTTGCAGAGATCTGTGCACTCATTGCGGAAGGTAAACCAATCCCCGGTATCAAAGATATTCCCGATACCGTTCTGGAGGGTCAAGGTACTCAAGCACAAGCACCTCGACGTAAGAAGCCGTGGGAGAAGGATGCACCTGCTGCACCGACTCCATGCTGGGCAACAAGCAACTAGATGGCCTCTTGCGCGAAGAACCATTCATTATCACACAATCACGCACACTACAAAACATCATTCAAGAATATCTCGGAACGGGCTTCGTATATGCATGTCCCTCAAACCAATATTTAAAGCTATGTCATTTACTTATTCACAGCAAAGCGTCCAGCACTTTGTCCTGCAGCCTGTTCAGCTGCCCCTTCATGAGTCTGACGCCGAATTCTAGAGCCATGTACTTTTCCTTGTAGTCAATCTCTGACTCCTTCATCTCCCTGACTTCTTTGATCATTTCATGCGCTCGAGCTTCTGCATCGTTGGGATCGACCTGCTGCTGACCGATCTCAAGCCCAACGACACAAAACTTTCCTCCCACTCCGCCAAATCCGGCAGACCAAGTGACATCAAATTTCTCTCTGACCATCTCAGCATGTTCATTTGGCCCAATCGGTTCTTCCAGACCATGCTCTCGTATCGCGAACCGCTGTACGGTAATTTCTTTCTCTTTGCACGGAGTTGCAGATGCAAAGCCCAGTTGTCGAGAGACTCCAAGCCAGCTGGTCGCCGCTATACGCAAAGCATCATCACTTTTGTTATCCGAATCTGCTTTTGGTACGTTGAATCGTTGGAGTATCGCATCGGATAATCTCATCGCTTCTGGGCCCAATAATCTGTTTGGTCTTCCGGACAAGTCTGCACGTAGAAGATCATGGGCGAGTACTCGCTTCAGAGCTTCGTACGCAAGTCCTACTTCGGGCTCAGGGTTGTGACTCTGATGGGCGGCGGGCGTTTGTGAGACATGCCGGCTTCCCGATTGCGACCAGTCAGATGCTGCCGGCTTTGTGTCGATATACATCAAGTCCTCTGATGATCGATCAAATTCGTCATGTTCAGGCACTGATGGTGTAACAGGTAGGATTGGCCCACCGGTACTTTCTGGCACTGTCAAAGATAGACGCCCACGCTCTGGTCGACGGGGAACATCTGCGTCAGAAGGTTTGGAAATCTGGAACACTGGTTTGTGCAATGGTTTTGTATAAGCATTTGGCCGTAGCAGATGTGACTCGGTATCGTACGGCATCAACGATACAGCTGGAGTGCTCCTTTGGGAGGTTGACCTTTCCGCATTCGGATCTGCTGGAAATGTGGTATATGGTCCATCCTGAACTGATCGGTTACCGGGTGGCCGACCTCTGGCTCGAGCATTTGCAGCAGCAGCGTTGTTCCAAGCAGAAGAAACCGCAGGACCATGCTTTCGTCGAGATCGGGCGCGAGATGATCCAGGGGTTATGGCCGACATTGGCTCATCGTATGCCGATAGACCAGGTGCCCTGGGCTCGAGGGCTGACATCGGATGCGGCGTGAGCGGGGTGTCGTTAGAACCCTCCAAGTGCCATTGAAGATGATTCGAAGGCCGGGCAGCTATGGCAGAATGTGGGACTGTTCTCTTTGGTACTGCACTGGTAGTCGACGTGGACGCCCACATGTCGTTCGTAAAGTTCTCCCCAGGCCTAGCACTCAATGGAATCGCAGATGCGGTATAAGACGCCTGCGGTTGCGCATACAGCGTTTGTCCCTCGAACGAGAATGACGTCGTAAGCAATGGCTTCTTTGGGGGGACTGGATCTTTCTCAGGCGTCTCGTTTCTCTTCCTGCCCCTTTTGGGACGGAAGGAAGGGTCCAAGGCTCTGATGGCAAGATCTTCGTCAGCCGGAACACCATCTCTACCTCGAGCAGGGTGAGGGTCGTGCGGTGGGGGCAGATCTAGGTAGTAAGTGTGTTTCTTTCCAAGCAGGTACTCGAAGAAGGCGTCGACATGCATTGCACGCATCCAGCGCTAGACGAGAGTAAGTCGGAGGAAATATTGGAAAGTCGACATCATCACGGACCTTCAGTCTGACAGAATACTGCTGCACCTTCTGAACACTGCCACCTTTTTCTACTGACGGAGGCTCAACTCCCAGTTCTAGAGCTAGTTGAGTCCATGTTTTGATCTCTTTGCTGTCGAACCTTCGAATGAGCTCCCACAGCGTGAATATACTGAAGTCCTTTCCATCGCTACGAGGCGGTGTTTGGAAAATGCGTTTCAGGTCAGAGGTATCGATATCCAAGGGGAAGTACGGATTACAATAAAGAATGAAAGTAGCATACACGTCGGCTATGTTTTCTTCCGACACATCGCGTTGAGGCAGAGCACGTTGCATAAGCGGTGCCGACGAACGAGTAGGCAGGGCTACAATGTGTCTTGGAGATGCAGAAGTTGAGTCATGTGGCAGATCGCTATCAGCAGCACCCGTGAAGAGCGAATTGGGTGTCGCGTTGGCTGACTCCATGTCATAATCATGACGGAGACTGTCTTTATGGACATCAGATGAGGCCGGAGAGCTGCCAGCGCTCTCCATGAGGTCCTCCGACATGTCTCTATGCGCCATCTTCACTCTTTGTTACGATATCTTCGCCGAGTCGCGGCAGAGCTTGAAGCAGCTCCGAGCTCGGATTGTAGCTGCTAGGAGTGTCGCGTACCCGAAGGTCGCCGGGCGCCCAGGGGCCGAGGAAGACGTGCAAGAAAACCGACGTCGAGGCCGAGGGTGAAGTAATGGACACTGGCTTCCGGTTTCTAGACGTGACGTCTAACTTAGTCGGCTTTTGCGGTTTGCGAGAGGTCGAATAACGGGTCAATTGACTGATTCTGGCCGTCGATGATCTCGAGAAAAGGGGGAATGCGAGATATGCAGTCAAAAGTCGTGGCTGATTTTGCTCCTTCTCGCCCTAAACACTGATTACATGCATGCGCGACACTCAAACACAATTATGTTGTTCAATCTTAGATTCTTACAGCCGTACCATAAAGATCATATGATCATTCTCTGGATCCATGGAGATCTTCGAGCTCCGGAACATCTCAGAGCATCTCAAGACCCTTCTCTCCGGCCAAAGAAGACTTAACAGTCTATTGACAGGAGTTCTGTCAAGACCCTGAGCAGTTGCCGATCGCGTTCACATGTGGGGAATGCCAACCTCGGCTCCTTGATCCTCTCAAAGGTAAAAGCTACACCTGACGCACCTGGATACAATAACTTGATTCAGGCATAAGAGCTTTCCTTTCTTCCATCCTCCCCTATCCAATTCTCGAAACAGTGCTGTAGCTCTCACGAAACATCCACGATACATTTTTTTTTGTTCTTTACTAGAACCAGCAGCTGCTCTTGAACACTTACGCCTCTGCTACAATCACTTTCACCTTTGATCATGTCTCAATCCATTGCTGTCAAGGACGAGCTGCAGAAGTCGACGGCCACTGCTCCTCCAGATGCTCTCGCACAGCAATCTGATAATGTCGCCCACGCTCTGGCTGGCTCAGGTGGTGGTCTCATTTCCATGGCACTGACATATCCTCTGATCACCTTGTCAACACGCGCCCAGGTCGAGTCCAAGAAGGCCGACACCAACGTCCTTGAGGCAGCTCGCAAAATCGTCGCACGCGAAGGTGTTCGTGGCCTGTATGCCGGTCTCGAATCTGCTCTTTTCGGTATCAGCGTCACCAACTTTGTTTACTACTACTGGTACGAGTGGACCCGTGCTGCATTCATCAAGGCCGCAAAGACAGCCAACCGCCCCAACCCCAGCAAGCTCAGCACTGTGGAGAGCATGCTCGCCGGTGCTCTTGCCGGAAGTGCAACCGTGCTTCTTACCAACCCTATCTGGGTAGTCAACACCCGCATGACTGCTCGCAAGAACGAGAGCGATGAGACTGCCCTCCCTACCGAGGCAACCAGTTCCAACCCCAAGAAGAGACTGAGCCCGAGCACCATCGGCACACTTCTGTCCATCATCAAGGACGAGGGCTTCATGAGACTGTTTGCAGGTGTCTTGCCTGCTCTCGTGCTCGTCATCAACCCCATCCTTCAGTACACCATCTTCGAGCAGCTGAAGCAGTCTCTCGAGAAGCGTCGTCGCGTCACACCCAAGGACAGCTTCTACCTTGGTGCTTTGGGCAAGCTGGCAGCCACCAGCATCACCTACCCTTACATCACAGTCAAGTCCAGAGCCCACGTTGCTAGTGGAGAAAAGGAGGGCATGTTCGACAGCTTCTCCCGCATCCTGCGCGAGGAGGGCTGGGCCGGTCTCTACGGAGGTAAGATATGATGATGAATCCAAGCCTTGTAATACGATACTAACGTTCTTCAGGTATTGGTCCCAAGGTCACCCAGAGTGTCATCACTGCTGCATTCCTATTCGCCTTCAAGGACGCTCTTTACAATGCAACCATCAAGGCTCGCAGAAGCATCGCCCAGAAGGCATAAATAACTCGCCACTAAAGTAGCATGTCAAAGACACCGGAAGCACGAAGCAGACAAGCAAGGCACCGGAAGTGGAGACGATAGCAGCAAACTTGCATGATGAAAGTCACGAGTTGAAGAAGTTGATGGATGATGAGACGAGGAAGAAGAAGCAGAAGAAGCCGCGCAAAGTAGTTTGGTCACAATCATGGAGTTTCACAGTTTTTTTATGCTCTTTTGTAAATATACTTACCAATTTCGAATTCAGTCCCTCGATCTCGTCGCCCAAAACAAATCCCCCTTGACATCATCCCAATCCCTCTCACAAGCCACCACAGCCACAAAACTAGCCTTACTACCACTCAAACTAAATGACTTCAGAAAAAAACACCACGATCCACCAAGCTCGCAAAATCGACGACGAGTTGTTCGCTTGTGCGAGTGGAGAATTTGCGCCATGGTACAAAAGTGCTCGGGGCGTACATGTTGTGGTATATCATATCGACTTCGTGGAGTTGGCCGGTGGGGCTTTCGTCGTCGGATGCTTTATAGATAGTGTTAGTTTCGTCTTTCGGTGGAAGTGGAGACTGAGGGACATTTACAATCGATATCGATGGGATTGGCGATATAAGACATGATTTTTATGACGATTTATTTGGTCGAGGGATTTTGATGGCCGTGAGGGTGGAAGGATTGCGACCGGGCCGCCCTGCTGATTTTCAAGACTGACGAAAAGATAGCGTTAGACAGGCAGGATCACTTCATAAGTTCAATCAAATTCGCAATGGTGCCTGCTCTGCCATGGCCGGGGGTTGCGATGTAAGTTGGACGTATTAGCGTCAAGTGGAAACTCGGTTGATTGGTGGTTGATACGAGCAGATGCAAATGCTAAATTTTGTATATAATAGAAAGAACATATTGATCTCAACGTGATGTCCAGCGTGATCTTCGGACTATGCGCGCGATTTACTTTCTCTTTCTAGAAGCACCAGCTTTGCTCTGAGCACCAGAGGTGGAAGCCTCGGTTTTGACGGGAGCAGCATCCTCTCCGGGTGCAGACTTTAGAGGCTGGTTGGCCTTCTTCTCCTCAACTTCTTCATCGTCGCCACCCTGTCCGAACTCGTTAACACGAGTGTGGTCGACCTTGTAGGCCCAGGCCTGATACAAGTATACGAAGAAAATAACATCATCGCGCAATGTCGCAAGACGATGGAGTGTAGGCATCTTGATGGTGAAAGCGAACAGATCATCAATGAAGGTATTGAGGAACTTGTAGGTCATGGCCTTTGCAGGCATGTGTGCAACACTCTTCAAGCGGTAGTTGATGTACAAGCTGGGGACCATCATGAGAAATCCGTAAGCATAGACAGAGCCAACCAAGGTGGCAATGACGAAACTGTACCAGCTCTTGTGAGTATCGTAGACGAGCGAGTATCCAGCGTAGGCCAGAAGAAGCGGTACTGCAACCATGTAGAGGTAGCGGAAAGCGATCTCATCGTATTCTTGCGTCTTCTTCTCAACGTCGGAAAGCTTGTGCTTGTCCTCGAAGACAACGCGGTAGGGGATCAAAGAGCCCTCAGGAGCAGCACGCACACGTACATCGACAGCCTTGGTCACCTTCCAGGCCTCGATGGCAATGCCCATACCTTGTCCGAAAAGGATCATCCAGGAAGTGTTCTCATTGTTGTCCATCAAATACAAGAAAATGACACTCTGCATGAAAACGTTGGCGAGAATGGTGCGGACGGAAGTTCCGATGTTGTCCTTCTTCTTGCGCCAATGGCTGACATCGTTCTTGAAGGCCAGCATTTCAAAGATCATGTGCAAGATACTGACGAATCCAGTGATACCAAGAAGGTACATGTTTGTGTCAAGAAGAACTTCCTTGATCATCTCGAGCTCACTACCATCACCGCCGCCGGGGGTAGTCTCTCCACGAGCAATTTTTCTGGCATTCTCCTTCATACCTTCATCCATGGATGCCATGACGCTGAATTTCCAGTTGGGGTCGGTCTGCAGATCGAGATTGAGAGGCATCTTGGTGACAGTCGAGTTGAGCTCGGTCATCTGGGAACGAAGCTGCCAGAAGGTGTTCAGGTAGAGAACAGGATAGTACCAAGCGTTTTGGCCAGACTCATCGCGAGCACCAGTCGTTTCCAGAGAGACAAATTGGCGCATAGCAGGGTGCATCTGGGGGTAGACGGGTGTTCCGAGGTTGGGAATGATGGATAGCGTAATATTGGGGTGGTAGTAGTTGGAGACGGTGGGACCCGCGGACTCCTCCTCCACAGCCTCATCGGCCTCGGAAGAGTCGAGCAGGTTGCGAGTCTTGTGGACCTTCTTCTTGGCCAGGTAGTTTGTCAGAGGTCGAGTAACGCGGTAAGCCTTGAAGGAGTCATAGCCAGGCAAGGTGGGATCCATGACGCTGCCTGACTGGGAGATGTAGATGTGTGCCCAAAGGGTTCCATTCTCTTGTACCGACTGAGGAATGTCAATGGTAGTATGAACCTGACGCTTGTCGGACCAGTCTCCGTAATGGTAGTTGCGCTCCTGAAGGACCAGAGACTCGGCGGGCATTTGGCTAAGGGCTGGCATGGCGAAGGAGGGCGAGACATAGACGTTGACGTCCATAGAGGTGTTCTGCTGCCAAAGAGGCATGATCATGTTGGGGATGGCACTGTAAGACGAGCCGGTAGCCTGCTGGCCGGTGCCAGTGGCCACACTGGGGATCGGGGCGTTGTCGAGCTTCTTTTGCTGCGAAACTCCTCCGGTGACTTGCTTGATGGCAAAGTTGACGAACATGAACATGCCAACTGTCTGGGCGACCGACTTTGCGGTTTTCTGGTAATCGTCAGTCGGCAATCAAACTGTGGGTAGATGAACATCTGCTGACCACCCAATCGGTGCCCTGAGCGGGCTGCTGCTGTACTGCAGACATGATTGCGGCGAGTCTTTGTTTCGGACACTTTTACAAGTAACGACGAAAGACGCCTGCGAGCAAGTGGTGGAAATATCTGTCCTCAAGCCACTCTCAACTCTCAACCCTGCGCCCTCCACCCTCCACCCTCGAGCTCCGACCTCCGCGTTTATATCATGGAGGCCCGAGCGCCTCTTTCCTTATCGGCTGCTTATCGCGTACGTCTATTCGAACGAATGCGGCGGCCGCTTGTTTCAGGCTGTCAGATGCAGCTTGACAACGAGTGGACTTCTGACTCGTCTGGCAAGTCTTTTGTCGACTACAGCCCTTGGACGCACACAGAGTTCATCTCGCTCCTTGTACAAGCATTTGCAGTGAGCTCTTCCCATCTGCCTTCTTTGTGGAGGTTTTACAAGTGAGCACGTGTCGGTGCTTTGTCGAAAGGCAAGTGACCGGAGCCGGAACGTCATTAGGACCCTAGTGGAAATACTCCCGTTGCTGCCTCTATTCGACCAACACGACAACACCTACTATCTCTGGGTTCTGGGGACCCGTGTCGCTTTTACCCTGTGGACTCTGGCCTGATCTTCCGTCTTTTGTGTTTCAAGTCGAGGCCAACCGTCGCTTCTTATCGCCGAAGCCGTCGTCGAGGGCGGACAAGATCGACTTGAGCAACTTCCCATCTCCTTCGGACCTAAGCTCTTAGCCATCCACTTTACCTCACTGCATATCACATCACCACACACCGAGCGGCCTCACTTGGTTGCCGCTACCGCCTGTCATGTTCTCAGAATGTAAGTCCCTCGAGGCGAACTGTCGATAGCTGGAGGCGCGTGACTGACACAGCTACTCGCCCTCCAGATGCCTCGCGCTTCCTGGCGCAATCTCAGAGCCGTCTGTCCTTCACACAGCACGAGCCGGATCCACGCTCTCGAAATCCACTCGACCGTAGGCGTCAACCTGCGACGTCTTCTCGCTACGTCCAGCGTGCCTCAATGCCGACTCCCTACCAACCCTCCGCCTCATATCTATCTCGCTTTCCATTCGCTTCAAGACCACGAAATGAGACGGAGATGCCGTTGTTCAGTCCCGCAGAGGGTTTCGATCAGGAAGACGAAGAGACACAGCATGAGCGTGACATGGCCGATTACCTGGCATTACAAAAGTCTCGTCGCAACTTCATCCCTAGCCACCTCAACGACTCGTCCGAGATCGAGGACCACAACCTCGAATCCTCGAATCTCGCTTCACGAGAAAGTCTTTCGGCTTCAAGACCGAGGTCGGCCATGGTAGACGTCGAGCTTGCTTCTACCGACAACGACGATGGATATTCGGATTTCGACAGCATCGACAGAGAGCTTGATGCTCGCCCTCCAGCTTTTCAAATGTTTCAACCCGCTGTACCTCCCCCACATTCCACCTTCTTGCCACAACAAACAGATCCAGAGATAGCTTTTGCTCATCCGAGGCCCCCCAGTCCGGACGGGGATAGTGTGCCGCCGACTGTGATCCTCCCGGCCCCTGAGCCACCACGACATGATCTGTTTTGGGCCCAGCTGTACAAGATTTGTGTCTTTGCCATGTTCGCAACCTTCATATTGGTCTGGTTCCATACTTCGACGCCGAACTCCAAGAGACCTTTGGGCGACACCATCTATTCTACCCTGACATCCTCCATCAATCTTCTGCTCTGGGATACAGTCATCACTGTCATTGTTGCAATGCTTTGGCTGGCTCTGCTCCGCGAGTACGTGAGGGTGCTTGTCTTCCTCATGCTCGTTTCGGTTCCTGTCATTCTGTTCTCCTTCTCGCTATATCCATTTATATCGAGCTACAAGGGAGCTTGGCATGGAAACAGTGTCCAGGACAAAGTCATGCGTTGGTTTTCCTTCGTCCCAACAGTCATTGCATGTGTCTGGGTCTATTCGGTCTACAAGGGACGCCACTCGCTGGGAAAAGCAATCGGCATCCTTGAATTTGCATGTCGCATCGTTACCGCATCGCCGAGTCTGACATTGCTAGGATTTGGTACACTTGGCGTGGTAGTTTGCTTCACTTGGATCTGGATGGGTATGTTCACGCGACTATTCTTAGGTGGCCACATGTCGAAACTTCAGACCTTCATCATCGATCTTAACACGTGGTGGTTGGGCTTCTTCTTCGCCATGATCTACCTTTGGACATTGGGTGTCATTGCAGGTGTACAAAGGGCCACGACTGCTGCCACCGTCTCACAGTGGTACTTTCATCGGCTGAGTGTACCTGCACCATCCTCAACAACGGTTGTGCGCGCCTCGTTCATGCATGCAGCTGGTCCGATGCTCGGAACGATTTGCCTGTCGACTTTCCTATCGCTGCTCATTCGCTTGCCACTGATCATCCTTCCTCGACGCATCGCTAGCCTGGTCACACTTTGCGCTTTTTCCATGGTCCCAACTTCGCTCGCTGCTCTCACCAATCCGCTGACCCTCACATATGCCGCCATCCACTCACAATCCCTCAGCATCAGTGCCAGGGGATTATCTCAGCTACACTTTGTGTCCAACACATCGCCTACGACGACTCTCAACCCTTCTGTCTTCGCCAATCACCCAGGCTCTGGAGGTACAATGATGCCGTACCGCCTGGCCAAGCTTCTTTTACACGCGACTCGATTTATCATGTCTTTCGCACTGGGCTTCGGCGGGTGGGTGTCGACTGCACGTAATGTTCAACTAGCGGGCGGTGGCTTCAAGGGCAGTCTCTATGCCTACATCGTCGGTCTGATAGCAGCTACAATCGGATGGGCTGTCTTGGGAGCCATCGAAGGAGTCATTGGCGGTGTCGTCGACGCAGGTGTGGTCTGCTGGGCTAGTGAGACTGGCGGCAGAGGTGGAGCAAGCGAGGCGAAATACTGCCGTGAGGCGGGCGAGCTCTTTGGTGAGGGAGATTATTAGTCTTCCTGATCCACAACATGAGCAGCCGCCTCTTTTTTCTTCTTTCATTCTCTCTTTGTCGGTATTGCTGGATAGCTGCCCTGGCGTCTTTTCTTTCTTTCTTTTGGATGGCACACGATACCCCAGCCAGTTCTGCTTACAAGGGGCATCTACGGATCACAAGGGGGTGTTTCTTCTTGTCTAGGCAGTCCTTCTGGTTCTCTTTGCGGGCTTTTTTCTTCTTTCGTGGCGGGTGAAATACGCTAAGGGGGTTCAACATTATACAGGCAACACACTTTCTTCAGATTTTTCACCTCGTGGTTTGATCCGTGACTTTGAATGATTCTTGTTTAGTTACAGACTGCGGAGGATGAAGAATGATTTAGATTTTCCCCTCTTACGTTTGCGGTTTCCTTCTTCCCCTTTCTTCTCTACCCTATAAAACGCCTTGAGCTATGCATTGTTCATGTTTGTAAAAAGCAAATCCCCCTCATCTCATCCCAAAAATCGTGCCGTCGTATGAAGAAAAGGGTCTTCCCTTCCATGTATCTGAGTCACGCTCAACCAAGTGTCTGGCCAGGGCCCCAGGGGGAAGGAATGGGATTCTTGGGTCCCTTTGTCGCTTTCGGAGCTTGGATCTCCAGACCAGCCTGGACCATGTTGATCCTGTGCAACTTCAGACGAAGCAGATGCTCGATTTCGTCGGCAGTGTCCATGACGCCTTGCTGGGCATCGGCGCGAGAATTCTTAGGAGGTGCGATGAGCAGTTGGTCGACCGTGTCAATTCTGGCGTCCAGGATACCACGCTGAATCATGTCGACAAGCTCTGACTCCATCATCTGAGATGTACCGCCAGGTCTAGGGAAAGCTTCGGTCAGGGCGGAGAGTGTGACTTGAGAGAAGGGAACGAAGTATTGAACAATGCTCTTGCTGCGGATGAGGTGATAAAGCATAGCGATGTGGGGACCGAGGAAGATGTCGAGCAGGTAGTCTGTACGGTATGCTTCGAGAATCTCGAGACACTGGCTGTACTTTGCGCCGCAGAAGAAGGAGATGGCGCGACGGATGTGCGGCTCAAGTTCGAGAAAGTTGCGGAAGTTTGCGTTTTCGAGAACGGAATCTTGGAGTTGTTGACGGTCCATGGAGGCCAGAGCACAAAGACCGCCATAGACTGCTATGTCGTTGGCGGTCATGACGGCGCGGGAAAAGTCGATGTTTGCTACGGGGCCGACGGTGGCATACGAGGGATCGACGGCCAGGAATGCGTGAGCAGCGGAGGCGTAATTGGCAGAGCCGAGGTAGCCCAGGCCAGTGCATGCCTGGGCGACAGAATCGAAGCGTGGCTTGTCCTCTGGACGGAGCATCAATGAGCGAGCCTTCTGTGCGGTCGAGACAGTCGAGATCCAGTTAGGAGACACAATGTTGATGTAGGCCAGCTTGAGAGTCATCTCAGCAATGTGCTTGGGAGTGGTGCAGAACTCGCGCATCTTGTGGTAAGCCTTGGTGGCCTGGTCCAGCTTGTTCATGTTGAGGTAGTGAGTGCCCAAGTCTTCCTGGCCCATTCTGATGCTTTCCTTGATAAGGTTGTTCTTGTAGCCGCGCAACTCATGTTCTAGACGTTCGGTCTCGTGCTCGTTCAGCTTGTTCGTCTTCTCGGCCCATGCAGTGTCGACGTTGGCCAGTTCATCGTTGGGGCTGAGCGAGTGGAGTAGCTTTGCGAGGTCGAGATACTGCTGGGTGTCCTTTGCAGTCTTGGAGGCGGGTATGGCTAGGCGGAGGGCATCGAGTGCGAGCGGTGGGCAGAGGTGGGCAATGTTCTTCAAGCGGCTCACTCTTGTGTGTTCTGTCAATTCTAGCGTCAGCTGAGGCGAGCGTGGTGATGCGGACAAGCCAACATACGATCGTAGTTGGCGGCGTAGCTCTCCAGGTCGAACTTCGGCGTGTCTGAGACGACGAGAGCGCCGTTCGTTCTTCTGTCAGCAAAGAACTGACTGTTCTCTACTGCTTGCGCCATGACGAATGTTGTGAGAGGGCTGTTTGGTGCGTTTGGCACAGCGTCTGGTCGACGATGACGGATGCATCGATTCTGCCAGTGATGCGATCGGGCCCGAGCTCACCGACTCACCGTCCTGAGAGTTGCACCTGCCGAATAGCCGCCCTCTCTCCGCGCGCTTCTTTTGGTTGCGCAAATGCACTCACATGTTCGAGGGCTATGCGCACCTCTTCTCGTCAATTGCCGTCCATTGCGCACAATCGCCATGTTCGGCACCCCCGGAAAAGCCAAAGACGTGCCCGCATTCGCCGGACGAGATACTCGGCTGAAGTTCATCGCATGGGCTGCCGCTGAGTCGCCGTACCCCGGCCCGAGTTGGCCTTGTCATAGCATTCAAGTTTTTCCCCCAAGCACGAGATTGATCCCTGTCTCATCTGTCATCCGACACAATCCTCCATCGCTATCGTGTCTCTCGCTTGCTTGGGTTGAGGCTCCCACATCTCTCCACTCTATTCTTCCTGCCCGTTGTCGTAGTCGTATACCAGGATCGCTGTCTCAACCGTGCGTCCCCCGGGATCCTTCTAGGAGTGACGCCGAATTCGCTGCCCGCGCTCCAGCTGTCATCGTCCATCTATACCGAAGTGCTCTCTGTCGAGATAACTTCCCGTAGCCATGGCTTCCACTTCCGCAACTCTCAAGGAGACGGTCAAGGAGACTCTGCTCGGTGTTGAAGATGAGCCGCAGCTCTCGTCCCAGACGCGTGCTGAGTTTATGCAACATGCCAAAAATGACCCAGAGTCTGGAGAACACTACATGGGTCAAGAGGAGTTCGTCAATGCCATTGCTCCCGAGACCGAAGACTACGTGCGCACCTTTATACCTCAAACATATACCTGCTAGTCGTGCTAACAAGACCTAGCACAAAATCAAGCGCTCGCAGTACGCTGTTCTTTTCTCCATCGCCGACCGCCGCAAGACTGGTCGCGTAACCCTCTCCGACTGGGCCACCTTCAACAACCTTCTAGCGAAGCCCGACGCCGAGTACGAGATCGCCTTCCGTCTCTTCTGCGACCCCAACACTGGCGTTGTTGACTTCAACTCTTTCAAGGAGGCTTACGCTCGCAACCGCTCTCCAGAGAACGTTCCCTTCGACTGGAACTCAACGTGGGCTTCTCTGTACGTTGGCGACCGTAAGAACAGACATAGTATGACATACCCTCAGTTCGCCCAGATGCTGCGTGGTCTCCAAGGAGAAAGAATCAGACAAGCTTTCCACCACTTCGACAAGAACGGCGACGGCTACATTGACCCCGAGGAGTTCGAGCGCATCATCCGTGAGACTGCTTCGCACAAGCTGTCCGATCATCTTCTTTCGAATCTTCAGACTCTGTGCAACATCTCACCTGGCAGCCATATCTCATACGCCAACGTGCGCGCATTCCAGAACATCATCCGTGACATGGACCTCGTCGAGCTGGTCATCCGTAACGCGGTTGGCAAGACAGACGACGGCAAGATCACTCGCACAGACTTCCTGAATGAGGCCGCTCGCATCACTCGCTTCTCATTGTTCACCCCCATGGAAGCTGACATTCTTTTCCACTTTGCCAGCTTGGATCAACCTTCTGGCCGTCTTGGTGTCTCCGATTTCGCACGCGTCCTTGATGCTTCATGGGCTTCCCATCACACAGTCTACGGTGCCGCTACCGGCGCAGCCGCTGACACCGCCGCCGCTGTCGTCGCCAAGTCAAAGTCGTTCCTCCACGATGCTCTCGTGTCCATACATCACTTTGCGCTTGGTTCTGTGGCTGGTGCGTTTGGTGCTTTCATGGTCTATCCCATCGACCTGGTCAAGACCCGTATGCAAAACCAGCGCAAGGCTCGCGTTGGTCAACTTCTCTACAAGAACTCGCTCGATTGTGCCACAAAGGTCATTCGTAACGAGGGGTTCAGAGGCTTGTACTCGGGTGTCTTGCCCCAACTTGTCGGCGTGGCTCCTGAGAAGGCTATCAAGCTGACCATCAACGACCTGGTCAGAGGTAAAGCTTCGGACCCTGTGACCGGGGATATCAAGTTGACTTGGGAAATCATCGCTGGTGGTTCTGCTGGTGCTTGTCAGGTCATCTTCACAAACCCTCTCGAGATTGTCAAGATTCGTCTGCAAATCCAGGGTGAGGTCGCCAAGTCACAGAAAGCAGTCGAGAAGAGAAGTGCCATGTGGATCGTGCGTAACCTTGGTTTGGTCGGTCTCTACAAGGGTGCCAGCGCCTGTTTATTGCGCGATGTCCCCTTCTCTGCTATCTACTTCCCCACCTACAACCATCTCAAGAAGGACTACTTCGGCGAAGGCCCCAACAAGAAGCTTGGTAAGTTGACAGCATAGTACGATCATGTATTCTCACTAACGAGCCATAAGGTATCTTGCAACTCTTGTCTGCAGGTGCTATCGCTGGTATGCCTGCAGCTTACTTGACCACTCCTTGCGATGTCATCAAGACCCGTCTTCAAGTAGAGGCCCGCAGTGGTGAGACGTCGTACACATCGCTTCGTCATTGCGCAAAGACCATTTGGAAAGAGGAGGGCTTCCGCGCCTTCTTCAAGGGAGGTCCCGCACGTATTCTTCGTTCTTCGCCCCAATTTGGTTTCACTCTCGCTGGTTACGAGCTTCTACAACGCCTTCTTCCTCTTCCCGGTGAGGAGCACGAGCTTGGTCCTCGCGGTAGCCTTGAGCCCGCAACTGGATTGCAAGAGGCTAAGGCACCGCTACCCTACTTGAGGAGTAGAAACGCCCTCAAGATCATTCTTGACCTTGATGTTGGCTTCGGAAGCCCCAAGTTGGCCGAGGGTCAGAAATTGCCTGGCCTTCCCGGCTTCCGCTGATCTTTCTCGCTCAGGATGACCAAGACGGTCGGTAGATTAGATTTCTTGTCATCACGGCACCATGTCTTTCGTTCTTGTTCAGTAGAATATCCTTTTTGAGAAAGATTGATGAAAAAGCGCGTGGTTTGCATAGCGTTCGAGGCGTCCAGGCTAGATCGTGGTTGGATCTAGTGGCGGTTGTTCTATGCAGAAATTGTACGATATTTCAGAATTAGAGTCGAGCGTCTACGACGACAGTGACGACCGGCATCTCGAACAGAATGGGATTTAATGTTTGCGATGGAGTAGTGCTTTATGTGCCGTTGACCTTCTGTGCGCCCGAAAGTTTGCCGCCTCAAGCCGAACTCGTCTCCGGACTTGCCTTCCTGCCCACTCAACCCCCTGGCAAACTTCGAGCGTCAAAATTGACCACAACAATGATCTGATCGGGATGAGATGACCATCTAAAAACAAGCAACATCATTCCACTCTACGTCGATAGTGTCTAGGCCCATTTGGATGCCAGATGCTGGCTGTCTAATGCTTTGTATCTTGGCCGTGCGGAACGAACTTGACTGAATTTGCACGAAGATATTTGCATTATCAATAATATTTGTGAATTTAGACTTGCAAGTCATCTTGGGTGGAAGATGATTGGGATCACGAATTTGATGCTTGAAGTCGTTTCTGGGGTTCGTTCCGTGATGCTTCAAAAGGTGTCTCGGGGTCGGAGCACAGTTCACCAACCACGAACACCATCTTCGACCAACCTTGCGAATCTGACCGAGTGGATAGTACATGCTCACAGATCTAGCGTGCTGTCTGAGTCGAAACCACAAGCAATGCATTAGCTGGCAAGTCTAGGTGCTCAAGTCACGTGACAGCATGGACACGCAGGAGGTCAAAATAGACTACTCTCAGACACATGGCACCTGTGGGGATGATCGACGGGAACTATGAACCGGGCAGCAGAGATATATGGTTCCTGAATGCTCTACGATGTTGTCTGCTGAATATTGAGGCCAGGGTAGTCCATGAGTGCCGCGGATTGGACGAAAACTATCATCTGCAGTTCGACAGATACCATTTGACCTCAATTTTTCCACTTGGACATGGTGGTCACAATAGAATATGCATCCGGTTGTACGTCGAAAATAAAGCGTCAATCAGTGAGTTTGGAGGTTTGGAAATTTGCCAAGACTTTGCTATCAAGTCGCTTCTCCCCCAAAGTCACTTCTCCCCTTTTCATCGTTTCCATCATTCAATTACCTTCATAATATCAAAGAGCAGTATCAGTGTGCTCTATGTCGCGCAGAAAAGCACGCGTTTGTTCGATACATTACTCGCGAGGTTGAGCTTTCGATTGTCCGCCGCAACGCCAGCACAGCGCACGCGCAACACAGCATAATCAAAACGCGTTACAGGAAACAGTCACAGCCACATTTCAGTACCGATACATGATTCGCACAGTCAGTGTCGTATTTCTTTGAGTGGTGTGCGCGATAACGAGTTCGCCGGAAAGACACTGGTAGCCCGGACACTGCATCGCGCAATTCGCCGCTCGACACACCATGCCCAAGCATTCGCGCTCGTACATTCGTCCCGAAGACTTCACCAAGAGCGATTCTGACGACGGAGATTACGACGACGTGAATGTCCGTTCGTCCCCAAGGAAGCCGAGAAGCGCGCGCTCCAAGAAGTCAAAGTCGCAACCCTCGCGCAAACGTCAGAGAAGAGACGATTACGGTAGCGACATTGTCGACGACAGTGACGACCACGACGAGGGTTCTTTCGACGACAGTATCGAAGAAAGCTCTGGGTCCGAGGACGAAGACGACTCTCCAGGTCCTGGCAAACGCAAGACACGCAAGGCTGCTCGCGTCAAGGTTCAGTACGCTGAGTCGGACGAGGACGCTGAAGGAAGCGACGACGCTATACCTCAGCTACCCGAACCGGCGCAGCCTTCGCTCGTTCTCAAGCTTAGAGTTGCGTCTGAAAGATTGGAAACATTGAGAGACACAGGCACCATGAGTAATCCTCGGAGGTCAACAAGAGCGACTAGCGCTATAGTGTCGCAACGTGGAACTACACCTGCTGAGGGCTTAGGTATGGCAACAAGACGCAGCAGTCGCGCTTCACAACATGCAGAGCCATTGATGGCACTCAACGATTCTGGCAAGCACGCCCATACCCAAGGCGCTCGTCAAACATCATACACTCCCGAGCTTCAATCCGCCAGAGGCACAAGAAGCAAGGGCCACAAGAAGCCGCCACCTACTGTTAGTGCAATCATGGAAGTTTCCCAAGAAGAAATCCCTGCCTCTCAAGACTATGGCGAAGTGGCCGAATCTTTTGACAGAGAGTTGCGCGAGTTTGCAGATGAGATACCCAAGGAGGAGGCTGCAGAAGAACCTCAAGTCGAAGCTGCGTCACCTTTTGTTTCCGACGTCCAACCGAATGAACAGGAACCAGCTGAAGACGAAGCTGATGCCGAGGGAGAGGAAGATGATGAGGACGAGGGTCCGATCAACAAAAACAAGCGTAAATTGAGGGTGAGTCAAGTGATACTCCCCCAAGGTTTGGTCGTGTCTGACTTCTCTGCCCAGTCACAGCAGAAGACCGAAAGTCCACAACAGCGAGGTCGCGAGGGAAGAAGACTCCGACCGCGGACACGCAAGTCTCAAGGCGAAGCTAGCAGCGATTTTGAGCCTGCAGGTTCCGGTGGTGATGAAGCTTCGAGCGCCGACGAACTACAGAACTCGCCCAAGAAGAATCAAAAGAGCGATAACGACTCAAGTAGTGGTGGCGGTGGTCTCAGACGTTCCCGACGCAAACCTGCCAAGCGTGCTCGTGAATCTTCAGAGGAAGAGCTAGATCGTGACGAGATCGCTGACGAAGCCGACGATCTGCGCGAGGACAGACGCCGCAACAAACGACCTCGGCGTAATCCACGCAATGACATCGTATTTGAGGGTACAACCCTGCGAAACCGAAGCAACAGACCCGACTACCGTATTTTCCGACCCGAGACGCATCAAGCAGATGAAGAAGAGGTGGCCGCCCCGTCAGCATCTCAACGCCCGCGTCGCGCCGCTGGACCTTGGAGATCTCTGTTCTCAACTTTGGGTCCTTTCGGTGGAGCTGGTGGCCCTGTCCCCATTTTTGGCGGCGAGGGAGCAGAGGCTGCTGGCGGAGCCGACTCTGACAGCAGTGACGATGACATGGCCCAGAAAATGCCTCGCGGTATTGGAGGTGCTGTAGGCATGACACCAACCGCTGGTGGAGCACCTGGTCTATTCCCACAAACTCACAATGCCGATGCTGGCGCTTCGACTGCTGGCGGTCTCTCCAACTTCGGAAAAGTCAAGGACAAAAAGGCTTTGGCAGATGCTGATCCGTTGGGCGTCGATCCAAATGTCAACTTTGACGGTGTTGGAGGTCTTGAGGATCACATCGATAGACTGAAGGAAATGGTGCAGCTCCCACTCATGTACCCGCATATCTACCAACAGTTCAAGGTAACGCCGCCTCGAGGTGTTCTGTTTCATGGACCACCAGGAACTGGTAAAACACTACTTGCTAGGGCTCTTGCGTCTGATTTGAGTACTGATGGACAGAAAATCACATTCTACATGCGCAAAGGTGCTGATGCGCTCAGCAAGTGGGTTGGTGAGGCCGAGCGACAATTGAGATTACTGTTTGAGGAGGCGAGAAAGACACAACCGAGCATCATTTTCTTCGATGAAATTGACGGTCTTGCGCCCGTCCGCTCCAGTAAGCAAGAGCAGATTCATGCATCGATTGTCGCTACTCTCCTTGCTCTCATGGACGGTATGGACGGTCGTGGTCAAGTCGTCGTGATTGGTGCCACCAACCGACCTGACTCGGTCGATCCTGCTTTGCGTCGTCCAGGTCGTTTTGACAGAGAATTCTATTTCCCGCTCCCTAATGTCAAGGCTCGTCGCGCAATTCTCGACATCCACACGAAAGGCTGGGAACCACCGTTGAAGCCAGAATTCAAGGATCAGCTCGCGACTTTGACCAAGGGATATGGTGGTGCTGATCTTCGTTCGCTTTGCACAGAAGCTGCGTTGAACGCTGTGCAGGGCACCTTCCCTCAGATCTATTCTAGCAAAAAGAAGCTACTCGTCGACCCCACCCAAATCAGAGTTCAACCCAAGGACTTCATGATCTCAATCAACAAGATCGTACCTTCCTCTGAGCGATCTGCAGCTTCGGGCGCATCGCCGTTGAAGCCGAATGTAGAACCTTTGCTCAGGGAAGCGCTTGCCAAAGTCTCGGCCATCATTGATGATATCATACCTCAAAAGAAGCCAAGGACTGCATTGGAAGAGGCCATGTTCGACGATCGAGAAGACGAGAATGGTTTCGAGAAGGAGACACTACAACGAGAATTCGAAAGCTCTAGAATCAACCGTCCAAGATTGCTTATCAGCGGTCTGGAAGGCATGGGTCAGCAATATATTAGTGCTGCATTGCTGGCCAAATTTGAAGGACTTCACGTACAATCGTTCGATATGTCTACTTTGCTAAAGGATTCAACAAGAGTGAGTCTGTCTACATCGAGATGTTTTGGAACAAGCTAACTCTGTCATAGTCACCTGAAGCAGCTATTGTCCAGTTATTTGAAGAAGTTAAGCGTCACAAACCCAGCGTCATCTACCTGCCCAGTATTGATATCTGGTACGAGACAATGGGACAACAAGTCATCAAGACCTTCAATGGTCTATTGAGAACCTTGTCTCCCACGGACCCAGTCCTTGTGCTCGGTGTGATGGAACTGCGATCAAGCGAAGCTCAGCCCAACCAGGAGATGATGAGGGAGCTCTTCAGCCGTTCGCGCAAGAATTACTTCCACTTGGACAGACCTGGAGAGGTAAGTTTGGCTTCTGGCGTGTTTTTCGTCCATCTCACTAATCGTGTTGTACAGATGGCCCGCAGAGAATTTTTCAGCAAGGCAATGAACTATATCCGACAATCACCGGCAGAGTTTCCTCAACCCGAGAACCGCAAGAGACGTATCTTGCCAGTCTTGCCCGAGGCACCCGTGGTCGAAGAAGTGCCGAAGACATTGACTAAGGCCGAGCTCCGGGCACAAAAGAAAAAGGACCGCTTCACTCTCAACAATCTCAAGCTACTGATACAACCAGTCATGGATCAGATCAAGCTCAAATACAAGAAGTTCAGAGCTCCCATCGTGGAGGAGAGTCTCATTGGCTACCTGTACGACGAGCAGGATCCAAGCATCGTTACAACCGATCTGGATCGTGCGGAGATTCAGCAATTGAGGCCTTACGAGATATCAAAGGATGGAAAGGGCGCTCCAGTTTTGCACGAGACCGCGACTGGCAAGCAATACTACAATTTGGAGATCGTCACCATTGAGAAGCGCCTCTCTAACGGATACTACAAGCGTCCCGAGGACTTCCTCAACGACATTAAAGCACTTGCTAAAGATGCAAAGACAAGCGGTGATCCAGAGCGCATACTAAAGGCGAACGAGATGCGCGCAAACGTCGAAGTCGATATGATGCATCTGGCAGCGATCAATCCTGTACTGGTTGCCGAGTGCGAGGCTGTATACAATCGCGAAAAGGCTCGTGAGAAGGAGCAGAACGACAAGGCCGGAGCAGGGCAAGAAGTGCCCATCATCAGGCCGGACGTGCCACCCAACATCTCCAACACTGTCACCGAACAGTCTGGTGGAACAATTCACCTTGGAGAGGAAGTACCTGGGCCACGGACGCTGCATCCCTTTACGCCGGCCAGACCTCTTGGGCCCAGCCCCTTGTCCAACGGATTCACCAACGGCTCAGATATACCGTCAAGGGTACACGGTGAGCCTGAGATGCCTGACAGTCAAGACAACTCGCTCCTCAACCCTCATGAGCGAGTAGGTTTCGTTCAGCCCTATGCAACTCCATTGGCACAAGGCACTCAGCCCTATCCCACACATACTCAGACTAGTGCGTTGACACGGATAGCGCCTGGCTCGGGACATCAAGACTACTATAACAGCGCGTCTTCCACCAGCTCAGGGCACAAGATAAGTGATCAGAGTCACAGAAGCAGCGCACCATTCTCAGTCATTACCAATGCCTCTTCGAATGGCGTCCGTAACGATGATGCCCCCGATTTCAGTACATTACCCCAGGTTGAAGGTGGTAGTCAATTGCCTAACACGCAACCACCAGACATGTACAGCTCGCAGATTTCACAATCATCACAAAGAGTGATGGGTCCACCAGCATCAAGCAGTCAACCTCAGAGTCACACATTCACCGTACAAGCACTTCTGAACGAGCCACATCTCATTCATGCCGATCCGGGTATCCTGAGGAGTCTGGATGATCAACTGATTCGCAAGTCGAGTGGACTCAATGTCGAACAGCTTGAGCAAGTCATGGCGAATATCATGGACGCAATCTGGAGAACAAAGGGCGACTGGAATCGCAACCATGCTGCCTCGGCAGTATCCGACACATTCAATGAGACGATACGTGATATCGAAGAATGTCAAGCTATCTTGGCACCGAGTCAAGACGAGTAGGTGAAGACAAGCAAGCAGGAGACATGGAGCAAGAGGCATGTTTGGAATAGCGTAGGTGCTATTCTCTGACCGGCGCTTTTATTCTGGCATACAGATACAATCGATAACGCTACATGCTAATGATATCATTCAATTTGTTCTATGGTCCAACTTTCAAGTGACATTGTGTGCTTCCAAAGAACGTTGGCGTCGGGCACTTCTGCTCCGCCAAGTCTGACTTGTTGAAGTGATGACCCTGCCACTTGTCTGAATATCCTGTAGCAGCATCAACTGACCGTCCAATGTTACAAAATCTCTGTTGATACATCTCCTCAACTTGTCGAATATATTTCCCTGCTTTTCTAATCTTTCAGGAGGTTATTGTGGATTACCGATGCTATAATGTCGAGTTGGTAGAACCCTCCGTCGACATGGTGGTGTTCGATACTGCTGTTGACCAGAACCGAGCACGAAGAGGCATGTTATTGTTTCTAGATGGACTTTGACATCGGCCGATGTTATGTATAGGGATCATTGAATCCACCTTCTCGTGTTTTTATATGACAAGAGCTTCTTGTTTGCGAATCACGCCCACATTCGTCTCTGAAGGTCAGCAAGCAAGCCGCGGTTGAATTCCGCAATGTCTAGCGGGGCATCGCTTGAATGCGGCTCAAAAAGAGCTCAGGGTAAAAGCGAAGAAGGTTTGACATCTCGGCGCTGACCGCTATCGGTCCTGTTACAAGAGCAGCTTGGAGAGCTCGGAGTAATTGTATATAGACGATTCATTCGCATTGGGAGGGCAGAGCAATTGGAGGATCAAGCATTACCTAACAGTCGGTCCTCGGACTGTGATAACAGGCGTGGGCTGTCATAGAATGGACAAAACTCAGCGAAGCTAAGGCGACACGGCAGTTGTGAACGGATTACTAGCAGTAGTTCGGTACTTCTCATTTCACGCCATGGAGGGGCATATCTATCTTGGAGAAGGGTACTTGAGCCTTTCCTTCTTCTCTATCCACATACAAGTCCTGCATCGCAATCATGGTCAGACTTCCCTTCCACGCTGAGCACATTGGCTCTCTCCTTCGTCCTGCCGACTTGCAGGAGGCCAAGACCAAGGCCGCAAACAAGCAGATCGACAACGCTGAGCTCGAGGCTGCTGAGCACAAGGCCATTACCCACATTGTCAAGCGCCAGCAAGAAGAGGGTGTTCGTCCCATCTGCTCTGGCGAGTACGACCGCAAGGTCTACTTTGGTGGATTCTTTGAGGAGCTCGAGGGCTTCGAGGAGGTCGATGATGCTCCCTGGGACCTCTACAGACTTTCCGCTCCCCCAATTGCCGCCCTGAAGAAGGCTGGCCTCAAGTACCCCATGACTGTCGTCTGCAATGGCAAGATTGAGTACAAGCACAGCCCTTACCTCAAGAAGTGGGAGTACCTCAAGTCGCAGGTCCCCGAGTCGCAGTGGGACCAGTGCAAGTTCACCATGCCCCCAGCTCCTTACTTCCACCTCCGTCTTGCTCCCGGCAAGTGCTACCCCAAGGAGGTCTACCCTACCGACGCCGCATTCTTCGCCGACCTGGCTGAGGCCTACAAGAAGGAGTTCAAGGTCCTGCACGAGGCTGGCCTGAAGAGCGTCCAGATTGACGACCCTACTCTTGCCTACTTCTGCTCCAAGGACATGCTCGAGGGTCTCAAGGCCGATGGTGTCGACCCTGACGAGCTCTTCGACCTGTACTGCAAGGCCCACAACGACTGCCTGGAGGGCCGTCCCGAGGGACTCCACGTCGGTCTCCACATCTGCAGAGGTAAGCCAGTCTGTTATGAACAGCACCAGTCAATGTACTAATCGTCTCCTCCAGGTAACTTCTCCAAGTCGATGCACTTTTCCCAGGGCTCGTACGAGCAGATCGCTGAGAGATTCTTCAAGTCGCTCAACTACGACACCTTCTACCTCGAGTACGATGACTCCCGCAGCGGTGGCTTCGAGCCCCTCCGCTTCCTCCCCAAGAACAAGAACGTCGTTCTCGGTGTTGTCAGCACCAAGGTCGCCGACCTTGAGGATGCCAAGGAGATGAAGGACAAGGTCCTCGAGGCTGCCGACATCATTGCCAAGGGCCAGGGTGTCAGCCGCGAGGAGGCCATGGAGTGCATTGGTATCAGTCCACAGTGCGGTTTCGCCAGCACTGGTGTCGGTGCCGAGGCCATGACCGAGGACAAGATGTTTGCCAAGCTCAACCTTGTCAAGAAGGTGGCCAACGAGCTCTGGCCCGACCGCGCCTAAGTGTACATACAAACTAGGCGGGCAGTAAGAGGACGATTGGACTGATGAAGCTCTAACGAAAGGATTCATGCATGGCGTCAAGGGATATTCAACATTTTGGGGCTATGTGTTTACGTTACTACGAGTATATACCGGGTGTCAACCAGCCGGAGCAGAAGGACATTGAAGATGGATGATACATTGATTGGATCAGAAAAGTTGGCTGTCGATTGGAAGCCGCAATTGCATATAGGAAGGGGACAAAGATACAGACACATGAAAAATACATGACAAGCTCGTGAGAGCTCGACGTCATATCACCAGACAGCATTATCCCAATCAATCTGTAGAGAGTGCGCGTGCCGAGGATAGATGTGTGACTGGATGTGGGCAGGCGTGAAGTGTCAACATATGACGAAGAGGCCATGCGCTGCGCCGCCGAAGAACAAGGTTCTCGATATCAGCGACATACAGCAAACACAAAACGTCGTCCCAACAATGTTGCCGGATGAGGGGTTTCGCAAGAACTGCTTCAATTGTGCGCACTTGATGCAAGCATAGCCTGCATCATGCCAAAAGCACTGCAGGTCAGGGGAAGACAATTGATGCAGCACGAGAAAAAGCAAGCAAGCATCCTGTCACCGAAAGTGGTACGAGTTTCTGTATGTGAGAAGCATCTCGAACGGTCGTGGAAGAAGCACAGATGTTGGGTTAATCTAGCTCGGAGCTCTCGAGTTTTGGGCCGCAAAAAGCAGCGACAGCAAGCCAGCTGCCAACGTCCGTACGTAACGAGGAACGCGGTCGAGGACGACGGGTGTAGTGATTGGAGACGCGAGAGCACACCCGCGCGCCCCCAGACCATTCTACCGGCGCCGGGTGGTCATGATCGAGAGAAAGAAGAAGGTCAAAGGTCGGGGCAATTAGGAATGCCAAGGACGAGCAGGAGAGATCAGCAGAGATGCTGTTGAGGCGCTTCATGGCGCTTGAGCCTTTGGCAAGGGGGCTTGCCTCAGCCTGTGGGGACGAGATCGACCACGTTAAGGAATTCGCCGTCCGGGAAAAATGCAGGCAAGACAAGTAATGATTCGCGTCTAGGGCAACAGGCATTCAAGAGTCAGGACGCACAATGAGGACAGATTCGCAGGGCACGACGAGGATCAAGTGCAGGATGTGCAGGTGAGAAAATAGCGTTTGATGTGGTGGCAGAGTGGCAGCAAGCAAACAGGCGAATTTATGTTGGGAAGGTTCGAATGGTCAGGCAGGTGGGATGAAACGCAAGATTCGCCCGAGGTTGATCGGGTTCTGGAGGTCTCGCCTTTCAGGGTCGTCGCTTCTAGCGCGTGGGCGACTCTGAGCTTGGGGACAATTGACAATTTTTCTGACCGCACAACGACACCGTGTCCGTGTCGATTAAAAGCCCGTCTCCTCCTGTCCTTCCTTCACACCACGTTCGCTCATTCGTTCTGCCAATCCACCAAGCCCTTGTCCCGCACACGCAGACTCAAGGCTCCTACTTACTGGCTTCTGTCTCAACAATCTCTTGTTGCACTCAGATCCCATCCCCACTCGACACGGAAACACGCTTTAATTGGCCTGTCCCGTTTCTGCCCTTCCTTACTCTACCTACGCCCCCAATTGAGCTCCAGCTCAGTCGTCTCTCTCTCCCACAACACACGCAATGGCTTCCACCACTGCTCTTCCCACACAAAGGGGCGCCTTCCAGCGCTCCGTCACCGACCACTCGGTCGCCAGCTCGTCTGCCCCCTCGCAGGTCGTCTCTCCTGCCGACTCACCTCGCAACTCTCCTTCGTCCAGCTCGCTATCTTCGCTCGGCTCTGTCGACGAGCAGGTTACCAAGAACCAGGCTGGCAAGCTGATCGACACTTACGGCAATGAGTTCAAGATTCCCGACTACACCATCAAGCAGATCCGCGACGCCATTCCCGCCCACTGCTTCGAGCGTTCTGCTGCCACTGGCTTCTACTACATTGCACGCGACATTGTCTGCATCGCTACTACCTTCATCCTCTGCCACAACTTCGTTACCCCCGAGTACATCCCCTCAACCTCCGTTAGAGCTGCCCTCTGGGCCCTCTACACCGTGCTCCAGGGTTTGTTCGGTACCGGTCTCTGGGTCATTGCCCACGAGTGTGGTCATCAGGCCTTCTCTCCCTCCAAGACTCTCAACGACACCGTTGGCTGGGTTCTGCACTCTGCTCTTCTCGTCCCCTACTTCTCATGGAAGATCTCGCACGGCAAGCACCACAAGGCCACCGGCAACATGGAGCGTGACATGGTCTTCCTTCCCAAGACCCGTGAGGTTTACGCCGGTAGAGTCGGCCACGCCATCCACGAGATCTCTGAGCTCATGGAGGAGACCCCTATCGCCACTGCCACCCACATGATCGCTCAGCAGCTCTTTGGCTGGCCTTTGTACCTGATCACCAACGTCACCGGCCACATCAACCACCACAAGCAGACCGAGGGTAAGGGCCAGGGCAAGCGCAACGGCTGGTTCGGCGGTGTCAACCACTTCAACCCTGCCAGTCCTCTGTACGAGCGCAAGGATGAGAAGCTGATCCTCCTGTCCGACGTCGGTCTTGCTCTTACCTGCACTGCTCTCTACTTCATCAACCAGAAGTTCGGCTTCCAGAACCTCCTCGTTTGGTACCTCCTTCCTTACCTCTGGGTCAACCACTGGCTTGTTGCCATCACCTTCCTCCAGCACACCGACCCCTCGCTCCCTCACTACGACGCCAACACCTGGACCTTCACTCGTGGAGCCGCTGCCACCATTGACCGCGAGTTTGGCTTCATCGGTCGCAACCTTCTTCACGGCATCATCGAGACTCACGTCCTCCACCACTACATCTCGACCATTCCCTTCTACCACGCTGACGAGGCCACCGAGGCTATCAAGCCCATCATGGGTCAACACTACCGCAGCGATGTTAGAGATGGTCCCGTCGGTTTCCTCAAGGCCATGTACAACAGTGCCAGATGGTGCCAGTGGGTTGAGCCTTCGGAGGGTGCTCAGGGTGAGGGCAAGGGTGTCCTCTTCTTCAGAAACCGCAACGGCCTCGGTGTCCCCCCTACCAAGCTGGCTGCTCCTGGTGCTGCCAAGTCTGGCATGACCATCGGTGGTGACAGTGACAACGAGTAGATGAGTTGCTTGTACAGACAGGATTGATTACTGCGATTTTGCGTTTAGCATTTCTTCTTCGACAACCTCTTTCTTTCTTCTGGACAAGCAATAGGATCAACCAACAGAGCAAACAAGTGCAACACAGCGCTGAGTTTGCCTGAACCAAGGATATAGAGCTGCCACACCGAGCCATCCGGAGCCACGCGCCGCTTCCATCGACGGCTGTCACGATCAGTCTGACGTCGACATTCTCGTTCCCACTTGTTGGAGGCGTGCTTCAAGAAAAGCAGCTGCTGGGTAGTTCGGGTGTTGGCATGCAGTCATAATATAGATGGACAAGGATCTGTACATGTTGTCAGGTACCAACTAGACCATTGCTCTGTCGTTTTTGGAAATAACGAAATATGAGAAATCTACTTTACTCCACTCAAACAAATACTCAAGTGATATGTGATGTGTTCAAGTAGGTGACAAGTAGGTGCCATCAGGTCGAGGATGCGATGTAAGAGTATAGTTCTTGTGATTTCATGTGATGACGCTGTCTTGTTTGAACGCCTGTGGGTATCTTCCAATCGACAATAAAGGTACAGTTATATGACCAACAGAACAAGGTTTCAATTCTTCTCTGTCACGTCCTCGGGATCTCTCCAAAAGGCCTTCTTGACCGGCTCAGTTCTCAAATCCCAAATCTTTTCCGAGCTGCCCTTTTCAGCCTTGTTCTGTTCATCCTTTGCTTGATAAAATTCCTTGATACGCTCTTCCTTCTCCTTGTCGGGTAGAGTCTTTATGCGCATGCAGAACCAAAAGGCGTTCCAGTTGTCCGAGCAGCTGCGTAGTTCTCCGTAGCGGTAGATGTCGTTGAACTTTCCACCTAGGGATTGGCAGTAAAAGGCTTGATCGAAGGCTTGACGGCAGGACATTTGACGTGGGTAGAGGGCTTCGGGGGAGATATCGAGGGGTGCGTCGGTGGGTGACTGCTGCTCGATTGAGCCAGAGGGCGAGGGAACGTAATTTGTGGGTGTTTCTTTCGGTGCGGGTGTTATGTGGTCGATCCGTGGTGCTTCATGTGCGTATTCTTGTGTTGTGTTTGTGGATCTTGTGGGTTCTGAGGCTTTCTCGAATGATGCGAATAGAGCCTCAAGGTCGCTGTCTGGTGAAGCGATCTTCTTTGGTGCTTCTCTATGCGTTGTGGACACTGGTGCCGGTGTTTGTGCTATTGCTGGAGGAGCAGACTCCGTGGCAGGAGCCGCTGTTGGACCCGATGACCACCACCAACCCATGATCTGATTTGATTATGTTTGTAGGAGAAAAAGTGCTGGCCAAGACCTCCATCTCGAATCTCGAAACAGCTCAAGAAAGTCCGCTCGAGCAAGCCACACGTGACGTCGTTGCTCACTTCCAACTTCCCTACACGTCCTCCAACTTTGGTACAAGGTCTTTACATTTACTTTTATTTGCCTTTTCCCCATTTGGTCGATATCTTTGGACATTTGGAACCACTGGATATTATTTGGGAAACGTGACGATGAACTCGTGATGCTGCCGACACAACATATATTAACCCGCCAGCTGGTGCGCCCTGGCCTGCCCAGAGTGTATCGTGCGGCATGTGCTCAAGGATTACGCTACAAGTCTTTGGAAGCAGGAGAGGACAACACTGGACATATCAACGCTGCTCACAATGAGGGCGTACTATTCTTCAATAGTGAGTCGATACACCGATGTCTAGAAAACTTTCATCTGACCACAGTCTACAGATCTTTATCCTTTGAGGTTACAATGGCTCCTGCGACTGCCGCTTTTGAGTGCTGATAAATTGTTCTCTACACTGACTGGAGGCGACAAATCCATGGGAGCCATTGATCCGCAGAAGGTCATCAAGAGAGCACAAGAAGCTACCCCTGACAAACAGGTGCAAGCAAATGTCGTCGAAGTATTGCCCAGAGTGAAAGAAGGAGGCGCTTTCGTCAAGTTCACGTACGAGCCTGGTTCAAAACTTGCCGACATCGAAGCCGCTGTGCAAAAGCACCTTCAGGACCATCAGGTAAAGCCGTGGTGGGCACCTATAACCAATGTCCGAGCAGGGCTGGTCAAGGGTAAGCCATGGGTTGAGGATCTGTACCGCTTACCCAGTCAGCGTCTGAGAATCGAGTTCTTGCCTACAAGTCCTGGAGGTGAGGTAGCCGAGCTTTCTCAAGAACAGCTTTATGCCTACTTCAGACCTTATGGAAAACTGGCAGATATCATCTCTCAGCCTTCAGACTCGAAAGTCCTGCCGAAATATGCCAACATCGATTTTACGACGGTGAGAAAGGCAGTCATGGCCAAGGTAAGTTATTTCTGAAATTGGGTCATGGAAGTAGTGCTGATTGATGTTAGAACTGTCTCCATGGCTACGTAGTGTCAGAAGCACAAGGAGGTGGCAAACTTGGAACAGTCTTCAGAATCAGCTACGAGAAGAAGCAGAAGGCTCGATGGTTCATTGACTGGCTCACGAGCCATCCCAGGATAGTCATTCCTGCTGTCGCCGCTCTTGTCGCCGGTATCACCGTTGCAGTCTTTGACCCTATCCGTACCGCGTTCATCAAGGCGCATATTACTAGAACATTACATCTTGAGGACAATAGAGTCTACCGCTGGTTCATCAAGCAGGCAAACGACCTTCTTGATGTTGTCCGACTGAGATCACATACCCCTGACGAAGCTGGCATGGAAGCTATCTGGGACGACCAGAGGGGCAACATCAACCAAATCAAGACTTGGCTGATGGAGACTGCGGACACGTTTATTGTGGTTCAGGGCCCTCGCGGATCAGCAAAGAGAGAGTTGGTCGTTGATCAAGCCCTGAAGGACCGCAAGAACAAGCTAGTGATTGACTGCAAACCTATTCAGGAAGCTCGCGGAGACTCGGGTACCATTAGCGCTACAGCCGCTGAAGTTGGCTACAGACCAGTCTTCTCATGGATGAACTCGATCAGTGGACTTATCGATCTGGCAGCCCAGGGTGCGACTGGTGTCAAGACTGGATTTTCTGAGACCTTGGACTCTCAGCTCACTAAGATTTTCACGAACACTCAAACAGCTTTGAAACAAATTGCTCTGGATGGAAGAAAGAGGGATGATAGAGATGCCAACCTCAGTGATGATGAGTACCTCGAAGCACACCCTGAGAGGCGACCCGTCATTGTCATTGATAACTTCTTGCACAAGAGTCAAGAAGGCACTGTTGTCTACGACAAGATCGCTGAATGGTACGTTGGAAGAACTAGTGCTCTGTAGCCAGCCACTAACTCTGAACAGGGCCGCTCGAGTCACTACCTCGAACATCGCTCACGTCGTCTTCTTGACTCACGATGTTTCATTCAGCAAATCGCTGTCTAAAGCTTTGCCGGATCGCGTATTCCGTCAGATCAGTCTTTCTGACACAAGTCTCGAGGTTGCCAAACGTTTCGTCATCAACCACATCGACTTTGAATCGGAAGACGCAGAAGCTGGTATCAAGCAGTTGACACCGTCTCAACGCCGTAAAGATCTCGGAGAGCTTGATAGTGTCCTCCCCGCTCTAGGTGGCCGCCTTACCGATCTCGAGTTCCTGGCTCGTAGAATCAAGGCTGGAGAAACACCACGCAAAGCTGTCCGCGAAATCGTCGAGCAGTCTGCCAGCGAGATCCTGAAGATGTTCGTCCTCGGCCAAAACGACGGTGATAGACAGTGGACGCCACAACAAGCTTGGCTCCTCATCAAGCAACTCGCCAAAGACCAAACCATACGCTACAACGAAATACTCCTCTCCGACTCCTACAAGTCCGGCGGTGAAAAAGCCCTCGCAGCTCTCGAGCAAGCAGAACTCATCGCCATCCAATCGTACAACGGCCGCCCCTATGCCATCAAGCCCGGTCGTCCAGTCTACCAGCCTGCGTTCGAGAAGCTGACCGAGGATAAGGTCCTCCGGTCACGCATGGATCTCGCAGTCCTGGCAGAAGGCATCAAGGCTGAAACACAGAGTATTGACAAGTATGAGCAAGAGCTGCATTTACTTGGTGAGTTGCCGAAACAGCCGGCAGAGCTGACGAGTCGTGTCAATTATCTGCTTTCGAAGATTATGGCTAGCCAGGCCAAGGTGGAGGTTTACGAGAAGCAGAGTGGTGAGCTCAAGAAGATTTTGACTACTGAATACTAGGATTTTGAGAGAGGAAGGAGATAGCATTGGATTTTAGCATCCCATCTCAGCCTTTAGTAATAACACATAATGCGAACAGTCTCAATCTCTAAAGCAATTCAAGTCAAAAGGCGTGTGCCGATCGTTTCTGGTAACAGCAAGCAAAAAGCTTCAACACTGAGATGTATCACCAACCAGAATCGAACCTAAGACCCCTTTCCATACCGTAAACAAAAAGTAGGCGTTACCGACGCTACTTCTCCCGGATTCGCACAGCAGTAAGTGACCAAATATCCTCCTCGATGGGAGGGTTTGGTATTTTACGGCTGCCCGGTGGTCAGGGGATCTCCCACTGCGCCAAACTCACTTGAGTTTCGGTCTTACCGAGCTGGGATGTGAGAGTTGCAATTTCTCCTCCGGTATATAAGGGGTTTGAGAAGTAAGAGGTGTGCTTCCGATTGTGGTTGGTCGAGAGAGGGGCTGTGGTCCTGGTGCGCGTGGCTGGTGTTGCTCAAGTGTCTTTCTCTTGAGTTTGACCACTCTCTGTTGCTTGTTTAGTCCGCTCTTGATGAGGGTGCTCCTGTCGTCTGCACGTGGCTGCATCTCATGTGTGCTGCGCTAGCCATCGCATAGCTCAATCATCGATCCCTCGCAAATGAAGTGATGGTTCATCGCTCTTTCCTTCCAGCGTCGAGTCGTCTGTTGGTCGATGATACTCCTTTCTGTCAAATCTCATATGGACGCCGATCGAGTATGCGAACGCAAGCAGTCGAGAAACTTACTCGGGAGACCATGAACCGACACGACTGCCTATGAGACCCGAAGGGTGAAATGTTGCGGATCTTTTCTCCAAGATCTTCATTCTCCTGATCTGATCCACGCTTTGGCAGCACCTCCATCAAAGATCCCACCATTGTGTGTCGACCATATCGACAACTTTCTACCCGACTCTCTTCTCTCTTGTGTATCCATCTTGATAGACACGACTTTTGTGATCGCACTTCCCGATCCACTTTCATTTTGACGGTGGCCTTCCTCCAACTCGATATTATCGTTGCGCTTGTCGAACTGCCACCATCCTGCATGGTTGGTGCGTTCTGGTTGGGGATGCGAGGATCTTCGAGAGCAAGTTCGTAGTGTTATTGCTCGTAGGCTGGGAAGAGAAGCGCAAATAATGCCGACATTTACTTCCATGCTGGAGAGGAAGGCTGCTGGTCCGTTGTGCTTGCTTACGTCTTGAGTGTTTGAAATTACGTATAGAGGACCTAGTCTAGCCATGGAGACAAGACATACACTGTGTCACATGTTAGCAAGTCGTTCTTGCAGAACAAGTCGGTAAGCTTACAAGCCTCCAAGGGCAAAGACGACGATGAGTCCTACTCTTTGACGCTTAGGTAGATTGAGACCTTTGAGATATGGCATCGGCATACTCAAGATGATGAGGTCTGTGATGATGTTTACTGCAGCATCGACGAACCATTTTGCTTTAAGGTTCATGCATTTAGCTTCGCCGACTCTGTCCCAGAAGTAGTGGACAGGAGTGCAGAGAAAAAACGATCCAAGTATAGCCCAGACTCCTGTTTTCTGATCAGCGGTCATTCCGAATAGATTCCGTACGTATGTTTACCAAAAAATGCTACAAACACTAGCATGCCGATGATAATTCGACGAATGAGTCTGTCCTTGAAGATTCGCATATACTGTAACAGAATCGAAAGTTTTGTCAAGGTAAGGCCGGCCAGATAGGTAGGTATCGCTTTCCACAGGGTCTTGTTTGATACGCGTCAGTCAGATGCAATTGCAGTTCAGGAGGACTATGGTTCGTACCTTCCTCAATCCGATGAGTTCATCTTGCGATAGATCGCTCTGTGGTAGGCCTTGGCCATGTTGGACCTCTGCAGACATTCAGTTCCAGTTCCTAATCCTGCCGCCGGCAATACTCACCGACAAGCACGAGTGATGCTTGAGCAACTGAAAAGCACTATCGGTGTGTTACTATCATCTGTTGAGTGATCGGTGCGACATGGTGACCTACAAATGCTGCTGCAATGACCCAATCCTCTAAGCCGTGGTTTCGAGTCACAATGACCCGTGTGAAAAGTCGAAGAGACAAGACGATCAAGGCCAATGCGAGGAAGACAAAGACTATGACAACTTGCTTGGTGCCTTCACGTCCACCCCATTCAACCATGACTGCGCGTTCAATGTGCAAGGACGATCAGAATGATCGAAGATGATGGAGAAGAGAGGTCCAGAGTGTTTGTACCTTGTGACGAAGTCTTCCATGGTGCCAGGCCGGCTGCAAGGCGGTTGAGGCGTGCAAGTCGTGCTCACCGAGGAACCAATACCGTGCAAGCGGGATGCGCGAGCACGTTGAAACATCAGCAACCGTCCACAAGATTGTTCGGATGTTTGCCGATCTTGTCCATCATAGACCCTTTGATCGAGACTATTGGGAAAGCTAGTTTGGAGGGGAAGGAACGCTGGACGTGCCCTAGGTACAAATACGATGTTCAATGCGTAGTAAAAGCATGGCTGAAATGTCTTGAATCCTTCGCTCGTGCACACCACGATTGCGGATGTAACGACGAATGATGACCATTACTTTAAAGTGATAGCCTCCCTTCTGTGCCAGAACCAGAAAAGAGTCTACCTTGCTTGACCTTTGCTCCTGTTGCCCCACGAAATCATGTCACCAACGGTCACCCGGACATGTTCGGTGGACACTGGCTGAAATCTTAATTGAACAGCCCTGAGCTGTAGGTCATCTTATCGCCAGCTTCCAAGGCCCAGCATTGTATAACAGGCGGTCGCCAGAGCCGGTTCAGGTTTACGATATTCGATGCTCGCTTTCTGCTTGATAATGGATTTGGCTGGGATGTAGAGCAGCAGACGTTGAAGAGGTTGCACATGTGTCGAGTTGCGAAATGCATGGGAATCTCGCTTCGGACCCCAGCCAGATCAATGTGGCAGGCTTCCTATCTTGAACTTCGGCCAATCTATGCGACAACTCGGCGCCCGCTCCGAGCAAGGGTACAATAGATCTTGGAAGTTTTGGCGGCGGCCGCGGCTAGAAGTAGTGTGCGTAATGCATCGCTAGCGTTGCCATGTGATGTTCACCGTTGCTGTACAATAGGTCTCGACAAAGACGCTCGAGACAAATGTCGAGCTGCAGTGGCTTACATGAGACCTAGCCTCCATTACCTCGATATGTCTGTGAGACAGAGATATGAGGCTTTCTCTCTTCTAATGCAAGGTCACAGGCTCGTTTCTTGGGTGTAATCGGAAATGTGAATTGATCTTAGCATGTGACAGACAAGAACAGATCAACGCCAAGAGATTAGATCGATCAATCGCACCACCGTTCTTGAGTCTTCCAGGTTCGTCATTGTTCTTTCGCATCTTCAAACCTGCATGTCGAGACCACCAATATGACGACGCCTTCGTCGCAAGCGCTAGCCAAGCGTAGTGCCGACACCCAACTGATGCCACCACCGCCACCGACGAAACGCATCAAAAGACCGTCGCAAGTGGTGGATGAAGATGTCTATACCGATGCCCTCTCACACATCATCGCCCGCGATTACTTCCCTGGACTGCTAGAAACGCAAGCTCAACAAGAGTACCTGCAAGCTCTGGACTCAAACAATAATGACTGGATTCGAGATGCTGGTCGCAAACTGCATCAGGCCATGACTCCTGGTCCTCGGTCGAGAAGAGGCACTTCTATGGCCCCGTCAGCGACTCCACGTGGCTGGCAAGGTGCCACGCCTATGAGAACACCGTCTGTTGCACCTACAGTTGCCTCTAGTAGCTCTGAAGCGCTCAAGCCGCCCGTCGACACGTCGCTTTCGCTAGGCGCATTCCAGGCCAAATACACTTCTGAAGACAACGAATCGTTCAACTCCCTTCTTGACCGTCAGAATCAGAAGCGCGCCGAGAAATATGCTTTCTTCTACCACGGGAACAAGTTGCCATCCAAGCAACAACTGGCCCAGCAAAAGCTGTTGTCCAACACTCCCGCTTCTCAGTCCACCGCCCTTGTTACTCGCCCTTCACAGAACCTGGACGATCGCACTGCTTCAGTTGACTCCTTCCCTAGCCGCCAAGGGCCGCGGAATACCCTAATGTTCGCACCAGAGGGCATAGAGGATACATTCGAGACCACATTCGATCGCGACCAAGCTGCTTCTGTCGCTCCTCCAAAAACTGTATCGTATGCGTCGACACGCTTGCCCGTAGCTCCAGGCGAAGAGCAGTCTGTTCCACCTTCACCTTCAATGTCTGCAATTGATGCCGCCATCGCCGGTCGGCCACGTCCCTCATCGACTGATGCAGGCTACTCTGGCGCCGAAACACCTCGCGTCAAGGGATACGCATTCGTCGATGCCGAACCGCTGCCTCATGAGCTTGACCCTCCACGAGGCATACCCGTATCGGATGCTCAGGCAGATGCAGAAGAGCGCGCCTCTGCTATGGCCTTACTTCCCGCAGCAGATCCTGATGCTGCGAACAACCCCTTCCAGTTGCAAGCTCAAAGTAAGAGAGAGGAGATACATCATCGACTTGTCGAAAAGTCAAACGTACAAAGACGAAAACCCACAGCTGGAAGCAGGTTGAGCGCCTTGCAAGGGCAAGACGGACGCACGCCGACACCAAGATTCACCAGCAGTCCCGCGGTAGGACGTCAAACGCCTGGAGCAAAAATGTCTCCGGCTGCACGTCTGTTAGCTTCGAGGATAGGAGGACGTACACCTGGGAGGACTGACACTCTCTTCGGAAGCCAACAATCCGGCGATAGGTCTAGTCGTGTGTGGACGCCAACCCCAAGAGTTAAGAGATCAACGGGATGAAATTATGAATTACGATTTACGAACAAAACATAGATGGTTCACGTAGCCAACGTAATAGAACTGCCTGGCCTGATATGACAGGACAAGCTACGTGCTCGGTTGTGCAGCGAGTCATGTCGTGGCTTTCGTTCGTCTCGAAGGTCTGATCGAGTTCGCTTTTCGAGATAGAGACCGATTATGTCGTGGTGGTGTCAGGGGTCAGCTTCTTGGCAATACCCTCGATCTTCTTTCTCCTCGCCTCTGACCCCATCGGCGAGCTTCCCAGGCTCACGAACAAGGCATACTTGTCCTTCTTTGACATATTCTTCCATGCCTTTTGAGATTGTGCTTCAGCTATGCTCACTTCCTCCAACAGATCTTCAGGGGCGTTCGCCGAATACGCAGCATCCCAAAGCCCATTCGACTTTGCTGCCTCTACTGTCAGAATTCCTGGAGGAGCCATCTTGCCCATCGCCATGAGACGTTCAATGAAGCCAACATTTCGTGCCGACCATGTAGACTTGGGCCTACGTGGTGTAAACCGCCAGTACAACGTGTGCTCATCTCGTTTTCCACATCTGCTGTCCACCCAGCCGTAACACAGGGCTTCATCTAGTGCTTCGAAGTACGTGATGGTGGTATGCTTTCTGACATTCGAGGGTGCTTTCGCTTTGACGCAGACGAGCCAGACTTCCCGTGAAGTCTGACCATTCTTGGTGAGCCAGGTTCGCCATTCGGATGCAGATTTGAGTAGGAGCTCAGACGATCGAGTGGGCATTGGGAAGAAGTTCTGAATTCGAAACTTGTTTACGATGTAGCGTGTAGATGATCGTTACGCCAGTCTGGTATGGGGGGTCGCGCTCTGAGTTTGCCGCTCTGTTTTCCGTCGGCAAAGTCTGGCGTGCACCAGCCGGAAGCGGACTATAGGCTCCTTCAAGTACCAACTCTCGATGTCTGATTCTTCTGATAACTCGAGTGTATGCGACAGTCATGCTATTAGCGGTGGAACACTTCGCTTCGTCGTCTGCATAGTTCGGTATCCTTGTACGAGTATCAATCGCTGGCTTCTTGGAAGCTCGCGCTCACGAGATGTGTTCGGCGAAAGTTAGACCAAACTCGCCGAGGAGGAGGAGGGGCACAGCTCCTACTTCGGAGATAGTCGCTTGAGCCTTCCTGAGCGGGCAAGCTCTGGGGGGTCGGATCTGATAGCACGCCTATCAACGGGTCGCGGCAAAGATTGGGTCGAACGATACCAAGGTGGAAAGATACAATTATTCAAGGGTTTGTCTCGATCTCCTCTCTCCCTCTTGTACAAGAATCTTTCGCTGCTCCCTTCTCCTCATCTCTGCCTCCGTACTTCGCTCTGCACATCCGTCCGACACTTCTCCCCACGCCAGCTCCGCAAAAAGTTTCCCCGCAATCCGTGGAACCAAGTAAACACACCACTCGAGTCCGTGAGAGCAATTGATTTATTGTTTTGCTGGTCAAAGCAACACCTCCCAATGGCTTCATTCCTTCGTAACACAGCCCGTTTGACGGTGCCATCACTCCGCCACGGCGTCATTCGTCCCACCTTCAGAGCTGCAGCCCGTGCTCTGGCTACTCAGACGGTATGCCCAAATCCATCTCTTCATCTCTGTTCGCCACTGACCAACCATGTCTCAGGACCGCAAACAGGCTACCGCAGCAGCAGCTGTTGCATCCGTACCAGATGCTTTCGACCAAGCCTTTTTCCCCGATGAGCCGACTGGCCCAATCGTCAGAACTTCGATCCCTGGACCCAAGAGCATGGCAGCTATCAGAAAGTTGGACAAGGTCTTTGACACACGCAGTCTGAACATGATGGGCAATTATCAGGACAGCTTTGGCAACTACATGGCTGATCTCGATGGCAATGTTTTGCTCGACGTCTACGCTCAGATTGCCTCCATCCCTGTTGGTTACTCCAACCCCTCTTTGCTGCTGGCAGCTACTTCCAAGGAGATGGCCTCGGCCATCATCAACAGACCTGCCCTGGGAAACTTCCCTCAGCACGATTGGGCCGACATTCTCGAGACCGGTATCCTGCGTGTTGCCCCCAAGGGCTGCAACCAGGTCTTCACTGGTCAGTCCGGAAGTGATGCCAACGAGCTTGCCTTCAAGGCTGCCTTCATGTGGAAGAGAGGTCAGCAGCGTGGTGGTCCTGATGTAGACTTCACTCAAGAAGAGATGGACACCTCTATGAACAACCAGGCTCCTGGTGCTCCTCAACTCAGCATCATGTCGTTCAAGTCTGGCTTCCACGGTCGCATGTTCGGCTCGCTGTCAACCACTCGCAGCAAGCCTATTCACAAGCTCGACATTCCTGCCTTTGATTGGCCTCAGGCACCATTCCCCATGCTCAAGTACCCTCTGGAGCAGTTCGCCGAGGAGAACGCACAAGAGGAGGCTCGTTGCCTCGAAGAGACCGAGAGATTGATCAAGTCATGGCATCTGCCTCCGGCTGCCATCATCATTGAGCCCGTTCAATCCGAAGGTGGTGACAACCACGCTTCCCCTGCCTTCTTCCAGGGTCTCCGTGAGATCACTCGCAGAAACGATATTCTGATGATCGTCGATGAAGTTCAGACCGGTGTTGGAGCTACTGGAAAATTCTGGGCTCATGACCACTGGAACCTTCAAGACCCCCCAGACATGGTGACCTTCAGCAAGAAGGCACAGACTGCTGGCTACTACTTTGGCAACGATGAACTCAGACCCAACAAGCCATATCGTCAGTTCAACACTTGGATGGGCGACCCGGCTCGTGCCATCCTCTTCCGTGCTATCATCAACGAGATCGAGCGCCTGAATTTGGTGCAGAACACTGCCGAGACTGGAGATTACCTCTACTCTGGCATTGAGCGTTTGGCACAGAAGTATCCCAAGGAAATCCAGAACCTCCGTGGAAAGGGTCAAGGCACATTCATCGCCTGGGACTCACCACGTCGTGAAGAATTCTTGGCCAAAATGAAGGGTGTTGGTATCAACATTGGTGGCAGTGGTGCTCAAGCCATCAGACTGAGACCTATGCTGATCTTCCAGAAGAAACACGCAGACATTTTGCTCGAGGGTATCGAGAAGGTCTTCCAGTCGTAGTGTCAGTCCAGATGATGAAAAATATTGCTCTGCTGGGAGTTGGTGAATTTTGTGGAGGATGCTCGAAAGTAGCCTAGCTTTAATGATTCACGACCAGACCTAGGTCTTTTGTTTTCTTTTAAAAATGTCAATCCGTGTAACAGTGAAAAGGAAGGTGCTGTGGATTGTTGATCGTGTGATGTGCAACTTCTAAAGCATCAAGCGGGCACCCTGGTCACAAAAGCTATGACGTCTGCTCCTTACCAACAACACAATTCGAGACCTTACCTTCACTTTATTCAAACAAGAGCGAAAGAAACTCCAGCAAACATGTCCGACCTCCTCCGTGCACTACCAAGCATCAAAAACCAAAACAACCCACCAATCCGACCCCCAGCAATGCCCCTAACAACAGCAGACGAAGGCAACTCGTCATCCTCTGACAGTTCAGCATCCACAAACGACAGCATCGACACTCTACGCCCATCAGAGCAAAACAACACTCTGCCCACACCAAACCCTTGGCCTGCATATTTCGATCAAGAGCTCTTCTTCCAACACGATTCAGAGACTCAAAATGCGAAATATCATGTCTATCTGACTCCACCCAAGGATGCGACCAAAGGGCCACTGTTTATTTGTCATCATGGTGCTGGAGCCACGGGGATGAGTTTTGCGTGTTTTGCTGCTGCGGTCAAGAAGGAGATGCCTGGTGCTGGGGTGTGCAGTTTGGAAGCCAGGGAACACGGGTCTGTTGTCACGTCCCCTGTCACCAATGAGGAGATTTTGGATTTCAGCATTGAAACACTGGTTACAGATGCTTTGATGATGATTGAATTGGTAAAAGCAAAGCAAGGCTGGAAGAAATTGCCACCATCTGTTTTCGTTGGGCATAGTCTGGGAGGAGCAGTGGCTACACGTATAGCAGCCGATGGAGTATTAGGAGCGCAACTAGTAGGCTTTGCGGTGTTGGATGTTGTGGAAGGATCGGCTATTGAGGCGCTTTTGCATATGAAGACCTACTTGGCTTCTCGACCTGCATCATTCGCTTCTGTGGATCAAGCGATTAATTGGCATATCCGCAGTCGTACGATCAGGGATCTGGAGAGTGCAAAGGCTAGCGTGCCTAGTCTTTTGGTGAGGGAGGGTGATAGGTGGACTTGGAGGACTGATCTCACGCGTACGCAGCGGTGGTGGGAAGATTGGTTTACGGGGATGAGTGGACGGTTTTTGAGAGGGCGAGCTGCGAAGTCTTTGTTGCTTGCTGGCACGGACAGATTGGACAAGGAGCTCATGGTTGGTCAGATGCAGGGTAAGTTCTCCTTTCCTATTTCGCGTCACGACCTCATGCTAACATATCTTTTCACAGGCAAGTTCCAACTTACAGTCATACCAGAAGCTGGCCACTTCATTCAGGAAGATGTGCCAGAGAAGACGGCACATCTGATGATAGAGTTCTTCAAGAGAAACGACCGTAGCAGTCTGGTACTGCCGCCAAAAGTATCTGATTTGCTTGCACAGGGAAAGAGGGTATAGATGAGATGCTGATACAATAGACGATACACAAGATATTGCTTACCCTTCCTGCTCGTCGCCTGATAGTACTTGGATGGTTACCTTTGATCACATTGAACATTTTACTCGAGTACACTGATCGAGATGTGCAAAAAGCATGAATTGATGTGCCCAATCTGGGATGATGAAAAGTGAGAATGGATGCCCAGCGAAAGGGTATATACATAATGAATAGAAGGATCTCAAGCAGTAGCAACACACATCTACCTCTTGCTGCTCTTGCGCATCCTCTTCTCTCGCTCGTACTCCTTGGCCTCGTGACCCTCTTCTCCTTGGATCTCGGCAACCAATCTCTTGTACTTCTTCTCGTACTCTGCGTCCTTTTCTTTCTTGTCCCGCAATTGTTCGCGTGCAATAAAGTTTGCATCCTTGCGAAGCTCGCGAACGGCTCCCTTGCGCTCGCGCTTGTACTCTTTCTTGAGCTTGGCGGCATCGGCACGTTCGCGGTCGGGGTCGTAGTGCTTGTCTGGGTTGAAGTTTTCCTCGAATTTGGGAATGGATGTGCGGACGGGGAGAGGGCGGTGGTGGTGAAGTTCGAGAGGACGGCGGCGGAGACGTGCTTGTGAGAGCATGATAGAGAGGTGTTGGGAAGACTTCTTCTGGCCCTTGAGAGCTTGAAGGCTTGAAACAGCGGCCGGTGAGAAGATTTGACCAAATGCTGTCTTTGCGCTCCAAAGCTCCGCCATGGCAACAATGTTGTTGACGTGTGGTTGCAACTCCTTCTCGCTGGGTTGAGGACGAAGTTGCAGGGCCTTTACAGTGTAACGAACGGCCTCGGGGATGTATCGCTTGGCTAATGATTGGTACTTGATGCAGAGAGCAACAATGAAGGCGCCGGTAGCCATATTAGATGATGACGGAGGCGTCATTTCCAACCAGCGTCCCATCAGAGTTATAGCCGGGGTGACTACCTGGTGGAAATGATCTGAGGTCGGGTAGATGGTGCTAACAGCAGTCAAGATGACCAAGTCACCAGCAGTGAAAACACCGCTCTCGTGCATAGCAGACATGTGGGTACGGAGGGCCTTGCCGATGGTGCCAGGGTATGTTCTTGACAGAGAGTGCAAGTGGCGGATCAGAGTCTCGATAACAGCCAGAGATTGCTTCTCCTTGGCCATGTATGAGATGTGGTCGACGAGAGCAACAGAGAAGTCAGCAAGTTTCTGCTTATTCTCTGCCGAAAGCGAAGGATGGTAGAGGGCACGAATGCGTTGGACGGCGACTGGGATATCCTCGACAGCCATCTTTCCGAAAAGAGCCAAGACTTCTTCATGGGAGCGTGGGCACTCGTAAGTGTATGCAAGACCAGAAGGAGCGGCCGGGACCACTGTCTTCCTCTCGCTCTTCTCGTCCTTGTCGCCCAAGATGCCTCGCACAAACTCGTCCTCCTCGTCTTCCTCATCAGCAGCGGCAGCTCCTTCCTCAACGTCCGAGTCATCTTCGTCGTCCTCGCTCTCATCACTGATGTCGACGTCTTCGGAGCCGCTGGCGATCAGGTCGTCCTCCATCAAGAATTCGTCCTCATCGTCGTGCACAACCGGGCCTGCCTTTTCGTCGTATTGCTGAGTCGGAAGACCAAATTCAGCGGCATCATCACCAATGTCCTCCTCGTCTTCAGGCATGACCTCAGCGCCGGCCTTCTTGGGCTTCTTCTCCTCGACTTCAAGCTCCTCTTCAGACTCCTCGCCCTTCATACGACGAAGGCGTGATCGTTCCAGGTCCTGCAAGCGTCGGGCATCGTCGAAGGCCTGCTCTTCATCGGTCTTGGTTCGTGTGGTGGGGGCGGCTCTCTGATCCATGGCCATCTGCCTGAGTCTGACATCGTACTCTCTCTCGGTTTCCTCGCGTGATTTGCTTTGAAGCATGGCCAAACGCTCAGGGTTCATGCCGGCGTCCATCTCGGCCTTGTTGGCCTTCGGTGGTGCCTTGACTCCCTGGAGCAGATTCAGCATCTCTTGTAGTCCTGCATCCAGCTCTTCGCGCAAGTCATCGTCGTCTTCCTTGTTCTTTTGTCTCTCATATTTGTGCATCTTCGACTTTGCAATGACCTCCTTCATGACTTCAGCTTTTGACTTTTTGCGTGCCGGCTTGTCGGGGTCCTGCCTTTCGACGTCTGATATGCCCTCTTCTTCGTCATCATCTGATCCAGCAGAAGGTCTTCGGCGTTTCAGACCACGTTCTGACTCGTCGTCGGAGCCCTCGAGGCCCTCCATGTCGAAGTCGTCTCTGTCGAGGTCGAGAGCCTGTCCACCGTGGGTAAGAGCATCCTCTTGGAAATCGTCCTCAGCCTCCAAATCGAAAAGGGAAGCTCCTCCTCTCTTGCGCATCTTTTCCTGAGCGAAACGTTGCAGAGCGCGCTCCTCGGGGGTCATGGTCGGGTCGTTCTCGCCGATACGTCTATCGATGATTCCACCAGTCTTGTTGCGGCGCTGAATCTCGGGCAGCAGAGTGGCACGACGCTACAAAAGGTCAGTTCAGATCATCGGGCGTAGCCTTGTAGCGCTTACAGCTTCCTCGCCCATGCTTCTGGTGACACCGGGTCTGAGAACAGCATCTTTCTTGGGATGCGCAGTCAAAGACTGAAACTTGGCAGGACGGTTGTTGGCCTTGATCTCGAAAGGATTGAAGCTGTCACGGATTTGCTGAAGGGCAGCATTGCGCTGCACCCTGCTGTCGTTGCTGCGTCCTTTTTCTTGCTGCTTTTGCTTCTTTGATTTTTGAGGACCAGTGACACCCTGCTCTCGCAGCGACGCCTTTAGTCGTTTTAATTGTGATGGCGGCATTGTTGTGTTATGGTCGAGTGGCTCCTGTCCAACTTTTTTTGCCTTGAATCGCGAATGGAAAGTCTGAAAGGCAAGATTTCGCTGACCGCCCTCGGCTCAACGTTCCGAATCTCCGGCTTGACGGCCACGTCCGTGCGTCTGTCTTCGACCCTCTCGACCATTTCTAGTTCCACATCATCATGTCTTGGGAAATTCGGGATCGCTATCTATGGTTGGGCTTTGGTATGTAGAACTATTTATATTGGTAACATGGCAAAGCTGATATTTCCAAGGTGCCTTCTTGTTTGTCGCTGTTAGACAAATCTCATCCTCCCTCCATACTACCATCAAGTTAAGCGAGGTTTATGATCCCGATCATGCAAAGGCTGCAAATGATACCCAGGCAGAAGACGGTAAGCTCGCTTTACAGTGACCGGAAGTCTTCATCCTGACGGTATATATAGCCGTAAGCCTTGAAGCATTGTCGACCTTGGTCACCTCACCAAACCAGGACATATCAAATTCGTAAGTACAGCATTTTGTATGTTGGGCAACATTACGAGTTCAACGAAACACACGAACCGCATGATACTGTCATGATGCATCTTTCCAATCTAGCTTCAAAACCAACGGAAGTATCTAATCAGCTCTCCAGCGCAATATCCCTGATCCTCTCTCGCTTCGCCCAAGATGAACAAGCAACCTCATCACTAACCATCGACCTCTTCTCCTCTTCTCCCGCCACTCGTCTTAAAGCCAAACAATCCCTCGATCTCTTCGACAATCATTACACCCTAGACCTTTACCCCCTAAACGACACCACAGTCTCTTCCCTCCACGACAAATCAAACCCAACAACCCAACTAATGTGCCGAGCCTACTTTCGCGCCGCCAGAAAGTATCGTCAAGGACGACTAGGTTCATTAGTTGAAATTGCAGTTGCGGTGGAAGAGTCAACCAGGATTTCTCAGAGGTCACAACGAGGCCAGAGATATCCAGAGACGCATTTTGTGTTTCCGCAGGGGAGGGAGGGGGAAGTGGTGGGGAGATTTCAACCTGCCGGGCAGAGGGTAGAGTCGTTGGTTGGTTTGTTGGCTGAGCAGGCGGTTGCTACAAGACCGATGGTCAGATTCGCTGCTGTTGCTTCTGGAGAGACTAGTGGGGTTGCTTCTTCTACGACTTCTGAGCTTCCGGTTTTGGAAGAGGTCGAGGTTGTTGTTGTTGATGATCAACCACGTGTTGCTAGAGCGAGGTTTCAGTCGTCTACTAATCAGGAGGCTGAAGCGAGGAGACGGAGGAGAGAAGTTATGGTCTTGCATGAAGGCGGAGGTATGATCGGGACGGATGATATTATCCATCCTCGCACAAACAACCGCTCCTAGGTACACGAAGAGCGTGTCTTATCAGTCCTAGGAGGAAGTGAACGATCACAGTTGGCAAATGAGGCCTCGGCCATGAGTATCAATGCTGTTGAAATTGTTCTTGAATTATCTCAGTGTCTGTGCACCATGCTAAAGGTGCCGTATATCCCTACCTAGATGACCCTCCATGACACGCCTATACTCCTAGTTCAAATATTAAAACAGGACACCAGTCTACCCTCATGTACGCCAAAAGCCCTAGTCGTGTATACAAGAATTGATTTTGATCATCCGTCTACTCGAACGTCATCGACAGTTCCTTCTCCTTACCAAAATCATCGTCATCGTCCGCCCATGCATTACGCTCATAAGACATCGGCGTGTTATTTGACACTGAACGATTGGACACCGGCATGGTGTTTGATGATTGCAGCGCAGGTCTGATTGCGAACTGCGAAGATGTAGGCGAGAGCACCGGTGAACCGCGCGATGAAGCTTGACGATCACCAAATGTTGGTCGAGGTCTCTCCGGACTCTCGAAAGTCATGGATATTTCAGAGTCGTTTTGAGCAGTGTACTCAAATTCGTCGTAGTCATGTTGTTGGTTTCTATTCGTTCCATTGGCTTGGTTGATGCTGCTCGACGAGTCTCTAGCTCCATCTGAGAAACCACTGAAGCTCTTGGTTTGCCGCAGAATTGGCGGACTTTTTAATCCGTCGCCGTTTATCGGATTCGCTGTGGTGTCAATCTTCATAGGTGGTAATGTGCCTTTGATCTCTTTGATCTCAATACCCTGGGCTGCGAGTGCAGCCACCTCGTGCTGCAGAGCATCAATGTCGAAGAGTGTTCCTTGGTTAGATCCATCGGCCAATTCACTTGCAGGTCCAGCCTTGATCTTTTCGTCATATGTCTCCCACTCTTTCTTCTCCGCGTTCTTCTTGTTTCGGCTGAAGAGTGCTTTGAAGCCTTTCTTCTCGGGCTTCTTTTCAAGAGCCAGTCTGGCCTCCTCGATCTCATTGATGAGTTCTCGTTGTCTCTTTTCGTGGTTGTCCGGGTCCGGATCCTCAATCTCAGAGAACTCCTCGCTATCAACCACCCAGCCGACCTCCTTGAGCAGCTTCGGCATAGCTTTACGGTAGGCCATGTGGCCAGCCACGGTCTCTGTTACGTTGTAGTTCTCGACACCAGGGATGTCTACCGAAGCAAGTCCAGCAATGCGCATAATACCTCCGGCAGTGGCGCGGAACAGATAGCCCAGGATCCAGTCATTCGTTGCATATCCGTTGACGAATCTGCCTGCTACTACCGATTTCGCCTTTATGTAATCGTCCTTTTTGAACACAACCGGACTGCCAAAAACGTAGACATTTTGGACGACATCGTATGCGCCGCGATTAGCGAGCTCTCTTAGACAGGCGTAAATTACACGAGAGCCTAAAGAGAAGCCAACAAGCGTTACAGGTCGGACGCCCAGATTACGTTCAATGAGCGAGTCGGCAAGAATCAAGCCAGCCATATCAGCACGAGCCATCGATACACTCCATGGATTGTCGATCAGATATGACAACTTCGTGAGCACAAGTGGTAGTGACATGGCAGACATGAGAGCGGTGAGCAACGTACTGCCAAGGATTTGCTGAAGACCTTGGGTGAGAGCCTATGAATCGTTAGCAAGAATGTACGTGGATGGATATGAATGATCGTTTACCTCAGTTGCAAGAATGTTAATGGTCTGACCCATGCTTTGCAGCATTTCTGGCTCCCAGTGTACACTGTAGATATCGCCCATGATAGGATTCACCGTACTGAAAGGCAGACGGACATCATCGACCTTGCCTGTCATCCAGCCTGCCACGGTGACTATAAGGTTTACACGTTTATTGTTGTGGAGTGGGCGATATTCGAAAGTCTTGACCGGGCCTGTTCGTCTGTTACTTGCTCGAACTGCGATTGTACCTCCTGTGGTGACACCAATGGATGTAATCAGAGCTGCGCCACCAACACCTCCAAGGAAAGTGCTCGTTCCAGCGACACCGATAGTCGTGAACCCAGCAGCAAGACCAGCGCCAATGACAGGTGCGAGGAGACCAGCACTCAGGCCAATGACTAGACCTCCACCAACGGTGGCCAGGCCCATCATGACCAGTCTTCTATTCCGTGCCATCTTTTGACGCTTGTCAGTGTGTTCTTCTTCGTTCCAATTCTCCTTGTCTGCCTCTTGCTGCATCTCCAAAGCGTCTGTAATTCGCTTTTCGAAGCGGCAAATTTCGAGCCAGTCCACAGAGAGAGCGCTTCCGACTGCTTCCAGAAGGGCCCTTGAACGACCATCGTAGACACTGTCAGCAACCAAGACTAGGAACAGATCGCAAAGAACAGTCCATCGAAGGTCGATGTCGATATTTTTCGTGTCTGGTAGCTCCGATGGATCCTTGACCGAATAATCCGGCGGTGTCTCTTGCTCATATGGTGGGGGCATTGAAGGGGTCGGGGGGGCACTGAGAGGCGGTGACTTGAGAGTTTGAGAATCCGAGAGATTTGGGGAGGCAGGAGCGTCTTCCTTGGCCTTTGTGGGATTTTTGACTCTGGCGTTCTGCATCAGGGGGGTCGTTAGATCTGCAGGTTCAACGCCGTGTTCGGCCAGCTGCTCAATCATGATCTGTTCGGCGGCATCGAGATCCATGTGACTGTACAGGCGCACCATGATCTTCTGGCCCCACATTTGCATAGACTCTACGGCAACGTCGAGCTGTTTCTTTGTAGAACGAGTCTTGTCGAGGCCTTCGAGGTATTTTGTCATCTGATACATGGACACTCGAACAAGACCGACGTAGGCGATGCGTTGGCCTTCAGTCAGGAGATCCTTCGTGGCTTGCATCTGGGATAAAACATCGCGGCTGTCGTCGTCGTCCAAGGTGTTGGCACCAGCATCTGGCTTGAAGAGGTAGGCAGTGTCCTCATCTAGACTGGTGGCAGATTGAACATCGTCATCAAGCTGAACTCTGGTATAGCCCTTTGCAGCAGCATTGCCGTATGCATAGTCTTCGTCCTCAAGTTCTGCGACCTCACGGGCGACGATCTTGCCCCAATCGTCGTAGATGGTGTGGGTAGCAAAGGCAGGCATCTCCTGCCATTCCAGCTCATTCTCTTGCGGTTGTTTCTCCTTGGCTGGAGCAGCCGTGACAGCTTGATGAGACCATTCGGATGCGCCGACAGCAGGTTGTGTGAGCGAGTCGGAGTTCGCAACCATGACAGCTTGTTGCGCTTGATCGTGAATGACTGGGTCGACTACCGATGCATTGGCCTCAGTGATCACCGGATTGGCGAGGGGGACCGCAGTCGAGATTGTGGATTGCGCAGTGTTATGGTCCTCGATAGCGGCTGTCTCTGGTATTGTCGCATTGGGGAAAGAGGGGCCCTCCTGAGCTACAGAGGGGTCCGGAGGCTTCTGCTCGGTTACATCGACATGAGTCGAAGTGGTGGAAGGAGCGGGCTGGTCGTTGCTGTCCTCATCGTCATAAGTCCTCGTCCTGGCAGGTCGAATAGGGAGACCAAATTCATCGACCTTTGGTTCAGCAGTGGGTCCAGTCTTGGACGGGAGCCGGTCCTGATCGTCGGGCATGTTCATAGATAGTCTGCGCCGGGCCGAGCGATGGGTAGAGCACTATTGTATTTCCATGACACGTGCCTATCGCTAGGGGCGTCAAGATGTCGAGAAAGTGTCTTTTGATGGATTCCAATGTCCCTCAAGGTTCCTACCCGTCCCGGAATGCAAGCCCGCGCCTCCCCCACGCCGTCAGCCACACACGTCCAATCAGCCACATGACCCAACTCTAAATCTTTTGCTTTGGTCTTTTTTTATCCTATACCATTTTACGCCCAACACATCGCCCTTGTTGCAGTTGCCCTCGCTCTCAAACCTCGATACTCTAGGACATCTGGATCCTCAGTCTTCTCAACACTCGAGTAACATCACAACACCAATCCCATCATGCGCGGCAAACGTTCAAAGCAGTATCGCAAGCTCATGCACCAGTATGAGCTTTCCTTCAACTTCCGTGTCCCCTACCAGGTCTTGATAGACGCCGAAATGATCAAGGATACTTTTCGCTTCAAGATGAATCTCCCCCTCTTCCTGGAACGTACCCTCCATGGAGAAATCAAGCCCAGTATGTCTCTTTGACCGTCAACGCCTTGTCGCATACCAGAACTAACGTCCAAAAGTGATCACACAATGCTCAATACGTCATCTGTATACCGCCGATGCGCCCGATGTCGCCTCAAAGAATGCCTGGATCGATACTGCAAAGTCCTTCGAGCGCCGTCGCTGCAATCACCACACTCTCGACGAGCCTCTGTCAACCCTGGAATGCCTCAAGTCCGTAGTCGATCCCAAGGATAGCAGCACAAACAAAAACCGCTATGTTGTCGCCAGTCAAGACCAGAAGGTCAGATCTGCCATGCGTAGAATCACCGGTGTACCTCTCATCTACGTCAACCGCAGTGTCATGATCATGGAGCCCATGGCAACACAGACTGAAGAGTTCAGAGAAGCAGAGGAGATGGGCAAGGTCAGAGCCGGCTTGAAGGGCAGAAGAGGTGCCGCCCCCGAGCAAGCCTTGAAGCGCAAGAGAGAGGATGACGACGAAGACGACGCTGGAGCAGAAGGCGGTGCTCCTGCACCAGGCGCGGACGCTGCGCCAAAGAAGCGCGTGAGAAAGGGTCCCAAGGGTCCCAACCCTCTCAGTATGAAAAAGTCAAAGAAGCAAACAACGAAAGAGGAGGCAGAGAGGCAAGCAATCAGAAAGGCTATAAAGTCAGATCCACAAGCTGCAGAAAAGGCTCTTCCTGCAGACATCGCAATTGAGGCGACAGCAGATGGCGGCGAAGACGGAGCCGGCAAGAAGAGACGGCGAAGAAAGCACAAGACTGCCGCAGATCAGGCAGACGCCGACGATGCTCCTGCTATTGCTATGGAGGTCAATGCATGAGTCTAACATTACATATTCAGAGTTACACCAATCATACCTTTACCAAAGCGCAAAAGGAGGTTCTTTTGCTACGCACACTACTTCTCGCTACCATTGTGGAAACATTTCTGGCTTTTCGTTCACATCCTGGGTGACTAGTTTGGGTATTCTGAAAGTAAAAAGGAGATCTGATTGATTATAAACACAGGCATCGCTGTTTGGTATAGTATGAACAAAACGCCGGGCTCCTAAAATCAGAATAGACGAGCAGCAACTGGTGGAATATCCAGTGCGAGTATCTTCCCATAACGCCAAACAACGGTCATGCAATATCTTCTGCTTTTTCTTTTTCTTCTGGTTCTACCACAACATAAAGGCCAAGATGGTAACGAGTACTGGCAGTGTGACAGACATCGATGAGCAAGGCACGGCTACCGGCAAAGCACTGCTGCTGAGATTGCCAGTCGCATAGACTAGCTGGAAGCTCAAATCGGACGAGTTGAAGCAGTTGGATGCGTTTACTTCTGGTACGTCGGCTGGATCCGCCAGTGTTACATCTGCACACTGCGGCCGATTTATGTCAACCCTGGGCTGCACTCTGAAGCTTGAAGTTGCTTACATTGTAGATGGCTGCACCGTGTTGTGCAAGCTCGACGACTTGTATTGTTATGTTGTCGCCAATATTGAATGTGACATCGGGTACCAGTGGCACTTGGGGTAGGCAGAACGTGCCTGGATATTCGACATTCGTTGGTCCTGTTATCTGGAAAGGCCCTGCGACCGGGTGTGACATGTTCGGTGGCGCAACCTCTCCGGGGCCGTTGATGCCAATATTGACATAGAACATCGCCGTCTTGTGGCCTGGAAGGTGTCAACCATCTGGATCATATTGGAGACCACGTGTCGTCGTACCTTGAAACCATCCTGGCTGAACAGCAAGTGCACCACCAGAGACCGGCCACAGACTTCTGTTCGTGCTCATCGGCATACCTCCACAAGGATACATCCACTGCTGGCTTTGTGAAACAGACTGTGTTAGCGACGGTACATGGCAATCTACCCGGCATCGAGCAACTTACCCATATGGGAATGTGTATTGACCATCGACATAGTTCTCTCCCATGGCAGTCATATCGTGTTCTGGCTTAGTGCCATTGGTGATGAGATTGTTCCCTCTCCATGGAGGATATGTGATGACTTGATACGTCTTAGAAAGCAGGTCCGGGCTGGCGAAGCAACTGACTTACCAGTATGACACCACCCTGCACTCAGATGGATGGTCAGCGCGACAAGTACGGCGTAAATGTGAAGCATTTTGAGGTTCGGTCCAGGAGAGTATTTCTGATAGCAAGATCACAGACAAAGGAAACCGAGAAACAGGGGGAGGTCTCGACATGAGGAGACGCCGACTTCATGACTTATCTTGCTTAGTGCTATTTCAGCCGCCGTGTGATGGCGATGCAGATTCAGCGACATGGAAACTTGTCGTGAAGTGCTAGCCATTCATACTGTTGCGTTGGTAGCCGTGCATGGTCGACCTTGCCCAATGCGGTTAGCACTAGGCATGTAAGCGCTGAGTCCCCAGGCTAGTAACATCTTCCACTGCCATTACAGGTTGCCATCAACTCACATCAGGTCACTTATATGACTGGAACAACGTATAGTGGTCGGCATCTGTAAGACCATGACTAGACTGCTTACATGTCGTATTCAAGCAACGTGTACGAGCACACGTTCTTTCGACAATCCTGCTCCAGTCAGGTAGGCAAGCTTGTCTCAGCCTCAAGTCCAAGGCATTCAGAACCTGATTACCGGATCTTGATGAATTTCCGGCTATATTCTGATTGGGTCGCCATCAGGAGACACAATGTCTCCATTTAGTTCCCCATGTCGCGTCGGCATGTACGGCACCGCAAGCGCTGATGTGCACGACTGCTGCTATCTCTGTCCTACAAGATGCTGTCAAGCTCTCCAAAGTGGAGACATGCTCAGATTATGTTGGCCGCCTCGAGAAGTAGCCTGGGTTGCCATCCGCGGCTACATGGCGTGTGGATATATTCACGTCTGACCCCCTCAAAGCTTGTCTCTCCTGGCCAAGAACATTGACTTGTGCTGCCACGAACCATTTGCGCGGTCCAGGCGCCCAAGTGTCATTTGCTTGTTTCTGCTTGCTTATATCTATACCGTCGGTCTACAGGATCATGGAGCATGACATTTCTTCTGCTAGCGCCGCCTCGACACCTGGAAACAGCGGAGCAAGTAGACTCCCTCCCTGGGAGGTTACTGATATCCCTCGAGTACCACACATGAGCAGTTCGGCTTCACCACTATCTGGAGCAGAAATGAGAGCCTTGTCATCTTTTTGGACGACTACAACAACACCAGCGCAACCCCCAAACTCTAATATGGACCAAAGGTTTCCAGACTCGGCATTCTCGTCACCGTCTCCTCCATCGCGGGCCGAAACTGGATCATGGTCGGAAAGGAAGCAATCCTTGACAGGTAGCACACGAGCGTTGTCACCCCAACGCAGCGAGCACAGGCATATGAATCCGGCATATGATCAGGTACACGGAGATGGTCCTCCTAATGGCCGGCAACACGTGGTCGCTCTGCCCGGAACCATGTCAAGTCGTTCCACTCTTGAACAGCCCCAGTCGACCAGCTCTAAGAAGATCTCCAATAAACGCCAACACAAGAAAGGTTCGAAGGGTCCCAAAGAGTCTGCACCAATTGGCCATCGTTTCACCTCCGCAGTGAAGGAGCTCTTCCGGAAGGAGCCTGTCGATGATAGGCAATTTGAGCGAATCGGTGAACGACACTGGTCGGAGGACTGAAGAGCACGCTATCGTTTGTTCAACGAACCAACATGCCTGAGCCGGATTCGACGTCCGAATCCCACCACCAAGTCCCCGATATGCATTTTCTCTAGCGTGTTACTCACAACAACAACAACAACAACAAAGAGTCACACTGCGTCTCGTCACCACTGGGCGCTAGGGGTAACCAACGAGGTGGAGGGAGCACCTCTCTGATCTAAGATGTGACTGAGAAAAATACCGCTAGAAGGTATGCAACTTCAAAGATTGAGTTGGACCCATGTATATAACCACTTCTAAGAGCAGCAGTCGGGATTGCCCTGCGGTACGGCTTGCTTGACCGAATCACGATTTTTTTGTGGTATTTTTGCTACACTTGATCTTTCGCCTGTAAGCAAAAGGCCGAAGCCTGTCATTCATAACTATGCAACTCTGAATTTCAAATAAAGTGCCGAGCTGCTTTTATACTTGATGCTAATTGCATTATTCTTCGATGCGGACAAATGCATCAGCAGATTCAGACCAAGGCCTTTGGTGAAAATCATCCATCAGAGGGGTGTTGAGCATGTGGTTTGATGAATGAGGAGCATGTACCTTTAGCGCGTTGGTTGGGCCGCAACACCGCGTTCTGCCACGTCAATGGGCATGGCTGTTTGCCACACGAGTATTCGAAACACAGAAGCAAAGCAGTGAACCGAGACAAGAGAGCAATCGCTATTGAAGAAAGTCAACGTATAGGTTGCATAAAAACCGGTATCTGGTAAGTGTCGCATGGACGAGACGAACGAGGTGTGTGCGATGAAGTCTTGTGCTCGTCCAGCCCCACTCGGGATCCGCAAGTGGGTGGTGGTTGGCAGCGACGATTCGGCGTGACGGTCGCTGCCCACACGCACAAGTGAGCGCTGACGAGTGCCAACTTTGTCGACATCCATCGCTCTCCCACTCACAAAGAGTCTGCACCTTCCTGCTCCAATCGCTGACCTGCAGCTGCCTGCTTAGCGTCCCGACCGTCCAGCCCTGTCTCTGGCCTGTCTTGCCTTGAGTCCCCCGAGAGCCCCACGCCTTTTCCTCGTCCGCCCCTGCTCGTGAAGGCAGCCCGACGCTTTCTCTCACCACCCTACGTTCACATATCATCAACACCTGCTTGATCTTTACTGCTGTTGATTGCGCCGTCGCGCATAGGAGCCCGCTCTTCCATATACCCGGCTTGTTTCTTGTCCCCGGAGATCCTTGGAACAGGACTGCTCTTCCAGAGCGCAGCGCCCCATCAGGCTTTATCCCATAAGACTCCTGAGTCTCATACCGGCCTCGAGGAACACCGGATTGTTTTTTGCCGTGCTCGTTTGCTTTTCTGCTCCATAACCATGGCTACTGGAGCCATACTGAGGAACTGGTTCGTGCCCAAAGATGGCATTAACCGCCAGGTCATCTCTGCAGACATACAGAAATATCTAGGCAATGATGCGACCGTTCGTCCAGGCAAAGACAAGGTCAACAACAAAGAGGTAGGAGACAAGACGGCAGACCCAGCGAACGGAGCTTTGCTAGCAAGCTGGTGGATCTGACTGACACGACAACAGATCGAGGGCTACTGGATCAAAGCATACAGAAACCTCACTTCGGTATGTCTTCTCCATCATGAGACTTGCCTTGGACCTTGCTGACAGCCATCTCCAGGAAATGATCAATGATCTCCGAATGGCCTCAACCAAATGGGAACAGGAACAGCGTTCAGGCAGAAGAGGTATGTTCATGCACCCGCTCTCTCACCTTGATGCCCCGTCTGACATGCATGGTCCAGGGAATTACGAAGACTCGCACACGTACAGGCAAGCTACAAATCCTGGACTAAATGGTAATGGTCCTTATCGCGCCAGCACGAACTCGCCCCAACTTGATGGACCTTATTCTACCCCTAACGGCCATGTTGCTCATGTTCCCCAAAGGATGGCTGTCCCGGACATGGCCTCTTATGACGATCCCAGACGGATGTACGCTCCTCCTCCCCCCCATTCTACCGCTCCTGTGACCACTGCCTTCGGAGATCCCTCCATGTATGTTTCGCACCAGCCTCGGCAGGCACCCAATGGATACGGTCCCCCAGGAGAATTCTTCAACGGTCATCCAGGTTATGCTCATGATGTTGCCCCACCCCATATGAGAGGCCCTCCTCAGTATCCTCCTCAGTATCCCACCGGACATAGAGATCCAAGGGACGATCCCAGATATGCAGCGGAGTACCAGGATCAGATGAGATATCCCAATTATCCTCCAGTCTCTGTCGCGCCCAATGGAGGAGCCTCGAGTCCGCAGACCACAAGGTCGGATCCTTATCTAACCATGAGTGCTGCGCGCGGACTGACCCCGCCTAGTAACTACCCTCAACCTCGCATGCCGCAATATGATCAATATGGGCGCCGTAAGTCATTACTCAACCACACAAAACTTTTACGGCAGATGCTGACAATATTCGCCGTCTGTAGCTTATCCTCCTTCGACTTCGATGCCTGAGCAGCCCTATCGTCCATCTCCTGTAGATCCCTCATATCGTGAACGCCCATCTGCTCCTCCCGGCTCGGATCGTGGTGCTCCCCGTCGTAGGATCAACTAGAATCGCGATGGTAATAATGTACTGGTTTCTCTCGCTGAACATGGCTCCACGAATTGACGGCTGCGACCTCTTGGGTATAAATTCGATGATTTACTGGTTTTGATGTTAGAAGACTACGATATCCAGTAGTGTATGTTCTGCAGGCCCTTGGACGCCCTTTTGGTCGATATACCATCCGGAAATGATGCCTTCCTCCGTTTCGCTTATGCGTCTTGGGCTCCCTCTCCTCTCTACTCTATTCCATGGACCCGGATTCGTCTTTGTGGATTGGGTACCACCACTGCGGCTGCCATTTTGTTCAGTTCTGCCACGTGCTTTGATTCCTGATCTGATGACCAACGTTTCCACTTCAATTTGATCAGGTGGGGCCGCAAAGTGTTCCAATTCACATTCAGGACCATCAGACATAATTCCTCACGTGGAAAGAACCAGCCATGCCTTCGATGGAGTTTTTGTTTCCCTGCATGACAGGCCTGGCATGGCTTGATCGGCGTTATTTTTTACGAGGTAATCTATCGTTAATGCTCGGGCGGGGTCAAAAGCCTTGGGAGTTCCCAGGCACGATTTTTTCTCAAGATATACTATGATGATCTATCCTGCGCATTTTGGGCACAGTCCAGACTCTCCCCGGCCCCCCTTCGCATGCGCCAGTACGGTTTCGTTGTTTCACATGTGCTCGTTTCTGGGCAACTGACCGTGGACTTTTTCTTTTCAATTCACGGACGTTTGCGATATTGGCCATTTTTATACCTCTGGTACAATGCTCTTGTGGACCCATGCGTTTGGTCTGATTCTCTTGTTCTAACATACTAAACTTTACAACTCATTATGAATATCCAATTATGCTTAGAGCTGCGCCTTTGCTTTGACAACTCTGAAGCCCCATCTCGGCGCATGAACTCTGATTTCCTTACCACCAGTTTTTGTCTGTATGGCAAGCACTACCTCGTCGTTTGTCAGCTTGACCAGATGGCCTTGGTCCTTGTGTCGGAAGCCGCTATCGGTGGGCCAGAGTTGCACAAGATCGCCCTCGTTGAGTTTGACAGGATCATTGCTGTCCACGCCAGTCTGTTGATCATGATACGACGCAGACATGATGTGCTGGATTGCGGCCTGACCATCGAGTGAGACCGTCTTCTTGGACGACGCCTCCACTTCCTTGACCGTCTTTTTGAAGCGACTTAACCACGCCCATGTCTTGGGATGCTGATCCTTTGGGAATGCCTGCTTGGGGAGCATATCACCGATCCAGTTGAAAGGCCAAACGGCTAAAAGGAGATCTATCAGTTTTCCTTGCTCCGACTTTCTCAAAATGTGACAACTTACCATGTATATCTGCAAGACTGACTTTATCTGTACCTCCGATCCATTGTCTTCCATCTGCGAGCAGAGCCTCGAGGATATCGAATGCGTGTCTGATATGTGCCAACGCTTCAGGATATCCCTTTACACGATCAGCTTGAGACCAGCTAGTACCAGTGAAATCCGCTCTATCCTTGAGGAACTTCTCATCCTTCATCACCGGCAGGTCCGGCGGCAAAGACTGTGCGGCCTTTGAAAAGATACCGGCATCTACTGTAAACTTTTCGAGCAAAGCTTCCAGACCCTTGTTGTTGGGCATCGACAGAGGTGGGTACGATGACGCTGGGAAGCTCTGCTCCAATCTTGCTAGGATCAATCTGGTGTCATAGTAGACGTCTCTGCCAATGGATAGCAGAGGGATGCGACGATAGTTGATGCCCAACTCTGCCAAATCGGGGCGTGGCAGCGTGAGGGGCTGGATGCACTCGGCATACGGGATCCCACGTAGCTTAAGGTACCACACGATGCGTTTCGCAAAGGGCGAAAACGTGTAGTGGAAGAGAATGATATCGTTGGGAATTTCTTGCGACGACATTTTTGGTGTATCTGGTAAGAACGATGGTTCAGTGCAGCAGGTTGGGCTGTGGTTTAGTTGTTGTGCTCACAAACCGAGGTCCTCGGCATACTTATGCGATTTGTCCTCCATTTACTGATATTCTCCTGCTAAGAATTGGTGAGCGTGTGTGACCGAGCTATATATCGCACTCTCGAGGTCGGCACCTCGAAAATAGTCGTTGCGATTCTACAAAGAGTGCATTGCTCGCTGTAATGGCTCGCTGTGATGGCTCACTGTGTGGTTGACCCTGTCTTGGTTCCCTGATGACGGCGCGGGGTAGCCAGGGGTCCCGCAACGAGGCTCGCAGCCGCAGACCAGTCTAGACGCAACAAGAGGCTTGCCGATCCGAACCATAATCATTGAAAGCGCATACAGGTTGTAACTTCAAAGACTGGTAATCCCAAGCATGAACTGGAAGAAGTCTATGAGCAATGTTAATACCGGTTTCTCTGTTGCTATTGTCTTATGAGCGATTCCCACGAACTCCATGGGTGTCAGTCGAGCAGGGGTATGTTTACCAGGCACCGGGTATCGGCACGACAGTCCCGTACTACGGATCCGTCGGACTCCGAGCGTCCTGAGGATGAAACTGAACGCGCTCGCCAAAGCTGACCAGAGTCCTGGCCAGAGGTGAGTACAACTAGGATCGAATGGCTGTAGAGAAGTGTCCCTATCTCGTGTTGCCAGCGACTAGACGGCCGTAAAAACAACAAAGTGTAATAAGCCCAGCGTTATAATTGGCTCATTGTCTGACGGGCACGAATAAGGTACGAAAGTCGTCGTCACCTGAAGGCTGCAACGAACGTCAGCCCCTACTTGTTGTTTCTTTGTCACTTCCTTTTGCCTCTCTTTCCATTCTATAATCATCACACCAATCTCCAATCCGCTACTAAACCATACCAATTCCGACGCACATATCAAATCCACTATCCTGACGATCACCACAATGTTCAGCCGCACAGTCGGCGCGCTCGCCGCCCTGTCCATCGGCGCAAACGCCATCCTTTTACCTCCCGGTATCAGCAAGATCTCCGACTCGCGTTCCGGCGCCCTAGGATTTGCTCTCGACCCCAAATCTCAGGCCATCAAGGTACACTGTTCTGGATGTGCCTTCCCTTCGCCCCAGCAGGAGTCTGTTCAGGAGAAGGGAGATGATGACATTGTCTGGATTCAAGGCGGCTCTAAGGATGTTCTTTTCAACTTCACCGTCGACGACAACAACAAGGACCTTCTGTTGAATGGAGTCAAGGTCTACCCCGTCGACACCTTCGTCTTCGATGAGCCTACCGTTGGTCAGGTTCACTCGTCAGCCTCTCTGCTTGACATCAAGAACAATCCAGAACAGGTCACACCTCTTCGCGTCTCATCGGCCGGCATGCAGGTTCATAAGGAGACCGTCTCTTCGCTCAATGACATGCTTGTCACCATCAACTACCAGATCGCCGCACTTGAGTCGCAGTCCATGGCTGTCGACGGCGTTGATATCAAGCTCCTCGAAGGTGCTGATGCTTCGTTGATGATTATCTCGGTCGACGCCGCTCCCAACAAGAACATCGTTGACGGCATCTTCCCCCCCGGTGCCGCTTCCAAGGAATGTGCTATGCTTCCTGCTGCTCTCTGCAAGTGGAAGTCGGTCGTTGAAGACAAGATCTCTGGCTTCAAGCCCAGCATGCCCCATTCCCTAGGTGGCTGTGGTGGTGGCCGTAGACCTCCTCACAGACTGCCAGGTCACATCAGACCTCACTTCGATAAGCCCGCTGACGGCGAGGCTCGTCCCGATCGCCACCATCCCCACGGCCCTGGAGCCCACCCTCACCCCCACCCTCACCATGGTCCTCATGGCATGCATCATGGCAGCCACCATTTCAGACACCACCACATCTTCCCTGCCTTCGTGCGCGCCTTTGTGGCAGTCTTGATCCCAGTCATGGCCGGTGTAACCATGGGCATGTTCGTCAGCTTGATCGGTATGCTCGTTGGTCGCCTGATCTCATTCTTGTGGATCAAGTTTGGTCGCGGAGGTCAGCGTGGCTACGCCAATGTCGCCCAATCCGAGCAAGACACTGAGGATGCTGAGAAGGGCGTCGCTGTTGTTGAAGAAAACATTGATGAGGAGCCTCTGCCCAAGTATGAGGATGCTCCTGCATACGATGAAAAGGCTCGCGAGTAGATGTGCTGCTTCGCTGCAGTCGATCACGCTTCCATTCCATTACTGCTACAAATGCCCTATCACAATTATGTTTTCTCCTTTGTATTCTACCTTTATGCCGGACGGCCGGCCCGCCTTCGCTCCACCCTACCAAGTTCTGTGATTTTATACAGCCTTTGCTCGTTCCTACAGGTTCAAGAACGTCGATGACGCAAATAAAAATCCGCCCTGCATATCAATATTCGAGTTTCTCAACGCTCGTCGCGTGAACATGGTCATCAAGAAAGTGCCGAATGAACTATGTGACCAGATCTTACGGCCGACAACGTGCATACTGTATGGCTGAAGTCATGTAGATTCCAAGATCTTTAGGGCTCGATTTCTTCAACAGCCAATTCAAACTGAAGCCGCATGTGCGCGTGCTATTTACGCATGAAGGAAGCTCCCAAGCCCCCAAGCACCCAAGCCCCAAACGCATCATACTCTTCATGCACGCACAGCAACATATCATTTCATTAATTCTTCCTGCCTCATGCTCGTATACCGATACTGCGGTAGACTGAACATGGCATAAATCCGACTCAGGGCAGAACAACCTACATACTTTTTCTTTGTTCTCTCAAGTCACTTGCTGTCACGGGGACTTTACGCATGCGAGACCCGGTTTCGAATCTCCCATCGTTGATTTTGTGCATTGTGCAGCAAGAATGTAGGCGGTTACCCGTCCGAAGAATGCTGTAGAATGCAGATAGCCGCCTGAAGATATATTGGAAAGTGGTTACCCGCCCGACGATATCTTGGTTTACTTTGATGCATAGACTTGCAGAAAGTGATTTCTCGATCGCTCTTTGCTGCGAGTGTGGTATATCTGGGTAGTGGTGTAGGCGCTTGGATACTTTAGACTAACATGTGTGCGCATGCTCAGGGATTGTTTCCGACGAAAGACAGGGCTCAACGTCTAGTGTCTTTGATCGAGGGCATGCACACTCCGAGCGATGGAATGAATCATGAATAAGTGTAGATACCATGATCTGCTTGCCGTCGACAGTGTGGTCAAGTGTTGAAAGGCGCTGCTGCGAGATAAAGTAATTGCTTAATCGTGAGTTGGAGAGGTGCGTAAGTGGATGGTGGCTGCATGTTCAGCTCTGAACTACGGCTGATGGTAATCAAGATGATGGCATTGACCTAGTCGTCGATCGAGGAGTATGATGGCAAAAGGTGGACAGGCAATTGTTGTACTATGTGCACATGATCTTCGTAGGGATTATATCTAAGACTCGGCCTTTCTTTTCAGCAGTCATAAAGACGAAATGACGGAGCGTGACACCGATGAGTATATCCCTAGCGAGCGAAGGTAGCTGACTTGACATGGGTCGTCGTAAAGGTATAGTGCAATATGCTGTGGAGAACGAAATTCAATCAATTATACTTTTGCTTGCGGTCGGCACTTCTAATCTTCCACCACGACTCGCAAATATCCGGTGGATACTCTTCTTGTAAGGGGTAGGTTGGCATCCGACCGACGTCAAGTGTCATGTCCTTCAACATGGATTGTCTGATGGCCCAGCCAAGCAGCGTAAACTCAACTAGAAAGTGCAGCCCTCAACAAGAATAGATTGGTCTGGACTCGACCATATCCTTGATCGGTTGCCCTTTTCACTTCACTCGACCATATCCCTGATCGGTTGCCCTTCTTACTTGACTCGAGGCTGTTACCTGGCTGGAAGATCATGCTTCGTAATATCGTACTCGCAATATGGTCCACTGTGTGCGTTACCCCAACTAGGCAACAGAGCACCCATGGCGTCGCTAAGGCGGACATATGTTGAGTGCATATCGTCTTTGATGAGAAGAACCACCAAGGAGCGAAAAAGATCATCTTCTTCTTCTGATTGGGTATTTAGGTCGAATCCACAATCTGCACTCGTAGCGGCACCATCTCTTGCTTACGTATGTGTTTGCGTTCGGGCTTACACGTATGAGCCGAGGACATTCACAGCACGGCAAGCATGAAGTTGGCTCGAGTGTTTCCATTTTGCTCCATCGGTCGTCCCTGGAAATGCAAATGCCGGACAGGCGTTGAAGCTGGACGGTTCTTTGCAGCCACCATTCTTTGTAGAACCACGATCTGAAGTGGGGACCACAGATGCAGATCTTGGTGCTTGTTGACCGTGCAAGGAGTGAGCGGCAGTTATGATGGTGCTCATCACCGCCATTCACCAGTCATGTCGTGGCCGGACTATTGTCCTTGTAGCTGGGTTTTGGGACTTTTTGTGGACACTTGAACCGGTGAATGTTCTACTGTTTGGAGACGCGAGTATCAGAGCTGCTTTGGGCATCCCAACGAGTCAGCACCGAGTCCGAGCACGAGTGGGGGAATGCATCATATCTAGACGCCTGAACGACTGTCTCGCGCATAGGAACAGAGTCTAACGGACCGTCTGGTCACCCAGGCTGGCAGACAGCCCCTACGCCTCGCTTCCGACGCACTGAAAGTGTCAATCTGTCATTGTTTATTCTGCGACACTGAAGGACGATTGCAATCAATGCTCGGAGCGGCAATGCTCGTTGCGGCTATTGCACAACGACGGCTGTCACACTTTGGTTAAACAAGAAATCAATATAAGCAGATTGCGGAACGGTTCGTCGTTGATATGGTCGCGCCGGCTCTTGGAGCGTTCGTGCGTTAGGTGCCGGAGTCTAATGCGTTTGGGAGTTGAATATATTGGTGGAGAATTTCACTCGTCCGACCGCAATCAATGCTAAGGTTCTGGTTATAGGTCTTGGCTACTGGGTTGTCAGATTGAACAAGTGGACCTCCAGGAATCGAGTTGCAGCTTACTCGTCAATCTGCAACAACAAACTCTGTTATTGATTGACAGCCACAGTGATCTGGTCCGGAACGCGGCGCATCTAAGACAAGTCGCAAAGATCCTGGTTTCTTTGGTTCCTTTGCGCCTCTCAGGTCGCGCCTTTATCCGGGTCCGAATTGATTGCAACTGTTGCGCGAAGCACCAGTGATCTGCAATTAATATACTTGTACCACAATCGATGATCACGACGCCCAAATCCTCAGAGCGGTGACGCGATGTTTCTCTCGAGCGCGACCGGGGCCGTGAGCGCTGTGGCTTGAATTTGTTTTTATTCTTTGCCCTTGCCGTCTGACGGTCTGCGCGCACGGTGAGCATCGGCGACGTGTCAAGGCCCGCGGAAGGGTTTCATCTCGTTGAAAGGAGCGACGTGACAGGCTACAGCAAGTCGCCCATTTTTGAATACGATGTATCCGTGGTGGTGGTGACGTCCGGACACAACCTTGATTCGTCTTCAGTCGAGAAAGGGGAAACGCGTTGTTGCGGTAACATCGTCACGCGCGAAGGATGAAAAGGCTGTCAAAGGTGACAAGTGGCACCCTTGTCTCGAAGCTGAGATCCTCTAGTTTCAGCAAGTAGACAGTTATCCAATCTGTCAGTGACTCCAATTAACGATGACAGAAAAAGGCACTGAACACCAAAGGTATCTGTCAAGAGGTACCCGCTAACGAACACGAAGGGTATTGCAGCCTCTGCCCTCACTAGTTGATGCTCCACGGAGCAAGCAGGAATTGTTTTCTCGAGTCATGATGAGATGTCAAGGCTCAGGGCAATCCTTCCCTCGAGAACGTCGTGGTCCCAGTGCGTGGGACTGGCAAGTTAGTGGCCGCTCATGTCCGGCAGCCGAGCCGACTTGCTCAAACTAATGGCTGCGCCTCTCCTTGACCGCGGAGTGTGGAGAGTTGGATCTGAACCACGCTTGACGCGAGCTCCGACGCCGATCCCAATTGGTGCTTTGAAGATCTCGCTCGCACGCTCGGGTCACGATCTCTTTTCCACAGTCCTTGGCGATGAGTCCGGGCTGAGCCGGCCTTGCTAAGAAATAGACTTTTCGGCTCTTATTGTGTCTACACGTTCGTAGATGGCGCGAAATTACACTTGTCACCGTCGCCAGCTGAGTCGGTTTAATTACCGTTGATTGTGGGCGTAAAACGGTGTGCACGAATCGATGGCTTCCTCTACTGGAAAGTCCAGCATGTTTCAGTCAAACGACGAACGCGTTTATTCGAAGCATAACGTAAAGTTGGCCTAATGCCCATCTGTTGAGTCAAGACGTAGGTCGATCCATCATCCATGAGCTTGAGTTCGCTCGGAGGGAGCTCCAGATGCGTAGAGGGGAAACCAAGCTTAGACTTGCCACTTCATCTCACCGACTGATGGCATGCTCGCTGTTCTTTCTCCACTCGTATTCCTGACGGCTTGACTCTGTGATCCTGGTCGATCCTCTGACGGCTCAAATCCGGCTTGGACGTGTTAAGGTTCAGTGACAGGCTGATACGTCCGTAAGAGTGGAATCGGAGGATGAACTTTCAAACGCCCTCGTGTCGTGCTGTCAAAAAGTGGTCGCGGTTCTGAGGCGAAGAGAATTCAACAGCAACGTCTGCCACCGAGACCTTCTCCGTTTTAAACTTCCGTAACAGTGTCACGACTGTTCCATGTTGTGGTGTCGTCCCGAACAAGGACTCTACTCTTCGGCCATTGCTGGGAATGGAAGCAAAGCTTGGGAGACTACTGTCGCGGGTGTCTGACCAGGTTCTGCGTTACGCAATCTACTCATTAAATGACTTCTTACCACTCGCCTATTGACAAATCCCTATTTGGGGACTCAGCTGATGTCAAGTACTGCAGTCAAGCATCGAGAATCTGGGAATCTGGTGCTATCAATCTCGAGTCGAGCTTGTGAGAATCTAAAATGTTATTATGTGTGACGTATGTATGTGGATGAGTGTAAAAAGCTGCCGTCAAATCCTTGTGGGTATCTGTAGTTGTCCCCTTGCGTGTTCCAGACCAATTTTACATGTCCAAGCTGCCCTAACCTCGATTGGGTAGCATGCCCCGACATTGCAGTCCCCTCGTATCATGCCCTGCCATGTTATCCCTGGATGGACAGAAAAAAAAACTCCGTGCGATGTGTAAAACAAGATTCGCTGAAACAGATGAAATATACAATGCTGATAAAGTCTGCCAAGACGCTCATTGCATGTCGTCGTCACGGCTTCCAGCACGACTCTTGTCGCGCTTTTCTCTGAGCTCGGGGCATCTTCGCCTGTGGTTGATAAACCAATTGCTGACCTAGGAGAGACATCAGTCAAGGAATAGTGCTGGAATCAAGATCGTGTCTTACCTGAGTCAGATTGATGCCAGCAACGGCGGCGAAATGCCTTTTTTGCTCCTCACTGGGGTACGGGTTGTGCATGTTTTCGTCGAACCATCGCTTCATGATTTCTGTCGATTGCTTGGGGAGATTGCTTCTCTTCCTTGACTTTCCGTTCTGATACTCGTAGTGTGACGGAACGAAGAAAGCGTGAGAGTAAGGGTACGGAGCGTTGCCGTAAGCTTGAGGAACGTCGAGTCTGGCTACTGGCGGGTACTCTTCACGAGGCATACTGTTTGCTGCAGCAGGCATATAAGATTGACGTTGAGGCTCGACAGCATATCTCTCGCGAGTAGGCTGAGGTTGATATTCGCCGTAGCCTGAGTGTCTACGCATTTCTTCGTCCTGTGAAACTGAAGAAGCATTGCTGTACATGCTTGAACGGTTACGAGCCGTTAATATGGGATCGGCAGTAGCATAAACGTCCGACCGAGGAATAGCAGGACTTGGGTAGGTTCTGGGCAGATCAGTCCTTTGGCCTCGAAGGTCTGGTGAGGCGTGATGGCTGTGAATGATGGGACTTCGACTAGATGGAGTGGGCAGATCGAACTGCGAACGCGGTCTCGTCTCCTCGTGGCGTGTTTGGATGTAAGGAAGATTCGTAGGAGCGGCATCAGGAAATGTTCTTTCAGGTGTGCGGGTATCCCATCCCGAGTCAGTTCGTGTTCTTTTGTTAGGATAGAGAGCTGCGGGTTTGTATGAAGGCTGGTGGTCGTATGTTGGCTCTCTAGGCAATGGTTGTAACGGATGACCTTGAGTTGGGGGCGTTGCTGGTGGGCTCATGCCTGACTCTCCAAGGACCTATACGTATATGAGTTCATGTTCAAGAACTGCGCTCGACATAGCTTACGGATCTCAATGAAGGCAAAGAAGGCTTGTTGCTTTCAGCATGATTGTATGGTGGTGAATGTGACGCAGGATAGCGAGTCGGGTAGGACGTCGAAGCGTAAGAAGCATGGTGAATGGGAGTGTCTCTACGAGTCGAATCATGATACATGCCGAAGCTGTGTCGAGAACGGTCAATCAAGGTGATTCCGTCCATATTGTCGAGGTTCCCTGGCTAATATGGTCTTGTTCGAGAGTCAGGTGGTGTGACGATATTGATGAAGAGGTGCAGTCGTGATGAAAAGGTGGTCCAGAACTTGAGATAAGGGAGTCCCAGGAAAGCCGAACGTCAGAAAGGGTAAAAGCAGAGTTTCCAAACTACCAGTCGGATGGGATCACGAGGTGAGGATGCAGGTCGAGTCCCGGGCACAAAAGCACATGTATCGTCCGCTGGCGCTGGACAGGCGGTGCAGCTCTCATGTATAATTTTGGACAGGAAGCACGCTCCACCGTTTCGAACGGGCCTCCCTGGGAGCCGTCAGTGATTGTGCTAGCGGCCTGCGCCAGCGACACCAAGCGCAAATCATCGTCGGTGCATTGATCTGGATGGCTTGACTTAGCACGCCGGCCAACCTGTCACAACCGTCCCTGGCGTCTTGGGGCGGGGCACCAAAAGGAGACAATGCAAATGCCGACGCCATAGCGGTGGGTAACGGAAGCTCGCGCACGAGCCGTAGCCCGGGAGGAGGTTTATAAACGCCATGCACCGTGATCTATGTCTCGATCGACTCCCGAAGTTCCCTGCTTTGATTATGCTTCTCATCCAACCCATGCAAGGCAGGTGCTTGAAGTTTGGCGCTTCTGCATGCCTGACAAAGCTACCTGAGCGGAGACTGGATACGCAAGTCTGCTTTCCTTCTTGCTCTCGTATCTTGGTGTCTAAAACCCCTGACTTTTTCGTGACAGTCGTCAATTTCGTTTTGACCGCCCGGAATGAGAGAAATGCAATCTGCGGTGCTCTTTTGGAATGTCCCTTGGCATGCCGCCATTTCCAGTAAATCACAGCCAGTTTCATGATGCCATGTGGTGGTACTAAACGAAAAGAAGGCTGTAGTGGTTCCTCGTGAGCGGTAATCGCAATCGGCTCCGCGCACGCACGAGACGCTCCTCAATCGACAATAGAGGTGCAGCCAGAGTCAACGCATTTAGTCGTACTCAAGTCATGTCCCCCACAGACAGGGCGCGCGGCACGTTTGGTATATCAGCACGTTCTAACTTTGATCTGTGACAGGCTGTCAGGTACACATGCCAGCTCGAGTCCGAAAAGCCTCGGTCGAGATAGACTCAGATCGGGGGATGTGTAGCTTTGACTCACAAATTATCGACCACTCCCTCGCTTGACATTGGCTACTGGTGATGTAACCTTCGCTCCACACCAGACAAATGAGACTTTCTTCGGAGTGGGATCCCAGAAAAATCACCCATGACAGTAGGTCATCATCCTTGCGAACTAGGGCAAAAGGGAAGTGCAAGGCGGGCCTGGGATCTGCGCGTCAAGTATTGGAACGCACGCAACGATAGCGCGTCCGCAGACGACCAGTCTGCTGGAACCATTGTCTCTCGCAGCGCTGGACGGTCTGTTGTTCCTTCGCAGCGGTCTGGTACCTGCTCGCATTTGGATCATGATTAATACCGTTCAGCTGCCTGACAGGGATAACTGAGTCAGCTCTCGTAGGAGCCGGTTTCCAAGGAGGTCTTTCGAGCCTTAAATGTGAATTCAAAACGGCGAAGACGCCACCATGGAAGAATGATTTGTGTTTTTGGAGTCTCGCATTTGGGCAGAGTTGACAGTAGCGGCCGCACCACTGACGTGCAGGCCAGGGCTCATTCTCTAGAGGCAGTTGCACGACTCATGATGATCTAGATGTGCATTGACATTCCTTGGCGCAACTGCCCCTTGTCTCTTCCCTCGTACTGAGAGTGCGCACCAGATACTGGATGGCTCAGGTCATGATGTAGACTCGGATCGTTCACACCAACATCGTGGGCTTACATTCGATAGTGGATCACTGGTCCAACCCTCCTCGGAGTCTAGGGGAGTAGAGACGCGCCTTCTGCGGCTGCGCCAGTGGTGGCTCAAACAATTTCTCTTATTGACAATCTCCATCTGCTTCGGATCTCGTGCCCGCTCTAGCGGCGCTGCATCCAGAGAAGAATAGGCCCACACAACGATAGTCGTTGCTGATCCCATTTTCTGTCGCGACAGAATAGGGCTCTATAGACGAGAGAGAACCCTGAAGAAATGAAGCTTCGTCTTGACTCTTGCTGCCCTCGGCCGAGTAACATACTTCCTGTACGCATAGGCAGATTCAGCAGACCAGCTGCAACAAGCGTTTTCGGAACAACATCCCGTGACATATTATCTCAAAGTTAACTAGACTCAAAGCAGATGTCGAACTTGTCGTGTGTGTAGATGCTCGATCTTACATCCATTGTACGATCGACTCTGCTTGACTGCTTCATCGTCCCGACAGCACTAGAGCACATCTGCATACTTCCAGTCAGCATATGAGTTAAGGACAAAACGTTGCTCCATGCACGCTTCGTCGCGGCTCCCAGAAGCCGGTCTAGCAGATTGATTGGATATTCGCGACGGCAGGTCGTTTGGTGACAAGGTGCGGGTGCCCCCGCTTTGATAGGTGCCAGGATCTCCATGCCTCCACCGCTACCAGGGTCAGCCAGCTGCATATGCACGTTACTAAGACCTTCCCATCTTGCTAACGCAGTTTGCAAAACCGGGATGGGCCATTCGACTCTTACCGATGCTTCGGGCGCCTGTAAACCCGCTGGCTCGCCTATCGTGCCTTACACCTGGAAACACTCGCCCTCTCGAAGCCGGGGAATCGCGTGCATTACACGACGCCCTGAAAATTCCACAAGTATGGGGGCATGATCTAAAGATTTGCGCACCATTTCGCTATTGTATTGCTCGCTGTACACCCACACTTTCTCATCCCCAGGGGGTCACTCTGAATCCGACACCAGCCTCCCCAGCCCGCACAACTTTTCTTCGATCCGATCGATGATTAGCGAGATTCGTGTTCTGTACATGAGCGTCGCCAGGTCGGGTTGCATTCATTAACAAGAGCTGTCGGTGCAATGCAACGTCCACTGCTTGCTAAGCAGGGTCTGAAGCCACCTAGCCGCCCGTGCAGCCGGTAGGGGATGAGTTGATACTCATCACACGCAATATAGACTGCAGGCATGTGTGTTCGATCCAACACCACCCCTTGGTCGAAGAATACCGCTCTTGCATCCAGCGGCACGACCCGTCAGGCCTTGTGCAACAAGGGACACAAGTTGCAGAGGCGCGGTCCCGAACCAAGATGAGGATACCCCCTTGCTATCGTGGCATGCGACTACAGCCAGCCATTTGCCATGTTCTACCAAGCACCCGGTTGCGAAGAGGAGAGCTGCGTGCGATCCTCCATAATATTAAAACAATGTGGTCCTTGTGACTGTTACTCCCACACGTCCGCAGCAGGTCGGGAGGTGACAGTCCTCATGGTCGGGCTGAATGGACGTGGCCACTATTCCCTCTTGCGCCATCACACCGCTCTGCGATCTTGGGTCCTCTCCTCTCGGGTCCCGCAAGTGGAAATCTGACAGGCGGGAAGAAGTAAAGTACCCCTGCTGATGGCTCGCCAATGGTCCACACGAAACACCTCATGAGGCAAAAGCGAATCAAGACATCTGCGGTGAAGTTTCTGGCGCTCCGCATGAACTGCAAAGCCGTGGTCTTGGTCCACGCCTCGAACGATCTTCATGCCGTGCTACCTCTTCACGTTTCCAGCGCTATGGATCTCTTCGATGATAGGGCCCGGCCCGCCTTGTTGACATTTACGCCGCCATTGTTGGTTGAGTGAGCACAGGCGTTCGATCCTCCTTCCATGTTGGCTGGGTATGTCTCGTCTGTCGTGGTGTTGGGAGCAGCTGCATATTGTGACTGATCGAAAAGATGTGTGCTTTCCTTGGAGATCTCGGACAACGACCACTTCGATGAAGCAATTTCCGATCCTGGTACCCAATTCCCACAGTCTCGGGATTCGATGGTATCGTGCTCCCTTCCTTTGCTGAAACATATGAGTGTGTGGTGTCGTTGAGGCACATGTACCTTCGAAGTGTATACTTGAATTGCCGACCGTGAAGCAGTCACATCACAATCCTTCATTACACAGAGTGGTCTTTGCGAATCGTCTTGTGACTGGCCAGCCCCGTCGCACTCATTTCCCTCACCGAGTGCAAGGATGAAAATTACTCGCATGGGTATGCGAAGTTCGACTTTTCACCTCTAAAGCAATACGTCCAAGCCTTGAGATTACTATGTGTGGTTGAGCCTGAGGGTGCACCTGCTGTTTCCACGCAAGAGGCGATGCGCAACGATGAGTTCGCGCACAAGATCTGCTCAATCTTGAAAACATGCAGTCATCACCTTACACAATACACCACCTCGTACTCGTGATGTCACAACTCCATACGTAACAAGATACTCATGAACCATATCTCGTTGCTGGTGTGCATGTCGGTAAGCACGTTTGAGCCAGGGTGACGGCAATTGCCAGATCGACACAGCATTACCAGCCACCACGTCCACTATAGTGCTAAATGTGCAGGATGAGTTTGACACAAGACGGCGAGAGCCAAGTCGACGTGCGCTGGTGATTGGCTAAACACGCGACATACAAATTGCTTGTCGAGATCTTGGAACATCCGTTCACCAGTCAATTATCATGGACACAGTTTTCAAAGTACAATACCACACACAGCTCTACAACACAAATTCCGGGAAACAACCTCGTATAACCCCTCAATAGCCCTTGCAGCTATATGAACGGTTCGGTCGTCTGCGGGCGAGCCATCGAAGCGCTTATATCCAAGGACCCAGGGACGTGGTGAATGCAAAATCGTCTATACCTGAAACTCGGAAACCCCAGGCAGACTTGAGAGCCAAGGGCAAAGCGAGCCAGCAAGGGTTGAATGATCAGATCTCCGGAATTCGTCCTACGCCGCTTCCGTGTGGTCGGGAGTGCTTTTGTATGCAGTGGTTATATTAGACTTGGCAAGGGCCGGTTGACAACTGTGTCCAGTGCAGTGGTAACGAGGTTGATGCACGTGAGTTGGTTAAGCCATGAGGACGAGACACACAATCGCTTAGAGAGAATGGTTGTTTGCATGGTCGCGCTGTACGGTCCGGCTTCCTTACTCCGTTGGATGTGAATTCTCGTTGATTTCATGTTCGTAAGTCTAGTTCGTATGCGTTATGCAGTCTATATACAACGTCTTGATGGAAATGGCAGCCATGCAGTACTAATCCGAATGATCCCAAATGCCGTTGCTATGCAATGTGTCGTCTCAAGTACGCCTTTGATCCTCGAGGATCAACGAGCACGAGGTGAGGTGTCGATTGTTCCGCTAGTGAATATCTTGGCGGTCTGTAGGTAATGTAGATAGAAGGACAGAACCTAGGCAATCAACACGAAGGCTACGATCAAGGCTGCGACCAAGGAGAATGTCGAATACTCGCTTCGGGTAGACCCAGATGTGGCTGGGGCGGAGGCAGCAGTGCTCACGTTGGTCCTACCGACAGGACTGGTAATTCCGTTGAGATTGTCCACTGTATCAATTGCCGGACCAACATTGAAAAAGTCAACCAAGATATATGTAGGGGCTTGGCCATATGTGTTGGTGCACTCCGTTGCGGATGCTCCCAAGGCGCCAGTACCACTCGATGCCGAGTTTGTAGTGCTGATGTTGCCAAGATCGGGCGACTCGATGATAGTACCGAATAGACTCGTAGTTTGGTAGAGGAAGTGATTCATGAGAGGCATTAAGTTTTTCTGAAGTGCAGAGTTCGTGGTGACGCCAGAGGGGCGGTTCACTGCACACGAGAAGTTGGATGGAGATGTGTTGTCGTAGTTGTTCTCAAAGATGTAGTCGAATTCGTCCAAGAGATAAGGAGCGGCAGAATTGTCATCAAGGCTAGCAACGAAGTTGATCAGGCGCGTTCCGTCGTTGATGAGTGTCTGTAAGGTAGGCCATTCGCTCGGAGCTGTGGTCGTCGCAGGAGTATAGGCGTAGGATGCGATACCAGCCGTGGTGTATGCACTTGCCAGAGCCGAGGCAGAAGAGTCGTCCGAGTTGACAAGTAAGACGGTAACAACTTCGTTCGGATTTCCGTCCATCCATGTTTTGATCTCTGACAGCCAGTTGCTTAACGTTCCGGCGTCGAGAAGAGTACAGCTCGAGTGGCACATGTGCAATGAACCGTTGTTGTTGTGCACCTGGCCAGTCAACATTCTGACACCAGCACTGAGCTGTACAGTCGTATTGTAGAATTGGTTCCCGGATTGTGAGTTGCCAGTGGATGAATCGCGCAGAAACGGGGCGTTATGCGTTCCGAGATACGTCACATTGTTGTATGCTTTACTGCACAGGTCTGGAGAGTTGTTGCATACCGTGGCTCTCTTGGTGACTGCTGATAAAGCGACCTGAGCGAGACATGGAAGCAGGAAGAGGCTGGTTAGGATATTTGAGGTGGACATCATGATTGCTGATAGGTATGTCAGTAGGAAATCAGATTCTGGTTCTAGGTTCTGTCATACCTAATAGATGTGGATGTGACACAGGGCACTGAGGGCTAGAGTTTAGATTTCTGTCTTGTTCTTGATAAATGTGGGATATCCGATCGATAGAACGAAGTTTGGAGTCAAATGGCAAATCGCCCGGAACAGAAGGAGCGACCTGGATGAGAATGCTTTTTTGAGCCTTTACGATATGAGATGGAGTGTAGCTTGTTAATAATGACTGGAAACAGGAGAGATAAATACGAAGAAGACGGATGTAAAAATAAGACTTTCATCGCGGTAAGACGACTGCGCCTCAAGAAGAGTTGTCGTAATCAGTCCCTCATGGCATTACGCAGCCCGAAACACCCCTCGGCCGATGCTTCCTAGACATGTCATGATTTGCTTGCCACAAGGACCAAGACAAGTACAAAATTGCGGAGTTTGCAAGGGTTCTCCAAGCACTGTTAGATTGTCTTGGTCGCAAAAGATGGATGGAGGTCGAAAGACGTGGGGCGGATGTTGGACTGCCAACCACCTGACGACAATCGCAGCTGATGATCTTCTCGTACATCATCAACAAGAGACAGAGAGCATAGCCATAGTCAGACTCCCGGCCTCCGATTAAAATCGCCGGACTCTTGAATTCAAGCAATATGGAGCCCGAGTCATCAGTCGTGCTGAGGGCGCCTGGCGTGTCGCAAAATGACCAATGGTCGCAAACCTCTTCTTATCAATCGCCCAGCCTCTCGTTTTTGCAAGGCACTTGGCACGTCACTCACAGCACTCTGCCCATGTGGAAGTCAAAGCGCAATGTTCAGATCACATACACAGCACTCCCGCCATCGACAGCTGACGCAAAGCTAGACCAGACGGACCGCCTGGACGACGTCGTGTCTTATCAAGGGCTAGATTCAGACAAGTTGCACACGGTTCACGGCGTGGACAAGGCTAGTGGCGGTATTGGAGTGACAGATGTCTGGGACTGGCGTGGAAAAGGATGGCTCATGATTGCTAGCAGTCACTGGGAAGTTCTGGGGTGGGCAGACAAGGGAGCCAGTCAAGACAGCTGGGTCGTCACATATTTCGCAAAGACGCTGTTCACGCCCGCAGGAATCGACTTTTACAGCAGACGCAAAGAAGGGCTGAGTGAGCAGACAATCCAGGACATCAAGGCAGCGCTGAGTCGCGTGGACAATGAAGATGTTCGTCGCTTGTCGAGCGAAGTGTTTGAGGTGAGGACGGACCACTCGGCACAGGGAGATGCATAGGGAGCGAGCGTGTTGCGTTTTGCACGTCCAGGTATCAACAGCGCGCGAGAGAGAAAGAGAGAGAGAGGGGGGGAGAGAGGGAGTAATGTAATAGACAATGATCGACGAGAGAAACGGATGGAAGCTGCTTGGTTGGGTATTTTGGGCTTGGCGTAAAGGAGCTTTATTGCGATAATATACAGCAGGCAAACGTTTAGTTGCTGGCGAACCAAGTCTTGTGGCCCTGTGTACCGTGTTAGACTCGAGGACCTGGGCAGGGTGGGGGCAGTGGATTGGACGCACGAGGACCATTCTGCCCATCATGTACATGGTAGCAGCCGAGGTCGAGGCCAGCAGAGCGTAGTAGGGGTAGAGCATGAACTTGGCGCGAGGGCCCTTCTGCCACTGACGGAGCCCGTCGTGGTTCTGGTGCATGCGCTGCCAGTGGGGGACGTTGTTGCGGCGGTAAAGACCGGGAGAGTTGAGGCTGCTCGAGCTGGTCAGCGATGGAGCACTTCGAGGGCCAGCGACAGGCAGAGGCATCCGCTCAGCTGCGCAGCGGGACCATTGACGCACCCAGCCATTGTGAAGGGGATTAGAGCGGAGATTGAGTCGTGGACGACAGCAAGGCTTCTGCAGATGCGCGACGGCTTTGGTCGTCGGCGTTGGCGTGATGCCCACCCACTGCTCGTCGGCACTTGCCGCCGCGACTCCGAGTGTTCCTTCCCCGGCCAGCAATAATTATGCTGCATGCCTGTCCGCCCGCAATGCAACAGCACCAGCAGCTGCTCTAATCGGCAGGCGTCTCCATGTCTTCTGACAGAGGCTCGCGCGTGTTTGTACCTTCCTTTCTTTCATGCCACTCGGCGTGTCTGCGCTCCACAGAGGGTTGGCCCGACCTTCAGCTCTAGCCTCGCACACCGTCAACTCGACCTCGATTGCCCGCAGTCCCCTGTCGCCCTGTCTCATCCGCCCATATGCCGTCGTCTGTCCTCAGAAGCGACTGCCCGCAGCTACCTCGGTAGCCACCGCCGATCACGTCCGTCAAGAGTTGGAGAATGCCCACAAGGGCAACCACAGCGTGCTCACAAATCATGCCACCAAATCTGGACTTCCACACCTCGAACGCAAGAACTTCCTTGCTCGTCTGACTCCGTGCGCACCCTTGTTCGATCGCCTGCAAGCGAGTTCAGATGCCTTCTCTGCCTTTCGTTACGAGGCCGACGTAAGCAACCGTCTGGGCACCCAAAAGCCTGTAGAGACACGCTTGGTCGAGCAACCTCAGTACTCACAGAACATCAATCTCTGGCTTGAGTTGCTCCGCTTTCGCTTGCGCTTGGACGGTCAGCAAGGTGTGACAGACATTGTCCAAGCTATCGTCCATCGCCGAGTCGTTCTGCCTCTGCATGGCCCTCAAGTCGACCAACTCTGGTCGACCCTTCTGTGGTCCGCTGTCAAGTACCCGCAGGTGCTCCGATGTTTATACCCTTACCTCGTCGAAACTCTTCCTCGCTCTGGACTACTTGACATCGACCTGTACCGCCGCCTGGTGGCTCCCTTCTTGCGTCAGAATCCAATGTTTGCTTTCAAGTGGCACAAGTCTATGCAGGTAGACCGTTTACTACCGCCTGATTTTGTCTCGGTCTTGGCCCAATTGCTCCAAGATGTCCATTTCAGTACACACAAACCAAGGGCCCTTGAAGCATTCAGGAAGATTTACACATCAGCCAAGGTAGGGCATGCATACGATGACTGTATGCTGTCTATGTGTCGTCTATTCGATTTTGATGACGCCGTCGCCATGCATACCTTCTTTCTCCAACATGGTGACTATCCCTCGTCCGCGATGCGCTCAATGCCTGTGATAGCTCACTTGGATGAGCAGAGTTGGCTTGCCAAGTCAAACATGAAGGAGTCAGCCAGAGTCCGCTTCGAAGGCCAGATTAGGGAAGCTCGGCATGATTTTGAACTACTGAGGCCTGTCGAGTCCGCCGTTTCACGTGCTGAGACCACCTTGCTTTCCTTCACCCGCGAGAACATGAGCAGCATCGTGGGCGATGTTCACAATATCAAAGAAAAAGAATTGAACGATTCTTTCTGTGCTCGCTTATTTGCTACAACGGCTTTCTCTACTGACTTGATCATCACTGGACTACGCATGCTCGGGTTAAAACTACTGGGCAATCTGGCTCTAAGAGAGATAGCTGCACGCGTGCGTGATCCAGCCGAGTACATTGCCACCGTCGACGCTATACAACGTGCGGGTATTTCTGTTGTGGATTCGGTCTTTAGCCGAGCGTTGAAGTCTTTCGCCAGCCAACCAGACAAGTACCCGAGCTATAATTTTCTACTCATGAGCGACCAGCATCCGACAGCCTACGAAAATCGCGCTTTGCAAAAAAAGCTGTTCGCCTCGTTTCTAGACTCTGGTGATCACAGTCAGACCAATGCTATTCTCGACATTCTAACCCTTGGCAAACCTGAGCCGGAGAACTACCACGCAAACCTGATTCTCCAGACGTACGCTCGTCGTGGCCAAAGAGCATCAATATTACAGATTTTGCACGAAATGAGATTGCACCGAATCCCTGTCTCTGACCCGTCGTTACATATCATTCAATGGACAGCTCTGAGGCCTCGATCTCGATCCAAGAGACCCATTACGCAACGACATCAAGAATACAAAGACGACCTGGACTTTACTGCTAATGTATTCTTGGAAACCATGCGCACCGGTCAGCTCTTCAACCCCTCACGATGGCATGAAGTATTGAAACGATATGGTATGGAAAACAGATTACCAGCGCTCGAGAGATTGTCGGTCTGGTTGAGCTTGTGGTATTCCGGGCGCCTCGAGAAAGACGCCGTACTCCATGGTAGGGTCCTATCAAACGAAGGAGACGTCGTCAAGGACAGCAAAATAGTACGGTACACAGGTGGTCCGCATCCTCTGGCCGTCTTATTCACGCCCCATATCTTACGTGCCATGGTCGCGTGGGGTTTCAAAAGCGAGGTGTCATCTCCAGTGTCCACAACCTCTCCCAAGCCGGACTCTTCGGCAGATTCTCTCGCACGACCTCAGGGATCTGAAACAGAGTTAGTAGCAGACTGGACCAGAGGCCTAGTGCTCGTTTCCAAACTCGAAGACTTTGGCGTCAATCTTGAACACACGCGTCTACGTAGAGAGGTTAAGCTACGACTTTGGACTCTCTATGGGCCAGGGCAGTCAACAGTTCCGGTCAACAGACGGGCCCGAGCGATGAACAAGTTGTCACTCGTCGATCGAGTCGATCGGATACACCGTATCATGGGTCCCAATTGGCTCAAACTGCCTCTATCGATCAGGGACCGGCCCCACGTGAGCCACCGGGCAATGTACCATGCATTGTTCGGCCAACCCAGAAGAACGAGGAGGAGGACACAGAAAGACCGTGGATGATATTGACAATTCTACTCTCGCATCGATCGAATCATTTGACCCTCACGCATGCTGTTCGTGTTTCTAACCCAAGAGTCTACACTTGAGGGTACTGCTTGCACAGCATTGTCGGGACTAGCTAAAGGATCACCCAGAACTTGACGGACCGGGACGACACCTGTCCAAACTCGAGCTGTGGTGGCTTCATCTTTCAAGTCCTTCTTATCGTCATGAGGGCCGCCATTCCGTACCTTGACACTCGCAGTCTCGATGCATACCTTGAGTATTCCAGTTGCGATGAGCTCCGACTTGGTGGGCGGCGTTCGAGAGTTTACCCATCGATCTGTGATGAGATGGTTTGTTATGAGTTCCATGGCATGCATCATCTCGTCCGAGTCTGTGACTTTGGTGGCGTAACCAAAGACAACGGCAGAGCGGTAGTTGCAAGAGTGGTTGAAAGGCGTCAGAGCAAGCACATAGCCATCTAGCAGAGTCGCTGCGATGCATACGGGTAACCCGTATTCATCATCCCCGGCGCCGAGGCGAAAAAGGCGGGCAGCCGATGACCCATGTAGATATATAATTTGGTCATCGTCTGCAGCGGGATCCTGGTCAATGGCACCGAGCATAGGCAGTATGGTAGGGAACTGAGGCCCTGCGTCTTGTGATCGAGGCGTGTTGAAGGAGACATGTAGGATAGGTGCTGCCTCCACAATACTGCGTACGGCATCCTTGTCGTATGTCACTGTACACAAACAAAAGCGTTAGATACTGTACATTCAATTGTTTTGAAGCCATGGCTGTTTATACCTCGCTTGGCGTATCTCTTCGCTTTACTCTTCTCATCCTGTGAATAGGTGTTGGTAGAAGCCATTGTACAAGACCGTTGGACCGGAGACGAGTCGTGAGAACAGTGACTTATAAAGGTTCGACAGGAACTCAAGGCCCAAGAGATAAGAGTGCTGTAAGCTCGGTCTGTAGACCCCTTATCCTCAGAGGGCAGGTACAGCGGAAAAGGTCCCGCCGCTTTGACTTGCCTGATTCGGCCTCGCTCAAGTTGTATGACGCCGAATCTCGAGTCTTGGGTCACAATCAAGTATCCAACTTCTTACTGGCCTGTACTTTTCGTCGAATCCTCGAACGACCATGCGGCCATTAGCTCAGTTATATTGATCTGGGTCTACAGCCGCAGCAAAGCGCCGCATGTAAAAAGCCTGGAAGTTGGTGGAGCCGCTCTCGTAGCAACAGCCCTTTTGACAACTTGCATTCCTTGGGACGTTTGTATTTTGTCCATGTACTCCAAGGTACAATACTGCTATCTGTCGTCTTTGAGGCGACAAGCTTGTCCAGACTATTTTGGGCTCGGCGAACATGTCACCTCCTCGACAACCCGCGATTGAAGACCAAGCGCGCATTTTCTCTGAGATCCCGATGATTTGCCTCGAAGCATGAACGCTCATCCTGTCTCCATCATCGTCTTTGCCATTCACAATCTGATACTCGACTCAGCTGAGCTTGTCTGCGACCATGCCTCAAAACGATTGTAGCGAGCAAAAGACACAGGTTCTTATCGAAGCGTTGACTTGATATTGACCGGACGATACAGCGGTCTCGAGAACCATATCCCTCGCTATATTTTGGACGGTAGCAGTCGCCCTCACTCTCGAAAATGGTCGCTATGTCAGAAGACATTATACGGCGAATGAGTTGAGGTTTATGTCTACAGCCATGTATACCCTTACCGTGTTCCAGCAGGAACACTTTGTATCGAATGATGCCAGACGCCATCGTAAGTGCGACAATCGAAAGGAGGTAGATGCCACATTTTTCCATGGTGAGCTGCCGGCGAAGAGTCAGTTTTGCTGAACTCTGGTGGCCTTCCTGCAAGCGGTAGCCTGGACTCTTCCTCGACGTAATTGGCGAGGAACTTGGAGGGCGGGCAGACACAGCAAGCAGTAAAGGAGGAACATCAGCTGACGACTCTGGGGCTGAGAGGTTCGGTTTGCAAGATGACCACACTCAGGATGTGGTGCAGCTCGGTCGCCATGGTGGCAGATTCTGGCTGGCGATGTCATCCAGGGGTCAGTCTTCGGACAGCGACGAGGGTCTCCGGGTCGAAGCAGATGTGGTAGGAGGGTTCCGGAATAGGTTAGAGCATCGAAAGGTCGCGGATAATTCGAGATCGTCTTGCACTGCGTTCACTCATGGTCACCGACGATAAGTTCAATTGTTGTCGAGGATGTCAAACTCACGAAAAACATCGCCAACTTGTACATGCGCCTAGCACGCACAACAACACAACCTTCTCAACCCTTGTTACTCTACACTACTACTGCTGTCGTCAGGCATATCGTAGACACTCTCAGTCGTCTCGAGTGCCGAGAGTCGAGAGTCGAGCGACGAAACAATCTGACAACCTGACAACCGCTTTGTCCGATACTCCTCGATCCTCGAACGCCAAGGCGTATATCGTCCCTATCTTCCCACCCGAGCTGTGCAATCATCATGGTAAGATCATGTGGTCTGGCAATCCCCCCTTCTGACTCCTTGCTGATGATTACAGGCGCCCATCCGTAGATCTCAAACCGACAAGAAATCTAGCCCACGCCGCTCAGAAAGAGTCGCAGCAGCGTATGTAATCATGACCCACGTTAGAATATGGCTCTCTTGCTGACTTTGGAGCAGTTCGCAGCTCGATACCTCGCGGGTCTCTATCTTCGTTGGTTCGGAGCAGCAAAAGTTTGTACTCAACAACGAGCACGCCTTCGAATGCCTGTTCTTCGAGAAGGCCTTGCGAGCCCCGTGGACTGAAAGTCAAACCTGCACCATCTTTATTGAAGATGTCTCCATCTGTCTCTTCGAAATTTTCAAAAACTGCGTCACAGAAAAGCGTCTGTTCTCCAAGAACAAGAATCTCAAAGCCGATCTGATCCGCGAGTTTGGCGACCAGAGCTGCAGCGAGAGTGAAACCCACTCTGAGGGGCTCAAGCTCAAAAGTCCTCAGACCTGGCCGTTCCACATCCTGATCAAAATCTACATTCTCGCGGACTATCTCAACACCGCCATTGTCCGAAGAGCAATCCTCGATGCCATGATTTTGAAGCACGAGAACAGTGTTCATGTCATCGGCATACCGCAGATCAAACTTGCCTACGACTACACGTACGAAGGATCTCCCCTACGCAAGTTACTCGTCCATGTTTATGCATATGACACTGTCATCTTCCCGGATCCCCGTCGCTACAGAGATCTGCCAGTTGAGTTCTTGGCAGCTGTCATGGTGACGATGGGAACCAAGAAGCCAGACAGGTTGTGCAACGACTGCTACCGTAGATCTCTGCTTCTGAGCGTCCTCGGCGACAGACCAGACAATCTGCATGATTCGGTCGACGGCCCACCTTGGGAGGAGATGGACTCGTGCGTCTACCACGAACACCCGGTTGAGGAGGGCGGCAAGACCTGCAAAGCCAAGGTCGCCAGAGACAAGGTCCTCAAGAGACGTATCAAGGAGACGGGAAGCAAGATTCGCTATCCCAATTGATCTTGCGTCAAAGCATGGTAGAGGTCATTGAGCTTGTTGCAAAAGTCGAGGGCAGATTGGTGGTCGTTGACCCGGATGGAGGAGTTATCAGTCATCTTCTCCTGGAATACCAGGACATCTGGTCAAGCTCGTCAAAAAGAAGGAGAGCAAAGTGCTCGGTCGTGGACCTGAGGAGGGAGTCGTTAGTTATCTTCCCTCAACATTCGCGTGCACCGACAATACAGAACTGCCACGATGCATGCAATCAGTAAAATTGTTCCCCCCTACGAACTTTCTCGAGACAAGGTGTGTTAGCAAGCCGCAGGTCGTGTCGGTGCAGACATGCCGGTACCGGACGTGCACAGGCTACTTTTCTTCTCCAGCTCTCGACGTCCGCCACGCGTGTCGCTGTGTCAATACACAATACTTTTTGAAAACCAAATACCAGCTACTGAGACGTGTCAATCTATCGACTCTCCATAGAGGTAGTTTGGAATCCAGGAAATATTCATGCAGTTCTACAGCCTGTTGAGCACTATCCGTCGACGTCGGAAGACGATTGGTTAATGGACTCTCCATTGGTGTTGCTTCAATTTGAGAAACGACTTTGCATTTCGACAGGTGGTTGGTGACCCTAATTGGCACTGAAGCAAGCACAAATCACATGTGCACCAGAGTAGACTGAAAGAAATCGAGGTGAAGGTAATGGACAGAACAAAATCGTGAACGTTAAAACATGTCATTGCTTCAATATGGAAGTAGTGAGATTAAGGAAAAGCCTCTTGCGGTCCTGTATACCAGTGACGCTCGAAACTCATTTTCATAACATTTGCTCATCATCTTTTCAGACTCAGAGCTTGGTCAAACGCAAATCAGAAGAGATTTATGCGTTACCGTCAACCTTGGCAATGTAGGCCAGGAGGTCGAGGACACGGCGGGAGTAACCCCACTCGTTGTCGTCTGCAAATTGATGTCAGTAAGAGGCACGATTAGAGCTGGATGAGACAGAACTTACACCACGAAACAAGCTTGACGAAGTTGTCGTTGAGCGAGATACCGGCCTTGGCATCGAAGATGGAAGACTCGTTGGCACCGCACATGTCGGAGGAGACGATCTCGTCCTCGGTGTAACCGAGAATGCCCTTAAGTTCACCCTCGGAGGCGTCCTTGATGGCCTTCTTGATGGTCTCGTAAGAGGCACCCTTCTCGAGGCGGGCGGTAAGGTCGACAACGGAGACGTTGGCGGTGGGGACACGCATGGACATACCGGTGAGCTTGCCGTTAAGCTCAGGGATGACCTTGCCGACGGCCTTGGCGGCACCAGTGCTGCTGGGGATGATGTTCTGGGCAGCAGCACGGCCACCGCGCCAGTCCTTGCCGGAGGGACCGTCAACGGTCTTCTGGGTGGCAGTGTAAGAGTGGATGGTGGTCATCAGACCCTCAACGATACCGAACTTGTCGTTGATGACCTTGGCGAGGGGAGCAAGGCAGTTGGTGGTGCAAGAGGCGTTGGAGAGGACCTGGATGTCGGACTTGTAGGTCTTCTCGTTGACACCCATGACGAACATGGGGGCGTCAGCAGAAGGAGCGGAGATGACGACCTTCTTGGCACCACCCTTCAAGTGGGCGGAGGCCTTCTCGGTGGTGGTGAAAACACCGGTGGACTCGACGACGTAGTAGGCGCCGGTCTCAGCCCAGGGAATGTTGGCGGGGTCTCTCTCGGTGTAGAAGGTGACCTTCTTGCCGTTGACGATCAGGTCCTTGCCGGAAACCTCAATGGTACCCTTGAACTGGCCGTGGACGGAGTCGTACTTGAGCATGTAGGCCTGGAAGCAGCCGGATCAGCCATTGTCCTCAATGTTTGCTTTACGGGTGAGTGGAGTGTCTTACAGCGTACTCGGGCTCAATGAAGGGGTCGTTGACAGCAACAACGTGGACGTTGTCGTGCTCGACGCTATTGTGGCGGTCAGTATGCAAGCTCGGAGCTCTCGACAGGAAACAGAGCCAACTTACGCATTGCGGAAGACAATGCGACCAATGCGACCGAAGCCGTTAATACCAACCTGTAGACTGGTCAGTGACTGCCCGCGAGTGGGTGAGGGGCAGAGCAATGCTGCTGGAGCTTCTTACGTTGACAGGCATGATGTGTCTGCGGGGTAGCTGTTAGAGCTTGGAAGGTGAAGAGAGGGAAGAGGTTTTGGAGTGTGGTGGTGGACTTACGATGTGAGATGTGACGGGTTATAAAGTGGTTGTGTTGTGAAGGAGGGATGGTTTGAGGGATGACAGGAGAGAAATTTCGTTGGGCAGAGTCTCGTGGTGTGCTGAGCAGCTCAACTCCGTTGCCGCTTGGACGTCACAGATTGAGCTAGCTGTTTGCCAAGATCTACGACTTCAGTGGGCAAGAATCACCTGCGAACAACACTTTCTTTTGTGGCTCAGATACGCCCTCGTTGACTTCTATTCGATAGTCTCGTCATTATAGCGTCTATACCACTCCTCTGCCGAGATGTACCTCCTTCACCTCATCCACCCGACTGGCCCCGCGAATGACCCCTCATTCTTCCTGACTCACTCCCGACTTCCTCCGCATCTTCGGCTACTCTCCTTTGACCTTTCCTTAGTTTGCTCCTTCCGTCCCTAGCCGCTGTCCTGAGCCATCAAACCATGACCTTGAATGTTGCTCGTCCCTGACCTTCTATATCACTGTATATCCTCGTTCCGAGGTGGTGTTCTCCTTATCACGGCTTCTACGGCTCTTACCACACTAGGGCGCCTTCTTTCGGCCCCTATCGGCCCTTTCGGACTCGGCTTGATCGGATAATACTTCCACCCAACACGTGCTTATCCAAGCTTGCTTTCCCAGAACATCACCTTGATGATTGCGTGAGCTTCATCATCCTCACATGAATGTGCCGGTGGCATCTCGCAGCGTCGTGTCTTGTGCTTGTAAATTTCATTTGGTTGAGATGTCTGGGTCAGACTATCCGGAACAAACACCGCGATTGGTCATTTCCAGTGTCTTGTTGATCCATTCTTACAGACGACAAATTGCATAGCTGAGCATCACCGACCAAATACCCTGATATTCTCGTCCGAAGATTTGATGTGAGATGACAACGGACGCGAATTGCTGCAAGCCGAATCAGCCGTCTATAACTACTACGGCAGCTCACTTGATGCAAGATCGACCTGCGGTGTATTTCTTGCACTTACAGTCGATACAAATGTTTTGAGAACGTAGGTTGCTGAGAGATCGGTTTCATATCTCGACACTGCTGTCATGTACAGTCTTGAAGTCGCTCAGCTCAATTAGATTTGGATGGCTCCATGATTGTCCTATCGCTAGGTGCTCGACCGGACAGATAGGCGTTGCATGTGTAAGGTACGTCGGATTTCCGAAACCTGTCTCGATCTTCTCAAAGATATGTGTATCACATCTGTACGGAGTCATGATGAGGGTTTACTTGATCAGGAACATGGAATGTAGCCCCGCAGGCAGAAGACAAGAGAGTGCCGATGCAATGCTTGAACTGGGGCCGCATGACTGCATGGGAGAACATCACTTTCCCGTGCCCTCAGCTTCGAAACTCCCACCTTGCTCTCGGATTTTAGTAGAGCGATAACGAGCTATAGCGAGGCGCAGTCATATCTCGTGCGAACAAACTGACGCAGAAGGTTGGTGAGAAAACGTGCCTCCGTACTGTTGATGTAAGCCTATATAAATATTGCCTTGAGACTTCTACAGGTGTGACAGCATTGGCATAAAGAGAAGCAGAGTGTCCGGTTGAGTGGCTGATCATCCACTTAGATTTGAATACGAGGGTGAGACAAGCATTGGCGAGGTGGTGACAAGCATCTTCCCCACGCTTGCCAATGCTACTTTGTCATCGAGCATAGTTCTTGAGAGCTCGTACTACCACAATTATCCTCGTATCAGGGCTGACATACCTCTGGAATTTCACTGTCGAGATCCCGGCACCTTTCGCCTGTGACGAGTCAAATTGTTACTCCGTCCAGCTGCGATCGACTGTCCTTGCATCATGACGTGGACGCGGATCTTCCCCAGAGTGGGCAAGCTCCCGCGCAATGAACACTTTCACTCCACAGTGTTCATTCGTAACTGCCTTTTTGCAACAAGCGTTATCTCAGACTTGAATTTGCTAGTACGACATGGCAGCCTTTAAAAGACGTCGCGGACACCGTTGTTATTCCAGTCAGATTGCTTCTCATCACATCGACCAATGGCACCATCTGTAGCGTCATTCTCGGCGTTTGTCCTGGCCGGACTCCCTCTTGCACTGGGACAATTTGTCAAAGCTCCAACAAATTGGACTCACGCGACCGGATATTCAGATATCTCTGTTCGGTACAAGGAAGTACCCACCGGTATCTGTGAGCTCAACAGCACTGTGAAGAGTTATTCTGGCTACCTCGACGTCGATACCAACGAACATTATTTCTTCTGGTTCTTCGAAGCTCGTAACCAGAACCCCAAAGATGCCCCACTTACAGTATGGATCAATGGAGGCCCAGGTTCTAGCAGCATGATTGGCCTGTTCCAGGAACTAGGTCCTTGCAGAGTCGAGTCGAACGGCACGGTCGTCAACAACCCATATTCGTGGAGTGAGTCGAGTAACATGATCTTCATTGATCAGCCTGCCCAAGTCGGTTTCTCTTACTCCACCCCGGTACCCGGATACACCGATCCCAACTCGGGGTCGATTGTTGTTCTTTCCAACACCACCTGCCCCGACTACGCAGAAGAATGCGGCACATATTCATACCCCAATACTACCTTGACAGCCAATTCGACTGCCGGTGTCGCGCCAAACTTCTGGAAGGGCCTTCAGGGCTTCATGGGTGCTTTCCCCCAGTACTCCCGCCATGAGTTCAACTTTGCTACAGAAGTGAGTGATGCGGTACAATGGCCTATAGAACATTTCTAATCTTCTTCTCACAGTCTTACGGTGGTCATTACGCGCCTATCATCAACCAATACATTGAGAAGCAAAATGACCTTATCGCGAACAACACACTTCCCAAAGCTCATCACATCAACCTCAAAACAGTCCTCATTGGCAATGGCTGGTACGACCCGTTGATTCAGTACCAAGCGTACTACAACTTCACGGTCTTCCCTGGAAACACATACGACTACAAGCCTTTCAACGAGAGTGTCTCGACTATGATGTACAATGCTCTTTACGGACCTGGTAACTGCGTCGATATGACCAAGGATTGTTACGCTCGCGGCATCAACTCGGTCTGCAGTTTCGCCGATAACTTTTGTGCCAGCAATGTCGAAAACGTTCTCGATGTCTTCGCTCTTCGCGACGAGTACGACATTCGTGAGCTCTCGCCTGATCCATTCCCACCTACTTTCTACGTTGATTACCTGAACTCTCCTATGGTCCAAGAGGCCATTGGCGCATACGTCAACTTCAGTGAGAGTAATAGTGCTGTCTCCTCGGCTTTTGGAAGCACGGGAGATGATGACCGTGAAGATGGCACTATCGAAGCACTGAAATCGCTTGTACACGACAACATGACCATTGTGCTCTATGCCGGTGATGCCGATTACAACTGTAAGTATCAACATCGATATCTCCAGCCTGGTTTGTGAGCATTACTAACATTGCGTAGGCAATTGGCTCGGTGGAGAGGTTGTAGCCGAGGAAGTCAATGCTCCCGGCTTCTCGACCGCAGGCTACACAAATATCACCAGCGCAGACAATGTTGTTCATGCACAGGTCAAGCAGTCTGGCAAGTTCTCTTTCGTCCGCGTCTTCGAAAGTGGCCACGAAGTACCTTTCTACCAGCCTCTGATGAGTCTGGAGATGTTCGATCGTGCCATTCATGGCAAGGATATTGCCACCGGTAGACGTACCGTCAAGGGCGGTTACAAGACTTCTGGCTCGGCAAAGAGCACTTACCGCGAGGGCAACTCGACCGTCCAATTCGAAGTCGTCAATGCGACTGCCACATACAACACCACTCTCAACGAGCCTGATGCAACATCGGCCAAGAAGAGCTTCAAGGCCGCCAACAAGAGACGTTTGTTCAAGCCAGCTAAGAGTGTCGTCGACCTGACCTCTTAGTTGGTGTCGTGCTCTGAAAAGTGACTTGTGTAAATAGGCATACTCTTTCGCTAATTTAAAACGCCATTGACCATCTACCTGCCTGAATCTATTATGGCTACTATGTCTTCTTTGTCTACTTTGTCTACTTTACCTCAAGAAACACGGAAGTGGTGGTAGATAACAAGGTCTAGGGAATGTTCTTTGTCCAGCTGTGCAGGTTCGAAATGACATGAATGACTATATGAGATAGAAAATTATATAGCAGGGTCGTGGAGTGACTGAATCTGGCGCTCTCGGAAGAAGGAAAGAGAAAACATTGATGAAGAACACGTGCATCATTTATGCACCTCGCCCCAGCCATACATCTTGTTACCAGCATTGCCACCTTCCCAATAACATTTCGAATCCTCAAACTCACCATCCATCTTATAGAACATCCACTCACGAGCCACATGCTCTGCCTTTTTCTTATCTCTGATCTTCATGTTGAACTTGAATGGTAGAGGTTTGGCAATTAGTAGACTCGAATACTCGAGTGTAGGGTCAGGCTTTGAGGCCTTTTCGTCGGCGGCGGAATTGAACATGTTGTCCACGGCAGGCATGTCGGGTGTACCTGCCATCGCAGTACGGGCCTTCGGCGACGAAGGCGGAGTATCTGGGCCTGCGTGCTGCTCGAAGAAAGCTGGAAATTGACCTGGCAGTGACGAGCCTGGGAGGCGGAGTTTATATGTTACTGTCTTTGCTCGACTCAGGCCACTACCAGTGGACTCGAGATTCTTCAGCTTCTTGACAGTCTTCTGGCGGGCCAGTCTGCTTTTGTCGGACGGCAGCATCTTCTCTGAGAAGTGTTCGTCGAGCTGTTCCTCGATTTCGGTCTCTGATGGGGGTGTCTGAATACCTGAGGGCGTCGAGGTTGGAGTCTCGACTGCTTTGTGAATAGGCAATGATGACGGGACAGGCTCTTTCGGTGGCTCGGTCGCCTTCTCGGCTTCCGTATCGCTGGCACTAAGCGAGAACATCCAAGCAAGACTACCGATGCCAACAAAGAGATCGGCTTCGGCAACGCCCATACCAGCACAGATGCGACGTCCATAGCCAAATTGACTGTATTGAGTGATCGTCGGGTACTTGGTCAGAGGCTCTTGATAGGTAGGATATTTCGTCTCAAGCCATCTCATTGGGTTGAACGCATCAGGCTCGGGGAAGACATCAGGGTCACGACTGATGGACCACTCGAGAGGATGCATGACGGAGCCGCCAGGAATAAAATAGCCTTCGTAGATATCATCCTTCACAGACTCGTGCGGGATACCTGTTGGTACAGGTGGACGCCAACGAAGAGTCTCTCTGATAAAGGCGCGTAACACAGGCATATCAGGCATGTCGCTCAGCTTCGGCAGTCTGTCGCCACAAACTCTGTCTAACTCCTCTTGAAGTATAGACTGATACTGAGGGTGGTGACACATGGCAAGACAAAAGCTCTGCATTGGTGCGGCAATGGTAAGAGCACCGGCAATACCATGCATGCCTACAGCGTATGCGCCTTCCAAGTCGGAAGCAAATCCGGTAGCGGCCTTGTTCTCCAGGAAATGGCGCATCCACGACTCCGGCGCAGTCTTGTTCTTCAGCTTTTCTCTGACCTCGTTTTGCAAGACGGTGAAGAAACGACTCTCCGTTCTGTATCGGCGAAACTCCCATGCTTTTGCCGGGACAATTGCCTCTGGGAGTTTCTTGAGAAAGCCGAGTTTGTTCGTAAGCGCACCATTAGGTGACACGCCTATGAGTAGCTCTCTGGCTCGCTGTTTGAGTTCATCAGATGGGGCTGCTGTTCCCCATCCAAGTCGGCAAGTCACTCGTGAGACGAATGATTCCAGAGCGTGGTTGTAGCGCGAAGGATCTGTCATGAGCTCAAACAGGAGCCGAACTGATTCTAGCTCGGGGTAATTGTAATATGCATTGACTGATGATTTGTCCATGATTTGCTTTGCAAACTTTCTTTGACGCGTCCATAGCTCTGAAGACCGTTACTAAATTGATTTCTAAGTCGGGCATCATTTCACATACCATTTCGGGACATCAACGGAAGGTAGTGACCACTGTTACGGTTGTCGGCCTGTAGCGATGGAATGAATGGACGTTCAGAGTTGTTGGCTGCTCTCTTGCCGAGTAGTTCTTGAGCAACACTATCTCGGGTGATCCAAACGTGGTTCTGACCAGCCAAGTTGGTCTGATAAATGGGACCATACTGTTGTCCCCACTCGTGAAACTTGAGGAAGCTGTTCTTATCTGGCACTTCTGGTACGCTACCAAGGATCGGAATACCTGAGCCCGTAAGTCGTTCGGTCAAGAACTTGTCCAGACTTCGAATACGAACCTTTGGGGCCTGGCAGTCTCTGTACTCCTGCTGGTAGGTGGTTCTTCTCCGTGCTGTTGACGTAACGTATGAACAATATTATGGCAACAACGACTACCACAGCAACAAGGGAGATGAGTGCCATGGTGCCTGGAATGTTAATCAAAAGTGTGGTGTGATCTAGTGATCCGAGCGCGATTATGAACACAAAAGGCTTCTCAAAACTTCGAATCAGGAGGGTAGATGATAGCTTGGAATAGCAATGATATGATAGCGAGATTAAGTAGATGATAGAAGAAGAGAAGAATATGTAGTCGAAGGAGGGGATGGCAGGATAGCGGATTTTATACAAGGATGACCTACGCAAAATATTCATGCCTAGCAATCACCCACATATTCTCCCAATAAGCGGAATGTATCGAGTCCGAAACCCACATGGGTACCTCTGACAGACGAGACCATCAACTGGGCTGCAAGTAGTCGACAACAGCTTGCTCCATGCTGATGCTATTCCTGTTCGCTCCACAGCGGTCTGATGGAGGGAGCGATCATCCAGTGGTTCGTGCCGCGGTAGCCGAGCCTTGGAATTGACAGGCAGTATACTTTGTGTGCCTCTATCTCAAACTTACATGATGCCATGCGTTTGTGTACCTTGGCGTAATCGATTTGCGAACATGCTAGACGCGGCCTTGCGAGTGGAGTTGGAATTCATCGGGTCGTCAGCTTCGCCCAGCCAGAAATATCGGCAACGAGGTAAGGCAAGGCACAATGAACGATTTCGGGTCTGTCGCAGGAAGGTGAACCAGAACATGGTCAACGTTTCGAATAGTGTCGTCAGTCGCCGAGCAGACTTCCTCGTTTGGACCCAGACACGTGAAACAGGAGCCTTCCCGCTCACGTCACAGCCTGCCGATCGTAGTGAACAACATACAGCTCGCATACGAATAGGGTATCGCGGACGAGCCAAGTGGTCTAATTGGATATCTTCGCTCGAAGAAGACATAAAGATCAAGTGACAAGTCTGATGCTTGGAAAGCGAGAGCCTGTCCAAGGATGATGGCGGTTAGCAGTCGCATATGCAGATCATTACGCACTGACCCCCAAATGCTTGTCCCAAGCTTGACCAATCGGAGTTTTCGAGTGCATCCTTCTCGGAACGTGGATGCAGACATCCGTTTCTGAATTCCAACCTCACCTCGCAACTTCCGAAGAGGGGACCCGATTGACCTTACCAAAAGGCGGCTGGGCGCTCGCTCAGAACCTGTAGCGTCAAGACAGTGTCTGGAGGAGGATTGTCAGCGAGATCGATCAGCACTCGCTTCTTCAGTGAGCGTGGGTGATCTTCCTACTCGTTATAAGTCAAGTCCTTTGCGGATACCCCGGTGAGCAATCCTGGTATTCAGACCCTTGCTTGTTGCTTCCGTGTGTTCGGCACTCGCGCAACCAATACCAATGCGCATATCTTGGAAGTTCTTGAGCATACCAACCCTCTCCCGCCTGGACTTCGATTGAGCCTTCACCGCGCCTTTGCGTATCTTGGCGGTATGCGAGGGCTCTTCATCAACATCCGAAGATGGCGATATAAGCGCTGTACAACTCTTTCGGATATTGTCTTGCATTCAGTTGGTACCGCCAGGGTTCAAGCGAGTCCCCGTACAGCGGCTGATCGACCTGCTTACGCATGTTTTCCCAGCTTTGCTTCAGCTCGGGTTTTATTCAGAAGATAAGGTCCTCGACTGACTGACTGTTGTCCTCGAGTCAGGTTCAGCCACCAGCGAAAAGTTGGCGTTGCACACCAAGCCAAAAATCCTACGTGGCTGCGTAAGTCAGATGCATTAATACGCCATACCGTCATTATTGATATGTGCACGGTATCGGCCTCACCGAACACCATCCAATATGCCCAGCAACCGTCCAAGAAACACAAGTCTTCTAAAGCTATCGGTCGCACGCAACTATGCAGCTGGGCTGTGGTGGCAGTGCAGACAGTCACTCCGGACCTCCATCACCTTGGCTGCGTCGCGCTATCTATCTGCATGCTAAGCCGGCCTTGACTTAATTGCCTGGTCAAATATGTGCTAAACATTGGCGACATAGTCAAAACATATACTGAAGAGACGACTAAGCAGATGTTGGTACGCTTGTCCGGATCAAACACCCCTAGAAATACGTCTTCTCCTCTCCGGTAGATCAAGTCGGCAGCGGAGTATGAATGGCGGACCATCTCTTGTCAGCATTGTATCTTGCATTGGAGAGCTGTCTGAAGGCACAGCAATCTTGTGAGATGATGGGTGCTCTTTCGAGAGTTATCACTTTACGGGCTCTTATCTGCGCCTGGGGGGTTGAAGAGATCACTGTGCCTATTGACAGCCATATATTGGTCCCGTTCCAGGTGAGGAGAGCCTTGACGTGAATTCTGCGCTGTCATTCGGCCTACTTCTTCCACTTAACCTGCCGACTAATCAATGCCGAACCCTATGTGCGACCTTCTCCTCCCTCGTTGATCGATTGCGAGACATCAAGCGGCCTCAAATTCGCTTCGCGGTTGTCATGTTGACCCAATTGCGCTGCTAGAGCTGCAAAGCTGCCTATCATCTCTGTGTGTTGTCATTGCCGAATGGAGCGCAAAAGTTTGTGAATGATAGGTCGTCGTCAACATTTGCTTAGAATTTGGAAACATTGGTGTGGCTTTTCAGCTCTCTCTTAACGCAGATCAGGGTATTTGACGATCTTATGCTGATCGAAAGCTGAAGTATAACGAGATCTGCAGAGATGGGTGAAAGACGTGGGGTCGCTGGGCTTCCTTGCATCGCTCTCACATTCCTCAGCAGTCCAACTTTTGCTCTTTGTCATCTATCCGTATGGTTGAAGAATGGCAAGCTATGGCTGTGTCAGATGTCGGCAGATCACTATTGACGGTCACGAAGTGGTTTGCTTCCAAAGGCACTCTCGTACCATGAAAACAATATTGCAATGGTTGAGCAGCTTCTGATCAGCTCGTAAACGTTCCACATTGTTGCAACAGCTTTAAAACATCCATGCGATACGGATTTAGATGTCCCGCACTTGTACGCTAGACACACAGATTATTATAGGTTACCTGTTGTCCGTCAAAGATAACTTGAGTACAGCTGTTGCTGCCAAGACACGTGCTGAAGCGGGCCGCCCAACAAAAAGACGAGCATCTCGAGAAATGCAAAAGTGATGCTCACAGTCTCCTGTGATCGCGATGAACCCAACCCGATTTGAACGGATGACCTTGAGGTATTTCCTTGATCATAGGCATGACACCATTGATACACTGGAATCTCACGCGCTACCGCTGCGCCATGGGTCCTTCGATGTGGGTTGAGCAGCTCATTATAAATATGTACCTCGGCTGAAAGCCAAAAACCGCGTCTGTGCACCAACAATCACCGACAATCACTTTCAAGTACATCCAGTCTCTGTTCCTCCAGCCTTCGCCCAATCACCTCCTTCTCGTCTACCCAAAGCTCTGCGCAAAATCCACTCCTTGCTTGTAATTTCTTCATCATCGCCATGATTCGGATCTTGCTGTCTCTTCTCATCAATCAATCGGCTTCCGTCGAGCACCTTGAGCAAAACCTCGTCTGCTGGCCTAGCAAAGTACACTAGACTCATTCTCGTATGCTCAGCTTGCTCTCCTGGAGGATTTACAACGCGATGAGTATTTGATCGCAAAATTCCAGCTGTGAATTTGACCATAGCATCTCCTAGATTGATGACTGCATGTCCTCGTAGTGGCTTCACGTAACACCATTCTTCCGACTTGGGTGGCAGCACTTGCAGACCTCCAAGGCGGTTGAACAAGATGGTGACGCTTCCGAAATCGGTATGCTGACCTAGTGCTGTTCTTCGGTCGTCCATTGGTTGGGGAGGTGCGTGGACCCAGCGGACTTGGTCACCAGAGACTGAGTCTAATTTATGTAGCGATGGCAGTTTGTCTTGCGGAAGACTTAGTCGGGTGTTCAGGAGGCCCAACAGCATGGTCACAACAGTGTGTGAGTGTTGTATGAAAGACTTTAACAAGTCCCGGTGAGGGCTGAGCACCTCAGGAGCAGGAAGAGATTCGGACAGTCCCAAAATGTCGTCTTTCGAAACCTGGATATGCTGTCAGTGTTTGTTGGTTTGCGTCTAAATGCTTGTCTTACATTGTAAAACTCGTTCCGATCTTTTGTCCCTTCAGCATCAATGACACCCTGACCATATCCTTTGTATCCGAAATAGCTTCCTTGGTCCTTGAGGTCGTACTTGACCTTTTCGTCAAAAGGCAATTCAAACACTTTCTTTCCTACACCAAACAACTCATCTGCATCCCTGAGTAGTTGATCACCATTGACTCTGACCTCAGGCTCTGCCGCGCTCTCAACTTTGACCTGAGCATCATCTTCATCATGCTCGGTGGCAGAGTCGGATCTCTTGCCGATACCACGAAGGTCGAGATAGAAGAAACCAAGTTCGCAGCATGCTTTCCATAGCTTATCAATCTCGTCTTCGTCTCCTTCTGTAAGCTTGCTTAGATTTATACGAAGAAGCGGTGCTTTGGGGACATCTTCTGGAAAGGGTGGCAAATCGTGAAAGTCCAAATTCGAGTTGGAAAGTTCTGGTTTATGCTGCATTGTGTTTCGATACTCAAAGTTTTAATTTGAATTTGCTTCGTACGAGTATGTGAAGTTCGATTTTATCATTAGTTGAGGGTGACTGGCTATGGAGTATCAACTGTCAAGTTCGGCTACACCGAGGTTCCCCTCATCTTCAATGTCACCAAATCTCGACACCTAGGTACAACCATGCGATCCGACAAGCAACGACTCCTTGTTTCTACTATGCTCGCAAGCCTAACTGTTTCCAGCAGTTGCTTTTGCACGCAATTCTATTGGGCGGCCATCTAGGAGAGGCATAGCAACGCGACGCGATGCGCCGAAAATCTTTATTGGGTTTAATCTTGCGTTACTCGACCGGCGAACCCATACGATCATATTTGACTAAGCCCCGATACATATCGATAGCATCGCTGTGACTAGGGACCTTGCGGTGCTGGGTACGAAGGCATATAACTACCATCTGCGACCTGCAGCCCTTGGCCCATCATATCGAGCACCGTTTGATTCGGATCAGTCGGTGCAGTCAGATCGACATTAGGTCCAAACGGATCAACCATACCAACACTACTATAGTCGAACGACGGCATCTCTAGTGAGTTATATAGCCAAGAGCCTGCAGAGTCATAAGGTGTCTGGTCAAACATCTCATTATTTAGCCAGGTGAATGACTCCATCAAATTCGATCCCAGATGACTCGTAGGTTCTGTGGACTTCAGAGCGTCTTTCGCGATCTTCATGACGTCTAGACTGATTGCTCGACCGGTAGTGGAACCAATGTGGTCGACTCGATCTAGGCACTTCAGACCTTTCTCTACTGCCTGGAACACTTCCTTCGCGTGAGCAGGCGTTGTTTCGGTGTCGAGGACGTCGAAGAGAAGAACAAGACAGGCAGAGACGATGAAGTACACCATATTTCCATCTCTTCTCATTGCAGGACAGCGGTTGAAGAAACTGTCATGGACCAGAGAAATCAGACTCTTCGCTGAGGAGACAGTAAGGTTGATGTCTCGCTGAATGTCGATTCGATCACCAATGCTATCCTGGGCTTGTTGTTTCGATTCGAAGAATGTAACATACACTAGTGCAGGCCGATTGATCAGTATAGAAGCGACGTGGTAAGTCGCCCCAATGCAACTACGCTGCACTTCTTGCCAGGCATTTCCAGTGGGTGTAGTGTCGTCGAAGAAGTGCAAATACGAGGGCAATGTGTCAAGTATGTCACGCAATGCCTTTGAGCATTCGCCGTTCAACCGATTAACCTCTGTCAGATCGGAGACTTTTTTGGTCCTAGTTGGAGAGTAATTGCCTGTCATGATCCGCTCACTGACCTTACCAAGTTCCGCCATGGCACGTATGTATGCGAATTCCACATTTTGACTTGCACCGTGTGTAGGCAGAAGATCATCTGGGTATGGAGCGTCAATCAGATCGTCGAGAAAGCAAGACGGTCTGCCGGTGAACATCGACATCATGCGCTCCATGTAGAATATCGTCCAGAATGTCAACCTAAGGCGATTCAGGAACAAATCGTTGCCCGTGACTACCTGAGCACGGTGGAGACCTAGAGCCATGGCAGAACGTGAGGCATGGCCAAGGTATAAGTATACCGCATTAGGCCTACCGATCTGCATTGCGTAGAGTGCCTACGTGGGGTATGTTAGAGGAGTCCTAAGATAATCGTAGCTGCGGTCTTACCCTCAACAATACAAGATGAGTGTTGAGAAGAGACGTCTCCTCGAAAGACTCTATGGGCACCCCAGCACGCTCGTAGAAATGTTCGGCCCAATCGTCCAATAACGAGGGTGAGTCGTCACCAGGGTCGGTCAATCTCGCACCAATGGCTAGAACCATGTAGAGGATCGATTTCTCCTTCGCGAACTTTCTGTCATGTTCTGACGTCAGAGCTGGACCAGCCCAGAGGAGATCCCAGGTCTGTCGGACTTCGCATTCAACGAGTACTGGGCCTTGAGGGTGCATAAGTGTGAAATAAGCCGAAATGAAAGCTTCACCTAGCTCTTTTGGCAGAAAATTACCATCTGGAATGGTGCTCTTGCGCGACGAGGCATCGCCATGAGTGAATATTTGACGTTCAATGCCCCATTTGCGAAGGCCCTCTGGTACTTGCGGCGGTACGTTCAGCGGTGCATTACTTTGACGCTTGATACGTTGATACAAGCGTTGCACGAATGAAAAGTGGGACGAAGGACCGTAGAACTGGTAGGCATCCGTATTTCGATCGAAAGCACCAATTCCAGCCCTCAGCTCTTGCTGTTTCTTGTTGGTGACTGGATCATCGAACGTGCGTGTATTTGATTGCAGTGCTTGATCCGTGCCGGCTTCCGTTGGTTGTTGCCTTTGTGAAGGCTTCGGCGCGAGGGATCTGACACTACCATCCGACCGCGACTTGACCGTACCGGGATAGATGCAATCGACATGGCTGTTTGCACATTTTCGACATGGCAAGTTGCCATCGCACTTGACTTTTCGAGCTCGACAAACGTTGCAAGCCCGTGACGTTCGAGGTCTGACACGAACTGATCCGGGTGTCGAATTGGGCGTGGCATGAGCCTCCATAGTAGCGACTCGATAGAGCCTGTGATGAGCCTATCTGTGACAGCATATCATTTCATCACGGATTTGGCTTGTCCATCAACGCGAACCATGCAGACGCGTAGGAAAAAAGCCCTGACAGTTGGCTGACTAAGCCTTGTGAGCTGGTTCAGCAGCCAGCTCATATCAACGAGTGACCTGCCACACAAGCTGTGCATACATGCGCTTCTCCATGTTCTTGATTAGATCTGTGTAGTGTAGCTGGCTCAAGAATAACGCGATGGTTAAACAATCGAAGGTTTTCTGTAGCTTGTCATCGGGAGTGGTTCACGTCCTGCATGTCTTTGGCGACAAATTCCATCGACCGAAGAACGGCTTAATTAAAGCGACGAAGCTACTTTTTCAAACCACTGACATTTCGTATCGCAGTTGGTTGTTCATCCAGACAATCGTGCCTCTGGACTGTGTCAAGAAGGGCATGTTGAGTAGGCAGGAAGTGATCGGAACAAAGAGGCAGGGTGATGCCCCCAGCGAAGATTTACGCGGATCACTATTTTGGTGCCATCATCCCTCGACCCAGGAGCAGGTACCTCTCGAAAACATGCTGCATTCAATAGCAGTACATGCAATTGATCAAGCGAATGCCTGGAGATGAACACATGAGAGAAATTGGAGGATGCAAAGCAGACATGAACGAAGCAATGTACTTGAATTGGAAGGTCGATTATCCGGGTTGCGAAGGACCTTGAGACTAGAGCAGATCTGCTGGTGAGACGAGACTAGAGACGAGGGCAATACGTGAAACCAAGGGTTAGTGCTGGATCGGATCTACGAGGGCCATCATGACTTGCACATTGAAGTCGGCGACGACAGTCGGACGGTTGGGCGACGAGCTTCAAGCTCTCATGTTCACACATTACAGGTTCACAGGACAACACATCACGATAGGCAAGCGTGAAGGGTTGAGCCTTTCCACGCCTTTGTCCATGCCTAGAGATGGCCTCTTCCCGAATGGGACAGAGTTGATCTCGCGAATTTGCTTGAAGCAAATGGTTTGTTCGGTGGAGAAATTGCATTCAACTAATACGCTGAAGAGCACTCCCACCCAGCTACCACGCTGACAAAAAAAATCCCTGATGCCGGATGCCACCTTTCATAACTTTTCTTTGTCGTGTGTGTGTTTCCTTCATCAGTCATCATAAGCGACGAACTTATGCGACGAGCTGGACAACACCACCGGCCTCCTTGATCTTGCGCTCGGCCTCAGCAGAGACGTAACGGGCACGGACGATGATGGGGATCTTGGGAAGACGACCCTTGCCGAGAACCTTGGAGTAACCGAGGGGGAGAAGGTCGAGGACGGGGGCGGAGTCGGAGTCACCCTTGCCGGAAAGGTACTTCTCGCGCTGCTCGGCGGGAACGAGGGACCAGAGCTTCTCGAGGTTGATGACGGGAGCCCAGAACTGGTTCTGGAGCTTGTGGAAGTAGCGCATACCGACCTTACCGCTGTGGAGGTTGTTAGGATGTGTCGATGCGCAGAGATTGACGGGGCGCAGAACTTACAAGTAACCGGGATGGTACTTGTCCATGTTGGTTCTGTGGTGGTGCTGACCACCGGCGAGACCACGACCACCGGGATGCTTGCGGTGCTTACCGACACGACCGTGACCGGCTGAGACGTGACCGCGGTGCTTGCGGGTGTTGGAAAGGCGGGTAGGCATCTTGACTTGTTGTTGCCGTTGGAGTCGCGGATGGAGAAGGAAGAAGGAAAGCACGACTTTTGCGCAACTTTGCCAAAGTCGAATTTCGTCTGTGGTCCGAGCCACGCGACTTGCTTGGCGGGGACGCTCCTTGGCGGCCGCTCTTTCTCGCTTAATTCGTCTCGACTCCTGAGGCTCACTTCGTTCACGTGATGAGAGTCCGAGGCTCTGTGGCTGGACTTGGCGAATGACATCAGAGGTGCTCCAATCACATGCGGCATGCAGGACATGTTCTCTGCACTTCTCCCACTCTGTAACACCAAATCAACAAGCATGGCGGATCTCAGCACGCTGTTTCTCACGTTCAACTGTGGACGTGAGCTTGTCAATACCGACTTCTTTGCCGCCTGTGTCAACCAGGGCCTCTCCAAAGCTCAACTCCCTCCAGATGTCATAGTTCTCTCACTGCAGGAGATTGCTCCGTTGGGCTACTCCTTCCTCGGCGGCTCCTTCCTCTCGCCTTACTTCGAGCGCTTCTCCAAGACGATCCAAAAGCTCAACCAACTCTGGAACAACGATGAGCAATACGAAACAATACTCTGCAGTAATGTCGGCATGACAGCTCTCATGCTCTTCGCGCGACCCGAAGCTGCGCGCAAGATCGGAAGAGTACAGACGGCTGGTTCTGGAGTCGGAGTATGGGAGATGGGCAACAAGGGAGCTGTGGGAGCGCGCCTGGCTTACTCGAGCGATGACGGTAGTGAGATGGACCTCACCTTTGTCGCAGCTCATCTGGCTCCCGGAGAAGACGCCTGGCAGCGTAGAAATCTGGACTGGCGTACGATCAACGAGAACTTGGTGTTTACTGGAGTCACTGGTGCCGAGAAGACCAGAGCACGCGCGACGAACAATGAAGACATGCAAGAAGAAGTCGAGCCCCTGCTCTCTTCAGCCACCGACGACCAAGACACATCAAACGAACAGGATAATGCCTTGATCACCCCGAGCTCGTACATATTCTTTGGCGGTGACCTCAACTACCGAGCCTCGGACATCAAACCGCATCCCGACGATCATCATTCCTTCCCTCGTCGTAGCGATTCACCCGAAGACAGCACGCACTACTCACACATGATGCCCAACGACCAGCTGACGCGCGAGAAGGCTGCTGGGAAGACACTACACCATCTCAGCGAAGCCCGCATAAACTTTGCGCCCACATACAAGTTCTCCAAGAAGTCACAAGAGCAAGCCGGAGAGATTGCCAAATCTGTGGAAAAGCAGAGTCGATCAGGCGCAAACGCAGTAGCTGTACCAGAAGAGACAGAATGGCACTGGGCCGAGCACCGTCATCCCAGTTGGTGCGATCGCGTACTGTATCTCGCACTCCCCGGTCGCGAGCCTGTCATCCACACCTACAACTCTCTGCCGCTCCAGCCGTCATCAGACCACAAGCCTGTCATCTTGTATGCTTCGATACCAACCCAGTCGTCAAAGCTACTGCATCACGGAATCACGGCGCCTTACAAGATCAAGGCTGGCTGGAAAGATAGACGCGATGCAGCCAGACGCAGAGAGGTGGCTGTTGGAATTGTCTCGTATGTGGCCTTGACGTGGGAGGGTAGAGGCTTGTTGCTTGGTGCCATCCTGGCCATTCTCGGTGGATGGGCAGCTTTGAGAAGTCTATTGATATGAGAGATACCCCTTTGTGTTGCACGTTGCACGTCATGTGTTATGCAGTATGAATGATGAGAAACTGTTCCCAAGGCTTCACGTTCTATGTGTGAGCTTCGTGTGAGTGCTATGAATGGCTGAGAGGTACGTGGGTATCATTGATCTGCGCGTCTATGTCTATATTATTCATGTCTCTGCCGCGTGATATGAGCTCTTTAATGCTTCTCTCCAATCACTTCTTGCCCTACTTGCGCTCCTCCAACATCTTGACAAAGCCATTCGAAAACCTCTCGACCTGCTCATAGGCGATGTCAAAACCCCTCGAACCGCCATAATAAGGATCATCCACTTCCTCCTTACCCTTACCACCCCAGACACCAAACAGCATGACCTGTCCCGCCTCTTCCTCCTTCAACTCGCCCTTCTTAATCAACCGCTTCCTCGCATCAACCAAATGCTGCTCATTATTCCTGTCCATAGGGAAGATGTAGTCAAACTCTTTAAAGTCAGAGTTCCTGAACTTGCGAGCTTGATGGGTATAGAAGGACGAGGTGATGTTGTGGGCTTTGAGGACGGAGATGGTGCGAGGGTCTGGTGGTTCGCCGGCGTGGTAGGCGCCGGTGCCGCAGGAGTCGATGTGGGAGATCATTGGGTGCGCGTTTGGATGTGTGTGGTTTGTGATGTGCCGGAATACTCCTTCGGCCATTGGTGAGCGGCCTGGTGCGAGTATTGTGTTAGTTTCATGGTGATTGGGTGGAGAGGTGGGAGTGGAGTCGTACAGATGTTGCCTAGACAGACGAAGAGCACCGAGACGGGCTTTTGCGCCTCTGATTTTGTAGAGGCTGTCATTTTTGTGATGTGAATTGTGGGTAGATTGTGTGAGTGGAAGGTCAGAAAGATGTTTCTACAAAAGTTGTTGGCTATGCGCTCATGATCGGCATGTGAAAGTCCAAGCTCCGCCGATCGTTGGGTGACTTGAGTAGTACAGACAGGGTCTACCTCTTCTTCTATCTTCAACATTTGATCCATCCTTCGTCTGTGCCTGTCTCCCTTCACTTCAAGAGCAAGACCGGTAGTCGGTCATGATCCCGATATCACAGATCGTGAGACCAGGGCAATTATGTTAACACCTTGTCGAAGGACTTTGTACTTTTGATTTCCTCCACGCTGACTTCTAAGCTGTTCTCGGGATTACCAAAGGACAGTCTGGAGGTCTACGAGCTGCTTATTTTGGTGTGTATGGGGTCGGACTATTGACATACTCTAGTTGGATCGTTAGGAGATTTTGTTATCGTTGTGCATTTATCCCTGAACTTTGCATTTATGGCGTTGGAGCCCTTACCTTATTCTAGTGCTTGGTCTTCCACTCCATCAATATTTTGAAGAAAGACGACAAAGATACGAGACTAACCACTTACACATATGTTAACAATGGATTGTGATCCGTCCTTATAGTAGCCAGCGGAATTCAGTCAGTCATATCGAGCATGTTGTATATGACTGCCATCCACGTGGAACGCGACACGGTGAGTCAAGACAATCACAATTGCAAGATGCCAGTCAAGAATCTCGCCTCTCTACCCGTCGAAAAACCTCTACGCAGAGGAAAAACAAAAATTCATGTCTACACCCAGGATCACCTCGCCGCAGAGCGAGCCACTACAAAGACCATGCCCCGAGCTACTCCGATATTATCTCATGGCACATGCTAATGAAAATCCCGATACCTCACCACTCTGCCTCGTATGCCGCTTCCTCGCGGACTTGCCACGATCGAGATTCTCAGAAGACCTGGTACTAGCATGTCTGAATACGCTACTCCCGAAGACCGAACTACAACTACAACATTGGTTTGAGCCCGACTCCAAACCAGACGACTGGGCCATCACATTCCCGGAACTATATCTCCTTTCAAGACGAAATGATGTCAATAAACGCTATCTCGTAGGCTCTCAACCTAGGCACTTGAAGTTGACGTGGAAGGAGTTTCGCGAGTCGCATGTTGCGAAAGTGTATATGCGACATACGAATACCGTTACCTTGGCTACTAGGATGAAGAGCCCTTCATACATGTATGTGATTGCCAAGTTTTACCCTTCTTCCATTGGTAAGCCTAGTGTCAAGTTTGAAACGGACTACTATGGTTTCGAGAAAGCTTACTGCAGATTGGATGTCGAGTACATCAAGATGAGGGTTGAGAGGATATTGCTGGTGTGGAAAGAAGTGTGGAAGCCTACGAAGATGACTTTTGATGTTATTGAAACCATGGCAGAAGATTTGAGGAAAATGAACGAAGAGCTAATTCAACCGTGCTTGCTCGAGAACTCTGAGAGCGAGAGCGGAACTCCCGAGGGTATGTTGGATTAGGGTATGTACGCTTTGAACATAGTTGGACCTTGTACCTCCCTGACCAAGCTAATACCACACCCATTTCTCACCAATGCCGAGTTCGATACCGTTATGGTACCCATTGTGAGCTAGTAGTCGTATGGCACTCGTAGTGATTTTTCATCGTCGTCGTGGAGATGATCACAGTCTAGTCCTCGTTTCCAGCACTGTCTTACGCCTACTTCTATCAGTCAGGTCCACCAAAGACTTGATCACAAGTAGCGTTTCACGTACCACACATTGATGTCAGCACATTTATTCCACGCAACACGTCTTTCTTGAAGAGTTGCGAAATCCATCGCCCAGCGCCAATCGGTGATCGTGACAGTGCTAACAGGATCAGTAACAAGATACTTGGTGACAGAGTTGTATAACGATACACTTCATCTGTTGGGTACTCAGCACTGACAAGCTGGAGTTGTCGAGATGTGCATCCAAGGGCCTTGATGTCGTCGGGGTAAACATAGAGGTAGATTATGTGAAGAATCTCGGGTGGCATGTCATCCAGAGAAGGACCAGAGGACTGTGAGACATCCGTCATCATGATTCAGGAGGGTGTCGATGACAGACGAAGAGCTGTGCGGAAGCAGAGTGATATCTCAGATCATTGTTGGTATTGAGTAAGGCGCGCGTGGGTTAGGCTTAGATCAGAAGGAGCACATGAAATATGGTCATACCTTCCGTGACTACTGGATCATCTTCTTCTCCTTGTGACACTTGAACCTGTCGCAAAGTACAATGACTTCTGGTTCTGGAGCAATGTCGCCGATAGGTCATCTCGACATCTTCCAGCGCCAGCCTCGTTCATATAAGATGTTACTGTGCCTTGCTTCAGCTCGTCGCTACTCTGTCTCGATCACTGCAGAACTGGAAGTAACCAAATTTAGCAAAGAAAGGGTATATTACTCGCCTGTATCTATACGAACCATCTATGTTTCGCACTCCGTCTATTTGTGCACCTTGAGTCTGTTCAGACTGAACCCTTGCTGCGCTTTCAACTCCCTCAGCTCTCTCTTTGCAGCACCATCAACCATGATGTCCTTCTCAACAGCGTCCTCGATGGCTTGTGCACCCTCAGTTCTGGTCCACCTGAGCAACACGACCATAACACCGCTTGCCACAATACTTGCGCACACCATTCCAACCATGACCAAGTTGCTCTTTCTGTATTTGTGAGGGCCCTTGGCATCCTCTGGCCAGCCAGAGTACAATGCGTAGGTGGTCAAGATGGAGCCGAGATTGCCCAAGCCAGAGACAAGAGCCGAAGCTGCAGCAATGCCTACTTCGCCATGACGAGGCTGAAAGATGGATGTGCTCATTGCCATAATAGTCGGAACGGTTGGACCAAGGCCAAAGCCGATGATCAAAAGACCACCATATCTTGACCAGCTGTCATTGCCACCAGCAAAAGTGGTAGTGAGAAGACCGGCAAGGATAACAAGACATGAAAGACTAAAGATGACGTGGCGATGGGTGTGGAAGCGGTCACTCAGAGGGGTGATCAGCAGGATAGCAATCAAATCCATAATCCAGATGGGTGCGAACAGTAGCGACAGGTTGATGCTGCTTAGGCTGGGGTTGATGGCGTGAATGATGACAGTACCATAACTCTGGACACCGATGCCTGGTAGATCAGTTAGCGCAAGTCGCGATGAAGCATAGAGGCCAAAACGTACCAACACCGACCACACCAAAGTACATGATGACCAGAGGCCAGAGACGCCAATCAATGAGCACGCGACCCAAGTCCTTCCATCCCCAAGCAGGGCGATGGTACACTCTAGTCAGCTCTTCGTAGTGAATACGGGCGTCATCTCCTGTCAGCACTGGTGCGCTCCGTGGTAGGAGACGCCTCCAGCCGACATGCTGTTCGATCTTCTCGCCAGGTGGGTGGGGACGATCTGGAAGCCACCATAGCAACACAATGCCGAGGATAACCGCCAATAGCCCATAGATCAAGAACATCCACTGAAAGCCAACAAGACCACCAAGACCATCCATCTTCTGGAAACCAGCACTGACAAGACCAACGACAGCAGCGGATAATTGTGCAGCAGTGTAGTAGTGTCCAATACGCCTTGCGCAGCGCGAGGGTGGGTAGTAGAGACTGAGGTAGTAGGTCATGCCAGGCCACATACCAGCAATGACGATACCCAATAGTAGTCTTAATAGATAGAGACTCCAAGCAGCTTCCATGGCAGTCATGCAGGTACCAATAATACCAACACTAAGCACAATTCTGCTCATCCATACATGTGGGCTCAGCTTCGACATGATGAGGTTGGAAGGACAGTCAAAAACGACATAACAGACGTAGAAGAGGGCCAGGCCAGTAGAGACTTGCTTGGGAGTCAAGTTGAGGACATCAGAAAGGTCATGACCTTGTGCCGAATTCATGGTTTGTGCCAGACCAACATTGGAGCGGATTGCCGAGCAGAGGAAGTAGAGTAACCAGAATGCTGTAAAGTGTCAGCCGTCTTCTGCCTTCTTCATCGAAGCATTAGGGCACACGCATACGTGGGATGATTCTACGATCAATCTTTCTGTACATGCATTAGATCGATTGATAAAGTTAATGTGGCAATGGTGTACATACTTGTATACACGCTCGATACGAGCTAAATCAGCACCCTCGGATCCCAATTCTCGGTCGTCAACGACTGGCGCTTCTTTTGAACCATACCCGGCTAACTCCATGGCCGCAGCCTGCTCTCTCGAAGAAGACATGGCTGAACAGAGAGATTGCAGCGTGTGCCAAAGAAAATAGCCGAACCTCGACAGGGTCTACCTCTAGATGGGGAAGAATCAGATTGATAAGATATGACTTTTCGTCGAACTTTCAATTGAAGCACAGCGCTGCTTGAATCACCAGCTAAACTTATATTTGCAAGATTGGCCAGAGATGAGTCATTGCAAGGAGGAGAAATTGATGTATGTCAAAGTTTGTCCGAAGCGGTTTCGGCGTATGGTTGGGGAGGAGGTTCTGCGGTGGTTCATCTCACTCATGCCAGAAGCCACATTTTGAAGCTTTCCCTGCATGTTGAGCGGGAGCGGAGATTTTTGTCTTGGAGCGTTCAGCCGGTCCCGTAGTGCTCTCGGGCCTCCGAGTCGACGCCGGCTTTGGAGCTGTGCTTCCTTGATGGATCGCGGCCGCTCAATCGATTGACCACACCATTGTTGCTGGGTCCATGGTCTCTGTGGCTGTATCCGGGAAACCCTATTTTCTCCTATGTCTCTGCATGATCATGTTGTGTTTCATTCGAAAGCTCGGAGATGTCAATTGTTGCTGCGTCGCGGCTAGCAAAGCGCCGATGCGGATATCATGAAGTCATGCCGTGAGCGCGTGTGGCCAGAGCTTCCCGAATGTTCAACTTGATCTTTTGATCCGGCTGTCCTCATACATCAGACAAGCACAAGATGATTCTCACACAATGCAGACGGACGATGCTGTCGCCGGCGTTCTCGGCATGCCGTCGTTCAATCTCTACTCTCCCAAACAACCCCCATATTGTGTGTTCAACGATTGATCATGGTAGTAATCGGATCGCCTGGCTAACATGAATTCGCAGTATGTACACCCGCAATCGCCCACGGTCAATGTTCTGTCTTTCCTTCCTACGTCGCCTCCCACCGGATCCCTTGCCATCGGTGTCACATCACAAATCCCTCCTACGCCGGACTCGTTGCGCGAGAACCAATCGTTCATGAAGGTACTCCAATCTGTGATACGAGAGCATGCGACCAAGGACCCGGAAGTCGTTGGCCAGGCACAAGCATATGCCAGCTCAGCTGGATCATCCTTGGGGTCGGGAGGTGTCTTCTTCCCTCAGTCGCAACACAAGCGCAGCAAGAGACGCGGCGGTGGAGCTAGCACTGGCGGCGATGGTGCTGGAGGAGCGTCTGCACAAGGTGGTGCTGGAGGCGCGGGGAGAGGAGGATACATTCACGTCAGTGATCAGAGGAATCCTCCCGACTATGGCCGCATCTCATGGCCCGAGGACATATTCGGCAGTCTCGAAGTTGACGCGGCCGGCAATTTTGTGGGCGAGCACGGCAGCTATCAAGAGAGTGGAACGTACAGATGCGTTACACGGGAGGGAATGTGAGTACAAAGTAGGGAAGTGCCGACCATGATGCATACACTGACATGGATACAGTCTTGGACTTAGTCCTTACCTTCGCGAGAGGCTCATCGAGAGACTCAAGCAGCTTGAAGCTGAGAAGGGTCAATAAAGCGCAACAGCTTCTTCTCCATGCTGTGTGCAAGGATGATCCGGCCTTCATGATTGAGGAGTCGTAGGGGGAGAGCGCATGATGCATTAGCGGAAGCATGCAGGTATGCAGGTATGCTTGTTTGGTTGAGGCATGAAGATGCTATGCAGAGCGGGTGCATTGCATATGCATCGTCGGCTGAGCACGGCATAAACACGGCACTGAAAGCGGAAGTCAGAAGTATTGACAGATGATCATCAGTTGCTACAGAAGGAATTCGATGAGCATAGAGTGGTGTAGAAAGCAATACGTTGTTGATGGGAATTCGGGAAAATTCTGGAAATCAAGCAAATGTCCCCATGGTGGATGAGGGGCTTCGCGGGGCAGCTTGGCTAAAGATGTGCAGCACATCAGCCGACTGCAAGAGCAGGTGCGAGGCCGACGAGTCGCGGCGGAACTTGTCGACAGGGAATAGCTGCAACAAGCTGAGAACAGCATCTGTCGGTCGTGGCGAAAGCAACAGAGTCCAATTGAACGGATTAGAGGAGTCGAAGGACGGTCTCGTGAGAATGGTGATGACGGTATAGGGCGAGCCCGTGCGCAAGTTGGGGAAGCAGCGAAGGAGTTGAGGGGACGGGCTAATCGATATGCGCGCATGCCGAAGCACGTCGCTTGCCTGTTCACTGTTCACCTCTCACCACCTGTCACGACACCACTATCCGTCCCTCTCGAAGCAGCCAAGCCAATCACAGCCTCAGTCGCCGCTCTGAACAGTAGACGGCGGCCACGTTGTCTCGCAAACAGCCTTTCCTGTGCGACGCTCGCACCAGCTCCAGCATCCACCACCTAGCACTCACCATCTTCCCGTCGGCATCACAGCGCACCCGTTTAACAAGTGCGCCCTCATCCATCACTTGCGCATCCGACTCCCTCAATCGCTCTTACAAAGGAGCCATATCTACTTCTCCCTCGCCGTCCGCTCCTACTCAGCCGACACGTCGCTTCGCCCAGCGGGCACCCGCATACGCCCACCATGGCTCAGGCCTTTGACGATGACGACCTATCGCTCTCCATGACCCGTCGCCCAACCAATGCTTCACAAAACGACGACTCGAATCCGCCTACTGCTCTGGCCGCAACCCACAAGCCGCAGCAGCCTCCACCCGTAGCGAATAAGAGACGCTTGGGTCAATATGACATTGTCAGAACGTTAGGTGAAGGCTCCTTTGGCAAAGTCAAGCTGGCTGTACACAAGGTCAGCGGCCAAAAAGTCGCCCTCAAAATCATCTCCCGCCAGAAGCTCGTTACCCGCGACATGGCCGGCCGAATAGAACGCGAGATCCAATACCTACAGCTGTTGCGCCATCCTCACATCATCAAGCTCTACACGGTCATAACCACCCCGAAGGAGATCATCATGGTCCTCGAATATGCTGGCGGCGAGCTGTTCCAGTATATCCTTGACCATGGACGGATGGCCGAAGACAAGGCCCGCAAGTTCTTCCAGCAAATAGTGTGCGCTGTCGAGTACTGCCATCGTCACAAGATTGTTCACCGTGATCTCAAGCCCGAGAATCTTCTCCTCGACGATGCTCTCAATGTCAAGATTGCCGACTTCGGTCTCAGCAATATCATGACCGATGGCAATTTCCTCAAAACTAGTTGTGGCAGCCCGAATTACGCTGCTCCCGAAGTCGTCGGAGGCAAGCTGTATGCTGGTCCAGAGGTTGATGTGTGGAGTTGTGGTGTCATTCTCTATGTATTACTGTGCGCCCGCCTTCCTTTCGACGATGAATACATCCCGACGCTTTTTAAGAAGATCCAGTCAGGCACGTACCATACGCCAAGCTACATCTCATCAGGTGCCGCTCGTCTGATCAAACGAATGCTGCAAGTTAGCCCTGTCAACCGCATCACTATTGATGAGATCAAATTAGATCCGTGGTTCCTGAAGGAATTGCCCGACTATCTCACACCACCTGTCGAGGACTTCATGGATCAGGGCATTGACCCTAACAGATCCATTGACCCGGCCAAACTTGCACCCACCAAGCCTGCAGTGGTGCAACAGAAGTTGCACGAGAGCGTGGTTGGCAAGCTGGGCAAGACAATGGGTTATGCAAAGGATGATGTGACAGAGGCACTCGCTAAGGATGAGCCCAGCGCTATCAAAGATGCTTATCTCATTGTGCGGGAGAACACGATTATGAAAGCCAACCCATCACTCACACACAATCCGGATCTGCAACCATGGCTTGCTCAATCACCACCCACCTTCCAAACTACTGTCGCTTCCCCACCAAATGCTCGCCATCCTGCGCCCGGTACATCCAATCCAGCATCGAATGTCGAGCATCCCCGCCATGGTTCCACTAGCTCCGCTCATGAAGCTCGCACCCCTGCGACGACCATTGGTATCCTACCTTCATCACTTCCATCCTTCCATCAAGCATACATGCAGGGTACTACCCCCAGAGCTGCTATCGCGGAAGGCGAACTCGATCCTTATGCCCCCAACAGTGTTCCTGGAGGCGAAGGTAAAGAGTTGACTACTGAACAACGCGCTGCTGTCCTACGAAGATTGAGGCCTCACGTCAAAAACAATCAGATCGGAGGCCGAGACAAGCCTGAGATGATGACGCCGCTTCCCAGCAAGGACAAGAAGGCTAAACCAACCAAATGGCAGTTTGGTATCCGCAGTCGCAACAGTCCTTCAGAAGCCATGTTGGCCATATACAAGGCTCTGAAAGCAATGGGCGCTGTGTGGGAGGCTCCTGTCATGCGCCGTCCTGGCCATAGAGATGGAAGTCCTCCACGCAATCGTCGGCGTCACGCTAGAGACGGAAGCCAAAGCCCTGAATACTCGGACTCGGACCCTGAGGCTGGCACTGATCCGGAATACTCGACTCACGAAGAGCGGGCTAGTCGCCGCTCCCGTGGTGGACATGCATCGGATATGTCAGATGACGACTTTGGCGAAGAGTTGTCACGCAGTCAGCGCCGCAAGTCACATATTCGTGAACCTCTTGGACCTGAGAACGACTGGGGTTATAAGATACCCGAGGACCCGTGGATCATCAATGCAAGGTTCCGCAAAGACGGCATGTTCCCACCAGGTGTCGCGCATCCATCATCAACGCACTCCAGCCGTGTAGACTTGCACGAAGGTATCCGCCGCCGCAGCTCGACGATGGGCAGTAGCACCAGTCTAGCCAACTCGCCCGCAGGGTTTAATTCACCCATGCAGCCAAGTAGCGCCCAAGGTAGTGCCCACGCGTCCACCGATAATATCGCAGCAACGGGCCCTGGCAGCTTCGGTCAAGATAGTCTTCGTCGTCGCCATCCAGCTCCCAACGAGAGCGCCTGGGTATACGTGACCATCCAATTGTACTGCATCGAGCAAGATAGCTTCATGGTCGACTTCAAATGCGCTGGCTACGAACGTCTAGTCCGCAGGCTGAGGCGCGAGATCAAGACACACGCTGATGGTGAAGCATCGGATGTTTGGCGTGAAGAAGATCACGATGACGAAGATATGGATGAAGGATACATGGGCTGTGGACGAATTTCGGATGAAAAGGACATTTCGAGTCCTTTCCCCTTTATGGATGTGGCTAGTAGTCTCATCGTTCAGTTGGCCCAGGGTGCTTGATCTATTTCTTCTCTCCTTGTATCTTCCGCTCCCACATCCACTTCTTTTCCACCATTTCTTGGACGGGTCGGCTGCATCGACACAGGAGGATCTATACTTTTCGGCTTTTTTCTTTTTCACAGGCGTTTATATCGGCAAAGCATCAGGGCATTTGCATCAAAGTCATTCGCTAAACCCAGAGGACAGCAAAGGTGGGAGGGTGGAAACTTAATGTTCCGAAGCATCACAGATATCCCAAACATATCATTGTTTTTTCTCCCCTTTTTCTCAGAAATCTTAGATAGACAGTTTCCAGATACCAGAGAAAGTCGTACATGTTAAGCAATTTATTAGAAGATACAAGTTTTCTTTCGTTTCTTTGGTAATTGCTTGAATATTAAAGGTCACACCCTTTTTCCCCATTTATTAAAAAACTTTCGACCGCTGTCTTGTCGTCCCCTTTTTGTTCATGCCTTTTGTGGCTCACTACTTTTGCGTCTCCTCCTTCTTCTCCTCGGCGGTAGTGTTGGCCTCCTTGCCCTTGTTGAATAATGCTCTAAAATCATCGTTGCTTTTTACTTTGGCCTCGGTCTCGTCTGTACCACTCATAGTCTTGTCTTGCCCCCCCTCCGACGACTTTGCAACTCCAGAGCCAGCAGAAAGACCACCACGCTTGAAGCCCAATCCACCACGTCTGCCTTGGCCGCCTCTCTGAACAGGTCTGGAGATACCAGCCTGAGCAGGTTTGAAAGAAGTGGCTGGTTTAGGCTCGACAGGGTCTTTAGCTTTGGACTTGTAGAGGAGTTGTTCGACTGTGCCGATGCGTACTTCTGGGCCGAGGGGGCTGCAGTCAACTCCCATGCTGACTTTAGCGGCGTCTTGGAGGTTTACAAATTCGATCATTGCGCCTGCTTTGTCGCGACGGACCGTAATTTTGCGGAGAGGACCGAAGGTTTGGAGGAAAGATTGGATGCGTGCGTCGTTGACTGTGTCGGGAAGGTTGAGCAGGGCCACGGTGCGCTCGCGTTTTGTCTTTGCTGTCTCCTCATTGAGCTCGCCAGTGGGTGCAGCGAGCTCACCACGTCCGTTGGTCGCCTCAGTAGAACCGTTCTGACCACCCTCGGGTGCAGGCGAGCCACTTGTGGTTTGCTGAACAACAGTGGTCGCAGTGTCCTTCTTTGCCGAGCTCTTGTCTGTCGCGTGACTGACACGCAAAAGGCGAGTCAACAATGGCTTGTTATTGAGCACCATTGCCGCATCGGCCTCTTCTGCTTTCGAGAAGATGATAAACGCAGTTCCGATAAACTTTTGTCCTACGTTCTTGATCATGCGAATACCCTCAACAGTACCGTGCTGCTGGAATAGCTCGCGAATCTCCGTCTCGGTGGCATTGCGATCAATGTTGGCAACGTGCAACTCACGACCTTCCGTGACAGCGCCAGAACGCTCCTTCTTTGCACCAGGGTCAGAGATCAGAGCAACGAGACGATGTTGACCATCAAGAGCCTTGTTGTTCATCGCTGTTGCGGCACGAGCTTCTTCCTGCGTAAGGAATTGCACATAACAGAAGCGACGTCGCTGATTGTATTTGAGAGAAGGCAGACGAACGCTGACAATGGTACCGAAATCCTGGAACATCTCACGGACCTTGACTTCGTCCCAATCAGCGGGGTAGTTGGTCACGTAGAGAGTCGAAAGGGTTCCCGATTGTATGCGAATAGTGTTTCCATCGAAAGACTTTCCGTCTCTAGTCTTGGCAGAGAGTGTATCTTCTTCAGTCTCAAATTCAATGGTGGCATGTGCGGTCATTGCATTATCGTCAGCTACTATGCCAACAGAAAGAATGTTTCCGCAATCGGCAAAGAACTGTCGTATACGAATCTCCGTAACATCGCTTGGTAGATCTTTGACAGTGATTGTGTTGTGCTCTCTATCGCGTTTGATCTGAGCCGAGGCCGAAGCTGATGATTCGTGGAATGGAGGCTTAGTTGAATCCTCTCCGGTTTTGTTTCTCTTGACAACATCCTCGGCCTCTTGCTCCGATTCGTTCTCGCGCTTTCTCTTAGATGTTGTCGACTCCTCTTCGGAGATGGTTCCAAGATTGGTCGGCTGAGGTTGTGCTTCGGCGGCCACCGCTGCAGCATCGGCTGCTTCTCTAGCTCGTCTTTGAGTAAGGAAGAACTGTGCGGTACGAGCATCTGCCTGTGCCTCTTGCAAAGCTTCGGGAGATTCGTGCTGATGGAAATGATTCACCCACACTTCCAGGATCTTCTCGGGCCAGTCCAAATTTCTTTGGTTCAAAGCTTCTCGAAGCACAGCAGTAGCTCTTCGGGGCGCTGTCTCGTGGGTCTCGATGCGGACTGTATCAGACATTCGATCGTGAGCCCATACCAAGATCTCGAACTTGTAGAAAGCAAGCCAAAAATCTGCACTGGCGGCATGAGTCGGCATCAAGCGCTCATACACCGTTCTGGCGTCCTGGTAACGTCGAGCTTCTAGCAGGAACTTGACACGGATTTTCTCTAGGCGGAATAAAGGATCGCCTTTGTAGTCACCGCCGTAGATCTTTTTGCCAGCAACAGTGGCATCCTCGAGAGTACCGGTGATGCCCATGTCAGCCATATCGATCTCATCATCAGTGTTATCCGGCGCAAAGGCTCTACGGCGAAGGTAACCACACCATGAGGAATACACCTTGAGGACTTCTTCCATTCCACCAATATCAAGCAGACCACTATTTGTAGCCTTGTGCTTGACTTGCTCGACTTCGTCGTACGGAAGTCTGTCTACTTCGGCGCGTAGGACACGTCTCGACCACAGGTCGCCGGACCATGGGCAATGTCTGGTGGCTCTTTCTAATATTGTCAGAATGACCGGACTGCTAGAGTTGGTCTTCAACACGAAGTCAGCGAGATCGAGCCACCACTCGATGACCGTAGGGAAGCGTAGCAGTGCTCTCTCATATAAAGAACATCGAAGCTCAAAATCGAAAGGGGAGCGACGTTTGTTCTTGCGGTCCCAGAGAAGATATTCTGTGAATGCGTTGTAGAGGGCTACACTGTCACCAGATTCGGTTGCTCGCTGGAGATTCAGCTCGTGTGACTCCCGGAGCGCTAATTGTTGCTTAGCGGGAGCAGCCATCTCGTTGGTGGCCGCCATTATCTCTTCCCAGTTGCTCGCGTTGAACTTCGAGACGATGGGCCAGAACTTGGACGAAGTTTCGGACCAATTTGCATGAGGAGTCTGAAGACGACTCATGAAGATGTTGTTGATGTGCTCAATTGCTTGAGAAGATGGGTTTTCCGGAAACTCCTGGAGCATAAGGTCGATGTATCGGTCCCATACACGATGGCTTTCGTCTATGCGCCACGCTGTGGCCTCCACGGCTCTTTCCCAAACACTCATGCAGATATCGCGACTGAACACCTCCTTGCAAATCTCCTTGTCGATTTCCGTCCAGACATCAGGGTCACCTTCAGTGAAGCCATTGGCGATGGAGTAAGTCTGCATGACCCATTCACCGTAGATACACCATAACGTAACACTGGTCGGTTCGTCCTGCACAGCCTTCTGGCACAGGTCCATCACGGCAACGCGTTCTTCGCTTTGGCGAGCTAAGAGGGCTTCGTCGTTGATCCAGTCCTTCCAGATATCTTCACCAACAGCAAACCGGGAGTCCATAGCCTCACGTGCTTGTCGCATATCAGGCAGGAGGTTGTAGTCCCTCGGGTCGTTGATGACCACGTCCGAAGTACCGTAGACATGGGCGACAAATCCTTTATGGAGGAGATTAATAAGTTGTACATGAGAGTCGTAAGCGTAGGAGTTTTCGGCCAGATATTTGACCAATTCGGTAGTTGTCTGAATTTCTTGCTCCGTCAGTGAAGCAGCCGTAAAGGCGCGTGGCTCGGGCGTTTGTGCTGGAGCCTCGGCCATGGCGACTTGCGTAGAAGAAAGAGCAGAGCGGGCGAGTGGTGGCGCAAAGCTGGTTCGTCGGTTACTAAAGCTACGTCAGTCACAGAAAATTGTCAGATGTCCAAACCGCTTACATTGATGGCAAATGTGAATCGACCAAGGAGTGTTGTCTTTGTAATTGGTGATGCTGCATCGAAGCAAGATCTGGAAACAATATCAGAAATTTGTTCGTTTGTAGTAGATCACATCATGTGACCAGGATAACGCACCTGCCAAAGTCTCCATCTGCGGCGTTGACGAATGCCGGCCGGAGACGTACTGAAGCGATGGTCGATGAGCTTGCGACGCTCCGTAAGAGCCTCTCATTTCGGGATTGTCCAGATTGCTTCTGAAGCCTCTCATGTCCTGCGCGCCATTATATGACGAGGCATATGCATTTCTTTGATGTTGGTTGGTGAAATCCTGTCCTAGCGCAGGCGCCGAACGTGGGGCCTCCGACGGCGGCGAGGTCATGGAGATTTCATTGCTGAGTCCGGATGCAGTGCGTCTACCACCAGGACGTGGCTGGGCTCTTGATCTGACGGGCGATGCGGAACGCGACTGTGCTGAAGCTTGTTGTTTAACAGGCGATTCTGATGGCGACAACAAGTCATTGATATCCATGGCAAATGCGAATGCGGCTCCGACAATATGATGAGAATTGTAGAAAAAAACAAAAACGATTGCCCACACTAGCTTAAAGAAGGCGAAGACGACTTAAATGGGGCAAGGGGAATGGTAAGACTAAAGGACTCGCGATCCGCTTTGGATGGAAGTGGCTCCGGCTGTCAGGCAAACAACAAAGTGGACGAACAGGGTGGATAGCAGTTGGCGGACAACGGATGCAGAATCCGACGAGAAGGTTCAAAGCGGGGACGTCTGAGGCTCTTCAACTTCTAGAAAGTCGGAGGGAGAAGCGAGGGAGTCGCAGTGGACGAGGGAGGCGCAAGAGAGAGACTTGTTTCCTCTGACACGTATTGGATACAGGAGTTTGCGATCCTCGAGCCAGTCTCCGTAACGGTGTTTGCACAGCGCTGTCCAATCAGCGTGGAAGTGTGGAGTGGATTGTGGAGTGGATTGAAGATTTTTGAAGATGCGACTGAAGGTTGATCGACAAAGGGGCAGCAAGTTGGATGCTTGGACTTGATCTGCCGAAGAAGGAGTTTCGGAGACAGACAAGAGCAGATTGAGAAGAGTCAACACTCAGTCACAGGACGTGCCTTTGATTATCAATTCAGACATGGTCGGGGACCATGACTCGCTGGGACAGAGATATGCCAACATGTTGAGGTTCAATACTCTGATACACATATATGAAACTACGGACTCAACTGTCATGAGAGTTGGGAATAGCTTTTGGTTAGACGAGTGTCTTTTCTATCGGTTCCACCGAACTGTCCAATCATCCGAGCCAAACAAGATGGTCGCGCGCAATGTAAAAGCAGAGGGAAGTTTGACGAGTCAAGAGAGTGTTGGAGGCGGAAGGACAGGGTCGGCGATGAAACGCTTGGCTAGGCTTTCGGATTAGCGTCGTGGGCGGGCAAGGAAGTTCTAGAGAATCACGAAGCGCAGCGACGACGAGGGCAGACGCACAAAAGCACACACAATGAGCGCCCGTACGCCTTCGCGGCGACTGCTGCAGAATGGTAAGATGACACACTGTCTTTGTGAGAGGACTTGGGGCTGACGAGGCGAACAGGCGGTCTCCAATGTCTTCATGCGCCATCCACGACGACATCATCGAACCTCGGACGCCGCTCCATCTGGGGCTTCTTTGGCAAGAGAAAGGACGACAGCGCCCTGAGTTCAAGGGCTGGTGCAGCGTCAAACCCTGTACTGGACCAATACCTCCGAAAGAAGCCAAAGCCTCAAGGTGCCGAAGGCCTGCAGCGTGGTGACCTCGCCGAGACATCCATCTTCGAGCGCGAGCGCCAGGTCCAGGAGCGCGACGAGGAGAAAGAGTCGAAGCAGGAAGCCGCCGGTCGTAATATCAACGCCATGTCCACCGTCCTCGACCCCCACCCTGCAGCGCGCGAACGATGGGAGCGCAAGATGCTCATTCGTGACCTCCGCAAGGGCGGCCGTTTGACCAAGGAGCAGTTCATCAAGCGCACCGAAAGAGAGAGTGCTGGCAAGAGCGAGAACATCAAGACGAGTGTCAAGAAGCTGGGTCCCATCGCACGCCAGATCGCCGGAAAGACCGTCGACGACGCCATTGTCCAACTGCGCTTCAGCAAGAAGAGAGCTGCCGTCCCTGTCCTGAACTACCTCGAATACGCCCGTGACGAGGCCATTGTCAGCCGTGGTATGGGTCTCGGTCAGCCTACCGTTGCCGACTCTGCCAAGCCTGTCGACATTCGCCTCAAGGATGGCAAAAGACATACCGTCGAGGATCCTACAAAGATCTACATCGACCAAGCATGGGTCGGTAGAGGTCCTTACGGAAAGCTGCCCGAGTACCGTGCCAAGGGAAAAATCAACATTCTGCACACACCCTGGACCCACATCGGTATGGTGCTGAAGGAGGAGGCTACAAGAGTCAGACAGTACAACGACCGCGAGGATAAGAGGAAGAAGCAGCGTGCTAACAACGTCTGGGTTCCTCTGCCCGACCGACCCATTCAGGGACAGAGGCAGTGGTACTCATGGTAGAGACCGAGCCTGCCGTATATACCCTTGTACAACATCTTTTCTTCCTGTACTGTACTCGCATTCTGGGCTTTGCTGGCGATGGGGTCGAAAATTGGATAAAACATCTACATGACAACTTTCAAAATTCTCCATTGTTTTATTTTACAAAATGCTGCTGCTTGATATGCGACCTCTTACAGATCTTCAAATCTGGAAGTGTTATACAAATGCTTTTCTGTGCGCTCCACCACCTCAAGAGCAGCTCCTACAGCTATGGGTCCATCACTTGTGGGAATACACAGCATACCAAAGCAAGGCTTGTACTTTGCAACTCCACCTTGATCAATACGCCTGAACTTCATGAGCGTGTCCCAGGGTTCGTGTGCGTGTTTCTCGGCTGTGTCGGGGTCGACGTTGGGTACCTGACAGCGGGCACAGTGGCACAAGACATCAAGGTGTGTCTTCCAAATGGCTTCACGCTGGTGATCGGTCGTGCGGATGCACACCTTCTTCCAGCTATCCTCATCCCAGGCCTTGTCGCCCTTGACGATGATGTTAGGTCTGAAGCGCTCAATGGTGAGTTGGTCGTGGCCAGCAGCTTCAAGTCTGGAGTTGAGATCGGCGAGAGAGGCCTCTGAAGCGATTTGAATGCTCATGACATCGGCAAAGTGGTGCTCTTGCTCCTTGCCGTAGAGCTCAGGGCTGCCGTTACCGCGAGCATTTCTCGGAGTAGGGCCCTTGTAGACCAGAGCGACGGGCTTCTTGAAGTATTCGCTGAAGATTGCGTTGATACCCTCGCTGTATTCCCAGGCGTCCGTTTCCTCGCCCCAGATCTCCACCTTGGAAAGCTTGGTGTTCTCTTCCAGCCATTCAGAGGTAGGGTAGCAAGGTACCTTGATGTGTTTGTCGGTGTCGTGAATGCTGACATGCAATTCCGTCCATCTTCCCTTGCCATCTCCGCTGAGTCCAGTATCAATCAGAGTCATGGAAGGGTCTGAGCGAATGGTCAAAAATTGACGGCTCTTTGCGTCGACGAACATCCATTGACGATCCAGATCCAATCCAGTCTTGTGAAGTTTGGTGTCTTGAACCTCGATACCACGGCATGACTTGATGGGGTAAATGCGCAGAGAAACGATCTCGGTCGACACAGGCTTCTTACTAGCAGTCAAGGCACGAGCTGCGTCTTCATCATAGATATAGTTGGCGTAGAACCAAAGTGTGACTACAGTCACGACCACGAGAGTGATCAGTCCAATGGCCATGGTGTGGATATCGATGCCAGGGATGAGCTCTATCCTCCCCGTGCCTCCCTTGTTGAATTGACCCATATTGTCTGACAAGAAGATTGATCTTTTTCGAAATTCGGGTGATGTTTGCCGGTCGCTATCCAGAATATGTGGACTCGACGACAATATAGAGAGAACAAGGGACCAGACTCTGAGAGGTTTCGAAGAATCATGGAGGTGCCGCTAGCTCCGAAGCCTAAATTGTGCTCGGCGTCGTGCACAATGGTCTGTGCATACATCTTTTTGTTGACTTTCGGCAACCCGTCCGTCCATCCTGCCTTTCTTATATCAATTCACATTTCTTTATCTTTTATAGTAAGTCATCAGCTACTTCCATTTTGATTTCTCCCACGTCCGGCGTTTGCCCATACTATCAAGACATTCCGGTTTCTGCTTCTTCCTTCGTCGACAATCGAGACTATTTCTACTGGCAGAATGTCTTGTCTTCTATATCTGTGATGCTGCTTTTAGTCGCCCTACAGCGTTACGGGTCTGCTTCCAGGTTCCGTTGGTTCAGAAATCTCGATTCTTGAAGCACGATGGGTGGCATGAGCACCGCACTCCTTCTCATCTCATCCACATATGATCTCGAGCATGCATCTCATCAGCAATTCACATATGCCGAGTACTTGAACGTTCAACTGACTTTGAGAACAGTATCACAATCATGCCTGACAAAGACGCTGGTACTCCTCGTGTCTTCCTCATCCGCCATGGCGAGACCGAGTGGTCAATGTCCGGCAAGCACACCGGCAAAACCGACATCCCCTTGACCGCCCATGGCGAGTCTCAAGTCCGCAGCACCGGTGCCATCGCTGTCGGCGACAACAAACTCATCGACCCTTCCAAGATTGGGATGTGTTGGGTTTCCCCTCGCACACGCGCCCAGCACACCTTCTCCCTGCTCTTTGGCGAGCAAGAGGCTTCCCTCAGACAGCAGGGTAAAGTCCAGACCACCGAGCAACTCGGTGAGTGGGACTACGGTGCCTACGAAGGTCTCAAGCCTGCCGAGATCCGCGATTTGCGCAAGTCCAAGGGCTTGGACACTGAGCGCAAGTGGGACATCTGGCGTGATGGCTGTGAGGATGGCGAGTCTCCTGACCAGGTGGCTGCACGTATCGACGAGTTGATTGTCGAGGTTAGAAAGTTGCAGGGTCCTAACATGAATGGCGAGCAACCTTGTGATGTTGTTCTGGTCGCTCATGGTCATCTCACTAGATGTTTTGCCAAGAGATGGTTGGGCTACCCTCTTGATATGAACCTTAACTTGATGATGGAGCCTGGTGGTGTCGGTGTGTTGAGCTACTCTCATCACAAGGTTGATGAGCCGGCTCTCCTTCTCGGCATTGGCTTCCCTGCTCAGTCATAAGCACTCGGATCAAGGACACAGATCTGAAGACTATGAGAAGGGAAGTTTTACATCATTAGATTTATTGTACATAACACCAGCCACTAGATTTCGAACTCGACAATAACTTTCATACACGACCAGCTCGGCCTGACTCAACGAAAACTGAGCGACGTTCGTATATATCAAGGGTATAACCCGATCAGTAACACAGCAATATCCTTCTCGCAAAGCTAAAGCTAGCCTCCATAGAAACACATTCGTTCATCATATATCAGTACTCCCATCGGAGCAACTCGAATTACACATTCGCAGGAGAACAATCCGACAACTCAACCCTCAATTCATGTCCCTCATCGACCAATCAACCTGTACCTGCAGAACCTCCCGAACAGAGCAACAAGCATTCCTGTCATCCTCCCTCGTCATCCCAATCGGCGTCTGTCTCTTAGCCTCCATCGAAAACTTACGCCACAGCTCCTCACTCAACGCTTCTGCTCCGACTATACCCCTGACACCATATCTGTCGAGAGCATCTTTGACAGTAGGGTTCTCAGTCACGACCTTGTGCTTACCACGTAACGCCGACTTTTTGCTTTCTCCCTGAGTACTGTTGAGAAGTTGGTTCAGATGACTGTGAAAGGCATCGACCCAACGGCTGGGGATCAAGAAGAAAGTGTCTGGTTTGAAGCGGCTTGACAAGACGTGTAGACATGGGTGTGAGATTGAGAGAACAGACAAAGGCGTGGGTTTCTTGCTCATGGTGTCGCTCGGGTTGGTGATGACAGGGAGACAGATGGTGTCTGGCGCCAAGAGCTGGGTGAGCACGTCTTGGGTGGAGGGAGGTAGGTATATATGGTTGCTCCATGGATGATCAGGAGACAACTCGATGAGTCGGCACGGGGCATCTTCTTCGTCTTCCGAGTCGGACTCTGAGCCTTCCACCTCGGGGCTGGATGAGGGGACAGCTATAGAAGAGCTTCGAGCATTGGAAGGAGCGTCAACAGGCACTGCAGCTGGGGAGATGTGGCTAGGACCTGCCTCGGGAGTAAAATGAGCAGGTACGAGCGGTCTACGACTACTGCCAGCAACAACTTGTTCGTACGGTCGCGCGTCAGTGACAGCGAAAGAAGTAGTCGCAGGGCCGGCTTGAGTCGCTGGCAGGAGCCGCCTGACATTCGGAGCTGTAGCACCTTCTAGGGTCGAGGCAATGTTTGATCCAGCGAACGCCTTATCGCTCTCGAGCTCCTTCATACATGACAGATCGTAGCCCAGATAAGCCAGTTCATTGTTGGCAGGTCTAGTGTCTGTTCTGAGATCACTAGACTCAGGTGGTGCTGGCTGTATATATCCCGCCGACTGTTGAGTTTCTGCAGGTCTAATGCCATACAAAGTATCGTAAGCCGTACCTGGGAGGACCGAAAGTGCTGATTCAGTCGAGAGCCAGTCTAGGCTGAACAAGTCCTGGTCCAGCCAACTGGCATCGAAGCCAGGCTCCGTAAAGTCGACTGGGTGTATAGGGGCTGTCGTCCGCGACGCAGGAGCCACTCTCGCAAAGTCCTCCTCAGAATCAGACTCACGACGGCGTTTCTTTCCCGTGCTGTTCGACGGCTGTGGTACAGCAGACCAAGGCTGTGGGAGCAAAGGGGCAACTGGCGAGTCTCTTGGTGACTCTGTCATCAGTGGATACCAGTTTCTCAGAACTACGCCAGTGCCAGGGTTTGTATACTGCTCCCCCCAGGGTATCATCGAGATCCTTTGCAGAGCCGTAGACATAAGATGCTCCTGCAACAGGTAAGGGAAGAATGGACCTGTGATGCCAGTGCCGATTATATCGTAAGAGCCAGACTCCTTTGCTGCCCAGGCGATATCATGTGGAACGATTGCCATGTGACCCGGTGTACTTGGAAAGATGACAACGTAGAAGGCCGGTGGTGATTCACTTCCAGCTTCATCCATCGTAATTGTACCATAGCGAGTTGCGACTTCATGTTCGTCTTCTAGCAGGACCATAAAGTCGAACCATATAAGACGCTGTGGTTGGGATTCATCCTGAGGTACACGGACAGCGCCATCGTGAGGACAACCAGGAAGGGCAGGTAGGTGTACAACATCCAAGTCCAAGGATTGAAGCAGTCGAAGCTTGGTGATGTTTGCCGTAACAAGTTCTGGTGATGAGTCCGAGTAATGGTCCAGACATAGGTATCGTAGACCTCGATTGACTCTGCCAGATCGATCCATTGTAAGAAGAAGTAAGTCAAGAAGTAATCAACAAAGTAGTAAAGATCCTTGATACTTGTGTTGGTTTTTTTCTTTTGGAAAGAAGTAACTCTTGAATTTGAAAAAGAGAACTCGAGGTCAGTCCATGGCTTTTATCGATCTGTATCCGGGTGCACGCGATTTCATGCGACGGACGTGTTGTTCTGAATGATGGTAAAACGCACAACACATGTTTTCCTTTGCTGGCGATATCCACGCGCTTTCCCCGTTATTTGTGAGAACGCATGACAATTTCCGCACGAGGTGTTTCGTTCGACTTCTCGTATTCTTTACTACACGAGCTAGGGCATGTCTTTTCGCATGCTGACCAAAACATTTGGTGTCCTCGGAGTAAGATGTTATCATGCCATGCACTCATCCTTGAGGGGATGTGTTCACTGCATGTTGGCCATTGGCCGAGCAGACATGATGCTGGCATAGGCTCAAGGATTGTGCGTGCTTGTCTTCCACTGCACATACTGAGCTTCTCCTCGACCATTGCACGTGCATTGGGTGCATTGAGTGTGTTGAACGTGAAGAGGCGGCAGTGTGACTAGGCGCTGTCAACACATGTTTGGTCCCCTGCGATAGCCATTCGAGTCTTGTCCAAGTTGCTAGAACCTGGCATCTGCGTACGAGCGAACGCAGACAACAAGATTGCTGTTGTAGATACGTCAGAGATTGAATGTTCGTGGATGACATGGAGACGATTCAACCTATCCGCGCCGCAATTGCAAGACTCCACTCAGCTACATCTATCGGTCCATCCAGTGATCGCTTTTTCACCTGTACGTGCGTGTTGAGCGGTGTGTGTAACGCTCCTCTCATTGAATCCTCCTTGATTCAAGGAATACATCAGTGCTACGAAGTGATGAGGAACCGTTCCCGCAACCCACATCGCAGGTGGGAGAAAGAAAAGACTCATAAAGCAAGTTTTCATGTCGTCATCTACGAAGCGCTTCGTGGCATGCTTGTTTTGTCATTAACTATTGGTACAGTGATTATCCTTCCGTATGAAAAGAAATTATCCAAGGATTGTCACCCCTTGGTGGAAGATTTTGGCTCGTCGACAGAATGCGAGAAGCTTAAGTGCAAGTGTAACCACCGTCGACGCGAAGGTCGGCACCAGTGACATAGCTCGATGCATCACTGCATAGGAAGACAACAGGACCCATGAGATCAACCTGTTCGACAGATTAGTAACATCCAGTAAAGGACAAAGCGAAGGCAAGACTTACAGGACGGCCCATCTTGCCCTGAGGGATCAAGCTAGTCCACTTATTACCAAGTTCAGGGTTCTCGTTCAAGATCTTCTCGGTCAATGCAGTGAGCTGTTTCTCGGGTTAGTTTGAAATGCAGTCCCTCTTTCCAATCCCGAACTCACCATGTAACCAGGCTCGATGACGTTGACTCTGATGTTGGCGTGGGCCCACTCGACTGCCAGCGAGCGACCAAGATGACGGACGGCGGCCTTGGATGCGTTGTAAGGAGCCTGAGGCTGAGGAACGTTGACGATGGCGCCGCTCATGCTACCGATGAATACTATGCTTCCGGGAGCCTTGCGTTCCATGAGGTGACGAGCAACACCGGTAGCGAAGAGATAAGTGCCATCGACGTTCACGCCCCAGAGCTTTCTCACACGGTCGATGGGGTACTTGATGGCGTCGAAGTTCTCGGTAAAGCCTGCTGAAGTCACAAGGTTGTCGATCTTTCCGTGCTGGTTAATCACGTCTGAGAGGACGCTCTCGACGGAGTTCTCATCGCTGACTGGGAAGAGTTAGTAGTAGTTCCTTACGACGATTGTATCGAAGAAGCTCACCATCGCAGTAGTGACCGGTGACCTTTGGCACTCTGTCGGCGCCCGGGTTCTCGTCCTTGAAGACCTTGACCAGCTCCTTTGCCTGCTTCTCGGCTTCCTCCTCTGCGATGATTGTATCAGTGTCTGCCGTATGCAGGCTGGATGGTGTTGAGACACACTGTTCAGATCGACAATGGCGACGTCTGCTCCGGAAACAACCAAAGCCTGGGCCATGACCAGACCCAGACCTCTAGCACCACCAGTGACGAGGGCGGTCTTGCCCTCGAGGGAGAAAGAAGCAAGGGTTCTCTGGAAGTGGAAGCCTCCACGACCTTGGACAGGCTCTTGCTTGGGCACGGCCTTTTCGTCGAAGGGGATCTCGATGGAGTCGTCGGTTCTGGAGAAGGTACCAACGTGCTCGCCCTTCTCTTGAGGGATGGGCTTCTCCTCGTCGCGTAAGAAGGGAGTGGCGGACATAGTTCTTGCCGACATGGCAATTGGGCGGATGGGAGCCACGGCACGGGTGGCCTGGCGAAGGAGGTTCCTGCTGAACATGGTGGGCTGGAGACTGCCTTTACTGTCAGCTATGTCGCAAGCCTTCTTTGGAAGTGTCGTAGGTGGATGGTGATGGGCAGAGTCTTGGAGTGAGCAGACTGAGCAGAATGAGGGGAGCGTTCAATGGTAGAAGGCGAAGTGAGGCAGCTCGGCCCATGTGTGTTCAGGGTGAGGACAATCCCACCACAAAGCCCCAACTTCCGGACACCTCACTTGTTGCCCAGACTCGACAAGACATGGCTAACGCGTCCTCCACGATCCGTCTGAGATGCATGGCTTGCTTTGTGATGGAAGGGTCTCGAGTACTCACCAAAGGCGGAGAAAATACGAGAGGGGAACACTGGGAGACGGACGGGTCAAGACTGTAAAGATTGACAGCCGATTGAGGAGTACGGAAGGTTTGGGTTGAGTCCAAGGAGAATTGTTTTGGGACTCGAGAGCTCTCCAGCTTTGGGTATTTATGACGACAGATCAGGGTCTCGACGTCGATCACTTCCTCCGCAGTTGCCGCGCGCCCATGGGGGGAACGAGGTCCAAGATCGAATCCACCACTCACAATTTGATCTACCTCTGACGAGTCATTATGATGAACGTCTTCTCGGCGCCTGAATCACTAGCTGCTCATGCCGCTTGCTTTTGCGACTATCAACCAAGCTCTTATCACCAGTATTACGAGCTTTTCACGTGTGCTTGGACGAGCACGATTTCGTAATAGATCGAAATCTGGGAGACATGGCGTTCTTGAGCTGCATCGTGCCTGCAGCTAGTCATGCATCCAGCACCGGCCTGCCATCATAACCGACACATCCATCTCCAACGCCTTCTTTGCTCTTTTTCGTTCCTGTTGATTACATGCAGGATGTATTGCAGACCTTTCAAACCGCTGTCAAGATGATGAAACTAACCACAGGATGTTGTGAACATGTGAGATTACAAGTCACGTCTGCTCGCTTCTATACGGTATTTTTGTGATGCAATAATGTACAAGAACGATGGACTGTCCTTCTCCGTTTCTTCAAAGACAGACGCTTGGCGGTGAATGAAAGTAGCCCATTCAATAGATAGGCTTCTAGGCTCTCATGGTCTGCTTTCCGGATCTCTTCCTCTGCTCCTTCTCTCTTTCTCTCTCGAGGAAGCGCTTCTGCTCATCAGCGCTCATGCCCTTGAGCTTGCGCTCGCGCTGTTCCTTCTTGGTCTTGTCGCTGAGGATTTTTCTGTCTTCGGCACCCTCTGCTTCGACAATCTTGCGAACTTTCTTGGCCTCCTCTTCACGAGTTTGGCGGATACGGCGCATGACCTCAGGACGGAAGTGGGCGCTAGTAACGAGCTGATCGGGGATGCGGAGGAAGTAGGAGAAGAGAGGAGTCGAGTTGGTCTCCGAGTTGAGCTTCATGGTAAGCACAAGGCGCTTCTTGGGAACCAGATCGTCGAGACTGAATAGGTAGTAAGCATTGGAGTGCATGGATTCAACGACAAGAACTTACGTCTTGGGAGCATCAACGGGCAAGTCTGTGATGATGAGAGACTCGAAATCGTCGCCGCACTCCTTGATGGCGCTTGCCAGCTCCTGAGTCAAGATGGTCTCTGTGACCTCTGCGCTCTCGCTCATGACACTGACCCACTGAGGCAGCTTGGCGTGGTCCTTTGTGGTGGTCAAGGAGACGTCGTAACGCTCCTCGCGCACCTTTCTCATGGCATCCTTGTTGACAACAGCGAATATGAAGCCGTCGTAGCTGGTGTCCTTGTGACGCTTCTCTTCCTCACCACGAGCACGAAGGACAAGCTGGCCTTCTTTGCCGTCAAAAGTGGTGGCGGTGATCTCGACCTTCTCGCCAGTGCCAGCCATGCTCTCGAAGAAGAAACCGAGACCGAGTTCAGTGATCATGGCAAAGGGGTTGTAGCGCTTCAGCAGGCTGAGCTTCACGTCAACGTGGGCAATGTTCTGGCGACCAGTAGCGTAGCTCAGGTAGACATCCTTTGTCTTTTCACGCAGGATCTCGGGATTGATCTTGTCGCCAGCGGACATGGCAAGCTCAGGAGAAACAGTGGCGGGGTCGATCTTCTTGCCAAAGCCAACGTGGGTGAATTCGTTCTCAAGGATGTTGACGTGGCTGCGGATCCAAGCATTTGCGCGACGGCGGTTTGCGCGAACTCCCCAGAAGTGGATGAAGACGGTGAGCAGCAGGAAGGGGATAACGAAGGCCTCGAGCTTGAAGTCACTCCAGGTCACGCGCTCATGCACATTGTACCACTTTGTGAAGGGTCGATCCGAGATGTCGATCTTTGCGCCAAATGTCTGGTATGCAGGCGGAGAGGTCAGAGTTGTCGACAGAGATGCCGGCTTGGGAGAAGGTGCATCTGCGAAGTCGGCAAAGTCTAGCAGCACCTCAATCAGTTCCTGAGAAGAGTACGACATTACGACGGGCTAGATAATACCTGAATCTGCAAGGGGTCCAGCATTGACCGGAGATGGCTTTGCGCCTCCAAAGAGGCCCTTGATCAGGTCGGCCATCCTATATCTTGTCTGGTGGTACTATCAATGCTTGTCGGATGCTCGAAGCTCGTCTTCTCCCCAGATACAGCTTGAGCCTTGAGGACACCACCGCCATATCATCCGCTTTGAGCCGAAGTAATTCCGTGACATGCTCGAGAACATGCCTCGATCCCCGACCACGCCTCATCCTGATATCTTTTTGCTTCCCATTGACGGTCTATCATCACTCGTTATCTGTTATGATGACCTCTATAAGTTTTGACGCAGCGGTCTGGCCGGAGCATGTCGTGTTTTATGATAACAGGTGTCAGGCGATTTGCGAGATGTGCTGCTATCCCACGTAACTATGTGTGTATACATCCTGCAGACAGAGAATATCTACCCGTCAAGCATACGAGCATATCTCAGCTGGATACCCGCCTTTAAACCGTCTGGAGGTATTAGGAGTGATCGACATGGTATGGGCCAGAGTAGCAGGGTCATCCCCACCACGATACTGACTTTGCGCTAATGAACTCTAACTCTTGCATGCTCATTACATCATGATCTCTCCAGACATGGCTGTCATCTTACCTCTGTTACACTCATCATCTCAACCTAACATTTCCATCGGCCGTGTACACAAAATCAAGCTTCGGTGAGCAAGTCCATCGTGTATACTTCTGACAATTCTAAGCATCTCTTTAGGGTTCATAAAAGTCAGCATATTCATCTCCAACTAAAATCGGCAAGAAGACTTCCCGTACTCAAACATGCCTTACACACTTCAAGCCGGTGGCTACATCGACCCTACCTCCAGCTCCAGCTCTGGACCCGTAGAAGTCGACCCCAGTGCTCCAGGAAGCGTAATGCGCTACGCCCTAGCCTTCGAGACCGTGGCCAACGCCATTGGTGGAACCTGGATGGTCTTCTTCCCAAAGACTTTCCTAAGCATGCTCGTGAACTCCTCCTCCGACATTACCCCTACCGCGATTACCTGGACCCAAGTCACCGGTGCTTTGGTGTATGCTCTTGCCACTCCTCTGATTTTGGGCCTTCCAAACACGAGAAGAGGTATTGAGAGTAGAGCACCTACTTATTATACTCTTGCTGCTGGAGAGGTCGGCGTAATTGCTGTCGCATTGTACAAGGCTCTTGTGTTTGGGGATGACAGTGGTTGGTCGACAGGTGCTTTGTTGGCTGCCAGCTCTGTTCTAGCTCCTACTTTGGCTTGGAGATTCTATGTCTTGTTCGGAAAGCCGGAGTGGATTGGAAGATACCGCGAGTCGGCCCGCAAAGGCAAGTAAACATTTCTCTTGGGCTTCATCCCGTGAAGCAAAATCATGTTGGACTGTTCGCTATACAGAACCTCCCCATGTGCTACACTCTGTCACACCTACCCACTTCAGATAATCAGGGCAGAGTGACAATGAGCAGAAGCAATGCATAGTTATATCTTATATTGAAAGACTTGACACAGGGATTTATCAACAAGATGTATCTCAGCGGCCATTGCTCAAGATCCGAACAGGTCTCTGCCTCAAGACAGCTACAAATGTGACAGTACTTTGCGGATAGGGAGGAAGTTCTTGCTGATTGATTGTTTATAGGACCTTTCGAGGGAAGTCCTCTACTGTCAACCTAAGTGTGCAGCCGTGTTGTGATAAGTCGAGAAAGACTTCGATAATATAATAACTACTCAAGGTGTGAAAACGATGCGCTCGTCCTTGTCATGCCAGTGCTCTTCGATTTCGCTCAAAGACACAACCTTGACTTTCTGTGGCTCGAAGCTCTTGAAAGCGTTCAAGATTTTGGGTATCTCTGGTCGCATCGCTTCCCGGGACCAACTGCCAGGTCCGGCTCCTCGTATAGTGAGATTCTTTGATCTCAGGACGCCACCTGGCAATATCATCTCCGTTCCTGCAAGACCTCCGACGTGGACATATTGAACAGCGCGGGTGAAATTGACCGTGGTGAGCACATGTTGTGCAACAGGACCGTAGAGGTAGTCGAGAATGACGTCTACTTCGGCTGCAGCGCTGCAGTCGGTGTCTGAAATGGTCTTGTCGAGAACGATCATCTCGTCAACACCAACTGCTGACAGGGTCGCAATATCGCGCGACATGCCGATCACTTTGCCAGCGCCTAGGAGTCTCGCAACATCGACAGCGACTCTACCACTGGCGCTGGTGGCACCCATGACGAGCACGGTAAAGCCCTTGGGTAGATCCGTTGTTCTTGTGGTCAATGCCATCCAGCTGGACAGGACAGGGTTTGCATAGCCGGCAACTTGTAATGGATCCACACCATCAGGCAACTCTACCATCTTTCTTTTCGAAACATTGATGATTTCTTGGAAACCACCACCCGGAAAACTGATAAAGTAGACCATCTTGTTGTCGGTAAGACGACGGCCTACACCATCCACACCAGGAGTGTATGGCAGAGCTCCAGAGACATAGTGATTGCCACTGGCAAGAGAGCGGACCACGAAGTGAAGGCCCGAGGCTATGACTTTGACTGCAACCTCATCTGGTTCGAGCGCAGGTATCGGTGTTTGAATGTACTTTGGCGCTTCACCCCAGGCAGTGATGATCGCAGACTTCATAGTGCTTCCGAATGTGTTTTCGGTCATGGTGTTAGTGATTGTTGCTTGTAGGATGGTTGTTTTAGTAAATGGAAAGTGCCACAGTCGCGGTGAGTAGATCTTCAGGCAGTTGTCCTGATACCTGTATTTGTACTGCCTTCTCTCGAGGCCCAAGGTCAGCGACTGCATTGCTGCCTTATCTTCTCACGGAAACTCCATGGAGCTTCGGACATTTCGGACTTCAGCTCGGTTCCGAGCTATCGGGGAGCTTTGTCACGAGAGCTGTACACGCGACCGCTTTCGACTAGCATGGAGCCTGGTATGGAATCACTGTGCCTTCCTACAGCCTTGTTTTTCAATTTGTGATGTGCTGGAATGCCTACTGCTTTTCTTTGGAGCATAGCTATAGCGATTCAACAGGTCGAGTGCTCTTTCGTCGAACTTCGACAAGCAATCTCGTTCCAAGACCCGAGTGATAGCTTAGCGTGAGCGCTCCGCAGACTCAAGAAGCTGTCAAACGACTACGTACCCAGCCTGGGACCCCAGCACATCGAGTGGCGGTTCGGACGACTCCTTCGAGTGCTCAGTCAGTTTGTTGAGTTCCTCGGAGGGGCAGGTCAAGAAGGATTTTCCGCCTTCCGCCTTTCGCCTTTCAACCATCGATTAAAATCCTACAATATAGCACGCGACCCCCTTCATCTTCCGACAAAAAGGTCAACGATAAACAATTTTCAAGAACATGCAACTCGCAGAACTCTTGATTGGCCATGGCCCCAAGAAATGAATGCTTCATCGTTGGCTTGGCGGCTTGGCCTCAGGGCCGCAAATACCTCTCCCTCGTCTGCGACACGCTTCGACCGCACAAGGATCTCATCAAGCGAGGCCCTCTCCTTGGCAGTGATCTCTGACCGACAACGTGAGCTCTTGAAGCAACCCACGTGGGTAGCTCGACTCGTCTCGTTGCTCTCGCTCGAAGATGTGTTGAAATTATTGTCTCGCGAAGTCAGGTAGGTCCACCTACAGTGCATCCTTCTGGAAATCTCATCACACGATAAATCCGAAAGGGCGTGTTCAGGGCTGCAGCGAGGCTGAATGGTCTGTATGTTGTGTTCAGTATATAAGACCTCTCTTCCAGGTCTCTCCTTCCGTATCAGTAAAGCAACATCCACCGTCGATCAACCACTATTGAGTCTCAAAGATGGTTCTCACCGAATATACTTACGTGTTCGCCATTGGCACATTCTTCGCCCTGCTAGATGCATACAACAACGGTGCTAGTAAGTGTTTGCGATTCTGGTGTCGCGTGACCATACGTTGACCATCATCCCAGACGATGTTGCAAACTCTTGGGCTACCTCTGTCTCATCAAGGTCTGTCTCATACCGGCAGGCAATGATCTTAGGCACGATCTTCGAGATGCTCGGTGCTATCACCGTCGGAGCCCGTACCGCAGAGACGATCAAGAACGGAATCATTCCCAGTGCTGCATTCAAGGGCGATGCTGGTGTTCAAATGCTCGCCTTCACATGCGCTCTTGCTGCCGCCTCTTCTTGGGTCATGTGGTGTACCAGACATTCAGCTCACGTTTCCTCTACTTACTCGCTGGTCTCCGCGGTTGCCGGTGTTGGTGTTGCTACTGTCGGTGCATCTCAGGTCCAATGGGGCTGGAACGACGGTAAAGGTCTCGGTGCCATCTTCGCTGGACTCGGGATGGCCCCTGCCATCGCTGCTTGCTTTGGTGCAGTCATTTTCATGCTCATCAAGCTTACCGTCCTTGTCCGCAAGAATCCCGTCCCCTGGGCCGTTTACAGCTCGCCCTTCTTCTTCCTGATTGCTGGTACCATCTGTACTTTATCGATTGTCTACAAGGGCTCTCCCAATCTCGGTCTGAAGAACAAGCCAACTTGGTACATCGTTTCCGTCACCATGGGTTGCGGCTGGGGACTCGCTCTTTTGGCTGCACTCTTCTTCGTCCCCTACGTTCGTGCTAGAGTTCTGAAGAAGGATGCTTCGGTCAAGGGATGGATGTTCATCTACGGTCCCGCCCTCCTGAACCGCCAAATCGAAAATGATGCTGCAGTGGCTCACGTCCCTGATTATGCTGTCGTCCAAGATGAAGAGGAGGCCGACGAGAAATCATCCGTATACTCGCGCTCCGACAACGACATGGTCAAAGACCCTGAGGCTACCGAGAAGGCAATCTCTACCCCCAACAGCCCTCAACTTGTGGGAGCCTCTACTGAGCTTACATACCAAGAGCTGCAAGCCCGTAGCGACTACCGACTGAAGCAGAGATTGATGAAGATGCGTGGTCCAATGGGTTGGGCTATGCGTACCCTCGAGAACAACCCCAAGGGTGCCGGTCAAATCTACGAAATTTCGAACATGAAGATCTTCTTCAAGCGACTTCCTGCCATGATCACTGTCGGTCTCCTCTATGGCTTCCATTACGATATCCATGCTGCTCAATCAGGCATCACCGGCACACCTGAGGGCTTGAGAATGCAGCGTGTCTACGCAGCAGCTGAGAAGTACCCTAACGAGGTTGAACATACATACTCTTTCGTTCAGGTCCTTACTGCTTGCTGCGCCTCGTTTGCGCACGGTGCCAACGATATCGGTAACTCTGTCGGTCCCTGGGCTGTAATTTACGGTGCCTGGTCCACTGGTAATGCTGCTAAGTCGAAGGCTACTGTCCCTGTTTGGCAACTCGCTGTCCTATCTGCCTGCATCTCCCTCGGTCTGATTACTTATGGCTACAACATCATGAAGGTTATGGGTAACAAGATCACCTACCACTCGCCTTCCAGAGGTTGTTCGATGGAGATGGGTGCTGCGATTACTGTCCTCATCTTTTCACAATACTCCCTGCCAGTCTCGACATCCATGTGCATCACTGGTGCCACTGTCGGCGTCGGTCTCTGCAATGGTACCTTCAAGGCTGTCAACTTCCAGCGCGTCGGTCTACTTCTTTTGAGCTGGATCATGACTATCCCTGTTGCCGGTACCCTTGGTGGTGTGTTGATGGGTCTGTTCCTCAATGCTCCTCATTTCGGCAGCTAGTTTGTATTTCTTCATGATCGAGAAACAACCGTTCTCGTACAACCATGTTTATTCATTCATAATTATACCCAAATGGCCTAATTAAAGACCTACTTCTATAGATTTCACCACAGTATTGCGTATACAAAAGCTTTTGTCGTTCATCAGTTTCCTCAGCATTCCCGTGGACTGAATATTTTGAGTGGTTGTTCCATCCCTGTATGTCAAAACATGTAATGCTGGTAGCTGACTCAAGGCACAATACTGTCCGTGGACTTCGGTGATGTCTGCGGAGATGCTTCGCTTCGTTGACTCTATTTACATGCCATCTTGGACTAAAAATGACTGTGCCTTGAGTCGGTCTATTAGCACTGCATACCATCGTAATGGAGAGTAATAGTCGGGATATCCAGCATATGGTAAGGTTCACTCCGATGCGTCGTTCATGTCGTTGACTTCGTGTTCCCGACTTCCTCGATCGAGAAGTGACACGGCGAGAATGCCGTTACTAATAGCGGAAGGTCTTGGCGATGCGCCATATAGCCGAGGTCTAGCGCGAGCCCAAGTTGAGAGATGGCACTTTCGAACGGCTTTCATTGAATGAGACAGAATTCTATTGCTTCGTAGATTCAGGAGCACATCGTATATACATCTAGTGACTAGGTGGTGGAAACATCTTGCGTCATAATCAACATTTATGCTCTAACCTCTTGGTGCTCAACAGCAGTACCCTTCTTCTCGTCATCCTCGTGCAAGCTCTCGACATCCTTCTCAGTAGCGACAGTAGGGGCCTTCTCCTCAGTCCAGCCGTCCAAGCTCTTAGCCTTGAACAGATTGAGGTAAAGAGGGAAACACCATGCGATGACGAAGCCGATCAGGGGAATGAAGAATGCCTTCTGGGTACCAATGTGATCGGCGACCGTGCCGAGGACAGGAGGGAACAAAGCACCACCAGAGACGGCAGCAACGATGAAACTGGCACCACGCTTGGAGTGACGACCAAGACCTCTGATTGACAAGGCGAAGATGAGAGGGAATACGCAAGACTCGAAGAAGAGGACCAATGAGATGGCGGCGATACCGGCGTTGCCCTTAAGACCCATGGTCAGGCATGCAAAGACAACGACACCGGAGAGGAAACCCATGATGACCAGACGAGGCTTTGTGATCTTGAGCAGACCACTGGCGATGAAACGGCCAATGGCGAAACATCCTTGAGCGACTGCGAGAAGGTTTGCACCCGTAGCGTGAGTGGTACCAGGGCGGACGGCAGAGACGTAGTTGATGAAGTAGCCTGCATACGCACATTGAGCACCAACATAGCAGAACTGGGCAGCGACACCGAAGAAGAGAGTGTATTGCTTCGAAAGAGGCTTGTCCTCGAAGTCGGTCTGAGTGCCACTGGATGCTGCCTGAGCGGCCATATCGGCATCGGTAACCTCAGGGATAGGAGCGAAGAAGAAGACGACTGCAAGAATAAAGACGAAGATGGCAATGCCCAAGTAGACCCATTGGACTGACTCGAGGGAAGTATCATCAACGTTCTTGAAGATGACTTGACTGGCCAATACAGGTGCAACAACAGTGCCGACAGCCTGGAAAGCTTGTGCCAAAGTCAGACGCAGCTCAGAGTACTTTGCAGGACCACAGGTGGCAATGAAAGGGTTGGCAGCAGTCTCGAGAGTGGAAAGACCAGAACCGACGATGAACATGGAACCGCAGAAGCCGCCGAAGCTGCGCTTAAGTCCGGAGGGCCAGAACATAAGGGCTCCAACGCCATAAATGCAAAGTCCAGTGATAAATGCCCAACGATAACCAAATCTTCTGACAATCCAACCAGAGTATGTCAATGGGCCGATCCCGTAGGCTCCAAAATACGCAGCTTGTAGACCTCCAGACTGTCCTTTGGTGATTCCAAGAGCAACTTGGAAGTGGGCGTTGAGGACGTCGAGAAGTCCATATGCAAATCCCCACAAAAAGAACAGAATTGTGACGAGACAGACAGGCATGATCGATTGCCTGAGAGTCAGGTTCTGAGCACCAGTGACAGCATTGTTGCTCTCAATGGTCTTGACACCATGCTTTTTGACCACGGTCTCAGGAAGTGGTGCAACGATAGAATTGTTGCGGCTCGCCATTTTGTTGCTGATTGATATCACGAACCAATTCTTGAATGAGAGATGATAGAGAAGAGAGAGAGAGAGAGATAGTAGAGAGGACAGAGAGACTAGGAAAGGTCCTAATGTATGAGAGAATGAATTGGTGGTGTGCTGGTACTACCTCGATGAGCGATCATCCATGACTTTATATATTAAAGGAGGGGGAAAAAGCAGTGAGCTGAGCACGAGACAGACCATGGCCTCCATACTCCGCAACGATATGGTCGATCGCTGTGGAGCCCCCATAACCCCAGGCGAGTCTCCTCCATAGTGGAACCAATCACCCCACGACCACCTCTTTTATCCGCAACGTACGCAGGCCAAGTCGGCCCAAGTAATCGCCATGCAGCCGACAGTGTCAATGCTGGCCAACGGAATCACGAGTACCCGCCCGTTCTGTACCGGCTTCCATGACTTCCATGCTGCAGTGAAGTCTTGGGACATGCGGCCGAATGTTCAACAGAAGCAAGGTGGAAGAGCGCTAGAAGGTCGGGGTGTCTTGGCTGAGGCATTTGGGACGCTGGAGATCGTGGCGGAGCAAAATAACAAGGCCGTGAATGGAGTAACAAGGCCGCTACGTATATGACAAGGCTCGCGATACGACACACAAGCCATTCGAATATTGTACGTTGACACTGCACATCAGCTGTGAACCTGGGTTCGCGTAGGAAATGTCTTGCTGCAGGTGCGGTTGTTCGTTGCTTAGCTTCATCTCGGACCGGCATACAGAACGCAACCATCAGCGAAATCTTGGGCGATCCTTCCAAGCAACAATAACTTGTATCGAGAGAAGAAAGGATGGATCCTTACTATGTGCGAAACTCTGTCATCTTTGAAGCTGTCGCAAGGCACAATACATTTAGGGCAAAGGAGCAATGTCATCAGGAGTATGTTGTCTCGTGGACTCCCTGTGAGGGCTCTGTCAAGTCGAGAAATGACTGTGCCTTTCTACAGCCTGCCGTTGCCCTGCAATCATCAAGAGAAAAAGTCGAAGTGACAAACCAGCACACGGGAAGGGTGGTTGTTGGATTCGCCGAGTCGTATGCAACGATGGTCTTGTCTGGGAAGCACTAGCTGGACTAAATTTCCAACTTGAGACGCTCCTTCGAAACGACTCAGTAAGCAGTCGGGCCGATCTTATTCAACCAGCGTGATATTTTGACTATACCTACACATCTCGGCATGAAGACCGTCATCTACATGCAAGTCTTCCCGGTTCAACAAAGTCGTAGCTCATCCCACGCCGTGCGTCCAATCAAGGGATCCAGCAACAAGGAGACGACTTTCAAGCCTCACCGTCTGACTGCAGATCAATCTCATCTGTGGCCTTGGCGGTAACCCTCTGTGATCGGCGCAATCTTGACTCTGCCTCTCCTCGACACGCCATTGCGATGTCCCACTCTCTCTCTGCCCTTCTCAGACCTTCCGTTCACCGCGTTGTTGCACTGTCCAGGAGGCGTCACAATACCTGCCTCCCTATCCGCAGAGTCACGTCGATGGCGACCACTATTTATCTGACGATTGACGGTACTACCGCCCGAGGATAAAAGCAAACTGTCGTTGATAACGACCTTCGAGCGTCTACTCATCGCTTCTGCCTTCGATCGCTGGCTAGTAAGTGCTTCGACATCCAGTTGAGACAGTAAAGAGTTGTCCGAAGATGACGATGGAAGAAGGACGTCAAATTCGATGAGATTCTCTTCGATGGGCGATTCTAGAGTCTGCTTTCGGAAAGGGAGAGACGAGGGACCACGCACTGGTGTCTTGGCCGCACCCAACCTGACACCACCAGGAGAAGATGAGTCTATGGGCGAGGTAGACACAGGAGCGAGGTCGGTAGGCGCATCCGAAACCACGAGAGTCTTCTGTAAGACAGGATTCGAACGAGAGTCCTGTACAGCCTGTCTGACGAGCTGAGCATCGGTAGAGTGCGAGGGTGGCACGCGGACGGCCTTCTGCTTCTTGTTGCGTGCTTGCTGTTGACGCCACCAAAGAGGAACCGACTTCAAGCCAATAGAGTTGAGTGTCTTCTTATCTTCGGGCATCTCATGTCTGTACATACAACCTTGCTGCATATAAGCACACTGTCCTTGGTTCTGGATCCAGTAGGTACAGTAGACCTTCTTTCTCTGATCAGGCTCAATACCAGAAGGAGGAAGTGGGCGTTCGTTGTAGAGAGGCTTCGACTTGGGTGGAATGGGTGGCCTGGAAGACTGAACCGATACAGGAGTAGGTATAGTGACAGGCTGCACATGGACCTGCTATGACTTTGATGTCAGCTTAGTCGTATAGTACTAGAGAGGATGACTGACCTGAGGTACGTTGGTGTTGTAAAGAGCCGTATCCAGCTGAGGCGTATACTTCATCGTAATTGAGCTAGGTGCCACGGAGTCCTTGATGGTTCCGGCAAAGATGAACTTGTCTCTGGTAGATGGTTGATGCCCAAGGTATACCATGCCTTGTGCTCGTGCTTGCGAATCAGTCAGACTCAGAGGCACTCCGACCAAGCGAACTTCGTCTGGAAGCTCATCAACAGGCAGAAGAGGAATCAAAGAGCCGTTGTCTCGCTCGATGAAGAACTTGAAACCTGGAGCCATCATCTGCTGTGGAGTCACTACTGCTGGGTACCGTGGGGCAGACCAAGCCAACGGGCCTGGTGTAGCATAGGTCGACATGTGCAGGCCTGGCATTGTCGATATCAAGCGGAGGCCTGAAACTGCAGGGAGATGAATATATGTAAGAATCTCAATGATAAGACCTTGGGTCGGGGACCATGAGCAGACCGTAGCACATATGTGGCGTTGATACGAATTGAGAAGAGCTGAACAAGAAGAATGAGAAAGGATTGGTTCTCGAAAGGACAAGCGAGCCAACATCTTTCGTCTGCCAGCGAAGCCACATTGCCAACCATCAAAGGCTTAAAACAGGTTCCATCATATTCAGCATGTTTGTACACTGCATTCGATCAGATGTATGGAGCTATCTCTTTGATTTGTGTTTGATCATGAAGTCTCATCATTGGACTGTCACACGGGCTTATGCATACATGCGTGACAAGCAGCCAACAAAATCTGCAGACAGCTGTTTGTGACGGGTCAAAAGCATGCTGAAGAATGAATTAGAAGGGTTCGAGAATAGTTCGTCCATGGATAGAGCTGGTAATTTGCTATTCCATGCTGCTGCAGGCTAAAGTTATTGGTCACGTCGAATAGCAGCGCAGTGGGCGGCTTCCGACATACTTGCATCTTGACAGATCGCGAGCGACGTTACACAGCGATAGCCACAGCAAGCTCTTATGTATCGCACAGCACCGTGTCACTACGAGAGTATGCCTTGTCTTTCACAATGAGCATTGGAGCGAGCTATGCGCTCATTTTGGTCCATGGGAGAGCATTCTCGAAGACCGAGGTATGACTTGATGAGGTTAAGGGAGTCAAGATTGTGCATGTTGGATGTTCGCTCCAATGACATCTAAGGCTTGGCACATTGGAAAAAGCTAAACCTTGTTCGGCCAGCGACTCCATTCAGCTTGTCGTAATTTGGTCATCTTCAAGTCTGTCAGTTCAAGTCGTCAGACAGGAATCAAACAGCAGAATCGGTAAGTCTATTTGTCAAGCTACGTTGGGTGGTTGCCGGTCTTCTATAGAACACGGGGTGACGCTCCGTGTTGACCGGATTGTGGCCTTCTGAAGAGCACTATTCTCATCATTGATCTCCTGCTTATCATTGTTTTTACCATCAGATATCATGTCTCTCCAGCAGTTTGACGGTCTGGAAATTCCAGCTCCTGCTGATTTCCATGTTCACCTCCGCGATGGACCTATGATGGAGCTTGTCACACCAACCATCAGACAAGGAGGTGTCAACACCGTCTTCGTCATGGTAAGTAATCAATTGGACATTAGAAGATGAAACAAGATTCTAAGTGCATTTGTTCTTTAAGCCCAACCTCGTGCCTCCAATCACAACCGTTCAGCATGCTTTGGACTACAAGAAGAGACTCGAAGCAATTGAACCAAACGTCAACTTTCTCATGTCTTTGTACCTGCACCCCGACATCACGCCTGAAGTAGTCAAGGAGGCTGTGGCTGCAGGTATCACGGGCATCAAGTCCTACCCTGCTGGCGTAACCACAAACAGCAGCGCTGGTGTTGTCAGCTACGAGCCCTTCTATCCTGTTTTTGAGGAGATGGAGCGCCAGAACATGGTCTTGAACCTGCACGGTGAAGTGCCTGGTTCCAAGGATAACGACATTACCATCTTGAATGCGGAAGAGGCATTCCTTCCCACCCTCAAGGGCTTGCACGAGCGTTTCCCCAAGCTGAGAATCATCCTGGAGCACTGTACTTCCGCGGCTGCTATTGAGGCAGTCAAGTCTTGCGGTCCTACAGTCTCAGCTACCATTACTGCTCACCATCTGTTCTTGATTGTTGATGACTGGGCCGGCGACCCGCACTCGTTCTGCAAGCCCGTGGCCAAGACTCCCAAGGATCGCGAGGCTCTGCTCAAGACTGTTGTATCGGGCAACCAGAAATTCTTCCTCGGTACTGACAGTGCTCCTCACCCAGCCATCAACAAGCGTGGTGACAAGGTTGCAGCAGGTGTTTTCACCCAGCCTCATGCAGTCGGATACGTGCTCTCTGCTCTGGAGCAGGGTATTGAACGCGGTGTTATCAAGGCCGATGATGTCACTGAGGAAAAGCTCAAGGGCTTCCTCGGCTTGAATGGCAGAAAGTTCTATGGAGCTGAAGACAAGAAGGGCGAGAAAGTGGTGTTGAGAAAGGATGGTGTCAAGGTGCAGAGCTTACTGAAGAACGCCGACGGTAGTATCGAAGTCGTACCTTTCAGACGCGATCAGAAGACATGGAGCGCCGAGTGGAAGTAAAAACAGCAGAGTTCAATTGTAATGATAGATGGATCTCTCACGAGCTAAGTGAAGCAAATGCTCTGTAAAGGCCATGACAATGCATTGTTCATGCATCTGAAGGGATGTTGAGACTCGTCCTCTGTTTCTTGCCTCTAGCTGGAGTGTTCTCGCCCTCCTCTCTCTTTCGTTTGCTCTTGCTACGACCGCCCTTTGGCCTATAAGTTTGGTCGTCCTCCCTGGCTTTCTTTGGCTTGCCCGGTGTATCATCAGCAGCAGCAGCAGCAGCAGCAGTGCCCTCCTCTTCATTATCTACAGTACTGCCTGGACTTCCCTCCTTTTCCCTAGCACGCTCGAGAGCTTTGTCACCAATCTGCTTGGCAAGGTTGCGACGCTTGTTGGCTGTGGCAGGTGTCTGAGCATTGGCGGCACCGCCTTCTGAAGCGGCATCCATGTCGGAGATTGTACCATGTTTCTTGAGCCAATTGTGAACAGATAGAGGGTTCCTTAATTCAACCTCGCGATCCAGTTCGCGCTGGGTGAGTTTGGAGAGGGGTTGTGGTGAGAGTATGCGAGGTTCGCTGAGAGCCGCGGGCTCTAGCTTGTTGTCGAGACGAGCGAGATAGGCGTCTTCATGCGACGAGGACAAGAAGGCGGGATCTGCTTCGGCGACGGGGCCCGAGACCGGGTGGTGATATCGTGGATGCGGGATCTGAGCTTCCATTTCTACCAGACTCTTTGCGTCCTTGCGGGCCAGTAACGACTCTATGTCCTGTCTAATGCGTACAAAGTCTTGGTGTGGAACCTCGTGGTTGTGGAAGGCGCGATGGGCATTGGCTATGATGTTATTTGCCATTTCGAAGGTAATGTCGCGTTCATCCTGTGGCTGTTGCGTCTTAGGCGCCGGCGAAAGGTCGAATCGCAATTCTTCTGGGATCGATAGGGATGTGTTGAGGTCGAGAAGGAGGTCGAGCAGTTGGCTACAGCTAAAGTCAATCACCCGTCTGAAGAATGCTGGGAGTACGGCGACCTACTCGTTCTGCTCCTGCAGTCTCTTGGACAAGACTTCAAGCTTCTGCTCTTCGACAAACAAGCTGTTACTCTCCTTCATCACGTCGTCGAAGTGCGTCTTCATCTTGCGATACTTCTTGCGCCATGATCGGTATTTGGGCTTTAGTTCGCTTCCTCGTACGTCGAGTGATGTGGCTCCAGGGGCGCCTGCGACAATTTCTTCGTCCGACATGATGTGTATCGATGTTGCTGCGTTGTGCTTGATGCACGCTGGAAACAGCTGACGAAACGGCAAGGTATACACCGCCAAGCCTTGGGATTTGGTGGAGTGCTCCTTCCCCATGACGAGTTGCACAACACTTTCCTCGTCACACCCTCCCCTTGGGCGAATTACTGTCACAGCCCTCTCTTTCTGATGATCAAACCAGGCAACGACGAGCTCTATAAAGGCACAGTGATATCTCGTGTCGGTGAACTCAGCGCAGAGAGTCGTCAACACGAACGATCTCGATGACATCGTTGTAAGTTAAGAAAGTATTGTGCTTTGAGACAGCTCAAGTGTGACAGTATTTCGCACACGGGGAGGACGTTTGGCGCTTGATTCGCTTTCGACATCTTGACATCGCAACCAACAGGCTTGATCTACACTGCTTTGTCTACACTGCTTTACACGTTTATACTTGTTCAGAGCGACCCTCGTTCTTTGCTTCGACCCGGATTCCCGTCACAACCACTCTGCCTGCCGCATCATGATCTTGGCTCCACTTTTCCAATTCACCCAATGGCACTCTGACAAGCGAATTGGTGCTCGATCCATCTTCGAGGACAATCACTTCTTGCTTGACTTGATACTTGCCCAGTTTTGGCAGCACGTACAACCATGAGTAGTAATAAACACCACAGAGCAGAAGACTAGGCCAGTTAGCATCTTGTCCGGGGATCTTCCAGGAGTTGATAACTTACATTCCAATACCAGCGACACAGTAGCTCGCATACCAGAAGCTGACATCTCCGCCTGTGGCGCCTCCATCTGGTGGGTACCAAGGCATAATGAGCAAGTAGAGGTTCTGCAGGATCGTGAAGATGACAGCAGCATCCCACGCGCGAAACTCGCTTCTCGGAACACCCAACTTCTTGCGACGATAACGCACAATGTACAATCCTATCGCCATTGCGAATGCAAATGCAGAGGCTGGGTAGATCTGCAGGTCTGTTATGAAGGCGAAAGCATCACCCGCAGGTGGTGCCAGAATCATAATTATGGTGACTGCCCATTTGACGGCATAGGGCCCGATTGGTGTACCGAATGGTCTCGTCGAGGCCCAGAATCGTGGCCATGGTAGAACTCCTTGTCTGCAAGAATATCAGTCATGTTATGCACTGATCCGGTCAAGTTACTCACCTTCCGCATTCTCTTATCAATCTGGATTGGCCAATTTGCACCGCAATGAGATTACCGAATGCACTCAACGCGATGAGCAGGTTGAAGGCTTTGACACCTTTGGCGTGGCCAAAAACATGGGTGAAGAACAGACTTGCGACAGTCGTTCCAGATTCCATGATTTCTAGCTTGGGCACTTGATTCGATGTCAGCACGAGACCCTCTGTCACAGATCGCATCGATTTTACCAGCAGCGAAATAGGCAATGTTTGCGAGGAGGTAGAGTATGGTGACGACGATCAGAGAGTACGATGCGTTCCTTTTAATGGTCTTGACAGGGTTCTGTGGGGGCAAGAGTCAGTTATGCTTGAAGACGTCGATGCCTGACGACCTACCTGGATCTCATTGACGATGTTGAATGCGTTCTCATATCCCGCATACGAGAAGATGATCTTCACCAGGCTGTTTGTCAGACCATAACCACTCGCCTTGCCCTCAAAAGCGTTTCGGAAGTTGGCCGTTGGATCTTGGACTCTTGTGTGTCCACCTAGAACAACAAGGCCGGTAACAGCAATGCTATGGAGGGGGTCGTCAGTGGCTGAAGTATCTGAGGGTTATCCGGCTGACTTACAAGATCAGTGTCAAAACTTTGATGATTCCAATAGCGTTCGATATGCGATACGAGGTCTTGGTGTGGAAGATCAACACTAACAAGCTGTTAGACCGTGTTCGGTGGTCAGGTCAATGTCCGGAACTTACACAAGGTGACCAAGGTATAGCAAGCGATAGCAACACCCTTCTGTTCCCATGCAGAAGGTGTGTGATCTCCTATCTTAAACAGGTACTGAGCCATGACTAAATTTCATGCTTAGCGAAGTCAACATTGTTCCATGCATGCTGCATACCGATCGCATTGCCACTACTGAACGACAGAATCACTGTCTGGACGGCAAAGGCAATGGGGAAGAAGTATTTTGGTCGAGGGAAAGCTTGCTCCAAGTATACAACTTCTGATCCGGATCGGTTCGGGAAAAACGATGCGTATTCGAGGTATACTGCGAGGGAGGTGCCTGACGTAAGGAGACCCAAGGCCCAGAAGATCAGACTGGTTCCGATCGAGCCAGTACCCTTCAATATGGTCGCCGCTGCATCATTATCGGCCGGTGTGGTTGACGTGTTTATTGAGAGGACTTACGTGTTGAATAGACACCCGTTCCTATCATCTTGCTGATGTTGATCAAGACGATCGTCACAGGTCCGACGGCATATCCAAGAGAAGACTTTGACTCGACAGGTGCTCCAGAGACCTCCTGATACGACGGCTGAGAACCATTGCCGCCCTGTTCAACCACGAATTTCAAGTCGCCCGAAGTCGACACAATCTCATGCGACGAAACGGCATCATTGCTCGACGATGTTGCAGAATCCACTTCTGTCTGCTTATTGCCAAAGCGGCTGAAAAAAGCCATCGCAGTCAATCCAGAAGAGGGTGATTCGCTAGAAAGAATCGCTGTTGAATATGGACTGATTTCAAGAAACTGCGATACTCTGTTATATACATGATAGGCATCACAGCAATTGCACCCAATTGCGACATCAAGCTAAGGGGTTGAGGATTGCACCATTGTGGAGATACCATTGCGCTTTATCTAGAGCCCACCTGGCCACGTTGTTCCTCAGGTGCGCATCCTTTTGATTCGATATGGTGTTTAAACCTCCCCGTGTGCAAAATACTGTCACCCCCTCTATCCCCAATAATCAAAGCAGGGCAACGACAAGCTGTATAAAGGCACAATCACATCTTGTTTCAATGAGTCCAGCTCAGGGAGTCATTAACATGAAGTATCTCGATGACAACATTACATGTTAAGCAAGTATTGTGCCTTAAGACAGCTGTAAATGTGATAGTGTTTCGCACACGGGGAGGAAGGACCAAGTTGGCCAAGCGCAAAGAGCTGCAAAAAGACCCCTTTGGCGTGCTATTGCACCATCTCATGGCCATATTACCTGTCTTGCCCTCCACCCCCACTTCCGACGTTCTTGGGATGCTACCCTTGCAGGCGTCGTTGCTTCTTACAACCGATCGCGTGTTTGGAAAGTATGTCCTGATCGTTGGGTTTGTTGAGCATGTTTTACTCCACTTGTGATGGTGGGTTGTGATGGAGAAGAACGATGTGATGGCAACCGTTGCCATCGTATGTGGTCATGCGTGTCTCTATTTGAGAAATGAAGTGCAGCAGGAATAAAGCTCTCTGGCGGTGTTTATCTACACGCTTTTGCTCATGTTCTGGATTCTCGGTCTTGGAGAAATTTATCGACGTTCTGGTCAAGGGGCTTCCTTGATCCGACTTACGAGGGCTAGTTGCGCACTCTAGGTGTTCAAGAAGCATAAGACACCACGATCTCCAAGCATTGAATCCATCGAACAAGCAATCTACAAAGGTTGGAGCACTGGATGCCTGTTAAGGTCATTATGCTTTGATTCTGTATTGTCTATGGCAAATCATGATTAATCCACGACCTTTTACCAATCCTCATATCAGATAGGCACATCTTTAGGCCTGAGGCACCAAAGGACATTCAGGCAATGCGGGTGCAGCAGTCCACTCGTCCCAAGTCAAATGCTGGCTGTATGAACCATCACAGTTGATATCGCACTGAACTCCATAGGCATAGACATACTTGCATCTAGGAGCGCGGTAACGACTCATGAAACCACAGTTGCCGTTGCTGACAGTCCACTTGTACTGATTGTTTCCTTGAGCGTACCACAGTTGTTGGTTGTTTGCAACGTTGCAGGTATCCCAGTAAGACAAGATACATGCGTTGCTCTTCTCACCATTCGCATCATGGAGATCGGGAGAGAAGGCGCTGTAGGCACAGTTTTCGTCTTCTTGACATGCAGCGCAGCAGTCGTAGGCGTTGGTCCAGTTGTATTGAGTGACGTCGTTGTTGCTGAACTTGACTGCGAGGGGGCCTACATTGTCAATCTGCATGCCGGTGACAGGATCATTGCTGATGAGGTTCGATGCACCACAGGCCGCGTAGTATGGGACAGTTACCACGGAGGTAGATATACTCGTCACTGTCTGCTGAGGCAGAGTGCTGGTGGCTGCACCGCTCTGGACGGCGAAGATAGTCACTGCGCTGGTGCAAGGAGAGGCAGGATCCTCGATGGCACGCTTGGATATAGTCTTGGTAAGACCACCGCCGGGGACATCAACAGGGTAGTCGCTAGGGTTTGCTCCAGGGTAGATTGTGGCGGTTGTGTCAACAATTGGCAGGAAGCCCGCCTTGGTAGCAATAGTCGATGTCGAAGTGACTGTAGTGGTTTTATAGACTGTAGTTGGAATGGGTGTGATGTAGACGACAGAGAGAGCAGCTCCACTGTCAGTGCTAGTCATGTGAAGTGTGGAGTTTCCAGCATTGCCATTAGGGCAGGACAGAATTGCGGAAGTCGAGTATCCAGAGATGGTAGCATTTCGGCTCAAGACAGGGGCGACAGTAGAGATCGAGGATCCATTGGTGCTGAAGGTAGCAACAGGTGTGACCACAGGAATTTCGGACACGGTGGCATTGAGAGTGCGCACGGAAGCTAGGGTAGAGGTTGAGAATCTGACAGGACCAGTGGCATTCTGGTAAACTCCAGGTACAACTGTGGTGTTGTGGAACGAATATGGGACAGACTTAACGCTGCTGAAAGGAGCGTTTGTCGAAGCAGCGCCGATGCTCTGGGTGGGTGCTTCCGAGACGGCTTCGGTGTACTTAGTGCTGCCAGGAACCTCAGATCCGACCAAAACCGTCTTGGTCACAGTAATCTTATCCTCAGTGACGGTGACGGTAGAAGGGTGTGCGTATACTGTTTCGGTGATCGTGTATGTAGTATCAACGACACCAGTCTGGTCCGTTCCGGCGTTCTGGGTCACTACATCCTGAGTAGGACAAACGGATACCGTCTTGGTTGCCCAGATGGTGGTAGCATCTGCCTGTGCTATAGCCGACAGAGTCAATACCGCAGCAGTGAAAGAAGAGCGCATCTTGAGGTGATACTAGAGTTTTGTGTCAGAATGTCAGAAGCGGATGGACTGAATACGCAAAGTCTTTATAGCTATCTCTGCTCAAGATACTTTATCCCCTCGCTACCACATCGTGGCGGTCCATGAGGCAATATTACATGTCTTTACGAGATCTAGCACTGGTCTAACTCAAATGAGTTGTCGAGAAGGACCCGGAAGGTCTGTTCGCGATATATTCGATGGACCTTAGACGCAGGTGGATCAGGCTAGGGGAGCACGGTCTCTGCAGCATGCGGTGGGTTTCCCGACACGCCTAAGTTTAGCGTTTTGGTCGTGTATTAGTCGCGTAGCGAAAATTCATCCTGCAAGTTGTGATAACTCGGCCGCGGGACGAATCTGACGAGCCGCGAGGGAGGGGACTTCCAATGATTGAAGCGAGATACTCGATATTGCGTATATGATCGTGATAGTGGTATAGAGATCATTGACCGAACCCAGGTGACCGAACCCAGGTCTGCTTCATGCTTCCTGTTCTAGAATTGAGAGATTATATTCATTCAATTTAAGAGGACTGGCACATACGGCCACAGTCAGCTGAAAACTGGGCATCCCGTCCGCTCTGCCATACATAAGCAGTTGAACGGCAGATTAGTACTACGGTGGGTGACCACGTGGGAATCCCTGCTGCTGTATGTTTTGAATCCTCTTTTGTCTCAGACATCTATTTCTGCGTCCATTTGTTGTCAATTGACAGCTCTGGGTTGTTGAGATGACCCGACTTGAGGTGGCTTCTTCGACTGCTCTAGCAAACAGAACTTGCCGGTCGGGTGGTTCACGGTTGCTTGGTCCGAGGCTTCTTTATAAGACCCTCCTAGAGATTATATTTTGCGTGTCCGTACAACATTCAGAGCTTTGAGTATGTACCCCATAGTGTCAGATCTATCGCGCCCGCTCGCGATAATATCGCGTGCATATCGAATTCCCTCACCTGACGCCTCGCGGAGAGTTGTAGCGTTATGTATCATGTCTGCAAGAAACTGACGATGGCACATATGATATGTGATGTTGCTGCTGCTGGAGAGAGCAGGTAGGTATGCAATAAGCCGACTTGAAGCGGGCGACTAGTCATTGGTTTGGATAAGGAAAAGGGCAGCAAGCAGCTCGAGGCGGAGATAGAGCGGCACGGCCGTTCGAGGTGACCGTGCGCAAAAAAGTGCAACGAGGTCGGAGGTGGGTAGGATGAGCAACTCAGCATAATCCATATCGCGTGCCTTTTCCTTCTCTCTGCCCTTGCTCTCGGTCGCAAATCTCCTCCTTGTTTGATCTCGTTCGTTTCCAGTCCATTCATTCGACCGAGTCTCTGCACTCAGTCAAGCCGCCACAATGGTCAACATTCCCAGCCCAACCCTCCCGTCCAAGGAGTACAAGAAGGAGTCTACCACTGCTAGAGTCCTCGGTGCTGGTGCGCAAACTCTCAGCCTGGATGACAATGAACATGCAGCTGACCTGAAGCAGGTTCCGCCGGTATCTCCGAGCTCGCCGTCTTCCACCCCGTCGACACGATTGCCAAACGTCTCATGAGCAACCAGGGCAAGATTGCCAATGTCGCCCAGTTCAACACGGTCATTTTCAAGGACAAGGCCACCGCTCCCTTTGGCACCCGCTTCTTCTCCCTGTTCCCCGGTCTCGGCTATGCCGCCGCCTACAAGGTCATGCAGCGCGTCTACAAGTACGGTGGTCAGCCCTTCATGCGCGACTACCTGGACAAGAACCACCGCAGTGTATTCGACAACACCTTCGGCAAGAGCAACGGCAAGGCCATCATGCACGCCACTGCTGGCAGGTAAGACAAGATCACTTCCACACCTTGCTAAGTCCAAGGCTGACAAGAGTCAAGTTTGATCGGTATTGGTGAAATTGTCATTCTCCCGCTCGATGTCCTCAAGATCAAGCGTCAAACAAACCCCGAGGCTTTCCGTGGCCGTGGTCTCTTCAAGATTATCGCCGATGAAGGTTTCGGTCTCTACAGAGGTTGGGGCTGGACTGCCGCCCGTAACGCTCCCGGTTCTTTCGCTGTGAGTATACTCGACTTTCCCCGAGCATTGCTGGTTACTGATCCGCCTGTCACAGCTCTTCGGTGGTAGTGCTGCTGCCAAGGAATACTTCTACAAGCTCTCCGACTACAACAGCGCCACCTGGTTCCAGAACTTTGTCGCATCTATCGCCGGTGCTTCTGCTTCCCTGGTTGTCTCTGCCCCCCTCGATGTCGTCAAGACCCGTATCCAGAACCGCAACTTCGAGGCCAAGGAGTCTGGTTTCCGCATCATCTCAAACATGGCCAAGCACGAGGGTCTGTCTTCCTTCTTCAAGGGTCTTACTCCCAAGCTCCTGATGACTGGTCCCAAGCTCGTTTTCAGTTTCTGGCTGGCTCAGACTCTTATTCCTGCTTTCAACAAGATGCTCTAAACGGTATAAAATGCCATGATGCAAGTGTTATGCGATATTTACCGTCTGAGTGGAGAGGCGGAGAGCGATTTCTTTTAATAGCTGCATCGCAATGCAGGGGGGCAGTCGGAGCGGGTTGTACATGTTGTGGATGTTTATGGGATTTTGCAAAACGGCCAGCAATGCTTTGAATTGTAATATAGAAAAAGGCACGGCGCATGATGGAAATGATACCTCCTCTCTACTTGATAGTCTGTACTTCCAAGGAGACTAGACAAACAATGGTTCGGGAGTGGCCGAGCGGGAGCGACAAGCGGGTGAGTCTGAGTGTTGGGCAGCGCTGGGTCCAGGCGCGTTTGGTGATGGACCATCTGATGGGTGAAAGAGGCAGCACCAGCGGAATCGCTAAACGCATCCAATCAATCAATCGAGCAATCTACAAGGCAGAACGTGATTGACCCCCGTCTACAAGCGTGAGTTTCCAGCCTCGCAAATATCCACAAGCTTGACGTCGCCTTTGTTTCTCTTCCCCCAGAACGCTCTCGTTGTTGCACATACACACCACTGCCGCACAGCCAGGTTGCGCCGTTGCGGATAGCCGTTTCCTTGACACATAACGTTTATCCTCCGCAAGTTCGGAAGGCACGGTCAAGTCAACCCCGGACTGAACAATTGACTTCAAAGTGTAGCTGGCCGTCATGTCGCGCTCACGATGCACTGGTCGTAGCGATGGACTCGGCGCATCGAAAGCACAACAACATCGCCGCGCCAGCAGCACCCCGGGGTATAGCGATGATTTCCACGTCGGGTAAGTCTATCTGATCATCAACTCTCGCACTCGCACTCACAATCAACTAAACAAACAAAGATTCCACAAGCGCCTGGCCGAAGTGCTGGACAACCACGGCAAAGCCATCAAGAACAACACGGATTTCTTGTGTGACATCTCATCAACTCTTCGCAGCCACACCTACTCGCGTCTACCACGCGCCACCAGTGAGCCAGAACTAAAGGTTCCTGCCACGCCTGTCTTCCAGTCCGCGACACCCGTAGACAGCGCGGTCGAGTCCAGCCCCGACTTCATGCCACCCACGCCTCCTGACACTCCCACTGTCGAAGTTTCCGATTGGTCCTACATTCCCCCAAAGCCCAGCGAGGTCAGATACCAGTACGAACAACCAAAGGTTCCCAAGATTGTCATCAAGGACCACAGCACCTCGACGACCACCACCATCAGCGCCCCTGTCGCCGCCATTATGGATCTTTCCATCTCTTCCAACGGCGATGCCGAGACTGTGACTACCACTTCAGGCATGTCTGCCAACACTCCCGCCAAGCAGATCACAGCTATGGTTCCTGTCAACAAGAACTCGATCGGCTTGTCCAGTACCGCTTCCCCCGCCTCCAAGAGCATGTCGTCCACGCGCACAGCTCCTGTCACGGCCGCTATTACCCCGTCTTCCGTCAACTCAGTCGATCAGACCCCCGCTTCGGAAGAGGACATCTCCAAGTGGTATGCCCACAACGCCGACCGCGTAGCTAAGAGCTTGCGCTACGACGTGGAACAGGTCGACCTGAAGATGACTCGCTTTGTCCATCGCCTCAACGAGCTGAATGCTCAGTGCGCAGCCCTCAAGGATCTCATGTCGTCCAATGCCTCGGTGGCTCTCAACCCAAACACCCAACAGCACCGTCGTACTAGAAGTACTCCGGCTGTTCAGGGTAACGACTACTTCACCAACAAGGAGAAGGAGATCCGTGACGCCATCAAGGAGGCCTTCCAGAGTCTTCGCTCAGCGCTCACCTTCTACCGCAAGCAGCGCGCAGCTCCTCTTGACCTTATCAAGGCCAAGGCTGACATTGCCATGCCCGGCTACTGGTCCACCGATGTCTACGGCAGACGTCGCGCCCTCTACCACTTCTACAACAGCAACAAGGATATCTCCAAGCCTGGCGACCGTACTCGCTACAACGATACCATGGCCCTTGTTGACGCTTGCACCGGAATGTCTCTCAACCAGGACTTTGTCGACAAGATTGACAATTGGGAAAGCCAGATTGGCGCCTTGAAGAGTCAGTCCGGCTCTGATACTGTCATCCCTTGAGCTTGTCAGCATCACGGGTCGACAGTCGAACCAATGCTCACTTACAGCACCTGACACAGTTTGTCGGGGATACTTGCCTGTTTTCTTTCTGCTTTTCGTTGCGCATAATGCATGGCTCCGGCGCTCATGCCCATACTCTCGTGCCACTTTTTGTTTTTTTGTTGTTGTTGTTGGTTCTGATTTTCTGATTGGGACTTCTCGCGTTGGCGTTTTTCTTCTTCACGACTTGATGATGCATGTTGCATGTGGCCGGCGCGCTTTTCAAACACGATACCCCTCTTTCTTTTCTTTTCTTTTCTTTTCTTTTCTTTTCTTTTCTTTTGTCCTCGAGGCACACTGTACAGTCGTTCAGGTTCGACAGGCACTGTAATTAGTCCCTTTTTCTTGTTTTTGCGACATGGAGCAAAGGACGAGAAACATGACAAAAGTGCAAATTGTGCAGATGAATACAAACCTCTACTACCCTTTTATAAGAATCCCTAGTCTGATGTGTTCGCCTTTACTGCCTTGTCCTCATCAACATCTCAATAGCCAGTCCGTATGCCTCGATGCGCTTGGCCTCTTGGTGTGACCCTGGAGCTGCCCTTTTGTCCCATGCGTGACCACACTTCTCCATGCGTCTGAGCACGACGCTCTCTCCATGCTTCTCCTCGACTCGCTTAGCCAGGCGTTCAGTCTCCAGACAGAGGCTGTCACGGCCGCATGTGATGAACAAGGAGTTCTCGGGGTACTTCTCGACAGGTCCTAGAGCAGGAGACACACGAGGATCTGCCTTGTCGGGATCAAGACGCAAGTACGAAGCGTCGAACAAGCGTGCCATCTTTGCAGTCATATCACTGCCTCTGCCATCGTCCTCGGGAGGCGACTTTGACTCGGGTGTCATGGACAAGTCTGTAGGTGGGTAGAAGGCGAGGAGAGTGTTGAATGTGTCCTTGGGGAAGGTCGATGCGGCAGCCACACAAGCCATGTTGGCACCAGCGCTGAAACCAGAAATGGCGATTTGAGAAGTAGCGTAGGCGTCAGGTTGACCGAGAGCCCAGTTTACGACGTCTTCGGCATCATTGTGGCATGCTGGCCAAGGGTACTCGGGAGCAAGACTGTATTGAATATCCAGGACCGAGTAAGGAGTTGACGTGGAGACTTTGCGGCAGAAGAGGTCGTCGGAGCCGTGGAGAGGGAACACGAAGCCACTTCCGTGGAAATTGATCAAGAGTGGTGATGGAACGCCAGGAGTAAATGAAGTAGATTTGTAGTAGTGTGCCTTGATGCTGCGACCAGTCCTTGAGGGGATCTGGATGATTGAGTCTGGCGAGGCCTTGGGAAGACCGCCCCACCATACGGTAAGTCGAGCAAAGCTAACCAGCGCCTTGAGACGCAGATATCTGAACAAGTTCTTCAAAGCGAGCCACATGATGGTGATGCCTGTACGTGGATGTGAAGCAGAGAAAAAGCAACTTACCGTCCACGGGCAGCGGAGACGTCGCTATTTACTCATCTTAAGCGGAGCCACCGGCACCGCAATTGCCGTACAGAGTCGCGCATCAAGAGCGACTGATGCGTCAACGGCGGTAAGTTAGGTTGCAATCAGAGAAAATGCGACCGACGCGCGCGCAAGCGATAGAGCTCGATTGGGAGAAGCGACTCTCGACGGAACTGGGCCCGCCCCACTTGGCAAAGGATGATTTGTGTCAGCCTTCAGGGTTCAATGGGCCCAAACATGGCGACATGACTATCCGGTTAAGAGTGTCCAAGATAGACGACATGATGTGGTAACATCGCCTTCGTGTGGAAGTTTGTCGATGAGAGAGTCCAAAAGGGAAGGGGTGATGGCATCTGGGTCACGATGACGAATGACGTGTTTGTGTTGATCGATCTGTACACCTAAAACGTCTGCCCTGATTTACCTATTCGACGAGACAACACAATCACCCACATCACCCTATCGCTCTCGCATTCATCTAAGCTCTTGAAAATTCGATAATCATGAGTATCGCCGGTCATTCCTACGGTCAATTGGTGCGCCTCCGCGCTCTCACTCCAACACAACTACCGACTCATCCGGACCTGGCAGCATTGCAAGGAACTGCAACATCACCAGACCTCGAGACTTTCATCACCAGAATTCTTGACGAGGCCTCGACTTTCATAACAGAATACGTACCTCAGAAGTTTGCAATCAAGGAGCGATCCAAGACTTCTCCACCCGCAAAGGCTACCGTCCAATTGTTGGCTCACGAGATTCCTGCTTCGAAACTTGGTCCTGGTTCGCATGATGAGGCATGGTTTGCACGTACAAGTCTCCATGAGAACAAAAAGGAGCAAGGCACTGCCAATTGGGATGAATTTGAAGCTGGTCTGCTCGATGACCACAGTCTGCATGAATCACAGTACACTCCGGATGTCTTTGACGCACACAAGGTTCTGTCTTGGGACTCAAAGTTGGCCGAGAAGCAGGCTAAAGTTGGTAATTGGGAGAAGGTTGGTATGAGTAGTGAGTAATCGCAGTCTCTACTCGCACTGTCTGCATCTAACCGAAACCATCACATCAGTCTTTGAGATGTGTCATCACATCCCACCTCCTCTGGACAACCGCACTTTCCCAGTACTCGTTGTCACAGCTCGTTCGATTGGTCCTGACCATCCCTCTTTTCTGGTCGTGCAGATTCCGGTTGACATCACGAAACTGGACAAGGCTGTCTACTCCACTCACAAGAACAAGCAGGAAGGCGATACTGCTGAAAAGAGGAAGCCAGTCACTCTGGGACAGTATGTCAGCATTGAACGCTGTGCCATGGTGGAGAACTTTAATGTCAAGTGGCAGATGGCCACAGCTTCTGACGCAAAAGGCAATCTGCCTATGTGGGCACAGAAAATGGGCATTCCTTCTGCTGTCATCAAGGACGTCGGTCTGTTCATTGATTGGAATGCCAAGAAGAGGTGACGTGCTGACCAGCGTTGTACTGTCTGTTTCCTATCGATACCCCTTGAGTTAGTCATCCTGAGCGTGTGAGTGGAATCATGGTACGGGTCGCTTGGCCTGTTAATCATCATTTAACTCTCCTGAAGCTTGATTCTGGCTAGCTTCTTGTTGTGAAATGATCATTCATGCATTAAAGCGAATCTACAGCTTATGCTTCTTCTCACCAGAGGCAATTTTTCTGAACTGCTCCTGCGGCACACCGCTGACGAATCTATCCAATCCACCAAAGACCTCTGCAACACCTTGAGCATCCAAGAGCCCTCTCTCGGGTCTCCTGATCAACTTCTTGATGCCAATCAAACTCTCCAGGATTAAGTGCTTGCCAAGTCTGTTATCAATTTCCGCAAGCACCAATTTCAAAAACTTCTCATCCTCTCCAGGCTTGACATCCATAACTCCATTCACATAGCCAACATTGACAAGTTCCTCACAAGTCAACTTCTTGCTCATGATCAATGCCTCATTCGCCTTTGATATACCGAGTCTTGAGACAAAGGCTCTGCTTGAACCACCTTCTGCCACCAAGCCCAGACTGCTGAATGGTGTAAGGATAAAAGTGTGCGGGGCGGCATAGACGAAATCGGCGAATCCGGTCAAGGCAGCAGAGAGACCCACTGCAGGACCGTTTAGAGCAGCGATGAGGATCTTCGGGTGGGTGTAGAAGGCGTGTGTGATGTGTAGATTTTGAGCCACAAAGCCTTGGAGGTAGTGACGTTGGGTATCGGTGTCTTTTGGTGGTGCTTTTGAGATTGAGACGTCTGCGCCGCTGTGCTGTTGTTAGTGCTTTGCTGTTATGTGGAAAAGAGGTAGGGATGGAAGTGACGTACGCGGAGAAGTAACGACCCTTTCCAGTCAAGACGGTTATGAAAATATCGTCCATGACAGCAACCTCCTTCATCAATTTGGCAAGGCGGAAGTAATGGTCTCCATTGAGTGCGTTCAACTTCTTTGGTAGATTGAGAGTGATGATGGCGATATTGCCGCGAGTCTCCAGTGTGATTTCCTTTTCAGCTTGCGACATGATTGCTTTGTTACAGTGTTAAGATCAAGGTCAGAGGGAGAGTAGAGTGACGATTACCAACCGTGAATCGCTTTACCAAGGCAATGTTTGTCAAAGATGTTGTTGAATCCTTTGGAAAGTGTGGGGTACCGAGGTTCGTTGCGGCACGCATGTCAAAGGGTTCTCGGGCTCGAGTCCGGAAGAGCTCTCCCGAAACCCTGAATCTCGTCACGATTAATGCTTTAAATGGTCGAGGACAATGCAATGCAAGTGATTGCTGTGATTGGGTAACTCGGACGAGCTGTTAATCATTCATATAATCGAATGAGACGATTAACATAAACGTCGCCCGAAACAGCACTCAGAAGAGGAAACCACACTGCTCCTGCGCAGTCATAAATTCATAACATGGAAATTCTTGTAATCACAGCTCGCCGACCACAATCGATACCTGGCCGGCAAGACAAGATAGATGCGGGAGCATGTCAACCTGAGATCCATATTTGCTACGGCATGGGGACAATCCATACAATTACGAGCGTTATACAATGGATTGAGCTCGATGTCAGGGTCAGCATGTCAACAAGCGAGAGTGAACAAAATCAGCATGGTCGCAATACACATCGTCAGCCGAGGGGTGGGAGTCATACAAGGACCTGCTCAGCAAAGACAGGCTTGTTTTTCTCCTTGCCAGATGCCAGAATCAGTCGCAAAAGACTAGAGAGATTTGCCGCAGAAATCATCGTCCTGCAACAAGTGACAAGAAAGCGAGCAAGTTGCAGCAAGAAGGAAGCCGAGGAGCTCCGAGCAAGCTACGTCAGCAACAATGGCCAACGCAACAATGCAAGGCCTTGTGAGGCTTCAAGCAAGAGGAGGAAGCAAACCCGCGTTTTCGTTCTTTGCATATCGATATTATTCCACACGGGCCATGGCAGCAACGACGTACACGACATTCGAGGGGACGCACAAGACGGACGACGGCATGGAGCTGTACACCAAAACATGGAAGGTGTCGGGGGATGCAGCCAAGGCACGCATGCTGTTTGTGCATGGCTTCAGTGATCACTGCAACAACTACCCCGTTCTGTTCGACCACCTCGCCAGCCAGGGGGTGGATATTTATGCCTTTGATCAGAGGTATGTTCTCTTCTGACCCCTGATTCTCTCGAGTCTCGAGGCCGAGTCCGAGCTAACACTTCCATGCACAGAGGATGGGGTCGCTCAGTCCGCAACAAACATGAACGCGGTCTCACAGGGCCCACGACCCGTGTACTCGCCGACATCACCAGCATGATCCGCACTCTGCTCCCTACCCCTGTACCCCTATTCGTCATGGGCCATAGCATGGGCGGCGCCGAGATCCTCCACTACGCCTCCACCGGGCCTCCAGACGTCCTCTCCCAGGTCCGCGGCTTCATCGCCAGCGCCCCCCTCATAAGCCTGCACCCCAGCACCCGCCCCTTCAAAGCCACCGTCATGGCCGGCCGTGTCGCAGGTCGCATATTACCCAAATTCCAACTCGTCCAAAAGCTAGACTCCAAGTACCTGAGTAGAGATCCTGAGCAGAACAAGCTCTGGGAGCAGGACGAATTGTGTCATGACACAGGAACACTGGAAGGCTTAGCAGGCATGCTGGATAGAGGACTACAGCTCGAGAGCCACAAGGTCTTGCCAAAGGAGAGTGCGGGCGAAGGTGGAAAGATTAGACTGTTGGCGCTGCACGGAACTGCTGACCATGTGAATGCTTATGATGCGACAAAGGCCTATGTTGAACGCAGTGATTTGAGTGACAAGGAGCTTAAGAGCTACGATGGTTGGTATCATAATAGTGAGTGCTTGCTCCTCTCCCTTCTTGCTTTCCAAGACGAACAGCAGTGCTGACTTGAGTCCAACAGTGCATGCCGAACCTGGTGAGGACAAGCTCATGTTCGCCAAACACGTCTCCGAGTGGATCATGCAAAGGTCAGGACCTGAAGAATCAAAGTCGAAGCTATGATTGTATACGACGACTAGTAATGCCTTGTATGGAAGGAGTTTGTTTGGATGAGAGGAGGATGTTTTCTGTTCATGAACAGACAAGTCTATATGTAATGTTTCGATAGTAGCAGTATGGGTATCATTCGCAGCAAAATCATCTTTTTTCTTGTGTGTCTTTTCCCCATTTCCAAACAACGCCATGAAATGCTCCTTTCCGTCTAATTGTTTCCCAACCGTCTAATTGATGCATCGCTTGAAATACAGAAGTGTGTAGTGCACTGTTTTCCAGTGAGAAAGGAAGCTTGCTCGCATAGCTCGCGATCGTCGACGAGTCAACGAGGCCTATCTGCGCTGAGACATAATCTCGGCTTCACGCACGTCCTTAGGGCTCGAGTCAAGCAGGACAGCTCTTGAGTCGTTCCCAGTTGAGCTTGTTCTCCAGACCGTCGCAGATTGTGTGTGGTCGTTTGTCTGCGTCGTACGACATGACGACGCACACCGCTGGTGGCATGCAAGGCCCAGCCTTTGTGATTATCGACGACTACTAGCATTGCCATGGTTGATGCTTCTCACAATGATACCAAGCTCAAGGGTTGTGGTCGAAGCCGGACTGACCTCCCAGGCCAGAGTATGCGTTGCGCGAATTTTGGTATGCAGCTTGAAGTTGTGCTGGTGTTTGGATGCCGTTGTATGAAGGAGCCGATGTCATCATGGGGAAGCCGTTACTCGTAGGGCCAGGAAGCTTGAAGTCATCCTGGTAGGCGGACTGGAAGAGTTGAGGGCCGACAGGCTGAGGTGGTGGGCTGCCTCCAAAGGGTGTAGAGTCACCGCTGGCAGGATTGCTACTGTCATAAATCTCGTCGATTCTGCCACGGCCACCAGGCATTTGTACCATGCTGAAACCTGGGGTAGGCATCTGAGGAAGGGTGTCGTTGATCTTGGAGAGAAGGAGAGGAAGGTAACGCTGCTGTCCACCGCGGAGCGTCGAGATGAGTGAAAGGAACTGGTTTAGGTAATCGCGGGGACCGTATTCGAAAGTGTGTTGCTCGAAGGGTACGCAAGACATTACGTCAGTCAAGGTGCATGCGACGTCGAAGAGCTTCTCGACAAGTCCAATGCCGTGGACTTCCATGGCAGATTGCGAAAAGCCGCTTGTCGCCGCGATCAAGTCTCTCGAAATCTCGATAGGATATTTGAAGCTCATGGCGCTGTCTGCAGCAGCCGAAGACAGATACCCGTGGCTGATGGAGAGCTGCCACACCATTGTTCGGAGCCATTGCTGTGATGTTCTCAAGTCGACAGCCTGGCTCTCAGTGCTGTGGAGGTATGCCGGAAGTGCTTCTGAGAGCTGGTTTTGCAGTCTTGCCAACCACTCGGTCGAGCAACCGACACGAGCCTTGTTCCAAAGTCCAACAAATGTATCATCGAAAGGCTTGAAGAGTGTGACGAGGTGGATGAAGCCACTGAGCTCGACGGTTTCTGCAGGATCGTCGTTGAGTGTGGGAAGGTTGATGGTAGCGTGGAGAGTCAAGGGGCGGTGACGCTGGATGGCATATGCTCTACAAAGGACAGGTTAGTACTGCTTCTAGATTCCATGTGGCCAATTGGCTCACCTCTCTGTGATAAACAGAAGCCAGTAGAGTCTTCGGCGTCGTGAAGTCTCAACCAAGTCACCTTGGCTGTAGTGGTTCTCGTCTTGCATCCCCATGATCTGAGCCAACGTCGTTGCTTCGCGGAGGTGAAACCATGCTGTGTTGTGCTTGTCCAGGCAGAAGTGTGCGCCAAAGAAGAAGAACGATGTGATGACAGACCAGATGCTTGGACTCTCAATGTAGTCGTAGCCCTTGCGAACACGAATAGCCTCGTCAAGCAACGTCATGCCCAAGTTGAGATGAGCATTGGGTGCTTCGGCGTCCGGGACGATGCCAGCCGGGAGCTTGGTGTTTGGTTGGATGAGCATGTATGAGCAAAGCGAGACGACCAAACAGTACGCCTCTACCGAATTCTCCATCTTTCCAATCGTCTCACCAACCTTCTGACGATGTAGGATTGGCTGCGTTGGGTACATGTTTGCGAAGAAGTAGTCTACGCATGATGTGATGAGCTCCATGGACAGCAAGTCCGGTGTCCTCGAGAAGGCATTGGCATATTGTGACGCCTCGAATCCGAGTCCGTGTCTTGCGCGAGCCGCCAATTGCGACTGCCTTTGTGTTTCGCGAAGCTCAGAGATGACCTTTGCTCTGCTTCCCTTCGGTCCCTTCTTCTGAGGAATGGCGTTGTAGGTGCATGTCAGGCCAGCTGCAGTGCAGTTCTTGCAGGGTCGAGTACCATCGCCAATGCACTTGACCTTTCTTTTATGACAACAATCGCATGCGCGCTTGACAGTAGATATAGCGGGTCCCGTCGAGTCAGGCATCATCAAGGGCATCCAACCTCGCCAGGTATAAGATGTGATGGAAAGAAAATAGGCCCGTTAATAGGTGACGAGGGGTTGCAGATATTTTAGGCGGGAGGCTGAATGAGAATAGGTAGGGGGAAAGTAGAAGAGAAAACGAAGCGTTTGGACAAGAAAAGAGTCAACAATATCCAACGACGAGCATTGCCCATCAGAGGCGTGTTGAGTTGACGCAAAAAGTGGTCAAGCGGGAACCGTTGATTTGCCGCAGGTAGCGTCAACGCCGTCGAATCTTAGTATCGAATAGAGAAAATAGTCCAATGAAAACCGATCGCAAAACTACGAAACAACTTACCGATTCATGCATTGTCAACAATATCAATGCGACCTACAGCCGATCTGGGGTGATATACGTGGGTGTCATATATGGCTTGAAGGTGTTCGCGAGCACGAGGACCTACTAGCCACACACGCCCAAGCGTGCACAGCGCATGCGCGAGCTGAGCGTTGACATGCATCCTGTCGGCAAGCATGAAACGCTACAAATGACACACATATGAGACTCTTTGGCCTTTGCCGGACCCGGTGATGGCGTGTGTTGAAGAACCTTGCAGAATCGCAAGCTTCGCTGTAGACGACCGTGCGCCTGCGCTGCAGAGCCTTTCACGCCAATCAAAGTCTCCTCGGACATCGTCATGTTCCCCGACCGTTGGATTCAAGGGTTCGACGTGACGCATCGAAGCTGTAAAGAAGAAGCAGAACAAAAAGTCTTTTTCTCGTGGCACATCGACCATCACAATTGTGGTTAAAAAATGCGTCGTCACTCGTAACTTCAAGATCGGTGTTCCCGCCGGCCGTAAGGCTGATGGCTCCGAAGCCACAATTATTCTTGTGTCGTATCTCGCGCTGCCAAGTAAAGAGTCGGTCCGAGAAAATAGTTGTTGGCCCGTTGGTGAAGCGATCTGAAAATAGGGAGGTTCGTTGTACGGGCACCAGGCCCTAAGCCGTCAGAAAGCGACAGCAAAGCGATCCCCATCGCCGCTGTTGGTTGCTCAACAAGCCGGATTCGCGAAGGCCTGGTTCAGCAGGATGATGCCCCTGTCCGATGCGGGCTCCGAATGGGCTGACGGAGGACCGCCTTGTCGTGACCCGGTGGATATCGCCTACAGAATATAATCCCATGCATTCTGAACACCGCTTCTATCTTGTGGTATTGGATCCACAGTTGTTCGGGGAAGGCAAGTGTCCGTTCGCCTGGGGTTTGTCGTCGATTTCGAAGGCTGCCATTTTGCAGAGGCTGAATAGGATCTTAGAGGTCAAATGTCCAGGTCTGGGGACACACGAGCATTTGTACCCTTCGTCGACTTCTTGCCCTCGCGAAGAAGGCCCGGTTTGACCAGACTCGACAGCAAATACCCCGAGGCTAACATTTTACCCTCGAATTCTTCCGTGGCCCTTCTCCGGAGGGTCGGTTTTCGCGTGGGTGTCCTTGTGGGGTTCCCACATTTGACGTTGCATCCGGGTTCCTAGCACCGCGTGTCTGTCGCGTGCTTCAAAGCGTCTTCACCATCATCCAAGCGACATGGCCTTTTGAAATGATTGATCATAAAGCATGCATATACACTGCAACACTGTAGTTTGCCCTCTTTGTACACAACCCAGCATATACTGCCTGATACCTGCTCATCGCATCCGCACCGTTGTTCGGATAAAAAGAACTAGTGCTTCCCCAGCACTATCCACAATCAAACCAAGCATTACACATAATAACACAAAAGTTGGTCATGAGAATTCGGTTTGACGGGGTTGGGATTCCCCATACTCCATCTCGGCAGCCGCTGTCGTCAAGAGGGCGACTGATGACATGTGTCAGAGGGGGTAGTGATTGATATTCGGTTGCTGTGAACCATAGGACAGGCCGTGCTGCCCTTGTGAATTTTTGGCGTAAAACAGCCTTTGTAAGGTTGCTCAAGTGGACTCTGGCGGAACGACAACGCGACCTCCGTCAACGATCAGCAGTTCGCCAACCCGTTTTTTGAGGTCGTCGCCACAACACTCGACTCTCTTCCAGGTCACTATCCTTCCAGAATTCATGTCGACATCCCAGACACGGACTCGACGATGGAAGCCGCCCCAGCCAGCGTACCCGCCGAATCCACTGCCACCTGCATAGCACATCCAAGGGCCAAGATTTTCGCTTTTGGCGGCATCGCTGGATTGGCGAGTGAGAGCACAAAAGTCGTTGACGTGATCGTGGCCACAACCCACAGAGACAACACCTTGCTCTTTAAGTGCTTGATAGAGACCAGAGTTGAATCCTGGAGCAGTGCTTGGTTCTCTGAACTCGCCACCAGCTAAGAGGTTGCCTTCCTTAGTAAATTCAGGCAGCGGTATGTGAATGAAGGCCATGTCGAGATGAATGTGCGTGTACTTGGCATGCTGTGCCTTGAGGCTTTGAGCAGTCTCTGTGAACCATTGGATCTGGTTAGGTTTGACCCAATCGTAGCCTCTATAAGTCGCCTCATCAGGACTATAGCTGTGAGTATCGAGGAAATAGAGAGTGATGGCAGCATTCTGCGATGGAGCCTGAGCTAGGACTTCAACATAGTAGTTGCCAACACCATCGACGTTGTCGGGCCCAGGACGCGAAAGGGAGAATGGCATAGTGGAGAGCAGGGACATTTGAGCCTCGCGAGAGAGACGGGAGGCTTTGGGCCCCTCGTCATCATGGTTGCCGAAGATGGCAGCATAAGGTATAGAGCGTGATACGAGAAGATCGGCAAATTTGAAGATGGCGCTTTGAGCATCCGGTGCTGTATCACCATTGACCTGGTCACCGCCCAGCACAACGAGATCTGGAGCCTCTTCGTCCAGGATACGGCCTACGAAGTCAAGAGTGCGAGGGTCAGCTTCGCAACTTCCCTTGATGTCGCCCTTCGCATCGATGGCATCCCTGCACGCACCAGTACCGGTGCTTAAGTGAAGGTCACTGAGTTGCAAGATTTTGAATTTGCCGTCCTTGCGGATTCTCGGGATGACGGATTTCTTGTCGGGCTTGAGGGCACCATGACGGATGCTTATCCGGGCAGCCTGAAGACGGGAAGTGGCATCAAGAAGCAAGGGTGTCTGAGTGACGGACCAAGCTGGACGAGGGTCGACAGCATCCACGCCGAACAGGACGTCGACAGCGGTGACAGCTCGATCGCTGTCCGAGTCTTTTCTCTTGTTGCTTCTCAACAACCAGATGTTGCCCGGACGAGACTCCCACCGCTCTTGTTGCTGGCCCTTCTCGCCGACGCCAGGGTCGAGACGACCAACACGAAGGTCAAGGACGACCTTGTCCTCGTCGGTGAGTTCTTCCTCCTTTTTGCGCTGGACGTGAAGGTATGCAGAGGAGACCCAGCCACTATGCAGGTATAGATCCTTTTCAATGCGATGCCACAGCGAGGGGTCGAGGCGACACGAAGAGAGGGGGTTGATCGAGGAGCATGTGGTCAGGGTGACATCGGTGATGACGAGACCGGGATGGTGCAGGAAATTGGCGGTATGAATGGACTGAGGCAGCAGGCGGTAGCGCGTGTCGACGACGAAGACAAAGAGTAGAACAACGAGCAGCAGGGCGCCGAGCTGGCTGATGGTGCGAACCTGCCGTCGGTGTCAGTCTTGTTTGTATAGGCCTGTCTGATCTGGACCATCACCCACAATGCGACGTGTCATGTTAAGAGGCCTCTAGGCATTGCGACAGCACGACGTCCACCGTACAATGATATTTGATCAAAAAGACGCAACTTTGCCATCAACTGACAGCTGCTCACTGCTCCTGCTCAGTGCTCACCTTCCCCACACTGAACCTGTACGGATGATCGACACACCCTATTTTCACCGGACAGCCGTATATCCTCGTATCCGTATACGCCTGCCAAATCTTCTCTGCTTGCTGTGAAGCCTGCTTTTGCCTGTCGACCCTCTGCACACGATATCATGCGTTCAGCTTCGACCACACTGCGCCGCATCTGTGGTCGACACAGCTCTCCGGCCAGCATCTGTAGTCAGTATAGAACTCTCGCCACTTTTGTGGAACGGGACATTGTTATACTGCGCCAAAAGTCGAACCAGGACAATATCATTGTCTCGAAACCTCTCAATCCTGCCAACAAGATCAACACCCACAAAGGCGACATATCTCATGCCGACATTATTGGCAAAAGTCCCAGAGATCTGGTCACCTCTTCTGCTGGCCATGATTACAGAATTCATACCATCACTCTTGCCGAATACGTTAGCATGACCAGAAGACTTGTAACTCCTGTAGGTCAGGCCATTCTATGGCTTCCGACATCGCTGACTTGTTCTCTCCAGATCTATCCAGCCGATGCCAATCTTATTGTAAGCCTGTTCGACCTGCATTCATCAAGGGCCGATGAGGCCGAAAAGATAGAGATTCTCGAAGCTGGTACAGGCCATGGAGCTCTGACTTTACATCTGAGTCGAGCCATCCATGGTGCCAACACTCAGTGTCCTAAACCAGCCCCTGTGTCCGAGGGTACAGACGATCTGTCGGCCACCGAGCAAGAAAGCACTGACGAGCAGACTGAATGCGATGATGCTGTGACTGCCTGGAAAGCTTCGCGAAAGGCTGTCATTCACACCATCGATATCTCTCCAAAGTACTCAAAGCATGCGGCCAAGGTGGTTGCCGGCTTCCGTCATGGTCTCTATGCTGACAACATTGACTTCCACGTTGGAGATGCCAGTGCGTGGATCAAGTCTGAACATGCGCGTCGCGATTCCGAGGAGCCTTTCTTAACGCATGCATTCCTGGACCTACCTGCTACCCACGACCATCTTTCGGCTGTTGCCTCGGCCCTCAAGAATGATGGAATCCTCATTGTTTTCAACCCTTCTATCACGCAAATTCTAGACTCCATACAGAAGATCAAGCGAGAAGACATTTCTTTGTTTCTTGACCAGACTTTGGAGCTTGGCAACAATGGAAGTAGTGGCGGTAAACCATGGGACTTACGCGCTGTGAAACCCCGTGCTTCAATCAAGGCCCAGACGACAGAGCACAGTTCGGATTCTGCACAATCATCCGGATCTGAAGCGCCATCTGAAACGCCACAGGAACTGAACCAGGCTATCACCAGAGATCCGGCACAAACTCTGAAAGAAATCAAGCCTGAGGACTCAGACTGGACATATGTTTGCAGGCCTAAGGTTGGAGAAAGGATTACAGGCGGTGGTTTCCTAGGTATCTTCAGGAAGATGAACAACCCTGTCCGACCTTGAGTTCATCGTTAACCTACGTTCAATGAGGGCAATTTGTCTAGGATCCTGGTTGATTCATACACAGCTCTACAGCTGCCGATGGCCACAACTTTGGCTATACCTCACAAGGCCTATATGGGTCATCCAGTTTGGCCCAGGTTCAATGGTATGTGCATGAGACCGCCACCACTACCAGAAGAAATGGTCTAGAAGTTCTTCGCTCATCAATTGTTGCATGACTCGAGTAACCACCTGTTAGGAGTCGTCACTAGGACTGCTCTGGTCAGTGGACAACCATCTCTAAGCCAATCAGATGATGTGGTTCAAATGGCGCTAGTCGCTGCGTGTGCTCTTTAGAAGAACTGAAGAATCTCTTACAGTTCATCACTTACCAAAGCCGTTCAAATTATTTTCTCCTCTATACCAGTTCATAATGGCTAGATCAAAGAGCCTCGACCAATATGTCCCACCTCCTCATCATTGGCACATGGTGACGCGCAAAAACTCGTGTCCATCAAGATACCGTCAAGCTTCTCCTGCGCGCGCACCCCGCCCGCCCGCACCACAAAACTTCCCGCCTGAAAATCAGCACGACCCTCTCCACATGATCGACCTTGCGCTCGCAGTCCTAGAGGGCAGACATGACCCTGGTGGAGAACACTACTGCTCCTGCCCTCTGGACTGTGAGTGCCGTGAGGAGTGCTCAGTCGCAGGCAAGGAGGCTGTGTGCCCCTGCTGGTGTTGGTACAGGGAGCACAACGTCAGAGCACCCGGTAAGTGACCACTAGATATCTCTTCCAACCTTGTCACTCGATCTAATTCATTCTTGCCAGGCGGCAGAGCCCATGAAGAGGGAGAGGGAGAGGAGGAGAGAGAGAGAGGCGGAGGCGGTGGAGGGAGAAGGGGAGGTGGAGGAACAGGGCCGGGTCACTCCGAGGAACGTTTCGGCGTACAGCCAGAACTCCATCCAGGCGAGCCTTCAGGAGAACCCGGTCCGTACTCCCGCCAACCCGCAATCGTCTGTGTCGACCGAAGGCACGTTCAGCATGAGTCGCGCGGCGTTATGGACCCGCCTCTCTCAGCCGGGTCCCCCCACACCCACGACTCCCACGAAGTCCAAATCCGGCAAGGGTTAGAAGTCCTTGTTCGGGCTCAGGAAGCGTGGATCGAAGTGAAGGGGGGCGATGGGAGAGGGGGTCAGCATGTAGTGTTATAGACCCGGGCCGTTTGCCTGACGCGACCCGAGAATGAAAGAAAAGTCCTTGCGCTTCTCCCGCACCAGTGATCTGTGTAAAAAGGGTCTGTAAAAATGCATAGTGATTTTCAAATTGGCTAGAGCCGTCTTGGAGTATGGCTGTTAATTGTACCCCCACTCGTAGCGATGCTTGATTGGAAAACATTGTGCATATTGACAGCTATTAATATAACGAACTACAGCACGTGGAGACGATGGCAACGAGCAGAAGTGAGTTGTTCCATACAATCGGACCATGCTAAACGTCATGATCATGATCTTGCGAGCACAGATCAACTTCCAGCCACATCAGCATCGTAGAGTCGTCATGCTACAACGTCGACCTTGCGCGTCTAACCTACAACGACACTGTCCTTGGAACAATGCATCCACTTGGATGAATTCTCTATTGCGCATATAACTCTCACCACATTCAATTCACTCGTTACATATCCCTCGCGTAGAGCGCCGCATCAAACAACCCACTCCTGCGTCTGTACTGCCATTCACGATGCGCACCTTCCCCACTCTCACTGCGACAAAGTTGCAAGCCGCGGCATACTTGCTCGGAGTAGCCCTCTTCTCAATCTCATTTCTGGTCTTCCTCAACGCTTCAATCTCGTTTGTTGTTACGGATGTTATTGGACGCAAGCATGGTGTTGGCGATGTAGTCGGCACACTGGGCTTTGCTGACGAGCTTGTGGCTTTGGTCGCATGTCCACTCTGGGGACTTTTGAGCGACAAAATCGGTGTCAGGAATGTGGCTGTCATGGGCTATCTCGTCATTGGTGCCAGCCTTATGTTGCTGGTACAGAGTCACAATGTATACCCGCAACTACTGATCGGCAGAATGGCATTCAGCGTTGGTGGCGCTGCTTGCTCGACCATGGTCACTGCTATCCTTCCCTCGATGACCGCGGAACGAAAGCAGACCACGTCATCAGAAGCCACTCAAACTTATGGAGAAGGTATTGTCACACCGACGAATCCCAGTGCTCGCCACTCCGGTGCTTTCAGCATCAGCAGTGAGGTCACCATCACCCCAGCACGATATGTGCAAAGGCCGCCCAACCTCAGACGACGATCACAGAAGCGTCGCTTTACGACAGATCCTGCTATGCCCAAGAAGTCAGACCTCAGTCAGCTTGCTGGCTACGTGGGCATGTTTACTGGAATTGGTGCTTTGGTAGCCGTCGGCATCTTCTTACCTCTCCCTGTAAAGTTCTCTGGAAAGGGTGTCGCTCAGGCAGATGCTGTCAAAGACAGCTTCTACACCGTCGGTACCGTGTCGATCGTTGTTGCCATACTCGTCTCATTGACTCTTCGCGGACTGCCTGGTGAAGAGGACAAAGGCTTCCACAGGCTCTTTTACTCTGGACGAAGCACCGAGGAACACGAAGCCAACGACTCGTCCTCGACACATACCACACCGTCATACTATCAGCTTGTGCGTTCCGCTGTCCTGCTCGGCTTTACAGACTCTCGGATTGCTTTGGGCTACCTGGGTGGATTCGTCGCGAGAGCTTCTTCAGTCGGCATATCATTGTTCGTCCCACTCTTTGTCAACGCCTACTTCATCCGCGAGGGACTTTGTACCAACGACCCAAGCGAAGATATCAAGTCCGGTTGCAAGCGTGCCTACACTCTGGCGTCGATGCTTACCGGATTCTCGCAGTTGACTGCGCTGCTCGCTGCCCCTCTGTTTGGCTGGTTCAACGGGTACATGAGCGAGAAAGGGCAAATGTCATACCTTCCCCTAGGTCTTGGTGCTATCGCCGGCATCTTCGGATGTGTCTCATTCGGGTTACTGGATAACCCCGATCCATTCCACGGAAGCGCAGACGGCAAAGGCGCCATCTTGGCCGTCATCCTTCTGGGCTTCAGTCAAATCTCAGCCATCGTGTGCTCGCTCGGCATTCTCGCCAAAGGTATTCAAGCCTCTACCCCCGCAATCTCTTCAACATCAACAACAGAACCAAACACCGTACCTGAAGCACAGGAAGAGCAATCCGAAGATACAGAGACCGCAGCACCCACAGAAGCAGCTCCACTCCTCCCCCCAGTCGCAGAAGAAGCACTCTACCCTCCTGAAATCGACAGAGCACAACTCAAAGGCACAATTGCAGGTGTATACTCTCTCGCTGGCGGAGTGGGTATCCTCCTTCTTACCAAAGTGGGTGGTATACTCTTCGATAAGAAGAGTACAGGTGCACCATTTTACATGCTTGCAGGCTTCAATGCTATTTTACTTGTTGCGGTCATGATTGTTTTTATCGCACAGAGGTTGCGAAAGACTACGGTTCCTGAGGTTTAAGATGGATTAGCTCACGTAGAGGATGTTATGATATGAAATATCGTTGTGCCAACACGCTCTATGGAATCGATTCAAGTATTCATGCCATGAGGTTTTTTCGGCCAATGAGCAACGCACGTGACCAAGTCCACAACTTGGAGAGCAGCAGCAAGTTTCAATCAAACGCGAGAAAAGAAGGACAGACACTTGGAATGTCTCAATAACAGCCATGAGGTTACAAACATGGGAGAAGCAGATGAGTCATGAGTAAAAGAAAGAGAAAGGCGAGAGAGACGATATTCAGTGTAATGTATGAGATGTATTAAGAGAGAAGAAGACTATCTACTTTTTTCATATAATAGACAACTGACCCGGCATTGTCGCTCCGCAGAGGTTATACATTAATAAAGCGCAGACTGTGCCAGCAGATATGTGTGATGAAAATGTTTTTGAAAACGACAGAAGTGTAAGGGTGGAGGAAAGATGCCAGACCACATGTGGCATATGCAAGTTGTACAAAGGAAAAGGAGGGTGCTAGACACTGAAGCGAATGCTTTAGTGGCGGGCGTTGGTGGTGCCGTTGAAGGGGACAATGGCAGTGGCGAAGGCCGAGGCGGAAGCCTTGGAGGCAGAAGCGACCGAGGCCTTGGAGGCGGAGGCAACAGCGCGAGACTCGGAGGCGGCGGACATCTTGGAGACCGAGGCGACGGAAGAGGCAGATGCTCTGGAAGCAACGGAAGCAGATGAGGCAGAGAGGATGGAAGAGGCACGAGCGGCGGAGACCGAAGCGCGCGAGGCAGAGACGGCGGCGTTGGAAGAAGAAGCAGCGGCGGCGTTGGCAGAAGAGCGCTCAGCAACGCTGGAGGCCTTGGCGGCAGAGAAGGCCGAGGCGGCAGAAGCAGAGGATGCGGATGAGATGGAAGCAGCAACGGAAGCAGCGGAGGCCTTGGAGGCAGAGACGGTAGCAAGTCTGGTGGAAGAGGCGCTGGCTCTGGAGATGGAGGCGCGGACAGAGTTGGCAGAGGCAACCGAGACAGCCGAGACGGAAGCCTTGGAGGCAAGGACGTCGTGGACGCTAGACTGGGAAGCAAGCATGGCAGATGAGCGCGAGGCCTTGGAGACGGAGATGACGGAAGCCTGAGAAGCAGAGACCTGTGCGCGCGAGAGAGAAGCGACAGAGTTCTTGGAAGAGGAGACCGAAGCAAGAGAAGCCGAGACACGAGAGATGGCAGAGGCCTTGGAGACAGAGGCAACAGAGACGCGCGACTTGGAGACGGAGGCAATGGAGACAGAGGCGGCGGAAGCCTTGGACTTGGAGACGGAAGCAAGAGAGACCGAGACACGGGATTCGGCAGAGGCCTTAGATACAGAGGCAACCGAGACACGAGATGCCTTGGAGACAGAGGCAACCGAAGCCTTGGACTTGGAGACGGAGGCTCTGGAGACAGAGAGGGCCGAAGAGGCGGAAGCCTTGGACTTGGAGATGGAAGCGGCAACCGAAGCCTTGGAGGAAGAGGCGGCAGCCTTCTTGGCCTCAGAGACGATACACTGACAAGCAGCCGAGACACGCTTCATGGTCAAGCCGTTGATGGGCGATGAAGTGTGGGTGGTGGCGCCGATCCACTTGGTACAGAAGCCATAGGGAGCAGACTGAGCAGAGCGGACACGAGCCATGTCGCTGTCGACACAGACGGCACCTCTGGCGACGAGGTCGTCAGCGGGAACAGCCTGGACGAGGGAGGCACCGAAGGCCAAGACGGGGAGGAAGGTGGAGAAGTGCATGTTCGCTGAAGTGGTGGTTTTGGTGGTTGGTTGAAGTGGTGATTGAAGCGAGGGGATGTATAAGAATGTATAAGAACGAAAGAAGGCGAGCTGGTTTGTCGATTAGGCTGTAGGAGAGTAGATTGATCGTGCTGATGATTTGGTTGATGGGCGGTGGTTCGATGCCCTTTATATCTGTGGTGAGCAACATCTATTGAGTTCCAGGGCTATGGAATTTCAGATGATAGGCTTCTGTTCCACTGATGACCGCTGCGCTATTGCATCGCGTGTTGTTTCTCCAAACAATTGAGGCTCCAAAACTCTACCACCTACAAGCCTAACCGGCTTCACCACATGGCTGCCGTAAAGGGAAGAGAACCATGACCGTGCAGGGTCGGCCATGCTGTTCTGGTACAAGAAAGCGAAAACGCTTGAGCCAGGCCGTCGGCAGGTAACCGAGAGAGCAGGTCTACACGATTTCTGCCAGAGAAATGTGCTTCTGGAAAGCTGAGGATCCTAAACGGGCCGTTGACATCAATTCTTGTGTTATATGCTGCAGGATCGAACAGAGGACTTTTTCGCAGGGCTGACGCAAAGAATGGCAAGGGCAGCCGCAGATGTCAGTGCAAGTCCCGAACGCTCGGTGCTGGAAGCAGACCTGGCCGCCGTTGTTATAGCCGTTGACACGGAATTCTTCAGAAACCGTCCTGAGTGCAGTCAACCAAAGCCGTTAGAGGTCAAAGCGAGTTGAGCGTAAGAGGCGGTTCGGATGAAGGGTGTGATCTGGCGGTCTTTGCCTCCTACCACGCGGCAGGTACGTCTGACCGTTGCGAAAATCAGCCGTTGCAATAAGTTCCTCCAGTAACCGCTCATTAGAAATCTGGATAATTCTGCACGACAGCACTATGTTTGTGAGAGAGGGTAAGGGGTGGCTGCGGCAGGCGATGCCAATCTGCTTCAAGCTCAGCATCCTTTCGATGTTATCTCGTATAGCAGCGCCGTTGTAGTCAGTGGCCGTGTTTTGTCAGAAGTCATACTTTATCACAATCTCAATCTGTGAGCATAAAGTGTGTATCTAGCGCAGAGGTCGCTGTCGCTACAGGTGGATCCACCTGCATTGGGTCAATGAACAGAAAATGTAGGTCGACGGATGGTTCAGGGATGAGACAACAGGGTAGAGCAATAGGACGAGGGTCGAGAAGTGTGAATAAGCAAGCACTCCGGCAGGGCCGACGGAACTCGCGTGATGGTACTCGAGTACCTGCTATGACAGCCACGAGTAGTGCAGGAGGATGGATTGCGAATATTGCAAGCAACGCCCAACGGTGTGTCGTCGGTATGCATGGTCCACGCGAGCAGCCATGTCGGGCAGGAGGGACCGTTGTCAGGGCTTTCACGCGCTACCGCAAAGGTCCGAAGCAGTCGAGGAGTCGCATCTCTCGCATGGCCAGAATTATACGCCTCAGACATGATTGATCGACATTCGCGTAATACTGCGCCCACGTGGAACCTGTACATATTGGGCAAGTCGAGGTTTCTCGTTGTATAGCCTGGGCGAGAAGATACAAGTTCACCAGTCGATAGCGAGACAAGAAGGGCCGCCCAGACCGTCAATAGTTGCTTGACGAAACCGCGGGCAAGCAGAGCCGACGGACACGTGAAGAAGCTCTCTACTCGGACATAGCTCGATATTGCCGTTGACGTCTTTTCTGTCATCTAGATGCTTCAAAGACCAGCGACCACCTCGAATATGTCGGACGCGCCTTTGACTCGTTCGCGAAAGGTGTGCTTTGTGACGATTGGCGCGACCGCCTCCTTCTCCGCTCTCGTCCGGGCCACCATCTCGTCGACCTTCTGCCATTCGCTTGAACAACACCAGTACACAGACCTGATAGTACAGTATGGTGCTGACGGCCATGGCTTGTTCCAGTCGCTGTTACAGGACGTGAACTCACAACAAGAAGCAACTGGCATCAATGTGTCTGGATTCGGACTCGACACGAATGGTCTGGAGCAGTACATGATGCTGGCCAAGACAGGGGGAGACAGCAGCGGTGCAGAGGGACTCGTCGTCAGTCATGCCGGCTCGGGAACCATCCTTCATGCTCTGCGTCTCGATGTGCCCATCGTCGTTGTGCCCAACTCGGAGCTACTTGACAATCACCAAATCGAATTGGCAGAAGCCCTGGCTGAGCAGGAGTACGTCGTGCATGGCAGACTTGAGTAAGCCGCTCCCTTTCATCATTCTCTGTGATGCCTATTGACCTTCTCGTAGGAATCTATCGCAAGCGCTGCAAGATGCCGAAAAGCTACGAGTCCGACAAAAGGCCTGGCCTCCTGTCAACTCAGGCACTCACCGACAAACAAGAGGCCTTGCTGGCGTCGTCGACGAAGAGATGGGGTTTTCGGTCGAATGAGTTTGGAACATCATACTACACAGTTGTGCGCAGGCCGTCAACTCTGGACACGGAATATCGCATAATCGACACATGACCTGGACGCGCATTACGAGGTCACGAAGCATGATCAGTCTGGATAAGGTCATTACATGGCTTTTTTGGTTAATAAAGCTTTGTCGCACGGCATCTGGAAATTGAAACGCGCCGAGGATATCGCCCAATGACGCGCTGGTTAGTGCGGGGTGCATCGTCGAGTGAAGCTCCACACTCGAGCACGTATAAGATCAACGGCAGAAGATGGAATATTTCTCCGGACCTCTTCATTCCGTGTCTAATGAGGAAAGTGTGCGGATGAAGCATTATCTACAGGGAATGTGTTCAGCCGACACGTCCAACCACTGCAGCTAGCAAGACTATTTAAGACTCCCTGTCTTCTTTTGGCTCGCATTTTCATCTTAATCTTGTTTACCCTACACGCAACAGAGCAAACATGGTCATAAACTCGGGTTTCCCCTTCCTTGCTGCAGCATTAGGTCTGTTCAGCTTAGCCAACGCTTCACCGAACAGCCATTCAAACAAAGGACATTATCCTGGCTGGGCCGGAATCAAGCACATTTTCGCTTTGTAAGACAGGCATCTGAGCACGTGCTATAGTAGAGACTAACCTGAGAAGTGGTGACTCGTATACGACCACAGGCTTCGACCCCTCTCTTACACAGCCCGGTCCTGGTAACCCACTCGGCAACCCAATCTATCCGTAAGTCGGCTCTTCGACTACGGCTTTGAGCGCGCACTGACATAATTACAGGGGTTACACCTCATCCAATGGACCGAACTATATCGACTACCTGACTACAGCATACAACAAATCATTCATCGAGACCGTCAATCTAGCATATGGTGGAGCAACCGTCGATGGTACTCTTGTAGCACCCTACAAGCCTAGCGTCTTGTCTGTCAAGCAGCAAGTCGAGTCCCAGTTTCTCCCAATCTACGCCTCCCACTTCTCCCCCGTACCATGGTCCTCGTTCGACACGCTCTTCACGATCTTCATCGGCATCAACGACGTTGGCAACAGCTATGCCTCTCAAAACGCGACCCTCTTGTCTACAATCTTCACCGAGCTCTCCGGTCTAGTAGACCAACTCTACACCACCGGCGCCAGGAGCTTCCTCTTTATGAACGTACCACCCGTCGACTTGTCACCACTCACCCAAGCAGCCGGTCCATCATCTCAAGCCATCGAAGCCGCCGACATAGCCGACTGGAACCACCGCATCACCACTTTATCGAAATCTCTATCCCAAAAATACACCGATACCACAAGTTTCCTCTTCGACACCCACAAGGTCTTTTCTCGCGTGATCGAGCATCCCTGCGCTTATCCACAAACTTGTGCCTATCAGAATACCACGGCATATTGTCAAGCTTATGAAAATGGAACTCCTTCGCCTACGTCCTTTGATCCTGGGTGTGGGATTTCGGTGGACAAGTATCTTTGGTTGAACACTTTGCATCCGACTTTTAGAATGCATGATGCTATTGCTTCGCAGATTGTCAAGTTGATAAAGTGAGGAGGTGGAGAGTTGAGGTAGCGATGGCAGGGAACAATGATGATAATGCATCAAACAGTAGCCATGAGTGAGAAGAGCGGTTACTGTAGGTCCGTGAATGCAGTATTTCAGAAGCTTCAAGCAGAGTATGTCGTAAGACCTATAGGCTTGCTTATTTTGGTAGTCATTCTACAATTCAAAAAACACCTATATTACCCATTCATCAATGACCGGCTTCTGTGACCTTTATCGTACCGTCCGTGCCCTCGGTGTCTACATGGGTTTGTAAATGAGCTCTTGGGAACCGTTGGTCTGGTGGCTAGAGGTAACACCCTGTCTCGATATACAACTCTTCGTCCACACTCGAGCTTGCGACTGATGCATCTGATAGTCTAGCAGGGATGGCATAACAGCTGTATACTAGACTCTCGATGAATTATGAATACTTCCGTGTACTTTCAGAGGATCCCCAGCGTGCACCGTTTCATTGTTGGTTGATATTGTGGTGGTCCTGATGTGGGTGTGATACCAGAATTGTCTGAGGACGGCATTGCCTGTGTATGACAGAACACTTGGTCTAGCAGACCCAAGATATATAGAGTAGATAGAAGAGGTGCCAAAAAGCAGTGGAAACGGTATCACTTATACATGAGACAAAAGGGAGTGGTATGAATGGATTCATCTGTCTGAGTCAGGGTGCCACCAGCAGCGGAATAGCCGTTGGAAACCGAGGTTAATAAGAGTGACCGGTATAATGACCGCGAATCATCTTCAAACAGCCTTTTGAGTAGACCTATTTTCGCCAAGGTGAGTAACCCAATGATGGTTATCCTTCCTCCCGGGAAGTACCTGCGAGGACTCTATCCTTTTAGCTTGCCCTCTGACGCTAGCCAACCCGAGAACTCAATTGGGTTGCGAGTCTGCAAGAAGATCGTGCTAGACAGAATCAGCAAATGTCCAGAACAGACAGGAGGGGTGATACATACCCGGGACCGGAGAATTTGCAGACCAAGCCCTCATTGGCGCTCACGCTGGATATTATTCCGCCGCTGGCCACACGCTCTAGCACGTACTTGGCGTTCCATGCAACCAAATGGCCGTTGTCGACAATGTACTTCTCACCCTCTTGAAGCTGTTTGATGGTCAATAGTTGTTGTGCAATGCAAAAATTCGTACTCACATCTTTGCGTAAGATGGCTCCTAAGCTGCTGAGCCACAGGATGCCTATGCCTGATATCTTGTAGACGAAGAAGCCTTCACCCGAAAACATGGCCTTAGTAAGACCTTGTCTCTTGTAGTCTTTGACAACACCTATCAGTTCGGTCAGCATAAGAGTAGCAGTGACTTGTTTTGGTGTAAGACTTGCCCTGAGTGCAAGCTAGAAAAGCATCTTTGCCCACGTTCCAAGTTTGTTCTCCTGTAAGTCGGATATTGGTGATATCGCCAAGCGAAGGCGGCGCGAGTAACAGTTCTCCTGGGCCAGTATAGGTGGACTGTGTCATATGTCCACCGACAACCATGGTCTTCAAGGAGAACTTGATGGCGCCCTTCAAGGTCACGGTGGGAGACATGGCAATCATGGTTCCTGGTCGAACAGATAACGGACAACCCATAGCAAGCTGAAGTGTCAGAATAGTGTTTGTGTCTCTGTGACTGATCCTGTAGCTTCCACCGTTGAAAGTGCCCACATCATCGGCGGTCGCGCCTGCTCCTACAAAGTGTGTTTGAGGTGGTGCACCCACGACTAAGTCGCTTGATTCTGATGTGCTTAGTGATGATTTCTCGGGCTGGCTCGCCATGATCGACTTTAGTTGGGCAATCTGTGAGGGGACAGGGTGACAAGGCATGGCCTGCTGCTGAGGCGAGACGGGGCTCGGCTCGTATTCGTGTGTACCAATGTTGCCAGCAGGTGGAGGCGGCGATGACGGAGGGGACACAAATTGGGTCTGAATGGGCTGAGGGACTGAAGCAGCATTGTATGAGAAGCGATCCGGAGGAGGAGCAAAGTGCTGCTGCGGTGACGACTGCGATTGAGGAGCTGGTGAGTAGGAAGTGTTCTCTGGAGGAGAATAGTCGGTGGCTGGTGGGAGCGGGTAATGCTGAGTATTGGTCGGAGGCGTATGCGAACTCGGAGGCGCAAAATAGCTCTGCTGCTCTGTAACATGTCACATTAGAACCTACGATCAGTCGAGTGTCTGTCGTTTGTACCTTGTGGGGGTGCTAGGGTTGGTAGGTTAGCGATATCCATGTGAGGTAGGGGGTGTAACGATAGCTCACGGAGGAAATACTGTGCTTGATTGTTTGACATGACTGACGATCAACGCGAGCGTTCAGGGCAAGAGCTGTTACGATATTTCGGCAACTGTACTGGCTGAACCTGGAATGCTGCAATTGAAGAGGTATGTCTCGAGGACAATTGAGATGAAAGGATGAGTCAAAGTAAAACAAACACCTACAGATCGAGGCCGTCAAGAAGCGGCCATCTTACTATTAAATACTCGGTGGCCGTAGTAGCCTTGTGAGTATGCTGCAGGTCGCTCTGTGATGCGATTGGAGCAATACCCCACTGTCGCAAGCGCTGCCATCAGCGTCGGCGCCTACGCTGCTTGGCTGTGCGCAGCGAGAGAGATTTTCACCCCATCCCGTTCACATGTTTGTGTTCTTGATAGCTCTGAAGCTTCGCTCGACAAGGGAGTGGCATCAGAAGACCATCTTCTGGGCATTCGAGCAGAGCCACCAATCGTCGGCTACCCGCAGTGTCCCGGCTCGTGCATGTCGAAAGAGCATCGCGTACGCCATAATCGATTGTGCAAATCGAAATGGTCATGAGCGAATCCTTCAAATATCGCCTGTTTTCACATGGCGCATTCTGTCCAATCTACAGGTCGGTAGCTAAAGACGAGCAGCAGAGAGCAATTGACTTCAATTGGCTTGTCCTCGGGTGAGTCAGATTTCAAGTCAACGGGACCCCACATTCAGGACAACCGGTCGGGGATGATGTAACAGCGCTCCCACCTTCGCAGACACCCAGAGCCACATTGTCGTTCCACCTCCCTTCCAGATGTCTAGTCAATCATGGATTCCACCCTCATGCTGTACCCAAATGCACATAGACTCCACTCGTAATGACAGTCTCGATAGGCGTCCAGAAGGCAGAATCACGGCCAGCCGTACCAGCAATATTGGTAAGCGTTGTCCTAGGGGTCTCCATTACCCCATCCCACATGTTGTAACACACCATTCCTATTTGGGGACACCGCGGTTCATCGCTCCTGATTGGTCAATTGTGTGGTTGAAGGATGGAATTGAAGGCTTAGCTCCCTTTCGGTGACTCGACCGGGAGCACCTTCATCTGACGGTATTTACCAAGCTCGTGTCCAGACTCGAGTCTCTTGGTCTTTTGCTTCCCTATCCCTCTTTTCGACAGTCTCGCTCACCACCCGTAACCTTCACGGCGTGGTCTTGTCAATAGAAGCGACCTTTCGCAAAACCGCTGCCTTGATAGCCACCATATCATCCGCAGACTGCGAGAATCTCTCTACTCCCTCTATCTCTTATTCTTGAAAGATATCAAAATTTCTTCATTCTCAATCTTCGATCAAGACCCAATTGCCAACTTAACAATGGACATGTCTACTCAAATGCCTATGGTTGGCTACTTCATCTACCGCTCTGGTGAACAAGCCGACCCCACCGCTCTCGAGTTCTGCCCCCCTAAAGGCTCCGACGAACTCTTCTTCGCCTTGAAGACCGCCTACCCTCACGTCAAGACTCATTCGGACCGCATGAGAAACGCCGTTATCGAATTTCTCAAGCAAGAGCTCAATGCGGAACAGACTCAACTGGAGACTCCCACCATCCCTCTGGAAACCGACCTGTCTTTCGATATGTCTACCGAATCTCCTTGGTGGCCCTCCATGGACTCTACTGCCTCTACCCTAAGTAGCCCTGATCTTTTCAACATGGCCACTCCTGCATCCATGTCATCCTCCCAAGCTCCCGCAATGAGCCGTCAAAATTCGTCATCCCAGCCCAGCTCTTCCCAGAAAGCCAGACCTGCTCTCGAAGACATGACCGGTGTCTTCAGTCTGTCATCAACTTCTCAGCCCAAGACTCGTGTTCGCAGAAAGATGACCGAATCTGAGAAGCTCGAGTACCGTAAGCGTCGTATCGTCAAAGCATGCGACTCTTGCAGCAAGCGTAAGCGCAAGTGCTCTCACAACCAGCCAGAAATGGAAAAGGTTCGCTCTTCCAAAGTCACCAAGTCTAAGGCACCAGCATTCAACATCAGCTTGGCTTGTGTTGAGCAGATCGAGAAGGTTGTCTTCCAGCCTGCCGAGCCATCAATTGTTGACGAAGACCCCTTCATGTTCCTCAACCAGAACATGTTCAACGAGCTCCCTACTACCGAGCAATTCTTCTTCGGCACTGCTACAATTACTCAAGCTCCCGAGCAGACTGTTTGGCCTTGGAGCGATACTCCTGACTGGACTCTTATTGACACTCCTCTACTTGCTCAAGCATCACCATCCTCGCCATCCTACCATCAAACACTATTCCCCGCATCCTCAGGACTCCTTTCGCCACAGCCGACTCCACAACTAGCACTGATACATGAGCCGGCGGAACAAGCAAGGGCCTCAGGACTACCGACAACAACACAGACGCCCACTCACGCGTGGCACACATTCGCAGACCTCTCAACTGCCGACGGAATCGACGGCAAGGAGCAGACCGCGTCTATGGGACTCTCGTCTCCAGGCGACATGATGTCGCCAACTCGACAGCGTAACCAGTACTCCACTATGGCAACTCTTACCGGAACTCAACCTTCTTTCTCTCGTGGCTCGACAAGTGGAGCATCAAGCATGCCTAGTGGCAGCTTCGAGATGTCGCCACAGGCGATTCCACAGGCTAATGGACTAAGCGAAACCGCTCTTCGTCCCGATTCACAACAAGCCCAAGGCTCTGGCGGCAGCATTGGTGGTAGTGGCCTAATTAGTGGACTACAGCAAGTATCTTCACGTGTATCAAACAGCCGATCCAGCGCAGGACTACGAAATGTAGTGATTGCAGGCGATGCCTCGTCTCCCACAACCAACCACATGGTTATGGGAGACCGGCACATCGGGAACTCAGGCAACACGAGCAGTACAGGTAAACACATTCTTAAGCTTGTCTCTCTGATGATAATTTCGCTAACCATAAAACAGCTGCATCTGCCGAAGCCGAACTTCAAAGCACGGCTAGACCACTTCTACCTGCTAGATCGATCGCAGGACTTTCATCAAGCTCGTCCAGTGCATCTGGCGGGTTATTCGCCCTGGTTGGCGAAACAAGTAACCGTGGACTCAGCGAGACGCTGAAGAAACGATCCGCTGCGTCTGGAAGCATATCCCACGAAGGCATTGCTGCTATTGGAGAAACACCATCCGCAGCACGACCTGCTAGTCTGTCTGCAGACTCGACAAGCACATCGTCATCGAGTAGCACGCTTCGAACAGCACCTGCTAGTCCGCGACGACAAGCTCAGGCTGCTAGTCCAGACCTACATGGCGGACTATCTGCCACAGCCGCCACGCCATCCAAGCCCTTCCACCAAGTCGCCCACGACGAGGACCCAGGGAACCGTGCCACGGTCATGCAGACCGAGACCCGCCCCGAGGAGGGAAGCGAGGAGAGCTCGCCTACGCAAGGCGAGAATGCTCGTACGCTACCCCTCAAGTCCGGCACTAGAAGGACGCATGGCCGTTCCCGCGCTGTGGCCAGCAGCCCCAGCGACGCAGACACCACTGTCAAAGGCATCTACACTGCACCGCAAAGTGCAACGACGCCTCAACAGCCTCTGCGTCACCGCAACAAGCGGTCGCCTGGAAACAGCCTTGCTCCTGCAACCTCTGCGAACCTTGATCTCAATGATACAAGGGTTGCGGCTGCCATATTGGTGGCTCAGGTGTGCATGACTTGGCGGACTATGGCTGGTGCATTCGTGCAAGCTGTTGCAACGACACAGATGTCTTGTCGTGATGGTGGAGATTGCCAGTCTCTGCCTCTGCCTAGACAGGTGTTGGCTGCTTAGCACGACGAGGGTGAGCTCGATAAACGATTTTTGTTTTATTTGATAGCGTTTTTGTTTTCCTATATTTTGCACGATGAAGAGGAAGAAGATGCCGAGATGATGGATCTCTGGGATGAAAAGTAATCTGGACGTTCTATTTTTTATCTCTTTCCCTTCTGTTTTTTCCCCCTATCGCGTCAACATACATGATCGCGTTTCTTTCCTTATGCTGTGGACTTTGGAGTCCTTGCCAATGCAATCGATTAATTGATTCACGTGATCGTGAGCAGCATCACTGATCCCATGTCTCGAGAATAGAAAAAACAGTTCGATATTCGTTTGGGGTTTGACTATGAACTAATCTACCCGAGAGTTGCGCATGCAACTCAAGATTCAGTCGAGCATATCTAGTGATACATAGCTATGGTGCCGGGCTGATACTCCCAATCGCCACTCAGTGTTGTGCCGAAGGGTCCACGAACCGCTCGAAATCGAAGTCCTTGAGGACTTGGTCGTCTTCGGCCTTGTCATTAACGGTCTTGGCAATGATGGCGCGGGACTGGTCAAACTCGGTCTGATCGGAGAAGGTGTTGTAGAGCCCAAGGGTAGCACGCGTGGCGCGGGCGAAGCCGGAGATAACCGTGGCGCGGGCGAAGCCGGAGATAAGGGCGCCCGACTCATGGTCGGTTTCCTCGTTCGTGCCCGTGTGCTTTGCATGTTCGACAGCTTGACCGACAACAGCCTTGGTGACTTCAGGGTCGCGTCGGACGATCCCTCCTTCCATGACAACATAGCCAGTAGGCCAGATCTCCAGGATTCGGGCCCGGTTGTCGCTTTCAAGCTTAGAGTTGATCTGTCTCTTCTCTGCCACCTTAGCCTTCAGGACCTGAATATCGGCGTCAGAAGGAACTCAAGCCTGGGAACCACCGACCTGGGTGGGCTTGGTGCTGCCCTGGGAAGTGCCGAATACCTGAAGGCCGTTGAGATTGGGCGAAGCTCCGGGGAACTGAGGTGTGGCCGAATTGAAGTTGAACATGGTCGATGAGGGGACACCGGAAGTCTGACCACCATTGGTGAGAGGGTTGGCTTGGGGACTTTGGACCGAGCCGTTGAGGTTCTGTTGGGCTGCAAGAAAAGGTTAGTAGGTGTGTCGAAGTTACATATGTGAAACACGTACTGCTGGAGTTGGGAAGAGGTCTGGTGCCGCCGGTGTTCAAGTTGTTGACGCCAGGAGGTCTGGTGCCGCCGGTGTTCAAGTTGTTGACACCAGCTCTGGAAGTGTTGTTGGTATTAGCACCGATATTGAAGTTGTCGCCGGTAGGACCTCTGGAGCCGCCATTGTTCGAGTTGTTGGGGGCATTGGAGTTGTCGCCGGTGTTCGAGATAGGGCGGTCGGACATGGTTGGAGTTGTGTTAGACTTGAGATCTTAAAGTCAGTCAAGGGTCTCAAGTGTTGATGATGCGCAAAGATCTTGCTGTTTTTTGTTGCTAGGTGGATGTAAAAGGAAAGGAGGTGGACTGGGGAAGCAGGAAATATGTAGGCCGGTGGACGCGCGGGAGGTTGCAAGTGACGATGTGAACAGTGACAGCGTTGCGAGTGATGGTGTTGCAGCGAGGAAGTGAGAAACAATTTTGAGGTGAACGCGGAAGCCAGTGGTTCGCACCGAAATGCTCTGAAGGGCTAGAAACGAGACGGAGGGCGGAAGGGCGGAAGCTGAGGAGATTCTAAGTGAATGGGGACAGGACTGAAGACCTAGCGCACCGAAGTAGTTAGATCGCCAGTCGACGACTATCAATTGCAGACGATATCGAGTGGAACGGTAGGTTAGTTGGTTGGTAGGTAGGTGAGAGAGAAGGAGGGAGGGAGGGAGGGAGGGAGAGAGGGAGGGAGAAAGGGCGGAAACTGAGGAGAGAAAGAAAAAAGAAAGCAAGCAAGCAAAGAAACGACCGAATACCGGAAGGCGTGGTGTAAGTGAAGGAGTGGCAATTTGAAGTGAACGCGAAAGCCAGTCTGGTTCGCACCGAAATGCTCTAAAGGGTCAGAAACGAGCAGCCAGCCGTACGAAGTAGTTGCTGTTCCGAGAAAAAGAGAGAAACGGTGAAGCAAGAAAACAGAACAAGCACGGATGTTTAGTTATTCTTGTTTGAGCGTATAATAGTTAGCCACTACGAGTGCCGCGATGCCAATGTACTTGCAGATATATAGAGAGCCGTCAGGGTCCGCTCATATGCCATGTTGACTGCATATTCATGAAGTCGATATATGAGAAGCGGTTCTCGTGCACCTCTTCGCTTGTGCCTGTGCCCACTCTTTCTCCAAGCCCATGGAAGGCGAGCCTTTCGATTGGGACGGTATTGATCCCGACACTGGCCCTGACCACCGACTTCAATGTTGATAGATGGGATGCCATATCATCTGCTAGATCACAGCTGGATTTTACACAGTAGGGAGGGCGGGTGAGCGTCTCGAGGCAGTGACAGGCTTTGACTTGTGTCTTCTGGTTGTGTTTCATCGTATCATCTTCATGTCGTGTTTCACAAAGAGGCAGCGGCTTCGACGGCGCCGATACCCTTGAAGAGACCGGGATTCGTGATTTCGATCTTGACAGGGTAGTTCCACTCCATGTACTTTGTCCATCCTGTTCCACGCTGTCAGTATCGTGGCATCCTTGTCCATAAGGCTTCGGTCCGGCTCACCCCAATAGGCAGCCTTGCGGCCAAAGTATTTGCCCAAGTACGGCACGAGTACCATGGTGAGAAGCAGCTCAAGCTGCTGTAATGACTCTTTCCATTCTCTTTCGGCGTCTGATTGCCATTCTTCTTCCGAGGGGGAGACTGAGGTTGTGCTGGCCGAGGTTGAGGGTAGTGAGTCGAGTTCGTCCGACGATTCTGAGGTGGCCCGGGGGATGTTGTCGTATGATTGATCTGACATGTTTGCGTTGTTGTGCGACTCTGACGACCAAGGGAAGGAGCAGGAGGACCGTGTCTGTATTGTGTCTGTTCTGTTCTCTGTCGGCGGCAGTCGCGCTCATGACGAGCCACTCCCGAACGAGCGTGATGTCGCTTGGCACGGCTCCCCCACACTTTCTACCCCGGACCTCGCGCATCCGCAGCAAAGAAAAAAATCCCAAGTCGAAAAGGTAAATTGATATACCAAAACACGCATACAACACAATGGGCAAAACACGCGATCCCAGCCCGAGCGCCAGCTCAAATGCTTCTTCGGATGCCGAACCCAAGGTCGTCAAGGTCGAAAAGACAAAGAAGCGCAAGCGCAACATCCTGCCCGAGGGTGAAATCGAAGTCGACCTGAATGCCCCGGAGCCGCCGTCGAAGAAGGCCATGCGTGAAGCGAAGAAGGCTGCAAAGAGAGCAAAGGATGACCCCGAGGGAGCTGCTGCTGCCGCTGCCGCTGCCGCAGCTGCCGTGCCAGATGGCGAGAAGAAGCGCAGTGAATACGGTATCTGGATTGGAAACTTGGCTTTTGCCGTCGACAAGGACATGCTGCGTGTCTTCTTCACTCGTCAGGCCCAGATCCCTGAAGCTGAGATTACTCGTTTGAACATGCCTGTTCCTCAGGCTCCTGCTCAGCCTGGTCGCACAAAGCCCTCAAACAAAGGTTTCGCATACGTCGACTTCGCTACCGAGGAATCCCTGAACAAGGCCATGGCTATGTCTGAGACTCTCGTCAGTGGCCGCAAGGTCCTCATCAAGAACGCGAAGAGTTTCGAGGGCCGCCCTGCCCAAGCCACCGCTACAGTAAACGCCCTCGCCGGAAACGCCGACACAAGCGAAGCTGCCACCGCCGCAGGAGCCACCAACAAGATCGGCCCTAACGGCAAGCCCATCATGCCCCCTAGCAAGCGTGTCTTTGTCGGAAACCTCAACTTCGACGTCACAAGAGATGATTTGGAAACGCACTTCTCACAAGCCGGCGAGCTGGAAGATTGCTTCATGGCCACCTTCCAAGACACGGGAAAGTGCAAGGGTTACGCCTGGATCCGTTTCTCAGAACTCGAAGCCGCAGAATCCGCCGTCCGAGGCTTCATCTGGAAATTCGACGACGCCAGTGATGACGAGGAGGAAGAGGAGGAGGCAGCAGCAGCAGAGGAGGAAGCAACAGAGACAAAGGCCGAGACCTCAGACTCAGACAACAGCGACGACGAAGATGCCACCACAGAAAAGAAGGAAACCAAAAAGACGAAAAAGCCAAAGAAGCAAAACAAACGCAAATGGTTCATCAACCGCCTCCACGGCCGCCCTCTCCGCTGCGAATTCGCAGAAGACGCCAGCACACGCTACAAGAAGCGTTTCGGCAAGGAAAGACCCACCACAGATTCCTCCGAAGGCGGTGCCCCCATTACCGAAGTCGAGGGCGGAGCAGGAGCAGGAGCAGAAGAGAGAACGCAAAGAAGATCAAAGCCCAAGGGTGACAAGGACGAGAGACAGGAGCAGCGTAGAAAGAAGTTCGATGCCAGAAAGATTAGACCGGGTAATGCTTTGGCGAATGCTCCTAGAGCTTCTGCTGCTATTGTCGAGGCTGCTGGTAAGAAGATTTCGTTTGATGATTAGTCTGCTGTTTCTTTAGCATTGTCGGGTGTTTATATGGTTGCGATTCTGGGTTCATGGAAAAGCCATTTCTCTTTGCTCAAACTCGTTCTCATAGCTCTGTACACCGTGCTGTGACTCCGACGATGACCCCTGATGTTTGAGATGTTGGCTTTTAGCGGCCTTTTCATTGCAAGTGACACAGGTGACATAAGCTCAAGAATGGTCGACATTGATTCAACCATCATTTGTCTGCAGTCTAAATACAGCATGCCCTTCGCAGAGCAAGAAGAACGCCCCTATAGCCGCAGCCCTCAGTAAACCCAACCGCTAATAAACGCTGAAACATAAAAATCATCACCAACCATCCATCTCGACTCTAAACCATAAGTTCAGCAGCTCTAACCCTCCACCCCTCCCCAAACCTCCTCATACTCCAAATAACAAGCACCCCACTAACCAAACACCAAATCCCAATGACCGTAAACAACCACCCATCCCCACACCAGTCAATCAAAGGACTAGCAACAATACTACCCACACACGAGAAAATATTGCGAACGAAATTGTTAAGCGCGATACCATGACTGGCTTTTTTGGGCATGAATTCAGTGAGCATGGTGGTGACGACGGCAAAGATTAGCATGCTGCCGATGCCGAAGAAGAAGTTTGCTATCATGGGGACGAGCCAGAATGTGCCGTAGCGGGCGGACCAGCCGTACCAGATCAAGGCTAGTGGGAACATGAGGGCGCCCAGCCATGCGTTTTCACGAAGTCGGTCTTCGGGGCGGTAGATGAGGTGGCCGTGCTCATCGTATCGGTTCGCCTTTTTGGCTTCTCGGGCCATGATTTTATCGACCCATTTTCCGCCGAGCAGGGAGGCGAGGAAGTAGCCTAGCGAGTTGGGAATGTAGAGGAGACCGACGATTATGGTCGAGTAGTTATAGGGATCCGAGTCGAAGGTTTGTTGGACGGAGATGTTGAGGACGTAGAGGGAGCCGAAGGTTATGGATGCGTAGTAGACTACTAGAGCGACCGCTGGAATGCGAAGGTTGAGGATGATGGCCAGAGGGTCGACGAACCAGCGACGGAGGATCGTGACGTATCTCTTGGACTTCAGAGCGACACTTTGGCGGGTGCTGGTTCTTGAGAGGGTGGGTCTAGTGTTGTCGTCCTTTTCCGAGGCTGCGATGATGTCTGAGGTTGAGACAGTATCCTTCAGTGTTTCCGGCAGGAAGAAGAGAAGAAGAAACCAGAGCACTCCGCCATATATAGTTGTGAACCACATGGTGCTCCTCCATCCGAGACCTTGTGTTAATGCTCCTCCAACAATAGGAGCAATCAACGGTCCACAAAGGGGTCTAAGATGATAGGGTCAGCACTCCGAAGCCTCTGAAGTCACTGTGAAGTCTCTCTGAAGCCTCCAAGCTTCAAGAGTATAACTTACCCCAGATAGAACATGCTCATGGCATTACCACGTTCCTTGACATCCCAGACATCGGCAATGGTTCCAGCACCAACAGCTTGTACTGAAGCAGCAGCGCCCCCAGAAAGGACGCGCATAATGATGAACATGGTAATACTCACACTGACCGCACTCAGGATGTTGAAGACCAGGAATAAGAAGAAGGAGACCAGATATATAGTTCTCCTTCCTAGGATCTCGGAGAAGCTACTCCACCAAAGCGGGAACACACTCATAGCTAACATGTAAAATGCTACCGACAGGTTGGTGACCGTGGATGAAGAGTTGAATTCACGGTCGATCTGTGATAAACCGGGCAGGATGATTGCACTACCCAACGGAGCACCAGCACCTGCCATAGCTACCACAAAGGTGATGAGCCATTTTGTCCGTCGAGCATAGTGTTTGGGATTCTCGACCTCTGCCACTACAGCCACACGGGCTAGTAGTCCTCTTCTTTGTCCTTTGGGTACGAATACGGGGTCAATGTCTTCGCTGGCTATCGAGGCCGTGGCTTGTTTCTCCAGTGATGACGCATCATGTTCGTCGTGATTCGGGACAGGATGAATGCCGTCGGTGGTGGGCAGCGGTGTTGAGATTGACTCGACTTCCGGCTGATCGGGAACAGGAATGGAGGATATCGAGTGTTTGTCAGAGTCTGTCGACTTGACATCTCCATCAGAGTGCCGGTCGTGTGAGCTCATAGCCAGCCAGTCCGCTTGTTATCGGCGTTATCGTCGCTTTTCTCCGGACAATCGTGTTGGCGGCAGTTTGGCGCCTCTGAACGCGATCCCGTGAGTTGAGAACGCGTAAAGATTGGTTGTATGGCAAGTCGCCAGGTGAGAGAGTTTGTTCAAGGCATGACTGAATGCCCCCCTCGAGCTATCACCCATAGTGTTTCGGCACGTCAAAATTCAGCGGTCCTCAAAGTCCTCATCAAGGCCATGCCGAACAGCCGAGAAGACGTGCAGCGGCCAACTCTATAATGTGTCCTGATTGGGTATAGTGTCGCACCTATAAGCCGACTTCCGGTACACCCCTCTTCTGTATCAAACCATCTCTTCGTCCTGAGTTTGCTTCGTCGACACGACTCTATTGTCAAGTCGCGCCAATTGTTACGTCCAGGCGTAGGTGTCTATCTGACGAGAACTGTGATGTGTAGCTGTGCTACCCTGCAACAAGATCACGTGTCCATCATTGCGAAGAGAAGCATCAGGATTGTATCTTGAGTCTTCAACTCATGTGTCCTTCTGTGGTGCTGCCGAGATAGAGTCGTGTCTGACGCTCAGGGAGCAGTGGTGTCTAGCTATGTTGACTGACTTGGTCTATACCTCTGCATCTTTTGGAATCAGTCCTTTACCATGACTCTGCAGGATTCAGATACAAATATGGAGAAGTATGAGTGAAAAATTTCCGTGGCCTTCCTGGCGTGCGCTGCCCCTTTGGGTAAATTTGTGTTTTATGTTTTAGATATATGCGCGGTGCGATTTCCCAGTCTATGTGGTCAATGGTCAGCCACATGCACTTTCCTCAAGGATGCGCGACGCAGGTAAACAAACAACAACCAATTTCTCAGAATTCCCATCCACTCGTCTATGACCCAATTCAACAAGCAAAAGTAATCTGGAACTTCCAGGGCACGCACGGCCTGAGCTTCGGGGGTTTCTATCTGGATGGCTCTGAGCCGGGCACCAATTGCGCGGTGCTCTTCTTCTTGGAGCTCCAACTCTTCGTACTCGTCCTTGAGTTTGTTGTACTCTGCGATTCTCTGATAATCTCGGGTTAACGGACGAGACATCAGGTTGTGACCATCAAGCACTTACTTGGGCGTCCAAGTGCGCATTGAAGGGTGGAGCAACTTGGTCAGTCAAGGATGTATTCTTTGGACCAGACGTTCTGCGATCTGTGCTCCATTATTGCAGGAAGGCTCCAAGTTTTACTTTCTTTGTTGGTGACTGTTCGCTACTTGTGCCAGCGGAGTTCTGCTTGCGCTTCAGTGCCTCCCACTTGTCCAACGCTTCTTTCCAAGGGGTCATTGCTTAGCCCATTTGTTAGGTCAGTGAAGTGTAGGTCTGGGGTGACTGGAAAGAGATCTCACGGTGAGCGCGTCAAGTGGTTGACGTTGGAGGAAGGAGGGAAGGAAGAAGATATATAGCGCGCGCGGAAAATCCGTCGATCTAGTGATAGTATAGACGACAGGCTTTCACTTCCACGGAATCTTGATAATGTGAAGGCGCACGACCGACTGTCTCTAGCCAAGTGAATACTACAGAAAGTGATCGCAGAATATGACGAGCTCCCTGGGTCGTCTGTGAAGGACATACTCTCACTTCGCAGTGGTGCAAGGATAGGATTCTGTTGTTCCCCGGAACGCGATATGCGGAACAACGGAAGAAAGCTCACATTGTTTCATCCCCTGTTCTGTTTCACTTGTTCTTGGTTGTTCAATCCATATCTCTCTACCTATGCTGCGACATACTTGTGAAAGAAATCGACAAGGTCGAAGAAACTTCTCTTGTAATGTCTCTCAAAAAGTCCACTTGTTCTGTTGACAGTCTGGAGACCATACTGGTTCTCAAATGATCCAAACTCATTGTTATCCACAAAGCTCCACGCCAAAGCTCCAATAACGTTGACACCATCTAGATGCATAGATTTTAGTGTTTCCTTCAAGAAGCTCTCGTAGTACAAAGATCGCTCAAGATCGTATAGCTGCTCGACCGGCTTCTTCTCAGACTCCATGAAAGGGTTGAAGCCGAACTCGGAGATCAGGATACCAGAAGGGCGGAACGTATTCCAAACGTAGCCTAATTGTTGACGCACGTACTGAGGTGCAATGTAGGCGTAGTCGTTGGACTTTTGACCGACTTGCCAGCCGTTTTGCTGGATCTCGGTGAGCTCGGCGCATCGTGGCCAAAGAGGATCACTGCTGTTGTTTATACAGCTGGTGAATCCATTGGCTGGCTCAGAAGCAAATTGAGAAACATAAGGATCAAAGGCCCAGAAGTCGACTGTGCCGTTGATATATGAGAGCTGCTGTGCAGTAAGGGCTGTCAAGTTCAAATTGGGTGTAGCCAGAACTTTCGATGGATATTGCTTTCCAAGGAAAAGAGGATTGGCCATGATACCGAGGATAAAGTCCTGGTAGCGCGATGCAGCGGTCAAGTCAGAAGCCTTGTTTAGATCGCGTGGAACTGCAAGGTTATTGGCGAATTTAATGGTAACTTTACCAGTACCACCGAGGGTTTGTTTGTACCATTTGTACACAGCCGAATGTGCCATGAGAATGTTGGTCAATCCGTTGTATGTCTGGAAGCTGTAGGGCATTCCAATGTTGGGCTCGTTGAACGTGACCCAGTAAGGAACATGCTCAGCATAGCGAGCCATTACTTGCTTGGCATAGTACAGGTAATCTTCGGTAAAGTCCTTGTCAAGACTGATTGATGTTGGAGCATCAACGTGAACGAGGGTAACGATAGGTTTGATGCCGTAGTGGAGGCAAGTCTTGATAAGATCGTCGTAATGATCTAGACCCTGGGTGTTGATTGGGCTGTCCTTTACACCAAAAGGTACAATCCTCGACCAAGAAATAGAAAAAGAGTAGTAGGGCACTCCGATGGCAGCAAGTCTAGCAATGTCTTGCTTGTAGAGGTAGTAATTCATGTCGGCCTCGACTGAATCATTACCAGTAGGCATACCACCTGGGCCTTGGTTGCCGAGACCATCGAGATTGCCAGGTCCTCTGCCTTCTTGCTGCAAAGCACCTTCGATTTGCCACGCGCTTCCAGCAACGCCCCAGATGAAATCCTTGTCGAACTTGTAGCAACCGATGCACGCATCCGCGTTAGAGCATGCAGAATACAAAGCTGGAGGGTAGACAAGCTCGCTTGCGGCCACCGGAGTAGGGAAAACGGTCGTGGTAAAAGGCACAGTGCGATTATAAGTATATCCAGTCCACAGTGCAGCATAGGCAGATTGGCCGTACATGCCATCCTGACTAGTGGTAGCCTTTGAATTCAGAGAATAAGAAGTGTAAGTGACGTTGGCGGGCAATAGCGACTTTGCCTGAGAGTAGGCGGGGGCGAAAGCACTAGCAAATGTGACCGGAGCAGAGATAGGAGTAGCATAGCGATTGCTACTCTCCTGTGTATAGCTGAAGGAACTGTAGCGAGGTGTAAAGCTGGTCGAAGCACATGTCGGAGCTGACTGAGCCTGAAATTCCTATTAGTAGTCGTTGGAAAATGTCTGGAGATGTGCATACAGATGTTGTCCATGGAAGTGCCGCTTTTGCACTGGTGCTAATGCTGCTTGTACAGGTGCTGATGCTAGTGCTGGTTTTGGTAGTGCTACATGAAGTCTTGACAGTCTGTTTGGGAACAGCAGTTGCGAGCGTGCACAACAGTGTGAAACACAGAGCGAGGAAAATCATGATTGCGATGGTGATTCTGCTCTAGGAGCATCCAGAGCGATGTCGACTATGTTCTTATACATTCTTTTCTTCCTCAGAGACCATATCTTCAAGGCAGCCCTAACCTGATGACCCAACCTAAAGATCAATGCCCTCGGCTGGATGGTTGATCAGTCAGTGCGTATTGAGGGGTACTGTCGTAGAATCGTGGATCGTGAATATCTCATACTCGGGATGTGGAGGTAGTGGATTCGAAGAAGTCTATTCGGTCGCTAGCAACAATGTGTGCCGGTATGTTCACTAGAAGCTTCTGCTATCGACATGCTTCACGGGATTGCATGCGGATGAGTACGGCCGAGTTTGGAATGTTCGACATAGCGGCGACAAGGTGAGGGTGCAAAAAGGTGCGGTGGAAGTTGGCACCCTCCGCGAACTTGGCGGAAAGTTGGAGGAAATGTGGGGACAAAGATTGTGTCAAAACAAGCGACAGATGCTTAGCAATATCACGGCCTGGAATAGTCGTGCTCACCTATTTGTTTAGCAGGATGCTATTGATGTCTTGAGAGAGAGAACCTCCTGCTGTGTGAGCCATCTCTGGCCTGGCTTACTGATGATATCGTTTGGACCATTAGAAACGTCACGTCATCAATGCTTCGCCAGCACAGGAGTATCGGAGCTCTGTACTCCGACCACCCTGACCGCGGCTTCCCTGGTCATCCAAAAGCAAAGATTGACGCCTTTTCCTCGAGGAGAATACTCGAAGATCATTGAGTAGAGTGCGCGTTCTATGAAGTTGAGAAACATAAGGCGAGCGTTCGCAGCACCACTTCCAAGATGTAGCCGTTTAGCACAATTGGACGCGCATCCAAGTAACAACGTCAGCGCAGACGTACAAGCAGTCCCAATGACAGTCAGGCAGTAACGGGCCAAAGACGTCTTGTTGGGGAGTGCATGCGAGATGTTATGGCAGGCTGTGTTCAGATGGAGCCAAGGTAGGCAGAGTCCTGCAATGCATCGTGCTTGAACGGCGCAGCAAGTAGCCGATGGACGATCCAAGACGCAAGTATTAAATCAAAGGCTGGGGATTAGATTGGTGGAAAGAGCAACAAGAAAAGTAAATCAAGGAGGTGAGTGAAGGGCACACACACACGGGCAGCCACCGAGGAACAGTTACATGTCCAATGACACGGCGCTGGTGAGTTGCCACCAGTAGAAGAGGTTGGGAATGGAGGCTAGCCAACCAAGACGGGGAGAGCGCGTCGATCAAGTGCGGTGACGAATAACAGATTAGGTTGGGTTACATGTGAGTCGCATCGTGCTCTGTGCAAGGAGGCGCACGAGTTACTGAGGAGCGCGAACAAAGACATGGCAATATTATTGGGAGGCGCAGTGGGACACGAGTGGACACTGGACAGTGGACAGTGGAAGATGCGAAGCTGTCGGATTGACAGGGTATGGATGGAGGAGGATGGCGCAGGAGCGAACAACGACCCATGCTTGAGCGTTGACTAGGCAGCGGAAGTGCGGGATGCGCGTGGCGCACAAAGTCTACCGAACTTGATGATCGAACATCGCCTGTGGGCTACTTGGTGCATTTGAGTCGTCAGTATCTTGCCGCACCTGCAGCCACTGTCTTTCGACTCTGTTCTTCTCAATCCTGTATCAGCCCAAGTCGATTTGGATCCTGTAGTGAGCGGACAAAGGGATAATCCCAAGTCGAGCATTTGCGACAGCCAAAAACAAGCTCCAGACGGCGCACGGGAAGCAGCCGACTATCTAACGGGCCATATCAACATTCAGTTCGCTTCTCCACAAAAAAGGTGCCTACTTTATCACACAAAGACCATGACCATGGTTTGTCGCATCGTCTGCTGATAGCCGGTAGATAGCAACCAACGCACTTCCCATTCTGGCGTCTCCTTCTCCTCGACACCCTTGACTGTTTGTCTAGTCTGAAGCGCCTAGCCGTCGTCCAAGCATCTGCAACCAAGGACGTCGCAGCTGGAGCTCGGGAAACGAGCATTCGCGCCCTCGGATTAGGAGCGTCTCAGATTGTTGGCAGAAGCACTCGTTGGGCTGCAATGAAAGCCACATCCTTCCTCGCGTAAACTCGCTGAGCAATCGCCGCCGCCATGGGTGTCGAAGCCCATCAACGACCACCGCTGCCTGCGCCCACCGAACCTACCGATGTCGACGACACCGACGTAGCCACAAACGTCTCACGCCGTACCGACCAGACCTCCTACTCGATCCCAGAGGACGGCAGTCCCATCACCATCTCGACGCACAAACTCACCTCCAAAGAAGGCCCACGCCTCCGTCACGGTCGCAACAAGTCCCAGACCTCGCTGTTGATCGAGTACTTCGAAGCCACAAAGGGCGACAAAGCGAAGAACAGACCTAGTGTGCGCGTCAAAGTCACCCCTTCAGCCCATCGCAAGTCCAAAAACTCGGATTCGGTACAGATCACTGGCATTGGTCGCGATAAGAAGCCTTCATACACCCGTCGAATCTCTCTGGGCAGCAAAACATCTGACAAGACCGCGCCTGTCGACGGCACCGACATCAGCCAGTCTTCTGGAAGCAACCTCTCTGCTATCCCACCTGTCGAGGTCGAGATTCTCAACAACAGCGACATATCAAGCCTAAAGCACGGCCGCGAATCTCGCGACTTGCATTACTTGCCCACCACTTCGGACCTCTCGTCAATGCCTCCTGACAGTCTGCTCGATCCTTCTCACATATCCGCCATGACACAAGATGTATCCGAGCATGCAAGCCGCAGTCAGAGCCTTCTAGACCTTCCTGTACAGGATCGAGCACGCAGTGCGAGTCATGAGCGTATCAAGCAGAAAGTCATCGAGAAGCTGATGCAACGTCAACGGGCCGAGCCAGTCGAGTACGAACCCGACACGAAGCCAACCAGGGAGCGTCGTCGCCGCTCATCTCGCTCTACACGTGAAGATGAACTTGCAAGTGCTGCCGAATCATCCATTCTCTCTTCCAATCTTTCCCCGAGCAATATTTCATACGTTTCGGGCACTACCTCGAAGGTATCGTTAAACAACCCGAAGCTTCTCCAAATGGTCGAGGATACTGTGCGTCGTCTGATCTTGCCTGAGATCACTCAACTGAAGAATGAACAGCGGCGTTCTTCGCAGGGTTCATATACAGAGGAAGAGATTGACCGACGCCATGCCAAATCTACAAGTGTGCCCTCGATATCCAGCAAGCCTAAAGTCGTGCTCAACCGGTACGATGACAACCCTGGCGAGGTACTCTCCCGAGGAGACTCTGAGCGGCGCGAGAGAACCCGTCGATCTAGTCGCGCTGATAGCGAACAACCTCGACGCGAACGTCGTTCCTCACGAACCTCGACACAAGAAGAGTCTGTGCATAGAAGGTCGAGCAAAGACAAGGAGTCTCATCACATCAAGGACGCTACTGCTGCTGGTATCGCTGGCGGTGTCCTTACAGCTGCGGCTCTTCGTCATCATGATTCACAAGACACCGTCAGCCGTGAACGTCGCAAGAAACGCAAAGCCCGCGGAAGTCGTAGTGACTCTACAAGTCTGGCTGAGACCGAAAAGACTTATCGTAAAGAGCAGATTCCTCCTATGCCATTCACCGGTGCGTCGGTCATGAACGACTCGGAAGTGACCCGCGAATCTATCCTGACCGCGTCTACTGAGCGACCGCCATCCGCTACAATAACAGAACGTCAGACTCCAATCCGTGAGGTACGTCGAGGCTCACTTCGAGGCTCTTTGTCGCCTGCATCGACAACCCCCAAAGCGAAGGGGGTCCGCTCGCCTCAGACCTTAGCACTCTCTAAGAGTAACACTTCCCCGATGGAAGAGGAGCCTTCGAGCGCTCAGTCGATCTCAACCAAGGCGAAACTTGCAGCACTAGCTGCGGCCGGCCTAGGAGGCGCCGAAGTTGTGCAACATCACAGCCCGCGTAATCATGAACTGAGTCCTACGCAGAGTGTATCCACATTCAGGGATAGTCTCCACGATCCCTTGGTTCCTCATGGCCTACGACCTCGTAGCAGAGTCTCCGAGCTGTCCGCCGAATTTGAGGAGCGTCAACGGAACGCCTTGTATCCTGTTTCGGCGCCAACATCTCCCAACGCTCAGAAAAGCAAGTTCGATCTTCCTAGAGCCTCCTACTCGCCTACGCAAGTATACGATGAAGCCGAAGAACGCAGTGAGCTAGAAGAGTGGTTCCAGCAGGAGCATGAGAAGAACGAGGAATATCGTAAATCCCTCGGCGACATAAGCACAGTGACTGGGTCTCTTGATGATCGCCGTTTGACACAATACACAGAAGGTAGCTATCTTTCGAGCGAACATAGTCCAGAGCGTAACGTCAAAGGAGCTGCTGCGACTCCTCAGTACACACATCTGCCTCATGGCGTTGAATCTGCCGTCGCCTCTCTGGTTGATCCTTCGACGATCAGTACAAGCATCCAGTCCTCACAGGCAAGCCCTAGTAATTTCGAAGATGTTCGTTACCATGAGCAGACGAACGAGAATGTAAGAGAGGAGCTTCGCGGCCCATCTCTTAGTCGCCAAAGTATGGAGTCAAAGACTCAGCACCCGACACAGACCCGCTGGAGCATATTGCGTGAGAATGCCGCGGCTCTATCCAGTCGCGGCTCATCCGCTCAACCTACGGATTCCCCACACCAAAGCGAATCTTTCCACGAGGAACGTACGCATGTGGACTCGCCCCCTGTCCGCCTCAGCGCGCATGGCATTCCTGATCTCAATGATCCTATGCCCGAGATTGGACATGGGATCGACTCTGAGTCTGACTTGAGTACAAACCCTCCCGAGATTCAAGGTCCTGGCCCAGGCAATGGTCGCTTTGAATTTCATCATTCTTTCTCGCAAAGTCCCGAGAGAGAATCTATTCGTCACGACAGTATCTCCGAGCACAGCTTCTCGATGAACGACAGAATCAAAGTGGGCGCGGACATCGCCGCCGGTGTTTTCGCTGCCGACAAACTCTTGAACCGACACAGTTCTGACAAGCATCTTTCTGCAAATCAGGCCGTAGTTGAGGACTATGCTTCTCGCGAGACGACTCCAGATGTGCGTCAGGCGCAGGCTGTCCGAGTGGGCCGTGCAGGAACGGCTTCTCCTCCGGCTCACTTTGGCGATGAAGGATACGCATCTGCTGCCTACGCTCGCTCGAACGGTGCCTCTACCCCAAGAGGCCACAAGATGAGCGTCAAGAACAATCTCGAAGAATATAATGCGGAGACGACACTTGATGAGACTTTCATTGAGAAGCACCACCGTCACTTGAGTGGCAACTCTCATGGCATGTCCTCTCCGCTCTATGACAGTGCTACCGGCAGAGGGATTGATACGATCCAATCCAAGGACGTGGTCGCCTTGATGGACCACCTTACAGTTCGAGACGCGCACCGTAATGCAAGGGATACTGAGATCCTTGTCACACTAGTCCGCAGTGCTGCAGAGATGCGCCACGAGTTCGAAGAAATGAAGAAATTCATCGCCGAGCAGGATCGCAAAATCATGGACAACACGGATCGCGATGCCGAGTACACTGTCAAGAAAGTGCTCGGTGGCCCTCGACCCCAGCCACCGATTGTCCCTCGAGCCACTCATGGCAACTACAACGATGACGATCTCCCAATGAAACGTAAGAACGTCTTCAAGCGTGCGCTCAAGGGGCTAAGTAAGAGAGGCTCGAATGACTTGTCCAAGATCGAGGACATGTTGAATCAGATACTTGGAGATGTTGAAGATCTGAAGCTGACGCAAGGAGATCGACCACCCATGTCGCTCCGCGGTAGTAGCTTCGACTCATACGAAGATCGAGCACACTATGGACGAGACTCTGGATATGAGCCTGAGGGACAAGCCGGTACCTCGTCCACTCCAAACCACTCTGGCCATCTCTCAAACCAATCTGGTAATGCGTCGTTCCCTTCTCCTAAGGAGAACACAGTCTCTCCACAAGAGAGATATTTCCATTCTGGGTACAATGGTCGCAGAGACTCAATCAATCGCGTCAGCACGGTACTAGAAGAGGAGAGCAACGATGGCAGGTCTTTCCTGGAGCAGCATGAGACTCACGTTCTCGATAATCAGTTTGAAAACAACGAGCGGCTTCTGACACCGACACAAGAGTCTTTCAACCGACAATCTGGGTCTTCCGACTCCATTGCTACACCTCCTCAGAAACAACATAGCCCTTTCGACGCTCAGACTGGTGCTGATAGTACTCCCGAGAAGCAGCACAAGCACAAATCTAATAGTTCGTCTCTGTTTGGGATTCCCAAGATGTCGCGTTGGTCTAAGACGACGACCTCTTCCGGTCCGGAGAATTTAGAAGTCTACGGTCAACGTCGTAGCCAATACACCAACGCCTCTAGAAGTGGCGATAGTCTAAGCTCAGACGACGGAGCATACTACGGCAACGGGTATGCACTGCAGTCCGATGATCGTCTTCGATCTACCCAGTCATTAGCAAAGGAGCAAACTGTCAGAGAACATTTGCTCGACAACAGAAGCGTGCACAGTGAACTCAGTAATATGACACGGACACCGTCACCGCTCATACCATCAGAGTCGGGCTCCCAATTTGACAACATTCCCATCCTCCTTCCTGAAGACGACGATCTAGACAGGTTCGATGATCCTAAATACTCAGCTCACCGCGATTCCTTGTTGTTGCAACATCCCCAGCCTCGACCAGGACAGACCCATCGCCATCAAACAAATCTCGAGAATGAGGCTCGCACATTCAGCGGACCCGATCATTTCGAGACAGGAACAAGCAGCGATCTTTCTCAGCGTACAGTGGAGAGTGATTTTGATCCTCAACAATGGGGATCGGATCCTTCACTTTCTTTGGCTCGTACCAACAAACTCAGCGGCATCTCTCCTGGTAAGGATAATGGACCTCTCGTCCCTGGAAGTAAGCCAAAGCCTGCACCCAGAGTTGAAGTCGAGCCACCAAAGGAGCAGCGACAGCAGGCACCGCAGAAGCCTCGTCAGATGTATTACTCGACTCCGCTTGGCTCGGGACACCTACTAGAGCCTATCGAGGAAGTGCGATACTCGCTGGAGACAGATCGTGGACATGTGAGCATTCTCACGCCCCCTGATAATGTGCTTGACTAATCGAGATGTGATCAGCGTTCACCCGAGCCAAGCGCTAGCCCCCGAGTAGCCAGCCAGCTCAGTCCAACTCGCAAGATCACCGGACCCAGACCGATGGGCTCACGCGCCGCCAGTGGTGCAAATGAAGGAGTCCAACAAGAGCAACTTTCCGGTACTGTAAGAAGGAAGCCAGTGCCTTCGAGCAAGAGTTGTGGTTCGTGATTTTTGTTGATTCAAACTTTTCTCTTTCTATTTCACATATTAAACAAGAAACATCACATTGCTGGGAAAGTGGCGTCTGTTGTAGTGTTGCTCCAATAGACGAGACACAAGAAGATGGCCGAATGTGTGGCAACACGCTCGGACAGTGAGCAGGGAAGAAGTATGGAAGGAGCTGATTCGGAGGACAGATTCGTTTGATGACAATAGTGAAATTTTCTAAGCACCTGCAGACAGTAATTCGGCGGAACACAAAGATAAGGGCGGATACTGGAAAGAACGACTTTACGACGCAAACAGTCATTCGAGCGGCAGCATCGAAGCCAGCTGACTATCAGAGGAGGAAGAGATGTAATAATGATACCTTTGCTTCGACGATCATGTTTGTTTCCTTCTGCGAGGTATCTCTGTCACTGGTGCACATGTTGCCTTCGGGCCTCCGCTTCGAGCCGCTCCTACTTTGCCAACCATAAGTCAAGTCATAAAATGATGTCTTGCACTTTCCAACTTCCGCGATCAAAATCCGATTTTTGAGAAACCTCGACCGTTGATAAAGCGGCGATCGTTGATCGCAAAACGCTCGAGATTGACTTTCGTTGAAAATTCATGCTTGGCGACCTCGACATGTGTTCTAAATTCTGTCACTACCATGTCTCTTTAATGGTCGAAGCAGAGCAGCGACGAGCTGTAGCAAGGCACAGTAATTTTCCACATCAACGACTGGCGCACGAAGAAGCCATGTGAAGACACATCCCAGAGATGTCACCAAAACCTTACAAAGCATTGTGCCTCGAGTCAGCTACAAGCATGACAGTTTTCGCACAAAGGGAAGGAACAGAAGCCATTCTCGCGATTTCCTGTCTAATTCCACAAACCGATCAACTCACCGTCATTCGCCGTCCTGCGGTCATGCTTCGGATGCAGGATCTAGAGCCTGTGCTTCTAGAGGTCTCATCTCGCCTTCTTCCCTTCTGCCCCACGATACAGTGAGCACGCACCATAACCATGCCATACAGAAGCTCAGCCACGTGCTTGATTCCGCGGGATCATGCTGCAAGTTTGCCAACCTTGCTTTGGCGGATAGAAGGCCGCTGTGCACTGGTAATGAATTAGGGTTTACCAACGACTCGTGAGCCTTTTGTCCCCGTTGACCTGATTCGAGAAACCTGACAAGACCTAATTGAGTTCTTTTAGAGCAAATACGACGGGATGTCGTTCAAATGCTTCTGGTTCGACGCCAATTGCGAACGTAAGAAGGTGAGATGCCGTGCCCGTCGAGCTGGTTGCTAGTGTGTCAATGACTTAGGGTTACCTCAGGGTTCACTGCGGCCGCTTTGATGGATATGGACGAGAAAAGATTGTCTAGCGAATGATGCGAGCACATGCGAGATTAAGAAAAAGTCGGGATCAGGGGGAAAGCTTTCAGAGGTCTGGTCGACATGGCTTGCACTTTCCATCTTGCTGCTGTTTCCGATCTCTGTGTGACGAGCTCCAGGTCTGGTCACTGACGTCGAATCTGCATGGAAGATCGCGTGGCTGGAGTTTAATGGCGCACCGCAGCAATTTTTGGCGAAAAGACGTTGGAAGCTTAACAGCCTTACCTCCGGCCTTACCTGACTCTGAAACGAGGATCTGTCATACGCCAACGGGGTCTCGATTCTCTCCATGAGCATGGGAAAAATGAAGACTAGGAGAGGAAAATATATCTCAGATGCAGGTCCCATCGTATCGACTTGCTCCTTCTTTTCTACCCCAGCTGCGGACCGGACGATCACTCTATCTAACAGTCTAATTTATTGAAGCCATGGAGGGCAAGCAGCTTTCAACCTTTATTGTCGCTCTTGTGAGCTTGCTGGTCACGACTATTGTCGTCATCGTAAGATGCATTGTTCGTACTTCTATCAGAGGTTTTGGTCTCGATGATGGAGCTATGGCAATTGGTCAGGTATGGGTCTCCCATTGAGGATACAGGTCAACAAATGCTCATTGATTACAGGTGCTATTCTTCGGAACATGCGTAGCAGTCATGTACGGATGCAATCAAGGCATTGGTGTCAGAGACATCTACTTGACACCAGAGCAGCTTGTCAACGCTAGACACTCCGTTCTCATCTTCCAATGCTTCTACCTCATCTCTCTCATTTTCGTCAAGAGCAGCATTTGCTTCGCACTGCTCCGCATCACTCCCAACAAGCAGATCCGCCAATTTCTTTACTTTATCATCTTCCTCTCTTTCTGCTGTGGATTCGTCACCATGGTTGCATGCTTGGCCATCTGTGTACCCGTCTCGGCCTCCTGGACTGGTGTCGGAAAGTGCGCGGCTCCCAATGTTCTGAAGTGTGTTGCTGTGTACACCACAGTGTCTTCATGCATTACGGATTTTTCCTGCTCCATTCTTCCTTTCGTCATTCTGTGGAATCTTCAAATGGCCAAGAAGCTCAAGTTCACTTTGGCTGCCATCCTGAGTCTCGGTTTCCTGTACGTTGATCCCTACAATTTCCATCACCGACGGTCCACTGACAGAAGATACAATAGTGCCAGTGCCGCTACAGTCGTTCGCGCATTCTACTTCAACCGCTTCCTTGCCACGGTAGACTACGTCTGGGGCTTCAGTGACCTCATGATTTGGAGTATCATCGAGGATCTTATTGCCATTACTATCGGCAGTGTACCCAGCTTGAAGCCTCTCGTTGCACGCTTCAAGTTCATGTCATCAGTATCTTCCACCCGCCGTGCCGGCAAGAAGACTGGCGAGTACCAGAACTGCGAATCCTACAACATGCACACTCAAAGCAAGAGCAAGAACCAGACCAGAGTTATCACCACTGCTGCTGAGGAGAGCGAAAGCATGAAGGATCTTGTCAGAGAGGAGGGTATCACCATCAGTCAGGAGTTTAGGCACGAGGAAGAGTACGAGTACCATGACAGAAAGCCCGGTGTTGATGTTTAGAATATATCTGATGTTACAGGATATGGATAGTACAGTACATAGATCTGGGATATCACTAAATTTCGCGTACTTTGACACTTTCGGGAAATACGGTTGAATATTTGCCAGCGTGTATTCTGATCTATGAATCTAGAGGATCTCATTATCCTCCTTGGTACCTTGATTGTTTCCTTCTGGGTTCTTTTTTCCGCCTTGGGAGTTGTTTCTCCTTTGGTTAGCTTTTTGCTTCTTTCCACCTGGATTGTTATTTCCACCTTGGATATTCTTATATTGAGCCTGGTTGTAGCCGTTCCAAGCCGTGTTGTACCGCTTTTGCATACCTCCTCGACCACCGCCGCGGTAACCACGGCCGCCACGACCACCTCGATCAACTCGACCGCCTCGAGTACCATAATCTCTCTGAGCATACGCAGTGTTTTGATAGCCATTGTTGTTGCTGTTGTTGTTGTTGTTGTTATTTCCCTGGTAGTTGTTACTATCAGGGTTGTAGCGGCAGTCAGGTGCAATGTGGCCTCGCTTGTTGCAATAGGTGCAAACGATTTGCTTGGGAGGGCCACCACCACCGCCGCCACCGCTACTACCACTGGAGCTGGAAGAACCGCCGTTCTGGTTATACGGACTATCGAGACTCATGTTAGGAGAATATTGTGTAGGGGGTGCTGCGGCAGGGACCGGAGGATTCTGAGGGATATGAAGTGGTGAGGGTCTAGTAGCCATGAAGGGTGCTGCGGCAGGAATGTGAGGGTTTTGAGGGAGATAAGGTGGTGAGGGTATAGTAGCCATGGGGGATGCTGCGGCAGGAATCTGAGGGTTTTGAGAGATATGAAGTGGCGAGGGTCTAGTAGCCAAAGTTTCGCGCAATCCTTGGTTCGCTGCAAGAAGTTGCTGTAGAAGTTGATCCTTGTAGCCAACGGGTTCTTCAGTAGTGGCACAGCTCCTCTTGGCCTTACGATCATCGGACTCATCAACCTCATCGTTTTCGTCAAGATCTGCTTCGAACAGGCCAAATTTAAGTTTGGAGTATTGAGCGAATACTGGATCATCCTTAGCGACCTGGAGCAGACGGAGAGAAGTCATATCTTTTGGTTTTTCCTCAACACGTCTCCATTCCACGGAGATGTCGTCGTGGTGACAGTTCCATGCCAGGAAAACAGCATGAAGTTCCTTGTCGTGGGCGAAACCGCTGTGCGTACCTTTTTGGACGTTTCTGAACTCATGGTCGAAGATGCCGACACGGCCATTGCACCCATTAACAGGGCAGTAAATCGTGTAGCCTGCTTCGATCCTCTGAATAGCCCACTTGATGCCGGCGAACCTGCAACTCTCTGAGTAGAAGAGCTACTTCATCCGAGCGATGGTTGCGTGCACGTTAATACCATCAATCTCACACCAGGTTTGATCTGGTTGATATTCTCTGACTCTAGGCATGATATCTTCTAGATTGTGCAGAGGGATAGCTGTTCGCTCGATGGACGGCCCTGCGACGGTTTTGTTAAGGAGCTCGGTTACAAGCTTCTCGCAGGTCTCACTGGCCTCCTTCATCACCTCCCTCTTCCTTTTGAGGCTCTTTGTGGTCTGCTCCACGCGAGATTTCGAGTCACCTTCAGAGTTCCGAGTACCGCCAGGTACAGAGCCAAGTACTTTACGTACTTCCGGCAAGTCTCTGCGAGAACAGTCCTGATCATCATGACCTTGTACTGTGCACAAGAAGCATCTTTGATTTGGATTTGGGTTGCAGCAAACAGTCTCTGTATGGCCCTTGTAGCCACACTTTCGGCAGGATTCTTGATAATCCGGACTGAGCTTGATGAAAGCTTGTTGCACTATTTGGATACATGTGGCCGTGCGGTGCTGGTTAGTGTTGCACCACTTACACCACGCGTCTTCTGCGCGAAGTGGAGGCAATTGGTAAAGTCCATCGTAGGCTTGAGGCGTGACAAAAGCGTTAACACTAGTCTTATTCCCTTCCTTTTTCGGGCAGAATGCAGGCCAATGGTCGTTACTGCCGCAATAGTCGCAATTTCTGTTTGCAACCTGATTGTTGTTATTGTTATTGTTGTTGTTATTGTTGTTGTTGTTGTTGTTATTGTTGTTGTTGTTGTTGTTATTGTTGTTGTTGTTGCTATTTTTATTGTTGTTTCCCTGGTAGTTATTACCACTGGGGTTGTTGCGGCACGTGGCCTTTCTTGTTGCAAAAGCCGCAAGTGTTTTGATTGTAGTTATTCTGTTTCTTGGCCATTATGTTTGGCTATATGGTAACAATCACGATGTTGTGGTAAAGGTCAAGTGTCAAGTACTATAATTGCTTACTGAATTTTATGTTGTTGGTTTCGTAGCGAAAGAATCTGCCAGCAGACTCAAAAGGAATAAGGCGAGGAACAAAATTTGTACAGAGAAACGAAACTTGATTGCGCCTTTATCCGCGAGCTGTGATCAATATATAGGTATCTGATGTTTGAAGAATCAAGGATAATGAAACGTTGGGTCGTGGCATCTTGCACAAAGAGTGTCGTAATTTGAAAGAACAGAGAAATGAAGTGGCGCGACATTTGCGACGAGTGATCATTCCATTTCTGTCTGTCAATGAAGTCCCTTGTCGTGGCGCCTGACGACTTTCTCCGCGAAAGAAAAATAATGGACGATATGATCAAAGGCAGAGATGAGTTATCAAAGAGGATCGTTGTGGCTGGAGGCCGACAATCGGAGGACAAAGGACGCGCGCTCTAGCCCAATCGAGTCATTAGCGGCAACATACCATTACTTTTACGTGAGAAAAAACAGCTTGGCACGCGTAACCTCCAGATTTGCTCCACGTTATGCCATTTTTTCTCCAACCTCTCCCTTTGCGTGAGTTATCGTGATTCTCCGAGTATTCTTCTTGTGATACCCTTTTTGTCTTTTTCCATTGGTATACCAATCTGTCCCGCCTTACTCCTGGTGTTGCAACCTGTAAATCGCTGAGATGGAAGTACCTGAGGCAAGAGTCCTGATTGTGATTACGGGAGGTACGATATGCATGCAACCATCCGAGAATGGTCTTGTGCCGGTACGTGATGTTTAATGAGGTGAACCTGCATAGTTGGATAACTTTTCTTTGTAGGGAAAGGGCTTCTTGAAAAATGGACTTGCGCCTCGACCATCTTTCAATGATGGCTCCTACCCCGAACCACTTGAAATCGTGATTGATGAAAAGGGCACCCGCAAAGCCGTGCAGAGTCTGCGTACTCCCCCGAGCACCTATAGTCGGCAGGTCCGGTACAGTGTTTTGGAGTTCGATCAATTGCTTGACAGCAGCAGCATCGACGCCGAGGGCTGGGATCAAATCGCTAGGACCGTCGAGCGAAATTACCAGCTATACGACGGCTTTGTCGTCTTGCACGGAACCGACTCTCTCGCTTATACCAGCAGCGCCCTAAGTTTCATGCTTCAGAATCTAGGAAAGCCTGTCATTCTTACTGGATCGCAAGCGCCGATGATGCAACTGCAAAACGATGCCCAGGATAATTTGCTGGGTGCTCTTGTCATCGCAGGCCACTTCATGATCCCGGAAGTCTGCTTGTTTTTCAACTTCAAGCTTTTCAGAGGCAATCGCGCGACGAAAGTCTCGGCCGATGATTTTGATGGATTTGCCAGCCCGAATATGCCTCCTCTTGCTACTATCAGCAGCTTGAGAACAAACGTCAGCTGGGATCTTGTGTACAGACCGAGAATTGTCAATCCCTTCTGTGTGCACTCAAGTCTGGACACCGCACATGTGGCCTGTCTGCGCGTCTTTCCTGGTATCAAGCCCGAGATGGTGGACCTGTTTTTGCGTACAGACGGACTCAAGGGTTTGGTGCTTGAAACTTTCGGTGCTGGCAATACTCCTGGAGGACCTGACTCGCCCATGACCAAAGTCCTGGCTGATGCCGTCAAACGTGGCATTGTCATCGTTAACGTAACTCAGTGTCTCAGTGGCAGTGTCAGCCCACTGTACGCGCCAGCTACCTACCTCGGACGTGCGGGCGTTGTATTTGGTCAAGACATGACAACGGAAGCAGCACTGACCAAACTTTCGTACCTGCTCTCGATGCCTGGATCCACTCCCGAGGACGTAGCCAAACAGATGCACAATTCACTCAGAGGCGAACTAACCGAGAGAGGCCGAACTCACTTCCAGCACCCTACAAGCGGCACCTTGACTCCTGAAATATCGAGTCTTACTGCGTTGGGCTATGCTATCCAGGACGGAGATGCCCTGAGCGTTAGGGACGTTGTCAGAGGCGAGAATCGCTGGCTTCTCAATGATGTTGACTACTCCGGGAATACGCCAGTCGTAAGTTGTGCCCCTATGTTCGATAACTCTTCTTAAGGGAGACTTAGCACATACGCATCGTGATACACGTAAAGCAGGCTAACAGGAATCACAGCATCTTGCAGCAACTGGGCCCAACGTTGATGTGCTCAAGGAAATGCTCAATCTTGGAGCTAGTGTTCACTTGCGCAATCGTAACGGTCGTACCCCTCTATTTGTCGCTGCTCACGCTGGTCTCGCCCATCATGTTGAAGCCTTGAGGGAAGCAGGTGCACATCTGCACTCTGACGAGCTGGCCACAGCTAAAATCTTCTCAAAGTCTGACCCCCACTCAGACGTCTGGGCACTTGCCGGTGTTGAAGAGCATTGAGTCTGAGATATGCAGACACACGTCATGAACAGGAAGTTTGCTATCGCCGGCTTCGAGCCGGATCACCAATAGACTCTCTACGAACGCTCATATGCCTCAAATGACCGCTCGAGCTCCGATGTCTCTCCAAAACAATCAAGCGTAAAAATGGGCTCTTAGTCTGTCACGAGTCTCAAGCGGACGCATAATGAACAGGGTCTGCCTCGATGAAACAAAATTTGGATGGCCGGAATGAGATTGCAAAAACCATATTCATCAGTCCGATCATGCTTGAATAGTGATCTGGATAGCTCGCGTCAAGTGGAATTGCGACTCGCAATTGACCACTCTCAATTGATGAGCTAAGATGAATACATTGGATAGAGACCCCATACGGCTCACACCATCGCAAGTCTAAATATAAAAACTGTCACTAATTAACGGACATAACCACACTTTCTTGTTAGGACACTTACTTTATACTATTCTTAGTCAAGAGTACATCCCATCCGCATAAGCGGAATTAGTAGATATTCTTTTACCTGCATATGTCAGGTTAAGGAAAGGCCAATATCAGTCGTCGGACGCTTGTATGCGTGCCGCTTTGTGACAGGCGCAGAACCCCGCTTGTTCGCCAACCTCAGTTCTCGTCACAACTTCACTTCTCGGTGCAATTGATTGTTCGCTCCTTCGCCCAAAACAACTTGACCGCAGTTCAACAACAGCCCATTCTTAAGCTCTGTAGAGACAGCGAGACTGCTCTGTTTCTCGGGCTTTCAAAGACGTGCTTAGTACGCAGGTCGAGAGAAGGAAGGGACAATCGCACTGGGATTAAGCGCCGCCAAACACTGCCAACATCTGCACTTAATCTACAGGCTCATGGCACACGACCCATCCAGCCCCATCTGCAAGATCTCCAAGCCGCATCAAGCTCTCACATCTCGCCAGCGCTTACGGTGAACTCGGCAAGAACAAAGACCAACATGAGAAGTGACACCAACAAGATACGGACAGCAAATTCTCCGGGATACATCCCTAATTTTGCTGTAGTGGGATCAAGAACGTCGCCAGATCTCTGTATGTGCAGACGCCTGACGCGTGGTGCGATGCATGGCGGCGCCTCGCATCCTTTTGCACTCATCCTTCCCGTCTTTGACTTGCATGACACTGCATGTATTTGCGGACCCGCAGAAGATGTGTAAGTTTAGCAGCTTTTTATTCTCCTCATCTCTCGTGTGCACCAACGCGATCTTCGTTGGAAATGCGTGAGCGGTAAGAAGTTGGAGACATATAAGTCGTGTTTGTACTCCCACTCCAATGCCGTTTAATATCATCGGACACACTTCAAAGACCACTCTCGACCGTCTCATTATTATAACCTGGTGGCTGTACAGCATCGATTGGCTTTTGTCTTTTTCGTCCCTGCGTCAAAATCACAACATACTTTGCATAACGTGCTTCATCGACGTCTTTCCGAAGCCTATCAATCTTCTAAAATATCTCCCGTAATGTCTTCAAACATTGCTCGGTTACTCTTGGCCTTCTTCTTGGCCACTGTATCGTTGGCTCTACCTACACCGAGCACTACAAACCAAAATACTGTACCTCTGAACGGACTTCCAGCACCTGATTCGCTATCTCTCAAATACATCACTCTCGGCGTCGGTACCCAAAACTACAGCTGCAGCGCCGCTGGTGCTGTTCCTACAGCCATCGGTGCAGTCGCTGACCTCTATGATGCGAGTCTACTCATATCGCCCTCGAAAGCATCCTTGATCCCATCATTCGCCGCAGTAGCCTATAGCACAAAAACTTGGTTCGATCTCCCTACTTTAGGACATCATTGGTTCAGTGCTGCAGGTGTACCGACTTTTGACCTCGAGGGCCGCGGCTTTCTGAGCGCGAAGAAGGTGGCTAATGTGCCGGCACCAAAGGGCTGCATCAGTTCGAGCGTAGATTGGCTGTACTTGCAGGATGATGGAAGAGGAGTTAGCAAGAATGTTCAGGCAGTATACAGAGTTGAGACTGCTGGTGGTCAGCCACCGGCTACTTGCAGCAAGGCCGGGGTAGTCAAGGTGCCCTATGCTGCCGAGTACTGGTTCTACGGTTGAACGGTTTGCTATGAGTTGGAGTTGGATGATGGTGTTGATAGTCGGGTCCGGAGTTACACATTTTTCTTTCTCTGCACGTTATTCGTCTTTGCTCTTTATGAATACGTAGGCCCCACTGGCCAAAAGGCGAGTTATGATACCCCGAGGGTGGTACAGATCAATCGTTTACATAATCTCATTCTTCGGCAGTCAGCCGCAGCTGCACTTGCCTCTCCTAATCTCATTGCTTCACATCTGTCACCTTTTCCTTACATGTGGAACGAAAACCATCGACTAGCAGAACGGAGAAGGAGCGAACCGATATGCTCCTTTCATAAGCTACGACATGCACTCGTATGTCGAATAGGATGACACAGAATGGGAAAGTCACGAGAGAATCACATAGACACAATTAAAAGGCACATCAAATGGTTCAAGGGGAAGAATAGAAGGAGTGAATTAGGAACCAGTCCTGTATTGATAATATTGATTTTAGATACCAACGCCGTGCAGATCAAGAATGAAATATCAAACGCCAACGCCGTGTAGCAGGATGAAAGCTACAATCCATGGTAAAAACACAAGTGTCGCCGGCGACAGCAAAAACCTAACCACTAGTTGTTCGGTCAGCTCAATTGTTAGATCTGCGTCTAGCACGAGCTTCATGTCTGGACAGTATTGGACCGTTTATCATACCTGGGAAGCTTTCTGAATCACGATGTCTGTTGTAAAAGTAAGCAGGCGTGGTCCAACGCTCAAAAATTTGAGTCTCGGCGACAGGATCAGGCATGAAGCCAACCACTCTAGTCTTCCACATGAACGAAGGTGTCCAATCGTCATGAGAGCAGGACACAGAGAGGAAGGCAGCGTGCTCCTTGTCACTGGTAACGTAGCGCAAGTAGTTTTCACCGCCGGATTGGAGGGATTTCCAAGTGAGAATGTTGAGCTCGTGGTCGACGATTCTGCATCTCGAGGTGCAACCAGGGTACTTGCAAGTAGAGTAGAAGCCTTGAGAGAGGTAGTTGATAGCGTATTTGAGGCGGTAGAAACGTTGACCGTTCTGCTGGAGCCTTTGGGACATCATGTTGAGAGTTTGTTGAATGTCAATATCGAAGTAGGGGCCGAGAATTGGAAGAGGACCACCTGGTCTTGTCAGTTCGCTCGTGAGGTCAATCAGGTGGTTTGCGGGAATGTCAAAACTATGAGGAGGATTGCTGTTGTAGAGAGGTAGAACAGGATCAGCAGGAGGACTGAGTGGACCAGTCGGACTCGAGGTGCTGGACTCTGGAGACTCGCTCATGTCGGTGTCGTCATCGGTATCACCACCAACGCCTTCAGCTAGAGCAACGGCACGAGTGTTGTCGAAAGCGTAATCATAGTCAGGCATGTCGATATCTTGAGGATGAGACATTGCTGCTGTTGTTGCTTGCAGGTAACCAAGTGAAGCCTGTACAATGTCTCGGATGAGTTTTGATTTTAGACAGAAAGGTTAGTCTTGTCAGCTTGTGATGGGACTTACCTACTGCGACTTGGTTGGAGGATGGAGAAAAGACGTTGATCAGGAGGATTAAGTATTGCATAGGCAGAAAATCTCTCCACGCACAGGTGGACACTTGAGACAATGTGTTGTTCAGCTGAAGAAAGGAAAGCAAAGAGAAGACATCGCTGCTCAAAGAAACATCAGCGAAGAACAATGGCCTCCAACTGTCGTTCTGCGTTTTGTCAAACTTTCACAACCTCTTTGTTTCTCGTACAGGGAAATTGTCTCAGTAGAAAGGTCAGCTTCCAGAGTGCGCAACTATGGTCATTGAGAAAGAAAAACAAGGAACAGCACATGAAGCAACTTCACTCCATGATAGTTGCTCAGGTCAATCTCGAATAGGCTTGTTGTGTGTGATGATCGTGAAATTTTGGATTTTCTGTGTCGTCTATGCCTCGTCCTCCTTGGAGTCCTCGCCCTCTTGACCCTTCTCTCTCAGAGCCAACTTCTCGGCCTTCTTCTCTGCAATCTTCAGAGCCTTACGCTCACCCTTTGTGAGCTTGCCGGAAGTGTTTTCTTGCTTTTCCTCGGGCTTCTTCTCGGTGACGGCCTCTTCGATGGAAGCAGTGGCGTTCTTGTTACCCTTGAACTCGAGCTTTCTAGGGGTCATGAATTCGCGCATGATCTCATCGGTGACCTTTGAGCGACGCTCCTGGAAAGCCTCAACGAACTTTTGCAGTTCCTTGATACAGCGCTTCTTGAGCTCACCAGTCGAGAGAGTACCCTTACGGTAACTCTGCTCGATCTCGTTGAGTTCGTCGTCGCTCTCGAGGAAGTATGAAAGGTAGGCATACGAGACATCAACGTCGGGGTTACCGCCGTACTTCTCGTGGTCCTCCTTGGTGATACCGCCGCCAGAGAAGGCAAAGCGATTGATCTTCTTTTCGATTTGCTTGGGAGTGTCGGACATGAAGATGGCAGAGTTGGGGTCGCTAGCAGACATCTTGCCGCCACTGCCTTGCAGAGCAGTCAAGAATTTGGACAGGATGAGGGCAGTCTTGGGAGCAGGGAACTCCATGCGGTCGCAGTTCTCGCGCAAAAGACGGAAGTAAGGCTCCTGATCAATGGCGCAAGGAATCAAGGTAGGAATAGCGGCGATGTGCTTGCGAGGACGAGCCTCGTCGTAATTGGGAGCGCGGAAGTCGCCAGCGCCGAACAGAGTAGGGTAGGAGGAAGCAAAGGCAGCAACGCACTGCTTTGCGGCATAGGCGTTGAGACCAATGTTTGTGCTGCCGTCGAAGCCCATGGCACCTCTGATCTGGTTGTTTGTGAGGAGAGCCTCGAACTCTGTGATGTTCTGGTAGAAGTGGCCGCCCATGTACTCGTAGTCGGTGTAGATGAAGGTCTTCTTTAGATCAAAGCCGAGAGCGATGATGTCCTTGCAGTTTTGCTTTGCGTACTCGATGAAGTCGCCGAGGGCAGCGCCCTTTGTGATCTTGCCCTGGTTCTTGTTGCGTGTGTAGAGGAACTTCTCGTCGTCGGTCAACATGACCACCAGAGGGACGTCGAAGATGTCCTGGAGCTCCTTGGTGAAGAGGAAGGGCACGGCGTGGCCCAGGTGCATGGAGCCACTGCTGGGGCCACGGCCGGTGTAGAGCAGGAAGAAGCCGTATTTCTCATAGTAGTCGAGGATCTTGTCGAAGTCGCGGTGGCTGAAGAAGAGCTTGCGGCGCATCAGACGGTGTGGCGGCTTTCCCGTCACACGCTCGAAGCGGTCCAGATGCTCCTGCGTCAGCGCCGGAGTGTTGAAGCGCTCGCGAAGCGCCTCGTAGTCGATGGCAGTCACGTTGCCATTCTCGTCGACTCCTCCGCTGACATTGTAGGGGTCGATCTGTTGTTCCTTTGCTGCTTGTTTGACTTGCTCGACGGCAGGAGGCGCTCCTGCGGCCGGCGATGCATCCGTGGAAGCCATTTTGAATGTTTCGAGAGCGAGTGACTCTTGCGACCGACTTTCTTGCTCTGTCAATAACGGCTATACCCCGCGGCTGGTCTGTGCGCTTTGTCTTCCTCTTGTGTTGATCCGCCTGTCAATCCTCCGCAAGTCTATATCCATGATCCATCCCATGCTCCTCCTACTCATACCGTCCGTCTTGGATGCGCAAGGCTTCACATCTCTGCTACTTCGTCTTGACCATACTGCTGTCCTCGATCATAGTCTATGGCAGCACCACCAATGGCAACTCCGGCAATGCACAAGAGCAGTTCTATTTGTCGTACATCGATGCTCTGTTCCTCTGTTCTAGCGCCATGACCAACAGTGGTCTCAGCGTGGCTAATCTGAGTGCTATCACAGGTTTCCAACAGGCCGTGCCCTACGACACCTACTCATTTAGTGGAACGTGGCACACTTTGAGTAAGTTGATTCTCATATGCGTTATGATCTGTGGACGACACCGCGGTCTACCTTACGCTGTAGACAGGGCAGTGCTGTTGCCAGGTGAAGAATTAATGGAAAAGATGGATACAGAGGTTGATGGACGAGGCAGAGACAAGAACGGTGTCCATTGACATGAGGATGGACAGATGGGTCACAGAGAGGACAACCGGTCACAGACTGGGAGCGAGGAGCAATGCGCTGATGTGCATGAGGTCAAAGGCACTGAAGAAGGTTCTCCATGAGGGTCCTGAGAAATTCCAGCTATGGTCGTGCAAACATATGATGCTCACTATCAGACCAATTTGCAAGTGCAAGCACCTCCGGAGTTCATGTAGAGCGGCAATATTTCGTGTTTTGCATCGAAGCGACTCTCATCATGCTTGCTTTGGAAAGACTTGGACTACATTGACAGCGACAAAGAACAAAAACCAACATGTGAAGGTGGACTGAGGAGGCAAAGATCTGCCCGAATCAGCGAATGTCACGCGTGGGGAAGGGCTGGGCCAGGGTCGGGGAGAAGTTTGGGCCGCGCCGACTGGCTGAGGACCTCAAAAAATGGCTCCGTCATCCCGCGTGGTCAGCAGCGCCGACTTGAGGGGAGCAGCCTTGCCGTTCTACTTTCTGTTCTGTACTCTGTAGCATCCCACCTGCTCCAATTGATCTCCTTCTCTTCGACACTATTCATCTCTTCACAGCACTCTTTCAATCCCTTCCAACCATCACTCATAGCATGCAACAAGATGGTCAAATTCTACTCAACTTCGTATAGCTACGACTACTCTTTTCCCGCCGTGTCGCTGGCCTATTTTCTGCGCTATCCAAACCCTTATAGCACTCACGTGCTCTCGACCGATGTCATCTCGCGCGAATACGACCCCGACACTCAACGCCTGACGACTGTCCGACTTCATCTGAAGAAGAGCAAACTCCCTGCGGCCATCCTCAAACTCCTGCCACGAAGCATTATGGGCGGCGCTGAAAACGGCGACAGTCAAGCTTATATCCTGGAGACGACCGTCGTCGACGCCAAAGAAGGGTGGATGGAGGCCGAGAGTCGCAACCTCGAATGGACTGGTGTCTTGAGTGTCATTGAGAAGCAGGTCTTCCAACGCAAGGCGCTCGATTCACAACCAAAACTTGCTGCACCCGTCGATTTATACGGTCAACAATCATCTCAGAGAACAGATGTCACAACAACTGTCACGCTGCAATCACGCATTGGCGAGAATATTCGTCGTAGGAAAGCACAAAGACAGGCTGAGGCTGAAGCCGTCGAAGAGGAGGCTCCCCCGGCGAGGATGGGATTCTTCAAGTCGTGGGCAGCTAGTCCCATGCAGCGATCTATTGAAGTCATTGGCCTTCGTCGTGCCGAAAAGTCACAACCCAAAGCAAAGGAGGGAATGAAGGTGGTGCTCGAGCGGCTGCGACAGGGTGGACTCGTCGCAGTACTCGAGGGTATGCGTCAGGATCGGGAGCTTATGTTCGTTGGCGGACAGGTCTAAGTGTTCTTCGACCACATGAATTGATGACTGGTCTTCAGCCATCGATTCTGAGCACGAAAGCAAAGAAGGTGGACAAATTGTATCAAGATTTTCTGGGATTGCAACAGGTTTTAGCGCGGCGTTTCGGGTATATTCTCAATACACACAAGATTGGCGCAGAGCAAATCATAGAGGTATCAATATGATGTCTTCTGGCTCGCCAAAAGAAGACTTGGGCATGATATTGGGTGGGATTATTTAAATGTATTACTAGCATTCACGTCTTGACGAGCCAACTCATCTCTCTTTCTCCTAACATTTCGACTCTGCCTCTTCTGTGATTACTATCGTGACTTCCTTGAATGGTGGAACGACCTGACTGTGATGATTAAAAGTTGTTGTTTTCGAAGAAAGGTGCGGTTGTTGGTGTTGGATCAGATAAATCAAGCAGGCGGTGGTCTGTGCGTAAAAGCATTTATGGGGAGTCGCGGTTTAGAGTCGCGTCCAAAGATGATGCTCTTTCGCTTCTTGGCTGCTCTTCTTCCCTCGCATCTCGCATTGCCTTTTTGTTCCCCGTCCTCCCTGCTCAACCACCCACCGCCATCGTAATCTCGGCACTCGCGCTGCTGAGCATCTCATCAACCACCACTCAGTCCATTGCAGAAACCACATTTGGCGCGCATATCCTCGCTTCCTCCTGGACCACCTTTTTAATCCGTCCTCCGCCGCAAGGCGACCATACCCACCCACTCTCATCATGAACGGCAACGGAGATGGCGATCACACCATGCGTGTATGTACCACTTTTTACCACCCTATTCCCCCAGCTCCATCATAAGCTTCAAATCATGGCTCCTTCTCCCTTTACCACATGGGACCTCCCCACTTTCCAAGGACCAACGCCCATGACACGCAAGACAACATGTGCTGACAATGAAAATACAGGATGTGATTGATACGCCTGACTACACCGTAAGCCACAAACGCGCCGCGTTCGCGTATCAACGCGCACATATATTAATAAGCCATTAGGACTCAGACGCCGGTATGACCACCACAGAAAGCAGCATCGCAGGTGACCTGGACGGCAGAAAGAAGAGATGGGAAGGCCATGAGCTGAGAAAAAGCGTTCTGGGCAAGAAGCACGACAAGCTGGGAGAATCAAAGGTAAACAACACGGCTCCGTCACCCCTCTGTGAGCTTGATTGCTTACAACCACTCGCAGGAAGACGACTCTATCCGCCGATTCCGGTACCTTCTCGGCCTGACTGACCTGTTCCGTCATTTCATCGACACCAACCCGAACCCCCGCATCAAGGAGATTATGGCCGAGATCGACCGCCAAGACGAAGAGGAAAAGGCAAGAGCTGGCAAAGCCCAATCGCGCAAGGGAGGTGCAGGCGGTGATAGAAGGAGAAGAACAGAAAAGGAAGAAGACGCAGAGTTGCTCCGCACCGGCAAGCACGAGAGTGATGAGTCGCGCACAATCTTCCGCGAGTCCCCATCATACGTCCAGGGTCAAATGCGCGACTACCAAGTCGCTGGTCTGAACTGGCTCGTCTCGCTGCATGAGAATGGTATCTCTGGTATTCTGGCAGACGAGATGGGTTTGGGCAAGACTCTCCAGACAATCTCCTTCATCGGTTACCTACGCCTTGTTTGCAACATTTCTGGTCCTCACTTGGTCGCTGTACCCAAGTCCACCCTGGACAACTGGAAGCGTGAGTTTGCCAGATGGATCCCGGAGATCGACGTTCTGGTCCTTCAGGGTACCAAGGAAGAGCGCGCCACAATCATCAACGAGCGCCTTCTTGAAGAGAAGTTCGATGTTCTTATTACGAGCTACGAAATGATTCTTCGCGAAAAGACGCACTTGAAGAAGTTTGCTTGGGAGTACATCATCATCGACGAGGCCCACCGTATCAAGAACGAGGAGTCGTCCCTTGCTCAGATCATCCGCATGTTCAACTCGCGCAACCGTCTCCTCATTACCGGAACTCCTCTACAAAACAACTTGCACGAACTTTGGGCTCTACTCAACTTCCTTCTCCCTGATGTCTTTGGTGATTCCGAGGCTTTCGATCAATGGTTCTCGGGACAGGACTCTGACCAGGAAACTGTTGTCCAACAGTTGCACAGAGTTCTGCGCCCTTTCTTACTGCGCAGAGTCAAGAGCGACGTTGAGAAGAGTTTGTTGCCGAAGAAGGAAGTCAATTTGTACATTGGCATGTCCGAGATGCAAGTCAACTGGTACAAGCGCATCTTGGAGAAGGATATCGACGCAGTCAACGGTGCCGGCGGCAAGAAGGAATCCAAGACGCGTCTGCTCAACATCGTCATGCAACTGCGCAAGTGCTGTAACCACCCTTATCTGTTTGATGGCGCCGAGCCCGGCCCGCCATACACCACCGATGAGCATCTTATCTTCAACTCAGCCAAAATGTTGATGCTCGACAAACTTCTCAAGCGCATGAAGGCACAAGGAAGCCGAGTTCTGATTTTCTCGCAGATGAGCAGACTCCTTGATATTCTTGAGGACTACTCAGTCTTCCGTGGGTACAAGTACTGTCGTATCGATGGCTCGACAGCTCACGAAGACCGTATTGCGGCTATCGATGACTACAACAAGCCTGATTCTGAGAAGTTCCTTTTCCTTCTGACCACTCGCGCTGGTGGTCTCGGCATCAACTTGACAACCGCCGACATCGTCGTCATCTTTGACAGTGATTGGAATCCTCAAGCCGATTTGCAGGCCATGGACCGTGCTCATCGTATTGGTCAGACCAAGCAGGTTGTCGTTTTCCGTTTCGTTACTGAGAACGCTATTGAGGAGAAGGTGCTCGAGAGAGCCGCTCAAAAGCTTCGCCTGGATCAGCTTGTTATTCAACAAGGACGTGCTCAACAAGAAGCAAAAAAGGCCGCTTCAAAGGACGAGCTCCTGAACATGATCCAGCATGGTGCTGAGAAGGTGTTCGAAGCCAACGCCGACGGCGCCTTCTCGAAGAACGGTGAAATTACTGAAGACGACATTGACGCAATCCTGAGAAAGGGTGAAGAGCGTACCGCTGAGCTCAACTCCAAGTACGAGAAGCTCGGTCTGGACGACCTCCAAAAGTTCACTTCAGAGTCGGCCTACGAATGGAACGGTGAGAACTTCGAGAACAAGAAGAAGGTTGAGATCGGCATCAATTGGATCAATCCCTCAAAGCGTGAGCGCAAAGACCCAGCTTCCTACTCGATGGATAAGTACTATCGAAACGCCCTTATGACAGGCGGCAGAACCGTCGACACCAAGCCCAAGGTTCCTCGCGCACCCAAGCAACAGGCCATGCACGACTATCAATTCTTCAACCCACGTCTTGCGGACTTGCAGGATAAGGAAACTGCATGGTTCCGCAAGGAGAACAACATCAAGGCACCTCTTGCCGAAGGTGATGACGAGGACAAGGAGCAGCGTGAGCAAGATCAATCTCTGGAGCAACAGGCTATCGACGATGCTGAGCCTCTGACTGAGGAGGAGCAACGTGAGAAGGACAAGCTTGCCGCAGAAGGCTTTGGCGACTGGAACAAGCGTGACTTCCAACAATTCATCAACGGTAGCGCAAAGTACGGCCGCACAAACTACGAAGACATTGCTTTGGAAGTCGACAGCAAGGAGCCTGACGAGATCAAGACTTATGCCAAGATCTTCTGGAAGCGTTACAAGGAGATCGCCAACTGGGAGAAGCACATTGACTCCATCAACGAGGGTGAAGAGCGCCGTGCAAAGGTCGTACAGCATGGCAAACTTCTCCGACAGAAGATGGGCTTGTACAGGGTACCGCTCCAGCAACTTAAGATCAATTACACTGTCAGCACTACCAACAAGAAGGTATACACAGAGGAGGAAGACCGCTTCCTTCTGGTCATGCTTGATCGCTTCGGTCTCGAGAGCGAGAACTTGTACGAGAAGATCCGTGACGAGATTCGCGAATCGCCACTCTTCAGATTCGACTGGTTCTTCCTGAGCAGAACACCACAGGAAATCGGTCGTCGCTGCAACACCCTCATCACCACTGTTGCCAAGGAGATGGCCGAGGCGAATGGCGAGAAACTGAACGGTAACAAGGGCAAGAGAGCTGCAGACGAGGAATCGAGCGAGGAGGAGGAAGTCAAGCCTACCACCAAGAAGGCTAAGGGCAACGTCAAGGTAAGCAATGCGTCACTTGTCAGGACCGACCGATACTAACATCATGATAGAACAAGCAACTCGACACTGTCAAGGGGGGCAGCAAGGCAGCATCAAGCACACCATCGCGTGCAGGCAGTGTAGCATCAACCGGCTCGAACGGAACCACCAAGGCCGGCGCTGCCGTGGTGACCAAGAGCGGCAGAGCATCGCGCAAGAAGTAGGATTGTTCACTTCATCATCTCTTTGGTTAATGGGCATTCTAAAGGAAAGCGGAGTAAGCTGGGAGGCGTTTACATGTTGATGCGAAGGGCTTGCTTTTCTGAATGATTCTCTTTGATGACTTGCTACGCAAGAGCTTTATCCTTTTACAGAAAGAAAGAACGGGCAGACACAAGTACGCTATAAAAGGAATTAGCAGGCAAAAAAGTTTGCCATTATTGACATTGTTGCCTTGTGCTGTGCACTTGTTCGAACTTGCTCGTTCGTGAGAGCTTGGTGATGTGAGACTCGTCAAGAAAAATGATGAAAGTCGTATTACAGTCGTCTCTCAACGCGACGGCACCATCATAGCTCGACAGAAGACTATGAGAACTTCTAGGCAACCACGTCTACGTTCATCTCCCAGTCATACTTGCCGTCCACAAATAAGTTTCATGATCCTACAATCCGCCGACCGGTTCATATCCACGGCAGCAAAAACCCCTACCCCACCTTCCCGAGGGATGCCGGCCACGCATGCCGCAAGCCTTCGGCCGCTGTCTTCGGCCGAGCGAATCGGTCCATCCGCCAATCGGAGTGCAGAACGTGCCGCCGGTGCCGCTGTCGGTGCTCTTATCAGATCCGAGTCGTGCTGCCGGGGTAGGACCAGGGAGAGGGTATATTAATCTGATAATCCTGCTGCTGTTGAGGGCGATTTGCTGTTCCTATTTGCTCCCTTTACATTTCTGGGTATTGTGTATCTTTGTGATTGTGATTCATATTCGAAGTCATTCCAGTCGATATATCCAGAGACCATGTCTATTCTACCTAATATTGCAGTAATTGGTGGTAGTTATGTTGGTATGCCTTACTCCTTTCCATCCTTCCCTCACACCTCTATCTTCCATACTAACAAACGACTAGGTGTAAATACAGCACAACAACTAGCTCAAAAGTTCCACGGCCGCTTTCAAGTCCTGCTAATTGAGAAAAACTCACATTTCCAACACTTGTTTGCATTCCCTCGTTTTGCGGTCACCAGTAAAGTGGATACCCATAAAGCTTTTATCCCGTTTACACCTGGCACTTTTGCCGCTTGTCCTGTTGGTTCGGGAGTTGTGGTTAGAGCTGGAGTTACGAGGATTGATAAGACGGAGATTCAGCTTGATCGTAGTGTCAAGTTGAATGAGAGGAGTGTGGATAGGATTCCTTATCAGTATCTTGTGAGTGGAAGCTGTTTGGTTTAATTTGGGATACAACTGATTTGGTGGCTAGATTATTGCGACGGGCACGAAATTGACACCTCCGTCGACGCTGCCATCGTCGGACAAGGCTGATGGAGTCACTTACCTGCGAGAGCATGCGGACAAGGTTCAGAAGAGCTCCAATATCGCCATCATCGGTGGAGGTGCTGTAGGAGTGCAAATGGCCACTGACATCAAAGAGATCTATCCCGAGAAATCGGTGACTCTGATCCACTCCAGAGATCAGATCATGAACAAATTTCATCCTCAACTGGACAGTATCATCAAGGATAGATGTGCAGAGCTCGGTATCAAGCTCAAGCTTGGATCGAGGGTCAAGTTACCTGCAAAGGGATACCCAACAGATGGCTCGACATTCAATATCGAATTACAAGACGGCTCGGCGGTATCCACTGACTTTGCTGTAAGTGTCGTAGTCCATGAGAGAGATTCATTCGCTGACACATTGCTCTGCAGGTCATCGCAACAGGTCAAACACCACAATCAGAACTCATCAAGACTCTCTCGCCAGAGTCCATTGACGATGCTGGTTTCGTACGTGTGCAAAGAACACTTCAGATCAACGACACCAAGTTCCCCAACATATTCGCTGTAGGAGATGTTGCCGATACTGGAGCTCACAAAGCTGCTCGTCCGGCGCTCAGACAAGCTCCTGTAGTCGTGGAGAACATCGAGCACTTGACAAGGGGTGAGCCTTTGGAGCAATATGAAGTCGCAGAAGGTCCTTCGATTCATTTGAGCTTGGGCATTGTAAGTCATCCGATCTTTGAAAGCTTTATCATCGAGTATTAATTTGTTGAAGACGAAGAACATCAAGTTCATCAACTCGCCAGGTGGCGCTTCAGAGCCAAAGGTCATCTGGGCTGATGATGGGTGAGTTTGTGGTTCGTCGATGATTTCACCGTGCATTCGCTGACAGAGTGAAATACAGAAAGTACGATATGGGCATCGAAGGCGTCTGGCAACGTAGAGGAGGCGGTCCTAACTCCCTCCTCTAATATGCTTATAGCTAAACGTTCTAATGTCTCGGTCGGATCATTGTCTTCTCTGCACACCAGCTCTATCTCAATGGAGACCAAGCAGTGTGAAGCTGCATACCAGTGTAGTCCGGACTAGGCATATTCAGACCCGTTCGACTTCCTACGAGTACTGAGTTACATGCCTCTCCCGGCTTGTTGATTCGATGACGAAGGACAGGGATCCGTGTCTCAGAAGCCGTCACCGAAGCAGGTGTCGAGAAGTACTTAGAACCAACCTGGTCTTCGATGTCGCGAGAGAAAGTTGATACCAGACCAGATTGCTGAGAATGTACAGTTGCAGAAGTCCATGGTCGTCTGTGTTGTACGTACGGCAACATGGTATCGCCTGTATGGTTGAGTAGAGCTGAGTTGTCTCGAGGACCTGTACATTGATGGTTTGCGAGATAGGACCGACAAAGAACCAGTGATCCTACTCTGATGGCATTTCCTGATGGCTCGTTCTGTAGACCGACCAGTGCTTTACTCTCAACTAAGCGCCTTTATCGGGCGCAAGATCGAAGATATCCATAAACAACTTCTTCCAATCGACAAATCTCAAAAATGGATCCTCGAAAGCTCGACGCTCTCAGCGAGTGACGATGTTGAGGAAAATCATCAAAAGATCCACCGGTGTCAGGTCCACTCATGTAGTTTTTCCAAGGGCCCAAATGTTGATTGTGACTTCATCGAAGATCGTGAGGGTCCCTTTCCATCAACAGAAAGTGTCTTGGCACTTCCAAACGTCATCATACCCACCCCTCATGATGCAATCATCGATCGATTGCAGCAGTAGAAATACTTCTTCAAAGTCGTGTAAGAGCTGATTTTCTTTCTTCATCATACTCAATCTTCTCCCTCCAATTCACCTTCCAAATCCCTCAAACACCCCTTCCAACCACAAATCAATCAAAATGTCTGCCGACTACCAAGGACAAGATCCCATCAAGCTCGCCACTCAGGCTGAGCAGGACCTCAACTCTCACACTGCTAAGCACGGTCATGATGCCAACCTCTCTTCCAAGCATGGTCACGGTGCCAGCGACAGCAGTAAGTTTCGCAGAAGCCAGTCTTGAAGGCTGCAGTTGGACAATCAACACATACTAACATGATCGCATAGCCACCGAGTCTGGTGTTGACGAGAGCGTTCGCAACAAGTTCCCTGGTGCCGATGTCACCTACGGCAGCGCCGCCTCCGGTGCTGGCAACAACAGAGACATTCCCTTGAGCGAGGGTGGTGACATCAACCCCTCCACCGGCAAGCTTTACAAGGCTGGTGACTTCGAGGGTGCTGGCGGCCCTGAGACCAAGGCCGACATCCATCGCGAGAACGCTGGTGGCAACGACGAGGTCCGCTCCAACATCCGCAACTAAGCTTATAGTTGGTGGAAGCATGCAACAACCAACCAGCCAAAGCTTCGAGCCCTTTGACAGGGACAAGCTATGAAACGCAGGGAGATGATGATACCATCTGAGAGATCAGGAAATTTCAGCGCTGCGACGTCGAGCTAGCAAGAGCAGCTCCGTCGACTATGCAGTCATGTAAAATTAGCTACGAGACATGAAATGATTATAATTCATACCTTCGACTTAGATGATCGTTCAAGCGGTCATGATGTGAAGTTAAAGCAGAGCCTCACAGAGCCGCCATGTTGCAGAGCCTCAGCCTGAAAAACAACTTGGTGGGGCAGGATTTTGTCGGGTTGCTCCCATTCGTTGCGACGGTGCAAGATGGCGAGCAGGAGAGCTGCAAAATCGATCCTACTTCCCAGTCATGTCAATCGGAATTGCTTCAAGAAGTTCGTCTCGCATGACAGGTATGGCCACTGAGAAGCAATGTGTTTTGCTGCAGTCACATGCGACTGGAGGAAGAGCTCAAAGGGGGGATTAGCGGGGGCATGCGACGAAGGCGGCGGCTTCCGCTTTGAGGCTCAAAACGCCTTGAGTGAACAAAGTGACTGTCGCAAAGATAACCACCCCACTCTATCATAGAGCACTTCTTCATCACTCGTAGGTCCATCTGACTGTCTGAAATCCTCTGCGCCAGCCCACAAGTAGACTCCTTGCTCATCTCACGCACATCGCGCCAAATCGTCCAAGCAGACACAATGTCAGCTCCACCTCGTCCCTTCATCACATGCCACGTCCTCGAGACCGTCTCAGGCCGTCCGGCTCCCGACATGCGCGTCACCCTCTCGCTCCTCTCGCCCAAGAGCTCCACTATCACCTCTCCCACCGTCTTCACCGCATCCACAAACTCCGACGGCCGTGTGACTGCATGGCAATCCACTCAAGAAGGAGGCACCGTCACCACATCCGAGCTCGATCACCTGGTCAATTCGCTGAAGTCTGATCTCAAGGGCGATGGCCAAATGAACTGGAGCTTGGTCTTCGCGACGGAAGAGTTCTATGGAAAGGGAAAGACTTTCTGGCCAGAGGTCGAGCTCAAGTTCTGCACGAGCAAGGATGAGAGACACTATCACGTTCCGCTACTGTTGGGCCCCTGGAGCTACACCACCTATCGTGGATCATAGTCATCGAGACGATCAGCGCCCTGGAAAACCATAACACAAGAGCGTGATAGGACCTGTCTTCGCGCATTACACATGAGATAATGAAGGATGTTAGACAGAGGCGACTGCATTTCCAGGCAGTTGCGTAACAGAAGTTACGCAGGAAAGATCCGGAGGGCATAGGAGGATCCGGGTCAAGTGTGGCATGGTCGCGAGGTAGAGACAGCATGTCAGCAATGTACATACCGCTTTCCTTGGGCAAGCTTGCTAAGCACGTTACAAGACGTCGAGCTACTGTAGGGCTCCGGAAGTTCTCTGGTATAGCTCCAGCTTCATAGGACTTCAGTATGATCGATTTTAAAGCAGCACTAAGATCTACCAGTGCTTTTGTTTTACCTTCGAGGCATGTCGTTGAACATGTGACCCTGGTCTTGCAATGACCTTCTGATCGTGGTTGCAATTCTACGTCAAATGTATTTTTCGTCACGTCATGCTTTGGATGAGATATCGGGGTATCTTTCAGCCCGACTACAAACGTCGTGTCAATAATGTAGCAGGGAGGTGGTGGGGTGTAGAGAGGCCATCATTTTCGCGCGTGAACCACATTGAGATGTTTACAAAACTTGCGACACGAATCACGGTTCCTAAGTAATATAATCATACTATACGCCGAGAAACTACCTCTATACCTCCCGTTTTAGATATGCCACGTGTGTTTTGGAAATTCATCAGGTCAAAGGCACCAATGGTATGTCATTCAATCAGATGTCGAGTCCTGACCGCAAACCATAGGGCTGAATTGTCCAGACCCGGGAGCGGGCCGCATCTCCACCGCAGCCTCGACCGAGCACCAACCACGTTCTCTTGCATCCACGCTCCTCTTCGACGTCGAGCTCCAGATGCACCATTGAGACGAACCAGTAGGGGCAGCGATACGGTTTGCGACAGCTCTTCCTTCGTGGTGACTTGACATATCGCCAGGTGCATGCCTCTGCCTCAAGGCGAGTCAGATGCCGACCTGATGCCCTATAGATATCTGCAACCGGTCGATGTGTCTCAGCAGGGTTGCGCATTCCCAGGTCTCCACACTTCTAGGTATGCCCATGTAGGTGTGGCTGTTGCGACGATGTCTCTTTGTTAGGTCAAGGGACCACTTAATCCCCTAATCATTCATTAGAACTTGCCAACGGCGTCGTTTCTGCCAACGGGCTGCAATGTTTGCGGTTTGTTCTCGAGATCTCGACGCGCGTGCGACGGCAGCTTCTTTGTTCTTCCAGTCGTAGTTGCCTAACTATCGAGTTTTCGCTCCTGCTTCTTTTCTTTCGTGATACTGTTTTTTGGCGTCAGATCTGCATCGCGGGTGTCCGTTCGACCATACACAACGTTTACCCAACCACACTCGTTTTCTGGTTGGCCTAGACGGCAGCCATTCGTTTTGAAATCTTTTGCATTGCCAGCACGACTTGAATGTAGCATCGCACAGAGAAAGTTTCGTTATAAAGAATCGACCTACCCACGTTGCAACGTAACATCAGCTGTATGAGGCGAACCTTCAACAACATCAACATCCAACCGGCTCGGCTCACCATCTCATACTAGCAAAACAGCCTCATCTACGTATCACACTCATTGACACAGCCATGAAGCTTGCCGTCTTCTTCACGCTCTTCACCTTCGGCGTTTCGGTGCTCGCAGCATCTGCCGCTGACTGGCGCTCAAAGTCTATTTACCAAGTCCTGACCGATCGGTTAGTATTCTGCCATCTGCAGACAGTTAAGAGTTAGACTTACATTACTTAACAGGTTCGCACGTTCCGATGGAAGCACCACCGCCAAGTGCGATCCAGTGGGCAAATACTGCGGAGGCTCCTATCAGGGTATTATCAAAGAACTCGACTACATCCAGAACATGGGATTCACTGCCGTAAGTTCATCAGAATCTGCCATGAAGCCGCTGAACTGTCAATGCTGAAGTGTAGAGCAGATCTGGATCTCCCCCATCACATTCCAGCTACAGACTTGGACACCTTACGGCGAACCATGGCATGGATACTGGCAACAAGATCTATTCAAGCTTAACAGCGCGTTCGGTACTGCAGAAGATCTCAGAGATCTGGCAACCGCTCTGCACAACAGAGGCATGTACCTCATGGTTGACATCGTTGTGAACCACAATGGATGGAATGGAAATGCGAGTTCCGTCGACTACAGCGTGTTCCAGCCCTTCGACAATGCCGAATACTACCACAACTACTGTACTGTCGACTACGACAACAACACCAGTATTCGAGATTGTTGGTTAGGCGACTCAAATGTAGAGCTGGTCGATCTTCGAACCGAAGACACTGTTGTCGCACAAGAGTATCAGACGTGGATCCATCAATTGGTTGCCAACTACTCTAGTAAGTTAGCAAACAGCGCCCTGGAAGCATTCGCTTACGAAACATCAGTCGATGGCCTTCGCATCGATACAGTCAAGCATGTCGACACCGATTTCTGGTCCGGATTTGGTGAGGCCGCTGGCGTCTTCATCACCGGAGAGATCACCAATGGCGATCCGTATGGTCTTTGTCCCTACCAGAACTACATGGATAGTGTTTTGAACTACGCCATGTAAGCTATACCAGAACGAGTGGAGGTCACATCAGCTCACATCTCCATCAGGTACTATGCAGCCACAGCCGCTTTCTCGTCGACTTCTGGAAGCATGTCGAGCTTCGTGAGCCAACTCAAAGGCATGAAGAGCCAGTGCAAAGACACCACTGTGCTCGGGTCGTTCTCAGAGAATCACGACCAACCTCGTTTCGCCTCGCTAACCGACGACATATCGCTTGCCAAAAGCATCATTACCTACACCATCATGTCCGACGGCATTCCCATCATGTATGAAGGCCAGGAACAGCACTACAGCGGCGCCTCGGATCCGTACAATCGTGAGGCTGTCTGGCTGAGTGGCTACAACACAGGAGCGCCCCTCTACACTCACACTGCAAGCACAAACCAGATTCGCAGCCATGCTCTCTACGTTGATGCAGATTGGCTCACCTATAAGAATTGGGTCATCTACAGCAACAGCAACAACGTCGCTATGCGCAAAGGATACGATGGCTATCAGACCATCACCGTTCTAACCAACAATGGTGCTGGCAGTGAGGACTATACCCTCAGCGTCACGAACACTGGGTACACAAACGGCATGACTGTCGTCGACGTTTTGTCCTGTGAAGTATTGTCCGCAGGAACGGACGGTACTCTCGCTGTGCCAATGTCACAGGGTCTTCCAAAGATCTATTATCCCGTCGAGCTCTTGGACTGTAGCGGCATCTGCGGATACTAATCCTCTCGTCCGAGAACTTGATGCTTAAACCAGGACAAGCTTGGCTACGTAGTTGATGCAAGGGCCAGGATCAGCCTTACGACATCATACCCAATTTTTCTTCATCGCGCTTCTTTGCTTCATGCTCACACCAAACGATTGAATTGGTAATAGACATATATAGAGATCATACATGTAATCATAATCAGGTTTTCCGACCCGAGTTTGAATCATGCAAATCGTCACAAACGGGCTATATGATATCGATGCAAGACCTTGGTTGGTCCTCACATGCTTGGAAAATTATCTTTTCTCCCATTTTGCTTGGAGAGCGTCACTATCGGGTTTGCGGCAGGCATTTTTTGACAGCGTCATATTGGCAGGGTTCTCAGGGTCCGCGGGTGACAGCGTCATCCCGAATCGAAACCGTTGCGGGAGCTTGTCTTGAGTTTGAGCATTCGAAGCACATTTCAGTGAGATGTTTCGATCAAATCGCACTCGAAACTCGAGATGAAGCACAGTATTATACTTGGAGAAGTGGTGAGGGCGATGCGAAGATCTTGAGAGGTGTATCGCGCATCTGAGAAACTCGAGGCACAGAGTGGCCTCGTGAACGGCAGCCCGGGCGATCCGGATGATCGCTCCATTGGCGGCCGCTCCAAGCTGCATCTGGAAGGATGGCGGACGTCATAGCAGCCAAAAACCGTAGGATCATCGTTGAATAGGTGGTTAAGTGTGTGCGACATGCCGTTGAAGGCGTCAATTGAGTGGTCGAGAAAGAGGACTATTCGCGCGCGATGAAATCAAAATGGAACGATTCCAAGCATGCGTCACAAGCAATGACGTTGTCGTTCGCACCTGCGCTGATGCAGGGCGGCTCTGTTGGCTGCCCGGCGAGGATATTAACCTCGACATCCTGCCACCGGTGTTCTTGATCATCTCATCTACACCCAGCGACTCCAGGCATCCTATCCCAGCCACCGACTCCTCCGTCCACCCATCATCTACTCCACACCTAGCCGACTAGTTTATCTCAGCCCTATCCACAATGGTTGCCAAAATCATTAACCTGGCCATGCGCGGCCTCCAGGTAAGCCCACGAACCACGTGGATAGTATAGATTGGCAGCAGCTTACACTCAAGGCAGTTCTTCTGGGCTCTCCTCATTATGGCGCTCATCGGAAACATGATCGCAACTTCGTACGCTGGCAACCCTTCGATTGTCAACTACTCGATGTTTGTTTCGGTCTTCAGCATGCTGTCGCTCTTTTACCTCATCCCCGCCAGCATCAAGGAGTCGTTCATGATCCACCCTCTTCTCGTCGTTGGTCTTGATGTTCTGAACGCCATCTTCTACTTCTGTGGTGCCGTCGCCATGTCGGCCTACCTTGGTGTCCACAGCTGCGGTAACAGCGTAAGTTTTCCTTCTATGTATCCTACTTTCGACATTTAGTAACCTTCGATTAGTCATACACCCACAGCAACTCGATCACCAATGGCTCCCCCAACACCTCCAAGCGCTGCCACGAGGCCCAGGCCTCGACTGCCTTCCTCTGGTTCGGCTTTGCTGCCTTTGTTGTCTCTGCCGTCTTCGCTGGTCTCCAGGGCCGTAACTCTGGCGTTAACATGCGCGGTGGTGCCGGTGGCATCAGAAAGGGACCTGCCATGAGCCAGGTCTAAGCGATCTCTCGCAGAAAGTTCTTTTCTCGAAACGAACCACCGACTCCCGCGAGTGCTGCAGATCATGCTTAAAGCACGACCGAGAGCGGACGCATCACCAGAATCGGATTCACTGTACAATCACATTCGATGCAGGCAGTGGTCCGTCGACGTTATTCTTTCGTATTCCTGTACTATATTATCACGACTTGCATGAGACAAGAGGCGGTGGGAAGGCGTTAATGTTCTGGTCATGATTTCGCGCTGGTTAATGGACGATAGCGCACTAATGTGTATTGCGACTCTTACAACTATGGACCAGATTTACCTAGTAATCAATATTCCTAAATCATTTATACCATGCTCTCTGTTCAAATGTATTCCCTCGTGCCTGACCATGTCCTCAGTACTCGAGTAAAATGATTGAGTGTTCTCACTGCGTGGCTGGTCAGAATGACTGCGCAAGGACAAAACTAGAACACGTACTGCATTTGATGCTCCCCGCTGAGCCGTCTGAGCCATTTCTTGCTGCTGGCGAGCCAGAAGCTGGTCTAACGGAGCACTCCTGCCAGGAACAGCACGTTTGGCAGGCAGGTTATGTGACTGGCAGGTGAGAGCCGAAGCACATGGGATACCGTTGAACAGAGGCACACCGCACTGCTGATCGATGTTGACGTGTTGACGAGTAGCAGATGTGGCGGACGAGTCATTGTCCAAAACTTGTTTGATGGATGAGGTAGTAGTATCGTCGGCAGCGAAACGAGGGTCCTGCACTGCAGGCTGCGTGTTGAATTCCATGTCTAATTTTGATTGTCTAGAAGGTTTAACAGAAAGGCAGGAGGAGCGAGAGGCGTCAAGATGATAGTGATAGCGAAGTAGAAAAAGCAATATTTTGCTACTAGACTGAGCGCGTGAGTAGACGTAGAGTATGACAGGTAGGTGCTTTGGATAGCTGTTACTGCATCGGACAAGGCTTGGCGCGACGATCGGGGGCAGTGTTTCACCGCGATGCTAGCACAAGGAGAGGTCGCAACAACAACTCCTTCCAGACATGGACCCGCGACAACAATCTGGTTAGGAAGAGAAGGATCACAAGTCAAGGACACATGGCAGACACTCTCCACAACGCGCCCATTGTGCTGGACAACGGCAGCGGCACCATCAGAGCTGGTTTCGCCGGAGAAGACGCGCCCAAATGTTATTTCCCATCCTACGTCGGCCGTCCCAAGCACTTGCGCGTTCTGGCTGGCGCGCTTGAGGGCGATGTCTTCATCGGCCAGAAAGCACAAGAGCTGCGCGGTCTGCTCAAGATTCGTTATCCCCTGGAGCATGGAATCGTTACCGACTGGGACGACATGGAGAAGATCTGGCAACATGTCTACACCGAAGAGCTCAAGACACTGAGTGAAGAGCACCCTGTCCTTTTGACCGAGCCGCCGCTCAACCCTCGCTCCAACCGCGACACTGCCGCCCAGATTCTGTTCGAGACATTCAACGTCCCTGCCCTCTACACGTCCATCCAAGCTGTATTGTCCCTCTACGCCTCAGGCAGAACCACGGGTATTGTCCTGGATGCTGGGGATGGTGTATCGCATGCAGTACCGGTCTACGAAGGCTTTGCTATCAATAACAGCATCCGTCGCATCGACGTTGCAGGTCGAGATGTCACGGAGCACCTGCAGACACTACTTCGCAAGTCTGGGTACATCTTTCACACCAGCGCCGAGAAGGAGGTCGTGCGCATGATCAAGGAAAAGACAAGTTACCTGGCTCTTGATCCCAAGAAGGAAGAGAAGGACTGGGCTACAGGCAATGCCAGACAGGACGGCAAGACGGTTGAATACACCCTTCCTGATGGTCAGAAGCTCAAGGTACAACCACGTGCTCCTTGTACAAGCCTCTTTAAGCTTACCACTTTCTGCAGATTGGCCCCGAGAGGTTTAGAGCCCCCGAGATTCTTTTTGATCCCGAGATCATTGGTCTCGAATATCCTGGTGTTCACCAGATCATTGTTGATGCCATCAGCCGTACCGACATGGACCTGAGGAAATCTCTCTATGCAAACATCGTCTTGTCAGGAGGTTCGACCTTGACCAAAGGCTTCGGCGATCGTTTGCTGCACGAGGTGCAACGTCTGGCTGTCAAGGACATGCGCATCAAAATCTTCGCTCCACCAGAGCGCAAGTACAGCACATGGATCGGTGGCAGTATTCTGGCTGGTCTCAGCACTTTCAGAAGAGTCAGTCTAGCCCTATACTCACGCAACATGCTCCCGTACTGACGTGACTACACAGATGTGGGTCAACATTGACGACTGGCATGAGAACCCCGAAATCATCCATACCAAGTTTGCGTGATGCCTGACGCGAATCTTGCAATACTTGACGACAAAGACATGACCACTTCCTCGACGGGACTGACAACACATCTCCGCAACACATCCTCTCGGCACACTGGTTGTGACACCTCATCGCTCCTCCCCAATTTCTCAAACGCCTGGCCTGGCCTGGACCATCAAGCATACGAGTCACCGTCGAGCAATCCGCTCAAGCACCTGACCGAAAACGCTTGAACTTTCCCACTCCAGCCATGCTATCCTGAGCATCTCCCCCGCATTGCGGCATCTCGTCTAAAGGCCGTTTCTCTCTTCTGGAAAGCAAGATCTGGCCCTGGATGCGGAGAAAGGTTCAGGCCAAGGAGAACCTACGCTGCGCTCTCCTTTCACGGCAAGTCGCTCCCCGAATCGACCATAACACGGTCCATGGAACTGAGCTGGTCCACCGCGCGGCTAGACAAGGTCCAAGACAAAAGCTGGGCAATATCCGAGCACAGGGGAAGTGAGGGGGAAACGTTACATTCGTAGGGCGCGCGCGCCTCTTTGTGGGGAGACCAAGGAATAAAGGTTTACATAGCCGTAGTCCGGGGCTACCAAACAACAAGAAACCCTCCTCGGTTCATTGCCAATACATTACCAAATAGTATCTGTGACTTGTCGTGAACGATCGATGGGTAGAGCCCGGAAGAAAGAACGAATAAGGAAGAGACAAAGGTTACATCTTCACGGGATAAGGGTTTCGATTGGCTGCCTAGCATACCCGTACCTTGATGAGCATACCTTGATGAAAGGACAAAGGCAAACAAGATTAGCAAAGCCGGGAGACTGCGTAAACGCGAAGGCAAACCTCATGTGGCCTGACCTTCTAAGCACGACGAAACACTCGCTTGAAGGCAGAGAATCATGATGACCAAGCGAACAACCTCATTTGACTTGTCATTCACGTGGTGCAGATGCTGTGGTTCAAGGGGAGGCGAATCTCGTCTTCTCCGGCAACAGCGGGCGGAGCGGTGTGTAGAAGAAGGTCACACGCAAAAGGGACATCGGTGGTTGGAGATCCGAAAACAGAAGGAGCTCTCGCTCTCGCTACAGTATGGAAGGGAAAGCTTCCGTGGTTAACGACGAGACATTTTCAGCTTGCGAGTATTGCACGAATGTTTCTCAGATGGCGAGCTCTTCGCTTGAGAGGGACTATCGTTGCGGTATATTACAGTCAAACAACGCAACGAAAACAGTGTCGCTGACGGTATTGAACTCCGCCTCGCTGATCAAGCAAGATTGCATCAGAATCATGATGTTTGCATCTTTGTCTGCTTGCGGTGTTTCGAACCCGTGGGTCGTGCTGTCACAAAGAACGCGGCATGATTTGCCAACGCCGCGGGCGCTACCTGATGTTATGGGGTAATAGCTCCGATTCTTAGGGAAACATGGGGGTAATACGATCCTCAGGTACCGGTCTTGGCTGATTTAGTGAGCTCAGTATTGAGCTGCTCTGGGATCCAAGCTGCGAATCGAATGAGGGGCTGTCGCAATGTGCACAAGCCTTTTGTCGTAAGCGGAGATGAGCCACTGCACAGCTGGGCAAACAATCCTTTGCAAAGTTTGCGAGGTGGGAATAAAACCGAGGCTTCAAATTGCAGTGATGACAGTCGGCCACCTCCGAAAGGACTAGAACGAACCGGGGGTTGCCAGAGCTGCTGATGTGAGCAAAAATATCGTTTGCGCAGCAGAAAATAATGATGTGGGAGAAAAAAACTTTCGCCGGCCCGCACGTGTACGACGCCATTCGGGTAACGGGTTCATCAGCTTTGCACCAAGCCAAGGCGTGTGATCACTTTTGCCGTTTCCACTTTGCAGCTTGAGGATTAGTGAGGAGAAACAAGGTCTTTGCATTGCAAATTTTGCTCACGCGTACGCAAGGTGGTGCAATTCTTGGTCCGGATGAGTTTTACTCCTGTTCGATCGTATGTGTCAACACTCGATCCTGCTCGAGGTTCATATATAGACCCCCCGCCTTTCCACTTGTAAGTCATTGTTCATACCACATTTTCCAACCACCATCAAACACATCTACTTTCACCCATATTCAAGTCAAGCAAACTCATCGAGTCCTTGCACAATCAAGTCTACTACACACAAGCGGTATTTGAAGATACAACACTTTCTATCAGAATCAACCACACATATACAACAATGGTTTCATTGAACTACCTCATCACTGAGCCACACCCCTCGGCACCCAGAGGCAGGACCAGCTCTTACCTTGGATACGGCCGTGGTGGTGCTGGAAACTATGCTCGTTACAAGGCAGAGGACCTCACTGTCGGTCACCAAGCCACCGGTCCCGCATCTCGTGCTGCCATCTCTCCTCCTCCTGCCACCCAGAAGTTCACAAGCGGTCGTGGTGGTGCCGGAAACACATTCACCCTTCAGGAGAGCCAAAGAGCCATCTTCTCCTTCGACGAAGAGCTTGCCCGTGACCAGAAGCTCATGGATGCTCGTGCCAAAGCTCCCGTCTACTTGGTTGGCAGAGGCGGTCAGGGAAACTTCGTCGATGAGATGAAGCCTTCAGCAAGCCGTCAGAACAGTGCAGCATCCTTCTCGTCAAATGGCTCTTCTGTTTCCGACAAGGCTCGCCGTATCGGTGGTGCTTTCAGAAGCTTGAGCAGAACCTTCAGCAGAGACTCTACTCGCGAGTAAACCATTACTCTGCTCTACTTCTCATGCTACGCCACTTCACGACACCTTAACGACCACCAAAAAGTTCTTCTTTTCCATCATTTTTTCAATCATCAACAACCAGCGAGGAGTTCTACCATCAGGGATGAACACCTCGTGCAGAGGGCATCCAAACCATGAGCATTGCGTCTCTTTTCACATCACAACCAAGCGGGAATTCACTGGGAGTCTCTTGAATCATCATCTTTCATATACCCCATTTTTTGCATTTGAGATGGCCATCTTTCTCACCATTTTCAGCAGAAGCATCCCTCGTGAGGGCATACCTTTTCACACTTCGATTCTTGTCCAAAGATTCTTTCTCTCTAGCTATCTAGCATTCTATCATAATGTATCAACACCACTCCTCGGAAATCCTCCTCATTGCCACTTTCGAATGTGACACCTATGACACGTGTATTTTCTATGCTGTACCAGGTGACTTGACGCCTTCAATATTACTCATCTGTGCGTCTTTCCTTGTCAGAATGTTGCCATTACAGATGCAACTTGGCATCATCGATGTCGAAAATGACGTGTGCATGTCTCGTGGAACGACTTTCCCAAACGAACCGAATTCCCCGATCCATGTTTCTTCGTGCCTCCCTTCTTTTCAGAGATTTCTCACATAATTTTGCCAGGGGTAGGGCGGGTCTTGCTGATCCGTGGTTCGGTGCTCGGGGGTGAAGATCGAAGCCGAGCGGTGGTGTTGCCGGTTGCCGGTGGTGATGTCCGTTCATCGCGAGAACTCTTCGATCATTCTTCCAGAAGGACTTGGCATACGCTGACTCAAGATGTAAACGCTCTTGAGTCAAGTCTGCTCTTGCCCTTTCGTCAATTTTTGCTCACGCGAGTAAAAACAACCAAAGAGTCACGGAGATTTAGTATGCTCAAGGGTAGACATACAGCAATTATACAACGTACGGCCATTTCTCGATTTAGTAGTCAACATGGACTTTTCAGACGACAAGGTAAGGGCGGAACTTCACAGGTGATGAACGTAGCCGTAAAGGTGGCAATGCGAAATGCCTCGAAAACATAACAAAAACTGACAGTTTGAATCAAGGACCATCATCATGATACACATGCGATACCGCCCAAATTCATCCAAGAGCAATATTGGCATTACAACAAGGTCAAAATCTCGGATCTGGAAAATGATGAGAGCGTCGTGAACTGGGATAAAGGTCTAAGCGAGGAGCAAGCAAAAGTGATCAAGCCTGTTAGCAAGATCTCCAAAATTGCGATTGAAAACGCCTGCATTGCGTTCAGAAATGCGGCGTTGGGCACAGAAGGAGACGAGTCGCTGCTTGAGACAGAAATTGAGGACGTGACAGTGTACGAGCACACAGACTTTCCAGGTAAGCAGTATTTGGTAATCGTCAACGCCGAACTCGACATTGAAAATTATCACCAGGTCTGCAAATAGCGCCGGGGATCTTGCCTCCAGAAACTCAGGTTCTCTGGATATCACAAATCATGCACAAATATATGGCGAACCCGAAACACAAGATCAACCTACAAGCAGATTTTGACATCGAATATCCAATATCAGAAGCTGAAAATCCTGAAGGAACAGAAGCGGAAACTGCATCTCTCTTCTCCTACGACCCTCAATCAATACACTCGACACCAAAAGATCCAAAAACTCAAAAATCGCTCAATATGGCACAAATGCTATCAAGAAAACTACGCTGGCTGACACTGGGAGAGCAATATCACTGGCCGACACGCAGTTATCCCAAAAACGGACCCACGACATTTCCTTCAGACCTCGGTACTTTAGTCAGCGGCCTCTTCCCACACATCAGACCAGAATCTGGCGTATGTCTGCTATATGGACAAAAAGACTACATGCCCGTCCATCGCGATGTCAGCGAACTTTGCGAACGCGGTCTTGCTTCTTTCTCCTTTGGCTGTGATGGTATCTTTGTGATCGCCAGAGGCGAGGAAGAGCTCGCAGAAGGCGAAGATCCGAAAAAGAGGACTGTGGCTATCAGAGTCAGAAGTGGCGACTGTGTGCATATGGATGGCGAAATTAGGTGGGCGTGGCATGCCATGCCTCGTACGATTCCCAACTCTTGTCCGCAATGGTTGGCGGAATGGCCTGCGGTCAAGGGCGATGCGGCGAAGAGGGTTACTGAAAAGGAGCGCAAGGCGTATCAGCGATGGAAAGGATTCATGGGCACAAAGAGGCTGAACGTCAGTGTCAGACAAGTCTGGGATTGAACAACAATTCAGCGGTCGGTATGTATGGCAACTTGTCGATTAAAGACACCTCAATTCACGAGGAAGAGACGGTCATTCACAGCACCTCAAGTGTGGCCTATTGCATCGTAAAGGAGTGTAATTGGTCGGTATTGTATGTAGAGCAAGCAGAGCATGTTGAAATGCGATGACAAACTTTCAGACATGATCGTTGAAGATCCGGATGACTTGATAATGGATAACAAAGCAGCAATAAGAGACGTGGGTGCACCTCTTCTCCTCTCAATAGTCATCTCCACGAGAAATGACCTCTTTGCAATTAGGTCTTAGCAGGACAGTCTGTATGTAATGTCAGCATTTGACAAAGTTCCCTTCCTTGGTGTTTGCTTACATGCTCGAACTGCGCGACATACGATCCAGGAATATCGACCAGAGGTGCATAGTCCTCAACTACGCCACTAGCAATGAGCGATCTCATACCAAGGTGGTAGTTCTTGACGCCCAGTCGCTCGAGGTAACGTCTAGAGAAGACCAGGCTGCCAAAGTTCTCATCAATAGTCTTGAGTAAAGACTTGGCAGATGCGTATTGCAGACCGGTCGGACGGAAGTTTTCGTTACGACCGTATCCATAGACGCCGATATCGTCCGTGAGGTAGCCATTGCCAGTCGTGCCAAAGGTCTCGATGGCAAAGATGTCACCTTCCTCCATGCGCTGGTCGGTCTTGGTTTTAACGAAAGGCACCTGTTTATCGCCATGAATCTTGTAGCGTAGGATGTTGTGACCGGTGATGTTTTCAACGGCCTTGACAGGCATGACCTTCCCGTTGATCTCAACCTCGTAGCTCTCCATGACTTCTTGGATACGTTCACTGATCTGGTCAATTCTAGCATCAATGCCAGCTTCCTGATACTACTTAGCCAACGTGTCAACCTCTTAATCGATCACGGCTTACCTTGAGACCGGTGTTGGTAGCTTCCTTGACGGCCACTAGTAGGTTATCATAGACAGGATTGGCAGCCACAGTAAATGCGCTGTCGACGATCCTGCCATTGACATGAACTCCAAAGTCCACTTTCAGTACATCATCATACTGAAGCACGACTTCCTTGCCTCCCGGGTTGGGAGTCCAGTGTGCAGCGACATTGTTGAGGCACAATCCAGTCGGGAAGCCCATGCCAGCCTTGAGAGCGTCTCCGCTTTCAAGCCCTTGATGCCCTGTCAATCCTCTGACACCTTCTTCGATCTCATCGGCGAGCTTGGTCATCGTGATGCCAGGCTTAGCGATCGTCTGGACGTATTGTCGAACTTGACGATGGACCTCTGCAGCTTTGCGATAGTCCTTCAGAAAGTCATCATCCATGTTTCTGATAGCTTCTTGGTGACGAAGCTCCGCAGAGGTAGTCCGCTTGAGGTTCTCATCGTTGACGACAAAATATTCGACTATTTCACCCTTGGGATACTGATCATCGTGGAACAAATTGGCGAGTGCGACTCGGGGAAGGACCGTCTGCTGTCCGCCCGGCACTTTTTTCTTCTTGTTGTTTTTCCTCTTTTTCTTGGTCTTGTCTTCTTGGATTAGCTACGGATCTGTCGTACGCGTAGCTTTTAGCTTACTAATCTTGATTTTCATGTCAATTCGGGCTGCGTCGCGATTTCCATCGCCATCATCTCCTTCGTCTTGCCCTTCGAGGCTACCAGCGACAAGTCCAGTAGCTGCTGCTGGCTTGGGAGGATTGATGTTAGCAATGGCACCAGAGGTCGAAGATCCTGGCAGAGCGGGTCAGCACTTCAAGATTGACTTTGGTGATTCACGCAGTCGCACCATCTGGACCTTGCTGGTGCTCTTCCGGCGTCTTTGATCCCATGGTCTACGTTCAACCGTACTCATGAAATTTTCGCGTTGATAAAGTTGATGATAAAGACGGAAGTCGCAACAGTTTGAAGGGAGAAGGCAATATGCAATGGCGCCCGATGACGAAAGTCTTGGTGCATCCTTCGCAGCGTGGAAAGCAGGGGTGTCGATCTTATCATCTTGGTTGTTCGAACAACAGTGTCACACACACCATAACAAAATGTTTAACCAACATCACAATCCCCAAAAAGGAACCAAACACAGAAAATCCGATGGTTAATCAGAAAAGTTTAAGCAAGATTGTGTACCGGAATGCTTCAACTGCACATCTAACCAAAACCTATAGCTAAGATTTGAACAAAGCAAAGGGTTAGATATAATGAGAACAGTAAGAAACATGGCGTGCTTACAATCTTGTACGTTCTCAAGTTTCTCTCACCGGTATATGAGCCTTTTCTGGCGAGGACTAGCAATCAGAGGATACTTGGAGCTCCAGTGGTCAAGACATCTCCAAATCTGATCTGTCGAAAGGCACAGTCATTTTCAATTCGGCGATAGCGCCGTGGAGATGCCCTGTTTTGCCGTCTCCCGAGATATAGGGTCCGGCTGCGGAAATCACTGTGCCTTCTTACAGGTATCAAAAGAGGTTACACGATTCAAGGAGAGAGCTAGCGAATGACTTGATTGGGGTACTCTATCAGAGAAACCCCTAACGGTGTCTCAATTTATCACGAATGTCATCTACAACATCGCGTAGCAAGTCGTCTTGTAACTTTCCCATTGCTGCGCCATCCATATTTTCAGCGAACCTCCTGACAGCAAATTTAAGCGCCGTCATAAAGCAATCAACCGGTGGGTGATCGATGGCTGAACGTGCCACAATGGCCCTGATCCTCCCGTCTAGACTGACCACGTCCACATTGAGGGCGTTGCCCCAAGGCGTGCACGTATGGCAGGACCAAACTTCTTCGAGGTCATTGATAGACTTGAGTACTCCGAGATTTGAGATGCCGACCGAGTTTCGATATGGCTTATCCTCGTGTCCAGCTTCCGTGGGAAAATCTGCCAAATTCGGGACCTTCTCGAGGTGATTGAAGGTTTCTCGTACTTCTCTCATCCCGTCCTCCGAGTGGATATACTGATTATACGCGCTCGTGAACTCTCCGAATTTACTCTCAAGTAGACTGATCGTCGTGGTACGTCTCTGAATAAGGCCTACATAGGTGCCTCCGAAGAACGAGACATGCTCATTCGGACGTAAAGAGACGGACGTCTCGGTACCGATGGAGTTATGTTCATTGATGAGTGAGGCGTTCGTTGAGGCTAGTAATGCCACGATGACAGCGGTGTGTAGAATTGACTGAATTTTGCCCATGTCGCGGTGTCCTCCAAATCTGCTCAATTGAGCGACAATGTCAGGTGTGGAAATCAACGAAGAAGCATTGAGTGCTTTTTTCGAGGCGCTGGCTGCGATCTGGAATAGGCCATAATGTCATGGGCGGAGGATTGCGGGCGCGGTTGAGAGTACCAAGCGATGTAATAGCAGTGGTGACCTTGTCCTTTGCACGAGACAACTTGGATTGTGACGATGATGACCAGAGTGTCCTCTTCTTCGCCTTTGCACTTGGTGGGAAGGACAACTCTGTCTGAGATGATACCTTTGCTGTTGCGGGATCGAGCTCCTCTGACAACAGCGTCTCGAAGAGTTTGAGTGCACCTCTACCATCGGTGATGACGTGGCAAACTGTCAGTGCAATATAGAAGCGATTGGTGGAGGTTGTGTGATAGATTCTGACAAGCCAGAGTGGACCCTCTCTTAGGTTGAGCCTTTGAGCGATGTCGTCCTGCGATGCTACCACATCATTGATACTATTTGCGGGAAGCGTATCCGCGATCGTTATGGATATCGGCGACAGTGGTTCATGGTCTTTCCAGACAGGACAGCGGTCCCCAACATCGACCGTTGCGCTCAGTATTGGGTGCATGTTGAGCACGGCTTGGCTATTCGTATTGATGCGATTCAACAAAAGGTCCTAGCCATGAGAATGCTCTGTGACGAGACCAGCGATAGTGATCAATGGTACGGAGCCTGATCTAGCTTGAGCGAGATGGAAAAGTTCCGGCGCATTCAAACGACGACCTTCCATGGCTGCGTATTATGTATGAATGCTGATGAGGATATAGTGACTATACCAAGTATTGAGAAAGTTATCAAAGTACTTTTCCGAGTGCCAAGATGATCAGTCGCTCTTGCCTCTACGACGCAGAATGAAAAGTGAGTTTGTCGGAAGGCACAGTGATTTTCGAAGGCGTCGCTCTGCTTATCGAGATGATTGTCGAAGGGCTTTCTCCTGTCACCTTCTCCTTGTGATACAAACCGAAAGTTTTGCTCTGTCGGAAGGCACAGTACTTTTTACAGACGACTTCTTCCTATCGAGATGGTTGCACAACGCATGATACAAAACCTCCGTTCACATCTAGGATAGACTACTCATGATTGTGCCTAGTTACTGATCTTGTAGCGTCATACGCGCTGGTGGGAGATATGCTTGCGGGCCACACAAGACTCGCAAAGTCCAAGTAAGGACCACTGACAGTCAGTGGGAGAATTGAAAACGATTGACAGGTCTTTGTTCTTACGTTTACTTGCCCTATAGTCCGTATATCTGGAACCTTCTGTAGCAAGCCATCAGTATCAGTTGTATACATTTAGATAGCTCCTCAGATAAATCTGAGAATCAAGACGAGACGATCTAGTTGTTCTTGACAATTCTTGCGACGACCTCATCAAGATTTTCCTGCTGCAATCCAAGGAGATCGTTGACATAACCATCGCGAGCCTCCCAATCGGCTTCTAATGTTCCAAGGACCCACACGAGATCCTCAACAGCCGACTTGTCACCATCATCGGCCTTCGCCTTACGCTCTTTAACATAGTCAGATGAGTCGTAGTTCTTGACGTTCCACGACTGTCCAGTCTCCTTCTCGAACGCCTTCAGCAGCTGATTCTGATTGATGCGGAAGCTCTGGATATAGGCAAAGCGGTTCTTTGTTTCGTCTGGCTTCTGTAGTATGGCAGCCGTAGCTTTGCCAATTTGCGCGAATGTGCTAGTGCTCCAGTAGACATCGCCATCGTCGAGAATTTCAAACGTCTTGGCCTCAAGATTGATGTGAAAGAACCCGAGATCCCAATCGAAGAAATGTCCGCAAACAAGACTGGTCCAGCTAAATCCGGAGTTTTCCTTGGCTAGCTTCTCGAGGTAGTCGCGTACTTGTGATTTAGCGACGTAGATGGGTGCAAGCTCCATGGCTCTCTTGCTCTGGGAGTCGCAGCTTCCAAAGTCGGAAGGGATAAAACGCTGCACCCCAGCCTTGACCGCAGCATCCGCGAGTCGCTTCTGCAAGTCAACCTGTGCACCATACACAGTACTGATCACAGCGTCCTGGTTCTGGAGTGCTGGAATCAACTCGTCGATGGGAAAGTCATCAGAAAGCAGCTTGACCTGAACGCCCTCTGGATAGTTGGACTTTGACTTCGATGACTTGCGCTTGAAGACAGTGACATTGAACGCTCCCGTCTCAACCAAGCCTTGAAGAACTCCTGGTCCGAGATTACCATCGGCGCCTACCAGAACGACATTCTTGATCGACATCTTGTTTTTAAGTCTCTCGATTTGAAAAGGATATTACCAGGTTACTGACCTATGTAGGTGGCCTTCTGGATGACGTCCTCGGTCGAAGAACATCCCGAAGTTCTGCCTGATACGGTTCATACGAAGTATCCCAACGGAGCAGGTCAACCCCGAGCCTGAACCATTGTCATTCTGTTCGAGGTGCTTCGAAAAGTCACGTCGAACATTTGGCTACGATCGGACAACTAATGTATAGCAAGTCGCGAGGATTCCCAGACCCTCTTGTGAACCATACGCGGAGCAATCTGTATCGGCTTTCTGAGTGTCTTTTACCCGAAGCAAGGCATGGCCCATCTCGTTTCATGTGCAGTCCAAGCACTACCAGCTAAGTCCTGTCAACGCTATAGCTTCCGTCCGCGACAGGCATCAGGGTATTTCACGGCTCAGGCACCCGAGCATACCCTTGTGTTAGGCCGCCATTCCGCTTAGTATGCATTGGGCAGTGATGAAGAAGTGAAAATTTCATAGCATTCGTTACTTGTTCGTGCTTCTCGTTAACGGAAGATTTCTCTTCCAGTGCGCCTAACACCGATACATATCCGACTTCTCTCTCAACCCTGATATCGACAGGCTCCAACATTCCCTCCGAAGAGCCATCTCCAGACCCTGTTCGAACCAATCTCCTGCATTGCCCAAGGCTTACATCTCGCACAGTCTCGTTACTAATGTGGTATGGCTGAATTCTCCTGTCGACCTTGGGCATCGCACCAACTGTTTGTTGTTGTTTGCCCAGAGAATCCAGAGATTGGTGCTCCCACGGAATGCATGGCCGTGGTGTTCAGAAGCCACATCGAGACGGGTGGGTAGATTCGTTCAGGTGCTTCGAAATCCAATATTCTTTCTCACAGAGAAGAGGCTCGGATCATGTTTCCAAGTGCCGAGTTTCGTATGCATAGGCTGTGGTGCCTGGCGTTGTGGTAATTTGGCATAGCGATGCATGAGATCCTCGTAGTTGCCATTTTTACTCCAGAGCTTACTGCATGATACAGCAAGCTAAATTTCGACCCACTTCTGCTCGATCGGCTCTGACTTGGCCGGTTGTTTTCTTCCACCACAGCACAGAGAAGCACGCGACATGCACATCGTTGCTCAACAGCAGTAACCGGAGCTCATTCCAGTTTTGTAATGTGACGCGCACATCTTGACGCTTCTCGTCGGTATGGCGCCTGTAGTGTGCAGAGAGTTTGAAGTAGTAGTCACGTTTTGCCTCTATGCGACGGTGAGGGAAGTTGTTTTGTGCTGCGATGGCTTTTGAAATGTCATCCTGAAGTTCTTGGAAATTGTAGGAATCGGAGCGAGGCAATTCAAAGGTATTGTGGTATGCTGGCACTGGAGGAACAATGTCGTAACCGTCCAGGTCGACCTGCTTGATTGAAAGAGGCACTGCAGAGGTGATGCTCAGGTGGTCCACCGCTTCCATCCGAATGGGGTCGTAAGCCGGGTGTGGACTTCCGGGTGGTGAAGGCGAGGAGGAGATCCTTCTGGTTTTGATGGTGGGTCTCTTGACGATGGACATGTTTGAGTTCTTTCCGAAAATTTGGGTAAGCAGAATGGTGTCACGCGAGTTCGGGTTGGGAGGGATTTGAGCTTCTTATGACATGAGGGGTAGAGGGGAGCAAGGGGATGCCTACCCAAGGATACGCGCTCCTCATCCTGCCTTGGCAGCGTATTACTAGCACATCTGTCTCGTCAACACGTCTGTCGTGCAAAATGGACCGAACACGCTTGGAGATTGGTAAGGCACAGGTTCCGCCGGGCTGTCAATTTTTGTGGCTGTACTCGCCAAGCCACTCTGCTCCACAGAAGAATCTTGGGTCATCTTCTCACGAGAAGAGCCGCTTCATCCGAGCTTGTGTTGCACGTTTGGATCTGCTTGACTCCTTGTCCGTTCGTTCGTGGATGCCTGTCGACGTTTCTATTTTGAAGCATGAAGATCTGCCCCTCCTCCCTCCCTCTCATGCACATGGCGGTATGAGCCCTGCGACACTCAGGGGACCTCGTAACGAGAGCCCCTTCAACTCGTGAGGTCTTGGCTAGATAATTTCCGAGTCCGTAACCAATATCCTCAAAACACAGTTGACAGATAAAGGCGCGTATATCGCGACATGACCCTCGTCTGATGCGAGTGCACATCCGATGAGATCCGGCAGCAATACTTGTGTTCCCTCATTTCTAGCACTTTCGCGAAATCTGCCTAGAAAAGTCGTCTGGTGAGTGCTGACCAACACCCGCCATTCGGCGTCATCAAATGTCAGCTATCCACTTGTGCCGAGCTTATTCGCATTATGGTTAATTGGAGCAGGACAGTCATGGAAAATGCAGCAAATGTACGATCTATCTGTGTTTGATCTATTTTTACAATCGACAGGAACCAGAAGTTCCCTTTCATCTATGCCCACATGGCCTTGAACTTGAGGTTGAACTCAGAGTGCAATCTCTGGAAAGACTTGAGCACCTTCAGCAGTCCCTTCTCGCCGCCCTGGCCTTCCCAAGCAGCACTGTCGAAGTTCAATTCGTCCAACTTGGCGGCAGCCTCATTGTAGTCCTTCTCGATGACCTCTTCCTCGTCGGCCATATCCTCCCAACTCTCAGCCTTCTTGGCCTTCTTCTTCGTGATTGTGGCCATAGCTGCCTTGGGTGCTTCGCTGGGAGCTGGGATAGCTTCTCCGTCTTCTTTGACAGCAACCGTCTCATCTTCAGCCTCCTCAAGAGTGTCAAGCTCACCCATGGTGTCAAGGAAGTCCATATCACTTCCAACCTTGAGCTTCATGAAGTTGAGCAGACTAGTGATAATTGTAGCAAGGACCAAGGAGAAGTCGTTGAGCATGAACCAAACATCACCGCGTCTAATACCGTTAGCCTTCTCAAGTGTCTTGACATCACCGTGCTTGAAGAAGTCAACAAGGTAAGCGTTCAAAGGCTGGTCGAGGTCTTGGGAGAGGATGGCTACGTGGGGAATAGCGGACTCCTCAAGGAAGACGCCAGATCTGACAGAGCGACAGAGCTCACTGATCGATTTGAAGTTGTCTGTGTGTCCAGACAGTGCGACGAAGGGCGAACGAATTTTTGTGGACGGGAGCGAAACTTCCTTCAGTCCAGGAGCCAATTCGGCAGATGAAGAGCCGACTTGTCTAGCGGTGAGAGGCAGAGCGTCGTCCGGCTTCTGCACATGCTGGTCGACAAAGGTACGAACGTAGGTGCTGAAGATATCAAGAGTTTGCTGACCATGCTCGTTCAGAACATTGGCTGCTTCCTCCGGCAGGGGAGGCAAGAATACAACAGAGGAGGATGGCTTCACCACCTTCTCGCGGTACTCCGCGTCAGACTTGCGGCAGTACACACGACCGAACAGATGGGACATGACCAGCATCAAGGTATTGACCACGTTTTCTGCATCGTTGTCGATGTCTGCACAAAGTCTGTGCAAATAGCCCTCCTTCAGCAGTGCGTGGAATGCGAAACTGGAGTTCTCTGTAAAGTACAGATGAGAAACGAGCCCAGCGAAGTTCAAGGTTGCACCCTTCGAGTCAAGCAGGTGCTGTCTACGAAGGTACTCAATGGAGAAACGAAGATGATGCAAAGTCTGGTCCTTGAATGAGGGACCTCCCATGTACAAGCGAGGTTGAGAGAGCAGTGAGTTGATGCACGAGGCTGCGTACTTTGAGTTGTTCGATCCGTGAAGCAGAGTGAAGAGACGGAGGACCAGGGTGGTTGTGACTGGGAAATGGCCATTGAGATCAGGCAGTCTCGAAGACATCAGCCTCAACACCTTTTCATGTTGCATGTTTTGGAAGACAACGTTTCCGAGCAAATCGAAACCACGACGACCAGCACGACCAGCGCATTGACGGTACTCAAGCGCAGTCAAGAAGACCGATTCGCCAGTGAAAACAACCGTCTTACAAGGCATGTTGATACCCAGAGCGAGTGTACCGGTTGCAACAACGACTCTGAGGAAGCCCTTGCGGAACAAAATTTCAACGACTTGACGGTACTTGCGGTTCATACCGGAGTGATGGACTGCGATACCTCTGGTCAAGGCAACGATCAGCCATTGTGGTACGCGTCTCCACTCCAGTTCCCTCATGTAGTCTTCGAGTTCAGAGATCTGGATGGCCTTGAAGTTACAAAAGTGGTAGCCGTCTTGGGGAGCCGCGGGATCAAATCCTTCGAAGCCGTTGGCGTCAGTGTCAGCAGCGTCACGTTGCATATCGGCTTTGGTCATGCCCTCCTCGGCGGGCTTCTTGCTCTTAGAGGCTTTGCTGGCCTTTGCACCCTTTCTCTCTTGCTCCTTCTTCCAAGCTTCCCATTGAGCGACCTTGGTCTTCCACTTGGGATCAGTGGCTTTCCACTGGTCCTCGGCTTCCTTCAAGTCGTCGTGAATCTTAGCACAGATATCCTCACATCTGGTACGGTCGTAGTTGAACAGAATGGCTGGCATTGCCTCCTGCTCGTGGAGTCGGCAAAGCAGTGGCAAAAAGTTGTCGTCTGCGACATCCTGAGCTTCCTGTTGGCCTGTGCGCTTGGCTGTGGGTGCGTACAGCTCCTCCTGTTGTGGCTGCTTGCCAGAGAGTGTGGCGAATACAGCATTGAAAGGGGAGGCGGTGTCTTCCATCCACGCAGCTAAGACCTTCTTCAAGCCGGCTTCCCATTTGAGAACGTCTTGTTTGCGAATAACGTTAGGCAAAGCAGTGGTAGGGTCCAGCTCAGCTGGAAGGCCATACTTGTCGTTCGAATGTTCCTTCATAGCTTTCCAGAGTGTGTAGCAATCGCGCGGCTCGAAGGAAAGGTCATCTGGCATTCCAGCCGATCGGTTGATGAGACAAGCGACAGGGTGAAGGTACTCGAAGCCAGTAGTTCCATCTAGACCAAGAGTGGGTAGGCCCTTCTTCTGGCCAAGACCGTCGAACGAGAACTTCTTCGGGGGCTGGTAGTAGAACTTTCTCAGGTCGGAGTATCTGTATGGATGTCTGACCATCTCGAAGTCAATGCCCATTGCCTTTTCAGTCGTTGACAGCCAGTCACTAAAGACATCAGGGTTACCAACTGTGGCAGAGAGCGCAATGATAGGGCAAGGTGCAAGCAGCAGGAGCTGCTCCCAGACAACACCGTCTTGAGCTTGTCCGATACAATGGACTTCATCGAAAATGATACGCTTGACTCTTGTTGCCCATGAGTTGGCGTGGGAGGGGGCCAAGAGCATAATTTGGAGCACATGGGGAACAGTGACGAGTACTTGGCAACCAGTTGCGTTGTTGATGCGGTGATCTCTGGTGTGGATGGCCCAGACGCTCTTTCCTGGGTACTTGAACTTCTTGGAATATCTGCCCTGAATTTCGGCAGCGATTTGATTGACCAAGGCCTTGGTTGGCGCAACGTAGACAAGAACTCCCTCATCGTCGGCTTCGATGACCTTTCTCATTGCGTAGAATGAGATGAAAGTCTTACCAGCAGAAGTGGGTGCGACCACGAACAGACTCTTGTTGTCGTCAATGCCGTCAAGAACCTTTCTCTGCCAGCCATCGGGTTCGAAGTCTACCCTGGAGTCGGGAGCAGCATCCATACTGCGGTCGAGGAAGGGTCCGCAGTGCAGAAGCTGGAATGCCTTGCTCGATAATTTGTTCTTCACAAGCTCTGCGCTCTGCAGAGGAAGCGCGAATCGGAACGGCAGAGATTTGTCCTCGGTCGGCTTAGGAATGTCGACGGGAGGAAGTCCAAAGAGGTCTACAGTAAGCTTAATCTTCTCACAGATCGTCTTGGTGATGTTATCACTGAGGACGAGGTTTCTGGCGGTGTGCCAAATGAAAGCGACGATACCGTTAGGGTCCTGGTCGTTGGTCTTGCCCGATTGAATTGCGATCTCAACAAGTGTGCTGAGGCAGAACAGTTGTACTTCGGCACCCAGAACTTCTCTCTTGTCTTTCGGTAAGCTGGCGAAGTAGTCTTTGGTTTTGATGTAACGAGATGGCAAATCGCTCTCGGCAGACAGACTCTTGAGGATAATGTGCCATGCTTGCATAACCTTGGAGTCGGAAGCTTCTGCCTTCTTGGCTTGGAATGCAGCAGCGGCCTCTTGAGCGGCCTGCTTGCCACTGACTTTGACGTTCTTCTTACCGCCCTTTGGATTTCCGCCCTTCTTTGAGCTTTCGACCTTGGCAGGCTCGGCGTTTGTCTTCTTGTTCTCGGATTTTTGTGCCACCTTGGATGCGGCTGCTGACTTGACCAGAAGTGTTTCTGGCTCAAGTGCTCTTCCTACCGAGTTGGTCAAACTTGCGGCGTACTTCTGCATCTCATCCATGTATTTCTGGTTTCTGCGGCGAGCACGTAGCTCATCTCGTGGGGAGAGAACGGGTGTGTTCTTCGATTGAATGGGTCGCTTAGCGTTATGCCAGTGAGAAACTTCTTGGAAAATGCGAGCCGAAGGTCTGCTAGTCTCTTCGGAGGCATTGTCGTCGATGCCAAGGCGGATTGATGTTAAATGCTGGTCGAACACAGGGTTGGAGAAGGGCAGTACGTTCATGTTTCCAGTGGGGCTGGTGGAAGGTGCTTCTAAAGAGGAGATGTCTGGCTTCCCTGTAGCAGATTCGTTCACAGATACGTCACAGAGGGCTTTCAGTGATTGGCCGAGCTTTTGAAGTTTCTGCTGCGCTGATTCGGGTAATGATGACAGATCGAGACCTTTGGCAACAACGTTGAACAGACGGCCATCGAAAGAATCAGCGACATCACAGTCGTTGCTCTCGAGGGCTTGGTGGTATTGCACCCAACCTGAGCTGCTCAAGATCTCGGCAGCCTGGTTGCAGAAGCTAGAAAGATGCTCCGTGTGTTCGCTCACAGCTGAGGTATGCTGCAGACTACGAGCAGAGAGAGGCAAGGCATGAAGAAGCGCTGTGTGTGCAAGAACGTTGTGGGCAAATTGTTGCATGTTTGATGCGGATGAGTCCTTGAATAGGCGAGATAGAGTCATGACCGTCAGGCGTTCTCTCTCGGTGAGACCGGACGTATGGGCTCCAACAGTCTTGACATCTGCAGAAGAGGTGGACTTCGAAACATCAGCGGACTGCTTTGGGCTCGCATCTAGGGTCGGATCCAGTGTGTGTGAGAGTTTCTTGGTTTCTAACACCATAGCCATGATCTTTGTGTCGACAAACTCCGAACCATTGATCAACGCGACATTGTAGCCGGACAGGATGAAATGCAGAATCATCGATCTCAACTGAGTTCTTGGATCAGGTACGTTTGTGTCTTGCGTGGTGTGGCTGCGAGCTCCATCGTGGCACATCAAAAAGTAGACCGCAGAATTGCGTAAATACTCGTCAAATGCATTGTCATGAAGATCTGTGAAGCAGTGAATCTGAATGTCTTCCGATAGCAAATTGGACTGAAGGTGGCGAATTATGGCGGCTCTTGTGAGGAGGTATTTAGATCGGTCGATGGACTTGACACTCTGAGGAATGCAGAGCTGACTGTGAGCCTCAAAAAAGGCGACGTGAAATCTGCAGTTACGGCGTTGGAGTTGTGCGAGGTATTCCTCCACGAGGTATACGGCATGCAGCAATTGGAAACCATCCTCAAAGTCAAGTAGTGAGTTCTCGAAGCACTGCAGAAGGAGAGAGTCGCCCTCGATTGCAAACAATTCTTGGCCGGCAAAATCGCCCACGAGATCTACTCGCCGCGAGGATAGGCGGTGATAGTTCTGTAAGACCTTCTGGTCTTCCTCAGATCTGGAGATATCCTCGACGTTGACATACTCAATGTCTTGTTGCACACCATCAGTTGCCATGTTCGGAGGGCTGTGTGGCTTTGTTCCAGGGTTTGTGCGCGCAGCTGTAGAAAGTTAGGGGTTGATGGTACAAGAATGGTCCAAAAGCAAAGTGTTGGGCGCGAGAAGGAGATTGGCTAGTTTTATAGATTCCGGAGAACGGAGTGACGCTGCAGAGCCTGCAATGTTACACAAGTGGAAGCTGCAGCACGCTGAGTAGACACCAGTCCTCTTTCCTCCTTCGCCACGATGTGTGCGCGCGCTTTCCTCCGCAGAAACAGTCTGAGCTTCGGTTTGACCAGCCTGGTCTGTGCACTTTCAACAAACAGTTGATCTGACTGTCCTCTTTCACACATACTTGGATAGCAGAGGAGATTCTCATCTCGCCCTGGCCGCTTGCTCTTAGGGTTTTCGAATGTCCATTTCGGGTCAGATCGATGAGCATATGTTATTCCATAAGTTTTGCATAATTCAATGCTCTGATATATGTAAAAACTTATGCTCGACCAACCTCGATATCTCCAAAATGCCCACGATAACTCCTCATGCAATCGGTGCTCCGACCACTGAGAGCAAGCAAGGGTATAGAAAGAGAAAGAGTCAATGTGTCTGAATAATGACATGTTCCACGAGCTTGTGCTTGGAGGCCTGCTGCCGGAAAGCTCTCAATATTCTAAAAGCAATGTACTTTACGGTAGGAGCTGCTCTGTGATCTTTGGCCTCAATCGCAGTTACGGTGTCGGTAGCCCGTCATATGCAGCCCTGGCATGTTTCCAGTAGGCTGAGGCCAAGATGTGGGTGTAGACGGCTCAGCAGAGATTGAGCAAATACTCCACAGAAGCTTCGCAACCTCAGGTTGGTCCAGAGTTTATATCCTTCAAACCACTGTGGTGGTTGGCTAACATCCTGGCAATGATCTGCTTCTAAGAGAATTGATTGAAGCTTACATCGTTTCCCAGAAGCGTCAATGGCTGCTCAGTGAGGGGTCTTGAGAGGACTGTGGGTATAAACTCCAGTGTGTTGCTCAATCCAGCTGTTCCTTCCTCATCACCATCCCCTGACCTCTTCTTACACATAACTTTACACATTCAGACCTGGATATAGGAGCGATGTCCCAGACAGAACCAAGATGGATCTTTTGCTCCGGCAACGAGCATGTGAATGCGGAAGATCTTCACCTTAACCATGCTGTGGCGACAAACCATAGCCTAATAATCCCCCTACGATTCCGATTCGTCAAGCAGGATCCCATCTTCAACGAGGTCACCAGGAAGCATCCAGTTTTCCAGGATGTTATCTGGCTTCCATCCGACCATCGCGACCTATCCGAGAAGATTCAGAGCAATCTCCATTACCGTCTGAACAAGAAACAACCCAAACGTCGTCATTGGTACTTCCCATGGTGCAGACAGCAAGAGCTGGACATCGGATTCAGACTCTTTATCACCTACGAGGCAGGATGTGAAGAAGTTATCAACGAGAACGAAGTCAACAAGGCCAACTGGCCAGACATTCTAACGTTGCTTCGTTGCCAAAGACCGCACCAAGCAGTGTTCCACGTCGATTGGTGGTTTAAGGGAGAGAAGATGACTCGCGAGGTCGAATATCTTGGAGACGAGAAGATGTAAAGAGTGTGAAATCGTACGAGTCAGCCACGAGGACAAAGTCGTAGTGCTATTCGACAACTGATTATGTATTTGTTGTTGTAAGTTGTATACTAGCACACAGACAGGAAGAACTCATGGTGGTCTGGTTGTCGGAACGTAGTGCAATCTCTACAGAATACCGGTATGCAAATGCGATGTCGTCAAACAATCTGAGTGATCCTGAGTCCGGCAATTGATGACGCCTATCTTGTCGGACCCGGCCGTTGAGCCTGATATGCGAGACGTCAAAGTTGTTGGCCGTTCCATCGCCGTTCGGCCAAGCGTTGCTTCCCCGGCCTTGCGGATACCTCGAATGGGGCAACGTGTCGCACGACACTTTTCGATACGCGTCAAGGCTCCCTGGAAGGTACGTCAGTGACTTCCTGTGTTGATGTAAAAGCAGGGAATGTAGTGAGATTGGCTCCGTGGAGTGGCCTTTCCTATCAGCAAGGTGATTCGCTCCCATATGCTTAACGAGGGCAGAAAAGGGGAAAAGGCCAGACCAGGCTAGGGGAGAATTTATGCGCGGTGTGAAGTTGGTCACATCTGGCCTTCTCCGTAGTGTTTGTCACCGAGCAATACTTGATTTATTCAAGTACACGATGTTTTTCCCCGAGGAGTCTTGTTTCCGGTGAGGGCGTCTGAAGCCTCTAATCTCCATGATCGGATCCGGCGCTTGTTCGACCAAATTGTGCAATTCTACAGCTAGCTACGCGTGACGGTCTTTGGCATCCGGAGAAGATGTTGAGACAGGGCGTGCCCCAGAAGGTCCCACTTGTGCAGGTCAGCCGCAAGGATCTGCTGTCCTGGACGAACGATACTCTGGCAGTTTACAACGCATAGGTTTATGTTTCCTTACGGCCAGTCAGGCGCCTTGCAGTTCGCCGTTGTCATGGTCATACTACATGCGGTGTTATGATCAAAATGTAACTCTGAGTCAGGGAGGCACATAATTCCGATAGAGTTGTTGTGGAGAAAGTTGGATATGGCGGGCAAAGTTGCGTTGGCTGGCTTGCGCATGGGCCGGATCCAATAGTGATGACCGACCTTTTTTCCAACGGCCTTCACGCGCCCTCTTCCCATTCTTAGGAAACACTTTTCCGCCTGGAATCCCATCTTCACTCATATACAACAATCATTTCGATATCATTCGTTCATACACCCACGGATAGAGACAACGAGGACATGAAAGATCCATCTTTACGGGCCCTCCAGGATTACTCAAAGCATTCTCAAACAGGATGCTCGCCATTAGCCAGGCCAAGACAGCCACCATGAAGACCGCACCAAGCACCTCAGACAACCGAAATTCAAGCCTGAGAATAGCATCATCAACCTGGTCGCGTAATACTCGCTACACTCTTCGGCTACCCCTCGTTGGTCGGCAAATCCATGCGTCCTCGCGTGGGCCTTGTCGACAGGTTGAGACGGCACTCTACATGCCTTCAACCCTTTACCGCAGCTTCCATGAGTTTGAGCGGGAAGTCTGCAGCGCAATCTTTGGTGCTCTGTATGAGCAAGGCGAAACGACAAGCTTTGCCATGTACGCCGAGATGGAACTTTTTTATCATGTGCAAGACGGCCAGTCAGGTCACCTGTCTCCTAAACGCGAGAGAGTGACGTTGAACGATGAAACCTGGGAGGATGTTCTGGAGCTTGTTCTGTCGGGCTCGGCCAAGAAGGCAGAGCTGCGGGCGGTCTGGCACAGGTCAAGGGGATCGGTGCAACTCTCCAAAAGCATGTCGCCATCGAACTTCCCAGCACACAAGAACATGGATCTCGTTGGTCCCATCAGAAGCGGCAGCAGTATCAGTCCGAGACGCTCGGAGACCATGTCGACCAGAAGAAGTAGCTCAGGGAGCGGACGTGACACCAGTCCGGTCAGTAGAGCGGACAGTGGGTTGGGCCAGATGACAGTGTTGTCAAAGTGAACAACGGACAAGAAGCTCGAGAAAACGCAAGCCTTGTTGACTGTGAATTTGTCCGTTCCAACGCCGCGCTAATAATGCAAGTGTTCTCATGCCGATGGTGTCTCTCAGTCCGAATAGTCGTCTTCTTCCTTTGCCCTTCTCAACTCTTCTGCTTGGCGGTCCTGCATCTGCTTCGCTTTCTCCTCTTGCTTTTTCCAGTGACTGCCTTCTTCGTAGTCTTTGCTGATACCGAATGCGCGTCTGAGCTTCTCGCTCTCTTCAATCTTTGCCTTTGCTAGCTCGTGGACTTGGTGTGACTTGAGGCTCCTTGCGTTGGTGCTTGTGTTTTTGCTTGCCTGCTCGGCCTGAAGCTTCTTGCGCAGAGCGGTGCATTGATCCTCGATTTCGTCTTCGTCGACTCTGGTCGTGTATTAGTTTGGGCACTAGGCAGTAAAGGGTTGTTCAGAAGTGCGTACTCTTCTTCTTCTAGCTTGTCGCGCAGCTCAAAGACCTTGACTTCAATCTCACGCTTGCGATCGTGTTCAAGAATGTCCTTGTCGGGCTGACGCTGGCGGTGTCTGAGAAGATCGTAATCCTTCGAGTAGGGAGCGGCGGCGTCGCGCGCCCTGAGATGCGAGAGGTTGCGCTGGACATAACCAGAAGTACCACTGCCGCGTGGTGTAGAGAGACCGACGTTGGAAGACATGGTGGATGCGATGGGTGTGGGTGTGGGTGCGGGTGATGATGTTGCTGATGGGAGAAGGACGAGAAGAGTGAAGTCATTGAAGATGCGAAGGCGGGGTCCAAAAAGTCTGGCCAAGACTTCTGTATAGATAATGCATCATCTTCTTGTCGCATTTTCATACGATTGATCTCTTCTGCGATCCATCTCTCTGCTTTCTGCCCTTGGGCTTCCCTTCTCTTGTCACCCACTATGGCGACCCAAGACCCTAGCGAGGCTCCCCAGCCTTTGACGGAGCTTCCTTTCGCGCCTCTTACAAAATCACACATTATGCATTGCTCTTACCACGATTGGTATCCCAAGTATGATATCATCTTGCCTTGTCGTGTATCTGATCGTTTTGCTGACCGATGCTTTGCTAGATATCGTGCCATATCTCCCAAAGCCCGTCTCATACCACTTACTCGCCCCTTCCTGGACTACCTTCGCGCAGACGGCATTGTGATTCCCCCGGACGAGGATGACCCCCGCCGTGACTGGTCGGACAGCGACTCTGGCATCTTCTCGGCTTCTGATACCGCTGGAGAGGAAGATGATGACGAAGAAGAGGATCCCTCTGCAGAGTGGCGCAATGTCCACCGAGCCATCAAAAATACCATCGCTGAACTGGGCGGCAAGGTTGTGCCCAAGCTGAACTGGTCTGCTCCCAAGGATGCCACCTGGATCGCTGCTACCAACAGTATGGAGTGCAGACTGCCTAGCGACATCTACTTGCTACTTAAGAGCTCAGACTTTATCACCCACGATCTGGAACATGCCTACGATGACTGTGTCGCCGATGAGCCTTCTTCAGACGACAACCCGAAGGATACCAACGACATTCCATATCACCTGGTTCTGCGCAAATTCTTTCAAATGAACCCCTCGGTCGAGTTCAGATGTTTCGTCAGGAATCGCAAGCTCATCGCTCTCTGTCAGCGAGATCTAAATCACTTTGACTTCCTCTTCCGCATGCAAGACAAGCTACGTCATGTCATTCACAACTTCTTTGATGATCGACTCAAGCACACTTTTCCCGACGCCAACTTTGTGTTCGATGTCTACGTTCCTCCGCCGCATGATCGCGTTTGGCTGATCGATGTCAATCCTTGGGCAGTCAGGACGGACCCCTTGTTGTTCAGCTGGCTGGAACTTCTGACATTACCAGAGCCCCCAGAGGAGAAAGTCATCCGTATCCCTATTCGACCTGACGCTGCCGTCGATGGTCAGGAGAAGTCTGACTCTCAAGCAGCGGATGCAAAGGAGGGTGAAGTCACAGAGGGAACAACAGACTTGGAGGACGATGATGATGAAGACGAAGCCGACGAGGAGATCTGGGTCCCCGAATTCCGCCTGATCAGAAAGGACGACCCTGAGGCCTACAGCTTCAACACTCCGCAGTTCAGCGCACACAAACTACCACGAGATGTCGTCGACGCAAGTCAAGGCGGTGCTGGTGCATTGAGAGATTTTGCAGACAATTGGAAAGACATGCTTGCAAAGCAGCAGCGAGACGATGCAGAATATGAGAGTAGTAGTGAGGGGGATTGATCCACACGAGCTGCGACCTAGAAGGAGTACCTATGCCTGCTCAACATCTATATATTCAGCTGAGAACACACCCGAGCCAGGCTCATCCTCGCATACAAACCCAAAACACTCTCCGGACTTTAACATGTTTCGGGACCCACTTGGCCTCATCGCCAAGCTTTAAACATGCTCATATTCGAGCAAGGTCCGTGCTTGGCGGGCGAAACACCTCGCACCTCTAACCCGTCATGTCCTCATCGGTACACGTTGGACACAATTGATTTCGGACTCCGCTGGTGGGTCAATTCTAGACTCACATGGCTTGCACGTTTCTTTTCTAAATAGCACACGCTCCCCTCGTGTCTTTGCACGACCATCTCTTCTATACAGCACGCCTCCACATATACGCTGCCACACGTGCTTTCATACAGGACACTCTGGTACACCCGGTCATCGACACACAAAAGTATCTCTGTTTTCGAGTATTAGTACCTTGGTATTCCGCTGGACGTTGGTCTAGCTTTTCAGAAATAGCATGATTGAGACCCGGCATATTCAAGAGCACGATGCGAACTCGACAGTCAAGCATTATTGGGCCTATCCGGATCGGATTCTTCCATGCACGAAAGATGCTGGCACTTGTGCGTATCTGGACTCGGTCTATCACTCGCACGAAATATCTATGCTCTATACCTTCATTCTATGGGCAGTTCTAGGCGGAGTCCTGGTGTTTATGCTGTCGTTACGCTATGGAAAGAGCGTAGCCCGATCATCTGATATCAAGACGCCACTTCGGCGTGGATTGGACTCTCTCGGATCATTAGGGAGGCGTTGGATGCTTTCTGAGGCTCCAGGGAGACGGATTCTTGGAAGGGTCACTCTGTTACAGGTTACAGTGCTCTCGGCACTTCTAGGCTATCTTCTGATCTTCTCGTATGTCTGCTTGGGTTGTGTGTGTCTGGTGTCGGTACTGACGTATAAATAGGCTCGTTGGCGTCACTTACAAGACCTGGATCGTTCCTACCAAGAATCACCCTGGTTTGAAGACAATCAGGACAGGCTTTGGAGGATGGGGCGATCGTGTTGGCGCACTGGCATATGCTTTGACGCCCCTCACAATTGCACTCTGCTCTCGTGAGAGTGTCTTGTCCCTCATAACTGGTATCCCATACCAACATTTCAATTTCCTACACCGATGGACTGGCCGAGTGATTTTCGTTCAGTCTTTCTTGCATACTCTGGTCTGGACACTGGTGGAAGGACGATTCTACCAACCACAGCCGGAGACTTATACCACATTCATCAAGCAAAAGTATATCGTTTGGGGCATTGTCGCTCAAATCATGATCACGTTCTTATACGTCTTCAGCACCAGTTGGGCTATCCGATTGACTGGCTACGAGTTCTTCAAGAAGACCCACGCCTTGATCGGCATACTCTACCTTGGTGCATGCTGGGCGCACTGGGATAAGCTCGCATGTTGGATGATTGCTTCGTTGATCATCGTTCTTGCCGACTTTGGCGTCAGATTCCTTCGAACTGCGCTGCTTCACGTCGGCTACCGCAAAGGCAAGCCTGGTCTTGGCTTTCACAACGCGATCGCTACGGTACAACACTATGGCGATGACGAAGATTCGGTGGTGCGTGTCGATTTTGACTTCAAGCATTCGGCTTGGAAGCCTGGTCAGCACTTTTACCTCTGTTTCCCTGCTCTGAACATCTGGCAGTCGCATCCCTTCACACCTTCGTCCCTTCCTATTGGTCGCAGCGATATTCAGCATCACACCTACTTGATCCGTGAACGCTCTGGTATTACTGCCAAGCTTGCCCAACTAGCAAAGGCCACTGGTGGAGATTCTTGCACCACATCTGTCATACTTACTGGACCATATGGTGGTTCGCCTTCTGAGGAAGCAGCTGCTTCTAATCTTTTGGCAATCGCCGGTGGTACTGGTGTCACTTCTGTGCTTCCGACTGTTCAAGATATTTTCACGGTTGCTCAAACCGGCACGCGTGCTGTCGATTTTGTCTGGATCGTTCGCAAAATCCAGGATCTTTCTTGGATAACTCCAGAGTTGACTGAGCTGAAGTCATGGATGTCAACTGGCAAAGCCGATGGGTTACGTCTGCGAATCTTTGTTACTCGTGAGACAGCACCACCAGAGTCATCCACCTCGTCAACTTCTTCGGTTTCTGGAAAGGGTGAGGGATGCTGTAGCAAGCGTGCTAATGGCGAAAAGAATGGTGTAGTCGTCACCTCATCGAGCGACTTGACGGCTGCTCAGAACAACTTCTCTATCACGTATCTCGGCGGCCGTCATCCCTCGATCAAAGATATCGTGAGTGACTTCAGCGAAAGAACAAATATCTGTGGCGGTAGGAGTCAAGTCATCGGAGCTGGACCTACGGAGATCGGTACTGTTCTACGCTCTGCCGTCGCGAACGAGAATCATACCAGTAAGGTGTGGCAAGGCGATGAGAGTGGTATCATGGCTCTCGAGTGGGACTGTCGATCTTGATGCTCAACTTCAGGGCTTTACGAATTGCATGCAATGTATATACACCAAATACTAGGCTGAAGCTAGGCTTCTCTGCTTCTGCATCTCTATTTATTCCACTGGACTCAACTCTGACCATACAAGCGACCGTGCCTTCGTCGGAAGACACAATAACCGTTGCTAGAATAGCCGGACTATACCCGGTCCGTCTCGACCACACATCATGATCAGGGTTATACCCTCGACATCAATCCGAGCGGTCGAATTGAGCATTACGACTTGACGTCTAGCTTGTGGAATCGCATTCTACTGCTGGACTGACTCATGGTGAGTGACACAACTGATTCGGGAGTCAGAAGGGACGGCGTTCAATCATGGGTCACGATATGGGCATCTTTGTTCCCGAAACTGCTCGGCTGCTTGAGCACACATCCAGAACCAGCAAGAACAAGTTTGAACAACCACGACAAGAGCTTGATTCTTGGTCCGAACACAAACTTCGCCATGGATATCTGAAACCTCGATATAAGAGCGTCCCATGTTCTTCACCACCTCTCACAACCACAACTTGGATCTTCCTGCCCACTCCTCTGCTCTCCTCCACCTCTCGATCCCGTCACTCGCGAATTCTTATTGCATCTTGACGAGTGCCAACTCATCAAACAGGTCGGTTAGCTCAGTTGGTTAGAGCGTGGTGCTAATATCATCCGATATCATGCGATATCATGCGATACATGGCACGCCAAGGTCGCGGGTTCGACCCCCGTACTGACCAGTACATCATCCTTTTGCTCGCTGTATGCAAGCCAGACGTTGTGGTGAGTCAAGGCTTTCAGTTTTGGTTGAGAAAAGTGAAAACGATCGGGTGAGGATGTGGGGCTTGGCACGGCAGTGAAGCCTGGGGGTTCGGCATATCTTGTGTGTTCATGAAACCGTGCATGATCAGATCAACATGGAGCTGAGCATAGGGTTGTGACGTGAGTATTGTATGACCGGTCAAACAATTCATCGATTCGAGTTTGAATACATCCGAGGCAGTGAGGTGGAAAGGGCGGTCACATGTGTGCATATTTTTTCGACCTACTACTCAAAGCCGCACATCCACAAACGGAGTAACAGAAACCTCACCCACAAGCCCATACTCTGCAACCCTCGGCGCAGGAGCCCCGGGCTTATCACCATAACTCCTCAGACTGTCCCAAACAAGTCCCAGCGCATTTCCATACGGTGTAGCAACAACAACTTGCAGCTCATTAACTCCATTTCTCAGGTAAGGTGTCAAGTCAGCTCTAGCGTCTGTGACATCTAGAGGTGGGAGAGGTACGCCGTTGAGATATGCTCGTGCAGTGTGTATTATACTGCCGAGGTTTAGTTCTGCGCCTGTGGGTTTAGATGATGAATAAGGTGGCCAGGTGAATGAGGTGGAGTAGTAGCCTCGACCGGAGACGTGGCTGAGATTTGCGTTTGGGATTTGGTTCCATGGGATGAGTGAAGTCAGGCTGTGGGTTGTGTTTGTTTTGACTGTGCCTTCGATATCGTAGAGATTGGAAGGTGCTGTCCAAGATTCGATGATCAGTGTCCAGTTCTTGAGTGCTATTGGTGTCAAGGTTGAGGTGGGTAAGGTGACTGTGGTGCCGTTTGAGAGTTTCGCTGTACATGTTTTATGACCACAGTTGACCAGATACTTGCCATGGGATACGGTATTGATCTGCTCTGAGCTGTGCTCAACGTGTACTGATGGCTTTGTGTATGTTCCAGCTCGCTCAAAGGCTAAGATCGTTGTCTGATTTCCAGCCAAGGTGATTGGTATAGTCGTGGTGTTCATATATTGTTGATAGTCAACAATGGGTGTTTTCACACCAGTCCAAGCATCGTAAATGTACGGAGTGCCAAGGATTTCGAAAGTTATATTGCCTGTTGATGCACCAGATCCTCTAGACAGCCCTGTTGCGTCGTTGTAGATGAAGACATACGATGTAGAAGCATTGGTATCCTCACGCCAATTGGTGAACCACGTGGTGTTGGACACCTTATCCTTGGAAACAGCAGTGCGTGGTATGATTCCAATGGCCAACAGAGATTTTGCAAGGTTTTCATATGGCACAGAGTGTACATTCTTCAGCTTCAACAGTCTAGTGAGATCTGACTTGATTGTACTGAGAGGCACAGTAGTCGTGCCAGAGACATTCAACGGGATGCCTCCAGAGAAGACGACCGGCAGACCTTGATGAGCCCATTCTGCTAATTTGGACACGCCCGAGGCAGTCAGAGTATCATTCCCGCGAACAATGATAGCCTTGAAAGATTGTCGAGTTGGCGCAAGAACACCATCGCAGACTTGTGCTGCTGGAAGGGAGAAGTCATCGGGTGAGAGATACTCATAGGTGTATCCAGCATCTTGCAGATCCGTCGGCCAATAACGTGTGGGTACCGAGGGGTAAGATGTATCTTTGAGCCAAAACACGACATCCCTCTTAGGAACGCCAGCTTGAGAGACGTACTGCACCCGAGATATGTAGTTCATAAAATCGCTGTAGAAGTCCCAGCCAGGTTGATGACGATTGTGCATTTCAGAGAAAAGATAGCCGAATGTTGTCCAGGATGGCCAAGTTGAGTTGGGATATACTCCTGTGTAAGGATATCCATGTAGAATATGGTTGTTGACACCCCCAACGTAAGATCGCTTGAGGTCCCATAGAAGCTCAGGAATGGTTTGCTGGTAGACTTCCGTCGTGACTGCACCGGACTCAGAGGATATGACGCGTTTGCCTGCAAGGTTGGCAGGACCGGCGTATTGCCTGTAGCCGTCAATATTGTGCGAGAAGCCGAGAGTCTCAGTCTCGGGAGCGTCGACGCTAGGAATGTTGGCAAGCATGTCCATCGGCAGGTTGTAGACGACTTGTGCAGATGACTGCATGCCTACGGAATGGGCCCACTGAGTCAACGTATTGAGGTACTTGACGTTGAGCATTGTGAGCGTCTGACGGTAGTCCGTGACATGACTGGCACCGGAGTCAGCCTCATCGGTGACATAGATGACCGGTATATTGTTAGCTCCAAACGAAGTGCTAAAGCCAGCATTGCCACTGAGTAGCAGCGGTAAGTAACCTTTGACACTGTAATTATGATCGGTGGTGAAAGCACTAGCGAGTTCAGGAGTCCAGAGCACGTTGGCAGGATACTCTTGACTGGCAAACGCGTTAGCAATCCTGTTCATCATTCGACCGAGTCCGAGAAGTTCGATACCTATCTTCCCAGACGTAGTTACCAACTTCTTGCAACAGCTGAGTGGTATCGCTGCCATTGAGCAGGTAGCGTTGCCAAAAGTCGACCACTAGCCCAGCACCCTTCTCCGAGAAGTGATCCACAACCCAAGAGCCATTCTGTACATAGTTCGTCACCGGAGATTGAGCAACTCCCGGGATGACAGATCCAGGTGACCGCTGCTCTCTGAACTCCGTGTGGACGAGATAGTAAGCAAACACAACATAGCTTTCGCCGGATGTGCCAGAAGGGAACTGGATCTTCAGACGGCCGTCAGAGCCGATTTTGGTAGTAATGTCCGTTAGTGACTGATGTTGTAGAGTCTTGCGGATAGCAGAGGTAGTGTTTGTAGTTTTGGTAAGCAACGCGGAAGAAGCTGACACCAAAGGCCCAGTGCCCCAACCTGGAAGGAGACCGTCGAAAATGCCACCAATCGGGACAGTGATGTTAAATGGTTGAAGGTCCCATTGAAGTCCATCGGACTCATATGGAGCTGGCACTCCTGCACCTTGATTCGGCCCCATGGCCAAATCGATGATGAGTCCACTATCTCTTGATGCCCTCAGGGCCGTGTCTTGAAGTTCTCCTGCAGCGGATTAGACTCTGAGACTCGATATATCGAAAAGGGTCTGAATAAACTCACGCCAGGCCTGCGTACCCCATCCATACTTGGTCCAGTCGGTAGGAATGGCTGATGTGAAGAATGTAGTGTCACCATAGTTGTAATATCCAAGCAATTCAACACCTCCCGCACCAACTTTCTTGACCTCTTTGATATCTTCTGTGACTTGACTGAGGTTCACCGAAGCATCAGGTATCCAGTAACGAAATCTTGGACGAACATTTGATGAAGGTGTTTCGAAAGTGCCATAGTCGATGCCTGCGTTGACCTGAGAGTTTGTTCCAATTGCGAGAGCCGAAGGCAGGACAACAGCCGCTGACAGGATGTTTCTAGATCTCATAGCGCAGCTTGAATGTTCACGAAGACGAGCATCTCCTACCTGCCTCGACCTTAGTAACCAATTTTATATCTTACTTTGATCCATCCCCGCATCCTCTCCACAGGAACTTCCATCTGCCCCGTTCTAGATCAAAGTGACTAGGTTGCCGAATGACCTAAGCTCGGGCGTTGATATACCGGACATCTGAGTGCACCTGCTTTGCTAAGGTGTGAGTTGACGAGGAAGACTAGGGCAGAGTTGTGACATCCGAGGGCAAGGTCAGATAGCCTTTGTGTGGCGCAAGGTACCCCACATTGTGGGGATAGACAGTCGAAAGGAAGGAGCGTGGAGCACTCGCGGCTGGGTCATTGCCCTCCGAGCCGCCATCGGAACCTCTGGCTGTGGAGAAGTCTTCATGTCATGAGGCTTTGAACCGAAGAGCAACCAATATCGCATTGTCTGGCTTCAACGTAGTGGGTGAATTGAATATGCCAGGTCTATTATGGGAAGCTGCCCCATGACGATAACCTATAAGCTCGGAACTCCTGGAGGACAGCCGCACCCCAAACCAATCTAATCATTGTGTCTAATCATAATAATCATCTCTGTCGGACACCCTCAGCGTTGGCAGCTCCATCTCTCGAGGTTGAGCCCTGTTTGGGGTCGATGCCTTCAACGTTCTCAGAGTGATGAGGTTGCGTTTGTGACTCTTTTTTGACCGTCTTTAAAGCAGGATCCGTCTCGTCAAGAATGGCTTTGCCGTCAGGAGTGGTCTGCCACCTTGCAACTTCCTTCTTGAGAGCTTCGAACTCCTTCTCCATGCGTCGGCCGAAAACGTCAATGTAGAAAGTGGCGCCATTGTAGGTGGCCCACGTAAAGACGACCATAAGGAAACCTGCACTAGCCCAGCGGGACCAGAACCACAGAGGACAAGGTGTCATGGTGATAAGAGCGTATCCGTATTGGATAAGCATAAAGGCGGGTCCTTGCAAAGCATTGGGCAGCGAAAGCACGAACTTTCCGAGAGGGTTCTTTGCATAGGACTTGCGAAGCCACGTGAAGGATGTGGGACGACCTGTATCCGAGTCAGTACATGAAAAGTCAAATCAAGGCATAAGGAGGGATGCATACCGGCAGCAATCTTGTCCTTTCTCCTCACAGTGATGAGCAAGTGGTAGCTCAATTGCCAGCAAGCATAGGGTACGGTGGCCCACACGATCATGCCACCCAGAGTGTAGTGTTCAGGAGAAGTCGAGGGCGAGTATTTGATGCTGTAGATGGCAGGGAACTTTTCCTTTTGCAGCTCCTTGGGAATGAGATGGACGAGACAATGAAGCGTTGCGCATGGCATGATGTGGATGAAGAGACTGGAGGCAGTTAGAAAGGTGTCAGTGTATAAGCAGATGTAGACACGCACCTCGTGACTTTGTCCAGGGAGTGGAAGACCAGCGAGTTTCTCCACATGGCAATAGCGACAGCATTGTTGCCCATGGCCAGACAGTAGGTACTGATGAACAGTCTCTTACTGCCAGGGAAGAACCACATGGTCAAGAGCATGAGCAGATTGACAAAGTAACACAGATCGGCCAGGAAGTAGTGGTAGCCGATCTGGTGGTACTTGTAGTAGCGCATGGGCATGAAGTAGATCAACTGAACGGTGTACCAGATGTGGAAGTACTCGGGATAGGCACCAATAAGGTAGCCAGAGATGAAGATGTTGAGGACACCGGTGATGAAGGAGAGCTTCTCTCGGAGGGTGACGGCTTTGGCGTCGTTCCATCTCTTGCCCAGTCTGTCGACGTTGTCGCGCATCCGTCTCTTGTACTTGTCCAACTGTTCGTCAGGCGTGGGTACGCGACGTCTCCACTCCTCGACCATCTTGTCTTTGGCTGTGATGCTGGACAACCTGAGCTTCTGCTGTTGGCGGAGCACCTTCTCCTTCTGGGCGGTGATGGAATGTTGGAAGCGCTCCAATCTCTGAGGCAGAGCAAGGTTCTCGAGTATGTCGAACATGGTCAAGCGGTCCAGTGGAGGGAAGCTCTCATCGTCGGGCTCGCTGAGGCTTCCGTTGGAAGTGGTTCGCGACAGGAGGCTGTAGCCCGGCGACGAAGGCTGAGATGCCATGTCGGAGTATCGTTGGGCATCGACGGCTGAAAGGTAGTCGGCATCGGGAGCAGTGTTCTGGCCTGACGCTGCATCACCCGCAGCTGTCTCTGCCTTGGGCTTGGGTGTATCGACCGACTGTGACATGGCGGTGAACAATGAGGGAGAGGAGGGAGAAGAGGGAAGCTCGACTTGATGGTTAACCGAAAGGGCGGATCTGATGTGATGAAAAGGGGAGAGTGATCAGGTTGACATGGCTTCTCACGTGCACGATACGTGATGGAATGCAGCTCGGAGACAACGAGCGAGGAATACAAGATTACTTTTTGGACCATGTTGATCGAAAGCACCATGTCATTGGTCCGTGTACACGGCGCGCTGACCAGTTCCGCTCCGCCTGCGCTGCGGCCGCTGCCCCTTGGCGGCAAGTCGCGTGTGACGCGCCTGCCTGTATCAACGCGTCGCCCGACACGATCAGCTCTTCCACGCACATGCTCTGAACATAGCACTAAATCTCGCCGCCGTCAACATGGGCAAATTAATACGGCTCGAGTTGTTCAGTACGTCTGCTGCCCTGACTAATGCCTCGAATCATCTCGCTGACCATCGCCCATCGCGCAGACTTCAAGTCCTACAAGGGCCACCATGTTCTCCTCTTCGGCGATTCTTACTTCACCTCGATTATCGGTCCCAATGGCTCGGGCAAATCTAATTCCATGGACGCCATCTCCTTCGTTCTCGGCATCAAATCCTCCCATCTGCGTTCAACCCATCTACGCGATCTGGTTTACCGTGGCCGTGTTCTGAAGACTTCACGCATCAATGCCGACGGAACCGCTACCGAAGTCCCTGAGGGCGAGGCCCAGGAACAGGGGGCTGATTCTGGTGCACAAGAGGAGGATCAAGATACCCAGACCAGCACCCAGCGCGCCGACCCCACCAATGCTTGGGTTATGGCTGTCTACGAAGACGACGCCGGCGACGAACAGGCCTGGAAACGCTCCATCACCTCCACTGGCCAGTCTGAATACCGCATCAACAACAGATCTGTCTCGGCAAAGCAGTACAACGAGGCTCTCGAGGCTGAGAACATTCTGATCAAGGCTCGCAACTTCCTCGTCTTCCAGGGCGATGTCGAGGCCATTGCTTCCCAAAGTTCAAAGGACTTGACCAGGTTGATTGAACAAATCAGCGGCAGTCTTGAGCACAAGGCCGACTACGATCGACTCAAGATTGAAGCAGAGAAAGCAGCTGAAGACCAGGCTTTCAGACTCAACCAGCGCAGAGGCATCAACTCCGAGATCAAGCAATACCAGGAGCAGAAACGCGAAGTTGACAACTACACCCGCAAAGCCGACGAGAGAGACCAAGCTGTCGTGACTCACGTACTATGGAAATTGTTCCACTTTCAGCAGATGGTCGAGTCCTCCGGAGCCGAGATCCAGAAGCATCAGGAAGAGTTGAAAGAATACCGCAGAAACGTCGAGGCTTTTGAGACCAGACTTGCCGAAGCACAGCAAGAGCAAGCCAGAGCAGGCCGTGAGGTTCACAAGCTAGAGCGCAATATCAAGAACAAGGAGAAGGCCGTCGAAGAGAAGGAAAACGACCTTCTACCCATCAACGAGAAGATCTCGCTCTCCAACAAGAAGCTCGAAGCATCGCGCAAGCGTATCGCCGAAATCTCAAAAGAACGCGATGCCCAAGCTCGCAATGCCGACCAACTGAAGAAGGATCTCGACGTGGTACAAAAGGCTCAAAGCAGATGGCAACAGGAATGGTCGGCTGCACAACAACAAGCCGGACGTGAACTCAGCGAAGCAGACCTACAAGAGTACAATCGCTTGCGAGGAGATGTCAACAAGAGGACTGCAGCCGACCAGATCAAGGTGGACAACATTACTCGCCAGCTCAAGACGGATGAAGAGACCGTTGAAAGTCTGAAGAGCAAAGTCGACTCCACCGAGAACTACATTTCCAAGCTCGACAGTGACATCGCATCTCTGCGTTCGAAGCGCGATGAGCTGAAATCCACCGTTCGCTCCATTAACAATGAAGCCGATGGAAAGAAAAAGGAGTTCAACACCTTGACTTCGGAGAGGCTGAAGGCAGCTCAAAAACACACCGAGATCGAGGAAAAGCTCCAAGAAGTTCTGCACAAGCTCAACGACGCATCAGTGTCTCGACGAGAGTCCGAGAAGGAGACGAGAGCTCGTGAGACTGTCGCGGCAATGAAGAGAATCTTTCCTGGTGTTCGTGGTCAACTGTGGTCGCTCTGCAAGCCGAAACAGAAAAAGTACAACGTCGCTGTTAGCACTGTACTCGGCCGCCACCACGACTCTATTGTAGTAGACACCGAGAAAGTGGCCAAGGAGTGTATTCAGTATCTTCGTGACCAGCGTGCTGGTCAGGCCACCTTCATCCCGCTCGACACTATCATGCACAAGGCACCGAACGCAAACTTGAAGGGCATGCATAAGGGTATGCGCCTCGCCATTGACACAATCGACTACGACAATGCGGTTGAGCGTGCAATCTCTTTCGCGTGTGGTAACAGTATTGTGTGTGATGATCTCCAAATTGCTAGATACCTCTGCTACGACAAACATGTCGAGGCCAAGGCTGTCACGCTCGACGGAACTATCATCCACAAAGGTGGCTTGATGACTGGTGGGCATGGTTCCAACGATCAACGGAACGCACGGAAGTGGGAGGACTCGGAGGTCGAAAATCTGCGCCGCCTCAAGGACAAGCTGCTCGCCGACTTGGGCGCTCTGCCGAAGGGCCATCGTCGACAGGCGGAAGAGGAAGCATTGCAGGGAGAGCTCTCGGGTCTTGAATCACGACGCGCATATGCCGACGAGGAGCTCAAAGCACTCGAGTCCAACATTGCGAGCAAACGCCGTGAGCTGTCGCACGCAAGTGAACAGCTCGAGGACACAAGGCCCAAGTACGAAGAGCAGGCTCAGGGCGTCAGTACCTTGCGTGACCAGCTCGAGTCATACTCGTCTTCAATTGCGACTGTTGAGGACGAAGTCTTTGCTGCATTCTGTCAACGTCTGGGCTACAGCGACATTCGAGCATACGAAGCCCAGCAGGGTAGCGCCCAGCAAGAGGCCGCACAGAAGAAACTCGAATTTACTACGCAGCGCAGCAGATTGGAGAACCAGCTTTCGTTCGAGACACAACGTCTGCAGACTACCAAGGACCGTATCGCAAAATTGCAGAGCGATGTGAAAGAAGCACAAGCCAACATTGCTAATCTCGAGTCGGAGCGCGACACACTCAACAATGAGTTGGACGAACTCAATGCCGAGGTTGAGCAGATGAATGAGCAGTTGATCACACGCAGAATCAAGTACGATGAGAAGTCAGACAAAGTCGGCGAACATCGACGTGAAGTTGCGAAACGCTCAAAGTCGATCGAGAACACCAACAAAGATATCACCGCCTTACAAGAGCAGGTTCAGCGAGCCAACTCGGATCGTTACTCGTTGCTTCGCAAATGTAGGATCGAGGAGATCAGTGTTCCTCTTACCGCACAGAGCAGGAAGCTCGAGTCCCTTCCACTGGACGGCGGCATAGCTGCGGACGAAGATGTCATGGACGTGGATGAGGAGGAAAGTTCCCAACGGGTGCCTGGAGTCAACGACTACGGCATCGATCTTGACTTCTCAGAACTGGACGACGACTTGAAGGAGGACTCGTCTGACGAATGTGAGGCAAATTTGCAAGAGACTATCACGACCATTCAAGCCGACCTCGACAAGATGGCGCCAAATATGAGGGCCATTGAGCGCTTAGAAGGCGTTGAAGCACGACTCAAATCGACCGATGATGAGTTCGAATCAAGTCGCAAGGCCGCCAAAGAAGCTAAGGATCAATTTGACGAGATCCGAGAACTGAGATCAGATCTTTTTACCAAGGCTTACGATCATATCTCTGGTCAGATCGATCAAGTATACAAGGAACTCACACGCACAGCCAGTTTCCCACTGGGAGGCCAAGCATACCTGGATTTGGAAGATACCGACGAGCCTTACTTGAGTGGTATCAAGTACCACGCTATGCCTCCTCTCAAGCGTTTCCGTGACATGGAACACCTCTCAGGTGGTGAGAAGACCATGGCGGCACTGGCCTTGCTCTTTGCCATTCACACTTATGCCCCCTCGCCCTTCTTCGTGCTAGACGAGGTTGACGCTGCTCTCGACAATGCCAACACTGCTCGTCTAGCTAACTACGTCAAGGAGCATGCAGGCCCTGGCATGCAGTTCGTTGTCATCTCACTTAAGGTATGAATCTTGCAATGCTCGACTATGATGCAGTCGCTAACACTGGTAACAGACTGGACTTTTCCAAAACAGTGAGACATTGGTGGGTGTCATGAGAGATCAGACTGTGAACAGCAGTAGGACCTTGACTATGGATGTAAGTTTGAACCCATCCGACGATTTTACGTTGTACAAAGCTAACGTGATTGCAATAGCTTCGCAAGTACCAGGCTGCATAAAAGTGTCTCTTCTGATCAAGGATCTGGAGAGGAAGGAATGAAGCGCTGTGTAGTATGCTTTTACCCCGCCCACGAAGCCATATGTTTTCTCATCGTAGCACGAGAAGTTACGCAAGGGGAACAGCCACGATTGTAATTATTAGCCATTGCTCTATACCGATTACAACATGTGAGATTTCCAGCCATCAATAAACAGGCTTGATATATTCCAATCTACATACAACAACAAGCAAGAAGAACAAGATATGGAAAACGTGAATGAAGACAAAAATGGGCAAGTCGCATACATGAAAGGGGGTGTGAGTGCGTGTCTAGAAGAAAAGAATGCATGCTTTTTTCTTTCTCAGGCTATGTGTAAAAGACCCCATTCATCGATCATTCCTTCCCATCTTTTTGTGCTCCAAGAAAAAAAAAAAGACAGAAGATCGTTGCAAAACATCAACTCCCCACTACCACTACTGCTAGTGCTACATCTCCACCACGTCGGTCATCGTCAAAGGAAATAGCTCAGCTCTAAGTTCTGCTGCCGAAGCCACCACGTCTGTATGCACCGCCGGCGGAGGAACCGCCACGGCCGCCAGATGGAGGCTCGTATCTACTGCCAGAAGCGGGAGGAGGGGTTTCACCATCACCGCGGGGAGTTCTGGGGGCCCAGCGTTGGGAAGGAGCGGCGGCGGGGGGAGCGTCGTCGGAGGAAGGTGCGGCACCAGCGCTACCACGCATGTGAGGAGGAACGTAGCCCGAACGCTTAGGAAGGGCTGCCTCTGAGGTCTGGACGCGCTCGTCGGCTGGGGGTGCAGCGGGGCGAGCGGCCTCGGGTGCGGGTGCGGAAGATGAGGGAGCCTCTGAGGAACCATCTTGGGCCTCCTTAGCGGCCTGGCGGTCGCGCCATGAGGGCTTGCCACCAGCAAGGGCGAGGCGGGGAGGTCCTCCGGCTGAGGCGGCGACGGGCTCTGCGGGTGCAGGGGCGCCGGATCTCTCCCAGCGCGAAGGAGCGGCGGCAGCGGCAGGACCTGCTTGCTTGCGCTCTGCACGACGTGCCTCGGCCTCCTCTTCGCGCTGGCGTTGCTTCTCGGCAGCAGCAGCGGCTTCCCTGTATGATGTATTAGCATTGCTGTTTTGGTGGGTAATGGTTCAGTGGTAGGAACGTACTCTCTCGACTTGACTCTCTCCTGCTTCTCTCTCTCCATTCTCTCGCGCTTCTCAGCATCGGCGCGCTCCTTCTCTTCGGCCTCTCTGGCCTCTCTCTCCTCTTGCTCGGCAGCTCTGGCAGCGGCCTCTTCGGCCTCCTGCTTCTCACGTACCATGCGCTCCTTGACCTCGCGGCGGCGCTGATCCATCTTCTGGTTGAGCTCGCGCTCTGCGACCTTACGGCGCTTCTCGAACTCGGCGTGACGCTGCTCGGTGACATTACGCTTGAACTTCTCGTAGGCGGGCACCAGACGGCTGAGACGGTGCTTGAGCGCAAGAGCCTCCTTGTGCTTCTCCTCGGCATCCTTGAGAGTCTCGGACTTGGTCTTCTCATAAGCGGCCAAGTCACGCTCGCGCTGAGTCTCGTAGTCGGCGCTAAGGTGCTTGAGCTCCTCCTTTCTGTAAGCACGCTCGAGATGGTCAACTCTCTTGGCAGTGAATCTCAGCTTCTCGCTCATCTCGTTCTTCTCCTTCTCGAGGGCCTGGAGCTTGATCTGGCGGATACGGTTGGAATCGAGGTCGTTGATGTCGAAGCTATCGATATCAACACCCTTGACACCTTGCTTGAGCTCCTTAAGCTGGCGTTCCATCTCCTCTCTCTGGACCTTCTCCTGCTCCTGTCTAATGCGACGAGCCTCACGCTCACGCTGCTCATCAGCCAGACGCTGAACTTCAGCCTCTTGCAGTTGTTGCTGGCGTTGTCTCTTCTTCTGTGCCTCCTCGCGCTCCTTGGCAGCCAATGCGTTGGCAGCAGTCTCCTTCATCTTGGAGATGAGCTCGGAGCGAGCAATGGTGTCGAGGTGCTCCTTGTCAGCGCCAGCCTCGGCACGCTTGAGAGCGGCCTGCTTGGCCTTCAGGCGAGCCTCGTTGAAGCTGGGGTCGACATATTGGCAGGTGATGAACAGAGCCTTGGACAGACGGGTGAGCTGAGAGCGGACAATCTCAGCTGGGGTGCTCTGCAGACGCTGGACAACCTCAGTACTGGCGGAACCAGCACCACTACCGGGGTGAAGGGCACGTGCCGACGAGAAGACGTCAGAGTCGAATGTCAAGACACCGGTGGCGTGGTCGATGCGGATAGCCAAGTCACCCTTCTTGCAACCGTTCATGATGAACTTCTCAATGGCAGCGGAGCTCATCTGGAACTCCTCGGGGAACTGGGCAAGGTCAAGGACGAACTTGAGCTCGACAGTCTCGTAGACCTGAGACAACTGCTGGAAGAGACGGGTAAGGATAACCTGCTGAAGAGGCAGGACGTACTTCTTCATCTCAGGGTCGGCAGCGATTTGGGTAAGGATAGGGGAGATTCTCTTGCAGATAGACAGAGGGTGGAAGTCGACTTCGAGAATGTTGTAAAGCTCACGGATCTCAGGTCTGGCACGCTTGAGGAGACCCTTGTTGATGGCATCCTTGAACAGAATGTCACGAGTGGGGGGTGCTGACATGCCGAGGAGGTTAGTAAGACGGGTGTTCTTGTTCTTCTTGGCCTCGTCAACATCGACCAGAGCACCGCGCGAACGGGAGGTGCTAATGACGGGAATGGCGAGAGCGGACAGAATGACAAAGGAGGCGGCCTTGGTAAGGTCAGCATCGCCAATGTTTGAGGGGTTCTCCTTCTTCTGGCCCTGTCCGGCGTTGATGATGGCAGCGGACTGGCGCAAAAGGTTGCAGTAACGGCTCCAGGCGGCGGCGTGGAACAGGTAGTTCTCGCTGACAAGGAAGATACGGGCCAGCTTCTCGAAGTAGTTGGCCATCATGACGTTCTTGGCGGGACGCTTGCTCAAGGAGAGAAGAGTGTGGGTGTCCTCAACAGACTTGAAGGCCTCCTGCCACAATTCGAGCTCAACAGCAACATTGAGCTGCTGGAAGCGAGTGTCGAGATGGCGCTGGAGAGTGTCGGGGTCACTGAGGTTGATGGCGTGCATCTGGGACGAGTACTTTGCGGCATTCTGGAGATGGTTGCGGAGCAGCTCACACAGTCTGCGGAACTCGGTCTTGCGGGCGTAGCGGAGACAGAACTGGAAGGCCTGGAGAGTGACAGTCTGGTACATGACCTCGAGTCTGGCGTTGTTCTTGAAGATGTCCAGAACGGTGCGGTAGGTCTCCCACAGGAACTTGAGCCAAGGAGTGACGATGGCACGGTCGGTTCTGTCGCGGGCCTGCTCGCCGGAAACGGTGGACAGGAGAATGGATTCGGGTGTCTCACTGGCCTCAAGATCACCAACGTTGGCCAGGTCGGCGGATGTCTCTGCGGCGGAAGAGACCTCGTCAGCCTTTGCCTGGGCCTCGGAAACCTTGGACTCGGCGAGTTCGATGAAGCGCTTGAAGACGAGCTATGCGTGTGTCAGTGAACGCGCAAGCAGAGTAGCACTGGTGGTGGATTGTACCTCAATAGTGGCGACATTTGTGTTTTGCGAGGTGTTCTTGTAGTTGTAGAGACCGTCTTTGGCGGCTTTGCCTTTTCTCAACTCAACACAAAGTTCGACAAAGAGGAGGACAACGGGTTCCAGGGAAGCGATGGTGCTGTTGCGAGTGCGCTTGGAGGTGACATGCTCGTGGAGGATGGTCAGAGCCGACTGTTTCTGGTTGACTGCGATGAGCTCCTGCGCTCTCTGTTGGCGCAATATCGTTAGTCCTCAGTCGTCGTTTGGCGCCAGCAGAATGCGAGCAGAACTTGCCTTGAGCACGTTCTCGGGTTTGGTATGCGGTGGAGGAGGCATGATGATAATATGGCGACCTTCCTGTCGTTGAACGAGAGATGCCGTCAAGATGTTTGATTTTTCCCAGGCGTCGCTGCCAGGTGCGGCTCGCTTGTGATTGGCCAACACGACTTTGGCCCTCAGTCGCGCCAAGATTTCGCATGGCTTTGCTCTGTCGAACGCGAAACTCAACTTCTCACCTACATGATCAACAACATGTCTGTGACTGAGAATTTGTGCACCGTCTCATAAGGATTTATAGTTATTATAACCTGCGGAGGTATTGAACTGCCAATACCTAGCAGTGCATTCACCATGTGAGAGTCAACCGGCTCCTTTCGGTATTTACACTTCTGTAATCTGTTCTAAAAGTCCTATGCGATCGACTACCGCATCAGAGGACAAGATATCTGAGACTTTTCGTACAATTCGAGGTATGTTATCATCACAATGAGCATTAGTCGAAAGCAGTCACGGCCAGCCCGGCAGCGGTGAAGCGGCTCAACTCAAGCAACCCCTGACTTTCTGGGGTCCAAAGCCAGATTCGGTGTTGCTTCGCAGGGATAGACGTGCCTCGCAGACAAGATGCTGTAAATAGTGTCTGTGTATCCAAGAGCTGGATTTGACATTTTATAGATGCATCCCTCACGTCACACAGAATAGAACGGGCCAGGCAGTCAGTAAAGACAGTAGAATAGATAGGCGAAACCGTAGATGCCAAGACGCTATTCCCAATCTGCAATGCAATTTGAGGAGCGCAGTGCCCATCCGACCACAGGTCCACAACCGTTCCTCGTCCTCAAGACACGACGATTCCTGCACCCTCGCCGCTGTGTAACGTCGATTTTCCCAGTGGCCTTCCTCTTCACTGCGTCGCTCATTACCCCATTTGTCTGCATCTGTCTCCCGGCCACGAGAACAACACGCGCGCGACGTCGTCCTCTTCTCCCTTGATCCCGGTCCATTGGCTCCCACGCCTCGCCCATCTACCGTGCGACATCCTCGTGCTTCGTTCGCTTTTCGTCAAGCTGACCACTTATGACAGTCGCCAACACTCGTCGCTAGTCTCTCGTCCAATTATCCTGCCGCTCCGCTCACCCTTATACCTCCTACGCCCATCTTCAATTCCCTAATCTCTCCAATCCTCGTCCAACTCCTCCACAATGTCTCAGCCGTACGAGATTCGCAACAACGACACCGGCAGAAGCAAGAAGCAGAGCATGGCCGAACTGAAGCTACGCCGTCTCAATGAGCTGAACCAGAGATTGCAAGAGGATCTCAACCGCAGAAGAATCCCCGTCTCCGAGGCTTCCATGGAGTGAGTCTGCGCGGAAACATGATACAATCGTGCAAAGCTGACATATATCTCCTCAGCCTCATCGCTTTCACCGACAAGGAACCCAAGGACTTCATGGTTCCCAGCCGCTGGGGCACTGTGAGTATTACGGGACAATTATCAAAATAACACTTCTGACATGTCCATCTAGATCGACAAGCGCGATGACCCTTACGCCCCTCAACAATCTGGCGGGTGCTGCATCATCATGTAAAGCAGCCTCCCTTTTCCTTTCACAAGAGACATCATACCGGGTTTCCAGCACTGGCGTTTTAGGCGGAGAGTGGTGCTTCGTGTTTCGACTTAATCTTTTTCCTCTTCTCTATCTTCCCGACCCGAGCAAGATGCGCCAGCATGGTAGATTGGCTGTGCGCTTCTGGAAGGTACTTGTAGCATAATGTTCTTATGGATTGATCAATCTCGGTCTTCAACAATTTCTTTTTTCAAGCAATGAGCATTCTCGATGAAGTTACATCCGCTGCAGGTTGCAAAAAGAAAAACATTCAAGCTTGGAACTCGTAGTAGTCATGGCACTCGCCGAAGGATTCAAGATTGCAAGCACGAGCAAAAAGTAGAGGTGGGTCGGCTAGACCAGTAACGCGAGACGAGGTGCCGATGGCGAAGCTAATACCAGGCGCATGGGACTTCTTCATCAATTGCATGCGTATTCAATAGATGTAAGGTCGAGATGTCGCTCGCCATGGTGTGTGTAGTTGGCTTCGGAAGAACATCTTTTCCATTGACCATGGCCCGGGCCCAGTGGTCCTTCTTTAATCGAGTGGACCAACCTGAAGATGTCATACTTAAATTCTCATTATGTTGGCACAAGAGACAGCCGGTGTCGCTGCTTGATAGAAGTGAGTACGTTAGATATTAACGCCCTGAAGGTTTCTTAAACATTAGGCAGAAACCGGCTGCTCCACGCCCGTGCCTATTTCAAACCAAATGCTTGAAGTGACATCCCAGTGACATTCGCGCCCCAGTTCTCGGCAAGCCGAAGCCGATTCGCGAGACAGAAATTTGGCTGTGAATCGATGTGCTTGCTTATACATGTTGAGTAGCGAATCGGTCTGGTAATTGAACAGGAAAGGTAGGTACTGCGTACTCGGGAACTAAGCACTCTGGAAGATCTGCGATGGTTGCGGCAGGTCATCAGGACCATTTGGCGCCACATTGCTCTGGGGGCTTGAGCAGGATCACGTTCGATGCTTGAGACGGAAGAGATGTATAGTGCAAGTAGAAGCAGCCTTCTATGCACACGGGTGGGTTTGATAGATCATTTGCTTCCAAGTTGATTGTGACCTCGATCAAGGGAAGTCGGGCTAAATGCATCGCAATCCCGAGATCTTCTAGCTCGTGCACTGGCCCTCCTCCTTGGTTTCTCCATTTCCTCCAAACAGGGTCTGTCAGTCCGAGATACTTTGGGCGCAAAATTCTATTCTTCCGAGTCGCTCATCTATCATGCTTTCAGGTAGGGGTCTGATACATGGGCAACAAGATGATTATCTGGTTCCAGTCTGGTATAGCTCGAGTGACATGTGTGTATCTGTCTTGTCCAATGCGAAACAAGTCTTCCCGGGATGCACAATGGGATAGAGTTTGTTGCACGCCTTTTTTCCATTTGTCCCATATCTTTTAGGCCGCGCCCGCGCCCGCCGCCCGCAAGCAACCACTGCCCCCACCAGACTAGCCGTCTTTCGGCCCACACGGTCTTGTCCCAACGCCCACTGGGTCTCAGGGAGACCCAGTCAGCCGGTCGTCACCACATCTCATTCGAAATTCGAGCCATCTTTCCAGTTCGGCGCCATTATTGTCGCCGGTCCTGATTCGCGTCACCACAAGCGAGCTCTCTCGTATTACAATACCCAGTCGCGCCTCGCGAAAAATCGTAGGGGTCTATCGAGCCACCTGCGGCAACAGCGACGACATTTGTTCCTATCTCAGCGCCGGATAGCCTTTGGAATGAATCACACCGAGCAGGCGCAGCCATGGTCGCAGTCGGATCACATCGACATGCAAGACATGCACGATATTGACTTCGCGAACTTCCTCGACATTGGTGACATCGGCGACATTGGCGACATCGGTAACCTCGACGTGAGCGACTTCCCTTCGCTCGACGGGCCTGATGGTCAAGCGCTGGGCTCGAACGGCCCGCTGCACGACTTTGGCACCAAGACGTTTGAGCTGCCATCTGCATTGGACGTACAGAACTTCGGCCAGGCCCAAGCATGGGGACATCGACAGATGGCGCAGGACATGTACCGCGCGCCAAACATAGTCCCGCCTACACCAAACAGCTACGACCTGCAAGGAAATGCGCGCCACTACATGGCTCAGCAGATGGACTCGGGAGCCGGCCCTTTCTTCGAACAGCACCGTCACTTGACAAAGGACGACAACATGGCTTTCACACCGTTGGTCTCGCCAGCCGTCACGCCGAGAGACTCGACCTTCCATCCCATCCCCGAATACACCATTCCTGGCGCATACTTCAGTCCACTTACTTCTCCAGCTTTGCATGCACAGCAGCAGCAGAATCGCAGCTATGCTCATAGCCATTATACGAATCCGACCACAGCCGACAGCTCGGCTGCCGCTTCGCCGCTCGACCTCAACATGGACGTGGACTCGTTGAAAGACATGACAGATGCTGCTCCTCGCAGAAGTAGAAGGAAGCCCCAGGCGCCGCATTCAACGGGTCCTGCTGCTCGCGTGCGACAGTCCCCCATTGTCAAGGGACAGAGACGTCGCTCGGCTCATCTCTCGACCGTCATTCCCCCTCGCGAAGTCAATAACATCTTGATCGAGGCACAGAACCAGAGCCAGGCTCAGGGTTCTCGTACTCCTTCCACCGAGTACATGTCGTATGCCCATGGCTCGAGCACAGAGTCAATATCGCCCGAGGCCTTGCCTGATTCAGCCATGGGCCCTCCTCCTCTACCCGCCTCTGCCTATCAATCTCCAGCCTTGCAGCCCCAGAATCACTCTGCTCCTGCTTCGACTCCGATCCATTCCCACCCAGGGCCATGCGCTCCTTGTCCTGCTACCCCTGCTTCATTAATGTCTATACGTGAAAGTCAACATCAAAATGCTGCAAATTCTTCTACTGGGCCACATCCGGGCTCTGGTCAATTCCAGATTCAGTCACAGGATCAGATGGGTATGCTCGAAGACCTTGCTTTACCTCCTGCTGTTGTGGACACCGCGCGTCCGGTCGTCAACAGAGTCGACGCAACGTTGTCAGGCGAAACCACTCCTCGTCTGGCACCGGCCACCAAGGGCACACCTAGACTGGCTCCATCGAATTCCACCACTGCAAGCCCCATGATGGGGGCCATGCAGTCGCCTGCTATCATGTCAACACCATCATTTTCGGGCAAGAAGCTCGAACCGAAACGTTCGCGGCCAGCGAAGACACGCGGCAGTGTCAGTACATCGTCCGCCCTTGTTAGTCCGGCTATTCGACCAAAGATCAGTCCTAGTATCAAGCCTCTGCTGCCCGAAGGAGGTACGTGTTGTCGCCGTCTCTCAGCAATTCCGTTTACTAACCACATTCTTGTAGGCCTCAGCGAATCTCAGCAGGCACTTCTTCTCGCATCGAAATCCAATTATACTCATCTTCTCGAAGGCACACGACTCCCTGGTGTCTCATACCCAGAGTCTTTGTCTATGGGCTTGACATCAAAACGTACCTCACACAAAATCGCCGAGCAAGGTCGTCGTAACAGGATCAACGAAGCTATCAAGGAAATGCAAACGCTACTTCCCAAACTCAAGGGCAAGGGCAAAGCGGAAGAGATTGCCGAAGAAGAGGAAGAAGCTAATGCCAAGGATGGCAAAGGCAACAACACAGCCGAAGGCAGGAGTGCAAACTCCAAAGCTGCTACTGTGGAAAGCGCCATTGATTACATCAAACTACTGCAGCATGAGAAGAACCTCGCTTTCGACATGCTCAAGAAGAAGGACGAAGAAATGGCTGCTTTGAGAAAGCAACTAGAAACTGCCGATATCACGACATCAGGCAATGACTCAGCCAACGATTCAGTTGTCGCGAGCAGTGGCGAGGATACCAGCGAGCCTGAAAAGATGGAAGACGTCACTGTCTCGCCGTAAACTCGATCTTTCGATTCTCTCTTCTCGGTTGGCCTTCGATTCTCTCTTCTCGGTTGGCCTTCAAAAAACAGGCAAGAGTTATGGCGAGATCGTCTTCGGATTTCTGCTCTCACTCCCCTTCTCCTCCTCTACCCTTCCTGCACTCATGTTTTTATAATACTGCCACCATCATCCCTTCTCTCTCCTGGTTTCCTCTTATCGTTATCTACGCGTCTCATGGTTGGCTGGCCCTCTATTAGGAGAGGCTGTTGTTCGGTTTGGGATTCTCGTTTCTGTCTTTAGATATCCGGCACTTTTGGAGCCTCCTGCTTTGTTTGTTTTGGTACACAACATATTATATTTGAAATAAGAAAAACATGACTAAAACTTTCTTCGACTTCATTCTCCCGCGGTGACGCTCTCGGAGTTTAGAAGCTCTTGTTCTCCTCGGTCTTTGTTCTTTTTTTTTTTTTAGACATGGCTACCGGTTGCTCAAAAACCACGTTGTTTTTGTTCAGCGGTCTTGTGCTGAATTCTATTCTTGGGATGGATAAGTGTGATTGCATGCAATGCTTTGCATACAGTTGTACTAATATCTGCCGCTACTGGATTGGGCGAAAGACATCAATATTCATGCACATCTCCCTTGTCGGCTCAAGACTCCCAGAGCACACCTCGTCCGTTCAAAGATACGTATATCTGGGCTGCTGTGCTGTCAAGGTCCTTTTTGCGTTCCGCTGCTGTCTTAAGAGAGGCCACCTGACGCGTGTAGTCAGCGAAGGCTTCGTCCGCCCTCTCGATCAAGAACTCTTCGTATGGAGTCAGGGGCTCAACCTCGGACTCTGGATCGTCCTGTTGCCGTTTGATCAAAGCCCTCTTGTTTGGCACGTGCTTCCTTTTCTCTCTCCAAGAGTACCTCCATCAATTCCCATTCCATGCTCACCCACCAAGACCGGGGATCATCGTGGCGCATTCTTCTTCGTCTTCGTCAGAGGTTTTGGGGATGGCTCGGAGCCAGAGCCCTCCCATTGGAAGAGAAGGGTTGATGGACATGTTTGACTAAGACGACTTCCTTTCGTAGGGTCGGAGGGAATCTGATGAAGGAGGAGACAACGCTGATATTCGCGTATAATCTGATAGAGCAGAAATCCTATGATGAAAGAAGTGTGAAAAGTAGCTGTTCAGGCTGAGTCAAGATGTGAGGCAGCCGAGCCACGTGCGAGAGACATGGAAATCAGGCAGTCGCGGTCAGTCCGAATGTCACAATCTCGCATCTTGTTCACCTTGCGCCTTCCATTGTGACTGGAACAAACCATCACGTGGAAGCATGTAGATCACGTCCATCAGTCTGGAAGCCAAAGTGTTGATTCGAGATATGGTCAACAATTGTATTATCATAATCGTTTAAAGTGCGGTACCAAAGGCTCATCAAGGACTTCCGTGATGGTGATCATGCAAACCCTTCATCTCCTCTTCTGTGAACTCCTTTTTGTGGAGTTCAAAGAAGTCCCACATTGGTTTAGTGGACTTGCACTGATGTGTACGATTCCATCCTGTTGCGATGGGCTTACTAGCATCACCAACGCACATTTCGATCGTGTTATCTGCGTTGCAGATGAGAGCCTGTTCGTCGAGAAGGTCAAGTCAGTAAATCGTTACTCATCGAGTGTGGAAGCGAGTAATGATGTACCTGTCGAAGATAATCCAGACAATGGTACCAATGCACCTTTGTCAAGTCCGTGTAGCCACCATGCAAAGCGCGTATGTGATGGTGTCCTTCATCAGGAGTTGAAGCAGTTTTGTTACCATATGCCTTGATAAGTTCATCCCGAAGTAGGCTGAGGCAATGCAGTTGATGAAACATGGAAAAGCCCGAATAACGAGCAATACCCTTTTCATCCTTTTCAAACATAAGGCCTTGATTCTCGGGGATCAAGCTCTCCCATGATGCATCTCCAGCAGCTCCAGAGTCCCAATACTCGACTTGCTCTTGGAAAGTGACTGAGTGGAAGGTGGTCGAGACACTACGGCGATATTTGCGGGCCCATTCGTCTTTTAGTGTGTATCTTCCTGTGGTTGTGAGGTCGGAGAATGTAATGATAGTGACAACAGACAACATCATCAGGAATGGAACGAGCACCCAAAATAGCCAGGGCGTGCATCTTCTGGAACGCTGATTTTCGTGAAGAGGGTGATAGATGTGTGACGCGGTGGGGCTGAATATGTGCTTGAGATCTCTCATAGATCGGAGGCGAGATGGTTCGGCATCTGTGGTCTCCATTATGGCTACCAATATGAAGTTAGATGCGCATGAGTCCGAAGAGTCATTTTGGATTACCAGAGTGGCGCGCAGTAGTTCTCGGACAACACTGGCTTTGTTTCTCCGGTGGATGCTCGCTTCAATCTGTTTTGAGGTGTCAATAAGAACGCCAAACGACAACTCGATTAACGCCCATCAGACTATCGTATCTCACTCGTGTTATTACGGTAGTCTCCTTTCCTGGTGTAGTAGTTTCGTTTTCATGGTAGTTGTTGCGCAAGAGGTGGAGTAGTTGCGAAGTGCGAATCCTAGCGAGCTTCCTTGCGTTGCGCGGAGGCCTGGCGAAGACAATCAAGGAAGACGACTTGGGGGGAAGGAAAGGAAAATGAGTAGATACCAAGAGCACTTTGAGAGATTCATAAATCAGGACCAATCCATGAGATCACGCTATTGGAGCCCCTCAGAACAGTCAATCGGGCATTGCTCTTTACCTTGTTTGATTTAGGCTGCTGGGCAGACAAATGCATCCAGTGCCGCGAACAGATCTGTTACAGCTTCGTGCAACAACCCGCAGTTTGGAGATAGGCAGCTACATTGCTTATTGGATGAGAATGCGCCCCTCATACACATTACAACGTGGCGCGTGCTTCGATGTCGAGAGCCGGCCAAAGTGCTGGGAGTTGGTATAGAGCTGCATGCGTCTTCACCAAACACATATCGAAACTTGACAAGTCGTAAACTGGGGAGGCATTGGTCGTCGAGAAGATGTGGAGGGCGCCTGCGGGCCGCTCGCTGCTGCCTTTCACGACCACACACTGGAAATTGTAAAACAAGTCAAACCACCAGGGCTATTGTCATGGTGTTCAATATGCAAGCAAGGTCGCAAAAACAAAGTGCAAAACATACAGCAGCAGGGATTCCCACGTGGTCACCCACCGTAGTACTAATCTGCCGTTCAATTGCTTATGTATGGCAGAGCGGACGGGATGCCCAGTTTTCAGCTGACTGTGGCCGTATGTGCTCGATTTACTGACGTAGTGAATGATAGAGTTTGATCGACCGATCGCTCTTCAATACACGCACGATACTCTCGTGCTCCAAGTCATGATGAGAGCAGATCCTTATCGCTAAGGCTTAAGCGTCATCTATCCTCCAGCATCATACTTAAACACTAGCGGGTTGTTGATCGCCCGGCTTTGCCTTATAACTGATTCTACCTGCCGGCAAGAAGAATAATGCGATCAAAGCACCCTTACGTACTTCAGGGTAGTGATGCGTACGGGTCCAAGTGATGTCCACCCAGCGCCCTGCCAACCTTGCATACCATTCAATTCGGCAGCGGAGTCGACTTGCACTACACGGTTGATCTCGCCGTAAGGATGAGAGCGATATTGACCCGAGTACTGCATGATTGTTAGCGTATGATCATGGTCGACTTCATTTAGGCATTTTATACTTCCTCCTCACTCTCTATATATACGGTGGTGATGGAGAAGAACCCACCTATTCTCTGCACTTGGGAGAAGGATCTTGGACCGACGATACTTGGCTCCATCGAGTTCGAAGTTAGCGACCCAGCCTTCTGTGAGGCCTTTTCAAGTCAGATCGCATAGGTCTTCGTACACGGGATTGCCTGGTCCATAGTTTGAATTCAGATAGGCTTCGAGTTCATGGCCTGGTGTCCTGAAGATCTATCTCATTAGTATGAGGAAGGAAGCTTACATTCAATAGTCACTCAATGCTCTCAAGAGTTCGGTCCTGTTACATCTTTTCTTACGCTACATTAGGGGAGGACTGACAGGTCTTCGACTTCGGAGAAAAGGTCACGGCAACGCTTGACCGGTTTTTGAGCAGTTGGATAGGCTTAGATATCGACTTCCGTAAGAGGCACGTCATCATTGGACGAAGCCAAGTGTTTATGATATAGCAGGTAATTTTGTTTGTTTGAGCTCTGCCCTCATCAGTCGCATACATTGCTGTTACTGAGTCAATTGTGAAGCAACGAAGCCAATATACCTATGATCGATTAAGTAAAGATGCTTGATACCCGATCTATAACCCAAGAAGGGCATAGATACGTTGTATCTTCCTCACAGAGCAACTTGGATGGGAGACCAGGGTGAGTATTACGGCATCATGAGAAATGCACAAAAAGTTATGCAGACACAAGCTCTCGAGCTTACTGTCGCGCGTCATTCCAGGAAGGAACAGCTATTGTCGTCTCCTTGTCCATTTAATTAACATCCATCAACCATTCAATCGCGTCATTTTACATCTATCTCATCATCGACATTGTTCGAAATCCACTGATACATACCAAAACACGTCAGTGAACAACTCGCGACAAGATGGCCGAGTACACCAAGATGAAGAACGCCGACCTCGAGGCGCTGCTCAAGGAGCGCAACCTCCCTCACACCGGCAAGAAGGCCGAACTGGTCAAGCGACTTCAAGACAGCGATGCGCAACCCGCTGACGGCGACGCGCCCGCTGCCACCAAGAACGACGACGAGATCGATTGGGACGACGAGCCTGCCGCCGCCGCAGCTGCCAAAGCAACCACAGACTCCGCCTCCGTCGCAATCGCAGCCGGCGGTCAAGGACAAGCCCCAAACCCTCAAGCCGTACCAAACCAGCAAGCCGACATTGATCCTTCGCAAACAGACGACCTCACAGTGATCAAGCCCGCCGAAGACGCGTCAACAGCTCAACCCGCAGACTCCGAGACCGCCGATGCCAGCGCACCTGCAGAAGTTCAACCGGAAGAGCCGGCCAAGCCTGCCGTCGACTTTACCTCTGGACTCGCAAAGACGACTCTAGACCAAGAAATTGAAAAGCGCAAGAAGCGCGCAGCAAAGTTCGGCATGAACGAGGACGAAGATGAGGCTTTGAAGGCATTGGAACGCGCAAAGCGTTTCGGCAAGAGCGAGATGCCGGGAAAGCTTAACGAGGCCCTTCCAGAGCGTCGCGAGCGCAAGAGAGCTGCTCCCGCAGACGGAGAGCAGCAGAGTGCCAGCAAGAAGCCCGATGTCAAGCGCGAGAACAATGACAACAAGCGTGGTGGTGGTCGCAGGGGTGGTGGTGGAAGAGGAGGTGCAGCAGCTCAAGCCAAGGCTCCTGCTGCACCCGCTGCTTCTGCGCCTGCAAAGGAGAAGAAGCCGCAGATGAGCGAGGCGGACAGGGCAAAGGCAGAGGCACGAAAGGCTAGATTTGCATAGGAGGAACGACTTCGTAGTCACGGTATTTGGTAGACTTATACCTCTTTGTTGCGTCTCCTGGATTCCGAAGCCACTTTGACTGGTATCGTTGCAGAGATATCATCATTGACGACCAGAGAGGACATGACCGGATGATACTTGTGACGAGTACGCTTTGCGATGTTCGGGACTTGACTACTTTCCAGCATATTTCTCTTTTTGAAAAAGCGATCCTGTACCAGACTCGGTAGTGTCAAATGAAAACACTAATCTAAGATGAATACAGGAAACCGTCATGTGAACGTGGACGACGATAGTGTGAGATTCTTAAATGTTTTTCAGAGACTAGTCATTAAGCTCCTATACGCTTCTATGCTACATCTGGACCAATGCAGTGTATGCTTCGTCTACAGCTTGGCTCTAGCACTGCTCTGTGCCTCGGCCTCGGTGTACATTTCGTCAATGACCGAGCGGTACTTCTTCGCCGTTTGAGGTCTCTTGAGCTTGAGTCTGTATGTCTGTTAGCTTTCTAGGCATTTATGAGTATCGATCAAAATAAACTTACGTAGGTGTGAGGAGCTCGTTGTCGACTGTGAAAGGCTCCAACATCAACCGCACGTTACGGACCATCTCATATCTGTTGAACTTGTTCTTCTTGCCGATCTTGTCCAGCTCCTTAAGAACAGCATGGCGGACCTTGACGTCCTGCGCTGCGGCCTCCAGAGCCTTGAAGTCGGTTGCGCCCAACTGTCTGCCAAGCACCTTGCTAGCGAAGGGAGCAAAAGTATCAGGCTGGATTCCAAAGATGGCGACCAGGAATGCTCTGTCGCTGTCTCCGTGCACGTAGGCTTGTGAGAACCAGGTAGTGTTACCAAGGTAGACGTTCTCGATGCGCTCGGGCGAGATGTATTCACCCTGTGCCAACTTGAGAACGTTCTTTCTGCGGTCGATAATCTTGAAACGGCCGAGCTCATCCACTGAACAAATGTCTCCAGTACGGAACCAGCCATCTGGGAGAAGTGTCTTTTGTGTCTCCTCGGGATTGTTGAGGTATTCTCTGAAGACAGTGGGACCGCGGATCAGGAGTTCACCACGGGGGAAAGGCTTGTCTGATGCAAAGTACTCCATGTCTGGGACGTCCATCAGGCACAGCTCGGTGGTGGGCATGACTGCACCACAGTTACCAGCAGTCATGTCACCCTCGACCTGAGCACAAGCTATGGCGTAGGTCTCGGTCAAACCGTAGCCTTGGAGGAAGTTGTTTCCGAAGACTACACGCATGAACTGCTGCAAGGACGGGTCGATTGGAGCGGAACCAGAGACCATAGCTCTAACACGATCCAGACCGAGTTGAGCAGTGACCTTTCTACCCCAGATGCGATCGTAAAAGGCGTGCTTGTTTGTGGCTTGCTTAGGATCAGGGTTGTTCAAAGTAGCCAGCTTAGTGTTGACAACGTGTCTTGAAAGAGCTCCCTTGACACCAGTCGCCTCGAGAGTGGCAGTCTTGATGGCGCCACCGAAGCGGTTGTACAGACGAGGAACACTGATCAGACTGGTGGGTCGGAGAAGTTTAAAATCATCCACAAGTTCCAGAATGTTGCCGTGGAAGTAACCGATGGCACTGCCGGCCCAGAGTGCGGAGCCTTCAGTCACACGCTCGTAGATATGAGCGAGAGGTAGGTATGAGCACATGACTTCGCTCTCGCGCATGTCGACCAAAGTCATGGAAGCCGAGGCAGCAGCGACAGCGTTTGCTTGAGTCAGAACAACACCCTTGGGAGGACCAGTTGTTCCGGAGGTGTAGTTGATGGTGACAATGTCTTCCGGCTGAGGTACGTTGTAAGGACGGGGGCTCGCAGCGCCAAGTGCTTCGACGTCGCGGATGTAGATGACCTGGATGCCAACCTCAGAAGCAAGGGCATTAAGAATGTCGGCCTTTGAATTTCCAGGCAATTCAGTACCAGAGCTAAGAGGGTCTAGCGAGACGATGATCTTGAGAGTTGGACAGCGAGGAGCAATCTTCAGGAGGGTTGGGATGTGGTTCAGAGATGCGGCAACGGCAGCTAGCTGGGAGTGGTTGATGATGTATTCGGTCGTCTCGGGGCCGAGGGTTTCGTAGAGGGAGACAGTGTACAGGGACTGTGACATGCACCCCAGGTCTTTTGAGTCAGCACGTTTTCAGGCAGAGAGTCGGAGAGGCCATCGACTTACCAACAATCTGCCATTCTGGACGGTTTTGGCACCAGAGACCGACACCATGCTGTCTCCCGGTGATACCGTATTGCTGGTGGAGGTGCACCATGCCGATACCAAAGTTCTTTCTTCTCTCTTGGACCTGTCCATATGTCTCCCAAACGTAAGGGCCGAACGTCTTTGTGATGGAGTCGTAGGGACGGTGACCAAGACATCTCGAGTTGGGAGTGCGACTGGCTGGAGCAAGCAGTTAGCTTCTCTGAAAGTGGGAAGCGGAGCAGCTTCCAGATCACTTGCCTGTCTTTTCGAAGAAGTCGTGTGCAGATGTGACTTGAGGATCCAGAGTCTTCAATAGACCATCCTTGAATCTCCAATGTCTGTAGACCTTGCTGCGTCCTTCTGCCTCGCTGGCCTCGAGAGCGACGCTGTAAGGCGCGCCAGGTGGGGGAGGCGTTCTGATCTCGCTGGCTCGTGAGAGAACAAGGGGTGTTGCCATGTTGTCTCGAGTCGTCCGTGTTGATAGTCGGTGGAAGTGAGTGAGGTTGGATTACCACAAGGGATAGCCGCTGATTTGATCTACATGGAGGGTGTCAGCTGTTGACCTTCTAGATCGAGCAGGAGGAAGAGCGACGCCAGGCCCCTTCGGCGACCCCGAACGTGCATCGACAGGCACATACAAGACAAGAACCACCCAACGTGACCGTGACAATAACACACTCGATTGAAGATGGAAACAGACGAGAAGGGGAAACAGTGAAGACTATCTGTTGCTTACTCGCAGTACGAATACGGCGCATCAATGACCCGAGGCTTCCAATGTCATCGTTTGATAAATTGTCCTTTCCCAATCACAAGGAACCGAGGCATCCCGCTTCTTGGCTGTGTCACTAACCCGCCATCGTTTTGATGCGAGGTGCAACCATGCGTCCGTCTCCTCCAACTGTTTCTTGCATGTTTGGTCCGAACAACACTTTGACGCGTGACCGCCTTCTACACACAGAGCACATACCTAGCATCTTGTGCCGTAAGTATGCAGAGTACATAATACAACACTTCAGCTGGTCAGCAGTCCTTTGCCGGACCCTGTCGGCTCATCGAGCCCGTTTTGAGCCTTAGCTCCCCACAGCGGATGCGTACAGGCCGAGGTATGGGGCCGACCGACTGTCACACAGCGCTTTCGGTCGACGGAGCCGCGTAAGAAGCTTCGCTGACCGACCAACTTCCCCTTTGGGTCATGTATCGAGACTTCGGCGTGCAGCATGACTGACAAAATCCAGGTCGAGTTCATTGTTGAATTTGCGCCTTTGTCAATCTCGACACGCGAATATGCCTGATTATACAGATATCGAATATATACAGCAAGACCATGCAGTACCCAAATAACGCCAGGGAGCTGGTTTCTCCCATGCTATGCCTCTATCCCAATCGTAAATACACCAAGCCCCAGTCGTGACTGTCTAAAATCCATCTCCTTCTTTCCAATCCCTTCCTGCCTCCAAAGCTCGATTCCGAGGATCTTGTCCTCGCTGCTTAGCCTCGGCCCTTCGTCGACCAAGATCTTTGCGCAGAAATTCAATCTGATCTTGGATCCATTCTGCGCGTCCTGGTTCTGGGATGACCAGGTCATCAGTGTCCTCCGGTACCCGACCTTGGGACTTGGCTTCCATGATCAGAGCTTCGTTCTTGCGAATCTCGTGCATCTCATTCTCATGGTCTCTAAGAATATAGCGTAGATCGAAGAACTCGTCGTACTTCTCGGCGCCTCCGAAGCAATATCCGTAGCCATCGCAGTAACAGGTGTGCATAGCCGGACAGTCTACTGCGACACCACCAAAGATGACGACCCATATCTGTTCAAACACTCGACCTGATAGATTGTCGTTTAGAGGCGTCTTCAGCAGCCAGTCTCGGTAGTAGATGTATTTCGACAGAGGAATAGCCTGTATGCGTTCTCTACTGAGGGCAAACTGCGCGCAGCAGGGTTGCGAAAGTGTAGGCGGAATGGGCTCTAGAGGGAATATCTCACTCCAGGCTTCCGCGATAATCATCTCTTCTTGTCTTTGAGCATTGGCGACCATAGCTCCGGGATGGATGCCACTGACATCTGCTGGACAACCAGGAGCCCAGTGACAACGTAGATTGATGTAGCCATTGCGGATAACATGATTGGGGTTGAGATTACGAATCATTTGCGCCGAGTCGAGATCCATGATATCGTTGTTGTGCCAGGCATAGCGATGTGCGTGCATGAAGATGCTGATGTCGGAAAGATTTGAATAATTGTCAATGATATATGTCAAATATACCATCGCTTCATGTCCCTTGTTTTTCGGAGGATGCAGTCCCTCTGTAGTCATATCATCCACTACATAGACTGCAGTCCGTAGCGGCCCCTTGGGTGCTAGAATGTCTTCCAACTCCACATCAATCCAATATGTGCTCTCCTCTTTCTTGCGCCCTATCACTAGGGTCTTTGTGTATTCCGCGCTGGGGTCTTTCGGTGTGCCGGGGACGAAGGCTGTGTTCGGATTCGCAAACGTATGCATGTTCTTAGACTCGTGGACATCTGGAACGACATTCTCGGAATCTATCTCTTCTTCAACGCTCAATCCCAACACCGTCGGCACATGACGTAACGATGTGGTGAGGTGAGTCGTATGGAAGACTATGAAGAAGAAGAACACCAGGAAGAGGGCGAAAAAGAGAGGCGATAGGCGTCGCTGAGTAGTCATGTCGTAGTAGGATGGGCTAATGAACGAGTACGCGATAGTCGTTAATGAATGGTTTAAATTTTGTGGCAAGCCGAGAAAACCGGTTGATCAGATCATGGCTGATAAAAGTGCATGCAAAGCAGAGAGCGACAAGAAAGATACAAGTAGATACAGCATATACAAAAGGAAGACGGAGTGGAGTGACAGACGCAGAAGTACGGGGAGGGCTTACGACACTTTCGATTCTCCAGAGCTCTGACGGAGTCCACGCACGGTAAGCCCTGACGGGGGCATCATGATATGCGCGACTCGTCGACGATCCTCCTTGTTTCAGTCGACTAACTCGCCATCGTCGAGCAGGGCTTAGCAACCAGTTCTTCAGAGTACGCTTTTTTTTAAAGAGAACACCCAGTAACAACCAATTGTTTTGGTACAGCTCCTACGTTTCGTCCAGGTTTGTTCCATGCCGGACATGTTGGACCCTGAACAAATTCTTGGTCGTCGCGCTGCCCGTTGACGCACCTGAAGCACGTTCTCCCATGCAGCCACCCATGAGGCTGTGATTTGTGAGGATGTCTCTTGTGCCTCCCAGATGTATCATCCTTGCTTGAACAGCCGACTAGTTTACACAGTATCTAACAAAGACTGAGGTCACGATATTCTACGAAAAAGGAGGTCATTATAACTGAGTCGGAGGACAAGCAAGAATCCAAATAGTAGACATCCTTCGGACAAGAAACGCCTCGCTCCGGTTTATATGCAGCACCCAATACATGACATGGAGGTACCTTTAGAGTAAGAACATCGAGACGGCCAGAGAACAGAATGTCCAACCATAGAAAAAAAGAAGAATTCAAATCGAACAGCCGCCATCAAAGTTTCTGGATCATGAAAAAGAAGTAAGACAAATCCAAGGCGAATAAGATCAACGCTCAGCCCTACTCCTTTTGTTCTTCGTTATTCAACACCATCTCCACGACGATCTGCGTCTTTTCCAATGCAGGATGTTGCATGACGATCTTGATAGAGCGACTGGCAGCTCCATAGCCAGCGACTCCGTTGACGACACCAGTGTTGGTACTGCCGCCACTCAATGTGCCACCTCCCCCATCGTCGAGACATTTAATGTCCTTGCCAGCGATGATCTGCTTGAGGCGACCATTCTGTGCGTTACGCACCTCTACAAACTCGTTGTCGAAAAGAACGAGGTAAGGTCCGTATAACGCAGCGCTTTTTGCGTTGGCAACAAAGTTCATGACGACCGATCGGCTGATCTCGCCATGCTTATTGACATAGACTGCGCATAGATTGTAGCAGAGTAAGAACTCTTGGTCGTTGAGTCGTAGCATGCCCAGAGTTTCTTGCCTCTCGACATGTCGTAGAATATTGCTGACCTCTGGAGCCTTCCAGTCCGGCACGCTCCATGGTTGCTTCTTGTCTAGAGTGAGGACCTCGAAACCTTTGTCTGAGCTGATAGCAAGACTGCTGTGGAATAGGTTCATGCCGTGGCACTCAGTACCAATGTAGAAGTCATCATAGTCACGGAAGAACTCGGTATTTCCCCGTTTGAAGATGCCGCGTTTCTTTTCGGTTGACTTCTGGTAGATGGGCTCCAGCACTTTGAACGTTGATGAGATACCGTCTCGCTTCTTGTAGAAGACTAGAGTACGCTCCTTCATACGCCCGACAGCAAAGAAGCCCACGTCTCGACTGCCCGAGAGCCTTTGTGGCGCCTTGCGTGCAGATGATGCGTCAGCCGTGCCGGTAGCAAGAGGCTGACAGATCACGTCGAGATGATGAGCATACAGGACTTTGTCAGCAAGAAGTAGAAACAAGTTGAACTCCTCAAGGACCGCCACTTGTGTGACTTTAGTGCCTGCAATTGCCTGTTGTACATGATTAGTATGCCTCTCAAGCTTCATTCTGATCTTGTGTGACTTACTCGGAACCACCCTCTGGGATTATCCATTTCGCAACAGTAAACGCCAAAGTCCGTACCAACAGCTACCATGTGTTTTGTGCCAGGGTATGATGTTGTGAAGCTGGTAGCGCAATTGACTCTTGCTCTGCAAATGGGTGCTGGGCGACCAGTAGCCTTAAACCTATTTTCGACCTCCTTGACAGCGCGGTCTAGGGGTGTGCCCTTGATTATGACTGGCTTACCACCCATACTCACACCGAGATGATCCTTGGTATTTACATTTGAATCGTAGTAGAAGGCAGAGTCAGCTATTACCCTCAAGCGAAACGGCTCAGCATTCTGCGCGAAGAGTGCAGCGGCGTGTTTGGTCTTGGCTTCGATAATCTTGTTGTACCATTCACTTCTGCTTCCCGCTGTGGCTGCGAAAAGTGTGTACGGCTCCTTGCTACCAAGATGCTTGATGCGGAAAGGATACATAATCTTTTCCGAGTCTTTGTTACCATCAAGGACAGTGGTGCTGGACATCTTCGATGGCGCGGAGGCGACGCTGTTTATGCTGGCCATGGATGAGCCTGTGTTAACAGATGCCAAACTAGGGTGAGTCGACTGAGCGGTTGTGACACGCGCCATTTTGTTTAAGTCGGGGCTTGATGGCGCTGGTCTCGACGGCAAGGGTGTGACGGATGTGATTCCTTTGACGTACGAAGACCGAACCACCGCATCCTCGTTGATGTTCTCCAAGACCAGTAAGTCCATCGGGATTGGAAGCCTCGAGACATCATACTTTTCCAGCTTATTAGGAGCACCTTTCTGCAGTACCGAGATAGCTTTTGCGAGGACAAGATAATGATCGAACAGAAGTGCATGACACTCAAGCCACGTAAATCGGCTGGTGCCCATTCGCTGTAGATCTCCTTGATAGATTAATTCGCGCCCAATGGATGTCAAATTGAGCTCGACCTCAGATGCCATTCCAGGCCTCAGCATGAGTTTTTGACTCAGGTCAGAAAGGTCGACCTTTCTTTGCTGATCGGCAACCCTTGAATCGCACTCCAGAGTAACAGCTCGAATCTCCTCGATCGCGGTTGCCAAGTTTGTCCTTTCCTCACAATCCTGTTGCATGTTCTTATGAACCGTTTGCAGAAGTAGACTGTATCTTTGCAGCCTCGTGATAGGTGCTTTGAGATAGTTATCCCAGCCAAGCTTGTTAGATAGCTTATTCACTCTTGCCACCTCTACAAAGTTGCGGAAGCTGATGTTCTTCTCCAGTTCTTGCCGCATCAATGAGTTCGCGCTAGGAAAGCCTGTTGCATACTCAATGTATGCAGTCTTTGCTTTACGAATCCATTGCCTGAAGATGTCACTGAAACCTTTAACCCATGGTCCTTGCTCTTGTTGCCGATATTTGAGTTGCGGCAACAAGTGTTCGACGTTTGCTTTCTTGACTAGATCCAGTTTGCTGAAAACATCTCGCAAAAACCTCTCTTGACGGTTGGGGCTGATGATTGATGGGTTGGCAGCGGCCAGTGGATCACGGTACAGCCGGATCATGACGTCGAGGTTCTCCATGAAGCCCTCTTCGGTCTGCACAATCTCGTGAAGATTGTTTTGCAACTCGATTTCTTTCTTGTCGTGACCTTCAACGTCCTCTTTCTTGAGTTTGTAGAAAGTTGCCCAATCTTCGGAAGCCCTCGTTGAAAACGTCTGGAGATTGACCTTCTTCAAAGTACGCTGACAGTGATGAGCATAGCAACGGCCTGCGAAGAGATGATTGTGCACAGTATGCGAGTAGCATCCACTTAATGTCAACTGGAAGATGACACCGCTCATGTGTCCTTGGCTAAGTCTGACCCACTCCTCAATTGGCACAAGCGTTTTGGAAGCATACATGTTCTCGACAACACGGTTGCTCAAGACCTCTGCATCAGCAATGTTCATGGTAGGAACTTTGTTGGTGAAAAGAGACACAAGAGCCTCCTTGACCATTGACTCCTTCAACTCAGTCATTTTTTCAGGGTCCGCAACGAGGAACAACCACTGGAGAATTGAACTCAAAGCCCAAGGCTCTTCACATTTCTTGAAATCCGAACCACCAAGCTTCGATGGGTTGAAGCGCTTTGTAGGTAAACTCGGCAGATCCAATGCAACAGTGCTTGCCGCGGGGTTTGTATCGAAAGTGTTATAGGTTGAGGCTCGATAACCTTGCTTGAGCCTGCGCTCCTCGGCGTCCGTTTTTGATCTTGCTGGTTGGAGTACTTGGGGTGTTTGACTGTGATTGAGCAGAGATGCAGATCGTGGGAAGGTACCAGCTCCGTTGTCCATGGAAGATGGCGTATATCCATCAGGAGTCATGCGATATGGAGCCTGAGAGAGGGAGTTCGAGCGGTTGTGGAGTAAGCTAGTGTTAATACGGGGCACGGCGTTCTCAGAGACGATTGGAGGAGGTGGTAGAGGCCTCTCATGGTTTTGGACCGAATGACCAGGGTGGAAGAACATGTCTGGAGGCTCGCCGGGTTGCAGAACATCGTCCGTAAGACTGTATTCATCACCTTCGTCAAAGCTCTGTCTACGACCGAGGGCGTCTGGGTCCGTCAGACCTCCAGTTCCACCAGCATCCACACGAGCAACTGGTGGCCCACGGTGTTGGAAATTCGTTGCATGGTCATAAATGCTTTCCGGATTGCTCGAGCCAACAGATCGTCGCATTGAATTGGAAGCGGAAAGCGAAGTGGATCCATTGATATCAGGACCTGCAGCCAGGATGCTCGGATCACCTCCGTAGGACATGTGGGCATCGTAGCCTCCGCTAAGCGTGCTCATATCCATTGGGACACCAGTTTCATCAGCTTCGTTGGAGAGACCTGCCAATGAGGAGCCGTAGTAACCAAATAGGGCACTGCCTCTGTTCGCATCTGCTTCCTGGGCTTCCGCCCTACGCATTGCCTCCAATCCAGCCAGCGCCTCAACGTCACTTTCATCGCTGTACTCGTTGATGATGTTGTCGATGGTCATACTTTCTCGGTTGGTTTGTGTGATGGGTGTAGCACTGCTCCGGGGAGAGAAAAGTGGCTGAGGACGATCCGATGTAGGTTGTGTCCGTGAACTCTGTCGTCTTGCACTTGAGGCAGCCCCAGAATTGAGCACAGCACTCTCGACCTGGTTGAAGAGGTCTTCCTGGGCCTCCTGCTCGGCGGCATAGGTATCACGATAACCAGGCTGATGGAAATAATCGCGCTCGACATCGGGCTCTGGTGGACCTGGTAAAGGGCGGTTTTGCGGATGTCGTAATGTACCACTTCTCTCAGGGGCATGTGCGTGAGCTGGCGGCGGAGGAGGAGGCCCGCTAGGGGACGGAAGATTGTTGGGAGAAAATCGGGGAGAAATTGCGGGATTGTATGAGGCGTAACCAGGATGCACAGGTGGAGTGGGAAGGTTCAGCTCGTCTGGTGTCAAGGTACTTGGAGCGTACGGGATGTTTCCATACGGAGCATTTTGTGGAGCGTTCGTTGGCGACCAGGCATGAGAGGGAGGCGGAGGAGGAGGATAGTAGGATGAAGTATCTTGTGAATAGCCAGGATATGTATAGGGCTGACCGGGTTCGGGCATAGGAATAGGTTGAGCAAAATGCTGGGTCTGGTGATAGCTCGCCGAGTGCGGAGGAGAAGCGGCGGACGGAGGGTAGGAATACGGAGCGCGTGGAGAGATAGACGGAGGCTGCGACGGGTAAGCTGCAGGATTATAGCCAGCATTTGCATACGTCTGAGGGTTGTATTCGGTGTGGGTTGGCTGCGGCGGAGCTTGCTCGGACTGGGCGTAGTAAGCTTGCGACGGGTGGACATAATCGGCGTAGGACGGCTGCTGTACAGGACCGCCGGGAGTGGGATACGAGCCGTAGCCGGTCAATTCGGGAGTGGACCACGAAGACTGGAGAGCCTGTTGCTGTTGCTGCCGCTGGGCGTCGGATGTACCGTTGGTCGGGGCATGGTGTGGTTGCTGACCATGCGACTGACGTCGATTCTGGCGGTTATACGACATGATGCCTCATTCGAACAGCTTCTGGACGGGTCCTCAGTCCATCGAGTCTGCAGCTGCCAGACGGAATCGCTCTACGAAATGCCTGTTTGCGACCAGCACTCAGCTCTTCTCTGTCGCGCTCGCACTTGCGCCTGTAGCTGTGACCTGGCCGGGAGAAGATAGCCGGCGCCGTAGATTCCTTGCTAGCACAGTCCTGGTATGACCGGGAATAATGGGCGGCGGAGATGTTCGTAGGAGAAGATAGCGGGCACAAGACGAGACGGACGACGAAACGAGCATTGAGTTAATCAAATGCGCTGCCACATGCCCGAAGCGCGGCTCAGAGGCCTGTGCTGCCTGCCAAGTCATCATCTCACGCGCGCAAAACCACTTCCGCTCCTTCTCCATTCCTTGTTATCTGTCTGCTGTGATACTGATGTCAGGTCTGCCTCAAAGTTTGTCATCTCGTTCCCACATCATGTCAGCCTGCCTTCTTTGATACAACTTGGACTTCCAACCGAGCTCGTCGCGCGACCGTTAGATAGATGGACCGGCAGCAGTACCCCACACCCATCTTTGACCATCTTCTAACCCGACTCTGTGTCACGCCTAAATTGCAATACCGAGCCCGTATCATGCTTCGTCGCAAACTTTTTTGTTTGCCGGCACGTTGATCGGTCATGTGTTTCCGACTGGTGCTGCCGAATCTCCTGGGTATCTGCAAGATGCAGCTTTCACGATCAGCCAACATCAGCTCTTGCTTCTGACTGTGAATCCCAAAAGGGGTACCAAAGCCTAACCCCGCTACTGTACCCTAGCGGCTTTTGCGCTTTGCCATGCGCTGAAGTTTGTCACACACGAGAGCATCGGAGGTCAATGGGAACAGGACTCTCGAATCGCATGGATGGAGGTGACCATTCTGGTGATGCTTGTCGATGCTACAATCTATCGCGTTTCATGAGAGCTATCTCGTGTGTTCGGATTATCGTGCTCAAGTGATGCGCGCAAATATTGATGAGAAAGAAACAGTTAGGGAACGAGGTTGGTCAGCAGCAGGAATGCTGCTTTCTCTCTCGGATTCTATACCAACCATTGAGAACGCAGAATGTTCCTGCTCCAATCCGCATATCTTACACCATCCACTACCATCCATCAAGAGTGCTAAAGAGGGTCAGGGCGGCATTGACCACTGCATAACTGATGGTCAGAGCACACAGCCACAGCACAGCCGCGAACCGAATGCGCGGTAATGACGCGCCCCAATCAGAACACTTTAAGCTCTCGAATAGCAGCACAGATGAAGCATGATCTCATCTCGTGGTGCAAACCGTTCGATATCTCCAATGATCAAGGCGACTCGTCCTTCTGCGGCGCTGCGGCGCAGCCATGCCTATGAGTACGTCTTTGGTCTTGGTTCGCCCGATCCTTCCGGCTCAAGGTCGCCTTGGCAATTGGCGCGAATGACATAAGGGCAGCTGCAGCCCTCGGTCATGACAGCTTTACCATCTTCTCTCCCAGGCAATCACATTTAGCGAGCATGAGTTACGGCTACCCACAGCAAGGCTACGGCCAACAGTATCCTCCCCAAGGACAACCTCCATACCAACAGCAGCAAGGATATGGTGCTCCTCCCGGTCCTCCCCAAGGCCACTCACCTTACCCTCCGCAGCAGGGTGGCTACGGTGCTCCCCCGGGCCCTCCCATGGGCCATCATCCAACGCAATCCTTCGGTGCTCCTCCCGGCCCTCCACCAGGACAGTATGGCGCTCCTCCCGGTCCCCCACCAGGACAGTTCGGTGCCCCACAAGGTCCTCCCCCTGGTCAGTACGGCCAGCCTCAGTACGGTGCGCCGGCACAGTACGGTTCAGGTCCTCCAGCTCCTCCCTCAATGGGTTACGTCCCTGGTCAAGTCGCGCCGATGGACATGTCTAGACAAGCCGATGACTTGCGCAAAGCGATGAAGGGATTTGGAACCGACGAGAAGGCCCTGATCGCTGTCCTTGCTCCTCTGGATCCTCTGCAGGCTGCCGGCGTTCGCCAAGCCTTCAATCAACGCCATCGTCGCGATTTGCTCAAGGACATCGAGTCTGAGACCTCAGGCTACTTCCGCGATGGCCTTATGGCTTTGGCTCGTGGCCCACTCGAACAAGACGTTCTGAACGCAAACAAGGCTATCAAAGGTTTCGGCACCAAGGAGGCTATTCTCAACGACGTGCTTCTGGGACGCAGTAATGCCGATATGAATGCTATCAAAGCACACTACCACCACGTCTACCACAAATCGCTCGAGTCCGACGTCAAGGGTGACTTGTCTATGAAGACTGAGCGACTCTTCGACATGGTCATAGCAGCACGCCGCAACGAGGAGTCGTCACCTGTCATTCCCCAGCAGATCGAGGCCGACGTCACCGAACTTTACCGCGCTACCGAGGGCAGCAAGATTGGAGCCGATCAAGTTGCAGTCTGCGCTATCTTGACTTCGCGCAGCGATGGTCAGCTCCGTGCCATCTCTCAGGCCTACCGACAGAAGTATCACCGTGAGCTTGCCGAAGTTCTGAGAAAGAACTTTAGCGGCCACATGGAGGATGCTCTGCTGTTCATTCTTCTCAATGCCGAGGACCGCGCCAAGCACGATGCTCAGCTGCTCGAGGCCGCCATGGCAGGCATGGGCACTAAGGACGACCTTCTTGTGAACAGGATCGTCAGAATCCACTGGGACAAACACCGCATGTCGCAAGCTCGGGGCGCCTACAGACACTTCTTCCAGCGAGACTTGGCTGAACGTATCCGTGGAGAGACAAGAGGCGACTACGAGAAGTTAATGGTAGCGATTGTTTCGAGCGCCTAATTGCCCTACACAACTGACACTTACAGTTGCTCTTTGATTCTTGATGATTATTACGGTGATATAGCAATAGGGTTAGCGGCGTTTCATGACTAACGAAATGGCGGTGCAAACCCTCGACGACCCCTTTTCGCGACTTTTAGTCTTATGTTATAATCAACACACATGCTCCTACACTTCCTCTCGCATTTAAGTCATCGTAATTGGTGCACAAAGACTTCTGACCTTACTGATAAGTCAAGCATGTTGGAATGGTGTAACCGCGCCCAAGTCACACACACTCTGACAAATAGTTTCTGCAATCCACGCGGCAGGACAACTGATTCAAGATGACCCTTGAGGACGTGACGCTCTCGATCTGTGCAAGGGTCTACGTGGATAAGGCAACGCACGAGTGTCGTCTGCCAACTTTGACATATAGAACATGCTGACGACAGATTGTAAGGAGTCCATAGGCGCAAGATGGTAGCACCGAGACCAACACTTGAAACCTGATTGAAGGAGAGGGTAGGAAGTGCAAGGGATGAAAGCCAACTGACGTTGTGTGAGAATTCACGTCGTGAGACTCTTCAAACGTCTATAATATTGCTACCTTCAAAATGTGGAACCCATGCAACGACTCTCTATCGATACGCTCGGTACCCGTGCATCGCAAACTGGTCAAGGCCAGGACAACCAGGAAAGAACGATCTCTCAGCTTCGAAGAACATCATATGTACGATGTCAGACAGTCCGAGCCTTCTCTAGAACTCAAAGCCTCTGATGAGTTTGAGTCTGATGTTGCTTGGATCACGGCATGGGACAAGCGCAAGAAAGTCCACGTCTTTTGGTGCTCTAGAGTGTTACGAAAGCTACGACGCAAAGATCAGAAGACCATACCATCCTAGTCTACATGAATTGTTGTATTTGGGAGGAAATAGAAGACACACAGAAGCGAAGGAGGAGGTCGAATTCGGGCATCCCATGCATTATATCTCTGGCTTCACTCTTATCTCCTCTGATCAACTTGGGCCTTCAGAAGAAACAACGATAACATGATCCGAACAACAACTTCATCTCAATATCAAGGCTTAGAAACCAATGCAAGAGCACTAGCAACAGCACTAGCAATCATAATAGCAGCCCTTCCATAATTCAACCTCGCCCACCTAACCTGCAAATCCCTAAACTCCTTCTCCGCAGCCTTTTGCCTACTATCCCTTTCCTTTCCTGCCGCAACACCTTCATTGAGAATCTCTGCCAATCTACTCATCCTCTTATTCATCGGCACCTGTATCAACAACGCCCACGCCGTAGTAGCAACATTCAACCCAAAAGCCGCCGCCAACTTTGGGAACTTTGCCTCTGCAATGAGATTGCCATCGCGAGACTTCAAGAAAGCAGTGGACGTGAGGATGAGGTTTGAGACCGAGCATAAAGCGTTTAGAGGTGGGAAAAAGTGCTCGCTGTTGTGGAGGAGGTAGGAGGTTTGTTGGGCGGTGTGGTGGATTGGTACGTTTACGGTTGTGTCGGTCAATGTGGGCATGATCAAGGGCGATTGGAGGACTGAGCCGCCAAAGTTTACTGCGGCACCGAGAGTTGCGAAGATTTGGAGGGGTTCGAAGAACCATGGGGTAGTTGTTAGGGTTGAGGCGAGGGTGACCATTGTTGCGGTGTTCTTGTCTTTGAGTCGATGTGTGAGATTCGAGAGAATGGGATATTGGTGATCAGATATCACCGTCCTTGCCTTGCATATATACACACTTCGGAGTTCAAGATGGGGCCGATGTCTGCAGGAACATAAACATGTTATTGCATGTTAAATGCGGAGGAGGCATCGTCACAGGTCCCCAACGTGCATTTTCTCACGTGCATCAAAATCACCTGAGCTGTACATGAAGTCTACATAAACATCACGAACAGCATGAATAGGGTCATTCTCTTGTCATTGGGTTGTTACTGGGGTCCAGGAATACAGTGTCACAAGTGCGACCAATGTTGATGCTGTCATGATTTCGGCAACGGAGAAGCGTTGCAGATCATCCCACATCTGCATCAAGAAATCTCCGAATCTTATCGATCCTCCGCCTGTCTCTTCCATGTCAGCTCTTCACCATATCTTGATGGACAAATCTGCTCTCGGCAGTCTCTCATCTTCTGCACCTCAATCTGTGACCTCGTGAATGTTCATGGACGCCATGTCGGAGCATCATCGCACCGAACCAACGCAATGCCCTGAGTGCATTCTCAAATAGTCTAAAGGTCAGGGCTAAGCGCAGCAAGGTAGACCGACACTCAAGCGCGCCCAAGCCACACCTCACCAGCCATGCTAGTTTCCAGATTTCCTTTTGATGGACCCGAGAAGACAACAGCTGCCCTACAAGCAAGTCTGAACTTGGTATAGCTTGAGGAGAGGCCTGGTGAGACACTTGCAAAGCCTCTTTTTCGCTTCATACTGCTACCATAACGGCCTTCGACAACGGCTCCAGCAGACTCGTCCACCAGCATCATACACCCCCCGTGAGGACTGCTGTCACGAAAACCGTATTCAAAAAAACATGCTGGTCTTGCCAGTCAGTACAGGTACTGTCTTTCACCATCTCGATCCGTGTCAAGTTCGGTTGCAGTGTGCGGACAACGAAGAACTACACAGAAATTGCGTCAAGGAAGGCTTTACTAGGTGGATTCCTATTGCCGTATTCTGGACCAGACTTGTTGCAATCTTATCATGTCTTGGCGCCAGACTAAACCTCCGTAAGTTCCTCTCGGTATACTGAGTTTCGTGTAGGATGTACTTCTTCGACGAAGCGAATCTGCCGAGTGGGAAAAGCTTCGGGATTATGACCATGCATTGTGCGCGTAAAGTCGCAATCACCGCTCAGGTTTTGTCTCACTTGACAAGTGTGGCTTCTGCATCGTGCCTGCTCTCGTGTCATAGCTTGTAGGGCTAAATGAAGAGGACGACATGAACTCAGAGCTGCAAAGCTTTAGTCCTATCAACCTTCGACTCCACGATCATCAGCCTCCTTGGCCTTGTACGAGCATGTCGACACCATGGTCTCGATACGTAACATATTGCGGTAGCCAAAGATGGCAAGCGATTAAATCTGTCGCTGAATGGCACAAGCTCTTGCACTCTTGACGGAACGTGAGGTCAAACGTTGGCCTTAAGATAAGCTACTCCAACAGACACAAAATGCCTGCCTTATGGTATGAGCATTGATTCTCTCCAGCTACCATATACCGTGGTGCTTCCTCGCTGATAACGTCTCAACGGCGAACCAGAAAAGTCCATCGTGTCACTGCAAGAGACTGAGGCACACCCCTTCCTGTTCTCATTCGAGACATCACGCCCTCACGTCTATCCTGCGCCACCGAATCTTGTCGAGCCGGACCAGCATCCAGAACTGTAGTGTTGGGTCTAGATGTTGGTCCTGGCATCTGACATTTTTTCCTAGTAAGCATATAAAGAGCAGAACATTATCCTTCATTATGTCCGCATCACTGGTATATTTCTTGTCAGGCAGTCCATCGACAGTCTTGGTCTACCTTTCCAGCCTATCCTAGAGACACTACACCAAACTCCCTCTACCACGCCTGAAGCCACCATGCGTGCCGTCGCTGCTTTTGCAGCATGTGTTGCCTTCGCAAATGCTCAGACCTTCGATATGGGCATGATTCTGGCTGCAGAGCCTGTCCCAACACCTTCTGTCCCAGTCGTCTACGTCACAGGTGATGCTGCCACAACGACAGCATCAGCCACAACTGTCTCCTATGTAGAGACGCAAGCCGCAGCATCTGTGTGGTCCGAAATTGTCGCAGAAGCAGCAGCAAGTAGCACCACCCTTGGAAAGCGCGCTGCGTCTACTTGTGTACCTCAACCTACTGGCATATTTCACAACTCGAATCCGGATACAGCTTCTGCTTTTGTGGGTGATGCATATTACTCGAGTATCGCTTCTGCTGCACCTACTCCTGCTGGATATGTCAACACTTTTACCAACTTGCAGGCTTCGAACAACGCTTATGGGTAGGTGGACAAAGACATTACTGTGGACCGTCAGGGAATTGTGCTGATGAGTACAGATATCTGGGATTCCAATTGTTGAAGACATATGACACTCAGCTGTGTTCACAACAATGCGACAAAATCAATGGGTGCTTAGCATTCAACGTGTACTTTGAGCGTGATCCCTCTGGTACGAACCGTCCACTCTACGCCCAAGGTTGATACTGATTGTGGCTTCTAGTTGACCCTAACGATTCTTCTTGCTCATCACCTTCTTCGGTCACCCAGATCAAATGTGTTTTCTTCGGAGGTCCTGTGCTCGTATCAAACGCTCTCAATGCTGTACAATGGCGAAACAAGTTCCAAGTTGTCATTGCTGGATCGAATGGTTATGTGAACCAAACCATCACTCCTGCCTTCGGCTACGATGAGCCCATTGATCTGGGTGATGCCACCATCAACGCTCCTCTCGACTGCTCTGGACACGATACGTTTATGCAATCGAAGCTGTTTACCTCTGGACCATTTGATGCTAACCTGTGTGCTTCTGCATGCTCTGCTCAGAATGTCTACAACTTAGCCCATCCTCCTACCGAGGGCAAGATAAAGACATGCCAATTCTTCACAACTTATCTACTCTACAAGAACGGTATTGCGCTTGGACAAACATGCAGTTTGTATACCATGGCCTGGAACCAAACTTACAACACCAACAAAGGATACTACTATGGAAACGACCATTATACCGTAGGCTACAGCTACGCATTCACCAACTCTACAAATCCTGGTACTTCTTCTGCTGTGTGTGGCTCATCCGCATCTCCGACCTCCATCTCTTCAAGCACCACAAAAGTGTCCTCACCAACCACACTCGCCACCTCCTTCACCCAAAGCTCTACCTCCACACCTACACCCCTCCTCCCTGATACCTCCTGCAACAATGCCGGTCTAGAATACGCCTACTACTCCTCCCTCCTCACCACAATCTGGGACTACTCGACCCCATCCTACGGCCTCTCCCCCTCTGACTACAGAACCATTCTCCCAAACTACACCTCCACAACTACCATGATCGGTGGCTTCGCCTGGAACACCTACCACCAAACCAGCCATATCTACAATAGCACTCTCGCTCTCGAAAACGACAAAATGATTCTAAACCACCGTGGTTACTTCTTCGCCCCCAGCTCGGGAAACTACACCTTCAGCATCCCCACCTGTGACGACGTTGCCTTTTTCTGGCTTGGCGAATCTGCATATTCTGGATTCAACTCGTCAAACTACCTCATTCTCGACAATCAGGGTAGTGGTACGAAATCAGCTACTGTGACTTTGATGGCAGGCATCTATTACCCTATTAGATTGATATATGGTAATGTGGGTGGAGGACCTGGAAGTTTGTATTTTCAGGTTGAGCAAGGTGATGAGGTGGTGGGTGATTGGAGGAGTACGGAGTCTCCTTATTTTGTGCGGTATTCTTGTCATGGCACTGCTGCTGCTGCTCCTGCCTTTGCTGCTTTTGGGCAAGAGAGCTGAAGGGGACTTTTTCCGTTAGGGGCGATGGGGTTGTATCTTTGTAATCACACAGTTGCTCTTTGGTCTCTTGTTGCCGCGGAGTTAGTTCATGTGGAGGTTTTGGTGGCCCCATCAAATTGCAACTCGTTGTTGGACGTAGAAAGCTCTTGTTTTGGTCAAAGCTACCAAGGACCTCCATCGAGGGGTGAAGTCCTCGGAAAGTACGACAATGTCATGGCTAACCAAATGACGGTGCCATTAAACTCCAGCATGGCTCCTGCTACCCCAATCATTAGATCAAAGCCGCAAAAGTGAAGGGGGATCCGTCGAGTGCCTGTCTCCAGAAATGGAGAGTGAAAATTGAGAATGAAGTTTGCAAAATGTTTTTCTTGTTCTCGTAAAATATGGTAATTGGCCCAATCCGACCATTTCTCCTCGTCTGCACCATCGGTCGGGAATCTGTCCCAAAGATGCATCCTCTTTTTTCTCTACTTTTCATAAAAGCCCCTTCTATATCCCTCTCTTGTTCACAGCACATGTGTAACCGTCTAAGTAGAACCATGAAGCATCGATCGTCATGAACAGCATGATCCTCTCCAGAGACTTGAAAAACAAGCTATAGGACCGGAATGAAAAACAAATCGTGACGGAAAACCCACCCAAAAGCCGAGCTCGGGAAAAAATGATGAAATGCGATAAAACAGGCAAAAGTACTCCTAGGACCCACCTGCTGGCTTGTCGCAACCGATGCGGCCCAGCAGTTCTTTGTGGTTGCCGGGTATGCTGATGCCACTGGCACGGCTCTTCTCAGCGGTCCGCTTTGCCGCTGGGCTGGGTCGCCGGGTGAATCGAAGGCTCTCAACACCGACCTCCTCCTCTTGTGGTGCCAATCGGAGCTCAGGCTCCTTTGTAGAAAAGTCTCTCACAGTCTCCAGGGTATCCTCTTCCCCCTCTTCCTCTTCTTCTTCTTCTTCTTCGTCATCAGAGCGAGTGTCGTCGGCTCCTTTGCCTAGAATAACACGATATGCGACGCGGCAGATCATGCCGAACCAAATGATGGTGATGACCTGGAGTGCGAGTAGTAGGCCCAGGAAGCCGTAGTGGATCTTCTTGTTGAAGCATACGTCGGCGCTGCCGCTAGTGTAGGCGTGCAGAACATTGGAAAGGACATCACTGCCACCATCCTCGGAGGTCTTGTCGCCAGTCACGGCATTGTAGCAGCCGTAGGGCATTTCGACGGGAACGTCGGCGTAGAGGGACCAGCAGACGGCGAGGTAGAAGACGTGTCTAGCGACGAACCAGGACAGCATGAAAACGCCGAAGGCAATGTCGCAAGCGGTTTGCAAGCCCATGTACTTGAGCAGCTTGGCGATCTACACAACAGTCAGCGTGTGTTCAATACTGGCTTGATAGATGAGAACTTACAGGGAAGACCAGATCGACCACGTCCATCAGACACAAGATGACGTTGCCTACCTTTGTCTGGTAGTAGCCGTAGCTGCCAATCAATAGCAAGCATGTAATGATGTGGTGGGTGAACATTTGCCAATGATCCTTTCTGCGCTCTTCAATGTTGATGACCAGAATTTGCTGCAGCCAGAAACCGAATTGAGCCAGATAGTACAGTTTGAACAGGCCAGTCATGGAGCGTGTCGGGAAGTCTGACCACATTGCGGGCAGGTTGTTGAAGTAGGGGGATTCGTAGACAAGATACTGGGTTGCATGTTAGGTCTCGCAAACAGAAACAAAGTGAACAATGAGGATACGCACTGTTCCGAGGATCCAGAAAGTGGCATAGTACAGGACCAACCATGTCTGCTCGGCAAAGCGAATGGTAGCCTTCTTCTTGTGGATGCCACATTTCCTGGCCATTGGGACCAGAACATAGTCCATGGCGGCAGCGCGAAGAGCGGTGAAGACGATGATACAGAGCGAGACGAACTTCAGGTCCTGGCAGCCGGGGTTGTAGAGACCCGTCTGCGCATCATAGTAGGATAGCGTGAAGTAGTGGATGGTCGAGGAGCGGAGGCTGGGGAAGCAGATGTGCGTCATGACGAGAAGCATGAGGACGTTGATTGACAGGCCTGGTATAGGTCAGCATCGTTCGCATCGTCTACTGGGTGTGAAAGGTGTCAGCCTACCCAACTGGTGCTCGACAAGGGTCGCACACAGAGAACTAGAGAGACTCTCATGCTTCCTCTTGGATCTCTTCTTGAGCGGAGCTCTGGAGTTGCAGGTGGGCATCTTGAGATGTTGCGGGAAGGATTGCGCATCCGCCGAAGCGATGGAAGTAGCGACCGAGGCCATTGGCGAAAATGGACAATGGATGCGAGTGATCAGGCAAGCAGCATGGGCAGCGCTCGAGCGAGAACGAATGTGGGTGTGAGATTTGCAGTTGAGCGATCGCCAACCGAAAAGTGTCAAGTTGTCTTTGAACGGTCTAGACGGAGGTAAAGCTGGAGAAGTGGGCGTGGCCGTTCAAGTCAAGTTTGTGAAAGATAGCAGAACCCGACTGTCAGTTCAGCAGGAAAGTCGAAGCTGCCAATCAAGCCGGACAGGAAAAACAGCTCCCTCCCCAAGGACGAAGAATTAAATCGCGTGGCAGTGGCAGGCTGAAGACACGCGTATCAAAAAGGCAGCGGTTGAAACGATTCAAAAAGTCGATTGCAACGCCGCCGCCAACCCCAGACCCTTCACCAACCACAACTTCCTTGGCGACCCCTATCCTGCCCTTGCGCTTCTCCATCTCCACTTTGCTTACGGGCGAGAACGGACACTGGCCTGAGACACACTTTGTGCTAGATGAACCAAACTGGCGACGACCCTTTTCGAATCAACATGAAACGCATTTGTCCATTCTGTCTGTCCGTAAGAACTACGACTACCATCATCCTACCAAAGAAACCAGCCATCCAAAACTCCGCATTCGTCAATTAATACATCAAATTACCCTACTGTAGTCGAACTGTAGTTGACCTGTAGTCTCAACCCTAGTTGTTCTGCTGGCTGTTGAGGATTCTGAGGATAGCCAAGAACAGGTTGATGACATCGAGGTAAAGCGAGATTGAGGCAGCAATCTCCTCCTCGACGTGGTAGTGTCTCATGATGAGCTGCGTGTCGACCAGAATGTAGCCACTGAAGATCAGGGCGCAAACAATGCCGTAGCCCAGCTCGATGGTGCTTGTGTGAGGGAAGAATGCTGCCATGAAGCCAAAGATGATGACGACCCAGAGAGCTCCCGCAAGGTAAGGGATCCAGCTAGTAAAGTCGTACTTGGTCTGGCATGCGAAGAGCGTGAGTGCGACGAAGATGGCTAGTGTGAAGATGAGTGCTTCGAGCACAATCTTGCTTTCGAAAAAGGACGTGACAACACTGATCGAGTATGCTTCCATAGCAGTGAAGCCGGCCAGGAACAGAAGGTTGGTGGGGTACGACTTGCGCTTCCAGAAAGTCAAGAGCATGAATCCGATGGCGCCAAAGAGCGAGGCCCACATCATCCACTGGTTGGACTGGATCCATGATTTGTAGCCGGGGCTGAAGAACGAGACGGACGAGAGTGCGGCGGTTGCGAGAAGTTGGACGGTCAGGATGGAGTAGACCTTGCGGACGAATTGCATGCGGATGTCGAGAGTTGCTTCCGAGACCGAACCACCGAACTGTCATGTGTCAGTGATATGGATGCGACAAACATGTAGAGTGACTTCACTGACCTTGAAGTCGTCAGGGACATTGTCGTCCTCATCTCGAGGCACTCCAGGGACGCCCGAGGCTTCTGCCTGGTAAGAAGGCGGAGGCTGGCTGTAGGCCTGCTCCTCGAACGAGTCGCGCGTCGGCGCCGCTTGGTATTTGGTGTTGGCTGCCATCGCTGTGTATGATGGTGCGTTGACTGTAGAAAATGGTATTGGGCGAGACAAAGAGGTGCGTAGGTTATCTGTGTCGAAGAAAGGATCAAGAGGCGGCGAGCATAGCCGGCCGAAGCTTCCAGCGTCATCAGTCTGTCAGTGTGGGGGATTCCCTCTCGCTTGTGGCTGAGCCTGCGCCTCATCATCTCCATGCAGCACCGATTCTGACCCCGAAGAATGTCTACGCACTAGTATGTGATCTAGCGAAGTATACTGTATTTCTCGAGTAATCAAGTCCCGTAGTGAAGTGCTTGAAAGCTCCAAGAACCCGACGACGGCGAAGTTGGTCATCGAGTAAGACGGCTCTGCCCATCATCACCTGTCATACTCCAAAGTGGAAGACACGTCTACATGATTTCATCCAACGTCTCCAGCTCTTCTTCCCACGTGATGCATGTATCGTTGAAAACGTTCCACATCTGTTTGGCCATTTCAAGGTACTCTCTCGACTCTTCACGACGACTGCCAGTCTCTGGGAAACGCGCAAGGCTGTGCAATGCCCTCACGACTGTTCGATGAGGCATACCACATTCACCTTCAAGCTGAAGCTTGCCATCACCACCACTCGTGACCACGATCCAGTAGCCCCTCTCACGAAGCAACGCAGTCGTATGCTCACGGATCCTTGCATGGTTCCTCAATGGGTTCCACAAATCCAGCAGAGAGGCCTGGGGATCCTGCATGCCTATACGAGGTACGTTGTCGAATGTGGAATCAGAGTACACCTTCTCCAGCTCTTTGATAAGCTCATTCACCTCCTCAACGGCCATATACGGGTCAATGCTTCTCGCTGGACATGCCCTTGCGACCTTGTGGAAGAGCTCTTCTAAGTCGTCACGGCAATGTTTTTCGCTTTCACACAAGGGACATGCGCATTCAAAGTGCCAACTCCCGAGAAGTTCCGCATGCCGGTTTGGTTCCGAGGAGATAGCTGGCACGTACGAGGTTGTGAGTTTGGTACCTGCTGGAATGTCGCTGTTGGCTCGAACGACGATCATGTCTCCCACGAAGGACCTGGAGGTATTCTGGACGCACGAATGATTCATGTAGGAAGCTTGAACGAAGATGCTGAGTGTGTTTGATTCCCTGTTCGCTGGAAGACCAATGCTGTCATAGTCGACATAATGGCCGAAGCAGTTGTGATCAATGATCTACAGGACCTGAAAGATGTCAATGATGGGTCGTCCGTCGATGGTTGGCGTACTGATTGAAGGTGAATATTCCGATCCTGCATGCAAAGACAACAGTCTTCCAGCTTGGGATGGGTTTGCAAAAATCTTCTGAACAATGTCAAGCCATATTCTTGTGTTTGCATTGCACTCAGTGTAAGCATTACTGGAGCTCAAAGGCCTCGTAGTTGTGGTCGACTGCCGGACTCCGAAAGGTTGCTCGCAGAGAACAAGGCCACCACGAGGAATCTTGAACCTGGCAAACAGTCCTCGTCCACGATCATCTGACGCACGTACTTCCGTCAATCTCGTGAAGCTGGCGTGGTCGAGGGGAACTGACTCAACCCCCATAGCAGGGAAGTCGTAAAGCCCATGCTGATCCTCATGGATCCTGCTCGCGACCTCTTTAGACAAGCCCACAGCTTGGTTGTTCTCTGGAAGAAGCGACAAAAGACGCTCCAGGCGTCGATGTACTAGATCAAACTTCTTTTCTTGATAGGCAATGTTGACCAGTTGTATCATGAGGTTTGCGACCATCCCTCCTGAAGTCTTCGTCGCTGCAGCTTCGGATCGAGATCGTAGCATCTTCAAAAGCCAGCTCATGATGACCAGCTCGCGTTGCAGCAACAGACCGGGCATGATGAAGAGTCGCTAGTTGGTGGTGTTCTTCCTGGTTGGCGACTGCGAGATCGATGGCTTCGGAATAGCTGTCAAGAGCCTTTGAGTAGGCTTCATGATTGGATGCCAGCTCAGCTTCTTCTTTCCAGTCCCAGATAGACTTGGAAGTCGATTCGGGAGCCGTTTCAAAAGCCTTGGGTATGAGCTCATAACCCTGTTCGAGTATGATGATGTCGGAAGGGTGGAAGACTTTGATGCAAGGTCCGTGTTTACCCATCTCGTAGGTGGGTGTTTTGATCGCTAGGACGATGTCTTTTGCTAGGATGGCTGTAGAGGGGATGGTACTTGGGAAGTATACTTCGATATGCATGACATGGGACTTGCTGTCTTCGACCACATTCATGATGGGTAGAAGTGGTCCCAGTTGGACGGGGGCTCTGATCGGGCGGACCACGAGAACGGTGTCATTCTTGAGGCCGTTCGTGCCCAACTGGCTCAAGTCGATTTTGGTCAAGTCTTCGAGCGGTTGCATGCAAGGTGGTTCGTGGTTGACACGTTTGCTCAAGAGGACATATCTCTTGACCCTGTCATTGACCTGGAAGGAGTAAGTGTGTATCACGACTTTGCTCAGGGCAGCATTTACCTTTTGCCGGTGTTGAAGTAACGTTTTGTTCCGCTGCGTTTGCAAGCGACGTTGCCTACGTTGGTTTTTGTTTTTGACCATCGCTCAATCTGTGGGAAAGAAGGAAGTCAGGACGAGCGAGAATGATGATGGAGCGCAGAGAAAAGCCATCGTTATGCTGCCGCCGGGTTCGTGTTGTAGCCTTGACATGTCTCATCGTACTCTCACATAGTGATCCTATTGCTCGCGCCCTTGAGCAGTGTTGCCTCGGTGAGTGTTGCATGTCGCTAAGTCACACAGCCTTCGAAGGGTATGAGTCGAAGTGTTCGATCAACAGTCTAGTATGAGACCCCACGTTCATCGAAGCGGACATTCCAGTACCCAGCACGAACCATGACCACTACGCATTATAGATGTCGAAGACATGTGGTGATACACTCAAGTTGACCACTTCATAGGAAGATCTGTATGGACAAGTGAGCAGAGACGTGTATTCGTTTCTAGAGTTTGGGTACTGAACAAATAAGAAAGAAGGGGAAAGCAAAAAGGCAGTTACATCAGAACAAAGCTATTTGGCAACCAAAAGGGCTCTCAATGTATCAAACGCTATGCTGTCGTTTCGGGTCGTCATGATGTGCCGTGCATGCGTCGGAACTAAGAGAAAGCAAGCAAGCGAAATAAGAGACAGAAAGAAAAAACCTCCAGAAAGGGTCAAAGCCATAGCAAGCAAGCAGCATTGCGTTCGAGATCTCAGCAAGCTTAGTTGCAACCTCATGAACGGTACCTGCCTGATCGCTTCGAATCGTAGATGACCTCGCGCTCATAGATGCGTTCGTCATACTTGGAGCGAGCTTTTGCAGGTGGTGAACGTGGCTTGGGCGGTGGCAGTCTCTCCAGCTGCTCACGCTCCCACTCGATCTCGCGAATACGGTCATGACGTTCGCGACGGATTTCCTCAGAGAGCTCAACGAGGCGAAGCACATCCTCCTGCAACAATGTCAGCTTCTTACACAGGTGAGATCGTTTACGCCAGTAAGACTTACATATTTCAGGTATTCCATTACGTAGAAGAAGTGTTCTGAATCTTCATACTGATAGCCCATCTCATCGATGGCTTCTTTGATGACCAGGTCCTTAGTGACTTCTGTCCACATATCCTTTGTGACCTTGCGCTTCTCCTCCTTACGTTCAGGTGGAGGACCAGGAGCAAAGTCGGTAATGAATTCTTCGTCAGCGGTGTAAAACTTGCTTCTTCTGGAGCCATTGTATTGCTGCCAGGTTATGTCTTGACGCCCACCTCCTAGTCCGTCCATCTGCACTCTTCTGGTACCAGGAGGGATGTCAACAAGTCCCCAGTCTCTGGTTGCGCCGTTGTACGCCTCCCCTACGTAGCCGCGCTCGAGTGCCTTACGGTTGTAGTACTCTGCTTCTGCGGCGATTTCGTCGTCGTAGCGACGTTGAGGTGTAGAGACTGAGCGAGAGCGAGTGAGCTCGACGTTTCGCTCAACTTCAGGCTCGCGTGCAGGTGCTGGACGGGAGACATCACGCTCAAAAGTAATATCCTCGTTGTAACCCCCGTTACGTGTCTTACGTCTGCGAATCTCAATCTCAAGGCTTTCGTCTCTGGGTGCAGGAGGAGGACTCGGCGGTGCAGGTGGAGGGCTGGGCAACATCTCTGGAGAGCGGACTCGTTCAATACCGTGGTCGATATGTCTGTGATGCGTTATGATTTCCTGAATGATAGGCGGGCGGACAATAGGATCAAGAGGTGGTGGTGGCAGTGGCTCGGGTGAAGGTTCTCGGACAGGTTCAGGGCTGGGTTCGCGTGGGACCAATCTCTCGCTGCGTCTGATGATGATCTCTTCTCTCTCATCTCTCATAGAAGGTGGAGGAGGATGTTCATGCTCGCGGCGACGAATGATGATCTCCTCGCGTTCATCTCTCGGCGGCGGTGGGGGAGAAGGCGAGCGGCGTCTAAACAGCCACTCTTCTCTCTCACGCGCAATTGGACCTGGGCTACGTCTATGAAGTGGCCCGAGACTACGATCACGTTCGCGGATACTGATCTCTTCTCTTTCCACGTTGCGCACACTACGGGCTGGAGGAGGAGGAGAACGGGTCTCTTCATGGCGGAAGATGAAGTCATCGTCGGCAACTTCTGACCTTGCAGCTTCGGATCTAGGAGGAGGTCGACGATCCCCGGCGCCTCTTCGAAAGACTATGTCGGGAGGGGGGCCTCGAGATGGCTCTTGCTCTCTTTCTCTTTCTGCCTCCCTTCTGCGAATGAAGATGTCCGTCTCCTCGACTTCTCCTCCTCTGTCTCTTGGCCTAGGCGGTCTTGAATGGTCGCGGCCGCCACGTCGGTAGACGATCTCTTCCTGCTCGACCTCTCTCGGGTCTCTCGGTGGTGGTCGCTCTCTGAGCGGAGGCTCACCTCTGCGCTCGCGAATCACAAGTTCGTCTCTCTCAACTCTTTCTGGCGGACCACCTCTGCGTGACATGGTGTCGTGATCTCTGCGGGAGACATGATCGAGATAGTCGTCTGGCTCGCGATTCTTAACTACGAGTGGACCAGCATTCGTTCTTCCATAGTCGTCGTGGAGAAAGTCAGGAAGCTTCCCTCCACGGGCGCTGCGGCGATCGCTGACAACAGTTTCTGGGCGGTCGGCATAGCGAGTACGGTTGACGTCAATTTCGACATCTTCGTGATTGCGCGCAGGTCGAGGTCGGGCATACGGGTCGCGCTCGCGGTCATCGTAGACATCAGCGACAGGGTAACGCCGAGACATGGCAGTATTGGGCCCTCGCCGGGACGTTTGAAACGGTCAAAAAGTGAACCACGAGGCCGCCTGGACCGCCGAGTCAGCCGCAACGTGGGGAAATACCGATTGCTTCGAGAGTGCTGGAAGATGAAGCAGTGAGCAAGCAGCTTTTACTCGAAAAAGAATAAAGAGTGCCGTCGCACAGGAGAGCTGCTAACTCGGTGAGCGGAAGACAAACGACACAAGAACCTGGAACAGTGAGACTGGAGAGGCTGGTGAGTGGTGGGGGTGATTCGTTTGTGGCTTTGGTTGGTGCCCAAGCGTCTGCACACTTGACGTATTGCTCTACACCTTGATTTGACCTGCCAATGGAGACCGAGGGTCACTTCAGCTCTCTTGAGATCTCAACAGATGGTTTCGTGACTTGACAAAGACCCATGCCTCAGCACAACTAGACAAATGGTCGACTGTTCATCACGAGAGACAAGGCAGGCTTCTAAGGACTATATAACACTCTAGTCATGACTCCCGCTCCACAGCTCTACAGGGTCTTCTTGTGACATTCTAGCCATCATGTTCGAAGCTCTGAGCTCCCCAGATAAGTTGTTCTTGTAAGTACTGGCGTCACAAAGTGGGATGGATATCTGTCAAACAAAAGGCTTGTTTTTTGGCTGGAGGGTCGAGCCTTCCCGACAAGATGTGGGGCCATCCGCAACCTTCTTGTTTCAGCACAGGTCGTCTGTCACAGGACAACGGCAAACCACTTCCCATTCTCGTGCATACTCCTAAACAGATCCCAGGAGCAAGATATTTGTTATTGACAGGTTCACCGCATCTGACAAACGCGTTGGCGACGGACTAGTACGTTGACTCCTGGCTCCTGTGACGGCCAAGTGGCATGTGATTCGAGTCATCTACTTGCCCCGGATATCTGGACTTGCCATCAAACGAGCAAACGCAAGTGTCGGCTTGAATACCAGCAACATATCCATCAGCTTACGGAAAACTACCGTGAATATGAGCTGCTCGTAGTGCAACACCAGCGCATCTTGCATAGAGACACATTTCATTTTGAGCCTTTGTAGCACGATCAAAGCACAGTCATGGATATCCGACGTGCTATTCGGGATACTGCAGAGCCCAAAGTACTCTCGGTGGCCTTCAATAATGAAGGCAACAGGTTCGCTTGTGGCTTGGACGACGGTTTGAGAAGTATGTGTGCGGACATGAGTTTGATTGTCACACGGTAGCTGACCCGTGCTCTAGCATTTCGGGCCAAAGATTGTATAAGAACAATCAAAGAGGGTATGCTACCGTTTCGCTCTGAAGGACCAAAGTTTCTGACCGTCGTTAGCAATTCGACCTGGACACGGCCTTGCTATCGTAGAGACCTTGGACGACAGATATGCCGCTCTGGTGGGTGGCGGAAGACTGCCAAACTCATCGCCTAACAAGGTATGCCATCAGCTGAGAACAACACGATGTGAGATGCTTACAAATTCAAGCTTGAGTTCTGGGACCTCGTGGAAAAGAAGAAATTGAAAGAATTAAACTTCGGCGAACCTATCATCGCCATCCGGGTCACTGCCAAATACTGCATCGTCGTCTTGTTAGAGCGCAGTATAACTCTGGGGTATGTGAAGGACACAACAACTGGCGCCATCAATCTCGGCACAGTGAAGGCACTTTACCATACCGCCGAGAATCCCTTCGGTCTCTGCTGCATCAGAGGCGAGACTCTTGCGCTACCTGGCGAAACGCCAGGACAATTTCAGGTGCTTACCTTGTCATCCAAGGACAAGAAGGTCTTCAGAGCTCATGACTCGTCACTGAGGCAGATGGCCATGAGCTGGGACGGCACCACAATCGCCACAGCTAGTGAGCGAGGTACCATCATTCGTATCTTCAGCACGACAGACGCGAAGAATCCCACCGAGTTACGTCGTGGTGTTGAGTCTGCCTCTATCTGGGGTCTTGCCTTCTCACCATCCACCGAATGGCTCGCCTGCACGTCCGATAAGGGAACCTTACATGTCTGGGATCTTCGTGGTTCGAGAGCGACCGAAACACGTGTCAATCCAGCACCCAGTCAAAGAAAGCGCGGCTCTGTCAGTCGTATCAACCACGACTATGACACACTATCCCACGTCTCAGGCTCTTCATCACCACTACCCGGCGCTGTAGCCACACCAGCAGGTTTCCTGCCTCTTCCCTCAGATCTCTGCCACGCACCACCTTCCTCTGGACCCTCAATCGGCTCATATTTCAGCGGCCTAGCCAAGGGCATCAGATCAACTACATCAACCGAGTTCACTATTGGCTCGGACCCATCAAATTGGCAAGGTCAACCACGCTACACCAACACAACACTGCCTAATGGACAGACTGCAAACTTCAAGAACGAGAATGTTGCTGTACCTGGTAGACCAGACGGTAAACCACCAAAGGGAATCTTGGCTTGGGACCCCGAGGGTGGAGATAGAAGGTTGTGGGTTGTTGAGGGTGGAGCAGATGCAAGATGGGAAGTGTTTGAACTGGTTAATGATACGCACACTGGTGATGTCAAGATTGCGAGTATGGGGTTCAGAAACTATCTCACCAGACAATTTCCTGAGAAGAGTTGATGGGAATGTCAAGGTATTGGTTCGGATGGAGGTGCACATCATACTCCTGGCGCGAGAGAGTCTTGAAACAAAATCAAGGATATGACGATCTGTAAGGAGGCATGACTGCTCGTCAATAGCCTCAGAGTATCACCCTTCATCGCCGTACTCGAAAGAACGAAACATTTGGGTTATCAACATTGCAAGGCAAATTGTCTACGCACATTTGCCCTCCTCTTTCTTTCCATCTACACCCCAGCATCTCTAGTAGGTCTCGGACTATTCTGTGCCGAGTTAGTAGACCCTCTACCACCTTTCATCAAACTAGCAAAGTAAGCTTCTAGATTCTCAGTCGGCAAGTCTTTGGCGACATCTTGTGTCGTTGTGCCAGAGCTAGAAGGTTGTTGTGGAGATTGAGGACTGAAAGGTGTTGTTGTGCCGCCAGCATACGAAGATGCCGTGGAGGGTTTGTTGCGTTCCTGAATGTCCCAATATTAGCATACATTCAAGCATATATAGTGGAAAGGAGAGGATCAGCTACCTTCAATCGCCTCAACACTTCATCAGCATCATATTGGATACCGCCCATATTGAACTGTACAGGTCCCACATGTTCAGCCATTGCTTTGGCACCACTCTCATCATTACCACTGGGTGTGCCTGTCACTCCATTGGCTACTCTCCTCGCTTCTCTTGCCTTTTTGGCAGCTTCATCATCAGCACGATAACGATCGAGACTTTCTGCTTGTGCGGCTAGGAAGGTTTGATCGGGTGTACATTCCACCTCTAATTTCGGCAGCGAAGGGGCAGGCGGATGTGGGTTTTGGATTTGTTGCTCGTAGAGAGAGGTTGTGGTGTCTTGTTCCGCAAAAGGGGTATCTTCTGCTCCACTGCTCGTTTGTGCTTCTGGTGTTGAAGGAAGAGTAGGTGAAGAGGGTGAGGAGGGCAGGTCTTGAATCTCTACACCCCAGGCGCGGCTGATGCCTTCGACGTCGAAGCCTTCGCGCAAGACGCGGATCTTGCCCCAACTGTCCCAGCCTGGGGGCACGAGGACTCTGTCGCGGTCGACGACGTTGTGTTTTGGGGGGGTGTCGGTAGAGGAGTTTATGTCCAGGGCGTGGTGGACGAGAGGTTGGAGGGATGCTGGTTGGGCGGGCATGGTGTAGACGAGGCCGGCACCGTGTTTGAGGAGTACGGTGCGCAGGAATTGTAGGATATAGTCGAAGTGTGCCTCGCGGTAGCCTCGCTCTTTCTCCAGGGACTCAATGTGCTGGGCGTTTTGACAGACTACCAGGAGAGGGAGGCCTAGCGGGTCATCGTGTTCGCCGGGGCCCAGAGGTAGAGGAGTGTGATTGTCTGTCATTGACGTGGCAATGTCGCGATCGCGTCGGTGTTGCCATGTGGACATGTTCTCTTGCAGGGCGATCTGGGCAGTCTCGTCGAGAGAGGAGGTGGCCAGGTTGAGCAGCCGCACCCATTGGCGAAGTGTGTGGACGAAGTCCCATGGCTTTGCCCAATCGAGGAGTACGACAGCAACAGTATTGGGTATAGCATCGGCAGTGAGGAGACGAGCGAGCAGAGGTGCGTACTGCTTGTCGGGGGAGGTCAGAGTGTATAGCGACAGTCTCGCGACCATGTCCTCGTGATCGCTGTCAAAGACATTGTGGTAGGTGTAGCCCAGTCCGAAGCGGGTAGCCAGTACAGGAGCGGCATTCTTCTGGTCGGGCTTTCGTAGGCGAGTCGTCTTTTGCTGTTGCTGTTGTTGTTGTGCCAGAGATTCGACAAAGTCGCGCTGAGAGTCCTGGGAGCCGCCTAGGATGACCAACTTCTTGTCGGGCAGCCTCTTTCCACTGGCCACTTTGTCCAGCAAAGTCGACCACATGTCCTGCTCGCTGCTCCCCGGCCGCGCTGTTGTTTGGGAGCGCGCCATGCTTGTTGCGTGTGTTTGTAGAGAGCTTGTCATGTTCAATCAATGTCTATGCCAGCTTGGTCAGGGTGGCATGCAGCTTCACCGCCTTTGCTCAAAGCGCTTTCACATGCCATCAAGGTCTAGAGCTCTAGCGTCATCGCCGTCTTTTTCCCTCACCATCGCCATCTTCTTCCCTCTCCGTCGTCCATCGCTCGTCGCAATGAATCAGATCAAGCAGGTCCAGCGCCTCAACGAGCGCGAACTCGAAAAGGTCGTCCCCTCCAATGCCTCGTGGCACACCGACTACCGCGACACGGCCTACATCTACGTCGGCGGCCTCAACCTCGACCTGTCCGAAGGAGACGTCATCACAATCTTCTCTCAATATGGCGAGCCCGTCTGGATCCGTCTCATGCGCGACAAGGAAACCGGCAAAAGCAAGGGCTTCTGCTGGCTGAAGTACGAAGACCAAAGGAGTTGCGATCTGGCCGTCGACAATCTCGGTGGTGCAACTGTCATGGGCAGAATGCTCGCCGTAGACCACACACGATACAAGAAACGCGATGATGAAGACGAAGACGAAGGCTACGTTGGTCAAGACAAGCAAATCGCTGCTGCAGAAGGAGAAGAGTCGGAAGCAGAAGAGGAACGCAGACCTTTGATCAAGGAAGAATTGGACCTGGCAAAACTCATGCGCGATATGGAAGACGACGATCCCATGAAAGCATACATGATTGAGCAAAAGAAGGAAGAAGTCGAAAAGGCACTACAAACGTCATCATCATCAAAGAAACACGACAGCTCACGACGCGAAAAGAGACATCATCGTTCAAGACGCCATCACTCGGAGGAAGATCGTCACAGAAGGCATAGAAAAGCATCACCACGCGACGATAAACGTGACAGACGCGATCACACTTACAGACGTCGCTCAAAATCTCCTCGTCGCGACCGCTCAGTGTCTCCCCGAAGGGACAGGACTCGCATCAGCAAAGACCGTGAGATCTCTCCACCAAGACGCGAGAGAGATTCCAGACGAAGAGAGTACACCAGATCACCCACTCCCTCGACAAAAGAACACGACTACAAGCGTAGAGAGCGCAGGCGTTCTTCTACTCCTCCTCGTAGGGATGGCTCAAGAAGCATATCTCCTCGTCCTGGACGATGAACCTCTGTTGTTTGTACATAATCAAGTATGCCATTTTCCCGCATAAGCTGTTCCAAGGCACAATGCTTTTTCGAACTTACAGCACTGTCATTGAGAAACGTTGGTTTTCTGTCTCCCTGCGTCAAGTGCATTGGTATACGAGATCACTATGCCTTTTCGCTGCTCCTCGCTGCTCTGCTTTGAAACGGAAAACATGTGGGAGTGACAAAAACATAAGAACGCATGAAATTTCTGCTGCCCGTATGGCTTTGCTCATGATCATTCTACTTCATGCCTCCTGGTGGCACATCGCCCTTATGCTCTAGTCGGATCAGGAGACTGGCTCAAATGCATGTGGCAAGTTTTCTGCTTCAAGACACTCGTGAAGACTTACAAACATGAAACAACCAGTCAAGAGCTTGATCTGCTCCACGCTTTACTCGGGTGATACTGCCTCTTGACAGACAGACAGCTTATCACACAAAGACGAGCGTATGCCTCCTCCAGACCATGGTCTGTTACTGCACTCGCTCATTCCTGGTGCCGTGTCGGCAATTGACTCTTGAACGTAACATTGACTGTCCACTTACATTCACGCTTGGTCCACTTGTGTTTCCTCGGGGCCCGGTTTCTTACAATCGAGAGCTGGTGTCGAGTGCGAGTCTCGGAAGCAGGGAGCTTGTTCGGGAAGGTTTAGTGCAATTGTGAGAAATTGGGTACCTGCATCTATCCATGCGAGCTTCCATGCCGACAATGCAGGGAGATCCAGGTGGCCTGAAGCACCATACAGGCTTACACATGAGGAACATAGCAGACCCGGGGCCAATTTTTACGAGATGCGATGTGAGAACCGGTATCGTTGTGTGCTGTGTTTCGAAATTCATGGGCATGTTACTGCAACGAACCTTGTCCGCATAGCACAAAAGCGACGCTGTACAAGCCTACAAAATCCGTATGGCCGACGACTCTAGAACCACAACGAACGCGGCTATGGTTCAGAGACGTAATGGGCAGAGAGACAGGTAATCAATGTCTCGTTCTGTGGTAACACGCTCGTCGGCGATTGTCAGAGATCTGGTTATTTGTAGACTGCCTGCTGAACTGTGGTGCGGACGAGACACTAAACGGTTTTGTGGGAACGTGGAGCATCTAGAGATAGATCAATCGACAATAAGGCTTCCGTGATGATATTGCTCGTTTCAGGCAGGCAGCGAGCAGGATTTCAGAATACCCTAATTGTTAGTATCGGATGGAGTAAAGAAATTCTTACAGGGAGAAAACCTAAGCGTGAATAGTGCTCCGTGGTAGAAAAGGTTCCAGCAGTCATCGGGGCTGCTCTTAAACTTCATCTCCTTCAGGTGCAAAGAGTTAGTGGCCCATCAACAGTATACAGAATATCGTATGTTTTGACAGCTTTGCCTACAAGGCTCGTTGCTGTTGAGCTGCCATAAAGTTAGAAGCATACCACTGGTCAACTGTCGAAGCAGCACTTGTGTCAGAACAAGTAAAAGGCACGATCTCTCCATCTGTAGAAGAGTCTACGCCCGTATGCAAGCGATCGCTCTTGTTCTGTGTACCCACTAATGTTGTGCTTGTGTAAGAAAGCCACGTTCTGTAGTGACAAAGTAGCTTTTGATTTTCCCGGTGTATGCAGTATTCCAACCAAACCATTCTTTGCTGTCGGACAGCAGAAAACATTTTCTCAAGGACACAGACCTTCGTGGTCTAGCACAAGGTATGCGCCGGTAAGATCCAGGATTGAGGATGCTCGGACGGTGCTTGCGAAACTTCTGGAAACCAGAGTCTTGTAGGAATAAACAAGAATTTGCTACAGTGGCTTTAGCCCATTCACCGCGCTGCAGCAGGACTGTCAGGACAGCAGATGCGATCGTCAGGCCACAAGTTAAATTGACGCGAAGTTGTGTTGCCCCACTGGGAAGCGCTTGTCGCGAGATCGCATGGAAACACGACAGTATCTTGTGACTTCTTCGCCAGCCCTCGGATCCTGGACAGCATGTCTTGATACTTCTGCTGCGAGCTTCCGAGCATGACCGGCAGTTGACTTGCTTTTGCATGAGCAAGATGGTGTCTGTTTTTCCGCCAGGAAGCTTCACGCGACGGAGTATGCATCGCGGAGTAGGCATCGCGAATGTGGCAGGTGGACTTGGCTTCCAACGCGGACGTGCCGGATTGGTTGGAGGGGAAGGTGACGTCGATCGTTGCCGATGAGGGGATGTGCAACTCAGTCAACAAGACACATCGGTTTGTTAATTGCACAGCTCATCGCTCCGTGATTTTCTTTCTTCCTTTCTTTCTCGAGCATATAATCCGTTTTGGCTACAACCCATACCTATCTCTTCTTACCAACCAACCAGAACATACCAACAATGGCACCAGTACGTTTCAGCTTCGAGCAGCTCCTCGGCTACTTCGTCTTGCAGAACCGCATCAACTTCTAGCTCTGATAGCTAACCCTGAAGCGGCAGATCAAGGAGATCCTCTTCGACTGCGACAACACTCTCGTTTTGAGTGAGCATCTTGCATTCGAGGCCTGTGCCGAGCTCGCCAACGAGATTTTGGAAAAGCATGGAAAGTCGGATCGCTACACCGGCCCTCAGCTCCTCAAGGAGTTTGTAGGCCAGAACTTCAGAGGCATGATGGTCTCTCTACAAAAGAAGTACGGCTTCGAGATCCCGGAACAGGAGTTTGACCAGTACGTCGACCGCGAACTCGGTAAAGTCGTCGAGACACTGGAGAAGAAGGCCGAGCCCTGCGCTGGTGCTACCGAGGTCCTCGAGCAGCTATACAAGAGCAAGAAGTACGGACTCGCTGTCGTGTCATCATCAGCTCTTTCCAGAGTTCAGGCTTCGATTCGAAAGGTTGGTCAGGACAAGTTCTTCCCCGCAGAGCACGTCTACAGTGCTGCCACCTCTCTGGAGAAGCCAACCTCGAAGCCGGACCCTGCCATCTACCTTCACGCATGCAAGGAGATTGGTGTCGAACCCAGCCAGTGTGTCGCTATCGAGGACAGCAAGTCTGGAGCTACCGCTGCCAAAAACGCCAAGATCCCCCTCATCGGCTACGTCGGCGCCTACGACGAGAAAGAAGAGATCGATAGAATGGCCAAGATGCTGACCGAGGAGTGTGGTGCGATCACTATCATGTACCACTGGAATGAGTTCTTCGACTGCTTGAAGAAGGTCGAGCAGACTGTCGCATGACTCCCTGGCAAGGCCAACATCTGATGGCCTTGAATTCCACCTCACGAGGTTACGAGCACAACATTGTGGAGCTACACCGGAGTTAGCATGAGCGAAGGAGATTCTACGGGGATGCGCATCCCTCTCTTGATGACAAAACGAGTATTTTCTAATCTATCACTAATTGTATTCCATTGAACCCAAAGTATCACATTGCCCAGCACGTTGCCTTGATTGAATGTCCTAAATGTCCGTGGCTGGTAGCAGCCGAGCTGGTTATTCATAGCCTTTGACAGGTACGACGCCATGTGGCACGCTCTGACAACCGAAAGAGGCTCGGCAAGAGCCATACATGGACGATACGAGGTGCACCAAGTACTGAGCAGTCGCTTCACAAGTGCCGAGCGAATACCACTACTACAGCTGTGTGTAGCATCAATACGATTGCACACTACCCGCTAGATTGGCTTTCGCATCCCACTATCACACTATTGTGAATGGGGTGGTGGTTGGGTGGCCCCTTCCACGTGTCTCTCATCAGCTGTGTCGTGTTTGGTATGGCTTTCTAGAGAGCGAGATGGCATGCGAACATCTCAATTGGGCAAGACGTGTCGATTGAACTTCCGGCGAAACCGTGATTGACCAAACGTGCCGCGAACTCTCGAAGGAAGGCATCCATTCGAATGATCGTCCCGTGCCCCTGATCGCGGATGATCGAAAGCGCATAGTAGATCAACGAAGAACAACGATGATCAATGTGCTCCACGACATGAATAATGCTGTCGATATTGTCAAACTCGCAAAACCACTAGTCTTTCGCTCCTCGTATGGCACAGTACCCGCGGCGTCCGAATCTCAAAATACTACGGGACTGTAGGCTGTGGCCTTGTGTCAGAGTTGAAAATGGCCAAAGATGCGCTCTTTTGCTGCAATCCTGATGCGACAGCAGTGCGCATCCTGCAGCAGCAGCAGCCCGCCATCTCCTGATGATCGCGATTGAGGGACAGACATAAATTCTCGAGCTCATGGTTTGGCCGGAGTATGGTCCATATTCCGATCGGAGAATTAGTGCTTTGCATTATTTGCAAAGTATCCACGCTCTGTCCACATGGTTTTCAGGCCGAACGCTGGATGAACCAATGGGGCCAGGTTCTGAGTGAGGTATGGGAGAGGGCATAGATAGACTAATGATCGTCGTGCATGACACTATTAGCTTCTTTTCCAGCGAAAATAGCAGCGATGGATGCTGGGCGGCAGTGCATCGCATACACGAGGTCGAGAGTTGCCGCGGAAGGAGAATTATGGCGCTTGTAACTGCAAAGCAAAACACAACTTGACAGCGCAAAGACGGGCCGTCGGCTGGGATAGCCTTTGGAGTCAAAAGTCTGATGCTGTGCCCTGTGGTTGACTCGTTGACTCGAGGGTCTTCCGTGTTCCGAGACAGTTGTAGTCTCGCCCTGCGACAATCGTTTTATTCTTTGGTTTTGCCCGAGACATCTTCAGAGTGGAACAGTGTCTCTGTTCAGGTGGTTCACCTTACCCCGAAACCAAGTCTTCAAGGACGGGTCGTACCCTTGCGCCTGGGCAAATCCTTCAGACCCGCACGAGGATACAGCGGAGTCATACTGGCATAGCTAGATGCTGTACGGAGTAGTGCTGCATGGCGGGAAGAAACGCGGTGGTGGCAGGAAGCTAAGAAGACCTACGTAAGGAGCTGATGATGAATTGGAAAACGTCATTGGCAACTTCACATATGACGGTCGCGCCATCATGAATCTGCTTGCTGAAAAGTCAGCGAAGAACAAAACCTGAACAAAGCCATGTAACGAAGATCCCATCCTCTAGAACTTCACGTATTCGGTCCAACTCTGCGTTTGTCTCTGTCTAGAGACAGAGCATTTCAATCGTTGGAGGAAGCATGGACTTCGCACACGTACCCTGAGAAGGATCTTCTTAGTTCCACTCCCCAAACTTAGAATCGCGTCGATCTCGAAACGACCATCCAGCAAACGGTCGCGACTCTGAAGGAGTGCGGGGCCATGAACTCAATCTACACGCGAGACCGTCAGTCATGACGATGTGTTCCCTCTCCTTCCCTTGCTTAAAGCATGGCGCTAGATTGATTTACAATTGAGGAGCGAAGCGAGATGAGCAGAAAGAAAGAAACCTGCAGAGCTCTTGCGCGAGCCTTCCCGGACGATCAGCCGTACGAGCATTTACAGCCAGGAACCCGCACGGCACGACACGTCGACCAGGAGAAGACTTGTCGCCTATGCACTAACAGAATAGGCGTACCAAAATAACAGCGCATCATGAGAACTAAGTTCAGTTTGGCTATCCCGCCAAGGATCTCCTCGACCTCGAAATGGCACGCGCCTCAACTTCTGGGCTTGCTTTTAGAATAAGCCACCGTGGTAGCACCCTGCATCGTCGCGACATCCTTCCTGATTATAGCCTCTTCGCGAGGTTCCGTGCTCTCTATACCGTGCTTAACCTGTTCCTTCGCAGCCAGATGATCTCCACATTCTGCATTTGGATTGCAACCAGCTATTTTGGTAAGCGCTCATGGCCGACTTACTCGCGATCCTGCCTTGGCCTCGATTCGTTTGAGTTCTAGTCCTGATTTTGGACGGCTCATGTAATGCCGGAAGACGTGTGGTGATGCTCGTTTGCAGATAAAGTGTCACGGGGTAAAAGTGTGGGCACTTTCCAGAAGTAAGTATATATGTCCAAGGTCCTGCGTGGATAATCAACAATACCACAAGCATCTGCCTCTCCAATCGACCATCTTCCTCATCTCCCCTAGCCTTTCGTTCCAGAACACAATCCAAGATGCGCTCTTTCGCTGTTGCCGCTGCCTTTGCAGCTCTGGCTGTAGCCAACCCTCTCCCTCAGGAGATCGACTGGGCTGCCGTTGATGCTCTCGCTCCTATTCCTACTGTCACCATCCCCATTGTCGATATCAGCGCTCAAGCTAGTACTGTTGCCTATGAGCCTTCTGCTGCTGCAACATCTGTTGCTGCCGAGGTCAAGGCCTCAGGTGTTGACACCACCACCGGACTCAAGGCTCGTGCAGCTGTTACTTGCAAGCCTCAGCCTACCGGTGCTGGCAAAGTGCCTTCTCCTGATACTCCCGACGCTTTCTTGGCCTTCTCCGAGTTCTCAGACACCGCACAGTCTGCCTCCACCCCCGCAGGCTACTACAACACTTTCACCGATCTGAAGGCTAGCAACAATGCTTATGGTGAGTGATACAACATGACTTGGTCACCAAACTCCATTCTAATCGACATTGTAGGTTACATGGGCTATACCGTCCTCTCCGAGTACTCTACCACCACCTGTGCATCCAAGTGTGATGCTATTTCTGGTTGCGCAGCTTTCAACATCTACTTTGAGCGTGACCCTACCCTCAACCGTTCGTCCATTCCCATTCTACCATTACTGCAGTGTTTCATACTAACTTTCCGTGCAGCCAACGACGCTTCTTGCAACAACCCTGCCTCGACCACCAACATCAAGGTTAGTCCTACTTGTCTTCTCCAAACACACGCATTTCTAACCTCGAACAGTGCGTTTTCTGGGGAGGTCCCGTTACTACTGGTAACGCAAAGAACGCCGGCCAGTGGAGACGCGATTTCCATGTTGTCATTGCAGGCTCCAACGGATACGTCTCCAACAAGATCGTCACCCCTCCTGGCTACACCGACCCCATTCCTCTCGGCAACGCTGCCGTGAACGCTCCTTTCGATTGCCAGGGCAAGGACACGTGAGTCTCATGAGTCCAACTCCAACTTCGGATTAACTCACTAATATCGAATAGTTATCTTGGTGTCCGTATCTTCCAGACTGGACCCTTTGACATCTCCAAGTGTGCTGCTGCTTGCACTGCTCAAGCCGACTACGCCAGAGCCCACCCCCCAGCCAACGGTGGTGAGGTCAAGACTTGCTCTTGGTTTAACACCTATGTTCTTCTCAAGGACAACGTTGCTGTCGGACAGTACTGTGCACTGTACAAGAACTCCTGGGAGGTCCCCAAGTACGCCACCAACTACGGCCAGTACAGAGGCCAGTCCAAGTACACCATTGAGAACTCCTTTGTCTCGGGCAACGGTACCAGCGTCACCCCTGCTTGCCAGCCTCAGAAGGCTTAAGTATTGACACTTGATGGGTGACTCTGCGGTTTATACCCCATGACTTATGGCTTTGTTTTACTCTAATTAATGTTCCGGTCACTCTCTAGATATGTATATACTCTCCCTAAAACTCGTTTGACTCTCTCCTCCAACTCCCGGTCTCGAGTGAAGACATTGTCACAGGATTCTCACATAGCAGATTACTGGGTGAAGCGGCGGACTTAGGGTGTAGTGCTAAGCTGCATATACGTGACCTACCTATCGATGAGTCAGTAAGTGCTTTGCTTTGCCTTCGCTGCACCACGAGTCACTCCTTCTTCCACCCCTCTATTCTTTAGCACTTGGTCGTTGGTAATACTTGTACACGCTCAGAATCAACTACAGAATCCTCCACACGAAGGTCATCAGAATACTGAGCCATCGGCACCTCCGAATCGAACGACACTCCTGGGATTGTTCAAGCCGGCATTGACGACAACATCGCCTCGAAGAACATTCGCTACTGACGTCCAACTTCTATATCAAATGGGTCGAGCTTTGTGCAAGACTTAAGCAACACCTCTTTCTAAGCAGTAAACCAGGGGCCTCGCTCAAGATGCTGGATGCAGAGATATTTCCTTGAGTTGTTGAAATCCAGGCAGAAGCTTGAAGAAATGGTCATTGAGGACGAGAAGTTGAATATTCAAAGGTCATGATAGCGCGAAGGCTTCGATATATGGAACGCGGAAAATGGATTGGTCCAGCCAGGAAAGAGGTTCGGTTTATCATGTTTCAAAAATGTGAATTATGCAATACTCTGTTCGACATGATGACTGACTTGTCTCCATAGCGAGAAAAGAAAAGCTTTCGTTCCATCGATACGAGCCAGAACTCGTACTTTTGCTGAACCTCGTCCGTCAAGTACAGGAAGGTTGTAATGAGTTTTGTCATGGGCCGTGTGTTTCAGATCATCACAAATCTACCAGGCCATAGAGCGGTGATTACTCTTGGCCTCTCGCAAAGCCGCGTGTGTTGTGGCAAGAATATCGGCAAAGACGACCTCTCAGCATCAACAAGAAGAGAAATTGGAAGCAGTCGAAGTTGACGTGAAGGCTATGACGAAATGTCGGGCCGATGGCGCCAAAAGGTTGTTGCCATGGTTTCTAAAAACAGCACGTCCGCAAGCGTATCCCGAACGTATTGCGTACTGACAGATGCGGCGCATCACCTTGATAAACAAAAGCTCCATATCGATTGGCGAATCGCATGGCGCAGCAGAGACAAAGCCATACCGCGAGACCGTGATGCTCTCGACTTCAGGTCTTCGAGAAGGAACTTTTGCGCCAAGGGGGATCCGATGTTACCGTGAAAAAGTATGGCTTAGTGAGGCTGCGGTAAGAGGGACGCGTTTCAGGGATGGTGCGGTGCATGTTAGGCTGTGCAAGGAAGAGGGGATGACTTCAGTGAAGTTGCTTGCTGTAGCAACGGGCCTTGATCTGTTGCCGCTTTTGCCAATCTCTTTCTGTAAAATCTAGATATTCTCTGCAACATTTGTTTGGCTTGATATCTTGTCTATTATACGACATCTGTTGGTTGTGCTTTAGAAGTGTCGCTGTCGCAAAGCGCAAACGCCGTCGAGTAAACAAAGCCCACACCAGCCACGACCTACCTTTGACAGGCGGATATTTGACGCACTCCCGAAACAACAGCACAAACAGGAGATCATCAAGAGACAGGGACGAACAGATTGATTGCGCATATTGAAATCGCGTATTTGGGACATCGCAGACATGTCGTACAACCGTCTTGGCCGTAAGTGCAACAACCAGCCTCCCTAAGAGAGAATTGTGAGGCAAGAGTCAAGGTAGTCGAATGGAGTCTTGAAGCCTGGCAAATGGTCACGTTCCTCACACGCCATCTATTATCGCTTCGGGTCAACGTGTTAAAGCGCGTTTCACAGAGTATCGCTGACCGGACTATCGCAGCATACGGCCGCCATTCACCAGACGAAGAAGAGGCTTACGGCGCGCAGTCGCAGAACCCCTTCATGGATCCTCGAGCCGGCAGATCACCGTCCCCTGGACATCCTCTAGAGTCGTACGCTCTGCACGACAATCCCTACACCCACGACGAACCGCTACACATGCCCATGGGTCCCGGTCCACGTCCAGGCGCGACACCCCTGTCCGGAGCTTCTTCAGACAGACTCCAGGCACAACCCACCGTAAGATCGAGCACCTCGCTCAAGTCCGCCAAGTCCGCGTCATGCTGACCATTCGCTCCAGTTCTCAGTGGAGCATGTTCCAGGAACTTACGCTCACAACGATAGCTACGACTCGCAGCACCCTTACCAATCGAGCCCCGTCTACCCTCCTGGCGAATACGCTTTGTCGCCCGAAGACCACCACGATGCATACCACAGCCAGCCCTACCAGCCTGCCATTACTCCGTTAGAAGAGGTCTACGGCCCCCCGTCGGGCGAACAACATCCACACTACTGGCAGGACGAGGTCGACACTCGCCCCATCTTACAACAAGACTCTGCCTATGGTCCCGATCCTCATCAGATGCCCACTCCTGTCATGGAAGAGCAGATGGAAATGGAGATGACCGCAGATCAGCCACAATCAGGTGGCGGCATTCGTCGCTGGAAGACGGTGAAGGAAGTTCAATTGTTCAACGGCAACCTGGTTCTCGACTGCCCTGTACCTCCCAGACTTTTGAATCAGATTCAACATGCTCAACCCCCGGAGCGTGACGAGTTCACCCACATGCGCTACTCTGCCGCCACTTGCGACCCTTCAGAGTTCTACTCCGAGCGCTTCACCCTGCGTCAGAAGCTTTTCGCCAAACCGAGGCACACCGAATTGTTCATTGTCATCACCATGTACAACGAGGAGGACGAGCTATTCGCCCGTACCCTGATGGGTGTCATCAAGAACATCGAATACATGAATTCAAGAAATAGCAGCAAGACCTGGGGCAAAGAGGCTTGGAAGAAGATTGTTGTCTGTGTTGTCAGCGATGGTCGTGCCAAGATCAACCCTCGTACCAGAGCCGTTCTCGCAGGTCTGGGTGTCTATCAGGACGGCATCGCCAAGCAGCAAGTCAACGGCAAGGATGTCACTGCTCACATCTACGAATACACCACTCAGATGGCACTCGACCTCAAAAAGGGCGTGGTCTCTGTTAAGAAAGGAAACACACCTGTTCAGATGCTGTTCTGTCTCAAGGAGAAGAACCAAAAGAAGATCAACTCACACAGATGGTTCTTCCAAGCTTTCGGCGAGGTTCTCGATCCCAACATCTGTGTGCTGATCGATGCCGGTACAAAGCCTGGAAAAGACTCCATCTACAAGCTATGGAAGGCTTTTGACCTCGAGCCTATGTGCGCTGGTGCTTGTGGTGAGATCAAGGCTATGTTGGACCATGGCAAGACTCTCATCAACCCGCTGGTCGCTGCGCAGAACTTCGAGTACAAGATGAGCAACATCCTGGACAAGCCTCTGGAGTCTGCTTTTGGTTTCATTAGTGTCCTTCCCGGTGCTTTCTCTGCCTACCGCTTTATGGCTCTCCAGAACGACAAGACCGGTCAAGGTCCTCTGGAGAAGTACTTTGCTGGTGAGAAGATGCACGGTGCTAACGCCGGTATCTTCACTGCCAACATGTATCTTGCCGAGGATCGTATTCTCTGTTTCGAGCTTGTCTCAAAGCGCAATTGTTCTTGGATTCTGCAATACGTCAAGAACGCTACCGGCGAGACCGATGTGCCTACCGAGATGGCAGATTTCATCCTCCAAAGAAGACGCTGGCTCAATGGCAGTTTCTTTGCAGCAGTCTACGCCCTTGCCCATTTCCATCAAATCTTCCGCAGCAACCACTCCGTTGGTCGCAACTTCATGTTCATGATTGAATTCTTCTACCAAGGTGTCAGCATGCTTTTCGCTTGGTTCGCTATCGTAAGTGTCGTTCTTCTCTCCGGCCAGCAGTTGTACTAATAGATGTTTCTACAGGGTAACTTCTTCCTCGTCTTCCGCATTCTTACAGGTTCGCTCTCGGATACAAGTCTCAACTTTCCACCAGGAAAAGTGCTCGGTGTGCTGTTCGAGTGGATCTACCTCGCCGTCTTGATCACTTGCTTCGTCCTCGCGCTCGGCAATCGTCCGCAGGGCTCAAACAAGTTCTACATGACACAGGTCTACTTCTGGGCAATCCTCATGGCGTATGTCTTCCCAAAGCTACCCACTCTCCTTTGTCTAACTTCATCTCTAGCTATCTCATGTTCGCCACCGTCTTCATCACCGTCAAGTCTGTGCAGGCACAACTCAAGGAGCACGATCACTTCACTTTCAGCATGCTCTTCACCAACTCGTTGTTCTTGACCTTGATTGTCTCGATGGCCAGTACATACGTGCTGTACTTTGTCGCCTCTTTCATGTTCTTGGATCCTTGGCACATGTTTACATCTTTCTTCCAATACCTCCTCCTGACGCCAACTTACATCAACATCCTCAACGTCTACGCCTTCTGCAACACACACGATATCACTTGGGGTACCAAGGGAGATGACAAGCCTGAAAAGCTGCCGTCTGCCGTGACCAAGCCGGGTGGCAAGGTTGATGTCACTATCCCTAGCGACGATCATGATCTCAACAGCCAGTACGAAGAAGAACTTCGTGTGTTCTCCACCAAATGGACACCTCCCGCCAAAGCTCCTTCGGCCGCTGAAAAGCACGAGGATTATTACAAGGGATTCAGAAGTGCCGTCGTCTTGGCTTGGATGTTCTGCAATCTTGCACTTGCCGCAGTCGTTCTCAATACCGGTGGTCTTGACCGTGTCTCCGTCGGTGTTCAAGATGACAATCAACGTAGTACCATCTACATGAGCGTCGTCCTCTGGAGTGTCGCAGTCCTCAGTGCCTTCAGATTCATTGGCGCCTGCTGGTTCTTGGTCGTCAGACTGATCAGAGGTGTTTAGACGGTATTTTGTATGACCTTCTTCACGGTTTAATGACTCGCCATGGCTTGATAACATGGTTATGCTTGATGAGGTAGCGAGGCGTTCTGTTGGACTCTTTTCGTAAATGTTTGTTTTTTCTGCATTGGGTCTACGAGAAGGACGTTCACAATGGACATTATGTGGTACTGGATATGAGAGCTTTGTAGACATGCTATGCAAATCATGAATGATAAATTCCTTACTTCAACATATCTTTGCTCAACTTGCTCGATGGCGTCTTCTGATATGCTTGTATCTAATTGCTTGGTTCCCGTAAAGTCCTCCTGTCCCCCTACCGCTACTAGGTATTGCTCTGTTCAACGAGGATTACATACCATGTATGGTGCAAAGGTAGTGTGCTCACTAATGGCCGGGGGAACTGCTCGGTCATGCAGAGTCTGGCCAACAGACTAGGCACCAAGGCTTCACATGTTTGTCTAGCTATTACAAGCAGGAACAAGCAGGGTGTTCCTTCTATGATAGTCTTCTCCAGTGAAGACAGCTACATCATCAGGAGATTGCCCAGTCTAGGTACTCGATTGGTTGCCCTCGCTTCTTGCACTTCCTCATCGCTGGCGTCGACTCGAAGCAGGAGGCGTCAGTCAGCTCGTTCTTCCCTTCCCATCTCGACCTACTTACGCCGACGCCTTTGTTAACTGACCGTGTGCTTCCTTCCGCTTAGTCGTCGTCGTCGTCGCCCCGCACGACTGAAAAAGGCCCACTGGATTTCACCAGTCAGCGCTTACTCAAGGTCTTCCCTCTCAACCAGTCCTCCCTCCCACCTTCCAACCACTCCACCGCACTTCGACCCTCGACGTGCGCGCCCTCTCTCATCCACCTCTATTCTTTCGTCAACGCAACTCACGTTCCATCATCATGTCTTGGGACGCGGCTCCATGTAAGTCACTCCAGCGCGCTGCTCACAACGCGCACAAAACAATGCGCATCAACAGCTGCGCCTTTTCCCAACCCATCTCTTGATCATCACTTGCCTTCTTCCACCTCTCATCTTTCGTCTCGCATCACTCATCTCTTACCTTTCAATCGCTTCGGCGCTTGACCTCTCTCCTTCGTCATTCAACCTCGTTTGACTTTCGTCCATCAACCTCCAACCATCCATCTACTCATACCTGACCAACATCACTCCACCCAAGACTCATCACTAACACCATGTCAGCTGCCTGGGTCGATGACTCCGCTGCTCAAGCCACTGCTGGCTGGGTTGAGGACAACGCTGTTCCCGACACTGGTTTCGCAGGCATTGAGGCAGACCAGTTCTCAAAGCACGAAGGTGGCGCCGATGGCGATGCATGCCGCAGGTGAGTTTCACTTCTTCATTTCAACTACTTCCATTCCACCTTGTTCTTTTCTGACACACATACAGCTGCGGTCAATCTGGACACTTCTCCCGCGAGTGCCCTGAGCCTCGCCAGATGAGCGGAGAGTGTTTCAACTGTGGCGAGACTGGACACAACAAGGCTGACTGCCCCAACCCTGCCGTCGAGCGCGCCTTCACTGGAACCTGCCGCTCTTGCGGTGATGAAGGACATCGTTCTTCTGGATGCCCCCTGGCTGTGTGCAAGAGGTGCTCGGGCACCGGTCATTCCGCCGCCAGCTGCGAGGAGAGAATGAACATCTATCCCGACAACTTGCCCACCCCAGCCGACGCCGACGAGGCTTGGGACAAGCTTGTCAATGCTGATACCAACGACGACGTCGATGATTTCATCCAAGCCTTCTGGGTGTACTGCAAGGTCGCTCCAGAGCTGACTCTCGTTCAGCTCGAGGAGTGTTTCCGCGAGACTGGTTTTGTCTACTACTTGATTGCCAAGGAGCAGACCGTCTCCTCGAAGGTCCACACCAACGTCGATCTTCAAGGCAACCCTGACAAGACTTACCAAATCTCGTTCCAAAAGACCTCCAAGCCTCGCCGTGCCATTCTTGCCGAGGGCTGGCCCAAAACCCCCCAAGAGAACCTCGAACGCCTTCAAGACGCCGGCTTTTCTGTTGACAACTTGAAGCCGTACTGCCGCAATTGCGAGCAAGTCGGCCATATCAACAAGAACTGCACTCAGGAACCTCAGGTCGTTGAGAAGCCGAAGGTCACCTGCTCCAACTGCAGTGCCGACGGTCACTACGTCCGTGACTGTCCCGAGCCTCGCGCTGTTCGCGGCGGCGGCGACGTGGAATGTAAGCACTGCTCAGGACTCGGCCATATGGCTAGAGATTGTCCCACCAAGGTATGTATCTTCTGTTTATCAAATTTGAAAATGTAACTAACTTTTACAGCCTGCCCAAGTCTGCCACAACTGTTGGGAGGAAGGCCACAGATCCTCGGACTGTGTCAACGAGCGCGTCGTGAAGTGCCGCAATTGTGACAAGACCGGTCACTCTAGCCGTGAGTGCTCAGAGCCTATCAACCTGGTCAGTCTACTGATGTCATCTTGGAGAGAGAGGGAGATTTGCTGACCACAACAACAGGACAACATTACCTGTCGCAACTGCGAGCTTACAGGTCATTTCTCCAAGGACTGCACCGAGCCCAAGAACTGGTCGAAGGTCCAGTGCCGTCTCTGCAACAACTTCGGCCACGGCGCTGGTCGTTGCCCCGACCCTAATGGTGCTGCTGCCGCCGATGGTGATTCATCAGCCGTCGACTACACCGCTGGTGCTGGTGCTGCTGAATTCGCTCCTGAGGGCGACTGGATGGCCGACCTCCCTGCTGTTGCCGCTGACGCTGGCGGTGACTGGAACAGCGCTCCTGCTGCTGTCTCGGCCTGGTAAGCGCCTCGCAAAACATACAGACACACACACCGCTGATGGTGCTTGATCTCACAACTTCGCCGGCAGAGATGCCTAGAAGCGATTCAGCGTAGCTAGAGAGAGATAAAAGGTCGCTTTTCACGAGCGTTAGCTTCCACAAATCGAATGATCCTCTCGAAAATCTCCAATGGTGTGACGTGCGCAGTAATCCGTGTTCTTTTTCTGCATCAATCCACAGTGAACCCGCAGGTATGGTGCCTCCATCTGTGAGACACGCCAGTCTTCGCCATCCGCTGACCAAGTCTCCAAGACTGCGACCGTCCTTTCCGCACCTGTCAACCCCAGATTGACATCGATAGACGGTGCAAGACATCCATTCTCTTCCACCGCAGTGCTGCTCGGTTCGATTATCCTCGTAGCAGACCTCTCGACGAGCGGCTCGCTTGATCGCTTCCAGAATTCTTCCAAGAGCAGACTCTCCCGAGACAACTACAGGATGACTTGGCTCCAAAGAACAACCGAGTGGATATAAGCTTTGAGCTTCTACGAACAAGTACATCTGCGACGAGACAGGTTCAAACGACCTATTTCAACTCCGTGGAAGCCGGTTACCTTCATCTGGAAGTCCGCACGTGGTCTTTGTCGCCCCGTGGAGGATCTGCAAGATTTCAACTGTCCAAGAGTACGGCATACAGATGCTTGGATTACCCGATGAAACCAGCGGTCACAGTTGCTTTGATCTACAGTCGATACAATTTATTGCTATGAGGACGCGACGCTTCGCTGGAGTCATGTCAATCCGCAATTTTGTGCGGATACCGGCGTCCCCTCCGACCTCATCGATCAGTGCTGGAAAGAGCGAAAACCCCAAGACGAGAAGACGTTCGTTCGTACGCACGCGCGCACCGGCAAAACACACCGGCAAAGTGTGAGTCAAGGTAATGCGGAGCGCCCGCAGTTCGCCTACGCCACTTATTCAGCAGCAAAGTATCACCGCGATGTGGCCGGCCGTCGGCAGCGTCCACCCACGCCCTACACAGGCCGCCTGACTGGTGGAGGTTGCAGAAATCAGGAGTGGTGGAGTCATTTACGAAGATGGACCGGGGGTTGGCCAACTTCCCCTTGGGATGCCCCACTACCATCTGACTCTTGCGTAGTTATGCTGTGGAGTCGACTATGTCAGAGCACGAGACCTCAAGATAGCATTTCAAGATGCTAGGAATCGCGAGGACATCGCTTTATCGACGGCCACCCACGTCAGCGTGGGCGTAAAATTAGATTCACCGTCCCTCGCGCTAGTCAAAATCCTTATTTCCTTCCGGTGCAACAACGATATCGATGAACATCAACAAGAATTCCTGAGGGCTGGGTGAGTTCTTGGTGAATCTTGCCATGACCAGTGCCTGTGGAGAAAGGTGCAGAACATGCAGGGCTTTGCAGCTCAACTGTTGAAGAAGTGCATAAACAACAACAAGCAAGAAGCAACTTTGAGCACCAAACAACACTTTGTGGAGAAAAGCCACCCCCGTTCTTCGGGTTGATCCTTCGTCGGAGACCTACCAGATCGGGAAAACCGTAGCGCTCCAAGCTTCACAATCTGGAGATGATGTGGGTGTGGCCGGGGAGACGCCTTTTTGCCCGGCATCGTTGTACGTCAGTAGTCTGTCTGCGTGCGGCATGGACCTTTTGGTGCTCTCCGACGGCCGTTGCTGTTTCCCTAGACTGAGAAGGCACGGTCGGGTTTTGCATCTCGTGGGGAGCAAGAGAGCGGAGAATATGGGTTGCCAAGTTGATGTTCAAACTTTCAATGTTGCACTGTGGGTACCTCTTACCATGCTTGCGATGGGTACCGGTTGCCATATATTCCGACTTGCTGCACCCTACTTTTCTCCGCTGATCTCATCTCCTCCTTCTTCTGCCACTCCAATTGACATTTCAACGAACTGAGCGAACATATATCTCGCCCAGCATGTTTGGCAAGAAGTACTATGGCCTCACAGGCACCAAGCTGAATATCGCGGTCGGTGTCATTGCCGGTCTCGATTTCTTGCTGTTTGGTTATGATCAAGGTAAGCGGCGACCCTTAACCAAAGGGCAAACAAGTATTCTGACCGACCACAAGGTGTCATGGGCGGCCTGCTTACGCTCAAGTCCTTTGTCAATACCTTCCCCGAAATCGATGTCGAAAATCCTCCTATGGGCATCTCTAGAGCATACACTTCGACGGTTCAAGGTATCTCGATCGCTTGTTACAACCTGGGATGTTTTGTCGGAGCCCTTGCTACGATCTGGATCGGTGACTGGCTTGGACGTCGTAAGACTATCTTCTTGGGTTCTGCCATCATGGTCATCGGTGCCACATTACAAACTTCTGCTTTCTCTCTCGGCCACTTAATCGCCGGTAGAATCATCACAGGACTTGGTAACGGCATGAACACGTCAACGGTTCCTTCCTGGCAAAGCGAGTGTTCCAAATCACACCGTCGCGGTCAGATGGTCATGATCGAGGGTGCTTTGATTACCGGCGGTGTTATGCTTTCCTATTGGATCGACTTCGGGTTCTCTTTCCTCGAGCCATCGACAATCTCGTGGAGATTCCCCATTGCTCTGCAGATTCTATTTGCTTTGATTATTCTGGTCTTTGTCATGGGTCTTCCAGAGTCACCCAGATGGCTTGTCATGAAGGGCAAGGAAGATGAGGCTATGAATGTTCTCTGCGCGTTGAACGACAGGACCCCCGATGATACCTACATTATCGCCGAATTTACCGCGATCAAAGACTCTGCGATGGTCATGCAACAAGGAGGCTTCAGGGATCTCTTCACTATGGATGAAGACCGCAACTTCCACCGTGTCGTCCTCGCCTACGTCAATCAAATGTTTCAGCAGATCAGCGGAATCAACCTCATTACATAGTAAGTGATTTAAAGGTACAGGTTCAGTGCGCCAGCTTGCGAGCTTGGGTCCAGGACGCTGCTTTGTTCTTGTCCAGCCCGAATCACGAGCTGATGCTCTGGACATGTACCGTATTTCATTCTTTGATGAGGTCTTGCTAATTGCATCTTTCAGTTATGCTGCCAACATCTATGAGACTAGCATTGGTCTTTCGCCTTTCCTCTCGCGCATTTTAGCTGCCGCCAACGGTACCGAGTATTTCGCCGCTTCTTGGATCGCTGTCTTCACTATTGAGAAGTTTGGACGTCGTCAACTCATGTTATTCGGTGCTGCAGGTCAGGCTGCTTCTATGGCTATTCTTGCTGGAACCACTTCTAGAACATCGAGCGGTCTCGGTATCACTGCTGCCGTATTCCTGTTCGTCTTCAACACCTTCTTCGCCATCGGTTGGCTTGGTATGACTTGGTTGTATCCGGTAAGTAAACAAACACAGAAACCACGAGTCGAGAGCTCCAGGCATCTGAGACAATGCTCATGCAATGCTATGGGCTTGAATTTGATGTCTTAGGGCTTTGTGGCGTACCCCATATCAGACGAATGCTAACATGTCAACTTTTCCAGGCCGAGATCGTCCCTCTTCGCATTCGCGCCCCTGCCAATGCTCTGGCTACCTCTGCTAACTGGATCTTCAACTTTGTAAGTCCAACCCGGATTGTTTCAGTGTCATGAATTATACTAATGAGTATTGCCAGATGGTCGTCATGATTACCCCAGTTGCCTTCCAAACCATCGGCTACCAAACCTACATCATTTTCGCGGTCATCAACGCCTTTATCGTTCCCTGCGTCTACTTCTTCTACCCTGGTAAGCCATCAACAAGACATCGTTTTCATTGGCGTTATGCTTACAAATCCCTTACAGAAACACGCCTCCGCTCCCTCGAAGAAATGGACGAAATCTTCCACAAGACCACCTCCATCTTCAACGTGGTCAAAGTCGCCCGCGAAACCCCCAACCGCTACGGCAAAAAGGGAGAATTACTCATCAACTACATGGACACCGAAGCCGCTGCCGGTGCTCGTCGCAGAAGCTCGCTGGTCGAGCCAAAGTACGGCAAGACTGGTGGTAAGAATGATGGTGAACAGATTGAGAGACTGGAGCATGGATATGGATCTAGTTCTGGTGGATCGCAGAATGAGAAGGTTTAGATGTGGGTATCCATGATGGGTCATGGATTTTGGGGACGATGATGTTTTTTTTCTCCTTTTCTTATGTTTAGATACCACTTTCTGAGGTCCTGGCAATTGGCGAGCTAGATTCGCTGTCGGGACAATGTTACTTTTTTACCTTGACTACTTCTTCCTTGTCAACTTCTCAATCTAAACAAGATTGACGATTGATTTCCGCCTTCCTGGCTTTCCAGGGGACGAGACACAACGCTCTTGCTATAATTGTCTGATCGTTCATTGGTCGCGAGTCGTGCTGTTTATCAATACAAGATTCACTGACGTGCGGTGAGGCTGAAAACGCTCCTGCTTTGTCAACTGCCGCATCTTTTGTGGCTCCTCTTCTATGCATGAGGGAGCGATATCTTACTGACTACTCTAATATTGTACCGTTCTCTTTCTAATGGACCCAACACGTTTTTCCTCGTCCAAACATCTCCAAAGGCTCCTAAGTGATGCTCAGCAGCTTGCTCAGTGAGCGTCGGGGGTTTCCAAGCAGAAACAAAACTCGATATGTAGCCGGCCGGCTAAGTAACATGGTCGGCAAACAGACTATGGATACATATAACAACGCCATTAGAGTAAAGAGCTTTGTTATAGGATTCATTGCACGGCATACCCGATGGGTTTTAGATGCGAGACCGACTATGCGAAGATACAGACAGGGTGAGGAGCACAGCGAGTTCGACTTCGACCGGAAAAATATACGTCACAGCCACATCCTACTTTTGGCATGGCACTTGCTGTTTGGAAAAACGAAACCTATGACAGAGAAAAGTAATAGAATATAATGTACATAGTGGATTTGGGAGGAGATGAGCAGTGCGAGAAGGGAGGAATGGGGGGGGGGGGGGGGGAAAAAACAAAATATACTAAAACACCCTTTTTCGCGAATCGCTCTTCCTCGCTGGACAAACCACAGTCCGAGGACTTCCAACTTCAACTTTTTGCTTGCTGGAGAGCCTCAAGATTTCTCCCTTTCGTTTGTGTGTGTGTTTCATCCTCGATCGACTTATCCTTCGTGAGGATATCTTTTTCGTCTTTCTTCTTTGCCTGCGATGATCGCTTATCGCATGGCGGGTGAAGCCGGCATGCCGTTCAATCTGCTGGCGAGCTGGGGGTACTTCTCCTGGACTTCGAGCTGGGTGCGAGTGGCCTCGGCGTATGAAAGGGCGTTGACGATCTCGCCCTCCGTGCGGGAGAGCTCGGCGGCCTTTTCAAAGTACTCGAGAGCCTCGGGGACCTTGCCTTGCTGGAGGAGAAGCTGGGCCATGGTGGCAACGGCGATATCGCATTCAGGGTCGACTGTGGGTTGATATTAGTATGGCACTCAATACCTCGAAGGGGAAGGAGGGTGTAGCTTACTGATCAAAGCCTTCTCGCACAGCTCTTGGGCAGTCGTAAAGTCTTGCTTCCACTGGAAGAGAGCCAAAGCCTTGTTGATCAAGGGAAGGACGTTCATACCAGTGACGCGCTCCTTCTGCTCCAACTCGACGGCCGTCTCGAACTTTGTGATGGCCTCCTGGTACTTTTGCTGGTCGAGCAACAGCTCACCGTAGTAGTTGTAGACATCAGGCACTGTCTCGAAGTTCTTGATGCAGCGGCGGAAAGTGGCCATGGACGAGGCGATGCTGCCCATCTTGTATTGAGTAACACCAAGCTGGATGTGAGAGAAGATGAAAGCGGAGTCGAGGTCGATGGACTTCTGGTAGTCTTTGGCTGCCTCACCGAAATCGCCGAGGATGAAGTTGAGCTGTGCGCGGTGGTAGTAAACATCAGGGTCCTTGTCGTTTTGGCTGATGGCGTCCTCGAAGTCCTGTGCCGCTTCCTCGCGACGGCCGGCCTCGAGGTGCATGCTTGCACGCTTGACGTAGCTCTGAGTAAGGGCGACGTCCAATTCAATGCTCTTGTTCAGGTCTTCGATGGCGTCGGTCTCACCACGCAGGTACTTGAAGGTACCGCGCATGTTGTATGCAAAGGCCTCGTTGTCGCCGAGGTCGCCAGCTTCGATGGCCGCATCAAAGGCATCAGCAGCCTCGTTGTAACCCTCACCCGTCTTCTTCTCCATGGCCAACAGACCCTTGCGCAACCACCACTTTCCGCTCTTCTCGGACAAATCGGCACTCTCGGAAATGGATTCGGGAAGGGGTCTGTCGCGGAAGCTCTGGAGGTAGTTGGTGATGAAGGTGGCGCTCGGCAGACGGCGCTGCTTCTTCTCCATGATGGCCTTGGCCTTCTGTTCGGCCACCTTTCGGAGCAGACGCTCGACTGCCTCGGCGGCTTGGGTGTTACGGAAGGCGTCGATGATGCAGCTGGCCGTGAAGTCGAGGAGAGCCTCGCTGTACTTGTCTGTTTGCTCGTAGGCATTTGCGCGGCGATTGAGGGCCTTGACGTATTCGGGATCGAGGTTGACGGCAGCTGTGGTGTCCTCAATAACGCGCTCCCAGTTGGACATGGCGTTCCAGCAGGCGGCACGGTTCGAGTAGAAGACGGGGTCGGCCTTGCACAGCAGAGCTTGGCCGTACAGCTCGATTGCGCGGTTGTAGTCCTTTGATCCATATGCCTTGTTACCAGCAGCCTTGAGCTTAGCAGCGTAGTCCTTCTTGGTCTCTTCCGACAAGCTTGCGACCATGGAATCTGTCACCTCGGGCACGTCATCCTCGCTCTGTACTGACGCGGTTTGTGACTTCTCTGGATGTCTTGGTCAGCATTTGGCCGACCATGTCGCACATATCTAGTGACACATACCTTGGACCTTTGGTTCGGGCGAAGCAGACTTCTGCTCCTTCTGTGCGTTCTTCTTGGCCTTCTTGTTCTCCTTGCGGGCCTTCTTCTTCTCGGCAGCAGCTTCAAGATCTTGCGGTGTGGGAGGAGCAGACTCGGATGTGTAGTAGTAGATTCCAGCACCGGTGGCAACCAGAGTGATACCAGCAATGGTGTAGACAGCAGCCTTGTGCTCAGAGGCCCAGCCTGTGATGCGATCCCATAATGACGATGACGGTTCGAGCTTGACGAAGCTGGGCTGCGAGGCAGCGTTGGCAGCGGGAATTGTTGAAGCCATCTTGTGCGTGTGTGGCTATGTCCTAGTATTACAGGCTGAATAGAAGCAACAGCTATGGGCGAAAGCGAGGTGGACAAAAAAGCAGACGGTGACGCAAAAGACGCTTCAATCATCATCTTCGCGCTCCGCGTCTTGGCAACACCGGGCTGCTTCCTCCGCCCTCTTCCTCAAACTTCCGTGACGCGCGACATGGATGGAACAATTCTACTACAGAGCTGCGACACCACCTTTCTCGCTCATCGCATACTTTCATTGCCTGGCTGAAGTATTTCTCCACGAGATCCTTGATGCGATGGTGGTACAGTCTGCGCCTCATTCAGCAAGAGGCTGGAACTCTGCAATTGCCCAGGTACTTTGTACGCACCAGACCCGGCTGTTCTCAATTCATGCAGCGCGATGTGAAAGGCGCTCGCCAGCGTGAAAGCAAAAAAAGCCGCGAATTCTTGACTCTTGGTGCCCAGACCCATTGGTTTCACGCTCCCTTGACATATTCGCCTTGGTACGACGCGGTTGCTTCGTCTCACAGTAGAATACTCGATAATCAATGCTGCAATATTGTATCGTCATCAAAGGCAGCGACGTAATCTCTCGCCGTGTCATAAGCCGAATAAGCGCCTTTTTGTTGGATGTGCTTGTTAGATTGCGGCCATTGTTGCGAACTCGGCAAGAGCGGCCTACGAGCAACCAAGAACCACGCGGGGACCTTCTTTCTCAACGCCCACACTCGACTCTGGACTCTCAAAACCTTGCCATTTCCTCCACCTGAAACTCGACCATCCCTCGACTCCTCTCTTTCATCCTAACTTCGACTTGCTCGATTCTTCCGCCTTCTCCCGTGCAAATGGCCCTCACCTCTTGTTGATACCCCGACTTTTCTTTCCTTAACCTTTCTGGACATCCCACATCTCGCCCCGCCTTCACTTCCACACTACAAACCATAATGTCTCTTTGATTTTGAATATTAGCCTGAACCGTCTTCCACCCGCCAAAAAAATTGTTCACGACCTCCCCCACCCCAGACGTCCTGGATCACCACCACTTGACATCAATCAGACATGTTGGATGAAATCCCACTAGAAGATCAATATGTCTTCACGTCAATGCGCTACGATGGCTCGATGAAGCGCAACGCGCAAAATCCCGTGTGTTGTCCGGACTCGAAGGCTGCGTATCTCATCAAGTATCACTACGAGCGTCTGGTCACTGCCGCCGATCATCTGGGCTGGTACGACACCAACAAGAGGCTGAAAGGACCCGTTGATCTGTTCAATCGTATCCAAACTGCCGTTGCCGAACACAAGAAGAAGACTGGCAACAAATGTCCATTCAAGGTATGTGATTTGTCCACTGTTTTTATTTCACCTTCACCACAAATCCCACTCGACGTGCGTCATGGCATGACTCTGCGAACAAAGATGCGCATGCGCCACAGGCACGCGACAACTTCAAAGAGCTCGTCACAACAAGAAAGTCGTGTTTTGTACAATGAAACACCCAGGCTGACAATGTCTCACAGGTTCGAGTATGCTTGCGTCACAACGGGAAAATGGAAATCGGGGTTGAGCCAATCATGGCCATGAAGCAACCACTTCTCTTCCCGACCACACTGGATCTGGGCAAGTCAAGCCAGGAAGCGGCCTCTCAAACGCCCATCTTCAAAGCTGTACTGGATGTTCTGCCTACTAGGACTACCACGTTCACCCGCGACAAGACTCACTACCGCACAATGTACAACTATGCCAGGCAGTGCGCATCTATCCAGTCATACCAGGACGCCAAGGAGGTCATCTTGTTCAACCGCGACAATCAGGTCATGGATGGATCCATTACGACTCCTTACTTCTATCGCGACGGTAAATGGATGACTCCGCATAGAGACTGTGGAGGTCAGCAAGGAACCACTCGTCGCTGGGCTATTGACCAAGGCATCTGCCACGCCGGCATTATCGACATTACTTCCATCAAGCACGACGAGATCATCTGGCTCAGCAATGGTGTCAAAGGCTTCTTTACCGCCCGCTTCGTGGCTTGCAACGATCGTCTTGCCCGCACGCCTAGCTACGAGTCTCGCATCTCACACGTCTCTCGCAGCGACAGTGGCATCGATGAAATGCATTCTCTAAAATCTCATCAGGACGAAGTTGCCGAAGACGACATCGAGCCCACACGTCAAAAATGGAGCCCCGAACCGGGATCTGACGACTTCAGAAATTCTGCTTTTGATCTCAACGTCTTCGAGCGTGCATTGAAGCTGTAGATGCCTTTCTGCTTTCCCCCTTTCTTCCTTCAATTCTGTTACTTGATATCCCCTGGCCCATGGGCCTTTTTCTTTATTACAACTTTCTTATTATCCCGGGAAAATTACTCGGTGGCTCTTCTCGTGTGGGCGACGATCTCCCAACAATGGCGTTATTTTGCTCGGACAGAACAAGCATATGGCGGGCGCAAAGACACATTGAGTTCTAGAGCTTTCGGAACGATGGATTGAGCAAAGAGAATGTCTCGCCTTTCCGTACATGGTTTACTGTTTTTTCTTCCTTGTTGCAAAGAACGTTTTATAGATATACCCACTCTCAAAACTTTGCTGTTTTCTACACTACGGTTACTTTTCTCTCATCCCTCCGGGTTGTCGTCATTGAAATGAAAAATGTGGTCGAGACGACATGATGCTGAGGTGCAACTCGTACGCGCGTGCTGGGTACAATGGCTGTGCAAGGTGATTTTGTAATATTGCCGCAGTGGTTGAGATGCCGGCTGATGTGCAGATGGAGTGCAGCAGTCATGCAGGTCGAACCATCACATGCAAGCCTCTTGCTGCGAGGTCGCTCCAGCGGGTTGGGAAAAGCGCGACATCATTTCCAAGCCACAGTCATCTGTATCACGAGACTAATTCGTTGCACGACCGATTATACTGAAAATGTGATTATACAGTAACAATTCATTGTTGGGATGGCAGTAGATGCAGAAAAGACGTTATAATACAATGTAGAGAAGGAGAGAAAAATAGGCATCGACAAAAATGTACAAGAAGTAATCCAAAACACATGCTACCTAGCGCTCAGATGTCAAATCTATCGTGCTACAATATCTTGGCCACGATGTCACCGGTGCCTTCAGGAATCGTTCTATCCGGTACAGCATCCAAGTTGTCAGGTTTCCTCATGAATGCCTCCAACAGAACCGCAACACTAGATCCGACATTCAAACTGTCGACTCCGACGTCCAACTCAAGAGCAGGAGGTTTGGATCCCTTGATACCGACATTGGCATCGGCTTTTGTGGCCAGATTGGCACGTAATCCTTCTCCCTCGGCTCCAATCATGAGGATACTAGGACCCCTCGACAGCGGCGAGATCATATTCGAAGTAACATAACTCTTCTTTCCAGTCGTAGCAGATGCAGCACCAGGAGCCACAGCTGCATGCACCAACCAATTGTTCTTCCTGCACAGAGTGATGAAGTTTGCAGGTGTGGGGATGGAAAGGATAGTCAAAGCTTCAGCGGCACCAGAAGCTGCTTTCTGAACGATGGGGAGGTTTACAGGGGCGCAGGTGTTTGTGCAGATGGCTACTGCGTCTACGCCGTAAAAGTGTGCTGTGCGAAGGATGTTGCCGAGGTTTCCGGGATCGAGGATACCGTCGAGGAGCAACACGAGGGGATTTCTCCAAGTGTGGGTGTAGTGGAAGGGTATGGATGAGGGCCTACCTCTTATAGCCACTTCCTCGGCGCTTTGTTCCGCGAGTACGATGGGGATGCTGACATATGTGACGCCCATTTTACCCAGCGATTTTGTGGGTAAAATTGGGATAGGAGAGGCTTCCAGAATGACACCATTGTGAGGGCGACCTTGGGCCATTTTATCCATTTTGGGAAGGAAGTGGTCGTCGACTTCTTTATAGGGGAGTTTTGCGTGTTTGCACAGGGTCATCATGTCCTTTTTCGCTTTGGGACTGCTTGCAGCGCGTTTGTGGATGTAGAGCATGTAGATTGTGCGGCGTTTGGCTCTGAGAGCCGCGATGACGGTGTTGTAGCCGTAGAGGAATTCCGAGGCTGCTGTTGTGTAGGGGATAGAGACGTAGTCGTCTATATCTCTGTTGTCGCGGGAGGAGCGTGGCGATGAACGGCTGTCTCTGTCTTCATCTGTTCTGTCTCTTCTGTCTCTTGGCTCCTGAATCTCCTTGTACTTGTTTTTGTTGTCGTTGTTCGTCTCTCTGTTCTTTCTTACAGAAGTAAAGAGTTGGTTGTCGTCGAGACGACTTTCTTCTTCCAGTCTTCTCCTCTCTTTATCTTCCTTGAAAGCGAACTGATCCATCTTTGCATCCTTCTCCTTCTGCAGCTCCTTCTCTTGTCTGCTTAGCTTGGAGGAGCCAACTTTATCGAGATAAACTTCCTCGTCTTGCACGTCCTTGCCACTGATGATAGCTTCGGCATGCCTGTTGACCATATTTTTGATAAAGTCTCCGCGCATATCCTGATTTAGGACAGAGATATCACGGAGCGCAGCATTCCAGTCAGCACCTTGCTCCGGGTTCGCTGGTGGCTGGATGGGATAGACAGTGGCCTTCATGGCACTCTGCGGATCGCCCTCCTCGAACCATCGGCGACCAGGAATGAATATATACTTTGCCTTTGCGTTTTTGATAGCGTCACCGGCATGTTGCAGAACGCGCAACCACTCTTGTCGCTCACGTCTCAGAGTTGGCTCAATCTTTGCAAGATCTGCTTTGACAGTCTTTTTGAGTTCTTGCTTGATCTCGAGACTTGACTTGTCTTTTGCGAAGGTGGGTAGAGTGGAGGGACGTTTCGGCAGAGCGTTGATATATTTATCTTCGGCCTCCTTGAGAGCAGCCATTAGACGATTCCAGTTCTCGGGGGTAAAATGCGATTTCTGATCGAACGGCACTTTCAAGACATCCCGCTTTTGGTCATCGGTCAAATCTGTATGGGTAGGAAGTTTGTTGGACTTGCGGATGGCAAAGGCTCCCGCTTGATCGGCTTCGGGAGTGATGTGGATGTCATCCCTCCAAGAAGCATCCTTCTTCAAGTGGTTGCCATCATCTCGTTTCTTGAAGCCTCGATCTCGGACCTCTGTATCTCTTCCAGAACCAGCATAGTCTCTTCCTCTTGGAGTATCGGAGTAGCCTCTGCCTTTTCCAGCACCGGCAAAGTCCCTTCCTCTCGGAGCATCGGCTTGATCTCTTCCTCTGCCGGAAGCAGCAAAGTCTCTTCCTCTCGGAGTATCGGCTTGGTCTCTGCCTCTTCCAGAAGCAGCAAAGTCTCTTCCTCTTGAAGCAGCTCCATCGCGGCGGTCATTATAACTGTTAGATCTGCGATCGTCGCGATCGTCGCGATCGTTGGACTTGCGGTCATTGTAGGTGTTTGACCTGCGATCATCGTACGTGTTGGGCTTGCGGTCGTCTGAGCGATTTTCCGAACGGTCTAGCCATGGGAAATTTCCTCCACGCTCATCTCTTACTTTGTTCAGATCATCGAGAGCTTTGCGGCGGTCTCTGCGGATGGAATGGTCGAGAGAGCGATTGATGGCTGACAGGTTTGACTTATGACGACATTGTAGATAGAGCCTAGGAGTACGCGCTTGCGCAAAAGCGGCGACGAGCATTCCAGAATTGAGTGATTGGTGGCGATATTTGGACTGGCAAGAAATAATTCAGTCTAGAAAACAAAAAACCCCAGAAAGTACAGAGATGGAGAGCGTTGCAGGGTCCAAGCTCGGTGAGCAGTTGACAGTCGCGTCTCCGGTACGCATCTCCGTCGCGTCTTCAAGACTGCTGCACTGTGTCGCGACTTCCGTCTTTGCAACTATTCTGCTTCTCTATCGGCGCTGGACTTGCTTTCTTCCTGGCGCACCGTGTATAAAAGACTTACATATACAACACATTTCCCTTTGATTTTCCCCACCTGGACAGCGCGCCTTCTTCTCCCACGGCGTGTATGCGAATGTGTGATTAATCAACCATGTCTGATTCCGAAGATGAGCTGAATGTCGACCTCTCTCAATGGAAGACGCGAAGCACGAACCCCGCCCCCGCCCCGGCCCGATACGTCCCTGCTCCTCGGACCTTCGCCTCAATCAACACTCCGGCTGTCGCAACCGAAACGACTACTGGAGCAGACGATGTGGACGACTTGGACATCGATGCCATCATCCAAGGAATAGCTGAATCAGATGCTGATCCTGTTGCTGACACACGACCTACAATTCCTCCGCCCACTACCATTGGAAGTCCAGACCAGAATGTTCAAGTTGTCATCGTCCAGGACCCAAGCTTCGATAGAGATGCCTATACGGACTGTACATATGGAGGCAGCATCGTCCGCCGTGTGTTGAAAGAGATTGCGAAGAATGAAGATGTAAATTACAATGTCGAATTCGTCGACAGACACACGGAGCAGGTAAGCACAGGCGCTTTCACCCCCATCCTATTCCTACAATATACCGCCACGGTCTTCACACACCACGCGGTTCTATTGTATTCACTGTGCCTATTCACTCTCATCGACCTATAGAGCTTCTACGGTCTACCTAGCCTTAGCATCCACCTCCACCTCCACCTTTACCTCCTTCCTCTTCACCTCCTTTCTCTTCACCACCTTCCTCTTCACCTCCCTCCTCCTCACCTCCCTTGATCTCAAGTTGATTCAAGAGCTTCCTCTGTCACGACAGCTACTTGTTACCACCCATCACTCGCTCCAAGATGCCTCTTCGTATCAAGCTAAATGGTCCTTCCCGCAAGGTCTCCTTCAACGATCTGTTAGAATACGACAACGGTCGAGACGCTCTACAGGAACACACAGACAACGCTCAGGAGGGCAACAACTACGCCGAAGAAGACAGCGAGGTCGAGCAAATACCGCGCCCGAGACCAAACAAGTCCGGCTACGTCAACACTGCCGAAGCCCTCGACTATCTGGATCAAGAAGACTATCCCTCACGCTCAAGAATTTCACGCAATGCCAGACGCTACGATAGCGACGACTCCGATGGTCCTGCACCTCGTCGCTCCGGAAGAGTCGTGCCTGTAGATGTCAGCTCCAGGAGATCGTCACGCCGCCTCAAGTCAGCTTCTCAAGCCGAATCAGACGATGAAGATGGCGGCTTTGTCCTGCAGTCCGACGTCCTACCCAGCAGGAAACGCAAGCGCTCTCTCAGATCGCAGAGCAACCCCATCAATTACGCAGATGTCGATGAAGACGATGCACAGCAAGACAACTCCAGGTCCCGCACTTCACGACCATCTGGACAGGGTGTTCGCCAGTCTGGCCGCTCAACTCGTCATCAGGGTGACATGCAGGATCCAGGTGTTAACGACATCTATAGATCAGAGTCGGAACCACGTTCTGTCGCTCTACCGAAGCCTGTTGGTGCCCGGGAGTCTTTCAAGGACCTGCCACGATCTGATCCTTTCCGTGCTCGCCACATCCAACATTGCGACTCATGTCAGAACGGCACTAACTTTGCCCCCCTGATCTACTGTCAAGGCTGTGTCTACGCCTACCACAAGAGCTGTATCGGCCACCGTGCATCTCGAGAGCATCTGGTCTCCAAAGTTGGTAAGAATGACTTTGTTCTCCAGTGTCGTCGCTGTGTTGCTTTCCCCATGAAGAAGGACCCTACAGCTCCTGACCACGGCAGATGCTCCGACTGCAAGGCTCACGGCTCTTCATGTGTTCCCTTCAGGGAGCGCAAGTCTCCTCAGCAGGAGCAAAAGGACCGCGAGGAGAACAACGGCGATGACCCCGTCTGCTCAGTCCCCGAGAACCTTATTAACAGCTCTGACAATGTCATGTTCCGCTGTACTACCTGCCACAGAGGCTTCCACTTTGAGCATCTGCCGCCAAAATCGGACAGTATGATGGACATCGATAGCGAAGACGTGGCGGCTCAAAGACTGCAAGAGTACAGCCAAGACTGGAGATGCAAGGAGTGCCTCGACTGCCCAGGCAAAGTTGGATCTCTCGTTGCTTGGAAGCCGATCGACGAAGACAACTACGACCCGAGCTTCGGCTGTGACAGGATCCCAGCTGACGAGAAGGCCTATCTTGTGCGCTGGGAGGGCAAATCATATTTCCAAGCTGCATGGATGCCCGGCCCATGGATCTGGGGCGTTACTGCTGGCGCAATGCGAAAGGCGTTCGCCAAACGTGATGAGGCACGTCGACCGAAGATGCGGACCGAGGATGCGATACCCGAAGACTATCTTCGCATTGACATTGTGCTAGACGTCAAGTACACGAGTATCGTCGATATCTCGACCGAAGAGGTTGACAAAGCACGCATCCGCGAAGTCGACACAGCCTTGGTCAAGTACAAAGGCCTCGGCTACGAAGATGTGGTCTGGGAGAAGCCTCCTACACCTGATGATGTTGATCGCTGGACCGACTTCTTTGTCGCCTACAACGACTGGGTACTTGGCAGATTCGTGAAGCAACCGAAGCCACAGCAACTCAAGATTCGCTTGGAAAAGGCAAGATCGCTCGACTTCGCGGCCAAGCTTGAAAAGAAGAAGCAGCCCAGCAACATCTCAGGAGGAGAGCTCATGAACTACCAGATGGAAGGCCTCAATTGGCTCTACTACAAGTGGTACACGCACAAGAACGCTATCTTGGCTGATGAGATGGGTCTTGGAAAGACTATCCAGATCATCTCCTTCCTTGCCACCTTGGTTTCAGATTGGAACTGCTTCCCGTTCTTGGTTGTCGTGCCCAACTCGACTTGCGCCAATTGGCGTCGCGAGGTCAAGCAATGGGCTCCTTCTTTGAGAGTCGTTGCCTACTTTGGAAGCAAGGAAGCCCGCGATCTCACCTACCGCTACGAGCTCTTCGCCCGTGACAGCAGAGAGCTAAGATGTCATATTGTGGTCACGTCCTATGACTGCGCAGCAGATGACAGCGCCCGCAAGTTCTTCAGATCCATTTCCTGGCAAGCACTCATTGTAGACGAAGGACAACGTCTCAAGAGCGACAAGTCACAGCTCTATTCTGCACTGGCATCCCTTAAGGCTCCCTTCAAGGTCCTTATGACAGGTACACCTTTGCAAAACAGTGCACGTGAATTGTTCAACCTATTGCAATTCCTTGACGACACGTTTGATGCTAGTCAGCTAGAAGAAAGGTTCCAAGAACTTGACCAAGCCAAAATCCAGGAGCTCCACGGTATCATTCGACCTTTCTTCTTGCGTCGCACCAAGGCTCAAGTCTTGACTTTCCTTCCACCAATGGCTCAGGTAATTGTACCTGTCTCCATGTCGACCGTCCAAAAGAAGCTGTACAAGACCATCCTTGCCAAGAATCCTGATCTCATGCGTGCCATCTTCCAAGGAGCAAAAGAGCTCAGACCCACAGAACGTGCCAGCTTGAACAACATCCTCATGCAGCTGCGCAAGTGCCTGTGCCATCCGTTCGTCTACAGCACCGAGATCGAAGAAAGAAATGTGTCGCAGGCTGTCAGCCACCGTAACCTGGTCGATGCTAGTGGAAAGCTACAACTGCTCGAGACTCTTCTTCCTAAGCTCAAGGAGCGCGGCCATCGTGTACTAATATTTAGTCAGTTCCTTGACATGCTTACAATGGTGGAAGACTTCCTTGATGGTCTAGAGATGAGATGCCAACGCCTTGATGGCACCATCAGCAGTTTGGAAAAGCAGAAGCGTATCGACGAGTTCAATGCGCCTGACTCTCAGTTGTTCGCTTTCCTGCTCTCTACTCGCGCTGGTGGCGTTGGCATCAACTTGGCCACAGCAGACACTGTCATCATCCTGGATCCTGACTTCAACCCCCATCAAGACATTCAAGCACTGAGTCGAGCTCATCGTATCGGTCAAAAGAAGAAGGTTTTGTGTTTCCAGATTGTCACTCGTGCCAGTGCCGAAGAGAAGATCATGTCTTATGGAAGACGCAAGATGGCTCTAGATCACGTTTTGATCGAGCAGATGGATGCGGATGATGCTACCGACCGTGATCTCGAAGGTATTCTTCGCCATGGTACCAAGGAGCTGTTCGATGACGATGGCGAGAAGGACATCAAATACGATGCGGCTGCAATTGATAGGTTGCTCGAAGTTAGTCACGTCGAGCACACCAAGGCCGGCGAAGACAAGTCTGCAGAGTCCACCTTCTCGTTCGCCAGAGTCTGGGCCAATAACGAGCTGGAAGACACGGCCATCGAAGGACCGGAAGCAACTGAGGTCGCTCCTGATCGTGATGTGTGGGACAAGATTCTCAAGGAGCGTGAAAGAATCGCCGCAGCTGAAGCAGCCGCTGCTGAACAGGCATTCGGACGCGGTCGCCGAGCCAAAGCAGTAACGTACACCCTTCTCCTCTTGACTAACTGCCTGCTAACGTGTTCTAGACTGTGGACTACGGTGATGGTATTAACCAAGAGGGCCCAAACGCTGTCGAGGGACCTAAAGACAACGATGAAGGCTCATCTGCCCGTGTATCCAAGAGGGCGCAGTTGGACGAAGAAAATGACACCGACTTCCAGGACGACAGTGACGAAGAGAGTGTTGCAGCGGAAGAGGTCGAAGATGTTGTTGATCCGACAGAGCTACACATCCCCGATCAAAGACAGACAGCGTCGAAGCTGGTCAAAACATCTGGTAAGGAACTTCTCTTGAAACGAACCCCCACGAAGCCACGCAAGAGTCCAAAGAAGACCAAGACTCCAGTCTCAACACCCAAGAAGAAAGCGGCCTCAACGCCCAAGAAAAAGAAGCGTGCAGCTCCCGTCACACCTGGCTCTGCTGTGCGCAAAGTCAAAAACTCTCTGTCCTTGACTCCAACAGTATCCAATGGCAGAAAGGCTAGAGAGGCACAAATGAACATGCAGCAATATGGCGTCTCGGGATCAAACGAGGGATTCGTCGATCTCACAGGAGACAGTGACGGCGATCTCGTCCTCATTGGTCCCCTGCGTGCTGCAGTTCCTCCTCGATCAACTGAAGAAGAAGAAGTGCTCTGAACCTATGCTGACCCTTGTACTATTACCCAGCCCACTTCAACACCTTCCGTCGCGTTAATATACCAAATTACCGCAACTACGATCCCGAATACACGATACCAGCCTCCAATGGCAACCCACCCCGAAGACCTCAGATGGCCTCCTGCGTCGCATGCCAACATCTCCACCCACTAGGCAGCTGCCCTCTGAAACAAGCCGGGGTCGAATATTGCGGCCTCTGCGGTCTTGCCCACTACGGCTTTTCTCGCACCTGCCCCCACATCAATTCAGAAACACAAGTCCGAGAAATGATACAAGCAGTAAAATCGTCCTCAGAGCCAGGACACTTGAAGGCAGAAACCATGAAATATCTTACTGGACTCAAGGGCGCACTTGTGCAAAAGAAAAAGAAAGAAGCAGAGAGGAAAGCTGCTGCTGCTAATGGCAGTGCTAATCCTCCTACGGGACCACTTTCTGGTCAGGGACAGCAGGTCCAGCAGATGCACAGTGGACAACAGCCATTTCATACGATCCGAACAGATATGATGAGGACAGACCGGAACTGGACAAAAGGGCAAAGTACATGATTTTCTTCTTTTCACATACCCCGATAACGCAATTGATACACTTTTTACTTGACCCGTCTTTCTTCAACCGTGCTTGCCTTTTACGAGTGTCTATATTGCGTAAGCACCTCCAACTTGAATACGTAGACTTTGATCTATAAGGCCGAAGGAATGACAATCATTTTTAGTCCAAGGCAGGAGGGGCTACTTCATGTCTGGATCTGTCTAGCTACAAAGGAGAAGGAACTATATTAGAGCGATATGAGATTACATGACATCTGTAGCCTGCGTTGTTTCTGTTTCAGGAATCGCTTCTAGGTCGTTGTTCCCGAATCAGTGTCGACCCAAGGCAGTAATAAGTTAGTAGTAAGGAAGCTGATGATAGAGAAATATGGAATGTCAGGGTTACCCCGCTTATGTAGAAGAACAGGTCGTCGAAAAAGATGGGGAAGAAAAACAACCATTATGTTTGTGGTTCAGAGAATGGCTTTGATGAGAACAAGAGCAGATTCCAAGTACAATGAACTGAAAAGCCATTGATGGCGAAGGTGAAGTATACATTTGTGTCCATACTTCTCGTCTCAACCATGCTCAGCAAACCCAGCTAGTCACCCAGGCCTATACGCCTGTAGTCAAGATCCACGATGCTTTAGAAAAACGCCTTGTACTCCATGCATAAAACTCCTTGTCATGCACCATAGCCCGAGGGAATAGAATGTACACGTAGAAAAAAGGGACAAAGAGAAGAAATTTCAAGCAAGTTCGTCCTCGGACCCATCATCAGGTTCAGCCATCATCTTGCTTATCGACATCTCTTTCCTGCCCAAAGTCTCTCCTAGACGAGTGCCAAATCTCGTTACCGGCGTCTTAGGCGTGGATCGGAGGAGACTCTTTCTCAAGGTCGAAGATGGGGTGGAAAGCTGCATTTTGGCCACTGCAGCGGGACCCGAGGACTGGAAGGACTTATTGGTAGCTTGACGAGAGGAACTTCTCATGCTGTTCCGTAGATCTTCGGTTGGTGGTGTTTGCGATGCAGGTGGTGGAGAAATGGGCGGTGGTGACGAGAGTGGCGATGAAGATGGCATACGCATCTGTGCTTGTGGTGCTGGGACGAATGAACTCGGGGGCAGAGGCATATTGGACAAGAAGTAGGGGCCATTGTTGATGGTTGTCGCGTTTGGAGTATCACCGTAGCGTTTCGCAGTGGCTGGAGTTTCCGTGATTGACGAGTCACTAACATCGCCATCGTTTTCCGTGTCGATTACCATAGGCTCGGTGCGACGTATGAGTGGCGTTTGAGGGTTGGTCTGTGGCGGAGGTGGATTTGCGCTGTATGGTGGAGGCGGGTGAGTTGGCAATGGCGAGCTTCCTTCCGACACAGGTTCTGCACGAGGTCTGGGTGCAGGAGGAGGCATCATCGTGCTCGAACCACCAGAGGCTTTCGGTCTTGCTGTAGCGATATTCGACTGTTGGCGAGCTTGCATTGACGAACGGAGCTGAGAAGTTGCCATACTAGCAGCGACCAGACCTTTCGCTCTCAGGTACTGCTCAGCACGCGCAAAGAGGTTGATTGTGCTACCTGGCGTATTCGCGAGTCTATCGCGTAATTGTGGTGCTGGATAAGTGTACCTCGAGGTAGTTGGCCCGTAGGGTTCTTTCTCTTTAGAAGCCTCTCCACCTTCCCTTTTCGATCGTGATTCCTCCTCTGATCTTTTGGTCGGCTTGTCCATCCTCAGTACGCCAAATCCACTATTGGACCCATAAAAGTCCATGTTGTGCTGCTCGGCAGCGTATGGCATAGGACTGGCGGTGCGCAAGATGCCGAAGTGAGCAGCTGGATTCGAGGTGTCGAAAGTTCTGTACTGTCCTGCGGCTCCGAAATGGTGATTTCCTCCTTCTGGTTTTCTGTTCTTCTTACCCGGCCGAGGATCATCTGTCTCAGGTGTTTCTGACGTATAGTTCTGCGAGTCTGTTTCGTCGGTCTCGTCCCCTATTGTGATTGGAATTTCACCACTATCTCCATGGCGAGCAATCTGCTTGTCCATAGCACGTCGCAACAGCGGGGTATGGAATGGTGACATGCCGGGCGAGTTGGAGACGACGGTCTGCGAAGGACCAGGTGACGATAGCTCGTCTTCGCCCTCCATGATCTCGATGATCTCGCGCTTGATGATGACAGGCTTAGGCAGGTCTCTCAAGACACGAGTATAACGGCCAGACAGACCACCCACCGTTCTGCCAGGCACGTGTGCGGTGATTTGCTGCCATGTCAGACCGTTGATCTCCTTCAAGCGCTTGATCAGATCATCCTCTTCTCTAGAATAACCACGTTTGTAATCTGAGAAGCCAGCATCGTCAAGGTCGAAGGACGTTTCAGTGTGCTTCAGAAGCCTACGACGCTTCTTTGGCCTCGAGGCAGCTGGACCCCATAGTGACTGACCGCCAGAAGGAGAGTCCCAGACAGATGGAGCGCGGCGAGGTGCCGGGGTGATGGCGTCACGGGGATGGTCGTAGAAGGATGATGAGTCAAAGGCGTCCTGGGGCAGTGGTGGAGCAGACCATAGAGGCTGAGGCTGTCTGTTGACGGCCGTAGCTCGAGTGAGGAATTGGGCAATCTGATTTGCAATGCTCTGACCCAACCGTTGGACGGCCTCCGGGTCGATCCTTCCTTCAGCATCTTGATGAGGGACGAGCTGCTTCAATGAATCAGAGATGGAGATTTGAGGGAGAGAGTGACTGAGTTCGGTAGATTGAACGACGGATGAATCGTGGTATTGCTGCTCTTGGCTAATGCTCGCATCAGACTGAGCAAGGCGAGGATCGAGAGGGAAGGCGTCTGGGTCATGGCCCAGGTCGACCGACTCGTCGCCGGATTGCTCGTCGCCGGCCTCAACTGCCGCATCCTCGTAGTTGGCGTCATCTTCGTCACTGATGTCTTCTTCCAAATGCTCATCCTCCTCTTCATTGCCCAGTCCGGCTGGCTCGTATTGGAGCTCATCGTCGTCAGAATCTTGTTGTAGCTCGTTGTCCTCAATGTCCTGCTGGGGTAGGGCGTCTACCATGTGCGGTGGTGGCTCGTCGTATTCGTTTACTTCGCTGTCTTCGTTGCCTACATGTCCGTCTTCTACTTCGAGCTCTTCAGCGAATGCGCGTACAAATTGCGAGGAAGCGCTTTTGCCCGTGTCGCGCTCATGCTGCATGTACGTCAGGTGGCCGTTGTTGACGACGACTTCGCCAGTTTCCAAATCGATTTCATCGCCGACTCCAGTAAAGTCCTTTGCGTACTTTTCAAAGATGCGCTCAAACGTGCCTTTGAGTTTCAGGTCAATTCGCTGTCGACCACGTTGGTATTCGTGCGGGTCGTAGCTGGTCTGGTCATCTCTGGACGAGCTGCGACCCCTGAGATGATCATCGAACGCCATGGCGCGAGTGATGAGGAGTGCGTGGTGGTTGGCATCTCACATGTCCAGACTCTGGCTAAAGGTCAAAGAAATCAAGGTGGACGCGTTCGACTCGTGAATTGTTTCCCGCGGGGCTGACGCAACTTCCCGTTCCGGCAACTTGGCCGATCTACCTCCCGCTCGCTCCTTCTATGCTTGCTACCGTCAAGTCACAAGACTTACACACATCTATCAAATACCGGATTGAATTCTGTTTGATTCTTACAACTCATCAGCTTTGTCGTCGCTGCCTGATGAATCTACAACACACCCCTTCTCCTTGTGCATAACCCACCCCTCCCTTACACCTCCGCTCGACCTTCCTTCTAACCTAGATACCTTCAATCATGTATTGTCAAAAATGTAGAACTCCCTTGAAATTGGACCACTCTTTGGAGCATCTCAATCCATCCTCGTTCAAAATACTGGTTGGTGTGTGTTTCTCTCCTATATATTTGCTTGCTCCACGACTGACCAATAAGACTCGACCCCTTCTCTACCACCGCAAACTGCTCAACCACCCAAAACACTTGCTGCTCGCGAGCGAAGAGATATTTACGACAAGGCTGCTCAAAATGCTGGTCCCGCTCAACACAAGCGGTCCATACCCGCCCCTCACAAGACAACCAACTTCAATCCTGCCATGTCCTATGTCATGTTAAGCGAGTCTCAGCTAGGTCCTTTGTCACCAGAAGAACCAAACCCTTCCAAAAGCAAGTCTATCGAAAAGGACTCGAAGCCAACTGATCAGAATGTATCAAAAAGTCTTTCTGCTGAGATGGAGAAGAGCTTACGATTATGGGAAATTCTGTCTTCTCGCTCAGACATCGATCACCCCATATGCTCGGAATGCACCGAATTGTTGTTGACGGGCCTCCAACAACGCCAAACAACTGCAAATCGTGAGCGACAGGCCTACGCCGAGTTTTTGAAGAAAGCCAAAGAGGACATCCCATCAGAAGAAGAGCAGCATCAGGCACGTGAAGCGCTTGCTGCCGCCAAACAACAGGAACAGGACGCTCTTGAAGAGCTGGAAGCACTAGAAGTCGAGAAGGCAGCAATGGAAGAAGAGATTGCTGCCCTCAACCGCGAAGAGGCAGAGCTGGAAGAAGAGGAAGCGGCTTTCTGGCGAGAACGTAACGAATTCGACGACACTGTCACCAAATTCAGAGACCAGAACGACAGCTTGCTCAATCAACTACAGTTCGACACAAAGATACTGGAAGCACTACAGCGAACGAATGTCTATAATGACTCATTCTGCATTGATCATGATGGGCCATTTGGTACAATCAACGGGCTGAGATTGGGTAAGCTTCCAGATCACTCTGTCGAGTGGCCCGAGATCAACGCTGCTTGGGGGCTGTGTGTTTTGTTGTTGACCGTTGTCGCCGAGAAGCTGGAGTACACGTTCCATGGCTACAGACCTCTTCCGATAGGCTCTACGTCCAAAATTGAGAAGCTCGAGTACCCGGCCAATGATCAATCACGAACAGGAAAACCGAAAGTCACCACACTAGACCTGTTTTGCAACAGTGATCTCCCATTGGGACTGGGCTTCCTGCACCGTGGCTTTGATAATGCCATGATCGCGTTCTTGGAGTGCCTACGACAGCTAGGTGAGCATGTTGAACAGTCTCCCTCGTACGTGGGCGCGTCGGCCCTAAGTCGCAAACTCCCTTACAAGATCAGCAAGGACAAGATTGGTGATAATAGCATCAAGCTTGGAACCTTCAATCAGGAGGAAGCTTGGACAAGGGCATGTAAATATACCTTGACATGCTGCAAGTTCTTGCTTGCGCATGCCAGTCATGTTGACGATCTGAAGCAGGATGGTCAGACTGCTCGTTAATGGTAGATGTCATGTCAGAGCGAACCTCTTCTAATGTTTGAGTATAAACACGCCACGGGTAGGCATGTATTGTAACCAAGGATTATTCATCAGGGGCAATGCATGAAGCAAGGGGTCAATCGACTGAGCAATCATCAATTTACGAGATGCAATTCTGCCACGTCCACCTCTTAATATCAAGTAGTAATGGCGATACTGAGCTCGCCAGGTCCAAAGATCCAGCTTATCGCTGGTGTGCTGCTGACGACAATTCCACTCTGGCTTCTTGCCTGGCACTTTCGAGTACGCAACCCACTCTTCGTCAGTCGCCACATACCGATACACAATGCCTGGACGGTAGATCGCGAGATGTTCATGCACGAATGGATGGGGAATCAGATTGGTAATCCACCCAATAGTTCATCTGTCGCCCTTTTGTGTGGCAAGGCGGATATAAAATGGCAGCCAAACGTTGTCCTGGACTTAGACGACGCCAATGGTGGTATAGGCAATGTTCGAGGAAATATCTTCGACTTTCTCGGTCTAGCCATATTGACTGGTTCCTCAATAATGTTGCCGAGCTTCCAGTCCAGATCGGCCGAGGACTTGAGCGCTCTCTGGAATGGCAAGATTCCGTTCGACACCTTTTTCGACACCGAGCACTTCGTATCCACCTTTGCATCAGCTTGCCCAAAGATGGACATCTACCAGCCATCGACCGATCATTCCCTGCTGCCACCTCTGCACAATCGCTACAGTATGCCTAGTATGCGACAAGATCTACACCCAGAATCATTAGGCACAGAAAACCCAAACACACCAGAAGCAGCGGTAGAGAATTTCTCCCACTGGCTGAAAGCTCAACCCGACTACGATGCTCAAAAGACGTCTCTCGTCAGCGTCGGCCGCACTCTCTGGGAAGGTCTGGACACTCGCGCTCTGCCCTCAGCCGTACGCAGAGACTTTGGCAACTCCCTCCGCCTTGTACCAGAAGTACGTCGTCTAGCCGCCATCGTAACCTACAACCTCGCACGTCAATACCATATTCACACCATCGACCCTCGTCTTCCTTATTACCCCTCGGCCTTCCTAGGGGCACATTTACGCACCGAAATCGATGCCAAAAATGCCGGTTGGTTAAATGATGAAGGTGCTGCTGCACATGCGAATTTCACAGGCCAAACAGATGCATATCTCTCTCAAGCTGTGGAAAGAGGATTGAATGTCATCTACGTGGCTTCCGGCAACAGTTCTGAAATATCCCATTTCGCCCAAAAAGCATGGTCACGACATAACTTCAACGTGACCTCCAAAGCCTCCCTCCTCTCTGACTCCGACCTCGAAGCGCTCAACAACCTTACCTGGGATCAACAGGGTTTAGTCGACTATGAAGTTCTCAGACGAAGTAGTTATCTAGCAGGGTTTGCGAGAAGTAGTTTCGCGTTCAATATAGCGATTACGAGGAATGAGTTTGTGGGTGTTAATCAAGAGGTGTTGAGGAGGAGGCCGGGGGATGTGAGGAAAGAGGATGTGGCGTTTGATGATGGGATTAGCAAGATTTGGGGGAGGTTTGTTTGGCAGGAGGAGAGGATGTTGAGGGGTGCTTGGCCTTGAGTTTGGTTCGTGTCTTTTCTTCCTTGTGTCAGATGCAGAGGAAGAATCAAGTTAAACGCCATTCAAATGCTCAAAGGCTTTCCTTTTTTACAATGAAGAGAATATCGTACAAGTATTTATCAACAGTAGATCAAGCAGGTTGAGAGACTTTCTTCTATGCTCTGCCCTGTCTCATCTCCTTCTTACCCTGCTTACCCTTGGCCATGGGCATCTTTGCCGCTGCCATAACGGGGGCCTCGACTCTTGACAGATCAATATTCCTAGCCTCTTCAATCTCCTTGATACCATCAATCAAACCAGCCGGACTCTCCTTCTTTGTCTGCTCGGCCAACTGTCTAGCCTCCCTCCTCGCGTCCAACTCCTTCTTTCTCTCCTCCGTCAACAGCCACTCATCAGGGAACTGGAATCTCTTCTTCGGCTTTGCGTGTCTGAAATCAACAGGGATATCCTTGAGCCATTCACTCTCTGGTGATTGGGCCTTTGCAATGAGTCCCTTGATGGTGTCGCCCAGATAACGCTTGTTTTGTGCTTGGGTCTCGTGGTCTTCGCAGCTCATCTTTACGAGTTTGGTGACGGGGTTGTAGCGTACGCCGGCTAGTTTGATGAGGTTTTGGGTGTGTGCGGGTGTGAGGGAGAGGTCTGAGGGGTCGAACTCTACGACTACCTTTCGTGAGGCTGGGTGTTGTTCGCCCATGTAGGTTGTGTAGCGGAAGCGGAGGGGTGTGGCGGCTGTGGGTGGTGTGTAGGGTTTTGTGAGATCTGAGAGGGTGCATGTTAGAAGATGAGTTTCAGAGGAGGTGAAGTGGACAAGACGTACTCGCCAACAAAGGCATCTCCCAGCCTGCAAGACGAGCATACTCTCTCAGTTCCCTCGTTTGCTCCAGCTCTGCGTGACCCAAACTCGAAATGTCGTCTCCTTGGAAATCATCCTCATCGGGACCAATGTCTTCCTTCTCACCCATTTGGAAGAAGCCTTGATTTTTGGGCGGCCTCTCAACGGGACCAGCAGGGAACTCCATATCCAGTGTCTCCAGTTCAGCGGCAATCTGCTCCTCCAAATCGCGGTGGGTGCGACTGTCGTTTGCGAACTCGTCGCGTAGAGCAGCGTCTACCTTCTCCATTTGCTGGCGCTCGGCGGGTGTGAGGGATGTGTATGCGGCCTGGTCATCGCGTGCGAGGCGGTTGTAAAAGGCTTGGTTGAAGTAGCTGGCGCTGTCTGCATCTTTCTTGTCTTCGGCGAAGGTGCGGCGAGACGTGGTGAACGTGCGAGAGACGGGTTGGAAACGTGGACGTTGGTGTGAGCGCAATTGGCGCGCTGCTGTGCGGCACACGCTCTTTGCTGCTGAGGCCATGATGGAGGAGTATGGCGCTGCTATAATATCTGCTGCACCTATCTGGCTGGTGCTTGGTATGCACCGAAAGTTGAAAGACGGCCGGTAAAATATCGGCTGAGACGACTTTGCGGCCTCTTTCCCGAGCCTCCAGAGTTCTCCGCTCGTTCGTCAACGTCACCTCAATTGCTGATGGATGGCTTGTCATATTTCATCATGTTGATGTGTGGTCGATAATAGCTATGAAGTGGCACTGCAACAGTAGCATCTATGGTATATCATCTTGAAGGAAGATCGCGATTCTCCGACGGACAGGGTCACCAATCAGCATGGCCGCAATCGCTCTCGAGGTACCCCTAGATCAGGCTTCAGTTGTCATGAATACAACCCTCCGGAAGACCGTTCGAGTCGTAAGAGAGTTGACTCGGTCACGGATCATTCAGCTCAACAGGACAATAGACGATCCCGGCATACTCTGGCATGGAAAGAGAGCACGAGGCTCATGAGAAGCATTACTTGGCGATAGAACTGTTGGGTGCTGACCGACAGCAGTTCGATGATCTGAAAACAACGGAGAGTCAAGCTCGACAGCAATCAAGGAGCAGTCACGGAAGCCCAGCAGCCAGTGCCAAGACATTCGACTACTGAACGAGGGTTCACGCCGACATCAGGTCAACGTGGCGACTCAATTACTCGAGACCACCGCCGAAAACAGAGTCACTACTACGCCTGGATAGCTGCAGTTTGCCATCAGATCATCAACGATTGCAAGTAGATCGCGTTGAGAGCGATCTGTCGCTAGCAATCTCGACAGAGTAAGAATTCGAAGTCTGGTATTATATTTTTGAAATTCCGCCTCTCCCTCGTAACAGGCGGCCTTGGTGATGTGGGAGGAGCTCGTGTCTACTCCCACGTGGCTCGTGACCGCACGTCGCCTGTTCGAACCTCTCCACGGTCAGAGGTCCCAGTAATCCTCACACGGCAAAAATAGCAAAGAAAATACCATTTCTCTATTCCTCTGCGCGCCCAGGCCTCCCGCAGGGGTCTCTGTTTGCTAATTTTTGCTAATGTATACAAACTAGCTATTTCTTTTGCTCCCATCATAACAACTGTTGCGCGAGAGTGTTGCGCGAAAAGAATAAGTCTGCTCAACTGCGGCGCTCCAGCGTCCACCAGGAAGGTAGGCTCAGATACACGATCACTGCACATCCGCGCCAGACTGTCTGCTACGGTAGCATCTGCATTGCTTGTATGAGCACCCCCAAGGTACAGCTGACTTGCAGTGTCTCGCTTTCTCAACAGCCGGGGAAAAATCGGCGGCATACTTTGTTTCTGTCTGAGTTAACTCGACGTTTCGCCATAATTGAGACCAAGACACCTTCAGAATCGTATCGGCCTGTGTGCTTTGCTTTGTCTTTTCCATAACCCTCCACAGTGACATAATGCGACAACCATCGTCGAAAGACACGCCTCTTGTCTAAGCCAAGAAAATTGAACCGAGGACCCTTCTCTGTCGTGAGGACATGTAAGACCAATCCTGAATGTTTCTTTTGAAATCTCGGTTCGAGACACCATTTCAGTATGCCTCTCAGCTATAAGTATTCTGTTAGATGCGATGTTCAGCTTCGCCATGCTACACGATGTCAAGAATAGCAATGTCTTGCCCTCATTCTGGGCGACAAAGAACAAAGATATGGCCAGCTTCCTGGAAACATCCCTGCGTATCGAACGGACTGCCTTGTATATCAGGACTCGACTCTCAGCAGTAGCATATCACAAACCTCCAAACAACAACAACAATCACTACCCCTTATCACTCACAAATCACGAAGATATCTCCGCTGGTTGGGATCCAACCATGACAAACTACACACTCATCAAGTTCAGCTCTTTCAAGCTTACCACACTCAATCACAACCGTCTAGGTCTAGTCCGCGATACTTACGCCTGTAGGCAGCTGATAAAGGTTCAAGCCTACGAAAGAGCCAAGAAAGCCTTGCAACTCATCGAGCCTTCGACCAAAGAATATCTCGTCTGTCGTACAATCATCCGCCTCGCTGAACACTGCGTTTGTGAGATACATTCACGTCGTCCCAAAGCAGTCGAATACATTACAACAAGATGGTTGGCAGACTACTCAGAGACCCTCAAGGATAATCAGGACAGAACAACAGCAATTGCTCCGGGTATCGGCAAGTCTCTGCGAAATACTCAGCAGCTAGAAGAGACGATCCAAGGCTTGAGACGCGAGAAGAAGGCTCTTGAGACCACAATCGCAGAGCTCAAGCAAGATATTGACCTCCTCGGAAAGTGTTCAAAAAAGCAAGTTACATTCTTGGCTGACAGATTGACTCTATCACGCGAGGAGTGCCGACAGTTGCATATCTCTGCGAGTGGGCTGGCAGAGAGACTGAGTGAGGCTGAGTACCGGGCTTATCTGCAAGAACCAAACGCACATCGTTATTTCACCTGCCTCCAGGAGAGGGTCGACTACGCAGAACTTGTCTCTTTCAACGTCTCCGAGACCTCTCGAAAAGAACTTGAGCACGCAGGACAACACCTAGAAGATTTGGAGTCCCTCTTGGAGCAGAGAGATATCGCTATCGCTGTGCTCCGAGCCCAGCTCTCAAAGTACACCAGCGACAAATCTCCATCTCCGAACCTGACCACAGCCGATCAGTTCCTGCTGCTTCCTGAGAGGATGGACACGAAACCGATTACTCCCGAACAATCAGATCCCGTCCAAAGGTACGATACACCTCAACAGAACACGCATGCTGTCTCGGAGTAATATTGAAAACGGAAGACGAAGTTTGGGAACACAGAGGACTTGTAGACGCTAGAAGTATAGTGGCAAGAGGCAGGTGATGATAGATAGGCCATCAATGAAACTTTTGCATGCATCACTAGATTCATCGACTTCATAAACATATTTTTGTGCTTGATTACACTTTTCTCAAGCAGATGACGCGAGCCGAGTGATTGCTATGATATGTAGTTAGTCGGGGAAGCTTCTTGTAGCATTACCATAAGACAAGTACGTTTGGGGTGGTTGTCGACCAAACAGTTTTGCGTGGCTAGCTGAGCCTGGGATGATATTTTGTTCTAATCTTTAAATACATACATGTCCGTCACCAAACTTGGACAGCTTGATTTATCGCCGTCTGCAAATAATGTTCAACTCGGCGTCACGACCATGAGACGAATGCACAAAGCAAACGAAATCATGTCTTGGTCGATAACAATAGATTCATCCTTGACTCACCTCAGGTGACTGAATCACATATGTGTGCCAAAATAGTCACTGATTCTACGTCCCATTCTCAAGTTGTCTATACCAGTCACTCCCACATGATAGAACATATCTTCTCTCACCAAACCAAATTATGTCTACGGAATCACCCTTTTCTCGATATTCCAGCATGACTACCAATTATACGCAAAATCTGAACTCGGACTACTTCTACACTCTTACACCTCGAACATCTGTCAGAACAAAGGAATCGCCCATCGAGATACCTCTTTACAGCCTCATCACGCTTTCCGAACTCTCTGCTACATGGATAGTCAGTCGCTGCGTCGGCAAAAAAGGTTACGGAAGGGTGGCCAACCGATGCGGTGCAACGCTCTCAAGCGATATGACATCTTCAGCCGATAATGTCTTGGAAAGGGTAGCAAACAGCGAAAACATCTGGGCTGGAAGAGCGAATCTTGTCAAGCTGGCCCGACTTTGTTTGTGTAGTGATTGTTGCCAGATACAGCTATCGGATACTGTCAATTCCTGGAGATCTGAGCTCGATACCTTGGCCAATGGAAACGCCGAGAGAGCCGGGTCTGAGGAGGAGGATGGAGACGATGAGGTCTTGCTGAAATCCTCAGCAGGTCTCGTGTCTGTCAGGAACATGGTTTCAGCCTCAGTTGCCATGTTCTGGGGATGATTCAGGATGCGTTTCTCGAATGTTAAGCTACGGAGCATACAGTGGGGGGAGATAGTGGGACAAGCCTAATGAGTCTTGATCGTTCTTGTCTTGTACTCCAGAAAGAAGCAGATATGTTGGTGATCTGGTCCTAAAATGTTGGTGTCTTACTTTTTTTGTCATCCAAGACCTCTGCGATGTGTTGCTGAACTCATGTCCAACATATCACGCTCGAAGTAGAAGAGGAGGTATAAGTCCAGAGTCATACAATCATCACAATCTTCTTCCTTACAACATCTTGACGACATACCTCTCCAAACCCTACGCTCAACCATGTCGTACGAGCTCATGGCCTTTGACGAGCTCCTCGTCTTCGGCATCCCATCTAGCTATGTCGGAGTGAGTGGCGATGGTAAAACTAAATGTGGCAATGTCGTGTCTACCGAGAACGTCCGGGTCGCAACGATACTTCTGGAGGCCATACAATCTGGAGCAAAGACAACATACATCGATGAATGGATTCGAGACCTCACGGTACTTTGCCTTTGTGGAAGAAGACATCATGACCAGAAGTCTACAGTCGTCAACTTGTGGACACTCGACGTGCGAGCGTTTGGTATCTTGGACAGCACCAATAGACCATCGAGCACTCAGAACAGAACCGCACAGTCTGCAGCCACTATCGTTGCGGATATACCGCACGCCTCAGCACAAGAGTTTCGAAAGATGAAAGAGTCTTTACGGATCATGGAGGCTCAGCTTGACCAGACCAGAGCGATTCACGGATTTGCACAAAAAAATTGCAGAGCGTTACTTGAGAGTGCTAGAGCGTTCCAACAAAGACTATGCCGCGTTGCAGAGGTTAACTGAGGATCACTTTCGTAAGCTTCGTACGGCAACTACCACAATTTCCAGATTCCAGCATCGATTGGACGTTCAATGTCAAGAAAAGAACGATGTCATGGAGAGCAACACTTTTCTCAAAATCGAGCTTGTAGCTGCAGAAGACCAAGCCAAAACACACCAACACGAGAACAAGCTGCAGGAAGACCAGAAAGCCCGCCTCTATAACGAGCTCGAGGAATCATATGCGGCAAATAGCAAGCTTCAAAATGAGATCTCGAATCTGGATGAGAATCTCCGAGCAGCTCAAGTCGAAAACTCAGTCTCTCATCGGCGCATCACTGATATTGAAGAAAAGCTGGAAACTTCGATCCTCGACAATAGCTCAGTACGTCACAGACTTTCGACTGACCGCAAACAGACGACCTCCTTGAGCGTCGCCAATGCAGGTCTGCGGTACAGTAACAGAGGGGAAGGTAGAGCTGAGAAGATGCATGTCGGTCCAAGAGACGAAATTCACCGAAATCAACAGCACAATTGAAACAGTAAAACAGGAGGCGACCGATCTAATGAAACACGTTGCGGTGTTAAAAGATGAAGACTTGGAGTGGAAGGATTCAAAATCTGGCCAGAAGCAATGCGTCTCGACTCAGGAGAGCGAAGTCAGAGATGAATCCGAGCAAGCAGCAGAAGGTGCTGGTTCTGACGGAAGGTGCGAGCTGATGTGGAAAACATGTTGCACTGCTATGACTTCCGCAGAAAGTCTTATAGTTTCATGTATCTCAGAGCATCAATATAAGTAGTTCGAATGCGTTCATTCCGACCCTCAATGCAAAATTGTTGTAATTAGTATCCACACAGGGCAGGAGAAACTCCAATTTCGCCGCACATCTCGATGGGAATGTCTGATTTAGACTACCTCAATCATTTCTATAGGTGTATCATACATTCGTGTGACTGGACTGGGGCGGGAGACTACATCTCGCGTTTGGAGACGTGTCTAAATAGCGACATTTCGGCAGGTGAGACACTTGTGAACGTCCTTCATAGCCTGTCTCCTTTTAGTACATCGCGCTGGCCAGGCTCTAGCCTCTCTGTCTTCAGTTTTGACATGCAAGTCTTGTCGAGATCTGGAGGCCTGTAACATAGCAGTAGACTGACAAGTCCACAGCGCTCATCGTAGAAACTGTACTGTGCGCCAGGTCGAAATGAGGCTGAGACACTATGAACCAGAATTTTACAGCATGAGACAGACCGTCTCGAGAGGCCCAGAGTTGTGTTGGATCAATGCCTTGATCGGTGTGTATGCTGAAGCGAAGTAATAAGATACGTTCTGCGTCCCACCTGAAGTCAATGTATTCTACTATCCCTCGACGAACAAACAAATTCGACAAACTGCAATTTCAGACTCTTCTGTTACTTTCATTGTACCATGTCTTACACACTTATATCATTCGATGATTTTCTCGCAGCGAAAATTGAAAAATGCTGTATCGGACACAAGCAAGAACCCAAGATCAGGTGTAGCAACACTATATCCGACAACAGCCTGTGCAAGGCAGTGGAGATCTGGGATGCCATCAGATCCGGAGCAAATGCGGTCTACATTGAGCGAAAAATGGTAGAGCTTGCAGCCTCCTGCTTGTGTCAAACCAGTCATCAGATGCAAGCAGCCACCGTGGCCAATTCCTGGATTGAAGAGGCGATGGGAAGTGGCATGGTCCAAAGCAAGATTGTTTCACAGAACACCATTGCGAAGACCGGTTCCGACATCGTGGGTCAGGCCGACCAGTTCGTTTCTGAACAAAGCAGCAATGAAGACAACCATCGACAACAAACCAAACTTCTGTCCCAACAACATCAGCAAGCTGTGCATACCTTTGAGGAGGCACATTCCAGCGCCAGAGATGTGACGGGATCGGACGAGCCGGACAAGGGTACACACACCGCTCTACAGGCTGGCTTCTAGACGCTGCGGTCTAAGCTTCGCGAGATTGGGATCGGAATTTCGAACTCGGAGCTCCAAGCAGAGGTCTTGAAACAAGATATGGCTGGCTCTGGACAAGAGTAACACTTCTCTGCGGGATGAGTTCCTCTTCCTGGGGGAGAGCAAGGCACACGCTCTTGTTCTCAGGCAGCTGCAGATGGAGATACAAGCGAGAGGGGTGACAGCAAAACTGTTGCAGAAGATGTTGAGGGAGATCTTGTTCCAACCGGAGGATACCTGATGATTTAAAATTGCTATCGCCAAATCCAAATTGTCATGATCAAATCTTGTGCATTTGAGTGACTTTTTCGTTGTCTTTCATAGCTTCGAAATGATGCGACTTTCTTCACCTCAGTGCACAAGACCGCTTTCCGCCATCTTTTGAACATACTTCGCGTACTTACCGGCACTCTTCTTCCTGAGCTGCTTGCCCCACTTGACCATCACAAAGAAGGTCAGACATTGAGCAAGGCCTGCGAACGCAGCAACGATGAATGCATTCTGCAGACCCATGCCATCGATCCAGGGTGTGATACCATAACCGATGGCGAAACTCATCGTGTTGCGCACTAAGATGACAGTAACGATTGCCTCACCCCCAAGATCCTTGTAGGAGTCGACAGCATACGAGATGCTCAATTGGATACCAATGGTATTGGTCAAGGCAATCACACCCATCGCAAAGACGCAACCGAACCACATTACGTGCTGTGCCGCGCCAACTATCACATGTCAGCTTTTGCGTGTTCATATGATCTTACGTGTTACTTACCACCCCACAAGATCAACCCACCGGGGATCAATAGCAGTGATGGAAGAAATAGCCAAAGTCGATGCTCACTCTCCGATACACCACCGTTTCTACGGGCCAATGCAAGAACAATCTTGTCGCCAATGACTCCGGTGTAGAACGAACCGATAGCCACGCCAATAAGAGGTGAGATGTATGAAAGGCCGACCATACTGGCTGAAAAGTTGTAAGGAGCATTGCCAAGAATTGATGAAGCAGTCCCGTTGAGTACATTGAACCAGATCAAATTGCTACCGTAGGAGAAGCCAGCATAAAATATGACGGGAAAGGTCAGGAAGATGAGCGGCCTGACTGTCATGCCACGAATATGGTTATCCTTTCGTAGATCAGACTTCTGCCACAACTTGACCTTGTCGAGATATGTCTTTGGTTTGAATGAGCCGGTAGGTGAGCCATCTTCTGATGCAACATCAAGATCGTCTGGGCGTACAACTTTCTCGTCCGCCTTGGATGTCGAGGCTGTTTGCTCAGGCTGGGTATCGATATTAGGAGTTACACCAGTGATGGAACGTCTAGAGAAGTTCGTTTCTTCCATAAAGAAGAAAAGAAAGACGAATCCAATCCCACAGAAGATAGCACACCAATACAGAACCCATCTCCAGCCTTGGCCGTCTGCGATGAACCCAGCAAGCACCGGAGCGAGAAAGTTGGACCCAGCGAGCAGCAGTGCGTACAGACCCAAGTACTTTCCACGTTCATGCTGGAACCAGACATCGGTGACGCTGATCTCGCAAAGACTCTCAATTGGCGCTCCAAAGAAACCTTGCAAGATTTTGTTGGCAATCCATTGACCATTGCTCTTGGTGTACGGTGCCCAGAGCTGGATCCCCATGGTTGCAAGGATACTGAAGAGGTAGACTGGCCGCTTGCCGTACTGCAATGCGATTGGCTGCCAGAAGAGACAACCCCATCCGAAGAACAGGAACATATAACCAGTACCGCTATTCAAGTCTCCCAGAGTCAGGCTGGTCTCCTCGGCGATTGGTTCCAAGATCGAGTATATAGCTGCACTCGCGATTCCAACCATCAATGTGTAGACGCCCATACAAGTCATGGATAGTATCTTCCTTCCGGGCGACCAGTTCAGTGGGTCGTCAGGGTCTTGCGAGGGAGTCGGAACAAGTACAATGTCTCTTTGCCCACCTCGGGCGTGCTGTGTTTGCATCGTTCCATCCAGATCGACCAAGTGGACAGTGCCTGGTACGGTAGGCCCGGCGACATCGCGAGTCATACTGCAGGTGTATAGGGATGTTATGCTTGTATGAAGGCTCTAGGGCTTATCGAATGTAAAAGAAGTCAATGTACAGCTGTCAGATGCTCCACCTTGGAGCAATGTGGAAGTCTGATAGCAGTAAAAGACCACAATATATGCTTGATTTGATGTGTTGGGCAACTTGTCCTACTCTAGATGTGGTTATCCGAGATAGGCATAGGAAAGTTAAACGGCTCGGCCGACATGTTGAGGATAAGTGAACCAACCAAAGAGCAGTCTTGAAGATTGCCAGAAGATCAGCGTCTGATAAGCATGTGAGTCAAAGATAAACACCCATTGTGGGGTGACAGATGTCGAGGGTGGCAGGCGCGACCTGGTGTCACGCAGTCTGCATTCTGACTGAGGGGCGACTAGGCTAGACTTGCTGTAGCAGAGCAAGCCATATCATTCCAAGAGCATGGGAAGGCTAGGTAATGTCAACTTCCGAAAATGTAAGACGCAAGTACACGTTTGCTGCAATGCATCGCGCCCAGCCCTGAAAGAAGTCGAGCCAGCGCTGACCAGGGGCTCAGCCAAAGCAAGATACCTCCTCCAGCACCAGAGTCGACAAACAAATGCTCTGCGCGCCGTCGGCAAGCCTGTCTACTTGGGGTATTGCTGGAGTGGTGTTCGTCGCGGTCAGTAGCCAATTACATCCTGGCTTTTGTTGTCACTCCTCATCAACTTCTTCCACTTTCGTCGAGAACTCAGAGATTGCTCTCTTCCGTGATTAATCCATGTTATCTGGATGAGACTCCTTTGACAATCTCGACTCCAAACCTTTTTACTTCGAAAACCGCCTTGCCTCACAGACCTTGGAACAATGCGCTCAAGTGAGTAAGTCTTGGCAATTTCAGCGCGTCTTCCCCCAATCACATGATCACGTCTACGTCACTCGTTCGCGTTTTTACCTGAGGTAGACGCGCCACTAGAAAAAGTTACCTCCACCACTCGCGTAACTGCCGACGTGTAACGGCCTCATCCATCTTCCTGCTAATTTTCACTCCACAGATCGGTGTTCATCACTTCAGTATCTCATGCTTTGACATGGTATTGATAGAACTTCACTAGTTCAGGGTGCACTCACAGGCTGCATCTATACCAATATGGATCAGTACTTGCATCAACGAGCACTTGACGTGGCTGATGAGCTACTCGCTCACACTGAATCTAAACCTACAGCTTATCTGGTCGCTGTACTCTGGCATGACATTCCAAAGCCAGTCACCAATATTGCTCGCGATTCCTTCATGTTTGTGAAGTGCGTTGGTAAGACAACACTTGCAAAGATTAGCGACGCATACCTTCTTAGAGAGGAAGCTCCGTCTGAAGTATCTCTGCATATGGATTCCATCGTCCCACCAGCAACCACAAAGGTGTCAGATTACGATCACTTTGGTGACAAAGTGATTGTCTTTCAGGCGCGTGCCGTCGATCCAGTCCACACGACAAGCAGAATATCCGACGCGACGAACGGCATGACTCTTTTGAGGGACTCAATGCCTTTCAAATCTTCACCTGCTCCTATTTTCCAACAGAACAGAGTAGGAGCAATGGGAAACACACTCTCTGCTGCTCAATTCACAGGAGCGCAAAATCCTGTCAGGCAACACAGCTCATCATCCCGACCAAGTGTTGATCGTTCTGGATTGCGTGCTGATTCATCAGGAAGAGCGCCTTCGTCATCCAGTAGGTCTGGATACACCCCAAACTCTCAAGTCGCATCTCCTCTGGCAAAGTCTGCTCCTGTCCCTTCGACGCCCGGTACAGCACTACCTCCTCAAGTTCCGATCAGTACGCAAGACCGGGACTTAGGCTCTGCTCGCTTTGCTCAGAATTCGGGATTGCCTTTCTCGTACGCACTCTCGCCTCGTGCACAGACCTCTCTGGCATCTCAGATCAGAGGATCACCACAAACTCCTCGCGCAGGGACAACTCACAACAAAACCCACCAAGGCCAGCCCAATGGTAACGGTCTCGCTGCACCAGCCACACATACAGACAGTACCCAACCAGTAAGCTTCCGTTATTTGCCCCTCGTGACAGCACATGTAGCACCATAGAGTTGTAGAGGACGTATCGCTGTGACTGATATAATGTCACGATTATCATCTCACTGCGAAGGAGACAGTGTTGCGAAGATCTAAATTGCGAACTCGCCATGTCCAACACGTGTCGCTCATCGCTACATCTAAATCTGCCCACCCACAAGTGCTCTTAAAAAAACTGACCCAAACTAGACGATTAAACCAGAGATCTCATTGCCAGCACCCCTGCCCTTGCAGCCTTTCGAAGACCACAAGATGGGCAACGCAGGCAGTCTGCCTTCTGGCGAGGACTACGACGATGAGCCCGTTCAGTACGTACAGTCAAGCGTTTATCTGCAAGCTCTAGCCAAGGAAGAGTCGACCGAAAAACTCGAAGCTGGTGTTGAGCAAGGCATCAAGCTACTTGATCGCTTTGTGAAAGAGCTTGAACCTGGCAAGGAGACTGCAGACATCCAGCAATGGCTGCAGCAAATTGACTTGGTTAGAAAAGAGGCGACCGGCGCTCGTACCGTCGTCGGTGTTGTCGGCAACACAGGCGCAGGCAAGAGCTCGGTGATCAACGCCATTTTGGATGAGGAGCGTCTGGTCCCTACGAACTGCATGCGAGCTTGTACTGCAGTCGTCACTGAGATGTCCTGGAGCTCGAGCGAGGACGAAAATAGCAGATACTGTGCTGAGATCGAATTCATCAAGCCTGCCGAATGGGAGAAAGAGCTCCGAGTTCTCTTCGAAGAGATCATCGATGGTAGCGGTAACATCTCCAGAGAAGTTAGCAACCCAGACTCGCAGGCAGGCATTGCCTACGCCAAGATTCGCGCCGTCTACTGGCGGCTCACAAGGGAAGACTTGATTGCAAGTTCGATCGAGAAACTGATGACCGATCACTCCGTTCGTGGTCTCCTTGGTACTACCAAGTATATTAAGGATCGTCATTGCGACACTTTCTACAAGACTCTACAGCACTATGTCGATTCGAAAGAGAAGCCGGAGACCACCAAAGAGTCGGGCGATGAAGATGAGGACGATGCAGAAGTGGACAAAGAGAAGAAGAAGAGAAAATCAAGAAAGCGTGAGCAGGAGTTTTGGCCTCTGATCAAGGTGGTTCGCCTCTTTGTCAAAGCCGATGCTCTCTCGACCGGCGCCGTTCTAGTCGACCTGCCCGGTGTCGCTGACTCAAATGCGGCTCGTGCTGCCGTGGCAGAAGGGTATATGAAGCAGTGTACTGGTCTCTGGATTGTGTCTCCAATCAACCGCGCTGTCGACGACAAGGCAGCCAAGAATCTCCTGGGTTCCACGTTTCGGAGACAACTTAAGTACGACGGAACATACTCTGCAGTAACCTTTATCTGCAGCAAAACTGGTTGGTGACTTTTTTCTGCTACAACATCTACCGTAACTGACACCACTATAGACGATATCTCGAATACGGAGGCTGCCGACAGCTTGGGCCTCGGAGATGAGATCGATCAGCTTGAGGACCAGCTCACATCGATTGGCAACCAACAAAAACGCGCCGAGAGAGAAGCTGCCAAACTCAGAGACGAGAAGGGCTCGCTGCGGGAGATCATGGACAACTGCGATGACGAAATCGAGAAGTGGGAAGGCCTTCAAGAAAAACTCAGTGACGGAGACACAGTTTATGCCCCAGCAAGCACGACAAGAAAGCGCAAGCGCTCTTCGTCGAGCACAGACAGCGAAGACGAGAATGTCAAAAGCGATCCGTCTGACAACGAATCACAGTCGTCAGATCGTGGTTCACCGCTGACTGCCGAAGGCATTGAGACGAAAATCCAAGAATTGAAAGAACAGAAGAAAACAGCTCGCCGTGGACGTCGCGAAATCGAGGCTCAGATCAAAGACCTGAATGTGAAGATCAAAGAGTGCAAAGCAGATTTCCGGGGCATTGAAGACAACAGAAGTCAGATCTGCATCGACGCTCGTAACCAGTATTCCAAATCCGCCATCCAGGTTGATTTTGCTGCGGGTATCAAGGAGGTAAGTCGTTTCGAGACAGTGATGAGTGGTGTTATGCTAACGATATTGTCGAACAGCTCGATCAAGAAGCTCAAGCGGAAGATGATCCTGACACATTCGACCCTGAGCAAGATATGCGAGACTATGAAAAGGTTGCTAAGGATCTACCTGTATTTTGTGTCTCAAGCCGAGCATACCAGAAGTTGTCTGGCAGGCTTGTGAAGGACAACGCCGTTCGTGGTTTTACTGATGTCGATCAAACTGAGGTATGAAGGTTCTTTTTTCATCCTTTCGCAAAACTGACCACTTCAGATCCCTGCTCTCAAGGCGCACTGTAAGAAACTTACCGAGAACGTCCGCTCCATCAAGTCCCGTCGCTTCCTCACCCAATTGAGTCAACTCCGCACCTCGCTCGCGCTTTGGGCTTCAAACGACGGCTCTGGCGCAAAGAAGACGGACCAGCAGAAAGATGCTGAACAAAGATTTCTGGCTCGGAAGCTGAAAGACCTCGAAAAAGTACGCAGACAGCCGCCTTACCGGGTCAGCTACTAACAGTGAGTACAGGCTCTGGAGAAGGACGTGAATGATACTCTGACCGAGATGAAGGAAACCATGAGCGAGAACATATTCGAAAACTATGGAACAGCCATCACCGCCGCTGCCAATACTGCCTTGCCAACTTCGCAGGGCTGGGGCGCGCATAGAAATCAGGGAGGTCTTTATTGGGCTACATACAAGGCAGTCGTACGTCGCCAGGGTGTCTTTACCGGATCTGGAGGTCTCTCCGACTTCAACGCACAGCTGTAAGACTCGATTGTGCATCCAAGCAGTTCATCAGCTAATTTCAGCAACAGCGCCGAACCCATCTACAAGCAGCTGGCCAATGGCTGGGAGAAGGCCTTCCAGCGTCGCCTTCCGCACATCCTGAGAGCATGCGCCAAGGGCTTCGCGAACGACTTGCGTGCCTTCCACAAGGCCATCGAAGTTCAATCGTTGTCGCACGGAGACAACCCCCGTCTTGGTCTACTCGCGCAACAACTGACCAATTACGAGGCCGTCTTCAGTGACCTTGGTAGCAAGATGGTCGAATTGACCAATGAGCGTCAGCGCGATATTAATCGCGAGTTCACCCCAAATGTGTGCAACGCTATGCTCATCGTTTACAACATCTGCACGGCTGAGACCGGCCCTGGTCAGTACAACAGGATGAAGACGCACATGACCAACCACGTCACCGCTCAGAAGGACACGATGTTCCAAAGAGCTACTCAAGTCGTTCGTGACATGATCACAAACTTGATCAAAGACGTCGAGGAGCGAATGGCCAATCGCACAGACGAGGTCTTTGTCGGCATGCGCAGGGACTATCTTCAAGTCTTGAGCAACGTTCGTGTTGACGACATTACAATGCCCAAGTGGGAGCGCAGTTTGAGAAGTACGATCGAGGAGATCATTCAAGACAGCGAGGCGGCATTCGCGGTCATCATTGAAGGAAGAGACACCAACGAGGCCGAGGCAGACGAGGCCACTGAGGGAGCTCCGGAGGACGTACAGGATATCGCAAAGCTGGAGAATATGGAGGATATTCCAGAGGATAGAGCACAGATCAAGGAGGACACCTCTGATGATGATGACAACATGGAGGATGCACATGCTTGAAGTGGGAAGATTTCAGCAAATGCTTTTCGCTTCTGCGACGAATACTGCACGTAGCATTTTCAAGGCTGTATGACGGGCATAAAAAAGAGGACTCTTACTAGCAGGGTAGCTATAATTCTTTACGATGGTATGCATATAAACGACAATTGCACACGCAAATCTGCTCTGTTTCCTGTGCTCTGCTATGAACTCGTGATATGTCTCGCATTCGCCCGTGACATTGCCATCATTTGGTCGCCTCTTGAACATCACCGCACTCATCCTTCAATACACGGAGTTGCAAAAGTAGTTCATAAATACATCTATTGGATCATCTACATTATCTGCATAATCTACTTACCTTCCCACGCATCACGATCTCTTGAACACAACATCCCCCTCCACCTCGCCAACTCCAGCTGCAGGATCCAACTCATGTCCCACGGCTCTAGAATCTAACTCATGCGGTGTCAAATACATATCCTTGCCATCGTGATAGCTTTGAGGTGATTGGATGGTCATCAGACTCGTGTTCGTGTCGGTGGGGAGGAGTTTGGGAGTTGCGCGGCGGCGGCGGAGGTAGTAGAAGGCTCCGGCTAGGACGCTGAGGACTAGGAGGGCTACGGCGACGCCGATACCTGCTTGAGCGCCTGTGGACAGGCCGGTATTCGAGGGCGAGGATGATGGCGTAGATGATGGGGTGGAGGAAGCTGTTATGACGAAGTTTGACGGGCTAGGATTCGTGGATGTGGTTGCTGGGAGATCGCTCGTGCTCGACGTAGAGATGGTGGAGGAGGCGGAAGAGGTGGAAGATGGTTTCGAAGATTTTGTCAAAGTGGCAGTGGCGCCCATCATGGCTGGTAACGTGATTGCACTGTCTGTGCCACAGCAAGCGGTGTTGTTCTTTCCACAGCACCAGGTTTGAGAGTACATCGTATCATCGCAGGGTGTCTGCGCATATCAGTCAACTGTCTTTGTATGGCTTTATATTGCGCTCACCATGATAGCATTTCCATTGACATCATTCTGATCTGGCGTCGTGCACACATTTCTCAAGCAAGAGTCCAAAGGCCAGCTCGTTGACGAACAACTCTCGCGAAAGTACCTGTATTCTTCGACGCCGTCGATCTCGGCTACTGCTTGACAGAGGCCGTTTGTCATGCAGACATCGTTCGTATAGGTCGCATTGGTGTTCTGACGGTTTGCGCCGCAGCAGTACGACGTTGCGCCGCTGAACTGATTGCAGGGTATAAAATCTTTGTAGGCGGCGTCTCCATTGAGCTTGTAACATGTTCCCGACGCGCTTATGGGAGCGACGAGATGAAAGAGTGCGAGCAGGCCTCCGATGTTCCTGACTCTGGCCATTGTTGCGAAAAAATGTCGTTGCTCCTTCGAAGCAGAGATTAGGAAGATATGGGAGAAGGAAGAGACCGCACACCGCGACAAGAATCATGACCTACCTTATACGAGACTACAAGGATCTCGGGGACCATTGCCAGTAAGAATCGATTAGTCCCCGAGATGCAATATACAAGAGATGGCTGGCGGTATGGGGAAGGATTTGGTTACGAGCAAGCTTTCTCCAGGTTGGGTGCAGATCAATCTATACCTCTCGCTTTGGGTAAAGATCGGCAGACCAACATGCAGCTATCGTATTGGTCAAAGTTGCCGTATATTAATACAGAACAAAATCGTGAGTCAAGCGAGAACTGCTGAGAAGTGGCTGGCGAGTGTTGTATTGTTGGGATCTATTCGTGGATCTGTTGGTTGTTCGGCCTCAGGCGCAGATCTTGGCGACCTGGCCACGATTGCCATTAACTCAACCGCGCCATGACAGCAAACAAGACTTGCTTACTGCGACTTCAGACCTGTTGGTGATATCACCAGAATGTTTTTTCTGGCTGCAGTTGACAGCAACGTCCCAAGAGCCTTGTGTGTGTTATTGGTCCTCGTATCGTCTCACAGCTGCGAGTGGTATGTCTTGAAGAAGTAGCCACTTTCAACCATGGCACTTGGCCATTCTCTAGAGCAGCAAGCCAAGGGGAAGAACTCCTAAGGACGCTAACCAAGTTGTCTCGGCGCCTGATCGTGATAGAGTACGTGCTCCAACCGATGGACTTGTGTCTGATTGGCAGCTCTGTAGTGTAGGTCCTCGATGGCCATAATGAGAACAGAATGGGTCTCATCGCTTGACGCACAAGTCACTTCTGATGATCCACTTCTCACCATGCGTCACCTCGGCGCCCTCATGGACCATGCACTCCTTGCCATGGCGATGCAATAACGCGAGACCGACTTCTGGGCTCGCCTCTACTGGCGGTGGGGGTGCTGCCTTTCGTGACGGCGGGTCGGGGTAGAAAATGGTCTCTCCCCCTCCACACGATGTCAAATAAAGCAGAAGTGTCCAAGTTGTCTTTGCTGGAACAGTAGTACCATCCTCCTTGGGAAACATCAAATTGTTGGAGTCGTCGTAGTGCTGGTCGAAGAATTGACCTTGCGAATATCGATAGATTCGGATGTTCGGATTGAGACCTAGGATCTCGCCGCCAAACAGGTTTTGACGTTGCTTGTCGTCAAGTACCTCTCCATCGATCTCTCCGGCAGTGACCAATTCCTTCAGTGCAGTCTGCTCCCACAGATGACGTGCGAAGTCTGGGTCATCAATCTGATAACGATCATTGACGCGTACAGCATCGCCGCGTTTCGGACGTCCAGGAGTAGTCGTAAGTGGTAAAGAACGCAAGAACGAGACGTACTTCGCGCTCAAGGAGGAAGTGAAAAGACGGGGTATTGTCAGAATCTGGGCTGGGAGCAAACTCGAGCATGTGAGGTCAGATGGAGGGGATACTGGTGAAAGGGCTGGCCAATCTGGTCGCGCAACAGGGGTTTGGTTTGTTGCAGTTGGAGCAGGCGCTTTTCCAGCCTTGGTCTTCGATTTTGGAGGCATGTTGTGCGAAGCTGAATTGAATCGTAAAAGGTGACGACGTACTCCTGGTGGTCATCAGGATTGCTAACCCTGCGGAATAGCCTCGGCTGTTCCGTGCTTCGCATCTGACCCTGACCTTGACATCATCACAATGTAAAATGTCATGTATAGGTCGTTATTTGCCGAAAATGACGACCAATCGAATTCATTAGCCTAGCGTAGCTATTCAGGAGCGATTGATACCTGACCGTGATTCGTTGCGAGTAAAATGAGGAATCAAATCAGATCACCGGCTCGAGCTGTAAGACTGCGGTAGACCACTGCAGTTAATGCATCGGTCCAACGCTTTGAAGAACAGATCTGATACGGACACATCTGGAAAAGCGAAAGAACGAAGCTTGTTGATAGATCCTAAGGTAGTCGAGGTATTGAAGCCTTCACAAGCTTTTCTCAGACGATAAGAGTCACAATAGGTATTCGAATAGGTGAGGGCAGACATGCAAGTAAGCCAATCGGAAGCATGTCACGATGAGCCGATCTAGTCTTGGCAATGCGTTCATTCCAATCGATATTGAAGAAGGAGACGGCCAAACCAGGCTACAGTATACTTGTCTAGACATTCACTAGGTGGGCAGTAGGATTAGGGACAACTGAGCAAGTGAGATACTTATCACAGTACCGAGCGATGGACCGATGAAAGGAATGGAGAATGGATAGATACACATGTCATGCAAGCGGGAGCAAAAATTAGGTTCGGCAGCGGGCCCACGATTCTTCACCGCCAGGCATAAAGACGTCTTGGCCCGCGGGTTACAGAGGCAGACGGCTTGACTGCGAGTTCCAGACGGTTCAGAGTTTGGATCGCGAAGGAAAAGTCGATCTCATACACGCAATACTCGGTCGGAACAGTTTGCGCATCATAGACGCATGCGCCAGCGTCAGTCATCGTGAATGCGCGGAATCACAAAGCCCTAGAGACATGTTATCACGCCGCCGACGGTCATGGAAGTGGAAGCAACGAGTCTCGGGCATGCTGCCTTTGCGCCTCACGACTACGAAACTCCCCAAGCACCGTCGCCCTCACCCCTGAACTCGCCATGGCCTGAACTTGAAACTGACATGGCAAGACTGGAGGAAGGAGCGACCCGACTCGAACAACAACGGAGCCCCGCGCTGCCGCAGCCCCAAAATGACGACAATCTAGGAGCCAAGGAAGGCGCGCAACAAAGTTCCGGACACGACGCACTGCATGCAGTACCACCTACCTCTGACACTCAATCTCTCAATCTAAAGCCGCAAGCAGAGACGCTGTCGCAACCGCCGTCCAACGACGTCAGAAAGTCGCCCAAACCTCCGGCGAAGCCTATCTCGCTAGCACAATCGCTGTTCCCCGAGGACTTTGAAGACGACGTGGAGCAACAAGAGGAGGTCCCAGCTGCGGATGAACTGGTAGACCAAGCCCAGCCAGAGACTCTCCCGCAGACACAGACGCAGATCGAGCAGCAAACACTGGCCCCGACACAAGACGCGTTGCCGGACCTGGCCGATCAGTCTGTGCTTGACAAGCCCGCTCTGGTGCACTCGTATTCGTTGCCAGAGTCCATCGATCCACTGGACCAGTCCGTCGATCCACTCGATCAATCACGACCCCTCCAACCACAAACGCCTCCCAAAGACTACTCTGAGCTCGCAAATGCAGTCGCCGACCTGAATCTCCCTACAAATTCTCTCTTCCCTGCCGACCTCGCCCTGGCTTCATACGAGGCCGAAGAGGCCGCCCCTGTACAAGATGCTCAGAATGATCCTATGCAAGCTTTCGCGAAGCTGCAGTTTCCTGATGGCGACTTCTATGTTAATACCTATGCAGTCGAACTAGGTCGTGATCTCAATGCTGCAAAGTTTGAGCGAAAGGCAGGTCGCAAACACAAGATGAAGCTGAATAGAGACGTCCAGATGGAGCAAGATGCCGAAATGAATGTGGACGACGAGGGTCGCAACATTGCGCGCAGCAACGTCAGCGAGAGCGGTGGTATCGTTGGTGTCAACATCGACTACGACAGCGAAGAGAACGAAGAGGCCAAACGCCGCAAGCGCAAGCAGTTCCGCTCCACCAATTCCTCGCACTCGGTCGACCCCACCTCGCTCCTCACCAACCCATACGACCTTTCTCTCGACTGGCAACCGCAACAAGACAAGCCTTTCGAATACGAGTGCCCCTTCATCCCGATTCATCCCCAAGCCGGCCAGTCGTTCAAGAACATCTCTCGCAAACACATCCGTATCGAGTACAACCTACAGAAGGCCCACTGGGAAATGCTGGTCAATGGTAGAAATGGTGTCTTCCACGATGACAGCCACGTCGACAAAGGCTCTTTGGTCAAGCTTCACCACGGAAGCGAAATCTTGATCCAAGGCATCACCATCGTCTTCAAGCTGCCAGACAACGCCCGTGTTGAGGAGGAAGAGGAGGAGCCCGCTCACATCCTGTCAGACACTGATAGTTCCTTGTCTGACCTGGACAGTGTAGCTAGTCTTGGTTTCGCACATGATGATGATGATGAGGAGATAGGCCTCTCTTCAGAGGATGAGCCATTACGACTTAAACGACCAGCGCAGAAGAGAGAGCCACTCTCTAGAATCGTCAAGCTCAAATTCAAGCTCAAGAGAAACTTCCCTGCCGTTGCTGGATTGCCCGTCGAGAGAGAAGACAAGAAGGAGAAAGAGCAGGAGAGGGAGCGAGAGAAAGAGAAGAAGAAGGAAAGGGAGAGGGTCAAGGCGGAGATCAGAGAGAAGATCAAGGAGAAAGAGAAGGAGATAGAAGCTGAGAAGGAGAAGGAGAAAGCTGCCGAGAAGACCAAAGCCAAGGACAAGGAAAAGGACAAGGAGCGGGAGAAAGAGCGAAGGCCGTCCAAGTCTGGCAAGCAGAGTATCAAGGCTGACAAGCCTCCGAGAGCGGAAAAGGCAGAGAAAACGCCTAGGACGCCCAAAGTGGACAAGGTGGACAAGGTGGACAAGGTTGAGAAGACCGAGAAGGTGGAGAAGCCGGTGCAAAAGCTTGCCTTGCCGCAAAAGGTAGAGACAAGCATCCCAGCCGAGACGCCGAAGCCAGTCGAGGCTGCTGCAAAGACGATCGCCATGCCCACTCAGCCAGAGGTCCTCACGCCCATGTTCGAAGAACGAAGGGAGTCGGCCGTGGCCACGACCGAGATGCCGCCTCCTTCTCACCCCGTCGACTTCAAACACTCGGTCGAGCCCGATTCATATGAAGCACTCCAAGCCTTGCAAGTCACGCCCTCACAAACCCCTCCAGCCGTCCCTGCAGACCTACCCCCTGGTTCCATTCTTGCTGGCTTGGCCCCTGAGGAGATACCTCAAAAGCGCAAAGGACCCGGAAGACCTCCCAAGAACGGTGTCATGTCCAAACGCGACGAGGCCATCATTAAGCGAAAGACCAAGGAGTTGCAGAAGATGGGCAAGATCGTTCCCCCACTTGCTGAGCTTTTGGCTCTTGCCAGAGCTGAGGGTGGAAGCACTACCAAGAAGGACTCTAAACCAGAGGATGGCCGTGAGGGCGAACATCTGAGCCAGTCTGTCGAAATCGATCCCGCGCTCATGGCCATTCAGGAGCACAATAATGCTACACCATCCATCGAAGTCAAGACCGAGGGAGGTATCCCGGCCGCTCAGCCCACTCCAGACAAGGATGCGAACAAGCCCAAGAGGATCGTCAAGTCTCCATCGCCGCAAAAGCCTGAATCAGAGTACACCGAGGAGGAACTCAAGAAACCAACACAGACCTATGTGGTCCTGATCCATGAGGCTCTTTCGAAAGCTCCTACTGGTGTCATGGATCTGCAGCAGATCTACGATGCTATGCAGAAGATGTACCCTTGGTTCAAGTACAGGAGTACCACTGCTGGCTGGCAGAGTAGTGTCCGACACAACCTGATCAGCAGCGAGGCCTTTGAAGAGGCTGGCAAGATTGGCAAAGGCAGACTCTGGAAGATCAATCCTAATGTCTCCATCGACAAAGAGAAGAAGCGAAAAGCACCTACACCGCCACCGGACAACAGGCCGCCCCAGCAACAGCAACAATACCCCTACTATCCGAACAATCAATATCCTTATGGTCATCCTGGTGCGCCGGCGTATGGAGCTTATGCTAGACCAAGTCCTTACGGTACTCCTTACGGTCCACCGACTGTGCAGAATGGGTCAAGACCACCTGTCCCGACACCACAGCAGAAACCCGGCACCTACTACTCTCCGTACGCGTCAACCACACCGGGTGCTGCTGCTGCCGGTTCGCCTTATGGTCCACCAAGTAGAGCGCCGTATGCTCCCTACCCTCAGCCTCCTAGACCGCCTGGTAATACTTATGGACAGCCACCTCAGCCGCCACAGTCTGGTCAACCGCCGAACCAAGTACCTGGACAGAACCAGCCACAGCATCCTGGTCAAGCTCCTCATCCGACATCTGGACAACCTTACCAAGCTCCCGGAGCTCCGAATGGCCAGCCGCAGTACGCACCACAAGGAACCCAACAACCACCTCGCCCTGTGATGGCCCCAGGACCTGGACAGGCTCCTCCGCCGAACCAGAGTGGTATTACCTCGGAGAAGATGATAGACAACATCATGGATTACCACAAGAAGTACCTCAGTAACTTCCAAGGCCCCGAGCAGGAGAAAGCTAGAACGGTTTTCCGCAAGGCGACCAACAGACACATCCACAAAGGTATGGATCACGGTCCCTACGAGTCAGAGGAGGAAGAGAAGCTCTACAAAGCCATCGATAATATCATAACCACAACCCAGGCCGAGACTGCTGCCGCTGCCACTGCACAGCCTCAGACGAACGGTCAAGGGCCTGTGCAAGGTGGAGTCCCTCAAGGTCAAGCACAGGCAGGTGCTGCACAGAATGTTGCTGGTCCAGCTCCGCAGCCACAGGGTACTACTGCTCAAAACCCACCGCCTCCTGGCCAAGCACATCCGCCTGCTCCTCAACAGGACATGTCGGCTGGCCCGCAATCCATCAACGGCCATCATCCAATCCAGCATGTGTCAAGCTCAGAGCAAGCGTTAGCGGACGCGCTCAAGACGGCTATGCCTAGTGCACAAGCATTCAGGCAGGGTGCACCAATCGCGCCTTACTATCCAGCACCGCCGAATCATCAGGGTATCGCACCGAGACCTAGCCCGTACGGACAGCCACAAGGTCCACAGCAGCAAAGAATGCAGCCTCCACCGGGACAGCAACAAGCAACTCACGCTCGTCCTACTCTTGCTGCAGCACCGCCGGCCCCACAAGCGCAAGCACCAAGACCGACGTTTACCGCGCCGTCGCAGTCTCAGTCTACTGTAACGACACCGGGTGCTCCAACTCAAGTCGCTTCGAGACCTGTCGCTCCTGCTCCAAGCCAACCCATACAACCTTCGCCCGTACAAGCTCCAGGTCAACCGCCACAGCAACATCCAGGACCGGTCTCGGGTCAGGCTAATCAGCAGCTACCTGCGCCGGCACCTGTGTCTCAGCCCCTGCCCGCAAGCCAGCCACTTCAGCCATCCGTGTCGTCGCAGACATCGACGCCTGCTCCCTCAATACAGCAACAGACGCCTGCACCTGTAACCGAATCGGCAGCCACTACACCAGCATCAGTGGCGCCCCAAGTGCAAGCTGTACCAACGCAGCCTCCAACGCCGGTCGCTGCTGCCACGCCTCCGCAAGCTTCTGTGGCACCGACGCCTCCGGCAGATCCGAATGCCCATGGCGGTCTGAAGCGGCCTATCGAGATTGATAACGATGGCGACCGCGACGCCAAGAAGCAGAAGACTGACGAACAGACATAGAGTTGTGCGGTCTGGCAAAACAAGGTGTATATGGATGGAATGATGTTTATGAGGCGTTGCTGTTTCCGGCATTCTCTTCTCACTGTCGATGTTTTCTTTTCCATTCTTTCTGCTTCTTTTATTGTTTTGTGTTTTTCTGGCGTTGTATATCATGAGGCATAAACATGTCACATGGGGATGGTGATGTTTTCTGCTTTCAAGCGACGGAGTGGAATGGTGTCTGCATGCGAAACAAAAAAAACGCTGGTTGGGACCACGGGCGGTGTTAAACATTCGAGTAATGGCGTTCTTTTACTATTACAGCAAGAGGCAACTGATGCTACCAGCTATTACTACTATTGGAACTATTGAGAATCATGAATACCCGTTTTCTTACGGACTTTCTTCCCATATGTTCGACGTGCGTGATGCTGTGACAATATTGCTGGACGCAGGAGCAATGTGCTGTGAGCATGGACGACACGTGTATTTAGAAGGAGCTATCGGATGATCGATCCTTCCTCCTGCGCTTGTCATGCGTGAACTGCATGGCGTCTTGCCCTGACGCTGAGATCGAGACGAGGCAGGGGCGATACACCGATCGCTTCTTACTCCCTCGCTCGTCTGCTCTATCCAAAGCTAGCTGAAAAGTCCATTCTGCAGATTAGATTGGTGAGTCGCTTTCGCTCGAGGGGGTTTAAACTTGAACTCAAACAATCTCTTGCGACACTCGCGTTTTTCTGCTCTTGTACTGGCTCGTGGTGGACGCGCCCGGCGTTGTCAGTTCCATATAAATCGCGATTGAGAGTTAGATCGGCGCTGCTGATGAGACAGTCTGGAAGCTCGAGGAGCGCTCGCGATATGGCAGAAGACATCAAACAGAGAGCAGGGTAGCGGTGTTTGCTCGAGTGCTGTTTCTACATGGATATCTCCTTGCTCAAGAAACCTGAGAATTTGATTCAAAGCCTGTCTCTTTTGTAAAGCGGGATCATGCTCCATGCCACACTCTCAGAAGAGCACGACATCGAAGCCTCTGCGCTCGAGAAACACATCCCAGCGCTCGCCATTACCTTCGTCCCAATAGGCTCGCAGAGCTGTTGATGCAGCGTCTGCATTACCCCAACCGTAGTTGCGGATACGGTTCATGCAAGCTTCAATGTAATCTCTTAAGTCTGGGTCTTCGGCCTCACATCCGGCGGTGAAAAGCGGCCATAGGATCAAGACGTTTGCAGGCGATTCTGGCCTCAGCCTGCCGAGAAGGTCGAGCATAGATGCTAGAGCTATTGCTGGTTTCGGGTCTAATTCGGGGAGTTCTTGTACGCGTCGGTACAAGTGTAGAAGTGCTGCATGTACAAAAATTTGGTGTACATATACTGCCTCCTCCATGAGAACAGGATCCTGAGTATGCGATAACGAGGGCGATGATGCGCGGGTAAACAAAAGCGAAAGCTGTTGTTCTGTCAACAGGATATTGTCTGCCAAGAGCATGTCCAAATCGTCAGCCATCTCGGCGTAGCCAGAGTCCAAAGAAGAGCCCAAAACTTTGCGACGACGTTGTAGACGAGCCATACGGCCAATACGAGCGAGGACCGGCATGAGCTCCAGCGAGAAGCCAACAAACTCGTCAATGTACTGAGGGGACGAACCTCCGTTTGGCGCTCCAACAGACCAGAATTGGCCATCTGACGAACTGGTCTTATCAAGACTCATGATGCTGGCGAAGATATCGACGACGGCGAACCAGCGAATGAGGAAGAGCTTCTTATCGTCCAGATTCGTGACAGCCTCACGTCGAGACTTGCCTAGGGCGAGGGACAGTAGATTTTCTGCGCCATGCAAATGCGTTCGCATAGCCACTGTATTTCCAGCCATGACTTCATTAGTGCAAAGAAAGAGTACAGTACAAATGGTCGAGAAATTAGGAGCTTCCGCAGGGTCATTCATAGCTTTCCGTAGTCCAGTCAGTGCCTTTCGCAAGAAGAAGGCTGTTCGATTCTGTAGGTCTACTGAATAATTTCCTCGGAGACGTCGTACCTGATCACAGGACAAGGCCAGAGCTGCTGATAGTAAATGTGGTGTTTGCGCTGCGACAGACAAAACTTCTTGATGGATTGACGGTGCCATCAGTGGAAACAGGGTAAGCGATGTATGGGTGATATAATGATGCAGGAAGAAGTATGCGTTGGGAGACTCGGAAGGACACAGCAGAGGATACTGGCTCAGAGATGGTGGCAGAGCTGGAGTCTGTCAGCTTGTCCCGGTCAGAGCAATGATTGATGCTTACTTGGTGGAGAATAATGCTGGTAAGGTATGAGGGATACGTCTCGCTCAATTGTTTCATCAGCCAACTCGAAATCGAGGTCAAATTCGTCAGCGACGGGACCTGTCTGTATGAGTGCATTGCTCTCAGGTAGAGGAAACACATCTTGAAAATCGTCCAAGCCAGATGGAATACTGAAGTCCTGGGTGGCTACGATGTTGTAAGTGGCCGTCCAAGAACCAACTAATTCAAGAGAAGCCTTACCACTCAATAAATCTAGACCAGTGTGTTGTGTAACATCAGAGTCCTCGACTTGCGATGGTTGAGGTTCTTCGTGCGACAAAGTTGTCTTATCAGTAGTTTCCACTTCATTTTGAACAGTCGCATCAGACGATAACGGCTCAGCATGAGCAGTCGCGACACCTTCAGCAAGATTAGTGACCCAAGGCTCCTTGGTCCTCGGCTTCTTAAAGGGTCGTCCCTGCGTCCAAGACAACTTCAACTCGTAGGAGCATCGCTCGGGATGTCTCTTGCACCTTACACAGCTAGGCTTGCCCTCGTCGCATTTCACACGTTTTCGCTTGCACTCTGAACATCCTGTCCGCGATTTTGATCCACCAGCAGTCGCTTTCGGATCGGACATGTTGGTTGTAAATCCATCTGTATGGTCATGATACCTAGATTGAGAAAGCTGGATGACACACCGGCGGATGACTGTCGATGGTTGTTAATCGGCTAAAGTTGCTCTATCACCGGTCTGCACCCGAGGTCGGCGGGCTGGCGTTAGCGGCTTCGATATAACGAAGCCTCCATCCAGGACCAATAGCGACAACACGGTGCTTCGACGCTTGCTCCTACTACATGTCGTGGAAAGTTAGTGACCGTCGCAAGCAACAGATCATTCATGGCAAGGATGCATTTGGTAGTAGCAAAGAGCAATATCGGCCCATATCTCCGAGCGTAAAGCCTTATCAACCATGTGGGCTCTCGGATTGGATCAACGTAACGCGGCTTACTGTCACTCCGAAGATCTTGGTGGGCTTGACTTTTCTTCTTCCCATGGCACATTCGCAGATAGAACGATATCTCAGAAAGGCAGTTCCTTGCGTTTATCGTCATTGAGCATACAACTATACAAAAGCATGAGGAAGACCCGAGTTCTTGTTCAAGAAATTCACCACCCGTTTCTTTTTTATCAACACCTCAAAACTCGCGAGTTGAGATGTTCTTCCTTTCGTTGTTTACACATGTCTTTTGCTTTCTCATCTTCTTTATCACGAAAAGAGCGATTGCCATTCAGCCAGATAATTCCAATAACTTGCTGGCTGTAGGAGGTGTGTTGTTCTTGAGCCCGTGTACATCAGAGGACTGACTGATCTCGTAGACACCAATTTGAGGTTGCTCCCAAGCGCTTGAACACATAATGCGGACATGGCCACCCAAAAGCGATAACATCACGCTGGAGCCAAGTCGTGTGATTATTCCCTACAACACATGCCTAGTGTAGACCACGGTCACCATGAGGTGTCGTTACGCACTCCGAACTCAGATGTCGAGCGTAAATCACATCCAGCCCACGCATGCTCTGCCACACACACTTGCAGGCATGCCCTGATATCGATAGATGCGACCGAGGAAGGAGACAATTAGTCTGTGACATGTGACTGGTGTTCGGAGGTCGTGGAGAGAATCGGGCTAAGGAAGAAGCGGAAGTGGTAGAAATGGCATGGATGTATACAAGTCTAGAGAAGTCATTAAGAACACCGACAGAGAGGGGGTTGTAGAATCGAATTGTAGTCGCGAATAGTGCTATGTCGACGGGAGCAGAAGCATATCAAAGTGGAAATCGTCAGCTGTAGCACCATAACGCCGATCCCAAGAAAAACGACAAAACTGAACCAGGGTATGCCTCGAGATTGTACGGTCTTTGCAGCTGAACATGTAGCGGGATGAAGAGGTAAGGGAGAACGAAAGAAATCACATGGCCATCTCAGCCTGTAGTCTCCGAAGCTCGGCCTCTTCGTCGTCTTCTTCTTCTTGTACAGGTGCCTTGCCTCTTGCTGGAAATGGTCAGTATGAGATGATGAGAGTGGCGCATGTGTGCCAGTGAAAGACTCACGTTCGGTGTTGTTGACGCTCGGCATGCGATGGACTTGGTCGTGTACAGGCATGGTGCCAGTCTTGAGCATTGTGTTGTCCAACTCTTCTTGTTGAAGGTCTGCAAGCTCGGATTCGAGCTCGTCATCATCAACAGCATTTGCCATGGAGCCTTGAGTGAGAGCACTGGCAATCTCCTTGCTGATGGCGTGCTGTTCCTCGAGGTTCTCCATGGTAGCATCGACCTTGTCGATTGTCAAGTCGCCGTGAATCGACTTCATGGCCTTGGAAGCGTTGCCAAGAGCGTCGAGAGTCTCCTTGTTGATGTTTGCCGTCTCGATGCTGGCAATCTGACCCTCGAGATTCATGATCTGAGCCGACGTTTGCTCCAGGGTTGTCTCGAGTTGCTTCTTCTTTCGCAAGGCGTTCTTGGCAGCTGTGGTGAGTGTCAGAGAGCGGCGCGTACCGTCTTGGGTCAAATGTGCATACCAGTCTTGTTTGTGTTGATGAACTTCCTGGCCTTCTGGTCCTCCTCGTCCATTTGATTCTGCAAGTGCTTCTCACGCTTGTTCAGCATCTCGAGAGTACTCCTCAGCTGCAGAATGGCCTTCTTTGGGGCATCTTTCTTCGCAGCCGAGTTGCCGCCAAACCAACCACCCAACCCCCAGCCAGACATGTTGTGAGATGCTACGTGCGGTGGCGCTTGTAGGCGTGCGGGATAGCGGTCCTTTTGCTACAGACGCGGGCTATAGCGATCGTCGGACAGGAAGGTGGGGGACGTGTGTGCTCGTGTGATGGCGGGGTACCAGGTGGACGCGACGGGTTCCAGCGAACGATGTGGCGACGCGACAGAGGGGAGTAGGTAATGAGCGGTATACGGCAGTGATCAGTAGCAGGTAGCGTCTAGTCTGGGTCGAGATGGTGTTGTGGAGAAGTGTTTGTGCTGCTGGCTGCCTCCCACCGCCCGCTTGACCATGACGCACCCACCTGCCAAGCCCCTGGAGATTGTCCCATCGCCCAATCATACGCCACCAATCTGACTACAGACTCACTCAGCCTTCATGGTTCTTCGTTCTTTGTTCTTTGTTCAGACTACGGTACAGGGCATATCGATCGCGCTCCGCATTGTCGCTCACTACTGCTGACCGTCGACCCACATGAGCGCCTCGTCGCCCCTACCGAGCCGTCTCTGTTCCATCAGTCAGCTGCCGACTTTACGTTCAAGCGATAAAGTCCGCTTTCTCGGATGGTAGGAATTCAATTTCTCCTTTGCATTGCGTTCTTCTAAGTATGAAAGCGTAAATCACTACGATGAAGCCACTGCTACATTGTCTCTCTTCCACAACTTCCCGACTCCCCAAGATCGCCAAATCGCTCAAGTCGATATCAGCCAACTGCTCGACACTATTGACCGTCAACTCCTTCAGATCGGTGCCTGGATCAATGTTGTCGGCTACGTCACTCCATCAACATCTACGAACCGTATCCAAGTCCAAGCCGTCATCATCTGGTCTGCAGGCGCAATCAACCTGCAGCAGTATGAGACCGCTCTTGTCTCTAGACAGACGACATGACCTGCTACATATCTGGTTGTAACGACATGAAACGATACTGAACATCCGCAGACGGCTCTCAGATGACATCGACCTTCTCAATCTATCCCGCCATCTCCATGTTCCGAAGGGTACCTATTTCCAGTTTCCAGTGCGATGAACCACCTATCGCCGCGTCCTCGGGATGTGGAACTATCACCCTGTCCGGCGGAAAATGGACATGCTTGCGAGATGTTGTGGATAGCTGAGCTCCGTGGTGTCCAACATCGTCTCTTGGTAAGCCCATCCGGCTAACCTGATCTTGGACCCGATTTCGTTGACTTCTGGCCCAATGTTCGTGTCGTGGTTGACTAAGGATTCTTCTATGTATGTCTCCATCATGGCAGCATCCCAGCCACCACTTCCCTTCGAACTATTGCCCATGAAGTAGTCTGGACGAAGAGATAAGATCTGCGGGTTCAGTCTACTTGGTAGGTGGGGCGCGTACACAAAGGCCTTCTTGTCTTTCTTGAGCATCTCCTGGACTTCCGGATGATCCACCACGGTATTTGTTCCAGTATCGGTATCGCGTGGTATCTTCTGGAGTAGATACTTTGTTCGAGTATCGAATGCAGGATCCTGAAAAATTCTTTTCACAGGAGTATGTTCACGTCCCGCCCGTGTGCACTCAATTCTCCACTTATCGTCAATAGCCTTCCATATATACACAAAGACGGCGTACTGTGTAACCCAGGCGTTGGTAGATGTACCAGCATCGCCGAGTCCCCCGGAGAATTGGTCAAGGCCCAGGCAGATCATAGTATTAATCCCATCCATTGTGTCTACGGCATATTGGAGCTGGCCTCGGAATCTCTTCCATTCAGGACTGTTATTGATCTGCCAGAGTATCGTCATAACTCGCTGGGACGCGTAGAACAATCGGGCGGGATGTCCATTAATGTAAGGCGGCTCAAAGAAGTCGGACATATCCAGCCCAACCTTCTGTTTTGATTGATCCCAATTGAAGTCGTCGATTGTTCGGTTTAGCTTCTGCTCGAGCGGCCCTTTTGAAACTATAGGGGCATCGCTTGATATGTCTTCGCTCATGTTGATTATCCTTATAGAGGAATTCCAGATTTCACTGTTCACGGCCGATGCTATAGCAAGCATACTCGGTGGTAAATCATGGCAATTATATCTATCCCGAGCCTTTGTCTCAACCGCATCAAAAGAGCTCTTTGTAAGGACCGAAAGCGGAAGACCACACAGATATCGGTTGCGTCGAAGATATGTCTGCTCCGTATGGGCGTGGACGCTTCCGGCATCCAGATGTACTGTAGTTGACTGATTCGCAGCATATCTGCCGACAAGGATGCTTAGCCATTTAATGAGACCTCGAAAACCACAGGCTCTCTTTGAACACGACTGCAGACCTGAGATTCACTGTGCTTTTAGATAGACGGATCTCAGAAAAGACCTCGTGTAGCGATACTGTTCTTAAGCTAATCACTACAGACCTGGCAAAATCACCTGGATCAAAAACTTCCAACTCAACACTTATTAGATGACAGATACGTGAACACCAAAAGCCCGAAAACTCGTACCAAACCACGCAAGGGTATCCCTCCATCTACATCAGCAACAATAAAATCCTACTCATTCAGCATTCGGCTTCCAAATCCCGGCCACTTTGTCAGTCTTGTTCCTGATCGGGAAGTTTCGCGGATCCAGATCTGGATTGAAGTTTTCTGGCGATTGTTGTCGCTCAAGCCTACGCTTTCGATCTTGCTCTTGCCGTTGTTTGGATGAAGATGCGGGGATCTCTGAGGCTGTTGATGTCGTACTGGTTGCAGAACTTTTCCCTCTATCCCATAGGCTGTTGTCCGCCAGATATTGACGTGCAGATGCTGCTATGGGCTCTGTGCCGACGCTTTGTATGGGGTTGTACGCAGGTTCGGATTGGGCAGGAGCGAGGGTCATGGCAGAAAGAGTTACACTTGCCGATTCAGCTGCAGAAGCTGTGCGAACACCGCCCAAAGGTGGCCCACCGTGGGCATCTTCAGGACCGCCGTACGATTCCCGGTTGGGATCAGAATTTGAGGAATCTGCTTCGCTCCTGTCCTTGTTTGAAGACACCAGCTCAGGATGTTTCAATTTCGGGAAGTGGACAAACGTATTTTGAAACCAGCGTTTCCGCTGACTGGGATGAATGCGATCGTAGGTTCCATCAAACTCGATCAAGTCGTAGTAGTCGTCAAAGGAAGCAGTGCGATCAATTATCTCCCTCAACTCTTTGGTCAGTTCTCTATGGCCGCTCATGTATACTTGTCGGATATATCGCGCTGCCAGAACCTGACCAGTCCCAGAATAGGTGTTCTGGATTTTATTGCCAATATACAGCGCTGGTAGCGAAGGAAGAATGGTATCCACAAAGGCTGACGCAGGTAAATGGATTGCAAAGACGAAGGACGACTTGGTCATGTGTTTCAAACACCCTGGGTGCTCAACCACTTTCCCTCCCGCGAGGGACGATAGCAGATACTCCTCTCCAATTCCGAATCTTGGATCCTGAAAGACCATGGGTATCGTAGTTTTCTGCTTCATCTGGAGCCTATTACGGATAGTGATGAATACGGCAAGTTGGTGCACAAATGCCTCTTCTGTTTTCTGATCACAGTCGGCGAAAACTCCTGTCGCCAGACCAACAGCCGAGTCGACGTGTCCAGCTTTGTCTACGATGCCGGTAATCCAGTCTCTGAAATGTCGTCTGCCTTCCTCTGCGGATGTCCCAATATCGCGAAGAACTCCCTCCACCTTTTCCCACATTTCATGGTAGGGAGTGAGGATCTTTCCTGGATGTCCGTTGTCGTCCTCTTTGTCCACTACGAATTCTGGGAATTTGTCTCGAAACTCGTCGTGCACCTCTAGCCACGCATCATCCGTTATGCCAGCCCATGAGCTATTGTTGCTCTTACGCGGGAATGGATTCACAGGCTCCGGAGGAGCTGACCTTTGAATTTGCACCATCTTGATGTACCTGGCAGTATGAAACTAGGGAAGTAAGCCCTTTCGACATCAGCAAAAAGTATTTCACGATATCTCCACTGGCTGCATTCGTCAAATTGCCGTGAGCTGGAACCGTAAGCGGCTGGCTTTGTGATACTTCCTCGAAATTACTGCCGCTTCGAGCATTTCATTTTGATACTCTGGCTCTACCCACATAACTTTATCCGGAAAGGTCGGTGGAGAGACTCGTGCTCCTTAGATCAAGTAACGCTAAGCCAAGGAGTGTACGAGGAACAAAGAGCGGAGAGCAGACCTCCATCGCAGGAAATAGGACGATGGAGTTGGTCAAGGGTCAAAAAGCCAGAGATTTAATACAACTTGACGGACGCGTGTTTGATTGTCCTCGTGCGAAAACTAGAACATGAAGTCACGTTCATTTCTACGCCAATCGTTGTCAGGTGTGTGACCCTTGTCAATAGTTGCGAGAAGCTGTGTTAGATGATGCAAGACAACAGAACATGATCAATGCACCCTTCAGTACTGTCATACTGCTAATCTCACTAAACAATAGTCTCAACTATCCTAATTGTTAATTTGCTGTGCTCCAAATACTTCCGCTCAAGGGCCGCTTTCGCACATAGAACGTAGCGATCTCGAAAGCGTCCTCTATTGCGACCTTCAGTCTAATGTCCTCCTTCAGTATCTCTTCATCCAAGTATATTCCGTTGAAACGAACACTTTCGTGCGTGTTGAAGAACCGAGTCAACTCGTCGTACATAGCAGTAGTCTCCGGATCAAGGGCTGGGTCGCCAGTTCTGTATACACTTTCGATATAATGTTTACCGATCACTATTCCTATGCCGGATGTGTCGCTATCTAATGGAACGGTGAACAAAATCTCAGGACTCATGCCTGGCTTGGAGATGGTACCAAACATGGTTGAAGCAGGTAAACGAGGCGCATAGACGAAAGTGTGGTGACCAATATGCTGATCGGCTGCTGGCGGCCACACGATCTTCTGGCTGCCTAGAGTTTCCAGCACATGTCTTTCATTGACTCCGAATCTTGGATCCTGGAATGCCTTTGGTAGCGATCCTAACTGTATGTGCTGCTGGTTCTCGATTATCTCACATAGAGCGAAGAACATGCCGCACTGTTGGACAAAAACACCTCTGGATTCGGTACGACCAGAAGAAGCTAATTCGCCCAGGCCAAGACATACGGCATTATTGATCTGTCCAGCTTTTGCGACCATGTTCTGAAGGTACTTGCGATATTCTGTGGCGTGAACATTGGATGGATGAGGATTTATTATCGCGTGGCATACGTTTAGGGTCTCCTTCCAGATCATATCCAGCTTCCCGTTCGTTGGACTACCTTGAGGATCCCACTCTCCTGGACTGAAGTGAGGATGCTTGAGGAAAAATTGATTTAGTAAGTTGTTCCAGCAACGATCAGTGATACCGGCTTTGTTCGTCTCAGAGAGCTGGGCTCGTGGATAGGGATTTGGGGGCCCGTTTGGTGGTATTCCAGCCATGTTTTGATTGTAATTCAATGAACGTAGAGAGTAGTGATGGTGATTTTGTAATTGCTCAATGGTCGATCCGTCACAAGCTGAGATAAAACATGTTACCACCAATGTCGTCGTCCCTTCTACCCCGGTGTAAGGATGTGGATCCAGTGCCCGTCGGACCCGCAACCAGCCGGTGTTGCCATGGTGTAGGAATGTGTCGAGTCCGGAAGACCTGAAGTCATGGACAAGCAATCCTAATGACAAAGCTTCGCTGCAAGGAGAGGAATTTCCGAGTATGGCCGAGACGAGGAATGTACAAATCCGGCTGGCTAATTACGCTACTCGCTGGACAACGAGGTTGAGGACTTGATTACCTAGATGCACCGAGTTCCAGTCGTCGCGACAAGAAACCACAAGTCTGGACAGGAATGATTTGATGGTGAAGAAGCAAGATACTTTTGCTCTATTCAAGATGACGCTATGTAGATATAAACATGAAATGATGTTTTAGAGTGTCGCTCTGGCAGTTGCGTTGGAGAACAGTGTTACGTGAGTCGCGCTTCGGATGTTTATTGCGTCAGTCTGGTGTGGAAGTTGCTAAGGGTCGTTGCTGCTTAGGTGGCTCTTTCTGTTCACGTGCACTCCAGCTCTGTCCTGTCCATAACAGAGTCTACTCCCATAGAACCTTGACGTAGTGGTACCACTTAGTGTATGGCTTTTTTGGCTTGTGAGTAGTCATAACTTCATCAAGACCAGTCACAAGATCGACAGTATGAGGCGGACGGGCCCAAAGTTCGCTCCTAGCCCAGAAGACCTTGTGAACCACGTAGATGATGATGGGAATGGGAATGCCAACATAAGCCGTGAAGAAGCTGGCGATTGACCAATTCTGAGGCCAAAATACAGTGAAGCCGTTGATCAAGGTCAGAACACTGAAGAAGACCATGGCGAACCAAGCGCCCCAGGGCTGCATGATGGTGTTTCTATATGGAAGCTCGCTGTCGGGGATGCCTTGAGCGACAATCGCCTTGCGGAAGCGAAGATAGGTGACGCAGCAGCAGATCCATGAGATGAAAGCCGAGGTGTTGGTGAGGTTGACAAACCAGTTGAAGACGACACTTGCAGAGTTTGCAACGTTGAGATAAGCCAGAAGGGCGAAGAGTGATGACACTCCCATTGCGCGATAAGGCACACCGTTCTTGCTGCATTTCTTGAACCAAGCTGGGGCGTTGCCGGCGAGAGCCAAGGAGTACAGACTACGTCCAGAGAGGTAGAGGAAAGAGTTTCCGGAGCTCCATGCTGAGAGAACGATACCACCATTGATAATCGAGTCAAGGATAGGGATACCGGCGTTCTTGATTCCAACCACGAACGCTGATGAGCCAGCACCAGCACCTCCATTAGTCAAGGCAGAGTCGTTCGAAGGACAGATGACACCAATGGCGAGCACCGAAAAGATGTAGAAGAAGATCAAACGGTAAAAGTATCTTCTGGCAGCGATAGGCAGGTTACGGCGAGGATCCTCAATCTCGCCGCCAGTCGCGACCAACAGTTCCGGGGCGAATGCGAAGGGAAATGCACTTAGCACCCAAGTCGAGAGTAGGGCGATAAAACGTCCAGTGTTTCCCTCAGCAAGGTAGACGTTCGCAGCGCCAGGGTTCTGCCAGTATCTGAAACCCAGCCGGTCATGAGACGGGCCTCCACCCCAGAAGAGGACAAGGGAAACAAGCAGAAGTCCAACCATCATGATGACTTTTGTTCCAGCAAACCAAAATTCGACTTCGCCGTAGAACTTGACAGGGAGAAGATTCAAAGCCACGATCAGGACAAGCATGATTGAGATCCAGACAGCAATGCTGATGGTGGATCCCCAGTACTCGATAACCAGTCCAGCTGCCGTGATTTCGTATGGTACCAAGATGCCGAGGGAGTACCTTGTCGTTGTCAGCGAAGTAAAATTGATTAAGGTCAAACAAGTCAATTTACCAGTATAGCCAGCCCAAAGCGAAACCGAAGCTAGACGAGACAAAACGATCCGCGAACATGGTCATGCTAGAGCCACGGGTAGGCAGGTAGGCGGACATTTCGGTGATGGCTGGTCATGTCAGAATATATCACCTCGACGTACGGTCCAGACGCGGACCTCCAGACATACCAGTAACAATCATCCAAATCAACGCTGCCATAAAGATGAATGACCCCAAGATGAATGCCGGACCTCCCCTAGCAAGTGTTTGACCAGATCCGACGAACAGTCCAGTACCAATCGTGCCACCGAGAGCGATCATTTGAGCATGTCGTGATTTAAGCCCTCGTTGCGTTGTTCCGTAGGACTCGTCGAAGACATCGCCAACGTCGCCTCGTACAGGGCCTGATGATGTTTGATAGATGCCATCGCCCTTCTCGTGATCGACCTCAAATGGCGATTTCACACGAGACTGCTCGCGTGACAGTTTGTCGGACATGATTACGAAGTCGGGTCGCTTCGTCCTGGAAGTTGGGTGGTAGTGGTCGAGCTCAATGTCAATGCAGAGAGAGGAGAATGCCTGTAGCACACAATAGACCAATCGAAAGAGTTCGAGTGATTAGAATGCTAAAAAGCTGAGTGGAGTGCCTGTGAAGAGGACACGTCCACGACGGAGTGCTATTATACTTGACCATCCTCAATACTATCGACAAATAGGATGCTCTGAACAAGTACGCAGGCCAAGAGATAAGCCCAGGAAGACCAGCGACTGGGCAAGCGTAACCGCAGCAAAGGTTGTTCTCGGACCGTCTCCCTCACCTGCAGCGGCCATGAGCGGCATAAGTCATGTCTGCGACAAGGGTATTCGATCTGCAAAAAATATTCGGAGGTCGTTTTACCATTTGCAGAACAGCTTGGGTACTGATAAGATGTTCAGGAACGACGCTAGAAAAGAGGGCCCTATGAAAACGCCTCGCTGTTATCTGTTTCGTTTTGGTTGATTTCAATGGCATGAATCGTAGATGCAGGTCAATCCTGATGCTGGTAGTTTGCATGACTTGCACAGGACAGCTAAATGAAGCCACCACGTCTGGCGAGTGTCGCAATAATCAATGTTCTTCGCAAGGGTCGACCCATTCAGAGCGTGGGGAGTTGAACCATCGAACAGCCAACATGTTGCCAAGCAGTATCGTCGCAAGAGAGCACTCTTCCTGTGATGATTGAAGGAAATGTGCAAGTCCCAAGTGGCGATTTGGTGTCTGCCGCACAGACCTCGCTTGGTATGCGATAACAGCCTTTCTCATGCTGTGACGAGATAAGCTTATACATGTTTACTTTCAAGCCTCTTCGCTTTCTCGCGGCCCACGTATGCTTATTGCCGTATAACCTATCATTTTCTAGAGAGAACACTCGGAAGCAGGAAGAAAGATAGGTTATGGTCGGTTGAACACAGTTCGATGGCTGACAGGTACGAAGATGGGGGAAGGAGGGGGCTGGTTCTTTGCTCTTGGCAGATGTTCCTTCCGTGCACTCGAGTGTCTTCTTGATCAAAGCGCTCTCGATGCAAACCTGTGTCGCCGTCACATGAGCAGAGACAGGACTTGGGGCAAGTCCGAGATGTTTTGGAGGGAGTCCGAAGAACTGGTCAGAGAAGCGGATGACCCCGCCTCTGTACCCCGCCATATGATGGCATCTAACTGCATGGGGCGACCCATCCGTAGATGCTTACAGATGCTTTGAGGCTCGAACATTCATCGAGAGCAGATATATAGAGCGCCATTGAGCCTTGTCCTCACCATCATTTGACCCCGAAACACCACGATCATGTCTTCCGCAGCCTCTTTCCGCCAGCTCATCGGCATGTCGCCATCGACAGCCAGCGTCTCGGACTCCACCCTCATCATCATCGACGCCCAGAACGAATATGCCGAGGGTCAATTGAAGTGCTCCAACACCGCGTCCTCTCGCAAGGTCATCGCCTCGCTGCTGAAGAAGTACCGCGACGGCAACGGAAAGATTGTCCACGTTGTGCACGACACACCCGATGGCGCACCCGTCTTCACACCTGGCACCAAGCTCGCCGAGGAGTTCGAGGAGCTTGCACCAAAGGATGGAGAGAAGGTTATCCACAAGAACTACCCTAGCTCTTTTGCCAAAACCGACCTGCACGAGCACCTTGGTGGTGGCAAGATTGTGCTGACCGGATACATGGTATGGTTGATTGTGCTCCATCTCTTTGTGCAGAATACTCATGACTATCGCAGGCGCACGTTTGCGTGTCGACAACAGCCAGACAAGGAGCCGAGCTGGGTTATGATGTTGTGTGTGTCGAGGACGCAATCGGCGACCGATCGATCCCTGGAGTCGAGGCTGAGGAGCTGACCAAGACTGCTCTAAACGAGATTGCCGATGCATTCGGTACCGTCATTCAGAGCAGCGAGATCAAGTAGACCATAACACAGAGCTCACTGTCTATAATCCTCAATCTTCCTCAGCATGTTTCAATGTGTAGATGGTCATGGCGAGACTGTGACCGTCGGCAAAATCAGCTTCAGGCATCTTGTGTTCATGATGAGTGTCCAGGACCGTCTTGGAGGCAGCCAATGCATCGTCGCAATCTTTCTGCAGCCGGTTTGAGCCTTCTGGGTCGTTGGCCAAGCGGTAACGAGCACGTTCGGCTTCTTCAGCCACCCAGTGCATGGATGAGCTGATGTATAGAGGCGACTTTGCAGCGACCAGCATGAAGGGCAGCTCGAGCACCCATTCCAGACAGGGTATAAAGATGAGGCTGGCATCATCTACTATTTCTTCTGCTCGTGGTTGTTCCAGAACAAGCACGTCGAGAGACTTGAGGAATTCTCTGTCGAGCGACGTGAAGCGCGGCTCTTGGGCGTACAGTTTGAGCTCGTCGCCGTGCTTCAGGTTCGGTCGCACTGTTTCAGTCAGCTAGGGCTCAGGAGTCGACATGTATGCTGTACCCTACCCATATCTATCAGATCCATGAACATGACCAGTTGCCAAACACTCCTGAGGCGATTGGCCCATGACAGACTTGGACTGCCCAGAGCGACACAGACAGCCTTGTTCAAAGACCATCCACCCTCAGTCATCTGCCTTGCCAACAGCTGTTGGAGCCATCGGCGCGCTTCGCTATTGACCCATTGTTGTTTGCATCTCTTGTGTTCATCCAATAGCTTTTCCAACGTGAGCGATCGATCGACCGGCGGGAGCGCCTCCTGCACTAAGGGCGTGTTGCCATGTCGAGTGGGAGCTGTGCGCTCAACTCTAGACCACCCATCTTCCGACTCCGATATCACTCGTTTGGGATGATAAGGTTTACGAGGTCTACGTGACGAGTGCGGCATGTTGGATGTTTCTCGCACAAATTTGTTTCTGCAGCCATTTCTGGAGCATGTGAAAATGCCAAGAATACCACTGCTTTGACCACTTGATGAGCTACCGCCCATCTACCAATCCATCTTCAATTCATCTCGGCATCAGCAACAACATGCTTCTGCCACATCACGTTCAGGTACTAAGATGAGGTCAACGAGGTGTCACTACGTCCACATTCGTACATTCGTGCTCAATGTGGCACCCAAATCCTCCGCATAAGCTGCAGCTGCATGCATATTTGATTCCTTCAAGTCTCCGGACTACGGACTGCTCTAATCTGCACAAGTAGGACGACTATAAAAACTGTTTGCGGTCCTACCGAGCTCGTCGCATCTTGTCCTTTCTCGTGTATTTTTTTCATCATATAAGGCGTCAGCAATGGCATCACCCATAGTTCTCCTTGTCTCGATCTTGTCTCTCGTCACCAAGGCCATAGCCCAAAGTCTCAATGTCTCCACCGTTGCGGTGCAGAACGGCACTTCCATGCTAGAATGCTGGAGTCTGCAATCTCCTACCTCGGGCGCCGGTGCTCAGAATTATCCACTCGGTGACTTCAGCAATGCCTTTATCGGTGCGATTCCACCACATACTTATATCGGTGCTGCTTGGCCAGCTTCTATCCAGTAACTTGCTTCCAGTATACCTGCTGTGACATCTACTGATATGGACTAGATACTCAATGATCCTCCAGGGCCTCGTGCACATCTCTCTTCCCTACAGCGACGACGAAATTTACATCCAACCCGGACCTCTGAGTACTCTTCTCGTCATCGATCAGAGAAACGTCTCAATTTCTGGTCATATCACTGATTTTCCAGGCTCGGAAACTACTCTGATTGCTCAGTTTCCGGTTACTGGCAACAAGATACCTGTCCATACTGTGTTGCATAGTGGTCCTTGCGGTTTGGGCGATGTTCGAGGTTTGACAGGCTGACTAGATGTTCGTGGGCAGGAGACCTTTCCACGTGTTCTTAAAGATAATACCTATAAGGATGGCATTGAGTGGTTGATTGGAGCATTATAAAGTCGCTCGAACGTTTGGACAGTGTTGAGGCACTGTTTTGACCAAGTCAAACAAGTTGGTTGCACAACCCTGACCAGATATCATGTCGCACTTTTGAACCATCTTTTAATGTATCCGTGCTGAATTTACATGTCATTTACACAGCTGGACATCTAGCTATCAGGTCAATGAAATATTTCGTTAAACTCATCATTGTGCGTGTTGAGACGACTGGGTTATAGAAACATCACGCTCACTTGGACCCCTGTCCTTGTGCACAACTATGTCGTGGGAAAGTGTCTCTGAATTATTCAAGATCGAATCATGGGCCATGTTAAAATATCTATTTGCTAATGATACAAGAGAAACGAAAGCTAAATTACTGGTCGTACGTGTACTGTCTTCTCAAGAAATCCATGTCAATCAGAACCCCAACGCCTTGCTTGTCGATAGCGATAATTCAAGTTGCTTCATCCTGCCATCGCCTGCTTCTGAGTGTGCTGGCGATCCGCGTTCGGTCCCCAGCCACCTTCAATCTTCTTGGTCGCCTTCTGCATGCGATCGATGCCATCACCTCCGATCTTGCCGCTGGCTGTGTCTTCTTCTGGTGACTCGACTGCAGTGTCGCTGTCGAGACTTGATTTCTCTGCGTGAGCCTTTGTACCTTCTGTCTCTCCACTCGCATCGATTGCGCCAGTGTCTTCAGGGCCAGCTTCGTTTCCTCCCCTCTGTTCGCGGTTACCGTGCATGGATTGGTGATGCATCTCCTCGCGAGGACGATCCAAGGTCTGACCATTGGGCGCAACTGCGTCCGAGTGTTCGTAATCGTCAGGCTGGTCCATGGCACTTGCCCTAGGTTGCTCGGCAATGCGCATTTCCTTCCGACGTTGGCTAAACACCTTCTCAATATCCTTGCCTTCTTTCTCGGCCTCGATGGCCCGTCTTGTTGCACTGACATTCTCGAGGGCTCCGTTCTCTTCCCACTTGTGCTCTTCTTTAGACACACTCAGCCTGCCACGAATTCTGCCGCCATTATGACGCTCGTGCTTCTTCTTCACGTCCCAGGCTTCTTTCATGACTTTCCAGCCCTCATCAACCATTCTCTCAGTCTTCTGAGTGTCATTTTTCTTGTTCTTCTGATCGGTCTCACGCAGCGCCTGCATATCCTTCTGTCCTTGAATGATATGTGCTCTGCGGATGAAGGAGGTGGTGCCAGGACCGCCGATGCGCTTGGTGATTTCTTTTCGCACACCCTGAGCCAGGAAGAACGGAGGCGTGATGATGGCAGAGATGTCTTTGAGAACAAAGCCGCCAATACCACGAGCGCATCCAATACCGAGACCAGTAAACTTGCCGTGCTTGCTTTTTCCGTCTTGCCATCCATGCATAGGTTGCGTAACCAAACCAGTCCATCCGTCGTATATTCCGTAGAACAATTCTTGACCTGCAGCTCTTGAGCCCGAGTGCATGCCGGTGATTCGAATAGGCTTGCGGACAGAGGCGTCACCATACAGTCGAGGTGCATTGTGGAAGCCCTGACCAATAGCCAATCCAAGATCCAATGGCATGCTCGCCAACGCGCCACCTGACTCAACGAATGCATCGCCGAATTCTGCCGCAAGTTCACGAGCAAGAGGCTCGTCGTCGACAGATTGGACTGAGCCCAGGGTAGTATTGGTCGAGGTGTGCATGGGACCAGCGGGTCGATTTGAATCCTGGTTTCCGCCGGTACTGGTGTTGCCTTGAGCAGCTTCTTTAAGCAACTTCTTCTGCTCCTTCCTCTCTGCACGTTCCTTCTTCTTCTTCTCGCGTTCGTCTCGTTTTCTGAAGTTCTTTGCAACGCTCGTGGGTACCATGCCAACACCTCTTGCGATTCCAGTACCTGTCTTTAGCAGTGCACCTGCTGCGCCAGAGATTGGTTCTCCGGCCCCATCGAAGTCGCTCCACTCATAGTGACGCAGAAGACGCAATTCCTTCCAGGAAATCTTCTTGCGCTCGATTAAGATGTCGGCTGCTAATGCGCTCAATCGGAGGTTAGATGACTTCATTTTCCATACAGCCACCCTGTCTTCGAGGATTGAACAACGCATACTATGTCGTCCGGCGAATGGCAAGCTTCGATGGAAGCTCTTGACTGCATTTTCTGCACCGTCTCCTTCTGCGGCAATGCTCTCTGCTATTTCTTCGGCGTTTTTGCGAGCATCGTCTGTAAGGCACTGTTTGATACCCTCTGCAAGCTTTTCTGCGTCCAATTTCTTGTATGGGATTGACTCATGGGCACCGGCCTTGGCCTTTGAAACCATAGCGCCCCAAAATGGCTGGTCTCCGAAGAATGGTACAATCATGGTAGGCTACACACGACGAAGTCAGCAAACGTTCTATCCTGAAGTAAGACATGATGTATTTCAAAACTTCAGCAACCTCCGTCGGGATGAGAAGTATGGGGACAAACGTGACATACCTTGCCAGCCTTCAGACCGGCAGCTGCGGTACCGGCGCCGCCGTGATGGACCACAGCCTTCACTCGTGGGAACAGCCAATCGTGAGGAGTATTTTCGAGCATGAAAATGTTGTCAGGGGTATTGTCACCCCCTAAACCGCCCCATCCCTTAGAGACTAGTGCTCGGACCCCTGCAATCTTGACTGCATCGAATATCATCTTCGTGAACTTATCGGGATCATCGACGACAATACTTCCAAACCCAATGTAGATAGGGGGTTCTCCTGCGTCCAGAAAATCTGTCAATTCTTTCGGCGGGTCGTAGTCACTCGCAAGGTCGAGGAAAACATAACCAGCAATGTCAATCTCCGGACCCCAGTCCTTTGGTTTTGGTACGAGGCCTGGACTCCAGAGGTAAGTATAGGGGACCTTCATTCGGTAGAGTGCTCCAGGGGCCCATAAACTGCTGACAGGCTCCAAACCGAGGGTTTTGACACGGAACTTGTTGACGAGGTCACCGAGACCTTGCCACGTCATCATTTCCACCAGGGGGTAACTCATGAAATTGACGTATTCCACACTGGTGTTGCTTTTCTGGGGACTGATGTTGGCGAGGGGGTGAGGAAATGATTGTGTTGGAGAGTAGGGGAACGTGAACATAATGTGCAGAGGGATACCGAGTCGCTCTGCGATATGGACGTGCGCAAAGGACGGCGGATTTGCGATTATTGCGTCGGCGACGAAGGGTGCTTTGTTACCCAACATCTTCATGTTGGCCTTGTCATGCTCGTCGTCCGTAGCGTTGACACATGCGCGCCAAAGTCCTTCGAAGATCTCGGCCATTCCTTTTCTGCGCCGAGCGATCTCACCTTGCCTGACGGTTTCCAGACTAGGTATGAGACCCGGATTCTTGACCATGAAGGCCATTAGCTCAGAGGGATCACCTCCTATAGAAAAAAATTCAAGTCCAACGTCCTTCTCGATAAAGTCTTTGAAGGCTGGATGGGTTGCAATCCGTACTCGGTGTCCGTAACGCTTGAGGATGCGTGCAATCTGTAGGAACGGCTGAATATCGCCTCGACTTCCAATGACCATAATGACGATATTCAATCGTGGCCTCTTAACAGTTTCGTGGAATGAAGATGCAATGGAGGCGGCATCGTCGGAGAAGCCATCTTGTGAATCGTCATCGGCCTTTATGTGGTGCTCCTCCGAGCTAGATTCTGACCCCTGCTCGTCTCGCGAGGCATGTTTGTGTGGCACACCAAGATGATTCTGGATCGTCTGCCCAAAGGTTTTCGCAATGTATCCGTTATTGGCAGTCTCGCTGACAGAGATGTTCAGTCTTCCGTCCCTCTTAGAAGCCTTACCTTCTGCTTGATCAACATTGACCTTCGTGTTTGATTTTTCCCTCTTCATCTGACGTCGTTTCTGTTTGCCGGAATCACTGTCTGAAGAAGACGAAGAAGACTCTGAATCGTCATCGGTATGTTGGGTATGTTGCGTGTGGGAGGTACTTCGCTGCAGAGCATTCATAATGGTTGCACTCCGGGGCATAGCCTTGGGCCTCTCGGTCTGCCATGATCTCTCCAAGCTGGGACGATCGCCGGTCGGTAGTGATTGTGTGTTCGTGAGCCCTGGCGCGTTGGCAGGCGTCTTTGCGTGGTCGGTCCTTTCAATATTGCGGTCGAGATTGTTGTTCTGCTGGGACTGTCCTCCGAAGTATCCCTCGTCCTCACTGGCTTGCAGAGGAGCGGTAGCGGGCGTTTGATAGACTGAGTGCGACTGGTCTCCATCGATGCCATGAGGCGGGAACTGCGTCTCCGGAGGTACGACAGTAGGGACGAGTGCTTCACCATTGCTGTCGGTAAGTACGAGGCTCTTCTCTGCCTCACCGAGCGACTTGGTGGTCGCTTCAGAAGTCGACATTGAGTACAGGCAAGCACCTGTATGTGCTGCGGCTCAAACGCGGATTGACCAGGCAAAGCTTCGTCAAAGCAAAAGTTGAGACGCGTCTTGACAAAGTCGCATCAATCCAAAACGACAGGGGGCAGAAACGACGAAAGAGGAGAGCGAACGTTTGCACTTGCCTTCTGACGCCTTCTAAACCATCATTCCGGTTTCCACGAGCGTCTTGTCGATGATGAGGTGTGAAGTCTGACCCAATGCGGACTTAGAAATTGCGGCATGACGTAGGAAATCCGGATTCGCGCGCTGCCCAGGTATCAAAACCCATCGTCTTTCATATCCCCACAGCGGCTCTGGCTGCCATCTGACTTCTGGAGAACTCTATGTCGTAACACATCTTGAATGAAGATCTTCGAAAAGCTTCAGCTTGTGCGGCTGATTTGAGCCCCATGAACACTATAGTCTTATACACGGTGCTAGGTGCAACGATCCAGTATAGTCACAAAGAGACGTTGGAGGCTCGAAGAATGCTGTGCGTCTCGATACCAGCACTAACAGCTTATAGGCTCGATCTGCAGAGCTGATTCGTCCATATTTCTGCCAGATTGGTCGAGTCGGAGAAAAGTCGTCAGGGCGCAGGAATTATAGCCGCACCAGACGCCTCTCTCAGGGTCGGGATCGGTGAATCACCATCCGCCCTTTGCTTTTCTGATTTTAATTGTGCGGATCGCCTCTCGCTGTGATTTTCTCTCGATTGACATCATCGCCGTGTAATAGTCATGTGGCCCATAAGCACCACATCGCTCTTCTTACAAGTCTAGTGAGCGATATACCCGGAGCAACGGACGGAACTCGGCAGTCATGGAAGAAAGTACAGGCGCTGACTGGCGGGGGCCCAAGGCGTACCAGCCTTATCACGTCGACCAACAGTCAGCGACTTTACAGCGACAAAGTCTTACCGATCAGCAGCAGATTCTGAATGACAGTCCACGCCCCTTTGCAAGTAGCGCACGCTCAACCAAAGAGAGACCATGCGATGCATGCCGCAGACGCAAAACACGATGTGTCAAGGAGTTGGGCGAGGAAAAGTGCGTCCTGTGCATCTTCCACAGCCAAAATTGCACCTTCCTCCACGAACCCGTTGCCAGGACAAGAAAACGAAAAGTCGAGGAGACTGAGCACCACCTCCAGGGCTTACGAACAAACGTGGGGACTGGCGTGGAGGAGTACGACGAACTCCCTGGAGAAAGCTTGCTAAAGAAGACGCTCGGTCTTCAGAACAAGCATCATGCTCTGCTTGTTGGCCTGACCGAGCCTTTCTCTTTTCCCCGGTTCTCGATTTCTTTGGGTAGCTCCCAGAAGTCAACTCAAGGAGGCGTCGTCACCATTCGCAAGGTGGACGATTTCAATGCTTTCACTATCCACGAGGACCAAGGCACAATCGGCTACGAGACCGAGCAAAGTCGAGTTGACACGATTCAGCAGTTGGTCGAGCCACATGGACAGGCTCTCATCGACCTCTATTTCCGCATTGTTCATCCGTCCTTTCCTATCCTCCACAAAGGTGTCTTTCTTGAAAAGTATGCACGTTCCTACCGCGAGTTCTCGCCTGCTCTCTTAGCAGCGGTCTACCTTCTTACTACAAACTACTGGAGATACTCTCCTACGCTGGCCACCAAGCCTAAACCAGATGCATGCTTATTACACAAGTTGGCTACTGAATCGTACGACCTTACCATATACCGCCCAAAATTATCCTCAGTTCAAGCTGGTCTGCTTCTTGCACAATTTGAATGTTTCGAGTCCGATGTTATGAGCTCTGGGTCAAGGGGCAGACTCTCCGCGCAACTAGTCTCCATGGCTCATGACATGGGGCTCCATCTAGATCCTTCAAGATGGGACTTACCGCCGTGGGAAATCAGCTTGCGCATTCGACTGGCTTGGGCGATATATATGCAAGACAAGTGGGTAGCTTTCATTGAAGGTCGACCATCTCTGTTGACAGATCGCGATTGGATCGTACCGCTTGTGCAGCACAAAGACTTCCCCGAACAATTGGAAGACAACGAAGAGGGCAGCTCAGAGGTTGAGAATGGGCGTATCATTTTCATGCAGATGATTGAACTCACTCGAATCTTGTCAGACAGTTTGGACAACGTTTTCAGCTTGCGAGCACATCAAGCAATACAGTTGTCCCCGGATCCGGTTGGCGCTCTTTTGAGCAGAGCTCAACCGCTTCAGCGGCGGCTCACTGTTTGGTCCGACGCCGCAATGGAAGTGCTGTCCCTAGAAAGAGCTTCGAGCATGAAACTGACGTGCATTGGTGAGTGCGATGATCGTCTGTTCACGCTCCACCGCAATGATCTAATACTTGCTAGGATACCTCAGACTTGCTCACCTCGCCGTCGAGGTTAGTATGCACCGACGTATCATATGTCAGACAATGTCGCCTTCAGCCGACTCCAACATAGCTACAACCTGCCGTATTGCCGCCAAGCACATGTGGTTATCTGCTCTGGTTTTTGTGGACAGTCTGAAAGCGCGCCATCTCAAATCGTTTTGGTACTTCTGTTCGACAGCTTGTCTCACCCTACTCATATCTTTTGGCAATGTCCTCGTCGGTTCTGCTCTAGACTCGCCCGAAGAACAATTTTACCTCAACAAACTGAAAGAGTTTCGCTGGACATTGAAGATCAACGGCGAGATGGGTGCGAAGTTTATGGACGCAGCCATCAGGTCGATGGTTCTCGATCCCCGGGAGATACGCAGACCAAATCCTCCTGTTGGGAACACAGTACCCAGTCCCGGATCTCAATCGGAATCGAGCTTTGGTATTCCATCTCAGAATGCAACTCAGAGTGCGTACGGAAGTATTATCATCCAATCAACTCCAGGCTCAATGGGATCTTCCGGTGTCGCATCCGGCTGGGTTACACCAACGACCTTCGCCAACCCACCGGTCTTTTCTGGGTTCACGCCGAGTATGCCTATGTCAATGCCATACTATACTTGGCAGCCAACCAATTTCGAGACCGATCAGCCTGTCAATAACTACCCGGGACATATGCCTGGTGGTTGATCAAACGGCTGATGGCACTGCTCGATGTACTACTCTGTGTGGTGATCGCAATGGTGGCAAAATGTTACACGATGAAGTGGCTTGGTCATGAAATGAGGCTACGATGATCATTCACGATTACTCATGACAGTTTTTCTCTGAGCTTCTCGGACAGCATGGAGTTGGAGCATATGATACCAATACGCATTATGATGAGGGCAGGTTTTGGTGCGTGACGGATGTACCCGAGGTCGCCGAGGTCTAAATTTGGCCTGACCCTGTTCGCTCCAGCTTGCTTACGAAAGCATCCAGTCGTGTACTAAGAACACTGCGCGGCCCATGATAACGACAACTACGAGATGAGCTACTACAGAACCATCATGACACTTGAGAGTATTTAACGACCAATCTTACCATCATGCAAGCTCGCTACACGGCGGGTGGCTTAGCAGACTGCACGAATCAAACCACCGGCGTAGATTCGGCTGGACAGATCGCCGGCCAGAGCCTCATCAACCCTACTGCTTGTGCGGGAAACATAATAAGGAAACTGTGCAAAAATCCTTTGCTCAGCTCAACGCTGCGGTGTCGGAGACCTTCAAGCATGTTGCGGCTGTGCGGCTAGACCGAGCCATGAAGTAAGCTATCTTACATATGCAACTTCCCAAAGCCGTCACAGATTGGCACACATCTCCGGCTACTAACGTTATTGACTCGCCCTGACTGACAGAGATGCATAGACTCACAATAGCGTCACAGAGATACTTTGTCACTCTTGAACGGTGGTCAGGGGCTTAGGTGCGTTGCTTATGTCCTACCCCCCAGAGGCCAGGACCCCTTGAGCCTGCGGCGTCGGCCTTGTGTCAAGCGCTTGGACGAGGGTTCTCCATACGGGTGCTCACGCGCTGCTGTCTCACGATTTCTACTATACTCGGACGAGACTCTTGGAGATGTTCAACACGTGTGTGCTGCGCTGGTCGTTGGTGTTCAATAGACAGTCTTCCTCGATCCTCACAGATGAATCCGTGATCACGCCTCTTGTCCACGTCTCAGCTCTCGCGGCGAATCTTCAGCGCATGTGCCCGGTATCCTCGTCGGTGCTACACACATGCGCGGTGATGGTCCTCCAAACCCAGCGCCACTCATCTCGAGCACACGGACCGATTGAATGAAGTGCCTGGCTCATGATGCCTGCGCACGAGAAATACACGCAGAGTTGTTGTGGTTCGAGCGACGGGATGTCGGTGGACGTGCACTGAGGTGAGTTCGGTCCTGCTTTTGGGTGACTAGTCTCTCCATTCCTACTGTGGCAAGTTGTCAGCCTCCAAAGTCAGTACGACCGCTATGTCAAGCTTTCGACATATCTGATGAACCTCAAGAGAGGCGCTAAGCTGACCTGCTTCACATTTCGATACTCCTCGCCTCGTGCTCAAGGTGTACACCATCTGCCGACATAAAGCATGGGTGCGATCTACTCGTCCTGTCTTTGCACGAGGGTACAAGAGCGTCGCTGACTTATTCCATGGCACGGCGTTAACGAGTAACCGCCAGCGCGCTCTAGCTAGGCAATACAAGTATCTGACCCTGCAGATATACGAACGCCGAGCATTCGCTACTGGCTGCTGGCGTCGATGTTCGTTCGTCTGATCTCGAGACTGGACTGAGCAGGTCTGTGACCATATATGTGACGATCGTGTGTCCACCCAACTACGACGCGGCGCTCTTGCTCGTACGAAGAGACCAGACGGTCACTCGGACGACCTGATCCATGGGTTTGTTGGCCAAGCCAGCTCGCATCTAGCGCGAAGATGTAGTTGTCGCTCGCGCGTTCAAATATGAACAGCGATTGTTGGCATCGTCTATGCTGTACTTCGCGCGGACACCGACGCAGTATGGTGGCTCCAGAGGTAGGTCAAGAGAACGTGGTAGATACGTCACGGTACGTGACAAAAACAGATAGACGTATCATGACTGAGGGTCGCCGACGTATGGACAATGGTGACATGGAGCAAGAACAAGTTGCGAAGATTCTGTCCTTTGCTCGGCAGGCGCGTTCATGCACAGATTATGCGGCTCAAAAAGGAGAAAAGCGATCGCGCTCACAGTGTCAGCACTGACAGCCAACCTTAGACCATATACTTTAGCGACCAGCCGCTCCCGGATGCCTCGGGTGCAGTATGTATCATCCATGGCGTTAATCCTTCTCATGGCGACGTGCATGTTGTTGCTTCGATGTTCCTCGCGACTAGATGATAGTCTCGAACGGCTTCGAACGTCCTAAGGTTTACGCTTGCACCTGGTGACATGTTTGATATGTCCAAGTTTGGTAAACACTTGACTTGATCATAAAATTGCATTGGCAGATGTGAGTATTGCTGTACTGGACATCGCGCACTCTGTTGCATCTACTTGGAGTAGGTCATTGTTACTTTCTGAAATATACGTCCCTGCGTTGCTTGATGCGCTTGACGATATTTTCGATCTTTGTTCAGGGCTAGAGCTATATCGATACTTGCTTGGGGTAGTCGACAGCTTCGACGGGTGACAAAAGGAAGGCTATCTGACCTGCACAGGGGCACTAATCAGGCCTGCTCCGTCTCCCAAGGCGTCGAGCGTTCAGTAGGCTATTCGATCAGGGCCGGCTTCTGACTGCTTGGCCAGATCAAGAAGGTTGGACAGAAAGTGTATTCTCTGTTCTGGAAAGTTGTGAACTACGAGTCAACCTCGTTGGTTGATAACCAAGTGTCATGACTTGGGAACGAGTCTGGCTGTGCCTGGAGAGCAAAGGCGGAGCTGGCTCCTGCTGTGTTCAGTAATCCAAAATTGCATCTTGAGAACACCATCTATCTTCTCGGCTGGGAATGTTACACCCGTTGTGTACTTCCAGCCGTTCCATACACACCCCTAATGCTGTCGGCAAGTATTGCCATCAATTACGACAGACCATCCTTATTACACCTTACGACACAACTCTGCCGGGTCACGTAGCGAGGGTTTGCAATCGTGTCCAAAAATGTCGATTTCTCATCAATAATGTGTTGCGATACTTGAGAAGGAGACGAAAAAGATTATTCATCTGTAAAGTCGCAGGCTGGGAAGGATCACCACGTGCATCGGGCAGAAGCTTTTCTGCTGTCGTCAGAATAGGTAAGGTTTGAGTCTTGCAACCGTGAGCGAAACTTTGTGAAATTGCCTTTCTTCCTGACCGCCATCTCCATATGCCATTTCACGTACAATAGAATAGCATGAGCAACTAAGCAAACACATTCACTTTGAATGCAGCGAGAATCGCCAATGGGTAGGCAGGAAGACAGAGGGATCTCGGCGGTTTGATGAGAACAGAAGGCAGGAACGCAATCAGACTCTGCTAGCCAGCCAGACGCACACTCCCTCTTGCATCAGATATACAGCCTACAATGCTCTTTTATTCACCATGGAGATGTCAAATGCCATCCTAACAGAAACAGATGACACTTTGGCCACGGACTTACGTCGATGCATCTCTCAATCTCATGAACCGAGTGAAGCTATATGCTAGAATACTTCTACATTGAAGTTACTGCGGCTGTAGAGGACCAGTCAATCATAACTCTTTCTCAAGCTCGTCGTAAAGTCCGACTCATTCGCCCAAACTCCAGTACCACGTCTACTAACCGAAGCTATCGGGGCATGAACGGGGAGACTCAATAGGCACTTAAGCAGATAAATATGACTGGAGGGTGTTTAGATACAACAACAGAAGAACGGCCTGAGCTTGTGTGGTATCAGAGAGCCATTGTGGAGTTCGATCGACCGACAGCAACAAATGGCAATTGTTCAATTCCTTGACGCAAACTTGGTTGGTCCTGTCAAGCGTTCACAGGTCACAGTCGATAGAAGATGGAAGACGGGTGATGAGAAATGTGATTATTATTCATACAGCTCCAAATGTCAAAGACATAGACCTGCTAGTCTTGTATCGTCAAACGCTCGCTGGGTATTATCAAAACATGATATCATAACTTTTTAGGCCTTGTTGAACAGGACGGCTCTGTATCTGACGTTACCCTCCTCAAGATCGTTCATGGCTTTCTCAATGCCCTCCTCGCTCATCTCGTAGTGCTGAGTGATGGGCTTGATCTGGTGGTGGGCAGCGAATTCCAACATTCTCTTGTGGATGAAACGGGGAGCGACGATGCTGCCCTGGACGGTGAGACCCTGAGCGAGCAGACCCATGTAAGGGATGGCGAAGTCACCCTCGGCAACGGAGAGAGGGAAGATTGTACCACCGGGGGCCATGACGGGGAGGTAGAGGTTCCAGTCGGGCTGGGCGGAGGTAGTAACGAGAAGACGGTTGATGGGCTTGACATCCTTGAGCTCCTTGACACCCTTGGTGGCGTAAAACTCGCTGGCACCGAGTCTCTTGGCCTCGTCCTTCTTGGAGTCGGTACCAGAGAAGACAACAACGTCGCAACCCATCTTGGCGGCGAACTGGATGGCCAAGTGACCAAGACCACCAACACCAACGATACCGATGCGGTCAGTAGGCTGGGTGTTGTACATGTGGAGGGCGTTGAAGACGGTGGCACCACCGCACTGAAGGGGAGCGGCAGCCTCGTCGGGGAGGTTGTCAGGGGTCTTGAAGAGGAAAGCCTCACGCCAGACACCGTGGGTAGCGAAAGAACCCTGGTCGGCATCGGCGTAACCGTACATCTTTCTCTCGGCGCAGTAGGTCTCAGTACCCTTCAGGCACTGCTCGCAGTGGGCGCACGAGTCGTGCTCGTAGCCCCAGCCAACGCGGTCACCCTTCTATGAGATAGTTAGTAATTGTTATACCACCGCGATCGATTTACGAACCTTGAGAAGGGTGCATGCGGGTCCGGTCTCCTCGACAATACCGACACCCTCGTGACCAAGGGCCATATCGGCCTTGCGGTAGTGGATATCTGTGCCACAGAGACCAGAGGCAGTGACTCTGAGGAAGACCTGGTCGCCGGTGAGCTCAGGCTTGGTGTTGGTAGCCTTCTTGATGGCACCGGACTCGGAGCCCTTGTAAACAGTGTAGGAGTAAGTCATGATGTCGGTGTGGATGGGAATGTAGGATTGAAAATGAACGAGTATCAGGAGACGGAGAGTTGGCCTCGTCTTAAGAAGGAGCCCCTCCCCCACCAAACCTCACCTTCTCTCCGCCACTTTCTGCTTACAAAAGACATGGCCCAACGATTCGCTTGTGCTTCTTACCAATCGGCCATGACGTTTCACTCGATCTTGGTGCAAGGTTCAAGTGGTGAACGGTGAGCAGAGGTTTCGTTTGAAATTTGGAAAAGTTGTTAGACGCTACGTCATCCCTTATCTTATCAGAGCACGTGGCGCTGCAGAAGCGAGCCGAGCGAGAGCATGGACATTGGAATAGCTTCTGTCGCGTTCTAAAGCTTCGAAAACTTTACTTCACTCGACTTACTCATGCTCGCCGACCTCGATGACCAGCTCTAAAGGGACATGCTTGCGTGACAGTGTGAATGCTGAAGGCTGCTCGAAACTCAGCACTCTTCTTGCGCGTTTACGAGCCTACAGCCGTGTACTGATCGCGACGTCTGCGAAAACGCTCAGAATGACGTCGCTCTAACGCTGTGATAAGCGTGATTGAACGACCTGGATTTCCAATCAATCACGGTCTCGATCATTGTCTTTACGAACACCGACTCAGGCATTTCGATTCGTGCAACATATAATCACATAGCTATACGAAAGTGCCTCCCCGCGCGGCCGTCAAGTACCGTAGCAGCGAGAGCAGCAGCTGTTTCTACGATGGCTGACTGCAATTTGATGTTCCTCTTTCACTTGAGCTTGCTCGTGAACGTGACGCCTTTGTCCAAAGCCACGAATAATTTTCCAACATACTGCGAGACCGGCATCCCTTTGTCTCACGGTCGAAATGAGAAGCCGGATATGGGTAAGTACGCAGTTTCCATTGTCAGGTTCATTTTCTCATGGCTTCATCTTTCCATACATCTCCACCGCAGCTCCATGAAGACGCTCGGCTCATCGTCTCAATACACTTACGATGGGTAATATATCACGCTTGGCTTGCTTGTTTGCACTTGCTGCAGCGAGCATTGCAGACACATGCAATCCTGTAAACACTAGATGTCATCCAAACATGGGACTGGCAAACAGTAGTTACGAAATCGATTTCACCAAACAGACATCAATTCCCCCTGATTGGACCATCTCCAACTGGGCGACAGTCAACTTTGGTGCCAAGGGAGCCGAGTTCACCGTCTCCAAACGCTTCGAATCTCCACAACTGTGGACTAACTTCTACATTCATTATGGCAAAGTCGAGATTGTGGCTCAAGTTGCCCCAGGCACAGGTATTGTCTCGTCTGCTGTCCTCATGTCCGACGATCTAGATGAGATTGATTGGGAATGGAGTGGAAACAACTTTCGCGATACCGCAGGCAAGGGGCAGAACAATTATTATGGCAAGGGCATCACTGGAGATTATGATCGGGGCAGCTTCTTCAGTGTGGCATCTCCTCAAACGCAATTTCACACATATACTATCGATTGGACAGCTACGCAACTTACTTGGTCTGTCGATGGAGCAGCTGTTCGAACATTGCACGCCGCGAACGCCGATAGTGGCTTTCACCAGTACCCTCAAACTCCGTCAAGGTTCCAGATGGGTATCTGGGCTGGTGGTGATCCAGGGAATGCATGGGGTAAGCAGAACCGTATACTTGCTGTGACCTGGGCTAACACGTCACAGGCACTGTTGACTGGGCTGGAGGTTATACAGACTTCACTAAAGCGCCATTCACATACTACGTCAAGTCTGTCAAGATTACTAACTACAACCCTGCATATGCCTACAACTGGACAGACAACTCTGGAAGCTCGAGAAGCATAAAGGTCATCTCAAAACCAGCAGTCGTTTCGTCCTCCACATCGAGTTCGAGTTCTTCGGCCACTACAACTCGAGCGTCGACTACAATCTCTACTTCGACGCCCGCGAAAGCTTCAACAACGTGTGCTGGTATTCCTCCATCAGCGCCCACCCAAGACGGCATTGTCTCGGGCTGTACTCAATGGTACACAGCCAAGTCGGGAGACACATGTGGTGTAATTGCCGCCAAGTTCAATATCCCCATCGAACAATTCATGACATGGAATCCGGCAGTCGACCCTCCTCTGTGCTACAATATGTGGTTGAATTATAGCTATTGTGTCTCGACCGACTGTGCACTTGTCAGTACAGCATCTTCTGCAACCAGTACGACCAGCACATCACGTTCAACAACCGTAAACTCGGGTTCGAGCTCGAGTACGACTATTGTTGTTTCATCAACACCACTACCAACTACTACGATAAGCCCTACATCAAGTGCTACTACTTCTAAATCTTCCAGTAACTCCATCACCCCGACTGTCTCTAGCACCATATCATCAGTAGTACCTTCCTCTACAACTTCAAGATCGAGCACATCGTCGAATGCTGTCAGCTCGACGAGCTCAAATGCATCTTCGTCATCTCCAATTTCAGCACCAGTGTCTTCAAGTACGCTGTGCCCCAAGTCAGACGGACAGACTATTCTCAGCGGAGACGACAAAGCTTATACTATCAGATGCGCTTCGGACACTAACAAAGGTTCTTACGCAGATGCTAGAGCTCTGAAATCATACCTTGACTGTCTCAATGCCTGTGACGATGCAGCAGATACAGGTTGTACTGCTTTCACCTACGTTGGAAACCAAAATGGACGAGGTTCTGGCATATGTTACCTCAAAGCAACCTCAGGTACTTTCTTGCCAGCTGGAAATAACTACATCTCTGGCGCTCTGGCCGTGAAAGACTCTTCCGGTGGCGGCTCTGTCCAGACAAGGTCGAGCACAACTTCTAAGCCTACAACCTCTTCGACTGCAGCATCGACTGGCTCTACGATTCTACCTCTCGCTAGTCCATCGGCTGAGCTCTGCCCAGAAGCTGATACACAGAGTTTTGTCATGTCACAAAGCGGCTCTCTCTACTTTATGTGTTGTTCCTCAGACACTGACGTCGGGTCCTACTCCAACTCGAAAGCTTCCAGCTCGTACAAGGACTGTATGGATTCTTGTGACAGTGATCTAAAGTGCGTGGCATTCACGTATGCAGGTGGTAAAGGAGGCAATGGTAGTGGTGTATGCTGGTACAAAAACTCAAAGGGTGGCGCAGTCTTAAGCGGGCCAAATTATGTTGCTGGCTTCCTTAATACTCGCGCCCCGTCTTCGGCTTCGTCTTCGAGCAGTCTGACAACAGGAAACTTGGCGGTATCTTCGAGCTCTCCAAAGAAAAGCTCCTCAAGATCCACAACAAGCTCTAGCCCATCAACTGCTTCTACTTCTTAGGCTACTAACTCCGCTGGGTCTAATTATACTATCTATCGATCTTCTGACACAAACTACGGCGCATACAGTAGCGTCCAAGCGCAGAATTCCTTCCTCGACTGTACGACAGCCTGCGATTCAGACTCAAAATGCAAAGCCTGGACGTATGCAGGTGGCAAGAATGGTCAAGGCAGTGGCACATGTTGGTTGAAGTCGCAGCTTGGCCAGCCCGTCCAAACTGGTGACAATCTGATATCAGGTTCACGCGTAACCCAGAGCGTCAAGATACGCCGAGCTGTATCAAGCTGGTGGAACAGCGTGACTTCAGTCACGCCGACGGCCACCAAGACCCAGCGCATCGCTACCGCTAAGCCCAAGTCTCCGGCAAACCCGCCATGGGCTCAATACTATCCACACGGCGGTAGATGGATGTGGAACGGACATAACGATTACGGGTGGCATTGGAACTAGAGCTGCGCCAAAAAATTGTGATCTAAAGAGTTGTTTCTGTACATTTTGGTAATTCTTTATCGGGTTTCTGTTAGTATAAAATATTTTGCTTTTCCAGTTTCCATCCCAATGTTAGAAATCTCGTGAAAGCAGGCTCATTCCATTGTTGACAATTCGATCGCTGACAAGAATTGTGTCGTCATGCAAAGCAAGGTCTCCATTCTTCCACGCAAGAGATAAGGTCTTTGTGACATTGAGCTCGGCTTTGTCTCAGCTTCCATGGACTTATTTTCTTTCATGAGTTTCCTTGTGCTTCACGTGCCGCCTTTGTCTCATTGTACGTTTGCCTCAAGCATATTCACATGGCTACTCACTTGATAATCGTCTATGCACTCCCTTCCATGCCCTCCCCTCTTCTCAGATACTCCTTCTCGCAAAACAACAAAAAACACCATCGCAACTATACCCCTAAACATCAAACCCCCACTGACAACTTCCTCAACCTTTCCAATGGGTAATAAAGTCGCCGTCTCCTTCGGCGTCGTCATGGCCATCTTCATTGTCCTGGCTCTGACCTTCTTCTCCTTCTCCGCCTTCAGGCACTCCCGCCGCAACACTGCCGCTCATCGTCAACACCACGACGCTCGCCTGGATCAGTGGATCTCTCGTGTCAAGAGAAGAACTTGGCTGCCTTCATCCAACAATCACGTTGATCGTGATGTGGAAATGCAGGCTCCTATCGTCCCTCCTGTTCCTCGTCGCCCTGAGAATGTTCATGTGCGTACGGGGCCTGCTAGGGTTTCTAGAATGGATAAGGTTTTTGATCTGGCTTTGAGTAAGAATGCTCAGAGGGTTGAGTTTTGCGACGTGCTTCTCAATTCGCCTCCTAAAACTCAGCATAGTGTTGTTCCTGCTGGATTTGTTTGAATGACCTGAAGACGGTAGGAGCGAGGGCAAGCCTGAAGACTTGCAGTCGCCTTGTAATTTTATGACCTGAAAATATGTTTTAATTGGTAGCTGGTCTACCTCCAACGATAATGACAAGATATTCTCCCAATGGCTTTCTATCCCAATGCTGCTTCTGTGATCGTGACTGTAGTACATGCCGTGACTTAAAGCTTTGTTCGTTACTCGACTTAAACTACTTGACATTACGAATCAACAGGCTTCTCTTCCCGAAGTTATCTTATGTATGTAGAGAATATGTCTCAGTAATACACTCTAAGCCGAAAGAGTCTCAGACTTCTCGACCTTGCCTTCGGATTTTGTCTCTGGAATCTGCTGGTTCTTGGCAAGGGCCTCCGTTCTTGACTGACTGTTTGGGTCCAGATAAGGCACCTCACCAATGCCAACAGCACGGTTACCAAAGCGCTCACCCAGTCCTTCGTAATCGAAAGTGGCACTGTGGAAAGCTGAACGGTTGTCCCAGATAGCTAGACATTGTCAGCGAAGGTGTCGGTCAACAAAGCCGAAGGGCCAGACTTACCAATGTCATTCTCGTTTCTCCACTTGAAACGGACTTGCAAGTCATGATTCTCTGTGATGGTGGCCCTGAACTTCTTCAACAACTCCTCGGACTCATCTGTATTCAACTCGTTGATAAACTTTGGGAAAGGTCCGAGAGCGAAGATGCTCTTCCAGCCAGTGACAGGGTTAGTTCTGACAACAGGGTGAACTGCTGTGAGTTCTTTGCCCACATTCTTAGGACTTCCACGCTCTTTCTCGTAGATCTTGACCTTATCCGGGTTGGCCGCTGCAGCCTTGATGAAGCCGTCACCAACAAAGGTGGCAGTCAAGCCTTCGAAGAACTTTTGGTATGCTGGTGAGAAACGATCGTAGATCTCATAGCCAGATGCCCAGACAGTGTCACCGCCAGACTTTGGAAGCTGAGTCAGACGAAGCGAGGTGTAGTCAGCTGGAACAGGCTCGAATTGGATGTCTGAATGCCATTGGGCGGCATCGTAACGGCGCTTGTTGCGAGTCTCGCCCTCTTTGAAGAGAGCCTTCCTTTGCAAAGAGCTAATCGTGCTAATCTCAGCATCATCGACGCCAAATTCGCTGTTGTTGTTGAGCACGGGATGGATGTGTAGAGTTGAGTCTGATGGCTTGCCGGACAACTGACCAAGTCGGTGGTTCAGTTGTTTTTGCAGAGCGTTTGTGAGATTGTCCTGCTTGCGGAAGAAGACAACGCCACGTTCGGAGACTAGGTTACAAGTCAGATATCGTTGACCGAGTGTGGTTGAAGAACGTACTAGTGATTGCCAGATCACGAATCAATTCATCGGCATTAGGAGCATTCAGTAGGTCATCAACGATGTTTACGTCTGCGAATTCACGCCCAATGACAGGAGTCGTCTCCTCATAGGCGAACTTCTCAAGTGCGCCTGACTGCTTGAGTGGCTTTGGGAATGAGGATAAATCTGCAGAAACCATGTCGAGATATGATATCAGTGTGAGCTGGATATCAGGAACGGCCAGATGCCATCATAAATACTCGTTGTTTTACAGGATACTGAATGGGTGCTATATGCCGTGACTCAAAGGCGACATCGCGCAATGCTGATAACGAGCACGCAACATCTCAACGACATGGCTGCGAGATGGATAGTCGCAAGCTGATAGGAGGAATGCTCCACAAGACCCTTGAATGACTGGCGGATAGAGGCTGAGCTGGGTATCTCGGATGGTTCAATGCGTACGCAAACAATCAAGCACGCTACCTGGCCTTGCCGAACTCCATAATCAATATGGGATCCATCCTCTTAACTACTTGCGAGATATGCGGATCTTCGTCAAGGTCAGAGCTGGACCATCCACTCGAAAGCTTCCCCTCATTGATTATCGATTCGAGGTCGACTATTGGTTGCCAAGACCATGTATTTGAGCACGCCATCTTACAACATAAAGGGTTCCCCAGTAAACCCTAGGGTACAGTACATACCCAGGTGGGGGGGATACCTGTCGATCTGCTGAATACTCTACAGCTCTTTCATCCTTTGAAATCATTCTTGTACAGACCCAAGGGCGGGAGGAATTCCGTGATGCGCATTGGTTTGAGCGTGCACGGAAGTTCGTAGACGTCGCATGCGAGACATCGGAGTGGGGTGATCCGGTCAGAGTATGAGGCGTATCTAGAGTAGTATCTAAGAAGAATGAAGACGGAGGAGAGTGTCTACCACGAGAGAAGAACGCGGAGCCGAAGCCAAGCCGAAGGCCAGGGTGCCTCGCAAATTGCACTTGCCACTCGAATCTTGGTGCCATCTAAACTTCAGGATTCGATCTAATCATTATGTTACACCATGCGCTTTGAACGACAGATGATGCTAAGACCATCCTGTGCAAGCTCTGAAGAAACAACGCGTGTAGGACAATTTGACGCGACGTGATTTTGTGGTTGTTGCCTACCTAGGTGCTTGACGCCTCCCACCCAAGTGCATTTATCTCTTTCGAGGACACTTTCGAATACTACCATCTGATTCGACAACATGGCACCACAATCTTCGGTATGCACATTAACCAAGTTATTGATGTCCACTGACAACGATGGTATAGACCCCGTCTCCGCGTCGATTTCTTTTGACGAAAAGACCTCAGGGCCATACCACGCCAACTCCTTCGAAGTTATCGAATCAAGTGTTACAGGATGCATCTGACTCTAGCACACCTCGGCCAATGTCTGGTCCTTCACCGTCACAATTCGCTAGAGTGCCTCGATTTGCTATGTCTACTGCAAGACGAGCCTCATTTCCTCCACGATCACCATCACCTGCGAAACAGCAGCACTCAGCTCTCGGTGTGGTCCATGGAAACGCGCGCGAATTACCTCGAGAACCTATCACCATAGCTGATGACGATGAAGAGATGCTCGATACAGAACATGCAAATCTCGACTTCGCAGCTTTGACGCAGCCTATCTCTCAGGACTCTATACCAGAACCTGAGCAGGGAGCTTACCTTACATCTTACACGCCATCATCGCCCAAACGACGAAAAGTGGATATCGGCGATCTGGCATCGACCCCACAGCCGACTCCAGGCCGGTTGGTAATATCTTCTTCCGGCACGACCCGGATGATGTTTACACAAGCAGATGGGGAGACTTCAAGCAGCAGCAGGCCTGCTTTCTTGATGGCATCACTTCCACCGCCAGAATCGGTCGCACCTCTACCAGACGCCTTTTCGCCTCGCAGAAGGGGCCAGAAGTATGTTCCTGGCGGTCTCGCGTCAGAGTTGCAGTCTTGGGTCATAGAGGCAGTACAGACTGCATCTCAAGGTAGACCTCGAATCCTTCAACAGGTCGATAACTCGGTACACGTTGTGAGTGTCGATGGAACCAAAGGGAATGGCCCGGTGTTCGCCCATGGCACAGCATCTGGTGGGAGGCCTGCGAAAGTGCTGCTCATCGATGGTCAAGCAAACCAGAAGGCAGGAAGAGTCAAAGCAGGGGACCAAGTAAGCATCCGACAGCCAACATGGGATGTCCAAGTAGATGGAGAAGCATGGACGGTAGGCGTTGACTGGAGAACCATGAAGATCTGAAAAGCTCACTTGGTTAATCTGTTATTCGTTGTATGTCATGAGTAATCAGCAGAGCCATGATGTGGTATCAGCAGTGGTGACGAGTCACGACGGGAAGGGCACGAGAAACGGCAGGAAGCCTTATGCTCAGGCAGATTGGACACTTGACAGCGGGAGAAGTGTTTTCAGGACGCAATGCCATCACACATAAGGTCTAGTAAGACAGCGAACCGTGGAACAGTAAAGCAGCAGTATGATGGATTGGGAGGTGATGAGTGGAAGTCGGAAATTCAACGCGACACGGAGCGATACGACGCGTGTGTTTACCAGCCACCTTAGACTCTGACCCGCCTTGCATTTTTCATGACGGGGCTGCGACCAGTTCAACAGGGCTCGGCTTATTGCTTGTTGAAGCTGCAGCTGTCATCCACTCTCTTTTCTCCTGATCTGACTGTAAAGTCCTGCAGCACTTTCTTGTTCAGGTACACCGCTCGTTTGTTCTGTTCATTGGGAGACGCCAAAACACAACGGTTATTTTGACACAACAATAGCAACGGCTACGTCACAGCGATCAGTCCACGCTGAACGGCTCGAGACCGCACGAACGTTGAACACATCAAAGACGCAGGCAGTCTTGCTGCGTTGCCGCTTCCAAATCACATACCTACAGCTCTGTTCCAGGACGTACCCATCCATCTCTGTCACGCTCCGGTCATCGCAACGGGTACGCAATCAACGACAGCTTCCAAGCAATTGTACCCCGGTTTTCATGCCAAAGTGCCAAACACAGCCCCTCGACCTCACCCGGCCAGGCGCCAACTTTGCATTCGTTCGGTCGCTGCCTGGACTCTGGCTTTGGTCGTTCCGACCTTATTTCTTGCTCCCGCCAGACATTGATTCCGTGTAGCCGAAAGCATGGCGACAGCATTGATGAATGGCATGCACACGGCAGGCATCTACTCGGACATGACAGTCGACGGGCCCGAGATTGGCACCTTGGTGGCTGTTGTCGACCGTGCAAAGAATTTGCCCAATGTTAAGCGCATGGGCAAACAGAATCCATACTGCGCTGCCAGACTGGGCAAGGAAGCGAAGAAGACCGAGACGGACAAGCGGGGAGGCCAGACTCCTCGATGGTGAGCATTGAAGATGGAATACAAGACAACACCAAATACTGACAGTGCACAACAGGGACCAGGAACTCCGCTTCACCGTTCACGACTCGCCCGACTACCACAACCTCAAAGTGTCCATCTTCAATGACGACAAGAAGACGGATCTGATTGGAGAGGCCTACATTGGTCTGCAAGATGTCTGTATACCCGGAGGAGGCAAGAACGACGGCTGGCACGCCCTCAATTTCAAGGGCAAATACGCTGGAGAGATCAACCTGGAGTTGACCTACTACGATACGCGACCGCCGACCGAGAGCAAGAGGAGGGTAAGCGGCATGAGCGCTGCAGACAACGCACAACGCAGAAGTCCCATCAAGCGCCGACCACTGCCCGCTGAGTTGACGGGTCCGCCGGCGCCAGGCTCAATTGTGCCAGACCATGCGCGAGGTCCCCGTCAACTGCCAGGAAGACCGACAGAAGATTGGACTCCTCATGGTCTGAGACCGCGTCCTCAACACCACGCTCAATCCGCCCCTGCCATACCCGACGCCCTCCATTACAACCCCGACGAGCTCGACCTCGACTATCACCCTGGCTACCATCAAGCATCCATGCCTGAACTGCCCCAGATTCCCCCAACCCGCAGACATCGCGGTTCAATGCCTGTACAGCCCCCCATGCCTCAGGACTACTATGCCCACGAACACTACGACCACAGCCGCTCTCAAAGTATCCCAAATCTCGCTCACTCTTACTCGTCTCCAAGCGTAGTACAATCAGACCAAGGCTGGCAAGAGCCTTTGCCGCGCTGTCTACAGCCCACTGTCGAGGACATCGACGAGTTTGACTACGAAAGACAGCTACCCCCGGTACCTCCATCACATACCAGGAGTCCATCTCACGCCAGAAGTCCTTCCCATGCCAGAAGTTCGTCTCACACAAGAAATGGACGTTCGACATCAAGGGGCCCACCACCGAGGAGTATGTCCGTAGATGACTACGCCCCTCCACCAGCTCCCGGCTCATACTACGGCTCCTCGCCCAACTTCAGAGCTTCGTATTCCGGCTTCCCTCCTCCAGCTCCGTCATCGGTAGCAGCTTCATCGCAATATCGCAGTCATTCTCGCGTGGCTAGTCGCCAAAGTGTGCCTGACGCTTATGCCATGACCTCTGCCCGAGCACATCCACTAGCAAATCAAATTCGCCGTTCCATGAGCCCTGCTCCATCGGCTTATATGGATGACTATGGACGACACAGACGGTATAGCAATGAGCCAAGCCCTATAATGCCTCGCCCTGCATCCCGCAATGCCTCTCTACTTCCTCCGCGCAACGTTTCACCCCTGCCACCACGCAACAACATCGACGCCATTCGTCACCCTGTTCGCACATTTGCTACGGGTAGCCCTTCTCCCTCGCCAACTCGAAAGGACGTTCCCTGCTCTTCGACCTCTAATGGCAACTTCTTTTCTCCTGATGATTTTGATTCTCTCAACCCGAATGCTTCTTCGAATTCACCCTTTGCCTCGGGCTCCAACCCGCACTCGCCTTATCATATCCAACACTCACCCGACGTTGAGGAAGAAGGCGCTCGTCCTCTGCCAGATCCCAACGCCAAGATTGTTGGCTTTGATGGTAGAGTGATCGATCCCAGTGATCATCTGCCAGTGCACAGCTGGGCTCCGGAGCCAGAGAAGAAGACTCCGACTAAGGTCTACGGTTCAAATGGACAAATGCACCCAAATGGCCTTGCTGGACCGCGCAATGCAGTAGCAACCAGAACACCCTCACGCATGAGTATGGGCCGAGATGTCGTAGTTAACGTCCGCACACGAGGTGTCCCTCCCAAACGTCCCATGTCTTCTGCCTCGCACCACAGCCCTATGACAGGTTCGCCCGGCCCACTTTCCGAGATTGGCTCGAACCCATACACAGGTGGCTCTACCTACGGCAACGACTTCTCAGACGGAAGATATGGCGGCTACGAAGGCCAACATTCTGAATACTCAACACCTCCACCTCCGAGCCAGTCGCCACACTACGGAGACGTGTTTGGCAAGTACACCGCACCACCTGGCGGGGACCAATATGCATATGAGAATCAGATGGCTCAGCATCAAGGACCTGTGTATCAACAACATGGCTACGGAGCATCTGCTCTGAGTAAAGAGATGGCCAAGATTGACATTGGAGGCTCGAGAAGGCCGCTCAGCAGAGGCACTGTCAGAAGAGGTGCTTGGCCTTGATTTTTGTTTATCTTCCACTTTTCACATTGCGCGACTGTTTTCGTTCGATTCCCCCTTTTATCTGCTTGCAAGCACTGTTGATGGTGTTTTCCTTTTCTTGAAGCGGCACATGGAAGTGTGTCTCCATATTGATCCTTTCACGCATACTGGTATTGGGATCGTTGTTATAGAGGTTGATGGAGTGGAGAGATGTGGTATAGAAGAATACAGAGAGTGGATATACGCAGAACCTTTGTAATAGGAATACTTTTCCACCTCGAGTAACGACTGTTCTGAAATGTGATGCATGATAAGCAGAAGGTATTATTGCTTCAGACAAAATGTGTACCAAGTATCAGTACATGACACAGGTTCCTTGATCAAGTGGAGCAAGCTGACCTCTTATCTTGCAGCGTTGCATGGTGAGATTCAAAAGGCTGTAAACTGGATCGAGAGAGCATTCTTGTTCTTACGCAAAGCGTAGAGTCTGCCATCTCGAGCACGTGAAAGCTATACTGAAGAACAAGTACCGAGGGTCGGTCGAATAATTTGTGTCTCAGGTTTGGGATATAAAAAGACACATGGTTACGAGGCGGCAAGGCTGAGCCAAACAAGCAACAGGGCGGTAGATCGAGTGACGGCAAGGCGGCAGCACAAAAGGCAGCGGCCCAGGGACGGTAAGGCTGGCGCTTACGGAAAACAAGTGGGACGGGGGAAAGGCACGACCAATCAGACGGCAGGCAGCAAGGTGGGCAGGAGCAGGGACGGGGGTCGACCATTTTCCGAAAGAGTTCAGACAGCATAATATAAGTCTTGTTAGACATCTATACGAGAGCCGTTCGAGTTTCGACAAAAGTTTGGATCGAAAATACAACAGTTGGCAGATTGTCGAAGCACACGTGTCTCGCACCTCTCCAGCACACGACAAGGGAAACAGTCGCGAGCCGTGCCTATTGTTCCCCGCGCCGTCTACAATACATCAACAAGACCTAGGAGCGCGCCGCATCTCCCACTCCCTCCTCGACTCCATCCCTACCAATCCCCACCGCCGCAGTCATGACCGAGGTCGGTGGACGCAGAAGCTTCAAGGTGTTTGGGCAAGAGTTCATCGTCGACGGTCGATACAATGTCACAAAGGAGTTGGGCCAGGGCGCGTACGGTATCGTGTGGTATGTCTTCCTCTGACCGTTGTGGCAGAAGCTCAACTGACGGAGCCCGCTCCAGCGCTGCACAAGCAAGCCACGACCCGAAAGAGCAGGTAGCCGTCAAGAAGATCACGAATGTCTTCAGCAAGCAGATCCTGGCCAAGCGCGCTCTGCGTGAGATCAAGCTGCTGCAGCACTTCAGAGGCCACCGCAACGTCCGTCCACCGTCCACCCCCCTTCGAAGCCTGTCCATGACTTCAGCACGAGCTGACCAACCTCCAGATCACATGCCTCTTCGACATGGACATCCCCGGCGGGCCTGGCAGCTACAACGAGGTCTACCTCTACGAAGAGCTGATGGAGTGTGACCTGGCCGCCATCATCCGCAGCGGCCAGCCCTTGACCGACGCCCACTTCCAATCTTTCATCTACCAGATTCTGTGCGGTCTCAAGTACATCCACTCGGCCAACGTCTTGCACCGTGATCTCAAGCCTGGCAACCTGCTCGTCAATGCCGACTGCGAGCTGAAGATTTGCGACTTTGGTTTGGCCCGTGGCTTCAGCAACGAGCCCGACAATGTTGCTGCTGGTTTCCAGACAGAGTACGTCGCCACGAGATGGTACAGAGCGCCTGAGATTATGCTCAGTTTCGCAGAATACACGAAAGCTAGTACGTCATAGCCCTTGCACCACCGCCGTCTTTGTCATGCTGACCTCCCCTTCCAGTTGACGTATGGTCAGTTGGCTGTATCCTTGCCGAACTTCTCGGCGGCAAGCCCTTCCTGAAGGGCAAGGATTACGTCGACCAGCTCAACCAGATCCTCCACGTCCTCGGTACGCCCGACGAAAGCACTCTCCAGCTCATTGGCTCCCCTCGCGCCCGCGAGTATGTCCGCGGGTTGCCTTTTATGCCTCGCATCCCATACCAGCAGTTCTTCCCTCGCGCCAACCCCGACGCTCTCGACCTCCTGGAGAAGATGCTCGCTTTCGTTCCCGCCAACCGCATTACCACCGAAGAAGCTCTCGAGCACCCATACCTCGCCATCTGGCACGACCCCAGCGACGAGCCTGCCTGTCCCACAAAGTTCGATTTCCGTTTCGAGGTTGTTAAGGAGATCCCCGAACTCAGAACTATCATTTTCGACGAGGTTAGACGCTTCAGAGGTGAAGTTCGTGCTCCGCTCCATCAACAGCAACAACAGCAGCAGCAGCACTACGGCGACTACCAACAACAAGCCGGTCAGGTGCCCATGCCCGACCAATGGAGCCCTCGTCAAGCTGAAGACCCGCGTCCTCAGGCTCTTGGTGAAAGCACGGCCGAAGGTCTCGAGAGGGAGTTGGAGTATGGTCTGGACGCTCAGTACGGCCAGCAGCAGATGCGATAAAGCGCATGCAGACATTTCTTCCTCGCAAACTCATGCATTCATCCATCAATCATTCTCCCCCCTTTTGCGCGCTGGCAGCGCAGCCTTCTCTAATCCCACAGCCTCATCGTCACTAAGCACGTCATTGTTTTTTTTTTGCAATCCTGTTTTCCTTCCACAATCTAGCGCAACCTGAGTAATGCAGCTATGGGGATGGAACATCTGCTTTTTTCCTGATTTAGCTGCCTGAAAAAGCATCGAGGCTTAATGAAGACCATTTTACACGTATAGTATCTTTCTTCCTATTTGATCGCCGTCAAACTGAACACGTTTGGGAAAGAGCGGATGTTTGTCCATTGATAGCTGATTACAAAGTCACGACTGCAATGGAAGAATTTCTTAATTCAGTCAATGGTCTTTCACTCTACTCTCGCTTCTACGCTCAATCTGCATGCGTAGAGTGATTACATGCAGAGCACAGGTACATAGGGCAAAGCATGAGACGCAGAAGAGTGATCATTTGGTTCGGCAAGAGCGGAGTGGTGCTTCCGGATACGCGAAGTTGTAGATTAGGGCAGCTTCCTACGGATCAGGCCCGCGAATAATTCTCCAACGAGGTTGGAAAGGTGTCTTTGATGATTAACAGAACGGGCAAATTTGTAGCTTGGGCACATGGTTCGGGTTAGGTTAGCTGTGATGTGGATTTCCATTTCTCCAAGTCCGATATGTCGAGAGTACCACCCTGGTCCCTGTCTTTGGGTCACGCAATGTGGTGCTCTGGGTGCACGGAGAGTAATCCTGGTTATGGTGATCATATTGGACGTCATTGGCGTCTATTCAAAAGATTTCGATGCTGTCTAGATAATCTCGAAGCACTGTATGTGCTGTCGAGTGATTTGCATGCGTTCCGACATGCACAGCATGAAATGTCAAGAGATAAGTCACACAACTTCTAGTCTCTCCGGAGTCATTCGTTCTCCTTTTGGATGCAGCAAGATTGCACCTCGTGTAGACCTCTAAGTTTTGCCAGATCTTCAGAAAAGATGACAACCAAGAAGAAGTGGTTCGCTATTCAAAGGAAGATGCAAACGCATAGATCCGACCAGCCCTAATCAGATCCGACACAGGCCAGGCACGATCGACCCCACCTTCCCGATTCGCATCACGGGAGGGGCGGAGGGGGGCGTCACGACCTTGATCACACAACCCATTGTGCGACCTGAGAAACAAACAAAAACCCGACATCAACTTTCGAGAAACAGCAATCAGAAGTAGAGTGTCTTCCGATTGAGACGCTCGCTTCACACATGCTCGATGGTTGTCTTTGTCGATCTGGACGACCCAGATGAGGTTGAGCATGGGTATCAGCATCAACATGCGCCATTTGATATGCGCGATTTGCTGGATGTGCATACTGGAAGAAGGCTATATGCACCTTCTCAAGAGGAGGAAGCGAGGGTAGAAGAAGAGGCGGAGGGAGTTGAACATCCGAATCTCAATGCTCTTTCTGCTATACTAGGTTGTTATCCGTATGCTCTCCTGACTCTTTCCATGGATACAATGAACTGATGAAACATGTAGTATCATATCTGAAATCGCACACCATCTAGATCTAAACTCGCTCCACGACCTCTCTCGCACATGCCGTCAATACCGCGCCAACCTCCTCCAACATCGTAAGCAATTGATGTTGCAAACCCTCCGCTGTGAATCCGAGTCTCCTCTCATCCCTGCAGGAGGGAAATTAGGAAACTTCTTTCGAGAAACAGAGGATGGAAATTGGAATACTCATGGGCCAGAGGGGATGAGGATACCGAGGTTGACGAGTGGGAGGGTTGGTGCTTGTGCTAGGGACATGGTGGGAGAATGCAGGAGGTGTGGGAGTGTGGTTTGTAGGGTAAGTCTATTTCCACTTGGACGTGATGAGACGACGGAGAGGGAAATGAAATGCTGACAGACAACAGAATTGTATCATGAAGGCTCCTTCGGCCATTGCACTCAAGGCTCGACACAGAAGACTATGTCGGACCTGTATAAAAGCACCCTTGGACTCACATCTTCGCATCACACCTCCAGACACAGAGAACGATCATCGCAGTCAAACGTCGCACAGGCAAGCCACACGATCCGTCTCTCAGTCTGCACAGGACATTTGCTGACATCTGCATGCTTTCCAGTTCTTCCACCCAACCCCTCTACCGCGACCCCTGCACCTGCTCCTCCCACATCTGGATCTGCTCCCCCTGCGGCACGACCCTCCGCACCCACGACACATCCTACACCCGCGCCTGGACCTGGCGCTCCCGCTACAGCACATCCTCCACCTCCCCACTCGGCACAGGGATAGGCCACGGCATCGAAGGCGTCCAATGTGGCCGTGAATCTCACTGTCTCTCCTCGCGCACAATGTACAAAGAGATAGAATGTGATGCTACAGATACCCGCACGGGTGGTTACTTTTTACAGGAAATGGAGGGCATTGGAGGGGTTGTGAAGAAAAAGGTCAAGAGGAGGGTCGAGGTGGGAGAGGTGGTTAGGGAGGATGTGGATGAGGGGGAGGGAGGAAGGTTTTTGGCTAGGGAGGTTGAGGGGCTGGATAGGAGTTGGTGTTCTTGGTGTGCGAGGGTCATCTTGAGTAACAAAGATGCGGCGAGGTTTGATGGTGCTGATGGAGATCTGCTGGGTACAAGTCTCGTCGAGAGCGATGTGAGCTCGAGCTCGAGCTCGACTCTATGATTGGGGTTTGACGTTTGGCGTTGGGAGTTTGACAAGATCTAGCATGTTGGTTCGTTATGCATCTGCCACTGTTATCAAGCGACTCGCATAGCCCAGCTTATTACATGGTACCTCTTTATGTTCTGATTGATGTGAATTGATATGAGGCTCGCACCAGAGTTCAAACTAGAGTCGGATAGGTGCAACAATTGTGGACTATCGTACAGCCATTTAGGACAAAACACACATGAGACAAGCTATGATTGAGGTGACTAGAGGTAGAGTCTTGGGCTGCAACATTGAGTTGCATGGCTTTTGTATTATCAAGCTACGAAGGGGGGATAAGCAAAAGCTCTCCAAAATGCCGGAAGGTGAGAAACGACCGAGCCATTCCCCCACGGTCCATGACCTGAGACCCGAGACCCTCCATGTGAGACCGGTGTATATCGATTTAAACCATTTTTCTGCCATCATGAATTCCTTGATCGTCATTATGAACGCCCGCTCGTGATCTGAAACCAACAAAAATGGACCGGGCAATGCAAAGAAAAGGGTGTAAGCATGCCCATGAAACGCTATCTTCCCCAAATGCGCGAAGCCGTGGGCTCGTGATGCAAATGTCCTAGAGCTAGGACGGCGAAGAAGAATAGAAAGAAGCAAACAGAGTCACTCTGTGCTAAATTACGTTTACTTCTTCTTGGGGCCGAACATCGGGGCACCGATGTTGGAGCCAGTGAGGCGGACGTTGGCAGCCTTCTGGATCTTCTGGACAAAGTCCATGCCTGGCCAGTCGGCACCGGGGCGCTCGAGGGCGGCGACGTAGGCGACATCGACCGAGGCCTTCGAGGCAAGATCCTTCTGGGTCATGGTGGCGCCCTTGGGGTTCTTGAGTTGCTGGCGGGCCTGCTGGAGAGCCTTGGCGACATCGTCCGGCACCTTCTTGGTTGCGACAATGTCTTCACTGCGGTCGACCTTTGTCAAGTGCTGGCCTTCGATACCCTTGCTGGCTGCCTGTGTCGCGTGTTAGCTGGCTTGAAGCCTATGGAGGGAGTACAGTGGCTCGACGTACATTGGCAGTAGCAAACTTCTTCTCAGTGGCAACGATGCCACCGCTGCGCTGGGCGGCGTTCAGAGCGCTCTTTCCCTTGATGACGGTCTCGCGAGGGCCGGCAGCACCACCGCGGGCCTTGCTGCCAATCTTGGTAACTTGGTCCCAGTCAGACATGATGGATGTGAGATGTGTGATGGGCGGTTGGAATCAGTTTGGATAGTGGTGTGGTGGGGTGAATGTGGTATGCGATTGATGAAGATGGGTTGTATTGTATGAGGCAAAGAAGAGACGTCTGAGCACTTGTGAGATGTTAGCTCTGACATGTTTCTCGCCGGGCGATGACATCGATCATTGGACCCCGATTGTGCGTGCCAAGCCACTTTCGACGGCCTTCTCTTTGCTTCGCCGCCGCGTTCTCAACACTGACACCGATCGTGCAACTACCAGTCTACGACACCGTTATGAATCATCATCGACTTTGCCCGAGTACAAGGCTATTCACGAGTCACGCTGTGCAATTGCAGTCAAGTCACCGTAACGTATGATCGCAATGCCATGGATTGGCGGCACGTATGTCGCATGCAGTTTCTACATAGCTTTTGTACAGACTGGCAAGAACGAAATTTGCATTGCATCTACATAAAGAGACAATGTGATCAAGCGACAAAACGTCTTCCGTTCTTCGCTCCAACGCCATCCAATATGCCAGCGGCAAGACCTGATGGTTCATCTTTGACAGCGTGATTGAGAACATCACCAACACTGCCTAGGACGGTGCCAGTAGCATTCTGCAGCACTTCTCCTGTGCCCTCCAGAATGCCGTCCAGAGTGCCCACTAAGCCTTCCAGAGGGTCGACAACAAGGCCGTGAATGAGACAATCTGCCCACTGCAGTGCAGCACCAACCGGGAGTCCGACAGAGGCAGGGCGATCAGATGCGCTGATGTCGAAGCCGTTGGTGGCCGAGGGATTGTAGTTGGGATAGCCGACTGCCGGGTATCCACCGACCATACCGATAGGACCTCCTCCCAAAGGACCAGTGAGGTCCATCGACGAGCTGCCATAAGACATGGTGTTGTTTGCTGAGTAAGACTCGGAGCTGGAGTACGAAGATGAAGCCGCAGAAGATGAGGCTGAAGCTAAATCGTAAGCCTGAGACTGGTCGATGCGTTCTGCACGCTTAGAATTGCCTCGTGGTGTGGTAGTACATTGGCTCTGGTCCAAAGGTAAGTACGGCACACTACCTGTCTCACCGTTCTTCTTGATCAGATCCGCGGCCTTCTCGGCAACAGCATAAATGACAGACTCAAGGTGAGCAGCAGGAACGATTGGGAAGATGCTGGCGTCCACGACACGAATGTTCTGAGTACCGTAGACAAGCAGGTTGGAGTCAACGACACCGCCATCGTCTCTAGGCATCATGGCAGCCGTGCAAGATGGGTGGAATTCAGTACCCAAGGCACGATTAAGGAACTCTTGCAGTTGGGCATCGGTAGCTGCGTGAGGTGGATCCTTCTGAACCGGCTCCAGGACCTCTAGCTCGGGCTGCTGGAACAATTTGTCATTGAAACGCAACGAGTCCATCATGACGGCCATGTCAATGGGGTTGCTTCCATAGCGGAAGTCCAGTGTAGGATAGTTGAAAGGGTCGGTACCATTGATATGCACGTTACCGCGCGTAAAAGGGCGCTGGTTACTGATCTGTGTGTTACCCGCGTTATCCTGCAAAAACTCAATGACTGCGCGTCTGCTGTTGTTGAGAGCAGGGATGAGGAGAGCACGTTGACGGGCGTAGCCGCGAACGACGCTCTCATCAAGTCCATCGGCGAGATAATCGTTGTCGGAGAATGAAGAAGCATTCTGAGCGATCTCCTGAGCGCGGTCAGAGATTTGCGGAAGCGAAAAGAAGCCATTGCCATCAGGAGGTCCGAAAGTGTAGGGTCCAGTACGATTCGCGTAGTATGCTGATCTGGCCCAATTGTTGATGGTCGCGTTCTGCATGATGTTCGGGTACACGTAGCTTTGATTATTGAAGCCTTGTGTCATGTGCATCAGCATATGATCTTGGAGATTGTTACCAACACCAGGCAGATTAATGCGGCTTTGTACTCCAGCTTTGGCGAGAACATTACTATCACCAATGCCAGACAACTCAAGAAGTTGAGGAGAGCGAAGCGCTCCGGCAGCGAGGATGACTTCACGAGCAGCCACAGCCGTCCAGACTCTGCCGTCACGTCCAGCTGACACCTCGACTCCTACAGCTCTAGCACCGTTGTCTCCAGAAGTAGCACAACCGCCTTCAAACAGGATTCGACGCACATGTTGGCCAGTGGAAACATAAAAGTTCTCGCGACCGGCGACCGGATCCCAACGCGCGCGACGAGCGTCTGCGCGAGACTGGTTTGTCTGAGAGATGCCCTGAGGGAGGTACATCGCGCCCTTTTCGGTAGGTGCGGCAGGATCAGGCTGGGTCGGTACACCCAGGCGGTTCAATGCAGCAAAGAAATGTTGACTAGCTGGATACTGGAATGCAGGGAAGCTGACATTCTGCGGACCAGATTCGCCATGTTGAGAAGCATCGTAACCCATTCCATAGGTTGTCGCGACCTCGTCTGAAGGCTGTTGGTTGAAAGTCTCACTCTGTTGGATGTCAGTATAGAAATGATAGATAGTCGCGACGCACTTGCCCTTTGGAAGAATTCGAGAAGCGAGCCGTAGTCCCATCCGTCATTGCCGAGTTGAGACCAGATGTCATAATCTTCTTGATCGCCACGATTCCACAGCATAGCATTGATCAGAGTACCACCACCTAAGCCTTTACCCTGTGGAATGGTTCTACTGCCGCCATCAAGGTAGGTTTGTGCAACAGTTTGGTCACACCTGGTTTTTGGTCAGTGATGTTTCTAGCCGTCTCTATGCATGCTGCCTTGTACCAGTTGAACCCGCCGCATTTCCCGTTAACAGATCCTGCGGCACCTTGATAGTATGGGATCATGATGCTTTCCGGGTAGTTATCAGCCTCCCTACACAGGTATACAAATCAGCAATTTGGTCATGTGGGCAGTTGCGAAGCCATAAGATCGAGCAGACACCGAGTTCCGCTTGTCGTAATGCAGAGCGTCAACCAGAACCGAGCGACCGCCAAATGGGGGTTCACTGGAGGCAGACCTTCAGCAGATACCACTGGTCTCGTAGATGATACTCTGCAATGTGACGGCTGGGGTTGGCCTTCGTGAACAGAAGACATAGGATATGTGGTGTCTGTCGTCTTGCTTGCCAAGATCTCTCTCTCTCTCTCTCTCTCTCTCTCTCTCTCTCTCTCTCTCTCTCTTGTACGTACCCAGATTCCAGTAGCAGGACTTGTACATTGGCATTTTCGCTGAGTCGATTCGCGACTGTAAGACCTGCTGGGCCGCCGCCTACTACGATATAGTCGAAGACATTGTTCTTTGGCAGCGGAACGTTGAGACCTCCAGCAGCAGCCTGAGTTACGAGCAGTGCAGTGACCGTCGCGAAGTGAGTATTGAACATATGCTCACAGTGTGCGGCAAGGTTGATGTTAAGAATGAAGGAAGTAGAATAGTGAACAGTACTTGAATGAATGTGGAAATCCAGCAGAACGATTGAATCAAGGATAGGACGAGGAGTACAAAGACTTTTGAATTCGAGAAGGATATGCGGACTTGCCTTTAAATCTTGCTAGAGCTCTCAGAATACGATTGCTGATTACCAAACACGAGCAGTTCCACCAGATGAAAGCCTGCCAGTGCCCGTATCAAGACGGCTGACGAGGGCATCCTTGGAGGCGGCTGTGTGTGCATGCACGACCCAAGTTTCCAATGGGTAAAGATCGCCAGGAACACAGCGCCCGCGCTGTGGTATGTTCAAGGCCGGCAAGATGCGTGCCAAGTTGCGGTACAAACCTGGTGCACATGTGCTATCTTTAAACATGTCTCACAGAACTTGTGACTGACTGGTATAGCGCAATCTCATCTGTGTAGACGGCGAGGCGCCATCATGATCAGCGCCGTCCAGACTTTGTAAGCAAGTCCGTAGGTCAGGATCAATCTGTTTGCTACGCAAAGGTCCGGCAAAGTTGGCCTTGACCCCACGCAAGATCGTCATTGGGGAAGCACGCGTCCCTTGTTTCAATTTGAAACTGAGACAGCGAACTACTCAGTCAGCCAGAACTCGTCCTTGAGATCTCCAAACTTTGACGGGTGAGTGTCGATGCCTATTTTCTTCATATTAATTTCCTCTGTTGTCATGCAACATCGTGCAGGTCTTGCCGCAGGGCTGCCGTCATGACGTTATTGAGTGTACCAGCGTCATCTTTTGGGATCTTCGTGAGCCCACGGACATGTAAGTCGATTTATTTTATAACAAGTAGACCTTCCGAAGGGAACGAAAGCGATATCGCGTTTCTGCTGGTCGTTGACGGAGACTGTTGACTTCGCGATAGTCGTGAGAGTCGCTGACGCGTAAGGCTTCGCAGTCATGAGTCGTGACCGAAATGGCGTGTCCTGTTGCACGTATCAAACGTCAGGCCCCAGCGTCCCCCAGGCTCTTGCTAGCTAGGATACGGTGTTAAAGCTGCGTCCGTTTTGAGTTGCTTCGACCTCGCGAGACGAACGCGTTCTTGAAGCAGACAATCTCTCTTGAGTCGAGGGCAAAGGCGCATGCGAATGACTGCGTGTCTCGATTGGCTGTTCAGGTGGGCTCCCGTGCACGAACGGGAGAACGGGTGCGACTCTGAAGCAGAGGTGGTAGTGGATGTAGCTGGACAAGGCTGTCGCCGAAGGATATCGCACCATCTGTAGTTGATAGCGACGTGTCTAGCAGAGGTCAAGTCCAATGCAGTTTGGCGGGGACGTAGAGGCACGATCGAGGTTGGAAGAGGACGAAATGACGAAGACCAACGTGGCTGTTGTGGCACATGTTTCTGTGCAACACGGTCCTGTGCTCCGATGCGAGCCTACATGCATGACAAGTTCGGATCTCCTCAACGCCTGCACTCCACCGATAGCGACCTCATGAATGCCGTTGCGTGCTGGATTATCTGATATGGGATGATTCCGTCTTTGGCTGATAATCGACCCTGTTCCTGCGGTTCAAAACGGTCTTGCATGTGAGATCGGATAGCTCTAAACCAGCCACCTACTCGCACAATGATATTTTATCTCTGTACTACCTAACATAGGAGCATGCCAGTCCTAGATCAGAAGCATCTAAGGACCCAAAATACAGATCTCGCAGCTCTTCGATGTGATCTTGACATGGTCACGTCTAGATGTGTCAACAACGATGGTGCATGAACCCGCGGTCACCGAACCTCGGCATCTCTCGGCACCCACCAAAAAGTCCCTCCTTTGCGGCCGTAGGATGGAATCAGTAATGCAACACCCAGGCACGCGAAGTAAGATCGCGCGAAACGAAAGTCTTGGTACAGCAAAGGTCAAGAGTGCCTTGATACTTAAGCCAAGGTGTGGGACTCTTGCTTTGGGGAAAGGTGGCATATCTCTTCTAACTTCTGGCTTCTCTCCGCTACACACATCTTCAATCCGCAATAATAACGATGGCCCCGTCATACAACTACGAGTACTTCAACGTCACATTCCCAAAGGAATATGTCGCTCAGGTCGAGATCAACAGGCCGGAGAAGATGAATGCCTTTAACGAAACGTACGTAAGAGCCTTTTCTTGACTATCACTTCCATGCACGAGTCATTTATCGTATTGTCTATCAACTTCCGACTGCACATCCTCGTACGGCCGGTGTGATCCGGGGGCTGACTGGAATATAGCATGTGGAAGGGCATCGGCCAGATCTTCGAACGTCTATCTCACGACCAGGACGTACGCTGCGTGATCTTGACCAGCGCAGGCGACCGAGCATTCTCAGCAGGTCTCGACGTAGCATCAGCATCCGAGACTGGAGTTTTGTCAGGAAATAACGGACTTGATGCCGCTAGAGTAGCCCAGCGCCTTCGTCACCACATCGACGAGTTTCAAGCAAGCATCAGTCAAATCGAGAAATGCGAGAAGCGTAAGTCACGTCGCCACCGCATCGTATGTAATACGAGACTAATCATCTTGCAGCTGTGATAGCAGTGTTACATGGCATCTCCTTCGGCTTAGCACTAGATATGACGCTTTGCGCTGATATCCGCATGTGCGTTGGTTCCACCCGATTTGCAGTCAAGGAAGTCGACATTGGTCTTGCAGCAGACATTGGCACCCTCACCCGCCTACCAAAAGCCAATGTCCCCATGTCCTTCATCAAGGATGTTGCCCTAACGGCCAGAGTATTCACAGCAAAGGAGGCGCTGGCCGTTGGTATCGTGTCAGCCATCTACGACACCAAGACCGAGGCTTTGGGTAAGGCACTGGAGAAGGCAGAGTTGATTGCTAGCAAGAGTCCAGTCGCCACCATGGGTACTAAGGAAGTGCTGAACTTCTCAAGAGATCACTCCGTGGCAGACGGTCTGAGATATGTCTCGGTCTGGAACGCAGCATATTGCAACACAGCAGATGTCACCGACTCGTTGACAGCAGGCATAAAGAAGACGAAGCCTATCTACGCAAAACTCTGAGCAGAGTTTAAAAAGGCGAGGTAGTGCAGAAAGACAACACAGTACTCGCTGTTAGATGTGTATGATTCATCGCGGTTCTGTTCAGCGTCATGACTTTTTACGTATATGTATAATAACCTTTTTCTCAAGATCTCGCAGCACATGGGTATCAAAGTAGAGTGTCGAAGCGCGAAGGAGCAGAAGGCTATGACAAACGTCGAAGCGCAGCAGAGCTGTTCTCGAGACCGTCCTCGAAGCCAATGGCTCTGGCAAGACTGACGGCTTCCTTGTAACGCTTCTTTGCCTCGATGATGTCTTTGTTCATCTCGGCGAACTCGCCTGGTAGATTGTTAGTAATGTATGTGGGTGAAGCAGGGACATGGTACATACCGAGGTTGTGTAGTGCAACAGCGCAGCCTACATCGCATTCCTCGTCACGAGCTGGCGGCTGAATATCAGCAGCGAGATCAAGAGCCTTTTGAGCCCATTGCTTTGCGTTCTCGACCAGTACAGCTTGTGACGGGGGCTTTGTCTCTGAGCTGGGAGGGGGGTTTTGCTGAGCGATGGAGATGGCCAGATTGTTCATGAGAATGACGGAATGGCAATCCTTGTCCGACTTGAAGTTCAAGGCTTGCAGAAAGAGAGGAACGGCTAGGTAGTGCTTGTTTTGATCTTCGTAGTTGTGTGCAAGAGCCTCCATAGATGCGCCCATCTCGTTGTCGGACATCCACTCGCCCTCTTTCTCCAAGACACCAGGCTCTCGTCTACGCTGCTTCTCCCGCAGAGAAGTCTCCAAGGCCCAAACGAGTCTCTCTTCGGCAGCCTTTCCGTCCTGAATGTATTGGTTGGAGTATAGATCGCCGAGCTTGACAGAGAGGGCGACGAGCTGCTTCATGATGCGAGTACGCTTCTCCTTGTGGTCTTCGAGCCGACCAAACTTCTCTTCCCAAGCCAGACAATCGTTTCTAAGAATCTCGAGGACCTGGATAGCCTTGGGGTAGTTTTGGATCTTCTCCATCAACGCAGAGACCTGGATCTTGACGCCAATGATCTCGTTGGAAAAGGGGTCCATGCCGAGCTCATTGGCAATCTCGAGGCCTTGTTTGTAGTACTTGAGGGCGTTCTTGGGGTCGAGGTCGATGTTTGTGTAGTAGATGGCTCGACGCAGCTTTTGCGCAACGGGCTCGGGGTAGTTGTGGAACGAGGCGATGATGTAGGTCGAGTAGAGGTAGTTGGCGTAGGCGATTCCAGCGGAGCCGGCGAGGATGGTGGCCGCGGCCAACGAGACGAGGTAGGGATGGGCGGCCCAAAGCTCTTTGGCACCACGAGTAAATGAAGCTTTGCCGCGGGACTGTTGCCAATTCTGGTTGTGTGATGTTCGGGCGTGGGAGTGCATCTGAGGTCGTCTGCCAGCCTGTGAAATTGATGAAAGACATCGTGTAGCACCCGTTCGTGAGGAGAGGCCACCCCTCAGGGCGTTTGTTGCTGGTCGTGAAAACATGGTGACTGTGTGATGTGTGGTATTTCGAAAGCTTCGCATCTTCAAAACGACAAAGTGTTTCGGTCGGCGAAGACGTCATCAACCGTCTTCCACTCTATCCACTTGCCTCCAATTCCACCACAACAGCATATCTCACACATTGCATCTACCAATCATGTGCGGCAGATATGCTTTGTCACTACGTCCTTCTGCAGTACGTCGCAGACTGCAAGATGAAAACATGCCCGTAGACGAGGCTCCTGAAGACGATGACAATTCGGTCCGCCAAACTTACAACTTCGCCCCCGGCAGTCATGGCTTGGTCTATCGCGCAGATGTTCCAGATTCCGGCGCTGCCTCTCAGCCTCAGGATAAGGAACAGACTACCACTGTCGATGGAAACGCCACTCTAGAAACTCGATACAAGCTGCAATCCATGAAGTGGGGTCTTATACCCTTCTGGACAAAGCGATCACCTGGCTACGGTGATATGATGCGCACCATCAACTGTCGTGATGACTCTTTGCTCAATCCTGGAGGCCTCTGGAACACCATGAAGCAGCGCAAGAGATGCATCGTCGTGTGTGAGGGCTTCTACGAATGGCTAAAGAAGAACAACGGCAAGGATCGAGTCCCTCACTATGTCAAGAGAAAGGACGGTCAACTCATGTGCTTCGCCGGTCTTTGGGACTGCGTGCAGTACGAGGGCCAGTCGGACAAGCTCTACACCTACACCGTCATTACGACTGATTCCAACAGTCAGCTCAAATTCCTCCATGATCGTATGCCTGTCATTTTCAACAACGGCTCTAACCATCTCAAGACCTGGCTCGATCCCGCCCGATCAGAGTGGTCCAAGGAGTTGCAGTCTCTACTGAGACCCTTCGATGGTGAGCTCGAATGCTACCAGGTCGACAAAGCTGTTGGCAAAGTCGGTAACAATTCTCCTTCCTTCATCATTCCAATTGACAGCAAAGAGAACAAGAACAACATCGCCAATTTTTTCGGCAACCAAAAGAAGGAGGCCAAGAGTGCAAACGAGGACAAGATCGTGAAGAAGGAGGAAGACGACTTCCACACTACTGACGGTCAAGTCAAGCAAGAGCCCGATGAGACTCGTGCCACTGTCCTTGATCATCAAAACACCGAGGACAATGCACCCCGTCCTGGAGTCGATGAAGTCTCCGAAGCGCCAGAGTCGACTGCGGTCAAGCGTGAACACTCTCCCGACAATGCCGGTGAGCAAGAACCTGCAAAGAAGAGTCAGAAGTCCGAAGGCACTTCAAGATCCACTAGTCGCTCTAGTCACGGCCGCACTATGAGAAGCTCCATTACCAACAATACTCAAGCTAAGTCACCGCCCAGGGCTAAGGACGGCTCACAGAGAATCACCAATTTCTTTGCCAAGTGAGACGACATCGGTTGAGATTTACACCGTATAAACCTTCACCGCTATACAAAGCACAGCCGGCTGTCTCGACGTACTCGCAGCAAGTCGAATGTGCCCACCGATTTTCGCGCTGCAAGAGCGCCTATGATAATCCAGGGCAGCCCTTTTGTCTACGCGAAAGGCAGGACCACGACGTAGAAGTTCAAGTAGATCAACAATGATGCTGACGGGCGGGAGACATGCTGTCAATCGACAAGACGAAAGATGCGTTACGTTGAGCCGAAGCTGTTTAATGCCTCCAAAAATTCTAATGCTGAATGCCTGGCTCGTTGTTGGTCAGAGTCGCGAGAAGTCCAAGCCCCATCCATCCGAGCCAGGGATCGTTCACAGATTATATGGGTCCGTGTTGCCGTTCGGCGAAATGGATAGATTGACACTACTTTATAACACGTGGTAGCCACAAAACCTCGTGGCCAAATTGGCCAGACACTAAAATTCGATCGCTTTGTTCCCTGCAGAAAAGAAACGTCACTTGTACGGATTTGTTCCATGCACGAGTTTGATGGAGAGGACGTTGCATGCCGAGTCATTTGAAAAGCGGTCCTGCAGCTCTGGTTCTACGTCCGAGTGCCTCCTTACCTCGGTCACCTGTTACAGACTCCACATGTTCGCTTAATGCTTTGCTTTCCTGGCTCAACGATGCCCAACCGCAAGGAGTGAAGACGGCTCTTGTACATGGATGCGGCGAACTCGGCGACACGCATGGCAAAATTGTGGTATTGTTCGGGCCGGAAGCAATGAAGCGAACAACGGCTTTCTCGAATGTTTCTCCGCTCTTCTCCAGAAAAGTGCCTCTGCTGACTTTGATTGGCCATGGAACAAACGACGAACACGCGACCGACTCAGGCTCGGTCGTTTCATGTATCGCGATGGAAGCGCAGCAGCGTCTCTACCACAAGATGATTGGATCGTATGCAAGTGCGGCGCTGTGGCTGCAGTGACGAATAGCTACGTTTCGGCAAGCCCGAGCGCGCTTCTGTTTCCAAATCTTCAGTACATGCATGCAGTTCCTCCTGTAGCAATTTCAGATTCCTCAGGGTATGATGCTTGTGGTTGACGTCGCCAGATCTAGACAATCAGCTTAGACAGAAACTCTGTGAGACATATGACAAGGCTTCATGTAGCTGTACTGTAGTAGCATGGGGGAACTTTCAGATAATTCACGCGATGCAAGGCCCTATAAGCGGCAGTTGGCAGCCTCGCGGGCTCTTTTGATAGGGCTGCAGATCTCGGAGATCTATGAAGCGCCTGTGTGTTGACAAGCGATTCTGCTGTAGCATCACGTCTTAGGACTGTAGAGAGAAGAATAGCTTAGGAGTCGTTCCGTCAGAACAACATGAACAGCTTTCTTGTCGGGCAAGTTGGTTTTCCTCCTCGGCCTTGGCCGATGATTTGAGATGGGCCCCCTGTGTCCCTTGACCCCTCGGGCCGCGCCCGTGCGGAAGTCGCATTCGTTCAGATGTCCCTGCCTGAACATGGCTATGTTCCTTCCTGTGCCCTCATAGTCTTCACGCCTTTCAATACCGACTTTCTTTCAGCCTCATCGCTTCTGCATGCAGTCATCGCCTGTTATTTGCGCCTTGTCTTCTGTTCTGTCGGGCTCTCGCCGCGCCCAGGCCTTGTTCATGTCAAATCAAATCACGGCGTACACAGACATTGTGACTAGGATGGGTTGATTTGGGGTTCCGCTCCTCTGGGTCGCTCGTTCGGACGGTGCTGCGTTTTATTATCTGCCCTACCACGTTGAACCACGCTTTTCCAGAACTACCTTCTGCCTGTCCCTACTCTGCTTCTACCCTTCTGTCTTCCCCACTACAGCACAGACAAGCAAACGAACCTTCTTTTGTCACACCAAGTCCACCTGCTCCTACATCATTTTGACTGCTTTCATCTCTCCTGCCATCATCCAAGCCCGGAAAGGTTGTTTGGTCATGTCCTTTCTGTCGGCACTCCTTTCGGGGAGCCAGAATCAGATACTGACGCGCCAAGCACTTCTGGTGGTTGGCCTGCAAAACGACTTTACATCGCCAGGTGGAAAATTACCTGTGAACACAGCTACGGACTATCTCAGGAGGATCGAGGAGCTCGTTCCCGCATTCCGCGAACATGGAGAGATCTTCTGGATCACAACCGAGTATCGTGGCAAGCGTTCCGTCAACAGCTCTTCTGGATCTGGTTGTATGGTGGTTGCAGACGATGCATTAGTGCTACCCGTTGTCAGCAGTGATGATGAGATGACAAGCTACCCTTCCAGACCGTCCGTTAGATCAAACCATCGTATCAACCAGCTCGTCCGACGAACCATGAACAGAGCAGCAGAGCTCGAAGCAGACTCTTCACCACCCGCGGGCGTCGACCAAGACCTATTCCTCTCTCAGGACAAGCCAGAAGACAACTGCTGTCTACCTGGTAGCTGGGGCGCCGAACTATGCCCAGAAGTCAAGGACTTGGTCTCGCCCAGAGATGTCCGGATCGTCAAATCGTATTACTCGGCTTTCACGTCCTCATCCCTCCTGCTCATGCTCCGCGCAAAGCTCATCACCGAAGTGTACGTCGTTGGGTGCACTACGAACCTCTCGGTCTACGCTACCGCGCTGGACGCCGCGCAGCACGGTCTTTCAATCAACCTCGTCGAAGATTGCCTCAACTACAGACTCAAGGACAGACACGACCGAGCGGTTCAGAAGCTTGTAGAGATCATGGGCGCATCTGTCACGACATCTGCATCGGTTCTGTCGAGGCTACGAGGAGAGACGTCTACAGATGAGTCTAGCAACGACACTGGCACGGGACAATCAGATGTTGATATGGAGGATCAAGCAGGAAGCGTACGTGATCGTCCCCTTTCCAGCGACCTAGAGAACCTTCTAGAGAGTATGACGCTGAGCCATGACCGATCCGGTGTAGCAGACGACGCAAAGCACTCTCCCTCTGAGCATGCAGAATCTGCAGGCTCTCAACTTCCAGACGCGGGAAATCATTGGCGTCACACAGACCCAAAGCCTGCTGGAGTCCGACGACGCCATGATGACTCGCATAACAGAGGTTTCCAGCCGAAGTCGAGCATGACACAACGACTGAGCTCATTGGACACTCACGTGGCGCATGACTCACAGCCAAACACTCAGCATCTCAGCACCTCCCTCGAGACAACCTCTACGACTGAACACAACCGTGAATCCAGAAAAACTATGGAATATCCCACACCTGAAGAGAGTGCGCCTGTGCTTGCGCGACCCACTAGAGTGTCGCGTAAGTTGCAGATGCGCCAGAAAAACTCCACCCTGCTCAGCACTAGCGACATCATTGGGAGCGGGGACTCAAAGATCGTCTACAATCTGCTTGAGCCCGACGACTCAAAGGTAGCGTTCCAGGACTTGTTCTCCGAAGTCCACTGGCAGCGTATGTACCATGCTGCTGGCGAGGTGCCACGACTGGTGTGCTGCCAAGGCGAGATCGAAGCTACAGACGGTAGTATGCCTGTGTACCGACATCCCTCGGACCAATCGCTGCCTCTACTACACTGGAGCCCTGTCGTCGCCAAGATCAAAGAAAGAGCTGAAGCAAGAGTCGGACACACCTTGAATCATGCCCTGATACAGCTATACCGAAGTGGCCAAGATCACATCTCAGAGCATTCGGATAAGACACTAGACATTGTGTATGGCAGCAAGATTGTCAATGTCTCGCTCGGTGCCCAGCGTACAATGAGGCTTCGCACCAAACGTCCCACAACCATGCAGGCTCCGGACTCCAATCTTGACAAAATGCAGAGTTTTGGCAAGGCATCGCATGCGACTACTCCCATAGCCGAGCTGCAGGTGAAACAGCAAGATGACCGTTCCCGTGTTACACAACGTATCCCTATGCCCCACAACAGTATGTTCGTCATGGGTCTAGAAACGAACGGATCTTGGCTGCATGGCATCACGCCAGACAAGCGACCAGCTGTCGAACGCACCCCCACAGAATCTGCCTACGGCAACATGCGCATCTCGATAACCTTTCGTCAGATCGGTACCTTCCTGTCGGCTGACTCGGACCTAATCTGGGGTCAAGGTGCTGTTGCAAAGGAGAAAATAGAGGCAAGACCGACCATCAACGGCAATCCTGAAGAGAGTCAAAGACTTATCGATGCGTTTGGCTTTGAGAATCAAGGCACGGCACCTGACTGGAACGTCATTTATGGCACTGGCTTCGATGTACTACATATCAAGTCTGAGTTGCCGGAACATGAGAACCCAATGCTCTTCCTCTCTGGCGATGAGACTACAGACGCCGTTGTCATTGACAGTCTCTCCAAGTTTGGTATCGATGTCGACATTATCGCGCCACCAAGAGAGCAATTGGCCAGTGATCTTGTCGATGAAAACGGTGATCCCCTGGTCGTGACCTCGTCACAGACACATACAATTTGCTTTAGACAAGCAGGAGGCACGCACACTGAGATTGAGGGCGAGGCTGCCATCTTGGAGTTTTTGGAGCAGCAGCACAGAGAAGGCACAGGACCTTGATGTGCTTAGAGAAGAAGCCTGAGATACATAGACCAAATTCTGGCATTCACGCAATGCACATTATCACATCAAACATTCGATGCTCGTACAGTCATTTCTATCGTGCTTTCGATCGACTGATACATGAATAGCTTCGCTTGTAGGCACTGATCCGGATGGAATATGATCAAAGTATTGTTAATACCCCACTGACTTGGTAACTCTTGCTCTGCTCGCAAAAGACTTTTGAATACCAACTTACAAAACAATACTACGCAACGGATGTCTAGTTGTAAACCAACACTGGCCATCCCTGGATATAGTTGATGTAGTTCCAGCCCAAAAGCTTGAGTTCATCAAGGTACTGAGGATTCTGAACAGTATCGACGTAATGATAGTAGAGAACATCGCGGCCATGGTAATTTGCAAGTACAGCTTGACCACCAGGGCCATACACGCGATCGTGACTGCCGTAGACAATGTAGCCGCCACCGTTTCTGAGGTCTATACCATTGCGGTCGACGAAGGGACCGGTAGCTGATCTTGAGCGGCCGACACGGATGGAGTATTCTTGACCGGGAGCAGGTAGAGCAGCGACATTGTAGCCGCAGCATGAGCCATGGCTGTACCAGAGGTAGTACCAACTATCGTGACGGCTTAGATAAGGACCCTCTTCAGCCTGGGGGCTCACAGGATCTAAGCTCAACTGCGTAGGTGCAGGACTCGAGACAACGCTGAGCAAGTCTTGAGCCAGCTGGAATTGCCAGATGTCACTCCAGAAACTGCCGTAAGTGAGGTAAGGGATCTTTGTCTTTGGGTCGATGAACAAGTTTGCATCGATGGCGTTGGTGATGTTCAGAGGTGTGGGGGCAGTGGTGTTTGAGGTGATAACGGCACCGTGGTCGGTCCAGCTACCAGGTCTGAGTGTCTTTGAGGTGGCGAGTCCGATGCTGGAGAACTGGCTGCCGAATTGCGAGACTGCGTAGTAGCAGTAGTAGGTATCCCCGACCTTATGCACGTCAGGAGCCCTGTAATAGTATGTCAGTTGCATGTATAAGTGTCAGTCATGAGACACCCGTACCATGGATCGGTGCTTCCAGTGTTGTTGATGATGCTGGAACCCTCGAGCACGGAGCCAATTGGCTCCCAGTACCCATCTAACGAGTTGGGGTAAGAAGCTCTACTAATGACGACTAGGCCATGAGTTGAGAAGGAGTAGTAGTGGCCATCAGGACCCATCACAATCTATAACGAGGTCAGTTCGATGGTGATAGTGCCACAAAGCTGGGTGATCATACCGATGGATCGTGAAGATGGACACCACCCCATCCATCATAGCTATTGTTGGCTCCAGGATTCGAAGCACCCGTCACAGGGTGAGGAAGAGGCCAAGAGGCATTGGAGAAAGGGTCAGGTTGATTGTTCGATGGCATGGCAGTAGCCTGGGTGGCCAGCGAGGCCACAGCCAGAGCGCCGATCTTGGTGATCAGAGAATACATCCAGAAGACTTGTCGCGTGGTGGATATTGCTGATCTGCTGCGATGAAACATAGGCACATGGTCTCTTTATATACCATCTGCTGCCCTATGCGAGGTAGTATAGACCATGGTCCAAACATAGTCTCCCGCCGGAGGACTTGGTCATGCTGCATGGGTGCAGGATCTTCTTCAAATTATCCTGTGATCTTCACGAAAGTCATCAGAGGCAGGCACGACCAATGCGTAGTTGCTGGATGAAATGGTTTCTCCGCAAGCATTCTGTGGGGCCCCAGGGCGGGTGCAGGCGGGGTAGTCGCATGCGTGATATCTGAATTTCTCCGGATGCAAAGAAAGCAGAAGGCGAAATACTGGCAAACTGATATGCCCATACCGGCCACGGCTTGAGGGCAAACGTTGACGGCAACTTTCTTGCATAGCGTTCGGGGCTGTGTAAATGTCTAGCAAGTCACACCCGCTGACCGACGCCCAAGAAGGTGCATATCGGTTCAATCGACAGCTACTTCTCTGGTGGGGTCGGCTGAAATCGGCCTTCTACCGGTATAGAAGGTATCACGACCTTCATTGTGCCCTAGATTTATCATCAATCATACCAGACGTACTGCACCTACCGCAAAGAGTGGTCTCTAGAATCCACCTGCCTCTCGTCAAGTCAATCTCTACAACAACAGTGATATAGCGCACTCAGCGAACCGAATATCTGTACCTAGAGAGGTCACAGATTTTATGCACACATCCTTATACAGAGGATGCTCGCCGCTCGAAGTCATGTCCTGTAAGGTGGCCGAGCTGTTTGCATGCGTATTCTGAGGAGAGAGCTACGAGCGGACGCCCACTGTGAGATTTGTCCTCTCCCAATGTCCCGCCTGTAGGGTGCAGACGTGGCAGGCCAGAGAGAGTCTCGAGCGCTTTGAACAACTGACACAATTCGTCCTCGGTTCGTTCTCAAGGCTTGATATTCAGTCCGCTATGTCAGTCCATGCGAACAGATATGTATTTGGAGAAAGAATGGACTTTTCGCCCGGACAGGCAGACGTGAAAGATACTGATAGCTGAAAGCGAATTGAAAACGCGCGCATGACGGCATACAGCACGGACAAAATGTTTGCCAGCCACTTCGCTATCACAACTCTCACCAACCATCTCTTCTCGACTGCGAGTACAGATTGAAGTTATCACTGACCACGCGTCGGCTGGAACATCATGCTCGTACTGGCACTGATCGGGCATCTTCAAGAGATGGTGTTACTTGACAGCACTTGATGATAAGCGGCCGCTATCTGATACGAATCCTCCTGAAGCCTGTCTTTGGGACGACCCTTTCCATCCAATAACATGAACACTCCTAGGGACGATAGCTGACAAGCAAGATACCATCGCATGGTCTTTCCCCTTTGGCATAGCTCCAGCTTTCGCCTATTCCCATGTAGAAGAGGCACTTTCCTAACAACCAGCAAGACCACACAGGAATCCGTCCGGGACTCGACGCTATCCGCATGAACCTTCCAAATGCGGTCTTCGCGCTGATCTCACTCTTGGTCCGTGGCCGTTGTCACCAAGATGCCTAGGATCTAGGCTGAGTTCTCAGTCCTTCAGATTGGCTGTTGACGGCATGTCTTCTCAACTAGAGTTTGACTGAGAAGCGGGGAAAAAGAATTACGCCCCGGAATTGGTCATGAGATTGAACATCCCCTTCTTATCACTTTTTTGGTTATGAGGTCCCATATGGGTGGACGGCATGTACTGTAGTAACGCCTATCTTTCCTAGCATGCCTGGAATATAACACTCGAAGGTTTCTCTCTCTGCTTTGTGGGTGGACTTTGTCACGTATTTTGTTACCATTGACGTCTATACCAACCACAATTGATGAGTCACTCATTCTTGCATGAGGACGCGGGCATGGCCTCCAAGTCTATTGACGTTGGAGAACAAAGCTATGAGGACGCTCGGGATATGGTCGCCTTGGGCCATGCAGAAGAATTGACAAGGAAATTCTCGCCATGGAGTATGTTCGCTCTTGCTTTTAGCATTGTATGTATCCCATCACTGTACCTCAAAGCAATAGCTGACCACCCCTTAGCTCGGCACATACGCGACCTTTGCACAAGACCTGGCGTCTGGATTGACCAACGGTGGTGCTATCACTATTCTGTGGGGTCTCGTTCTGGTCTTTGTATGCAACCTGTGCGTTGCACTTAGCTTGGGCGAGCTCTGCAGTGCCATGCCGACTGCCTTGGGACAGGCGTACTGGATGCACTTCTTATGGCATACCCCAACAGGAAGATTCGCATCATACATGTGTGCTTGGATCAACACTTTCGGCTGGTGGACTCTCAATGCCTCACTCGTGGCTTTTGCAACCAACTTCCTGCTAGGAATCAAGCTCATGTACGATCCGGAATGGGCAGGTGCTGGCACGGGATGGGTCGAGTTTCTAGTCTACCTGGGCATTACGATTCTGTTCACAGGCTTCAACCTGGTGGCCTGCAGGAATGACAAGATATTGCCCTGGTTCAACAACATAGTCGGCATCCAATTTGCTGCCCTCTTCTTCATCATCGGCCTTGCCTTGGTCATCTCTGTTGGCACCAAACAAGGCCTTGAGTTCCAGCCCGCTTCGTTCGCGTTCGGTGCCTGGATCAACCAAACCGGATGGCCCGACGGCTTAGTCTGGTTCACGGGCCTTGTCCAGGCCGCCTACGGTTTGACAGCATTCGATTCGGTTGTCCACATGGTTGAAGAACTTCCGAACCCTCGCGTAAATGCTCCCCGTGCAATCTGGCTGTCGGTCACTATTGGCGCCATTACTGGCTTTATCTTTATGGTCGTATGCCTCTTCTGCATACAGGATCTCGACACTGTCATCAACACACCGACCGGCCTCCCTTTCATGCAGCTTGTGCACGATTGCGTAGGTCTCGAAGGTGCTATTGTATTGATGGTACTTTTCACCATGAACAGCTTGGGCCAAGGAATCTCCATCACGACCACTGGCAGTCGATTGACATGGGGCTTCGCTCGCGACAATGGCTTGCCATTCTCTAAGTACATCAAAAGAGTCAACAAGAAGTGGAAGGTTCCGCCACAGGCCCTGCTGGTCCAAGGCGTCCTTATCGGGCTTGTTGGTGTCCTATACCTGTTCGCGAACACCGTCCTAGAGGCCATCTTGGGTGTTGCTACCATCGCCCTGACCATCTCCTACGCCATGCCCATATTGACGCTACTGCTTGTGGGCCGCAATAAATTGCCTGCTGGCGGACAATTTGGGCTCGGCAAATGGGGAGCAGTGATCAACTGGGTTAGTGTGGTCTATTGTGTCATCACAACAGTCATCTTCTTCTTCCCTGGCGGACCGAATCCGTCTGTAGCAGATATGAACTGGGCTATTGGTGTCTTTGGTGTCATGCTTGTCGTTTCTATAGTCTTTTGGATTGTCAAAGGACGCAAGACTTATCTTAGGGTCGATCCATCCGAGGGACTCGTGTTGGAAGCGCTGCATCTGGAGGATAGCTACACGCAAGCTCCTGAGCCATCACAAGTAGACCGAAAGAGTCTGAAGTAATGATGAATTAATGATAGCGCTTATGTATTATACCGTGTTTTGATCTACATGTTCAATTGTTTCTGCCGTATGTGTAGTCGTAAATCATGTGGCTTCTACTCGAAGAAGAAACCAGGGTAGGTCGGATCATTCGGATCGATGAAGAAGCTATGGCGACCAGTGAGGAAAGCATTGCCCCTGACTTTGGGTATGCAACTCGGATACTCTGAGCCCTCGTCCTGCTGCAACGACACGATACTGGCTTCGAAAGTGGTACCGATAATGGAGTGGTGGATAAGCTTCTTTTTTCCATGCAACTTCCCCTGTGCCAGTAAAACTGCTACTCGAGCACTGGTTCCACTACCACAAGGTGATCGATCGATAGCGCCTTCCGCATAGACGACAACATTCTTCTGCTCGATAGTCTCTTCATTATCGCTGAGTGTCTCGAAGAAAGAGACAGTGTAGAGAGTAGTGCCTGCGTGATCGCCTCGTGTTCCAATCTCAGCCTTGATCAAACGAGCCATGTCGATGAATTGCCGGGCGTTGGCAGGGTCTATAGCCAGACCGACTTGACGAGCATCAACAGATGCACACCCAGCTCCACCCCAAGATAGATCCACAGCGATTTGTAGTTCTTCCGAGTTGGCCTTGCGTATAGTCAGAGATAAGTCTTTGGCGTATTGGTAGCTGAGCACATTGACGAAATCGACATGAGCCACTTTGCCAGCCTCTAAATTGACTTCTGCTGCTACTCTGCCAGATGGTACGTCGATGACGACTTTGACTGTGCCATCTTGAACAGAGTCTACAAGACCTTTAGCCACGGCGTATCGGCCTAGAGCAATTGTGCCGTGACCACAAGCGGTGGAGAAGCCATCTCGATGCCAGAACAAAACACCAAAGTGGGCACCAGAGTCATTTGGCGGGACAATGAAGCCTCCATACATATCAGCATGGCCCCTTGGCTCGTGACAAAGAGACTGGCGCAACAGATCCAGCGGATGGTCTGGTTGATTAACAATGTTGAGGCGGCGATCCCATACTGTTGTTCCAGTAGTTGTGCAATGAGGTGGCAGGTCCGAGACGATACGGAAGGGCTCGCCGGCTGTGTGCCAGTCTTCTGTCTGCACCCAGAACGCGTCCTGATTTACCATCGTTGTCGCAAGGCAGGATGATGAAAGGTTGACGAGCGTTGTGAAGTACAAGCTTGCCTTTCTGCCTGGTGCGGAGTGTCAGCTCGACCCCACTTCGAGGTGTACCAAGTTCCGACAAGCACTGTCTCGAAACCAGACCATTTCCATTTGATATTGCTAGGTCACCGGGCATTTGTGCAGAACTCCATGATCAGAAGAACTTGTGCCCTTCGCGAATTATCTCAGCTGTGAACACTCACGGTGACAGTGGCAGCTTCTGGACGACAGGAGAAGACGTCGATGCTGGAGAAGAACCTCATATACGCCGAACCCACCACGAGACTGGAGCCTCGTGCCTTCCAGCAGACATCATCTGGTTGATTTCCTTGTTTAAGCCAGAGGTTGACAAGCGAAATTGACCAATACTGGATGAGTTAAAGAGAGAAAAATCCAAGACCAGGGTGACGACGGTCGCGAGATGGGCCGTGGACAGAAATCTTGGCGTGTTTGCACGAATAGGGAGACAGCTCAAGGAGATCTGGGGCATCGTCGTCCGTGTTCGCCAAAAGCCGCTACGTTTACCAAAATAAAGGAGAGAGCGAGAGAGCTCTTGCTTCTCGCGACAAAAAGACACTCGACGATCACTGGATCCTAGGACTCGCCAGAGAAAGCACACATCACAATGGAATCACGAACAAGTTTCCTCATGCGACTCTTGTTGCTGGCACTACTGCCTCTGAGCTTCGCCCTTAAATTCGACATTCAGGCGCATCCCGGAGCAGAGTCGGCGAGCAAAGAACGCTGTATTCGCAACTTTGTCGCAAAGGATCAGCTTGTTGTTGTCACGGCTACCATCAGTGGACACAGAGGAGATGGCCAGGTGTTGAACCTACACGTGAGTGCTTGGATGTAACAATTGAGGAGTCAAGGGGATGGTGATGCTGACACAGAAGATTAGATCAAGGATGCCGTCGGCAATGACTACCACAGACCTCGCGATGTCGCTGGCGAGGGTCGCTATGCTTTCACCTCTCACGCCGATTCCGCCTTTGATGTCTGCTTTGAGAACATCTTGACTTCGAGTGCGTTGACAATCCATGCCCTCGTCGACAGGATCAAAAGACTAATGATACCTCCGCGATATAGACACTGGATCGCCGAACCCCAGCCGTCACGTTGAACTCGACATCGACATTGGTGCGGATGCAAAGGACTGGTCTGCCATCCAAGCCGGAGAGAAGCTTCAACCCGTCGAGACGGAGCTGCGCAGAATCGAAGAGATGGTTGCCGAGGTTGTTGGCGAGTTGGACTACCTCCGTATCCGCGAGCAAAAGCTGAGAGACACCAACGAGAGCACCAACGAGCGTGTCAAGTGGTTCGCCTTTGGCACCATGGGTATGCTGGTCGGTCTCGGCGCATGGCAGATTGTCTACCTGCGTGCTTACTTCAGGTATGTCTGGCTAGAACCGCCCTCGATCCGACACAAGCTCACAATCTCACAGATCAAAGCATCTCATCTAGACGAGGTGGACGCTATAATGCATTTCATGTCATTTCAGGGTGGATAAGTGCGGCTGTGTTATGTGCAGCAAAAGTCCATAGGTACAGTATCAGCAATTACAGCCTCTCTTCCTACTCGTGCACTCTTTCTACCGATTTGTCTCTGGCCAGTCAATCAGCAATAGCAATCCCCGCACCTCCTCTCGCCATAACCAGCCAGTACGCCATGCCATGATGCATCATCACGAAGTCATGTAAGGCTCTGGAAGCTCCTTCTCGCAGACTTTGCCGTCGGCATGTTCGTGCCAGTCACACTTGGAACCCTTTCTGGGGTCGGGGAAGTCTTCCTTGGTGAGTTTGGCGAGAGAGTGAGCAAAGTCAACAGAGAACTCGCCACCCTTCTTGATCAGCGTCTTCATAGAGTCGGTCAGGTATTCTTCTTTGGCTGGGGGTTCGCCACATAGGGCGCGGAATGCTGCCGTCTCGACCAAGAACTTGCGCATCTTGTTGGGCGTCTCGGTGAAGGTGTACATGTACTCGAGGCGGAAGGTAGGTGCCGTCATGTTGTTGCTGCGGTAATACGAGCGGACCAGATCGATGGCTGTGCACTGTGAGCTGGTGCTAATGAGTCTTCAGAGAACCTGTACTTACTGTCGTTGGAGAGTGCCTCGACATCCCATCTCTGGCCCATGACATACAGACAGAGGTAGTGCTGGACCGAGTGGAAGTCGTTGGGACCATGGAGCTGGCCGCCATACAACCAACGGACGAAGAGAGCGAATGCGAACTCGTTAAGATCATCGAAAGTCAGTCGCTCTGCAGCAGGGGAAGGTTTGGTCGACAGTAGCTTGTCAAAGAAGGGAACTTTGGCGGTGAGCAGGTTGTTGGGGACTGTGAAGGCCTTGTGGGTGACGCCGGCACGAAGGACTGAAGTTGGGCTCTCTGCAGCAGTTGGCGTCTTGTGGTCGGGGTTGGCATGGACATTGGCGACGGGTGCTCTGAGGTGACAAGTCAGCCGTCGGCTCAAGTTCAAGAGCCCAAGACGAACTTACTGGACAGAACCATCGGACATCACTGGACTGGCCATACTAGATCCGACATCTCCGGCTGTCGAAGCCCTAATGGTTGAGAAGCTGGTGCTCGTGGGGTGTTCGTCTGCCACACTGCTTGCACCCACTGCTGCTGCACTGTCTGGAGCCGGACTGACCCCGCGCTTGACGACAGTACCAAGGTCCTGGCGGTCGTCGATGCGTTCAACAGAGCGCTGGATGCTCTTGGATGAGCTTGTGCGAGATGCTCCAGGACGGCTTGTGCCCATTGGGACTGCAAGGTTGGGATCGGTAGACATTGTGATACTGCTGATGCTGGGACAGGGGTATTGTATTGATGGGTGTAGGTGTGAGGGATATTGGGCATGTAACGATGGACGGAGAGGTTGGAGTGGGTGTAGATTGGGATCAGAATTCTGGCAAGATTCATCATCTACTAGGCATCATGGGTGATTTGCCAACGAGAAGTCGCGACCACGTTGCACCTACCTCTTCCATCCAGCGTATATCCCCATGGCATGGTTTGGTCCTTCCCACTCGATTCTACAGGCTTCATCCACTTTCAACAAAGCGGGCAAACGCATGAAATGAGGCAATCATTGCTCGCCAATCGTTTTATGCCTGGCCAAAACATGTTGCAAACAGCATGTCTTAAAGTGTGACAAACACCACTTACTGGCTGTAGATTGCGCCCATGATTCTCTCAAAGTGTGGTGTCTACCTTGAGACGAGCAGGTGTGATTGACGCGCCATGTCAAGTTGCAGCTGCATAGGTCTGTGCACGTGAACATTATTCTCACTAAACAATCGGGCAAAGCTGATTCAGGTTCGTATCCGAGCAGTATAGAGTCGCTGCTTGTTTGGACCGGGGTGGCCTGTATAAGAATATTAGAAATGATAAGTATTGATATCAATGGGTAGAATCACGTGGAAGTAGACCCTCGATCATGACGGGCGCCAATGACGTTTCGATGTCGAGGCCTGGATCTTGCCCCGGACTGCAGCAGCACGAGCAGCTCTCTTCGTCTTGTTCGACTTTGTCATTCTAGATTGTATTCTGAACATTACCACAATCACCACAAATGTCTTCAGCACGACTTGTTCTCAGATCGATGCGCGCCGCACCGCGCATCGTACGTCCCTTCAGCTCGGCCTCTGCTCGTTTCGCCTACACCCCTGCCACCGATGAGAATGTCGAATTTTACCGCAAGGCCCAGATGGAGAAGCCTCTCAACCCTCATCTGACCAACACCACCTCGACTGTGGCCAATGAGATGCCCAGCATCGGCAAGGACAATGCCCCACCAGAGTTCATCACCAGTGTCGATCCCGATTTCACCGCAAAGGACTCTGTGCCCGAGAACACAGAGAGAATGACCGGAGGCACTCAGTCACAGCCTGAGTCTGGCGTCAATGCCGATCTTCAAGTAGGTGAACTCGAGGGAGGCTCCTTCCGTGTCGAGCCTTTGAGGAGGACAGGCGAGGACACCAACACCACCAGAGCTAGACTTTTATGTTCGTCGCCATTCACCTTGCGCTCTTCTTGACTCTGTCGGCCAGTCGGCTAACAACCCGTCGTGCAGACCAAAGCAGAAAAAGAGGCACGCTAGAGAGTGATCTCCTCATGTCCACCTTTGCCGATCGCTACCTCGAACACATGACTGCAAAGCAACTTCAACAGTACGATCTCTTCCTCGATGAGAATGACTGGGACATTTACTATTGGGCTACTCAGGAGCCTACACCTACGTCCATGGAATACGCCGAGGGAGGTGGTCCTGATCAGGCTACACCTGCAGCACAAGGCAAGGCTGCCAAGGATCAGGTCGTTCGTCCTCCTGGCACTGGTGAATGGGCTCAAACCGTCGGTCTCTTCAAGCCCGCGTACCGTCCCGTTCCTCAGCGATGGAAGAACTCCGAGGTCCTGGCCATGTTGAGACAACACGTCAAGGACCGCAGCGCTGGAGGAGTGCTCGAAGGTGATAAATCTGGCGAGGCCGAGCCAGACAGCAAGAGTGGTCAAGGCATGGCTTTCATGCCTGAGCTCAAGAACCTTGACAAGTAGATTTTGACTGTCTCTTTCACGTAAATAACCATGCACATGCATAATCGCTCTCTAAGAGTTTGGTATACCACTTTTGTCACCGAAACTCACTCTCTCGATCGATCTATGGAAAACTCAAGCACTTGCCGCATTCGCATACAAAGAACCCGGGTGGTAGGCAAGCACTTGGCACGGCCGTCGATACATTCCATGACGAAGGATCACATTCCACAAGTGCCGTATCCGGGCCGAGTTTCTGTCGAACCGCACGATGAGGATGGGGTATCATGCAGAGCAGCACGCCGTCCTTGATGCTGGTGAGAGTGTCCTCTTGATAGTATAGTATGAACCGGGAAAAGTTACAACCAGCGGTGTACTTCGTTGACACGCTGCAACTCTCGCTGCTTCACCTCTCATCTAACCGGGGGGTGGGGACGGAGGAATGTAATTTTTTGAACAAAGGAAGTACCAACCACCACGAGACATATAGGTGTACCGAAGAGCAAGACTGGTCATTGTAAAGACTCATTCCATACAGATTCCCAGCCGCCCGACTGGTGCACACTCCACCGCATATAATACCTTGCATGAGCTGGCTTGTGTATTGCACCTTCCAACCCAAACATTACAATCCCTCACAGGCACGTTACGTTTCAGACAGTCGAAATGGCATCCATGACTCATCAATACACTTACCCAATTCGACCACTGCCTATCCGGCCCAGCCGTATACGACCATCAAGCAAGGAGCTCCAGTGGACTTCGACATATGACAATGCATTCAATCGGTACATGCATGCCGAAGGACTGGAGACCGGGACGTGCAATCCTGCAGCACTACTTGCATATCCTGATGGAGTAGCGACTGAGGCATCGCCAATGGTCCCAAGTATCTATCCTGAGCCGTCAAGCCAGTACAACAGACTATGGAGTGCGAATTCGTTCGATGCAAAGGACATACATGAACCGTCGCCAACTTTCAGCACCTGGATAGGCGACGACAGCGAGCACAACTTACTAGAGCCTCTGGGATCTGAACCAATGGCCGGCTTCCAGAATTACCACAACGATCTATCGATGTCAGGACTGAGGATATCTTACGATCCCACGCTTGCACCGTCACGAGTCGAAGAGACAGCACACGAGATGTACATTTCGACAGAAGTGGGCAGATCTCGAAGAGAGTCACGCACAACATCAATCTCACGTCGTCAGCAACGGACACCTTCATCGGGCACGCCGTCTCCTCGGCGTCGTCAACGGCGGACGACCTCATCGAAAGGGCACAGTCGCAAGTCATCCGGACAGTTGCATAGTCCACGAGGAGGATCGGGCAGTTTTGTGAATTACACGCCATCAGATAGCGAGAAGTTGTTAACCGGAGTCGCGCCTTCTGGCAGTAGCAAGACCAAAGCGCGACGCGAAAGGGAGGCTGTGGAGAAACGGCGAAAGTTCAGCCAGGCAGCTCTGAAGGCGGTGGTCAAGGCAGGGGGTGACTTAGCGGAACTGCAAGACGCAGGGCTGATGATGGGATAGGAGCGAGGGTCGGCAGGTGTTAATGTGTAATTGGCGAGAGGCAATATCGCAGCTGTTTAATGAAAAGGCATATATACATTTGAGCGCAATTTCGTCTTCCCAAGCAACGAGCCGACGGGTATTCCTGCTACCGATGCGTATGGCAGACGAACAGTGCGGAGTTCAGGACGAGTCAGAAGGACATGGCGACCGGCAGGGCGGGAGCGCGTCTGGCAGCAGTGGCAGGTCCCTGCATTTGAGCCGTGCAGATAGGCTTCACGCTAATTACTCCACGTTGCATGATTGCATCTCATTTGGAGCGTATGAACGTCTGGAAGGCCGGGCATGACGGCCTTGGGCCTGTTGTGACCTCGATCTCCATTTTAGACACTTGGTACCTTGGTGTACTGCCTGTTCCTCTCGACACCTCTTGTGCGACGAGGCAGACGTAACAGCACAAGGACAGCTACCGCGTGAATGGAGAGCTATTTCGAACACGACACTCCTCTGGCGGCGTTGCTCGAAGGTCCGTCTTGAACGCGCCTTCCTCTTTGACCCGACAGACGTACTAAGACGAAGCTGCAGGCCATGGCACCGCCGACGACTCGTTCAACTCCTTCAACCAGGACCCCTCGCATACACCTCCCTTCACGCCCATTGTCGCGCCGCAGAAGCCTTCTCTCAAGCGCTTTACACAGCCCCTAAACCTCAGACTCCCCGCCCAGGGCACTATCTCCAAGCTGCACCACGCTTGGTCGGTATGCACATCTCTTCGACTCCACCCATTTCGGAATTCGGCCTCTGACATGTCATAGCGCGCCGTCAACTCTCGTCTCGGCCGGACTGAGAACAATCGCTTTCTCGAACACTTCCGCTACCTCATCGTCGCTTCGCAACTCCTCAACGAATACCCCGATCTTGGCTCGCTGCACACGACCCAGATCAATGGAGCTCCCTTCAGCCACCCCGACCCGAGCCCGAGTGCCTCGCTGAACATCTATGGCGTCGCTGCTACCGCCAGCGTTGCCTTTGTCCTCGTCATCCTTCTCAACTGGCTGCGTGGTTCTCGCTTGAGCAAGAGTCGTCTTTTGTTGGCTCTGGCATGCGCCGCTGTAGCTGCCGTCTTGTTCTACGCATACATCCGTCGACAGTGGCTGCAGTACCTCCGACACCAAGCCGTCGATACAGTCTCGTCCTTGACAACAAATGCTCGTGGTTTTGACATTACTACCTCTGCTGCCCTGTCCTTGATCCAGGAGGTCGAGCTTGTCTCCAAAGGCTATAGACTGTACGACCATCTTCGCCGCATCTAGACATTTGCTAATAACTCGTAGAAGCACACCGCTGCCTCCCATCTCTCGCTTCGATGATGTCAAGGTCAACAGGAAATGCGCAAAGCTACGAGGTGCTCTAAACAAAGCTTACGCCGAGACCTTGCCCGCCTTCAGGGATGCGACCATCTCACTCAAGCTTTTACTCAACCAGGACGACATGGAGAAATACCTGGACGTTTACGACATCCCCCATCACGCGGTTCAGGAAGCCGTCAACCCCGAACTAGTCTCGCTGGAAGAAGACGATCCGGAATCCCTTAGAAGCCTTCGCGTCGTCAGCTATCAGTACAGCACCCTGAGAAGAGTCGTATGTTGCTCCCTCATGTCTCTAGAGGCTGACGGGGGCAACCCGGATTTCACTCGCTGGTCGGCGGCGACAAAGATCATGAACTCTCTGAGTACTACCACTGCCACATGGGCTCAGAAGTTGAGCGGTCTTCTCCGCGAAGTCGAAGAGTTTGCAATCCCCAGAGAAGCTAGACTTTCGACAAGACCGGCTGGTGAACGTCTACGAACACAGGTCCGCAAAATTACCGACCTCTCCCAGGGCATCAGATCATTGCAGGCAAAGATGGCCCTGATGAGAGAAGAGTCCACAAAGGCCATTGAGGACTCGGACGACCTGACAGATCTTGGCCCAAACTTGATGTCGCAGTACGAATCCATTGGTGCCGATCTCAAGACGCTAATGCAAGCCTGGGAGAACGGCAAGGCTTCTCTTGCAAGCAACCTCGACAAGCAAGAACGTCGCATCTCACAAGCGTCAAGCGGTCTTCGTTCACCCGCACCGAGCCTTGGTGGGCTTACTGCGGTCGAAGAAGGCGGACCTGCCGATGCATTACGTGCATTGAATGGCGAGTCCAAGTCCAACAGGTCTAGCCTCGCAGGATCTGGCTCAGACGAAGAGGTCTTCGAGGGCGTTTCCTTACACATACCCCGCCAACGCAGCTCACTGACCAGGGAAGAGCGTATTGTCAGGATGCAGGAAGAGCGAGTACGACTTTCTGAGATGCGTGACAAGCGCGACTCAAGCACCAACATGATCCGAGAGCTTCAATCTGTGATGAACTTGCGACCAAAGCGCAACACCATGGGCGCACGCATCACCTCGATATGAAGGCTCACCGACAAAACTCACACTCTCTTGAACACCTACGAACCATTTCATGAAAACACGAAAATCTTTCCGTCATCAAAGCATTTCTCTTCGACCAAGGCTCGGCAATGGCCATTACAACTTGACTGGTAAATCTCAAGTTCACATACCTTTTCTCTTCCTCATGCATCCACTTAGCGCGGATCTCAAAAGATACCCAATACCTCTTTCTGTTACATTCTTCCTGTCGATACTATTTCTAAAACCAACAGTTTTTTCCGATCTCTTCTTTTTCGGGAGCATCCTTATTTGAGGCGACATTGTGAATATCACATATTTGCGAAATTGATTTCAGTCCCATTTGATTTCGGAGTCATCATGTCATGTAGCTTAGCTATTCAAAGCATCAAAATCGAACCCACATCCCCCAATTCATTTTCCATCTCCATATTCTGCATGATTGAGAAAGGGTTTGCTCAATCATTCCTCATCTAATAGAGCATGTGCTGCAAAGCCCTGGTTCCTGACCTGGATTTTCATGCTCTCGAGTACACTTTTCTTGACATTTTCATCTCTGATATCCCAACCTGGAAATAGACCATGTGTTGCTGTGAAATCGTATGGTTCGACTGCTTTCCACATTGCGTGAATCGTATCCGGAGGTAGAGGGATCATGTTTGGGATACTCCTGTGAATTCAATTAGCCACGTCCACGTTTTGAAAAAACAGATAAGAGAGGGTATAAACATACCACATGAACGAAAAAGAAGTCGTGCCTTTTGGTCTATCTTTACGATAGAAGCCCGACTATTGCCCTTTCATCAGTATCCTTTTTGCAGCCTTTTGAGAGGAAGGGCTTGAGGAGATGGCACTTACAGGTACATTGACAAATGTATCAGCAATAAACAAATGACCATCCCAATGCAACACCATACTCCCCTCGAAATGCCCTCCCACCTGAATTGCCGTGACACCTTTGACAACTTCTGTGTACTTGTCTTCCAAAAGTACACGTTTTGAAGATGCTGTTGGTGTACGGGAGAGCCAAGGTTTGTCCAAAGTATGGGTGTAGACTGGACAGCTAAAGATGGACGACCAGGTTATGTGGGTTGTGTAGAAATGGGGGTGGGAGATTACTATTGCTGAGAGGCCGCCTAGGGAAGTGATCTGTTGCTTGTCAGGAAGAGAGTGACGTGAGAAGGAGAGAGAGAGAGAGAGAGAGAGAGAGAGAGAGAGAGAGAGAGAGAGAGAGAGA